CTTCTTCTTCTTCTTCTTCTTCTTCTTCTTCTTCTTCTTCTTCTTCTTCTTCTTCTTCTTCTTCTTCTTCTTCTTCTTCTTCTTCTTCTTCTTCTTCATCATCATCTTCTCCTCGGCACGCACCTTCAGAATCGGGCTAAAGAAAGAAATGTACCTCAGATCAGTTGACCAAGAACACCTCTAGTTCATGAAATAGGAGCAGTGTCCATAATTTTCATGCTTATGACCATTTCTACCTTTTCACTGTTTATACAACCACTTTTGATACTTCAAATAAATTCCCTTTTTCACGAAAGCGTGATTGGTGATTTGATCTAGCGAAAAGAGTGCACAAAGCGGCATTAGTACGTCAAAATTCCAATACTTTTAGAAAAGATTACTCACGATTGCCAAATATGCCCTTGCCATTGCTCGTGCCCATCCGTCATTCATTACACGTACATCGTCTCTCTCTGCTGCTGCAACAAGTACAGGAGCATTGTCTTCTTCATCATTCTCATCTTCTTCCTCGAAATCACTTCTTCGCCTCCTTCTTCTTCTTCGTCTACCTCTACTCCTGGTCGATTCTGCCTCACTTTCGCTATTCGATGTATCGCCTAAGCTTGTATTTCTACTTTGACTACGGCTATGGCTTTGACTTCTGCTACGGCTTCTGCTCCTACTACGACTTTGACTAGCACTGCGTACATCTCTTCTTCCACGTTTTGAAGGAGCTTTTCCCACATTCAACACCATTTCGAATTTCTGTTCGATTCGTTTCAATTGCGATATTGCACCTTCATGGCCTCGCATTCGGTAAATGAGCAACACTTTTGGAATGAATGCCATTTCCTTGTCGATCAATGTAACATCCGGTCCAAACCGTATCCTCCTTGTATCATTTTCTATGTCTCTGCCTTCTTGTTGAGCAACAGCTTCCAAACTTCTCTCACTGACAATGAGGTAAAGCATTGCGCTATAAAGATGCAACAAGGGTTCTAAACGAAAAGGATAAGTTGTAATCAATAAATCAATTTCTTCCATCGCTTGTTCTTCCAATCCCAGCATGAGCATTTCCGGTATCATTTCCAGCAACAAATCCACTTGCAATGCTGAAGCTCTTGATCTGTTGATTTGACGCATGAATTTTAATCGTTCTTTAGCAATTTTTTGTTCATTCAACACTCGATCTTCTTCTGTACGCATCCCTACTTGTTCTGCTGCTACCATCGTTGTCACTTGCAAGGCATGCCTCCATAGCTCGACTGCACTCCACTCATGTGCATGTAGCAGTACCCTTAGGGATCTATATGCTCTTCTGCCATCGCCTCTAGAGATGCTCAACATCAATAAGTCATAGATGTGTCGTAAATGCTTTTCGCGATGGGTAGCTTGGGCGTTACCAAATCGAGCAACCTTTTTTCGTCTAGATCGACGCCTTGATGCTGACGTTGTGCTTCTTATTTCGTCCTCATCATTTCCAGAGGCTATATCTGTTTCACTCTCAGCATCAGTGGTAGATGCAGCAGTAGTAGCATCACCATCATCCTCTTCGCTCAAGATTCCGACACTTTGTTCTCTTGCTCGTCTTGATGCACGATGACCATGCGAATAGACGTAATTATGACGTACTTTTGGGTCAGGGATCGCAAACAAGGTCTGTTTAGATGATTGCCCCTGTTTGCTGAAGTTTGATGTCATCGTATCCTATCCTCCAGCATTTTGATCACTGTGGTGGTGTAGGATCAATCATTGCACTTCGAACAAGTGTTGTTTTGAACTGCACGCGTTTAAACCAAGAAGGCGCCGAAGATGGAAAATAAATGCACCGACAAGACATGCACACACGATAGTTCGTCCCTGATGATCATGGTTGATCATCAATTCGCCAGGATTTATGAAAACCACAAACAATGGCGAGATCATTTTCTCATCAGATGAAAGCATCTATACATTCTGTGGCATTTGAGTTGTGATTACATTGAATTCTGTTGTACAATTGTGTGCTATGATAGCTGTAGTATCGAATTATGCTAATGGCAAAGGCTCTAGTGATTGTTGAAGAGCATGTTCATGCTGATCCGTCTTTTTGACTTTGTTCCAGCATCAATCTCTCTCTCGTTCTTTCTTTCCACTTTTCAATCTCTGTCTCACTTGCAAGGATACCCTTCTTTGCCAATTCTCTACGTGCAACGCCACGAATCAAATCTTCTTCACTTCTCTCTCTTCCTTCATGATTAAGCAACACAGTATCAGCTCCAACGACAAATCCAAAGATTGTAAAACCTGAAATGATGAAAGCTTTCAATGCTAATGTTTGTGATTTGAATTTTGGGAATAGATGATGTGAAGCTGTTGTGGCTGTAGCACCTAGAATCGTATAAGCCACTGCGCCTCTGATTGCCGCATTCTATGAAGTTGGAAAAGTTAAAAGAGGACTATATCAGTCATGCTGTTTCAATCTCGGCTTCATACTTCCATTCAACTCACCCTTTGTATCTCATAAGCAGCTTCGATTTGATCAGCACGATGCCTTCTCCTTTGCGGTGCCGCTCCCAACTGTGATTCAAACACAGCCGATTTGACAGGCGCAGATTCTAGAATTGGCGATGAACCTTCTGGCATACTCTTTTAGATTTTCGTCTTACAGGTGATGGAGATAGGTATAAAAGTGATATTTTGAATTGCCTAAGCTTACAAGAAGTGCTTATCACAAAATCCGATCAGATTATTTAAGCATTCACTCAGGGCGGCTAAATTCGGAGGGTAGGCAGCATAGGCTGGCGCTTAATCATAATGGCGCTGCTTGCTTGTGAGTGGTTTATCTTCTTACGCGTCGCAATTCTTCTCGGCAATCCAAGGTTCTTCTAGCGAGTCAATTGTGTTTCACACAGGGTTAAAGTGCCTTACACGGCTTTCTTCCTTCTTTTTTAGCCTCTTTTTGTGATCACAGTCAGAAGAGCCTCAACCCTGCCTTGCGCCAAATATACACAGTCAGTAGCCCACGTCTCGGAACAGTATATACGTGGGGTGCATGTCAACCTTTTGGAGTGACTCTCTTCTTTTCTTGATCATCAGCATCTTCCCTTTACCACATACAAGATGTCTTCAACACAACTCGCTCGTGCTTTTGGTCGTTCTACCTTAAGCCTTGGCTCAGGTCGTCTTGCTTTACGTTCTGCCAGCACATGGGCAAAAGTGGCAGCCGGACCACCGGATCCAATTTTGGGTGTTACAGAAGCATTCAAACGTGATCAAGATCCAAGAAAAATTAATTTGGGTGTTGGTGCTTATCGTGATGAAAATGGTAAACCTTATGTTTTGCCTTCGGTTCGTAAAGCTGAAGAACTTGTCATCTCAAAAGGTGGTGATAAAGAATATTTACCAATCACCGGTCTTGCCGATTTCACAAAAAATGCTGCTAAACTAGCTTATGGAAGTGATAGCGCACCCCTCAAAGAAGATAGAATCGCAATCACTCAATCAATCTCAGGTACAGGTGCTTTGCGTATCGGTGGTGCATTCTTGCAACGTCATTATCCTCACTCCAAAACCATCTTCTTGCCTACACCAAGTTGGGGAAATCACACTCCAATCTTCAAGGATAGCGGTTTGGAAGTGAAGCAATACCGTTACTACGACAAAAACACTGTTGGTTTGGATTTGAAGGGAATGTTGGAGGACATCAAAGCTGCACCGAACAAATCCATCATCCTCTTGCACGCTTGTGCCCATAACCCTACCGGTGTTGACCCAACAAAGGAAGACTGGAAACAAATCTCCGAAGCTATCAAAGAAAAGGAACACTTCCCTTTCTTTGATATGGCTTACCAAGGTTTCGCAAGTGGTGATATCGATCGCGATGCATATGCAGTTCGTCAATTCGTCAAAGAAGGACATCAAATCGCATTAAGTCAATCATTTGCAAAGAATATGGGTTTGTATGGTGAACGTGTTGGTGCATTTTCGCTTGTTTGTGCAGATGCAGAAGAAAAGGCAAGGGTTGATAGTCAAGTGAAGATCATCGTTCGTCCTTTGTACTCCAATCCACCCGTTCATGGTGCACGAATTGCAGGATCAATCTTGGCCGATCAAGGTTTGTACAACCAATGGTTAGGCGAAGTGAAGGGAATGGCAGACCGTATTAACGGAATGCGCTCTGAATTAAAGGGACTCTTGGTCGATGATCTAGGCAACAAGAACAACTGGGATCACATCACAAATCAAATTGGTATGTTTGCTTTCCTCGGTATCTCACCTCAACAAGTTGAAAAATTGATCAATGAACATCACGTTTATTTGACAAAAGATGGTCGTATTAGCGTTGCTGGTATCACACCTCACAACGTCAAGCATTTGGCTGAATCTTTGCACAAGGTTACCTCATAAATACCTTGCAGCAATGATGGAAAAACGCTGAATAATGCTTCATATCTTCTTATTAATACACTTTATATAAGTCACAAAATATCATCAATAGACTCATGACCATTTGAGAAGCTAAAGACTGGCAAAAAAGAAGTGGAACGCAATTTAAAGAATATTATTGCAGAGATCAGAAAGCAATACAAGTACAGAGGGGTGTGCTATTGACATGAAACAAAGAGAAAAAGACTAACAAGCTTACTCGCTCTTATCCTTCTTCTTTTTCTTCTTCTTTTCAGATTTGGAGGTATCGCCGTCTTCTGCTACGGAATTGTTTGCAGCTGCTTCGGCTGCTTTACGTTCTTTCTTTTCCTTCTTACGACGCTTACGTTCTTCTTCTGTCTCGCCGGTAGCACTTTCATCGCCTGCATCATCACTTGCTTTTCTCTTCTTTCCTTCATCAGGTGTAGCCGTTGGTTGAACAAGAGGCTTAGAAACGGATTGACTTGCAACTCCGATGTGCGTAAGCTTATCAGTTTTGCTGTAATCAGTATAGTCATCCTTCCAGCTCTTGGGCGTGACACCATCGATTTCACGACCGTGCTTGTCCAATTTACCGTCTTTGACCATCTTCTTCTTCTCTTGTGCTTTTGGACCTAATCCCCATCTACGTGGGTATGTATCACGTTCCATAATGCAACGTTTGACTTTGGCGACAATTCCGTGGTCTGCAGTTGCTAGATCTGCTGTGCTCATTTGAGCATATGCCAAAGCGATAGCTTCACCCTTTGTTGTCATCAAAACAACTTCTTCTCCAATTTCAATTGCAGCTTCGTATCGCAAAAGACCTGGAATCATCAATTTGGCACCATAACAAACGGCATTGACGGCAGAATCTTTGACGACGATACGTTTGTAGCCGACCAAAAGGGATTCAAGAGGACGGATAACACGACGCAAGTACTCTTCATTTCTTTGATTGTCGTATAGCCATTGAGCATCCAATAAATCGTGCATAGTGACAATGTTGTCATCTTCACCCAAAGCTCCACTGCGAACACGACGCAATTCTTGCATGTGACCTCCAACGCCCAACAAAAGACCCAAATGGACACACAATGTACGAATGTATGTACCTGCTTCGCAAGAGACCCAAAAGACGGCCAAGTGACGATCGTTGTCGAATTCCAAAAGTTTGCTCTCATAGATGGTACGGATACGCAATTGACGTTTTACAGCTGAGATGAGGGGAGGACGTTGGAACAAAGCACCGGTTAATGTTTCCAAAGCACGAGGTAGCTTTTTCACATCACCCAAAGAATCGTGTAAACGCAAGACTGCAACGTATTCCTTTCCGGCACCTTGTTGAGATTTGACTAATCTGGTTGCACGATCGATGCATACAATCAAACATCCGGTAACCTTTGGATCCAAAGTACCTGAATGACCAGTCTTTTCCACACGCAACATACGACGGATCCAAGCAACAACTTCGTGCGAAGAAGGATTACTTGGTTTGTCCAAATTGATCACACCTGATTTGATGTATTGAACCAAATCACGTTTGAGAGGAGAGCATCCATGTGGAATAGGTGTAAAGTGAGAAGAACGAACGAGAAGTTTATCGTAATTCTTGAGGAGTAAAGGCCATTGATCTGTACTCAATTGAGCACCACCACTTTCCGGTTTGATCATAAAGTCACCATTTACTTGCTTTTTTGCAATAACATTTTGCTCTTGCATCGATGTATCGCCCAAAGTTGCCGACATGATGCCGGTTGTATTTGTAATGGGCTGTTTTGATGTGGTTACGATGACGGGTGTAAAATGAATTTGGTCAAAAATTTAATGCCATCTTTGTTTCTTCTAATTCTCAAATGCAAAAAATACGTCAGCTAAAGTGCATGCGCGCCACTGTGAGAAGCTTCAAAAAAGCAGAGCGGCTAAAATTTTGGTGCAAACACGTGATGTGAAAAGAGAAACGCATTCTATTAAAGGAGCGCGGGAGGTATATTACAAGATCATCGATTTATTTGCATACATTACAGCTTTGCAGAAGTATTGCTTTCCTTCGAAGTAATCCCATCCACTTTTAGTTTTGAGAGGCCATGCTGTAGTTGTAGCGGCATTGGTTTCACAGGCTTTCTGCTTTGTCTATCAACGAAGACGTGTGTTTTTCGAGTGATAACAGCTGCAAGTGCATCTTTCGGTAGTGAATACTTGTCTGCATGCGATGATAATGAAGAAGAACATCTAGCTGGATCGGTTGCAGGAACTTCAAAGATACCAACTTCATATGTGACGCTACTGTTGCCTAAATGTACGATCCGTAAACCGACTCGTAGTAGATTGGGAAATGAAGTAGGTGCATAGAAATCACCTGAACTGGAAATCACCAAACCGATTACCGAATCAGATGTCGGTCGCTTACGTTCTTCTGAAGGCTCTATTCTTTCAGGTGAAGACTCTTTTGCCAATTGCGATTGACCGTTTGGATGTTGATAGGGCTGTATTCCACAATGATCGATTAGGTAGGTATTCGTGATTGTGTCAGTGATGAGGTAATAGGTTGAATTATTCAGATGGCCATACTGGTCATTATCCAACCATCTGGTCTGTATATCCATATGAAATGGAAACCTCCAACTTCTTCTATCTTGGTCTTTTGCCATCTTTGTAGATGATGCTGGGGAAGAGAGGAGGAAAGTAGTCTTGCTAAATTAAGACGACCGGTATCCGGCCATACAATCGTGCGGAGGTGCGTGCGGCTGAGTGGAGAAGAACTTCAGCTTTTGCTAATGTACATTAACACGCGTGCATGCAATTGACACTTTTTTGATTTGATTCCATCATCATCTTTGAGGCCATATTCCCAAATACTTTTTATTATACCTTGCCAACATGGCGCCTATGCCCTTGACGGGCACGATTGGCGCCACATCATCGGCAAATTCAGAGCTGCAGGCAGCTTCAAATCGAAAAGCATTGCCTGATTCAGTCACAAGTTTCTTTTTACCTTCAATCGAAAGACCAGAAAAAGTGGCAGAAAGAAAGAAACAAGTGGCATTACAAAGACAACAAAAGAAGAAAGAACAAAGAAGCAGGAGAAGCATCTCTAATAAACAGAAAGAGGAAGAATATGAGTCTGTGCCAGAGCAAGAGGACGAGGATCTGCTGGACCTTGATGAAAGCTTGATCTTATTGCAATCTCTTCGACAATCAAGGTTGGCACACCTTACGAGCATGCTGCCATATCTTTCCACTCGACATAGGACATCAACCAGATACCACCCGCCTCCAAAGGAGCATCCTTATCCTGGTGGATTGGATCCATCCGTCGTTCCACCCACATTGCTAAATATGGGCAAAGCTGACGTTCGAGTAGGTCCCTTTGTGTTTCCACGCACTCGATTTAGCGAAGCAAGAATTGAAGGGGGTGCTCAAGATGCTCAAGGTCTTTCATTGATGAAGGGTCAAATATCTGATACTGCTACTCCTGTCAAAGTCAAGAAGCCCAGAAAGCCAAAAACGCCAAAGGCTGCGACAGAAACTGGAGTGACAACAAATGATTCACCTGCCTTGACAGCCACGGCTCAGACTCCTGCGGTAGGCTCGACAGCACCAACAGCTCCTACGACACCTAGCAAGCCACCGACAACAAATTTGTCTACACCTTTGGCAAATACACCTTCCACTTCTGCCGGGCCAATGCAGTCCACACCACTTGCGAAGCCTACTGGACAAGTACCTGCAGCTCCCTCTTCTGTGGCACAGCCTTCAATCGCACCAGCTGCCACTCCGCCCCGTCCGCCAATGGCACAAGCACCGGGAGCAGCACCAATCAACGAGAAAGTTGTCAAAGCAGTCAGTGCGGCAGCCCAACAGGATCCAGCATTACAGAATTTGTTGTATGTTGCCGCAAACAATAAAGCATCTCCTGATCAATTGAGAGAGCTTGCAGCTTTTATTGCTCGAGTGAGCGCAGGATTGGAAAAGATCGAAAGTGCTCAAGCGGAAGAACGAAAGAAAGAAGAAGAGAAGCAAGCGAAATTAGCTGCTAAAAGAGCCGCTCGTGCAGCTGATGCAAAAGCAAGAAGAGCTGCAAAAAAGGCTGCTGCTTTGGCAGAAGCGGAAAAAGTTGCTGAAAATAGTGCCGATGTTGGCGAAGGAGAGCCAAAGTCTGGTGATGAAGAAAGTTTTGATGCTTCTGTGCCACGCTTCCTTCCACCTCCAGACGCAAATCAACCTCCTCCATATCCTCCCATTGTAGTGGTCGAGTTTCGTGAAAATCCTTCTGCTCGATTCATCCTTCCTCTTTGGCGAGATGCTGTGGTCGAACGACGCAAAGATGGCGCTGTCCGCAGCATCAAAGTTTCTATGCTCCTTCCTGGCATTGGGAGTTCAGCAGCTTTACGTGCGTCAGACGATGATGCGAGTCTGATTTCAACCAAAACAAAAGGAGCAAAGTCATCAGGCAAAAAGTCTACAGCGCCGGGTACGGAAGAGAAGAAGGAGGAGGAGGAGGATGAAAACCCCATTTCGTCTACCAATCCGCCCACTGACGAGCAGCTTCGAAAAGAAGCTCCAAAAGGCGCTGAGACGAGGCTGGTGACTTGGAGCATTAGTGGCACAAACAAAGATCCATTGTCAGATGCTATCTGGCAAATATTCGGAAGGGTGATGGGGGCCAAAACGATTGTAGATGGCGTTGAGGTTCCAGTGGAAGAAAGCGGTGTCACTCAGAACACCGGCGAGGATGGGCATCAGCCGTCGACTAGATTATCTGAAGATGTGTTGGCTTCCGTGATCGCCAAGATTCGAGCACTTCCGCCAAGTCACCGAGATGATGAACGGATACCTAAGCTGCGTGTACGACCGGAAGAAATCCCCAAAGATTTACACGACCATTTATCTGACAAGTACGCACCACGCATACAAGTGTTGGCATCACGACCGATCGTACGTATCAAACGTGGAACGGGAGCTGATGGAGAAGATGGCGAACAACAATTTGAAGTATTGCGAAATGTTCAAGCTGGTAATATGGTGGTAAAAAGAGCACGAATCAAAACAGACGAAGATGAAGGAGAAGATACAACTATGGGACTTGATGGCGGAGAAGATGAATCGATGTTCTCAAGCGGTACAGGAATCTTTGGCGATCAACATAGCAAACCTAAAAGGAAAAGACATGTTGCTAAATATAATCCTGATGGAAGTTTGAAACTTTGTCAAGCTTGTGGAACGAATTCGACTCCTATGTGGAGACGAGGACCAGCAGGTAAGAGTACTCTCTGTAACGCTTGTGGTGCAAAATGGAAAGTGGGAAGGTTGGTTGTGCCTGATATACCGCCTACTGCACCTCCAGCTGATGAGATCAGACAAAAGCAAAATGCGAACGACAAAGTCGAAGCTGTGGATAGCGGCACCATGGAAGAGTCAACTACGGAGAATAAAGGCGATGATGTTTCCGCAGATGTCAGCATGCAAGAGGCGGGGCAAGACGACACAAGCAAATAAGGCAATCACCACTGAATAATTCTTATCGAAACACCCATTCTGTAATTTTATGTAGAATACCTTTATAAATCATTGTATTACAACCATGCTTTCTAGTATTTTGATCGTACAATATGGTTTTTGGAAAGCGAATATTTCACATTAAATCATCTTCTTGGCATACCTCCACGACCTCTTTGTCTGACGGCACGTTGAGCAGCACCTTGAGGTAGAGCTGGTCCTGGGCCACCCTGATCAGAAGCACGAGCACGAATGGTCTCATCAACTGACAAGATCACACATGCAGCCTCTGTTGCACTGCTCAAAGCATTGATCTTAACCAAAGCAGGTTCCCAAACAAATGATGCCATGCAATCAGTCACACCTTCATTTTCCACATCAACTCCGTCCCATTGATGACCTTGAGCATGTCTCATTCGTAATTTGTTCAATAAATCTGTTGCTTCAAATCCTGCATTATCAGACAATTGACGTGGTATAACTTCCAATGCTTTTGCAAATGCGGCAATGATTAATTGTTGTTTTCCATGAATGGTTTTGGCATGTTCACGCAGATGTCTAGACACTTCCATCTCTGTTGCACCACCGCCTGCTACGACGTGATTGTTCTTGATGGCACGTTTGACGACCATGATGGCATCGTGCAACGAACGTTCAACTTCGGCAATAAATTGTTGAGCTCCACCACGTAGGACGAGAGTAACGGTCTTTGCTTTTGGACATCCTTCAAAGATGTTAAATCTTTCTCCACCAATTTGACGTTCTTCAAATGTTTCGCACAATCCCAAATGGTCATCCTTGATCTCTGAGCATGTACTTTGAACGCTTCCTCCAACAGCCTCAACCACATGACGCAAATCATCCGAAGCAACACGACCGGCACAAAAGATATCTCTGTCGGCAAAGTACTGTGTAGCCAAGTCACCAATCGGTAATTTACTCAAAACAACTTTTGCGCCCGTCTTGACGATTGCTTCCAGTTTGGCATAAATGATTTGCCATTCAGCATCGACGATTGCTTGATATTCGCTCACTTCATTAATTCGTACTTCTGCATTATCCTTTTCTGCTTTGAGTTCCAATTCAACGTTCAAGCACAACACCTTTGGATTTTTGAACGATTTAGGTTGTTGTTCGAAACCGGCATAGCTGAATGTCTTCTTAAATGCAACACCTTTGATCAACAACGAATCTTGCATTGCTCCACCTGGAACTTTCTTGATACCGATCAAGCTTTCGTCCAAATCGTTCTGGTCCAAAGTTGAAACAGCATCAACGACCATATTCGTGAAGAAGTCTCTTTGGCTGACGATCAATTTGGAGTTCATCGAAGTACCTGCGCATTTCAATAGTAGGTCCCTGAATGCTTTTTCGTCATTCTTTTCGATTGTGACAGCGATTTCGTTTACTTTTTCGATGGCAAGTTGAGCAGCTTTTCTGTATCCTTTGATGATCAAATGAGGGCTTACTCCGTCCTCAATAAACGTTCTACTTTCCTTTAGGAATTCACCTGCCAACAAAACCACACTTGTTGTTCCATCTCCAACTTCTGCATCTTGTGCACGAGCGATATCGACTAACATCTTTGCTGCTGGATGAACGATTTCCAAAAGTTTAAGGATCGTTGCACCATCATTTGAGATTGTTGCTTGACCTTTATCATTCACGATCAATTTATCCATTCCACGTGGTCCCAAAGTTGAAGCAACACATGAAACGATTGATTGACAAGCTGTTATATTGGATAATAATTGTGGCGTTCCTTGTGATGAATCCGTTCCTTCTCTTAATACGATCACTTGTGGCTTCATCATTCCGCCTAAGCGGCTACCTGCCATTGCCATCTTTGTTGTTATTGTATCGATGGAGAAGGGATGATAGTGTTAACAATGCACGAGAAGAAACTGTCTTTTAGTCCTTCTTGTGATCAAGCTCTTTTTGCACCGTGCATGCTGTTAATTTTCACAGGTCATGTGCCTGGTTGCTTTTGATATTTGGAAGGCAAAAGAACAACTCGCAAGAGCTAAAAAATAAAAACGCGCGAACATTCTTCTCAACAAGAGTGATTCGGGAGGCAGATCATCAACACGCTCGAAAGAAAAGGCATCACATTTATATTCATTGAAAAAGGGTAGAGCATTATCATAAAAATAGCAATCTTGGGCGCTCGAATTTGCATTACAAAGAAAAGAGAAAAAACAATAATATCATCAAAAGAAAAGGGAGAAAAGACCATCGAGTTCTAGTTTTAAAAAAGGGGTGTAGTGTAAACTTTGAATCTTTTTGAAATAGGTGACCATTAAACGAGAAAACGGCATTTGTAAAAGCGAGATAACGCTTCCTGTACATACTCATGCAATTTGATCTGGCATAGCATGAGATGATGAAGAAGCAGCCAAAGCGGCAGGTGAAACACCAGGCGGTAGAGTATCAGGCACGCCTGCTCGATCACGTTCCCATTTATCCAACTCTGAAGAAATGCTGAACGCATGACTGTCCCGTGTAGCAGCTTCTCCTCCGACTTCGCTATCATTGGAAAGCAAGAGTTGTAGCTTATCTTCTGTCTCTTGCAACCGCTGTGCTAAGGAATCACGTTCGTTTCTGAGTTGCTCATTTTGTAATTGTGCTGCGCTCAAGTTCCTTGCCATCGCAGTGGAATTTGCTGAACCATTCGCTCCTCCAGCACCAGCTTCGCTTCCTTTGCTGGCCGAATTTAGTTCACTGCTCAAATGTGTATTGAGAGAAAGACTTTCTTGTAATTCACGTCTGACATCAGTCAAACTTGCTTCCAAAGATGCAATTTGTGTTTCCAATTCTTGTACTTTTGCTGTTTGTGTTGCTGTTGCGCCTCCAGGTCCAGCTTCCAATACTTCTCTGTTTTTATCACGGAAATCTTTATGTTCAGCGATCAAAGCGGCCATCTTTCGTTCCAATTCACGATTTTCAATCGTGGTGTCATCATGCTTTTGTGTTAGCTCTGCCAATCGGATTCGTAATGCTTCAACATCCTTTGCAGCTTCATTATCGGGAGAGTACACGCCTGCACGTGCGTTCAACAACTCGTTTTGAAGTGAGCCATTCTCGCTCTTGTACTTTGTCAATTCGTCCTTCATTCTCCTCAACATCTTTTCACTACCTTTGACAAATTGAACGGCAGTTTGATAATCATGCTCTAGTTGTGCAGCACGTTCACGGTACGTTGTATGAGCTTCTTCTAATTCGCGTTCAGCAAGTGTTGCTCTTCTCTGAGCTTCTTCAACTTGAGGTGCGTTTGCGCTCACTCTGGCAGCTCTCGTCGTAGCATGTTCTAGCTCTCTCGTCAACTCTTCCACACGACTGGAAGCATCACGGAGACGATGTTCAGTTTCTGCCAATTCACGACTTTGCGAATCCACTTCTTCTTCCAATTCACGTATCCGTTTATCTGCCACGCCGCCTCCAACTTTCGAGTTGAGTTCATCATCACCTGGAACAGAAATACCACGATCAGCCATGAATTGACGCAAAAGTGCATGCTTAACTTGTGTTGCTTCAGCATGACGTTTAGAATCACGAATTTCAAGATCACGAGAGCTTGAGATATCTTTCAACCTTGCAACCTCTTGCAAAGCGATCGTTAATTGACTTCTCATCGCGCTCAATTCGCTACGTAATCCAGATTGTTGTTTTTCCAAACCGAAATTGCGTTCTCTCATCTCATCAAGAGAATTATGGGCTTGATCAGCAGCTTGCTTGCTTTCAGCGTGAATTTGACGCATTGAATCGCATTCGTCCTGCAAAGCTCGTATACGATCATTGACGTGAGGAGGTATACTTTGATCGGCAGATCGGGTGCCCTGCTGCTTCTGGAATGCTAGAAGTTGTGCTAATCCACCTGTGACAGCTTGTCTGTGAGACTCTGCTTCGGAACGATGATGCGAAACAAGGGATTCCAATTCAACAGCACGAGATTGATGACCATCAGCCTCGGAAGATTTGGCAGTCAATTCGCTACGCAAACGTGCAATTGTACCTTCGTGCTGCGATGCCAAATCGCGGTGTTGCTGGTGCAGTCGTTCATGTTCTGCAGCTCTGGCTGTGGCTGCGGCTAGACTTGTTTGCAAATCACGCAAAGCGAGAGATTGATTTTCGGATGTCGATCGATGTTCGTCCAATTGCGATCGTGCTTCTTCATGATCTGTTTGATGTTTAACAACTAAAGCATTTAGACTGACAACCTTTTCACGATGATCACGTAATTGCGATTCTTGTGTATGACTCTTTTTCTGTATATTTGCCAATTCGTCATACACCTTCAATTGCGCTGCTTCGGCTGACATTGCACGTTTGGTTGCTTCACTTAATCTATCTTCTGCTGAGCTGCGCAATTGTTGTTCCAATTTCAATTCTTCACGTAATCTGGTCAACTGTCTTTCGAATTCTCCAGTCTCGCGTAAAGTGTCTGACAGTTGTCTTTCGATATCATTCGTTCGTTCACGTTGCAATCGGTCAGCTTCAGACGTGTTTCCACTTTCCAAAGCGTCGAGTTTTGCACGATAGAATGCAGCTTCAGATAGAGCTGCCAATCGAGCACGATCAGATTCGCCAACACGATCAGCCTCACCTTGTGCTTGTTGAGCGATCGTGGATTTCGCTTGGGCTAGCTGTGCTTTCAAACTGATAAGAGCACGAACGATTTTATCCTTTTCACTTCCAGGTGCTCCTGTATCGATGTCCTGTAGGTTCAAATCAGGACTTCTTGCGCCAATGCCAGCTGAGCCATTTGCGTCGACCTGATCGAGTTCCTCTGGTGCAACAAAGCCTTTCTTAACAGCCATTGCCAAAGCAGCTTTCATCCATGCTTCACGTTTACGCAGACTTTCAATCTCTCCTGGAGCAGCTCCACCCATACCCTGTTGAGGTGCCCTTCCATTCGGCATGCTTCCGTAATGGAAGGCATCAGCAGGTGTAGGTGACATTGTTCGATCGGTAGTATTGATTCCATTTGGCAAGCCACGTTGAATGGGCGAAGCTGCACCTGTACCGTTGCGCATATTCTCAATCGATCTTTGACTTCTTGGTCCGTTATAGGTCATCGGTTGTACATTTCCATGCGGTAGACTGCCTTGTCTCACCTGTGCTGGTGGAGATGTTGGGTTAGCATTTTGTGGTACGTTGACAGTAGGCGATTGAGTTGCGTTACGCTGAGTAGGTGACATGGACAGAGCAGGTGTAGTACCCACTCCGGCCATTGCACCTTGCACTTCATTCCCTCTGATGTTCTTTTGGCCAGGTTGAATTTCAGATTGGGTAACAGGCACTTGACCATTTTGCGGAGGCAAGCTTGGACCACCGGGAGGAGGTGCTTGAATGGCGGATTGTGTTGTTCCATCAGGTTGTTGTGCAATCGCAGCAAGAGAGAGTGGTGCTCCTCCGCGCTGAGTAGGAGACATTGCACGGTCTGCCGGCGACATGGACCTAGAACCTGCATCAGCTGGTCCAGCTTTGCGTTGTGGTTGCTGCTGACTTCCTGATGTGGTCTTTGATCCTTGTTCTGGTGGATACTTAATCTTTGCGGTGTCGAGAACATATACGATCGCAGGATCATCTGGTTTTCCACCTGTGAATGATTCACCACCCAACACAACCACTTTGTTTTGGAATGCAGTAAGTGCATGTCCACTCCGTCCACTTGGCGATGGTCCCATATTGGCAAACATGTACCATCTCTGATTCGAGATACGGAAACTGGCCAAGTCACCTAGATCCTTTCCATCAACACCACGACCACCAAAGATGTACATGATATCATCCACCAAGCATGCAGCATGACCTTCTCTGGGCACAGGAATGTAACCTATACAACTCAATTCTCTCCATGCATTGGTTGCCACATCGTAACACCATGTATCGTTGTAGTGATATTGACCATCTGTACCTCCAAAGATGAATATTTTATCCTTGTATGTCACACTTGCGTGTCCAGTTCGTTTTGGCGGTAGTTCTGACGTTGGCTTGAGCAATTCCCAGGTTGGTGTCGTCTTTAGGCTGTTCAAATCGAAAGACCAGATATCATTCATGAATGTACCATCAACCTGACCACCAAAGACATAGAATCTCGAGCCAACGATAGAGACAGTATGTCCATATCGTCCTACAGGACCGGCATTTGGCCCTTCATTGGCAGGTCGCACTCTCGTCCATTCCCTTGTGCTCAAATTGAGCAAATACAACCCTTCATCCTGTTTATCGTCTGCTCTAACTTTTGTATCACCTCCCCACAGAATCAACACATTGGCAACTAAAACAGTCGCATGTCCAACACGAGGAGGAGGGATTTCTCCGGTTGTCTGCACCAGTGTTGCATTGACGCCTCCTGCGGGGTTGAGCGAATTTGGTGGTGATCCTGGCGGTAATGGAGCTGCTGGTTGGGTGACCTTGTCGACGTAAACGACATACAAGTCGTTCTTCACACTTTCCCTTACCAGACCACCAAATAGATAAATCTCACCAGTAGAGCTTGCAGCTGAATTGGCAGCATGACCATAACGTGGAAAAGGTGAAGGACTGACAGCACCCACTGCTGCAGCTTGACGTGCTTCATCCAAGAATCGTGGGGGATTCATTGACAATCCTCTTTGACTCCAAGGATAGACAACTTGTTGCGTCCTTGGCCTTTCTCCGCCTGGACCAACAGGACCGCCTTGTAACGGAGGCGCACCAGTTGAGGATGGAGGCAATCCTGAAACGCCATTCACATTTCCACTATTCACACCTTGAGGAGATCCTATCGTACTCGATTGTCCGGCTGCCATGTTGCTATAAGGTGGACTGTTGGTTGCCTGACCTTCGCCAGTTGGTGGACCACGCATCTGGCTGGAACCAGGAGCAGGTATGCCGCTGCTACCAAGATCCTGACGAGGAGGACCTCCAAATTTGAATCCACCTGCTGCTCCTGGAGGGCCATTATTGATACCTGCAGGACCCTGTTGCTGTCCTCGAAGGATGCTTGGCCCGGGTCCTGGAATATTGCTTGCGCCATTCAAATTTGAATTCGGTCCAGCAGATCCGTACATACCGCTTGGCTGACCCATACCACCCGATATGGAATTCTTTGATCCATGTCCAGGATTGGATTGAGGTGACATTGGTCCTGTACGCATTTGACTTCCAGGTTGTTGTTGTTGTGGTTGTTGATTGTCCAAAACTGGAGAACCATCTTGACCGCCTGAAGTATTTTTCTCCTTCTTTTTTCCAAAGATTGCCATCTTTTTTAAATTGGAAAATGATTCACGTGAAATTGCAGAATGATGTCCTCCGCGATCTGATAAAGAATCGGAATAAAATGTTAGCGATTGAACTTGACTTTCGCTTTCAGAAGAGACTGGACTGTTGAGCCTTCTTTTCATCATCTTTTCGTTGATGAATTCCATCTTGGCAGCAGCAAAATGTTGTGTTCGATGAGATGGTGTTGGGATTCAAACAATGATTCCCTCTCCATTGCGGCCCATGAGATGAAGATGCATGTATCAAAACAGAGCGCAACATTGGATCTCAGCATGCCATTTTAATCAAACGTTGTTGCGAGCGTGCACCTGGCACTTTTTGCTTTTAATTGCGCCCAGTCCTCCCCTTGTCTCCTATGTCTGATCGCGCCGCACTTTTCAAAGATTACCAAATTCCAAATCTGTTTTCCTTCATCTTCAAGTCCGATCTTCGTAGACACTCTACTTTCACTTCTTTTTACTCACCTTTGTCAAGAAATAATCTTCCAATTTATCAGCAAAAGAAGAGTGGATCCGAAGTTACCCTTTTCTTTTCGCTTTTACAAAGACCGCATTTAATGCATGCACGCAAGTTGTATTCTACTGTAATTTGCTTATGAGCGGCAAGAGATTGATTGTCCGCTTGAGGCTGGTTTTTGAGTTACCTCTTTTTGCTTATTTTTCTCCTTCCAATCACTTCAATCCATCAATTGTCGGCCCGGAGTTCAATACGGTGCCGAGAATGGGTTGGTTGTCGTTAATTTAACCCCCTTTTAAGATGGGGTTTGTCGTTCAAGAGAAAGAGTTCAACTTGATGAAAGTCGTAATGGAAAAAGAAAAGACCATTCAACGATGTAAGTAAGAGAAGGGTGATGAATGGAAAAAGGAATGCTTTTCCTTCTTGGTGTTCATCGGCTTTGCGTTCAAATAAGTAAAAAGGTTTTAATTGCGTATGCAATATAGAGAAACATTAACCTGTCTGCATATCCGTGTTTTCATCTTAAGTGAAAAAAAGAGACAGAGAGGGGGGGATTCTATGAGTAAAAAGAAGGCTAATAATACGCGAGAGCGACACACTGGTAAAATGAACAAAAAAGACATCGACAGCAATAACATGGGGCGCGCACAACGAGCGAGCATTTGTATTGTACCGTTATTGTGCCCGTCCATTCGATTCGCGTATTGCTTGCTTTGCTTGCTTGTTTTGACATGCGTGCGCGCAAAGAAAGGCACAACTACCTACATTATATGAATGCTCTGTTTACGTGCCTGATTTGATCGTCAATTCTCAAGAAGGAAAGTGTCCAACTATCTTCCATGAACACAAAGACAAGCAAACAAGCAGTGCCGCACCTATGTCCTCTGCTCAACTTCTCGGCTCATTTTTAATATTCATGCGCGCAAAAGCACAGCGGCTACAGATTCAATGGTCCATACTTCAACGGTGCCATGACAAGATGGTATTCAATAAAGTTGTATCGGTCATTTGATGACAAACGCCAAAATGAAATTAAGAATAATCCAAGGTCATGCCGGTCATGAACTTGCTCTTGCTTTCTTTCAATCTCTTTATTAGCAATCACTACTAAATAAAGCACAATTTAGCGTGCATCCTGATTGACGCTAGAAGGAGTGAGTAAGAAACAAAAAAGAGGCACTTGATGCATGGGCTCATAATGCACAAAGCCGAAATGAATAATGATCAATTCAATCCTCTTTAAATGTGAGCATTCTTTTGCATAAATAGATACATTCTCATTAAAGGAAACAAAAATTGGAAAAGCACACTCCAGATCGAAGAAATTCGATCCAGTCATCACTTCTTCTTCGTCATTTTTAATTTATTTATCTTGGAAGTGTTTGTTATTCTGCCAAGATGGATTCACCTTCGTAGCCTCCTTGTGAATCTTGTGGAATTTCTTCTTCATAATAAGATTCTTGAACTGGTTGTTGTGCTTGTAGGACGGATGGTTGTTCTTCAATGTATTCCTCTTCAACAAGGTATTCTTCATCATCTTCCAAACCTGCTTGTTCGTATTGTTCATATTCTGCCACCAAATCCAACAAATTGCTCTCTGCTTCAGTGAATTCCATCTCTGACATTCCTTCTTCCAAATACCAATGCAAGAAAGCCTTACGACGGAACATGAGCGTGTACTGATCGTGTGTTCTTCTGAAAAGATCTTTGATGCTTGTGGTGTTGGCAATAAATGTGGCAGACATGCGCAATCCTGGCGGTGGAACGTCACATAAACTTGTCGAGATACAGTTGGGCACCCATTGCACAAAGCTGGATGAATGTTTAGTTTGAACATTTTGCATCTCTTGTTCCACATCTCTGCTTGAAATCTTTCCACGGAAAATGGCAGAAACGGTTAGGTATTTACCCAATCTTGGATCAATGGCTGCCATCAAATTCTTGGGGTCGAATCCTTGTTGAGTGAGTTCAGAAACCGACAGTTGTTGATAAACACGAGCGCCTGGAGCAACCAAAGGAGCAAATCCAGCAGTGAAGAAATGCAAACGAGGGAAAGGCACCATATTCACACCCAATTTACGCAAATCAGAGTTTAATTGACCCGGGAATCGAAGTGTGGTAGAGCATCCGCTCATTGCGTAACTGATGATGTTGTTCAAATCGGTATGCTTTGGTTCTTTTGTTCGAAGCGTTCTTTGACAGATATCGTACAAAGCTTCATTATCCAAGCAGAACGAAAGATCGGCATTTTCGACCAATTGATGGAAACTCAAGGTTGCATTATAGGGTTCAACAACTGTGTCGGACACCTTTGGAGAAGGTAAAACGGACCAGGTGGCCAACATTCGATCAGGGAACTCTTCGCGTAATTTTGTCAAAAGGTTGGTACCCAATCCTGAACCTGTTCCACCACCCAAGCTGTGAAGAAGTTGGAAGCCTTGCAGCATATCCGTCTTCTCTGCTTCTTTACGTGCTACGTCCATGATGCTATCAATCAATTCTGCACCTTCTGTATAGAAACCTTTTGAGAAGTTATTGCCTGCACCTGTTGATCCTGCTACAAAGTTGTCCGGTCTGAATAGGTTACCGCATGGCCCACTTTTGATTGTGTCAAGCGTACCAGGTTCCAAGTCCACATTGACGGAACGAGGGACGTATTTGCCTTCTTGTCCACTTGGTTCAAAGAACACACCAATTTTGGAAAGTTGAGTGTCAGGTTCAGAGCCTACATATTGACCGTCATTATTCAAGCCATGTTCGGCTAGAATCGTTTGCCAAAAAGATTGTGCGATTTGGTTACCGGCTTGACCTACAGCGAAAGTTACAAGTTCACGCATGGTTGAAAATAGAAATGAATGGAAATGCGTTGGGTATCGTGATGAAAGAAAGGGAGAGAGGTGTTTATTTGGTAGAATTGGAAGTTTGCACTAAGCAGCAGTTTGCTCAAAGAGTGTGAATTGAGTTGAAAAATAACCCCGGCTGAGCGTCAGTGTGACGGAGTGTGGAACTTCTTAAATGCACAGACTTTGTGTGTGTGTGTGTGTGTGTGTTTATTGTGATGCTTTTTTAGCGGGCGCGCGTGTATAAACGCGCACGCACAGATTAATTTTAAATCAGGAATAAGCTAAAATCTTCTTGCATCGGAAATCCTCTCATACTACATTAGAAACATGCCACGAGCTATGCTTTCCAATACATTCATCATCAGACAGCATTTACAGATGAAAGCGAAGAATTGGGGGCAATGATTCTACGGTGGAATCAAGAATAATGTCTCAAAGAATCATCACTGGACTATTGACCAGATCAATCGGTGCCACACGATGGACGCCTAAACAACAGTCGCAATGGCTTTCAATTCGGCATTCATCTAACAAGCCAGCTCCGGTCTCTCCTAGGGAGATCACCAATCATATTCCTACAAATCGCACTACTAATGGAGGAGATCAATTCAAAATCCGCCCTCCTCCTTCATTGGAGCTACCCGAGTTCGATAGCCATATGAAAGAAGTACGAGAAAATGTGCACTCGGCTTTGAAAAAAGATGGGATCGAGGTGGATAAATGGCCTTGGCTGGAAAGATTTATCGATGCAAATATAGCTCAGAAAGGACGAATGGCCAGGGATTGTTTGAAGAAAATGTACTTTGATCTGGCATACAAGGACCCGTCATCGGAAGGCACTTCCAATTTGGATCCACTCTACGTACAATTATCGACAGAGTCTGAAAGAATTGTCTTTCAGATCACCCAAATTTTATCTTCAATCTTGCCAAGGATACCGGTAAAGGTTTATCAGCTTCTACTTGCACGATACTATCATGTTGGCCTCTCTTTCTACGTAGAGCGGCTTGCAGATGTAATTGTAGGATCAAAAATTATCACTGCCAGAGATCGTGCGGTTCTTCTTTGCGTCAAGCTGAAATACAATGTGTATGAGGACTACTGGGAAGCATTTGAAGAGTATCGTCGTCTACGTGATTGGTGCCTGAAGCAAGGTGAAAAGGAGATTATCAATATATCGTGGTGGTCTCGCGTAGTTTACGCTCTGACCAAAGTTCAAATACAAGACACTATCACCTCACCTTCCTTACCGGTAGATATCACTTTGGAACTTTTGGCTGATCATGACAAATTTGCGCGAGACGAAGAGGCTGATTCCAATAAGCTTCAATGTCTGTTTTTGGATCATTACGGCAAAAAAGCTTCTCCATTAACAAGTCCCGAATGGATTCTGCATCATCAGCAGATCATCGTCGGTATTCATGAAGCATTAGTGGAACGTTATGGTGAAGATTTGAATAGCAATTCTTTTCTTTTCACCTCTTTGCTTGAAGCATATGGACGTGTAGGCTTACCTCAATCGGCCATGGAAGTATGGAATAGGATGATCACTTCAGACGTTGGGATCAATAGTGTTGCACTATCAGTAGTTTTCGATAATTGTGGTCGTTTGAATCGTTTATCTGATGCTCGTAGAATATTTGCTTGGCTCGAGCATGGTGAACGAACAGATGAGCTGATGGATAAGAATGTCTGGGATTCATGGCTGGAATGCTTGTGCAGATGTGGTGCGTTGCGAGAAGCGATACATTATGCTTTCCATCTTATGGAACCTGCTCTGCGAAGGCGAGCAGAAGTTGTGCAAGAACAAGGATCGACATCGTTTAGCAGAACAAGTGAAGGCCTCTCTGTCTTGAAACCAGATGCCAAGACGTTCAAATTGCTTTTATCTTTCTCTGGCTCCACAAAAGGTCGACATTCTTATGGCGTACGTGAACCTGCAATTCATGCAGAAATTCAACAACGGATAAAGGAAGAGTTTCCCGAAGCTACACCATCGATTCAAGACTTCCTACTTGTTATACAAGCTGATTGAGAAAAATTCATCTGTTCCTTCCACTTTTTGCTCATGTATAGAACAATCTGTACCATATTCCAAACTTTCTTGTATTGTATCATTGTGTCAATCCCTCTCTATGAATCCATTTAGCAAAGCCTCTAATCCTTCACGCATCACAAGCAAGCTGGAATAGGCTTCTAGATGCACTCGGAATTTTGTGTTGGTGTGTTCTTTAGTGCTTCGGCGCCAAAGCAGTGTTATTTGACAATAGGCTAAAAATGAACCTTGCATTCTTTTGTTCATCTTTCTCGACTTCCACCATGTTGGCTAACTTCTTTATTTATCTTTCATCATGCACATCGCACAAACGATGACAAAAGTAACGGTAATCCCTTGATTCTACGAGAATGTTGCTGCAAAAGATCGTTCTCGGGTCTATATACAGGTCCTTTCGGGCAACGCAAAGGTCGCTAGGGCTGTCAATCCGACAGTCTTCCACAATACCTACGCCTCCTAGGTATAAGGGAAGGGCGCTCAAATACCTCAGCATGAAAGATTATGTTGGTCATAAGTACAAAGGCAACTTTAAGGTTGCAACTTTTTCCGGACAATTCAAACTTAATTCACAACAGCAACAATTACGACAGTCTGTTCATTCGGCTTTACAAAAGGAAAACATTAACGTTCATCAATGGCCAGCTCTCCAAAATTTTGTTGACAGAGCCATCGCTCAGGATGAAGTTAGAGCAGGTGAGGGCTTCAGAGAGATGTGGCTGGATTTGGGATATGAACATCAGCATTTCTTTACCCATGGATCCTTCGCAACAGATCCACTCTTCATTCAGATGTCGCCCGAGTCTGAAAGTTCGATCCTACAAATTTATCGTATAGTGTCAAAAGTACTACCGGAGCTACCAAGAATAGTGCCTGAGCTTATGTTCGGACGATATTACAATTTCGGTCTTCACTCTTATTCTGAGCAACTACTCGACATCGTTGGAGGTCTGGACAGTCTTACCAGCATCAGCCGGTTACGGTTGCTTAGTACTAGACTGAAATGTCGGAGATTCAGAGATTATTGGGAAGCATTCGCAGAGTATCAAAAAATGCGTGATTGGTGTTTGCAAAGAGGAATTCGGGAGATCTTCCCCTCTGGTGATTGGTTTCGGGTATTCTACAATTTGATAAGAGTGGGTATTTACGACATAAAAAGCACTCCTTCTCTACCAGTAGAGATTTTCGAGGAGCTGATGACGGACTTCGACAATCACGCGCAAGAAAAGGAGCATATAAGACTTAAGATAATTAGGCTTGCTCTGGACCATTATGGCAAAAGCGCATCTAAAGCTGTTGGATCGAAATGGCGCATGTATCATCAGCAGGTCATCGCTATCATTCATGAAGGATTGGTGAAACGCTACGGTGACGATTTGAATGGCGACGTTATTACTTTCACCTCTTTGCTTGAAGCTTATAGTCGTGTAGGCTTGCCTAATTCAGCTATGGAGATATGGAATCAGATGGTCAATTTGAATGTCGAGATTGATGCTGCCACAATCGCGGTCATCTTTGATGTTTGCGGACGCAACGGTCGTCTACCTGATGCAATTAAAATCTTTGAATGGTTGCAGCATGGCGAACGTTTCTTAGAGGTAATGGGAAAAAATGTTTGGGATTCATGGTTAGAATGCTTGTGCAGATGTAACGCACTTCAGGAAGCCATAGACTTTACATTTCATCTCATGGAGCCTAAATTGCGAGAACGTGCAGAAGTGTACAAGAACGCGGAAACAGTCACCACGACCAAGGATATATATTATAAAATGATAGAAAGCGAACTGACGAAGGAAAGTGATCTCAAATATCCCGACAAGCAAGACTTAGTAATCCAGTCGCAACAGCTACGGAAATATTCATCGAAAGGTCTTTCAACGTACGCACCGGATGCCAAAACTTTTTCTTTGCTACTAGGTTTCTCCCATGTTAAGCACAAACACGATTCTTACGGTTTCACTCATCCTGAACTGCACGCTGAACTCTTACAACGATTATATCAAGATTACCCTGACCTTGTGCCTTTCATCGATAAGCATATACTCGTACCAATATAATGTATAAGTAGCGTCAATTCTCGTTGTGCTGGTGATAAAATGTATTCTCAATATCTTATATACCTCTGAACAGTATCAGCCATTTCGAATGTTATATTCACCTATCGCAATTTCTCATTGTATTTACCCTTCATTTCTTTCCTCACTATAGGAACGATTATGAGCAGTCTTCTTATAGCAGCTTCTTATCATCGTTTGAATTTCACTGATAAGTTGGGAAAGACTTCTTTTTAGTGCTGAGTAGGTACGTATATAACTTCTTAAGCCACATTTATGTTGGAGTAATCTTTAGTGCCACAGCGCCAGAGCAGAGCAGTGTTATTTGACAATAAGCTAAAAATGAATCTTACATTCTTTTATTCATCTTCCTCGACTTCCACCATGTTGGCTAACTTCTTTATTTATCTTTCATCATACTATACACAATGCATAAACAAGGTGGTCCTTTGGTGCTGAAAGCATGATGATGCAAAAGATCGTTGTCGGGTCTATGCACAGGTCCTTTCGGGCAACACAAAGGTCGATAGGGCTGTCAATCCGACAGTCTTCCACAATACCTACGCCTCCTAGGTATGAGGGAAAGGTACCAAGATACCTCAGCATGAAAGATTATGTTGGCGATCGGTACAAAGGCAACTTTAAGGTTGCAACTTTTTCTGGACAACCCGAACTTAATTCATATCAACAAAAGTTACGTCAGTCTGTTCATTCGGCTTTACAAAAGGAAAGAATTGACGTTCATGAATGGCCAGCCCTCCAGGATTTTATCGTCAGAAGTATCATCCGAGATAAAAACAGGGCAATGTATTCCCTGAAAGAGATGTTGTTAGATTTGGGATATGAACACCAGCATTTCTTCACTCATGGATCCTTCGCAACAGACCCTCTCTTCATTCAGATGTCGCCCGAGTCTGAAAGTTCGATTCTACAAATTTATCGTATAGTGTCAAAAGTACTACCGGAGCTACCAAGAATAGTGGCCCAGCTTTTATTTGAACGATATTATGTTTTCGGCCTTCACTCTTATTCTGAGCAATTACTCGACATCGTTGAAGGTCTGGACAGTCTTACCAGCATGAACCGGTCACAGTTGCTTAGTACTAGACTGAGATGCCGGAGATTCAGAGATTATTGGGAAGCATTCGCAGAGTATCGAAAAATGCGTGATTGGTGTTTGGAAAGAGGAATTCGGGAGATCTTCCCCTCTGATGAATGGTTTCGCGTGCTGTACAACTTGATAAGAGTGGATATCTACGACACAGAAAGCACTCCTTCTCTTCCAGTAGAGATCCTCGAGGAGCTGATGACAGACTACGACAATCTCGCACAAGAAAAGGAGCATAGAAGACTTACGATGGTTACGCTCGCTCTGAACCATTATGGCAAAAGCGCATCTAAAGCTGTTGGATCGAAATGGCGTATGTATCATCAGCAGGTCATCACTATCATTCATGAAGGATTGGTGAAACGCTACGGTGACGATTTGAATGGCGACGTTGCTATTTTCAACTCTTTACTCGAAGCATATGGTCGCGCAGGCCTGTTTAATTCCGCTATAGAGATATGGAATCAGATGGTCAACTCGAATGTCGAGATTAGTGCTGCTACACTCGCAATCATTTTTGATCATTGCGGACTCAACGGTCGTCTGTCAGACGCAATCAAAATCTTTGAATCGTTGCAGCATGGCGAACGTTTCTTAGAGCTCATGGAAAAAAACATTTGGGATTCATGGTTAGAATGCTTGTGCAGATGTGGCGCACTTCAGGAAGCCATAGACTTTACATTTCATCTCATGGAGCCTAAATTGAGAGAACGAGCAGAAGTGTACAAAAACACGGAGACGATGAGAACAGTCACTACCACCAAGGAAAGGTATTATAAAAGGATAGAAAGCGAACTGACGAAGGAAAGTGATCTCAAATATCCCGACAAGCAAGACTTAGAATTTCAGTCGCAACAGCTTCGGAAATATTCATCGAAAGGTCTTTCAATATACGCACCGGATGCCAAAACTTTCAAATTGCTACTAGGTTTCTCCCATGTTAAGCACAAACAAGATTCTTACGGTTTCACCCAACCTGAACTGCACGCTGAACTCTTACAGCGACTGCATCAAGATTATCCTAACCTCGTGCCTTTCATCGAAGATCGTCTACTCGTGCCAATATAAGATATAGGTGAATCAATTCTCGTTGTGCTAGTGCTAGTACGTATTCTCGACATTCTATTTACATCTGTACATTATTACATTTTTTTCGTATTGTATGAAATTTAATCCAGGCGCTCCTCACAAATGCCCCCGGAAAGTTCATTTTTGCGGAGTATCCATTGTGCCATGGCGTTCCAATCATTGTGTTGAATTCCAAGCTTTTCCATTGCATCCCATTGACCTTGAACAAACATGTCGGGAATGTCAAATGGCATTTCTGAGCTACCCTTCATTGCTTCAAGCTCCTTTATGATGTATTCTTTTCGTACTTCACGGACGATAGACATTGAACGCTCATTGGAAGTGCAAATGTACACACTTTCATCCTGTTCTTCTTGCAGCTCATCATCACCATCTTTGCTCTGAGCCATGTCACTAGGAGCGGGTGATGATTTCGCTCGACGACTTCGAACACCAGCACTGCTTCCACGTTCTTGCTTTGCAAAGGTGCCCGTGAATGTGCGAGAGCGGGTGCGTCTTTCGATGACAGCCTTTGCCGGGGACTTGGTCTTGAACTTTGCTTTGAAGTTATACGCTTTTCTTTCCGCTCTTGATTCAGGAACATACTCATCATCCGTATCACCCTCCGCATCTGCATCATCAAGGCCATCAAATGACGTCAAATCGGAAGAATCATCGCAATACATTGTATCGATATCCTCTCTTGACTCGGTGGAAACGTCGGATTTGCCACTCGGTACTTCCTCAAAAGATTCATCCAGATGAATTTTTTTGATCGGTTTCTGCTTTGTTACAGAAACTTTTCGTTTTTGCGCACCTTTTGAAGCACTTCCATCGTTTGCTTTGACGTTGTTTCGCTCTTTGTTTGATCTGCACATGATTGGCTTGTTTTTGATCAATTGGAGAGCTACATCCATGATGCGACATTGTGCTTCCACCCATTGCAGATGACAGATCCAAAAGTATCGAGCTTTACCATCTTGCACTGACGGCAATTGAGAGAGGAAATGAATTGCGACCGGATTACCGACTTGAAAACGTGCTCGTGCCGCTGAGAAACTGATGACTTTGAAGTGTGGCATCTGCATACATTCAAAGCAAACGTGTGCTTTGCTCGGTTCGTGCATGACAATGCGCTTCCACTTCGTGCAGAATGAACACCACCCATGGCAGTTGGGCCACAAATACACCCATGCAGACTTCTTGCTCTGCTCCTCATTATTAACGGGGAAGGCCATTTTCCACCAGTCATCATCCAAACGATGATAGATCGATGGTGAGGAAAGGGAAAATGACAATGCGTCCGTCTCATTGAGATGAGCGGCGATATTCTTTACAATTTTCTTGTTGAAAATGGCCCGTAGAAGAACTCTTTGTGACAGTGACGATCGATTGACCTTCTTGGGATTTGATACCTCACGGGCATACTGCGTTGGACCAACAATGCTGGCATTGTACAAAGCACGATATTGCGGTGGTAATGTGGTGACTTGTGGTTGGCTACAATTGCGTCCATCAAAGATTGGGAGAAGCTGAGTACTCTGATGCTCAGCAAGTTTTGCGTATAATTCTTCGGACAATCTATGCTGCGTTTTTGTTGGCAGACTTGACTTTCGTAAAGCGTGTTTTGGTACTGGTGGTGGTGGCATCCGACATGATTCAATAGATTTGATTGAATTCTGAAGGTCTTCATGCGTTTTTGGGGAGACATTTTGAGTTTGTGGCTGTAAAGCATTCATTGTACCAAAAGTAGCCGGTCCACTCGCTCGGCGGGGCGTACATGCGGTGATATTTGGAGGAGCACCGGTCGGAGAAATCATTGACATGGAGGTGGGATGATAGTCAAACGCTGAGTGAGGGCTGTTGGATGGGAATGCATTACTGATCCCATCATCACAAAGTAAAGAAAGCGGCTGACGAGGTTTGCTTGACGAGCGAGTTGGTGTAGATTGATTTGCCACCCATGAAGGAGGAGAATTGAGATTTTTTCCTTCCGGTGTCCAATCAAAGGGCATCGGATATGGTAAACGTTCATTTGTCTTTGGGGTTGACTGAGTTTGATTGGTAGAAGAAAAAGGGCTATAAAATTCGCTTGCATATTGATCTTGACCAGAGGCGATTCTTGAATGGATGCTTTCTTCGTTTGATGGCACAAGCATGGGCGTGTTCAAATATGTCTCATCGCACCACGCCATACGTGGATCAATGGCTGCAGTAGATGCAGTCATATTGGTGAGCATGTCGAATGAAGTGATTGGAAAAGAAAGAAGATGAGGAGCGGGAATTTGAATTGACGGAGTCTAATTTGACGAAAATGAATTTCATTGTTGGTTTATATATCTTTTTTTGTGTCGATCATCATGAGTTATGAAAATAAAATGGGGAGATTAATTTCTCACTGAATTTCTCCCCATCAGCGGAGAAAAGAATGAAATGTGGAAAAGATTGGATTGAAAACGGGGATTGTGCCCCACCTTTTTTTTATTTTGAGTAAATTCAATCTCCGTTTCATACGTCCTTCAGATGAGGAAAACGCGTTTGACGCCTCCATCAAATGTCGCAATCAAAAGAACATTCGTTTTTCACTCAAAACCATCAATTGTTTTCATGCGATCGTCAATGTCTAATGCGCAGATTGGGTGGGAAGCAATACTTATCTCATTCAAAGGACAATTGTGATTATGCATGAATTTGAGCTAAATATATCCCACTGAATGCTATGACAAGAATTTTAAAGCCTGACTGATATACATCATATTTCAGGCGGTCATTCAATTCCGATGAGGTCACAAATTAATCGTCAATACGTATCCAGTCGGAGAGTCTTGACGATTGAGAGAAAGTTCTGAAGAATTGATTGATAGCTTGGGAATTTCGGAGAGCCCTCTTTTTCGCTTGCAGGTGATGTTATATTTCTCGTTTTTACCATTCGGGCCGTGCCGAGATACGCCCTGTCATCGTCATTTCTACCGTGATTGCTCATTTCGTCCCCATTTCTCGGACCGCTATGAACCGATTCAAGTCTAAATCAATAATCCATTCAAATGACAATCGAAGAATCGAGATGCGTCACTCATTGATTTCTTACGCTTGCACAGTGAATACACTTAACTTCATACGCGTACAGCCAAGGCGGCACGGCAATTCACCCGATATAACGTGACTGTCAGCTCGCAAGGCAAAAGATGATGAGCAAGTTTTTAGCGATTGTCACGTGTTGTTATACGCCGCGGCAAACTCCCAAGCGCGCTTCAAAGTCTAGCTTGAGGGCAAGTACCGCAATGCATACTATGCGACTTTTGTATTTGAACTCCAATACAATTTGTTAAAGGCTGTATAAGAAGATCTGTATTCATTCACTACACCAGAATTCCGCGCGAGAAGAGTGGAAAGTCTTCCTAAACCGCTTAACACACACACACACACGCACATTCACGCATACAGACCGCAGAAATTCTCAATTATCATCAAATCCAATTCGATCGACCACCATCACCCGACTCAATACCATATAAAACATATTCAAAAATATGTCTAGACCAGGTGTACCAGCCAATATCGCCAATGTGTCCGCACCTGTTGCAGGTAGCGTAAAGATGTTCGGTAAATGGGATGCAAGTGAAGTGGAAGTAAAGGATATCTCTTTGACCGATTACATTGCTTTGCGTAATGCCGTTTACGTTCCACACACCGCTGGTCGTTACGCCAACAAGTCCTTCAAGAAGGCTACAATGCCAATTGTTGAACGTTTGGTCAACTGGTAAGTGTCAATGAAGGGGAAGATGAGGTGAAAGAGGATGCAGTGAGAATGGAGAATACGATATCGACAGCGTAATTTGTGGGTGGGATATGAGGTGCGACTATAGCAGGGAAAGAAAGTTGGGATGCTATGTCAGCGTACGTACGATTTCACTCAGGCACGGCCACAAATCGCCATCGCAAATTCTCGCCTTTGGAGCGTGCTCTACTGGTAGGGACAATTAACAAGAAAACAGATTACAACCAATCCAATCAGCTTTATCGACCTCACACATCTTCTTTTACCTTCTTCTACTTATATCTCGTTTGCAAATATACTAACCACTACATTCTTTTTTCATAGCCTCATGTTCCACGGCCGCAACAACGGTAAGAAATTGATGGCCGTCCGCATTGTTCAACACGCCTTCGAAATCATCCATTTGCTCACCGACCTAAACCCCATCCAAGTCTTGGTCGATGCCGTCGTCAACACTGGTCCACGTGAAGACTCTACCCGTATCGGAAGTGCAGGTACCGTCCGTCGTCAAGCTGTTGATGTTTCACCTTTGCGCCGTGTCAACCAAGCTATTGCTTTGATCACCACCGGTGCTCGTGAATCTGCATTCCGTAACGTAAAGACAATTGCTGAATGCTTGGCCGATGAATTGGTCAACGCAGCAAAGGGATCATCCAACTCTTACGCTATCAAAAAGAAGGATGAATTGGAACGTGTTGCCAAGTCCAACCGATAAACGATTTCACCCTTTATTCAAAATTTCATCCACGGCATCTTCTTTCCTTGTTTTTATCCTTGGTAGTGGATGTACCATGTATTCATATCATGCATGAAAGCTAATCCTGATTTTCCTTTCAAAACTGCACAATTTACGAGAGGAAGATGGGGAAAAAAGAAGTTTGTCAAGTGGTGGGAGGTTCTTTCGATCTTGTTGGACCTTTGCTTTTTCTCTGATCATTATGGACAATAAAAAGATGATAACTTTGGTCTGTACGTTGTTATTTATTTCTCTTTTTTGTCCGTAATGATTCTCTTCATATGTTTCATTAACACAAAATTTCTCGCATACTGCACACGATCATGGCATCATACACTCAAAAAGCAATACATATGCTTACGATTACTATAACGTACGATCATTCATGATGAGGTTAAACAGCAGCTTCTTAGTTTTGTTGGCAATTGGTAGCGTTACGAATGAATGAGAGTAGCTCTAATTGTCAAAGTGAACAAGATCCTATTTCGTGGGTGAAGTGCTCAGAAGCACTGTTTGTGGAATGATTTGTCTAAATAGCCTGATTATGAACCCTCGGCGTGATAATATAAGGTTCACACCGAGGTCACTATCGGCATCCCTGTAAGTGCTTCTTACAATCCGGGCTGTTGTTTGCACTAGACAGCCAGCAGGAGTTATTCTGATTCTCGGGTTAAGCAGAGAAAAGCTTACAGTATTAGGTCTTTAGCGTATAAGCCAAAAGAGTAAAAGCTTTAAGCTGTGTAGTGCATGACAGTTGGATTATTCTCTCTCTCCCTGTGGTTGTTAAACTAACAACAATACGCCAACACGCAAAAGGCGCAGCGCAGCGCAGAGAGAATCGTAGAGCTTGAATAAAGAGAAACTTGCCATAAAAAGGAGATTGACAGATAAAGTGCCTTTTAATGCAAGAACACCTCACCTCTTTCTTTTGCACGCACGGGTACTAGGCCAAGGGGAATTGCAAGTAAAGTTTGAACGGATGACTGACCAAATGCCCAAAATTGTGTATATATTTACGTGTGTCGATCTGATCGCATGTAGAATGTCCGTCTACGTAGGAGTGGGAGGCCCTTTGTTCTTTATTTTGGAAGAACGGACATTGTTGTTTAGAGTGATTCACTACCATCAAAATCTCCCTTTCTTCTTCTTCTTCTTCATTCATTGTCTCAAAAAGGCGGACATCCAAATCAAAGGGTTGCCCAAATTTCAATAGGCTGATCAAGCCGAGCGGCAACTCCATCATCCCAAAAGCCACAACATCATCACAACTTGGCTCAATATCAATTCAAAGTTCTTTCTTTTTTTCAACTCAGTTGGATCATCGCTTATCGGAAAGCCATTTCCCAAAGAAGAGAAGTGCTCAAAAGAATTCTCAAACGGAAATTCATTCGAAATTAGTATAAGCAAAAGAAGCGGTCCTTCGCTATTTCGGCGTACCTTCAGCACACAAGCAAAAGTATTGACGGGACCGCCTTTTTTGCATCCAACAACTTTCGATCATTTTTGTGTCGGTCTTTTTGCGCGCGATAGGATCTTCTCTCTCTCATTTTAGAGCTGGAAGGCGGTCTTCAGACGAAAGAGAAAATTATTTCTACCGCTTCTTTCTTTGTGTTCAATCTCCTATACGCCTCATCCTGGCAAACTCCTAAGAGCGATTGTCATAGGAGTGTCAAACACACTGAACAACATATCGTGGAGCGTTCTGGCATTATTTAGCTGCATATACCGCAAATAATCAAGCCTCCAACAATCTTTCGCAATCTTCAAACTCACCTCAAACAAAGAGTCGCTGATCAGGCGGCACGCCGTAAAGGATTACATAGCAAAAACAGCTTTATCGGCCCGTCTTTTTCTTCTGCAATTTACGGACGACGGTTCCTAGACGCGAGAAAGAGGACAGACGAAAAGACTTGGCCATCGGATTCATTCTGGGCGCTCAGTACTAATATCACTTTGCGTAATCTCGTCAGAAAAACTTCACATTGATCTACAACATCCAACAGTAAAAGCAACGGGAAAAGCAAGCTACTGTCTTTGCTCAAACGATTGTGATCACTATTTTGGCATCTTGTGTGTAAAAAGACGATCAATAGGTACTTGCACCTTTTGAACTCCTTTACAACACGATCGATCTTCATCACATCTTTGGGCGTCACGCAAGCGTACCCTTTGATTGCAATTTTGGTCACTCAACTAATCAATCTTTCATACCAGCTCTACATCAGACATCATGGCTGCCGTTGACCTACAGGAAAAGATTGCAGCAGCGCGAAGGGAGGCGGATGGATTGAAGGAACAGATACGGTCACGAAGGGACAAGATGGCAGATACAAGTTTAAGGGCAATGGCAGCAGAAATAGAACCTCTACCGCGTATCATGATGAAACCAAGAAGAACGTTGAAAGGACATTTGGCAAAGATCTATGCAATGCATTGGGCATTCGACAAGAGGCATTTAGTGTCTGCTTCGCAAGATGGAAAGTTGATCGTTTGGGATGCCTATACAACCAACAAAGTTCATGCTATTCCTCTTCGATCTTCATGGGTCATGACATGCGCATACGCTCCTTCTGGGAACTTGGTCGCATGTGGTGGTTTGGATAACATTTGCAGTATTTACAATCTCAAATCAAGAGAAGGAAATGTCAAGGTGGCCCGTGAATTGAGCGCGCATACAGGGTATTTGAGTTGCTGTCGATTCTTGAACGATCGTCAAATACTAACAAGTTCTGGAGATATGACTTGTATGCTGTGGGACATCGAAGCAGGCGTACGTGTACAAGAATTCAACGATCATACAGGTGATGTGATGAGTATCTCATTAAGTCCTAATCCGAACTTGTTCGTTTCAGGAGCGTGCGATGCAATGGCTAAATTATGGGATATACGATCAGGGAAAGCAGTTCAAACATTCTCAGGACATGAAAGTGATATCAACGCAGTGACTTTCTTCCCCAATGGTGATGCATTTGCAACTGGATCTGATGATGCCTCTTGTCGTTTGTTCGATTTGCGAGCGGATCGAGAATTGAACTCTTACACTCACGACAACATACAATGCGGTATCACATCTGTTGCCTTTAGTGCTTCTGGACGTTTGTTGTTTGCCGGGTATGATGATTACAACTGCAACGTTTGGGATACGCTCAAAGGAGAACGTGTGGGTGTTTTGGCGGCCCATGAGAACCGGGTCAGTTGTTTGGGCGTCAGCACAGATGGAATGGCGTTATGTACGGGAAGTTGGGATAGTCGTCTTTTGGTTTGGGCATAAATAGCAACAAAACAGACTCTGATGGACAAAACAAAACAATATGTTCAATTCAGACGGGACAATTATGCAACCGCTTTCTTCTTTCCTCTTTATCATTCATCTAGCTCAATACAGCGATACCCGTTTGTCCCAATATTTCTCTCTATTGTCAAGCCAACGGCAAGGCCTTTTCTCACGTCACAACGTTTACGGACATTTGCGACATACCCAGAATCCACGATTTACCCATCAGCAATTCATCATTTTTTGTTCCCTTACGAACGATGCAGAATCAAGACTCTGCTTGTTTGAGAGGAACACGGGTGTTCTCTGTCCTTTCTCAGCCACTTCTACTCTTATCATTTGCGCGCCTGTTTTCCCACACAAGAGAAAGATTGAAGTGAAGTTTTTGCATCGCTTCGATCTAATCATGTAGATGAGAATGTGCTTGCACGTTGGCTTCTCTTTATACTATATATCCCCTGTTTCTTTATTTTCTCTAGGTCATTTCTCTCATCCCAATTTGTGTCCAATTCTGATCGTTTCATACTACCATTCAATAGCATTGATTCAGCTCTCACAAAGAAGGTGTGATTATTAAGATGAATGAATTATAATACAAATGACTCTCAGTCCAAGCAAACTGCTTGGGTTTGTGTACGATCACGCTGCAAACGACGCTCTTGACGTCTAGAGAAATTTTTGCATTCTCTTGTGAAATCCGGATCTTCATACAAATTATTCTTTTTCATCTTTGTATGACATCCGGCCGGACATTCTTTTGTGGTATTTCCCAAATAATCGGTGATTGCTTCTCGTTCGTATGCATGCGAACAAAGTTTACTTTTCATCGGGTTTACCATTATGCGTAATGTTAATGGACATTTGTATTGTTGTTTTGAAGCACCGTACATTGCGATATCATCCGTTTCTTCTTCTACTTCGTCTGCCTGTGCCGGAATGATATCTGCCAAAGGAGGCATTGGATCGTCATCGTCGTGCAATGCTGTCCAAACTTTTGATCGATGACGTTCGTAAAGCTTTGATTGACCGTATCTCTGCCTTTGTGTTTTGCCATTAAGTTCAGCCATGGCTTGATCCACTTGCTTTTGGTATAGTTCAGGTGCATCTTTCACTTCTTCTCGCCTAGTCAGCCGATCACGCAGATCTTGTAAGGAGGCCTTTCGCACTTCTGTTTCTTCTTGAAGGGCGATAAATTGACGACAAAGTTCATCATATCTTGCCAATTTAGCATCTGATTCATCACCTTTTCGTTCACTGATCGCATCAGCTCTTTGTTCTGCCACTTCGGATAAGGTATTAATGATATCTTTCAACATTGAATCGTAAGGAGGCCAGTTCGTATCGATGCTAGCCTTAATTCCCGCATCGGCAGCAGAATGACTTAATGGAAAAGATCTTTGATCGAATTCGTGCAAGGCTTCATCTATATCACCAATCGCATCAACGTGATCGATGCCATTTGTATGTGGTGTATCTTCATCCATACCATCTTGCATTGATGATCCTCCTTCTGATGCGACTGTTGTACTCCCTGTCGGCCTGCCTCTACTTGAATGCACTCCTGATCTTCTGGACGTTGAAGAAGATGACATTTTTGGTGACTATCAAATATCAAATGACGAAGAAAGATGTTGTTGTATGCACGACACCAAAAGTGGTGTTGGTCTTTGAAAAGTGCAATTTACGCGTATGGCAACGCAGCGCACTCATTTGATTACAGTTTGGAAACGTTGCTCAGCCTCTTTAGCCTGCCGTCACGCACTACTTCAAATCGAAACGCGTCGCGAGTTAAAATAAAGAGGAAAAGGCGTATGTCCAAATGCTTCTGGGCGTAAGAGGTGTTAATCAACTCAGCTGGCCTGCCTGTCTGCATGTAAGAAGAGCAAAAGATCAGTCATAAATTTTAATTTTTAGAAGGCAGAAAAAAAATCCAAATTAAAAAAATGAGAATGTCTTTTGCTGGAAATGGATATGCCTTTCTGCTTTCTATTTGACTACGACATCCTTTCTAAGCAACTTCATCTCACATCTAATCGTCGTCACCCTATTTGTCTTTCGTCAAAATGAAGTACATCGTCGTCAGTGGTGGTGTGATTTCCGGTATCGGAAAAGGTGTGATCGCATCTTCTACCGGTTTGTTACTCAAGACATTAGGATTAAAAGTGACTGCTATCAAAATTGATCCATATATGAACATCGATGCAGGTACAATGGCTCCAACCGAACATGGAGAAGTTTTCGTTTTGGATGATGGAGGTGAAGTGGATTTAGATTTGGGAAATTATGAACGTTACTTGGATGTCACTTTGGGTCGGGAAAATAACATCACAACTGGAAAAATTTACAGGGAAGTTATTGAAAAGGAAAGAAGAGGAGACTACTTGGGAAAAACTGTTCAAATCGTTCCTCATTTGACAACAGCAATTCAAGATTGGATCGAACGTGTGTCCCACTTACCAGTCGATGATACCCAATCCACTCCTGATGTCTGTATTGTGGAATTAGGTGGAACTGTGGGTGATATTGAATCGGCACCTTTCGTTGAAGCTTTACGTCAATTCCAATTCCGTGTCGGTCAAGAAAACTTTGCTTTGATTCATGTCAGTCTTGTTCCCGTTGTGGGAGGAGAACAAAAAACAAAACCCACACAAGCTGCCATTCGTGATTTACGTGGCCTCGGTTTGGTACCGGATATGATTGCTGCCCGTTGTGTGGAACCTTTGGACAGAAGCGTGATCAACAAATTGTCCATGTTCTGTCATGTTGGTCCGGAACAAGTGATGGGTGTGCACGATGTAAGCTCGACATATCATGTTCCCCTCTTGCTGGAAAGACAGGGAATGGTACAATTCTTTGAAAAGAGACTGCATTTGGACGTCAAAGGAGGAATTGCACCTGCAATGAAGGAACGCGGAAACGATTTACGGAAGCGATGGAAGGAACTAACGATCGGACATGATCACTTGTTGGAAAAGGTGGAAATTGTATTGGTCGGAAAGTATACCTCTTTGCAAGACAGTTACATCTCTGTCGTCAAAGCATTAGAACATGCCGCTCTACGTGTACATCGTCGATTGGATCTCAAATGGGTCGAGGCTGGAGATTTGGAACCACAGACAGAGATCGATAACCCTGTGCGATATTATGCTTCTTGGCAGAGCATCTGTTCTGCAAAGGGTATTTTGATTCCAGGTGGATTTGGATTGCGTGGTACGGAAGGAATGATTGGTGCTGCCAAATGGGCTCGTGAACATCGTGTGCCGTTCTTGGGTATCTGTTTGGGTTTCCAGATTGCGGTTGTAGAATTTGCACGGAATGTATGTGGAATTCAAGGTGCGGGATCGGCAGAATTGGACGCCAATACATCTGATCCCGTTGTGATTTATATGCCTGAGATCTCCAAGACCCATCTCGGTGGGACGATGAGATTAGGATTGCGTCCAACTCTATTCAATAAGGACAGTGAACGTTCAAGCAAGATCCGTAAATTGTATGGAGGAGCAGAAGCTATTTGGGAACGTCATCGTCACAGATATGAAATTAACCCGGAATACATCGATAGAATTGAAAGAGGATCGTCCAAAGCAACATCTCAACACACCTCAAACGGAGGAAGACCTTCTACACCTCCACCAAAGGGACTGCGTTCGTTGCCAACAAGCCCTTCTCTCAACCGTCAAGATAGCGCTTTCCGTCCTAGTACACCTGTCAAAGCTGGAACAGATAAATTATTATTCATCGGAAGATCGGAATCGGGTGAACGAATGCAAGTTGCTGAATTGATGCCAACATCTTCTTCCGATAAAGGACATCCCTATTATGTTGGAATGCAAGCTCACCCTGAATTTGCTTCTCGACCTTTGAACCCCAGTCCACCTTTCTTGGGCTTCGTTGCAGCTGCTGCCGGACAAGAGATTTTAGAAGAACAATTACATGTTCAAAAGAATTACCATGCACCACATCCACCAAGTTTGATGATTTTAGAAAGTGAACGGTTACGTAGACAAGAACAAGAAGCAAAAGAAGGAGTCGCAATTAATGGAACGACGGAAAAACCTGCTACTACACCTCCAGGAGCATCGAATTAAGGAACGTTTTGTATTGTGTTAATTTGATTGCAATCTTTATCTCGTTATATAAGCAATGGATTGAATAAATACCGCGGAGATAAGAGGAACTTGGAACATGATGTGCTCTTCCTAGATATGAGGGTTATAAGCTGAACAGACATCCTAACCCTAAGTATGAACACTCGGTACGGTCTCTCAACATGGGCGTTTAATAAAAGCGCAGCGCGTGTGCATCTTAAGTCCGGATGAATGCATATTTCCGCTACTTAAGGTTTCACCGAAAGAAATGATGTCTCTCCCCATTCTTGACTTCTACCATCATGAACAAAGTACTTGAGAATGAGCTCTGAAGAAGTTAATGTATGGCCTAGTGTGGTACTGACTGGACATGATAGTTCAAAGCAGGGCAAATCAGTCTACATCGAACCACCACAACCTAAACAGGCAACACCCTTAACCCGAATCGTTTACGGTGCAGAAAGTGAACCTTCGAACGGCGGCAAGATCGAATTAAATAATGATGCCGATTTGAAAGCATTTGAGAATTTCGATTTAAGCAAAAGTGGATTTATACCTACGAACGGATGTAGGATAATGGCAGGTGAATTTCCCGCAGGAATTGATAAACGAGAAGATTTGCATAGAACATTAAGTGTGGATATCATTATTGTCGTTCAAGGTAAAATCACTTGTCATTTGGATAGTGGAGAACAAAAACTATTGGCGTTGGTGGGATCTTGGTGCAGAGAGGTACTATGCATGCATGGTCAAATCCCAGTTCAACCGAACCGGCAAAGATCGTTGGTATCGTGTTGCCGTCAAATCCGATTGAAGGCGCAGCTGAAGGCAATGTGCGAAGCTAAGATCAGAGCAAACGGAAGCTTTAGATGATCAGCAGCCAGAACCATGTATTACATCATCTACTCTCCGCTGCTTCTTCGTAATACATGTGAACCGTGAATTGAAAGCTATATATGTCCATCATTTGCGTTTGAGTTTGGGGCTTGAAGATGTTTCGAACTTGACAACTGCCCCGAGCTACCATGGAATTAAACGCTGATGAGCATGATCTGCTCCTGCGTGATTACTCTTTTATCCTCCATCCCAGCATCTCTTTTCTGCTTTTTAGGAATTCTATCCGAAGATGTATGGACATTATTTCGTATTGGCATTCTTTTTGGCTGTGCTGTTAAGAGATACAGCGCTGAAAGCCACAGATGCATCATCTTCTGAAAACCGTCCTAGTCCAAAGAAGTATAAATCAGTTGCCAGTACATGTAAGTGTCTAGCAAATGATTAAATAAATTCACTTTCTGACATTTTATTTTGATTAAAAAAAAAAATAGCACAATCGCACCAACAACAACAGAATCCTGGTATCTCTCAGCTTATACCACCTCATCAAGATAAAAATGCTGCATTTCAACGAATGTTTCAAAGATTAAACGAAAAGATTGAAAAGGCAAAAATTGAATCTGAAAAACGAAAAGAGGCAGGTAAATTAAGAAAAACGGATTTGGATCTCGAACAAAGTTTTAAACATTTGAAAATTTCCAAAGATTGAATGATTCATTTCAATATATCGTTCTATCTTATAGAAGAATCTTCTTGTTTGGTACAGCTAGAATGAATGCCACGATTTTTGCTTTATTGAGATATGGATAATCGTCAATGATTCGTAGGTCTGCATTGCAAGGATAAATGCACGAATTTGCAGTATGCGCCAGAAAACACTGCTCTAGTGCCCTGCTAGGTACTGGCTGACAGGCGCCCATGTACGCACACTGTAGATGCAATTTTTTATACGCGTAGGCGAGTTGAATTGTTCAGATCAACGTTTGCAGGCTTACCTCAACTTTCGATTTGTTAGGCGCGATCAGGTGGAAAGATGGATAAAAAGTGATGGAGTAGATCTGCACATTGCACGATTGCATGTCAGATTGATACTCACGCAACGATTTACTGGGGTATGATAGAACTCACACGCTTTGGGGATAAGTATACTTCTAGCCAAAGTCCACAAAAAGCATCTTTCAATCTGAAATGGTGAAAAGAGGAGAATACCCTCTTCACTCCGCCATCATTATGTTTGAGTATGTTATCACCATTACATCACAGAAATGTACAGCCTCATCAAATTAAGGTTTTGAAGTTGACATTCAAATGGAGCATGGTAGGGACGATCACCAGTTCATTCACAGCAAGAGTAGACAGGGGGGCTTAAGCAATTGGTGCACTGCATGAATCCAAATGACCCAAATCGATGATGAAGTTCGGACAAACTTGGTAGGCTGGCAAGCCGTGCGTTTGGTATTTTAATATTCTTGGACCGCACGCTACCAAGTGCGGACGGAAGGAAATACGTACGACACTCACACACACGCGCCGGCGCGAAAAGACAGGCTTACAATCTCACACAATCTTTTTCGCGCGCCAACGCACGCTAAATCGAATCAAAGATCGGCGCGTTACAAACCGACAGAAACAAGAGAGAGCGCATGCTGTGTGCAGCTTAATCTCCCCCACAGACATATATACTCCGGACACGCATGGCAAGTGAACCCTTCAAGCTTGTGATAACTGATTGATAGGGATGAAAAAGATGATGAACATTACTGAATCCGAAGAAGCAATTTGTAATAAGAGCCCTGCTGTCAGCATTGATTGGTATTGCATAAATCTGGATTGGATGACAGTCAATAAAAGCTCTTGCGCGCCTTCCATACATGAATTTAGGCAGATCCCCTGCTTCTACTCAAATGTTCCAACCCCCCCTGCCACGCGTACCTGCTTAACAACATATCTTGGTTTGATTTTTTATTGCCGATGAGCCTTTTTGGCTAAATGATAATTTGTGTGAGTGTTTGACAAGTGCGCCGCATATCTACTTGAATTGTGCACCAAATAAAGATTGCATACTGCCACCGCGTCGTCCCTTTTTAAAAAGCAGCAGCACTAGTGCCGATGACAAGCGTAGTGCATGGAATTAAAAAATAAAAGTCTTGGAAGCTTCACTCATTTTCTCATTTTTTAAAATAACAGAAAAAGTCTGATTTCAAGTTCAGATTAGAGTGAGGATGCAAGAAGGAAGTTACGCATGCATGCATGGGCACTCTTATTCAGAAACGGGAGCGAATATTCGGTAGGAAATTGCAAATTTGGTATTAATGGCCGCGCCCTCACTCTTTCTCGGATGATGGGCTTGCTTGGCTGTACGCATAAGCACGAAAACGGACATACATACGTACGTACAACGTTAAAGTACACAACCCCTCTCCGATAAATGATTGCCCCGCTGAGAGAGAGAGAGAGAAAGAAGAGATCGAAAAAGAACCTTCTGGAGGGAAAAGGGTTGCAAATCAAACCTACTTCATCACCACATCTTCCAACCTTGATCGCTGTGACTTTGCATTTGCAAGCATTGATCCGCTGCTCCATCTCTCATATAACAGCATCTTCAGCTCTTATTGTGGGGTAGGCCACCATGGCTGATCGGCATTACTACGATCCAAGAGATCATCGACGAACACATGAAAGTGCGCCATACGAATCGCCCCATTCATCTTATCGAACACAATCCGACCAATACAGACCATCCTCTTACGCTTCTTCACAAAGATGGCAAGACGATCAAACTGCTCCTCCGCCTTTGCCTGCTCTCAGCGCTGGTGGTGTGAACAGAGGTAGCAGCAGTAGCAGTAATGGTGGAAGAATGCTAGAAAGCATGCATTATCATCCTTCTAGTCATTCTCGATATGCTTCACCACCTCCACCGGAAAATTATCCTCGTCAATCTCCGCAACAGAGTCGTACGCATCAACGTGCTCAATATGCAGATTATCATGATGCTCCACAATACAGTTCAAGCACTCGCCCAATAAGTGGAGATCGATATGGTCATTACGAAGATCACGGTTATGATCGTGATTCTCGTGCCAGTCATAGAGGTGCAGCATATGAAGAAATGCCGACTCGATATTCCGCAGATCCTCATTCCAACACGCACCGCAGTCAGTCATATCACCAAACCCGATTGCCTTCCTCACATCACACCTCAGCCATCCAGAGACAGCCCATTTCGCCTGTTCCAACTCATCATTCACCACATTATTCAGCTCGATCTCATATCCAATCATCACCGCATTCACGCTATGAATCCGCTCAAAATCGACATTCTCGACCTCAATACGACATGGACGGAGATCGTGCAGCATACAATCAACATTATGAACCAGATCGAACGGTGAGTAGTCTTTCTATTTGTGCTTTTAAGATACACCTCCACTGCATTTACTGTCGAAAGATAGCATGGATTTCAAAGAGTACATGCCAAAAGCCTCTTCGTGGGATTGCAGTCTCCAATCTTTTCGCCCTTGATGGATGAGCTCTTCCCAGCCTCACCTTGTCTGGCGTAGTTGTGCTCCTTATTACCGCCGCCGCCTTTGAAGTTGAAATCTCTTGATCAGATTCAAATCACAATATCTCGGATTGCGCGCGCGCACGCGTAAATGAGAAATGATGCTAAGGATGCAATGCATCTTCCACAATGCACGAACCCTCCTCTGCTTCGTACGGGCTGAGCATTTTTATTTTTCAAAAGAAGAGGAAAAAGATTATCAATCAAAAAAAAAGAGAGGAGGAGGGATTGCTGGCAATTCGGTTTCCCCCCAAAAGAAAAGAGGAGGAATAGAAGCGCTTGCGCTAAGAAGAAAGAAAGTACGCTGAGATAGCTCATGGCAAACATCATACTTTTTTTTGCATATTGAAAGACACGTATCATTCGGCTTTCCCCTTCTTTGAAGGCGCATATAAGCCCGCTCCATTCTTTTGATTGCCTTTTGCGCAATACCTTTTCATTCTTGCCCCTCATCTTACCACGTTTCTTGGCGTGCCGTATGCAAGCGATGTCTTTCAGCGGCTCTCCATCTCATTGAACATAATCACATCAAGAGCAAACACTGACTTTCCTCTTTTGCTATTCTTAGTGGTCTCAATATCCATCTCAATCGCCACAAGCACAGCGTTCATCACATTATCCTCAAACAAGCCAATCTTCTCGACCTCAATACCTCTCACCCGATCCTGAATCACCACCACATCGTACGTCAGCTTTGCATGCAGAAGAAGTAGAGGGAAAGATGCCTGTCTCTGCTGCACCCAGCAAACCTGCGATGAGCATTTCATCCCTTCTTGGCTCAAGTCGAGATGAACCAGAGCGAGCACAGTCTTCTCGAACTTCTCGTGGCTCGCAAGTAGGCACTCCACAATCAGGTCATGCAAACGCATATTCACCACCGCCTCAGTTGGAGGATGACAGAAATGCGCAATCATCACACCTTGGAAGAAGGCAAAGCTTGGACAAACGTAGCAATGGAGAATCTGCTTATCGATCAAGAATGTATTCGGATTCTCCTTCGCCTTCTGGACAGGAACGAAATCTTTCAACATCTCCGATCGATTCCAAACGAACGGGTGTTAGCACGATCTCCAACTTGCTCGACAATGGCAGAAGCACACGCATGAACACAAGACGTTCATCTCTCAGAGGTCAGCCATTCGATGTGGCTGTGGAAGAGGATCACAAGCAAAGTCATTCGCCTATTGCAAACGGACACAGAAAGAGTGATTATGCAGATGCAGATGATGCAATCTTGTCCACATTGACATCGGATATGTCTCCGCCATTGCATCCTTCTCGCATCAAGGAGAACGGCGTAAGTGAAATGGCCGATGACAGTTTCGACTTTCCAAAACGTCGTGGCAGTCAACGTATCAAGCATCATCAACAAGTCGCAATCGATAAAGCTAAAGGACGAGCGGCCATGCGAAAGGCAGAAGTGGATTGGGATAGCGATCTTGAATCAGAGGAAAATCGTCCTTATTGGACAGGAGAGATTGAAATATATGCATCGCAATGGGATGATCGATTAGCGTGCATCGAAGAATCATACGAGACAAATTTGCTGGAAAAGGAGAAACAGATTGGAAAACGTTTGAGCCGTGGCTATCGAACAAGATATGAGCCTGTTCTTGCACGTGTCAAAGCTCGTGAGGATCATGAACGTCGTCAACGTGAACTTCGTCATGAGAAACGCAGAGACTTTTCACGCAAGCAAAGAGAACGTGAAGTGGATCTTGAATTGCTTGGAACGTTGGATGACGGAGATCATCGCAACAAGGCATACCGTCAAAAAGGAAAAGCTGGTCGTTATTCTGGCTTCCGTGCTTTGGCCGATGAAGAAGAGGACGATTTGTTGAATGAATTATTAGGCTCAAGCGATGACGAGATGTCGTACAGCAGAATGAGCAAAAAGCGTAGATACGATCATGGTTTCTCACAAGCAGCAGAGGATCTGGAGAGCATGTTGGATTCACGTGCATCATCTCCTGCATCGGCAATCGTTGAAGATGTTTCACTTCAACCTGGTGGACCAATGACGGAGCGCAGAGAAAATGCTTTGATTGACGCTCACAAAAAGATTTGGACAAGCATTGCTCGCAGAGATGTACCAAAAGTATACCGTATCGTACAAGCTGGTGTTACGAACAAGGCAATGTATTGGCGTAGATTGTCCGGTGTTGTTGCCCGTGAAGCCAAACGAGGCGCTTCTCGTGGTAACAAGACTGCCAAAGATCAACAACAGAGAGCACGCAAAGTGATGCGCGAAATGTTGGTATACTGGCGTAAGAATGAGAAAGAAGAACGTGAATTACGCAAGAAAGCTGAAAAGGAAGCATTGGAAAAAGCAAAGAAAGAAGAAGAAATGCGTGAAGCCAAACGACAAGCACGTAAATTGAACTTCTTGATCACGCAAACTGAATTGTACTCTCACTTTGTGGGCAATAAGCTCAAAACGAGTGAAGCAGAAGAATCCGAAGAGACAAGTGGTGGAAATAAAGCTATCTCTTCCACACCTGCACCAGGTGCTGATCCAACCGTGCCACCGATCGCGGGCGACAATGCTGCTGAATTGGCCGATGCAGAAGCACGTCTAGCCGAATTGAAAGATCTTGATTTCGATGATGAAGATGAAGCAAATCTACGAGCACATGCTCGTAAGAATGCTGAAGAAGCCGTCGCTGCTGCCAAAGCCAAGGCAACTGCGTTCGATCAAAGAGCTGCAGAAGAGCGTAAGAAGCTGGCAGAAGAACAAGGTGAAGGTAGACGGATCGATGAGAAGGACTTGGGAAAAGCATTCGATCAAGACGATCTCAATTTCCTCAATCCTTCTTCGATGGGCCAGATGGATTTGAAACAACCAAAGATGTTGACATGTCAATTGAAAGAATATCAATTGAAAGGTTTGAATTGGTTGGCAAATTTGTACGAACAGGGTATCAATGGTATTTTGGCTGACGAGATGGGTCTCGGTAAGACTGTTCAAAGTATTTCTTTGATGGCTTATCTGGCTGAAGTGCACGATATTTGGGGCCCTTTCTTGGTCATTGCACCTGCTTCTACACTTCACAATTGGCAACAGGAAATTAGCAGGTTTGTACCAAATCTCAAAGCCTTGCCATATTGGGGTAATGTCAAAGATCGTACAGTATTGCGTAAATTCTGGAACCGTAAGCAAGTGTCGTATCATCGCGATGCTCCATTCCATGTCTTGATCACAAGTTATCAATTGGTGGTTTCAGACGAGAAATATTTTCAGAGGGTGAAATGGCAATACATGGTATTGGATGAAGCACAAGCGATCAAATCGAGTAGTAGTAATCGTTGGAAGACGCTGCTAGGTTTCGATTGTCGTAACAGATTGCTCTTGACGGGTACTCCAGTTCAAAACTCTATGCAAGAATTGTGGGCATTGTTGCATTTCATCATGCCAAGTTTGTTTGATTCTCACGATGAATTTAGCGAATGGTTTTCAAAGGATATCGAAAGTCATGCCGAGAACAAAGGAACTCTTAATGAACATCAATTGCGTCGTTTGCATATGATCTTGAAGCCATTCATGCTTCGTCGTATCAAGAAGAATGTTCAAAACGAATTGGGCGACAAGATTGAGATTGATGTATTCTGCGATATGTCTGCCCGTCAACGGTACTTGTACAGAAACTTGCGTTCTCGCGTTTCGATTGCAGAATTGATGGACAAGGCACAATCTAATGACGATGCTGGATTGAAGAGTCTAATGAATTTGGTCATGCAATTCCGTAAAGTTGTAGGACATCCGGAACTGTTTGAAAGAGCAGATGTGGAAGCTCCTCTGGCTTTCACTCAGTTTGCTCAATCTGGCTCTCTTGCACGCGAAGGCGATTTGCTCAGCTGCGGAGATTCGACAAGAAGTTTTATTGAGTATGAATTGCCAAAACTTGTCTGTCGTCAAGGTGGTTTACTCAACGTTCCTGGACCGCATTCTCGGGCTGGCTTTGACACCCATTACTTGGGGAATCTGATGAACGTATACAGGTCTGCAAATGTCCACCAGTCATCAAACTTTAGCTTCCTTCCATTGCTCAATCTGACCGCATCAGATGTGGAAAAGTCAGTGCATGGAAATCCTTCTTCACGTATCATGAAGGAAATGGTGGCAGAAGCGGAAAAGCATACTCGCTCTCCATATCTGTACGATGATGATTTCGCTGCAAGTAGCGTGCGAGCCTTCGGAGATTTGACAAAACCAATTCCCACCAATTCGGGTGCTGCCCCTTCTATGCTGGTTCCACTCGATGGAATCGCTGAAGATTACAATAAGTCGTCTTTCTTGTCAAGTCGAGATGCAAGACCGCTCATCACTCCAGTCGTTGCGCCACCGGCAAAGTTGATTTGCAGCGATGGACCATTGACACAACATCAAGAAGGACTAGCACACGATGACGATGTTTCGATGATGTTGTACGGACTGGCACCCAGTGAACGAGAGTCCGAACCCGCTCTCCTTGAAGCACGAGAACGTCTTCCTTCGCTTCCACCAAATGGTTTGCTTGCCCAATCGGGTGACCATCAACTACCCGGAAGTGAGATGCGAGTGCCACAAATGGATAAGCTCATCACTGATTCAAGCAAGATGGCTAAATTGGATGAACTTTTGCGCGAACTCAAAGCTGGTGGTCATCGTGTTTTGATCTACTTCCAAATGACACGAATGATGGATTTGATGGAAGAATATTTGATCTACAGACAGCACAAATACTTGCGTTTGGACGGTAGTACGCGAATCGATGAAAGAAGAGATGCAGTTACCGATTGGCAAACCCGACCTGAACTATTTGTGTTCTTATTGAGTACCCGTGCTGGTGGTTTGGGTATCAATTTGACTGCGGCTGATACTGTGATCTTTTACGATCACGATTGGAATCCTTCAAACGATCAACAAGCAATGGATCGTGCACATCGTCTCGGTCAAACGAAGCAAGTGACGATCTACCGATTAATCACAAAGAACACGATTGATGAACGCATTGTCAGATTGGCAAGGAACAAAAAGGAAGTTCAGGATATCGTTGTGGGTAATAAAGCATACAGTGAACAAGGAATGGCTAAGCCACAAGAGATTGTCAACTTGTTATTGGATGATGATCAGATGGCCGAAACGATGTTGCGAAGAAAGCAAGAGGAAGAGAGAGTGCAAACGGAAGGTAAAGCAGCACAAATGAAGAGTAATGTTGCCAAACGAAAAGCCAAAGCTGAAGCGGCTGCCGTTGCAAGTCCTCAAATTCAAGGTCAGCCAACTTGGGCATTTGACGAAGATGAAGATGACTTTTTCGGTGCCAAAGTTCCACCACGTAATAAGATTACTGAGATTAGTGGGGCAGATACTCCATCACGAGATGGAAGGAGTACACCCAAGAATGGAAATGGTGGTGCATCAAGTGCAAAGAAGGAAAAGAAGAAGCCAGGACCGAAAAAGGCAAAGACTGCTGCTAATGGAGAAGGAACTCCGGCCAAAAAGAAAGGCAAGAAAAGTACTTTAGCAGGACAACAACAAGATGATGGATTTGGAGATCCAGAAGATATGAATATAGATCAAATGATGGCAGAAGCCATGTAAAAGTGAATAATCCTATTCCCACACACCACACACAATTGTATTTTTGCACATCATTTCAATACATCCTTTCAGAATGTTTTCAAACTATGAGGCGTTGTTATATAATCACCTGCGTAAGCGCGTAAAGAATCTTTAAATGAGGTGCGATTACATTTTTGATAGCAAGAAGTTTTATTCTCCACTCGATCAACTTCTTTCTCTACCAACATAAAACACATACATCAATATGTACGGCGGAGGAGCACCATCAGCAGCAGATGCTGCTAAACAAAAGATCGCAGCTCAACAGACGATGAAGAATTTTGCCGTTAGCGTTGCAACTTTGTATTCAAGTGAGTATTTGTGCAGGATTGATGCGTGCATGTACTGACAGAATACGTCTCCCTATCTTTTTGAAACAGTTCCATTCGTATTGGATTACATCTCAAGAATGTTCAAGTAAGCGTTGAATTCTCATGATGGGCACAAACAAATGTCAGAATGGCGGGTCTGAGCAAGCTCGCTGCGGGTTTTGCCTAGACACCGATGAAATTCAAATCAAGTCAAGCTCAAATAGATGGGAGTGAACATATTGTCCATTTAATGAATGCTTAGCTTTTACTGTATGATACATTATGTGAATGATGATGGATTGGAATCAATGACCTGTTGATGTGGTTGTTGTTGTTGTTGAGAGTGAAAGGTGTTGTTCATTGTCAGCTTAGATCATCTCTTTTTCCCTCTCATGAAGTGCTTCCTACGTACGTCTTCCTCCCGTCCAAGGAGATCCTTTGGCGGGTGTAGATGATCCGCTTGATGCTCCACTGGCCGGTTTGGATGGGATGGGTGCTGTGGTATTAGAAGCGGGAGTGGGTGTGTTGGCTGCTGCTGCCTTTTCCTTTAAGATTTGTGGTCGTTCTATTGTATAAATGGAAAAGTTGCGATCCGATCGAAAGGTTATATAGGCAGTTGCAGGTCATAATCAGCAAATTTTGTCTTCTTTACACCCTCTCTCAAATACTCACCTTGTGGTGGGATAGCATTATTTTGACTTGCTGCCTCTACTGCTTTCCATCTCGAAGCCAAGAATGCGACTGCATCTGTTGAACCTGCAACAGAGATGTTTCCTCTTCCTTTTACATCGTCCTGAAGAGGTTTTGCAATAGAGGGAGTCGCAGACATTGTTGCGAGTGTTATCAGGTATTGATAGAAGGTTTGAATGGCGTTAAGCATACGCGCAATAGTACATCACCGCTTATTGGAAGAGGGAATCGGAAATGCACCCTTAAGGCTGAATAATATCACCCAGGAGATTAAATAATTTTTTAAAAATAAAATAAGCTAATGTACATTATAAGATTTCTTCTTCTTCTTATCCCGCTCCTCGCTCAGGAAGATCAATTCAAGATGGGTTCAGGTAAAAAGATTTGGCAATCACCAACAGGAAAGAACATTCAAGCAAGGTTGGAAAATGCAGCACATGCTTCTGCACAGAATTCTAAACGTGGACCAAGAGCTTCTCCTATCTTGATGACATCAGGAAACAAAAGAGCATGGCGAAAAGCACATAGTGCTGATGCGACTCGAATGGCAGTTCCGGAAACAGCAGATCGACAGAGAAAAGCACAAGGAGAGGTTGAAGAAGAGGACGATCACTTCAATTTGAGCGCTCGCAAACAAAGATTAAGCAGAGCAGCCCGATTTGGATTTCTATCAAGTAAAGCTCCAACAATGTTACCTAATGCTTGGAATACAACAGTTGTGGAGTCATTGGACGATGTTGATAAGGCTCAGCTAAAGAAAGAATACGTTCTTAATCAAAATCGTCATTCCAAGAATGAACGTCTAGAGCCTTTGCGAAGCTCCATCTTGCGTCTCACAACCTCCTCGCCGAAAAGATATGCTGCTGTTCGATCTGTCTTGCGCCAGGTCCGGGCTAGATTAGGCCCTGACGAAGAAGGTTTTGAGTCACAGATCTTATCCGGACAGTGGTCGCCTTCAAGAATAGTGGAGTACGGGTGTGGAACAGGAGAAGGATTATGGGCGTCAGCATCTGTGTTTCGGGATAGCACGTCAGAAGGCAAGGAGCGGCTTACATATGAGGGATATGATAGCAATGTGCCTTATCTACGGGCTGCAGCAGATATGGTCATCTCGGCAAAGGAACGAGCAGCTCCGATTCTGCAAGGTGAGAAGTCGCACGATGGACAAGAAGATGAATTGGCGGACTTGGCAAAGATGCATATCTCATTACGAACAAGTCCTACTTCCAGTAATATAGCTGCACAACTATCGGGAGATAGAGATCCTTCTCAACCTGCAATCGAGCCAACGGAAGGTGATGGTACTCTTGTACTTTGCAATCATGCACTTTCAAATCTGCGCAGCGACTCTGCTCGGAATAATCTCGTCAAGTCTTTGTGGTCCAAACATCCCACTGCGGAAGTGCTTGCGTTTGTTGAGAATGGAGACGAACGTGGATTTGCTTGTATTGCAAGTGCACGGGAAGAGCTATTAGGGATCGGAAAGCGATATGAGAGCACTGAAGAGCAGCCTGATATGACTATCGGCAATCAAACATTCTATGCCGAGAACACAGAGAGCAATGAATCAGACGAGCATCAACAAATTCTTTCGGATCACCAAGAGTGCCACGTCGTTGCACCTTGTCCGCATGATAGACCTTGCCCTCTATTGCACGATTTCGAATTAAGTGAATCATTTGGTGAAAAGATTGGTAAATCTTCTCGTGCTTCTTCACCTTTGTTCCATGGAGCAAATCATGGTATGAACATTTGTGCAGCTTCGACACGAGTACATAATCCTGAAAATACAAGAAAGACAAGACAGACTCAATCGGACGTTGAAAACGCACAGCATTGCTACCTCGTCGTTCGCCGAGGACCTCGACCGACGTTCAATGATCGAAAACAATTCGATACCGATGACGTACGCGAAGCTTTGGCAGCTCGGGAAATATTGCGAAGAAGAGCTGATAAGACCAAGGTCGGAATTTTGGAAGCTCTTCGATCTACTAAATCTGGCACAAAGACAGAGATACCCGTTGCGGAAGAGATCAACAGTGAGGATGAGGCTGTGTCTTCTTCTACATTGGCTGAATTGGGGGCAGAGATGGAAAAGGGAGATAATCAGGCACGCGAAGAACTTTTACGCATCTTACCTCAGATCATACAAAATCAAGCAGGTGACAAAACAGAAGATATACCAGAAGCACTGCAAATGGCACAGAACGTACTAGAACAAAGCGCACAAATGGCGGAAGAAGCACAAGATTCCGTTGAACAAGAGGATGCAAGTGCGGCAGAGGAGAGTTTGAGATTAGCAGGTGCCATGTTGGAACAGCAGCGGGAATTGTCAAACGCACAAGAGCAAGAGATTATTTCGGAAGGTTTGGAACAAAAAGATATCGAAAGTATGAGAATTGATGCCTACAGTTGGCCTAGATTGATCATCCCGCCTCTCAAGCGAAGTGGTCATATGACCGTAGATGCATGCACGGCACAAGGCTCAATCGATCGATTTGTTTTGCCGAAATCGCTTGGTAAACAAACGTATCAAGATGCACGAAAAGCAAGACAAGGTGATTTGTTACCGTATCCACCAATCGAAGAGAAGCCAGTGTTATGGGAAGAGATAGATCTAGAAAGTGGAGATGAGAGCGTAGAAGGACTTTCGCAAGATGAATCACCGGTTGCAATGATTGAAGTTCAAAAAATCAAAACGGTTATGAGACGTATTCCGGCAGCTTTGGAATCTCAACGAAATACGATGAGACCTAGCACAAAGATTAAATCATCTTCGAAAAGAGCAGGTGATGGAAAGGCTTTCATTGATTGGCCAAAGTCTAGTGCTTTGGCAATCGGACCTGATTTAGTGGCAAATGCTGGTATGAAGGAATCCAATGAAGCCATTCCCGGGTTATCGTCATCGTCCTCTTCTCGACGCCAACACTACAAAGAAGGCGGAGAAAGAGCTATTGAGCAATTGGAACAATCACAAACGTACAGCAAGAGGAATAATCGCAAAAGCTCTTTGGCCAATTTCGACAAAGAAGTTCGAGATGCATGGGCAGAAGATGATGCTCATGCTGTCTAAGAGGAGCACAACAAATTGTATTTTTATCACACCTCAATCATATCGATACCCCATGCAAAATCATCGTTATGTTGGATTCGTAATGATAAGAGTAACATTTTGTAGATTTCTTGGGTATTCCGGTGACTATCGTAAAGCGGTGACATTAGGAGAAAAGACGAAGTTGAGAGGGATGCTAACTATGAACTTCCAAAGATAAAGTTAGGACATCTTGCCATTTGAGCAGGCGTAAGAGGAGTTGCTTTTGTATAATCATTTACCGAACCATACCATTTCCCATCACAAACTTGACAAGCACAAGCACAATCACCGCTTGGCGGCTGTAGGAAATTCATTTGTTGACATCTTGAATCGGTCGAACAAACGAAGAGGCATTGCGTTGGGATACGATGAGAGGAAAGTTGGCCGGGATCGGTACTTGGACCGTTGTCTACCTTTATTGGTGGAACAGGTCTGACTTGATGAAAGCCTCTTTTAGATGGTAGTGCTACAAGATAGTGATGTATGGTGAGTGGTAGGGTTACTGAGCGTCATGACAAGTCGCACTTACCCAAAACAATCATTGACATGAGAGAAAGCGTCAATAGGACGATCGGGGGATGAGCTTTTGCCATGGTGAATATTGTGAACTGCAGGTGGGTGTCAGAGATGATTTAAGTTTTGATGGGTAAGGCTTATATATATATATTACATCTGTCATTTTGGGTCGCTTCTTACCGCCGGAAAGCAAGGTGATGATTTCCACATGGTCGATCAATACGCATTTGGTATGTATTCCTTCGAAGGACGGTCTGACATTTTCTGCGCTAATGAATAGGGTTTTGACAATCAATCAATGCATTCATAGGCAGGGAGCTTTTTATTCCATACGTTAAAGTTTATTTCATCTTTTAGCTTCTCATTTTAACACCAGCTAACTGCAAGGAACTCGAACCGTTGTCCCTTCCCCCCTCCCCGAGTGAGAGACATTTTTTTGCATGATTGCGATCAATAAAGGATAGAATACTTAAATTCGAGTGACTTTTATGGGTGAGTGGTCTGATCAATTCCGACGACGCAACATGTCGGACCGAGAATCAGAGGAATAGGCGGCGGAGAGGTCCATTTTACCGGTATATACAGATACTTTTACGGCTCCATATTTGCGTACTATAAGCACGAATGTCATTCGCTGCCAACACACAAGAAGGTTGTCAGATTGATGATTTGGTGATGATGAGCATTCAACTTGGCAAAAAGGTTGAAATGAGAATCAAATGCATGCCCCTCTTTTTATATAGCCAAAAGAGAAAGAGTCAAGCTTAGATAATCGAGAATGAATGCAGCTTATTAAACCGGGCGGGATAAATACAGAAAATGCATGGGCCATCTGCAATTATTTCTTTCGCGGGCGCTGTGCAGCCAGCCCATTCTGTTTGCGTTGGTGCCTCTCTTCTCATTTTTCTCTAGCGGAAACGGCAATACGCATGAAGGGAGGGATTTGGATTTCCCATCTTAGTCTGGACCTCATGCAAGCTGAAAACCTTTTTTTGTTTTATTTTTTCTCATTGGCGTATGTACTGCATTGCCTGCAGGCATCATTGTTGTGTGTTGTTGTGAGTGAGTGAGTGAGCTATTCTAGTCCCACCCACCGCTTCTCATGTATGACTAGTCGGATTGATCTTTAACAATGGGATTTGCCTTGTAAACCTAGCAAGCAGCCAGGATACGTACATACATACATCTATGACGCTCTAATGCTGCACACATGCAATTACCTAAATCGAATGGTCCTATTTTATTTTTATTTTCTCTCATTTGTTTAATACAATGCGTGCAGGTTCGGATGTGGTAAAAATGAGTACAAGCATTGATTTGCCGACACAATTTAAAAAAAAAGAAGGAAGCGGATTACAGACAAATGCAAGCCAAATGGGTCAGCATACTACTTCATTCTCCGAGTCAATTTATAGCACTTCCTTCAAAGCAGACATACATGACTATTGAACATTTCTTGAATGCCTTGTCTTCATGCCAGCTTTAGCACCCTAAACGTTCTCTTCTACTGCAGTGCATCTCAGAAGAGGGACGAAAGTGGCTAAAGGTGTTTGTTGCATGAATTCAAAGCAAACGAACAGGGATCATTCTTTACAACGCACTCTCTATTCACCTTTTTTGCTCAGCAATCGTTAGCATTAGTATCTACTTTTCCGGTTCCACTTCAACTCTGCTTTGTTCCGAACAATCAAAAGGGTAACCAACTCACAACCAACCAAACATGATTACAATCGATCATTCCTAGTGAATCAAAAGACGACATCACCACCAAGAAAAACTTCAAAGATGACTCTTGACGCTGAATTGCAGCAAATTATGCTGCAAAGATGCTCTTCGATAGGGTCATCATTTACCAGCAAAGGTGGAAATCGTGTATTGGCACAACCATCAAATCGAATGTTGTTTGCAAAACTCGGTCCGGTAGCACAAGTGATGGGAGAAGCAGAATCTTTGGCTGCTATGCACAAAGCAAGCGTTCAAGCAGGTCATTCGGAAGAAGAATGTTTGATTCCTACAGTACATGCATATGGAACGACACAAGACGGAACAAAAGCATTCTTGGTGACCGATTACAAAGACCTTTCAGGCGGTCTTGGCAGACAAAATCAAAGAATTCTCGGAAAACGATTGGCGGAGATGCATTTGCACGGAACAAGTTCGAACGGCATGTTTGGTTTCGAAAGGCCAACGCATTGTGGTGAAACGGTGAGTGATATCGTTGTGTTATGAGGGTAGGGGAAAGCTATGTTGGTTAAGGGTCGAAGAATGGCCTCATCAAAACATCGTCTATGCTGCTACAAAGGGAATCGGTTGTTCAAAGGACCGATCATGAATGGCGTTCGCGGAGACGCTTGGCCGGTAAAGAGCACATGATGATGGTATTTAATTTGGCGTCACGCAGGCGGTAACGAGCTCGATGATCGAGAATAACAAATTCAATTCAAGCGAAGGAGCCGCGCAATCGAGAGCAGCCGCAAATATGGCACGTTCGTCCTGAAAATCATGACGATTGCTATGCTAATGCAAAACTTTTACGGGCCGTTACAATGGTAATTCTTGCACAGAGAAGGACTTTCAAAATCAACATTTCTCTTTTTCTAGACAAATGTTTTGCTTGATTACGCAACTTTGGCGCCTTTGTTACCAGCTCTGATAAATGCGGGTCCGTATCGATCCGCTGAAAGACAAAGGCACCTTTTCGGCCAATGTTGTGTGCCTTTTGTACGGAGTATCAAATAGGGAGGATTTGGGCGTCCAATTCGATCATCGGCTCCATCTTTCAACGGCTCATTTGCAAATGCAGCGTTCGCAAAGGCTGTACACAACACATGATCCTCCTCAGCCAATGCTCACTTTGTCCAAATCTTGGCTGCAAGTCCTAGGCTAAACGTCTCAAGTTATTGCAATATCTATGACGCATTGAATTTGCGGTCAAAATTTCAGTTGCGTATTGCATTTTGGTCGGGGTATTTCTGCATATCCCAACTCATAAAGGGGGTACTCATTACCATCCGTCATCCTTCTCCGCCGTCGCCGTTTTTGCCGCAAAAGAGGAAAAAATGCGTCTCCTTTTTCAAGACATTCCTTTCGGAAAAGCTCAAGACAAATTTACCCCTGCAAGTTCTCCTTCTGCGGTGCAATTCGTTTGCCAAATTTCAATTCTTGCCTCTTTCTGTTCCTCTATGCGCCACCCCTCTTTGATCTCATCTGCAAAATGCAGTCAATACGCTGAGGGCTGCAAAGAATAGGAGTTGCAAAATTCTACTGGTTGATTTGACGGGGTCATAAAAATTGTGCTAGCAGCCTCTTTTTGCCGTCTTTTGTTATTGTTTTTTTTTTTTCTTGACAAAGATTATTGACAAGAAAAATGATCATCAGACACTGCCTCGAGCCTTTAAATCCACTCTATCGAACGGAATGCAGAGCAGAGGAAATTGCATGATATTACGGATTTGGACGAATTCGCTCCGACTTGAAAGAGAATGCAACCACAGCTTTCCCTTGTCTTTTTCCATATGAATTCCTGAAAAAATGCTGACAATTCTTTCTCCTTCCTGCTATCAATCCTACCAACCCACACTCGATACACTCATTAACATCACCTAAATCATCTTCTGATGTCGACCACACCCATTGCGTGATCTTGTAACGACATGTCACCTTTTGCTTCATACATTTCGATCGAACAGGAACAAGACAATACGTGGACAAAAACATGGCCAGACTTTTGGGCAGATAGACGAATTGGCGATTTGGTTCGACGCAGTGGCGATGCCGAATTAGCAAAACTAGAAGATCAATTACGCAAAAAAGTATATCCTTTACTCTTTAACGATCATGCGATGAAAAATGTACGACCAGCAATCATACATGGAGATCTTTGGAGTGGCAATTCCGGTACTGATGAATCGACTGGACAACCAATCATCTTTGATCCCTCATCGAGCTATTGCCACAATGAAGCAGAATTGGGAATCATGAAAATGTTTGGCGGTTATGGAAGTGAATTTTTTGAAGCCTACCACAACGTAATCCCCAAAGCAGAACCCCACTATGAGCAAAGGATGGACATGTACGAGGCTTACCACCATTTGAACCATTTCGTCATCTTTGGTGGCGGTTATCGATCTGGCACAGTACGAATATTCAAGAAATTGATTGCATGGGCAGATGAGCAGAATGCAAAAGGCGGCAATGGAGGTTCGGATGACAACGATGATGGAGACAACGACGAAGGTGAAGGATCAAAAAGCAGAAGAGGCTTACGTGGCGGTGCCCGTACTGATGACAACGTTTCTGGAAGCTGGCAAAATGTCAACGTACATCAAGAACGTAACAACGGCAGGTCTCCGCCATCACCTACTTCGGGCGGCGCAGGACTTACTGCGCATTCACCCGCGAGCGAAGGTTATAATTGCGATCAAACAATCTCACGCAATCCTGCTAATGCCATTGTTCCAACACCTGCACAAATATCTGATTTCTTCAGTCAGATGGTCTGCTACATTTGGTTCAGCTCTGGCCTGCCCACACGATCAAGACCAAGCACACCCGCTCGTAGTCCTACAAGCGTCCATTTGCCACTACAATCATCTCCACTCGCACCTCGTCGTCACGTACCAAATGGACACGGGTTGGCCAACAGTGCTCGAAATGGACAGAGATCACACGCAAAAGTAGCCAGTACGAGCGCATTGCCTTCTGCCAATGCACAAGATGTGTCAAAAACGATGCAAAACAATCTTATTTCTTCATCTATTGCATCGACTAGCGGTGTCAACTTGAAATCCATCTCTTCCGATCCGATCATGCAAAGATTACAACCCAAAGGTCGCTTCTTACGATTTACAAGAGAACTACTTGGTACGACACAATTGTCAACTTCGGTCATCACCTTGGCTCTGATTTACGTACACAAACTAAAGATGAAGCATCCTCACTTGCGAGGGAGGGAGGGGAGTGAATACCGTGTAGCAATTTCTGCATTGATGCTGGCAAACAAGATCTTGGATGACAACACATATCTCAACAAAACCTGGGCTGAAATCTCTGGAATGCCACTCATTGAAATTAGCAAGATGGAAGTTGAATTTTGGCTAGGCTTGAAGATGGAAATGCACATCAGCAAGTACGATTATGACGCTGGCCTTCATGAATTGCAACTGTTGGCAAATGATCGTGCGCGATTGATACGTGAGCGTGAAGCACTTTTGAAAAAGATGGCATTCCAACAACACCAGCAGCAACATCAACAAAAGAAGTTGTTTGCTACACCTTACCATGTGCCATCTCATCCTTCTTATGGTCAAGATCCTTCACCAAAAGTACGTCCAAATGCGCAATGCTCAATCAGACAGTCAGTGCCTGATATTCAACAGCATGATTGGCAAATAATGACAGAAGCCGCTGCACATAGACATCCAATGTCCAGTCCTTGGAATCAGAACTATCATCAGCCGCAAGCCGTTCGTCATTCGATAGGAAATGGCGAACTCTTTCAAGCTCAAGCGAATTGGAGTTCAAACTTGAACGCCAGACCGATCTCTCCTGAGAACAACATGATGCATTCCGGTGTTAGTCACATCTCTCCTCCACAAAGACAGACGCCTTACACGATGCCTTCTAGCCCTTTGTCGCAAGGATCTGCAGTTCCATCTTTAGCAACAGGTTCGAATGATGCTTTAGCTTGCTTCTCTGAAGTGGAAGCATCTACACCGCAAGATATGATGCCATTCTATGCAATGGACCAATTGATGCCCATGGTGGATGGATACAATGGTATTCCGCAAAATACACAAGCTCATATGCCTTCCAATGAACAGCAACAGCCTCAAATGGGAAGTGAGTTCCCTTCTGAGTCAATGTATCGATCTACGATGGTCAATCCTTCCCAGCCGTATCACCATCAACAAGCTTCGTTGCCGCACGGTATTCATCCATCTTCTCGTCCTACTTCGGCGCAAACAGCTTACAGTGGCTTGAAGAGAGAATTCGAGAAGACAAAGTTTGGCTCGACTTCTCCTCAAGATGTCCGGGCAGGCAAACGCTTTGCATTTGATTCGAATGTTGCGGAAGGCAATAGGATGAAGCGTAGTCGATTCTCTTCTGCTGGCTTCCAGTCTCCATCAGATCGAGGTCAATGGGGAGCGCGCACGCAAAGACCGATGAGTAGTAGCTCGCCATACTCGCATCCTTTGGACTACTCACAGCGATATCATGCTTCTGTCTCACCATCAAATGTGATGCAGCCTGCGCGATTGGCTTCGCCTTCTTCGTTGGCACCATTTGCGGTTCAGCCTTACGGGTTTGCCACACCTCCTTTTGTGCCAATGCCTGAAGATGGTTCAATGAACATGACGATGCCGGGAAATAGCGAAGTTCCATTTGCAGAGTTGACTCCTATGGCATCGGAAAAGTATGGCAATTACCATTCCGTCTTTTCTTCTGCATTGACACCAAATTCATTAGCGGCCCCATTGCAATTTGCAAATGGATCTTGGCCTATGATGGATCGTGGCAGAGCACCTTTGAAATACTACAGCCTGGCCGCAGGTGAAGCTCGAGGCAATCTCGGTCAATATGTTCCACCTCAAACACATGCAATGAACATGGCACATAATCATTACGGGCGAACCTTTGCTCCAAATGTGCACACGTCTCACGGTATGCACAATACAGGCTTTAACTCCACCCATGGAACTCCATCGAATCTGATGTCCAATCTCGAGATTCCTCAATCGAATCCTATTCGATCTGCTGAAGCACAACGAGCAGCATCGTCATCATACGATGCTCATGTGAGTACGAACAAGTTGGGCGCTCCACAACCTTCTCTCACAATGGCAACAACAACGCCCGTTAGCGAATTTGGTATTCATCAAGAGCAATATCCTTGGGGAATCGGACATTTTAACACTCAAATGAGCGCAGGTGCCGAACAAAGCTTTGTGGATGCTCATCAAAATAAAATGTTAAATAGACCAAATGATCCTCCACCGTTTGCTTTGGATCCACAAGGCTGGCCGTTGGCAAGTACATCTACTGCAAATAGTTTCTTGTTTCCCTACCATCTGGTATCTGCAAACCACTCGCAAGTCTAATCTTGAAGGTGAAGAGTCGTAGGGACAAGTCTCTATTTACAAATAAGCATTTCTCCTTCTTTCTTTCCTTTGCTTCGAAATCGATCTTGCACATTTATACAAATTCATACATTCTCATCCATAAACGCATTTCACATCTCTCATCAAATAGCATCTTACTCAATATCAAATCATGTACTTTTTACCTCATCTTTCATAGGCAACCATCTGCACGCATAATTACATCATCTCTTGCGCATTGAAATCTTGTGTTTGCACTGAAATTGGTAGGACCAGCAGGCGCAAAGGGATTGAAACATCTTTAGAGTGTGGTTTCATATGCAGTCGAGAAGCGAAGTACTGGGTCGATCCGACTAAAGCATTAAGTTTCTGTGATTTTCAAAAATCAGACTGTCGTGAGCCTCAATTTAACAATATAGATTCAAGTTTCATTACATCAATGATGTTCTTCTCCATGTCCGTGTCCTTCATCGTGATGTCCGTCCCAAGGATGTTTGAGGCCCTGAAATAGAAAGAGGAAGTATCAGCATCTGAAAGCATTCATACCATGTGCATACAGCCACATTGTGAAGAGAAGGTGTTGGTTCCTCAAGAAAGACTACAACAATTCTATCCCGGCCAAAAGCTACTTACCAGTAGAACGGGTCCATCGTGATAAGCACGATAAAAGATCCAAAAGAACATCGTTCCACCTAAAAGTTTTGCACCGAAACGATGATGGAATGCAGGAGGATGAGGATGGAATCCGTATGCTGGACGATACCAGCGTGATCCTTTGTGGGCTGATTCTCCTGCCATTGTGTATAGGTATGTGCGGTATCGGTATGTGTTTTGTCAAGTATCCGGATCGAAGAAGATTTTTGCAGAGGCGTTCAATGCTCTTCGTTACTGTATAGATCTAGCACTTGCTATATGTTGTTAAATGCACCGGTGACCTTTTCTGTTACCAAGTGATGCTTCGAATGAATGAGTGAATGTGTAAGTCGAGGTAGTGATCGGGAAGGAGATTGCACGCACCAATGGTTAGGAAGTAGAATAGCGCCAACGCCTGGGTAACACTCAAGCGCAAGTACACGTGAGCATATAGAGACGATAACCCAGGCACACAAACAGGGCGTTCCTATCGCGTAGTTGTAACAACTTTAGACACTAAAAAGAAAGAGATGTTTGTTAAACGCGAAGAATGTTGGTTTACTAGAAAGGCATTCATCATCACGACTTGCATCCGATCACAGCAGATAAGCTGATAAACAAAGGCAAAGGATGGCAGACGCAAGCTCCTCAGGTAATGCGTCTAGCTCTTCTGCCAATTTGCTCGAAGATGATCGATTCTTTGCAAAATTGGATCGAGCATCAAACACAATCAGAGCATTCTCTCAAGAAGATGCTCGATGGGGTGATTTGAACGATCATCTTAGCGCTGCTCAGTATCAATACAAACTCCAACTAATCAGTCCATGGGCTCCATTGGAAAGGAAACGTGTTTGGAGTATACCTGATGCTGTTATAGAAGCAAGCTCTTCCGCACAAACCTATGCATCTCAAGGTTTGTTCCCCGAAATAGAGCGGGCATGGATCATCATTGACACTCGACTATATCTGTGGAATTATCTGGATGCATCACAATCCGCTTTCGAGTCTTATGAACATCCCGAACGTGTCATTCAGTCTGTCGGTCTCGTACAACCAAGAGCGGGAGTATTTATCGAATCGATCAAACATGTGCTTGTCATTTGCACAAGTACTTCAGTCAGTCTTCTGGGATTGGCCATTGAAGATGCGTCAGCAAATCCAGCAAGCTCCAATGGAAACGCAACCTCTTCAGGTACAGCAAACAATGCAACAAACGCTTCAGCGACCCCTTCTACATCTGCGGGAGCTCGCAATACTTCAACTGGCAAACAATTGAAGCTGTTTGTGACAGAAATGTCTGCTTCTACTGATGGCGTTCAATTGTCTGATGTATGCGGGACGGATGAAGGACGCATCTTTTGTAAAGGTAATGATGGTTGTTTATACGAGATCATGTATCAAGCCAACGAGGGTTGGTTTAGCAACAGATGTGGTCTACGCAATGTGACAAATCCTCGTTTATCCAACCTCGTACCCAACTTCATTCAAGGAAAGCAAAAGGAGACCCTCGATTTCATCTCTGTAGATTCTGCAAGAAATGTCGTTTACACCCTTCACAAGGGAAGTGAGATCGAAATTCACCATCTGCCATCCAAAGATTCCTCAAAGCCTCCCGTAAAAGTCGCACGAGCCAAGGATATTTGCCGACATGCTAATATGATGTTTTCAAACACATCTCTCTTGCAACCTAATGAATTCTTAATCACCTGGATGAAGCCGATCAGCGCAGCCGAAAGTCGCAATATCCACTTAGTCGCAGTAACAAGCAAAGGCGTTCGTCTATATTTCACCAATCAACGCACCGGGTGGAGAGCCTTGAGCACATATTCGTCTATGAATTCAAATAATAGCGATCCAAACGCACCAACCTGTCTTGAGTTGATCTACGTACGTCCACCACCACCCGCAGGACAGACGCAATCAGTCGAAGGCGGCATGGCAATGATGCAATCCCAACAACAACAACATCCGTCTCAGCAACAGTCTTCCTCTCCAACATCCTCCACAAACTTTGCACCTCACCAGCCTGCTATTCAAGGACTTCATCACGCTTATTATGCTGACGGCTTGTTCTTGGCCGCTTCTCAGTATACACTAGAACCTACGGGCTCGATGGATTGCATCTTGTGTACAACTAGAGCTATCCCTTCTGGTGATTTCAGTCGACCTTCTGGTGGATTACCCTCTTCAAGCAGCCTAACAGCGCCTACAGGAAGCGCAATTGGACCAGCCGATCTGGCAGACACCGCAACCGACATTCTGGTGCAAGGAGCAACATGGGCAATCGCTGAAGTGAAAAGGAAATCTCATTCCACTGCGGAAGATCGATTGCATCCTCTCGCATTACAGATGATTCAGCCACCACGTGTGTTCCTCATCCTTACCAGCAGTGGACTTTTTGTTTTGACAGAACAACGTCCGATTGATACTCTGAAAGGACTTCTACAGACTGGCACACTTTACGATCAAACGGTACATGAATTTTTTAAGAAGTATGGACAGTCGCAAAGCTGTGCAATGAGTTTGGCAATTGCCAGTCAAAACACCCTTCTAAGCCTGGCACCTGAGACATTCATCTCTTCCGATCTACAAACCCAAGATGGATCATATCAATTGCTGAGCAAGGATGTCGTTTCGCATGCTTGGAGAATCTTTTTCGATTTTGGAGGATACCCAAGGTATGAGCCTCCACCATACCCAAGTCAGCCGGCTAGCGATGGAAAGGTGACTCTCAGTGGACGTCATGATGGTTTGGCAATCTATCTTACTCGTCTTCTACGGCCATTCTGGACGCAGAAAATTACAAAGAAGCAAATCATACCGGGAGAAGGTGAAAGATTCGTGCCAAATATACCAGCAGCCGGCCTTACGGGACCGCAAAGGGAATTGCAAGGCTTGCAAACATTTTTGCAACAAAACGCTCAATTGTTTGGCCTGGGCAATTCATCCGGTGGAAGCATAGGTCAAAATAGATCTTCACTAAATAGATCGACTGGTACCTCACCAGAGGGTGAACAAGTCGCTATGCAGGCGGAGAATGATAGTTTTGAGGCTCTGAAGGCATTGCTATCCAGAAGCTTAGAAGCGCTAAGCTTTGTTCTTTTATTGATTGATTATCGTTTACCCAACCTCGTTCAACGCTGTCAGCCAGAGCTGCAAACGCAGCTGGCTAATTTGACATTTGCCGACCTGATCATCACACGTCAAGGAAGGGATATTGGAAGGTCACTCGTGGAAGCGGTTATTAATATGCAAATCTCATCACAAAGCAACATTGACGTCATTGCGGACGTATTGCAAGAAAGATGCGGAAGCTTTTGCAATTCTGACGATGTACGTCTATACAAGGCTATGGAATGTATTCGACGGGCAAAAGAAGCAGAAAAGAGTTTGGACGCAAATGGAAAAAGCGAATCTTTGCGTGAAAGTTTGCGTCTATTGAACAGGGCTACCTCTAATTTGCCCTTGAACAAATTGGAGAGCATTTGCGAAGATTATCGTTCGCTCAATTTCTATCATGGTGCTGTTGAGCTACCTCTCAAATGCGCTTCAAGCTGGGATCGTACCGGGATTGCGAAACAATATCGTGATGAAGGTTTGCCCGAGAATGATGTACGCAGCAAGGCTTATGATACCTCGATGAAGTGCTACACTTTGGTGCTAAAAGCCCTCGAAAGCGTAGATGCGGCATGTCAAAGTGATGCAGTCGTCAAGGCAAGGGAAGCGGGACAGATGAATACAGTGTTGCAAGTGGAAGAGCAAAGAGCATCAACGTACGCTGAAGCGCAATCCTCTACAGACCCATTGTTCCATGTGGCCATGTATGATTGGCTGCTATCCCGCAACAAGACTGATGAATTGCTACAAATTCGAAGTCCATATGTTGAAGAATATTTAAGGTCGGAGCCTATCACCTTGGAAAGGTGTTTGCTGCTTTGTATGTGGTACGTCAGCATCGGTCACAGTCTCTCGGCTGCTCAATTGTACTCTGGTTTGGCTCAATCGACTGAACTAGAGATCAATCTTGATGAAAGAGTCGAGTATCTCACAAAGGCATCAAGCAATGCTAAATCAGCTCAGCAAAACAATTCGCAGGACTTGATCCAATTTATCAGCGATATCGACGAGAAGTTGGAGGTGGCATCCGTGCAAATCGAAATCTACAAAGCTATTCAAGAAAGTTTGGAGATTGAAGACGAACAAAAGGCTAATTTACTCAACGTGCTCAACGATGGCCTACTGGACATCACTGCACTATACAGAGACTTTGCTGAACCATTATCTATGCACGAGATCAAGCTTTTGATCTATCACGTTGCCGATTATCGAGATGCAGAGCTAGCAAGGGATGCATGGGAGGCTCTCTTGGCTGAAGCACACAATGATGCTCTGGCTTTACCGGACACTCGACACGAGAAAGTTGCATCTGTGGTGATTGAATTAGGTCATCGCTTCTATCCGTCAGATGTGGCATTCCCAGTTGATATCTTGACAGAAATGTTGGAAAGGTATGCATACGAACAAAGCATTGAGAATCCACAATCACGTATTCCACTTGCTTGGTCTGCAAGGACGATGCTAATGGCAAACGTACCTCCTCTTTTGGTATTTGAAGTTTTGTTAGGTTTATTCGATGCAAAACGAGAACCATTCCAGATCGATTCGGCTCAATTATACATTCTGGCAGATATTGCTGATTTGGCAAGATTGTGGGTAGAAGAGATCTTGGGTACTGCTCAACCATCATTGGGTTTGAAGGATCCTTTGCTCAACTTTTCCGCTCGTAGGTTCGATGATGCATTGAATGCACTGTTGTTAGCTCTGAGCCATTTGGACCATGCTTCTTTACCGGCCAATTTGGAAAGCAGAAATGCCGACAAAGTTTCATCATCTCTCAAATGGACACAAGAGTTACTCCGAAGATCGTTCTAGGATGAAGGAGGGAATTATTAGAATATCGATCAAAAATGTAACAGTATACTTGCTGTCCTTCTTTAATGGAAGATCAGCGAGAGAAAATGCATTGCATAAAATACAGAACTAATATACACCAGTTTGAGATAGAGGTTATCTAAGTGTTCCCCGTTATCTGTCCTTCACCCCACTCATTCCTTTGAATCGTGGATCTTCTTGACGTGGACGGGATGTATCTTCGTTTGTCAAATGCGTCCACTTGCTTCTACCCTTTTTGCCGTAATCACGAACTTGCATTACATCTGGCAAATTCTTTTTATCGGCAGCTGATTCAGTCATGGCCGAATAATCTCTACCTTTCAAAATATCCAAATCTTGAAAGAAGCTACCTTTATGATAGTACTTCTGCATGAAACCTTGTTGCTCTCCTTCCTTTCTCTGCCTTTCCTTTTCTGCACGAGAAGCAGCAGCTTTGGCTAAATCTTCTCTCAACCTTTCTTCTTCCGGCATCGCTCTTCTCCTTTCTATTTCTGCTCTTTCTTCCTCTTTTGCTTTGAGTATTTCCCTTTCACGTTTTATCCTTGTTAATTCTCTTATTCTCCATGCAGCAAATTCACCTTCAGGATCTTTATCATCCGTATCCGATAAATCTGGCAACATTTCTTCATGTTCTTTCTCTTGTAGCTCTTGTCGTATTCTTTCGGCTGCCATCATGTGTGATTGTTTCTTTCTCGTCTCAGCCTCCCGTCTGGCTTTATCCTCTGCAGCCTTTTCAGCATCAACGTCTTCTTGTGTTTTCCCTGCTTTGCCCTCTTTCCCTCTCTTATTCTTTGGGACAAAAATCGGCTTTATCATTTGAGGCCGGTCATCCTCTGAAGAGGACTCTTCCTCTTCACTGTCAGTCTCGTATTCAGAGGATGATTGCTTCTTTGTAGTGCTGGGCTGCATAGATGGACCACTGCCCGGCTTGCGAAAGACTGGTTTATTTGATATAGCAGGTTCTTCGTCCGTATCCGTTTCATATTCGCTGCTTTCATCTTCCTGTTCGGGCTTCGCTTCGTTTTTCGGCTGCAATCTTATGTCCATCGACTTGTATGTCTGTGATCCATCTCCCGTACTAATCACAGTAGCAGCCTGTCTCTTCTCTACCGAAGGACCACTTTCGGATTGTTGTGTATTTTTATCTTCTTCTTCATCCGATGAATATGTCTCTCCAAGTCCGATTTGTGTTGGCGCTTTTCCCGGTCTATACCGTGTTGCTGCTCGTGCAACCCTGCCGGCTTGTTTGCCGTTATTTGATGGCATCTTATTGTCGTGGTTGTCCGAAGAGAAGTGATGGCAGGAGCTTAACATGTTTGAGTGTTACTTTCTATGCGTGCGCTGCGCCAAATTAGGTTCATGCAGTTTTCTCCACTTTAAAATCTTATTTTTTGGAAAGTTGAGAAGATTGGAAATGCGTTCTTTCATTCTAACCCATTCTCCACCATATCGAGGAGGGAGGCATTGGATTGAGCGAGATGCAGTACGAAAGCAGTCAAGCAGCTGGACCTTCAGGCTGGCTTCCATCACTCTTACCAGGATGGACGGAACATGTTGCTCCTAATGGTCAACTGTATTGGCATAACCAACATTCTAGACAGAGTACGTATCAGCGTCCTTCAAACATAGCTGGAACGATGCCTTCAGGCTCGAATGGCGGTAGACCCATATATTCTGGACCACCGCCTGGATTCCCTGAAGAGGCTCCATTGGTGGATACTGCAAGCAATGCGAATGAACGACCAAAGAAGAAGGAGGCTATTCCTGGTGCAGATGGATGGTTTCGAGTGAGAACGAATTTGGGCAACACCTTCTATGCACACAAAGAAAGTCAAAGAAGCGAATGGATCGTACCAGAAGAGATCAAAGAGCAGGTTCAGGTAATGGAGAGAGCAAAGAGACAGCAGAAAGAAGAATTGGCTCAGCGGCAGAGGGAAGAAAAGGCACATGCTGAACAAGTTCGCCGCGAAGAGCAAAGACGAAAAGAAGAGCAGGAGATAAAGAGAAAAGAGGCTGAAAGAATGAAGAGAGAGGGGAAACTTCGAAAAGAGCAGGAGAAAGAAGAGAGAATTCAAAGAGAACGTTTACGGACATTGCAAGAGGTGAACAAAAGAAAAAGAGAAAACGGCCCAGAAGACCAATCTGAGAATGGAATCTCGGAGAAGAAGGCTCGTTCCTCGATTGAGAATTCCACTGCAGCTGAACGAGATGAAGAAGACGAGGAGGCTTGGCAAAAACGGATAGCTGCAGAGATGGCTGCTGAAAGTGAAGTTGAGGATGGAGCAGCTGCAAACCGGGAACTCACTGCTGAACAAGCTAAAGCAATCTTTATGCACATGCTGACAGAGATGAACGGAACATCAAGCGAGATAAATCCAATGGCACCTTGGGATAAAGAGTTGCCAAAAATTGTCGACCATCGTGACTTCACAGTACTGAAAGAATTGAGCGATAAACAAGATGCTTTCAATGAATGGTGCCGATTACGCCTTCGTGAAAAGCGTGCCGCCAGAATGAATTCGAAGTCAAGTCAGAAAGGAGACGAGGCTGCTCCTGCAACTTCTCAATCAGATGCGGGTGATCGGCTTGCGGCATACCGAACCTTATTAGAGAGTGAAGTCACTTCCACACGTACTCATTGGGACGATTTCCGTAAGAGCTGGAAACGAGATCGTCGTTTCTTTGCATTCGGTCGTGATGAGCGAGAACGTGAAAAAGAGTTCAGGAATTGGCTCAAAGAACTAGGTGAACGTAAGAGACAGGCAGCCATTCGAAATGAGAATGGTTTTGTGCAATTGCTACAAGAGAAACTAGGATCCAGCTCTGAGAACCGCCTAGATCCTTCTACGAGTACATCTCAAGCTCAAAATCTCTGGTCTCAATGCAAGAAAACGCCTGGGCTAGACAGCGACCCAAGATATGATGCAGTTGGTAGCAGTAGCCGTCGAGCTGTATTGTTTGAAGAGTGGGCCAAAGGCAAGAGAAAGATCGACTCGCTTTCAGATACAGAGCCCAATCAAAGAAAGCAAGATGATACATCTACGAAGCAGGTCCATCGCGACTCAAATGACGCATTAAAGCAACGAGAAGAAGAAGTTGCAAGACAACGAAGACTATTACAAGGTAAAAAGACACGCACGTTAGGCAAAGCACTTTACGAAGAAGGTTTGACGGAATACAGACAATTGCTGATTGATGCAGTGAGAGATCCATTGACTATGTTTGAGAATGCATTCGACACTTTATCACGAGATGATCGATTCCATGCTCAGGCTTTGAGTCAAAATGAGAAACAGCGCATCTTTTACGAGCATGTCGATAATCTCAATCGACGTCGTTTGCGCTCTTTGGAAGAGGTGTTTGAAAAATATGCGCCTACTCTTGACACAGAGCGAGAAGTTGCTCTACCGCTCATCTTGGATGACGAGGAGATCGATCGCAAGCAGCTGACTCAATTACACGCTATCGTATCTGGCAGCAAGACTGTAGGTGACCTCTTCGACGAATGGCAGGCAAGACGTGAGCAGGAAGCACATAGAGCCTTTCTACAAATGCTCAAAGAGAATGCCTTTGTGGATTTCTGGGGTAGATTACGACAGGAGCATGAACGAAAGGCAGGTGATGGCGACAAGGATGCTACGACGGAAGAGGGAAATCTCACAAATGATGAAGATGAAGATGCAAATATACCCAGTCTACTTCAAATGGCCGCAACGATTGATTTAGATGAAATCCATGCAATCCTTCGCGATGATCAACGTTATCGTGCTTTTCGTCATAAACCTCGAATGCGCGAAGAATGGATTCGTGAGTATTTACAGCAAATGAAAGTACCAAAAAAGACTGTCTTTCAGCGATAGGAGGAGGAGAAATTATTATACAGTAAAAGAACATCGTAAAAAGGAATTGATCACATGAAATGGAAGCGCAGTCTCACTGCACAATACGAGGAGCATAAGAAGCGTGAGAAGCAATGACTCCGTTGGCAGTCCTGTCCGTTTGATCCATATTTGAGGCATTGTCGGGCAAAAGATGCGAATCGGGCAGTGTGCGACATTGTTGTTTTGCTGCAGCGATATTGGAAGTACCGTAGGTATTATTGGATGAGGAGGGTCCATGAATATAATTGGAAGATCCATTTGCAGAACTGCCATCCTCTTCACCTTGCTCGGAAGTAAGAGAACTTTCGCTTCCAGGCCATCCTTCGTTTGCGTATGCTTCGCCTCCGGAAAACAACATACTTTCCAACTTTGACATCTCGTTTACCAAGCTAGGATCCATCGGAGCCAACATTGCGTGCATCTTTTGACATTCTTCCATTTGTCTGTTAGCAGTGGGTGAAATTTGACGAGATGTACTAGCCGCTTGCTCAACAGACGGCTGGCCCATTCGATTAAACATATCTTGCATAGATTCGGAATCTTTGAATAACAGCCGTGCAGGAGTGCACATTGCCAAAGAGGCAGGTGACGTTACACTTGCGCTCGCTCCTTCAGCCCTTTGAGGATTGTTGTTGGAGGCGGATACTTCGATCTCTTGTGCGCCTTGATCCTCGCTTGTACGATCTCTGTTACCGCTGTTTGCATCTGTCTCATCCTGATTCTCAATACTTAGTGCCGCCAGATCAGCAGCACGACCCTGTCTTTGTTTCGAAGCATTTGCGTTCGGCTGAGCATGAGGCACAAACGGTGAAGAATGTGACTGAATACTGGGAGCAGCCATTGAGCCTGTATACCCTTGATTCGTACGAACACCTTCATTCTCAGCATAATCACTTCTTGCAGCTTGCCCATTGCCAACCTCCAAAGTTGATCCGGGAGCATACGGTACGCATCCTGTTCCGCCTTGCCAATGAACCCAGCTCGTGGCCAAGAATCTAAAAGCATTGGCTCCAAAATGCAAAGCAGCAAGCGATAGACTCATACTCTTTTCGGCTTTCGCATCGATTGATCGATTATCCCTTAATGCTTGTTGTACCAAATGCCATGCGGATTCAATCGTAGCTGTGAGGGACTTTTGATTCTCGCTGGAAAAGTCTATCGGCCGAACGTTGCTGAAGGTGACTTCAAACTTCAAAGGTGCGATGTATAGCTGTAATTGCGTCAAATGCATCTGCGTGATCACTGCTTCGGCAATTGCTTTGTGCGGGGTAGAGAATGATGTGATATTGCTCAAGAACCAGCGATGTTCGCGACAGAAATGCTCCAGCTTGGCCTCCAATTCGTGTAAGTTCAACAAGACTTCTTGCAGACTTGTCATCCATCTCATAGCAATGGGTTCAAAGAGAGTGGAGTGGATCTCCTCCAACAACTGACACAGCTTGATGAAAGAGATTGACAATCTTTGAATCCATGCTAATTCCGAGCCCAATCCAGGAATGCAGAGACTGAATAGGTTTTCATTTGTTGGCAAAGGCATGTCGTGACAAGTGCCCGGTAAAGATGGAACTCGGCCGGTTGCAGCACATAAGATCTTATCCAGACAGTATAAAGACCAGAATAGAACCAGACGAAGTGATTGGCCTTCCAGCGTACTTCCCAAATGACTACTGTTCTGTAAGCCTATACTTGTTGCAACACCGATAGCGGCATCAAGGGTGTTTACTCTCTCCACTCGCACCAAGTCGCCAGGCCAAGTTGTGCACAACAAAAGAAGGGCTTGTATCAATTCGATTTCGATGTCGATCGTGTTGGATAGTTGATCATGCACAGATTGTGTAGCACTTGCCCACATGGCCTTTCTCCATGCTACCAGCTCTGGTTCAGTGCTCAAATCTGACCAGGCTGCACATGCCAAAACAGTTTGCAACAAGAATGATGGTAAAGGATGAGCGGATCCAGGCAAAATTGACTCGTGCGTATAGCCACGATCCGGTAAAATGATTGTTGAGAAGGTGTTGTCTTGATAGAATCGATTGATGAGATAATCGATCAATTGTTCTGATGCAATGTTGTATACCGTTCCTGTTTGAATGTTTGTCAAACGAGTGGGCAAATTCCAGCTTTGCCATGGCTTTTGTACGGTTTGCTGGAATGCTTGCAGTGAGATTGCATTGTAATCGAGATGTGCTTGTAAGCTGGTGCTTCCGATCATGTTATTTGTTGGGTATTGATAGACGTTATTGTTCGATGCAAGCATATTGTAAGTCATATTTTGAGTAGGGAGAGAAGCATGTGTGGGATAAGGCGAGTATTTTGCAGCAAGATGCATCTGTGTTCCGTTGTTGATCATGTCATCTTGTTGATTCGAAGACTTCTTCTTGCGAGATGAAGTGTTCTTTACCACTTTGGGCAACTGTAGCATCTCATCACGATCTTCAAATGTACACGGAATGCCAGATTTTGTGCATTGGCTGCATTTTTCTCCCTCTTGTAACTCTTTGGAGTTGCATCGTAGCTTTCTGAATCTGCAAGTATCACAAGAAGTGACAGGAACTCGTTTAATCTTTCGTCGAGGAAGATATACGCGAGGTTTTGGAGCTGCGATTGCCACTGCTGAGGCGATCGAGTTTTGCATTTGCGCCTGCGCGTGATGTTGTTGACTTTGCATCTGTCGCGGCTCTTTGTTCCTTTGAACGTTGATCATCTCATTCCTTGATCTGATAAACTTTGTCAAGTTTTGAGCTGGATGTCCGTTATTTTCATGTCTTTTTGTGTTGGTGACGCTGACGCCATTTGTCATGCTCCTTGTGCGTGGACGAAAAGGATCCATAGCATGAATTGTATTTGCAGTGCCAACGAATGCCATGATGATGATGTGCGTATGCTGATATTGAATCTATCTTCCTTCTCTTAAGATCGCTCAACGGTCTGAATAGAGAAGCAAAAAAAGATGACAGAGAGAAGCGCACAAATCCAATGCGAGCTCCGAGGCAGTGGTATGTTAATGCACAGCACTTTTGTTGAATACACTTCCTCCTTATGAGAAAGAGAGAACTGTTAATGCAATCTTTGCGCGTACGGTCCGGCCGATTGCGCAAAGGAAATTGAAAGATGAAAGAAAGAAAAAACAAGATGATCAAGATGATCAACGAAGGATAAACACCTTTCTTATATGAAAATCTATTCGGATCTGAGATTGATAAAGTAAACAAATACTCCGCCAATGGCACCGTTGAGATTTATATTATTTTCTCATTCACTACGACCGTTTGGGCGCATTCATTTAAATGGGCGTCATAAACTTGAGCCTAGGCGTAGAATGCTGTGAAAGTGATCAACAAAGAAAATAAATTGCTCCTTCACGCCCCTGTTACTTTGATCACTAGAAGCATTCATCCGACGACGCATTTATTCATCCTAAACCAGTGAAACCTTTGCGCAATGCAGTGTAACTTCAACCTCATTTATTCGGGGATACTGCTCCATTTAGACATTTGAATCTATTGAAAGCGGTGAATTGATTGAAGGCTGGTTCGCCAAGAAATACCGTGTCTAGACTTCTTCGTGGCTTTTTCAACCCGGCAACTTTCTTTCACCATCTCCAGTACAGCCTTCCGTGCCCTTTTGCTTTTCTTTAGTCACTCATGTTCTGGGCGTGATCAACAGCTGACATTATATATGCTCGTCCCAGTATATCAGGCGTGCGTCATGGCTTTGATCTTGATCACGATCAGCCTAGTAATGTTGGCGCCAATTTATGGCGGACCATTCCAGGCCGAGGTTTGAGCACTCAAGCAGACGCTGCAGTCTGAACGCGTTTCTCAGTTCACGTGCAAACAATTTTTCAGAAAAAGTTGCAATGCAGATAAAGCTTATGGAAGTGCATTCACTCATGTTTAATCATTCTTCTCAATACCATTGTCCTATACCAAACCACCTCATTTTCAATCAAAATGGCACCTACTAGCTCAAGCGCAAAGCCAAAGAAGAGTGCAAAAGATTCTTTGGTAGGAAAAACAAAGGCGGAGCCTAGCGGATCATCTTCATTTGTGGCTCCTGAAAGACGTCCATTGGGACAAGAAGATTCTGAGGACGATGATGAGGATATCGAATTCGAACAAGATGAAGCTATGATGGGTATGCAAAATGGATCAAACGACGATGATGATGTTATGATTGCAGACGGTGTTACTCTTGAAGATGCAGGAAATAACTCCACACTTCAACAAAGCGGAAAGGGAAAGCAAAAGCAAACAAAGACAGTCACAGACTATACTGCAATGTCACTCGATGCAAGCGACAAGCCTGTCTTCAAACCACTTTCACAGTCCGCTGCACAATCTGCACGAGATGCAATTGACGTTACAAGAGGACAATTGCGTAAAGTACCAATCCCTCCCCACAGGATGACACCTTTGAAGAATGAATGGCCCAAGATCTATACCCCTTTGGTTGAAATGGCAAAGTTGCAAGTCCGTATGAATGTGAAACGCAAGACTGTCGAGATTAAGGTGAGTGCGGCTGTGGTGTGTTTCTCGTCCGCTCTTATCATTTGCTGACTATTACTTCTTTGACACCCATACAGTCATCTAAACATACCCCAGATATTAGCATGCTGCAAAAAGGTGCCGACTTTGTCAAAGCATTCGCTTTAGGATTCGAAGCGGATGATGCCATTGCTTTGTTGCGAATTGATGATCTATTCTTGGATAGTTTCGAGATTAAAGATGTCAAGACCTTACACGGAGATCATCTTTCTAGAGCGATCGGTCGTATTGCAGGTAAAGACGGACGAACAAAATTTGCAATCGAGAACGCAAGTAGAACACGATTGGTGGTAGCCGATACAAAGATTCATATCCTTGGCTCATTCACAAACATTCGTATTGCCAGAGATGCAGTCGTTTCTTTGATTCTTGGTTCTCCACCGGGTAAGGTCTACCACAACCTTAAAACGATCAGTGCCCGTCAAAGGCAACGTGGATGAGAAAGGAACTCTCGCTGTTATAGAGGATCCATTATTGTATTATATTTCTGTCATTCATCCTAAATTGATCACCGTCATCATTTGCATCACCTACATCACGTGCCTACTTCCCCCACGCGAAGATCTGTTCCCGCCCTTTGGCCTGACACTAAATGCGTGCGTGTGTGTCAGGCGAGCGTGCATCTTTAAATCCAAACCAATCACCACCACCAGATTGAACCTATCAAGCAATGGATTTGGATTTGAGTAAAGCAAGTGAAGCCAAAGCGGCTGATCATGCTGAACCCATCTCTTTCGATCTTTTGGCGTTGATCAATCAAGCCAGAAATGAACATGGTATGCGTCAACAAGACTTTCACAGGTACCATGGCTATTGTTCAACCAAAGTTCATCGGTTACGTCAAACGATGAACAAAACCCATACGAATACCGTCAAGCGAAATGAATCAAATAAGAAAGGAGGAAAGAAATCTCTTTCAAAAAATGCAAAGAGAAAAGCGCAAAGTGCAACTGTTCAAAGTGAGAATAATAAAGGCAAAGGAAATGTGTTTGTAAGAAAGACGATTGATATTGCAGAGGTAAAGGATGACCGTCCAGCCCAGTTGCTTTTGTTTGAAGCTGAAAGATCTTGGTCTTACTCTCAAGAGCTAAAGCAAGCCGCTTTTGAAAAGGAACAAGATGGAAAGATTCGACGACATGGTCTGACCAGAGCACGCAGAGCTGTACATTGGTCCAAGGAATTGTTGGAATTGGTAGCAGCGTTGGGTGAGAAGCGTATCGACGTACGAACACGAGCCGAAGCACATGCATACCATGTCTTGTTGCAAGCTTACGAAGCATTCGATAAAGAGAAACATTTGGAAAGTATGGAATTCCTATCGGTTGCACGTAAATTGCTCTACCTTGTCGCACAAGCTCAAAGCGATAGCAGAAAGGAAGCTTTAGCACACAGCTATATTGACAGCATAGAGCCAATGCTACGCTTCAGTGCATACAGCTTGGAATTGACTGAGCAGGACATGGACAAGTTGGCCAATACAGTAGCTAACAAAGAGGTATGCGAACGATGTGTGACTGGCTATTCGGCGTTGGAGGCAGAGCTGAAAGAGCAAGCTAAGAGAAATGCCGGACGTACAACTGATGATCGATTAGATCAAGTCGATTGGCGCGGTCAAAGCATCCCAATTCGTAATGCTGACTTGGTTGAAGTTGTGACAAAAGTTACAAAAGCCGAGACTAACCTTCGAGAATCGCTCAAAGCCAAAGACAGTACCGATGCTAAACCGAACTATGCAAAAGGCGAACATAAACGACAACGCTTGACAAGTGCTCAAAGAAGTGCCAAGAAGCGTGGACAATTGACTACCGGAGCCAACCAATCCGCAGAAGAAAGCGCCGCTGGTCCTTCAGAGACCGCAAATGTATCCGCTGGCTCAAAGACTGAAATGGATGGCTATGATAGCTTATTGGCTTCCCTAACCGAAGCTGAAGATATTGCTCGTCGCTTGGTACAAGACAATGCCGAAGCTCTGTCAAAGAGTCACAGTGGACGTTACGAAGCTGCGAGCACGAATCTGATTAATGCTCATGAGTATCTCTTGTACAAATTGTTGGCGACCAGAGCGGAACGCAATATGGCTTTGATGGAGGAAGTACAAGCAAAGAGTGAGAAGAGACAGCTTCGTGTACGTGAACATGTGGCAGGAAAGGCAAGATCGATTGCTTCTCCACACGATGCCAAACGCAGCAATGAAAAGAAGGGCAAAGAGCCCGTTCGTAGACGGGTCAAGGATGCAGCCGGCAAGAAAGTACGACCTGCAGGTAGACCTCGTCATGCTGCTTCGAAGAAGAGCAAGAAAGCCACCAAGAAGCTCAAGCCTGCTTCTCTTCCTTCTTCAGCCAAGAAATCACCAAAGACGAATGCTATCGTCGAACGACTTCGTCTACGTGGTGAGATGAAAGACAAGCGCATTTCTGCCCGCATTATCCCAGGTCTGACCCGCTTACTGGATGCGAACGATATGAGTTGTTCTGGTATCGCAGGTTTGGCTCTTGTTGAACGTGATTCCAATTTGGCAACATTGATTGAAGCGAAGTCGGCATGGTACAAAGCCGAATTGTTGAGATTGTTGGCACGCAGTTTTGCTTGGTCTAATGAATTGGAGAAGAGCTTGGTCTTGCTGAATAGGTCAGAGTTATTCGTTCGTGAAGCACGCAATGCTATGGAGCTTGTGGAACATGATCAAGTCGCTAAAGAAGATGAACAGATGCCACCTCAGATGATTGATTCAACCTTCGACAAGACTGTCAAGTCAATCAATGACTTCCGTGTGCAAGTACAACGTGAATTATATGCACGTCAATCGGGTATCAAGACTGTTGCGCCACTTCGACGCATCTCTGACGGTCAAAGTAAAGCTGCCCAAGCATTACGTGATACTGCTGCCAAATTTGTCGACTTTGACCCGGTTGACATTCAACAGGCTTCTGTCATTCCATCAGATCTTATGGATAAATTTGATGCGGAATTGGCAGGCACTTCTGCAAGTGTAGCAAATTCACGTAGACCTTCTGCTGTTCCTGTCAAGGCTCAGGCTCCCATTAAAGCAGAAGCACCAGTACAGAAGCAGACCAAGCCAATTGAACCAGTTGCGACCGTGCCAGCCACACAGCCAGTGCAGACAATTCAAGAAGATGAGCCATTGGCAGAGGATGTGGTGGAGGAAGAAGCAGCTCAGGACGGACCTTATGATCCAGCCAATTTGGTTGAGGACGAAGAGGAGGAAGAAGTAGCACCTAAGCGTAGCTGGTTAGGTGGTTGGCTCAACCGTAAATAAGAATGTGAACAACGATTGTTATTCAATGCAATTTAATCCAGTAGTCTAAAAGTACAAATTTCTGTTTTAAGCATCCTCACTTTTTCTCTAAGTATTGTTCCATATCTTTACCTTGATCGCGATACTTTGGTAATTCTTTCTTCCATGCATCAGTTTGACCGTACATGTTGATAAGTCTGGCCAATTCTGCACGTTGTTCTTGCAAATGTGGCGGTACTTCTTTGTATGTGTCTTCAAAGATGGAAGAAATGCTTGGCCTTGGTTTATGTTCGGCAATGTCCAATTGTTTCACGATATCTTTTCGATATTGTTTTCGCAACGTTTCACCTTCTTCTTCTGTCCACCAACCACGCTCTTGCAAAAAAGCGCCAAATCTGGCCAAAGGATTATCCAATCGTTTCCAATCTTCTACATCTTTTCGATTACGATATGCAGAAGAATCATCGGAGGTGGAATGATGTCCGACACGATAAGTCATACATTCTATCAAGAAAGGAGCGGAATGTTGGATTGCATGTTGTTTTGCATGCTTCATAGCTGCTCGAACGGCCAAGACATCATTTCCGTCAACGCGTATGGTTGAAATACCATAACCTGGTCCACGAGAAGCGATACCATCACCGGCATATTGTTCAGTTGAAGGTGTTGAAATTGCAAAACCATTATTTCGAACGACAAAGATTACAGGGCATTTTAATGTTGCGGCCATATTCATTCCCGCATGTGCATCACCTTCACTTGCTGCACCTTCACCGAAATAACAAACAACAACATTCTCTTTACGATCTTTCATTCGTTTTAGAGCATAAGCAGCTCCTGCAGCTTGAGGAATTTGAGTTGCAAGCGGAGAACTGATTGTATGAAAATGATGATCAGTTGAACCAAAATGAATTGGCATTTGTCTTGCTTGACCTAAATCATCTGAAGTACCGAAAACTTGATTCATAACTTTGTCCAACGAGAAACCTCTGTATAGTAAAACACCCATTTCACGATATTGTGCAAAAACTTCATCTTTATTATCCAAAGCAGATGCACTTCCGATCACTGCTGCTTCTTCACCATGACTTGTCATCATAAAGCTGATTCGACCTTGTCTTTGTGCGTTGTATAGAATTACGTCTAGCGCAGGCAATAGGAGCATATTTTCCATAATCTTTCTAGCTTCTTCTTTTGATAATCCCAAAGAAGATTCATCAACTCCAGGTAATAGACTTCCTTTTCCATCTAAAACACGAAATGTCGGTATTCCTTTTTTGGTTTGTTGATCTTCTGCGTTTGGATCAGAGACGACATTTGCGTTGACTGAATCAAACACAGCCTTTTGCAATGTTGATACGAATGGAGAGGATGGATAGCCCGGTAAATGACCAGTCGATGTTGACGAAGACTGCCGTATGATCGAAGCAGAGAATGAGCGGGAAATGATCCTAGATTGTGTAAGAGCACTTCTATAAATCGGCCTGATCATCCTACCAGTATTCATTGTGACTTGTGTTGTTTGTGTGAGAACTGATGGCTTGGAGAAAAGGATCCGCTTTTGTTACTTGCGGAAATGAACCTTCCTTTTTACTGTTTGTGTATTACTCGGTTCTGTGGGGAAACGCCTTTATGCCGCATATTCGGATCACTCACCGCGGACAGAAGAGCCAAGCGCCCGTTATGGTACACGTCCTTTTGGCACACACACACGCACACGCAGGAAAAGAAGAGAATGAAGTGATTGGCTCTATTTTCGGATTTCGGGTTAAGATTGATCATAAATTTCACTTTTTCTTCTAGCGCTGAAGATAAAGAAAGAGTTTGATTCGTATTCACCATTCTAATCACCTTGGTCTTTGAAGCTGAGGCCAGCATGTCTGGAAAAGATGCTCAAGGGGCCGGCAGCTCGTCATTGCGATGCAGCAAGCGAATGCATTTGTCCGGTTTGAATGCCGATCAATGCTCTTTGAAAGACTTGGAGGATCGATTCGGATCGTTTGGATTAACAGTTACTGAAGTACATAATTGGCCTCCTTTGCCAAATGCGGTCGATCAACCGACTGATTGGTGTTTTTTGACATTGACTGGAGAAGAAAACAAGATAAGAAGAGCGGTCGATCTGTTGCATGGTACATTATGGAAAGCGAAAAAGTTACGTATCAGCAAGGCCAAAGAACGTGCTTGGCAAGCGACTGATGCGAGTGCAGACAAGGAAAAAAAGAAGAAGATCAAAAAGACAAAAGGAATTGAAGGTGTTGAAAGTGAGACTCTGCATACACCCATCACTTCAAAAGATGTCGAAAAGGGAGAGTGGGGCTGGAAAAAGACTCCTGCTGGACATCTCATTCGTCCCATGCACATGAGACCCGATCATCCACTTCCCAAACCTACAATCGTAAAGGTGGATGAAGAAACGAAAGATCCAAAGAAGAAGAGAAGAAAGCAAGACACTGCTCCAAGACCGTTAAGTAGGGCAAAGAGAATCACAATTGATCCAAGTAGATATGGTGCCATTCATTTGTCAAAAATGATGCTGGAAGATCCAACCGTTGAGGCAGTACCCGGACAGGCCTGGTCGTTTGAAGAAGATGAAAGCGAGGGAAATGCGATCTGGACTCTAAAAGATGAGGAAGGAAAGGTGATTCGGACTGAGCAAGTTGCTATTCGACATCCAAACGCAAACACATACAGCACTTCAGATGATGAATATAGCGCATCAAGTAGTAAGACAGACGAAGAGGAAGACGATGATGGCATATTTGACGAAATTGACGCGGCCATAGACCAAGCCTCGAATATCTCCGATTCAGAGGAGGAAAATGGTGTCGGTGAGAAGGATGATGTAGAGGATGAGCCTGAAGAAAATCTTCCAGCAAAGGCAGTTGGAGAAGAAGCGATGCAAATCACCTATCCACATTACGATCCTGATGAGGAAGATGCATTCTCGGACGGATACCAAGAGATGACCGCCGAGAAATTCTCAGAAGGCAAGGTTGATCATGGCTTGGAAAGTAGAAAGCAATTGGATTTATTGAGGCGAATGTTCGGGGAGGATGCTTTGCGAGCTGACCGACCAGAAAGAGCACAAGGGGTTACATCCTTACTTGATGATGACGATGAAAGCAATGGAGATGCAGCTGAGAAGCAAGATACGCACAATGAGAATGACGAGTTGGATCTGCAAGAGCAACCATCTCAATCGGCTCAGAGGGATACAGTGCAAGAGTCGACAGATACGGAGTCAGTTAGCTCAGATTCAAGTGAAGAAGAATCACAGCCAGAACCTGAACCTTCAAAGCCAGCAGATATCGAGATGCAAGATATTCAAAAACCAGAAGAGGACCAACCTGCAAAAGAAGGCGACCGAGTGGAAATGACGACATTAACAGATATGTTCAGACCGAAAGAGGATAAGGGTGGATTTTCCATCATGGCCGACCTGGATTTGGATCTGGACGAAGAGTTCAATTTTGAGCCTGACGTCGAGGATGGTGAAGCTGATGCTGTTCAAGACCTCAACACGAGAACACAAGACTTCACCCCGAGCTACACAACTCTTCCTCAAACTGTCAAGAAACAGGTTGCCGTCTTCCCCAGTCTAGATGCTGATGGCACCATCCGTACAAATGGAAATGATTTCATTTCCACTTTGGCCCGTCAATTGCGACAAAGAGACCCTTCTATGACTGCCTTTTTCGACTTCGACGATCCTGAAACGATTTCACAAAAATGGGAAGAACGTAAATCCACTTTGACACAAGTATGGAAACGTCGTCATCGTGAAGCGCTGAAGAAGAAGAAGCGTAAGTATACAGGTTCAAGGGCAGCAGGAACGGCTTTGCCAGGCAGACGTGTTATGTAGATTGATCACAATGTACTATACGATTCAAAAACAATCATTCCAGCATTGTTTTGCAATGTACTATAAATTACAATTTAAAATGTGTTCCAGGAGCAGTAGATGAATTTTCACTTTGCAAAGCAGGCAAGATTGCCGTGTAGCTAGGGCTTAATCTAGCAACAGATATGTGCCCGCTTAAGACTGCCCAAATATCCGTTTCTGAAGATTGTTGATCTCTCTTTGGCTGTAACATTGCTGCCATGTTGGGCGCAAATTTGAATGATGATTTTGGCAATGGTGCTGATGAAGGTTTAAAATCTTTCTTTTTCTGTGCAGGCTCTTCCGCATTTCCGGTAGAGAATCCAGGAGAGGAATTCAATGGACCTTCTCCGGCAGGTTGGCTGGTCTCTTCCTCTTCAACTTGGAACAGTTGACCGAATTTACTATCCCAAGTCTTTGTCCAATATACTTGCGTTTGTTTGTCTTTGTCTAAAAGGTTGAACGTTAATGGAACATTGATCGAATAAACACCAACGTTAGATTCCCAATTCTTATACAGCTTTTCGATCAATTGACATGAAATTTCATGAGCTCGTTCAACAACTTCTAAAGGCGCAGATTGCGGTAGATCTCCGAGTTTTTTGGATGGTTGTAAATTCGTATTTAGCTTTGCTTTTGCCTCTGCCTCTTCTACCATCTTGTTAGGTTGATGGAAATGTGCATAACTGATTGCAACCGCAGGAATTCCACTCAAAGATGCTGCCTGTGCTGCTCCGATCGTGCCTGAACATAAAGAAAATGCTGTGCCTGTATTGCGTCCGAAATTTGGACCAGAGATGACTAGATCAAATTTAGAAGAAGAGGATGAACCTTCACCGGATCCTAAAGAATAAAGTCCGATATTCGCACAAGTAGTCGGAGATCCATCTACCAAGATCCACTCTGCAATCTCATCTTCTTTCAGAGGACGCTGAACAGGACTCCAATTATGGTAATCTTTCGCTTTCTCTCCCGAATGATCACCTTTGATCGGATAGTAGTACCATTTACTGCATGGTGGATGAAGTGAAAATGCCATTGAACCCCACGATTTTTGTGAAGAAGGTAAAACGACGGTAACGTCCCATCCTAGTTGATTCTTTAGATGTTCGTATAATCCCAAGATGTGCGGTGAGTGAGGTGCTGGTGGACCATCATCGTTTACCAAAAGTACTCGCATTGTGTGTTTGTGTATGATGGAAGTGTTCAACAAGCAACTTTGTCATTTCTTCTTACGCTATTTTGCCTTGATTGTATAATCACGCTTGTGTTCCCGCTTTTCCGCGCGTTTTCCGAACGGTTCTCAGACAAATACTGACAACATTGTGAATAAATATACAAATGCTGAATGCTATAATACATCTTTTCATTTCCCACGCAATGCTGTTATCAAAGCTTGAATAACTTCTAAATCTCCCATACTTTCTTTCCTTTCGCTTGATTCTAGCTGTTCTAGATCTCTTCTCATTTCCGCTTCTTGTCTGGCAATCTCTGCATCAATAGCAGCATGTCTTGCATTCGAAGCAGAATTTCGCTTTTTCGACCGACCAGAGCTTGCAACAGATGATGAAGATGATTTTGATTTCGTAGAAGATTGATTGGCATCATTGGACACCTTCAAACGCTGCAATGATATGCTACCGACATTCGTCGTCACCGTATCGCGATTCATCGCACGTTGACCAATCAACTCCAGAGCATGTAACAATAACCGAGACTTGCTTTGAAAACGTGCTAGCAAAGTGGATAGCTTTTTGCTAGCTTCCAATCCGTCGAGAACACTCGTATTCATCTTTTCTTGATCCGAATACATTCTCAATTCTCCTTCATCATCAGTATCCTTTGGCTGCAGCAATTGCCCGAATGATAAGATGATATTAAACATATCGAGAATGATTGTCATGATCGCTCTCTGTCTCGCTTTCAAGAAACATCCATCCAGCATTCGGTCCAATGTTCGCTCATGATAGGTGGCAATACTAAAAACGTCTTTCAGATCGAATTGAGACGCATTCTCGTTTCCTTCTCCGCCTCCTCCTTCCGTCACATTATCGCCCATGACGGAAGATGCAATGCCATCAGCGTCAAATTCAGAAGCATTGTCCATAAAGCTCAAAGTGTCGTCAGAAGGATCTTGAAGAGTACCCCGATTTGATAGCTTCTCGACCCCATCGTTCATTTCGTCATCTTGTGTTTCTGCAGAACGAAAAAGCCCGTTCAATCGATTCCTGAACGTTTTCCATCTTTGTGCAAGGGTCAAATCGCTAAAGTGACGGTATAAAACCGAAACAAAATGATTCGCTTCAAAATGTAACCTTGACGCTCGTTCGATATCTCCATCGTCCATCCAATTTGGTAATCCGCCCACTGACTGTGAGCGTGCCATCAGCCTGCGAAAGATACCTTTTAAAACAATATCCACCCGCATCAGTCTCAAGAGATGTCTGAACAATCTCTGATAGGATGTTTGGGTTTGCAGAGTGATCAATGGCGCCACCAAAGGAGGAGGTCGAAACGATATAGTCAACCAATCAAGGGCATCGATGGATTGACGATCATGCCAAGCACTTGTTCCAACATCCGGCTTGACGATAGCAAAGCTTAAGCGATCATCTAGATCCAAATATGCCTGCTCTGCGCCACGATTATCGTCAGCATTTAGACGTCCATCAATAAACTTTTTGAAGAGATGTTTGCCATATCGCTTGGAATTCATCATCTTTGCATTTGCGATACTTTCAAGAACGGTAGTGTTGAGTGCGATCGGCAGCTCTGATCCCCCGGGCGGCCATGATGAGTCAGAACGCAAAAGAGGGCTCAATCCGACTCCATCGAGCAGATCAAGAGCTGTATCACTCTTCTGTCTACTTGAGCCATCATCAAATATAACCTCAACGATGCGCGATGCAAAAGCTTGATCCCCTAAGAGCAAGAACTGCCTGCAAACATCTAGATATTCACCCAGATGCAAATCTCGAAAGAAGACCGAAACAAGACTTGCATTGACCAAGCGTGACCATTGCAACATAGGAGAAAGAAGCATTGAAGTAGTTCGAGATGCGACGGATTGATGTTGCCAATTGTATTCCTCTAGTTGTGTGTCAACGAAGGCTGATAAACCATCTTCAGATCGAGTGTCTATTTCAGCATCGAATGTTTGCTCATTATTCGTGGCTGGCTCTAGATCGAAGGAGGCCAATCGATCATTCAAACCTTCCGCGATCGAAGACCACGAGAATGGCTTGCTCTCTTCCTTTTTAGCTTGATTCGCAACCAGCATATTCATACCCGTACTAGCCGTTCTATCTGCGCCAGAATCACCTATTAGCGTTTTGTATCGTCGCCATGCAGCTATTTCTCGTTTCGCAGCTCGAATCGTCTCTATGAGAGCGTTGTCTGCCTCTGCTTGTCGATGAGGTGTATCTGCATTTCTAGCATACCAGCCCGGCAATCTCAATCCTTGTCTCTTGTTTCGCAATGTATGATCGTTCAAGGAAAGAAGAGGATGTCCGTCCGGAGCAGCACGGCGTAGTAGATGTAATGCTCGTCCTGCCTCTAGCAAATCACGAGCATGCGCGATTGGCAGGAAAGAAGGCAATCGAACGGGTCTTAAAGTATACCCAACGTCTAGCTCACTGCGATCGTCCCAACTCCATTCCACCTCCATTCCTGCCCAAGGCTCACATCGATTCGCGGACGAAGTCAATCCTATGACCAACTCTTCACCATCTACACGTCTCTCTTCTCGTCCCATGCGCATTTGTGTATCAACTTCATCGATCATCTTTTCTTCTGGATTGCATGGCCATCCGATCCAATTGATCACTCTTCTCCGCCAGCCTAGACTTGTGATATGTAGTATATATTCCAAGGATCCCGTCACCAAAGCTGGAGCACACGACTCAACGGCGGCAATGACTTGTGCATAGACGAGCGACAGAATTTGCGCCGACAATTTTGAGACGTTGATCGAAGAACTCTCTATGATAGGCAGAAAAGGTGGAGACCGATGGATATTGCACTTCAATATCGACGCCAAACACCTGAGTAGCGTTTCGATGTCTTCAATCTCATTCCAGCACAGCAAAAGTCCCTGCCGAGAATTTTCCTGTTCGTGTACACCGAGTTGCTTCTCCACATAATCGATCACATCAGAAAGAGCACCGGCCAAAGCAAACATCTCTGGCGGCGTGACGCTTAGGCCTTGATCATTCTTGGAAGATCGAATATTCTCCGTTCTCCACCGTATTCGTCTCTGCAATGCACCTACAGTCAAGAATCTCTCTTCCAAAGAAGCGGCTGATTCTTGACTCAGCCCAAAGATGAAGCCAGTGCCACCTTCCTTAACAGACTCTTCACCTATCTTTCGATCGAATAGCATACGCTCCTCGTTCCATAAGAAATGTTCAGTTGAATGTCCGCGGGCCACTGTGAAGAGAGATGCTAGCATAGCCTTTCTAAACGGAAGCAGACTTGAAGATGAGCTGGGTTGTACTCCATCAACAGTAGATGGTTCCTCTGCGGAAGGGTCTAGGTCACTTTCGCGTTCCAACTCTGGGCCAAAGTCCGAAGCAAGTATCGGCTTGATCAGACTAGTTGTATTCTGTGTATGCTCTTTGCGTCTACTTATTGATCGGTATACCTGTGGCACGGCTGACAATCCATCATTCTCTAGCTCGAAGTCTTTGTCTTGCAGGTCATGGAGGTTTCGTGGCCATTGAGGTAAGTTATTTCCTAACCCGGTACTCATCAAATCGTACGTTTCCAAGTCCTCTTCATTGTAGGGCAATAGCTCCATTCCTTCCGGTCGCTTTCCCGACAAAAATCTTCGCAGAACATCATCTCCAAGAAGCGTTGGTATTTGATCAGATTGCTCCTGTGGCTGGAGATCTTCTGGTCCGGGTTTCGTGATTGGCTTTTCTTCCTTTGATTTTAGGTGAGGCTTAGCTGTCAATTTATCCAAAACAGAAAATGGCGTATTGACGTCAAATCTGGGCAGATCGAAGCCTTGCACCAGAAACCCTTCGAAATTGTTTGTCATTATGCCCTTTAACTTGCATTACCGTAGCAGCATCAGTATTCTTCTCATTATGTCGAGATGATGGTGTTGGTTGCAGAATTTAAAGTATGGCAGCACCAACACTTTTTAACGCGTTCAAATACAAAATACGCGACCTTAATTAGACTTGACATGCATATAATGTAATTGATTATTCTACATTGCGTATAGCATTCTATAATACAAAACAAAACATCAACCAAACGTTTGTGAAGCTCTTGGAGCACGTTTTTGTTTACTAAGACGCCATTCATCTGGATGTTTAGCATATTTGTCAAACAAGGGTTGAATCTTTTCGGCTTTCTTACGTTTGCTAATAGAAGAAGCATCAGCTTTACGGAAAAATCTTGGTGCTAATTCTACCAACCATTGTGGTTCGATCGCCGTAACTTCTCTTGCCCATTCTTTACTGCTCATCACAACTTCATGATAGATCAACATATCCGGTGGTCGATTAAACAGCGAACTTGAAGGATGGATGTAAATCGTTTGTCCACTTTCTGCTAAACATTTGTAGCCTTCTTGTGGATCCTTTTTGGCCGCATTTCGGAAATAGCCAGAACAGAGTGCTTTACGGACACGATTGTAATTGTTTCCACATGATACGATATCATGCTTATAACGATCCATGATGCCCACCAACTGCTTTCGTACGTCTTGTGCACGTTTCATAGATCTGCCTTGAACGTAATTGTCCATGCACCATGGCATTGAGAAGCGAGACGCTGCCCATCCATTGTACACCGTTAATAAGGTCAAATGATCACCTTCAGGTTGGAAGAACTTGGCTCGCTTTGCATCTGCTTGTGCTTGCTTGTCTTTTGGTCTATAGAAAACATTTTGAACGCTGAGCATGGCTACGATTGTCAAGATTTCCTCGCTACATCCAAAGTCCACACTCGAGATCAATGTCTTGGCAAGTTGAGGATCCATTGGGAAATCGGCCATCTTTCTACCCAATCTGGTCAAGAGACCTTCATCGTCTAGAGCCGAAAGTGCATAAAGCGTTTCAAGTGCAGTCAATAATGTTTGTGCAGGAGGTGGATCCATAAAGTCAAAATTGATCAAATCATTTATTCCCATTGCTTTTAACATCAAAATCGTTGATGCTAAATTTTGTCTTTGAATATCAGGAATTGGATTTGGCAACATTTCATTTCGATATGCTGCTTCCGTATAGAGACGATAACATTTACCCGGCCCAGTACGTCCTGCACGACCAGATCTTTGTCTTGCTTGAGCTTGCGAGATAGGTGTAACTACCAAGCTGTCCATTCCTAATCGAGCATCATATGCATTTTGCTTCACAAATCCAGGATCAATAACGTAATAAATACCATCAATCGTAATACTTGTTTCTGCGATATTGGTAGCCAAGATAACCTTACGTGCTCCAGGTGGTGCAGGTTCAAAGATTCTTGATTGCATTTCTGACGGCAATGCGGAATAGACTGGCAAGATGATCAATTCTGGTACGCTTGGCCCTAGCGCTTTCATTCGTTCGAACAAGATCTCACAACTGGTATCAATCTCTTCTTGACCTGTCAAAAATACCAAAATATCACCTTGAGGCTCGGAAAGATGAATTTGCATCACGGTGATCAAAGCGGCATCCAAGTAATCCGGCTCAGGTTCTTTCGTGTATAGAATTTCCACAGGATATGTTCGACCTGGAATGGTAAAGATTGGGCAGCCAAAGAAGTATGTAGAGAATTTTTCTGCATCAAGGGTTGCTGACGTAACGATTAGCTTGAGATCAGGCCTTCTCTTCAAAGTCTTCTTCAGCAAACCAAACAGTACATCTGTCGCAATAGTACGTTCGTGTGCTTCATCCAATACAATAACGGAGTAGTTTGTTGCATTCGGGTCAACCAGACATTCACGCTGCAACATACCATCAGTCATGTACTTGATTCTTGTTTCAGGACTTGTGCAATCTTCAAAACGGATCGTATATCCAACCTCTTGTCCAACACGACATCCAACTTCCTCTGCTACACGTTTTGCAACACTGACAGCAGCTACACGACGAGGTTGTGTACAGCCAATCTTGCCGCGTTCGGTGAAACCTTCTTCGGCCAGATATTGGGTCATTTGTGTAGTCTTTCCTGACCCTGTATCACCAACAACGACCAAGACCTGATTATCACGAACGGCCTGTACCAATTGTTCACGCAATTTATAAATGGGTAACCCTTCTCGTTGTTCCTTGATGCTTAAATTGGTAATCTTACCAAACGTTGTGGCCTTGTTGAACGTCTCTTTCTTCCAAGCAGGCTGATCCTGGGCTTTTTGTCCTAAAGCAGTGCCACGAAGATCTTGTGCAAACACACGATCTTGTTGTTGTGCCATGGGATCTTGCCATCCTGAGCTCATATCCCTTGCTTCTGCATCGACTTGAGAATTGATTTCTTGTTGACGCAACTCTCTCCTTTCTTTGGCTAATCCAGTGCCCGCCAGAGCCGCCCTGTTCAGAGTGCCATCAGGTGCTTTAACAATCTTTACTGGTGATAATTCTAGCGAAGTACCAGTCTGTCCGGCCAAGAATGGCGCTTCTTTTTCGTTCACTTCTACGTCTACTTCTTCGTCAGGATTGATCCCACTTCGTGCTGCTTGCAACGCCATCTCCTGCTCTTCCAACAGTTCTGGATAATCGCTCGCTTTTGCAGCTCCAGAAGCAATCAGTTGTTTTAACTCCCATCTTTCAGGACTTGTCAGCCTCTTTGCTGTGCCTCTGCCGTCATTGTCTGCAGATTTAGGCATTGCTCCTCTGCCGTTGGGTGATGACCCATTAGCAGACCTAGACCCAAGCGGCGCCATATTCGAGCCGGTAGCAGATCTTTGGGACATTTTCTCGCGCTCTTCTTCCATCTCAGCTTCCGATTTGATTCGTAGATGTGGTGTAAGATCCCTTCCAGTTGATTGATCAACATCCTTCATTGATAGGCCTATCCGATTACCGGCAACGGACATCACTTTCACCTTGACAGGTTGATTACGTGACAGGACATCAGAAGGATGATTGATCCTTTGCCCTTGAACAATTGAACCTACGTGTACCATTCCTTCATGTCTACCCATCAAGCCTTCGAGCGAGATGAATGCACCGAAATCTTTCATTCCACTAACTTTTCCCGAGTAGATCTTGTACAATACAGGCCTTTCATCTCGAGCCTTACTGGAATACCGATCAGACTGATCGTCGTATTTGTCATATCTGGACCTCTCTCTGTATGAATCCCTTCCTCTCCTCTCTGGTGATCGGGAATCTCTCCTTCTATAGCCCCCTCTTTCTGGGCTTCTTGAACTGTTTCGTCGATGTGAGCTATGCTTCTTTTCCATTCCTTCTAACTCCCTCATGAACCCATCCACGCTGCTATGTACGGCGTTGTCATCTTCTGGACTTCGTTGTCTCTCCAAAGCAAGAGCCCTCTTATGCTGAGCTAATTCCTCCTCATTATCAGCTCTTGGTGCTTTCCATTCTTCATCTTTCAATGCAAGACCAGGAAACATTCGTCGCCTTCGATCTTTTTCCTGATCAGTTTCTTGTTCATCAGCATCAGAGCCTGCCATAATTTTGGCTTTACTAGATGAAGCTTCATTGGATTTTGTATTGCTGGACGACTTTTTATGCTTTGGATGCATGCTCAGTATGAGTCTGTCTAGATTCACCACAAATGATTCTGGAAATTCTGCTCCTACTTCTTTGAGTTTTGATTTGAATTGATCGATTGATTTTGATTCCTCATGAAGCGAGATGACGAATTCTGCCAAAACACGATCATTTATGCCGATAAAATTGAGTATTTCATTTGTGATTTTAGACACAAGAGATAGCAGCTCGAGCTTATAAATCTCGTTCTGCGCCATCTTGCTCAAGATTGATGGTGATAGGAGGTGGCAATGAGAGTAATTATTATTCGGCGCCTTTGCAATAACCTTGAGCCTATTTTTTACACGTGATAAGACAGGTCCAATCGCGTCAAGAAGAAGTGGAGATTTCAACCTCAAAGTTAAACACTACTAATTTACACGTTAAGAGCGCGTGCCTGAGCGCGATGTTCCAAAGCAGCGCGTGTATATACGCGTATAATATTGTCTAAGGCGCGTTTTTGTCAAAAAGTTCCGATGACAATCGAAAGTATCGTCCGAGTGTGTGAGTGTGTGTATGTAGGGAGAAGCACAACATTCTTCGGGCTGAAGCAAAGCAAAGAGATTAAGCAGCCTGCTTTGTTCGACACGACATCATCATCCATCCTACTTTATCACAACAGTTACCTATCATCATCATACCTTAACAACAACAACAAATCCTGACAGGGTCACAAAAGCCTCTGGACAATCATTGATTCAGCCTGAACGCGTCATCACTTCGGAAGTGACTTCAAAGACGAACATCATACTCAGCACATTCACATTCATTTCGTGTCATCTTTGGTCACATCGACAACTCTATGCATATGTCAAGAATATAGTCACAACTTCAACATATAACATCCACCTCAGTCCTTTCATCACAAGTCTATTTTGTTCAACATCATCCCCATCAAGACAAAGAGCATCCAACATCCAGCCATTAGAATATGTCACAACATACTCGCATGCCTATGCGCCACTTTGACGGACAGATGGACATCTTTGGCTCTATTTTATCACCTGCATCTTCTTTCATACCACCATCTTCATCTCCCCTACCCGGTCAATCACCATCCAACAATACCCAACAAAACAACAACAATACAATGTCACAGCCTAAACGGATACGAAGAGGTGCTCGAAGGGTGAATATGCCAATCAAAATATTATACAATCTTGATTCGAATCCTGATGCTACAATGGTTGCACAGATTGAACAGAGAATGCCAGTAGATGTTCTGCCGATCAAGAGAAGGACGAACAACAACAACAAAGATGGTAATGGAACACCTGTATTCGCACGTGTTCCTCTCAAAGTTTGTTTACAGGGAATCTGTATGGCCAGTCCAGAATTGCTTTCGAGCACGACAAAAGATTACGTCTTGTACGCTGTTGATCCGGTAGAAGCACATCGGGCAAATATGAGAAGGGAAGTGACATCCAATTCAAGTGGATCACAAGAAGCAAGTCCATTACGAGGAAAGAATTTGAGATCGTCGGCTGCATTCATGGTTGGGAAAGGGTATATGAGTCAAGCGCTCACACAAGAAGGAATGGGAGTAGCCACTGTTCATGGACGTGTCAGAGGTGAATTTGATGACGAAGATGAAGAGGATGAAGAAGTGACAGCAGAAGATGAGGATGATGAGGAATTTTGGGATTCAAGAGTCTTGGAAGTCTCTTTGAAATTGAACGTTTCTTCACCTCCCGAAATCACACTCATGGAGAAAGCAAAGCAAGAAACAAGAACTGATAGCCAGACAGGACTTCCGACAACCTCTAAAGCGCCACTCAAAAGAAGTTTGACGACTCCAGCAGAACCTCTACAGGCTCTCAGTAGCAATCAGATCGCTGAGGAGGCCTCCGCAGAAGCACCACCAGCAGCATCTAAAGGACAATCGTCAAAGAAGCCTGGACCGCAGCGGCAATTGCTGCATCTTTTGCAAGCATTACAAGCACAAGCGCAACAGGGATCTAGTTCTTCAGGCCAAGCATTACCAGTCGAAATAGAATCGCTAGCGACAGAACATGATTCTGGTGATCAAAAGAAGACTGCTCGCTCCTCGAAGAATAACCGAATTCGTTTCTCTTCTCCCTCGCCATCTTCTTCAGCAACAACCTCGCTTCATCCAAACGGTGCCCAGTCGAGCCCAGTGATGGCAAATCAAAAGCATTGGCCGTCAACATCCAAAAGGCCCAAGGCAAGAGCCTCAGCGTCGTCCTATTCAGACGCTCAATCTCCTATTCTTGGAGGACTTACGCCAGGATACGAAGTTGATTATCTTTCCGGGCCAAGTCCATCGAGTAATGCAGATGGCAATCAATTGACCGGTTCCGCAAGAGCTGACGTACCCAAGATTGCAGGAAGAGGAAACAAAGTGCCGGAATCACAGATTTATTCTTCTTCAAAGAATGAGCAATGTTACAATTGCGGTTTGAAAGGGGAGTTGTACTGGCGATATCTGAACATATCCGACGAAGCTCAAGTACGATTTTATGATTCTTCCGTTTGTGTTTATAATGGAATCAAAAGTTTCAGATCTTGCAATGCATGTGGAACATACTTTGCACGTTACAGAGGCGTTTCAAGACCGGACTTTGTCATAAAGGAACATGAAGCTAAACGGTTGGAAAAGTTGAAACAGATCACCAGTCATAATACTAGCAGTGCCTCTTCTGAGGATGATAATGAAGAGAAGACGAAGAGAAAATCAGCCAAAAGTGCTAAGCGAAAATCATCAGCATTCTCTCGGACGTTGAGTGAAGCATGTGCTATCGACTCAAAACGGATGACAGATGATCCTGAGAAGGGTAAAGGGAAAGCTCAAGAAAAGGCTTCGAAAACAAAGGAAGATGAAGAGCAAAGCGAGCCAAAGCAGAACAAGGTCAAAAGGCGTAAACTGAGTCACAGCGATAAAGAAGAAGCAAAGAAAAGTCAACCACAAGAGAGGAAGTTCGTTGAAGATTTCGAAAAAGCTCGATTGAGGGATTTGGTATTGGATCAGGACGGAAATTGGCGAAGCAAGAGAAGCATTCTGGAGAATCCCACCAATCGAAGGGTTGGACGGCCGCCAGGAAGGAAAACGGGTTGCGGTCTTGGTAGACAGCGTAATACGGAATCTGCCAGAGTAGCAGCAGCAGCTTTGAAAGAAGACCTGATGAATGCCCGAGAAAATGGCTCTCAAGCAGTGGGTTCCGCCACTGACCCAATGCCAGAAGTCGATTTGACGGATGAATCGGCCGTGGCAGATGCTTTGCAAGCGATCTTGTCTTCCTCTAGTCCTGTCCGTCCTGCTCATGCCAATCAACTAGTCGGTGGACCAGCAATGCAACATCCATCTTTTGCACTGCCATACGCTCCAAATCAAATGATGCACCATCATCATCATCATCAAAAAATGCCACATTCTACGCCTGGAAGATCTTTCAGCCATCAAAGCAAAACACCGATGAGCGTTAGTCGAGTACGTTATGGAGCACCAGCCCATTTGATGATGTCTAGTCCGGCTACCGCATTTCAAACTGTGATGGATGAAGCTGATACAGATTGGAAAGCTTTGTTCGGAATTGGAAATAGTGCAACTAGAAGAAGTCCGCGTAAAAAGCCTGCTGGCGTTCACGGTGGTATTAATCCTTATGCAACAAATCTTGCCAGTCCATCCCGATTGCCAATGCAAAGGCATGGTGTCGAGAATCCTCATCATTCTTCCGTCATGGATCCTGATATCTTGATGCAAATGACTAGCAGCAGTCCTTTGACACGCAGTCGGGTAAAGTCTGGACAATTTGAATGGGCCTTCAATTCGAGTGATGATGCTGGAACACAGAAAAAGAAAGTATCTAGCGCGATCACAAGTCCTACTTCCCCAAGCCCAACGAGAACACGTATTCTTTCATCCAAGCGAAAGGCGAACCCGAATGAGGTGATGCTTGAAGCAGGTCCAATTAGCAGTCAATCTACGTCTAGAAAGAATCAGGCCACAAAACAAGCCAAACTTGCGAAGGAACAAGAGTTAAACTCGTTTGATAATGAACCTTTTGCAGGATACACAGCAATCAATGTTTCAGGATTGGATCAAGACGATGAAGATCATATTGACGATGATGAAGGACCTGGAAGTCCTACATTGGGCAGAAGTAGACGATTGGATAAGAAGAAGAAGAACGCAGAGATGCGATCTACTCCAACAGCCAATGGTCTGTTCAGCAGTACTCCAAGTGATTTGGGTAACAATGTTGATCTTGGAGGCAGTCAAGCAGAATGGCAACAAAATGCCACCATTCCAGAATTGTTCCCATCAACAAGTCCGGAAAAGGGATGGAATGTTGTAAGTAATGGTAGTCCATCGCAGATGTTATGGAATAGCCCTTCTTCTTGGGCTCTTCGGATGCCGACACCATCACCGATCAAAGTCACAAAACAGACTTCTGAATCTTTTCAAGCCAGCACAGCCACAGCCAAACAAGCAGACACTTCAGCAACCAGTGCGCCTAGTCTGAGTGTTACTGCCGCTCCGCAAGAAGAGAAGAAATCACCATCCACTTCTTTGGCTCCTCCAGTACAAAAGAGGAAGCCTTTACCTGCCACTGTTGAAGATGCATCACCTTCTGAAGCTTCTAACCCTTCTCCCAACGATGATGATGAAGATGATGAAGAAGAGGAAGTTACAGCGGGGGAGAATGGCGAAATGGTGATTGATATGACGGATGGAGATAGTTTAGCAGCATTGATGCAAATCTTTGAAGACCCGTATGGTTTACTGGCTGCCTCGGGAATCAATTTGCCAGCAGTTCCTCAAGCTCACAAATCTACAGGAATAGAGCAAACGTCAAAGGACAATGCTTCCAATGCGACAACGGAAAACAATCTTGCACATATTGAACTCTTCAAGAGCTTTGATTATGCAAAAGAGTTGGGCTTCTTCAATCAAGCAGGTGCGAGCGGTATTGCTGCAAATGCAGGACCATCAGCGCCAACCACGGTAGAAACAGGAAGTTCATCAAAGGGTACAAATGATCCTGCCATGGCTGATGTGAAGAATATGTTGACTTCACCTCACAAGATTGAGATTGATGGTAATTTCCTTCGAATTTCTCCACGTAAGAAGACAGCAAGTCAGTCTAGTCAACCCGTTTCTACAAATTCTGAAATCAATTTTGGTGATTGGATTTGGTCAGATGTGCAAAAGACACCCACTAAGCAATCCGCAGCTTGATCACGCAAACACATACACAATTTGTAGCATACCATCTCTCTCAAAATAATGCATTGAATTGATACCAAGCAATTTTACAGACGACTTGAGCCTTGTGACCGCAGATGAGATGGCCAAAGGGAACCAGTAATATACGCTGATTGTATGTCAAGTTGTTCCAATCGTTGTTTATCTTTGTTTAACGCTTTGGCTTTGGCATCATCATGATTAGCAAAAGCGACCCGTAAATGATTGACAAAGATGTCCGGAACTTCCAAAGCGGCAAAATGACCACCTTTTGGTGCTTTTGCATAAAATCGTAAATTTCCTGTTCCTTTTAACCATGCTTGAGAAGTATTGGTAATCTCTTTAGGGTAATCGGAATATCCTAAAGTGGCTTGACTGACATTGTATGCAGAATCGCTATGGATCGAAGGTAGGAAATTGTTTGTATGGTAAGGCAAGAATGATGTGCCGATCGAGCGTGTTACAAAGTATACAGTGCAGATCGTTAGCATGCTTTCTTCAGAGAAGGAAGGCGTTGTACCAATCTGCAAGCCCCAAAAGAATGAAAGCCAACTCAAAAGACCCACTGGAGAATCAACTAAACCCGTTGCTAATTGTTGAGGTCGATGTTCTTGAATCCAATAATATGCCATACTTTTGTAAAATCCGTCAAGCTTTCGAACATTTTTGCCCATCTCGCCCGGTAAACGTTCGCTGGCGGCCGTCACTATCCAATCTGGCAACGCTTTTACTGCCCAAACCCATTGTGGTACAATCGGTGAGAAGTTCAAATGGACGGCTAAAAGAAAAGAGATAGGGACATTAATCAATAAGGGTGAATGTTTGGCAGACTTCTCGCTTTACTCACCTCGACAACCAGTCTTGCCATCTGGTCGTGCAAATTTGGCACCCAAACATCTGGCATGAACCGATCCCCAATCGCCACCTTGCGATGCATACGCTTCGTATCCCAAGACGTCCATCATGAGTGTATCCAAAATGCGTGAATAGCCATCTACATCACCAACACCTTGCGCTTTGGTAGGAGGACCTTTTGACCATGCATAACCTGGTAGCGAAGGAATAACGACGTGAAAAGCTTGATCGTTTTCATTTTCCGGTTCACAAAGTTTATCGATCGCAAAATAAAATTCAAAAAATGATCCTGGCCAACCATGAATGAGTAAAAGCGGGATTGCATCTTTACGCGAACTCTTTTTGTGAATGAAGTGTAATGGTTTACACCAATCAATTTCAACTAAATAGTTTGATTGTCTGTTTATTGTTTCTTCCATCTTTTTGAAATCAGATGACTTCCATTTGTCTACCAAGCCTTTCAGTAACGTCTGTGTGGGCAGCAAACCTGCATTCGTCTTTGCTTCTTCTTCGTAAAGCAATGATTCAGGTCCCCACCGAACCCAATCAAGCTTTTGTCGTAATTCATCTATATCGTTTTTATCAAATTCGACCTTGAATGGTCTTGCCTGACCATGCGGTAGCGGCGTAAAGTTTGCCTTATTTGCGTTACGTTGTGCCATTTCGAGTGATGATGGAAGTATTCCACGTTCCCCGCAAATGCATTCATTATTCTTGACCGGCTCTTTCTTCACTCCGCGCCCGAAGCCGAGGCAACCAAGCGTACGCTAAACCGTTAACGACATTAGCAGGCACACTTTTGGTGACAAGTAGCTTTTCATTCCGATAACAAATACATGAAGAGAAAGAAATGTGACTATTATATTACATTACATCCTTTATTTTATGATCGAGTCCTGCGAGAAACACATTCCTCACTGCTGCAACAAGGCCAACCAAACATCAATTTGTTCTTCCAAAGGAGGTGCAGCGTCAAACATGCTCAAAGGATCTTCCGCATCCTTTCTGGGCAAAGAAAAGCTCGCGTTGTCTAGGCCACCCATATAGACCAAATCACTCATTGAATTGTTATCAAAATGAAGCATTTGTGATGGTGTAAGATTGGACGAAGACTGTCCTTGCTGATCATTCTGAGATGTATTGCCCATAATAGCATGTGAACCCAAAAACAGCATTGGATCTTGTGTGCTTTCATTTGAGGATTTTGAGGGTACTTTAGCCTGCTTTTCGTTTGAAAAGCTTTGATCGCTTGTCATCTCGATATTCCCATGCAGCATCGGGATCGGTAACGTTTTACCATCAGAATCGGAAAGAAGGTGTTTAGTTGCCGTTGCAGCACTGAAGATGGCCAATCTTGGACCGGTAGATGATTTAGCATAAGATTCATACCAATCAACCAGACTATTTGCTTTTGTTTGTAATCTGTTCAAAAATTGACTTGCTTGAATGTTTGTCGAAACATCCATCGGCAAACCAGATAAGATATCAGCAGCACGTTGACTCCATTCAAGTAAAGAACGAGCTTTTGTCACTGCTTCTTGTAACGGACCACCTTCCCATTCTGTAGCAGTGCGAGAGTCATGCATCCTTGCTTGCTGCTCAGTCTCTGCATCACCAAGAGTCGTCAATGCTGCCAAGATCAGAACGACGGCATGCTCCAAAGTGATGTATACATAATGAAACCCTCTAACCCATGCATCGGAGAAGGACTCTGCTCGATTTTCTTGCTGAAGCCAAAGGATATTCTTTGCTGATTCTACGCAAATCTGGCGAGAATGCTGAACACGTTCTTCGGGTATCTCTGGATGTGGAAAAAATCTAGTCCTGTGCGTCAAACCTCGCAAGAAGTTATAAAAAACCCCAAGCAAGTGCTTTTGCAAACGAAAAGCCTTTGATTCTGAAGTATGATTGTGCAGCAAAGATTGCTTAAATGCTGCATTCAAAATTCCACCGGCTGTTTCTGGCTTGAGATCATTGGGTATTGCACGCAAGTATTCCTGAAGTTCTTCATCGATATCGTCTACCTTTCGCCAATCCGTCGTACCGTTTTTGGTCACTTGACCTAATTCGCCGAATACCTTTCCCATTCGGAATCGAAGCATTTTCACTTCTTGTTCTCGGTTCTTAAATCTTGATGGATATTCAGTATTTAGCTTCTCGGAAGGCACACGTAAATGTTCACCATAAATCGTTGCGCCAAACCAATTGCAAGCGATAAAGTCAACGAACAACCACCTACGCATCTCCCTCTCAATCTCACCAACATCTTTTGGTGGTTCATTGAAAAGATCAATCTCTTCCGCAACTTTTGTTAAACGAGGAAACCATACAACCGCTTCAGGACCTGCCAAAGATCCTTCACTCTTCAAAGTTTCCATCCAACAAATCGTTGCTCGAACTTTGTCATACGAAGGACCATCCAATTGCATGCATTCAGTCAGCAAAGTTTTGATGGATGTTCTGATTTGCGCAGAAATTGCATCCCTTGCTTCGGCCGTATATGCATCATCTCTAATCCTTCCTTTAGGTTCACGGGATGTGAACCAGAGCGCAAGCAAGCCGGCACTACATCTGAGAGCGGAATTGATAATCATCGTTGCAGTTAGGGCTAGCTTAGTGGCATCACCAGGTCGAATCCTATAATAGAACTCATCGTCACTTTTGCAATCCAAAAGGGGTAAAACACGACGAGCAATGAAGGCATTAACGTAATCCTCATCCATGATATTGTAAAAGCAGTTCAATTCGGCAAAATAAAACCGTGCCATATTTGGGATTCGACTCATAGGAGGCCAATGAGCGCATGCTTTACGTATCCTGATCGCTTCTTCCCGCGTATATGCATATGTAGACCCTTCTTTTTGGCTAGGGCTGGTATTGCTTGACGATTCCGTATTCGAGTGCGGTACTTTTTCACCCTGAGATTGTCGCAAGAAGCGTGCCATAGGCGCATTCTCCATTTGTGGATAGCTGCTTGAAGATGACGCAGGCGAGGGATCTTCTGTTGGGTTGGGAGGACTGATTGAGCTACCGTCATGACTTGACCGTAATGCCGATAGACGATGTGGGGATGGAGCTCTGATAGATGATGTAGTTGTATCGGAGGTGCTTACATTTTGCCATGGTTGAGTGAACCAGTTGGTCGTTTCATACGGTTGCTGATTTCCTGTTGCAAAATTGAAAAAGTCATGAGCGGTGGATTCTGCAGGCATTTCCGGCTCATGGCTGTTTGAGGGACCGGCATTTGCTTCTTTTGTATTTGTCATTGGCTCATAAGCGCAAGAATCACCAACGCCGTGCCTTATACAAGCATTGCACGGTTCTCCACGATCACACTTTACTCTCCTTCGATGGCATTCCAAACAAGCGACGATTACTCTACGTCTTTTTCTCTTTGTCGGTGCTGTTGAAAGTGCTGCTGACATTGCGGATGGTGATGAATGGATGTTGGAAATGAGAAGAAAGATTTACCCACAAACTACATGACATTCTTGTTGTGAAGCAAGACTGCATGTGAATTGATTGCTTGGTCAGCATGAAAAGGGCCCGTTGACTGTCAGGCACTATCTTGTTCTGCTCAGCACAAGTGTTTCAATTGCGCTAAAATGAAAAAGGCCCCGCGCGCACTGCTCCGCTTTAGCACGGGATTGCGGGTGTTCGTTCTCAGCTTTTTCGGTGGAACTCTTCAAGCCACTCAGTTCACTGTCACTCTTTATTTTACACAGATGTGATTGATATTGTACATTGATGATGATTATAAACAAATATGAACTCAAGAGATGTAACGTAAAATGCCTTCATTCAATCGTTCCCGTGTCCACCAAGGTGTTCGATTGGTGAGAGTGAATAATTGATGATGGGCTTTAAATAGGTTATCCAACATTTCACGTTTGATACCTTCAAATACACGTCCGATATTAGCATCTGATCGATCGCAAATCGAACAACATGCTTCGATCCATGGAATAATCTTTTCAGGAATCGCGTTGGATTGCAACGTCTTGATCAATCTATGAATCATTGCCAAATTGACAGCTTGACTGATTCTCAAAGCACCTTCGGGTGATCGAATAGCTGCATATGCTGAGCCAAATCGTGATTCGAGGCTTGTCAAAGCACTTTGCAGGGATGTAGGATCGTGATCATTCGATTGATTTGACAAGGCCGTTAACAGGGTGTCTTCCACGTCTTGTTGTGGTGCAGGATTTGACTGAGTAAACGAAGAAGCAAAAGTGGAAGGAGTAGGTGCACTTCCCATTACACTGCTAATCTGTCCATTAATTCCAGATGCGGTTGAACGATTAGGCGACATAGGGTTGAGATTAGTAACACTAGAGCGACCATGATGAGTTCCGGCTGAAGTTGGAGGTCGAATAGAATTCAAGCTCAACACTTTTTGTTCTTCACGAACATCATTCAAAGCTCTCTCCAGCTTTGCATTTTGTCTGCCTAACCCTTCCATCATACTTGTCAATTGACCGACCTGTCGTGTCAAATCACGCATAGCTGCTTCGCTTTCCAACAATGCTTTACTCTGTTCCACAACGATATCCTTTCGAACACTAGTCATTCCTTGCTCAATTCTCCCTTCCACTTTTGCTGTTAGATCGGAAATAACTTCTTCGAAATGAGGTGCCATCGCGCGAGTGACGACATCCATTGCAGTCTTTTGCACTGTCGGAACGATGCTGTTGGTAATCGTCTTTGTCAAATAAGCGTTAATATCGGGTCTCAAGAATGCATTGTGAAGCTCATTGGGCAGAGATTGATTCAATACCTGAGAAAGCGCTATTTGCACATCCGCTTCCACTGCATTCTTGACTTGCGCGGTAATAGCGGGCACCACACGTTCAACGATCGATTTAGAAAGTTGACCGACATCGATACCACCTGCATCGATTCCTGAACGAACATTTGAGCTTGTGGACGTGGCTTGTTCTGCTGCCGATCTTGCAGCTTCAGCTGAGGCAGAAGAAAGAATATTCTTTCTCAAATTTGCAATTGTTTCATCCATCTGTTTGCGATCAATCGCCTCATCGTGGGCCCTCTCTGCTGTTTTGGTCTGGCTTGACGCGCTATCGAGAGTTGCGATTGGAGCACTTTGAATTTGGTTGGAAGCATCCGCTTCAGTCTTGACGTGCACTTCAGCTGCGTCACCACCAAAGGTCACCTCTTGGCCCAATTCCGAATCATCTTGTAATGCTGTTTGCTTGACAGCTTCGCCTGGTAAAACAAGAGTTTGAATGCCTCCAGAATACAAGGCTGCCAAACGAATACCCTCCCATTCATACCGATCATCTAAAGCAAACGACATCCATGTTTCCGGCATTGCGCATTCTTTCATCGCTGGGTGCAAATCGTCAAATGACCAGATACTCATTTTTCTTTGAATTCGATCAATTGTTTTGGGTCCATCTCCAACAGATTCGTCAACTTCAACGTTAAATCTTTTCGCTACATCTTCGTCGTATAAGTCAATTTTGTCCAAAGGCGCAGGCTTATTAAACGGTCTGAGGGTAAATAGACTTGAACGAAGACTGTTGAAAATGAACAGTGTTGCACTGGAATGGGACCAATATGCTAGATTGTATTGCGTGTGATCCTTTCCGTCAAAGTGATACAATTGACGATATTCGCCTGTGACTAAATCGACGAAAGCGATAACGGTGTTGTAATTGAATCCAACAATAAGCGATCGAGTGGATTCTCCATCAGAAGCAAGAGCTGTAAAGCTCACATCCGAAAGAGGAAGACCATCTGGCAACCCGGGTAGCTTGACAGTAACAGATCGAGACGTGTCAGGAAGAGCTTGCAGATGAACTTCCAATGGATTGTGAGAATCTCCAGTTGCGTATGTGGATGCCAACAACGTTCCATCACACGTTTGAGTGAGACCAACCAAGAGCTTTCCATCTGTAGATGCCTTTCCAACACTGATCCTCTGAACCTTACTGAATTTGGCCTTACTTTGATTGGAAGGCTGCAGATCCGTCATTTTGAAAATGGCAGCGTCCCCACTGCTTTGTATGGCAACAATCGATTCCTCTATGTACTCTGTGGCATGAGAGAAGAACGCATGGATGAATTGTTGGCCATCGTCTGCTTCTAGATGGGCAATCAACTTTACGCCACCTTCATCCCTGCCAAAATCAGCTGTCAGAGCCCAAACTTTGATGCTCTTGCCAGTCACAATTCCCACTTTAAATTCCGTTCGTTCATAAGCAGTTTGATCATTTAAGAAGAGAGATTTGATCGGATCATCTGAGACAATCATCGCTCGTTCTCCGGTTTTCTCATCAATGATTCGTACCTTTGATTTTCCTGTCAAATAACAAACGATGTCATTGGCACCTGCAATGATGCTTTGCTGAGGCCAACGACTTTGGATGGTGTGGTTGTCACCTTGTTGTGTGTAGTATGTTGGGCATTTAGGACCTTTCAAGAGTGAAATTGCAGTCATTTCCAGCTTAGCAGGATACAAGCTCGATTCACCGGCAGGCTGTTGGCTGAGAAGATTCAACACAGCTTTGCCATTCTTCTTGATCGTCAAGCCACTTGTTGACTCATCGTCAAAGCTGTTGGAGGCACGCAAGCTTGCTAATTGACGTGATGCATGAAATTGACGATCCTCTGTAAAGACGAACTGGTCCTCCTTGCGTGGCGATGCAGTAGAATTTGTGTTTAAGGTGTCTTTTTTGGTGACGCGATCATCGACAGTGACTTGATTTGGCTGTTCAGGTTTGGCTGTTTGATTGGATTGATGTGGTTGATTGAAGAGATCAAACGGATTCACCTGATCAAAGATGGTACTCGAAGGAACACGAGAAGATGATCCCTTTCCTGATGTCTTTGCCGAGGCTAGTGGCGATGGAGCATTGCTAAGCGCTTTGTTGCTATTGGTGTTGTTCACATTTGGCTGTCCTTGAGGCGATCCTCCTAGCAATGCCAGTAATTCTGCTGCACCATTAGACGCAGCAGGCGAAGTTACGCGATCATTTTCCATTGATTGGGGAGCTTGGTCGTATTGCGAATGCGAAGGCCCAGCAGCTTGCCCCGATGGACTTAACAGTGACTGTAACAACGAGTTAGCAGCATAAGATGCATTTGAATTGCCTGTTGGTGATGGAGAAATTGCATGATTTCCTACCCCTGGAGGAGGTGAAGAGATGGATGCAGCATTTTGTGTATTGCCTTGGGTGTTGACGTTTGAACTTGCAGGAGGTGAAGTAGTACCTGAGAAGTTGAGTAAGGCAAGGAGTGGATTCGATGCCATCTTCTTTTTTCTCGATACCCTTACACCTGATTGTGATCAAAGAATGAAGTGAGAAAAGAGAATGAATGTATTACCAGAACTTCCTTCTTCTAAACGCGAATAGAAATTGTTGTTGGCTAAAGCGTCAGGCTTACATCAGCAATCTCCCCTTAGCGCCGGCGCCGTTGGATTTCTAAGCAGCGGATTTTCGGCCGTCATGTAAATCGGGTTAGGAACCGTTGCTCCTTTAGAGTGGGGGATTAGAAGAACGCCTTCCTAAGCATTTATTCAGCCTTGCAAAGGTATCTTTACCACCTTCAATTGCTTTTTCTTGCTTTTTCCAACGCTACAACATACAATAATGGCACCCGTTCCCCTCATCGTAGACACAGATCCAGGAATCGATGACATCTTGGCCATCGTTCTGGCTTTGGATAGACCTGATTTGGTTCAGTTAAAAGCAATCACTTTGACGTTTGGAAATACAACATTGGATCATTGTCGCAACAATATGCTTCAGCTGTTTGATATTTTACAGAAACACATCGCAGAAGATCCATCAGAAGCACATCGGGCGAAATTGGCTAAAACACTTGCATCTTCTCCTATCACATTAAGTCAAGGCGCTACAGGACCATTGGGCGGTCAGAGATTCACTGCATCTTACTTCCATGGACGCGATGGCGTTTCAGGCATCTCCACCCTTCCCGGAAATCCTTGGCCTCTTCCAAAAAAAGTTCCCGAACCATTGCAAGAAACAGAAAAGGCAGCACACGATGTCATCTTGGACACAATTCGCAGCAATCCTCCAGGCACAGTCAGAATTGCTGCTGTTGGTCCATTGACCAATATTGCTTTGGCATGGCAAAAGGATCCCGAAACGTTTTCAAAAGTTGGTGGAATCAGCGTGATGGGAGCTGCTCTAGACGTTCCAGGAAATACGACACCTTGTGCTGAATTCAACACGTTTGCCGATCCGTTTGCAGTACGGGAGCTCTTGCACAATGCTCCTTTACACCCTGTTCTACGCAAACAAAACAAAAGATTGCCGGTCGATCTCTTGCCGCTTGATATCACCACTGAGCATCTTGTTCCGTTTGAGAGATTATGTGGGGATAAAATAGAGAAGAAAGGAATTTTACAAAAGTAGTGAGTAGCGCAATATTGAGATATATAGAATTCGACAGCTGACTTTTCATCAATCTAGCCTTGCTGCTATACTTGTCAGCCCTCGCAAGAACATGAATTCGTACGCTGACCCGGACAAACCATTTGACCCTTCCGTCAACGATCTCTTCCAATCTCACGATCCATTGGCTGTCGGACATGCCATGTTCTGCCCAAGTCCAGTGCAAAGACTGGGTCAATTGCCAGATAATGAGAGTTTGATCAACCAAGCCTATGAAGGCTGGCAAATGAAGACTCGCGAGTTTGGTGTTGAAACTGATGGGGCCTTGACAAGAGGATACTGTGTTGTAGAGTGAGTGAAAAGAGTATGACAAACTTGCTCAGAATGACCAGACACTGACTATATCTTTCTCCCAGTCGTCGAGCACACGGAAAAGTCAAAGCAGGTCACAGCCGTGTTGAAAAGGAAGCGCCAGTTAGTGGGTCAAGTAAAGAATCCACTAAAGTAGCTCCCAAGGAGGAGGAACAAAAAGAGGAAAAGCCTACAAAAGGTGCTTGGGATGTCCTGGTTGCCTCGCCAGGTATTGATTGGTTTGGAGAGCAACTTTGCAAAGCATTAAATGTGTGATTGAAGAACCACTAGACATTGTATCTTTAGACATCGAATGAACTTCATACTTTACCTTTATCAGTGCCAGAAGAGGCGGCTTCGTTTACTTTTTGCATAAATCTAGGTCTTGCTGATAATTGTGACATTGCTGCCTCATTTGCAGCACGTAAGTTTGCAGCTCGATCCCGTGAACCTGCGGGGCTATTCTTTGATTTGCTTGGAATTTGATTTGCAGCTCGATCCCGTGGACCTGCGGGGCTATCCTTAAATTTGCTTGGAGTTTGTGGCTTGCTGGCCAGATAGGCTGCTTTCCTTCTCTTCTCCGTGATTTTGTCAGAAGCTTTCCGCTTGACTTCTCTATAATGTTTAGCCTTTTGCAAGAATGTTTCCAGCTTATGAAAAGAATAATGTCAGCCGTCGATAGATGGCTTAATGCTCTTTCGTACTCACTTCTGCACCCTTTAAGGTGAGTTTAGCCCTTGAAAGATGAAAAGGCAGGGGTGTCAGAAGATATCAGTAAGAATTTGATATGGCACCTAAATCGTCAACGTACTTTTCTATGCCTTTGTCCGTGAATTGCGTCTGGTATCTTTTCTCCGACTTTCTTTTTGCCTGCACCCTTTCTTGAACAGTCTATCAAACGAAGTGAGAATTAAATCAGCCAAGACAAGACATATGGGCATTAGTGGACTTACTTTGTGCTTTTGAATCCTTTTAATTGGATCACTGATTCTCCTTGGAGCTTTGTGGCCATATCTTGTAGACTGCATACCCTGCTTGCTGTGCGTTGCATCATTATGCCATGTACTTTCATCTACTCTATCCTTCCTGTCGCCATCCATACTTTGGGCAGCTGAAGAAAATGAAGCGAAACTAAAGATGATGATTAGGACGAGGGTGTATGAGGAGACAATCATAATGATAAGTGATGGTAGAAACAAAACCGTTGAAGAGGAGGTAATGAGATATATAGCTATTTTTCCGGGGCAAAAGTTCTGATTGTGGTGCACAGCAACGCTTGAAAGCTGATAATGCTCATCAGATTTCATCAGATAAAGAGGTGTGTCGTTTCAAAAATCGAGTAAACTCTACATCGCAACCTCCTCTAATATTAGTCCTTGACCTTCTCGTGAGAATCATGTTTCCCTTCATTGAAGGAGGAGGAAGCTTTCATTCTTGATTCTTGCTCTAAATTTGGTCTTCCAATTATTTGAGACATGGCTGCCGCATTCGCTGCTTTAATGTCGATAGCTCGAATTTCAGCAGAAACTGAAAGACGTCTTTGTTCGTTATCTGCTTCTCTTCGGCTCTTTGCTTTCTGGGCTCTTTCTGACTTTGACTCCCTGAAACGATCAGCTCTTTGCAGAAAAGAGCGTAACTTTTGAGAGAACAGAATCAGTGATTGAAATGCCAGTCTTGAGTGGTGGAGTATTTACCTCATCGCCTTGTAATGTCTCTTTTGCTCTTTACGTTGGGAACGAGAGTGTTTAATAATCATGTTAACAGCAGGAGAAGGTAAGGTATTTCTGCTCACTTTGCAATACCTTGGCTTGTAAATTGCTTTTGGTATCTACTATCAGCTCTCTTTTTTGCTTCGTGTCTCTCTGTAAGACTCTATAAGGATATTGAAGCGAGAAGAGATTAGGTTCATTCTTATATAGATTTTCCATATCTACTCACTTTATACTTTCGAACCTTTTGTATTTGGGTCATCCACTCTCTTTTCCTTTTGGCGGCTGGTTTGGTAATCAGCTGTTTGGGTGATTTTGGCTGATCATTAAGCTCGTCTGTCTTGGAAATACCGCTATTAGAGCTTGTCTCGAAAGAGAGTGGAATGATGATAGCCAACACCAGAAATAGGACCACTCTGTACGGAAGCATGAAGGAAGATATGATGTGTAATGGTAGTGATACAGTAGATTCTTGGACAACAAGTTACATTAAGACCCACGCACTTGTTTCTGGTCACAGGAACACAGCCTTAGACGTAGTATGACTACTCTGCGCCTTTGTCAGGTGATGGTTTTGACTTTTGGGTGGAAGAAGTAGCACCCTCCTTCAACTTTTGCATAAATTTGGGCATTGTTGTTAGTTGTGACATAGCTGCCATGTTTGTTGCTCTTATTTCTGCAGCCTTTCTCTCCGCTCGAGTTAGAAGTTTGGGCTTCTTCCCTTTATTGAGCGGGTCGCCTCCTTCTTCTGGCTTCCTCTTAGCTACTCGCCTTGATTCCCTAAAACGATCAGCTTTGTCTAGAAATTGTTCCAGCTTCCTCACAGTAAGGATTAGTAGGAAATCCAGATCGAAAGGTAAAGAAAATACTCACTTTTTCACCTTGTAAACTCTTCGCTTTTCTTGGTGATGAAGAGGCATGAAGAAGAAGAATGAGTATGACTCACAGAATGTCGTATTGATGACTTACTCGGCGATGCCCTTATTGGTGAACTGATGTTGGTACTTGCTTATATCTCTATGCTTTGCCTCAAGCCGTTCTTGAACCGTCTAATAAGGAAGAGAAGTGAAGAGGTAAGAGTTACGAAGCCATAGTACAAATCGTAGCTTACCTTGTATTTTTGTACCCTCCTAATCTGATGGAAGTATTTCTTTCTCGATTCTGACTTTGCAGCCAGCTTTGCAGACCCATGGGCTGTATCTGAAGTACTTTCGTCTTTCTTCCCTTGCACATCCACACACCGAGCGAAAGGTTTAAAGATCACTAGGCTCAAAACTAACACCGCACTAATTGCAATGAAAGGAGAAACCATGGTGGACAGAGATGGTGGAAATAAAGATGAATTTAGAGAGGCGAGAACTTGAGTTTTACCTTACTCTGAACCGTGATTTCAACTGTTGATGCTTCAAATCTCAATTCATCGGGGCAGAACTAGCTTGATTGAAAGCCGCGACCTCAAGAGACAGACTCTCGTTCGTTTTTCCACTCCCAATCTTCTACTTAGCAGAAGGGGAAATCTGTCACAGCTACCTTTACACCTTTGAGGCAGACTAGACTGATTGGAAGTTGGGCTTCAAATTGCTCTCGTCTTTTTAGAATTGTCTCAAGCGGTGGTGGCAACTAATGACCAACAGAATTCAACAAACACCTTCCAGGCCCCGAGTACCTGTTTGTATTACAAGAAACCAGTTCGAAAACACAGCATCACTACTTTGCGCCTTTGTCGGGCAAAGACTTTGGCACAATGGAAGATGAGGTAGCGCCTTTTTCCAACTTTTGCATAAATTTGGGGGTTTTGATCAATTGTGATAAAGCAGACGAATTTGCTGCTCGTATTTCTGCGGCTTTTTTCTCCGCTGGAGATAGAGGTCTAGGCTTTTTATCTCTAATGCGTACACTTCCCCCTTCTTCTTGCTTACTTCTTCTTGCTCGCCGTGCCTGTTGTCTTCGCCTTTCCCTATATCGTTCAGCTTTTCCTAAGAATTCTTCTAGCTTTTTTAGGGGTTTAACATTAGTAAGAAAGCCTTAGATTGGAATGAATATAAGACTCACCTTTGTACCTTGTAAGGTCCTCTTCTTCCTTTATGATGATAAGGGACCGAATGGTAAGTAGATATAGGCTAGATTTTTTCTGCTCATGACTTACTCTGCAATGCCTTGATCGGTGAATTGTCTTTCGTATTTGCTTTCATATCCACGCTGCGCTTCGGTTCGTCCTTGAACCGTCTGATGATAACATGAATAAAATCAGGATTAGAAAGCTTTAGGTAAGAAGACGACTCACACTATACTTTTGCACCCTTTTAACTCCATTTAGGGTCAATTTCTTCGATTGCGAGCCATCAGCCAGGTTCGCAGATCCATGAGATAGCCCTGAAATGCTTTCGCTCGGTTCTGTTCTTCTGGTATCACTTTTATCTTCGACATCCATACAATAAACGAAAGGGTAGCACAGCAGCGAATACAAATACGATACCGCTACAATGGCAAAGTAGGAAGAAATCATGATAGACAGAGATGATTGAAAAAAGAAAAAGCAAAGATACGATTTCTATAACGACGTGAATCCACGATGTGCTGTATTTACTGCTTTAATAGCAATGCCTCGGGGCAAAATTGTCTGAGCTGAAAGCCGCCTCGTCAAGAAAATATATCTCATTTGATCAAGTATCAACTTGGCCTTCTGAAGCCCTCTACTGCTGATTATGAAAAGTAGCAGAGGTACCCTGTGTTTCATAAAAATGAGCTTCTTCATTTAATCTTCTTTGGTCGAAACTCCATCTTCTTGGTAGTTGAGATAGCGCTGCCGCGTTAGCTGCTCTTACATCTATAGCTCGTACGTCGGCAGACAGTTTCTGCTGGTTACTTTCATCTACGTCCGCACGTCCACGTCTTCTTGATTTCTGTGTTCTCGCCGACCTTGATTCTCTAAAATGATGAGCTCTCTTTAAAAAAGCATCTAACTGTGAAATTTATGTTAGTGTTGACACCATGATGTAGCTCTGAACTTTACTTACTTCTTCGCCTTTCAATGTTTTTTTTGCTCTTCATGATGGAAAGAAATGGTCATCAACTCGAAAGTGGGGGAAGGTTTTAGTTTTACTTACTTTTCGATACCTTGCTGAGTAAATTGTTTGCGATATTTGCGATCATCACTTCGTTTTGCTTCATGTCTCTCTTCAAGGCTCTATGAAAATGATGGAGACATCAAAATGTTAGGGTGAAGCATGTAACGAGTGATCGCTCTACCCACCTTATACTTTTGCACCCTTTGTATTCGAGTTTTCCATGCCCTTCTCTGTTCCGCATATGAGGTTGTGCGAAGCTTTTTAGTAAGGTTTGATTGATGATCAGAAGTAGGTACAATGTCTTGCTCGTTCGTCTTTGAGATCGCTTTTTTAGCACCTGTACTAAGAAAGCTAAGAAAGAATGGGAGCGTAGTGACCAGAATGATGACTAAACTTCTTCCGATTAGGAACATAGTGATAATTTTGACATCATGGAAGTAGGAAAGCAGAAAACTATGACAATAAGAAGCGCAAAAACCCGAATACATGTTTAGGACAGCCGCAATACACAGCTTGAGGGACACTGATCGGAGCACTACTTCATGCCTTTATCGGGTGTAGCCTTCTTAACAGTGGTAAAAGCAGTAGTTTCCTCTTTTAATTTTTGCATAAACTTGGGCGTTGTTGATAATTGTGATAAAGCAGCCGAATTTGCTGCCCGTATTTCTGCGGCTTTATTCTCTGCTGGAGATGGAGGTCTAGGCTTCTTGTTTTTACTGCGTAATCTTACTACTCCTTCTTGTTTCCTCTTTTGTGCTCGCCGTGCTTCTTCTTGTCTATGCCTTTCCCTGTAACGTTCAGCTTTCCCTAAGAATTCTTCTAGCTATCACAGGGATTTAGGATTAGCAAAAGAATCTTGGATTAGAGCATACATGAAACTTACCTTTACACCTTGTAAAATCTTCTTTTTCCTTTATGGTAGCAACCGTTTAGGTGAGTAAGTAGATACAGGTCAGACATTTATTATTCATGACTTACTCTGCAATACCTTGATCGGTAAATTGTTTTTGGTACTTGCTTTCATCTCTACGTTTCGCCTCGATTCGTTCTTGAACCGTCTGATAATAACATGAAGACGATCGGGATTAGAAGTGCCGGAAAATTTTAAAGTAAGAGACGACTCACACTATATTTTTTCACTTGCTTGATATCATAGATGGAATATTTCTTCGGCTGCGGCCTAGTGGCCAATTTTGTTTCAAGGCCAAGAGATTGCTCTGAAGTATTTTCGCTCAGCTTTGATCTCCTAAAACCAGTTTTGCCTATACTATCCATACAATCGACAGAACGGTGGAATAGCAATAAGCTCAGAGTAAATGTCATATACGTAGCAATGAAGGGGATAATCATGATGTACAAATTGATCGTAATGATGGAAAGTCGTATAGCCAACTATTCACTTTTCCCAATCCTCGATCTGCTGAAATTGAGGCTTTGAAACTGCATTCCATCGGGGCAAACTTTATATATGAAAGCTGCATCTTCAATAAACAGACTTTCGGGTTTTTAGGCTCCATTCTGCTATTTGAAGTTATCTACTGTTGATCTTTCATACCGGCAGAGGGACCTTGTTTTCCGGAAAGCGAGGGTTCTTGGTCTGATTTTTGCACGAAGCTTGGTCTTCTTGGTAATTGCGATAATGCTGCCGCATTGGCTGCTCGTATGTCAATAGCCTGCACCGCAGACGGAATTGGTTTGTAGGTATCTGCATCTTTCTCCGCTTTTCTTGCTCTCTTTGCCTTTTGGGTGCTTGTTACTCTTGACTCCTTAAAACGTTTTGCTCTTCTCAAGAAAGTGTATAACTTTAAAATAAACAATGTTAGTAGCGACACAATCAATTTAAGCTCGAAGCATAACATACCTCGTCGCCTCTCAGTGTCTCTTTTGCTCTTCATAAAAGAAAAAGGCTCAGTCAAACTCAAATTCAATGGGAGATGAGATGCTACTCACTTCTCGATTCCTTCCCTCGTAAACTGTTTTCGATACTTGCTATCAATCCTTCGTATTGCATCATGCCTTTCTTCAAGATTCTATGATATCGATGAAAGGGGAAGACGTTAGGTTTGCAGTTGAATGATATATCTCTCTACTCACTTTATACTTTTGCACCTTTCGTACTCGAGTCTTCCATGCCCTCTTCGACTTCGCATTTGGGGTGGCAGAAATTTGCTTAGACGGGTCTTCTTGTTGATCAGAAGTAGCGATCACATCGTGCTCACTTGTCTTTGAGATTGCTTTCTTGACATTCGTCCCTAGAACAAATGGAAGCATGAGGACAAAGATGATAAATGAAATTACTCGAATTGGAAACATAGTTGGAATAATGACATAATGGTAGTTATAAAGCAGAAGGATATGAAAAAAGCAGCACAAACCCCGAATTATTGCGTATGATCGCAAGAGATGATGCAGCCTCAAGACACTGCTTCAGGCGTACATATTCTTGCACTACTTTGCATTTTTGTGAGAAGGGGTTTTGTTCACAGTGGAAGGAAGGACAGCACGATCTTTCAACTTTTGCATAAATTTGGGAGTCGTTGATAGTTGGCCTAAAGCAGCTGTATTTGCTGCTCGTATTTCTGCAGCCTTTTTGTCCGCTGGACTCAGGATTTGTTTTACCTTTCGGATACTAGGGTTACCATTATCTAGATCTTTCGTGGTTTTGGATTCTCTCATTTTTTGTTTCCTCTGCCCTCTCCGCTTAGTTTGTTGTCTCTGCATTTCTCTAAAACGTCCAGCTTTATCTAAGAATTCGTCCAGCTTTTAATTACGGAAATTAGAGATTAGACACTCAAACGATAATGCCAAGATAAACTTACTTTTCCACCCTGTAAAATCTTTGTATTCCTCGAATATGAAGGGTTTAGGAGATAAGTAGGTACGTTCTCAAAACATCTCGTACTTACTTACTCTGAAATACCTTGATAGGTAAATTGGCTACGGTATTTGCTTGCGTCTCGAGCTTTCGCCTTATTTCTCTCTTCAAGGTTCTAATAGGAAAATAAAGTATAGTGTGAGATCTTTTCTACACTTTTTCCAACAAGGACACTCACTTCATACTTTTGTTTTCTCTTGAACTGATAAAGAGATCCGATTTTCAGTTTTGCACTACTAGTAGGTTGATGTCTATTTTTATCAGGCTTATTTAAAGTGCCTTGAAAAGTTTTCGAGTTTTTTTCTTCGCCGCCATTCGTTTCGACATCTATACAATAAGCGACTGAATTCAGGACCATTAGGGTACCGAAAAAAATCACAAGTAGCGTAGCGAAAGAGAAAATCATGATTACCAAAGTTGGTCGAAATAAAGATTGACAAATTATTGCTAGGTGGCACACATAGCAATAATTGGAATAAACGCAAGATGAACGCGGCATCCGTTGTTGGGCGTAAAACGCAAAACTTCTACGTAAGAGGAAAAGGAAAAAGCCAGCAACTCTTTTCTTTTCTTTTCCTCCACCATCGTTCATCTCCCTCCTCGTCATACAAACCTGTACTTTCACTCAAAAATGTCCCACCCGCCTCCCTCGTCATAGCGCTCGCGCTCTATTCCGACTGTCTTCCGGCATCGGCTGGAGCCAGCCTGACGAGCCTTTTGGCCCGCATCAATCAAAAACTTTCCAAATAAAATTTCATTTCTGAGTGAGCGTTCGAAGTGTGTTTATAAATACAAATGGATAAAAAAATGTACTTATGAGCTCGACTCCAATCTTCGGCGTATTCTACATTTCGAACTGTCGGGACGGAGCTTTCAATTCAATTGAGACCACGCCGCTTTGTTAGCGGCTTGAATATCTGCATTTCTCATCATAATCTGAGCATTAGTGAGCTTCTTGGGTAGTAATTTTGGCTGACTTTGATCTTCCGTAGGCAGAATACCTTCTGCTTTTTGTTTTTTCTCTTGTTGCATCCTAGTCGATTCGGCGTGCGATTCTGCAGATTTACGCTTCCGTTGATTCTGCCGTCTTGTTTCCCTGAAATTATTGGCCCTCTCGAGAAAGGTATCCAGCTGAATGATTGAGGATAAGATGTTAGTACTGTACCAAGGGCTTTTCAAGGCAAACTCTTCTCACATTTGCACCCGTCAGCGTCTTCTTGGCTCTGTCGAAAAAGAGGATTAATGTCAGAACACTCCTTCATATCTTAATTTCACATCAGCTGAACACACATTGCGATATTTCTGTCCGTGAATTGACTTCGATACTTCTTATTAGATGCACGTCTTGCTGTGAGGCGTTCTGCTGTCGTCTATGGTAATGATAAATTGTCAGAAGGACTTATGACCTCATGGAACCGTAGAAAGACTCACTCTATATTCTCTGTTCCGAGTTATCGGTTGAGTATACTTTCGCCCGGTCGAAAATGACGATATCTTTGCAGTGCTTTGATCTTCACTCGCTCCTCTTTGATCTGTCAGCTGTGGCTTGTGAGCACTACTCTCATTTGTACCGTGAACAAGCGGACTAAGTAGGGTAAAGATGAAAGTCAAGTGTCTTTTAAGCATGAAGGTGGATATCAACGTGGTAAGATCATACTGGTAACAAGTAAGATGAAATGATGATAATATTGAAAATAAAAGCTGAAAAATTTATAAAAAATATCGAATCTTCTACCAGCCCCGAGCTCTCTGTTTGACATAATCAGACCCTATCCCACACTGCACAGCGTCCGCTTTCAGTTCAGTTGCGACCAGGCTGCTTTATTTGCCGCTCGAATATCTGCTTCTCTCATCAGGATGGAAGAATAAGTGGGCGTCTTACGTGCCTTTTTCGTATTTTCTTCCGTTTTCGGAGGCGAGACGTCTTTCATTTTTCGCTTTGGAGCCTTGTTTTTTTGTTGCACCGGATTCTTCTGTTGCGCTTTGTCAGGCTTTCCTTGTGTTGCAACAGATTTACGATTTTTGTACCACTCTCTTGTATGCTGTCTTTTCTTCTCTCTAAAACGATCAGCCCTTTTGAGAAAATTTTGAAGCTAATTTTGATTTGGAAGAAGAAGTTAATACCATGATGATCATGTTCGATTTTTCTACATTCTCACATCTGTACCTGTAAGCGTTTTCTTGGCTCTATATCAAAAGGAAAGCAGAAATAGATGAGTCGTACGTATAAGATCTAGAAATGTTTGCGTAAACGCACAACTCGATATTCTTGCCAGTGAATTGAGATTGATACTTGCTTCTGTATCTGCGTCTTGCGATAACACGCTCTGCATCCGTCTAAATACAAATGCGGTTGGTAACGAGAAAGATTTAAACAAACGTTTAGCCTAGCCTTACTTACTAAATATTCTCTACTTCGATTGGATGGGTAGGATCGTCTTCGTCCAGCAGGAATAGGATTGATATGTACAGTGTTGCTTTGAGACTGACTTGCTGCGTTTTGATTAGGCGGCTGTACCGTATGATCAGTGTTTATGCTTGCACAATGCGCAAGCGAACGGAGGATTACAAAGATGACAATCAATTGCATCCTCAACATGACAAAAAGGTTGGAAGATAAAGGTTGCCAGCAAGATGTTGGGCTTGACCGATAATGAGACTTCAGTAAGGAGTACGCAAAGCTCTTGAGCCCCGAAAGCGCAGCAGCATTTCCAAAGTGGTCAAGGGGCAAGCTACGAGTCATATACACCCCGCTGTTCGATAAACAATGCATACAGTTTCAAGTGGCCCTTAAGAGTGTGAAAGGCAATCAATGCTTCAAATCTAGCCGATACTATCCTGCTTGGCCTTTACAAACTCCCGAATTTTGTGATTAATCTTGATGTGAACTAGGAAGACTGAATTGCGTTTTATGCTTCGATGTAGAAGATCCAATTTGGAACGATGCAGCGTGATTAGCTTTCCGTATTTCCTCTTCTCTTCGAGATTCAATCACGTGGCTGGGCACCGTACTCTTTGAATTTAAGATTGGTTCTTTTACCTTGATTGGGTTCTTTCTTCGATAACCTTTTCTTCTCTGTTCTATATAATTTTGAGCTTGCATGTGAAATGATCGATATGCCTCACCTGTCAATGTTTTTTCTGCAATTTCTATATTTTTTCTGCTAAATTTTGAGACATACTTTTTTTTACTCCTTTTTCTTGCAGCTAAACGTTCTTCTTCGGTCTTGTAGAAAATCCTCTTCATAGGTTTAAATCTTTGCGAACTTGGATTAATGATCGCCTCGTCGGCAGTGGATGTTGCAGGAACAGAAGCTGTTGCTTGTACAGCTGGATTTGTCTCGCTATTCTCCGTAGAGTGTGTACCAAGAATAGGATAAATGTTGACCGAGAAGATGGCAAAGACACTAAGGAGTAAAATGAGTAACATCATTGAGCGTCAATATATTGGAATAGGGTCAAAAGCTTGATAGGACCTAGGAATACTTCAGCTCGTCAAGTTGTCTGTCGCATGATTTTGAATTAAGAGCATAGACGATGAAGCCCCTAAAGCAGTGCCATAATATCGACGCAATACGCACGGATCCTTGAATCGATGTTTATCAGAACTGCACAACCAATCGCATGCATTTTTGACTGCCCCGCCATCATCAAGATACCCTTCTGAAGATGGGTAATCCAACTCAGATCATTATCAATTGTGATCCAGGCATTGATGACGTCTTGTCTATCATTATGGCTTTATCACATCCGGAAAAGGTGCAGGTTAGAGCAATATGTATAAGCCATGGTAATACAACTGTATTGCATGGTCGTGAGAACATCGTTCGTCTCTTCTCAGTGCTACAAAAGCATATCGAGGAAAACCCTGATGAAGCACAAAGCGAAGGCTTAAAGAAGGCCTTGAAAAGTGACAACAAAATAATACTGGCAAAAGGAGCATCTCATCCACTGCAAGGCCCAACATTCAACTCTTCCGCATATCACGGTAAAGACGGACTCGGAGATATAAGCACATTGCCGGGAGATCCATGGCCTCTTCCAGATTGCCTTCCAGAGCCTCTCGTTGAAACGGATAAAAGCGCAGATGAAGTCATGCTGGATATCCTTCGCACAAATGATTCAGGAACGGTTCAAATCGTTTCTCTCGCCCCACTTACAAACTTAGCTCTTGCTTGGCAAAAAGATCCTGTAACTTTCTTACGAGTTGGCGGTATTTCAGCAATGCTTGGAAATCTTGATGTTCCTGGAAATGTGAGTTTTCAGATTGAATTAATAACGATCCTATGAGCTGCTGATAGACTTTCTGTTTAGGATACCCCTTCTGCCGAATTTAACGCATTCGCCGATCCTTTTGCGTTTCGAATTTTATTGCAAGATGCTCCTAAATTCCCAGCACTCAAAGAGCTATCCAAACGACTGCCTTTTGATATGTTGCCACTAGATATCACCAACCAACACAAAGTTCCATTTGCGCAATTGTGCAGTGATGCTGTCAAGGAGAAAAATATTCTGCAAAAATTGTAGGTCCCAATAGGTCTATACGCTGTACCATCATACCTCACATTATTCGTTGCTCCATTCTCATCAGCATCGCAGCAATTCTTGCACATCCAAGACAAAGAGCAAATGCCCGTGCACCGAAAGACGAGCCGTTGGATCGTGAAAAGTACGATAATTTTACCGGTAAGTTGAAGATCTTTCATTCACTTATTACTATCAAAGTGTGCTGAACAGCCATTCTCATGTTTGCATAGCGCACGACCCGCTTGCAATGGCCCATGCCATATTCTGTCCTTCTCCGATTGAGCGAAACGAACAAATAAACGAGCCAATCGATGAATCGTTTTCCGAATGGCACATCAAAACACGCACCTTCGGAGTCGAAACTGACGGTTATTTGACTCGTGGAGAATGTGTGGTTGAGTGAGTGCTGTTTCGCGATCAATGTTGGAATTCGTATTAAAGATCCTGTATCCTTCAGTCATCGACAGTATAGTAAAGGTAAGCCATTCACCATCCCAACAGGAACATACGCCAATTCTGCATCCGATCGCAATGAAAGATATCACCCGGAACCGTCCTTGAGGATGTCCAGGAGGATAAGTCGGATAGTCAGCTGGATCAAGACGGACAAAGAGGATCAAGCAAACCCTTCCTCTGCAGGGACAAAGGAGGTGGAAGCTACATTCCAGGAAACAGCAGATCTTCACGTAAACGATGAACAAAAAAGACAGTTCACAGGAGAATGGGACATCGTCATATCTTCACCTGGCGTCGACTGGTTCAGAGGTATGTTCCTTAAATCCTTGACGCTATAATCCTCAGCCATACTTTGAACACGAACAATATCATTAAGTGACGCAAAAGAGACCTACTAGAAGAATTTCGAATACTGTAAAAAAACAAAGAGCAAAGTTAGCAGCACAATCTTGTTTGTTGTTCTGTCTCTTCCAACTCACCAAGATTAACAAGATCAGCAGAACGAGAACGATGATAATACCATATGTGACAAGCTTTTGTTGCTTTGCACTAAATTCCGGGAAGCCAGCGAGATCCGCAAGCGGGTGAGAGGAAAAAGGAAGGATTGGTAGATGTTCAGCAACATTAAAGGATCACTTAGATAATATCGGAAATACTTACCGACGAATCATTTGACCAATAGTACGTGAAGATCGATCTAAATTTGAATCTGCTTGTCTGAGTGTGTCTCTGCTATTCTCGATTTGCTCTCTCTGTCCACGTAAATCACGCAAGATATCTGCTCCTAAATCTTCCGTCTCTAATGCCAATCTGTGACTATCTTCCAATCTTCTGCTTCCGTCATCCAAGGTAGCCGTTCCTTGCAAAAGTTTCTGTCTTTGCGATTGTGGATCATAAGATGACCTGCCGGATTCCAAATCATCATTGAATCCATTTCCACCTTCGTTCAAAGCAGGATCAAATCTACCTCCGCCACGAGAAGATTGTTGAAGTTGTTTACGTAATTGTTCTTTTTGTTTATCGAGATCACTTTTATAGCCACGCAGCTTGAGATTGTATTGTGACTTTAAACTTGCAGGAAAAGAATTGATTTCGATCTCCATTTGACTTATAATTTCATCGGCTTCTTCTAATTCCATCTCCACTCTTCGTAAAGTTGCCTTTTTTGCTTCACCAGATTGAGAAGGTGCTTCATTGTTCAACTTGGACGTTATTGAAGAGGTCAATTGACCGAAATCAGATGCGTAAGAATCGAATAATTCGGCCATGGTGGATATTGTAGTGTTAGAGGATGGATGTGGATGATCAACTTGTGAGAGAGAGACAAACGAAACATGGAGACGGCACGCGTGAATCAAGGCACAGACGCAGTGCATCACAACGCCAAGCCGGCTGTGCTGAAATAATGCTGAGCCCGCATTTATTGCAGATTAGGCTCAACGCTCGAGCCATTACAAGTGGAAGAGTAACATTTCTCCTCCTTCTCACATTGACATGATCATCATTCGACATGCATGGAGTAAAGCGGGATCGATCGAAGCTTACGGCAGAACTTAAAGCACAAAAGAAAGAAAAAGAAGCGAAAAAGTTGCAGGTCTATCTCGACATCGAAAAACGATTCTTTACAAAGAGGGATGCAAATGAATTAAATCAAGATGCATTGGAAACAACGACTGAATTATTGAGTCTTAATCCAGAGCTATATTCAGCATGGAATTTTCGTAGAAAGATACTCAGTCATCTCTTCCAACAAAACCGCGAACAAGATGCAGAACAACCACCAAAAGACTTCTTTGCAAGTTTGCGGATAGATGCAGAAAAGGAAGGAGAATCACTCACAGAAAAGGATCCGAAGAGCGAACGAAAGCGTCAGCTGCTACAAGAAGATCTTGAACTCACTATACAAGCGCTACAAATGCATCCAAAAGTGTATTGGATATGGAATCATCGAAAATGGTGCTTGCAGGAATTACCCTCTGAAGATGCAGATGGTCTCGTAAAGTGGAAACATGAGATAGGAATGGTGAACAAGATGCTCGAGCTTGATGCTAGGAACTGTGAGTATAAAAGCGATGCAGAGTAAGAGTAAGGAATTTACAGATCCTCTCACCTCTCTTCTTGCACAGTCCATGGGTGGGACTATCGGCGGTACATCCAGTCTCAGCTGGCCTTACCCGTTTCTCTTAGGAAGGATTACAATGGCGCTCCCTTTCCTCGCTCTTTATTGGATGCTGACCTCCCAACAGAGCTAAGAAAGTATCAAGAAAAGCTCGCCAATGATGAGCTCGCATACACGCTGGCAAAGATTGAATCCAACTTTTCCAATTTCAGTGCTTGGCATCAGCGGTCACTTTTATTACCTGCAATCTGGTCATCACAACATTTGAGTGAACAACAACTTCGTGCAAAGAGGGATGAAGAATTTGAACTCATCCGACAAGCAATGTTTGTCGATCCGGACGATCAAAGCGTTTGGACTTATCATGATTGGTTGATCAACCTTGATCCAGCTTTGGACGTTTTGGATCGTGAAATTGAATCTATTGGTGAATTGCTCGAATTGGAACCGGATAGTAGATGGTGCATGCAATCACTAGCAAATTACCTCACACAACGAAGGAAAGAAGGTGATCTGCAAGAGGCAGAAACGTTGCTCGGTCGACTCATGGTGATTGATGCAGATCGCAAAGAACGCTATGCAGATGAGCAGAGGACGCTGAAGGCTTAATCTCCTTGACGAATAACACTGTACATTATGCAATTTATTATGCTTTCCATGTAATAATCTACAAACTCTTTATAATTAGCAAGATTTAATCCGCACTTGCCGCATTCTCGATCGCTTGTCGCAGTCCCTTGATATCGTCCAGAGAATGGAGTCGTAGTCCGCCTGCTTCAGTGTTTCCGCTCGATGAAAGAACAGGAAGCGATGATGGTGCACCCTGTTGCAATAAAGCGGAATGAACTTGATCAGCTGATGAGATGACGCCAGCTGCTCCACCTGCTTTCGACAACAAAGGACCAACACTCAGAGCTTTCCAATGTGACCAAACGCCTTCGATCTCCTTTTCGACGGGTAAGTTGTTATCCTGTGTATCTTCCGCCTTTGGCACTTTGAGATATAATACAAACAAAGCATCATACCCTCCTGCGCCTGGCACACCTCCTCCCAAAACAGCATGTGCACCATCAATCGTAGCTTTGATCACGTTACCCATCTCGTCTGGTTCGACAGGCACACCTGCTTGTCTGCCCAGTGCTCGCATTCCTCCCTGTATGGATCGCATTGCATTGCGTACTTCAACAAGTAGCGTCAATGTCGTACTGGGATGCTCTCTAACAATCTTATCCCAATCTTTACTGAAATGTTGAGAAGCCAATTGAACAGCTTGCAAGTACTCTGCACTATTTTGAGCATGTGCTAATCGTAATGCCAACAAGCCATCAGCTAATGTTTGATTACCAGCAGCCAAGATTGTCCACATCTGTTGTGCCCATTCAGGATTGGACTTCCGCCATTCTAAGATCTTGCCTACCATGCTGGGTGTATTGCTTCCTGCATCAACATCTGCCAACATCATTTCTACGAACGGTGGAAGTTCCAATGGTGCCGGCCTTGCGATACTATCTCCTCCCGTACTAGATGCTGATGCCAAACCTTCTACGGCCGTTGGGTTAGAGCCACCCTTGCTGCCTTTGCCTAAAGGTGAAGGTTGCCAAGATCGATTTCTAGGATCGAGAAAAGGTGCCAATTCTAGTTGATCTGAAGAGGAGCTTGCATCATCTCCTTCCACGCCAACAGCTTCGCCTGCGTCCAGTAAGCCTTGAATTGCTTCTTTGTCAAACCGTCTGTATAGCTGACTTCCCCATACAGCCGCACTCACATCGAAACCTGAACCGACTTTACCTTGTGCAGCACAATGAGCCAATTGAGCGGTATTGTGAACGAGTGCCAAAGCTTCATCACCTGCAATTCCACCTGTAGCAGGATCAGCATGTACTACGCCTAACTGAACAAGCAAAGCACCAACCAAGGAAGTAGTCATTGCTGCACTACTTCCAAGACCTGTCTTGTGAACATCTCTAATTGCGCAATTTTGTGCATTGAAAGGCGGAATTTCCTGGAGTGCTTCTGCAGAAGGTGCGGATCCATCTGTACTACGTTGCGAATAAAAATCGTTATCTGCCAGCACGTTCACGTCCAGATAACTTCCATGTTCGTCCGTGATTGCGGCACGTACATCGTCAGCACTAGTAGCCTCCAAAGCAAGTCGAACAGCATACAGTATAGAAAGAGCAACGAATGGATTCTTGCCAGCATTTGAATTCTCATACGATTCTCTGCTTTGACGAGTCAAGCATTTATCTTGACCTTGCAATTCTACTAGATAATCCCATTTTGCGTCAATGAATTGGGGTGACTGAACACTGATACGTAATTGAGAAGAATGTGTTGTACTGGAAGATGCTTGCTTGGCTTTCTTTTTGGTGATCACAGTATAGAAGCGAGATGTTGTTGAAATCACTAGACCTGGATAAGCTGGTTCTAGTACCAAATATCCACCCGCGATCAACACCTTGCCCGGTGCTGATACGACTGTAACGTCTTGTGCAGTCATTCTTGTCGGTAGTTTTGAGCTTAAATGCATTTCTTCCTGTCAGTATCCCAACCAACTCTTCGCACGGGCGGGCAGCGTGTCTGTATGCTGGTGATTAATTACGAGCCAATGAATTTCTGCTTACTAACCCACGCAAGCAAAACACGAAGATTTTACGGGAGGAAGAAGCAGACAGGCAGGGCAAGGCGTAAGAGGTTCATTTTCACTTTACAATCACCACAACGATCACCTACCTATACACAACATGATACCGCCCTCATTACGAAGTGCATCTTCTGCACTTAGGACGATCACACGTCCGTCAATACGAACAAGGAGGTTGTTTACTTCTTCTTTCTTTCTTGCTACTTTTTGCGGTGCAATCGTTACTGTAAGCTTGACGACTATTTTACCTTGTCCGGCACGGGTTGGACCAGGTCAATACAGAAGTAGAGAGAACAGGAGAGCATCTGAAGAAGCATCTGCTTCGGCAGCAGCTACAGATTCACTACGGCAAGGTGAACGAATTCATTTGACAAAGAAGGGAGGTTGGATAGAGATCGATAAAGGAATAACGGGCAGTGCTGCTTAAGACACCTGCGCTTCTAGAACACAATTGTATACTATGTGAGTACGGTGGCTAAAGTGCACCTTCTAAAAGGATGAAACTCTTCAATAATAATCGCAATGCTATGGCTGAGGCCTTTGCCGTTGATTGGAACTATTGAACAAAGACAAAATGCTGATCAAATGTGATAATAATGGTCATGTTGCACAGAGTACTGACACTTTAACCGCCTTTCATTCCTGAACAGAATACCAACATTTCATTCATGTAATAACAATGCAAACTTTTAACTTTTCTAATGATTTAATTTCGGCAACTGAGAGGCATGGGCGTGGTATTGGTATTGAATAGCGTATGGATACAGTGCATGAGTGGTATATGGTATTGTGAGCGGTGATGCAAGAAGATAAAGTATAAAAAAGGAGATAAAAAAGGGAGATGGTTGAATTAGGCCTTATCGCCATCATTGGCGGAAGGTACGGAAGTGTTGGAAGATCCCAAAAGGCTCATCCTTCTCAATGCTTTACGCCAACCAGGATTTTCTTCATCAACATTTGCCGTATTGAGTACGGGACTTGTGGAAGCCGAATCAGCGCCACTTATTCCTGAAACAGAAGTACGACTGACGGTAGGGCTCAAGCTACCTCCGCTCATAGTGCCCGATCGACGTGCTTTACGTTCTTCGATGATCGATCGACGAGCAGGAGCTTCTGTTAAATTTCCCGAACTGCCTTGATCTAATGCACGTTGACGCATACTCATTCGTGCTGCATGACTGCTTGCACTGCTATCATCGCTCATCAAAGAAGAATCAGCATCACTTTGACTGATACTCAAATTGCCACCATCAAAAGTGGTGAGACGTGGAGCAGGATGTTGTTCGCCTTTATTGACGGATGTCATATCCGTTTTCTGATCTGTTGGAGAAGTAGCCGCTCCTCCTCCAATCACACGCTGGAAGAATGTACCAATGCTCGTACTTTGACGTTTTTGCGGTTTCAATTGATGTTCCGGAGCAACGATACCTTGTTGTCGTAAATTCTCACGAATTCGTTCACGTTCCAATTCATCGTTATTGTCTTCCACTTCTTCGCTCGATCGAATTCGTCTGGCTTCATTGGCTGCATTCGTTTCCGTCTCGGGACTTACAGGCGATGCAAGTGATGCTCCAACGCTCGGCCATAACGATCGCCAATCGATACTTGCAGTCCGTCTTGCCCGAGCTTGGAACGAGACCGATTTAGCCGTTGGTGTATCTGGACTTTCTGGACTCGTGGGTTCTTGTGGCCTTCCCAGTCCCAAAAAGCCACCACTGCTGCCATTCGCTTGCTTGGCCGTCTTTCCAGGACTGATTGCTTCCGGTATAGCAGGTCTGCTGTGCAGACGGCTTGCTTTGGTACGCAGTGTTCGTTTTTGCTCAGCATCGATTGCCAGTACTTGTTCATATCCTTCTCTGGCAATGATACGGTCCAAGATCTTGGTAACATACAAAGTTAAGGCTTGATTGGCATCTCGCAAGTCCAGGATTTCCTTATGCAAAGTCTCAACATTGTCACTCAATGCTTCGCTTCTTTCGCGTGTACGTTCTCGTCTTCTTGCCTCTCTTTCTTCCTCATTGTTTTCACTTTGTTCTAATTCGGATGCAAGATTTCTGGGAGCGTTCATCACCTCCCTTGAAGCTTGGGCCATCAGTCTGCGCTTGTGTGAATCAGATTTGCGATCCTTCTTTGTGGGAACATCCGGCACGTCATCCTCTAGTTCACTTGCTTCCGTTGTGCTCAATTCGGTTGACGAGCTAGCCTCGCTACTGTGCATCGTCTCATACTGTCTGTTGAGCATTGCACTGCCGGTGATCAATTCTCCGCTCATCGTCTTTTCTTGCAAGAGATCCACGAATGTTTCATTCTGAGAGCGCAATTCTGCATTCTTTGCCTTGAGATCCCGTAACTCAGCTTGAAGCTGTTGAATGATCTCTGTTGAGCTTGTGCTGTTTGCTTGTAGTTTTGCCAGCTCATCTCGCAAAGTCTCAAGCTCTTTTGCGTCTTGTTCGTTGAGCAAGCTTTTACTTCTATTTGTAGCACTCGAATCAGCTCCGTCTACGGAACCGTCTTCGAGTAATTCTGCCGCTCTTGGGTTGCCTTTCTGCAGCCGTGCGACTTGGCTTTGCAGTCTCTCATTTTCTCGCATGAGTTGTTGGTTGTTGGATTGAACTTTGTCCAACGTAGCTGTAGCGTTGGCTTTTTGCGTTTGGAGAAGCTTCTCGGTGTCTAGATAGTATTGTCTCTCCTTATCGATCGTATTGGTTTGATCATTGTAACGTCTTTCTGCTTCCAGCTTTGCTCTTTCGCTTTCATCCAATTGCTTGCGTAGTCGCTCGTTGATTTCGTCTTTAAGGTATACATCGTGTTCCATCCTTTCTTGTTCGCGCATGAGGTCATCTATGCGTTCCTCTCGATGTGTTAAAGCGAATTCCAAGCTATTCTTATCGTTTTCGAGTGCTGCAACTTGGGTAGAGTATTCTTGCAATGCAGCTTGCAATTGCTCGGATCGATCAACGTGCACTTCCAGTTTTGCATCCAGTTCATCCATTTGTTCTTTTGCTCGCTTGAGTGCCAATACGAGATCCTCTCGATTGGTATCACGAAGGTAGTCATCGAACTCCTCAAAAGAGATTTCATGTGTTCCGGTTGAAGAGATTTCTGTCATACTGTTCAGATCGGTAGTATTTAAGCCTAAGCCTAAAGATGATCCGACTGTAGATGAATGACTCATTTTGCCTTGTGATGTTTGATTGTCTGAATGATTATCAGTTGGCAATGGTACTTCTTCACGTAAAGGTGATCTAGGAGGTGTTTGACGTGAATTTGAATAAGTTGATGTACTTCTTGATTGACTTGCACGCGGTCGGCCAGGCGGTGCTGGCCTTCCGATTGCGTTTGCCATTTTTGTTAGAGTGAAGAGATGGTGATTGTGACGAACCGCTATTGAAGTGTATGTTATTTATCCTTTCACAACTTTTAAAGTGTAGTAATACTATAATTAAAACATGAATAGAAAGTGTTGGTCTTTTTTATTTCTTTTACGCGTGCGCCCCCTACGCTACTAATCAAATGGGGTGGCCCCCCGCACTGGCTGCCGTATTAGAAGGCGGTTGCGCCTTTGTACTGTTGTTGTGTTTGTATTTCATTTTGCCAATTTTCATATACAAAAATATCTTAAGCGGCTAGCCGTTCAAAATAAAACATCACCGGATTTGTATTCAATACGCCAGACACATCATCATCATCACAGCCCATTTTATGACGATACAAGTCGCTCTGATCATCGGTGAAGGAAGAGGCGTAATACCACAAAGCAACGGATGATTAAGAATATATGTTATAATTTCAGTGAGACAATAAGTTTAATTCTGCTGTTTTATAAATAAAACACCCGATCTACCTTAATTGTTTCGGATAATATTATAAATATGTCCGAATGCATAACAACTCAACTTCTTTTATTATAAGATAAAGCACAAAACATCTTATCCTAATGATTCGTGTGACATTGGTTATGAGATTCTGCTTATATAACTTTATAAACCTTTTCTAGCAATTGTCATTCAAATTGTGAAAGACAATCGAATTTATATTTAAGACGCCGTACCTTTTGTTTAAATTTGAAATCCCAACCAGGGTCCAGAGTGCTGTATTGCTCGCAGACCACCTTCCACGCGCGCTGCGCTTTACTGAATGCGTCATTTTGATCGACAACAAAAATTTATCCGTCGGTTGAAAGAACAGTGCAGTGACGCAGAGCCTGTGCGTACAACCCGGAAAAAAGGCCGTTGAGTCTTATCCACGTATGCACACACTTGCATGCAGTAGCGCAGATTACAAGCTTTCAAAAAAGAAAGAGAAAAACAAAAAACAATTTTCCATCCGTTGAGAATAAGCTCACCGTATATGCATGTTTTGCTGTTCTCACGATAGACTTAGACATACATGGTGGAGACTGCATAATCCCTACAACAAACAAACAAAACCCGCATTTGGAAAACATATTATAAACAACAGAAACGCGGCTGCCCCCTTTCTAACCTTCTTACCACCAACACTATACCCCCCTCGCAACAATGTCGCATTTTGTCGATAAAGCAAAAATTCCATCCGTTTCAGGATTCTTATTAGGACACAATCCACCCAGAACCAAATCGTTCATCTTTGGACTAGCGGTTGCATTATTGGTTTGGAGTGTGACTCCTTTGGCATGGTTGACGGTCCTCATTCGATTTTACAAAAAAGGTCAATTGATTTCGATCCCCTCAAAGAACATATTTGCAAAGATTTGGTACTTGCATTCGCTTGCTGAAATACCATTTAGCATTTTTTTGGCTTTCATCACTTGGAAAGCAGGTAAAGAAGCAAAACCACCAAAAGTTAGCTTTGAAACACTGCAAATCCTCCTGACAAAAACACTTACTGTTGGACTTCCAATCAAAGAGGGCGGAATAGACGATGATCAAAGACAAAAACATTTGAGAAACGGTAAAACGATCACTTCCACCACAACTGCACATCAAACAAGTAATGGAGATGCACAATTACGTGGAATTTCAGCTTTGCAAAATAAACACATTGATGAATCCGAAGCCGGACAAAGACGTGAAAGATTACGATCTTGGTTCTTCTTTGCTCCGATTGAAGATATTTATGAAGATAACGTACGTGAATGGTTGGCTTGGGCATTTGCTGGAAGAAACCTTCATGATGCAAAACAAGACAAGGACTGCATCGAACTTATCGATGAAGGATTGGAAATGGTAAAGCTACGATTGAATTGGCCAAACGTGAAACCGGGCTACAACCCAAAAGTACGTGCGATTCGACTCACTTTGGACCCTATTCGTGTTATGAGTAGACCATTGGGATTTTATGTGGTAACAAATTATGTTACTTATGCCACGATTGCATGGTTGTATGCAATTCATGGATTCCGATTCGAAAGGAGTGGAAGATGTGATTTCTTGGTCAAGAAGCCCGTTCCTGGTACATCACCAAGCAAGAGATCTTTGCCGATCGTATTCTTGCATGGTTTAGGTATTGGATTAGGACAGTATATTCCTATGCTTACACAACTTGCACGTCATAAGGATGGTGTTGTGATCCTCTTGCAACCGCATATCTCCACCGCCATCTTTTCGTCTAAATTCCTTGACCCACCGGGAAAGGATGAACAAGCACAAGCAACAATTTCAATTTTACAAAAACACAAGATGGAACGTTGTACAACTTTGAGTCACAGTAACGGTACAATGGTTTTAGGTTGGCTTTTACGTACTGCACCGCAATTGTTTGAACGTAATATTCTCGTCGATCCAGTTTCGTTTTGCATGTGGGAAGGATCTGTTTGTTATTCATTCATTCATAGAAGATGGGCAAGTGGAGTTGAAGCATTGTTGGGTTATTTCGTCGGAAGAGAATTAGGTATCGCACATACGATTGGAAGGAGTTTTATTTGGTTCGATATGATCCTTTGGACGGAAGAGTTTCCAAGCTTGAACCCAAATAACCTTCATATCATCTTTGCCGAAAAGGATCTTTTGGTTGACGTTCCTGGAAGTGTGCAATACCTTCAATATTCTGGCGTTTCGGATGATTGTATTTCTGTTTTACGTAATTATCAACATGGTCAAGCACTTATGCATAAAGGTCATGGAATGCATTTATCTCTCAAACATGCAGGTCTTCGTATGTGATGGTCGCAAATGTACTCTTTATTTATAGAAATGTAATGCTCTTGTCTGTACTGTTCGTGTGATGTTCCCCCTTATGACGTAAGCATCAGATCAAAGAGGTGCTGCTCATCAAAGCGAACGTGGACAATCACACCGGATTGGGGTATGATAACAGTCAACAAAATCTAAGGAACAAAAAGTTGCTTTCTTACGCGTCAAAGAGTATGCAAAGCAACTTTATTGTCCGAAATTGGATGGATGTGCAGTGATGCATTTAAAAGGGGCTTGCCGTAAAGGCATTCCGCCAGTAAAGGGAGAGGAGATAAAAAGCAAGATTTACCAAATCACATCTTTTTGTTTCAAATTGAAATCTTATCAACAGCAACAGCACAAAAAAATAAAACAACTCAGCGGCGGTCCATGCATACAAACCTCATCATACCACAATGCATACTTGAAATCTCCCTCTCACTACCAACAACATCACCCCCTTCACCATGCGTGGCAAAGCAAAGGCTTGGATTGCCTTATTGCTTTACACCTCTTTAGCAAACGTAATTGCAGCTCATCCAGTACAAGCACAAGATGGAAATGCAGTAGGAGGAATCGTTTGGCCTATGTTCGATGAATTGGCTTGTGCGCTTACAATGTCCACATTACCATTCTGTTCGCATCCTTCAACCTCAACTTTAGCAATACACAATCACCAAAGCCATCATGATCATACGCATTTAGACGCACACGAAGATAAAGATGGTTCGCATATAGAAGGCAATCAAGGCGGTTGGATTTACTTGATTAGACATGGAGAAAAATTTAAAGATTCCGATAAAGCAGGATTATCAGCAAGAGGAATTCGTAGAGCACGTTGTTTACGAAACGTTTTTGGTAAACGTGGTCATATGATTGATTTCATTATGGCGCAAGATTTTAAACCAAACGGAAAACGTAAGAGACCGTACGAAACTGTTGCTCCTTTGGCAAAATTGTTGGATATCCCTCTGGATCATACGTGTGATCGTGATGATGAAAAATGCGCTGCTAAAATGATTCAAAAACATGCTCGTAGATCGGAAAATGTTCTTGTCGTTTGGGAACATAAACGTTTGAGTGATATCGCCAAACGATTAGGTGTCACCGGACTCAAATATCCTGAAAAACGTTATGATGTCATTTTCAAGTTACGAAATGGAAAAGTGCATGCAATCTACTCGGAAGAATGTAATGGCTTAGACGAGCAATGGTTCCATTGGCATGGAAAGAAGAAGGGCAAGCATGGCAAAGGCGGTCAAAACGGTAGATTGATTGACGATGAATCTTGGGCTACAGATGTCCAAGAAGAGCTTTGAAATGTTCTGTTATTTTGTTACACTGTATTATTGCATCTCTACATACATATAAAAATCATATACCCCTTTTCTCACTTTTTCTTCTGCGAAGTGGTACCTTTGGGCAATTCTCTAACGTATGGTAGGAAATCGCGACCGTGCATGTATGGCTGTAAAACTTCAGGAATACGCAAACCTTCTGGAGTTTGATAGTTTTCCACCAAGCAACATAGAGCACGCTCTGTTGCACACAATGTTCCGTTCAACATGTGCACGTAATTCTTCTTTGTGTCACCTTGCTTCTTGATACCGCATCGGACTTCCAATCGTCTTGATTGATAATCTGTGCAATTTGAGCAACTGACCAATTCTTTGTACTCGCCTTGGAAAGGGAACCAAGCTTCCAAATCATACTTCATTGCAGCAGCATTGTTCAAAGCGCCCGAAACAATTGAAACAACACGGTAAGGCAAGCCTAAAGATTGATAGAATGCTTCAGAGTTTTCAACCATTGTGTCCAACATATCCCACGAGCTGGCTGGATCAGTGATGCAAAATTGTTCAATCTTTTCGAATTGATGGACGCGGAAGATACCCCAGGTATCCTTTCCGTGTGCACCTGCTTCTTTGCGGAAACAGGTAGAGTAACCGGCATATTTGATCGGCAATTGTTCAGATGGCTTATCGAACCATTCGTCAGAGTGGAAGGCGGAAATAGGCTGTTCAGAGGTAGCGATGAGGTACTTGTCATCTTCATCTCCGCTAACACGGTATAATGCTTCATCAAATTCGTCCAATTGTGCAGTCTTGCTCATAATATCTTTACGCATCATGAATGGAGCCATGATCTTCTTGTAGCCTCGCTTTCGCAAGAAGTCCAAGCCGTAATTAATCAAAGCTTGATTCAAATCCACACCATTCTCCAGCAAGAAGAAACCACGATGACCGCTGATCTTGGCACCACGTTCCATATCGAAAGCCTCTAATCTCATCATGACTTCGTGATGTGAAAGGATATCGTTCTTCTTCTCCACTTGTCCGTTTGGTCCGTCAGGATGCCATTGACGTACGACTGCGTTATCATCTTCTGTCATACTGATCGGTACTTTATCACCAACGATATTTCCGATCTCACTTGCTTTAACACGCATGCGTTGTTCTGCTTCTTGAACTTTTGGTTTAAGTTCAGCAACTTGTTTATCTATACTTTTTTTCTTTTCCATTTCTGCATCTGCACTTTCTTTTGCTTTTCGCTTTGCAGTGATTTCTTTTTGAACGGAATTTGTATCTTTTTGAAGCATGTTCAATTGATAGTCCAACCGAACCCATTCTTTGTATAGCTCTAAAACGTCTTCAACGATCGCCTCGGGAGCTCCACGTTTCTTTTGAGAAGCACGAACGACTTCTGGATCCCCTCCTTTTTCGGTCTGTAACATTAAAAGATCAATCATGTTGAATAAATGTCGGTATAGTTATTGAGGTGAGGAAGCAAGGCATGACCTAAAATCAAACACTTGACTTCTTCGCATGCAGCATAAGGACATCTTAGAAATTAAAGCTTGAGGCTTAAACGCGTTTGACTCACCCTGGCAGTTGGGTTCATATCACGTGTAAGATTTTTAGCCTTGCTGACTTTCTTCTTCGATTACCATTGCACGGTCACACGAATTATACATTCTTCACCATCACGATCACGATCGCAACAGAGTTACAAAATGGTAAGTAGATCTGGTAAGAAATTCCAACAAGATCCAGTAGTAACTTACACGCCACCTGCACACCCCACAGCTCTCTCTTATCACACCTGCCGCTTCCAGCAGAGGTCGCTCGGCTTCTTGTTCTTTGGCAAGACGGATAGGTGCTTCTAGTATCGCTGGACCATCTCGCTCGCCGCTACAGCAACAAGCACGACAAAGCAATCGTCTAATCCACACAGTCAATCCGATCACAAAGCGTTCTTCGATCATGTCCATCGCACAGAACAGTAAATCAACCCTATTGTCAGGACGAATTGCGTCTGCTTCTTTTCATTCAACATCCATTGCATCTGTCACTTACCGTCAAGTGAGAAGAGGTGCACGTAAACCACATAGACCAACACCAAACCGAGTTCCTGCATTGGAATCACGTCCGTTCGTAAGAGGCGTTTGTGCACGTATCTTTACTACAAAACCTAAAAAGCCAAATTCGGCCGTTCGTAAATGCGCAAGAATTCGATTAACAAACGGTAGAACGGTAACTGCTTATATTCCAGGAGAAGGTCACAATTTACAAGAACATAGTGTAGTTCTCATTCGTGGAGGTCGTGTAAAGGATTTACCTGGTGTTCGTTATCATCTTGTCAGAGGTGCTTTGGATTTCTCGGGTGTGGCTAATCGAACCACTTCTCGTTCAAAGTACGGAGCCAAGAAGCCAAAAGAAGCTGGAGCATAATTCTCATATGATAATATGCAATGCTATTCATGAAAGTAGAATGATATGATTGAGATATTACTGGGTATATTGTATAAAATAAATGTCCGTTTTAATAAATTGGTGCAAATCAATTATGATGATGACTGTACTTGTATGGCGTTTGACCATGTTGTCGGATCTGATTCTCTCGTGCAACGTCATCGCGAACGACCCTTTCACGTTCTGCATTGATGGCCCAGACCCAAAGATCTCTTTCCAATCGACTTCTAGCGCGCATTGCGATCACATTCACAGTAGAATCGCGCAAAGTTGTAATGGAAGCATTGGCTTTTTGTGTGATTCCGTTCTCGTTTCCATTTGTTTGATCATCGTCTCCGTCCCCTTGTGCGAACGCATCTTGTTCGTTGTGAAGATGAGGATTGAGAGATCGATTTACACGTTGAGGCCTATAACGAACGACAAAAGTACATTCTTCATCCTCATCCGTACTCAAAAGGCCATCAGCATAAATTCGTGGCAGAGTATGACGAGTAGAGGAAGTTGTCGCACCTCCTGTTCCACCTCCGAAATTACTCAAAGCTCCTGCTCCGTCTGATCTTCCATTGACTAACATATGATCTGTCAACTTTCCGCTGTACACATAACTATCCCTTAAATGGATTACCGTATCTTGACGTTTATGGAAGAGGCCGGCATTTTGACGTGCTCTTGCTGTTCTGTTGGACGTCATCAATTTGAAAGTTAATATGCGACCAGATACCAAAACGCAGTAGCGACTTGCGAATGCGGCATACGGTTTCTTCTTTGTGAAAAGCCTACCTGACCGTAAAATCGTTCTGCAAGCATCAAGGATACACCAATTCCAAATATTGCCTAGGATAGGTGCCACTCTTTCACTTCCTGCTTCAGCTTCCAATGGTCTTGTTTCGACATTCTTTCTGTGCGTTCGATGAATCAAGGCTGGATCATGTCCACATGCATTCATCACTTCCAATGCATCCACTTTCTCCCTTCTTTTCCAGTAACGTGATAAAGTATAAATCTGATTCACCCATTCGTGACACACTGATTGACTGTACGCCTCGAATCGAACAGTTCTGCCATTCATCATCGTGAGTTCGAATTGTCTGCTTTGCTTTAGTGCGTTTCGATCTGGCGATTGTTCATATCCTTCTTCGCCTCCGATATCATGGAAGATGTCCTCAAATTCATCCGCCGCGGGTTCCTCTTTCGGTGTTCCTTTCTTGTCGTTCTTTCCATCAGCACTTGGTCTGCGAACACCACCTTTGCCATCCAAACAATAAATCGAATAAATATCACGAACGTCTACGTATCCGTCCGAATTGGCAATTTGCTCAAACAATCTTCGCTTTTCAAACGCACGATAAGCTTCCGTTTGAGCATCAAGTTCTTCTACCGTTTGAGCTTCGGTGGTAATCATTTCGATCACTTTTTCACCCAACGTTGCCAAAGTATCATCAGCCCTTTGTGCGCCTTTACTGCCTCTTCTCGTTCTACGTCTATATTCGACACTTAATTCAGCGGCAGATGAATTGGACCGTTTAATGGGTTGTTGAGCTTGAGTTGGTTCGATGGCAATGTATCGTTCAGGTGGAAATGCTCTTGAAGGTCGATTGACAAAGATCAGACCGTCTTGCGTGGTGATATACAACCTTGTCAAAGCTCCAGAAACTGCTTTCACACGCCATAAAAATCCTTCAATCGCCGGCGGTTCTTCCAAAGTGTCTCCTGTTACCGTTCGTACCGATTGAGGATAATGAGTTGCCGCTCTGAATTCCAACGTGCTGGGTGATTTATGGTCGCACAAGATTGATCCCACTAGTACAGCCCAATCACGCCTTTGCATGTCCATCGTGTGAACATGTTGTACCCAAGAAAGTGTCGAATGCGTACGCCATGCCAATCCGAAATGCAATCCACGTTCTTCCAAACGTGCACAAAGTTCAGCCCATTGAGGAACAAAGTGAGCCAGCTGAGAAACAACCTTGACAACATTTTTGCGATTGATAAGCTTGTATCCTTCTCCTTCCAACAATGCGCTATCTTCTTCCTCATCGATTTCATCAATTCCCCGAAAGAGAGTTTTGACGCCGGGTTTGGTGGAAGCACGCATGGATTTGGGTGCAGAATTTTGTTGTGAATTGGGAATTTCATCCGGAATAGGAATCCTGACGCGGAATCCCAACACAGGAATGTGAACATCAATAGCATCAGGGATTTGTCCGCCCAATTCACGCCATAGATCCCACATCCAATCAGCGCTGTTAGAAGCCGTTCTGCCATCGAACAACCAGACGTGCGTACCAGATCTGCGCAAATTGAACAGTCCTCTATGATGAGCAGGAACGAAGCTCAAGCAAAAGATCGTGTCCACAGCCGAGTATAATGAAACGAATGCATGTCCTTTTCGCAATGGTGCAACATACCTCAGCTTCAAATTGTCGGCCTTTCCGATCATTCTTGAAGTCCAACTCGGATCGTCCCATAATTCCAATCTGCCCATTCGAAAGACGACCATGAATTCCCGAAATGGATCAGCATGTAACTCATACTTCCTACTTTCTCGTTCGGTGAATTCTTTTGGAACATCTTCTGAAGCTGTCCACATCAATTTTACCAGAATTCGATCACGTTTCAAAATTGATCGACTTGTGATCAAATCAGCTTCATTTAACGTCTTGCCATCTTTTGTACGTTCATCCGGCGTACTGTCTCGTAAAAGCACTTCTTCCGGCGGTGCAGGTGCTGCGTTACCCATTCGTACAATTGGTCGAATACGTCCAGCCAGGTTGGTTGCTGTTGATTCACCATTGGAGGGAGAAACAACTTCGCTCATTGTAACACTCCGCTTGCGAGCAGAAGGCACTGGGCCTCCTAGAAAGCTTACCATCTTTTGTTCCTTCTTGTCTCCATTATTGAACGAAGGTTTCAAATTTAAGATCGATGTCATTCGCTCTTCCGGTGTGCGCTCAGCAGGTGTTTCTGCATCTACAGGCAGAGAGGGGATTTCGACTGGTGAGCGTTTTTGTGTATCAGATCGAAAGTCAGGCAAAGGTAATTGGAGACGATTGCCTACCTGTTCCGGACTTTCTTCCACCTCAGGCTCTTCTGTAAAGGTGGGTCGTGCTGCAACTTCATGATCACTTGCTGCATCATTTTGTTCGCCATCTAGTGCAAGACCTGGTAAGCTGGTCCTTCTCGTCAGCTCAAAAGTCGCTTCGGGAAACTTTTCTTCGCACTCCAAAGGTGGTTGAGGTGAATCAAAGATTTCTTTTTGCGACATCTTGACTGCTTGTCGTTTTGAATCTTTATCCATCGTTGGTGTTTTAGATCGATTAATTTCTTCACTACCTTGACTGCCTTCACGAATCATCGTCCGACTTAGCTCGTGTGCACGACCTTTCTCTCTTGCTTGCTTTGCTGCCACTTGTTTTGCACGGAAATCTGACAATGGTCCATCGAATACACGTTTAGCTTTCGTTCCGAATTCATTCAGATTATCGCCTGCTGAACGTGCGCTCCTCTGAATACTGGCTGGCAAGCTGCTTTGTGCGCTCATAAAGCTCACCACATCGCTCCAACCGGTTCGGCTCTCGATATCCCAGCTGGCTTGCACTTCTCTGTCCTGTGGTACAGTTTGTAAAGAGGTGTTGGATCGAATACGTTCCAAGTCATTACCATCATCTCCGTTCATCATTGTTTCGCTGTCATGTTTGTCTTCTCTGTCTACACCTGCACTTCTCCTGTTGTTACCGTCTCGTTCAGGTGTAACAGGTAATCCGTCGCTAGGTTCGCTATCCGAGCTGCTTTGGATAAGAGCGGGCGTATTGCTTGCGTCTGCTTTAGTCGCATCTGTACTCTTGCTAAGCTCTTGATCTGTTGAAGCTCCCTTACGTGATTTTCTCTTTCGATTTGCATCATCTGTTCCATCGACTGTATTGCTGGCCTCTTTTGCAAAAGAGAATAAAACGTCATCTGGACTACGCATGTTGGCTGAACTTTCTGACGTCTGACGATCATGTTGACCTTTTCTGTTCGCATTCGTGGCATTCTCTAATTCTTCTTCCGGTACATCATCCAAAGCAGACTCTCCTCCCAACAGCAACTCCTCCTGATTTTCAATCGTTTGTCGGAATCGTTTACCAATCTCAAACGTTTGTCCAACCCATTTCGTACCGCCTGCACTCGTTCCAATCGCACCAGGGACAACACCACCTGCACCACTGGCCACACTACGTCTTACATGTCTACGTGATTCCGTTCGAAGGTTGGGCGTTGATGGGTTCTTTGCCTTAGAAGGAAATTTAAACGAACGTACCAATTTCGCACGAAATCCACCTTGAGCGCCAAAGCTTCCTTCTGTGAACCGGGTACCTACACTCGTAAGTGTACCTACAGTACTCAAATAGCTCAATCGACTTTGTCGTGATGCATCACGAATATGTTGACGACGTTTGCCCGCTTCTGGCATCCTTTGACCAAGTGAACTAGAGGGTATACGAGACTGTCTAGCAAGCTTTGCTTTACGATATCGCTCCCGTGCTCGTTCACGTAATTCATCAATAGGTGAAGAAATGTTCAATTCGTTGTATTGGGTATCATTTGTGATCGTAGGATTATCACCCGGTATCTCATTCGTTCCAACACTTTCTTGTCCCATAGAAGCCGGATCTGAAGGTCGTTCTTGCGGTGCGGCTGATGCAGCAGTGGGAGAAATGGGTCCAGTATCGGTTCTGATAGACCTATCGGATGCTTTTGCTCTAATCGATAGAGGCGTAATCTTTCGATCAGGGCTACGGAAGCGTGCACCAAGACTCCTATGTGATGACATTGGCTGTAATAAACCATCTTCCGATCGAGAAAGTCGAGAGGGTGAGATTGCTCTTTGTTTTGTTGGACTCGAAGTTGGACTAAAGTCTTCCTCGTGAACAGAAGTATCCAGCAAGGGTAACACTCTATTTCTTGAATGACCCGCTTCGGTATGAGGAAGACCAGAGTATGTGCCCCCTTCGGACTGCTGTCGTCTCTGTTTTGAATCTTGAAGATTGAATTTTACTGTGTCATGCTCGTGTCCTATCCTCGGTTCTACCAAACTTTGACTCATCTGTCTGCGACTTGTACGGTTGCGCAAGATTCCATGACCATCTTCCTCATATTGCAACGAGCCACGTCGATCTCTTCCGTCTACACTTGCACCTACACTTCTTGCACTTGCGAATGAGGAATCTCTGTGTAATCTTCTCTGACTGGAAGCAGCTCGTGATTGACTAGGATTGCCAGATCGACCAGGTATGCGAATCGGTGAAAGTTCTCTAAATCTCTTTACTGGAGAAGATGAGTTGGTCTGTAAAGACTGATGGGAAGGCAGCCGTTTAAGTGAAGATCTTCGTTCATTGTTCCCACTAGGACCGTCAAGTGAGGATTGGCCATGTATCGATCCTGCCTCAATGCTAGGTACTTCATCAGCCGCACTTTGTGATTGAATAGCGATAGAATCAAGAGACTGTCTTGCCAAAGCAGCAGCAGCAATAGTTCCTGTACTTCCGATTATTCCAATCATTGTTGGTTTTTCAATTTGAACATCAAGTGCTATCGCTGTAGCAACTGAAGCAGCAGACTTTGCCGTTACTGGAGAAGGACCGATGTATAATCGTTTGAATGGATTAAAATAATGAGGATCATTTCGAATTCTTTCTTCTCTTCTAAGTTGCAATCGAGATTTGGGCAGTTGTGGTTGACTGCCTTGTTGGGATGATTCGCCAATTTTGTCGAACATTTTGCCGCCTGTGCAAAAAGCACTATTGAGGGGAATGGATGTTTCCTTACCTTGACATGAAAGCAGATGTTGGTGGATGCGATTCGAGTGTGATTGTGAGTAGGTGTCCGATACTAAATAGTGATTTGCAGTTGTCCTGATATTCCTTTCCTTCTTGAAACGAGTGCCCTCCGACTTGATTGATGATCAAGAGTCAAAAGAGTATACTACTCTTCAATACAAACATACCTTTTGATTTTATTTATTTACCCTGAAACCATAACATACATACAGTATATGCATATTTGCAACAAATAGGCGTAATGTGCCTGTCTTGCTTTTAATGCGGGCGTAGAAAATGCCTCCACGCGTAATGATCAACCCAAACAGAACCCCTGTCGATTAACAACAACTCTCTCTTTAGCGCTTGCTTCTTTTATGACGTCCACTACATATTCATAGGAAGATACTTAAATGAATGAAATTTGACAATGCTATTTTAGACTACAAGCACGGACAAGAACTACGCTCACCATGTTAGTAATTCTGCATGTCATACAATGATAGAATCCTTTCCATTTTATGCAGGTACTTCAGCAGACCCCAGCCGTCGGCATTGTTCGCGTTTTTGCCGGCTAAGAAGAATAAAGTGTTGTTCTTCTGAGTCACGCATGAATCATGTTGACATCATACCATCTAGCATATATAATGCTTCCAATCTAGCAAGAATCAGTCTCCCTCCTCAATTCATAGACACAATGAGTACTTCAACATTACCATTCTATCAAGTAGACGTATTCTCTTCTGAACCATACAAAGGCAATCCAGTCGCAGTAACGATCATTGAAGATGAAAGCATAGCAGAAAGATTACAAGATGGTGATCATATGGCACGTTTTGCAAGATGGACAAATCTGTCAGAAACAACATTCATACTACCACCAACAAAACAAGATGAACCAGAAGTAGATTATACATTACGAATCTTTACACCAGGGATGGAGTTACCTTTTGCAGGTCATCCTACTTTGGGAAGCTGCAGGGCATGGCTAGAACATGGAGGCAAACCCAAACAAGCTGGAGTGGTGGTACAAAAGTGTGGATTAGGATTGATCTACATTCGCATCTCTGAAGATGGTCAATTGCTATCATTCTCCACGCCTCCACTACGTAAATCTGGACCGGCATCTTTGCAAGAAATCACACCTTTCCTCAAAGCGATGGATTTACCGGCAGAAGATGTTTTGGAAGCAGAATGGATCGTAAATGGACCGGAATGGTGTGCACTGCGATTGCGTGATGCAAAAGCAGTCTTGAATGTAAACGTGTCCGATCCCAGTGCAGCCGGGAAAGGTATGTGGGGTATCTTGGGTTCTTATAAGCCTGGCCAACATCCTGACGGCGCTACATTAGAAGTGAGAACATTTGCACCGGGAGATGGTATACTTGAGGATCCAGTTACGGGAAGCTTTAGGTGAGTAATAACGAGAAAAAATGCGGATAAAGAAAGTACTAATCATTCTTATCAAATCCAGCGCCGGTCTTGGAGAATGGTTCAGGAATACGAAACCTGCCGAGGCGGTAAAAGATGATAGATTATCATTCATTGTTGCACAAGGAACATGCTTAGATCGATCTGGAAGGTTGTACATCAAACAGGAAGATGACGGAAAGATTTGGGTTGGTGGTCGTACACTCGTTTGCATCAAGGGCAATGTTGTACTGCCGTGAGGGGTGCAAGTGTGTTTATTGAGCATCTTGTAACACCTTTAAAGCAATCTGACAAATAATCGCATACGCTTTTTCAATGTGGACCATTCTTGCAGATGGTGTGCCACACACAAATCGCACACAGAAACCAATCTCTGGCAATGTTGTTTGCGTGAGAAGGATGGCGTCATTGCGTGTTTGAAGTTCCTCCCAGAATCGTCTGTTGAGTGTGTCCAATTGTTGTGCATCTGTCATACCCACTGGCTCCAATCTGAACACCGTTAAAGACCATTGAGGAGGCGCAACGATCTTAAGTGGTGCTTGTTGGGTTTCAATGAGCTTATTGAAAATTTGAGAAAGTGCAATGCCTTTACGTAAATGTTGACGGAAACCTTCTTGACCGTAAGAACGAAGTGTGAACCAGAGCTTGAGTGAACGGAATCGTCGACCAAGGGATAATTGCATGTTACGTAAATCCAAAGCGGAGTTCGCATCACCTTGTTTTGAACGCAAGAATTGAGGTGTTACCGTGAGTGCGTTGGAGAGGTCTACACGGTTACGAACATACAGTGTTGAACATTCCAGAGTGATCAAACCCCACTTGTGCAAATTTGTGGAGAAGGAATTGACTCTTCTGTTGATCACATCAAGATGACACTTTGTACGCATCTCCGGTAAGGCTAAACAGACACCGGCATAAGCTGCATCGATGTGGAACCAAATATCTGGATAATTTTTGAGTACTTCTTCAATTTCATCAAGACGATCCACTGCTCCTGAACTTGTAGTACCAACCGTTCCGATCAACATGAATGGTATCAATCCTTTGGCTTGATCATCTTCCAAGGCTTTTGTCAATGCTTCTCCTCGGAGTGCGAAACCATCCTTTTTAGTCACTTCAATCGCTCGAAATTGCAAACCCAGAATCATTGCCGCTTTTATACCGATAGAATGTGTTTGTGTACTGCCATAAATGATCATTTTGCTTGTTGCAATTCCTTTCCAGAATGTTATTTCTTCCATCGTTGTTTCTGCTGATGCGTTCTTTTCGATCATCTGGGCCAAGATTTTTTCACGGGCAGCAACTGCCACGGTGATCGCAATTTCTGATGCACTACTGAGAATGATACTGCCGCCTTGAGCACTTGTAGTATGAAATTCTTCACTTAAGCCAAACATCTTTGCCGTCCAGTCTAATGTGATCAACTCCAATTCTGTCACACTTGGTGATACGGACCAATTGAAGCCTGGATTAGAAATTGCACTGGCATGCAAATCGGCCAACATGCCTTCAAATGTTGTATTACCAGGAAAATAAGCATGAAAGTTTGGATGTTGCCAATGTGTGATTCCCGGTAAAACTTTTTCTTGATAATCTTTTGCAATCAAATTCCATTCTTCACCTTTTTCCGGTGCTTCTTCCGGTAACGAATCACGTAAGAAACCTGGCTCAACTTGTGCCATCACAGGAAAGCTTTCAATGGAATTGTAATATTCACATATTGCATCAATTGCCCCATAACCTGCTTTACGAAAGGCTTCGATGTCCATTTTTCGGTCAATTGTCCCGTCTTATGATGTATCTTGGTGAGCCTTGGCCTCACTTGTATTCCAGCGGTACGGGTTATGCTATCAATTACTCGGGTTATGCTATCAATTACTCGATGAGTGTGTGACACAGTAATGGTTAATTCAACGAGTAAGTTGCAGAGGAAGGTAGAGAAACAGAAGGAACGTTGGCAGTCTTGATGCACGACAATGCAAAGTGCGCACGCCGCTCTACTGCCGTTGTAAGCAGGATTGGGCTGAATAACTGCCAACAGCGCATCGCTAAATGGACCTCAGTAGAATTGCCTCGGCTTCATTCGATGTTTTGTAGACTATTCAACTGCAGACATTTTTAATTAAATGCGCAATTCCGCTTCTATTATCAAGGCGGTGCGCCAGTCTTTGCGGACAATGCGTGATGAAAACTCAGAAATATGATCATACTGCTCTACTGAACGCATTAAACGGCTTCTTACTGATCATGATCCAACAGCATTCAACTGTGTATCACACTGTGTCGAAGTGCATTTTTTTGCATTATAGAAGGGATTATAAAAATACATAAATTACAGAAGAAGCAAATCTATTGAGCATCTTGCAATACTTTCAAAGCAATTTGGCAAATAATATCATAAGCCTTTTCTATATGACTTTCCTTCGAAGATGGCGTTCCGACCACGAATCGAATACAAAATCCTATTTCTGGCAAAATCGTTTGTGTAAGTAGGATAGCATCACTGCGTGTTTGAAGTTCATCCCAAAATCGTCTGTTTAGTGTGTCTAATTCCTTTTCATCCTTCATTCCTGCTGGCTCTAGTCTGAATACGGTCAAAGACCATTGAGGTGGTGTGACAATCTTGAGTGGGGCTCTCTGCGTAGCGATGAGTTCATTGAAAGTTTGAGATAATTCTATACCATTGCGTAAATGCCGGCGAAAACCTTCTTGACCATAGGAACGAAGAGTGAACCAGACTTTTAGCGAACGGAATCTTCTTCCTAGTGATAATTGCATGTTGCGTAAATCCAAGGCTGAATTTGCATCACCTTGCTTTGTACGCAGGTATTGCGGAGTTACCGTGAGTGCATTAGAGAGATCCGCCCGTTGACGAACATACAAGGGCGAACAATCGAACGTAACTAAACCCCATTTATGTAGATTGGTAGAGAAAGAGTCTACCTTTCTGTTAATCACATCAAGATAGCATGTTGATCGCATCTCTGGCAAGGCGAGACAGACTCCTGCATAAGCTGCATCAACATGAATCCATAGATCAGGATAATCCTTCGTCACTTCTTCAATCTCATCCAGTCGGTCCACTGCACCTGAGCTCGTAGTGCCAATAGTTGCAATCAGCATAAATGGTACCAAACCCTTTTCTTGGTCCTCCTTCAGAGCTTTGCGTAACGCATCTCCCCTTAAACCAAATCGGTCTTTCCCTTCCACTTCGATTGCACGGAACTGTAATCCTAAAACCATTGCTGCTTTTACACCAATAGAATGTGTTTGTGTAGTTCCGTACATGACCAGCTTACTGGTTGCGTTCCCTCTCCAATAAGCAACATCTTCTATTTGTGTTTGTTTAATTGAGACTTCATTCTTGTTCTCCATTGTTGCTAAGATCTTTTCTCGTGCGGCAACGGCTACTGTGATTGCTACCTCAGATGCACTGTTTAGGATAATACTGCCTCCTCTTTCGCTTGTCGTATAAAAGTCTTGACTCAATCCAAACATCTTTGCTGTCCAATCCAGTGTGATCAATTCCAATTCTGTCACACTAGGCGATACCGACCAGTTAAAACCTGGATTAGAGACTGAACTCGCATGTAGATCTGCCAGCATACCTTCAAATGTAGTATTTGACGGGAAATATGCATGGAAATTAGGATGTTGCCAATGAGTTATTCCAGGTAAGATCTTCTCTTGATAATCTTTTGCAATCACATTCCATTCTTCACCTTTTTCCGGTGCTTCTTCCGGTATTGATTTTCGTAGGAATCCTGGTTCTACCTGTGCCATCACAGGAAGTGAGTCCATAGATTTATAGTAATCGCATATCGCATCAATGGCTGCATAGCCTGCTTTCCGGAATGTCTCAACGTCCATCTTTGATGATGATGACAAGAAAGCGGAATTGCTTCCGTTCTTTCGGAATTATCCCCCCACACTTCCGAGGTCATCGGTTGGCGTGGGGGTTCAACCACACGTGTAGAAGCATAAGATGAAGGTTGTAAACGAAAGATGATGTAAGCAGAATCGCGTTCTTTTCCTCAAATTTTGAATCTGTTGTCTGGGCGCGTTGCACGTGAATATCCTGCGGCTTGCTTGAGCGTTTTAGCAATTTGCGCATTAGGCTGTGTGCATTGGTTCCTTCTTAAGCTGCTATTCAGTGTTGGTGCACATTATTCTGGCATCACGTCTGTCCTTGCCCGCCTGCCTCCTGCGTATGAGAGAAGTCAGGTTGCAGTTTCAGCTTCATCCGATTATACTCAAATCTTGATTGCAACCGTTCCATCCATCATCAAGGTCAACCATCCTCAACCTCGACAAAACAACATACAAGTCAAGATGGTCTCTTCTTCTCGTCGTGTTGGCCGTAAGCTACACTTCTCTGCACCAAGTGCATTGAGAAGAAAAATTATGAGCTCTCCTTTGAGCAAAGAACTTCGTTCAGAGCACGGTGTAAGTATCAGTGATGGGAATAATAGGAAGGGCTGGGAAGGCTGTTGAGAGGGCATTATTGGAGGAGATATGGTGGGGTCGACCACTTGACATGAAGTGAATTACGACAAGCGGAAGAAATGACGACTTTGTGGGATGGAGTTAGAATTCAACAAATGCCTCTCGAATCAGCCTTTGGACGACTTCACTACAATATAAGAACATTCCGGCTCACATTCTATCTATTCTTTCCGTTCACAGATCCGCTCATTGCCAATCCGCCGCGATGACGAAGTTATCATCGTTCGTGGAACCAACAAAGGACGTGAAGGCCGTGTTGTTCAAGTATACCGCAAAAAGTACGTCATCCACGTCGACCGTGTTACCCGTGATAAGACCAACGGTACCACTGTTCAATTGCCAGTCCACCCATCAAACGTTGTTATCACAAAGGTTAAACTTGACAAGGACCGCAAGACAATCATCACCCGTAAAGGTGGTAAGGCAGGTGATGTCGAAATGAAGAGCGAATAAGCGTTTGCTTCGTAGCAAGTGAATCTTTTCTCTTCTTTTCTCACTCTCCTACTTTTCCGGCATTGCATCATCCTACTACGGCATAAAGACCTTGCAGAATTGACTTCCGGTCCAGCTTCACTCTGACTTTACCATTGGCGACTTTGCAAGGCACCTTTATCGCCCACACGCATATCATACACCACACACACACATATGGTCTTTTGACGTTCATTGTTGTATTTACACATTTCACTGCATTCGTATTGACGAAGCGCAAATCTAACCAAAAAAGAACGAAATTCTCACAATCTTGTCTGATCGCGTTCATCACAACACAGAATATCACAGAAAATAGAACAAATGCATTAGCATAGCAGTACAAAGATTTTTAAAGATAAAACCATCTACCCTCTTCTTCTCCGTGGCTCGCGTGGAGGTGAGAGCAAATCACCGTCATCCGTTGTTGTACGTTTGCGTGACCGTCTGGAAGAAGAATGTGAATCTTCTTCAGGTGCATCTCTTCCTGCTCGTCTTTCGGATCGAGCATATGATCTGCTTTTGCTTGAACGTGATTTTGAACTTTCCTCTTCTTCGCGATCGTCTCCTCCTTCCGTATCTCCTCTCCTTCGATCGGTACGCCTCGTATCCCTTGCTGAATCCCTTGTTGAGCGCGATGAATGCGTTCTGTGTCTTCCGTCACCCGTTGCTTCTGAATCATGATCATCATCATGTCTGGAAGATCGTGGCGTATCATCATCGCCGCCGCGTTTTGTCGTTCTACGTCTTCCATGATCTCTTTCTCGATCGCTACGTGGTCCTGTAGGAATATCATTATCCCATCCAGCCGATGAATCACGCGTACGAATTGGACTTCTTTGTCCTGCCACCGAAGGTCGTCTTTCTTCTCCATCATCTCTCAATCCACCTCCTGCTCCATAATCAAGTGCATCAGCCATGCCAGCACCAGTATCACGATCGTTATATCGTCTGCCTGCATTCTTTGGTCCAGTCGGTACATGTTGTGGTAAAGGTGATTTGGCCCTGTCAGCGGCAGGACCGGTTGGAATCTCGCCAACCGGTAATGGTTTATTGGGCAACAATTGTCCCGGTGCATTCGCTCCACTGTTTTCACCTCCATTTGCCGATGAAGATGCTTGTGCTGCATTTGCAGTGAAATCATTCGAAGATTGTCCTCCAACATCATCAGTAGGTTCATATTCTGCTTCTTCATTTCCATTGTCATCCTGATATCCATTAGCCTCATCACCGCCTTCGTAATTTTGATTTTGTTGCATATTTTGATTATTTTGCATCATTCCGCCTCCATAAGGAAATCCCATCATACCCATAGGATTGTTCATACCCATCATGCCCATCATAGGATTGCCTTGTCCCATTCCAAAGCCACTGCCTCCAGACTGCATGCCCATAAAAGCCATCAATTGATCCATAGGCATATTCATTCCCGTAGCAGCCATCATTGCTTGCATCATTTGTGATTGTTGAGGCGGCACTCCATATTGCTGCATCTGTTGTTGTTGCTGTTGTTGCATCATACCATTATCTTGATATTGTTGCTCATTCGTAGGTTCCCTGTTGGAATAGCCTCCGTCTTTTTCCATCTCTATTCGCTCTTGTCGAATGCTAGTCTTCTTTTCACCCCAAGCACGCCAAGATTCTTCGTTCAATCCATAATTGAACCAATCCGAAAGATCTGCTCCTGGCCTTCTCCACGGCTTCTCTTCCATTTCAGCTGGGTCCAAGTGGTAGATCAATGGTCCAGGTTCTCCGCCCGCAGCTTCGGGAGGAAGCATCAAAGCCTGTTCAGAAGGATCTATATCAATTCTAGGTGCGGTTATTGGGGCAGGAGGAGGCGGTCCTTCAGGCAATTGTGACTGTGCTTCTTGCTGTTGTTGAAGTGCTTGTGCTTGTGCGGGTGTTAATTCAACATGTCCTGTAAGAGGTTTGGCTTCCGATGTTGACGTATTCGCAACAGCGGTCAGAGGTTCAGCTGCTGCACTGCTTTGACCTGGTCTTGTCAATGGCGTATACTCTGTAGATATGGCGGCGGCAGCAGCTGCAGCATTTCCGGCTGCTTTTTGTGCTTGATAAGATTTATTGTAAGGAGCAAGCGGTCTTGCACTATAACCTGGAGGTGGTTTAGCATCAACTGCGCTGCTATCAACAATGATTTCCAGATCAGAGTCGCTGTCTTCTTCTTCCTCATCGTCGTCCTCATCATCTTCTTCTTCATCGTCTTCGGCGTCTTTTGTTTCATTTTCTTGTCCATTTTGATCAGCTGGTGCCTGTTGCTTAGCATTCTCTGTTGCAGCGGCATCAGTTACTCCATTGCCTGTATTTGTACCTTCATCTCCATCTCCGTAGAGGAAAGCATCCTCATCCTCGTCCATGATTGTTTTGTATTCTTTGTCAAGCTGACCACAGTCAAGCTCAATGATGATTGTTCGAGTAAGAAGCTCGCCCGACATGAGAAAGTGATATTACACTTTTTACGTTTATGCATCCGAATCAAGCTTAAAGCATACACATACACACACACACGCGTAACAAAAAGCCGTGTCTGTGCACTGCTAGTGTTAACAAACATTCTTATGGCGGGAATGGAAAGAAGGAGGAAGGCTAAATTCTCCGACAACTGATAGAAGAATACATTGATCGTACTCATCATCTTCACTTTATGATCTCTCGTATCTGTCGACAAACCTTACGATCTGTTAATCCGACTTTCAGATTGCAGTTATATTCCCGACGGCCACTCTCTTTCCTTTCTTGGGCACGATCCTTCCTTACCCCAAAAGCATCATCAATCTCACAAAGGCACAAAGGACATCTTGAGACTATGTCATCTTCACAACATGCAATCAGTCCAATTCCACCTCCAGCAGCCAATCGCAAATTAGAAGCAAAAGATGGAGCTTTAGTATGGATAGATTGTGAAATGACAGGTTTGGACGTAGAAAGTGAACGTATAATCGAGATTGCCTGTATAATCACAGATGGTCAATTAAACCCGCTTGATGAAGGTGTAAATTACGTTATCAGAACGGAAAAAGAAGTACTTGATAAAATGAACGATTGGTGTATAAGACAACATGGTCATTCTGGTTTAACAAAAGCTTGTTTGGACCCGGAAAAATCTTTTCAACATGCTGATGTAAGAGCTGCAATACTGGCTTACGTTCGTGATCGAATTCCTCTACCTTATCATGCATGTTTGGCTGGAAGTACCGTTCATGCTGACGCCAAGTTTTTACATAAAGAGATGCCAGAGGTACGTATGCATACTAAATTGTCTGACTGACGATAGCTAACATGTTTATCCTCTCCATCCCTCAGCTAATGAGTCATCTACATTATCGTATCGTAGATGTTTCCAGTATCAAAGAATTGGTATCACGCTGGTACGGCGAGGACAAACGGTGGACTGGCGGAAAAGGAAATCATCGTGCTTTAGACGATATCAAAGGCAGTATAGAAGAATTAAAACATTATCGCAAACGGTTCTTTACCAAACAATGATCAGGCATTATTTTGCTTTATGTAGTAATATTTGTACCAATAGCATCAATCATAATCTATTCCGATTTTGTACAGCTTCTAGGCTTTTTGCTTCTACTTGGCATACATGGCAAGCACACGTCCTTCTATACCATCTCCGATCCACTTTGCTTTTGTATCGCTGCCTGCCAATTCAAGAGATTCTTTCTCTTGTGCATGTAGCTTTTTGTAATCGGGTTGTTGGCCCATTGGAGATGCACCTGCTCCCATGTTAGACATCGCTGCCATATCGCGAGTTCCATCAGCGGCTACAAGAAGGCGGCGGGAATGAAAGTCAGCTTTACTCTTATGGGAGCAACCCAGATCTGCTTCTATACTCACAGTTTCCATCACCCAGGATCAGTCTGAAAATGGCATTCAAGCCGAACAAACACAAGAAGTACCAACTGATACTGCTTACCCATGTAACATCCATATCCGAAGTATCAATACCACGTTGAAGCATGAGCTTGAATCGTAAAGTGAGCGGGAAAGGTAGTCGGACTGAAAAGAGAATAGGGTCAGCATTCCACCTTAGAAGAAGCGGTCTTTATCGCATACGCACTCAAAACGAATCCTGTGAAGAAATAATTGATCCATCCCATGATGACCGTTTGGGGTACCATGGAAACCATGCTCTTCTTTGCCATGTCCATCATTTGGTCCATCTGTGCTGGATCAGAGAGAGGGTTCTTTGGCATATCTTCTTCGCCGGGCTGCCAAGGAGGGGAAGCGGGGAGATATATTAGCAAGAAGAAGGACCGTTGGCTAATGCGATGGTACACTCACGTTCTTTGGTTCTTCAGGCTTGATGTACGTTCCCTTATCCAAAGCATCGGTCAACCAATCCAAACGAGCTTTGAAAGCCTGTCTTGGAATCAAAGCGAAATGTGATCGCAAAGTTGCTGCGCGGGTGATAATCCTTTGTTGTCGAACGACTGGTGGTTGTTGTGGTTTAGGCGAAGAAGTGATCAAAAGGGTGATATAATGTCTTACCAAACCAACCAAGATCATCACCAATAGGATTGGGAATAAAACCCAATCCCGAATTGATGAATCGAGTAAAAGTGGTTGTCTGTGGAGAAAAGGGGCGATTAGCAACAACTCTCTCCTCTGTGCAACCCTCTTTGCATGTTCTCGTACTTACTCTAATGCCATCTTGACGTTGTGATGAGAAGGTGGTCGAAGTGTAAAAGTGTTGTACTGTGTATTTAACTGAATGCTAGCGTTGCGCCGGCGCCTTGCCGATACCCAGTGCACGCCTGGCAACAGAGAGAGACACTTAGCAGCGCTGTAGACGCGATTGACTTTCTTCTTCTCTCACTCACAACAACGGATGATGAGGCAATGAATATTCTTACACGATGCAAAAAGAAGTGAGAGATTGTACAGATGAGTTGAAAGAGTGTTGATTATAGTGTATAAATGAAATGCAATCAAGCGCTATGTATTCTCAAAGCACCAGAAGAAAGATTTTGAATTTCACGTAACCTTGAACGTGAAGAGCTGAAAGATTCAGGTGTAAGCAATTGAAATTTAGTATCGATCGCTTGCGTTTTCCATGTTGTGGGAGGATGTAAGGATCTCTCACTACCGTCTTGTTGAGTGTGAGTAAAGGATGAAGTACGCGGCATTAAACTTTCACGGACTCCTCCTACTTGCTTCTCGTTGGGATTTGATTGTGCCATACTCGATGATCCACTGATGGATGACTGCGGGGTATGTTGTTGAGCAGAAGTGGTAGAAGTAGAAATCGAAGTTCTAAAACCGGGAAAATCATCATTGTTGGATGATGTATGATCGATCGAATCACATTCTTCACTTGAAGGTATTGATTCGTTCGCATGATCTTCCGAATAAAATGTTGTTGCAATACTTGACCTTCTTTCATCACGATATTGCGATGGTATTTCAGGAACGGGTTCGGCTCTCTCAAACGATTTATCAAACTCGTTTGAATTTTTGTACGTTCTTGATTTGGATCGTTTACGTGGAGCAGGTGTGAGAGAGGACTTTTCGAAACCCGGATTTCTCAATATTATTCTCTCTTGTTCACCTTTGAATGATCCTGCTTGATCAGCCAATTGTTTCTGTCTCATTTGAATCGATCTGCTTTGTTGTTGAGAAGGAGGCGAAGGTGAGTTCAAAGCAGGAGAATATGTTTGTCCGTTATTCTGCGGAACAAACTCCACGTTTTGACTTTTTGGACTGACGAGCGGACTTGACGATTCATGATTGTTTTGTGATCCTCCGCGTGACGTTGGACGGGACAAAGTTGCACGAATGACTGCTTTGACACTGTGTGAAGATGTGATAGACGAAGCACGAACTCTTTGTCGTGGTGGTGGTGCAGTGGGTGAAGGATGCTCATCCTTACTCATTTCTTGATTAGGTAAAGGCAATTTCGATTCGACCGCTGCTTGAGGTGGAGCAAGAGTTGTGGATCTTGTCATCGTATTCCTACTTCCGATACTGAACGTACTCGTGATTGAATCTATACTTTTTCTTGGAACCCCAACACGCAAACCTCCTGAATCAACACTTTTATCTTCGGAAGATTGACAGATACTATGAGATTCCCTTCTTCGCACAGAATCCCACGATGTCGGTTTTCTGTGAACCATCGAAGCATCTGCCGTTGAAGGTCTCTTTGGTGAACGCATGAAGCCACTCTTGAACCGTGAGCTGGCTTTACGTAAGGTATGTGTACCCAAATTTGCTTTATTGAGATTGCTTTGCGATATTGAATCAACATCAGTTGAATAAGAAGAAGATTCGGCATTATGATCCAATGTCGTCTTTGCATAAAATGTATCATTACTACTTTGTTGTGTATCTTCAACAATCTCTTCTGCCATTCCTTCATCATCGTAATCCATCGTAGTGCCATTGTTGGCTTGAGCTCCAGGATTGGGAGAATGCCATGAACCACTGAACAACCTAGGCGAATCAAGATCGGTCGATCGTAAACTTGAAGTGATCAAAGATCCTGACGTAGGGAACGTGCTGCTCTCTACTACTTCACCTTCGATCATACTCGATGGTGTTCCGGACGTTGTTCCAGTTGCGTTTAATGATGGTATGCTTCCATTCGACTCTTTTCTTTGATTTCTATGGAGATGCATTGAGAATTGAGGAGCACTCTCATATGTAAGTGATTGCTTGTACTCTTCATATGATCTTGTTTGATTTCCTTTCAATGGAAGAGGAAGACCAGATTCGATCTTATTTGATTGTGGTAGTAGATTTTGAGTTGGCACGTTTGGATTTGTTAGTGATCTCTTTCGGGTATGATGTTTGACTGTTTGATCAGTTTGTGCTTTTGGTATTACTGATTTTGGTCTCGGCGAATTGTGATTTTGACCGGTTATTGAAGATGATATTGATTTGGCTGTTTCACTTCCTCTTCTACTCGATCGACCCGTAATCCTTACACCTTCATTGGATGATTGAGTTGAAGTTGTTTGAATGCTTTTATTTGATCTTGTGCCCGTATTTGCATCTTTTTCTTGTAAAGGTTTTTGTGAGAAGCCATCAAGGCTCTTTAGTCTGGATAATAGACCCATGTCTATCTATGTGTGTTTTATATGAATATTAAAGGTATCCTTGTGTTGTCGTTATCATTTAAAATGTTAGCATGGTTGAGAGAGAAAGACAAAGGGGGGCATGAACAAAACGTTGATTAGAGGTTGATTTGATTCAAATGATAATTATACACATTCATATACATATAAGCTGGGGAAAAAGAGACGCAGGGAAGATCATGCATTGCAGCCGTTGTACCAAGGTACATGACAATTATTCATGCAAAAACGGGACCGGTTCGCAAATTAAAGTGGAGAGATGAGTCTTATTTAGTGGTGGATTTTAATTTCATGCCGATACGGGCCTTTGTTCCTTTTCAATTGAAGATTAGGGCCGAGATTCCTGGAATTAAAGTGCCCGTTGTTCAAGTTAAGAGAGAAAGAGAGAGCAAGTTGTCAAATACTGTAGTCCTTGTGCAGGCTATTTGAAGCCAAGAATACTCTTTTGCATCTAAAAATAGTGGGGAAGAGAAAGAGAGAGGGAGAAGTGCCCACACACGCAAAACGCGTAAGCAAGAAAGCGATCCGGGCTAAAACACACAAATTGAAACCAGGAAACAAACAAAGAGGAGATGCACTGCATGCATAAAAGACGCCTTTGTGTGTGGGATTAACACCGATCCTCTTCTCAATTTGCACCGCTTTTTTGGCTCAAAAGATAAACAAAAAACACAGAAAATGGGAGGAAGACGCCCGTTTGGTGCAGGATTGCATATGATTGCGCTCTTCCGTTGCAGGATGATGATATTCATTTACGCTAAAGTGCATCTCCAAAAGGGTCCGAACCAGAGCACTTCATTTCGGTATTCTTTTACTCAGCCATAGGCGGTATTGATTATTCACCGATTAACGAAGCGGATAGATAAGGTAAAAAGCCCGTTTTACTAAAAAGATGTCATACCTATAATTGGTGACATATTAATCATCTTTGGATTAATAGACCGAGACCGAGTCATAACCAAAGTAACGGAGAGTAATCAAATGGAAGGAAAATCTTTTAGAATGACGATTTTATAAAATCGTTAGCTGTTTCTGGGATATGGATTGATGATTTGAGTGGCTTCAGATCGGGAAAGAAAGAATATTTAACAGGATCAAAGCGTTTCACGGGCCCAAGCGTTCGCAATCATTAATTCAAACCCCTGAACTGAACCTTGAGGGACTGATGAGATGAGCGACAACTCTTGGAATCGAAGAGGTCTCCCAAGATCGACTCAAAAATTCCGAGTTTATCCGAATAGAACCGTTGAAAAAATCAACTATTTAAGTACTTTGGTTGTCTGTCTATTGTTGAGAATATTGAATTCCGTGAGCACCTTCTACTCTTTTGGCTGAGGGAAACTTTTTTGGAATGTGATGAGCTAGGTTTTTCTTTATAAGCGTTTGCTGTTACGATGAAGTTTGTTCTTTAGCATTTTCCTTTGATCGAAAATCTGCGATCGAACTAAAATTTTGTACCTGGAATTTTTTTTATTCCGTTACTTTCCAACAAGCATTCGATCTACCATTTCTCCGGAGGTTCATTCAGGATAAAATATTATATAACAGCTGCTTCTCTTACCAACCACTGCTACTGAAAATGATAAGACATTGTCAAAACAGACGATGCGATGACGATGAGCACGTGTAGAGGAAATGCTGGCCATTATATAAGCTCAATCTGCACCTGACGCGCTTTTGATGCGCCACGATATTTGTAAGAAGTGCATGACAATCACATAACCCTACCGATGAGATAGGTTGACGGACATACAACGCGTTCTTCAAAGAATTTCCGATGGGGGTCAATGAGTATAAAGGGGAAGGCGGCAAGCACTAACATAGCGCGAAATCAAGGCACAAAGGCCTACGGAATTCGTAATACTAAAATGCATGCGTAGCGAATGAAATGGGGATCTTCTTTTAGAAAGGGGCAGTTCCTTAGAGCAAAAAACTTTTCAATCCTTTTTACAAAAAGTGCCGCCGGCGTATAATCTGTCAAATGTATTAAATTACGCACATCTACACCCCATTTTCACAAAATAGCATGGAAAGAGAGGTGCATGTCACAACGCAAAAGGGCAAAAAGGCTCATCTCTCTTGTCTTGTCATTGGCGTAAGCCAAGTTCAGCCGATTTTGTACACTAAAAAGAGGATCGTTCGTAATTCGATCAAGAGGTGTTCATTCATCTAGTGCCGTGATTGAGATAAAAATGGGCTGAGGTTCCGGCACAACATTGACGCCGTTTGACTTTCTTCTGTACAGAATGTTAGATCCTCTTTTCATCGAGAAATAAAAGATCCCTTCCGGCACACTTGCCCTCTGCTGCCCTCTTGGCATACCCTGTTTAAGGATAAATTTGCCGTCGCTGCTATTCCGCCGCTTACGTGCAATGCCGCTTTGCATAAATCAAAAGATCAGTCAAATTGACCGGTTCTCTTCCCGATTCCGCTGTAGAATGATTTAGACGTACCTTGCGTGTACATACACACACACAGAACGCTTTGGCTGTGTAGTGAAAATATCCTTCTTTGCGTGTGTGTACAGATAGCCCTTCAAAACATAACATCGTCATTGCGTCAATCCTTTCCATCCATCCTTATCACTACGCCCTCACCTCTTCTTTTGTTTTTTACAACCCTCTCTTCAAATCGCGAGCAGGACTGTGCTTTGAAGACTTTTCTCCCTCACTCTTCGTTTTGACAACCACTTCAACCAAAACAACACTTCCCAACTCTCTCCAATCGCAAAGAACTAGCATCTCTTGCAACACATTCTCTAACTCACAGAACTTAAAAAACAAATATTCACAATGCGTCTATCAACAATCGCACTCACATTATTCGCCGTTGGCGTTTCAGCCTCAATGGCAACCGAAGATCTCTCACCACGTAGCAGCGCCGTTGCTTCTCGTGATTTCGAACGCAAAATTCAAGCAAGAGATCCCAAGAAGCATCATCACAAACAACGCGGTGATATGTTATTAACCGATGCCAAATTCACTTGGTACGGTGGCGGTCAACTTGACGCACCTGCTTGTGGTGGACCAACACCAAACCGTAACGATCGCGTCGTTGCCGTTCCAACCTCTTCTCCAGCCAAATGCGGTGACGAAGTTCATTTGCATCATGGTGGAAAGATGGTCAAAGCAAAAGTTGTCGATTACTGCTCAGGATGCTCAGATCACCAATTCGATTTGACTCAAGGTACTTTTGAAGCTTTGGCAGCTTTGGAAGTCGGAGAACTCTCTGGCGCTCACGTTCGTATCATTCCCCAATAAACTTGGAAAATTGATATTACAGCACCATAGACTTCCCTCTCCTTCTTCAAAACATAGCGTCACCTACCTTGTTCTTTCCTTTTGGGTCCAACAATTTGTCACCTATCGCACCAGCACAACTTTCGCCTTCTTTTTTCCACAAGGACAATCTCACTTGTTGACGAGAGCATAACAAGAATCAAAACGGGATTCCCCTCTTTCTTTCTTGTATTTGTCCTTCGTCCTTTTATATATTCTTACCCTTCTATCCCATCATCACCACCTCCATCGTGATTCTGGAAGAACGATACCTCTTTTTTTTTCTTTCTCCATATGGAAATCTTTCTAGCAGTTATCCCTGCATTCGATCCTTCTACCTATATAGGCTACCCCTTTGTTTTTGAATATTTTTCTTGTTCGTTTAATGCAATTCAGGTAATTGCACCTTTTTTCCACCCCAATCAAAAGAGAGAGAGACTTTCTGTGTGATGATGGAGTAGATATGTGATTAGTTGATAAAAGTACATACTCATGGGTATTAATCTAGTTTTTGATTGTGGTAACTATCGAAAGAAAGGATGAGGATACGTTAGTCATGCTGTGGTGGCTGGCTGTTGGGAAGATTCATGTAAAGCCTGAATGACTTGCTTATGCAAATCAACCGGTAATCTTGACGAAAGCCAACCGGAGACAAAGGACCAATCGCTCATCGCGGAAGCCAAAAGTTGATGATGCCTCTGATCTGCGGGGATATCATCACGCTTTGTTGTTGTTGTTGCGGATGCACTTGCAGAAGGTGTTGATGAACTTGATGGAGTACAAAGACATTGATGGTCATGTTCGTTCCATTGACCGTGGATGGCCGAAGAAGCAGTAGGTTGACCATCACGTCTTTCTACTTCTTCGGTGGGTGATGCAGAATTTGAAACGATGGGGAACGCACTCCCTTCGTCTGTAGAAGAGGGAGAAGATGATGTCATCGTTGGATCTTCTTGTCTACGTGCATTTGCATGATCTCGTTTAGTTGATGCACTTGCAACGAGATCCAACAATCTCTTGTGGATGTCTACTTGCTTTTGATGAGCTGCCATCATTCGTTTCATTACCGAATACATTGCACCATCATCCTTGTGCATCTTGCTAGGGTTGGTGAATGCTTCATCGAACCATGATCGTTTTGAATGACTAACCGATTCAACAAAATCATCCAAAGATCTTGCCGTCAAAGCAGCGTCATAAACTGCAGCATACCGTTTCAAAGGTAGAGTGTTTCCAATTTGACCAAGTGTAGATGCAACGGGAAACGCTTTCACATTTTCTTGTCGTTGTTCATCACTCTCGTCTTCATCAGAACAACTTTCACTTGATGATCCTTCATCACCACTTGCAGTGCTGCCTGAATCTTCGCTATCACCACCATCGTCGTTGTAGTCACGTCTTTCTACCTTGTTCCCGTCATTTTCTGCTTCAGTCACTGCTTTGCTATCATCCGTTGACGTCTCGGCTGGCTGTGATGGTTCAGAAGATGTTTCTGTTGTAGCAGTGGGCGATGGCTCAGAGGATGTTTCTGTAGCAGTTGGCTGTACATCAAAAGCGGCTGGCTGTGATGATTCAGAAGATGTTTCTGTTGTAGCAGTGGGCGATGGCTCAGAGGATGATTCTGTTGCAGTTGGCTGTACATCAAAGGCAGCTGCAGAAGTTGAAGTAACCGTTGCAGTTTCCATAGCCATGCTTGAAGATGAAGTAACACTTGCAGAAGGTTCTGGATCTGCCTGTCGAAGTAGCACAGGTGCATCACCATCAGCCTGATTCGTACTGGTAGCAGTACTTGTTGCGTTTGAAGATGAAGTCACGGTTGGAAATTCTCCTACACTTCTAGCAATTGCCGTGGCAGAAGATTGTGATGAAGTAGAGTAAGAAGTTGTTGAAGTTTGATCTTGAGACACTTCAGCTTGACGATAAAGTGACCTTGCTTCATTGGATTGATACGGTGACACCACAGATGAAGAAGATGAAATTGTAGCCGTTGATGCTGAAAGAGCAGTGGCCGATTCACTTCTTGCAATCACCACGCCAGGTCTTGCTGAAACCACTGTTCCCAAACTACAAGCTTGAACGGCTAATAGTAACGTTAAAGCAGAACTTGCACGATGACTACGACGACGTGATTGACTTGCATGTTGAACAGAAGGTTGTCTTGATTCGATTTGCATGTTTTTAACCATGGTGACGGTGAAGAAAAGGCTATAAAAAAGGATAGAAGAAAAGAAGAGTTGCAACAGAAAAAAGGTAAGTTCGTTCTTGAAACCAGCCCAAGATCGATCGAAAGAGAAATAAAGATATCAAAGAGTTTGAAGAGAAGCAAAAGAAAAAAGATTTTAGAAGAAGAGAAATCGGAGAAGATTGCACCAGGCAAAGGAAGAAAATTGAATAAAACGGTAATTGATGGTGGGAGAAAAGAAAGAAAGATGAGAACATAACAACGAGGTCTTATACTTGCACAAATGATCACTTAATACCTAAGGGGGAGAAATACCAACAATGTAACAAACATTAGCGTATTTTGATCAGACGATATGAGCCATACCAACAATTATCAGGGCAACTCAGTCGTAGGAATTCCCCGTGACGTGCATATGAATACGGTGATTTGAGTGATATCTGTCAGTGTATGATACAAAAATAGATCATAAGGATCAAGTTAGTCTGTTAAATCTGCCTTTTGTTCATTCAAGAAATTACCGAAGTGATCAGATGCGATATGTCTTTACATTTTCATTTCCGCGGATAGCCATGAATTGAAATCTGCAAGCGATACGTTCTGGTGTAAAGTTGTATGACGTTAAGTAACATCAACTTTATAAGCTAACGCGAAAAAGGTTTTTGATGATCAGGATACATGCTCCCTCCTTTGCGCGCCAGAAGATACGCTAAGAGTTATGCTCTATGACAGGGGTGTATTGTAAAGCCTAAACATCCTAAAGAAGCAAAGAAAGAAAGTCTTGTGGAATGCAGAGTACGTGATGCATCACTGACAAAGTGCACATCAACACGCGTCAATGTAAAAGACCCAGTCCAGTCTTTTACGCGCACCCCTGAGGAGAATCCCGCATATTCGGATCGAGTACATGTCACTGGTGGTGGTGGTGCACTTCGCATGTCCGAAGAGTGAATTAGTGCATGTACAAGTATGTGGGCAAAAAAGGGCTTGCATAAACAATGAATAAATAGGCGTACAATAAATGCAATCTTCTCAAAATAAAATCTGCAAAACCACATAATGCATACAGGTTAGGGACCTCTTCTCTCTTTTGAAAGGGACTTGGCGTTTGTCATTTGGTCACCGACGGTGAAAGGATGACAGATGTCACTTTTGATTGAATTTAGTACCGCATACCGCCGGACAAATGGAGTGTTTTGCGTGTTGTACATACACATTGAACAACACTGCTCAGTCACTCATGGCTTACACTTCTTTGAGGCACCAATTGTTCAACACAATTTAATTCAAACCTATGAAAACATTCTCTCTCTCATCACCATCATCTCAACTTCATCCCCCGTTCCCCGTTTCCGGATTTCCCAACTACTCACAGGCTTTCGCCAACAAGAACACTCTTTCTGTCTCGTTTACGTTAAAGGTCAATCACCTTTTCAGTCTTTACACAAATTCAAATCTTTTCGACTTCTTTTTCTCTTTCCCCCCATATATTTTCAATCATGTTCCGCTCCGCTTCTGCATTAATTGCCATTGTTTTGGCTGCAACAACAGCTGTTCAAGCACAAGATAAGCCCACTTTCTCCGTCACAAACTTGCCCGATAAATGGGAAAGTGGTCAAACAGGTACAAATTCTTGTGCTAAATATAAGCCATCCTCTCAAACAAGTCCTTGTCAAAACGTTTTCATCAACTCCGTTCAAGATTTCTGTCTTTGGGGTCCACCAGGCGGTCATGAAACAATCGGTGACGATGAAGCATTGGTCGTCTCATACTGCACAAAGACCGGTTACGGTACACGTTTGATCCCTGACGGCACTTTGAAGGGTGCTCATTTCATCAAAACAAACGACTTCGTTCAAGTTACTGGATATGGTGACTTCACCTCTATTCACATCAAGAAGAAGGATGAAGGTGGTGAATTAGACCCTCACGGAGCTGATGGCCGTGGTAACCCACACGGTGGTTTGGTCTTCTCACGTAACGTGAAAGGCCAAGAAGGTAAATGGGTCCAACTAAAGGAATGGTCCAACTTTATGAGCGCAACTGAATTCTCAATTCGTGCTTGCTACGGTGATAATGCAACAAACTATTGCCCTCACACTTTGGATGAAATGGGAAGTCAATTCAACCACCCAGGTAGCTACGCCAAGGGATCATTCGACAACTGTGATGCCAACTCCGGTCACTTCCCAGCCGTCTTCCACGGATCTACTTTCCACCAAGGTGACAAGAACACACCAAGTGGACACAAACCAGGTGCTTCTTCCAACTGCAAGCCAGTCCAAACTGTTAAGAACGGACCAGCCAAGCAAACGCCTTACCGTCGATCAGAGCCAATGAGAGCTGAATTTGAGGATGCAGAATAAATGAATAAAGATTGCTCTGCTTTTCTTTATGGACGATTACAACATTTATTCTTATCATAATCATCATCTTATTTGAACTTTGCATTTGAAAAACCTACTTTAGCACACCCCACGTATTCACTTCTTTCATTTGATCCCTGGGAACATTTGTCCTTTTATTGACAATATATTTTTATCAACCATACTTTTGCTTGTGTGATATGATTGCTCCGCGTCTCGACAAGTGGGCCGGTTTTGAAAGACTTACGCCCAGATCAAGACGCCTGCTTCTCTTTCCGTCATGCTATTCTTCCGGATGCGTAGGGAGTCAAAGACGGCAAATCCCCTTGACAAAAAGTGAGATGAGGCACAAGTGAATCCTGACAGAATAGGGACACCGCTTTTCTTGGAAAAAGTGCTTCGGGGGCAAAAGAAGGGAGAAGGAGTGAAATTGAACTGCAAGAGAAGGCGTTGTTCGCGGTACCGTAAATGCAAAAGAAGGATACGGGCCGAATTGATGTTTTCAATACCAACAGACCCTATTTTTGGTTCATTCGGCTCCCCTCTTCTGTCTTTTCTCCAATCTTACTTTTGCTCCTCAATAAGTATTTAATCCTTGCCCTTTTTGACATCCATTTAGCCCTTTTCCCCCTTCACCTTTCTCGCAACGCCATCTTCAGCCTTTCTTACCCCACGTTCTCTCATTCACCAACTGATCACTGGCACACGCCTACACTACAGTCATTTCGATCTCAAGTATTCCTTTTTCTCCTATCTTTTCAATCATGTTGCAATCAACTTTTGCCCTTTTCACTTTAGTCTTAGCATCAAGTTCAGCATTGATTCGCGCACAAGAAAAGCCAACATTCAACATTACAAATTTACCCGATAAATGGGAAGACGGTCAATACGGTTCAAATCAATGCGGTAAATGGAAACCACATTCACAAAGAAGTCGTTGTCAAAACGTTTACGTGAATTCCGTTCAAGATTTTTGTTTATGGGGTCCACCACGTGGACAAGAAGAAATTGGTGAAGTTGAAGATAGAACGGTTTCTTATTGTACGAAAAGTGGTTATGGAACAAGAATTTTTCCTCCTGGAACACTTAAAGGTGCACACTTTATCAAAACGAAAGATTTTGTTCAAGTTACCGGTTATGGTGATTTTACCTCCATTCATGTCAAAGCTGGTGATGAAGGAGGTGAATTAGACGCCCATGGTGCTGATGGACGTGGAAATCCTCATGGCGGTTTGGTATTCACCCGAAATGCAAAAGGTTATGAAGGTAAATGGATTCAAAGCAAAGAATGGTCAAATTTCATGAGCGCCACGGAATTTTCCATTCGAGCATGTTATGGTGGAAACGCCACGAATTATTGCCCTCACATTTTAGATACGACGGGCAGTCGCTTTAACCATCCGGGAAATTATGATCTTGGCTATTACGATAACTGTGAAGCTGAATCAGGTCAATTCCCTTTGATCTATAACGGTAAACCGTTCCAACAAGGTGACAAGCCAATCCCAAAAGCACACAAGCCCGGCAGAAGATTCAACTGTCGTAGAGTTAGCCCGCCAAAGAGCTTACCTGCACGCAAATTCCCTTATCGCCGCTCGATGGACGATGACGAGACAGAATTTGAAGATGCTGAATAATATTAAATTGGACAATGCCTCTTTCCTCTTTCACTCACCGTACATACTTCTTGTTCACCTTTTTCTCTTTAGCGTTACCCCTTTTTTCCTTATCCACACTCTTTCTTATGCTACTTTGCCACTATTATTCTGCCTTTTCTTCAATTTGACATCTTCTCTTTCACGTAAAGCTGTGCAGAACAATAGCCGAGTAAGAATTGCTGCTATGATAAAGTCTTGACATTTTACTCTGTGCATTTTTATCTCCCCGGTGATAGTATGCGATCTTTACGCCCTTTGCTCGTTTGGGAGGGGGCGGTGTTAATGAGCTCATGAGTTCTCAATGCTGTTTCAAATCTTGACAAAATATAGGGCAAGGGGCAAATGAATGGACGAAAGTGGCGCTCGCCATTTAGGCCCTGTGCTCGCTAGAGAGGAAATGTGGGTCAGTGAAAGAGGGGCAAAATAAAGAAAGGCATCCAGGAGGATAATTCACACTCGTTCATTTGACCCTTTCCCACTTCATTCCATCTTAACATTGACTAGTCCCACTCTTCACCGTTGATTGCAGTGTCATCTTCAGCCTTGTACTCCTACTCATGATGTACTCCCTACCTGAATACACAGCATTGGGTCTCCTTAGTATGCTGAGCCTCACAACGTATTTAATGTCTCGAATCTACAACGGAAGCTTTCCCCTTCCCTTCCTTCATCTCCCAGACAATTTCAACCATCATGTTACGTTCAAGTATTGCATTGATTGCCATCTTTGTAGCGTTAGCAGGTTATACAAACCTCGTCAAAGCACAAAAGAAACCAACTTTTAACGTTACAAATTTACCCGATAAATGGGAAAAAGATCAATACGGATCAAACAAATGTGAAAAATGGAAGCCATCAAGTAACGAAAGTTTATGTCAAAACGTTTTCATTAATTCAGTTCAAGATTTCTGTTTGTGGGGTCCACCAAAAGGTCAAGAAGAAATTGGTGATGATGAAGCAATCGTGGTTAGTTATTGCACAAAGAGTGGTTATGGTACCCGTTTGATTCCCGAAGGTACACTCAAAGGAGCTCATTTTATCAAAACGAAAAATTTCGTTCAAGTTACCGGTTATGGTAATTTCACTTCAATTCACATCAAAGCCAAAAATCAGGGTGGTGAATTAGATCCTCACGGAGCTGATGGCCGTGGTAATCCACACGGTGGCTTAGTCTACACCCGTAACGCCAAAGGACATGAAGGCAAATGGCTTCAAATTAAAGAATGGTCAAACTTTATGAGCGCGACCGAATTCTCAATTCGTGGTTGTTATGGCCAAAATGCGACTAGCTATTGCCCCCATACCTTAGATACAATGGGCAGTAGATTCAATCATCCGGGCAATTATGATAAAGGATCCTTCAGTAATTGCGAAGCTGAATCAGGTGAATTCCCAGCAATCTTTAACGGCAAAGAATTCCATCAAGGTGATAAACCAGTTCCAAAGCCTCACTTGCCAGGCAAGACCTTCAATTGTCACAAAGTTGGTCCACCAAAGAATAATTTGGCCAAAAAATTACCTTATCGTCGTTCGGAACCCGTTCGCTTAGATTTTGATAATCTCATTTAGGCCACTTCATCTTTTTCATAATGTCCAATATCTGATTCGTCTATTCGTATGATTTATACATTTTTTCATCATTGAATCGCCTTTGATCGATAGAGTAGGATATAGGCAACACTATCTTCACCACCACCATCAAGCGACGAAATCTTGTCTCTTGGTACAACAGTCACCTTTTCGTCATCAAACTTGTACCATTCCTCCTCTGCAGGCGTGCGATCCGAGATGCCGGTTGAGCTACCTGCTTCCGTCTTTTGTTCATCTTCTTTGCGTACCCAACTGATATAATGTCCTGCATCTGCTGCAGCACCTTTGTGGGTCACAATACCCACAAGTTCGTATAATCCACTCACATTGCAACCCACATCCTCACGCAAAGAAGGATGAATGGCTTCTTGAGCTTCCTTGCTCTCCTTTTCTCGCAATCGCATTTCTTCCTCTTCCGACAATGCAGCTCCTAGCTTGGGCGCATCAGATGCCGATTTCATCACATCATCCCCACTTGGATCGACGGCCATTGGATCTGCTGGACGAGGTGCATCGGCACTTGCAGTTCCCGTCGTTGCTGCGCCAGCTTGTGCTGATGATCCAGGCAGAGCTTCCTCCTTCTTGGCTCTCACCTTTCTACGGATCTTGGCACGTTCCTCACGTTCCTTGCTGATTTCGTTGATCTTGTTCTTTGCAGGTAAGACTTTCGATTTCAAATCATCCGACAAAAACTGTGTGACATCCAAATCGAATGGAAATTTCACTTTACGCATAATTTTTGTCTTCTTTCCAATATCACGACGCCAATAGAATCGGACAAAATGTACGGTCAAGTAGGCCGGTAGTCTGTCAATTCTTTGTTGCTCGTTATAGACAGCCAATCGACCCAATGAAGAGGAGTTCTTTTCGATTTGCTGATTAAGCGAATCCATAATACCCGACAGCATCTCATTTGTGGAAGATGAGATATTGCATTGCAAAACACGGAAGCTGTCGCTGCTGAAAGTTGGCTCCTCGGTTGGCGCTTCAGGACTTGATCTTTTGATTGCCATTCGTCCGGTCAAGAATTGTTCAACAAAATTTGCAGCAGGAATTCCGGAAGCACTACCACCTTCCAAAGACGATGGTTGAGACAATCCTTTTAGAGAGCCTTGTAATGCAGTCACCAGTCTTACCCATGCTTCTTCGGCATCTTGTTGGGCGTAACCTCTTCCGCCTGCACCTGAAGTCATTTCGGCGAATTGCGGTGCAACTTGACGTAAGATCGTCAGCAGAGCCAGGGGCGGGAAAGCTTCGCTGGTTTCTCCCATAGATCCATATAAATCCCGCAAAGCAGCCGTCAAATTTGATTCTCCATCTGCACTGCCCATTGTACCCTTGAAATCGTTGAGTGCTGTTTGTAGCTCAGGAATAGCCCGAAGGACTTGCAAAGTTGAATTGAGGTAGCATGTGTTTCCCAAATTTGTCAATCCAACCTTTGTCTTTGTTGCTTGTGCTAATTGAGCGTCTGTCATATCTTCCAAGAATGTCACTGGTCCTGTAGGTGCTTTTGGCAATTCTCCAGCTGTACCGATGACCATGAATGTTTGACCTGCACGAGCATTTATTTTTGTAAGATCGGAATCATCTTTTAACATTCCACCTTTGATCATCACCTTTTGTCGATCTAATGGAACGCCAGTCTTTTCATAAATTGCCTGTTTGAAAGCTGTGGCCGGTTGAGATGGATCAAGATTAACATCATGAATCTTGCCATTATGCTTCACTTTTACCGCGATGGCAGACATTTTCGGCATCTATGTTGCTTTCTACCGGGATGATGAATGCCAAAAAAGAAGAATTGCTTCCAATGCCATTTTGTGTTTGTCATTCAGGTGGAGCGTGCATTGATGCTTTATTCCGATTGAATGAATAAGACGCGCGTATACAACACTATGAATATGAGTGTGGCGAAGATTGATCCACGTGTGTGTGTGTGTGTGTGTGTGCAGTACACGACGCGCCCTCTCGATTTTTGTATTTGGCGCGTAAATTATAACACCAACACATTTCCTGCAGGCAAGAATAACGTGTTGGACTTTCTCACTTCTGCGCTGCAGCTGGCACTGCGCCCTTGTGGCTCAGCTCAGCGTGTCTCCTTCTCATCACGTCTACTTCATTTCACTCTCATCATTCCACATCATCACATCTTCAAGTGCACGCTGCTTAGCAGCAAAGCCTGCAATTCAACATGTCAAGAGGATCAAAAAGAAGACAACCTCACGATGAAGATGAAGAAGATGAACATCAAACCTTGAGCGGTTCTGGCTCTCGTGCAAGTCTAAGTTCACCTTCTGCTTCTAAACGTCAAAGAGGTACAAACGGTAGCATACATACTACTTCAAATGGCGTATCAAACGATATGGCAAGTCAAGACAGTCAAAATGAAGAATCTGAAGCGGACGAACTGATGAGCAATGATGGAGAAGGTGATGAACAATCAGACGAGGAAGAGGAAGATGATGACGAAGAGGAAACAGCAAGAGTAAGAGAAGAGGTAGAACGTGAAAGAGGAAGTACATCAAAGACGCCACCTATGGCTGGAGTATTGGAACGCGTGGACATGGTCAATTTCATGTGTCACGATCGTCTTACTATCGATCTGGGACCTCAATTGAACTTTATCATCGGTCACAATGGTAGTGGAAAAAGTGCAATCTTGACCGCTATCACGATTGCATTAGGTGCCAAAGCATCTTCAACATCCAGAGGAAGCTCAGTAAAGTCATTCGTCAAGCAAGGCAAATCCCAGGCTATCATCGAAGTGAGAATCAAGAATGCAGGTATTGATGCATACCAGCATGATCGCTTTGGAGATAGAATCATTGTTGAACGTGTCATTCGAGCAGATGGAGGTGGAGCATGGAAGATCAAAAATTCAACCGGTCATATCGTCTCAACAAAGCGTGAAGAGCTTGACAATATTTGTGATCATTGTAACATTCAAGTCGACAATCCCTTGAACATTCTCACGCAAGATTCTGCTCGTCAATTTTTGACTAGTTCTAGTCCAGCTACTATGTATGACTTCTTCCTGCGAGGTACGCATTTGAGCCAACTCTCAAACGAATACGACGTCATCCAGTACAATATCGATCGCATTCACTCTTCCATTCTGCAAAAGAGGGAAAGCGTTCGAGAGCTCCATGCCACGGCGCAAGAAGGAGAAGAGCGTTACAATATCCTTAAGAATGCACTTGAGCAACAACGAGGCTTAAATGATTTGAAGAATGAAGTGGTCTGGTCACAAGTGCGAGAGAAAGAGGAAGAAATGAAGGAGGCAGCTGTGGCGCTCGAACGAAGCAAAATAAAAAAGGAAAGAGTTCAAGCTGAAGTGGCAGCATGCGAGGAGAAGATCAGAGCACACGAAGACGAGCTTGAGCGTCTGGAGCAACAAATGAACATTCAAAAAAACGAAGATACACCTTTGCGAGAAGAGCGCTCTCAATTGAAAACTACGATAAGTGGATTCACGACAGATCTGCGCAGGTTGACAGACACTATACAGGCGTTCAACGCACAATTTTCTCGAGCAGATGCACAAATCAAAGATACGACTGATCGGATCGAAAAAGAAGAGCGAGATGCTGCAGGCGGGCGTGATTCTAGAAGAAATGCTTTGCTAGACCGCCGCAAACAGTTGGAGCTCGAGCGCAAAAAGATTGAGAAACAAATTGGGGAGCATCAAGACCGTTTTCTAGAACTTGACGATGAGATAAACAGGGTCAGCCATGAAAAGGGAGAGCAAGAAAAACTACGCGATCAAACCCGGAAAACAATTGGCACCTTGGAGTCCCACATCAGAGAATTGAAATCGGCCAAATTGAACCATTTAGCAGCATACGGTCCGAATATGCCCAAATTGATGGATTTAGTCAGAGCAGAAACGAGATGGCGTGGAAAAGTAGTCGGTCCCATCGGCTCAAAAGTCAGACTTAGCAGGCAGAACCAGAAGTGGGCACATGTCCTGGAAAGCGTGATCGGAAACACTCTCAATGCATTCTGTGTGACCAATCATCACGATATGAATCTGCTTCTGAGCCTCAAAGAGCGAGCAAATTGCAGAGAGGTTACCATCATCACCGGATCGGAGGAAATGTTTGATTTCACATCCGGAGAACCAGATGAAGACATTTTGACCGTTTTGCGCGTGTTGGACATCGAGGATGAATTCATCAAACGTCAATTGATCAATGCGATTAGCGTTGAACGTTGCGCGTTAGTGGAAAAGCGTGTAGATGGTGACCGTCTATTGCGAAGTCGACCAAAAAATGTAAGAATGGCATATTCTTCCGATCTCTTCCGCTTGCAATTCAGCGAAGCGGGTAGCAGCACACAAACTCTTCAACCTTACAGAGGCCCACCACGTCTATCTGCTGATGTAGATGAACAATTGGCAAGAGCTACACGTCAGAAGCCCGAGCACGAGTTTGCACTACAGAACATACAAAGGGAGATTGAACGACTGAGGAACGAATTGGTCCAATTACAAGAGGAGAAACAAACCCTTCGCACTCGTCTTCCCGAATTGAAAAGACAGGCGCAAAGCAAGCACAGTGAAGAAGAAAGAGTGGGAGAGGATTTGCATCAAGATCAGCCTACAAATATTGCCGCATTGAGAGAGGCACTGGTCGAATTCGAAAGATCACGCGAGGAGATCAATGAAAGATTCAATGTCTGCTTTGAGGAAAGAAGAGAAATGGAAGAGAAGATTGCTCCTTTCTTGAAGCGAAGGAAGGAAGTCGAACAAATTCTAAGGACCAGAGAAGCAGAACGAGAAACTGAAGATCCAAAGATGCATGATGCTGCAGAGAATAGGATGAAGGAGAACAACAACCACATGCACTACCTTAAAAAGCTTGGTGAAAGTGATGCAAAGGTACGAGATCGTGAAAAACACCTGAATATCCTTGAACGTCAATACAAGCAATATCTAGATGATGCAAGAAAATTCTGTCCTCAAGTAGAACTTCGAAAGAAGCCAGACACAGATGAATTCTTGACCACAGAAGAGTACAACAAATTGATCGCAGCAACAGAAGCCAAAGTCAAACGTGCGGCACAGCAAGAAGGCAATGACATCGAAGCAATCGCAAGGGAAGTTCGACAACGTCAAGGTGCATATGCAAACGCAATGGAGGAAATGAAAGCTTTCCAGGCAACGCGTAAACTTTTGAAAGATGCATTGGCGATTCGTGTTTCGAAATGGTTCCATTTCCGTCGTCATATCGCTTTGAGATCCAAGAATAATTTCAGTCATTATTTGTCGATTCGAAAATATGAAGGTACTTTGAAATTCAAACATGAACAAGGTCGATTGTCATTAAGTGTCAAAACTGATGCAGCTCTCGGATCAGAAGGCGATAAAGATCCACGATCATTGTCAGGTGGTGAAAAGTCATACAGTACAATTTGTCTTTTGCTTTCTCTCTGGGATGCAATCGGAAGTCCGATCCGTTGCTTGGACGAATACGATGTTTTCATGGACGCCGTTAATCGACGTGTCTCCACAAAGTTGATCGCCGATGCAGCAAAGAAGAGCGTTGGTGTACAATATATTCTCATTTCGCCCAATAGCATGCAACATGCTGCTTTGGGACCTGAAGTTCGCATTCATCGTTTGCAAGATCCAGAACGCGGTCAAACTACTCTTTGATGATCAAAATACAACATGCGTCTATATACCTGTGATATTATGCTAATCTTTTCATGTACAGTAATGCCTATTTTTCCATGATTGATGATAACAGAGATGATTCAATTGTAGCTGAGATGTCTTGACGTGTGAAGAAGTAAAGGGCAAACAGTAAACTTTGGGGTTGTACTCTGACACATGCTCAACGGCGCCGATCGGTGCAATACCAAGTATGAGCCCAAGCGTTTTATAGTTCGTTTTTAATGCTCATTCGACACTTAAGAAGAGCAAACGGTGAGCATGTTTGCCCTGCATCAAGATCTTGTCCTGAGTGGTGGCGCCGCTTTGGCCTCCTTTTTTTGGTACATCATGACCCTAATCATAAATTGTCTTCCTATATACGTCTATGTTATCTTTTACTGGAAACCATCTTTTCGATCACATCACTCTCGAGAAAAGCTTTGCAATTGATACATCCATTCTGAATAATGTCAGCAGGATTTAAAAGACCAAGGGAAGAGACGGATGAGCTGGACACCGTGGACTTTTCAAGCTCACGTGCAGGTTCAGAAGCATTATCCTTCTCAAAGCGAGCCAAAAGTTTGACATTGAGCTTGAATGGAATGACAATCAAGCAAAGCGAAAGTCAGACTCCTCAATTGAGTGAAAGATTACATTGCGATAATGAGCAGGAGACTGCAAGAGATTCTCATTCACAAACAACTAGAAATTCCACTCCTGCTGCTCAACGCGCTCGAAGCCTTACATTCGGTTTTAACGATTTATCGATAAAGCAAGAGGAAAGCATGTTAGTCGATAGTGACAATGGTTACCAAGGGCCAGATGCGATAGCGAGATGTGACGGGGAACAATATGCTGAAAGGAAAACTGCGGGTATTATTGAACGAGTAAAGATGGTCAACTTCATGTGTCATGAAAACCTAACAGTGGATCTAGGACCACGACTGAACCTTATCATCGGTCACAATGGCAGCGGGAAAAGTGCGGTACTGACTGCAATCGTGATTGCTTTAGGTGCCAATGCCACTTCAACATCTAGAGCAAATTCTCTTAAGTCTTTTATCAAAGAGGGAAAATCTCAGGCTGTTATTGAGATTACAATCACAAACAAAGGCGTAGACGCATTTCAGGGAGATGTCTTTGGTGAAGCAATTATTGTTGAGCGTATTATCAAAGCAGAAGGAGGAGTAACATGGAAGCTTAAGAATGACAATGGTAAAACAGTATCTATAAAACGAGAAGAAGTTGACAAAATGTGCGAACACTTTTGTATTCAGGTGGACAATCCTTTACACGTTCTCAACCAGGATACTGCCCGCAAGTTTCTCACTAGCGCTGGTCCTAAACAATTATACGAATTCTTTATCAAGGGTACGCAATTGAAGCAACTTTCAGATGACTACAATCTTATCAAACTTTATATCGATCGTATTATCGTGTTACTACGTCAAAAGAAGGAAGAATTAGAAAGTCTGAAAGCAAAGCTAGCAAGTGACAAAGAAACGTATAAAACGCTCGAGGCTGCTTTAAGTATAAAGAACGAGCTACAGCAGCTAAACAATGAATTCGTGTGGTCACAAGTACGAGATAGTGAGAAAGAGTTGAGTGATGCTGCGCTTAGTCTGGAACGCAGTAAGCTTGAACACAATACCCTCGAAGCCGATTCAGCAGAGTGTTCAAGGGATCTAGCCGATTGCGAAGAAGAGAAAGAAACGTTACAACAAGAAAGTACTGAGCTAGATTATGAGAAGAAAAAATTGCAAATTGAGCTTGGAGAAGTAGAACAAGAAATTCGTTCTATCAGAAGTGATTCCAACAAAATTGACCAATCTTCACAAATGCTTGAACAGCAATATGAGCAAATTGAATCGCATATTAAAGATACAGCTGAACGTATTGAAAAAGAAGAAAGAGACTCTGCCGGGACACCTGATTCAAGGAGAAACGCACAGCTCGATCGACACGAACAAGTGAAAAGAGAATATGAAAGTATCAGAAACCAAATTACGGAAGCAGAAAATCGTCTTGAAAATATTGAAGAAGCTGTGATGTTAAATCAACAAAAAAAGAAAGATTCAGACATTCGCCACGGTGACTTTTCGGAAAAGTTAAAGGATCTTACGTCACAAATCCAAGAATTAAAAAGCGCAAAGTTTAATCGTTTTTCGGTATATGGCCGCGGCATTACGCAATTGGTAGACCTGGTCAACGCTGAAAAAAGATGGCATGCTAAGCCTATTGGTCCTATTGGTCTATATATCAAGATAATTGATGAATACAAGGAATGGTCACCCGTGTTAGAAAGTGTTCTTGGTCAACATCTCAATGCTTTTTGCGTTACCAATCCTGACGATAAAGATCTCTTAATGAAATTTAAAGATCAAGCTCAATGCACAAATCTTACAATCATTACTGGATCGGATGAACTGTTTGATTACTCTTCCGGAGAGCCAGAAGGCAGTATTCTTACTATTTTACGAGTGCTGGACATCAAAGATGAGTTCATTAAACGTCAATTGATCAATATGGAGCATATCGAGCGATTTGCTTTAATAAGAAGGCGGGTAGAGGGTGATAATCTTCTACGAGAACGGCCGAAAAACGTGAAATTGGCATATTCCCTTGATCTCTTCTGTGTCAAATCAAGTAAAGCAGGTAGTAGCTCAACGACGCTTATGCCTTTCAGAGGGCCACCACGTCTTTCAACTGATATAGACGAACAATTAAACAAAGCCATTCATCGAGAATCTGAGCAGAAACTTGAACTAGAAGATATAACACAGATCAAACAGAAGATTGAAAAAAGACTATATCAGCTGCAAAAAGATGATCATGAAGCACGTGGCCAACTCAAGGAGCTGAAGAAGCAATTGTTACGTAAACGCAACGAAGAAGAATGGATTAGCACTGATTTACAGCAAGATCAATCGATAAATATTACTGTATTAAGGGAAACACAAATCGAATACGAAAAGTCTCGCGACGACCTTTCCAAGCAGTTACAAGAGTACCGTACGAGGAAGAATACCTTTGAGGAGGAGTTCAAGCGCTTAATCGAGAAAAAGGAAGATACCATTCGCCTTCGCAGGACTAAAGAAGCAGAACAAGACGAACGTATAGCTGCATCGCAGTCTGTAAATCAGAGAAAGGTAGAACTAGACGGTAAGTCAGCCATACTGAAGAGAAAGCTAGCAGTAAAAACCGCAGAAGTGGAAGAAAAAGATCTAAGATTACGCCTCCTTCAAAACAATTACAAGAAAATCCTAAATGATGCAAAAGAATACTGCGATGAAATTCCTTCACGAAGAAAGGAAGGCACAGATGAGATTTTGACGACGACGGAATATCAAGCCTTGATTGATAAAACAAAAGCAGAGCTAAATCGTATACCTTCACAATCTGGTACAGATGTAGAAGCTCTCGTACGTCAAGTGAAAAGCAAAGAGGCTGCTTATGTCAAAGCAGTAGAAGAAACGAAGGATTTCAAAGCTTTTACGGAAGTGCTAAGACAGGCTTTACGTGCTCGTGTGAGAAAATGGTTTTGGTTTCGACAGCACTTGACTTTGAAGGCTAAAGTTTTGTTTCAAGTCTATCTGAGAAAGCGTAACTTCGAAGGAAAGCTTGACTTTGATCATTCAAAAGAAGAGCTTCGTCTGAGGTTCTATAAAATAGACACTGCAATGGTCGCCGAAGATGGTCATAAAGATGCGCAAATGTTGTCAGGAGGTGAGAAATCGTTCAGTACAATTTGCTTTCTGCTTTCACTTTGGGAAACCATTGGAAGTCCGCTTCGTTGTTTGGACGAATATGATGTTTTTATGGACGCCGTTAATCGTCGAATATCCACCAATTTACTCGCCGAAGCAGCGAAAGCGGATGCTAGCCAGCAATATATACTTTTATCGCCAAGTTGTGCTCAAGATACTGCATTTGGCGATGAAGTTCTCATTCACCGCTTGAAAGATCCAATTAAAGATAACAACACAACTTAACAGATACAACCATACATTCCACATGCGTCTATATGCCTACAATCTTGACACCACTATGTACATTGCTACCTTTCCAAGATTTGATCAGAATGAATCGTTTGATCCAGTGAGTGTTGTGGTCATGAGGTCGAATAGAGAAGCAGCGTCTTTTACGTGCGTACCAGTTCGGCTTTCTTTTTCCTCTGCGTCCAAAACTTTAAGCACAGTAGATAAAAGCTCATAACAAGTAGCTTCTGTGCCGATTTCTATCTTGTCTGAAGTTGAATCAGCTCCCTCTGCCAGTCTCTTCAGCTTTTTGTCGTTCATGATCTTTCGCAAAAGGTAATGCAACCACAGGACATTTGTGAGCGGGTAATACTGCTGCCAATCATCGTTGGTAACTTTACGCATTTGTCGATACACTTCAAATTGAATATCACCTTTTCCATTAAAGAATGCTTCATCGTCCATATCAAGTGCGATGATGTTGTTCTCCTCGAAACATGCACGTGAAAGTGTAAAATCGATAATCGTAGCCTGAACACCGGACCATTTGGGAGAGAGGATCCTTTTAATGTCTAAAATATCTCTTCTGCCATGTCTGCCTTGCGTGATTTCTTTGATCACAATATTCCCCCAATGAAGATCTCTATGTTCAAATTCACACTTCTGTTCAGCTTCAGCTATTGCTTGGACGACTTGCGCAAACACGCTTGCAGCTTGTGACCAGGATGGCAGAACGAATGACTCAAGATCTTTGCCTCCATCGGATAATAACAAGAGACCATAAAGCTGATCATCCTCAAAGCGATCCGGTCTGGCGTTTTGATCGGACTTTTGTTTCACACGTTGATCCCATGCACGTAACAGTCGATCAGAATATGTTCCACGTACAATAGAAGCCCGATGAATTTTGACAAATGCTTCATTGGCATCACTTACGCCACGTGTCATCTCAATTTCTCTTTGTAGATCGGCCAGCTGTGACTGTTCGGGTATATTTGATTCGCTTTCGGCTATAGATGTTTCCAGGTCAGATTGTTCGATTTGATCTCCTTTGTATGCTAGAGGGATCACTTTGAGTACCATGCCAGAATTTGCCAAACCAAACACTTCCGAATAGGTAGCCTCACCGATCTTTTTCCATTTCGATCCATTTCCTTGTTTTTCCATCTCGTCTAAGCAGTCATCAAACCTTTGCGGTGCTTTTTGATTGCACACTGATAGCAAAGTGGTGAGTGGTTCTGTATCTCGGGTATCTTTTATCTGAAGTAAGCTTTGAAGCTGATTCGTAATGCCGCTCAAATCTCCGTCTTGATTCTGTATAGAAGTTTCTGCCTCATCTGAGGAAGTGCTGGATGAAGCTGAAGAGGCGATCACGATTGGCCGAGATGTGGTGCCCCTTCTTCTATTTATGCGCTTTTGTGGCGATCGAATGGCGTCGAGGCTTTCATCTTCCTCTTCACTTTCGCTATCTGAAGAGATACAAATGACGTTTGACTGTCCCTTTGGCTTTGCTCCGTTAGGTCTTGACTGCATTGGCTTGCGAGCATGAGCAACAGTTTGAGTTGCTTTTCCTTTGCCTTTGGTTGATTGGGGTATAGAGGCAGAATTGGGCAGATTCTCCTTAGATGATGATATATGCTCTACATCACTTTGAGCAGAGGAGGAGGATGATTCGGTGTCACTTTCAGAAGCAGCATGTTGTGATCGTATGCTTTGCTTTGCTCCCCTTCCTCTTCTCCCGAATACGGCTCTTGGCCTTCGTGTTGCACCAAGTGCACTCATTGATGTTGGTGGAGGGGAACTTAATGCTGCTTATTGCCATCATTTACTCCACTCATTGTTCCTAACTTTGGCTGAGTGTGTCTTTCTGGAATAAGAAGTGTTGAACTGATACACACTGCAGGGCACAACATCCATTCTATCCTTAACGCGGACAGGCCTTTATTTTTTATTCGCGTTCCTTCACGTGTGGCAATCAATAACAGTTAGGCCCACTTCTTTTCGGATTTAGCTTAATTTCAAATCCGATAAAGACATGCATGCATACAAGGTAATTTTGAGAAAAAGAGTGACCCTTTGCTAGTCACCACCACCAACCTCACCCAGTAGATCATTATCATGTTGCATAGAAGGGCTGCACAATTAGTAAGGGCAAATAGAAGGTCATTCGTACATCTTTCAGGCGTACCATCTAGAGTCGCATATGCAACACCTTCAATCTCAACCTCTCTTCACTCCACCGGAGTTGCTTCTCAAGTTGCCAATTTGCCATCATTCTTTCGTGGATTGGCAACGGAAGTACAGCAAAAGCATGCATCTCACAATAAATTAGAGGAAAAAGATGTTGAAAAGTTCGCTTCTATCTTGTCCACTCCAGAAACATCTTTGTTGACCACACTGAAAACCTCAAAAGGACCAAAACCAGTCGATGCTTCGGAATTGGATTTGTTCAACAATGATTGGATGAACAAATATCATGGACAATCAGTTTGCGTTCTTAAACCAAAAACGACCCAAGAAGTTTCAGAAATTATGAAGTATTGCTTCGAACGCAAATTGGCAGTAGTGCCACAAGGTGGAAATACAGGCTTAGTAGGAGGAGGTGTTCCTGTTTTGGACGAAGTGATCATCAATCTAGGAGCAATGAACAAAATTCGATCTTTCAATGAGATCAGTGGAACGCTTGTTTGCGATGCAGGCTGCATCTTGGAATCACTAGACAACCATATTGCCGAAAAGGGATACATGATGCCATTGGATTTGGGGGCCAAGGGTAGCTGTCAAATTGGTGGAAATGTTGCCACAAATGCAGGTGGTTTGCGATTCTTACGCTATGGAAGCTTACACGGAAACGTGCTTGGACTCGAAGTAGTACTGCCCAATGGAACCGTTCTAGATGGCTTGTCGACGCTGAGAAAAGACAATACCGGTTTCGATCTCAAGCAACTATTCATCGGTAGCGAAGGTACGATCGGACTAATTACCGGTGTATCAATCATTACGCCCAGAAGACCAAGTGCCTTTAATGTTGCCGTCTTTGCTGTGGATAGTTTCGAAGCTGTTCAAAACGTCTTTTCGAAGGTCAAAGCACACTGTGGAGAAATTCTGTCCGCCTTTGAGTTCTTTGATAATCAAAGTTTGGAAATGGTGAAAGCACATGCGACTGCCGGTGTCAAGGATCCGTTCCAAGACAAGCATCCTTTCTACGTCCTGATCGAAACAAGTGGAAGCAAGAAAGAGCACGATGACGAAAAAGTGAACGAATTGTTGGAAGAATTGATGGAATCCAGTGCAATCGTGGATGGTGTACTGGCACAAGATGAAACACAAGTGCAATCGCTATGGGCATTGAGAGAGTCTATTCCAGAAGCAGCAGGAAAGCTAGGCAGCACATACAAATATGACGTTAGTATGCCAGTTGAATTGATGAACGAATTGGTGGAAGATATGCGTTCTCGATTGGACAAACATGGATTGATGGGCAACAAGGTGAAGGAGGTGGTCGGATATGGACATATCGGAGACGGTAATTTGCATATCAACATCATCGCAGATAAATTCGATCCTGCTGTCGAAGAAGTCATCGAACCATACATTTATGAATGGCTAGCGAAAGTTAACGGATCCATTTCTGCTGAACATGGACTGGGAAGGATGAAAGGAGAGAAGATCGGTTACTCGAAATCACCTGCTTCAGTAGCAATCATGAAAGACATCAAACATTTATTCGACCCAGAGAATCTACTCAACCCGTACAAATATCTACCGTCCGATAAATAAATGAATGCCTCTTTGTATTGTTAGACCAGAAATCAATTTTCAATCTTACTAATCATGATGATCATTTTTGTGAATCTCTATACCAGAAAAAGCGTATGTGCTACATACAATAAAGTTGAATAGGATATAAGATAAAGGGACTTGACAGGTCTAGTAGACTAATTATAGAAGATAAGGCTACAAAGAAGGAGATCCTTCACCGCTAGCTCCTTCTTCAACGGGTGATTCGGGTAAGCGTTCTTTACCTTCAACATCTTTGAGATCGTTTGGTGCTGCACCACGAACTTGATGAGCTTGTTTGCCCGTCAATTTTCCTTTTGACCAATGATTGTGTAGTAGATTGATCTACGACCTTCGATTGGAGGTAAAAATGTTACGATAAGGAGGGCGGCAAAGATCCAAATGATTGATACCACGATCCAACCACGGAAGAATGGCAGAGAGAACTCGTAATGAGATCCATACATTATATAAGGCCAGATCACCCAGAGTGCCAAGAAGAAGACCACTCCCAAGATACCGGCAATCTTGCTCATCTTGTCCATGTAAGAAATTTGTTCAGGAGTAAAGTGATCGACTTCTTTTTCGACGGCTGATTGAGCACTTTCTGAATCGCTGATAAGTTTGATTGCGTTAAATTTGTCCCAAGAGAAACGTTCTCCAGGGAAGACGAGTGAGATAAAAGGTGAAAGGATCATTGGAACGAATGCGGAGGCAATATTTCCGTACATGCATGGGATCAAAGCACCAGTTGTGGTGACATCAATCACTCCATTACCGTAATGCCATGAAGTTGTGATCCAAACGGTTAAACCGCATGCTAATCCAACCAAAGGTGAAATGATTGCAGCTGCTTTTGTTTGACGATCCCACAAAACTGTTAAGCTGATTGTAACCATTCCAGGCGTTGTGATCACACCCAAGAAGTACAGTGTCCAAGTTAGGGAAAGACCGGCATAATAGAATGCTACACTGACTGCACTTCCGACCAGAGCGAAACCAACACAAGCAGCACGTGAAACGTTGATGATTGCTCTTTCACTTGCGTTCTTTTTGATGTATGTGTGGAAAACATCGGAGGAAATAATACTCGAAACGGCAACGATTTGAGCACTGATCGTTGAAGTACAGGCCATAAAGATCACAATCACAACCGCAACCGCACCTGCTGAACCAGTTGTTGCTAGGCCGACATAAGGCAACACCAAACCGTCGGCGTTTTCCCTTTCACTTAAGCCACGACCATGAACGGGCCAAAAGGGTGATTGGGTATATTGTAGTGCTAATCCTGCCAAACCTGCAACGGTACCCAAAGCCCAAGGAATACCAAAGTACAACGTTCCTCCCAAGATATAACCTGGAGCGGCTGCCGTAACATCTGCCGAGAAAGCTTTTTGCCAATAAGATGAATCCAACAATACCAAACCAAAGTTACCCAAAGTATGCAATGTTCCAAAAGCGATTGCATCTTGACTTGTCATGGTGAGATATGATCCATTATGATTTCCCTTAACGGGTGCAATCTTGGCAGCTTCTTGAACCATACGCCAAAGGTTATCGACCGATCCGACGGCTTCCGTTGTTAAAGCTTTGATGATCAAGTAGATGCAGATGATCAAAAGTGCAACAGTGTGTAGATAATCGGTGATAAAGGTTGCACGTAAACCACCAGTGATCGTATACAAACAAACACCAACGGGTAATAAAAAGATCGCAGCAACCGTATTCATTCCCGTTAAAGCAGAAATTGCAGCTGAAGCACCTAATGACATGTTGACATAAGCGATAATGTTGGTAATAAGACATAAAACCATGTATACGAGATGAGCACTCGTTCCATAACGTGCACGAACGACTTCCAAAACTGTATGAGCATGTGGTGTTCTTCGTTTTGACTGAATTGCGATCAAGGCGAAAAAGCAAATTTGTACTAAACATCCAGCAGCGAACCAATAAGCACCTGCAACACCATAATTGTAGGTGATTGCGGAAGAACTTAGTAAAGCAGTTGACCAAGCCCAAGAACTTATAACTGCGGTTGCCGTCAAGCCTGTTCCAATCTTCCGACCCGCAACAGCAAATGTTTCAAAATGACGATTATTTTCACCTGTTGATCGCTTTAAAGCTTCGGTAATTCCCATCATCCCGATCGCGAACGCTAGGCCGAAACCGACGGTGACCCCATAGCCCCAGCCTTGACTTAGTGGGGCAGGAATAGAGGTATCGCTCATGATCAGGTTTGCGAGAAGGGGGGAGGGGTGAATAAAATGATATTGAAAGAGGGAAAGGAAGAGAAAGACGAAAAATTTGAATTAATTTATATATTCTTCTTTACTCGGTCAAGAATTGTGCAATAATCAATCAAAGCCCGAAACATATCGGTACAGATCTTATGGCGCTCAATTGCCGTTGCGATTAAATTAGTGACAACGTTTGTATGTCTGCAAAGATGTGTCATAATTACTGTCTTAGTGGATTCTATACCGAAGAACAACTTTCAATCTGAGTAAAGAATTGAGTGTGAATGAGCAAAATGACCTTTGTGGTCAAAGCGTTTTCCCTTGATAAGTTAGGGATGGCGTGATGGTGAATTGTAGCTTGCCGTTAAAGAAAGAGATTTCACACCAAAGGGAATAAACTTCTTTAGTCACTTTGACAGTGTACAATCATTCGTACGAATGCACGGATATGTGATTTAAAGGACAACCCCGGATATGAATTGAAATTTTAAGTTAAAAAGATGCAATCACGACATCTGCTAAAGGGAAAGACGTTTTTTAAGATCTTCTCTTTGCATCATCACTCCTGGGCTGCCTTGACCGTTTAAGCGCGCGAGGTTAAGCGCATAGCCGTTGGATGACGTGCTGGAGCGTTAAGTTTGCGCTATCGAGATTGCTTATCTAATCATAAAGTGAATCGGATAAGTTCCTATGAATGATATATAATCTTTTGTCATTACTGTGATGGAAGTGAAGTCTCCTATCAGCATGTGGATCAAATACTACACAAAAGACATTCAGTAGATCATTCATTCATAGAGATCATTGTACACGTTTAAAGCCAAGAGCATGCGCAGCAAGGGCAAGTGCCGTAGCACTACGATCATCATCTGAATCGGTACTGTTGCCCAACAAGATCGGGTTGGGATTGTTGGGTAATTCGAATTGCAATTCAGAGATGTACTTGTAGGTATGCCATGGCTCGGCTGAAGAATCGTCAGTGGGAGGGTAAACCAAGATGGTGGGATAAGTCTTCTTGGGATCAATGTTTTGCAAAGGCGAATATTTGCGTAACCAATCAAATGCCTTTGGATCGGAAGGTGAACCATATTCAGCAGCACGTGCATCTTTATCCTTTGATTGATCAGATCGTAACATATCAAAGACTCCAATTGTTGCAATATAGGCACCAATCAAACCTTCAGGTGCTTGGTTGATAACCGCTGCTGCTGCCAAGACGCCGGAATATGACACTTGGAAAATCACTTTACCAGGTTGTGTCCATTTTTGATCGACTGCATAATTGGTGACCGCAAGGATATCATCAAAAGTATTTTGCTTGTTGTCCAATTGCCCAGACTTGTGCCAGTTGTCCCCCAATTCACCACCACCACGAGGGGCAGCCAGAATATAGACCGCATCGTAACTTCTCACGAATGCATAACGATTAGCATTAAAGTAAGTTTCAGTTTTGTATCCATATGCACCGTTGAAGTCGATAATAACGGGGTGAGAGCCGTCCAACTTCAGACCTTTACGATGGAGGATATAAATAGGAATTTTGACATCGCCGGTCTTGCTTGGAACCCATTGACGCTCAACGATGTAGTTGTCCGGATCGATGACTTTAGTTTTTTGTTGGTATGCCAGCTCAGAGGTGAATGCATTTGTGGCAGAGTTCCACTTTAGATGATAGAACTGTTGGGGCGCGTTGAGGGTGTTAACTGTGACATAAACATCTTTACCAAACGCAAAGCCATCACAGTATGCCGAATTTGATATTGTGTTCAACAGTACTTCTTGAAGGCGAGCTCCAGTTTTGAGATCAAAGGCGATATATTGCGCTGCATCACCCTTTGTGAAAACAATAAAGATCTTGTCAGTATCATAAGAGACAAACTCTGAAAGCTTTGCATCTGGATTTTCAGGAACTACTGTTACTTCTTGAACGATTTGCGTGAGACTTTTCAAATCATCAGTTTGGATGGCTTTGGAAAAATCCAGATCAAAACGAGCAATCTTATGATTTGGTGCACCCTTAGAAGTCCTGAAGTAGAAAACTTGCCCACTATTAGCTGCAAGCTGTACGAAATAGGTATCATCGGCTGCGATCGCGAGCCATTTGATCGGTCCAGAAATTTGTTGATCAAGTGAGGCGATATATGCACGCCTAGTATCAGGGGATTTTGCTTGACCATACACAATAATGTATTGATTATCGTCTGAAAGTTGTGCCCACCAAACGCCGCCCTTCTCTGTGTTTGGCTTGACCACGACAGGATCATCTTTGGCATTCGTGCCTAAGACGTGATAACGAACAGATCCATCAGAGCTAGAATAGAAGAAGCTTTTGCTGTCTCCTGACCATGATTCGGAACCCCCTTGAATGTTATCGATAACGTCTGGATAATGACCATTTCCTCCCAATTGAACCTTTTGTGATTTGTCAGTCAAAGGTTTGGAAATGTCACGAACATAGATCTGGACATTTTCCCATGTACCTGGATCGGCAACGCTGTATAAAACCTTTGTGCCATCAGGAGAGATTTGTTGTCGAAAAGAGACCTTGCCGCCCAAAAGGCTATCATCGATCAAAGCCTTGCCCGGTAAATTCGCATATTTAGTACGAGCAGCATCATCCATATCTTTTTGTTTGGCAATGTAAGATACCCAAAAGGTCGATCCTGCTTCCATGAAATAGTACAAATAAGTTGGATCATCTTTGGGACCGAATGCAGAAGCACTTGTAAGTGTGGTACGTGAATCAACATCTTTGATTGCAGAACGCATGGCGTCTACATCTTCCAATTTATCCAAATAAGTCTTGGAAAAAGCAACTTGCGAATTGACGAAATCGCCAGCATCTCCTGATTCAAACCAATTGTACGGATCAGGAACTGAAACATTGCCTTTCGCTTCATAGGAACGATATTGAAATACCTCATTTCCACGTCGAACTGGTGGAAACGGCGTCGAACGTGGATCCCAACCTGGAGCATTGACTTGGGAACGTTTGCTGAACGGGACGCTTTCGACAGTGGAAATAAATACCAAAGCAATTGCAGCACAGAGCAGAATGAGCTGCATTGCGAATGGATTTGATGGAAAGATGAGTGGGGGTGCTTGCTGGTACGACAGAGAGAGGATTGAGTGGGAAGGGCACTGTTGGTGTGCTCTCTGCAGTGAGTGGGGAAAGGACCAAAAAAGAGCCGCCTTTTAAGTCTTTTCCAAAATCATGTAATACGACAACTTTCGAATTGTCACATTTTCATTTTTCTACCAACGGAAAGCAGCTATGTATGATATGTAAGGCTGTTTTCATTTCGGAATCACTCTTTCCTTACAGGTGCCTTAAAAAGAGAACCTATATGGTGGTGAGTATTGCACGGAACCTTACAATGCACTGTCTTCTGTCGGACTCTTAAAGCTGGAGAAGGCGCAATCGTGCATAAGGATAAAGCGGTATGCTTGTCTGAGAAAAGCAGAAGAAGAGAAGACTGTAATTAAGTTATTTGAAACCTACATTATATCACATTTTGTCGGATTCTTAAAATGCTGACTAACAAGCGTTGTATAAGTCAAAGTCTTATTTCTAAGACCGATAATAACTCAATGATATGCTATTCATGACAAAAACGCCACTTTGTCACATAAGTGAGCTTTTGATGAAACGGGAGAGGCAGCATGAATGAGAAAAAGATCAGTATTGCTTTCCACATGATCAGCTTATGAGCATACGGCAAGGCAAATTCCGCTATTGAGCACGCAATCTAGTCGAAATTAAGGCACGGAATCTCAACGAAGGAAGTTTGGATATTAAAGTATGATGAATTAATTGCATTCAATACATTCGCCTATGAATCAATTTGCACGTTTAAAGCCAATCGTATGAGCAGCAAGGCCAAATGCAATAACACTACGATCTTCTTGTGTATCGTTGGCGTTACCTAACAAAAGTGGATTTGGATTGTTGGGTAATTGATATTGCAATTCAGAAATGTACTTGTAAATGTGCCATGGCTCGATCGCGCCACCATCAGCAGGTGGATAAATGAGAATCGTCGGATACGCTTTGTGAGAATCAATGTTGTGCAAAGGTGAGAATTTGCGCAACCAGTCAAAAGCTTTTGGATCAGAAGGATCACCATATTCAGCAATACGAACGGCCTTGTCAGTTGATCGATCTAAACGTAGTAAATCGTAAATACCGCTAAAGCCAATGTAAGCACCAAACAAACCTTCGGGTGCTTGATTGACAATTGCAGCAGATGCTGTTGCTCCAGCATATTGAACGTCGAGGATCAATTTGCCGGGACTTGTCCATTTCTGATCGATTGCATATTGAGCAACTGAGATAATGTCATCAAAGGTGTTCTGTTTATTGTTCAACATTCCAGCCCTATGCCAATCTTCACCCTTGTCACCTCCACCGCGTGGAGCAGCAAGGATGTAAACAGCATTGTAGAGATGCACAAATGCAAAATGTTGTGCATCATAGCCTGATTGCCAATTGAATCCATAAGCACCATAGAAATTGATAATCACAGGATGAGAGCCATCAAGCTTCATATCTTTACGATGAAGGACATAGAATGGAATTTCATCATTTCCTGTCTTGCTTGGTGCCATTTGACGTTCGACGACGTACTTATTCGGATCAATTACTCCATCTAATTGTTGGTATGCCAATTGAGAGGAGAAACGGTTTTTGGCGTGATCCCACTTAAGATGATACAGATTACTTGGTGAACTGAGAGAATCAAGTTGCACGTAAGCGTCTGTGCTTGATGGAAAGGCTTGCAGTGAGACTGATGTTGAAGGTGTATCCAACGCTACTTGTTGAAGTTGAGCACCGGTTGTGAGACTGAAAGCGATCAGCTCGACAGCGTCATCCTTTTCGTAGGTAATCAAAATCTTGTCATTATCATACGACGCGAGATTTGTCATCTTCGCATCAGGCCTTTGAAGAATAGCTGTCACAGATTCAGCACCCTGGGTGAAGGTATTGAAATCATCCGTCAGAACTGCTTTGCTGAAATCAAGTGTAATTCGAACAATTTGATGATTTGGTGCATCCTTTGTTGTTTCAAAATAAAGATCATCGCCGACGCTTGCTACATAGTTCCAAGAGAAATCATAATCGGTTGAGATAGGAACCCATTTGATCGGACCGGAAATTTTTTGGTCAAGAGAAGCAGCATACATCTTTCTTCCATCAAATGAATCTGCTACACCGGTCACGAAAACGTATCGTTGATCATCCGAAATTTTCGACCACCAAAAACCTTCACTATCCGTGTTTGGCTTGACTAACACAGGATCATCCTTGACTTCCGTACCTAGAACATGATAGCGAACATTACCATCAGAGTCAGAATAAAAGAAGCTTTTACTGTCACCTGACCATGACTCAGTACTGGCATGAATATTGGAGACGACGTCAGGGTAATGACCATATCCGCCTTCTTGGATCTTTTGTGATTTGTCAGTTAAAGGATTGGATACATCACGAACAAATAGCTTGATATTTGCATATGTATCCGGATCGACGATACTGTACAATACTTTTGTGCCATCGGGAGAAATTTGTTGTTGCCAAGTGATCTTACCACCTAAAAGGCTGTCATCAATCAAAACTTTGCCTGGCAAAGTTGCAAATTTGGTACGAGCAGCATCATCCAGATCTTTTTGTTTAGCAATGTAAGAGCGGGAATACGCTGCACCTTTTTCTTTGAAATCGTACAGGTACGACAGGTCATCTTTAGGACCATAAGGTCTTGGTGCATAAAGTGGAGTGTATGAGTCTGCATCCTTGATTGCAGAACGGATGACATCCAAATCTTCCAACTTGTCCAAGTATGTCTTGGTAAATGCAAGTTGAGCTTGCTTGAAACTGCTTACATCTGAATTTTCAAGCCAGTTATATGGATCAGGAACTGAGACGTTGCCCTTTGCAGCTTCAGAACGGTACTGGAATACCACATCTCCACGGCGAACAGCAGGGAAAGGCGTTGAGTGAGGATCCCAGCCAGGTGCATTAGACTGAACGCGCTTGCTGAGTGAAGCACAATGAACAACAGCAAAAATGGTAAAAGCAACAGTCGCAGTCGAGAGGAATTTCTTTGAATGATACTTGATCATAGCAACTGAGGATGGAAGAGAGATCAAATGGAGACGATGATGCTGATGATTTTCAAAAGGAGGTGAAAGGCTTGCTTATATGTCTTTCTAAGGGGCTTGACTTACGGAATGGCACTTGAAATTTCTTCATATTTAATTTCGTTCTCCCATCGGACAGCAGCAAAGCGTAATTTGCGGGTTAAACTGATTTCGGGATCACTTCCTCCTCAAATTTGTTTTTACCCGGGTAGCGATCATAGTGCGGAGCCGTTCCATTGCACCATCTTCTAAAGGACACTGGAAAGCTTGATAAAGGCGCAATGATGCATGACGATGAAATGAGGGCGTTAGACAGCGGCCATTAAAAAAGGAAACCGGGCTTGTCAGACTGTCAGAAGTGAAAATTTATGGGTATCGGAATTCTTTTGCTTGACCATTGTAGGGTCATTAACCTTTCAATCGAGAGAGTGCATGTAGTCAAGGATAAAGTTATAATCCGTACGCGTAATTCAGGTTCACTCCGCGTTTCTCATTTTCTAATTCCCCGATGCACTAACAATGGACCATAAGCGAACTTACGCAAGGATTTACTATGATGCCGTTGGAGCTCTTTCTATCTCGCCACGAACAAGTCCTTAGAGATCACACAAGGTATACGAGGTGATGAAAGCAGATGGCATTTCATGATTAAACATTTCTTTATGAATCATTTCACCAACTTGAGGCCGATTGTATGCGCGGCCAGGGCAAAGGCAGTTGCGCTACGTTCGTCTTGCGTATCAGTGCCATTACCTAATAAGATCGGGCTTGGATTGTTGGGTAAATCATGTTGCAGCTCAGAGACATACTTGTAAGTGTGCCAAGGCTCGCCACCGTTGCCTCCGTCACCTTGGGGAGGGTAGAGGAGAATGGTAGGATATGCTTTTTTAGGATCAATATTTTGTAATGGTGAATATTTGCGCAACCAATCGAAAGCTTTAGGATCGGAAGGTGAACCATATTCGAGAGCCCGAGCAACTTTATTTGACGATTGATCGGACCGCAACATGTCATACAACCCACGTGTTCCAATGAAAGCACCAAACAATCCCTCGGGTGCCTGATTAACAATGGCTGCAGCTGCAGAAGCCCCTGCTGATTCAACATCGAGGATCACTTTTCCTGGACTTGTCCATTTCTGATCAATAGCAAATTGAGCAACAGAGATGATGTCTTCAAACGTGTTTTGTTTGTTTTGCAATTGACCTGCTTTATGCCAATCATCACCTGACTCCCCACCACCACGTGGTGCCGCGAGAATATACACTGCATCGTAACTACGCACAAATGCCATATGCTGAGGATCGTAAGAAGATTCGAGGATGTATCCATAGGCACCATAAAAGTTGATGATCACAGGATGCGTGCCATCAAGCTTCAAGCCTTTACGATAAAGAACAAAGATTGGGATCTTGACGTCACCTGACTTGCTTGAAACCCATTGACGTTCTACAGTATACTTTGCTGGGTCTATTGCTTTATTCTTTTGTTGGTAAACGAGTTCAGATGTGAACTTGCTTGTTCCACGGTTCCATCTCAGGTGGTAAAGTTGAGCAGGCGTATTCAAGGACGAAGCCTGCATGTAAACGTCTATGCCAGGAGGGTATCCATGTGTTTCGGTGGAAGTAGACAAGATACCCAAATCTAAGGATTGAAGGCTGACTCCTGTCTTTAGACTGTATGCAGTGAACTCCGACACATCATTCTTCTCGTAAGTAGCAAGAATCTTATCGTTATCATACGTGATGTAATGCGCTAGATTTGCATCTGTCCTTTGAGGAATAACAACAACAAAATCAGCACCATGAGTGAAAGTGTTGAAGCCATTATCAGTCTTGGCAGCTTTTGTAAAGTCAAGGGCGAAGCGGACGATCTGTTGATTTGGAGCATCTTTTGTTGTTCTGAAATAAAAGTCATTGCCAACGTTTGTTGCATAATCCCAATCAAAGGTATAATCAGGCGCAATGCAGAGCCAATTCATCGAAGCTGAAATTTCTTGATCAAGAGCAGCCACATAAAATCGACTACCATCAAAAATGTCCGATTGACCAGAAAGCAATAGGAACTTTTGATCATCACTCAATTCAACCCACCAACCACCATTGTTATCCTTATTTGGCTGAACGACGACGATATCATCCTTTGCATCTGTGCCCAAGACGTGGTATTTGATTGAGGTATCGCTTGCCGTATAAAAGAAACTTTTACTGTCGCCTGACCATGTTTCGGTACCAATTTGGAAATCAGTGATCTTGTCAGGATGACGATCATAACCACCCTCTTGCGCTGGTTTACTTTTATCTATCAAAGGCGAAGAAACATCTCGGACGAATAATTTTTGGTTGCCATACGTTTTTGCATCAACTGTTGTATACAAGAGTTTTGTTCCATCAGGTGAAAGTTGTTGAAGCCAAAGAAGTTCACCGTTTAATAGACTTTCATCAATCAAAACGTTTCCAGGAAAAGTTGCATAATGCGTTTTTGCTGCTTCATCAAGATCTTTTTGTTTGGCAACATACAGATAGCCTAGTGAATAGCCACCCTCATTGAAATAATACACGTATGTAGGATCATCCTTTGGTCCAGAAGCGATTGGTGGACGAAATTTGGGAAAGTTTGCTGCAGAGATGGCAGAGCGCATTGCATCCAAATCTTCCAATTTGTTCAGATACGTCTTAGTGAATGCAAGTTGCGCTTGGATAAAGTCACTTGCATCGGATTTCTCAAACCAATTGTATGGATCGGGGACTGAAACATTGCCTTTTGCCGCTTCAGAGCGATATTGGAACACAGCATCTACTCTGCGAACGGGAGGGAATGGTGTCGATCGTGGATCCCAGCCGGGCGCATTGGATTGCACACGCTTGTTCAACGAAACACACTGAACAAGGTTGAGGACAGCTAAAGCAACAAGAGCGTAGATGGTTCGAACCTGCATCGTAGAGGATTTGTCTGAGCAGGAATGGTGATACTTTGAGTGATGACAAGACCGACTGAAGGACAGGTGGGTGGTTTCTTAAGAATGCAACAAGAAAAGGCCTCATTTTATGTGAATTGGACATCATTGCTCTTCGATTGACTTTCTTCCGAAGATCGACGAAGAGTCAATTTTCATGTGATTGCCTAAGAGGTTGTGGCGCAATTGTGCATACGGAAGAGGCGGAGTTTCGCAATTTCAATAGAATTAATAAACTTTCGGTTGCATAATTAAACCTCACACATACCTCGCAGTAATGGGAATTGACAAACTTGTATATTTGGCAAACATTTCTCTATGAAGGCGTCATCTCTATTCATGAAGAGAGAATATGATCTTCTTGATGTGGCAAGCTGTCTCATTTCACGACTCTCAGCGAGAAATGTGACTTCAGAAAGAAAAACACCGTTTAAACTTAATTAGAACTATAAGTTAACATGGTTGGCGTAAATCACGAGGGAAAAGATTATATTAGTCAAGAAAGAAGTGAAGATGAGTACCTTAATTACGTCTTTGTATGCCCAAAGCAAGTTGAAGGAAACAATGTTGATGTGCAGCCAAGTTGACCCCGATATCCACATTATTAGTCAGAGTATTGTGACCGGTTTGGCTCAAGAATTGCATGAGGAGCGGGTTGGTACTGTTGGGATACGAATATTGAATTAAAGCCAAAAACTTGAAAGTGTTAGAAGCAGATACAATATCATCGGTTCCTCCTGTAGTGAGCAAAATTGGCGGCATCGGCTTCTTAGGATTGACATTCAAATATGGATCCCAACTGATGATTTGATCAAAATCGGTTGAATTATAAGGATCGCCAAATTCGCTAATTTGAAATGATCCTGCAAAGGAACGGGTGAGCGAGAGCCAATCCACAGGAGCACTGTCTGCTAAAATTGCTCCAAAAGTATTGACAGGTGCTTTTTGTGCAGCTACTGTGGCGGCTAGACCGCCACCAGAAGAACCGTGAGCGATTACTTTATCGGGCGCACAGATTTTTTGCTTCACCATTTCTTGTGCGACAGCAATGATATCATCCCAGGTCTTTTGTCGATTGTTCCTGGCTCCAGCTAAGTGCCATTCTTGTCCATTATCACCTCCACCACGAACGCCCGCAAATGCAACGACACCTTCGTAGTTAAAAAGCCATGATGCTATCTTTTCCTCCCAGTTTAAATTTTCCAAAAAGCCATAAAATCCATAAAAGTGAAGCCAGCAAGGTAATGTTCCAGTTCGTTTCTTTTGCTTCTTGTTGTAAATGATAAAATAAGGCACCTTTGTTCCATCAGCACTGGTTGCGGAAAGTGCTTCCGTTATATAATCTTCAGGATTCGAATTCTTTACCTTCGTGATCAACAGTGTGTCTTGAGTAACCTTGTCACTTTGATCAATCTTGATTCTATGGAATGTGAATGGTGAAACGGTGGTGGAGTATTTCAAGATTAAAACATCGCTACCAAATCCAGTGGAGTATACACCGTTCAGATTTCCGTCTTGACCAGTTTGAAGCTTTTGCAGTTGTTTACCTGTGCTTAGCTCGAAGATATAAACAACATATTGACCTTTCTCCGTATAGACAAAAGCAGCTTTGTTTTTGGCGATTGGAGAAGTGAAGTAAAGGTCCGAATTTCTGCGTGTCGGTATCACTTCGATCATTGGAAGCCTATCCGTCAAATCTCGCAATTTGCTCACTTGACGTGCTTTGCTGGCATCTAATTTAACTTTAACGACTTTATGATCGATGGCATCTTTGTCAATCTTGAAATACCAATAATCATCAAGGATGCCAACTGAGTCGTGCATATAATCATTTGAGGGAGAAACTGAAAACCATTTCATCTTTTCGGACAATTCTTGATCCGCAAGACATGTGGCATAAGCGACCGCGTGACTGTCCGCACTCGAATAGCCCCAGACCACCAACCATTTGCCATCATCGCTCGTATCCACACTCCAATAGTTTCCCGCATCAGTATCTGGCTGCACAATTGTGATGTCCTTCTCATAAGGCGTTCCGATCTTATGGAAGCGAATCTTTGATCCGACATCGGTAGTATTGCTCGTTCGCGGGTCATTAATCTGACTGTAAAAGAATCCACTAGTAACATTGTTCCAACTGAATCCACCGTCACAAGATGGAATAACATCAGACATTCGACCATCGCCACCAGGAACGATTTTTTTGGTAGTTTCTGACGTCAAAACAGAATCCAAAGTACGTACATACCATGTTCCGACATAAGCATCAGTTTCGACCACATAATAAACAAACAATCCTGTGTCTGAGTAGGCGAATTGTTTGATCGTTGCTGTACCATTCTCGCTCAACAATGATTCGGATAGGAACTTTTTACCAGGCGGTTTTGCGAAATTGTTTTGCTTTGCAGCTTCAATTTCCTCGGGCGAGGCAATGTAGAAGGTTCTAAGATTCTCATTTGCGAGTCTTAGAGTGTATGTGTAAAAAGAACTTCTGTTTCGAAGGGAGCCATAATATATTTTACCGTACTCGTCATAATCGTATACATCACGAATTGATTGGCTGATTGCATTGTAATTTTTGCATTTGGCCATATACTTCTCCGTCAATGATAACTCACTATCAATGAATTGCTTCACTTCAGGTGTGTCAATCGGTTCTTCAAGCCAAAAGTAGGGATCTTTCAGAGTAACATTACCGTTTGCCTTTGCCGAACGGTAAGACCATGTCTTGTTAACCCGCCTTACATTTGGGAACGGCGTCTCTTTTGTACTCCAATAGGGCAATTTATTCCATCCAGCGACAAAATGGACTAATTGGGCTACTAGAAAAATCAAAAAGATGGTTTTGTTCATGATGGGTAAGGATGATATTGAGCGGAAGGTTGGAGCGGTTTTGCTCCTGTCACTTCTTTCATAGGAAATCTTATGTATCAAGCTTTTACACAGTAACGGACCGAAAAAAAAAAAAAACTCATTTACTGGGCGGAAGTCAGCTGATACACTAATCATTTTTCTATATGAGCTTATCATGGCGCCGAGACTAATATAAACTCTGTATGATCAACCGCTTCCTCCGCTACGGCTCAGTAGGTTCCACTATTTCGTTTAAAAGCACATCCTTCCACTGACTTCTGTGACCTTTCAGCACTAAGTTTGCGGTATCAATACCCTAATGTACGTGCATATATAACTTGCATTGTACTCAACGTGACCTCCTTACTAGTGAAATTTCAAGAGCAGCTACTTTAAAGTTTCTCACGATGCAGTTATAAAAAAGTTTAATTCAGCTCTTATTTACCTTCCGCTTTCTTTGCAGAATAATTGCGGGTCCGCCGCTTCTCAGATTAAAGAAGAGCAGACCCAAAATTAAGCGGATCAGGAAAAGTAGTGTTTGATCAAAATATATAAAATGAAAGCTACTTTTCTCATTCAAGAACCTTCTCACTCCAGTGCATCCAACATGCATAGCTTAAAAACGATGCTTTCCGGGCTTCTCCTACTTTCGCTCTTTGTCATCGATTCATTTGCGAACAAGGCACCCTGTTGGAGTACGAAGGACACGCCATTCCCCAAAGCGAGACGAGTGGACAAAACATGGACTTATCGATCAGCAAAAGCACATGGAAATGTCACTTTTCCAGATCCTTACTTCTGGCTTGAGCAACCATACACTACCACTAAAGAAGTTCAAGAATTTGCTGCTGATCAGCAAGCATTGACGGAGAAGTATATGAGCAAATGCACAAATGCCGAATCGATCACTCAATCGATCAAAGATGCTTTTGATTACAACAGTTATTTTGATATCACGTTTTTGGATAACGCAATTAATCCTTTCTACTTCTTCAGCTTGCAAAGAATTGGTGAAAGCCGTAAAACATACTACATCGCCACACCTGAAGAAATGGAAGCAGGAAGAAAGACCAATTTCGCCAATCCTCCCGGTCATAAATATTTTGATGAAGGTGCATTATCGGTCAATGGTACAGCAAGCATACAAACATATCAATTTTCAACTAATGGTCTTTACTTGGCCTATCTTGTCATTGATGCTGATGCCGATGTAGGCACATGGTATGTTCGGAAAACCACTTCCCCATTCCTGAAATATAGCAAGACGCCAGGCGGTGATGGTCGGTTACCAGAGGCTGTTCCACGTGGTGATGGACATATAATGTGGCGCTCTGACAATGCAGGATTTTACTATGTACAAGTGAATGATCCAGAAGGTGGAACGAATACGGATATCGGATCAGTGCTTCGTTATCACAAACTAGGAACAGCTTATGAAAAAGATGTTCTGCTTGTACATGCTGATCCAAGTCAAGATAGTTTCTACAGTATAGTTGAAAGTTTAGACGGCAAATGGCTTGTTCTGGTCAATTCAAAAGGTGCAGGACAGACCTCGATTTATGCAACCAGGCCATTAGAACAAACACTCTCAGATAAAATGAAGTGGATCTCAATCGTTCCTACCCAAGAAGATGACCTTACGGCAATTACTACTATTGGTGATGATCTTTATGTTCAAAGTGATCATGATGCTCCAAATTATAAGACTGTCAAATACAAGATGGATTGGAGTAAAGCGCGTGTTGTAAACAAGTTACAAGATTTGAATGACAATGTTGATCCGGTCGACGTTATTCCAGCTCGTAAGGACGCTTTGTTAAATTTTGCGGTGCCTTTCGACAACGACAAGGTTGTCTATGTGATGACTGAGAACGGAAAATACACTCTTTATCTCTATAGCCTTCTCACCGGAAAGTTGATCCAGCAAGTTTTACCAAATGAAACCTTTACAGCACATGAAGTGATCTATGCCGATTCAGGCAGTAAGAACATTGTATTGGCCTATTGGGGTCCTTATTCACCTCGAAAATGTGTTCAAATCACATGGGACGGAACAAAAGTCGTTGACAAAACGTTTTTCATCGAAACGGTAAAAGGTACAAAACCTGGCGATTTTATGACGGAGGAGTTGGAGGCAACCAGTAAAGATGGAACAAAGGTACCATATTACGCTGTTCATCACAAAGACACAAAAAGGGATGGCACCGCTCCAGCAATGATGCACTTCTATGCCACTTATGGAGATGTTGAAAACCTATTCTGGTATCCTATGCATTATTCATTCATGAACAGCTACAATGCCGTCCTGGTTTATGCTGGTGCACGTGGTGGCGGTGATAAAGGAGCTGACTGGCATATAGCTGGAGAGGGGATGAGAAAGCAAAACACTTTCGACGATCTTATTGCAGTGGCACAAGATTTGGTAAAACGCAAAATTGCAGCACCAGGAAAAGTTGTTCCTGAAGGTGTTTCCGCCGGCGGGCTCAACGCAGCCGTTATTGCCCGACAAGCACCTCCCAATACTTTTGGTGCTGTCCTATCTGATTTACCTCCTTTGGATTGGTTTCTGATCGATCGTAGTAGAGCTGGTTCATCTCAATACGAAGACTTTGGCAATCCACACAACGCAACAGAGTTTGATGTTATAAGATCTTGGAGTCCGTTACAGAATATCGATGCAACGGAACAAAAAGTCTATCCTCCAATCTTGGTGACAGCTTCTGATTCGGATCAGAGAGTCGTTATTGCTCACGCTCTAAAATTTACAGCACAACTTCAATTCAGCTATCCCAACAGCCCAAACCCATTACTAATGCACATTGCCAAAAGTGCTGGTCATAGCGACGTTGGCAATAACCAAGACACTGCTATCATCAAAAACTTCCATCAAGAATGTTTTGTTCAACTTGCTTTGGGTTTGACAAAGTACAGATGATTCATCAAAAACCTTTCACACTCCTTTTGCTTCATAACATCATACTGCCGTGTCTTCATGTGGATGTTGGAATAATATCAATTTCACATAATATCATCGTTCATACGTCAGTTTACACGCTTTAAGCCGAGAGTATGCGCAACAAGAGCAAACGCAACTGCATCACGATCAGATTGCAAGCCGGTATTATTGCCCAACAAAAGCGGACTTGGATTGTTGGGCAATTCATATTGCAGCTGAGAGATGTACTTGTAGCTATGCCAAGCCTCTGTTTCACTGTCATCATCGGAAGGAAAGATTAGGATCGTTGGATAAGCCTTCTTAGGGTTAATGTTATGCAAGGGAGAATATTTACGTAACCAGTCAAAGGCCTTAGGATCAGATGGTGAACCGTATTCGGGGACAAGTTTGTCTTTGTACTTTGATTGCTCAATTCGCAGCAAATCGAAATATCCATGACTACCAATAAATGCACCAATCAAGCCTTCAGGAGCTTGATTGACAACTGCTGCGCCTGCTACGGTTCCGTGAGATTCAACTTTGATAATCACTTTACCCGGACTTGTCCACTTTTGATCGATAGCATAATCAATAACTGCACGGACGTCATCGAATGTGTTCTGTTTGTCCTTCAATTGCCCGCCTTTGTGCCAATCATCGCCCAGCTCACCACCACCACGTGGTGCGGCGAGAATATACACTGCATCATAATTTTGAACAAATGCATAGTGATTAGGATTGAAATGCGTAGGAAGACTGTAGTCGATAGCACCAAAAAAGTTGATAAGGGCAGGATGAGAACCGTCAAGCTTCAAATCCTTACGACGCAGGATATAGAATGGGACCGTGACATTTCCCGTTTTACTCGGCGCCCATTGAAGTTCAACGATGTACTTGTCCGGATCAACGGTCCCACTCTTTTGCTCAAATGCTAATTGAGAGGAGAAACTTTTTGCATTGCGATCCCACTTCAGATGATAAAATTTGCTTTGTGTATTCAGAGACGTAATTTGCACATATACGTCTGTGCTTGAGGAAGATCCTTGAAGCCATGCCGAGGTGGACAATGTATCTAATGCTACTTTTTGAAGTTGAGCACCTGTTGTGAGGCTGAAAGCAATCAGTTCTACTGCGTCATCCTTGTTATACACAAGCAGTATTTTATCTTTGTCATACGGTGCGTAGCTTGCAATCTTTGCGTCAGGCCTTTCAGGGATTACTGTTACACCCTCAGCTCCTTGTGTGAAGATGCTAAAATCATCTGTCAAGACTGCCTTAGAGAAATCAAGATTGAAGCGAACGATTTGTAAGTTTGGTGCACCCTTTGTGGTTTGGAAGTAGATGCTGTCACCTACGCTTGCTGCATAATCCCAAGCGGAATCATGACCGTTTGCGATTGGAAGCCATTTGATGGGACCATTAATTTGTTGATCTAGCGAAGCGGCAAATACGAGTCTAGCTTCGTATGATCGTTCAATTTCTTGACCAGAGACGAAAACATATTTTCCATCGTCTGAAATATCAGTCCACCAATTCGTTTTACCATCTTTGTTAGGTTTGACCAATACAGGATCATCTTTGACATCTGCGCCCAGGACATGATGACGAACGGAACCGTCAGGACTCGTATAGAAAAAGCTCTTGCTATCACCTGACCAACTCTCAGAGTGACCAGATACAACGTCAGGATAATGGCCATAACCACCTTCTTGCACTTCTTGCGATTTGTCGCTGAGAGAATTTGAAACATCACGAACGTAGACTCGGGAATCGCCATATGTTACAGGATCAATGACGCTGTACAGCACTTTGGTGCCATCAGGTGAGATTTCTTGTTGACGAGTAACTTTACCCTTCAAGAGACTATCATCAATTAAGACTTTACCAGGCAAAGGTGTAAAATTGGTACGAGCAGCTTCATCCAAATCTTTTTGTTTGCAGATATACGAACGCCAAAATTTTACACCTTTGTCCTTGAAGTAGTAATGATATGTTGGATCATCAGCGAGTCCAAAAGCAGTAGGCGCATACAATGGAAAGTATGCATCTGTATCTTTGATAACAGAACGAATGACATCCAAATCTTCTAATTTATCCACGTAGGTCTTGGTGAAGGCAAGTTGCGCATTGACAAAATCGCTCGCATTTGATGTTTCAAACCAATTGTATGGATCAGGTATTGAGACATTGCCCTTTGCGGCTTCAGAGCGATACTGGAACACCACATCTCCACATTGAACTGAAGGAAACGATGTTGAATGTGGATCCCAGCCAGGAGCATTGGATTGGATTCGCTTGCTGAGCGAAGCACTCTGAACGACAGTAAAAATGGCAAAAGTGACAGTCGCAAGCGAGAGGAATTTCTTGGGATTATGAATTAACATAGTCACTAGAGATGATAGGAGAATGGTGAATGAAAGGGAAAAAGGTTGAAGTCTCTACATTGCTGGTATCGAGCAAACTAAGTCGATAAAGGACGGCTTCATACCACCTTGCATGCTCTGTCATTCGTCCTATTTGTCTGATTTTTTTTTTTAACATGTGGGGCTAAATAGATTTCGGTACCTTTCTTTCCTCTGAAGATAGGCAATGGCGGGCCGTGTATAGAAATCTTGTGATCATCATTAATGCGGGATTGGCGCAATCGTGCATTCGGATGTGACTATCGTGTAATATTATCAAATTCACGGATTAATTCAAGCAATCAGAGTGCGGCCAAAATGTGACAATTGAAAGCGTCTACGAAAAGCAATACGACTTAATATGATGCTGTTGGGGTATGACTAACGACTTTGATCAAAGGGTTACTGAGGGGAGGCGTTGATATGGAAATTGTCACTTTTTGCCGGTGATGGAACCATCAGGTAATGTAACTTGCTGATTGTTCTTTGCTGCCCAATCTTTAAGCGCAGATGTCACTTGTGGGATACTGCTTACTGGACCAAAAGTGACTATACTGCCTTCACTAACACTTCCGGCATTAGTTTCTTGTGTAAGATCTTTGACCACTCTTGGATGACAAGCAGGACTATTGGGGAAACCACAACCGTTGCCAGTGTCAATCTCAAGAAGCACGCAAGCGTTCAATAGAATTCCATCTTTACGGAAGTCCATGCTACCAATCGTTCCCCACAAAGCAGCTACGATATAGTCATGTTTGCATTTTGGATCTTTTGCGCATTGTTGATTGAGTCCATGTTGAGTATTAAACAAATCATTATCATAGCAGCTAAGCATAACGCTTGTACCTTGAGGGAAATCAGCTTTGTTATCGTACTCTGCAACGCTTGGAATTCGGAACGAATTAGGATCAGCGAGATTGTACTTTGTACGAACTTGGTCATTGAACTTCTGGAATGTGAATTTTACACCCCAACCCATTGCTTGACCGATAACGGCATCATTTCTCAACATCGAACGACCGCCACCGTTAACATCAGCACCATAATAGATATAGTCAGAGTGGTCACCCGTTCCTCCACCTGCTTCTGGACCAGCTAATGATGAGCCAATACCCGCCGAAGCCATTGAAGCGGAAGCCAAAGCCAAGGCGAGCTTTACTACCAAAGAATTACGCATCTTTTGTTTGAATGTATGGGAGAAAAAGGACGTTGAGAAGGGCAAAAAAGCAACCATTTATACCTTGCCTTTCTGTGTATTCCGATGGAGACGGTCGAAGTTTGTTCAGCTCCCTTCCTAATAGGGATAGCAGGCGCCCTTAATATGGCATACTTTGCCCTTCTTTATCGCAATAGCGGAAGTATACACCCCTCTTAGCATACAAGGAGTAAATATGTTGCACCCCTCCGTTCATAAAAGCATTCTCATCCCTTTACAACCAAGCACAGACACGGCTCATACGAAAAATGAATCATTACTCTTGGTGCGAAAACAAGGAATAAGAAGCAAAAGAGATTGACTAAGGAGCTCAAGAAAAGCAGTAGAGTGTGTTAGGATGAAGCATGTGTGCCTGAGCGCTACTTAGTCGTATTACCGTCTGGCAATGTGATTTGTTGCTTGTTCTTCTTTGCCCAATCTTGCAAAACGCTTGTAACTTGCTTTATGCTGCCTGCAGGACCAAATTCTACAATGTCGCCGTCTTTAACGCTGCCTGCATCTGTTTGTTTGGTAAGATCTTGATACACCTTTGTTTTGCAAGAAGGAGAGTCAGGGAAGCCACAATCGCCACTTGTATCAACGACGAGTAAAACACATGCCCGAAGTACGATTGCATCTTTTTTGAAATCCATTTTACCAATTGTACCCCAAAGAGAAGCAGCAATATAAGCTTTTTTACATTTTGGATCTTGGGCGCATTCTTTGTTCAGTTTGGCTTGTGTATCAAATAAAGATTGATCGTAACAGCTCAACATTACGCTTGTGCCTTGAGGAAATTCGACATTGTTGTTGTATTCTTGTACACTTGGAACTCGAAAGGCATTCGGATCATCTAGGCCAAATTTAGCAAGTTTTTTAATATCGACGAATTTTTGAAAGTAAAATTTCACTCCCCAACTCATTGCTTGACCAATGATTGCATCATTTCCCAGCATTGAATGACCTTCACCGTTAGGACCGGCACCGAAATATAAAATATCATTTACGCTGCCTGGATCATCGTTGGAAGTCCCGCTACGAGCATGAATTGTTTCAAGTTTTGCTGCTGAAACAATAGCCTTTGAAGCAGACAAAGCCAAGAGAGAAGCAAGAATAAGTTTGAGTCGCATCTTTGTTGATGGATGTGGGAGGTGAATGAATCAAACGCAAAGTAGAAATAGAGAGCCATTTTTATACCCTTGCACATGACCAGCACTAAAGTGAATCACCCGTTCCGCTGCCGCTTTCGCTCATATCTAGAGTCGAAGGTGATAAAAGCGGCCCGCTTTTGTGTAAAAATCTGAACGCCGCCACAATTTGTTTATTGTAAAGCTCATTTTTTTGCAATGATCACGATCATTGTATAATTTAAGAAAGAGTTCATAAATTGGCACTACAAATGAAGGGCGCACATCAGAGTATTCAGGGCAGACTCATTTGCTCAACTAGTCTGAGAGCCAGATGGCAAAGTGATACGTTGTTTAGTCTTTGCAGCGAAAGCTTGAAGAGCGCTTGCAACTTGTCCAGTGGAGCTTACAACGCCGGCTTGAACGGCCTCACCGGAAGAAGAAAGACCTGAGAATCGTTGAGAAGACAAGTCCTGGAACAAGCTAACTTTGCAAGCTGGATCGTTTGGGAAATTGCAAACACCATCACTATCTACTTTAACAATTCCACAAGATGCTAAGAGTGTTCTGTCCTTTTTGAAATCCATATTGCCAAGCGTTCCCCAAAGGATTGTAACCATATAAGAACTTGTACAACCTGGTTTTTTGGAACAATCAACGTTCAATTGATGCTGTTTGTTAAACAAGTCTGTATCATAACAACCCAAAAAGAAATTTGTTCCTGCGGGAATACCTTGTCTAGCTTCGTATTGAGAAAGGCTTGGGATTGAAAACGTATTTGGATCGGAAAAAGCCTGTGGATCTTTACTAAATTGTAAAATGGTAAACTTTTGACCCCATCCCATAGCTTGTGAGATTGTTGCATCCATTCTTTCCATCGAACGTCCTCCTCCGGTTGAAGTGGCTCCATAGAACAAATAATCTGGTTGATCATCACTGCCCTGCTTTGATGAAGCGCTTGACTTCATTGAAGCATTTTTAGAGAGGACTGTAGAAGCCAGGAGTAAGGCTATGAGAGGCAAAAAGTGGAGCATGGTTCTGATAGTGGCAGTGAGTAGATATGGAAGTACAAAGTTGGTTGAAAGCTAAATTCAATCAATGTTATATTCATGTTATTTATACCATGTCCCAACTCCTCTGCGGAATTCTGTACAGAGTAAACAGGAGGTGACATAGTCTATTTAGGTGTTCAGGAATGAAGGGACTTTATTTTAATAAGGAGCCATCTGAAAAACCACTCGCTCGACATGAAAAGACGTAAGAGTTGATCACATTTCTCCTTCTCCTCTCACAACGATTATACCCCTGATGCCGTGATGATATTTTATAAGCACGTGTTACTAGCAACCCTCTTGGTGAGATAAGGTGGTGTTAGTGAACCCCTTCATATAGCATAAAGGAGGTCACGATCATGGTTATTTTTTGTGATTCTCCGATCACCATCATATAAAAATACAGCGAGTAAAATATTCCCGCCACCCCCTTCATTTAAGGCAGACTCATTTGCTCAACTAGTCTGAGAGCCAGATGGCAAAGTGATACGTTGTTTAGTCTTTGCAGCAAAAGCTTGAAGAGCGCTTGCAACTTGTTCAGTGGAGCTTGCAACGCCAGCTTGAAGGGCTTCACCGGATGAATAAAGACCGGAAAATCGTTGAGAGGACAAATCCCGGAATAAGCTAACTTGGCAAGCAGGAGAATCAGGAAAGTTACAAGAACTTCCTCCGTCCACTTTCACGATTCCACAAGATGCTAAGAGTGTTCTATCTTTCTTGAAATCCATTTTGCCAAGCGTTCCCCAAAGAATTGTTATCATGTAAGCAGTAGTACAACCTGGTTTTTTGGAGCATGCAACGTTCAAGGCGTGTTGCTTGTTGAACAAGTCATCATCATAGCAACCTAAGAAAAAATTTGTTCCTGCAGGAATACCTTGTCTAGCTTCGTATTGAGAAATACTTGGAATTGAAAACGTATTTGGATCGGTAAATCCTGGTTCATCTTTACTGAATTGCAAAATGGTAAACTTTTGACCCCAACCCATAGCTTTTGAGATCGTTGCATCATTCTTTTCCATCGACCCTCCTCCTCCACTCGAGCTTGCACCATAAAAGAGATAGTCTGGTTGATCATCACTACCTTGCTTTATTGAACCGGCTGACATCTTTGGACCATCTTTAGAGAGGACTGTAGAAGCCATCAGTAAAGCCATCAAAGGCAGAAATTGGGAAGTGAATCTCATATTGATAGTGAATAGAGCTGAGAGATGAAAGATGGATGTAAAAGGATGAAACAATACACGTTACGTTTTCACTTCATATTGTTTCCTTACTCCTTTGTGGAATTCTATATGGAATATTTATGAAGCGGAGTAGTCTAGCTGAATGGTCAGCAATGAAAGGGTCTTAATATTTAAAGAGGGTATATTATAACAATCATTCTGCTTGGCATGACAAGACGTAAGAGGTATTACATCTCTCCCTCTCCTCTCACAACGGTTATACCCCTGATGCCGTGAAGAGTGCTTATGAGCACGTGTTATTAGCAACCCTCTTGGTGAGATAAGGTGGTGTTAGTGAACCCCTTCATATAGCTTAAAGGAGGTCACCGTCATGTTTATTTTTTGGGATTTTCCCATCACCATCATGTATACACACAGCATGTAATATAACTCCCGCAACCCCTTTCTTGTAGTAGCCATCAGCCCCTAAAGAATGATAGTTTAGCTTGTTGTTGTTGTATTGTTTGTTAAACAACGCGTGCGTGCGCGAACCAACCGCGTATACTCCTGATTGACTTAGTGGCTTTCACTCAGGGGTTCATCCATTCTTTGTGCAGTGCATGCATCTTCTCCGCATTTACACTTGACTAAACTAAAGCATTTCCTTTCCTTTTAGCATCATTCTTCTTACGTACGGACGATCCTCCCGAATGTTTGTCATTTGTTTGTCTTAGGGGAAGTGACACATGTCAAAAGACATCGTTTAGCGTGCATTACAAGACACCGGTAATGGTATAAGAATGCAACATTTACAAACACAATCACAAATAAATCCCCACCTTCACGATTGGCTTGTACTTGTCAAAAGAGTACCTCACGACGGCCTAATTTAACGATCTATAACGAAACTTTCTTACGAATTAACGAATTATACCAATCTCCATAATGCAAGTTCCATTCAGCAAGAAAGAAGCAAATGATGCTCTTACTCAAGACGAAAAGCCTGCCGCTCTGTCAGCTTTTCTCAATCCTCCTTCGCGTTTGATCAACTTTAATGTAAAGACTCAATTATTATCTCCTCAACAAGTCAGTCAAAAAGTTGCAAGTTTACTCAAACCCGGACCACCATTTTACTCTGAAGTATCTTCGGCAGATTTGATTGAATGTTTATCAAATGGCTCTTTGATGCGTTGTGATGAATTACGTCAACAAATCCAAAAAGATTCTCAAAAGAAAGACAAAGGTTGGTTTAAAGGTGTTATTGCATCTATACAACAACAAGAAGATCAATCACAACCACAACAACAAAAGCCATGGACAGGCGTTGGAACGGTTTGGTCCGCTTTAGATAGTTTACCTTCGGGAACTGCAGTTTTTGCAGTTCCGCCCGTTTCTCCAAACGGAAAGATTGAAGCCGTTTCCGCCACTAAAGATGATAAAGGTGATGATGGATTATGGTCAACGATCATGTTCACATGTGATTTAGACGGAAAGAATGTCGAATTAACAAAATCTTGCGTAATTCCAACAAATGTGTTAGATACGCATCATTATTATAACGGTAATAAATCCGCTTTATTTACCGCCATTGGTGCTGGAACAACATACAAGTGGGATGATTGGTCAAATGAACAACCTGCAAATGTTAGTGTTGCTTCCTTTTTGGCATTATACACTACTCCTACCATCGAAGCATGGCAATGGCCTTCTTGGGTACCTTACCTGGGAAAGAAGGATGATGACAAAGATGCAGGTAAGGTCAGCAAGCCTAAACCCGAAGGATCAAAACGTGTTTGGGTTCCTTCAACGACCCAAGTCAGCATTCGTGCAAGTTGGTGGGGTTATACGATCTATATTCCTCAAGCTGTTTTTCCTGCATTTGATTCAGATGTTGAACAAGCAGAAAAGATTGCAAACCTTATTCATACAGTTTTGACGACAATCTTGGATAAAGCAAGTAGTTTACCCATTCCTGTTGCATTGCAAGCTGCATTGTTGGTTTTAAAAGCAATTGCTCCAAGTACAAGTTATATTTCAACATTTATCGGTTGGAGTTGGAAAGAAATTAAATCTTTCAATACAGGTCAAGGCGTTGAATTATCCGCAACTTGGTTATTGCCTATCGCTTTAATTCCACATACTTGGGATGCCGCCGTTGCACCGCCAGATAAAAATGGTGATGGTACACCTGATGGTCCTCCTACCACCACTCCACCTTCGGCTAATGTGCCACAAACGGGCGGAGATGGTGATCTGAACGGCGATGGAACTCCTAGTGGTACTCCCAGCACCAATCAACCTCCTGCTAATGAGCCACAAACAGGTGAAGATGGTGATCAGAACGGTGATGGTACTCCTAGTGGTACTCCTACCACCACTCAACCTCCTGCTAATGAGCCACAAACAGGTGGAGATGGTGATCAATCTGCTCCTTCTCAACCTACTGATGGAGACGCCCAACCGACAACACCTGCTCCTGAACAACCTCAACCGGCAGAACCAACTCCATCCACTCCAGCTCCTGCTGATCCGACCGTGGAAGACCCTAAGCCAGAAGATCCAACCGCGGGAGAGCCCAAGACAGAAGACCCAAAACCGGCACCAGCTGAGCCTACAACTCCTGAAATTCCAGCACAACCACCACAAGAACATGCAACGTTGCCTGATGCACCCGCAACCGAACAGCCTGCTACCCCTGCACCAACACCAGCTCCAGAATCACCAAAGGATGACGACAATACGATTTCTGGTGATCCATTGGGCAGTGGTAGATTAGGTTTACCCGCAGTCGGTGATGCTCCAGCGCCAACGCCTGCTGCAGAAAATGATGGAATCGAATGGCAAGATCAACCTGCGGAAATACCAGCTCCGCAACCTTCTACACCAGCTGCACCCACACCTGTGCCAGCAAAGCCTGCCTCGACGACGGAAACACTCGAATCTGTTGCTCCTGTACCAGTAACCAGCACCGACAACACTACCGAAGCAAAAGGTAGTGAAAAGGTCAAAGCTGGTAAACGTAAATTGTTTGGCAAGATTACCAATCGCGTTTAAAAGGATGACGGATGATTTCGATGAACGATATCCCTTTGCTATTTTTCATTATACCACTTCTACTTTCTCATCTCTTTACTCGAAATGAAGAACTTTTTTTCCTGTAATCTTGTTTGGAATTAATGAATACTGCATTCAGACTTTTGGCGTGAAAAGATAGAACTTTTCTATTGCAGTAGTGATACATGTAATGACTAAATAGTCTATCGAGATGAAGTGATCACCCTAGGTCTGATGCGCGGTACAGACTCTCTTGCTTTTGCTAGTTGCAACAACGGCAAAGGAGGGATTTGGCTGGGTATAGAAGTGCCAGTGGAATTGGAAGATGTAGACGTATTCGACTTCATTGCACGAACATAAACACCTTCATTGACGATGATCGAAGCAATGATTAAGCGAATGCGCGATAAGATTGGCGGTAGATGGGTCGAGGTGTGTTGCGACCATTGTTTAGTATCGATACCACTTGCAGACAATATATTCTCTTTGAGGTTCTTCAACTCGTCCCCGAGATGCTTCAGTGACACATCCACAACATTCTTCAAATCGCTTCCAAATCCGAGAATGACTTGTAAGAGCTCCAAATCAAACAAACGTTGACTTTGCGATGTGTACTGATCAATTTTTAGCCACCCTGCACAGAACGAAATCATCAATTCCTTGCGCAATTTTGTCTCTTCGCTACGATATCCGATGCCGACCGATTGGGAACTGCGTGATAACAACGACAAAGCGTCTAGCAGGCTAGAAGATGGGAAGACAGGCAATCCTTCACTATGTTCTGGCGCTATTCCATCTATCCGTTCATTGAAGATTTCTAATGCTTCTTTCACCATCTTATCAGAAATACTGGAGATGAGTCCCTTTTGCACTTTTTCCAAGCTCTGCAAAAAGTGGTCTTCCTCCTTCGATGGGATGCCATCCGTTTTCTGCGATCGAACACTTGCAGCGGTGAAAATGGAACTACGTCGCAGTGCGACTATAAGCCGAATCAAGAACAAATTGGAAGGTAAATGATTCAAATTTCCGCTTGCTGCCTGCAAACCTTCGGCGATCGATTTCTTTGCCGTATGTAACGATATCTCAAAGCTTGCAGAGATATCATCTTGTTCTTTTCGTTTTGCACTCTTGGACCCGGGTAGTTGATTTCCATTCTGCTCCTCTTTTGCCTTTCTTCTAGCTCTTTTCTCTTCACTACGTCGAATGGCAGTAGTGTAAGCTTTCGTTTCGCTGGCAAACAATTCGGCACGTCGTTCTGCCAAGGATATAATCTCCTGCACCTGCTTTGTCCTTGTTCTTAGACGTTGCTCGAGGGACTCCAACGAAGATGCATCAGATGCAGTACTTGTCTCAAATAAGAATCGTGTCGAGTCAAGATCCATGCTGGCTTCTGCATTGCTATCATTCTTCAGCGCCTGTAATGCATCCGATGTACTACTAACAAAAGACGATGAGAGTTCTTCACCTGATAATTTGCAAATTTGCTTCAAACGATTGACTAGCAATGTATCGATATGCTGAACAAGCTTTGACAATTCATCCTGCACCACCTGACCTATCTCTGTATCTGAGCTTCCCCACAAAGCCGCCGATTCTGCGCAACATTTATCGTATACACTCCAAATCTTTCCCTGAATTTCGCCAATCTTGGCAACTGTGCTAAACTTCTCGATAATGGTCGGTATAGCTTGGCTTAATGATTCATCCCGAAGATTGCTGGACCACTTCTTGGTTTCTTGCAAGATGTTTTCATTCTTACTCGTAGAGTGAGCCTTCAAGTCAGGCGAATACGCAAGGATTTCCTCCGGCAAATGCTTCGAGAGGATTGCTGCTGATGGTAAAGTCAAGAGAACCGAAAGACCGCTTGGCGGAAACGAGACTCTGTCCTGATCGGAGCTTTTCAGCATGTCACACAGCCTTGTCAAGTGTGAATTCTGCTCTTTGGTGCTTATTGAAAATGCCCGGAGTGAGTGTATCAATGTGTCGGCGATATATCGAACAACAAAGACGATCAGTTCATCATTGCTTGCCTTTCTTCGCGAAGATCTGAGACGAGAGATGAGCGTATCCTTTCTCTTCTCAAGGTAAAAGGTATGCTCAACCGGATGTCCTTCAAGCAGACAAAGACTTATTAGTGATGTGATAGTAGCGAGATAACTTGCAGATGAGTGGACCCAATCACCATGCCCTTCCTCCATCCAATCCGACAACCCAGCCTCTGCTGCATTGGAGAGATAGCTCTTCATTGGCATCAGAGCAGAGTGTTGACGAGAGATGTACGGAAAAAGGTCTTGGACATCTTTATCATACGTGCTGGAATGTTTCTCTTGCAGCCATGACCAAGATGCATTCGAAAGCACAAAGAACCAAATCGCACGCAAATTTGTTGCTGCTTGATATTCACTCAAATCTCTGCCTTGCAACATACTCCTCTTACTTGATCCAGCTGAATTTGGAGATAGTGCATGATGACCATTTCTCGTCTGCATTGCTGAGTCGATTGACGTCCAAACTTCATCTGGTGCTTCGGCGATCAACTTTGTTGCTGCTGCGATGGCGAATAAGTCGATATGTCGTTCTTGTGCAACACCCGATACAGCCTCTACGTCTTTCTCTTCTACTGGAGATAACAGACCTGTCAGTCCATCTGTGGAGCTACCTGTATTTGCAGATGCACTATGTATCCCTTTCATCACACTCTCTAATCTCTCCACCAGATTTGACGAACTTGAGCTCATATCGATCAGTGTGTTTGCCGTTCCCAACATATCTCGATATCGTTCCGAAACGAGAACACGCAATCTAGAAGTCAGAGCATCGTGAGATGTACGTAAACTTGCTTCGATCGATTGTACTTCCCTCACTCCAAATCGTGTAAACGTTTCATCTGCGTCCAATCGTAATGGGTCCACACCAGGCGGTAATCCCATAGTTGAAGAAGGTAATGCGTTGATTGTTCCTATGGATAGATGCCTTCCAGCATCACTACCACTTCCCGTCACTGCTGGTGTTCTAGCATGTCGACCTTTTCGTATAGGCGTTGAGCTATTGCTCTGCCGTTTTTCGGGCGAATAGGTCGACATGATCTGATGATGACGGCGAGAAGAAGAAAGTGTTTAATGGGACGTGCGCGGATAAGCTTTTAAGAGAGAGTGAGTGACCGTTACGCGTGCCTTAAAATCATTCAACTTCATTCAATTATTCTCACACCATTCAAAAAACATTTCTTCCAAATTATATTATTATTTTTTACACTTTATTGAGGTGTGATATCTCCGAGTGTTTCTCCAACCCGTACTTTTTGACCTGGCTTACAAACAAAGTCAAACTCTTCCGGCGCCTCAAATACCAAGACGATCGTACTTCCTAATAAAAATCCTCCCATCTCTTCTCCCGATTGCAGCGGTTGTCCTCCCAAAAGTTTAGATGCTAAACTGTAAGATGCTTCACTGTACGTGCCTGCCAATCGTCTTTGTTGACGTACATTTGTTCGTAATGCTTTATCGAAATTGATTCGAATCGATCCTACATTTGTAGCACCAACGGGAATCATTGAAAAGAATCCATGTCTCCATCTTCCAAGCAAAGCAACACGTTCGTTCAAGACAAACAGATTAGGCAACCGACTGGCAACGTATGGCGAAACAGAGTATAATTCTCCGCGGAAATGTCTTCTTCTTTCCACTACCCAACTTGTTGGACTGTGGAAGCGATGATAATCTCCCGGTGCAAGGTAGATGACACAGAAGAAGAGCTTATTCCCCGATCCAATACCTTCATGACCAGGCGAATGTCTTTGCAAAATGGGCGGTAATGCTCCCGATCCCATCTCATAGGCTACATTTGCATATTTTCCAATCATTTCCGGCGTATCTGGTGTTGGTACACCAGCATCTTCATCATCCGTCTCGTGTGCATCTCTTATGCTATCGTGTTTGCCTTTCCCCCCTGCTGGTATTCCCGTCTTGTTTTCCGATCGTACCCAGCTCTTCCACCATCTGTAACTGACCAATTTCGTCCAACCACGGGGTATTTGTGATCCAGCACGTTCATCACCAATCAAACGTTCTAAACTATATTCGATTCCGTTCACATTTGCAAATTGTCTGTCATCTGTGATTTGATGGTCGGAATCGCTGTCAGGTTTAGCACTTGTCTCAATACCTTGAGGATCAGAAGTGAGTCCCAGCAGTGCATCTAAAGAGTATGTGACACCTTTTACTTGTTCTACTCTTCTGCCTTGAATGGAGCCGCAATGTAAAACTTTACCATCTGCCGGTGAGACCAATGGAGCATCTGCAATCGGGCGAGCATTGTCCTTCAATTCACGATAGAAGAATTCGCCCAAACTTCTGTAATGCGTTAAGTCTTCATCCTTCATCTCGTCCAAATTACAGCCAAAGATGCGGGAATATAATCTGAAACCAAAAGGTCTGAACCAGACAGGTAGAGTGAGATTATTTGCCCATCCCCATATTCTTGAGATTGTATTAAGAGGCAATGCACCCAATACATACACCGTCCAAGGACCTGACATTGTTACAACTTTGCCATTTTCATCAACTATTTTCCCTCTTCCTTGACGATCGGCAACGTAATTTCTTCTTGCTTGAATACCCACCAAGACAATTGCTCCCAGAAGAGCAGGGATAGGGTACCATTTGATTGGGGTTGTTTTCCATGCATTGGAAATCCTTTCTGCCATTGTATTTCCGGTATATGTTCTTCCTTCTTTGTATTCTTCATGCTGTTCATTTTCTTTTTGTTCTGCATCTTCCGTTGAAGGTTGTGAGTGTATGTCTTTTTCGAATGCCTCCGTTCTTGCTCTGGCTGCTCGATTACCACGAACTGTGTTTGCTTCTTGTTCTGCTTGATTTGGATCCCTTCGAGAAGAGTATGAACGTATGTTGGCTATCGATTGAGATGATTGTTGTATAGGCTGCCATGCTGAACGACAATGAATGCCGACTGGATAGGCGCTCTGCCTTGAGAGAGAACGCACTGATATCAGAGCGAGTCTCGTTGACATCTTGAGGAGATTGTGTTGGTGGGAGAATGGCTTATGGTGATGTATTAATCCATTACGCTTCCATTGTTCTTCTTTTGGCTGATCGATCGAGTGGGGATGCGGAAGAAGCCAAGATTTGTGTCAATTGTTAGCGCGTGTGTTTGCCGGTGTAATAATACAATTACACAATCTTACGCCCTGTAAAAACTCCACTTCTTGTTGCAATTGACAGGAAGAAGATCTTCTTTTCACACTTAACACCATACCCTACCTAACAATGTCAAGACATCGTGCTGTACGCAATCTAAACCTAGACGACGAATTAGCAGAAGATGACGATTATGATGTTCAAGATGCAAATCCATACGATGATATAAGTGAAGATGATCGGGCGCAATTGGAAGATGCATTGGCGCAATTGGTTGAAGTATTGGGTCAACCAGGAAGTGGATCAGGATTCACAGAACGAGAGATGAAAGATACACTTTGGGACGCATATTTTGACGTCGATCAATCCGTTGCTACCCTAGTCGAAGAACGAAGCAAAAGGGAACAAAAGGAAAAACGAAAAGCAGGTAAGTGATGTTGTTTAGTGTTTGCAATCCTACGAATCGTGGTCAAAGGAGGATGCAAAGGGGAATGTTTCGCTCCTCCTTGACTTTGCTCGGGATATGCGAATCGTCCTTTGCTCTTCCTTTGACTGACAAGAATCATTCTCTTTCTGGTTTAAGACCCTTCATCCTCACCTGAACCTCCCTTGACTGCACTGCAAAGACTCACATTGGAGAGAAAGAATGGCAGTGCGAGAGGTCGGATAGGGATGCGAAGTCGGGGAAGAGGTAGAGGAGCTCTTGCCTCAGGTCTTTCGCGGCATGACGTGCAGACAGAGAGCAGAGGCGAGAAAAGACCTGCTGAACAGACAAGCACAACTGCACAGAATGCACCAGAAGCAAGCAATTTAGCAGGAAGGCCTAGCAAACTTGCTGCCCTTGCTGCTGCAAGAGCTTCGAATCGTCAGAACAAGGCAAAAGGAGAAGCTTCTTATAGTCCAGCTACTGCGGAAGGTTCTCCCCTCCAGAATGGAGGAAAACCTCTGACGAAATTGCAGCAAAAGATGCAGGCGAACATGCTCGCAAGAGAACAAAGGCTAAAGGGAGCTCCTTCGAAGGAAGAGGAAGCTAAAGCTCTTTCTGTTGCTGAGAGCCAGAAACGCTTGCACACTCTACCAAACGGAGAAGCAATCGATTCACTCTTTCCGGTCACTGCAACTACTTCAAGTGAAGCTAGCGATGAATCTGTGTTGGGAAGGCTGACTGCGGATCAGCATTCATCTCTACTGGATGTGCCTGGCGGATCACCCTTCCAAGCAAAAGATCATCTGGAGGCTTTCACAAAGCCAAGCCCAGACGATCTTGTCTTGAAGGCTAGAGAAGGAACAAACTTGGCCCAGAAAAGATGATCTGCTTGCGCTTGTTTGACTCGATCTGCAAATTCCACAATGTTGCATCACAGTAACTTACACCATTACACCTTTATTCATTATAAAAAATGCAGCAAAGAAGCAACAAGCAAAAGCTTCTTCGAAACCAGCCTCAGGTACGACGACTCCGAGCAGAGCAGGACCATCGAAAAGTGCGATTCCACAACGGGTTGCGGCAAACAACTTGTCAACACAGCATGCTCCAGAAGAACGAGTCTCACAACTTAGACAGGATATCGAAGGATTGGGCTTGTCCAAAGTACGTGAGCCAGGAAGTGTGATTGGATCAGATGGCACGGCCAGTGTTCGTGGTACAAGTGTTCCTGGAACACCACGTGTTGCAATGGCTCATGAAAGAATCATCGAAGAATATCGACAACAGCAAGAAAGTGAGAGTGCGAAAAAGCGACTTAATCTGGTTGTTGTAGGTCATGTGGATGCAGGTAAATCAACATTGATGGGAAGATTGCTGCACACATTGGGATCTATAACCGACAAAGAATATACCAATAACGAACGTGCCAGCGCAAAGATTGGAAAAGGAAGTTTTGCATATGCATGGGCATTGGATTCCAGTCAAGAAGAACGTGAGAGAGGTGTGACGATTGATATTGCACAAGATCATTTTTCGACGAAAGATCGAATGTTTACACTCTTGGATGCACCTGGACATCGTGATTTCATACCCAATATGATCAGTGGAGCAGCTCAAGCTGATGCTGCTTTGCTTGTGATTGATGCAAGCTTGGGTGCATTTGAAGCTGGATTTGGACCTAACGGTCAGACAAGAGAGCATGCACTGCTAGTCCGCAGTCTTGGGGTGCAGCAGCTGGTAGTCGTTGTGAACAAGATGGACGCAATCGATTTTGATCAATCACGTTACCAAGAGATCGAAGCGACAATCCGACCTTTCTTGACGACTAGCGGTTTCGATGCTTCAAAAGTGCGATTGGTGCCATGCGGTGCATTTGTGGGTGAAAATCTTGAAACAAGAAAGGAAGGAGGCAAGCTTTCGCAATGGTACACTGGACCAACTCTGGTTGACATTCTGAACACGTTAGAGCCACCAAGACGTCAATTGGACGCACCACTACGCATGCCGATCACCAACGTTTTTCGAGCTGGACAGACGGCAATCTCATCTGGAATTGGAGTCTCAGGCCGTTTGTTGGCAGGAGTTCTCTCGGTTGGAGATCGGTTGAGTATCGTACCAGGGGATGAAAGTGGGATTGTGAAAGCGATCGAATATGATAGCGAAAGTGTTCCTTGGGCGGTAGCAGGATCATCAGTGACGGTATACATGACAAGCATTGAGATGAACTTCATTACGATTGGTGCGATTTTATGCCCACCTTCTGCGCCTGTGCCAACGGCAACATCATTCATCGCTCAATTGCTCATATTTGAGCCAAGCTTACCAATCTTGGCGGGCACTACACTCGACTTACATCATCACTCATCCAATCTTAGCGTAACAGTGAGCGAATTGATTGCAACTTTGGACATGAAAACGGGTGCTGTGCTAAAATCAAAACCAAGAGTGTTGAGTAGAGGCGCAACGGCAAAAGTTCGGATAACCTTGAATGCCCCTTTGGCAATCGATACCTTTGCCAACAATCGAGATTTGGGTAGGATTTTATTAAGAATGCATGGAGAAACAGTAGCAGCTGGTATCGTACAAGAACTCGCATGATGCTCATGGGCATTCTTTCGGCGTGAGGTATACCGACTCCGCTTTATCCGCATGCACGATTGCGCCTTTTCCGTTATTCTGTTGTACAATACACAATGATGCAATCAAATTATGGTTCCACATTCTAATTTGTGACTTCACAGGTTCCTGAAATGGGAGCATGATTCCGGACGTTTGTTCTTTTGCTACTTGCAATTTTGCCTTTCGTTGAGAATAAAGCATGCAAATCAGCGACCTTCTTCGAACTTCATCTCTCTTTCTACAGGTGAGACCAAATCCCAGCTCCTACCGCTCTATCCTCCTCCTTCGTCATGATTTTTCCCCTCTCAAAGACAGCTCTCTCGTTTGTTGTCGTCATCCTAGCTTTGTTTGCCCCTGCTAAAGGTGCTTCATTTGGCAAACGTGTTCAAAGCAACGCACCTGGCTGGGATCCGCACTCGACACCATTTCCTCCTGTCCATCGTGGAGATGTAGTATTTCAGTATCGTTCTGAAGCCGCAAAAGGCAATGTATCTGTTCCAGATCCGTACAATTCGTTTGAAACATCAAATGCAGAAGACTTTATCAACTCGCAAATTGCGTTCACCAAGACATACTTGGACAAATTGGAAGACTTACCTGCGATGCGTACTGCCATCTCTGAAGCGACTCCCCAGACATTTCGACCTCCTCGTGGTTTTGGACCTAAAGGCGATCCTACATACCTTTATTACACCAACGAAGGTCCCGACAAGAGCGGAAAGTTACACATTGCCAAGCAAAGTGATCTTGATGAAGCTGCCAAAAATCATTTTGCTACTTTACCCGGCAAGGTGTTCATTGATGAAACTTTATTAGGCGGAGAAATACTTTGGTATTATCAAATCTCTCCCGATGGAACAAAATTATTATACTCAACCGTTGACACAAAGACGAACCTTATTGGCAAAATGTATGTTCGCGACGTCTCCTCACCGTTAACCGATAAATCAAAACCGACTCAAGAAGGAGGATTTGGTCGCTACACAGATGTGATTACTGATTTGCAGGCTGGCAGTGAAGCATGGTCGGGTGACAGCAAGAGCTTCTTCTACAAAGGAACGGATACATCTGTCAAGTATCACGTCATAGGTACAGATAGCAAGGACGATATTACTGTCGTCCAGCCAAATAAGGATGATCAAGGTGATTGGTGGGTTCAAGTAAGCAAGGATGGAAAGTATCTTGTGCTTTATGGCACGGTGAACGGTTTTGACAATAGCAGTGTTTATGTTGCTTCTCTTGATCAAGGTGTTTCAACTTCAATGAAATGGCTTTGCATTGCACCCGATCATGCTTCTTCTTGGAATTATATAACAAACTTTGGCAATGATTTCTATTCCCAAACATCTTCAAAAGATGCACCAAATCTACAGGTTGTTCGCTTTACACTCGATTTCACCAAAGCTACCAAGACTGATAGCAGCTTCAGTACTTTCGCTAAAGGTGCCGATAGTGTTGTTGTTATCCCTCAAAGGTTAGACGCAAGCATTGCATATTTTGTGAACTTCGATACGGACAAACTTTTGATCATTTACGAGAAAGACAATGCTCTCGAATTCCATGTTTTCAATCTCAAAACAGGCATGAAACTTCAAAAGATAGACTTGGATGTTCTGTCTACTTCGTATGAAGTACATGCATCTCCCTTTGCAACTCATGTCTATCTGAAAATTTCAGCCTTAAACTCGCCTGGCCAACTCTATGACTTGAAATGGAATAAGGATTCAAATCAATTCTCATACCAGTTGGTGTACCAGCAAAAGATCCACACCATTGATCCAGCAGCATACACCGTTCAACGTCTGTCAGCCCCAAGCAAAGCAGGAGATGTCAAAGTGCCATTCTTTGCTCTTCATCGTAAAAATTTGAAATTTGATGGCTCGCATCCCGTCATAATCAACTTTTATGCTGCATATGGGTATGTTTTACCAACGTGGTACGATTCTCATCATATGGCATTTGTGCATAATTATGATGCAGTCTACATTCTTGCCGCTCCACGTGGTGGTGATGAAATGGGTGAAGGTTGGCATAAAGCAGGACAATTGCAAAACAAGCAAAACACATTTGATGATGTCCTTTCGGTCATCCAATTTGCCATCGATCAAAAATGGACAAGCCCAGGAAAGGTTATTCTCAACGTTCAATCTCCTGCAGCATTAGCAGGCGCAGCAATCGTGAATCAAGCTCCCGAAGGATTGATTGGTGCTTATATTGGCACGCAAGGATTGTATGATATGTTACGATCTGATCAATCACCAAAGAAGGCAACTCGGGCTGCTGAATTTGGTTCGCCTTCCGATCCCAAAGCTTTCGATTGGTTACGCGAGTATTCGCCTTTACACAATATCGATCCCAAAAAGACCTATCCAACAATTCTCATTTATCCACTGGATGGCGATGCAGACACCGGAGGAGAGGCTTGGCATAGCTTCAAACAAGTTTCTGAGTTGCAATACAGCTTGCCAAATAATCCGAATCCAATCTTGTTAGGTAATGGCACTGACACACAAGAAGAACGTAGTGCAACCGCATTTGCTTTGGCCGCACATACACTCGGCTCGAAATTAGTAGAGTGATTCATAGACAAATGTTCAAGTGTGAAATTTTATCTGCTTTCATAGCACAATCTGCCGCTTGTTTCGCCTTTAATTCATTTGCGGAAGGCGAGATGAAAGAGCTCGAATTGATATTGATACATTACTTAATCGGCATCATAAGGTCAATCACTGTACAGATTTGCTTAGCCCTTTGATATTGCTCATCGGGTAAACAGCAGCACGAGTCTGAGCTTCGCATACAAAGCATCACATCATCCTTGACTGCACTCTCTGGATTCAGCTCGATCGAAGTCAATGTCCATACAATGGCCAAAGCTTAATCTTCTGTTCACAACGTAGGAAGTCCGGCAACAAAAGTGGCCATCGGACAGTTCATCACTGCACTGTCTTTTTAGTAGCCGTTGCTTAATACTCCAATTTCACCTTCATGCACGATTGCGCCTTCTCCAGGCTTTTCAATATCCGACAGGAAGATGGTGCAATCGAACGGCTCCGTCCTACGATCACTACACTATCCTCTCTTCTCAGAGAGAAGAAGGTTGAGGAAGTAATGATTCCGAAATCAAATTAACCCCACATAGTACGCAATACTGCTTTTCGACGAAAGGAAGACTCGAAAAATGACAGTATTCGCAATGACACGCCTCTGATGGAAAAAACATATAAGCAAGCCTTTCATCAATAGCTTCTCTCTGTTGCCCCTCAAGAGAGTCATCTCCCAATCTCATCCATTGACCTCTCCCCCTTCTCTCGCCATGTTATCCCCTATCTCCAAAAAAGCTTTCATCTTTGTGACTGTCGCTTTTTCCGTGTTTGGTACTGTCCAAAGTGTGCCATTCAAGAAGCGCATCCAATCCAATGCTCCTGGCTGGGATCCTCACTCAACGCCTTTCCCTACTGTTCGCCGGGGAGACGTGGTATTCCAATACCGTTCTGATGCCGCAAAGGGCAATGTCTCAGTTCCTGATCCCTATAATTGGCTTGAAAATTCAGATGTTAGCAGTTTCAAGCAAGCTCAACTTGCATTTACCAAGACATATTTGGACAAGTTGGAGGATTTAGACGCTGTTCGTGCTGCAATCAAGGATGCAGGATCATCTGCTACACTTTATGCACCAGTTCCATATGGCCCAAAAGAAGATCCAACGTACTTGTACTCCTTCAAGGACATAAACACAAAATTCAGCCGCTCCTACATTGCCAAACAAAAAGAGTTGGATGATGCTAGTCGTACAAATTTTGCAAAATTACCAGGCAAAGTCTTGATCGATGATAGCCTTTTGGGTGGCAAGGTTACCTGGCAACAACAGATTTCTCCAGACGGTACAAAGGTACTGTACAGCATCGCCGACCCAGATACGTACGCCAATGTCAAGGTCTTTGTTCGTGATGTTTCCAATCCTTTGACAGACACGACGCAAAAAAGTCAAGAAGGCGGATATGGGCATTATCCAGATGTGATCACGGATTATTCACCTGGAACAGAGGTATGGTCAGGTGACAGCAAAAGTTTCTTCTATACGGGCTCTGATAGATCTATTCGTTACCATGTCTTAGGCTCGGATGTCAAAAGTGATCCCGTTTTACTCAAACCAAATAAGGACAAAAATGGTTACTTGTGGACAGAGGTTTCAGACGATCAACAATTCGTTTTTGTGTTCGGTTCAGCAGACTCATTTAATGGCAGAGGCTTTTATGCTGCTTCGCTCGACCAAGAAATTTCCGGTCCGATCAAATGGGTTCCTATCTCAACCGATTATGCTTTCTATTGGGATTATGTAACAAGTGTAGGCAACGATTTATACCTTGATACTACGAAAGGTGCACCAAATCATCAAATTGTTCGGGTTACACTTGATCTTACCAAAGCAGTACTAACGAACGATCTCAGCATCTTTACTCAAGGTGCTGAGTCCGTGACAGCTGTTCCACAGAGGCCTGACGCGAAGGTGACAAATTTCGCATCATATGATAACGACAAGGTATTGATTACCTACAATAAGGATGACGCTACCGAAGTGTTTGCTTTCAGTCTCACGACGGGTGCTCAACTTCAACAATTAGCGTTGGATATACCATCCACCTCTACTTTGCTCCAGGCATATCCGTCAAGCACAGACGTATACGTGCAGTTCTATACTCTCAGTTCACCAAGCAAATTTTACCATCTCAAATGGGATCACGCCAAAAATCGCTTCTCCTCTCAATTGGCATATCAACAAACAAATGGGGTCATTGATCCGGAAGATTACGTCGTTCAACGTCAAACGGCACCAAGCAAGACAGGCAATGTTCAAATTCCATTCTACGTCCTTCATCGTAAAGATTTAAAACTTGATGGCTCTCATCCTGTGATTATCAATTTCTACGGTGCTTATGGATTAAACTGGGATACAGTCTATGATGCAAAACACTTTGCATTTGTGCATCTCTACAATGCTGTCTACGTCCTTGCTGCTCCTCGTGGCGGAGGTGAAAAGGGAGAAGACTGGCATAGGGCTGGGCAATTTAACAATAAACAAAATACGTTTGATGATGTCATTTCTGTTGCTCAGTTTGCAATTGATCAAAAATGGACAAGTCCTGGAAAAGTGATTCTCAACGTTGCTTATGCTGGAGCATCAGCGTCTGCTGCAATTGTCAATCAAGCACCCGAAGGTCTCTTTGGTGCCTACACTGGCTATTACGGAATATATGATTTCTTACGTTTGGACCAATCAAGTATCAAAGCAACTCTTATTGCCGAATATGGTGATCCTTCTGACCCGAAGGCGTTTGACTGGTTACGTAAATTTTCACCTTTGCACAACATTGATCCTCGCAAAGCGTATCCGACGATTCTCATTCATCCACCTGCTGATGGCTCATCAACCCCGTCTTGGCATAGCTACAAGTACATTTCTGAGCTGCAATATCAATTACCCAACAATCCAAGCCCGCTTCTGTTAGGCGATGCAAATGATACCGAAGAAGATCGTTATGCTACTGATTTTGCCCTTGCTGCTCATACGATTGGCTTCAAACTTGTAAAGTGATTCATAAACGAATGTATTGGCTGAATTTGATCAGATTTCATTACACGAGTTTGTTTTGTTAAGATCCCGTTCCTTAATTTCGCTTATTTCTACATTGCGTACCTAATAGCGGAGTTTGCCTTGCTGAATGTTGATGGGCTGATCAATAAGAGAACATTATCAATCGCTCAGAATTGGATTCGTGTATGGAATGGCATAAGTCTCTGATAACGATTTGCCGTCCTTGTGAGGTGGCTTCAAAGAATGCACACGCAATGTTTATTGGTCAGCATGTTTAGGACCCGAAGACGATTAATATATGCTGCAATATGATGGAAATGGTCTCATCTTTTGTGGCTTATTTATCGTACAATACGCAAAATATCGTTTTATCCGCATGCACGATTGTGCCTTTTCCGTTCTTCTAATGCTCAACTGAAAATGATGCATTCAAATTGAGAATCCGCATACTTTTTGTGATTTTATCGGTTCCTGAATGGAAAGTACGATTCCGTCTCCTGCTTAGTCCAGCTGGCTTCTGTTGGAAGAAAGAAAGACATTTAAGCCAGCGTCTTTCAACAATATTCTCCCTTCTCTCCCCAGGTCTTCCTGTTTAGATCCTCTCCTTTGCCATGGTTCTCCATCTCTCCAAGACCGCTTTCACATTTGCTGCTGTCGCTTTAGCTTTGTTCGCTCCTGCTAGAGGTGCCTCACTCGGCAAGCGTGTGCAACCTAATGCACCAGGTTGGGATCCCCACTCAACACCATATCCGTCTGTTCGACGTGATGATGTGATTTTCCAGTATCGCTCTGAAGCCGCAAAAGGCAATGTGTCAGTTCCTGATCCGTATAATTGGTTTGAAAAATCGGATGCAAGTGATTTCATCAAATCTCAACTGGCATTCACCAAGACCTATTTGAACAAATTGGAAGATTTGGATGCAATGCGTACTGCAATCAAGGATGTAAGCAATTACACACCACTTTATGCTCCAAACATCCTTGGTCCCAACGGTGATCCGACATATCAATACTACTTCAAGGAACCAGGAGCAAAATACTGGCTTTCTTATATCGCCAAGCAAAAGGATTTAGACGAAGCTGCGGCTACCAATTATGCAAATCTGCCAGGCAACTTATTACTCGATGACAGTCTTTTGGGCGGTCAAGTCTCCTATCAACAACAAATTTCGCCCGATGGTACCAAGCTTTTGTATAGCGCCGCTGATCCTGTTACGTATGCTAACGTCAACGTCTACGTTCGTGATGTTTCTAATCCCTTGATTGACAAAACAAAAAAGATCGAAGCAGGCGGTTATGGTCATTACCCTGACGTCGTTACCGGTATCCAAGGCAACACAGAAATCTGGTCAGGTGACAGCAAAAGCTTCTTCTATACAAGCTTGGACGGCTCTATTCGCTACCATGTCTTAGGAACGGATGCTAAGAATGATCCTGTGGTGGCAAAACCACTCAAGGCAAACCTGAATGGTTGGTGGGCAGAAGTATCGGATGATAGTAAATACCTCTTGGCATTTGGAGCAGATTCGATGGATAACAGAAGGGTGTACGCTGCTTCGCTTGATCAAAAGATCAACGGTCCGATCAAATGGATTCCTATTGCACCCGATAATGATTTCTTTTGGGACTATGCTGGAAGCGTAGGAGATTCAATGTACTTCCGAACCACAAAGGGCGGCGCACCAAACCATCAAATCTCTCGAGTTACGCTTGATTTTACCAAAGCAGTCTTAACGGATGATTTGAGCGTTTTCACTCAGGAGGCTGAAAGTGTGACAGTCATCCCTCAACGTCCAGACGCAAAGATTTCCTATTATGGCTCATATGACAATGACAAGATCTTGATCACTTATTATAAGGATGACGCTATCGAGATGTTCGCTTATAGTTTAAAGACAGGTGCTCAACTTCAACAATTGGCGTTGGGTTTCCAATCAACTGCCGTGTCAATTCAAGCATGGCCATCGAGTCCTGATCTGTATGTGCAAGTCACTTCTCTCAACACACCCAGTGAGTTCTTCCATCTCAAATGGGACAGTTCAGCAAATAAGTTCTCTTCACAATTGGCATACCAGCAGAAAAGTCCGGCAATCGATCCTGAAAACTACATTGTTGAACGTTTATGGGCGCCAAGCAAGACTGGAAATGTCAAGATTCCATTTTATGTCCTCCATCGTAAAGGTTTGAAGCCTGATGGCTCTCACCCTGCCATGATCAATTTCTATGGTTCTTATGGATACGATCTAACAACATGGTTCGATGAACAGATGTATGCATTCGTACGCAATTACGATGCATTTTATATCCTTGCTGCTCCGCGTGGTGGTGGTGAATTGGGTGATGAATGGCATAAAGCAGGTCAGTTGAATAACAAACAAAACACATTCGATGATATTATTGCGGTCGCCCAATTCGCCATCGATCAAAAGTGGACAAGCCCAGGAAAAGTGATCCTCAACGTTCAATCCTCAGGTGCCACGTCATCTGCTGCGATTGTCAATCAGGCACCCGAAGGTATGATCGGTGCATACATTGGTACACGTGGTATGTATGACTTGTTAAGATCCGATCAATCAACGGATAAAGCTGCTCGTGCTGGCGAATATGGCTCTCCTTCTGACCCAAAGGCATTCGATTGGTTACGCAAATATTCCCCGCTGCACAACATCGATCCTCGTAAAACTTATCCGACGGTCTTTATCTACCCTCCCAATGATGATGGAGGTGGTGTTGGTGCTGAGAAATGGCATAGCTACAAATACATCTCTGAGCTGCAACATGACTTACCCAACAATCCAAATCCATTCTTGCTGGGAAATGGTACTGATACGCAAGAAGAACGTAGCGCAACTGCATTTGCTCTTGCTGCACATACGATTGGCTTGAAACGTGTAAAATGATTTCGATCAAGAATGTATCATTCATAGTTCATCTGATGTGTGTGTCTATAAATGGCCATATAGAGTGATAACTTTCTTAAATAATAAGCTTGACTAGCATGCCACCTCTTTCATTTTGTGTCAGAATCATCCATTTGTCTTTGGCCAATGCGAAATAAACACTCAGTCTTTGTCGTATTGTTGGGTTGAGTGACTCATCTTCTATTAAACAAGAAAGGGCGGCTTTGGTGACACACTGTAGTTTCAATAAAATTCATTGGATTGGCACAATTGAAAGTTAATCGAGGGGAAAGCCAGGATGTTACATAAGTATGAAAGTGAAAAGGGGCTCGAGAAGGTTTTCAAGCTTCAGACACGCTGCGTCAAACCCAAAGCAAGTTGAACGAAGCATTGTTGATGGAAAGCTTTTTTGATCAAAGTTGCTTGATTGCCATCAACTGCGTTGCCTCCAGCATTTTTCTGCAAATGCATCAAAAACGGATTCGGACTGTTTGGGTAGCTGTTCTGTAGTTGTGCAATATATTTGAAAGCATGGGCAGGAGCGGTATATTGATCAGAATCGGAAGGTGTCAAAAGAATTGGCGGAAAAACTTTCTGTTTTGTTGGATCGATGTTCTGCAACGGACTCCATGAACGAATTACATCGAATTCTGTCGCATTATTCGGATCACCGAAATCTGCAACTTGAGATGAACCTGCTATACCACGAGAAATCAAAAACCAATCCGTAGGAGCGATATCCGAAAGAATGGCACCAAACGTATTAGGTGGAGCTTGTCGACCCACGACTGCTGCAAAAGTCCCCCCTGCACCCTGTCCTTCTGCGATTACCTTTCCTGGACCAGCAATTTTGCGTTTGACCAAATCCTGTGCAACAGCAATGATATCATCAAAGGTATTTTGTCTATTCAATCTTTCACCTGCAATGCGCCATTCATTTCCTTTATCACCTCCTCCACGAACACCCGCATAAACGATGACAGCTCCGTATAAACGCATAATAGAGAAATGCAATGGATACCAGAATAAATTTTCAATGATTCCATAAGCGCCAGCAAAATGCATAATTACTGGCGCAGTACCATCCAGTTTTGTATTCTTGTTGTATACAGCAAAGAAAGGTACCTTTGTTCCATCTTTACTGGTTGCTTGCAATTGTTCTGTGATATAATCACCCGGTGCGACACCTTTTACTGTTTCGACAAAGAAGGTTGTGGCCACAATTTTGGTGCCATCCCAGCCAATTTGAACGCTCTTTCGCGGTGAATATGGTCCCCAATAGGTCACCATCATGTGCTTGCTACCCGAATCAGCATAGTAGACTTCATGAATCGTGAAAGTCTCTTCGGGCAAAATTGGTTGAATCAATTTACCGGTGAGAAGACTATAGAGGTAAAGAACGTACTTGCCGTTCTCTGTCATCACCAAAACGACTTTATCGTTGTCCAATACTAAAGAGAAAGTCATTTGCGCATTGGCACGAGCTGGAATTACGTCAATAGGGTTGACTTTATCTTTCAAGTCTTGCAATTTGCTCACAGAGCGTGCTTTACTCCAATCCATTTCATATTTCACAACTTTCCCGTTTGGTGCATCGTGATCGCTTTGAGCATAAAACGTGTTACCAACGATTGCGATAGAATAAATGATATCTTCTTTCGCAGGAGCGAGCGAGATCCACTTCATCTTGTCAGAAAGGGGCTGCTCCAAAGGTCTTGTAGCATAGACTGCCGCTTCACCCGTTCCTTGAGAGTTGATAAGAATGAGCCATTGTCCATCGAGGCTTTCGTATAAAGTATAAAAGCTATCTTGACTTGGATCAGCATGAACGATCAGGATGTCCTTTTCATAGGCAGTTCCTACCTTGTGAAAGCGTGCGACTGAGCCTATATCCGTGTTTGTACCTCCTTTTGGATCATTGACCTGCGTGTAATAGAAACCTGAACTATCAGGTTTCCACATAAGACTGCCATCACAACGTGGAATAGCTTCTGGCAAACGACCATCACCGCCTGGAGTTTTACTGGCCTTTAGTAAAGGTGAACTTGTTTCACGAATGTACCATGTACCAACACTTGCATCAGCTTCGGTGACAAGATAAGCGAAGTACTTTGAATCCAAACTGAAGTAGTACGTTGACAAGCTTGCCGTTCCATCCACGCTCAATGCATTTTCGTCAAAGAATTTACGACCAGGTGGGTTTGCGAAATTTGTCTTTGATGCTGCTTCAAATTCGGCCGGAGTAGCAATGTAGTACGTTTTTCGATTTTCGCCAATTCGTTTTAAGCTGAAAAAATAAAATGGATTCTTTTGATCATCCATAAACGTGAAACCGAAATAATCATTGAAATCATACGCATCCCTGATCGATTTATCAATTGCATTTGCGTTTGTACATTTGCTCATATACTTTTCCGTAAATGCTTGTTGATTAGCAGCAAATTGTTGAACTTCTTTATCCGTTGTGTAAGGTCTCTCCATCCAAAAGTAGGGATCCGGATAAGTAACATTGCCGTGCGCTTTTGCTGAACGGTAAGACCACGTTTTTGATACTTGTCTCGCCTTGGGAAATGGAGTTTGCTTTGTACTAAAGTTGGGTGCCTTTTGTGCAAAAGCAACAAAAGTAAGCAGAACAAAGAGGAGGAGGCTGGAGAGGGGCAATTTTAGTGCAAACATGATGGACCAGCTTTGCTGATGTTGGTGAACGAGAAACGAGGAACAAGTCCAGCTTGCTGCCAATAAATACCCATCTTTGACCTGGAAGGATCAGTTGTTTATTCAAACACATGCTAATATACTGTCTATACGCCACAATAAACTTCATAGCGCTTGATTGCGCAGTGCCGTTCTCATAATGTGATCGGCCAAAGATGAATTTCGGAAGAGTAAAGTCCGCAACTTTCTCTAGAGAAATGGGAATCCGAAGTAACGTTAAACATACTGCGGCGCCGATCAGTTGGGTGGTCATTCAGACAATGCTCTAATGCCAAAGAGACTATCAAAATCCCTGAACAAGACCCACTAATCGGTTTTAAAGTCATCAGTAGCTTTACTTTATTTCCATTATTGACTCAATGAATCAGCCCAAGATTATTACACATCACCTTGGCTTCTAGATTGATAAAGTGGCTTACGCTGCGCCACACTTATAAATGCAGATTCTAATTAATTTCGGGGAAACAATAGCAAGCCAAAATTCTTTGAAGAAATTAAAGCATCTGACCATTATTTGAAGTATATTTTCACGGTACCGCGCTCAAGAATATTCTGAAGAATTGTGAAACCTAAAGCGGTTCCGAAAATATACCTTTGCGGCATTGAAACAGATTATGAATAGATTCATCACTTCTGCCTTGTCAAACCCATTGAGAGTTGGGTAAAACAGTGTTGATTGGCAGCCATAGAAACCAATTGTTCGGTCGTGGTACTTGCTTCTCGATGGGCAGCAGCGCTGATAAGATCCATAAGCAATGGTGTTGTACTATTTGGATGCATTTCTTGAATTTGTGCGATATATTTAAGACCATGCCCGGGAACTACACGTTCATCGGAATCGCCAAAAGTGACCAAGATTGGTGGATATTGCTTCTTTGGACTTAAATTTTGCAAGGGGCTATAAGCATAAATAGAATCAAAGTCCTTGGGTATCTTTGGATCACCGATTTCGCTAACTTGAAAGCCTCCAATTCGGCTTCTTGCCAATAAAAAGGCATCAAGAACACCGTATCCACATAACATTGCACCAAAAACATTTTGTGGAGCTTGATGTGCTGCCACTGCCACAGTCATTCCACCGCCAGAATATCCATGACCGATTACTTTTCCAGGAGCTGCAATTTTTCGAGCAATTAAATCCTGAGCAACAGCAATCGCATCGTCAAATGTCTTTGGTTTATTGTCTCTTGATCCTGCTAGATGCCATTCCTGACCACGTTCACTACCACCTCTTATACCTGCCCAAACAATAATGCCATCGTAACTTGTCATCCATGAAAACAGGGAAGAATCAAAGTATAGATCCTCTAAACTTCCGTAAAATCCGTAAACATGCATGATTGCGGGAGAAGTGCCATCCCTCTTTTTACCTTTGCGGTGAACGATAAAATATGGAACTTTGGTTCCGTCCTTGCTCGTTGCTTCCAGCTGTTCGGTAACGTAATCAGATGGATTCGTGCCTTTGATTTGTGTAAGGAGTAGCTGAGACACTTCTGTTGTTTTTTCAGAGAGTTGAAGCTGATAGATCTTCTTTGGCGAAGTTGTGCTGGTCAATGCTAAGATCATTGTGTTGCTTTTCACATCGCAACTATAAATTCCGTACAGCGTCGACGATTCATTCGGCAGTACTTCTTGAATGAGTTTTCCCGTGTGAAGATGATGATAGAACATTTTCACTCTCCCATCCATAACATAGAAGAGCATAATCTTATCAGTTGCTACAACCCACGCTTGAGCTAAAAGAGCAAAGTGCTTCTCGGGAATGATATCAGTCATTTTGACTTGATCTTTCAGTTCAGAGAGCTTTTTGACTTGTCGAGCTTTACTCCAATCCAATTTCAGTTTGGAAACCTTCCCATCTAGCGCATGTTTGTCCGTTTGAATATATAAATAATCATTCTTTGTCGAGAGGATGTTGAACGTATAGTCGTAAGAAGGTGAGAGGGATATCCATTTCATTGTATCGGACAAAGTTTGACCTGTGAGCAAGGTTGCATATGCTACTGATTTCATGTCCGCATCTTTGATCGCAGTTACATATAACCAACGGAAATCTTCGCTACCTGAAATGCCCCAAAAGATATTTTGATCCGGATCTGGATGTACGACCGTGATATCCTTTTCGTATGAAGTGCCAAATATATGATGGCGTACGCGGGAACCAATATCAGTATTCCGACCACCTTCTGGATTGTTCAATTGAGTATAGAAGAATGCACTTGAATTCTCATTCCAGAATATACCTCCATCACATGACGGTATCACATCCGGCAAGCGGTCTTCTCCGCCCGGCGGTCTTGTTTTTGGATTGACCAATGGCGAGTCAAGCTTGCGGAAATACCACGTTCCCGTATCAGTACCTTCTTCCGTTACTAAATAAGCAAAAGTCTTTAAATCAGGAGAAATATTCCATGTGATCAGACTTGACGTGCTATTCTCGCTGAGCATTGCTTCAACTAAGAACTCTTTCCTGCAGGTTTGGCAAAGTTTGACTTTTTAGCTAATTCCATTTCGGGAACAGAAGCAAGATGGAATGTTCTTAAACTGTCATTTGCCCCACGAGTTGAATAAATATAGAAAGGCTCCTTCACATCGACATCAAACAACCACATGTCGTCATAGTCGTCATAATCGTATGCGTTACGAATAGATTGTGTGATTTGATCGAAATTTGTGCATTTGTCCAAATAGCTTTTGGTTAATTGCATTTGATTGTTGACGAATTCTTGAATATCGGGATTCGATTCAATGGGATCTTCCATCCAAACGTAAGGATCAGCATAAGTAACATTTCCGTGTGCTTTTGCTGATTGATACGTCCATGTCTTCGAGACTCGTTTTGCTCCTTGAAATGGCGTTTGTTTCGTGCTCCAAACTGGTTTCGTTTGGGCAGTGACATTAATTACGAATATGACAAGGATGGATAAGCCGATCAAAGCAAAGTGAGGTAAGAACATATTGACGAATTCACAGCAAGTGATGATTGACAAGAAGGAAAAGAAAGATAAATTATGTTATATTTTATAAACACTATTCCGCTTCCTCTTTCCTTCGCCTTCGTAAAACGTGAAACAAGGACAGCCGCAAATATCCAAGAGAACCATCTGCACTAACTCGACTGTGTTTTCAGCGGCGCCGTATTCAATCACATGACGGCATAGCCACTCGAAGCGGCTCCGAGGACTTCTCATTATAAGCTTGCAGAGATATTTACGAGTCAGAGCCTCAAAGAGATAGAGATCATCTGCTAGGCTATGATGTGAAAGTTCAAGCATCAATGGTGTTCATGCTGTGACTCAACGAAGAGGTTGTATCACTGATTTTCCAACTGAAGTGCATCTGTCTTTTTGAAGTAATAATGACGGATTATCCGCACATAACGTATACATTTCTATTTTTGTCAACAGCTGTACGGGTCCGGAAAAAAGATGGTGACCGTGAGTAAACATTTGAGGGATGCTTGGCGTTTGCAAGATAACAAAAAATTTATTCACGGTTTCCGTCAAGGCAACCCATTATCTGTTTTATTTCTCCACGCCCTTCCGAGTTCTACCAAAAGGAAAGATGAGATCCAATGTATCCAATAACATGTCATTGGTAAAAATGGAATAAACGTCTTATTTTACCCGGAAAATTATGGTAGATATATAAATTGTAAGATAATATTTATTGGAAGAGATGAAATCATCTTTCTGGAAGACTTCGAGTGAACCACAACTCATCTTGACCAAATGATTTGACGATAAGATTTGTGCAAAGCTGCCCGCTCAATGTAAAGGCACGGCCCGATTGCTGCGCTTGTGCGGACCTTTGTGTTGGTGGGATGGTGGCGAGCTCCCTGGTGGCTGCCAATAAGGATTTCCACCTTTTGGCGGGCTTTTAGGTGGTTGCCAGTATGGAGGTGGGTTGTTGTGGCCGCCACCGCCACCACCACCACCACCATAAGGAGGCCATGTTGGAGGATTTGGTTGCTTACCGCCACCACCACCGCCGCCATAAGGAGGCCATGTTGGAGGATTCGGTTGCTTACCGCCACCACCACCGCCGCCGCCGCCATAAGGAGGCCATGTTGGAGGATTTGGTTGCTTACCGCCACCACCACCACCGCCGCCACCATAAGGAGGTGGGTTTTTGTTTCCGTTACCACCACCACCGCCGCCACCATAAGGAGGCCATGTTGGTGGATTTGGTTGCTTACCGCCACCTCCGTAAGGCGGAGTATTTGGAGAGCTTTGAGGCTTGGAACCAGGTTGTTGTCCATAGGCTGGTGGAGCGCCTTGAGCAGCAATCAGGGCCGAATTGACCAGAAAGACGAAGACGAGTAAGATTGGAATTTGAAAAGGACGAACCATCTTTGAAGGTGTGTTTCGTTGTGAGGGAAAAAGGACAAAGAAGAAGTTGGGGAAAGTTTGCAAGAATTCTGAAGAATAAAAGTGGTTTAAATAGCCGTACATTCTAATCATTCAATGCTCTTCTCACAATGAGAAGATTATAGACCGTGTGCAGTTTATCCGAGCATTTCAGAAAAGTGTAGGTCATAAGGTGATGTGTAATGTCATGAGAAAAGTGTAGGTCATAAGGTGACGTGTAATGCCTCATGACTAGTTCATCAGTTTGAGCAACAAAAATGGCACGTTTTCAACTCTGAATACGAAAAAGTTTCTATATAGAAAGAATCTTGGCTAAAATAGTAGCCGACGGCAAATTTAACCCAGTCAATTAGTATGAAATACAACAATTCTGCGGTACAACATGATATTTCGCCAAAGGTACGGTACCTTCTTAGTTTCAATTTTGGTAGGCAGCTCGTATGTGGTAAAGGTCATTGGATGGTGCTTAGAATTTTCACACGGCGGTTAAATGTCAGATACTGGAAGTCGTGGCTGTACTTAATTAATAAAAAGTCAAATTCGCATAAGAATGCTTAACAAACCACGGAATGGTAAGCTGAAAACAGGTAGGGGTGAAATGAAAGTGCGGGACCGATCTATTTTTCATCGATCGGAAATTTAAAGGTGGCTGTGAGATTGATCTAGGCGTCCGGCGCCGGTGCCACACAGGTTTATCTTGGCTCTATTTTGAGGTTCTAGTCAAGGTGCCGTCTGGTAAAGTGATTTGTTGCTTTGTCTTCTTGGCATACTTCTTTAATGCTTTTGTCACTTGGTCTAATGAGGTCACAGGACCAAATTGATGCATTTGCCCACCATGAACGCTCTCTGCATCGGCTTTTTTAGTCAAGTCTCTGTAGAGACTCATTGTGCATGTTGGTCCGTCTGGGAATTTACAGCCTTCACCGCCAACGATCAAAATTGCACAAGAACGCACAATGATTCCATCTTTCTCCCAGTCCATTTTACCAACAGTTCCCCAAATTGAAGTTACAAAATATGAATGGTCACAGTCGGACTTCTTTGAACATTTCACGTTCAGTTTATGTTGCAGATTGAAAATTTCATCGGTATAACAACTTAGCATATAATCTGCTCCGGGTCCAATGTTCGTACGATGATCGTAGTCTGAAACTGATGGAATATCAAATGCCGAGGAAGGCAAAAACTCTTTCGGTCTATCCACCAATTGATCAATGTAAAACTTTTGTCCCCATTTCATTGCTTGTGAAATTATCTCGTCATTTGCAAGCATTGAACGCCCAGTCGAGTCAGCATTGGCGCCAAAGTAGAAGAAATCCGGTTCTCCATCATTCTTCATGGGAGCATTGGGAGGGGTAGACCTTGCAGCGGGAGCTTCAGCAGCAGACGATAATGCTGCAAAAGCCAGTGTGATGAAGATCAAAGAGAACGCTGGAGTGATGAAACGCATCTTGGACTGAGTGGAGAGAATTGCTTTGAGGGAGAGGGAACAGGATCGACATGGCCTGCAATATATAACTTGACCACGGAGTAAGAAAACAATTGTCTTCACTCTCAAATGATTCTAAGAATAGCAAACGCGCAAGCCGCTCTTTGCCAAAGTGTGGGTTGAATTCTTGTTGGAAGTGGCGGGCAACCGCTGGGTACCTGAAAATAATGAGAAATCGATGAATGTTATAATACAAATAAACGACTTCAGACTCATAGAGGCAGAATTATTGGGATCAAGGGATGCGGAACATGTATTCATGAATATACAGATGGTTATTTTTGTATACAAAAAGCGGAGCAGGCATGATTGATCATTGTTTGCTAGGAGGTAAAGAACCAGGCAGAGGCTGACGCTTGAGACCTAGAACATGAGCAGTGAGACAATACTTGATGGCGGCCTCTTCCAAAAGTTTGGTCAAACTGTTCGAAGCTCCATGACCGGCATCCATTGTAACACGCAAGAGCAAAGGTTGAGGATTGTTTGGTAAACGATGTTGCAGTTCAGCAATTTGTTTGAACGAATGAAGTGGTGAGACACGATCGTCATGATCTGCTGTGGTCAGCAAGACTAGAGGATATGTTTTGTTGGCATCAACATTGTGCAAAGGGCTATACTTGTAGATATAATCGAATGGTTCTGCTTCGTCTGGATTGCCGAATTCTTGTGTCCAAAAGACACCTGCAGTGAAATGTTGGAAGCGTAACATATCCAACACTCCTACCTCTGCGAGAACAGCACCCAACAAACCTTCAGGTGCTTGATTGGCAACAGCCATTGCCATTAAACCACCGTTACTGCCTCCATTGACGATCAATTTGCCTTTTGCTGCAATCTTGTTATCGACCAAATGTTGCGCTGTGCAAATGATATCATCAAAGCAATTTTGTTTGTTTCCAAAAGCACCAGCGTTATGCCAATCTTCACCGTATTCAGATCCACCTCTGGCATTCACCCATGCCAAGACACCATCATAACTTCCGATCCAACTTAACAATCTCGGACTAAAGGTTGGCATTAAGCTATGGGCAAATCCACCATAAGCGTAGATCCACGCCGGGGCAGTGCCATCGAACTTGCGAGTTTTAAGATGGGTCAAGTAAACCGGTACTTTTGTACCGTCTTTGCTTGTGATGAAGATTTGTTGAGTGGTGAAAGCATTCAGATCCAAGCATGACACCTTTGTTGCTCGATGTTGAACGATCTTCGGTTCGGCTTTTGTATCTTGACGATCGCTTTCATCCCAATTCAATCTATACACCAACCCAGGTGAAGTGAACGAAGTAACAGAGAGGAAAGCATGATTGTCTTTCTTGCGTCCGCTAACGGACGAGATTGTGCCAAGCAAATCAGGCAAGAGACGTCTAATCTTCTCTCCAGTCTTGAGCTCGTATTGGTACAATTCATTCTTTACATCCTTCACATACCATACCAAGAGCTTGTTTTGTGCAACAACGAGAGCTTCATCCAAGGTTGCTTCCTTGTTTTCCTTGACAATATCTTCTAAAGTCACTTCATCTTTCAAATCACGAAGATGTTCTACTTTCTTGGCCTGGCTAGGATTTACGCTGGCACGAACGATTTTCCAATTGGGTGCATCTTTGTTGGTCATGAAGTAAAAGTCATCACCATCATTCGTGATGAATGAAAGGTAGAACGCAAATTCAGGAGCAATTGAGATCCACTTCAGATCCGCGGTAATGCCGGCTTGAGGATCCAGTGGTGCGACATACAATCGCGATTTTTGCTCGGTTCCCTTAAAGCTGCTGACCATCAACCATTTACCATCATCGGTTGTATGTGCTCCCCAAATGTTGGATTCCAAATCGGGATCTTTGTTGATGATCAAAATGTCTTCATCCTGGCTTGTGCCGAGTTTGTGGTACCAAACCTCGGCATCCTTTGCAACGGCAGTTTCCGTACCTTGATCTTGTCCGTCAGTATGAGCAAGACGCTGATAGAATACACCTTTGTCATCTCTTGACCAAGAGACACCCGAAAATTTGACATGGTGGATCACATCGGACATGCAATCAGGACCGCCCTTAGCAGCGACCTTGAGATCCTCTGGCTGTTCTGTGAACGGCTTGGATGTATCACGAAAGTAGACGGAATACCAATCCGAACCACGATGGGTAACAGTGTAGGCAGCAATTTTACCCGAGTGAGAGAAATAAAAGTTTCCAACAGTCGTAGTTCCATCTTTGCTCATCAGATTTTCATTGAAGAATTGTTGACCAGGAGGAGATTTGTAGCCTGTACGTTCGGCATTCATCAATTCCTCAGGTGTCATTTTATACCAAGTAGATTGAGCGTCTAGGCCATTGTTGAACGTATAATAATATGTCAAATCATCCGGTGGTCCTACAGAGCGTGGCGTACTGAAGCGAGGATAGTTGACCACATTATCCAAAATTTGTCTGAATTCTTTCAAATCTTTGCATTGGTCTAAATATTGTTGTGTGAATGCAGCCTGTGCTTCGCAGAATGCCTTTGTCTCTTCTGATTGAGAAGGTGGTTGCTCGAGATAGTGATACGGATCTGGTACTTTCACTTCACCTTGTTCTTGTGACTTGTGAATGAACACTTTGTCACATCGACGTGCTTGTGGGAACGGCGTCTTCTTTGGGTCCCAACCAGGAGCTTGAGGGTAAGGATTGGTGGATGAAGCCATTGTACGTTTAAATTCAAAGGTAGTTTGAAGATTTGCTTTGTTGACGTATGAGAGCTAGGAACAAAAAGCAATCGATTGTGATGGATGTGATTAGTCAAGAGTGTGTGAGAGTAATTGATCATACACTCACCCAAGATGTTTGTCTTGTCAAAGTCGGTGCACGAAAGCAATAAAGGAAAGAAGGTAAGATTCCACTCTTGTTCAATTTGCAGCAGCCAATGCTGCCGCTCTTGAAAGGAACAAGTAGTGAGGAAATGTTGGGCGGTACCGTATATGAATCTGCCAAACAGAAGTAGCACAAAGGGTGACGAAGATGATCTTTTAGGACAAAGAACAACACGAAGACACGGTAGCGTAATCAGCATGCATGCACACACCTCCTCAGGCGTCCAACGGCTCAAGTCACAAGAGAAAAAAAGATGAAATGAAATTAGCTTAGAAGAATTGCACGGGCCACTACGTCCATCAACAAATCCAATCATTCACACAACACACTCATGTCAATCACAATGGGAAAAAGGTATATATTGATGATAGTTTATGCTGCACGTAAAGCAACAGCACGTTTTGCAATCAACCCGGGTGTTAAGCCCTTCTTGGCATGAAGGTGAACGTGGAACAAAGACACACTTCGATCTCCATTCAGGTATACGCTAAGTGGTACCTTATCTGTTCCAACTTCTGCTTTTTCATCCGCTGATCCGGTAGCGGACCATGCCAATGTACTTTTATCCAAATTGGTCGTACTGCCATCGTTCAATTCGAGATAGTTACTGTTCCATACCGCGCCTTCTAATCGTAAACCTTCAATAGCAAATCCGCCCATCGTTGCTCCGCCATCTTCAACATTCAATCGCAGCTCTAAATTTTCCAAGCTAATTTTATTACGATTTGCGATTGCCTGTCTTGTGGCGGTAAGATAGGCTGTTGGAACAAAGAGCTGCCCTAAATTGATTGAGAACAATTCAAATCTGGTAGTAGAGCTTTCTCGGGTAATCTTTTCAAGCTGTTGCAACCTAGATCGTAAATCGGCCACCCATTGTGGCAATGTCATCGATTTTGGTACGGTGTACTTCTTCCAAGCAGATGGAATTGAACCTTTTGCCAAATCACTCAACAAAGATCGATTATGATTCGTTTGCCTTCGAACACCTTGACAAACTTCACTGACCTCTTCAAAGTCTAATCTGACTTGTTTCAATAACTCTGTTCCGATACGATATTCGCGTGCCCAGAATCGAAAGAGTGGATTGGTCATACTCTCAGCATTTGCTTTGAATTTGGTCAATTCCGAAGGCAATAACTGCAGCCATTCTTGCACATTCTGATTCAAAGCTTTCATCCATGCCGGCTGTGTAGATGTTCCGCTCGAATTTGCATTTCCATCAGCTTGGCCGTTTGTATTGCCATTCGTGGCATTGGCAGAGTTGTCATCGTCGTCATCATCATCTGACAACTGACGCATACGAACCAATTTATTCAGCAAAGCCGTACCTTGAGCTGTAGCAATCACTTTCTCAGCTGTGGAAGGTAAAGCGAGCCATTGCGGTGGTTGCTGTTCGGGTAAACTGCTCACCCAATCCAAGAACATGTCCATCCTTGTTCCCTCAGGTGCTGTCAGATTGCCAATCACATTTGCGCCTCCATTACTGATATTGTTTGCTTGTCCTTCATCATCTTGCACATCAACAAGTTTAAAGGCTGATTCATATGCTTGTGGCGTGAAAATACCATCCACAAAGCTATCCAATAAAAGTTGATCGGCATTATTATCAATTTTTCCACCATAAACGCTCTGTTTCAAAAGCGTCTTGAGTGCATCCCAAGGGACAGCCTGCGGATCAATGTTGCTCCTTCCTTTTGCCACGCGATTGACCCATACTTCTATCGTAGTAAGTGCTGCTTCGGCATCAGAATCGTTAAATTCAAACAACTTGCTCCAACCAAGGGGCGTATAGCGTAATCGCTCAATCAAAGTTGCATGGAAGAATGCCAGCAAGAAGTAGATTCTTGTTACCTCTACAGGTCCCTGCTCAAATCGCTTGGGGTTGATGCCATGCAAGCAATCCATCATGTTTGCTTTTAGTCCTGGCGGTGGCTCGTTCATTAAAATTCGACTGGCACGTAAAAAGTTGACCGGGATGATCGGGTTCGTTTCGCATGTGATAAACAGACGAAAGTTACGATGTGCATTAAGCCCGAGAATTTTCTTTTCCAGTTGTGAAAGCCAAGATGGAGCTAAATGAACATTCTTCAACAGAACCCATTGACCAGTTTTTGCACCGGTAGCGATAGCTTGATCAGCCAATTGGAATCCTTCTTGCGATCCCATAGCAACCGAGGTGCATCTCGTTGCAGTAGCACGTACCAAGCTGTCGACTCTGTAAGCAGCATCGAATCCGGGAACGGAACACAAAGCCAAGGGTGTCTCGGGACCTACTTCTTCCGCTACGATATTTTGTAGATCATATGCTGATTCAGCCAAGATTTCTGACCCAAAGACTTCATTAACCAATGCTGTGACTGCCTGAATAATACGATCAGGTCGTAAGCATTTCACCACCAATGCAGTACGAACCAAAGCACCAAACTTTGTCACCTTCGTACTTTCCCAAAAGATTGGAACTTCCTTTTCGGGATTGTTGGAAGAGAGGAAGGTCGTCCACGATGATCCACTTTCATCCAAATGAGCTTCCAGTTTCTTGAACAAGTCCAGTCGCTTGAAAGCATTCAGTCTCTGTCTTTGCTCTGCGTTGAGGAGAGGGTGCTCTCGCAGATTGGAAGGTGCAATACCAATTGCATCTCCGCCTTCCAATAAGAAGTCGAATTCGTCACTGTCCAGAGAATCATCATCGCTTGTCTCACGCATCCAAATCTGGGCCAGTAGCATTGCCAACATGAGATGGTCATGATGCATCAAAGCTCTGCTTGTACGTCTATATACGAGGAGGATCAAATCCCTTGTCAAAATATCGAGTCGCTCTTTTGTGTCTGTGACGCCTTTCAAGTTGGGGTTTCGACGGAGAACAAAGTCGAAAATATCCAAAAAGAATCGAAGTGAGAATTGGTAAAAGTGATTGATTAGATTGAGTTGATCGAGAGCAAAGAACAACGAACTGCATGCTTTCGATAGCGGTAAATACTGGTTTGTAACTTCGTCCACCTCGGACATGATCGCATCCGTCTCTTCCACTTTGGTAGTCACCTCTGCTGCTTCTTTTTTCAGGGTCTCCAATGTATCAATCACCTTGTCATCATCCAAAATATTACCTTGACTCTCATTCAGAGCATTCAAAAGACTCTTCTCTAGATGGCGAAGCCTTAGTCGAAATTCACCTTGAAGCTTCATTAGATCCGTTCGTTTCTTGTCAGTGTCCGGCCTCTCACTTTTGAGTACTTGATCGAGACTTTGGCTTTGCAGGCTGCTTCTAGTCATGGTGAAATTGACGAATGTGACACGACTGCAGACATCAGGCGAGAATTCTACCGACGGATCGCGTGTAGAGAGGAACATGGTGAATGAAGGTGAAAAGTCAATCTCTTGATGTCCAAGTCTGATCAACACCCGTCCACCCGTCTTTCGCAGTTCACCATTTAGCACTGGATTGATGATTGGGTCCAAATGTTCAACGTCTTGGATTAGAAGAGGGTTTCCAAAACGCAATGCACTTTCCAAATTCTTAACAAAAGCTTCATCTAGGAAGCTTGTCACTGTCAATTTGCGGTCGCGGTATTCATTTGTCAACCAAGCCGTTGCCTGACCTGAAGGATCGATGATCAGCGGGAAACGCTTGAACCTCTTGAGCATGATTGCATTTTCTGTGCATAAATTGTCTGCAGGCAAAGATCTCGATTGCCAGCTCAATCGATCATCTGCGGTTGACAAGTAATCAGCAAAGCTCAACTCTGGCTTAAACTTGATGTTCGCCTGTTGTAGGTGAGAAGTCCAGTTGTGCCACATTGCTTCGCGATATTGTTGATCAAAGAAACCAGCATACGTCAAAAAGCCAGCCGAAAGAAGAGCATCTCCAACAATAGTGCTCATTTGGGTATCAAATGTTCGGCTTCCTGCATCCCAGCGCTCCTTTTCTGATCCAAGACTCTCGAGTAGTTGAATACTTCGGTCAACTCTCGTTTGCACACGTTCCATTTCGCTCTTGATTGCTTGTGTTTCACTGATCAATGCTGCATATTCGTCTTTGTATCGTGCAATACTTGCTTCCAATTCTGCAATCATATCGACAATTGTACCGGCTTGCTCTTTTGTCTCTTGTGCTTGTCTTTCTAGCGAGTCCACTTCTTCTCGTAGCGGTCCAACGCGATCCAAGATCTCTGAGAAATGCACCTGTGCAATCACCCACTTTGCCAATGGTCCACATGCTTTTGAAGCACGATTGATCGTCTCAAAGTTGTAATCCGGTTTGCTCAGATAGTCTCTCTTCATCCTTTCACGAACACCTCGGGTCATTTGTCTGTCCGTATCAAAGTTTACGATTGACGCGATAAAGTCATCCCTTCTGATGATTCCTTGGACAGTTTTCCAGCTGTCGATCTTATGTCCAAGTGCAGTGCATACACTCTCCATCGCAATCTTTACTGCTGCAGGTGGGTTACCCATCGATCGAACTTCTGTCAAATGTTGTTTTTTGATGTTGCTGACTGCTGATTGAGCATCTTGAACAGCAGGTTCAGCATCTGCTAGATCTGCCATGACGACTTCCCTACGTTCACCTATATCGCGTTCCTGTATCTCCAAGTCTGCTTGGATTTGAATCGATGCTGCTTTTTGTTCTTCAGCAGATTTTTGATCGGCCACCATTCTTTGTAACTTTTCGTTTGCTTCTGCATTTTTGGCTTCAAGCTGCGTTCTCTTTACTGCTAAACTCTTTTGTAGTTCTGACACAGCATCAACAGTCTCTTTCAGCTTGTCCAAACCTACGTTTAAATGACGCTGTTCTTCTTCCAATCCTTCTCGCTTTTCGTTACTCAAAGCCACATATTGATTCAAAAAATCAAGAAAGCTTCGAGGACCTAGCTTGAGTGCTCTTCCTTGTCTCTTTTTCAGCCTTTCTGCTTGACCATATACACTAAAGTGCAAGAAAACCAAAGCGTCCAACACTTCCGGTGCGGAAGGTCCAAGATCGATCGAAGCTGTCAATTCTGATGCCACCGTTCTATATGCACTCGGGGCCCAATCCCCAGGCATCTTTTGTGCCACACTGGTCGATGGCACCGGCATTGTGAGTGAAGGTGATCCACTTGTCCAGCTGAGAGGATGATGGTTGTGCGTCTGACCGTTTTGAGCAAGAGCTTAAATTGTATTCTGCTGTGTGCGTGCAAGGACAATAACGCGTAGGCCAGAGTGGTATGCGGCGTTAGTGTTGTTCTTTCCCTTCAAGCCAGTCAAAAGGAACACAATTAACACGCTCTTATTGTGCGCGTCAAGCTTTCTTAAACAACAACAACAACAACAGTTTGACATCAACCTTTGCTCTCGACCATCAATGCCATTCAACTATGCCGAGCAGAGGTAAGGCAAACCGCTTTGTCGATGACGAAGCCGGGCGATCAAGCGAAAAGAGAGGTCGTGGTCGTCCCAAAAAGAGGCAATATTCAAACAGCTATGATGAGGAGCTGGAAGATGTAAGTGATCTTGGAAATGAAGATACAGAAGAGGAATCCGACCAATCTGAACAATCTGGAGAAGAGGAGGAATCAGGAGATTCTGGAGAAGAAAATGAGGATGATGAGGAAAGTGAACTGGATGACGATATGCCTTCAACATCTCGTAAAAGCAGATCACGTCGTCATAATGATGATCAATCTGAAGAAGAGAGTGATATTCAGACACCAAAACGAGGATCTAGGCGAACAAAGCTACGTGAAATGGCAGATTCCGCTTCAGATGATGATGAAGACGAAAGCAATTCACGTCGCTCAGTCAGTCTCGATCAAAGCAGCACTTCCAGACAAGAGCCCAGCCGCAAAAAAGTATATCCGAGGCGAGTAAGACGCACCAAACCTAAAGATCGAGAATTTTCAAAATTAAAGTTTCGTAATTCTAACCTCTTGAGCAAATGGAGACCATTGGCAAAGGAAGAGAGAATCTTGGTAACGCAAAGAGGCGGAATGATTTGGCAAGTGGCCAAGCCTTTATTAGCACGTATGCCGGAGTACAAGAGAGGACCATCAGCGAAATTGCTGAAAACGCTTTTGAGTTCGGTCGATGCTCAATTATCAAAGACACCCGTTCCACCCACTGCAAGGATGCCAAAAGTCGCAGCCGATAATGCAGGAAACGTTGACTCTGCTCTCTCTCAAGCACGTCCGATGACAAGCAGTTTGATGAGCTGGGTGGCTGAAACAGGCGGAAAGATTCAAAGGTCTGATCGAGAAGGTACAGAGGATGATCCCGAGAAAACAATGGTGGATGAGACATTAAAAGGATTTGAAGCAGATATTGCGATCCTAGAATCATTGCTGGTACCGGAAGCAAAAGAAGTTGTTCAATTGATGTCCTCGCTTACAGAACAGAAGAAAAAATTCGCAGAGACACGCACATTCTTTGATGAAATAAAGAAAGATGCTGGCAAAATTGATAGCGAGGCTGAAGCTGGAAGTCGAGGGGTGAGTTGCACGACTGCTTATTTGAAGATCATTAGCTGACGATTGTGATTACTGTTCCACTAGGTCTATGAAGCGGTACGCAAAAGTCTAAGAAAGGTGGGCAGATTGAATCATCAATTGCCGTTGGAAAGGGCAGAAGACTTTGTCTTGCGCGAATCATCGCGGGAAATGTTGCGTTAAGTCATGCTATCAAACAAGTACTTATACCCGAATATCATCTAAGCACATTCATCATTGTACAATAATTGCATATAACAACCTATTCAGCCCTATGAGAGTTTTAGTGTACATTGCGGTCTGTTTCAGGAAGCAACAAATTTCATCGCAACCAGACTGGTAACGATTGAATCGATTCGCTTTCTAATAGTCTGTTCGACGTCTACTTGATCGATTGTGCTGTCATCAATATCGTTGTGGGATACGGTCATATCGCCCAACTTGTATGCTTTGCAGATCGCATCCCAATCTATCATTCTCTGCTCTGATTCATCCCCTTGCCAAGAGTCCAACACCGATAATCCTTCCTGTGTAATATCACCCTCCACAATCGATTGCATCTTTTGCAAGACATCCTTTGCTCGTGGCCCTCCTTGTTCGGGTGAGTGGGCGATATGGATTAGCAACAGATCCTTTGTCGTATCCGACAATCCAAATATGCGGAATGTTTCGGCAATCTATGTGATGCGTTTGAAGGTTAGCACGTTGCAAGAATATATGCATCGGTATCGCATCTACTCACATTATTCGTTATACTCAAGTTCCAAAGGACCTCTGAATGAATTGATTTTGTCCGTAGTCCTGTAGTCTTTCCGTCTATTTTCCTGGCATTCCGTAGTATGGCTTGATGTATGGAAACGAGCAAATGCGAAGAACTACAGATCATCTTTGCATCGATTAAAGCCATTGGCATTTCACCAAACTTTTCTCCACCTCGTTTGACATCCTCTAGTACAGCTTGTGCATTTTGTACATCTTGCACCAAAACAACATGTGCTTGTGATTGTGAAGGTTCTACATGATGAAATGTATGCGTTTCCATCCTTGTTCCTTTCACTCCGCTTTCCCAAATGATCGTCTTGGAATCAATTTGTTTTGTTCACATAATTGGTCATTTCTACTTTTTTTTAATTAAACAGCGCCCGCGCTAGATGCAATTTTATTTTCATTTCACCTGTGCACTGCAATTTCCTTGTCAAACGCGGTTCCGATTGGCGAAAAGTGTTCATCCGGCTTACCGCCCTCATTGCCATTTGGCAAAATTATTCTGGAACGATCAAATTTTCGCTTCCGTCTTCATTTCATTAAAGCCACCTTTTTATCATGCAGCCAGCTGATATGTAGCTCTTGAGGCTGTAAATGGCATGATGAGTGAAAGACATTTAAGGTGAGTACAATACGCATCCTGAATCTCCCTCAACCCACCACTTACAGGCCAGCCTACCCTTCCTCTCCCTCACAATATGCATCGACTCCTTTCTTTGTCCCTTCTTGCAGCCCTTTTGACGATCTCTCTGGTCCATATTGGGCATGTCGAAGGTCAAAGATCTGCATGGAACATCAAGCAAAATCCATTTCCCAAAGCGAAACGTGTCTCGAAAACACTGTCATATCGATCTGCCAAAGCAAAAGGCAACGTTACACTTGCTGATCCATATCAATGGCTTCAAAATGATGATGATCCAGATACAAAAACGTTCATTGCCGATCAGAAAAAGTTGACAGAGACGTTCATAAGCAAATGCGCTTCTATCAAACAAATTGAGCAATCCGTTCGTGAAGCATTCAACTACGATGATTATTCTGAAATGATCTTTTTTGATGATGCAAAAGTACCGTTTTGGTTCTACAGCGTGGTTCGTCCAAATGAGGAAAGAAAGACGTACTACATTGCAACACCCGAAGAGATGGAAGCTGCAAGAAAAGCCAATTTTCCTAACCCTCCAGGTAAGAAGTACTTGCAAGAGGCAGCGCTCAGTCCTAATGCTACTGCTACAATTTTGTACTTCGCTACATCTTTGGATCGTACGATGATAGCTTATCTAGTCGTGGAAGCAGACGCTGGTTCTGGAACATGGTATATCCGCAAGCTGGATTCGCCATTAGTAAATCCGAAAAAGATTGTGCCAGGAGGCGAAGGACGCTTGCCGGATGCGATTCCCAACGGATATCAAGACTTAAGGTGGACTCTTGACTCAAAAGGCTTCTTCTATGAACAATTCAGTACTCCTACCAATGACACAAATAGCAATCCCAGAGCAGTGGTCAGAAACCATCAGATAGGAACACCGTACGAGAAAGACATCACGCTCGTGCAGCCCGATGCCGATCCCAACAATTATTGGTTCCTCGACTACAGTGCTGATGGACGTTGGCTTGTAGTATAGGGTAACGTAGGAACAGATTAAAAGGCAATAGCTTACGCTACCTTATTAGAGGGTTAAAAGCTATCAGAGAATATGAAGTGGATCTCTATCCTGCCAACCCTAGAGTACTCTATTTTCTATTCTGTTGGAGTGTTAGATGATTATTGGTATGTTACAACGGACGAAAACGCTCTCAACAAGAAGGTTATAAAAGCTAAGTTAGATTAGAGTAAAGCATGTCAAGTGAAAAAGCTAAGCGACTTAAAAGATAGGGTTAATTTTATCGATATCATCTCTAATCAACCTTATCATAGGCTCTATCTAGCTTTTCTAACAGATATAGATAAAGTAATATTAGTATACATCGAGAACGGTAATTATATTACTTATATATACGAGCTTAAGACCGGTAAGAAATTATAGAAGGTTTTACCGGAAGAAACCTTAAGTATTTATACTATAGCCTTCGGTAGTATTAAAAGTAAATATATCACTTTTATATATAGAAATACCGTTTCACCTATCAAGGTATATAGTCTTTACTATATCAATTCTAGAGTCGAAGCAATATTACTTACCGTATAAAAAATAAAAGGATCAAACCTTAATGATTATATTATAGAGTGAATAGAGGCTATGAGCAAGGACGGTATAAAAGTACCTTACTTTATCGTTCGTTATAAGAATTGACCAAGTGAAATATCGTCTCTTCTTTAGGTTTATAGCTATAGAGTATACGGTAATATTAATAACTTATTCTAGTACGAGCCGTATTTTATATTCTTATATAGAAGAAATGATCGTATATTCGTTTAGGCGGGTTTAAGAGGAGGTGGTGATGACGGAGAGGAGTGGTATATTACTGGTAAGAGGCGTTAAAAGCAGAAAACGTTTAATGATATGGTTGCTGTAGCGTAAGATTTGGTAAAGCGAAATATTAGTGTACGAGGTCAAATGATAGTCGAAGGAATATCAGTAGGCGGATTAATAGTAGCAGTTGTCGCCCGACAAGCACCTTCTGGCTTATTTAGTACTGCTTTACCTGATTTAGCAGTGTTGGATTACCTTTACTTCAATACTAGTGATACCGGTCCTCTAAATATAGATGAGTTTAAAGATCCAAATATCCCGATCGAATTTGACATCATCGAAAGTTAGGATCTAATCCGTAATCTGAGCCTTAAAGTTCAGCCAATACTAATATTGTTGACTGTCGGCGATTCTAACGAAATTGTGGCGCCAGTAAATGCTTATAAGTACCTAGCTCAAGTCCAGTACGATCACCCAAACAGTGTAAATCCTTTACTCATGCACCTCGATATATCCACTGGTTATACGCCGGATCGATTGGGAACGGACATTATAGTCGTAAAGGCTGTCAACCAATTATGCTTTATTGAATTTACGATCGGCAAAAATCGTAAAAGGCGTTGAAGTCTTCCAAATTCTTTTTCATGTATCTACTCTATCAATACAAAGTCATTGATCCGTCTCGTAGCTGCTACTCGTGACGGTAAACCATAAGTCAAAAACGGCACGGCGCCGAATGATAGGCGTCTCCCCGGTTTGTTGACCTTGATATTTATCTTAAACACCGCTCAAAAGCGGCTTCCGACATTGTTCGAGAAAGACTTATAAGTAAGGCGACCGTGGCTAAATTTAGGTATCTTTAAGAAAGATTACGGCTTCCGTTTATAATCAAAATAACAAGCAATACACTTCGCCAAGAGTGTCGTATGGTAGAGTTAGGATGCGAGAACTATAAATAGGGAGCGATGTTTCTTTCACATACCTCGTAAGCACCACACACTCCCGTCTTTGATGCGAAAATGCATACACTCCTTCTTCACTCCACGATTTTTGCTCTCTTTGCAATCTTTATCGTGAATATCGGTCTCGCCGTAGGTCAAAATTCTGCATGGAACATCAAGCAAAATCCTTTCCCGAAAGCAAAACGTATCTCAGCGACAGTATCTTTCCCATCTGCCAAGGCTAAAGGCAATGTGACCCTCGCCGATCCATATCAATGGCTTCAAAACGACACTGATCCCGCTACGATCAAATTCGTTGCTGATCAAAAAAGCTTGACTGAATCATTTATCAAGAAATGTACATCTGTAAAACAAATCGAACAATCTGTTCGTGATGCATTCAATTATAATGATTACAGTGATATGACGTTTTTTGAAGATGCAAAAGTACCATTTTGGTTTTACAGCGTTACTGGTCCCAACGAAGATCGTAAGACGTACTATATTGCCACGCCGGCAGAAATGGAAGTTGCAAGGAAAACGAACTTCGCCAAACCACCTGGAAAGAAGTTTTTGATGGAATCATTGTTGAGCAGTAATAATTCTGCAAGTATTGTATATACTATGGTTTCACTCGATCATACATTGATAGCCTATATGGTAGTCGACGATGGCGCTGATACTGGATCATGGTATGTGCGTAGACTTGATTCCCCATTGGTACAAGCAAAAACTAGGCCACCAGGAGGTGAAGGTCGTTTGCCGGACGTGATTCCATATGTGTATCAGGACTTAAGGTGGACACTTGATTCAAAAGCCTTCTTTTATACTCAATACTCAGACAATGGGACAATCGTTGCATATCACCAACTGGGGACACCAGTCGACAAAGATATCACCATTGTCAACCCTGATCCTGATCCGGCAAACCTTTGGTACTTGGATTATAGCTTCGATGGAAAGTGGTTGGTAGTATTCAGTGCAGCAAATACGGATTCAAAAGCAACTGCATATGCAACTTTGCTGACCGGTCAGAAATTATCCGATAAGATGAAATGGATTTCGATCGTACCTACTCGTGATCTATCATTGTTCTCACCCGTCGGCATATTGGACGGTAACTGGTATGTCGTGACAGATGAAAACGCCATAGACAGAAAGGTTGTCAAAGTCAAGCTGGATTGGACTAAGGCAAAAGAAGTGACCAACTTATCACAATTGAAAGGACGACTGAACTTCACAGACGTGATACCTAATCGACCTTTTCGTCAACTCAACTTAGCTAGGCAAACGGATACAAATAAAGCGCTGGTAGTTTATGTCGAAAACGGCAAGTATGTCTTATACATCTTTGATCTCAGAACCGGAAAGCAACTCCAAAAAATTCTGCCAGATGAAAAATCAAGTCCACATGCGGCCTTTTTTGCTACACCAACAAACAAATATTGGACTTTGGCTTATAGAAGCACAGTTTCACCGGTCAAGATTTTTCAGGTTCATCATACCGAGACAGGAATCCAAACAAAACTCTTGACAGCACAAGCAATCAAAGGTTCCAACCCTGATGATTATGATACGGAGCAAATGGAAGCAATTAGCAAAGATGGTACAAAAGTACCCTACTTTCTCGTTCGACATAGGAACAGACCGAGTAATACCTCTTCAAGCATATGGCTTCACGGTTACGGAGCATATGGTGACATCGATAATCTGTTCTGGGACGAAAGATACTTTTCCTGGTTACAAGCTGGTACCGGCCGAGGATTTGTATGGGCTGGATTGAGAGGTGGCGGCGATAAAGGTGAAGAATGGCACATTGCTGGCAAGAATCGGAACAAGCCAAAAACGTTTGATGACATGGTCGCTATTGCGCAAGATTTGATCAAACGTAAATTGGTAAACAAAGGCCAAATCAATCTCGAGGGAAACTCAGCAGGGGGCCTTATGTCTGCGGTAGTTGCTCGTCAAGCACCGGTAGGCACATTTGGTGCCGTTATGCCAGATGTCGCACTGTTAGATTATTTGTTCTTTTACACTGGTGCGATTGGCCCGGCCAACGTGAACGAGTTTGGGGACCCAGCAATTCCTGTAGAATTTGACATCATTGAATCTTGGGATCCCATCCGTAACCTCAGTCCAAATATTCAACCACCTCCAACTTTACTCACCCTTGCTGATTCGGATGATCGAGTAGTGCCGGCTAATGCATACAAATATCTAGCGCAAGCTCAACATGATCACCCAAACAGTCGGAACCCTTTGCTCATGTATGTCTCAACTTCCTCTGGACACATTTCGAGCCGTGCAACGACAACAACAATGGTGTCATTGGCAGTTCATCAACAATGTTTCCTCGAATTGACCATCGGTAAATAAACTCGAGCCTACTCTATGGACTGTGTGGTCTTAACGTGATATATATGACACACCTTCTCAACCTTGCTACATTTTCTACTGCTTGTGAAATCGAACGTGTATGCAGTTATGGAAGTATAATCTATAATTTGAGGATGGAGGGAAAATCTCTCAACGTTTTTGATTTAGTTTAACAAGCACTATATCTTAAAAGCATTGAATATTGTTCCTCAGTCAAGTCAACATATACTCTCAATAATCTGGTCAGGCCCTGCAAAACCGTCTCAGATATTTGTCATGCCCCCTTTCTTGAATCTTAATATAAAGAACGAAATAAAAAGATAGGGTGCAACCATATAAAAATTTCCTGTTGTTTTGATAATTATAGAAACGTCTATAAAGAATAGGAATCGGTAAATTTTCTGTTGCTCAGTTTGCTTCTGCTACAAAACGCCTGCCTGTGTTAATAAAAAGATAGCACAAAGCAGCTTAGTTCTCAATAGTGTGAAACGGATCCGGTTGATGAATTTGTCTATCATTTTGTTCATCACCGCTTCTGAGAAAAGTCTGTCACGGCTTCCGCTTCTTTAAAAATAGACCAAAATTAATCTAATCGTATGCGGCACCGGCTACAAATGATCCAACACGATGAAACCTAGTTCGATTAAAACGAGGACTCATGATTTGTAGCAACAACCATCTTGGACAGTCTCATAATTCGCTTTCGCGATGCATGCTTCTATGGTCAAGTTTGCTACATTTGCTCTTATATTCATCATCGCAATCGACTTCGGCTTTGCACTATGCGAGGGAAATTCTTGGAATGTGAAAGAAACACCTTTTCCAAAGGTGAAGAGGGTAAACAAGACCTATTCTTACCGATCTGCCAGAGCAAACGGCAATGTGACAATTGCGAACCCCTATGCTTGGCTGGAAAAGCCATATGACAGTGATGATGACGTAAAGCAGTTCACGATCGATCAACAAAAGTTGACCGAGCAATATATGAACAAATGCACAAATGCAAAATCAATCACTCAATCGATTCGAAATGCATTTGATTATGATGATTATTTTGACTGGACGTATTATGATACTGCAAAGGAGCCTTTCTATGTTTTCAGCCTTCAGCGAATTGATGAAAATCGAAAGACATACTATATCGCCTCAGCCAAACAAGTTGAAGCGGCAAAAAAGACAAATTTCGCCACACCACCCGGTCATCCATTTTTCAAGGAAGACGGTTTAAGCGTGAATGGAACAGCAAGCCTATCCACCTTTGTGGTGTCCAATAACGGATACTTGATAGCTTATCTGGTAGTAGAGGATGAATCTGACGTCGGAACATGGTACGTTCGTAAAACAAGCTCACCATTAGTAAACCCAAAAACGAAGCCACCAGGAGGTGAAGGTCGTTTGCCTGATACGATTCTCTTAGGGGATGGCGCTTTGATCTGGAAGCCGGACGATTCAGGTTTCTTCTACACACAAGTGAGCGATCCAAAAGCGGGCACAAACAAGGATATTGGCTCTGTTGTTCGATATCATCAAATGGGAACACCATACGAAAAAGACATCACAATCGTTCATCCTGACTCGGATGAATCAAACAATTATTCTTTCGATCTGAGTGATAATGGAGACTGGCTCGTTGTCATGGCTTCTGGAGGCGATGGAAATACACGTGCTTATGCTTCACTTTTGAAAGGTCAAACTTTGTCCGATAAGATGAAATGGATTTCAATCGTTCCTACAAGCAACTATGCAGTTTCATCCGTCGCAATTGTAGACAGAGATTGGTACGTTCAAACGGATCACGATGCCCTCAATGGAAAGGTTGCCAAGTATACCTTGGATTGGAGTAAAGCAAAAAGTGTGACTACTTTGCGAGACTTGAAAGATTCAATTACCCTGGTCGATGTTATCCCAAGTCGTGCACATACCAAACTTATTTTCTCAATCATCTTTGCTTCAAACAAAGTCTTGCTATTCTACATCGAAAAAGGAAAATATACCATCTATCTGCACGAATTGAAGACGGGGAGAAAGATTCAACAAGTCTTACCAAATGAAACGTACACATTGAAGCAGGCATATTACGCATCTGCCAAGAGCACACATATCGTCATGTCTTTGTGGGGCGCTACGTCACCAAAAAAGGTCTTGGAAGTCGATTTTGACGGATCAAGAGCAACAGACAAAATGTTGCTCATCAAAAGTATCAAAGGCACAAATGCGCAAGATTACATTACTGAATCATTAGAAGCAATCAGTCGTGATGGCACAAAGGTACCATACTACATCGTCTATCATAAAGAAACACAAAGGAATGGTGAGAATCCGACATTGTTGCATTTTTACGGCTCTTATGGTCGTATTGAGAATTTGTTCTATTATCCACCTCATTTCTCATGGCTTCATAGCTATAGAGGAGTTCTAGTTTATGCCGGACCACGCGGAGGTAGTGATAATGGCGAAGAATGGCATGAAGCTGGCGAACGATTGAAAAAGCAAAATACGTTTGACGATATCATTGCAGTTGCACAAGATTTGATTAAACGAAAAATAGCAGCAACCGGTGAAATCATTGCTGATGGAATCTCAGCTGGCGGTCTCGCTGCTGCGGTTGTCGCTCGTCAAGCTCCTGCGAATACCTTTGGTGCCATTTTAGCAGACGTTGCTGTATTGGACTACTTTTTGCTTGCCCGTACGCGAGCAGGTCCATTTCAAGTTGAAGATTTTGGTGATCCCTATAATGCAACAGATTTTGACGTTATCCGTTCTTGGAGTCCTTTACAGAACATCGATCCGATTAAGCAAAAGGTCTTTCCTGCCATCCTCGTCACGCCGGCCGATTCGGATATCCGTGTGGTACCTGCTCATAGCTTCAAATGTATTGCTCAAATGCAATTTAGCTATCCGACAAGTCCAAATCCATTACTGATGCATTTGCAAAAAGATGCAGGACACAATGTGATCGATGCCAATCAAGATACTGCTATCGCCAAATATTTCCATCAGCAATGCTTCGTTCAGCTTGCTTTGGGTTTGACGAAGAAAGACTGACAATGATCCCTTTCAGCCACCCCCCTTTAATGACTTTTCGATGCTATCAATTAACTATTTCATAAAATACAGATGTGTCATTTAATTTGCTTCTGCTACCACTCGCATGCCTGGCTTAATAAGATCTGAGACAGTGGATATAGTGGCAGAATGACGAATGAGATGCTGTCCAAACAGAAGTTTGCTCTTGTACGGTCCCGACTCCTTACATCTACGATGTTTCGCAACAGCGGACATCACTTGAGGGGTTTTATTGCCCGTGAGCGGATCCAAAGCAATCATTTCACATCTGCGGCACGGTCCGATCACGGTGAATTGGTGTTGACCAATGCGTATTTTTGTCATTGCATCCTCATAGAATCCTTCTTCGCCGCTTTCTTGCTGAGAAATGATGAAGTTCGCGCGAAAAGCTGAGGCTACTTTATCAAAGTCGACTTCCGCTTTTCCATCTTCTTTCATCCATTGACAGATTTGAGCGACTGATTCTGTAGTGATCATCAAAAATGGACTTTCGTTGCTCAGTTTGATCGGGATCCCATCTGCTGAACGGTGACTGAGTGGTGAGCGGGCTAAAGTACAATCCAGACCAAGGAAGTCAGAAAAAGCCAAACGCACATCTTCATCCATTATGAGCCGAGGATGTAAAGAAGTGCCACACATGTCAAATTGCCTTTCTCCGTTCGTACTGTCGGATAAAGAAGGGTCTGTGTCTGTGATTGTCAAAGGTACAGTCAGTGACTTTTGCAGCTCTTTGCCATCCTCTGCATAGAATCCGATTTCCAAAGTTCCCCTCTCGATACACACTTGAGGTCGAATGCGAGCCATGCTTGTCACACGTTTCTGACTCAACACTTTTCCGTTCGACAAATCAACGATGCAAAAATCACGATCGTATGACAATCCCGTATCTGTCACTTTCCAGGGTCCCGTGATCTCTTGAGCTGCACAAGATTTGATCGGACAAATAAACATCTTTTGTAAAAGACAATCGTTTGCGTTATCATAAATTGAAGTTTGACATGAACTTGTCTTGCTTTGAGGATGTGATTCATCGCTATTATCATCGGTAAAAGCAATGTCGGATTTGTTGTCATCAATATCAACCGAGCCCTGACATTCGACGAATAGATCTTCTTCATCTTCTATTTCACCACAATAAAAGTACTTTTCCAAGAATGCAACGAATTTGTCAATATCAGCTGTCGTATTATAAGCTGATATGCTGACACGAATTGCACCATTGACCAATGCTGCTAATCTAGCATATTCGCATGGATCATCCGTACGAAGAGTGCTTGCATTGTTGGAATGCTGAATATTGCCGCATCCGATACCTTGATTCCATAGTGCGACGACATCATCTTCCTTTATCCCCAAAGATGCAGTAATGGCACCCACATTGCACATACGACCTGATCGGATATGTATATCGTCCAAACAAGCAAGTCGATCCACTTCTGACGGATCTATACGATATTCGCTTAGTGTCTTGTCCTTGTGTGTACCTTGTGCTCGTAAGACATTGAACAGTATACAAGGACCTTGACTGAGCATGTTGCACTCCTTCCACTCTTCCGGCTCGGCAGAGTAGATCTCGCAGATCGGACTTCCGTCAGCATGTTTTAGTGATTTCAAGCTGTTCCATAGATATCCTGTCAGATGATCAACATATTCACTAGCCTTTTCCCAACATCCAAGCACTCCCTCGGATCGAATCGCGCTCAAAGCGGGAGGAACTGCGAGAATGCCATGAATGTTCAGCGTACCATCTTCTAGTGATTCGTGTAACTCTCGCATAGGCTGCCTCCATTGCATACGTGAAGTGCTTGCTTCCAGTGTTCCTCCTCCATAATATGATTTGCCAGTCAAAGCGAAAGCTGATGCTCTTTGAATGAGTGTTGCACCCAGGCCGGAAGGATATCCAAGAATTTTTATAAATGAAAAGCAGATGAAATCTACTTCATGATTGTCATCTTCTCTCAGCTTCATGCGACTAGAAGGCGATAAGTAAGAAGCAGCATCGAGTAGAATGAACACTTTCCGCTCTCCAGTCTTTTGTTCGATACCGTCCCTGGTCTTTAGGATGCGAGAGAGGAGTCTATGATACCTTTTTCCTGTTGCATTGCACTGAAGAGGTAGCGCTAAAAGTGACTGACCAGTCGAAGACGCAGAATCCCTTACCCAATCCAACACTTCCTCCTCTCTCAAAGCGTCTACGCCGTATGCTCCCGATTGTCTTTCAACTTGAACGATATCGCGTAAGCCATAGAGACTTGAATGGCTTTGATCTAAGTATGCAAACCTTCCATACTTCCCGAAATCAAAAGATCGAGCAATGAGCTGTAGCCCTGCCGTTGTACCGCTATTGAATACTACTTCCCATCCCGCATCTTGTCCTTTTCCATCAGTAATGATTCCTGCCTTTCTTTGAACGCCAAAGAATTCGTTGCAAATCAGTTTACGGACATTATCGATTTCTTGTCGAGTCTTTCTGCCACTTGGACTATTGCTGTGTGGATTTGAGGGAGGTGTGCTTTCGAGTTGATTTGCGTGAACAGCATTCAGAACGCAACGCGGAACGGGAGCTGAGGCGGTAGCATCGAGATGTAAGCTGCCTCGCCAATGTGGTAACTGCGATTCACGTATTCGCTCTATTTGGTGACCATACGATGTGCTTGCCCTATCATTGTCGGTCATCATATCCTCATTGATGGTGGTAGGACATTCAATAGACTTCAAAGAGAAACACAACGGCGTATTTCAATTACCGCGGGGTATTTTTCCGCTTATCAAAAGAACAAACAAAACACACTTGTCAGGAACCCTGATGCAGTAACGCGGCCGACAATCCGTTTAAACATGCAATGCGTTTTTAAGCTTTTTCTCATGGGACAGTCCCTGAGCGATAAGGTATTTGTCAGGCAAAAGAAAAAAGAAAAAGTTTAATCTCTCCCCGCGTGTATGCACTGCAAGGGAACACAAGGCAAGATCGTGTGCGGCTTCTTATCAGTGTTGCTCAATTGACTTCCCTCCTGTTATATAAAGACAAGTAGTTGAGGTGAGAGCAACATTCTTTGCCTTATGACCATCATTCAAGGAAAAGAAAAGGATAAGAATAGAGAACAGTCAACAACGATGACAAACGAAGTAACACTACACAACCATCCTCTGCCTTCACATGTTCAAATTCAACCTTTGGTATTCGCATTGAATCGGAAGCGGGTAACAATTTCACCATTCGATCGATCGATTCCATTTGATGCAACTTTATTGGAATACCTACGTGAACATGCAAAATTACCCGGAACCAAGCTAGGATGCGGTGAAGGAGGCTGTGGAGCTTGTACAGTTGTTATCTTGCGTCATAAAAGCGTCTCAATTCGAAAACAAGAAGAGGAAGAAGGAACGGGAAATGGATTACCATACGAGATTAAGGCGGTCAATGCTTGTTTAATGCCTTTGATCGCAGTCCATGGCGCACAAGTGATCACTGTTGAAGGAATAGGCAGCGCAGCCAACCCACATGCTGTTCAACAACGCTTAGCTTTCTTATTTGGGTCACAATGCGGATTTTGTACTCCAGGTATCGTGATGAGCTTTTATGCTACTTTACGTAATGCGGGTAAGAACGGTCTTTCTGAGCGGGAAATTGAACGAAGTATGGATGGAAACTTGTGCAGATGTACAGGCTACAGACCCATTCTTGACGCTCTGAAAACGTTTGCCAAGCCATTAGCAAGTACGCCCGATTCGAGCTCGACAGAAGGAACATCCTGTGATTGGGAGACAGAAGCAATCCAAGCTAGACGACGTGCGGATAATGATGCAATGGATACATTCACATGTCCTAAAGGAGAAGATTGTTGTCGGGTGAAGAATCGTTCTGCTTCTCCATCTGCTGAGTCTTCTTCTTCTTCCGTCTCTTCCGGTCATGATTCCGGTTTCGCATCCTCAACAGAGCCGTTGCCAAAGTCATCTCTAGATCTGGCCAAACTACGAATCGGATCATCGAAAGCACAAGAGGATGATCTGTTACCGTATGAGGCATCTAGCGAGCCGATATTCCCGCCATGGCTATGCAAGGTACAAGAGTCCGATCAATGGGGTCGATCAAAATACGAAGCACAAGATCTAGCATTCATTGACATTTCATGCATTCGAAATGGGGAAGAATTCGAAGAAGAAGAGGAAGAAGAACAACTACCAAAGAAGCACGGCACGATATGGCTGCGACCGAGTACTGTTACCTCACTTCTATCGATGATTCGATTTTACTCTGATAAAGGACAAGTGGTAAAAATGAGATCGGGTGATTCTGAATGCCGGATAGAGGTGAAATTTCTCAAGAGACAATACGATGTCAACATCTTTGTCTGCAATTTGCCTGCACTTTCATTCGTCAAGAGAACAGCGAATGAACTTAGCATCGGTGCAAATATGCCACTTCAAGATGTCATGGGTCAATTGCGTACATTGATGCGGAAGGAAAAGGATGAATATGCCAAACAGGTATATCGTGCTATCTTGAGCAATGCTGCTCACTTTGCATCTACGCAGATCCGTAATGTAGCCTGCATTGGTGGTAATGTTGCAACGGCTTCGCCTATCAGTGATTTGAACCCTGTCTGGATGGCTGTGGGTGCAACGGTGAACTTTTTGGATGCATACAGTGCAAATGAACAAAGTGACGATAACTCACTCATCTCGTCAACATCTCAAGTCGCAATGTCGGAATTCTTCAAGGGGTACCGCAAGACTGCTCTGTCCTCATCAGGTGTGATCACTCACCTCACAATCCCACTTCAGAGCCCTGCCTCCCCGTCCCGTCGTCGATTCGTCCGCGCTTACAAGCAAGCAAAACGAAAAGACGACGACATTGCTATTGTTACTTGCTGTCTGTATATTGACGTTGAGCAAGAGACACACGAACGCGACGAATGGAAAGTCGTTGAAGCAAGGTTGGCATACGGAGGTATGGCACCTACTACTGTGTTTGCAAAAGCTACGCAAGATGCACTCAAAGGTCAAGCGATCATCGTTGACGATCAAGTGAATCATGTGCTATTGTCAAAATTGCTCGATTGTATGTCACGAGAAGATTTTGATTTGAAATTTGGCGTACCAGGTGGAATGGCTGTATATCGAAAATCATTGGCACTTGGGTTTTTGGTCAAATTCATCGCGGAGATGTCTGATGAGCTGCAATCAAACAACGAAGAAGTGAAAGATGCTCTAGACTCCCTTCCGTCTTTCGCTCAAATTGCTTCTAGTCATCTTCAAAGACCGATCACTCGCGGCTCGCAACATTACGATAATCCTGTATCAACCACAAAGAATGGATCAGGCGCTAGTGTCCCACATCTTTCGGCATTGAAACAATGTACGGGAGAAGCAGAGTATGTTGACGATCATGCTCCTTTGAGTGGTGAATTGGCAGGCGCTTTGGTCTTGACTACGCAAGCCAATGCCAAAATTCTCAACATCAATCCAAATCCCGCCTTGGCTCCTCATGGTCCAGCAACACATTTTGTCGGGTTAGAAGATTCGAAAAAGTTGGGAGGAAAGAACAAATGGGGTCCTCCTGCTTTTGATGATCACTTCTTCTGTGATGGATTTTCAGAAGCTGTTGGATTGGTGGTTGGAGTTGTACTTGCGCCAACACGCAGGGAGGCATTAGATGCTGCACGTATGGTCAAAGTCGAATATGAAAGTCTTGGTGAGCCAATTCTGGATATAGATGGAGCAATTGCAAAGCAAAGCTACTTTTCCTGCAGACCAAAGATTCAACAAGGTGAATCAGAAGCATTTGATGATTGGAGCGATTGCGATCATGTGATCGAAGGTGAAACGCGTTTAGGAGGTCAAGAGCACTTTTACCTCGAGACGAATGCAGTTCTTTGCATTCCAGGAAAAGAAGATCAACAGATGGAAGTTTGGTCAAGCACACAAAACCCAAACGAAACACAAGCAGTTGTGGCGGATATAATCAACGTTCCAACCAATCGAATTCATGCACGTACAAAACGATTGGGAGGAGGCTTTGGTGGAAAAGAATCAAGAAGTTGTGTCTTGGCTGCTCCAATGGCTTTGGCAAGTTATGTTAGTGGAAAGCCTGTCAGATGTATGTTGGACAGAGATGAAGATATTGCCATTTCAGGTCAAAGACATCCGTTCAAAAGTGTATGGAAGTTAGGATTCATGAACGATGGCAGGGTACGCAAATTAGACGCAAAAGTGTACAATAACGGTGGACGGAGTCAAGACTTATCAAGAGCAGTTGTTGAACGTGCAATGACGCACATTGATGGTATTTATCGTTTTGATGCAATGCGTGTTCATGGTTTCGTTTGCAAAACCAACACCGTGAGCAATACGGCTTTCCGTGGTTTCGGTGGTCCACAAGGTGTGATGATCATTGAGGATGCTATGGAAAAAGCTGCTCGATCGATCGGGATGCCAGCAGAACAAATGCGTATGGTCAGTATGTCGAAAGAAGGTGATCCAGTGCATTACGGTCAAAAGCTTTTAGACTTCAACATCCCGCAAATGTGGGAAACAATTACTAAAACGTCAGATTTCAAAGCACGACGAGCTGCTGTTGATCAATTCAACTCTGTCAACCGATGGAAGAAGCGAGGTATCACCATTAACGGAACTCGATTCGGTATTTCCTTCACAGCCTTACACTTGAATCAAGCGAGAGTACTTATTCACATCTATGCACATGATGGTAGCATCATGCTATCTCATGCAGGAACAGAGATGGGTCAAGGACTGAATACAAAGATTGCACAGATTTGTTCAACAGAATTGGGAGTCCCTCTAGAGAAAATTCATATCGCTCAAACATCCACACGGGAGGTCGCAAATGGATCACCAACGGCGGCATCCGCAAGCAGTGATTTGAACGGAGCTGCTTGCAAAGATGCTTGTGATCAATTGAATGAACGATTGACACCTTTCAAGAAAGACGGTAAAACGTTTGAACAGGCTGTTCATAATGCATACTTTGCACGTGTGAACCTTTCAGCTGTTGGACATTATCGTACGGATGTGAAAGGGATGGATTGGGAAGAAGGAAAAGGAGAACCTTTTGCATATTGGACACAAGGTGTTAGTGTGGCAGAAGCGGAGATTGATGTCTTGACAGGTGATTCACGTATTGTAAGAACAGATATTATCATGGATATCGCAAGAAGTATAAATCCTGGTATCGATGTCGGTCAAATTGAAGGCGCAGTAATGCAGGGTATCGGATTGGTGACTACAGAAGAGAGTCTATGGAGAAAGAATGGCTCGATCGCCACCACTGGTCCTGGAAATTACAAAATACCGGCCTTCCTTGATACGCCAGGAGATATGCGAGTGTCGTTCATGAAACGTGATGAAGGTAGAAAAGCGCACTTCCTCAAAACGGTCCAAGGCAGTAAAGGTGTGGGAGAACCACCACTTTCGCTTGGTGCATTCCACTTCTTTGCCATTAAAGATGCGATCGCAAGTGCACGTAAAGATGCAGCTTATGGAACGGGAGCATTCCAATTACATTCTCCTGCTACTCCAGAGAGGATTCGTTTGGCTTGTGCTGATGAGATTGTTACAAAAGCTCAAATTGGAGCAGAGCCAAGCAGTAGTGACGAAAAGGGATTCTTTGTCTCGATTATGTAGGATTTATTTTATGTTTGCATGTATGTATACTTTTTGGAATAGCATTCTCACTTTTTCCGATGCCAGCTGTGCGTCGTTGGTCCGGCGCCGTCAAGATTCTCGACGGTTCCGCTTCGCAATGATTAGGTGGCTAATTTCCGGCTCGGTAGAAGTCATTTTTGAAGAGCAATGCTGAGTTTGCATGGCCAGAGAAACAACCATCATCAGATCAGGACAAAAATGGCATCTACAAGTACTCTCACTCCCGCGCTTCCACCGACTGCAAACTTGAAACATGATTTCACACTCGCACGATTGTTGTGTTCGTACGTTTATGCTGCTTTCAGTGCACTGTTCACAAAGCTGTCTTCATTGTTTTGCAGCATTGGACGCAGTCCTGGACCACAAATACCTTGGCCAAAAAGGAGAGTAGGGGATACTGATGATTATGAAGAATTGTACTTTCCGCTCAGTGATACGATCACGATTGTGACAGGTGCCAATTCTGGAGTGGGTTACGAGATTGCAAAAGCGCATTTTCGAAAAGGATCAACAGTAATATTAGCATGCAGAGATCTTGAGCGTGGAGATAATGCTGTTCGGACAATACTGCAAGAAGAAGGCTTGCCTGAATCTGATGTAGAGAATGAATGCTTACAAGTACTGGTATGTGATACGTCATCGCTTGAAAGTGTGAGAGCTTTCGCACGATGCTTCAAAGCAGTTTTCAAAGGCAAAAAAATTGATTTCCTGTTTCTCAATGCTGGCATTTGTCAAAAGCCATACAACATCGATCGATTCACTTCGGAGGGCTTGGAGTACATGTATGCTACCAACTTCCTCGGTCACTTCCTGCTCACAGGACTACTTTCCTCATCTTTCTCAAAGGATGTTCGAATTATTTCAACTTCAGCTTTGGCTGCATCACATGCAACTTTCGATCCGCAATTGCTGGCTCGTAGACCGAACAATCATGAGCAAACGCTCGAAGTAGGATTTCATACCGTCAAGCGACATCCTATCCTTGCCCGTATCTTCTCTTTGACTCCATTGGACGTCTTTCATATTTATGGGCAAGGAAAAGCAATGCAAATCGCTTTCAGTAATACTTTGCAAAACCGATTTGATCAAAGTGCAAGATCCAAAAACGCAACAAATCATAAATTCACTGCAGCATTTCATCCAGGTGTAGTTGCAACAAATATCTTTAAAGGCTTTTATACTCCCGATCAAAAACGTCGACAATCGTTTGCGAAGATCTTATTGCATTAAACTGCACTTACCTCTAAAGATGGAGCTCAAACAGGTTTATGGCTCGCACATACATTTGATGCACGTCCAGGAGCATTTTATGATCGTGCAAAAGAGCTTACTTTGCCTTGGTATAAATCGTACGATCAGCAACTTGCAGATCGATTGTGGCAAAGATGGAATAATGATGCCGGACTCAAGGAATCTGACTGGCACTTTTGAGGCGAGATACATTGCATTGTGTTCCTGATTTACAGCAAGAGCCTATCGATCATCCCTACTTGTTTCTTTTGCATAGCCATATGAATTGCCCACAGCCTATTCAATAATGATAGTAACATGTCTCTCACATTGATTAAACGTCAACACCTTCTTTTGGCGTTAAGAACAGTGCGTTAAATGAGTGTCACTTTCTTAGCGGTACGCAGCGCTTAAACTTTAAATTTATCCGAAAGAATTGAGAGGACGTGCTGTGCATTTGTCATCTTCTAATAATAACATGCATTCTTCGTCCATTAGGAGACGGATCATAAAAGGGTGACTATAGCTTCCAGCAGAGGTGTGTGATTTGCTCGTTCCCACCACCAACACCACCAAATCAACAAAATGGCACATTCTGGTAGTCTATCTCCGCCGCTTCCACCAACTGCAAAGTTGAACCAATTCACGCTTACTTGGTTCATATTCTCGTCCGTTTATGCTATTGTAAGCATTGCCATCACAAAGGCATTTTCGTACTTTCTTCCTCAGCCAAAGGTATCCTGGCCCAAAGTCAAAGACAGTCAATCGAATCTACCTCTTTCAGATTCCATAACAATCGTAACAGGAGCAAATTCTGGAGTAGGTTATGAAATTGCAAAAGCACACTTTCAAAAAGGTTCAGATGTTGTATTGGCATGCAGAAATAAGGAAAGAGGTGAAAAGGCAATCGAGGATATCCTCAAAGAGTCAAACATTTCTCCATCTGATAATAGCAGCAAACGTCTGCGATTGATCACGCTGGATACTGTTTCACTCGACAGCGTTAGAGCGTTCGTACAAGAATTCAAGCGATGTTTCCCAGGTAGAAAGGTGGACTACCTCTTCTTGAACGCAGGTATTGCACAAAAGCCATACGACGCCAATCGATTCACGCCTGATGGTTTGGAGTACATGTATGCAACAAACTTCCTCGGTCAATTCCTGCTGACTGGACTGCTTTCATCATCATTCTCTGATTCGATTCGAATCATTTCAACTTCATCGCAAGGCGCATCTCAGGCAAAGCTGGATCCTAAGCTTGCCATCAAAGGACCAGGAAAGCCTGATGAAAAGACAAATATGTCCAAATATCAAGTCGAAGCTGGCTTTCATACAGCCAAAGTTCCTCCGGTGTTCGACGCTATCTTAAGCCTGATCAAATTGGACCTCTTCAATCAGTATGGTCAAACGAAAGCAATGCAAGTAGCATTCGGAAACATCCTTCAAAACAAATTTGACTTGGCAGCAAAAGAGCGAGGGAATGCAAGACGTAAATTCGCCGCTGCTTTTCATCCTGGTTTCGTAGCTACCAATATCTTTAAAGGGTTCTTTACGCCTGATCAAACGACTGTCATTTCAATCGCTCAAGCTATTATCAGGTTCTTGGCAATCACACCAAAGGAAGGCGCACAAGCTGGCTTATGGCTTGCTCACACGTATGACGCTCGTCCCGGTGCATTCTACGATCGAGATATAGAACTCGTCTTACCCTGGTACAGATCTTATGATGATCAATTAGCCGATCGATTGTGGCAACGCTGGAACAACGACGCAGATCTCAAAGAATCCGACTGGACTTTTTAATGATGAGATCCATAGATGCAGTTTAATGAGGGTATAATATGCTAGTGTACATCAATTGTATGATAAATGTCATATAGAAGCAATCATGATTAATAGAGCTCGTTCGTGTTTCAGAACACGATTGTTTGTTTGCAAGCATTGCACGTTATATCGCTATAGTGCAGCATATCTTGTGTGCCTTCTGCTTCTGCCTCGTCGTACCAATCATGGAAGATGACATGAAATGCCTTTTCCGTAGTGAATTGTAGTTGTGTCTTGCTATCACCGTCCGATATATTTTGATGGGCAGGATGAAAACACAAACACTTGAACCCACTTCGCAATCCTTGTCCTCTTGGTGCAAATGGCCCCGGTACGACGATGGCCTGTGTTTCAGAGCATGTACTCGCTTCCAGTGGGATGCGTTCTTCATCTGCATTTATATCCACAACGGGCGAAACTGTATGAGGCCATTGGAACGCTTGTCTAGAAGGTTGAAAGAGGGACCACAGTATTAATTCCGCATTTCCAGCAGATGTCATCAAGATTGTCTCGACAGAATGCAAAGCAGGTACATTCTGCAAAAGGTATATCAAGCTTGCTACTTTAAAGCCAGTCCTGCTCAACAAACTCAAGACACGAATCGGTATGGCCAATAGTGGAGTGGCCAGCCAAGGTTGTTGATCGGGTATATTTCGCCTGTTGTCGTTCAGCCTGCCCAAGAGTTTCAAGCATCTCGCGAACAGGTCGACATCGGAGTGATCGGCGTGAGGTAAGCTGTCCAAGATGTTTCCGTCAATGCTAAGAAAGTCGCTTGGACCAGTGGCTGATAACGCTGCTAGCCCATAGCCATGCTTCTGACTCGTGATGCCTGCCAATGCTGACACCTCATCGCTGTTCTGAAACGGCACACGAAGTTTGGCAGGCGCAGGCTTAGGTGTTGAACTGGGGCTGGTATCCCATATCGACTTCTTCGATGTTGGTACCTGCATATACTCTCCAGTGACAGCCTTTAGCGTTTCTCCCTCCCCTTCCAACTTTTGCTGCTCATCACGTTGAAGGAATTTTGCTACTTCACTAGATGCCCTTCTCCATTCTACCAATCGAAACGAAGAAGGTTGAGGTAAAGTGAACCTTCCAGCGAAGACGATCCGTAAATGTTTACAAATCTGAGTTTGATAAATAATTCGGGCTGCTAACGGTAATTGATTTGTTATTTCACAATGCAGTTCAAATGGCAAATCTAACAAGTTTGCCATAGCATTGACACTTTTTGCAGACTGATAACGATTTTCCCTCCGATAAGCTTGTTATCATGTTCCGCCGGTCTTTTCTGGATGATGTCAAATTTGTGGAGAATTTTGCAGGAACAGCAATCTGCAGTGAAGATCAACTGTTGTGGCCTAGATGAAGACTTTTAATTAATAATGATCATCTTACGGGAAGAAATGAAAGGGTGTTGGTTTGGTAAAACAACAGTTGTAGGAGGAGTGATAGAGAATACACGCACTACACTAGCGCTGATGAATCGGGTTTAGTGTATCAGACTTTATCGGAAATCAAAACGCACAAGCACATCTTTTCTTATCTTTATCGGCAATTGACAGTTTTTGGGAAGAACAGAAAAGTCGTTCATATGCTTAATTCTGAAAAGATAAGCTTGCATGAAACAAGGTCCTTAAGGCTTTTCCCCGACTACAGCGAGAGATGACCGGCCAAACCGATGCATAAGCGAAGGTATTGCAGAACATTGTTGTCTCTACGGCCAGCATGCATTTACGTGTATTTTGATTGGGGAACAAAACGAGCCGTTCGGAAGCATCGGAGCGTGTATATGAAACACAGCACACACACAGGCGCAGCGCGTTACGGAACAGCATCTTCCGTATACAACAACGGTTGCATACTTTCCTTTCTTTTCAGGGATTTTAGGGAATCTTCAAATGAACATAAATCATGCGAAGATCTATTGGAAAAGCATGATCCTTAATTGGGCCATCGAAGTCAGTTTTCCATGTGTGTCGTCATTGAATTAAATTTTAATTAAGCTAGTTCCCTTTAAGAACAGAACTACAAACAGTCGAGTGAGTTAGTCCAACTTTTTCTACTAACGTTCCGATAAGCAGCGTCATCGGTGGCTTTCCTTCAGAACCCCACTCTATTTCAAACTGCAAATCGGCGCCCAACTTTATCCCCAATTTGATGCAAGAGTTTGATTTGACGCGCCTGATGCACACTGCACAGCCAGCCTGGCTGGCAAAAGATGAAACCCAGCCAATGTGTGTGTGTGTACCAGGCCGGCCTAACAAAAAAGATAAAGAAACTTCCTCTCCTTTTTTGCCTTTTGGGCTAGGGGCGCGAGGCATGGCAGCACACTAATTTCCAATTAATCCATTCAATCCAATCAAAAGTTCGCTTAGATTAAAGAGGTCACACTCACGCGCACACACAAAAAGGTGGACAGACACACAACTACAGCATTATTCGTCTTCATCCTCTTGCTTCATTACCATCTCCTTCTTCATCTTTTCCTCAGTTACAAGTTCTTACACTTTTACTATAATCAATCATGGCTATTCCTTTCTTGAAGAACCCCGGCTTGTACGATCATTATGCCAACCTTGATCAAAAGGGCAAGATCATGGCCGAATACATCTGGGTCGATGGTGATGGAGAAATCCGTGCAAAGACCACAACCCTTGACGGCAAGGTCAAAGACGTCAAAGAATTGAAAGAATGGAACTTCGACGGAAGTTCAACAAACCAAGCTGAAGGTGGTAACTCTGACGTTTACTTGCGTCCTGCCGCTTTCTACCCTGACCCTTTCCGTGGTGGTGACAACATCATCGTCATTGCAGAATGCTGGAACAACGACGGTACACCAAACAAGACTAACCACCGTCACTCTTGCGCAAAATCCATGCAACAAGCTGCTTCTCACAAGCCTTGGTTCGGAATTGAACAAGAATACACCTTGTTCGATATCGACAACAAGCCATACGGATGGCCAAAGGGCGGTTTCCCAGGACCTCAAGGACCTTACTACTGTGGTGTTGGTGCCGGTAAGGTTTACGCCCGTGATATCATCGAAGCCCACTACAAGGCTTGCTTGTACTCTGGCGTAAACATCTCTGGTATTAACGCTGAAGTCATGCCTTCCCAATGGGAATTCCAAGTCGGTCCATGTGAAGGTATCAAGATGGGTGACGATATGTTGATGGCCCGTTTCTTGTTGCTCCGCGTTGCTGAAGACTGGGGTGTCAAGGTTAGCTTCCACCCTAAGGCTGTTCCAGGTGACTGGAACGGTGCAGGTTGCCACACCAACTACAGTACCGAAGAAATGCGCAAAGAAGGCGGTATGAAGGCAATCGAAGCTGCCATTGAAAAGTTGAGCAAACGTCATGCAGAACACATTGCCGTTTACGGTACCGATAACGATATGCGTTTGACCGGTAAGCACGAAACTGGTCACATTGGTCAATTCTCAAGTGGTGTTGCCAACCGTGGTGCTTCTATCCGTATCCCTCGTCACGTTGCCGCCCAAGGATATGGTTACCTTGAAGATCGTCGCCCTGCATCAAATATTGATGCATACCAAGTTACTGACATCATGGTTCAAACTACCTTGTTGCTGTAAATGTGCACCAAACATCCCCAAAAAACAGACTACAAATAGGATCACAATTATTCCTGTTTGAAGTGAGGTGAAGTCTAGGGAATCTAGATTTGGTCTCACTCATTTCTAAAAACTTATTATTAATCTTGTATGTTGATACTCAATCCGATTATTCGAGAGACTTTGATCCTTAATTCCGCTGATTGATTGAAAGTGTGTAGTTTAAGTATGCGAATCGGAAATATACTCATAATAGACGTCCAGCCAGTATATTGATGCTCCTGAGGATAGACGTCCGGCTAGTAATATTGATGCATACTAAATTCCTGAGGATAGACGTCCGCCTAGTAATATTGAATACATACTAAGTTCTGGTCAGTAGCAAATCTTTCCTCTGTAGACATGTGGATCTCTGATTCTGGTCTGTAGTAATAGGCGTCCTCCAGTAATATTGATGCATACCAAGTTACTGACATCACGGTTCAAACTACCTTGTAGCTGTAAATATGTACCGAACAGCCCCAAAAGACAAACTACAAATAGGTTTATACTCAATCAGATTATTCGAGAGACTTTGATCCTTATTTGCGTTGATTGATTGTAAGTGTGCACTCTGAGTATGCGAATCAAAAAAATATACATTCATTTATAAGTACACTTAACGAATGCCTTATACAAAGCCGTACGAATCGAGTACGAGCTTATTCACTTGCTCTTCTATTTCGGCTAAGATGCCTTCTCTTTTTGACTTTTGTTCAGGCGTTTCTGGTTTGATATGATCTACTTGTCCGCCATGCTGACACTCGTGCTCGATCGCTTCCCAATCTGGTTCCATGAGGTCCTTTAATTGTAAGGAATTCAGACAATGGCGAAGCGTTTTCGTTGACTGCAAGATGCTATTAAGCTTCTCCGATGATGAAGGATTGCTGGTAGATTCTTTCGAAGCTCGGGACTGGATCAACCGAATCTCTAACGCATGCAGCGTACCTTTCAATTTACCCATCCGTCTACCGATCGGAGCACCATTGGCTTTGAAGCCATGATCGAAGCCAAGTTGAATTGCACCTTCTTTTCCCAATCCAATTCCTTCCCGATATCCATCATCGTACATCTTTCTTTGTACTTTTTCCGTTTCTTTTTCTGCCATCGAAAGTGTTATTTGACCTTCACCCTTTCCTGCCACTTTTTGTTCTTCCGCAAAATCATCCTCTGAATCTTCTAGCCAGTCGGAATCACCTCCTCCCCCCGTATTTTCCTCTTCCTGCGAATGATATGATTGCATGAATGCATGTGATTCTTTGAAAGAGGGGTGGAGGATGTCTTCCAAAAAATAAAGCTCGCGAATGAAAGGATCGGGGGGGTTTCCAACGGCGCGCTAAAATAAAAAATCAATCATGCATCATTCTATACTTGCTTCTCAACCAACACTTTTTCCTGAAGCAAAATTGCAAGGTCATGTCTTTAGACCTTTCTTGGGGTTTATTGGATGACGCATTTACACAACAAATATTGACAAAGTTAAATGATGTCTTGGCAAATGCTTCAAGGCCGGAATATATTGGTCCAATCACGCTCGACAGTTTGACATTAGGTAACGAAGCTCCGGATGTCAGTATCGTGGACGTTGGAGATGTTTGGGAAGGATTCTTGCAAAGAGATGAAGTGAACGGATCAGCAGCTGCAGGACCTTCAACGAATAGACCTGCAAAACCTACATCAAGAAAAGAGAATGGCGGCGGCAGCGGAAATTCTCAATATTTAGGTGTTCCTTCCCATATGCAGCCCCATCAAAGAGATTACGCCGGCCAACCGACAGAGGAGAACGTGAGGAGGGATGGTAATCTTGCAAGGTTTGCGAATAAGAACTTGCCTTTTTCTGCCATGCGCTCGAATTCTCCAAGTGTGGTATACGATGTGGATACGATCGATGGTTTGGACGACGAAAACGAAGGATACCAAAATGGCAAACAGTCTAGAGATCGAAACAGGAAAGGACCAAGGATACAAGCATATCGACAATATTCAGATTCTGGAAATTATCATCGAATAGAAACAGGATCAATGTCAAGCTTTGATGCTTCTTCCGTTCCGCCAAGTGGAATGGCAACTCCAAGTCCATGGGGTGCAGGTCTACCGCACACTGCACATGGAAGCTACTTCTCTGCATGGCAGAACGGCTTTCCACCTGGTCTTGGTGCTCCGGCCAATGCACGTTCTGTTCCGCACAGTAGAAGAGCATCATGGCAAAGACAATCATCAGCATCGGCAATGTCAATGGCAAAGATACGGCATGGATCACCTTCAGGGATATCAAGCATACCGCCAAATTATCATCAGTCGATTTGGCCACCAGGCGATTCGATTCAATCTCCTGTTCATGAGGAACCTGCCAGCTCTGGAAGTTCACTGCCCTCTCTACAACTTCAGCTTTCACTCCACTGGATCACGCAGTCGTTACGTCTCACACTAAACACATCTTTAGTCATCAATCATCCAAGCCCAGCTTTCATGAGTCTGCCATTGACTTTGACGATCACTGGTGTTTCCATTGCTTCTGGTGGTCTACTGGCTTTCGAGGTTGACCCGGCAACTAATGTTCGAAGGTGCCACTTTTGTCTGCTAGAGGAAGACGAGCAAGAGCTAGATCAAGAAGAGGATGATGGCGGAAACACAAATGCAGCAAACGTGATGGGAAAGCCGTCTCATCCATTCACGAACAACGGCCAAGAAACCGTTCTCACGCCCGGTGAACGAATCTTGTACAACCTCACATTGGAGACCAGCGTTGGTCAGGCAGAGAAGCATGTTTTGAAGAATGTTGCAAAAGTTGAACGATTTGTCGTATCTCTAGTACGCAAAGCTATCGGAGAAGAACTTGTGTTTCCAAACTTCTACAGTATCGAACTACCCTGAACAAATCCTAGGCTACTATACCCAATCCTATCGCACATCTGCATCATGCCTGATTGTTTTTGTAAAAATACGATTAATAGAATACAACAAGTCTTATCCGTAATAATGTCTCTACCGCACAACACGAATGCCCATACTCTTTGCCGTTCCAACGATTGTTTTACAAACTTGTTCTTCACTGATCGAAGGAATGTCGGGCGATTTAATCTTTGCGATCTCATAAACGTGTTTCAGGCTTACTGTTCCGATCGTTTGACTTCCTGCAGCTCCGCTACCTTGTGTTATTCCTGCTGCCCGACAAAGTAGTAAGGCTGTCGTTGGTGTTTTCAATTCGAATGAGAATGTTCTATCGGGATTGACTGTAACTATGCATGGTGTTGGAATGCCGGCTTCTAGATGTGCAGTCTTTGCGTTGAATTCCTGTAAGGTGCAAAGTGTTTCATAGTCAGCTTTTGTCAAAGTCTGTAATTCTTCCATCATCACTCACCTTTGCGAAATCCATCGCTTTTACACCTCTAGCACCCAAAGCAGGTCCTACCGGGGGTTGTGCACTGGCTTTACCAGCTGGTACGATCAGCTTGACCATTTGTGCAGCCAATGCCACTCCTCCTTTTTTCGACATTGTGAATAAGATGGAGGAGTAGAGATGATGCAAGAAGAAAGTACATTTTCATCTTTCGCACACTTTTTTATTTAACACGCTTTAAAGCCCAGTGCATGCATTTGAGCGCTGCGCGTGACTTCCTCCAGGCTGTACCTTTTTGCTTCATTGACGCCAAATCGGAAATTAAAAGGTGGAGACAAAAGAAGATCATCATCCTCCTTATCACCTACAACTCGCTCAAAGATGTCGTCCTTTTTGGGATCTCGAGTGTCTATACAACTTCAGCGAGGCGGACAATTGCAAGGAAAGATTGTACATATTGACGGAAATACAGGAAGTTTATCAATCGAACAAGATGGAACAGGTGCAAGACTAACAATAACAAGAGGAGATATTGCAGATTTACGGATATTGAACAATCCACCACCACAACCACAACCCCCTACTCATTCGGATCCTGCAGTGATCTCATACGCAAATGCTACTGCAGGAGCGTCTTCTAGCTCATCAACACCTAAACATCATGGCAAACCCATCCCAACAGCACCGGCAGCTATGCAAGCATCTCTAAGCGGAGGAGGCGCATCAAAGAAATCATCTGCCAAGAAAAATGGAACAAAAACTCCCGATACACATGCGGGAAAATCTACAGGAAAAGCAGGTAAAGGAAAACGATCTACCACAAACACAGAATCTGATCTAGAAGAAGATTTTGATTTTGACAAAGCGATGAAAGGATTCGATAAGAAAAAGATTTGGGAAGAAATACGAACTTCGGATAAATCAGATCCTAGCCTCTTGCTTGTTTCTCACAATCGAAAGATGGCAGAAGGAGGAAATGGTCAAGAGAAACTTGCTTGGGATGAACCTGTTTTAGACCCTAGCTCACCACCTTCTTCTTCTAGCATCGGCAAGCAAAATGGATCAAACAAACAAGCAAATCACAGTTTGAGCATGAGCAATGTTCAATCGGAGCTGGATCAGGTCAGAGGGAATACACTGCAAAAGGATCTCGAACTGTCAAAGCTGAGAGATCAAGTTCGCGATTATCAAACCAGAATATTTCTGCTAGAATCACTCAGCGGGCTTGAAATGAGTGCTCAAAAGGAGGAAAAATGGAATGTGACCTTATATGAGAGTGCAAACGCACACAGTGAAGCAAAGAGACATGCCCACAAGAACGCACCTTCTCCGCACAAGGGTGTTCTGACAGTCTCAATTGCACATGCAGGGGACAGGTTACGCTACCTGGGCCCTGTGAAACATCTATCAGACGAAACAGTGATCGAACGACTGCCTTCACAGTATCGCGGAAACGAGATCGGGCTCAAACCGGAAACTGCTTCACTCTTCTTCCGAAGAGTTCGCGATGCAATTCAAGCTCCAAGCTCGACCGCATGATATTCGAGAGATTTAAAAGTACATTATTGATATTGATACATGACTATCGCCGTCTTCTTTGGGAACCTGTTGCTGTGCCTCCTGAGCGATCACCACCGATACTTTGTAGCCATGGCGAATTCACTACCGCACGATAAACGCTTTGTGGTCCTTGCAATCGCGGATCCTGTAGATAGTCTCATTAGCATTAGACCCAATACATTTTCATCCTCACCATTGTACTCACCTCCATCCAAGTAGGATAACGATCTCGCAAAGCAGCGAATGCCAGTAATGCAATGATGACCAAAATGTACAAGGAAATGAGTGTTTTATCACGTTCTGAATCCGGTCGTAAACATTTTGCCCAAACTTCACCTTCCCATCCTGTACCTGTATCTGCATCAGGTCTTTCGATCCTTGCTCCTCTGCATGCTTCCAAGCTTTGATTTAAACAAAATTGTCGTGTACAAGTCGTACATGGATTTTGCGGATCAGTTGGTGAAAAGAGCGGTACGACTGTCGTATTTGTGCCGAAACATGTGCATCTGCACAGGTAGGGGTTGGTGGATTTGGCGTTCGCTTCAAGTGCTGATAGAAAGATAGCAATGAATCCTGCCAGTATTGCAAAAGTTGTTATGTTGATGTGAAGCCGTACCTTCATCTTGTTTGAATGAAATGATGGACGAATTGGCAAAGGATAATTTCTGAAATCACGTCACCCTATTATCACTGCAACGATTCATTCTCCGCCCGCATCTCCTTACTCAGTGCCCCGTGCGCGTGACATTCATTCACTCCTTCTTGTTATTCCCAGATTCTACCTTTTGCCTTTTGCATACCATCCAGAACCCATCTCGTTCGAGATGATGTTTGACGAGTAAGTCCTCCATAGGATGATATAGTCGTTGCAATCGTATTGACACTTTTCCCCATTCTAGCTTCGTACAAACATCAAAGCAGCAGCCCAACAATGGTTCCTTTGGGCAAGGCTTCGAACAAGATGAAGGTCCTTCGTCCTCGGCAGTAGCAAATAATGGGTACAATCTACCACCCGTAACAGCTCTAGAGACAGGATTCGTGTCAAACGATGTTGATATTGGAGGTAATGCAGATCCATCACAACCCATCTTCCAATTAGGCAGGGTTCAATACGCCTTCTCCGCTCCTTTGGCTCTCTTGACGGTTTCCTCCAATATCCTAACGATGTGCATGTACGATTATCCTTCACCGGTACGACTGGCACAAGGAGCACCAATGCCTCCACCACCAAGACTAGTACGAATCGATTTGGACGACCCCGAAAAAACAGTAGAAGCAGAAATTCCATTAGCACCTTTACCGCGCGCAAGAAATGCTCCTGCTCCAGATCCATCGTTGATGGGACCTCACAAGATGTTCAGCGATCCAACTGGAAAACATCTGATCATAACGACAAGAAATGGAGAAAACTTCTATTGGATAAGTGGATGGAAGAAAGCAAAAGCGCTGCCTAAATTAAAAGGTATTGTGATTGAAAGCGTTGCATGGAACCAATCAGCTTCAAGCACTGCCTTCCCCTCAAATAAGTCTGCAAGCAAGAACCATAAGAGAGCCGGCTCTGGAGCATCAACGCCAACAACAATCACGACAAAAGAGATCTTGCTAGGGACGCAGACCGGAGATCTATACGAGACAATGTTGACGACCAATAGTGCATCTGATGGAGATGAAGGTGATTTCTTGGATCGATTCGCCCGCAGGACAGCAAACACAGTGGGAGGAAGTGGTGACGTCGACAAGTATTTACATCATGTGTTCCGCCTGTCCGAGAGACAGCCTGTCACAGGACTTGCGTCAGAGATTTTCGGTCCGTCTAGCCAGATATCAAGAGCTGTGGTGATTGCGACAACCAGTACAAGAATATACGAATTCGTTGGTGAACTGAAAGGGAGAGCGGATGGTGATACTTCGAGCGAATCGGAAGCACTATATAACAAGCTGTTCCTACCCTACCGAACGGACGCAATTCCAAATCTAAAGTCGGAATTACCAGGCGATCTACCTTACTCTGAGCTTCATCTATGGACACCGAGAGGAAAAAGAAATGCAAAAGCTTTAGCATGGCTGACAGGACCTGGTATCTATCATGGACTAATATCCTATGGCGATCAGCAAGTTGGCGATAGTGTGATCGATAGCGCAAATCTACTACCATACCCAGCAATGGCTCTTTATTCGCCTAATGGCGAGAATGAAGGTGAAATGGTGGCAGAGATTCCATTGAGCGCTGCATTGACAGAGTTTCACTTTGTCCTTCTCTATCGTGATCGTGTGATGGCTATCTCATCTCTTGATGATCATGTAGTCTTCCAAGAGAGCCTACCACTGCAACCAAACGAGCGAGTGATCGGAACAGCTGTAGACACGACAAGAGGCTCTTATTGGATCTATACTGATTCAAGTATATTCGAACTAGTCATCGCGGAGGAAGATCGTCATGTTTGGCGGATCTATCTTGAGAGAAACAATCACGAACAGGCATTAAAGTACGCAAAGTCAGCTCTGCAACGGGAACAAGTGCTTTCATCCCAGGGAGATTTGTTCTTTCGTGATGGAAAGTTCATCCAGGCTGCACAGTGCTATGCTCAAACGTTCTCACGCACATTTGAGGAAATTGTGTTGCAATTTCTGGACTGTAACGAGCGTGATGCTTTGCGATATTTCCTGGTGATGCGGTTGGAGCGACTACGCAGAAGTGATCTAACTCAACGCATGATGCTGGCAACTTGGTTGGTGGAAATCTACCTAGGCAAGATAAATGATTTAGAGGACGTCGCTGCTGCAGAAGAAGCCAGTCAAAATGTTGACAATTATCGAATCGAGATGGATCTGCTTCAAGACGAACTCAAACAATTCTTGGTCACGTACAAAGACAATCTAGATAGAAGAACGATTTTTGGACTTATCACTAAACATGGAAGGGCAGAGTTCCTACTCCACTTCGCTGCCATTACAGGAGAGCATGATCGTATCGTGCAGCATTGGATACGAGAGGAAGATTGGGAAAAGGCGCTCTCTGCTATCACAAGTCAACATTCGCTCGATCTGTACTATCGCTTTGCTACGACCCTTATTCGACATCTACCGCGTCAAACGATTGACAGCTGGACGAAGCAGGAGCGACTCTCGCCACGAAAGTTAATTCCCGCTATGGCTTTGTACAAGCCAACGCAAGGCGAGCCTAATTATGTCATACAGTACTTGCAGGCAATTGTTCGAAATGGTGCAACAGAGTCGTCGCTACACAATTTTTTGCTATCACTCTTGGCAAAGCATGATGATCCAGGTTTGATACCTTTTTTGACAAGCAGTGTGAATAATCCGCTGACTGGCCAGCCATACTATGACTTGGACTTTGCATTGAGGACATGTAGCAGTTTTGGCAAAACGGAAGCCTGTGTTCGTATTTTTGCAAAGATGGGTAATTTCGAGAATGCAGTCGATTTGGCTATTCAAGCAGGCAATGTAGATTTGGCATGTACGTGTGCAGATGCGATTCAATTCCAAACGGGCAATCACTCACACGGACAAAGCGCAATCAACGGTATGGGAAACCAGATGGATACTTTGGAAGGCAGACAATCGCTACGAAAGCAGTTGTGGTTGAAAGTAGCTCGCTTTGTTGTAGAAGAAAAGAACGATTTGGCAGCAGCGATGGCGTTTTTGGCCCGCGCTCCAGATTTGTTATCGATCGAAGATATTTTACCATTCTTTCCAGATTTCACGGTCATTGATACGTTCAAAGATGATATCTGCAACGCTTTGGAGAACTATGCACAAAGGATCGATACGCTCAAATCGGAAATGGACGCTGCAACGCAAAGTGCAGAAAGTATTCGTGCGGATACGCAAAAGCTTGCCAATCGATTCGTCAGTGTAGAAGCGGATGAGAAATGCGGAGTATGTCAAGAATTGGTATTGCAAAGGCAATTCTATGTGTTTGCATGTAATCATGCTTTCCATGCAGATTGTTTGGTTTCAGAAACGACCAAGTATCTCTCGCCACGTACACTTCGCAGGATTCTGGTTTTGCAGGAAGAGTTATCGTCTCTGACGGGAGGTTTGATACCGTCTTTGCCTCCGTCATATGCGGCAGCGGTTGCCTCTTCGATGAACAGTACAGCCAATGCCGCACTTGCAGCTGCCCAAAAAGCTGCTACTGGAGGTATGGGAACGGTGACAAATGGAGTCAATCTGCTGGGCTTAGACAAATTACGAGAACTAATCCTACCAGATGCAATCGTAGGAGCGATAAGTGCGAGTGTCAGCGTCGGAGTGGCAAGTGGCAGAAAGGCTTTGGCTCCATTGGATCCTTTTGCTGATCCGACTGCATCCTTGCGTGCAAAGCCTGCCGGGCTGGATGACGCTTTAAATGGAAGAGCCGATAATGACCAAGAGGAAGATGTTACTCGCCCAGGCCAGAAGACTCAAGTGACTATTGCTCGTAGAGGAAGAAAGTTGGAAGAGGAACAGAGAATCGCCGAGCTACGAGAAGAATTGGATGGGTTAGTAGCAAGTGCATGTATCCTGTGCGATGGATCTGTTCAAGCCATCAACAGACCGTTCGTCACAGATGCTCATGAACTGGAAGAGTGGGAGCTTTGAAGGGCTCCACAAATGTTATTTCATACTTTAATATACCAACAGGTGCACCTATGCAATGCAAATTTTATGAAAGAAACCTTACTTCTCGAATGGCTTAAGACCACTTTGAACTCGTTGAGCAGCGGCTAGAGCTGCCCAATCCTTGTTTTCTTGACCTTTGTTCAAGTCGATTGTAGTATTGAGATGCTTGATGGCTTGTTCGACGATGTGCATTTGACAATCGTTTTCCTTTCCAAGTCTGGCGATGTGTGTTGCATCTTTCAATCCACCTTGTAAGTCAAAACCACCCGAAGCGACGAATTTCAAACTTGCAATCTTTGTTGCATAATTGATCGCAGAAGGAGCAGGATAAAAAGCTTCAACCCATTCCAATACACGATCTGCTCCTATTCCAGTCTTTTCGGCTAACGTCATTGATTCAGTCATCATTTCAACCGTTGAAAGAATGATTGAATTTCCAATCAACTTAAACGTTGATGCTTTTGATGGATCTTCGCCGAACTCTAAAACCATTCTTCCGATGTGTGGTACAATGTATTGCTTTGCCGTTTCGACAGATGGCTTTTCTCCGGCAATCGCAAATGCTAATTGAGCAGTCTTTGCAACAGGTGGTTGACCGAATGGCAGAGCGGCAATAAACTTTGCTCCAACAGCTTTTGCATCATTAAGAAGAGCCGTTGTCACATCTGGATAGACTGTGCTAGTTTCAATGAACAGCACATTTGTATTATTGTTCTTTTTGACCGAATCAAATAATTGTTTATAAACAGCCTTAACCACATCATCGTTTGCCAAAGAAGAAAAGATGACTTTGCACGTCGCGCCAATCTCTTCAACTTCTTTTGCTACTTCTGCTGATCCGTTCGATTCATTTACAGCTTCTTCACTCTTGCTCGTTGTTCGATTCCACACTTTTAGTTTGGGAGCTCCTTGTCCGTTCAACGCATTTGCCAAATTGATCGCCATCAATTTACCCATATTTCCCAAACCTACCCAACCTACCTGAACTTTACTGGAAGAAGATGTTGAAGACATTTTAATGATGACGATAAGGTAGATGGAAGGAAGAAGGATGAATGCCTATCAGCCAGCTTGCTTGTTTGCTTTTCTCCACCTTCTAGCGTACGATAAAAAGCATTCCCGCCGGCAACTCCGCTAAGGCGTTTGAGCAGTCAGGCATTTGATAGCGTGCATCCCGTTCTCACACACACACACACACTCGGATATGGAACAAGGTATCATTGTACAATGTTTGCTACTTCTACTACATGAGGTAAGACCATGACGATATGAAAGAAGAAGAAGAAGAAGAAGAAGAAGAAGAAGAAAGATTGTACATATATATGTATAGCTAAATCACATGTATGGTCGATTTGATGATTGATTGCCTCGACGAACATAACGAGATCCGAATTGTGTGTTCGAATGACGGCTCAATTGTGAAAGATCATGACGTGAATGATTCGGGCTCATGTTTGGAGGTGTTGAAATTGGAAAGATTGGACTTGAACTTCCACTATTGTTTGCCGATCCAGGTTGAGATGCAGTCGGCGTTCGGATTCCCATCCTTCTTCTTCCATTACGGTCATGTGATGCTAGCAATTGCTCATAAGGCATGGACAAAGAAGAAAATCCTTCTTCGACAAGAGGGCTGCTTCTGCCATCACGCGGATAGAATGATCGTAAAGACGGAGGAACATTTCCATAATGTGGTATTGATGCGTGTTGGCCGCCATTGCTCGCATTCGAAGAAGAACGCGATCGTGTGCGTGATATATCACTGCCAAGCAAGTCATTACTGCCACTAAATCCAACATTTGAGCCACTTCCATGGAGTGAGTGATGCTGATCATGATGATTGCCTGCATGTTGATAGTGAGAAAGAGAAGGACTTGTAGCTAATTGTTGTTGAGTGTGCCTTGGACTGCGAGAGAGGATCTGGTGTGATTCCACTCTACGTTGATAGCCAGGTCCGGGTCCTTCCCTGCGCCATGAAGCTCCACCTCTTTCCACCTCTTCATCCGAGGAAGAACTACTCTCATTATCTCCATCGCCACTTTGATCAGCAGAAACAGTGTCATGTCCGTCTTGGTGACCGCCGCCATTGTTGTTTTGTGGTGCATAACTAGATGTCCTACTTCGTCCTTCTCGCTTTGTTTGTGTACCACGATGACTTTGATCCACTTGAGCTTGAGTGGCACGAGAGTTATGCGTGTTGCTTCCATTATTCGGTCTGCGTGATCCTTTTCCTCTAAGGTCAATGTGATCCCATGCATTAGTGTAGGTGATTATGGCAGGAAAACCTCCTTTGCGTGTTTGCTCGGAATTAGCATCTTCAGTATTAGAGCCACCTTCTGGGGAGTTGCTACTTCCAGCTTCATGACTTGCTTGCATATCGCTACTACCAGGCACAACGCTTGCCGGCTCATCCGGAAAAGTGCGAGAGGACGTAGGCTTTGCTGAACTTGCCTCCCACGGGAACACAGGCTTCACTTTACGAATATCCGGTTGAACGCTTCCCAGATTATCAAAGAAATGCTCTCTTTGCAATTTGTCTAATGTTCGCTTTTGTGATTCACTTCTGCCTTCGGAACTGTGAGCATTCGCATTACGTCTTTGTTCGGCCAAAGGTTGATCCCATGCATTCACGTAAAATGCATCAACCGGTACGCGCATTTGATATTCCGACGATCCACCTCCTGATGGCGGTGGTTCACGGGCTGGGTCCCATGAAACCTTTGGCGGAGACCATTCACCACTGTCGGGCTCAATCGCTCCTGCATCATCCTTAGGAATAGAGATAGGTCGAATTTGAGCATTGTCGACTGGGGGAGATTGATGGAGAGTTTGATCGCTATCAGAAAAACGATCATCATCATCTCCACTGTCCAACTCGGCTGCCATAAGACTTGTTCGGTTATCAAGAGGCAAGCTTATATAGACACCTTCATTGGGAACAACGTTTGGATTGGATGCTAAACTTTCCAGCTCAGCCGCTGCACTGGCAGCAATGACTGCTGGACTGAACATCTCTTTCAAATCTTCTGCTTGACCTGCTCCACGAAAGAGATTGTGTGTTGATGGAGTACGAATTCCTCTAATACGTTGAATGGAGGATCTCTTTGAAGAAGATTCTGTGCCTGAAGAATGAGAGGAAGTATCTCCTCTTCCTTCCAAATCCCAAACTGCCTTGTAGGAAGGTACAGTAAAAGGTTTTTCCACAACCTCAACTCCGCGTTCAGTATGAATGACATCAGCCGAACCATTCTTCATTTGCACAACTTGCGGATAACATTCTTCAAATGCTACGTGCCATCTGTACAGCAAAGAATCGTAGTTAGCAGGAGATTGGCTGCTGGATGATCGAGAAGAAGGTGCGCTGGGCTTAGGGCGATTCCATGGTTTATGTTGGCCAATGAAATGCGCAGTCATGATTCCAGAGCCGTATCTCTCATATGCCGGAGCAAATGTATATCCAGCATTTGGCGTGACATTGTATCGGAAAGGCAATCGTTGCCAGCCTCCTCCAGGTCCGGCATCAATGCTACCATGTTCACCACCAAAAAAGTCATTCAAAAATCCTTGATCAGCTCCATCCCAACTGCCACTTTGGATCGCAAACTCTCGCATAGCAGAAAATGTTGTCAAACTTGGGGTCAATACCATCAAGCCTGAATTGAAAGCGTCTGGCCATCCTATATCAGGCGAAGCAGCCAAAGATGATGTGATGCTGAAAAGATGAGTGATTGGACGAAGGACGAGAATGTCGGCATCAAGAAAGACGATTTTATCGTATCCGGTCAAACGCCAAGCATGTAATTTTGTAAGAGCAGCCCCTGAAGTTTCTCCAAGATCAGGTCTTCCCAAAAGGGCCAACTTTTGACGTGTTTCATTACGTACTTTACGTGCAGCTTTTGCTTCTACTGAATGACGATCTTTTGGATTTCCTCTTTCGTTTGCTTTTGCGGCTGCTAAACTTGAAAAGCTTAATGGTTCAACACCAACGACTTTGTCAAAATATCGAACCAACGTTTTCACAGTTCGAACGCTAACTGTTGCAGGTGTTACCAAACAAACCAAATCCACCTTTTTATCGATTGACGTTCGATTTGATAAACCGGCAGCTCCTAAATTTGCCAAATCGGCAGGAGTTAGGGCACCTGCTGGCTTTGAAGTTGTTGTATGGGCTTGTCGAAGAGAATGTGCTAAGACCAAAGCACCGGGCAGATAATGATCTGTTGTGACCAAAGTAACAAATGCAAACCGTTGCGATCGAGAAGATCCATCGTTGGATGGTAAAGATGTCATTCTCTTTTATATGTATATAAAGTTGATTGGTGATAGAAATGGGATTGATATTCTATCCCCAATTCAACTTTGTGTAAGATTTTTAATGACGATTTTTTATTCAGACGGCATTCCTTCTTGTGAGAGGTGATATGATGTTATGGATGCAAGAGTAATGTCAATAGAATCTTCTTGACTTCCCTTTGATCTTCTTGCGCCACCAAATGAGAGCAGGAAATGTATGCGTTTTTGTATGAGGGGGCAAGTTTACCCTATTTGGGTCTTATCAGTTCAGTCACAATACACACAGTTGTTGGTTCATTTATCTGGGGTTTATTGGAACACGCTAACAGTCTCATTGTGCGTATGCGGATACGCCGCCGTTCCTCCGAGAAATATAATAAATTCGAGAAATCGGAGTGACAAAAGGGGGGATGCAAAAAGATGAAGGGCGCCTTTACAAAGAAAAATCTCACAATTTCGCGGCTTGACGCAATGCAGTACAAATGCAAGTTCACAAGGTAATCGCTAATCTCTGGAAAGTCGTGTTCAATACACGTGATCTGTTACAAATCGATTCTCTGTAATCTTCTTTCATCTTGCGTGTGTTTAATCAGCGGTCACCTCTTCACCATCACAAGATTGCATCATCACAAGAGAATGTTCGGTATACGACTACTGAACAGATCGGCGATCGCCTCAACAAGTACGCCTATTGCTTGCACATCAAGTGCGGCTCGATGGACTTCTCAGAGGCATTTCTCCCTCACAAGAATATTGAAGGAAGAAAAGTCAAATGAGTCCACAAACTCATCACAATCATCGACAGGAACCAATAAAGAAGCAGAAATTGCAAGTGCACAATGGAGAGATGTTGGAAGATTAGCTCAAGACACTACAACAGAAGATATACGATCCTTAAATGAAAAAAGTATGCAATTATGGCGGAATGCATTAAAATCCGTTGGTGCTCCACCATCTCAATCTCCACTTTCTGTTCGTAGTTTTGAACAAGCAGCGCGAAAGCGAACACATTTAGAAGAAATGGAACATCAATGGAAAAATCGTAAAATACTTGGACCTGATCGTAATGCAATTCCAAGTGATGGTAGATCAGTACCTGTCAGGCAAGATTTGAGTAGAGCAATGGCAAATTTGAACAGCATTTTCAGAGTAAACAATATTCGAACCGAACTTCGATTAGGTGAACGATACGAAAAGCCAAATCAAAAACGCAGAAGATTGGCCAGCGAAAGACACAGAAGAAGATTCGCACATATGGTACGAGAAAAGGTTCAATTGGTAAGTGAATGGATAGAAACATCACAGAAAGAGCTATTGCTGACCGTTTCATCCCCTTTTTGCCTTCAGATTATGTATCTCAAATCTCGGGGAGCATGATTGACGAAATAAGAATATTCTAGAATAGAATTGAGGGGAATGAAGGGTCTCTCTGGGGAGCTGTACAATACAAGTGCTTGTGACAATAAGAAATCATTGCATGAGTAATAATGATACGTCATACATTATAGAATATGGTGAGATCTACATGCTATCAAGAAAAAGAGTCAAGCAAATGCTGGATCAAAGGTAAGGAGAACCCTCTAAGACATGATTTCTTGATAAATCAGCTGTTTCAATTGACTGCGTGATAATTGCTCTTTGGAGTAATCAAAGGAGAAGAAGTTTGGATCCAATGGAGCTGCTGTTGGCTCATCTTCTGGATCATGGTATGGTTCCAAGTATGGATGTGCCAAAGCATCTTCAACGGTGATACGTTTTCGAGGACTGAAGGTTAAGCAGCGTTCCTGGGAAGAAAGAGAGAAAAGAGAGGAACAAGATCAGTACAATGTCAATAGATTCTGCATAGAGCCGAACTCACCATCAAATCAACTGCTAGCGGGTTGGCATTTGGGAACATCTGTGAAAAGTTGCGACGTTTACGGAAAGGTAAAGCACGAATATAATCACGCGAACGTGTGCTGGAGATCGCATAAAAATCGTCCAAAGAAGGTGTACCAAGAATTTCCAAAGTAAGACTCAATTGATGATGATAATCTCTTCCGGGGAATAAAGGTTTTCCGCTCAACATTTCTGCCAAGATACAACCTACTGACCAAACGTCAATGGCTTTGGTATATTCTTTGAACGTTAACATGATCTCCGGAGCCCGATACCATCTCGTTGCAACGTATTCGGTCATAAATCCAGGTCCGTCCGATTCAGGTTGAACGGCAGATCTTGCTAAGCCGAAATCGCAGATTTTCAGGTCGCAATTTGCGTTCAATAAAAGGTTACTCGGTTTCAAGTCACGATGTAAGACTTGTGCAGAATGAAGAGCTTTCAAACCACGCAAAGTTTGATAAACAAAGTATTGACAGTGATCATCGGATAACTCTTGTGTACGAATGACTCTATGCATATCTGTTTCCATCAATTCTTGAATGAGATAAACTTCATCGAATGATTCATACGAAGCAGGCTTGACGATATCCAAAATGCTAATGATGTTTTCGTGATTGAAATGCCTTAGCAACTTGATCTCTCGTAATGTTCTCAAACAGAACATCGAATGATCAAAAGGTGTTATCTTTTTGATTGCCACGCGGGTTTGTGTTGGAACATGAATTGCAGAGCATACTACTCCGTATGCACCTTCTCCGACCACATCGACGATTTGATAATTTTGACCTACACGAAAGCTAGCAGCTTGTGCGGCTTGTTGTGCTGTTTGTTGTGATGACATTGTGCTTTGTTTTTGAGGAGGAGGAATGTTATGAGATCAATACGAACGACGATGAGGACGAGAAAGGAAGAACAAAGGGATAAATGACCAAAAACAGTAGCGAATGTCTCCAACTAAAAGATTGACAATACAATCTTCGCTGGGATAGTTGTCAAGGGATAAACTTGTGTCCTTTTATGATGTTGCCCTTTCCTGTTCGGCTGAATGTCTTTCTTTTGAGTCGTCGTAGTTGAAGAAAGACAATTGAACAAGAGGTTAACTAACATATGTGTTGGCTTGTTGCTTTACATGATGCATCAACACTCCTTAAGTGCTGTATTTCACCAAACCCGGAGACCTTAATAAAAGTCTATTTCGACAGCTCGTATGGAAATGCACACAATTCTTAGCGCATAATGCCAGTGTGTCAAGGCTTAAATGAAGTTATTTCAAGGGCGCACAGACGCAATTCTGCTGCTGGGCGTACCAAAATTCGCGAAGCCTTCCGTTGCTAAAAATGATATTCCCCAAGATTCTTGACCATCACAAAAGGGGAGACTTAATTCAATCATTGAGAGACAGAATGAATTGTAGCCCAGGCTTGTTACTTGCCGGCGGCTAAAGGCGTGAGAGGAAGTACCTGAATGCCAACAAAGATGACATAAACTGACCGACGCAATTATCAGCCGTATACAATTTGAAACTGTTGGCGCTTTTTTGGGCGGCTACGAATTCGGTTTCAAAAAGGCCGATGATCAAAGGGGGAATTCCTTACGTCAGACAAATCATGGAGTGATGAGTAAAATACAGTGTGATTGTGATTGAGCATGTACTATACATCGTCTGTGGCGTTAATCTGTTTTGTAATAATGCCAGCCTTACTTTCCCACCATTGACGGACAAAGAGCAGATTTGGCTCTGCATCAATGCTAGCACATTGTCGAAGCAGTAGCCTTGGATCTTCACGTAATTCTAGAGATGCATTCTTTTGGAAATAGTCAACATCTTGAGCATTCAATGTCGCTCGAATTTTTCGTAGAGGTTTGCGAGTCGAATGCGCTTCAGAACGTCTTGTTTGATTTGATACTCTTCCGGTAGCATTTGCAGATCCATTTTCCTTTCCCATCAGACATGACAGAGCTTCAACGACATCGATTGGATGATCCAAAAGATGTCCAAGCCATAATGTCCAATCTACCTCACGAAGTTTTGGCAAAGCGGATGTGAAACCCCCGATAGCAAGTGCCTCGCTTTTAAACAGCATACATCCAGATATATGCAAAGATCGTAATGACTTTAATGTCTTTTGATGTAAATTTAATGCTGAAGACCAATAGGGAGGAGGCGGTCCTAAAGACAAATGTCTCAATTCGGTCAAACCAGCACAGTCTCGTGTCCCTCCTATTGCACGTTCCAAGAATCCATTTAAACCCAGAACTCGTATCCGAGGACATAATGCCAATGCAGCTCTTAGATTTGCTGTCAAGCTTCCTAATGTAGATGCAGGACGGCGATCGATTGCTTGGACTGTGCGAGTTGAGCCTGGCTGAAGGGAATACGGGCGAGGCTGAGCCTGGATATGATCGTCTGGTCGTAATGTTTGTCCATATTGAGCAAATTCAATATCTTCAGTCTCGCTAGATTCGCTATTTTCTGAAGAATTGTTGGGATATAGTGTACGTGAAGAACCTTGAATGTGGCCAAACAGATCAACAAAGTCTAAAGTTTCTCTTCGCTGACGCCTTTGTCTGTCGTCCCTGTGTCCATTCATCGACTCGTCCTCACTTGAGTCATCTTCTGATCCATCTTCGTCATGAAAAGCAAAGGTGTTGGCAGTCGTTGCAGGGATTGCATTTGGCGGAGCATTGAATCCTTCAGGAGGTTCACCTGCTAATACCAGATGTATTGCTCCAGAACGTGCAAAGAGTGCAGGGTGTAAGAAGTGATCCATTTCATCTTCATCGGTGAGTAGATGCAAATTGCAAACATCACTGGCTCTCTTTTTGGGCTCATAGAATGGTGTTGTGCTTGCGAGATATTCATCGATGAGAGCATTTGCTGCTGAACGTGGTGAGTATCCTTTTGCACGAAGTAAGAAGAATCGTCTGATATGATTGAATCCCAGCATGGAAGCATTCGATCGTAAAAAGTCAGAGGTGGAAGAAGAGGAAAGTGTATCAGTTGAAAATTCACGCTCTCTGCTTGGAAGTGGTGCAACCGTCACATTGGAGTCACCCCAGTCCAGAGGATCCTGTCTTAGGACATCTTGATCTGCTTGTACCATGTCTGGCGATGGCAAGCCAAGGGGAGGGGTGGTTACTCCGACCCATTCCCAATGGAATTCAATCGCATATTGTACCTCTAAACATCTCAAAACCCATTCGTCAAGACCTATCCAATCTCCTGCAGCATCATAGCCCAAGCTTGACCGGTCCACGCCATACCCTCTTCCATGGGATGATTGTGAGGTATGGTGACCATGCCTTGAGTCATCTGGTACATTTGATGTGGGAGTTACATTGCCGCTATACTCCTGTCGGACTTCCACTAAGCGATCTTGATGAGAAGGAACGTTCATTGCAGCGTATTCTACACCATTCTCGACGTACACCAGATCTGTCGTAGTCTCAAAGAATATCTGAGGCTTCTCGCTCCTCTTGCTTGCTGCATTCTCAAAGCGGCTGATATGCGCCCTTGCAGCTATAGATAGATCTACATCAGAGATGACGATCGGGAGAAAGTTCAGTGTAGGCGCAGTAATGGCTCCTACCCATAAGTTGCGAACATATAGTCCCAATGATGGCCTAGTGAGCAATGTATGCGAGAATTTGATTAAATGAGACGGCTTTGAGATTGTTATCGAGCGATACAATAGCGGTATTACGAGATTGTATGCGGCTCTAGATACGAGCATGATCGAGCGTGTTGTCGCCACATCAACAGGAGATTTTGCTTTTATATCTCCATCTCTACTTTGATTGGGGTTGGTATGAATTACGCTGGTTTTGATGCATGCATGTTCGAATATCAATTTGATCAATTCCTCCGGTAGTGACGGAAAAGGTGTCTGAGTGGTGGTCATTGTGACAATGCGTTTACCTTTCCATCATGTGTTTTCTTGAGGATCTTATCAGACTGGTTGTAGTAATAACGAGTGTTATTTGTGTTGCTTATGTGTGTTTTGGCTTTTCACGCTTAAGCCACCCATGAAAATATTCCGCGGCCTGAGATGGAAATGCTTGTGCCGAATAAAAAGAGGAAATCGGCGTAGAATTGACGGCTAAAGCATAAAAGTGCATTTGCTAAAGTGAACGTGTACGTAGGCTCCTTTTTGACCCGGCTTTTTTTACTTTTCTTGAGCGGGGCCAGGAACTCCACACCATATGATACTTTACTCTATCACACCTTCCGACCGCAACTCTTTTCATTCATTACAAGGTCGGGGCAAGCTGTAGCGATCACCATCGTGGTTATGGTCAAGAAATTAAACATAAAGTAGATGGTGTAAAGCACAGCTCTTAAATATAAAGACCAAACAAAGATGCAATACGTAGGCCGATTCGTTTCATCGGTGTATAACACCATCACGCCAAACATCAATCCTGCAACTCTAAGTGGTGCAATCGATGTGATCGTTGTTGAACGTGAGGTGGAAAAAGAGGTGGACGAGGAAGATGGAAGTGGAAAAAAGAAAAAGATCAAAGTGACAGAATTAGCAAGTACTCCTTTTCATGTTCGATTCGGTAAAATGAGTGTTTTACGACCAGCAGAAAGAAAGGTCACTCTTCATCTAAATGATTCACCTGAACCACTTCCATTCGCAATGAAAGTTGGTGAAGCGGGAGAAGCATTCTTTGTCTTGGAACTAAACGACGAAGAAGCAAGGCAAGGCGTACCAGACGAATTGGTTACCAGTCCTATTCTCAGTGCAACAACAAGTCCAAACATTCCTGCTGATGATGTACTCAAAAGTAGCAATTCGGATAGCAAAATAAAGCAAAGTACAAATGATTCGCATATGGAACTGACTGAGGGTCATCAACCACCACGCAAGCTTATCGCAGAAACGTATGTCGAGCCGTTAGATTTAGGTGCTTCAAGTACTAGCTCGACAACGAAACCAGCAGATCTTCCAAAAGCTTCCTCCAGCAAGCCTGCAAAAGCAGAAGAGGCTGAACAGGACATCATTCCTACAGTCAAGACCAATGGTCAAAAAGATGCTTTGCACTATATGCTCGATATGGATGGTTATAAAATGACAGAAGATGGAGAAGAAATTGCATACGAAGAATCATCACGTTTGGCGAAAGAAGTTCCAATCTCAAAAAGGCATGGACTCCCTTTGGCAAATGGTGGAGCGTCTGCCGGACCTCGTTCAGCTCAAAGACGTGGAAGTTTTGGAGACGTAGAGGGAAAATCACTCAATGGCAGTGCTGCAGCGGAAACTTTGCAAAAGAGGAGAGGGTCTTTTTCTGTACGCATGAACGGAAGTAGCGATGATGTGATGGTACGAGATGGCGAAGCATCCCTAGAATCAGCGGCACAATCGACGACAGATACGATATCCGGTGCAAATCCTGAAATAATACAGCATACTAGCAAAGCTCTCGGAAAAGAAATTTCTGGCTGGTCAGCACCTGGATCATTACCACGTACGAGCACTGATCCCCTCTTAGATACCAAAAGTATCTCTAAAGCTAACGGAAAAGCTGAAGAAGAGAAAATTACACCTCCAAGACGTGCAATGACCAGTGTCGAGGCGATTGGACAACAGAAAACATACGCCAAAACTCTGCGTCTTACATCAGATCAACTCAAATCTCTCGACTTAAAGAAAGGAGCAAACACAATCTCGTTCAGTGTTACATCTTCTTATTCTGGTGTTGCTATGTGTACTGCACGGATATTCTTGTGGAATAGCACGCATCGAATTGTCGTTTCTGATATTGATGGAACGATCACAAAGAGTGATGCTTTGGGACATCTTTATACCATGATCGGTAGAGATTGGACGCACAGTGGAGTAGCGAAGTTGTATACGGATGTTGCTCGAAATGGTTATCGGATCATGTATCTGACTTCTCGTGCTATTGGACAAGCTGATTCTACGCGAGACTACCTACGAGGGATCAATCAAGGCAACTTTAGGCTTCCAGATGGACCGGTGATCATGAGTCCGGACCGTTTGATGGCAAGTTTACATCGTGAAGTGATTTTGCGTAAGCCTGAAGTGTTCAAAATGGCATGCTTGCGTGATATCGCCAGACTTTTTGGTGCTGATCAACGTGGTTCTGGATCCGCACAAACTGGACTTCCGCAAAAGAAAGAGAAGGAGGTTGACAGTACAGCTTCATCGAATGATAAAGATCCACTATCAATCGCTTCTGCTACATCAACAAATCAGAACAATCAGCCTACACCATTTTATGCTGGATTTGGTAATCGTATTACGGATGCTTTGAGTTATCGAAGTGTGAATATTCCCAGTTCGCGTATTTTCACAATTGACAGTAATGGTGAAGTAAAGATGGAGTTGCTGGAGCTGGCAGGATATAAATCATCTTATATTCATATGACAGATTTGGTCGATCAAATGTTTCCACCAATTACCGCCAAATCCGTTGAAGGAAATACAGGAAAGCCCGAATTCAACGATTTCAACTTTTGGCGATCGGAATTGGGAGAATTTGATCTTCCACCAGATGATGAATTAATTCATACACCCGTACCAAGTTCTCCCGTTTCGCCAGCTTTGAGCGCTCGTAGCATTCGCAGTACAAAAAGTCTTCGAAGCGTACGAGATGATGAATTTGTGGCGCCATCAAATGGAAATGCAATAGCAAACACTCATGGCAGATCCAACAGCAATGCGAACGATGATGTACAAAGTAACACTGGAAGCACGAGTAGACTTTCACGTTTTGGTTTGGGTAAGTTAGGATTGTCGAGACGTGGATCGAATCAAACGATCGCTGCACCTCCTTCTCAACAAGAAAAGCAGCGAGCGGATACCGGCAGTAATGTTTCACAATCAGGACCTCCAACGATCGCAAGTTCTCCTAGCAGTAGTAGTTTGTTGATCGGTACTTCTCCACCTTCTTCGCCTGGATCGTACGGAAGCGGTGTCACTTCTTGGACCGCTGGATGGAGAAGAAGGGCAGCTTCGCCAACCGCACAAAATCCAAGCGCAGCAGGAAACGTTCAAGCCACAAGTCCACTCGTCGGTCCTGTGATCAATGCGGAACCTGATGATTTGGACGAAGATGGGGAAGATGACGATGACGTCAGTTCATTCGGCGGAGATGAAGAAGAGGGCGATGAAGATGACGAGGAAGATGATAATGATGAAGAAGAAGGGCAAAATGGAGATCAACAAGGTCGAAGATCAGGACGCAAACGCGATAATCGTAATGATATGGGAGATGATGTGATGGACGATGATGATCCTTTACTTGCAACGGGAGAAATTCAATTCGAATGGAGAGGTTGAAATATCTGACAGCAAGAAGCTTTTGTATGTCTTTTGAGGCTATTCGTATACTTTTTATTGCATAAAGTTGTTATTTTGCTCCTGTTTCTGTGTAAAGCATATTATTCTATTGATGACAATTTGATTGAAATGAAGAACAGCATAGCAAATTAGCATGCTGAAAAGTGTATATAAAAATGCGTACATGTACAAATTCATTTTTGCGTAAGCATGCAAAGCAACAAAAAAGATTCTTTAATGATTCGACGTATGTCCGTTTCCATGATGATGTGGATTGGGCGGATGAAGGGTATTGCGTACGAATTCATAAGTTGCGAAGCTGGTTCCGATCGAAGGTGCCACTTTGAGCAAATTTGGCACGATTCCTCGATACAATCCAAACACTCCTTCAGCCTTCACAATCGTTTTGACAGCACCCCAAGCACTCTTGTCTGAATAACCCAATCTACTATCCTTCATTCCGCTCACTTGCATCCTTCTTCGTAGTACGTCTAAAGGATATGTTAGTGTTTGTGAAATACTGCCTGCCACTGCACCACAGCAAAGCTTCAAAACTGTAGAAATATTTCCATCTTCATCTGCAAGTCTTTTGCGTAAGGCTTCATATGCTGCAAAATTGATGCCAACATAAGGTGCAACGCCCAAACTTGTCGGAACGCATCCTTTATACAAAGCACGTACACCACCTTCTTCTCGGTAGACTTTTACAGTCATTGCCCATATCCCTGGCACTCGCTTCTGTCTTTCTTCGATTAGCTTTCGCAATTCTTGTCGAGTCAATTTAGGCTTGGGAGATGAGTCGGATTCGGCTGCTATGCCAGTTTTCTTTGCTTCCGCGTACATTGATGCACTGGCAATCGAAATACGTGATCGGACAAGATCCAAAGGGTAGGTGGACACCACACTTGCAATACCTGCCAGAGCTCCTGCGAACAGCCTTCTTGGCGTATCCAATTCCCCCTCCGGATCGACAAGGTATGCCTTTAAGATCTCATACGTTGAGAATTGAACAGCGCTATAAGGTGCAATACGCAAACAATTGATTCCATTTCCCCGCATATACCCTTTAAAGCCTTCTTCCTGCCACATCTTTGTTAGACCGGAAATGACGCCAGAATAAGCACCTTTTCCTGCTTTTCCACCGGCTCCTGAAGGTGTTTTTGGCTGTACTTGCATGATAATCTTTAATCGTTCTAGTGGGCTTACGACCGTTCTGCTAGCAGCACCAGCCGCTCCGCCTGCAACGAAGTAGCTGACCAAGAATGCTGTACTTAGAGCGCTTTCTTCCTCTTCTTCTGCTTCCTCTGAGCTATTCAAAAGCTCCTTCACAACTTCGGCATTGGAGGTACTAGCAGATGACGAGCTACTGCTGGCTTCACTGTTACTTGCCGCATTAACCATTTCATGAACGCGATCTCGTATTGATTCGTGTGATTCATTTTGGTTTTGATCTCTGAAATTTAGAGCACGTTTTCTCACTGATTGATGTTCATTAGCCGATCTTTGGGCTGAATCTATCTGAGAAGCAGAATCCTCTTCTGGCGTGCTACTTGTGTCTGCATTTAAAGATGACTGAATCTTTTTCCGTATATCATTTGCTTTTCCTTTTGCATCGTTTAGTAAATCGGATTGAATTGCCTCTGGGCCATTTTCATGTGCTACGATGACCATCTTGTTTGGGTTAGGTATCACTTGTTCTGTTTGTTCTTCCAGTACCTCTATCGGTGTTGCAGAACTTGCAAGACGTAATTCGCCTTGAATCTCTGGTTCTCCTTTTGTTATTGTTGCAGAACCAATAGTATTCATCGGACTTGACAGGAATATTGAAGAAGAGATGGTGGTTTGAATCTTTTCAATTTGTCATCCTATTCACTTGCATATCTTCAAATCCTATACACAAGGGTAGAATAGAGTAACCAACACTTCTTCTTGCCTTTCACCTGATGCACCCCGGTATGAGTATTGAGCGGAGGGCCGTGGTAGTGAAGTTAATGGATCGGCGATTCGGATTGAATGTGTGTGCACTAACGGAGTAAAAATGAATGAATGAATGAATGACTCTATTTCTTCTTATGATGCACCCCACTCAAGCACTTTAACCCCAAGCCCAACTTAAAGAGCTGCTGCTGCTGCTTTTGTGGAGTGTGAGAAGCTTGCTTAAAGGCGGCAGGCGTGTCTTACTGCTGCTTAATGTCTTATGTGCCTAGCAGAGTGTCGGTAATGTTTTTCGCGTTTTCTTGCTCTTCTGTATGAAAGGCTTCCAGGGTCTTAGGCTGTTTAACTTAGTGCATACCTGCCCGATTCCTCCCGGCTTAGTATGCCAAATGAAACATGCCGTATGAGGATTTGATTAGTAAGGGTAAGGCTACCTTGATGATCGACAGAGAGGGTATTTAAGGAATGAATATCAAGCATCTTTTGGCGTGGTACTAAACAATACCTACCGACCCTTCATCATAGTTTAGCTTTGTTCCTATCACTCTACAAGCATAAACAATGTTTTCCAGTATTATGAGGTAGACTCATCATGACATTGCATATACATTTGAATCAAACAATGATCCTTCTAAGCTGAACGAAACGTCATAATGAGGACTAATTGGCTCCCTCCCATTTCTTGCCCTGTTGTATGAAGGAGGTGTCAGTGTCATGTTCTCTGTATCTCAATTTTATAGTCCCGTATCCTTGATCTTCGGTAATCTCTTCCCACCATTTTAACCTTACTTCACAGCTGACTGTCTCCCCACACAAACACAATTCTATCCTTCAAAGATACTCACATGTGCAGCATTCCAAATACCTCCAACAACACCAATTGTACCAAGTGCTGACAATCCAAGGAGAGCGCCCATATAAAGACGAGAGCGAGGCAAGCGTTGATAAACGGGTCTAGTGTCTGATTGCAAAGCACGTTGACGTTGAGGGACAGTGTTTCTGAAAAGTAGCAAAGAGGATGAGGGTGTTAGCGTCGTCCTGATGTACAGTAAATTGGAGATAGCGATTGTCGAGAATTTCATTCGAGCAGACATGGACGTAACGCATACACTTCGCCTGGATGACAGGCTTATATGAATATGTGTCCTGTACAAGTTTTCGTTGTCTTGAAAGAGATATAACGAGCTATTGTTACGCTTGGACGGCTTCCAGCACTTTGAACGAACAGGCAAGAGAGGACATTGATCCTACCTAGACCTCCGTTCCTCTGAAGCGATTCTTCAGAACGCCAGGAAAGGCTCTCATCATCGATGCCGAACTCATTCCTTGTCCCACACACCTATTTTGAGAGAAAGACTATACTGCTGAAAGCCGCGACGAGAATGAAAATCTCCATTTGTCTAGCTCCGAATATCGAAGATTCGCTTTGGTTGGGATGGTCTTTCTTTTCGTACTATTGCGTTCGAGTGTCGATAGATCGAATGGAATAAATGTATTGTATGACTGCTACTTACTGTCTGTTAACGAGAGAATCCATCTTGTCTGAATAGTATGATGTGATGATGGTGACAGCAAATCAGTGCGATGATCAAAATTGTCTCTTGCCTTACGCGTATAACATGAGCAACACCCAATAAGAACGGGCGGGCGCGTGGGCTGTACAAGATATTGCGCCTAAACAATACTGTGAAAATCGGAGAATCTTCCAAAGTTCACGTGATACACTAATGGATCATTCTCATAAAAGATGGATTTTGATATCTATAGTATTGCAATTGATGTCATCTATTTACGATTACATGTCCTAAGCATTTCCATTGAAAGAAAGTGAGTGATGGTGTGTGTGTGTGTGTGTAGTACAATTTATCCCATAAAAGCATTTTCATCCAATTCCACTCCAAATTCATCTTTTGCCAATTGTCTCATTCCCTGTTCTAAATCATCTTCAAATCCGCCTGTTTGAGCGTTCCATGTCTTACGTGCTTGTTTGCTAAACGGTCCATGGGTGATATTTGCTTGGAGTAGGTTCCAAGACCATTTCAATCCACGCCATAACGAACTTCCTACGAAAACACCATCCAACAAGAGCAACGTTGTTCTGAATGTTAAGAAGGAGATACGTGTTGATACCCAAACCTTAGATCGTTCCATAACAGTTGATTGCTGTTGCTGTTGTCCACGTGGTCTGAAAATGCTCAAAAAAGTTGGTGAATCGCTTGTCAACAAAGCCGAGGCTGCATGTCTGGCCAAAATGTTGATCCGATTGACGGGAGAATGCAAAACTTGATTGTTTGCTTGCACAATTCTCATACTTCTTCCTACAAAAATTAATTCTTTCGGTACAAGTTCAACGCTTACCAAGAAATTTTTAATCATTTCTTTTTGTTTATTGTAATTTGGTTGACCGTTGTTCTTCTTGCGCTCTTCTTCTTCCTTTTCACGTTCTTCGTCTGATTTTGGTTTTCGCCATGGTCTCATCAACGTTGCAGATGCAAACAATTCCGCACTCTGTTTACCCATTCCCCATTCTGTAGTGATGCGTTCTAGTGTTCCAATATCCACTTCAAAGATTGCTTTCCATAGTTCTGCATATTGACGTCTGAATGTCTCAGAGATGGAAACGTACAGTCCGTGATCGATCAGTACGACTTGATGCTGTCCTTTCTTGCCATTAGGGTGCCTTCTGACGAGCACATTGCCTGCATGTCCATCACACTGAACAAAACCATGTTGGAAGATTTGACTGGCAAAAACTTCACAAACACTCCTTGCAACTTCCTTCACATTCAAACCCATATTTCGCATCCCTTTCTCATCTGTCATTCTAGTGGCACCTTGAATGAATTCCATGGTCAAGATACGAGAAGTTGAAAGTTCATCTACACACCATGGCACGTAGCATGTATCGCGAATTATCTTTTGTGGATCATTGGCAATGTTTCTTCTTGCTTTCTTTCCATTCTCCAATTCTGCCAAAAAGTCTGTCTCCCGCTCGATCTGTTCACTAATGTATCCACCAAAGTAGGCCAACGGCAGATCAAAAACGTTTGAATAAAAGTGCAAAAGGATTCTGAACGACAACAGATCCCAATATGCTTGCGATCGAATACTTGGCCTTTGCACTTTTACAGCAACCGTTTCTCCCGTCGATTTCAAAGTTGCCTTATGCACTTGTGCAACACTGGCAGCCGCAATAGGTTGATCGTCAAAGGAAGAGTATACCTCATCTATTGGTTTGCCCAACTCTTTCTCCACTACTGCACGAACAGCAGCCGTCGACATATGTTCAGCATCATCAAACATCTTTGCCAAAGCATGATAAGGTTTTGGTAAAACTGCTGCTTGAACGCCGATCGCTTGACCTAATTTGATATACAATCCACCATTTTGTTCGCATACCTTTAGCAATCGTTTCGCACATCGTTCATGTAACTCTTCGGCTGATTTTGCATCGCCACTCTTGAAGTTGAACTTATAGTCCAATGCAATCGCTGCACCTGCAATACCCGTTCGAAGATTTCTTTGTAAGACCGAAGCATTTAGGTGTGTATCAACTTCGTATGTCACTAATCCTGCTATTCCCAACAGTCCCAGAACGGTAAGCGGCCTTATTCTTCTCCTATTTTTTTGAGGTTTTGGAGCATCTCTATTCAAGGCAGCGGAAGAGGGTTGGGATGGCCTAGGTGTTGATCCTTGCAAAGTAGAATTGAAGCGCACCTGACGCACGATGGATCGATTTATGTTGCCATTCTGGAACAAGGAATGACAGCGGCTTGTTTCTCCTATGCGGAGAGCAAGATGTCGCATTCCTGGGTATACCTGTTGAGTCAAGGGAAGAGGTGATGACGAGAAAGAGAAGGGTTGAAGCATAACACATGTTTGATAAGATAATCTTTTGCATGAACACTTTTCTGATTGCTTGTCAAGCTTTTTAATTGGGTGGAGGCATGTAATTTAAGTAAGCGCGCCTAAGCGGTGCCTACCATCCTCCCCAACGCGATAACAATGCATTTATCCAAAGGATATTCATTCATTCATTCTTCAGATATATACATGCTATGCTATGGAAGGAAGACTAGAACAGCTTGAATTCTGTCAATCGTGCCCTCTTTCCAGAAGGTAATGTGAATGACAGACGAACATTACTGGTATCCAAAGAAGTCCATTGAGCATGCGTGATACCATTAGCTAGCGGTTTAATTTGTTGAACGTTCGGGATTGCAGTCCAAGGACCTTGATTGCTCGTACTCGTTTCGATTGTGTATGAATCAGGTGCAGCAAATGTATTGTCATCTGCGAACCATGCAATTTCAGCACGTGAAATGGTCCGATTTGATGCTGCTGACCCGTCACTATTCCCTAATTCGATAGCATACCATTGATTCGCATTCGTGTCGGATTCCCATCCGTTCGCTAATTCACTCGTGAACCATACTCTGCCATCGATCGCATCGTGAATTTTGGTCGTGTCATTTGCATTCGAAGAAGCAGATCCGCGTGGATAAGCGGAAGACTCTTGCAATTGAATTGAGATTGCACTCGGACGATCGATCGGTAACAGATCCTTCGGTGCATAATCAACAATTATACGTTGAAGGGTTGCAGAGGCTGCAACTTGCTGCCCATCACGCTCAATCACCAATCCCTTGGTACCGTAATGTGATCCATCGCGATCATACTGAACAGCAATATTGCTACCGTGATACGGTACTTCTTCTGCACGGAACCAACTTGGACCGCTATTTTGATCGACCAAAGGATTAATTTCGAGTTTATCATCTGAACGTGGTCGAATACCCACAAGACCACCCAAAACAATATCCACAAAACCAGAATGGAAATAATGCGGTGATCGATCCAATCCAACAATCGCTCCACCTTTATCGGGATTATAATCTTCTTCCAAATTTGGCTTTCCGTTGGAATCGTAGTGTAAATCAACATATTGACTTAAAAGTCTGTTAAATTGTGAAATATTCAGATCGCCTTTGTTGTTATAATGATCAAGTACGTTTGACATGCCCAATAAAACTTGCGTCGTTTGGAATGGCCAAACGGGTCCGTTCCATTGGCATTCTGGCCGAGAGCTATTGACAACGTCATACCTATACTGCTGCATATAGTGTTCATAAGAAGGTTCATTGGTCCGCATTCCGTATTGACCACCCAAAAGATTTGCATCTAAGACGTGTGACCAACTAGCAGCATAAACTGAGGTATCATCGGGTAGGTCGAACATGAATGGGACGTATCCCACCAATTCTCTACCTCGAATAAAGTCAAAATATTTCACGTAATCATTATTTACCTGAAATCGGTCGATGAAATGCTCAAACGTTGAATTCCATAAATTTGTTTGTGTTTGGTTCTTGAGTATGTTTGCTCTTCGTTCATATGTCTCCGCTGAGTTTTCATCGCTTGTTAATCTTGCTAATTGTGCAATCGCTTTGAAATTAGCATACATGTACGAATTAATCGAAGGTCTAAAGCTAGTTCCGCCAGTGAATCCTCCTGTTCCTCCGCTTGCATCGATTGAAGAGATGGTAAATTCGGTAGCATCTGCAATAGGTTCGATATAGTACAACCCTTTTGACATATCAAAATGATCGTTCCATTGATCATAAACAGTTTTTATTTGATCAAGGTATTGTGTGGCAGCTTGTGAATCATGATCAACCAAATAAACATTCCAAACTGAATCTGCCATATAATCACTAAAATGACGATCGTTCCCTTTTCTTTCGCCAAACATATGGTTGATATAATCGTGTGTAAAGCGCCTGTCTCTACACCAACGACCTTCATTTAAGTGGAAACCGGTAGCGTCATTCAAGCTTGCCCAAGGTGAGAGTTGCCAAGATACATCATCTGCGAATTCAGTGGTGATGAATCCATAATCATTACCCAGATCACGTTGATGAGCTCGAAATATTTGCCATCGATAATAATAAATTTCGTTTAATTTTTCATCAGAAGAATCAAAGAATGGGATTCGATTTGAATACCATTCTGCGTCATTTCCATAGTGTTGTTGCAAGATTGCATTTGTGTCTAGGGATCTCTTGATTACCGGCCCGGCCTTCACTTGATCAAGCGCGAAGGCTATGATAAATGACCAGTTTGCTAATTGATGGAACATGCTGGCTAATTGGTATATCCTCTCAATATCTCAATATCACCCGAATATGATCTTCTTATATGCTCTTTGATGATGTTCGGTCATCTCTTGTTCGATATTTTATGTTTGCCAAGAAATTGTTTAGCGCGGATCGGAGAAAATATGGAGAAATGAAGTGAAGTGCTTAAAGTGCAACAGATTACCGATGCTAACGTCGGATAAATGTCAAAAGCAAAGAGCAAGTAAATGCAATCATTCTCACACCATCATTTCGAATATAGTACATCGATTGCTTGTTCATATAGGATTGGCTTATACTTCATCTTGCATCCAACGCTTTGACATTCTATTGACTGTAAGCTTTTTAGTGTGGAGAAGCATTAAGAATATTCGCGCTCGGCCAATTCAGGAACAGACGGGCTACTTTTATATGCATTTGATGCTGAGTCTTACTTGGTTGAGCAAGGAGAGCCTCTCTCGGCTTTCCCTACTTGAAGCTGGCTTTAACTCATCATCCATCAACCTCTAGAGCATCAATCTATTGCAAAGATGCTAGGAATCGGCATCTCCATACGACTGATCAAACAAAATGCAAACGCATTCAAAAAGATCAATTTCATCTTTTATGGTACAATCTTGTTAGGGATGTTTACGGTATATCTTAAACCATCTTTGCATACATACATTGTTGATTTGATTGAAAAGGATCTACAGTCTACTTCAGTAGGCAGATACGTGGCTAGAATGTACGATGAAGGACATCTATACAGAGCTGCAGCATCTACATTTGCAGTCAACGTGTTAGTAGGCTCACTGCTTACAGTCACACTGCCTTCTTTCATCATACCTTATTCAGGTCTAGGATTGATCTTATACCGTACCTTCCTGTGGGGCTGTTTCATTGCGCCTCCGGAAAAGAAAGCAATGATTGAAGCAATTCCACATTTCATCACTTTGATCATCGAAGGTCAAGCATACGTCGTTGCTGCACTGCCTGTCTTGTTGCATGGTCGTCAATCAAAGGTGCTCTATCAAACGGGAGGCGTAAAAGCTTGGCTCCGAGATGGATTGGGCTTGCATGCTCGTGCACTACCATTAGTATGTGCTATCCTCTTCTTTGCTGGAATTTGGGAGGCTTATGAAGTCATTCATCTTTTACCGCCTTCGGCAAAAAAGTACGGTCATTGATCATCTCTTTTCAGCATCGCCTCTAATTGTACGACCACTCTCAATTGTATCACCACTCATATTCAATACATATCTAGCACACCATCACAGTGGTTCATTTGCCATATTCTGCGTTTGGCTGTGTCGATCTCTTAGCTGTGCATGCAATCATACATCAACTGCTGTGTTGATGGCAACATCCTGTTAGATTACAGTCCCACGAAATGGGCCTGGGCTGTCGCGGAGCATGAAGTGGCGAATCAGCATCGCATTGGCTGAAAGGGGCTGAGGTCAGCTGTTCCATAAAAGTGCAAAAGGTATCATGCAATGCTATGAAGGATATTGAGAATGGCAGAAGATGCAACTCTTCTCTTTTCAGCTTCCTGTAAGAATAAAAGGTATATAAGCCGCCTTAAATTGTGCATCTAGTACTATCTTTGCCAACAGCCTCTTGCGGTGTTATCTGTTCATCCATGTCCACAATGTCTTATCTCAGCAAGCATGTGCTCTTGCTTGCCTTTCTTGCCATTGCATACGTCTGCTTCACGAATGCTAGTCCTATCGTTCAACCAAACGATGTGACGCCAACAGCACCACCACCACCTGCTCCTGCCAAAACAGAATGCAGTTGTGCCAAGAAACCGTTAACTGATCCAACGACGGCCACAAGTACATCACCATTACCAGACAAGACTGATAAAACAATCAAAACAGACAAGTATCACATTTATGTAGAACCAATCGGAAATGGTAAAGAAGCAATCATTATTCCGGCTGAAGTTATGCATGGTGATCGCCACAAAGATGTTGGTACAACAACAAGTCCAAGTGCTGCTCTGATTGCTGCAAAGAAACAAGCTATTCTTAATCAATCAAAAACCACTTATCCTGATGACGGTGATTGGGACACAGATCTCCCGCGTGATCATTATCGCCCGCACTTCACCCGTTTCAACGATCGTTCAAGTAACTACTTGTAAAGGTGTTTGCGATTTTCCACTTCACGGTGTGATCCTCTTATCTATTCTTTGGATGACTTTGGGCTGGTCCCATGTAGCATCGCCTCATCCACACTTGCTGTCACTTTCATATACTTAATGACATTCCTCATGATATAAGCAAGAGCAGAGTTTACAAAATTGTAGAACGATTTTTATCCACGGCAGCATTATAAATTAGCCAGATCGTGTCAAAATCAATTCTGTATTTTGACTTGTTGAGAGTGGTATTTCGTATGCTCCCAAGAATGTCTTTGTTCCTGAAGGTGCATTGTAGGTTGCAGACCCACCAGCCGGCATTTCCACACGCAAGTATGCATTTTGAGTAGATTGATCGTTTGAAGAACAAAGCTCTACCTTAATTTGACTGTTATCTTGTGAATCAAATGAAACGCTACAGATGAAACCTGCATCCAAAGTCAAATATGCACCATGAGAAGCGATGAACACTCTTTGACGTAACGTATCGGTTGGTTTTGCGGTAATTGAGGAACCTTGTTGTGTGACCTCAGCCCTAAAGCCACGCCAGCCGCCCAAAGATGCTTCATTGATCACATAAGCACCCGTACTGAACAAATGACCAAACATTCCCAAAGCTGAATCACCTGACCATGCATCCCACTGCATCGCATCTGGCCATAAATGGAAACCTGTTGAAGGGGCGCCAGATGGTTGAATACCAGTCAATGAACCTTCTAAGCCAGCATAAGCACATTGTAACAAGAATACGTCTTTTGGATTCCTTCTGAAAGCATCCAATAATGGAATCGCACTCAAGGCTGATTCATAATGATGTCCCATACGTTCAAATCTCGCCAAGCTTGCAGAGTACAAGAAATCCCAATAACGTCTATTGTCACCACCATAAGCCCAATGAGCGATTAAACCTTGAATCGCAGTAAGGGTTGCAATCGTATAATCAGCTTTTTCAAAATCTCCATAATGACGTAACCAGGTATACACTTCTTCTTGACCGGTAGAATCCCATGGAAATTCACTGCCAAAAGGATTATTCTCTGAACTCCAATTTTGTTCCCTTGCGTGCATCTTTTGGTCAACGGCATTTGCTTGTTCAGTCCATCCTTCACGTTGCAAATCCAACAAAACGGCTTCAAACATACTACCTTCCATCAAACCGAATCGGGTATAATAGCTTACATCAAATTCTGAAGTTTTGTTGAACATTGCCATGATGGTATTGTATGCGCCGTCAAGATAATACTCCCATGAACCGGTTGTCAGATCTTGATGATAACGAGCGGTACGGTACAAAGACCACCAAGCGATACAAACATGGGGATAGTCGTACGCACGATCGACTTTATGTGCTTCATCATGACCCCAAGTACCGGCGTGATTGACTGAAGAGGAATAATACGGTGCTGCATTGGCATCGTTTGCATCATAATAAAACAATGATTTCCGTACATTTGATGCGTTTGCTCCATCACGGTACTGTAATTGTCCATAAATCGTTCTATTCAAAAATTGTTCAAGTTTTGCTACTTCGTCTTTGACGGGATACGATTGTTGTTTCGTAAACACTCCCATGTACGCACTACCTCCTTCGTCACCTTGACCAGCAATCCATGCTGAATTTGCATCAAGAACGATTTCTTGTTTGATATGATCGTATGTCATCACTCCATATCGACCGAAATAATCATCTTCGCGGGTATAGTATGCGTCTGATGTCATCACACTACCATAACCGGACATTGTATCCGAAGGACTTTTAATGATGTAGGCCTGCACTGTTTCCACCAGGCCGTCAGCAAAAGTCAAGGTGATCCGAGCTCTTCCGAATGCATTCTCAGCTGGCTTTAAGGTCAAGGTTTGAACACCGTTATTCTTGCCTTTTTCTTGAACAGTTACAGCGTTGGCAGGAGAAATTTCTGAAACGGTGGCATCACTGCCATACTGTACGAGTAAGTCATTTGTATCTCCACCTTGACGGAGAACCATTGAGGGAACACCTGTAATAACGGGAACATTGTGAGATTGCAAACAAGATTGAATGCCTCTCGGTCCATCGTTCGACAAGAAGAAACGAAGGGCAAAAATACGACTAGTACCACTTTTTACCGTGATTGAAGTTGGATCGACCCAATCATCTCCACGTTGAACGCCATTATTCTTTGCGCTATTCTCGTCATCAGATGTAAATCCTGCCGTAGCAACCATCCATCGATAATGACCTTCGTTTGTGAAAGTGACGGCAGTGTTATCTGTATACAATGTAGGATTTCCACCATTTTGAGAACGAATATTCCTCCATTGTACTAAAGGTGTTCTGGTGGATTGGTCATTCATTGCTGCTACCAACAGCGATGGTGAGGCGCCGTTGACTCGATTTACTTGAACATATCCACCATCGGAGTGAATTGCAGGATCAGACACGACGCAACTACTGTACGTATCATCAATTGACAGGCCTGACCAATTATTGTAGTATGCCTGTGCAAAGCCGACTCCTCCCAACTCAACATCTTTTCCTCCGCTTGCTGTGACGTTGAAAGTCAAGACCAAGGTATCATCATTCAAGCCAGACCATGTTCTTTGAACGGTAAAAGGTAAAGTTGATTGATTAACATTTACGCCAAGTGCTAGAGAAGGTGTTAAATCAGCACTTGCAAACGTATTTGCAGGAGCAGGATTTATCGGAACGACTGCAGATCTATCCAAAGCTGAGCTAACGTCATTCCAAGTATTGTCTCCTGTTATCCTCCACCGCAAGTCAATGTCACCGATATGATAAAATCCTGGCGTTGCGCGATCGTTCAATAAAGGTGATGCTAAAAATTGAAAAGGTGAAGAAGTTTTGCTTTCCAAGCTTGTTAGAACTTGATTGGATGTGCTCAAATTGAATGTAAAAGCAGATCCAATAGTAAACGTTGACTGGCCTTTGTCTAGTATTGATCCACTACCTGCTGCAATGGCTTTATTGCTTGCCATTGCAGCCATGGCAATGATCGACCAAAGCCAACCGTTAGAGAACATCATACTGACTACAAAATTATGTTGAATAGGGGCGGTTCCGAAGAAGATATGAAATTACATGATTCATTTATATGCTCCTCTCATTATTAATCTTCCCCACCATGACAACATACGCTAAACAAACACATGGCTTGGCCAACTCTTAGCGTCGGAAATCTGCAGCAAAAGTCGTTTGCCTGTAAAAGGGCAAATCCCAAAAGGAAATCTCTTGATGAAACCCATGCGGTATCAACGGAATAACCTCTTAGTAACGGGATTACTACAGGCCCTCCGCCAAAGATGATTGTGCCTGAAAGTACAAAGATGCCAAGAGACTGCAAATTGTACCATTACGAACAACGGCGATCGAAAATGCTAATTGTGTTGAACCTGGTCCGGGTAAAGCATTTCCTAATGTGAACAAATCAATAAAAGTTGTTTCATCAAGCCATTTTTTTGATTCAACAAATCTTCTCTTTAGAATGATTACGTGTACGCCCGGTCCACCAAATGATGTAAGTCCCAACGTATAAAAAGCTTTTATCGTCTCCATAACTCGATGAATGAAGCTACGATGGGTGCTAGTGTTTTGATCGCTGCTCTCTGATGATGTTTCAATAGGCAAAACTGATGATCTAGATGAAATTGACCAATTTATGATTCTAGCTTCGTCTCCATTTTGCCACGATCGCCTTTCCACATCCGCTATGTCACCTGTAGAAGAGTGGATAGGATTGACAAAATGCCCAAATGGACAGATCCTATAGACGAACTGGCCATTTGAGTGACATGATGATGAGAGAGAGTGACAGAAGTTTAATTTTCTCCGCATCGATTTCGTCATTTTAGCGTGAAATGCAAAACGTCAAACCAGCATAAACAAGAGCATTGATAATACTAAAAATACACAATTAAAGCAGTAAAATACAAGAATGCATTGCATGTCCAAAATCTAATACGTGTATCTGAAATTTGTATTTTGTCTGTCGGTAAGATCATGATTGACTGTTTCTTCAAGCTTGGCTTCCTTTTCACCGTTGCTGTCATCTTGAACGACGGATTGACCATACATTCGATCTCTTCTACGGTTTTCATTGGCTAAATAAAGTGCTTGTATGATAGCAAGAGCCATTGTTGCACACATACAACCAATAACGATTTGGAATGTAGTCGGATAATGATCCTTCTTCTCTGTTGAAATCAAAATGTAACTTGAAGCGATATTCCCGCAATTGTATCCTAAAAAGATTGCAGCACTTGCGATTGCTTGTTTCGTACTTCCAGCAATATTGGCAGTACAACTGCCCATCATCATCACAAACGGAGCACCAAAGATCGGAATAAGATAATATCCTGCAAGTGGGATCGCTTTGTGATCCCAATTGCCACGCCAACACATCGCACATCCGATAATCACAGGCCAACAGCTCACGATCAACAAAGCAGTACGAGCATATGGCACACGATTAACCCATTTACGTGTAGCCAAAAAGGCAAACGTCCAGATTCCAATTGCCGTTGTTGCACCGCCCGGGGTCAATAAGATTGTCGCTCTTAATGAAGTGAAACCGATCGATTTGACCAACAAAGGTCCAAAAACGGTCACTGCACCATTACTGACATAAATCGATGTTGCCAACAAGAAGATGATGTATATTTGGGGGTCACGTAAACCTTCTTTGGCTTGTTGCCAATCCCATGAAGATCCTGCTCGTTCATTACCAGTCATATTGCGTCGCACTTTTGTATCAATAGCCTCGCGTTGTTCTTGACTGAATTTGTTGAAGCCTGGGATAGGTACCAAAGGCGAACGAAGAGGTGATGGCGGCAAAAAGATCAAGAGTAAAAAGCCGAATAAGATTGTGAATGCGCCTGGAACGAGAAACATGAGCTTCCAATCGGCCAAAGATGTGTTCGCTTTACCCAAAGCATTGTTGATCAAACCACTAACGATGCTAAACAGACCAACGGCTGACCACCAAATACCTAAACGTAAAGGTTGTTCTGCTTTGGTATACCACATTCTCGTGATTGCCACAAAGCCAGGCGATACTGAAGCTTCGATGAAACCTAGGAATATTCTTTGTGCGTATAGACCTCTCCAATCGCCAACAATGCACGTCAGCATCACGATCACACCCCATACGATCACCATGAAGCCCAAGAAGAAGTGTAATTTACCTTTCCATCTTTGTACAAGGATGCTCATTGGGATTGCTCCGGCTAAATATCCGTAATAGAAACATGCAGAAGCTTGACTATACCGATACGTCTTTCCATCAGGATCGATCAAATCCAAATCTGTCAAGATGCCAAACAATGTTGCCGATCCCAAGATTGCTTTATCGTAGTATTGCATGCCGAAAGCGATTGTCAAAAGAGGCATTAATAGGATATCGGTTCTGAATGCGATCCATCTTGATACCGAAGGCGATGACTCAACGATTGATGAGTGCGGCATTTGTTCTGATTTGCCGCCTTTCTCTATTGCACCTTCGTAATCGTTCTCGTTTGAATGAATTGATCCATTCTCATCACGATGAGATTGTACTACAGACATACTGTTGACAGTTTCTCAATATTCAGCTTGTGATGGTGGGGAAAGTGTATTGATCATTTTTCTTTATCTCAAATTTATCTAATAAAAATGGAATTTCTGTACCTGATTCGAATTTGAATTTCGATTTATACTTTTTTTTAATCAATTTGACGCGTGCAGCCAATCAATCAATCAATCGATAACATCTGCACACGCAGGCAGATTCTAGAACTTCTTTAATGTCATGCAGGCCCGAGTCTCAAAGTCACAAGCCACAAGGCGATCAAATTATCAAGTAAAAACGTGTTGAAGCCCGCGCAAGAGACCAGAAAGAGAGCGACATAGAATCAACCCTTGACCCTAAAAGTATGATTCCCCGATTCACATCAATGTCACGAGAAGATCTTTAGGAAATCTTTATCCGATGTATTTTACTCAATGGTCATCTTAAAGAAGGAATGATCATTCTTACACACTAAGGAAGAACCTTTACGCCCCGCACGAACCGATGACGGAATAATTAAAATGTTAATTTAACAAAGGGGAAGCAAACGTTCTCTTCAGCTTGCTGTCAGTGTCAGGCCATTCGATGTTCAATCCTCTTTCTTGCATGAGCACGGGCTGTTTCATTAATACACACACGTAAGCAAAGCCAAGTCAGTCGGCAAATGGCGGGAAATTGGCCGCGGCGCCTTTTGAGTGTCCTTGCTGCTGCTGCTCTATTGATCAAAGACCCACAAACAAGGCAACAAGTTTACTCTAATGTCCTTTTCAGTACGCAAAGTGTGATTATGCATTAAGTCAACGAGCGGGGATCGAAATTGATAATTAAATTGATCCAGGGCGTAGGGAGAGTCTAAGATGGATGCATTTCACCAGTGTTTACCCTTAAGTCCGGCAATTCACTTCTTGCAGTCCATACACTAGACCCTTTTCTGGTCCCCGTCCCATGGCTCGAGCACGCCGATCAATTGAATGAATGACCTTGGATCTTATATAACAAGATCATCTTAAAGGTAAAACGTTTCTTCCCTTCTTTTTTTATTTCAACTTGTCATTGACAGCATTGATTGAAAAGGTCACCATTGCAACTTTTATCATTTTATCATTTCATCAACTTGCCTCCACATCCTCCATCTTCTATTCATTCAACTGCTGAGCACAATCACTTGCTGGCAACTTAAGCCATCAACTAACCGCATTCAGAGACCAATAATAGTCAAATTGCTTTGATAGGATTCTTTGTCTCAAAATGGCACCTGCTGTCACCACAACGACGCCTGCAGCTGCTGCTGCAGTGTCAACGTCACCAATTCAATCCAAATCTGTCAACAACGGTAAAAAACAAGCATCTTTACCTTTGATCGACTTGTATTCCGGTTCAGATGCTTCTTTTGCAATCACTGATGAAGCATTGCGCAAGGATATCATTGCAGGTTTACGTGGAGTTGAGACTTACATCGTTCCTGGAAGTGTGACAAATAAGGAAGATCGTAAATTCGCTTTTCGTCGTACACTTCCAACAACCATTCTTTACAGTGAAAAAGGTTTATTGCTTTATGATAAATTGGTCGAAGCACCGGAATATTACCTTTGGAATGCAGAAAGTGATATTTTGAGTCGTTATGCCGATGAGATCGTTCATCGTGCTTTTGGTCTCAACGCTCCTTCTCCAAATAAAGAAGAACACAAAGAAGAAAAACAAGATCAATCCCATCAAAATGAAACTTTCCCACATCAAAATAACGGCAAAAGTGATGCGAAAGAAAAATGGGGTGACGATCGTGTAGGCATTCATAACGGAGGCGTGAATGGCGAAGAAGGCATGGACGGTGAACGAGCCGTAGGTGTTGCATCAATGGTCGAATTAGGAGCAGGTTCATTACGCAAAACTGTCCATCTGATCCGTGCTTTGCAGAATTTACCTCCTGCAGGCCGGACGGATGGACCAAATGTTGAATATTATGCATTAGATTTGGATAAAGCAGAATTACAAAGAACATTAGAAGAACTTCATCAACAAGAAGCAAAACAAATTGATGCAGAAAAATGGAGCGTTATGAACGGCAAAGTTGGCATCAATGGAATGTGGGCAACGTATGATCAAGGTTTGGATTTCATCGGTAAAGGAGGTTTAGGTCGTTATAAACAAGCCAATGATAATGAAGGCAAACGATGCCTCTTATGGCTCGGTTCGAGTATCGGAAACTTTGATCGAAGAGGTGCTGCAGAATTCCTTGAACGTGCTGCAAAGACCTCGTTGCGTTCAGGCGATACGATGTTGGTGTCAATCGATCGTCGTAATGAACCTGAAGCCGTAGCAAAGGCATATAATGATGCAGCAGGCTTGACCCGCGATTTCATCATCCAAGGTTTGCATCATGCCGACAAGATCTTGGGCGGCGGCGTTCTCGATCCTTCCAAATTTGAGTATTACGATCGTTATAATGCCGTTGAAGGTCGACATGAATCTTATTATCGTGCTTTGGAAACAGTCACGCTTCACATCCCCGGCGAAAATGAACCAATTGAAATCGAACAAGGCGAATTAATTCACACTGAAAGCTCATACAAGTATAACGAACGTGAAGCTTTGGATATCTTTGATTATGCTGGCTTGCGTATCATTAATCGTTGGTCTGATTCAAAAGACCGTTATGATATTTATCTTGTAGAAAGACCCGCCTTTCACTTTACAAGTACTCGCTTGATGACCGGATCTCGCAAGGATATCGATCAAGGCTTAAGTGCTGCCGAAGCGCATGGTATTCGCGGCAGTTGGGAGTTTGACTCTGATGCAGGTGCAGGTAGCAATGGAATCAAAGAACCTTTTGTACATGCAACTTGGGGTATGCCATCCCTCAAAGAATGGGATGATCTCTGGGCAGCTTGGGACACGGTTACATTAACAATGATTCCAGAATCAATGTTGCACGAAAAGCCGATCGATTTACGTCATATTTGCTTGTTCTATTTGGGACACATTCCTGCTTTCCTTGATATTCTCATCTCTCGCACTCTCCAAGAGCCTCATACAAATCAGCGTTTCTCTGATATCTTTGAACGTGGAATCGATCCACATATGGACGACGAAACACAATGCAATCCTCACAGTGTCGTTCCTACACAAAAAGAAGATTGGCCAGAATTGCAAGAATTGAACGAATACAAAGGCAAAGTGGCAGATCGAGTCAAGAATCTGTATGCAGACTTTGCTTCCGGTAAACGTCAATTGAACCGTCGTCTTGCTCGTCTTTTCTGGCTCACGTTAGAGCACAAAGCATTGCATTTGGAAACATTGTTGTACATGCTTCTTCAAAGCCCTAACACGCAACCACCAAAAGGATTCATTGCTCCTGATTGGGAATTACTCGCACGTCATTGGGATGAAGCAGATCTTCGTCAAGATGGCGAAAAGGCACGTGAACGTTTGCTCAACTTCAAGCCTGACACAGTTGTTTTGGGTCACGATGATGACGATACGTTGGATTTCGATTATGTTGCCAACCGTCCAAGTGATGATACAACAGATTTGAATGCGCAATTGGGTGATCCTGAATTTGGTTGGGATAACGAAAATCCACGCCGTGAAGTCAAGACGGGTGCGTTTAGTATCATGGCTGCACCGATCAACAACGAGCAATATCTTCGTTTCTTAAAAGAGACAAAGAGTGACGATTATCCAAGTTCATGGATTGTGGAAGGAGATGATACGGCTAAACTTCAAGTACGTACCTTTTACGGTCCTGTTGCTTTGCATGTTGCTCGTTTGTGGCCTTGTCAAGCATCTGGAACGCAATTGGAAAATTATGCGAAATGGAAAGGAGGTAGATTGCCTACTCAAGCTGAATTACGTCGGTTCCTTGACGCAAACGATGGTCCAAATGTGACCGACCGCCCAGGCAGTAATGTTGGTTTCCGTAACTGGCATCCGATCCCGCCACAATTACCGCGACCGGATCATGATGGAACACCGTTAGCCGGCCATAACGGAGGTGTTTGGGAATGGACAAGTTCAACGTTGGAAAAGTATGAAGGATATAAACAAAGTATTTTATATCCTGGTTATTCTTCTGATTTCTTTGACGGTAAACATTATGTTGTTTTAGGAGGTAGTTATGTTACCACGCCTTCTATTGCCGGTCGTCGTACGGTAAGCAATTGGTATCAGAAACCTTATCCTTTTGTATTTGCAGGTGGAAGAGTTGTTTATGATAACAAGACTACTGCCAAACGTGCTCGAACGCCTTCACCACATTTAGCACCTTTGAATTAGGTTATCTCTATTAGCTATCTATTTCTTAGTCTTTTATACTGTATATGTACTTTTCTGTCTATTCTTGCCTCTCCTCAGAACAAGAAAAAAAACCAATGAATCCTGTTTATAACCCCACTTCACGTTGACATATATTAATTTTAGATTGACGCATGATCAAGGTACTCGATAATGAATGCAAACGGAAATAGCGGTGTATGCATGAACGTCAATGCAAGCAAATGTTAACCTATTGCATGCTTGCTAGATGTTAACAAAGATTGAACTTTTGATTAATTTCCGCTTAAGAATGATCGTCGGACCGTAGAAAGCCGTTCCCACCCCCTTTTTATTCCTGGGCGGCGTTGTGCACTGCACCTTCTGACCCACACAATTAACAACAGCAAGCAGCATCTTCGCGTCTTTTGTTTGATTAAGCTTTTTTTTTAAGAAGAAAGAGAAGAAAAAGGTTTTCTCCTCTGTTTTAGCGTATTTTTTATTTTTTGAAATGCTGGGTTTCAAACAAAAGACGCCCATTAGAAAAAGAGCTCAAGTGCCTGATCATCTTATGCCCTACGCGCTGCGTGCGCACACTTTTGTGTGTTCCAATCAAAACGTAATCTACGCTAGTGTTGTTTGATTGAATTGCACGAGAGAGTTCCCCGTGCAACAAACAGCTTTTATACCGACACGAATTGCGTTGTTATCACACCTTACACGCTGGGCCGGTACCGTGTTTTACAGTTGTACTGTATTTTTTAGCGTATACAACAAAGACATGTGCATCTTGTCTGTGTAGTGAATTAAGTGTGTGTGCATACGTTCATATACTCAATCAAGCCAAACAAAAGCTAAAGAAAGAACAGCAAACACTCTCAAAACGCTCACTTTTCCGCACGAAAGAAAGAAAGGAAAAAGACTTTCTTATTCTTCATCATCATCATCCTTTCTTCATACCCATCAAACGGAGGAAAGGCATCCTTTTCACTTGATCAATACCGGATACCCACATTAATACAACAAAACGCCCTGCTGGAGAATTGTATATCATCAAATTATCTCAGGCGCAATTTCTCACTTCAACGCCAAGCACGCCTTTCTTTGGCTTCTTTCAATCGACGGTCGCCTTCTTATACCTCTTCCGTTTCCGATCGTGCCCGTTTCTGTTATATACCCGACTTACAAGCCTAATTAGAAGCAGGATCAATTCTCATTATTTGATCGATCAGAAAAGTCTTTTGATTCCTCTTGGTTCTCGAATAATTCTTCATACTATCTCGTACATGAATGCATTCCGGCAAGGAACAGCTTTATCAAAACAAATCACAAGAGCCTCAAAATCGAGCCCAACAACAAGCTTTTTTGAGACAAAATGGATTTCACATTGGAAACCCCAAGCTATATATCCTCGAGATCGGCCAATTCCCTAATCTCCTTCTCTAGACCCACACGTATCCAAGCAATCACATTGGACAATCTCAACAAGATTCTTGATGAACTACTCTTGCTCATTCTCACATCAGCAAAAAGTTTGGCCACCGATCGAATCAAAAGCGATGGTATCCTAAAAGTACTTGGAGGTCAAAGCGGCAGTGGAAGTGGGGCTGGCGCTTTGTTAGCAAAAAATGCAGTTTTAGAAGCTGAATTGGAATTGCGCAGCTACCTTGAAGGTCAAAGAAAAGAAGGTGGAAAGATGCCTTTAGGCTTAAGCGCAACGAGCAGATGGGATGGAACGGAAGGTTTTCCCGTTCAAAGTGCTTATAAAACCCTTCGAATCCGTTGTCAATATTATTCAACTTTGGGTGAATTAGAAGACCCTTCGCCCAATACACAACAAGAGCAGAACATCATGTCGACAGATGGCAGACCGATTGCGACAATCACGCCTGGTGTAGCAATCTATGTGACTGCTTTGTTGGAATTTGTTGCAGAGTATATCCTACAAAATGTTGCTCGTGTTATTGAGAGGGACAACAGTGATGAAGCCGCATTGGGAGACTTGATCAAAGCAATGGAAGAAGACGAAGGAACTTCTTATTGGTGGAATAAGACTGAGTCCAAAAAGCATATTCAATCCCTTGATAAGGAGAACAAGCATAAAGGTGGCAAAGTGCAAAAGCCATGGCAAGTGCCCGATGCAAACGAGTACGATCAAGCTGCAGGAAGGAAAAAGTATAATCGTCAAAGCTTAACTGCTCTGCCTTCTGCCACTTCTTCGAATGCTATCAATAATGCAGGTACTGCCTCTTCACCTCTGCATGATCGTACCTTCTCTTCTGGACAATTGCATGAATTGCGTAATGGTACGGGAAGCATTGGTGGGGCAGCCAGCCCTACATTCTCCCATCAAACGCATACAACTGGAATGACGTCTATTCCAAGCGGAAGCACAGAAGGAGCCACATTGAAAAGAAGACCTAGTACAGATAAAGGAGGATGGTTCGGCAGAAGAAGGGGAAGCTTCCGATCCAGTCAAGATCTCGGTTTCAATGGATTTGGACCTAATGGTGAGAAAATCATTCCTAGCTCAGGTTTGACTTCTCGCGATACAGACAATAGTTTGTCTACAGCCGACTCGGGTGTCGTCAGTGGTGAAGGCGGTGATTTTGACTCTCTGGTCATGTCCGGTCAAACGATGAAAGTTTCTTTGACACCCAACAGATTACGTTCAATGGATGCGAGTGCCGATGATGACCAAGATGCTGAAAAAGCCAACCGAACCGCTCGTAAGCGTCCGGGTACAGGAACTTTGTTAAGAGCAGAAACACCTTCTTCTTTGGCCTCACGTGTCGCTTCACCAACAAATATGAATGCAGATGGCCAAACTGACGAAAAAGGTGATTTACCGCCCCGTCCAAATTCAAAAGCAGCCACGACCACGACCCGAGGACAAAACAAAGGTGCTCCTCCTTCGGCCTATAGGGGACCTGATAGCGATGTCCAAAATAATTCTGAAAATACAGAAACCGAAACCTCTTCCAACGGCGTCCACCGTTCCAAAGGTCTCGGTGCAAAATCAGAAATTTCTGCCCCACCATCTCCAATGACGGATTCTTCGTACGTACATGGAAATCCTACGGGTCGTGAATCACGCATGAGTTTGGCCAGTCAGGCCTCAACAGATACCAACAAGCGATTGACATTGAGCGGAGCAGGAGGAAAAGTGTTGAGCTTGTTTGGAAGAAGATCAAATACAGGCTCAAATCCAGCCTCTCCTGCTGCATCAACCAATGTTTCCGTTGATCCTGCTTTGACGAGATCGTATTCTTCCTCCACTTATCGATCGGCAAGAGCACTTGCAGCAGCTCGTAAGAATGGTGAAGAGAATCATACGGATTCTCGTTCTGCCACTCCTTCCGGTACAGTTGATAGAAGAGATGCAAATTCAACACCGTCCGGTACAGTAAGCGGTGACAAAGAATCATCTAATCATGGCAGCAAATCTCAATCTCCTGATCTGCAACGTACAAATGGAAATGGGATGGTTGCAAGTGGTTCGAACAAGACTAGCGAAAGCATTCGAGAGGATCGTAGAGAGTCAGTGCCTAGATTTGATGAACGGGCTACTTCTGAAGAGGACAGTTCACATGCTAATCACGCAACCAATTCACAATCGGCTGGCCTTGTTGGCATATATCAAGAACCGAGAGCCAATGCAAGCGCATCTACGCTCTCTTCTGTACATAATCGTGATGCAACGGGATCTCAAGCCTCACGTAAAGTTATTCCTTGGTCGTACAACAGAAGACGTAGCAGTGGTCCTTTGATCAATGCAGTCAATCGTGTCGGAAGCGGAGGTTCTAGTGGACATGGTCATAGTGACCTTGGTGCTACCAGTGGTCCACCTCCTTCTGCATGGTCACAGAATAACTTTGAAACCGGCGGAAGTGTAGGAAGTAGCGGTCATGGAGTTACTGCAAATGCTGGCAATACGCCCACAATTGGTGTATCTCCTACTTTCGGTCGCACTTCCCCTTCTCCTAGACCGTTTAGTATGACTTCCAAGACTGATACGGCAAGATTGTTGGTCCAACTAAATCAACGTATGCGGGAATGCAATAGTGTAGAAGAATGTCAACGTTTGATCACCCAAGCTCTTGCAGTGACTGCTGCTGCTGTGCATAGCGAGCATGATTCTCCTACTGCATCAAATGTACAAACTTCAACTTCTGATTCTGTGCCAGCGTCCACGTTGAAAGAGCAAAGTGCTACGGCTAACGAAACGGATCCCGAGCGCACATTAGTGAACAACGTTCCACTTTATAAGCCAGTCAATTATCGCAACCTCGCATTACCAATGGCGGTCGGATATGATTCAAGAGAAGATGACAATCTGCCGTCGTTCAGAAAGCAAAGCTTGGTTGCTGCTTGGCTATTGGATAATGACGGAGATCAACCTCAATTTCACGAATTATCCGCACACGAGGAAAAAGAAGTTGAACCTATACGTAGGACGCCTTCAATGACAGTAATCCGAAAAGGCAGCCGGAGAAGCAGCTTTGCATCACCCGGAATAGGCTATCATAAGCGAGCAACTTCTCGACAAAATTCCGTTTCATCTGCAGGACACGAATCGGAATTTGCATCAGCTGATGAAAGGCCGCGACACTCAATGTTTTCGGCAAACAGTCATGCAACTGAATCGCATCAGGATACTTCTACTGATCTGATGCCATCATCTGGACAAGGGGTACTATTAGCAGCGGCGGCAAATGGAAAGAGAAAGCCAGTTCCCGCGATCCCGATATCGAATGGAAAAAGTGGTCAGGCAAGTACGATATCAGTGCCTAATTCAGGCATGTACGAAATACCTTCTGCAGCCGACTCTGGCACTGCTTCCGGATACATTGATGACGAAGAGGCAAATAGGGTTAGCCTTGTTAGCAGTACGCATTCCACTTATCGTGATGCAGAAGAAGGAAGTGAAACTGTGATGTGATGAAAAGTCAGAAAGCATATGTATCTTGTACCTGCTTGTTATGCTTTTCTTCCTTGAATGCACAATACGATCTAGTTCTCTTTATGTTCATACTGCTGTCACACAGCGGTTCCTAGAATTATGATTAGTGTTGCAGATCGATTTTTCGGCAAGAAGGGATGAGATTTGAGTTTTCTGATAATCAAATAAAGATTCTGAGAATAAAAAGAAGCGGTGCCTGAAACAAAATCAAGCCAAGATCGTCATTGTATTCTCTCTGGGCGTGAATGTGTAACGGTTCCGTGAGTTTAAGCAAGGAACCATTATTGGCAGATTGACGGGCTTTCATTGATTCTTAAACGATCTTCGCTGTGGTGTACATTGCTAGCGCCGGTTTTTGAAACAACGGTAAAGAAACGTATGACCTTGACATAACCTTGAAATGATGAAAGACGGAGTTTTGAGAAATCATTTTGCGGTATATAAATCATTCTTCATTCAAGTTTGCAAAGCGTTGATTTCTTCCTTCTCCACCTCTGTGAACATTCTTTTTCGAGATGCAACCCTATAGCTCTCATGATGGTATGTACCATCAATATCCAGTCTCTCCTTTTCTGGTACCGGTAGGATTAGCAACGGGATCGCTGCGATATTCAACTTTAAGCGCTGCCTATGCTGGATCATTAGTGATTCCGTTGATCATGTTATTGATGTTCTGTCCGACAACGTTTAAAAGATCTCCAATCTTTCCAATTTTAATCATCAATCTTTGCTTAGGAATCGCTTTGGCTGTTTGTTCATTCATCGAAGCTATGAATAGCTTGAGAAATCCTCTCGAACCGATGAGTGAGTCTCTAGCTCTCACGATCACTGGATTGTGCTTGTAAGTGATAATTGCAACACTCAAACAAAGAATTGACATTGACGATGACATTGCTCTGATAGGGTAATACCAATCTTTACAGATACAGTCTTGGTATTCAAACTGCTAAGACTTTTTCCTGCTTTTCAATATACATTATTCCAACGAATGCTTCTCGTCGCTATTCCATCACTGCTCACCATTCCTCGAGTGGTCGTCATGGCTTTGTTCTTAAAAGTACACCAGCAAGCGATGTCAAGTAATCCTTCAATCCTTGACGCTATTAGACTTTTGATGAAATCACGCTTACCATTGATCGAATTCTCGTTACAATTAGCAAGTAACTCTTATTGTTCGTTGATTTTACTAATCAAGGCGTATACGCTATTATATGGAAATGAACGTACAGAAACGGAAACGTATCGAAGCGAAGTGATGATGAATCGGCTAAAATCAATGTTGAAAATCATGGCAGGATCATTTTTAATTCCAGTCTTTATTCAAATTTCTTTAGTTTGTACTTTTGCAAGATCAAAAGACTTAAACGTTCGAGAGCCTATTCAATGGACAAATGCTTATGTTTCCTTACATTGCGCAGTCTTGGCAACCGTTTGGTCTTCAATAGGCGATGTCACAGGAGTGAACGAAGAGCAAGCTGCAAAAAAAGCTAAAAAGCAATCTTCAAGTTTATTCGTTCCAGTAGATCACGATGAAGTAGGAGAAATGCCAAATTTACTTAGACAACAACAATTGAAAATCAATACTCAATCAGGAAGTTGTCCGACAAATCCTGCTGCAAAAACCGGACGTGAAATCATTCCGAAGCGTTCAGCAAGTACGATCAACGAAGGTGATAGTGTTGAAATTATGCCAAGCCCTTATCTTTTGACTATGCAAAGTTTGTCGCCTTCTTCCCGTTCTACGGAAATGTCAATACAAAGACCGGTTTATCATTCTAGCCTTCGATCGTATAATGATTCCGTGCGTGAGGTGTATACATCATCGCGCCATCCATCACCGTGGAACGAGAACGGACGTTGGAAGGATCAAATTGATCGGCCCTTATACTCGGCTGACAACAAGAAAGGATCAGAAGTAGAATATTAGTGTAAGCAGGCCTGACACTAAGTGTAGTTTGGCAAATTTTAATTACGAAAAATGAATTCATTACGGCCCCGTCTTTCTTACACAATTTTTTTTCATCTTCCTGATCAGGGGCAATTCAGCAGTTTTAATTTATCATTATTCCGATCATTAGCTCCGGCTTTCTCATTGTTGCAAACTTGTTTCCTAAGAATGTTAGGTAAAGAGGGACATGACAAGTGCACTACAAACACACCCCATTCGATCTTATTGACGTTCTTTCTGCGATCTCAGAACTAACACACACAAATATGAAGGCGTCAAAATAGAATTCCTTAAGAACTAAGAAAGCATCTTACACTTTACTCCAACTTCACACCATGCATTCACCCTCTTTTAGATCAAGATGGCCTCTTCCAACATTAGCAACACGGTGTATGAACAATATCACCTTACTCATCTCCTCGTCCCATCCCGAATAGCCAAAGAGGCTGTGAAGTATGCAACCATCAGCGCTGCCTATGCTGGATCGTTGGTCATTCCATTAGGTTTGATAATTCTATTTTGTCCGAAAGTACTCAGAAGGTCACCAATTTTTCCCATCTTGATCATCAATCTAATTTTGGGAATCGTTTTGGCTTTTTTGGCAGTTATTGATAGCATGCGATATGTTTCAAAACCAATTGATCTTGAAATGGAAACAAGCTCACTGACAATCGCAGTCACTTCGTTAAATTTGTAAGTATAGGAAACAGGATCATATTCCTAATAGCGATGCTTATCTTTCTTAAATATAGTCTCATCCCTATACTCACAGATACAGTATTAATTTTCAAGCTTCTAAGGCTCTTTCCTGCTTTTCAATACACACCGTTGCAACGGGTAGCAATCGTAGCTATTCCAAGTCTCTTAACGATTCCTCGAATAATCGTAATGGCACTTTTAGCAAACGGAAAGGTAAAAATATTTGCAAGAGATAGAACATTTTTGACAACGTTGGATTTTTTGATGAACTCACATTTACCTTTGATTGAATTTTCGATGCAATTAGCAAGTAATTTATATTGTTCGGTTATCTTGCTAATCAAAGCATATACGCTCTTACATGGAAAAGTGGATGAAGATGTGGAAATCTATCGAAGTGAAGTGATGGTACAAAGATTACGAATCATGCTCAGAGCAACTTTGAGTTCGTTCTTGATACCCGTTTGCATTCAGCTTGCTTTGGTTATCGTGTTTACGGTATCAAATGACTTGGACATACGTGAACCTCTTCAATGGACAAACACTTATGTGTCTCTACATTGTGCTGTATTGGCCACAGTATGGTCTTCGATAGGTGACGCTACAGGAACTACAGAAGAGCAAGAAAGGATGCAAGACCGTAGGAAAAGCTCGACTGCATTTATACAACTTGAACGTGATGGAGTAGTGGGAGAAGGTTTGCCAGGCTTACATCATCAACGATCCGAATTATCTGCCATTCAACCAAAATCAGCAAATCCTTCAATCAGGCCTGGCACAAAACGTTCAGTCAGCCCATTCTGTGAAGGTGATAGCGTTGAAGTGACACCAAATTCTTATCAATTATCAAAATTACATTTAGCAACCCCTTCTAGTTATCTGGAAACGCCAGTACATAAACCAGACTATCACGCCAACGACCTAGCAGGCTATGACGCAGTACGAGAGATGAATACAACTCGTCGAATTCAACGACAACAAGATTATGATCATAGTGTGTGACATATACATTGAAAGGAAAGGATTGCAAAAAGGAAGATGACGAAGAAGCGAGCCGAGGAATTACACAACAATGCTGTACCGTAAGCTTATGTGCTTGGAAAGATGCTGAGTTCTCGATCTAGCTGCTCCAAGACAGGCTAGCATTAGCTCGAGTGAGCTTTTATTCTGATTATCATCACTAGTCTATTGTATTCTCTCCTATACCCCATCTTTCAACAACAATTGTTGCTTTGTAGCCAGCTTTCACGCGAGACTGAGCATTGATTTGACCACATGATAACCAAACAAACGTGGAGAATGATGATTTCCCCGCATTTTAGCTGGGAAAGTAGGCGTTGATTAGGCAGTGTGAAAAAAGCCACTTTTATCGAATCAACTTTTCACATCATCATTTTCATAATTGAACATTTGTCAATTCCATTAAGTGGAGTAAATATTCGATCGTCATAATAATCCGGCATGCCATGCAGGAGCTTTGATCTATTTTCGTCTGAAGTACCTCGCCTAAAACTTAATCAACCTTACAGCATAGAGTTTTTCCTGTCAAGCTACTGTTGAACATTTTAGCGCTGCCAGGGGGTTGACATGTTGTTGAAAGGTATGGTGAAGGAGCTGAGCAAAGAAAAAGGTGTATACGCACGTAACTGTGAATGCACGCTAATCTGCTGCATCCAGGTAACTTTACGGAAAATAAATGCGGAGGCAGTTTAGTGGTCAACGCCATACACGTTTTCACATTTGGATCGAACGAATACATGCACCTTTCTTGATCATATTTTGTATATAAACACCTTGTCTCCTCTTCATGACATCCCTTTAACTTCCACATCTCGTCAAAATGGTGTCAGCACAAAGATCTGACGCGCAATCCTTCTTGAGCTCAAGTATATCCTCCATCCTATACATTTGGAAACAGCATTGGCCATTAATCGTTGGGATCCCATTGGTATTCTTTTCTTATTTGGTGTACAAGTATGTTTTGCGTGTTCGTTATTTCAGCAAAATCCGTCATTATCCTGGCCCACCCCATGGTCATTGGCTTTTCGGTCAAGCTCCTGCAGTGATCGCATCTGAACCGGGTATGGCACAATTGGCATGGCACAAGAAGTACGGCAAAGTGTTCAGATTAGCAGGTGTCTTGCCTGGACAAGAAACTATGAGCTTTAATTCGTACACCGCTCTCAAGACAATCTTGGTTGATAAGCCATACGAATGTGAGTTCGAATGTGAGGTATTTGCTTCTGTAAGGGTACTGACATACTCTTTCTTCTGTTACAGTCCCCAAGCCTCCCTTCGTTCGTGATCTTCTCGGTATTGCTGCAGGCTACGGTCTCCTGACGCTGGAAGGACCAGACCATCAAGCTTTGCGTAGATTTATGAACCAAGCATTCTCATTCAGGTACTTGCATGAACAATTTGAACAATACTACAAACCGATTAACTCTTTGGTCGAAATTTTAGAAACAAAGACAAAAGATGAAAAAGGACAACCTGTAAAAGAAGGTGTAGAGATGGAAGTGACAAAATTGATCGATTCAACATTGATGGACATCATTTGCTTAACCGCTTTTGGTTATGAATGTGATAGTTTACATAACCCTAAACAACCACTCGCACATTCTTATCACAAATTGGTCAATTTGCAAGATGGTAAAAATATGTTGGCCATCTTTCTTGTGCTCATGCTTCCATTTGGACCGCAATTGTTGCGTTGGGCAGTCAAACGACAATGGTTGGGTACTTTGATGAGCACTTTGGACAAACGATACGGTAGTGGAGGTAAGCATGATTTGGACAATATGGAAGAACCACCAAAGTTTTATACTACAACATCAATCTTTATCGACAGTTTGAACAACGTAAATCGCATCTCTGCCGAATTGTTGGAGACCAAATTGGCCGAGGCTCGTCAATTGAAGCAGGCATCGGGTGGTGAATTCGCAATGAACGTCTCTGGAGGAAAGGTGGATGTTTTGAGTTTGTTGGTTCGAGCAAGCTTGGACGATTCAAGCAATTACAAGATGAACTCTGATATGTTACAAGCACAAATGTTGACATTCTTGGGCGCAGGTCATGAGACGACAGCTTCGGGAGCAGCTTGGGCAATGTGGGAATTAGCATGCAACAAAGATATCCAACAAAAGTTACGCAAAGAATGTCAAGAATTAATCTTGCGTAATCATAATCCAGGTTGGCAAGAATTGAACGAGCTCAAATACCTCAACGCAGTCGTACAAGAAACGATGCGTGTTAGACCACCAACACCTCAAACTGCTCGTATAGCATCAAAGGATTGCACAGTGGACGGAACATTTGTTCCAAAAGGAACTCAATTGATGATCCCTATCCGAGCCGTCAATTTTGATGAGTCCATCTGGGGCGAAGATGCAAGACAATTTAAGCCAGAAAGATGGTTTGATCTTTCTGATAAATATAGTTCGGTATTTTCTGTTTTGACATTTATTGCCGGCTCGCATCATTGTATCGGAAGGAATATGGCCATTCAAGAACTCAAAGCTATTCTTTGTGCACTCATCTCTCGATTCGAATTTGAACCGGCTCAAAGTGAACCACGTGAAAAGAGTGCAATCACAATGAAACCTGATGGTGGTTTACGATTGAGGGTGAAATTGTTAGACATGAAAGATTGAATCGTTTTTCCCTTGCTAATATTATGCTTCATGACTGAGGAATTTTATGTATCTTACCAACTCTTCTTTTCATTGCCTTCTTAATACCATTGGATTGAATTTGAAGTTCTGGTATGATGTGGTGTGGTATGAAATCAATATACGCGAAGAACATCAAAGGCGTTCGACGCGTTCCCAGGGCTGAAGAAGTGCAATCTCGGGTTGAATGCAAACAAGAAGTGCATTTATTTAACGCGAAGAAAGGATTACTTAAACAACTCGTGTAATTTCCAACAACACTTCTTCACAACAAACCGACATACATCATCAATCCCGGACGAACATCAAACCTGCTAATGATGGGACGACTATGATTCGAATAATCTCATCGATCCAGTCATCTTTGTTAAATACATGTATGGTCTCGCTGTCCGGAGAATTTTACTTTTAGGCGGGACGTGAGCAAGCCGTCATGATCGACACAGAATGGCAGGAGCTCTTGCCTTCGGTGGCCAAGACGCCACAAGAAGAAGATCTTTGTGCTCGTACGATCGAACTCGTCAAAGATATGAAATCAAGTGCAGCTCTCAAAAGCTTCATACCGCTAGCATTACGATACATTTTACAAAGTGCTGCAGTTGTCGATGATGTTAACATTCCGACAGAATCCGCTCGATTGAAATCACATCAATTTTGTTCGTCATGCGAAACGAATCGGACGGAAGAGCCTGGCAAGACTGAAGAAGGACGTTTTCGTTTTCAAATCGCAAAGCTCATGATCTATCAAATGGCTGCTCGCACTAAAAGATGGACTCCGATCTGGAGGAGTGCGCTGGGAATATGTTTGCATGAATGCAAGGAATGCTACAAAGGATATTTGAGAGCCAAAAGGCACTTATCCAAACTGTTTCCGGCAACACATGAGGCCGCTCAGCTTACCGTCTTTCGAGATTTTGTTCAAGCAAAGGAACAGGACATAGCACTCGAAGCTCTGCAGAAATGCGATGATCAGAATCCCATCTCAACAACTCAAACGTACGTCTTTCTTGAAATTATCGGGACACTTGCTGGCAAAGGAAAGCTGGGGGATCTTTACACTGAGATGAAGAAGAGCAGAACAACATTGCCGATCGATTCTCTTGATGAGATGCCAAGCGGTCTCATAGCATTTGCGATGGACGATGACGAAAGCGTACGGACATGGGCCGAACAACAAACCAATGTACCCGTAATGTCGACAGAGATGGCAACAGAAGAATCAACTGTTGGTCTTTTGATGAGAATTGCAATGGAGAAAGGTCGGTTCAATGCATTGGCCTATTCCATGCAAATGGCACCCAGTGCGTTCACCGGCTCAGCATTACCCAATACTCTGCTGGGTCATTTATCCGATTCAGTAACACAGACTACGGCGATCTTGCAGTGTTTCGAAAGGCTGTTGCAGCTGAAGGGGAGCAATCTATGGGAGCAAGAAGATCAAGAGTATCCTCTTGTCGTTCTTTCCACCATTTTAGACAGTCCTCATTTCAACAAATGTATTGCTGATGAATCGTCTTCGGTGGACCTATTTGCATGGATGTCACCTTTCATTGCAAGTCTGATACCGGTAAAAGCAGGAATAGATTCCAACTCCACTTCTGGTGTTTCACTAAAGACATTCGAGGATGGATTGAAACGTACTGCCCACTTTCTGTTCGAACGTGTTCAACAAGGTCATGTTCCGACGTCAAATCGAATTGCAGCTTCATCGCAGTGCGTAGCTGTTATGCTACAAAGCATACCCACAAATACATCGGAGGAATCCAAAGACTTTTCTGCACAATTACAGCAGAGATCAATCATCGCCATTTTGAACGAGGTGGCCAGCCTACATTCAAGTTCAATTGCACACTTTGCTTTTCGATCAAAGATACCGAACTCAAATGATGTCATAGAAATTGAAGCCGAGGCTTACCTTTTGGCTCAACAACTTGTCGAGGCAATCTTTTATCTGAATTGTGAAAGTATCGCTGGTGATATTCTTACCATTTCCGAGAGAGCGATCAAGCATCAACGATCATACGCAAAACAAAAGCAATCGCACAAAAAGATCTTGGCACAAGCCCAAAGCAAGGGTGGCAACGAAAAAGAGGCAAGCGCAGAATATGAAAAGGCTTTCGAAGCGATTTTCAGTAAAGCAACGACGGAACTACAAATTGGTGGAACGGTATGCATGGAACTTTGGAAGGAATGCTATCTTGTCTGCAAACCTGCTCGTGACTTGGACATCTTTATTCGTCCTTTAGCAGCTTTGGCTCCTTTTGTTGATCTGCAAGTTACCACTTTCACAATCCAGATCAAAGATGATCACAGAGAAAATAAGCTGTACTTGCAATACCGCGAAAAGCTCAAGACGATCGTCTCCACTGTCAATAGAAGGCTCAGAGCAATGCGAAACGCTTTGCCGGGATTCCTTTTAGACTCAGCTGATGAGTCGATCAATAGGAAAACGGTTTCGGGGATCGATTTGCCTACCTTGTGCTATAAATCTGCGGATAGCATCCTTTCGACCGTTTTGAGTGCAGAAGAAGATATCCACAAGGCAGCTCAAAATGTCATTAGATCGGCTTTCGAAGATGCTGATACGAGGGTTGACTGCTTTAGGAGCTTATTCCAGTGCAACGTCGCTTTAGCCTTAAAAGGTGTTAATGAATTCCTGGAAAGCTTTGTTGACGCTGCTTCCTCATTGGTTGAAGCAAATAATGCTGCAAAATGGATGATACGATCGTTTTCGGATATTTGGGATGTGTTGTGCTCACCCACTGACGGCCTACTGAGGTCAGGAACACCGTATTCTCTTGTGGATCGCCCTAGCGAAGCAGGTCGTGTTCGTGCAAGATTGCCAGTAATTTGGACATTAATGTGCAAAAGTATTGCAGTAATTTTCAAGCGAACTCCAAGCTGGTCACGTATTTTGCCTCATTCAGAATTGATCGCCTGGTTTAGAGATGTTACTTTGTTCGCTGCAGAAGCGGTCGAAGGTGTCTCGCTAATACAAAATGCTGCGACAATCGGAATTGAGGATGAAGAAGAGCGTGCAAGAATCAATACGACGATTGTGGAAGATTTGGCATTACCACTAGAAGAAGCTGCTTCATGGCTTCGAATGAACAATCTAGAGATCGTACAAGAGACTCGAGATTATTTCGTCGCAGGTTTGAAATGCTTCCAGGGTGGAGTATCTTTTCCTCAAGCCGCCAAAGAAAGACTTTTGGCCTTCATTGATGGTCAAAGCAAGGTTGAAAAGGTTGAGGCAAGAACTACATTACTTTCTTTGGCCGAGTTGGAAGACTTGCATGTGCTTCTAGTTGGAAGAGAGGGTAGTGCCGTCGGAGATCTCGTATCGACAAAGAAAAAGAACGTGAATTTGCTCTTATCATCAGACAGCGAGAAATCAGAAACAAGAGCAACACAAGATGTACCAGATTCTGAGCCTGTGCTTGTTTCTGTCAAGAAAGCGCAAAGAGATGACACTCCCGAAAAAAGACTGGTCAATGGGTCACGGCCGTCTACTTCATCTACAGGTAATCTCAAACAGCAAAGATTGCCCTTCCAGAGCATTGATAGTGCCACTGCACGAAAACAGCCATTCTCAACTCCTCCAGTTCCAGCACCTCCGCCTCCTCGTTTTGCTGCAGCTGCTTCGGGTTCTGCGAATCGTTATCAAGGTGCTTCTGCAAAACCTGTAGCAAGTGCTGCAAAGCAGAATGGTAGTAGTGCTTCCAGCACATCTAGTACTGCGTCACGTCCCAGTGGAAAGATGGCTCAACTCAGACAAGACTTCAAGGCCAATCACACGATCTATAAGCCAATCAACGTAACTTCAAGATACAATCGTTTCACTACCCGTGAATTACCAGAAGCACGTGCTCCAGAGGCAAAACGTTCGTTTAACGATAGCGCTTTCCCTCCATCAATTTTGGGTACTTCAACGGAGAATAAACAAAAGAAATCCGATACAAGCAGCGGTGAATCAGATAGTAGCGATGACGATGATGGAAAATTAGGTTTGGCAGATTTGACTGACGGCAAGAAAGCTAGTCCAGCCAAGATGCGATCCAAAATACGTTCGATTGAAGCCCCTCAAAGACGAGCTGTCATCTTGGAAGATGATGCTATACAAAGAGCCAGACGCGAGCGTGAAGAGGCTGATAGGAAACGCAGATTGCGTGAATTGCCAAATTTCAATCCATTGCATCAAACGATTCTAAGCTGGCCATATGATGCTGAAGGCAATCTCCCTCCTTCCGGCTTTGCTAGTAAAGGCTCTGCTACGTCCAAAGGTGGTTTCCAACCTACTCAACTGAAACCTACCTATCGCAACGCCGAGGCATACGTAGAAAGTTTTCTGCCAATGCTCTTGTTAGAGTGCTGGGCACAAATGCAAGCAGCACGAGAGCAAGTGCAAAAGAAAGCAGTAGAACATACTCCTATCCTTGCCACGGTCACAGGTCGATCAACAATTGATGCTTTTGATTCTCTGGCTATCACGTCCCATCCCGCTCGTGGAGCACAACAGGTCTTTCTCCAAGAAACTGATGTGATCTACATTCGCGAAAGGGCAAATGGAGGTAAGCAACGTACCGTGATGGCAAAAATTGATGCCTTCAAAATGCATCCACAAGGTCCTCGATTGACTGTACGAACCTGTTTGACCAAAGATGAACAAGGTATGTCTTCAATCTTGGTAGGTGGAGCGCAAATTGAAATAGGCAAACTGTTCAGCTTGACTACTTTGCACCGAGAATTCATTGCGCTACAATCTGTGCGTTATTATGATATGCTTCAGAGCATCTTGACGGCACGATCAGCCACCAAAGAATTTATTCGTAACGAAGAAATTGAAGCAGCACAGCGTAATTATTCTGTCAACAAACCGCAAGCGGAAGCAATCTTAAGCGCAATCAGTAGCCCACAAGGGTTTCAACTAATTCAAGGTCCTCCTGGAACGGGAAAGACTAAGACAATTTGCTCGCTTGTTGGTCACTTCTTACAAACCCGTAAAGCCCCATCTGTGCCCATTCGCGCTGGTCAACAAACGAATGGTTCAGCTGTTTCTGTCAAAAAGAAGATTTTCCTGTGTGCTCCAAGTAATGCTGCAGTGGATGAAGTGGCACGACGAGTTCATATGGGCATCACTACGGCTGATGGAAAGACGATCAAGCCAAATGTTGTACGTGTAGGTCGTGAAGAGGCAATGAACATCGCTGTGAAAAGCATCTCTTTGGAAAGCATTGTGGAAAAGCGGTTGAGCGCATCAAAAGACTCTTCTTCTCAAAAGGATCCAAATTCCATGGATCCTGCGCAATTGCAAGCAGAACTTCGAGCGTTGAAAGATCGACTAGACAACAAGCGTGGCGAAATTGAAAATGCTCGTCTGACGGGAGTATCCGATAAAGTGATCGAGCAAATGGAATCGGAAAAGATGGTAATGATTTCGAAACGTTTGAATTTGACGAGTAAGCTGGACGAAGCAAAAGATGCTGTTCAAACCGTCAATCGACAACAAGATGCAGATCGGAGAAGAATTCAGCAGGATATACTGATGCAAGCAGACGTGGTATGTTCCACTCTTGGTGGAGCAGGACACCCGTTGCTGAGCTCTCTGCCTTTCGATTTCGATACCGTGATTATTGACGAGGCAGCTCAAGCTGTTGAACTTGACACTTTAATTCCATTACGATATGGATGTCGTAAATGCATTCTGGTCGGAGATCCCAATCAATTACCGCCTACAGTCATTTCACGAGAAGCAGAGAGATTACGATATTCTCAATCTCTCTTTGTTCGGCTATTCAACAACCCCAACAATCACTCAAACTTGCTCAGTATTCAGTATCGTATGCATCCGTACATCAGTCAATTTCCAAGTGAAGCCTTTTATGATGGAAAACTTGAAGATGGTCCAGAAATGGCGAAATTGACAGTGAAGCCTTGGCACAAAGATCATTGGTTGAGACCATTACGCTTTTTCGATTGCAAAAGGAGTGCAGAGGCTATGGGTAGAGGCGGACATTCCCTGGTCAACAGAGCAGAAGCCGAAATGGCATGTAACCTGTACTCCAGATTGAGGCGGGAAGCACAAAAGTCAGGAAGTTCTTCCTCTTCAGCTTTGGACGGCAAAGTGGGTGTTGTGACGATGTACAAAGATCAAGTGTTCGAGCTCAAACGTGCTTTCCGTAGAGAGTATGGTGATGGTATTGATGAAGTCGTCGATTTCAATACTGTCGACGGCTTTCAAGGTCAGGAAAAAGATGTCATCATTCTTTCTTGCGTCCGAAGCAATGGTATCGGTTTCCTGAACGATTTTCGTCGTATCAATGTTGCCATCACACGTGCTAAGAGCAATTTGTTCATCATTGCACATGTTCCCAATCTCGAACGTAACGACAAAGCAGGTTTTTGGAAAAAGTTTATCGAAATTGCTCGTAAAAATGAAGATCTTATTGCTGCAACGTCAGAAGATTTGAATAAACCATTCATGGTACACTCCTCTCCTGCAAAAAGAGATTCCAAGGTGCAAAGGGAAGGGATCGGAGCGGGAAAAATCACAAGCATTCCTGCTTCACCTTCAGGCAAAACGAAGCGTGCAGAGCCTCAAAACGAAGATGATTCAATGGAGGCTGGACCAAAGAAGAAGCCAAGATTGGAGACTCAATCAAATACTTCTCATGCCCAACATACACCGGGTATATCCGGTAACAGCAATGCAACCCAACCCACAAGACCCTCATCACAGCCTGTTCGACCGGTCAATAAGATCGCCTTGGCGAGCACACCAAGACCACTGCCTAGACCGCCTACAGGACCAAAAGCAGACAGGCTCGCAGCACCACCCAAAAGGCCATTCCCGCTTCCCAATAAACCGAAAGGGTCTCATCCCGGACCACCACCTATTCTTCCAAAGAGACCAAAGGTGTCTCATCCCGGACCACCGCCTATTCCTCCCTCAAGCCGACCGGCCGGAAATCCCATTGCCATGCCCGGTCAAGCGCCTGTACTTATGACACCAGCTCAAATGGCAGCATCCCGCAATCAAAGACCACCGCAAGGGCCTAGACTGGATCCATCCAGACGGCCAAACGGTCCTCCAGCTGGTCCTTCTAATCAGCCAAGCACAACAATGTTTTTGCCTAAACCGAATAATCGAAGGGAGAAACGATTTTGAGAAGGATGTGGGAATAGAGAATTTATCAACAAGGATACAATTTATACGAACATGGAAGTTTGTAAATCATTAAATCATTCGTGATTTCCTATACGCATTTGTACTTCTATCAATCCTTATGCATCATAGATCATTGTAAAATACGCACAACTTTTATCAAATAAGAAGAGATGTAAAAAATTGCATGTGAGAATAGTACAATGTTTGGTAAGAAAGGAAAATAGGATATATATACAGAGCAGCACCTTCCCACATCCTTCCTCAGGAAGAGCTTCCGCTTTGCTTTTGTCTTTTGGCCTGTTTTTGTCCTTGAACGCGATAGACGTCTGCCATCATTTCTTTACGCTTTTGAGCTTTATGTGCTTCTGCGTCAGCTTGTTTAGCAGAATACTTTTCTCTTTGAACACGTTTTGATTCATCTCGCTTCGTTTGTCTGGCTTTTTGAACAGTTTTCATCGCTTGTAATAGAGCGACAGCTTCTTTCTCTTGTTTATCCATCACAACTGCACGTTGTTTCAGATAACCTTCTTTGTTTTGCTTTGACATATCTTTCACTTTGCTAGAGAAAGGAAGACTGGATTGCAATGAAGCAGGAATACGCAGAGGGTTGAACTTGCGTACCGTTGGACGTTGTTCGACAGTCTTGTAAGTGCTGTCAACGCGCAAAGGTGTTTTGATACCTTCGTCATATCGTACACGACCGGTCAAACGCATAGAAGGGTGCGCAGCGTGATCAGAAGATAGATGGGATAAGATGGGATTGTAGAACTTGCGCGGCTCGATTGCGTACCAACAACGCAAGAAAACGATATCACTCATCAATACCTTGTCCTCAAAAGTTGCACGGTATTGACCTTCAGGTTTGGCCAAAGGTTTCTTGATTTGACCTCTGATACCACTGACGGTTCGAATACTTGCACCTTCAAATTTGGCCACTTCTAATCGACTATTGAACATATCCTTGATGAAGGCTGTATTCTTGTACACTTTGGCAGGTGTCCCCGTCAATTTGAGCTTCTTGACAATCTTGTGTCCGCGTGCACCTTGATCAACATCCAAAACAGTTCCCGTTGCAGAGATGCGGAAGTTGCTTACGCCTTCATCAAGATTGTTAAACGCACAGAATCCTGTATTTGGTCTTGCAGCGGGTGCCCAAAAGGTAGCCAAACAGTGCATGTGCTCTGGTGTATACTTTAGCATTCGATTTCTGGTACCGTCATCCAAGCTGTAGATTGGCACACTTTGGAATCTTCTCCATCCCATACTAAAGATAAGCGGATCATTGGTCTTGAGAATGCGTGAATGCCAACGATGTCGCTTGATACGTACTTGCATGTATCCCATCACTTGCTCAGATGCTAATAATCCACCCACAAGGATTGGGAAATGTGGATCGAAGTTGTCAACAAACTCGCATGGAATGGATGTCAATTGCAATCGAACATAAGCTCCTGGTCGATATCCTTCAAGCAATTGACGGGTAGTCTCATCCTCATCTTCGAATGCGCGACGATTGGCATCAGCTTGTTTTGTCAGCTCGGCCTTTTGCTCTTCGTACCAATCCCCTTGCAGTGCTTCGTCGGGATCGTCATACTGTTCGTCAAACTTCTTCTTGAGCAGCTCCTTTTTCTTTGTCAGAGCTCTCATCCTGGCATCTTCTCCTTGATCTTCGTCATCGTGTGGCCCTTCTTCATCGCCCTCATCAGCGTCCTCGTCTTGGAAACCTGTGAAGCCTTCATCTGCTCGCTCTTCTCCATCATCGCCGTCCTCAGCTTGAGCTTCAGCACCTGTGATGAAGAGATGCCGTATAGAGTCAAGTGCTGACTCGGAAGACCATACGCTCAAGTCTTTCTGTGTGATAAGCGGTTTACTTCCTTCCATTGCATCGGCATCCTCAGCAACGTCTCCTTCGTTCGCGTCTTCGTCGACCAATTTGAAGAAATCATCGTCGTCATCCTCTTTGGTAATGTCATCAATCACTCCGTTTTGAACAGGCGTCGTTCCATTTGAGATATCTTCTGGAGAATACTCGGTATGATAGATGAGACGCATTAGATCAGGAGCTTTTCTTTGACGATTGGCAAGTACGGTGAGATCTGCCTTCAATCCACGCTCTCTGCTCAAAGCAGCCTCTTCGTCATCTTCGTCAGATTCTTCCTCTTCGTCATCCTCGTCTTCCCCGAAGCCAAGATCTGAATCGCTATCTGCAAATGCAACTTCTTCGTCTTGTTGCTCACCATTAGCAAGATTTGCACCAAAGGCTCGTCGGCTTGAGCGGTATGCTTCATCCTCGTCATCCTGCGTACCGCCTTCGTCTTCATCGTCTACCTCTAGGCCGTCGTCTTGATCCAGCTGTGCTTTCTCAATGTCATCGAAGGCCGCCTGACGCTTCCTTGAGCTACTGATACTTAGTGGATTCTTTTCATCGTCAAACAAACGCAAATCTCCTCCTCGTATCCGTTCATCCAACGTAGATCGTGCATCTTGCAATCCAATCACCATCTTTTCTCCTTCTCCCTTTGACTCTTTTCCGTGTTCATTAGAGTAATGACCTGGTACATTGATGTACACTGCATCTTTGTCAAACATGACGCCACCGACATCACTCATTGGAGCATGTATAGTCTTTGCTTTATCGTTCATCTTTCGTCTTTTCTCGCTCTCGGCATTGGGTAGAGGACAAGGGTCATTCAACTTCTCGATGGTATCAATGCCAAAATCGCCAACTCCTGCAATATGTACCTTTCCATCTTGCCGTAGATTTGTACCACGCAAGAAGCCGTACAAGGTAATTGTGCGATCCATGCGTGTATTCAAACGTACGTCCTCCTTTGGAGTCAAGTCTTCCAATCGATCTGCCAACATGTACGGATGGGCATTGCGGAAGATCAAAGGACGAAACTTCATCACGCTGACAAATCTCGACAGATTTTGGATTTCCGTATCGGGGTATCTACCGTTGATGATCCCACTTAGATAGAACAGCTTTGCGCCTTGATAAATTTCTGTCCAGAATCGTTGCTTTAGACGCTTCTTTGTAGCACGGAGAGCGGCCGACTTTTTGATGAGATCCAAATGAGTGAGTACGCCAATGACTTTTGGAAATCCATGGGCTTGCAGAATGTTCAAGAATTCCATCGTTTCCATTTCAAATCCAAACGATCCATCGATCATCAATAAAACCAAATCAGCAATCTTTCCCACGTCGATCATACTGTTAATGTCATTCTTGCACTCGATAAATGTCAATCTTCTCTTCTTTCCACTGATAACTGTGACCGGTCCTCTGATGTCGGATAATGTATGTTTACTGAATCTGCGAATGAGACTACGCATCAAAGTAGTCTTTCCAACTCCTTCTGGACCAACGATTGCCACGATAACAGGTGGTGCTTCCTCTTCTGTAGTTCGATTGACAAGGGGAACATGCAATCTCTGTTGATCTTTTTCTGCATTTCTTCTGATTTGCTTATCAGCCGTTCTTGGATTAGAAGAAACAAATGCTCTTGGATTATAACCTGATTCATGTTTCTTCTTTTGCTTTTCTTCAATCGCTTTCGTTCGACTTGCACGATGTGCTTTGTGCGATTGTTGAGCGTCAGCCATGGTGGCTACTATTTCTGCTCAAACAACAGAACACTAGTCGATTTCTGTAAAGGATGTTGTTAGCGATAAGAAGTGATGATGTTGGCAAGATGCATTCATTATTATCAAAACTTCAACTATTCATAATAAAATCTAACCAAAAATTTCCCAAGCCGAGTTCCGATTTGATTTCACGTGTTTCTAGGGTTTATGAATAATTCTTTATTCATAAAAGTGGCAATCTCTCTTTTCAACGCGTTCGTTGTTCACTCGGCTGAAGGAAGCGCTTTCCGGCCTAGGTATTTCTCTTGTGACCTTGGCAATTGTGAGTGAGTGAGTGAGTAATAAAACCTTATTTAGCATTCCTATTTGCGTAAATACATTCTCCACCCTAACCGTTGTAAGAGATCTTGTTGTAGGAGTATATAACATCAGCCGTTACTTCCTTTGCAGCCACCAAGCGCTGTAATCGAAACAATCATGACGGCCTTAGAGAAATCTGATGTGGAAATGCAAGATGAAGTAGGAGGAACAAGCAGCAAAAAAGTAGATTCTACGCCTTCTTTACGATTGGTGGCTGATCTAAAAGGTCATTCAGAAACAGCTTGGGATGTTGCTTGGAATCCATCTTTACCAATTTTGGCATCTTGTTCGTCTGATAAAGAAGTTCGCTTGTTTTCATATACACTACCTAGCAAGAAAGAGAACGATGATCAAATGACAATTGAACAAAATTCTCTTGCCTCAACTTCCTCCGATCAACCTAGATTTGCACTTCAAGAAGTCATTCCTACCGGACACAAGAGAACAGTTCGTTCTGTTGCATGGTCGCCTTCTGGTCGTACACTCGCAACAGCTTCATTTGATTCTACTGTTGGAATTTGGGAGCGTGTAGAGGATGTCTTATCATCTGTAAAAGGTAGCGGAATGGACTCAAACGATTATACAAAATCATCACATCATCAAAATGGAACCGATGAACCTGAATGGGACTGTATAGGAACGCTAGAAGGTCATGATAACGAATGCAAAGCGGTAGCATTTAGTCAAAATGGAGGTTTGCTGGCAAGTTGCAGTAGAGATAAGAGCGTTTGGGTATGGGAAGTACAGGATCAAGCTGAATTTGATTGTTTAAGTGTTTTGATGGAACATACGCAAGATGTAAAATGTGTAGCTTGGCATCCTAAAGAAGAAATTTTGGCTTCTGCTTCGTATGATGATACGATCAGATTGCATATCGATGACCCTTCAGAAGATTGGTTCTGTTATTCCACCTTGACCGGTCATACGTCCACAGTTTGGTCAATCGCTTTTTCGCCTTGTGGTACGTTCTTGGCTTCAGGATCAGAAGATCAAACTGTGAGGATATGGAGAAAATTAACGCCCGAACAAGCAGAACAGAGAGGTTTGAAAGTACAGGGTAAAATCGATGGCTTGCGTCAAGGTGATCGTTGGATCTGTATGCGAATCTTGAAAGGATGGCATTCTCGCAGTATCTATTCGGTCAGTTGGGGACATCCTTCTCAAAATGCAAAACCAGGCTCGTTCGGAAGATTAGCCACTGCAGGATCGGATGGATCAATTTGTGTTTTTGAAGTTTTTGATAATGAAGATGGATCCAAACCAAGAGAAGCAGGCGTTGACTTCTTGGCTCCATATGTTGAGCTTGTTGCTCGGCAATGGGATGCACATGGCGAAGCAGATATAAATTGCGTAAAGTGGGCACCTGCTTACCTAAAGCAATCTGTCTCTCGAACGATTGGCGAAGAAGTCAAGATACGCGAACTATCAAAGAAGGATGAAGCAAACGAGGAGGCTATCGAAGCTTCAAAAGGGTTCCCATTGCGAGACCTTTTAGCCAGTACGGCTGATGATGGGTCTGTAAAAGTATGGTCTATCTAATAATCATGTATTTTTTTCTAATCCATAGCTTTATTATCATCTATCTATCAATCGCTCCGCCTGACACTTAAGTAGAAATAGCGCAATTGTCTAATAATACACATTTGAAGAGCAAACAATCATACAATCAATCTATGAAGATTTGGTTTTGGCAGCCTTTTTGGGTGCTTCTTCCTTTTCAGATCCTGTTGAGCGTCTCTTGCGAGGCTTAGAGGCGGTCTTGTTACCCTTTGCTGATTTTGCTTTTGACTCTTCTGCTTCTTTGGTTTCTGGCAATCCTTCCCATCTGTCAGCCATGTTGCAGTTCCAAACTGGCAATGCAGCACTGGTGCCAGTCTTGATATCAATACTTTGCACGTTGGACCATCCATTCTTGACGTGTTTACTGACGATCAGAGGTAATGCAGCAGCTACATTCTCTGCCAATTGCTCAGGTGTAAGATGTTGCAAGGTTCCCAAACGAACTGAAGCACAAGTTCCTTTATTACGATGATAAAAGGTAGAAGCCAAAGCAGCTTCCACTTCTTTACGAACTCGACCATCTTTTGTCTTTGTAAGTTTGACGGGAATAGGAGATTTACGTTCGTTCATCCATTTCTTTCCCAATAATTTTGGTAACATTGGAACGACTCTATCATCGGCCAAAAAGAGATCATGATCGTTCATCAATTGTCTTCTTGCTTCGTACGGAGCAAACTTCCCTTTGAGTTTTGTCACGCCGACAACTCTTTTGACTTGTACAAGCTTTTGTTCGACCATCAAGTCTTTGTATGTTCTTTGCGGATCAGCAGTGATAAGGCAAATCGAGGAAGAAGGTGCATAGATCGGATAAGGAGTAGGAACTCGGATTGGTTTAGCAGGTGCATTCACATTCAAAGCCTTGATTGTGATTTGCATCCAAACCACATCTGAGGCATTACTACGAGCACCATCTCCTTCTTCATCATCTTCTCCGTCCAAAGGTAGATCACTCTCTGCACCGTTGCCACTTGAAGATGTTTTTGAACGCTGACGATGAGCAGAAAGGGCAGAACATGCCTTTTCGACTTGTGCTAGTGAAACTCTGCTTCCGATCTTGACAGATGCATTATCTGCTTTTGATTCGGATGCTTTAGTGGCAGCTCCTTTAGCTGAGGTAGCCTTTGATGACGTCTTTGCCGGCATGTTGCGATCAAGACAGGAATGGTAATAAGGCTTAGAGAAGTGAGCAAGCAAGAAGAAGCAAGTGTCTAATTTTTCTCAAAGTAAAAAATATAAAATTTTAGCAGCACTTTGTCTGTTTGAATTTTTTGGAATTTTGCATTAATTTTTTGCTTTTCTGAGTTGACTAAAAAAACTGAAGCATGTCTTCTAAACGCGACGGCCCACAGTAAACTCGCATCTTAAACTCCCCGCACCTTCTGTTCTATTACCAAGTACTCGTACTGCTATTGCGAATCATTAATCAAGGCACGAACTCATCACGTAGGTTACATTCCCCAAGAACGTTCACAGTATCTTTGCATTTGTCATCTCCATATAAAACTACAGGGCATAATTGTGGTATTGCACTGCCATTGCCAAGAAACTTGATGCTGAGAAGTGAGAAGAAGAAGCAATAAAAAGTCAGACTCAGCTCTCTAATTATATGCTCTCTTTGTTCTGCTATACTCACATGCCACGATGAAAGGGCTGATCGTACCGGGAGAATTGAGAGTAGCAGTCTTGTAGACAAATACTTCGGACGAAAAGTGTGCCAAAGCCAATGCAAAGGTAAACATTGTCAGTTGATAAACACTAAGAGGGGACAGAAAGTGAGAGGAGTGTTAACATTAAGCGAGAAACTTTGATCATTTCACCAACTGCATACCTTTCATTCTTTAGGTCGTATGCACATTTGACCCGGATCACAGCGCTCAAGATGTTCCAAACGCCAAATAATCTAGCAGACAACGGAGTGACTGAAAGTGGTGGGTTGTGGACAAACAAGCAGGATATGTCAGCCTTTCATGTTTCACCTCGTATAAGACCTCCTACTCACTTGAAGCGCCCGCTTTGGTGTAGACCTTTCGATTGACTGCCGTATCTGCGATACTCTGTAAGCCACTAAAGGTAGCAATCGTTCCTACCAACAATAGCCACTTTCCCAAAATCGTTTCCGGTAACCCTGCAAGTAGTCCCCAGATGTTAGCCAAGCTGCCATAATCTAGAATTCAGTGATTCGACTTACAGCTCATATTTGTATTGTGTATGGTGAGAGTCTCGAAGTGAAGCAATCATGTCCGTGCAGGTTCAACAATATTCAATCTTCTCACTGATGTTTGTTAGCGTTGGCTTTTAGCGCGTGCAGACAATTTATGGTAACTTGCATACAAATAACGAGTTTTATACATTGAAATGATCAAAGTTTACACAAAAAACAAAGAGGAAAAGGTGCGAAATGGGGTTTAATTCTTTTTCTTCTTCTTTGGTGGACCATCTGCCATATCATCACTTCCACTTTCCGCTCCTTCTCCATCACTAGAAGATCCTTCTGAAGGACTTCCACCATCGGAAGATTCCGCTTCGAAATCTTGATCTTCTTCTGATTCTTCATCTTCGTCCATCGCATCATCATCTCCTGCGAATGATTTGCTATTCTTGGATGCCCTTCTACGACGACTATCATCCTCATCATCTTCCATCTCTTCATCATCATCGCTCAAGACATCATCAATTGCTACAACATCGCTCATTTCATTCTTCACCCGAACCTTGCGATTTGTGAAATGTTTAGAAAGTGCATCATGCTCTTCCCTGCTAACAGCTGCAAAGATGATTTGATTGCCGCTCTTGGGTGTCACTTTGAGATCGAATGTTTTGCTTGTTGAAACTGCGCCTCCTGATCCTACACGGCTAAAGATGACTTGATGAATATCATCGTATCGCACATGAATCGGTTGTTTGCTAACCCAAATCATTTGTCTGTCCAATGGGTATAACAACCCATCAACAGCTTTGACGTTGCATTTCAAGCAATTGCTGCTATTTGTACCCTCGAATGAATCTGTGCCAGGAGCAATGAGTTTTTGATTGGAAAATACGCGGAACAAAGATGAGACGATGCGGAATGTTGGGTCTTCGTATCGCTTCTTCAACTTGCCGTCGTATTTTGTTTGAATTGTCTCTTCATCCAAATTCAATTCGGCGTCCAATTCTTCATCACGAACGAATTGCAAGACCAGATAGGGGTAGCGTGTTTGACCTTGTCTGATTGGGGGATCTAGACCAACAACAAATTGCACATGGATATCATCGGGTTTGGGGAGCAAGAAGAGGCGCGTGATGCTAGAGTAAAGGACCTTGTAATCATACGTCTTTCCGCGCAAACGCAAGAAGCCAGAATACATGTCCAAATCGTAGCGACCACGTGGAGTGAGGACGAGTACTTCTTTGAAGAGGATGATTCCGTCCCCTGCTGCTTGGCCAATGTCAGCCTTGGCTTTGATAGCTTCATGGAATGCACTGGCAGCTGTTTCTTGTTCTTCAGCATCGCTGCCGGCTTCTTCCTCTTCGTCGTCTGATCTTTGTACATTTCCAGGCACCCACAATCTCATCTCTACCAACTGATCACCTCTTTGTTTCTTTGGCTTAACAGCTCCGTTTGTTGATGTTCCTGTATTTGTTTGTGGTTGTTGTTGTTCACCAGTGATGAATTCCATGCTAACTTCCGTTTTACCGGCAATGTTTGTATTTGCAATTTGTTCAAGGGGCAATTCGAATGCCAATTTATCACGAACCAAGAATTTCACTTCTGTGTCCTCTACTTCTGCTTTTCCCCAATTCCATCCTCTTACAGATACTTCGATTTGTTCTAATCGTTTACTGTAATATTCTGAGATTGCGCCCGAAAGACGATCGAAATCATCTCTGTGAAATCCATCAAATGTTTCACGTCTTTTGTTATGATTACGTGTGTTTATCCGTAATTGATATCCTCTTCCCACTTTTAGCCAACCGAACGAATCCATCCTGTCAGATTCCAATGTGAACGTACTACCGCTTCCATTCGAATCACCCGCTTGTGGTTTGAATCCTAATCCACCTTCCGTCAATCGTAATCTTCCACCTACTTGATCCAATCCATGGTATACACCATCGAATTGAGCGTGTGCTGCCATCTTTTGAACGTGAAAGATGTATACGTTTAGATGGTAAGTAAGAAGAAAGATTCACGACGACAATATACGCATGATCAGAAGAAGCGAAAGGATCCCTCGACCAACAGAACATTCAAACAACATTATTCATGCGCAGCCCAGCCCAGCGCGCTCCGTCGCAGGACTACACGCTTAATGTACACGCGTCTTACAGGCTTTGTAATTTGAACGCGTAAAGATGTGATTATATAATTGTGTTGCTCCATTTTGTCAAATGTTCCGAAAGAGGCGTAAAAAGCAAAAAGAGCTTCCATTGTCCGACGAGAGGAGCGAAGGTTGAGCACGTTCTCACATCAATGATCGTTTCCGAAGTGATGAATTGACATAAATTAGCAGTATAATATGTAGTACACAATTGATTGATGAGCGGTGATGACGGGATAGAAAAATCTAATTTAATCGGCTTTCTTTACTGCCTTTTTTGCAGCCTCTTTTGCCATCTTTGCTTTTTGAGCAGCTTGTTGAACGGCAGCATTATTCTTTGCCCATCCCAAACGAACCATATATTTAACAAATGTTGGAGTGACGGCGGCAGTGATTCCAACTCTGAATGGCAACAAAAGTGTTTTGTGAATAGTATATGCTAACACAGCCTCAGTCCACAAAGTTGAGCTATCCTTTCCATCTCCTTTCTTTCCCTTTTTAGCATCTGTTTGATCGTTTGACGGGGAGACGTTGACGTCTCTTTGCTTGTGAACACGTTCAACAGCTTTTCCGGCAACCTTTTCGTTATTCTTTTGTGATCCATCTTCCTCTGCTCCTCCAACAACGACCGAAGCAGGAACAGGCCAAGCAGCCACTTCATGATCTTCCATTTCTCTTTTACCCATACCAAAGTACTTTCTTACGCCATCTTCTAATTCGCGAATATGATCTGCTCCCAATAAATGAATAGCCAAGAATACCAAAGAGAAATCTACCGTACTTGCCAATAAATATACACCCAATGCCCACCAACCATATCTTCTAGTTAAGAATCGTAATCGTTCTCGTATCGTGGCTTTCTTTGGAGGCTCATCGGGGTCTGGTTGTTCTCCTTCATTTTCCGATTTACTCTCGTTGGAGTTGTTCTGTTGTCCCTTGCTTTGTGGTTGTGAGACCGCTTGTGCAGATGTTGAAGTTGAATCAGAGTGATTCAATGGCTTAGCATTGGCAAAAGCAGAAGTAGCATAATGAGCAATTGAGAGAGGTGCAGACTGTGACCGAAGTGAAGACAATGTATTGAATCTTGACAAGACTGACAGGCTTGTAGGTTCGATTGATTTCCGTAAAGCTATCCGACTGGAATGTAAAGCCAGTTGATGTGGAATCCTTGCTGCCGATCTTATCATGATTCGAGATGAAGAGGCAACAGACATTATGTCAAGATTGCCTCTTTCTTGTCCTGTTGGTGGCTAAGGACAAAAGATTACTTGGGTGGAGGAAGTTGAACAAAAGAAAAGCCCTTTCTTGTTTAAGCTTTGATTAACAATTTGATTCGCCCAAAATGAACGGGATAAATGCATTTTTTTACGCTAGACCCGTACGCCTTTTGTTTTTTTTCTGGCTTATGCTTATGTCTACGCAGGGAGAGAGAGAGAAGCGTGAGGCAAAGTCACTTGACACTCACACGCATAAAAGCAATTTTTGAAGTTCAAAGCGTATTTCCGATTAAATCTTCTCGTGGCGGAGAAATGGTCATCATCACACAATCATCCCATTCATCAAATCTGTAGAGTCATCGGAAAAGGCTGCAATGATCGCAAAAATAACTACAACCAATACATATAGGCGGTGATGTTTTGGGCAAGGTGCGGTAGACACCAAGCTTCCCTTTTGAGGGGAGTACAAGGCACTTCGTTCAGGAGAGCGGTAACAGTCGGCATAGAGAATAACATAAGACCGGTTACGACCTTATCCACACTGGATACTCTCAACAATGAACACAGAAATCGAAACGATACGACTAGAGATAATCTCGATGAACGGATAGGGGAATGCTCTAAATCGGTAGGAAAACAAAGACAGATAGATCCAATGCCGACTACATCTTCAATCGAGATCGATGAAGCAAATAAAAACACAAGCATAGCGCAGACAAAACATCAGACGAAAAGCCAACATCTGAAGCTAGATCGGATAAATACCAAGGTACGTAAACTCATCTCAAAAGATCAAATCGATAACGCAATTACAATCTTTCAACGTTGGCAGCAAAGTGTTTCATTAGCTCGGCAAGAAGAGCATCTGAGTTCAGAAAAGTCTGCGCATAACGGTAAATCAGATCAAGGATGCCACCTATATGCGGATACGGTGTTATACCTCATTCGATGGCTTATACGCAATAAAGAAAAGCGAAAATCTTGGCACATTCTTTTTGCCTTGTGCCAGGAAGAAATCCCGCAAGATCGAGAAACTGCTCAACTCTTGCGAATCATGATACCAAATAAGACAAAGACAAATCTGAAATTCTTGCTTCCTCAAAGTCTGCGAAAGTTTTTATTCCCCGAAACAGTGCAAAAAGAAGAAATCGGGAGAGTTCCAAAAGACAATTTCCGGCGAAAGATCGATGAAGATGCAAGACAAAGATTACTTATACCAATCGCGATTGCTTTGGTTCAAGAAGGAGACCTGCGTTTGGCAAATTGGCTCTTCGAAAGAAATGAAGAGACAGGTTTAAAGAAAATGCCAGTCGGGACTGGAAACGTGTTTGCCGAGGCTGTGATGCAACATATAAGTCCGGTGACCGGACTTGATGGTATAAGAGGAGTAGGTCAGATCACTTCCGCTTTGACATTTCTGGAAAATTGTCAAGGCGTAGAAGATGCTCTCTTAATCCGAATCAATGATGGTCTTGTGCGTCGATTTTCATGGGTCATGAGGCAAGAGAGGTTCTTCTCGCTCTTACAACCGGAAGAATGGCGGGGAATGCTACGGAGACTATCACTCATATCTCTACGCAGTGGTCCCCTCATGACGAAATCGCTGCAATCGAGCAAGGGTGGAATTGCAACGCTAATATCTCTTCATATCAAAACTGAAGATTACACTTATGCAAAAAGGCTTTTCGAATTATACCAAGATTACTATGGACGCTATACAAATGAATCGCCCTTCAGTCGAATCGAATTTGCTTGGTTGTTTGAGATAAGTTTGAAAGATGAACACACTATCGATTTCGTTGCCAAGTTGTTCAATCATTGGCTTATCTCCGACCTTTCTTCACCAGATCGTATGCCGGACTTTCTTCCGGCACAATTACGACGTTATTCTGCAAGATTGATGGAGGAAAAGCGAGGGGATTCAGTGTTGCCATTACTCCCTCTTTTTGATCTGGAATCGGAACCCAAACCAGTTGCTGGCCAGCCAAAAGTTGTCAAAAGGATAGAAAGAAGAGCACAAGCACGTCGGATAGTTGGTGTATTTGCTAACGCATCCCCAAAATACTTTCTGGAATTCATTCCTTTCTTGCGAGAATTATTGGCATTTTTACGTGCTCGTAGTGAAGGTCAATTTGACGAGCATCTGATTGAACTGCATCTTCATGTCGTTGACAAATCTATAAGTTCGGAAAAGTATGCAAGCTCATTAGCACTCATGCGTGCACAAATGCTGTCAATCGTTGAAAGTATGCGACAATACGCTGTAAAAGTGAAGGAGAAGGATCAAAACAATACTTATCACCAATCGACTATGACCTCAAGGACTATCACATCGCTTCAAATGCTTTACAGAAGGATACTTGCATATCTCGGAGACAGTTTAGCTGTGGATAAGGCTATCTTCAGATCTCAAGATGTGAATCGAGACGCTCTTTTGGCTGATGCTCTGAACAGAATTTTGATCGAAATGCAGTCATTATGGTCATTTGATTTGGAAGAAATTGATCGCAACAGTAACACTTCAGCCATTACAATTTGTAGACTTCAGATAATGATGGGCAGACAGGACTGGCAAGGTGCTTTTGCACTATACAACAAGTCCATGCACGACATAGCAGAACAATGGGAACGATTCGCTGACTTTGCTGAAACAGGTAGAAGCAATGCATACCCTCCTGCACCTCTGGCTTTGAATGTTGCTACCAGACTAGCCCTTGCTTTAGGTCAAGGTGGGCAATTTGACAAGGCCAGGCAGGTTTTATCGACGTACACTCATTGCACCAAACAATTCAAGGCCATACATTCCAGTAAGCAAGAAGAAATTGAAGAAGGTCTTGACGCAGACGAAATGTCTGAAGAAAGTGAGCAACTTACTCGCAAGATCAAAGACCATGATCGACTATTGATCGAATGCACTGGTATTGCTCTTTTGTGCATGCAAAATCGCAAGGAGGATGCTTTGGGTCGAATTTATTCACTTGAACGCTTAGGTGTATTCGGAGCACCACCTCAACCTCAAACGCCATTGATGTTCTTTACAGAAGAAAGACTACCTCAGAAAGCCGGATTCAATTTCAATTCCAATCTACGACCAACTACTTTCGCAGCCGTAGCACCTTCAATCGGTCCAACAAACAAGGAACTGACAATGATCTATATCGAAGCGCTTGCCAGTATTCCGATGAAGGCAAGATCGGCTGATTGGCAAGGCCTGCTTGGAAAATCTCGAAAACTACTCTCAGATTATACCGGAGCATAAGACACTCAAAACCTTGATCGCCTCTAGTGCGAAAGGTACTCATGCATACAATTTGTTGTGCAAAAGTTGGATTCTCATATGTACATATACTCTCACAATCATGTATAACGTAATGTCATCATATTGAAAAGACAGTATCACTTTACTCCGACAAGCTCTACTCCTTCTAAACCTTTGATGATCGTATCCAAAACCTTTGTATCGTTTTGAACGGTTGAGCTGATATGATCTAAACCTTGTTGTTGAGAAGCTAAAATCTTTACAACATCTTCTATAGCGCTCTCATCCACAACGGCCCATTCCAATGGAGCATTTCCGTCATTTGCTGATCTTGCAGCTTCACGTTTAGACTTTAGGGTACCCAACAAAGCCCATAGCTCATTAATCCTTCCACGCAAACGATGTTGAGCTTGCGAACTTCTTCCATCTGGAGCCTGATTGGCGGCCATCGAAGAGATTGACTCCAATTCCGTTTCGCAGATATGCAAAAGATTTTTCAATTGTTCCTCTCCATATGTGATACTATGACCACGCAAAGCGGGTATCAAAAGATGAATACGTTTTGCCAATCCGATTAATCGATGATGCAACGTTGTTTGTTTACGACTGATGGCAGAGATTCGTACGCTATTCGAAAGACTATGCTTTGAAGTCAAATCATCCAATCGTTTTTGCAATTCGACAAGCTTTGTGCTCTGACGTGCAGCTTCTGCTTCTTGCAGATCCATTCTCGTTTTAAGGTCTTCGAAACCTACTGCCAAGACGGGTACAAGTTTCGACCGATCAGGATTTTCACGTAAAGTTTGCAACCACAAAGCATCATGCTTTGGTCCCAGTGCATCTTGCCGTCTTCCAAAATTCGGATTCCGTGCAGCTTCTTCTGCCAGCTGTGGCATATTTGGTGGAAGAGAATTATAAAAGTAGTACAAGAAATGACATGTTTGAATATTTTGAACGTCCCAAGCAGCACGAATCATTTCCAATTTATCGTTGATAGGTATTCCCAGCCTCTTGTTCGGGCCACCACTTGCCCCTCCATCAGGAGCAACACTTGAATTTCCAAACAAGCCAGGTTTAGATTGTTGCAAGCTATACGATGTTGATCCACCTAGCTGTGAAAGCGTTAATGGGTTTTGTGTTGGCTGACCGAATGGTTTAGGGGCAGAACCAAATAGACCGCCTCCCGTTTGTTGTTGTTGCTGTTGCGGCTGCTGAGCTGGTTGTTGTGATCCAAATAAAGAAGATCCAGTATTTCCAGAGGCTGGCGCACCGAAGAGTGAGCTTCCCTGCTGCTGCTGTTGCTGTGGTGCACCTTGCTGCTGAGTGGGGTTGCCGAACAGACTTCCAGATGGTTGTTGTTGAGTGGTAGATGATCCAAACAAACCTTGTGGCTTTGGAGGCTGTTGTTGTTGTTGATTGGTAGATGCTCCAAAAAGACCTTGCGTTTGAGGTTGTTGTTGTTGCTGATTGGTAGATGCTCCAAACAGACTTTGCGTTTGTGGTTGCTGTTGTTGTGCATTTGCACTTGGTGCTCCGAACGAGAACCCTCCTCCAAGTCCTAACGCCATCTCTAAAAAGCTTTATGATGGAAATGACCTGAAAGTAATGTCATGTTTATTCATTCTCTTTCTTCTTCTTTGATTTTTTGGCTAAAGCGCGAATTGGCCTGCAGGCAAAAACGCGTTCAATTCAGGGCATACTGCTTCCCGCGCCTCTGTGTGTAACTTCTGTAACTTCCAGAACTGGCTGCGACCTCAGATTCTTGAACGATCACCTCGGGTAGGGGAGGGTAAGCCTTAGGAGAGGCAAGATAACCTCAATGAATGCCACCTTGAGTCTCACGCTATCCTCTCAGATATCATTTATTAGCATGATAGTCTTGGATATTAGCATGAATTGTAGAAGGAGAATAAGCAGTATATACAAAGGTGCATACATCGAAACATTAGATGTAAGATGCTACTTTTGATGAAGAAGGATCTCATTGCGTTGCTGCATCTGGTGGTAATTCGGTTGCTTTCCAGCCTGAGCGTATACCAGCCGTAGCAGCAACTGTACCAAATAATCCTACCCATGCGTCATTGAACAATCCCAAAGGATGTGACCTGATCAAAAAGAAAGAGAAAAAAGTCAGTAATCAAGCAATCTCAAACATAAACCCAATCATACGTACCAATGAATCGTCAAAGGCATATAGCCCAAATTTACCCAGAACTCGTTCAAGATGGCCGCCTTGCGTGTATCCAACTCATCCCACATCCGTCTCGTTTGTACTTGCTCTGCTGATAATCCTTTCTCGCTCGTCTTTGAAACGTTTGAGCTGGAAGATGGCGGAGATGGATGACCACGACTGCGTTCCAATGCTTTTGCTCTTAATCTCAATAGCCTGTTATCTTCCACAAGATGCAAAAGCTGTAGCATCACATATACAGCCCATGCCCGAGCACTCGTTAGCCAAAGTTTGTTTTGCGTCGTTTGAGAGATGTTGAGAATATTATGAGAAGCTAGATAAGCAATTGCTTCTAAAGGACAATACAAAATCATTGACCAACCTTGAATACGTTCGATATTATGTAAAAGTCTCGTTGGAGGTGGTGATTTTTCCAAAGCGATCATCCATTTCAAAATTGGCAAAATTCCCCAAATACGATATAAACATCTTGCATCGGATATTAAAGAAGAAAGTTTTTCCAATTTTTTCGCAATCGAACTACCTCCATGTGGAGCATGATATCCTTTCGTTCCATATCGAAGTCTGATTCGTAAAGCATGTTGTAATGTCAAAAAAGCGATCAACAATTTTGATGAATATTGCGTGATCATCATCAATTTATCCGTTCCACTCCAAGTGGAAAAATAACGTACTAGATGATCTAAAGTTGAATTTTGAGGAACATTAGAAAAACATCCTAAGATCTTATCTGTTGGATTTGGTTGACGTTGTTTGCCTTGACGGCTTGCACTGACTGGTTTTGATGCTGCACTCATTATTTTGATCTCTTGCCGGTGTTTTGATGAGTGTCTTCTATTGTTCTATCCTGTATACCAATGAATGCAGTGACCAGGGTTGTCCTCCCAAGAGGCTTGTCGTGATGAGAAAGGATAATAATGTAATCCCCAGCGCTCACACAAGCAGCGCCTACCTTTACGAGAAGATGATGATTGGATTCTGGGGAAGGAGAGAGGGAGAGAAAGAGAAAGAAAGAGTCAAACCGCAAAGCCGGACTTGAACCGAATTGACCGGAACGATTGAACGCGTTAAAACGGAGCAAACGCTTTCAAATAAAATAAAATACATTAAATAAAAAATCTAATCTTAACTCTAAAGGCACGCTAACTGTTTGTATTCAAAACCCTTCCGCACAAGCTGTCACTTTTTTGTTTCAAAACGTTTCCCCAACTTTTGAATATCCTAAGGATGCATTAATTGATCTTCTTCTCCGCTTCATGGGAGACTCGGGGATCTCCCCCGCATGGTTTGAGTAAACGTAAAATTGGCATTCGAGAGAGAAAGAAGAAGAAAGAGGTACAGAGGAGATCTGCAGAATGAAGATGAGAAGCGCATCAAGAGCGAATTTGAGATTGCTTCCACGCAAGGACTGAAAGAAAATGTAACATTAGAAGTGAAGAAAAGATGTGTGTAGTAGAAGTGAAAAGAGAAAAAGCGGAGGGAATTTTGAACGGTAGCAATCTACAAGCTTGACACATGGAGTGAAGATGATCGGAAATCTTGAAGAAAACGTTGACCAAGATGAAAAGGGGTGGATTAGGTATTTTTGGAATGAGAACAAGACTTGTTGATACGTTTGGTATGCAGAATTGGAAAATTAAAGGTAGGGAAAATTGTATTCGCAATCTAGGTTGATCAGGTATGTTCCAAAGCCGGCCAATCTTTGCAAAGAGCTGTCGTCCGGTATTCCTGTTGGCGCATCCTTGACTGACCTAATCTTGCCGCTCTTGATGCTTTCATCACCTTACAAGAATCACTCTAGAAGAAAATGTAGGTGAATGCAAAGACACCAAAGCAAATAGCAGCAACGATGTGAATTGGAATACCATCGCTTGTTCCTTGATTGGCTGAACTTTTGCGCAAAGAGTCCACTTGAGATTGCAATCTTTTCACTTCCGATTGCAATTGTTCGTGGCTCTTTTCACTCAAATTACCGTTTGTTGATCCTGCACCTCCGCTTACACTTCCAACAGCACGAGAGCCTGCATTCTTTGTTGCAGCATAAGCAGCACCTGCTCCGGCAGCGGCTGCACCTCCAGCAGCAACGGCAGCAGCTCTGGCTTTTTCGGTAGTTGGTCCATCGGTGTTTGCCGAAGCATTCTGTGCTGCCAAGATCGGGTTCTGTGTACCGTTGACGGTTGAGTATTTCTCGTTACCGTTTGATGTTGAGCTTGCGTTATCTTCGCCTTCTTCAGGTACAGTTGCCGTTGTAGCAGGCAAGAAGGCGCAGCGAATCTTCTGTTCGTGGATCGCACCTTTGTCTTCCTTTTCAACAACGCCCCAAATGTCGTTCAAGCTAGTCGTTTCCCGTTCTGGTGTGATGATTGTAGATTGAACCAAGAACTTGTCGCGGCATTTAGCGGATGATGGGGGTTCTTCCTTCATAGGCTGTAGTAGGACCTGTACCTCGATTTTCTCGCCTGGCTCGATACGACCAGAGTTTGGACGAACGCAGTATTGTTTTGGTGCAGTAGTTTTAACCTTGAATGCGACAGGCTGGTTGTTTGGGTTGGAGACTTGAAGCGATCTCTTTACCAGTTGAGTGAGAGGTCCTGAGGGGAACAAGATGAGCTGGTTAGATAAAGCATACAAAGCGTTTTTCGTCCCGCTACAAGAACTTACTTGGAAAGCCCAATTGGACGTGAGGATTAAGGCTGCACGAAGGAGGAATCAGGGAGGGTGGAAGTCAGTACAATAGTCAGCCTCAGAGCAATCGTCTTGGTTGGAAAAAGGATTTTGATGCCATCGCTCAGCGTCTCGAAATGAATCGACGACAAAGCAGATTTGCAAAGGTGCGCATACATTCGCCAACAAGCCCTCTGTATGCTCCTTCGTTATCGCCAACATCCTATGTCCTCTCTTAAGACCAAATGAGAGCTTTGTATACGCCAATGCGATTGGCCCTCTCTGTGCGAATCCACTATTTTCCTCAGCAAGGTCCTCTTCTTTCTACTCACTCGACAGACATGATGAATGCTTGAATGTTCTACCTTGAAGTGATGATCGTTCTTTTGAGATGATACAAAGTAGTTGATCTGGATGATGAATCGTCCAATCGTTCCGGTTTTTATACCTGCGGAAGTTTCACTTTTGGGTAGATTGATCCTTGTTGTACTTATTCCGCCGCTAAATGCTGAGGACGACTTTTGACAGATTTTCGACTTTGTCAAAGATGTTGTCAAGATGTAGCAAAGATACTTGCAGATGTATCAAACAAGAAAGAGATGGTAAAAGTTTAAAAGAGAAAAAGAGTTTTCCACGAATACAGAAGACGACAAAGTAGGATTGTGGAGACTCGAGTAGGCAGGCACTAGATGCTCTCTCTCACACAAAAGGGGAACAGCCTGCCTGTCTGTATTACACTACTACACTCAGTCAAAAACAGGCGCACGCCCGGGGTGGGTTATGTTCTGATTCTCGCTTTGCGCAAGCGCGGCGCACGCACTGCTGTCCACTCACTCACTCACTCACACACAATGTTCTAGTGGATAACATCTTAGCGTTCCGGCTGCATTTTGTCTCAGAATTGTCACTGCTTGGATTGGATTGGCTGATTTGCATGCTATGCTTTGCTTTTAGCGAGAGCGGTCTCTTTTTTTTCTTTTTTGCATTTCTCTTTCATCTGCTTGCATATGTCTAATTGTACTCACACATAATTCATGCAATCTTTTGTTTCCCCCTTCAAATCATCTCATAATTGACACGGCGCTCATTTTCTAATCAATCAATCAACTTTTTCGTTGTTTGGGCACCGGTCCCGCGCCCTCATTTTTCAAGGCACCCGGTTGATGTCTTTTCGACTGCTTTGCTGGCTGACCTTTAAAAAGATACGCGCATATGAAATTATGATGAATGTGGGTACACTGTTCAAATGCTTACAAACGGTTATTACACGCTTACTTTTTATGCCGGTATCCCTACGCCGAGGTGGTAAGCTTGTCAGAGAGAAGTATTGCATCTTTTTGTGAAAGACATCTTCAGGTAGAATGTCAGTACGGATTTAAGTTGGATAATAAGAATAACACAGCTTCTTGTCGTCATTGAATAGAAAGCATTTCATACCAATTTTGTACCTTGATTTAGTGTACATTGCATTGCGAATATGGTGCCTCTCCCTTTGTGATGGTGAATAGAGTAAATTATAAAAATTGTAAGAATATCTGCAAAAAGAGAATGCAAAAAAGGAAATAGAACTGCAGCACCCAGGATTCCCGCGTGGTCCCCCACCGCAGTACTGACTAGGCGATACCGTGCTTGACTTCGCAGATCGGACGGGATGCGGTATTTTCACGGTTCTATGGCCGCAGATATGAGGATGGGGTTAAAGGCTGTTTATATACTAAAACTATAAAGAAAAAGTTATTTAAGCATTTCATACCAATTGTGTACCTTGATTTAGTATACATTATATTAGGAGGACGTATGATCCTAGTCAAGGATGCGATATAGTGCCTTTCCTATTGTGATGGTGAATAAAAGAATAATAGGTAAACGAGAGGAGGTCTTGAATAATCTTTTAAGCAAAAAGAGAAAGCAAAAAAGAATGAAATTGAACTGCAGCACCCAGGATTCCCGCGTGGTCCCCCACCGCAGTACTGACTAGGCGATACCGTGCTTGACTTCGCAGATCGGACGGGATGCGGTACTTTCACGGTTCTATGGCCGCAGATGTGAGGAAGTGGTCGAACATTGATCATATACTAAAACTTTATAAGAACGTGTCTTCACTCTCATTCTTCGATTCGGACTCACTCCTCTTCATCACTCCAATACGTAAATAGTACACATGAATTGATAGCAAGGCAAAATGGAGCATTAACGCTCAGCCTATAAGAGTGAAGAGAAAGTTGGATATCAATGGTAATGGTGGTGATGAGGTAAACAAAAGAAAAGAATGGGTATTTTAAAATAAGAACCTGATCTCCAGAGAATATTTTTCTTTTTGATTCGTAGCCGGGAAGAAGAAAAAAAGAATCTTGAGTAAAATATGATATTACCGTGCCAAATTGTTTGTCGTCCAATACGATCGGAAAAATTTTGATGTGAATGTCCATGAGTTGATGATGATGAAGAGAAAAAGAAATTCGTATCGATACAATTGAGACCAGTAAAAAAGATTGAATAATTGAGGTGAAAGAGAGAATAAACTGTTGAAAATCGTGATGAGAAATTTTTTTGCAAAAGCATGCACCAAGATAGAATGAGTAGAAGGTCGTTAAGATCACTGAGCATAGGCATGTGCTTGACCATGCGATTCTGTATAATCTTGTGGTGGGGTATTGGGATGATCCCTGTAAGGCGTCAAAGGTGGCGAGGCAGGCCTTGAAGAAGAAGGATCCATCATCTCGTGTATTTCACCTCTTGTTCCATCATACGTTGTACCGGAAACAGACAAACTCTTTGCTGCTGCTGAGCTATCTCTTTGCCTTTTGAGATAATCATTCTTGATCGCTCTTGCTTCCCAATAACCTTTTGAGCTAATATCCCAATCATCTTCTGGTGCTTTTGTAGGTGGAATAGGTGATGCCCTTCCATCTGTTTCGTCGACAAAGTGACCGTGTAACATTGCAAGTTCACGTGCTTTTTGTCTTTCGTTCTCTGACAACTTCTTCCAATCAACAGAACCATTGATAGGATCCTTTTCGTCTTCGTGCGATCCGCTTCCCGTATCAAAGACTTCAGGTTCATCACGCGCACGCCTTCTCTTGAGCCAGTAAAGAAGGATTGCCATGACTGCTAAAATACCAACAAATCCACACACAACACCAACTGCAATCTTTGCAGCAGATGAGAAACCACTGGATTTTTGTGTTGCACCGTCCACTTGGGAATTATCTCCTAGCTGTTGTCCTTGCAATCGAACTTTTTGGAAATCTGCTTGTGCCGTCTGATATCCTCCAGATGAGTTGGTATATAAAGGATATATGCCCAACCATGGATTTGAGCACCATCCTGTTTGGGTCATATTGCTAGGATTAGGATCACAACTGTAAAGGCTGTAAACGCTGCGTAAGAAAGGTGCGCCTAGCACAATATTGGAACTGTACAAGCTAGGATCCATATCATCAGTAAAAGCTTGGAAAGATCCCATGCATCCATTATTGTTTCCACCGAACATGTTGTTAACCTTAAGAGAGGAATCCAGAGGATGGACCGGTACTGTCACGTTGCCGACCGTGATGTTCATATCGATTTCCAGGCTACAATCCAAGTAATATGTAAGTCCGTCCGCAGAAGGTCCAACGTTGTAAGCACCATAAAGAGCGTTGAGGAAAGAAGCTGGCGCATAATTAAAAGGCACACCCGAACTTAGGATAGCAGTTGCCGGTCCTACACTACCAGTATGCGAGAGTGGTATACTTATATAAGACCCATTGACCTTCACGCTCAAATCTGACACCTGCGACTTCCAAGTCCTTGCCTTACCGTCATCATCCGGCAGAACGGAAGACCAGCTGACGTGGCTCTGTCGGTTGGTCGGCAAGTATTCTGGATCATAGTCGCCGAAAGTGATTGTTGAGTTTCCATTTCCTCCATCGGACGGTAGCCTCTGAAGTCCCAAGCCGAAAAATCGCTGACCCATTGGTGCAGTGTACCAAAGTCCCGGTAACAGAGAGCCTGTAAGGCTAGGTTGTGTGATCGAATCGTTGTTGCCTGTTCGTGATGTGCTTAATGTGCTCTGAATGAGTGAGTCCAGAGGCAATGCCATACCAAGCACGCCTGATGCCTGCATTGTGTTCAACTGTTCAGCCTCAACATCATCAGCAGTCAAGAATGCCTGATTAGGAATCAAATCATTGGCAAAAGTGACGTTGGATGTAACGATTGGACCGGAAGCACTTCCTCTCAAGTAAGAAATCTGAACTGATTGACCCGTTTCCAGACCTGTGTCATCTCTAAAGAGAGTGATCTGATATCCCTCTTTGCTCTGACAAGATGCTGTGCCACATTTATCAGCTGCAAGCCAAAAATCTGCAGATCCTGTATCGACTTGCACGTTTAGCGTTTGGCCTTCTACAGTGATTGGGGCGGTGTATGTCAATTGGCCTTGAAGAAAAGTTCTCTTCAGCTGCACGACTGTGCTTTTTGCTACTGCACGTTTTGCCAAGAAATGTGTTGATGATGGCGAGGATGAGCTGCTAGCGACATCATCGCGTCTTGACACATATGAGAGTGGCATTGTTGGTAAAGATGGCGTGTTAGGTTTTGAAGTGTGCTCAATAGATCGACAATGAATTCAAGTCGATGCGACAGATGTCGAATTTGATCTTCAAGACGAAGAGCGGTATTCGATGCGCAAGATCACTTTGAGTGAGTTGTAATAAAGGCGGGGAGGATGAAAGTCGAAGTGAAGGTCGTGTCGAAAATGATGATGAAATTGACAAACTTTTCTTCGATCCTTCGCGAGCGACCGAAAAGAATGACAGCCGAATAAGACGGCTAATCGGAAAAAGTGAGATGAAGGTTAGGGTTGACAGTCGTGATGGCGATCGATTACAAGGAGTAAATGTGTAAACTGTCATGAATGACTACAACATATAATATATTTCTACCACCGATTGACTGGCAAAGAGGGCCTTAAAGGGAGAGGGGCAGAAACACGGTATGAGAATTGAGGCAAAAAGTCTGGGCGCATGTATGCAGACTGTTTTCCTGCCCGATTTTTATTTGATTTTTTTGATTTGGCTAAATCAGTGAGCGTATGCAGCAGTCATGCATGGATTTCAGTGGTTCCCTTAGAAAAAAGGCTGAAAATAGTTTCGGGACGTGAACAAATGCGTGCACTCACTTTCACTTGAGCTCTCCAACCAAATAACACTTTGCCTCATCATAAATGATGCTCTTTGTCTTTAAACCATATGAACTCATTTCTCCGAAAGCTAGGAGCCGTGATTTGAATACTATCTGATTGAGAAAGATGCCGAGTATACTAGCTAAACTGCGTCGCTCATTCTCCGCCTTTATTGTTTGACAAGAAACGCGGAACGGCGCGGAGACTGAAAAAGTGAACGGAATGACGAAGGGGTTGTGTACAGGTAAGATGCCGGGTTTGTTTGATTGTAGTGTAGAAATTAAAAAGCAAATGAAGACGCAATAAAAAAAAGGGGGCATAAGATGCGTGTAAGAAAAGTCCCTCTTCCTCTTGCAGCCAAAATCTGGTGATTAAAAGTCAAAAAAGGGTAAAGCAAAAAAAAGCACGCTAACTGTAAATGATTGTTTACACACACAAAGAGGACAAGCTCGTATACATAAGACGGACAGGCTTCCATAATCGACTGCATACATACATGTCTTAAAGAGTGTTGTTGTTCTTCTCCTAGAGCAATTCATCATGCATTCTCCAGACCAGAATAACATCAATTGCATAAGTGAAAGGAAGCTGTTTTCTTCTCGCAACGGAACTTGATGAACTGTATAACAGATCAAAGTACATGTCACTCTCTTACCACTCTCCGCTCAAAACATCGTCTTGCTTTCATGCGTGACATGCCACTGCCTGCTCCCGCTCTCCGTAAATTAATATTAGCAATTCCGAAATTGGGTCTGGTACCGTTGAAAAGTAAGACTATATAGTGTCTCTCAGGGTTCCAGCTCTCCAAATACTACCCTCAATTCTGATGACAGACCTAAGAATGAAATCGATCAAATTGTATTTCGAACAAGAAAGAGAAAAGGGTAGAAAACATGAAAAGATGTGATGCTTGTACGACGATCAAGTCTGGAAGATCATAAACAGACAGAGGGAAAGGCGAGAGAGCATTCGTTATGGTGTTTGATGAGGAAAACAGGTAGAAATGGAACGTATGGTATTGTGGAGAGAGATTGACTTCATGGTTGTTTTGCATTTGATTTCCTACCGACCAATCTTGAGCTTTATGTCATTCAATAGCCGGCCCCAAGACTTGAGCAAAATCAGGCATAATTGAGCCGTTCTCAGAACCATTCCCCGTTCACCATCACCAAACTTCTATCACAACTCAGCATCCCGCACGCGCCCAACGTGATTCGATCAGAGTACTGTGCACTTGTTCTTCCTTGCACCGCCACGTTTGCTCAACAAAGCCGCTCTGGTTGCGTGTTCAAATACTTCACGAACACCTTCTCCGGTCTTTGCACTGCATTCTAAATAACGAACTGCTCCGATCTTTTGTGCGACTGCCATTCCTTCTTCGGGGCTAACAGGTCTTTGACTTGTTTTACGTAATTCTTCAATAATCTTTGGATCACGACGTAAATCTTTCTTGCATCCTACCAAGATGATTGGCAAATTTTGACAAAAGTGTAAAACCTCTGAAATCCATTTCTCTTGTACGTTGTCCAACGAATCGGGACTATCAACTGCGAAACAGATCAAGATCACATGTGAATCTGGATATGAAAGTGGTCGAAGACGATCGTAATCTTCTTGTCCTGCCGTATCCCAAAGGGCTAGTTCGACATGCTTTCCGTCAACTTCAACATCTGCAACATAGTTTTCGAAAACGGTAGGGACGTATACCTGGAAAGAATTAAAGAATGGTCAGCATTCACAGTCAGATTGCGAGAGATTGACAGGACATCATACATACCTCTGGGAACGTTCCACGACTGAAAACGATCAAAAGACAGGTCTATGGTTTGAAAGAAAAGGAGAAGAAGTGCGCATTGTCAGTTATGATCCTGCATTCAATTTCCACAGATTGCGATTACATACTTTACCACAAGCACCATCTCCTACAATGACGAGTTTTCTACGAAGAGAATCACCAGCGCTCATTTTGTAAGATTATGTAACGGGTCTTGATGTGAGATTCACAAGATGGAAAGAGGAGAGTATCGTTGGAAAAGCTTTGATTGCTTATCTTTCGTTTGTGGCGATAGATCCAATTCGATGTCGTAATAAAAAAACGTGAGGTGTTTCGATCACAAACAAAAATTAAAGTGTGATCTTACTCTTGAGCTTTAACGTTCAAGTGACGTTGGACTGTATGTCGAAAAAGAGAGATGAGTTCGATGATGGTAAAGGGAGCTGACTTGTGAGACTTACCCCTCCAGCAACATCCTAATTTGTCCTGCTTGAGTGTGTGTGTGTGTGTGTGCATGTGCGTGTGTGCGTGTGTGAGTGTGTGCAAGTTTCCCAATTTGCCCCTGGGTTTGTGCGAGCAGCTGCAACGCGCGCGGTCTGGCCGGAGAAGATACTCTGAGAGAGTGTGTAACTGCCGCTGTATACAAAAATAAAGGAAGCTAAATACAAAACAATTCAATTCAATCAAATACAATTTTCTCTTTTTATCGCATGAGTTGCGCAGCAGCACTAATTCAAACTAGCCTAGCAAGCAAGAGCACAGCCTCCGTGGAAATGAATAAATGCTGTTTCTCCGTTTTGACTAATATTCATCAGCTTGATTAGTATTCTCCGACCCAAAACATCGACTGACTTCCAAAGACATGATAAGATAGCTCTCTCATTATATCTTTCTTATCAGTCCTGTAACGTTGAGTTCTTCTCAACATACGTCTGATCGACATGGTACGATTCCATATTACAAAAGAGGTTGAAAGAATGCTTGAATCTTTCGGCGGCTTAGATTGCATTGGCGGCCAAACTGTAAGCGAGCATTACACACGCGCTTTTCGGCGCGTCGGGTTATGTATTCATTCCGCTATTTAGCGTGGTTGGGCTAAAAAGGAAAAAAAGAAGATCACGTTTAATAAATGACAGCATTCTTCTTAACAGTTTACACTTTTACCTTCTTCCCCTCATTCAAGGTATCAACAATGGCTAGAAAGCAGGCCGCTTCAAACGGTCGCAAGTCTACCGCTAATGGCAATGGCACAAGTGCAACTAAACATGCACAAGAAGTTGCCGAAACAAAGACTGCTCACGATCAGATCAAACGTGCTCAAGACACGGATTACAAACATTCTTACGGTCATGTAGATATGCGTGATGAACAAATTATTGGAGGAGGAAAGGAGCGAGCTTTGGTCCGCTACAACCCAGGTATCGTAATCTCTGAGAAAGGTCGTGAAAGCGATAAAAAATTGGACGAGCATGAAGAATACGAATTCGGTGGACCCTGGGGTGTCACTGCAATGATGACTTTGTTCCCTGTTTTGATGTATTACCTTTGGATCTGCTTATGGTTCTATGATGGACAATTTGTCATGCCAAAGAGTATTGATGATATTCCCGCCTTTTTCTCACGTATGGGACAACACGTCTATGAGGATGCTTTCCCAACCGTACGTGCTTTCCGTGATTATGGTGGTTTGATGGTATTCCAATTCGTTTTGGCTGTTATTGTGCCAGGTTACATGCAAGAAGGACTGCCCGTCCCATCCCTCAACTACAAGACTTTAATGTACAAGTGCAACGCTTTGGGATGCTTCTACATCACGCTTATCGTCAGTGCAGCCCTTCATTTGAGTGGTCTTTATCGTTTGACGACGATCATCGAACACTTTGGTGAATATATGACAGTGTCTATGATTGTAGGTTTTGCTGTCAGCTTTATCACGTACTTCCACGCCGTCTGGACCAACACGGCGCACAGAATGAGTGGCAACTTTGCTTATGACGTTTTCATGGGTGCTGCATTGAACCCTCGTATCGGTCCCGTTGATCTCAAGATGTGGTTGGAAGTGCGTATTCCTTGGGTGTTGTTATTCTTGATCTCCGTTAGCGGTGCATGCAAGCAGTACGAAGTGTATGGATACGTCACGCCCAACATGGCTTTCATGGTTTTGTGCACAGGATTGTACATCAATGCATGTGCTAAAGGAGAAGAATGCATTCCTCAAACATGGGATATGTTCCACGAGAAATGGGGTTTTATGGTCATCTTTTGGAACTTTGCCGGAGTTCCTTTCACATACTGCTACAGTATCGTTTATATGGCCGCTCATCCACCGCATTATTACCGTTTCAGTACGCCAACGTACATTGCCATGTATTCGCTTTTGATCTTTGTTCATTGGGTCTTCGATTCGTCTATGGCACAAAAGTCTCGCTTCCGTATGCAATTGCAAGGTACATTGAAGATCAGAAATGCGTTCCCGCAATGGCCATGGTCAACGTTGAGTGATCCACGTTATTTGCAAACTGAACATGGAAATGCTCTCTTGATTGATGGTTGGTGGCAATACTTACGCAAGCCAAACTACTCAGCCGATTGGACCCAATCCTTCCTTTGGGGAGCATGTGCTGGAACAAGAAGCATTATTCCTTACTATTACGCTTTGTTCTTCTTGGCCGTTTTGACACATAGATGTGGTCGTGACTTTGAACGTTGTGCACGTAAATACGGTAAAGATTGGGAAAAGTATTGCAAGATTGTTCCTTATCGATTCATTCCGTTTGTGTATTAATTGGTATGAATATACTGATACCCTTCACACTCTCAATAGAGTACGATTCTCTCTCCACGCTCATTACCCATTACTATCTTGAACAAACATTCCCGCTCTTTTGCATCATTTGCTTTTGAGTACTTTGTAAGATAGGTTCTCAGCCGCATTCAATAAAATGTAGTACCTACGATACCGATCAGAAGTAACGTTGTCCGAGTGTAGTTGTATGAAGTATGTTCCCCGGGCATAACATCGTCATCAGATATGATCAAAGTAGCCGGAAATAAGACTGGATCAGATCGCTGATCGGATATAAGCCTCATGCATCACATCAGATGCATGCCAAAGGATGACACAACTCCGATCTTGGAGGAATCTTTTGTGCAACACAGAGACAATGTCACACGGGAAGGTGTTGTTGCATGCAGGATCAACACTTTCTATCCAACGCGTATACGCGCCGCGTTTTTATGGAGTGCAATTTGTACGCGTAAATACGTACAATGAACGCGAATGAAGTAGAGAAAGAGTGTTTATTTTGTTGATTGAGTGAGTCTCTTTTTTTCTTTTCTTTTAAGCACGCTGAACTTCGCGTGTATGTACGCGTAAAAAGGTTCAAAAAGCAACTCGCTCAACATTCAACACATCCCCCTCAACTCCCACCATCTTCCTTCCTCTCACAACAATCTTCTTTTGTTGGACTACTTCCTGTTCCTTTTCTTCCATCTCTATCAATTCTATCGTGCTATACAAGCACAACAGAATAGAGGATCAGGTCAATAAATAGCAAGCATCTTTGTCATCGCTATCGGATAGCATTGCAAGTTGCCACTAGACAAATCAGATAACTCCACAACTCACATCACTTCACATTCCTTTTCAACATGATCTACGTATACAAGAGAGGTGAGTATCTTCACTACAAACGCGTTTATCACGTCTAAATCGCGTCATCGCAACCAATACTGACAATCTTGTTTCTCTTTCCTTCACATAGACGGACGCAAGGAGGCTGTCAAATTTGACAAAGTCACCGCACGCGTTTCCAAATTATGCTATGGTCTCGATTCAGTATTCATTGATCCCATCGAAATTACCAGAAAAGTCATTGACGGTATTTACGATGGTGTCACAACAGTTGAACTTGACAATTTGGCTGCTGAAACTGCTGCATACAAGACTACAACACATCCTGATTATGCCGTCTTGGCAGCACGTATTGCGATCAGTAACTTACACAAAGAAACACGCAAATCATTCAGTCAAGTCATCAAAGATTTGTTCGAATACGTCAACCCACGTAACGGAAAGCATAGCCCAATGATCTCAGAAACAACATATAACGCAATCATGAAGAACCAAGCACAATTGGACTCAGCAATCATTTACGATCGTGATTTCCACTACAACTTCTTTGGTTTCAAGACATTGGAACGATCATACCTCTTGCGTATCAACGGCAAAGTTGCTGAAAGACCACAACATATGTTGATGCGTGTTGCCGTCGGTATTCACGGAGAAGATGTTGAAGCCGCAATCGAGACATACAACCTCTTGAGTGAAAAATACTTCACACATGCATCTCCAACCCTTTTCAACGCTGGTACACCAAGACCGCAAATGTCATCATGCTTCTTGGTTTCCATGAAGGATGACTCTATTGATGGTATTTATGATACACTCAAGATTTGTGCTATGATCTCCAAGAGTGCAGGTGGTATCGGATTAAACATTCACAACATTCGTGGAACAGGATCGTACATTGCAGGTACAAACGGAACAAGTAATGGTATTGTTCCAATGTTGCGTGTCTTCAACACAACTGCTCGTTACGTCGATCAAGGAGGTAACAAGAGACCAGGTGCATTTGCCGTTTATGTTGAACCATGGCATTCAGATGTGTTTGAATTCTTGGACTTGCGCAAAAATCACGGAAAAGAAGAAGTACGTGCACGTGAATTGTTCTATGCTCTTTGGATTCCAGACTTGTTCATGAAACGTGTTGAAGAGAACGGTGAATGGTGCTTGATGTGCCCTAACGAAAGCCCTGGCTTGGCCGATTGCTACGGTGAAGAATTCGAAAAGCTTTATGAATCATACGAAAAACAAGGCAGATATGTCAAGAAGATCAAAGCACAAAAGTTGTGGTATGCCATCCTTGAATCACAAACAGAGACTGGAAACCCATTCATGTTGTACAAAGATGCAGCAAACAGAAAGAGTAACCAAAAGAACTTGGGTACCATCAAGAACTCCAACTTGTGCACAGAAATCATCGAATACTGTGCACCTGATGAGGTTGCTGTATGCAATTTGGCATCAATTGCTTTGCCTACATTTGTTGATCCTGCCACAAAGACATACGATTTCAAGAAGTTACACGCAGTTGCCAAGGTGATCTGTGGTAATTTGAACAAGATTATCGATATCAACTATTACCCAGTCGAAGAAGCACGCAGATCTAACATGCGTCATCGTCCTATCGGTATCGGAGTCAACGGTCTTGCCGATGCATTCATGATCTTGGGCATGCCCTTCGATTCACCCGAAGCACGTAAGCTGAACGTTCAAATCTTTGAAACAATTTACCATGCTGCTTTGGAGAGAAGTTGTGAATTGGCCAAAGAATTGGGAACATATGAAACATACGAAGGATCCCCTGCAAGCAAGGGAGAATTGCAATATGATATGTGGAACGTTACACCTTCAGATCTATGGAATTGGTCTGAACTAAAAGAAAAGATTGCAGAGCATGGTTTACGTAACTCTCTCTTGTTGGCACCTATGCCAACTGCATCTACCAGTCAAATTTTGGGTTTCAACGAATGCTTTGAACCTTTCACTTCAAACATTTACACCAGACGTGTGTTGGCAGGAGAATTCCAAGTTGTAAACCCATGGTTGTTGCGTACATTGGTCGAACAAGGATTATGGTCAGAAACGATGAAGAACAGAATTATTGCTCACGGTGGATCAATTCAAAACGTTCCCGGTATTCCAGATGATATCAAGAGATTGTACAAGACAGTTTGGGAAATCAGTCAAAAGGCAATCATTGATATGGCAGCTGATCGTGGAGCGTTCATCTGTCAAAGTCAAAGTTTGAACATTCACTTGAGTGCACCTACTTTCGGACAATTGACAAGTATGCACTTTTATGGATGGAAGAAAGGATTGAAGACGGGTACTTATTACTTACGTACAAGACCTGCTGCCAATGCAATTCAATTCACAATCAGTCAAGAAGAACAAGTTGCCGCTAAAGCAGCCAAGAAGAAAGCTGTTGGCGCACCTGCACCAGCAAAAAGTGAACAAGCGCGAGCATTTGTTGCCGCAAAGGCAGATGGAGATGTTGAAAAGGTTACCAGAAGTGTTGGTCAGATGGGCATTGATGCTTCGATCACACGTGATGGACCTGGAGATAATCAACTTTCTCAAGATAGCGGAGCATCAACTCCTCTATCCACTCTTGTGAACGAAAGTGAAAAGAGTGAAAGTGTCGTTGACCCAAAAGAAGATGAAGGATACAAACGTGCTTTGGCAAGACAGCGTGAAAGAGAATTAGCAGATGCAAAACTACAATGTTCATTGGAGAACAAAGAAGCATGCTTGATGTGCAGTGGTTGATTGCGTTTTGTGTTCTATTGTTGTATTACTTTCTCTTCTCCGTCATTCAAAACATATCATATTATCCATACTTACATCATTGTATGACAGTCTATCTTTTTCCTTTGCTCTTTCATCTTTTTTCTGTGTTTATTTTCTCTCTCTCATTCGTACGACAATCAATGTATAGCTTTTCTGCATATGCTAGTGTGAATGAGTATGTTTGATCGTGTGACAATTGCCAAGGAACGAACGCATTTGTGTGTATGTATGTATGTACAAGCGAGATATGTAGATGCAAAAAATAAAAAGCGCGAACCTGATTGATGGCTACCAAACCACAGGCGAACGATTTGTTGGGGAAAAGAAATTAATTTAATTTAATTTAAATGTATTTTAGTGCGGTGATTGTTTTCCGCGTGTGGAGATGATGTTAAGCCGAAGTCCCCGTTAGCTGGGTACGAGAAGAAAGGGGAATGCAAAACAACCAAAAAAGTCTCCGAAAGTCAGGACTGATGCAAGCCGCTAATCATTCTTTAGTAATATTGCGTCTGTCTCTCTTGGTCCGGTCTTCGGTCTTGGGTTTTTGCCGTACAACTTGACAGGAAGAAGAAAAAAAAACTATCATTTGAAAGAATGAAAATAATCAATACTTCTCCTCCTTCCCTCCCTCATCATCCTGTCTCTGTCTTTCTAAGATGACTTACCCATTGGACAAAGTGGGCACAAAAGTGTCAAATTTGCTCCACTATCAACCTTATCCGGCTTACCCTTTCAAAGATACCGTTTTGGCACACGTGTTTCCCAAAACATTCTTTGATTGGTCACTTCAATTAGCCGTCCCAGTCACTTTCGCTTTGCTTTACTATACAATCGCACATTCTGCCAATCATTTCCAGAGTGGATTCGATCATACAAAAGGTGACTCTTTCAAGGCAAAAGTGTTGAGAGCGGTCGTGATCCTTCACAATGCCGGCCTTTGCCTTTACAGCTTTTTCACTTTCTTCATGTCAGCTCCAGTCGCTTTGGACTTGTTTGCTCAAGGTTGGAGAGCAGCAGGACATGAAGGTTTAAAGTTAGCATTATGCTCTATACCCGCAACAAACAGTTTGATCGGTAGATGGAGTTATATCTTTTATCTTTCAAAGTATTACGAAGTGATGGATTCGATCATTTTGTATCTCAAAGGCAAGAAGATTGGAAATTTGCAATCTTATCATCATGCCGGTGCTTTGTTTAGCATGTGGATCGCATACAGATTACAAGCTCAAGCCGTTTGGGTGTTTGTCGTTTTCAATTCGGGTGTGCATACGTTCATGTATGCTTATTATTTCTGTGCCGCTCTCAAATTACCATTCCCAAAAACGTTGAAGAGAAATTTGACAACTTTGCAAATCTTACAAATCGCAAGCGGTACATTGTTGGTGAACTTGTACTATTTCCTCAAATTGGACCCAGTCTATGTTTATGGTCAATTATTGGGAAGTGGTGTCAAATCAGTTTTGCCATCTGCAATCTTTGCATCAAACGGACATGATGCTTCTTTGTTAGCCACTGCACAATCCGGTTTCAGTAAAGCACTATTTGGATCGTCAAAGAGTGCTTTGACTGCATCTGCAGCAGGACAATCTTTGATGCAATTGAGCACATACGCACAAGCAAGAGCAACATTCCCTGCAAGTCAACGTGATAGTTGTATAGAAACAACTGGTTCGGCTGTTGCAATCCTTGGTAATACGTTGTACATGGGACCTCTTTTGGTCTTGTTTGCCAACTTTTTCATCTCGAGTTATTTCAAGCAACAACAACAAAGCAAAGCAAACGGCTTCGCTAAGGGTAAACAACAAAACGGTAATGGCAAAGCCGTTAATGGTAAGCACTAGATGCGCTTCTTGAACATCAAATGAATCGTACCGTCGTTATATTTCTTTAAAATCATAATTTTCTTTTGATACCTGTAATCACAGAGGATGTGGTACTTGTATACCATCTTTTCTTGCTATAATGGAATAATTGAATCAATCGACAAGCATTACCTTTAAACTTCGATTCAACATTTATGATATTCACGATTTACTCAACTTTGAACCCTAGACTTGTGAAAATATGCTAGCGCAAAGCAGGCGAAACGCCGTTTATAGCTCAACGCTTGTCTGCGTATGTGGAGATTGAGAACGACAAAACTTCTTAAATTGTTCAATCATCCCAAGGTCTTTCATGTCACTTGCTAGTATTGCACGACGGACAGCCTCTCACGCACCAATCCAAGCAAGACAATACGCCATAATGTCATTCAAGCCATCCTACAACTACATCACCGCATCAGACTTTGCCAAAGCATGGCGAGAGCAAAACAGTAAGCCCAGTCAAAAAGGCTGGACGGTGATTGATGTACGTGATGATGATTTCGAAGGAGGTCATATAAAAGGTTGTAGAAACATTCCTTCAACGCAATTTCCTGATCAAGTTGAAAAATTAGTTGAAGAACTAAAAAATGCAAAAAGTGTATTGTTTCATTGTAGCCTCTCACAGGCTCGTGGTCCAAAAGCTGCAAGGATTTATAAGGAAACACGAGAAGATGCCATACAAGCCGGAAAGATTGATAGCAAACAAGAACAGAATGTCACTGTCTTACGTGAAGGATTCTCAAATTTCGGAGCATTGTACAAGAATGAAGAAGACTTAGTAGAAGATTACGATGAAGAATCTTGGAAATATCGTTAAAGAGAGGACCATATCATTTACAACCAAGATCAAAAGAATAGAATTTACATGGTATTGCCATCGCATGCTTGTTTCCAAGCCATATCAAACGAGGACCATCCCATAGGAGGACTTTGACAAATTTTCAAATCACGTACAAACATTTGATGTGTTGAAGGCGTTTGAGGTTTTGCATTTTGCATAACATTTCCTCCAATGGCAATATTGAGCATGATTTGAAAATGTGAGAATGGCCTTATACCTTTTGGCACATTCGCACGCATTGTAGGCTTTCCGTCAAAGAACCAAATCAATCCTCTTTCTGACCAACAAAAACCATAAGTGTGACCGGTTGTATGTTGATCTTTTGAAATTGGGTGATAGCGTACCCTGTGTTTGTTATAATCTTCTCCGTTAAAATGACCCCAATGAGCACAATTTCCATTCTCATGTTTACCATCCCAACCCTCACAGATATCAATCTCTCCATCACCTGGCCACGTGAAAGGCTTCTTGGGTAATAGCCAAAACGCATACCAAATCGCCTTACCTTGAGGAGCTTGAATGTGTGCCTCTACATATCCACGCTCAAGGTCCAAGCATTGTTTACTGACCAATCGAGCACTTGTATACGAAACACCATTAGGTTTTTGATCGTCTTTTTCTATATTTGCACAAATGACGAGCGCATCCCCTTGTGCAGTGATGTACGCATTCTGCGGTGAATCAGTGTACGTTTGCAATTCTTCATTTCCCCATCCATGTCCTCCTATATCGTATGTGAACGAGTGAGAGATTGGCTTTGTAAGATCTGGTGTCCAGTAAATGTTTTCTGTTGCGTGGGAAGTCATTTTGGTTGTAAAGAGGGAGAGCCCCCTTCACTCTTTCATCAAATCACAGCACAACAATACGCCTGGCCAATCTGTTCCGTCTACGTGTTTATTCGGAACGCCAAAAGGACCAATAATGCGAAAGCCTTGGGATTGATAATATTCACGAAGACCAAAAGGAGGTCCGGCAAAACAATCAGAAAATAAAAACCTCTTTCCTTCTTTTCGTGTAAGGGATTTGCAATAATCCAATAATGCTTTTCCAACACCTTTACTGAGATTGTCCGGCGTGTTTCTATCGGAAATGAGTCTATCTAAATAAAGGAAATCTTTGGATTCTATAGTTGATCGAATATGCGCTCGTAATTCTTCAACGTTTGTGACGTATGTTGGAAAGACGGCATCCACAGTTGCAGCACCACACTTGATTGTTTGTCTGCCGTCTTGAGAAAGCTTTTCAGCAATAACTGTTCTTATATATTGATCTCCCTGTAATTCTTCTTCACTTTTGATGACTAATTGTTTGATGAGAGTAACTGCCCTTTCTCTTGTACTGAATGGTTGATTTCCCCATTGATTACTTCCTACGGTATCTGTAAGATATCTCACTGCTGAATCATGAGCTTGTAAGATGAACGTTGAATCTTGTTTTGCTTCTTGAGCAGGTCGGATATGAAAGCCGTTATTCATTGAATTGTCAGCGGCGGCGGGGTATGAGCGGAAGAAATGAATCTAACCGCCGGTTGAAGCAATGAGCTTGAATGCCAAGATTGTTTTGCTTGGCAGGAACTTGGGGGGGGGGGGTAAAAGATTAAAGTTGACAAGAGAGAGAATAAACGCGTCTCTTCTTTTACTCTAAAAGCCAAGAATTCGATAAAAGCCACAGCTCTTGGCAGGTTTGACAGAGAGACTGGTGTTGTGCCTATCTCACAGCACTGAAAATAAAATAATTTAAAGTCGCCGACAGGACAGTGTTGCTTGACATGACTTCTCAACTGACACTAAACACTCCACTTTCGGATCAAAAGAGAGGCAGTGATGAAGAGGAGAACGGAATGAATAACAGGGGAAAAGATCGCAATGAGAACAATTTGTACACGTTGAAATGATTATGAAAGAAGATAATAAAGATCAACTGCACATCACCACTCTTTACAGGCAAAACGATCAATTCTCCCTCCCCAAGAGCATGTACGCCAAGAACTGTCTAAATTCTTGGCCTATCCGACGGTTTATCTTTTGGTCAACAGACCCAAGATTGGACCAGATGTCATTTCATTTAAAAACCAACATCATCCCGCCGGTCTTCATTCTTCTTATCCCCCATCATCATCCCTTTTCCTCTTCCATGCTATTCACATTCAAAAGGTGATAGCATATATTCTGAAGAGAAGTAGACATTTACATACATAACCTCATCCTCACACCAAGGTCAAGATGGATAAGCGCACAGAAACGCAATCAACAAGCGTTTCAATCTCGCTACCAAATGGAGAGAATGAAAAACAACTTCAAGAACATAAACGAAAAGAGAAACCAGCCGAAAAGGTTGAAAAGAATTTTCCAAGAACAACAACAATTTCAAACGCACCACAAGGACCAATCGATCGTGAAGAAGCAATTCAACATGCATACCTTTATCCTGTTGAACCTGTTTTGAACGCTCTTCAAACTGATGCTCAAAAAGGTTTAAAAGAATCAGAAATCGAAAAGAGAAGAGAAGAATTCGGCAAGAATGTTCTGCAAGGTGGAAGTGAAATTAGTATCGCACGTATCTTGTTCAGACAAATTGCAAATGCAATGACGCTCGTTCTCCTTTTAGCATTCGCCGTTTCACTCGGTATCAGATCTTGGATCGAAGGAGGTGTACTAGGATTCGTTGTCGGACTAAACGTCTTAGTCGGAGCCATTCAAGAATACAGTGCTGAAAAGACAACAAACGCACTCAAGAATCTAGCTTCTCCCACCGCAAGAGTGATTCGTTCTGCAAACACATACAGCATTCCAGCCGAAGAAGTAGTTCCAGGTGATATCGTAGAATTGGTCACTGGTGATACTGTGCCCGCTGATATTCGTATCGTCGAAGCAATGAACTTTGAAGCGGACGAAGCTTTACTCACCGGTGAATCATTACCCGTTGCCAAAGATGGTGCAATCGCATTTGGTGATAAAGACAAGGATCCCGAAGAGATTGACGTTCCAGTCGGTGACAGAATCAATATGGCATACAGTTCAAGCAGTGTTACCAAAGGAAGAGCTTTGGGTATCGTCGTTGGAACAGGAATGAATACCGAAATCGGTAGAATCGCAGACGCTTTACGTGGTGCTGATCGTAGCAGCAAGATTCGTGAAGTTAAACGTAACGCACATGGTAAAGCACTTCCTCATAGATACGTTCAAGCAGGTGCTCTTACCGTTTACGATCGTGTTGCTGCATTTTTAGGATTAACAAAAGGTACTCCTCTTCAACGTAAATTATCATGGTTAGCCATCATTTTGTTCTTGATTGCAATCTTATTTGCAATCATTGTATTCCTGGCAAATTTGACTGGAAACGTAAGTCCATGGGGTCAACAAGAAGTAGCAATCTACGCAGTGGCAACGGGTGTTTCCATGATTCCTGCCAGTCTAACAGCCGTTTTAACATTAACGATGGCAAAAGGTGGAAAAGCAATGGTGAAAAGAAACGTAATCGTCCGTAGAATGGAATCTTTGGAAGCCATTGGTGGAATTACAGACATTTGCTCAGACAAGACTGGTACTTTAACCCAAGGAAGAATGGTTGTTCGTAAAGCATGGTTACCTGCTCGTGGTACATACACTGTCAATGAAACAAATGAGCCTTTCAATCCAACACTTGGAGAAGTTTACCGCAACGAAGTCGAGCCTTCAAGCGAAAAAGTATCCGGATCCGATGAAAGCAACTCCGAAAAACAAAGTCAAAGCATAGACGGAGAAACAATGACAGATGGAAGTGCAGGTGATAGCAAAGTGATTGAAGATGGTAAATTTTCCAATTTCCTAAACGTTGCTTCTCTTTGCAATACGGCAAAAGTGTTTAAAGATAATGAAACAAACGAATGGCTTGCTCATGGTGACCCAACAGAATGTGCAATTCAAACTTTTGCTTGCAGATTCGGTTGGGGTCGTACGAAACTTACAAAGATGGACGATAACGTTGGTGAACGTGATGAAAGGAAGAAGAAAGCGCCTTGGAAGCAAATCAGCGAATATCCTTTCGATAGCAGCATCAAACGTATGGCAGTCACTTATACAGACAAACAAAACGATCGCCATTTAGCATTCATGAAAGGTGCCGTCGAACGTATTTTGGATGCTTGCACAACCGTACAGATGGAATCCGGAAATGAAAGTATCAACGATGAATTCAAACAACGTGTTTTGGACAATATGGAAGCTTTGGCTGCAGGTGGCTTGCGTGTTTTGGCTTTGGCAATGCGCCCTTTGACCAAGTCGGAAGTCGATCAAGATTCTGACCTCGATCGTGAAGACGTAGAGAAAGATATGATCTTTTTGGGTCTTATCGGTCTATACGATCCTCCTCGTCCAGAAACGGCAGGAGCAGTAGAAGTTTGCAGAAAAGCAGGAATCAAAGTTCACATGTTAACAGGTGATCATCCTGGAACGGCAAAAGCTATTGCATTGGAAGTTGGAATCGTACCACGTGATACAAGAAATATGTCAAAAGCTGAAATTGATGCACTCGTCATGACTGCAACTCAATTCGATCGTCTTTCAGAAGATGAAATCGATCAATTGCCTCAATTGCCACTCGTTATCGCTCGCTGTGCTCCTCAAACAAAAGTACGCATGATCGAAGCTTTGCATAGACGCAAAAGACTCTGTGCAATGACAGGAGATGGTGTCAATGATTCTCCTTCTCTCAAAATGGCTGACGTTGGTGTGGCAATGGGTTTGAATGGAAGTGATGTTGCAAAAGATGCAAGTGATATCGTATTAACCGATGACAACTTCGCCTCAATCGGAAATGCAATCGAAGAAGGAAGAAGAATGTCTGATAACATTCGCAGATTCGTCTTACATCTTTTGGCACAAAATATCGCTCAAGCGTTCTTACTCTTAATCGGTCTCGCATTTAAAGATGGCGCTGGTTTTTCCGTTTTCCCAATCAGTCCTGTCGGTATCATGTTTGTCATCATGCTCACTTCCGCTTTACCTGCAATCGGTTTGGGAATGGAAAAGGCAAACAGAGGAATCATGTCTCGTCCACCAGATGATCTTTCACACGGTATCTTGCCACCAGAATTGATGTTGGATTGCGCCGTTTACGGTATTTTGATGGCCGCTTTGTGCTTGGCAACTTTCACAATCAGTCTTTACGGTTTCGGTCCTTCATTCTTGGGAGATGGTTGCAATTCCGGTTATAACCCATCTTGCCAACCTGTCTTTTTGGCCCGTGGGGCCACTTTGACGGTAATGATCTGGTTCAGCTTATTATTGGCTTGGGGTTTATTGGACCTTCGTAGAAGTTTCTTCAATATGCGTTCAGGTCATTCAATTTGGACTCAATGGTTATTCGATGCATACAGCAACAAAGTTCTCTTCTTTTCCGTCATCTTCGGAATTTGTTTCAGTATCGCAATCCTTTATATTCCCGTTATCAATGATGACGTCTTTTTGCAAAAAGGAATTTCATGGGAATGGGCAATCGTTATCATCACCTCAATCCTCTTCTTTGGTGGAATCGAATTATGGAAATGGGGCAAAAGAATTTATTTCCGTAGAAAAGAATTCGCTCAACGATCTCATTCTTTTGATGAAGAAACTGCCAACAACAATAAAGTTGAAAAATAATCTCCTTAGTTCTTACCTTCCCACAAATGATACCATCATGCTTTTGTATATTTATTAAAGTCGCATACTATATTTTGAATAGATGATAATCAAAACACATTTTAAGAATTGGGATTGTATGTTCCATTGAAAGAAAGATCTACGTATATATGATCGATCCTTAAAAATACATGAAGGAAAATAGTACATTATGTTATGAGATGCAATAAAGATATCTTTTATATGTTAAAAATGCGTAATGACGAGAAGAAGTTGTAAAAAAAAAAACATATTACAAAGATGCGATGGAAAGAATTATCGCATCTGAGAAAGAATAATCGAGCATTGTTGTTACTTTCCATTATGAATCCACTTTGCATGTATATTTCCTGTGTCAAAAAATGGAAGACTATGACTCCATTGAGGTAGATTCTTCCTTGAAATCAATCGAAAAAGCCCCACTTTGGGCTATTGTTATATTTTGAGTTCTTTAAAATCGTGATATTTAAGGTGCGGGCGTTTGAGACAATCGACTAGCAGGCTCTGATAGCCACCCTCCTTTCTCCCAAACGTGACCTGGCTTCCATGTATCATGATCACGGATTTCTAAATGTGTTAGTCCTTTCAAAAGTTCTCGAAGCCTATTGAAGTCGATGGGCTTCAAAAGCCATCCATCCATTCCGATATCACACATTTCTTGACGCATGCTGTAGTTTAGAGTAGCAGAAACGGCAAAGATGGGAATTCTGCCGTTCAAAACGTGCGCAGCGGGCCTATTTGCGAGTGCCTCTCCCTTTCGTTTATCCTCACATTCTCGTATACGTCTACAAGAATCTTGTCCGTTGCAGATTGGCATTTGGAGATCCATCAAAACTACGTCGATTTCGTTACCGTTTGATTCAAACTTCAAATAACCTTCTTCTCCGTTGACTGCCAACAAGATCGAATGGCCGTCCATGGAAAGCCTTTTCTTTAAGATCATACGATTCACCGGATCATCTTCGACTACGAGAACGCGCAATGGTGACACTTTGTTCGATTTAATTGTGGGACTGGGCGTTGCCGTCTCAGTTTTTGAAGCGACCAACTGTGCTCTCGCTCTCCTGCGATCAAAGACACGTTTTACCGTGTCACCAGAATGTTGCGCATTGGACGATCCAGATTCTGCACTCGTCGATGTCGGAAGTGGCTCGGGAGTTTCCGCTAAATTCAATTTGGCATCAGGCATAGGAACGGAAGATGGCGGATCTTCACGTTCACCGCCTTTCCCTTGAGCAAATTTATTAGACATTGAAGGTGCTGAAGAAGGTTGCGGCCGAGCGGACGGAGCTGCTTGTTCTGTTGCTCCTAGCTTGGAAGGCACGTTATGTTTCTCTCCCCCTTTCACCGCATCAAGTTCGTGTCTATCAACCTTGACGCTACGCAAAGGAACTACGGAATCAGTAATGGCAATCGCTCCGTCATTCGACGAAGATCGTCCTTCCATTTTCGATGAACCGATTTGCGATCGCGAGGTTGAACTGATTGCTCCTTTTGTTGATCGCATATTGTCGAAACTCCTTCGAGAAGCTGATCCTTTGCTTTCGTCAAGATGAGGAGCAGAAATAGCTTCCACCAAAGAATTGATCTCACTCTTTACGCTCGAATTGCCACTTCCGCCACTTTCCATAGAATTGCTCCTCTGCAGCTTACTCTCACCGCCATCATTGCGCTCTGCGGCTTCTGATGCTGAGGAAGCACGGAAAGGCAAGAAATAGGTAAACCTGCTTCCTTCACCGACTGTTGAATCCACGCGCAATTGACCGCCGATGTTCTTGACGATACGTGCGACAATAGCCAACCCTAAACCAATGCCACTGTCTTTGCCATCAGCAGAGCCTCGCCTGTTTGTTACCATGCTACTGCCAGAAGACATGGACCCGGACATCGCATCTTCGCGTCGATTGTTCGGATCGGCAATCACACTTTCCACCTGCTCAAATTCACGGAAAATTGCTTCCAGCTTTTCACGTGCGATTCCCTTTCCGGTATCGCTGATTGACAATTCGATCTCCATATCGCAACCTTCAGGCAACTCAGCAAGTATTTCTTCATCCGTCCTTCTGCGCATTTCAACGTGAATATGTCCCGAATCCGTGTATTTGACACTATTGCTGACCGTGTTGACGACAATTTGTCGAACTCTTGCGGAATCACCAATCACATAACAGGATTGGGGATCAGTAGATAATGTGAATTGAATCTCTCTTCTCTTAGCTTCCAATTCATGCATCTCTACCGCATCTCTAACGGTCATTGCTAAATCGAAAGGTTCTTGCAAAAATAATTTGTTGCCCTCTTCATGTCTTGTAAGATCCAAAAGATCATTGATAACGAACAAAAGACTTTTGGAAGCCATGTGCGACTTGCTCAGGTTTTCACGTGTATCATCATCCAGAGGGCTATCCAATGCCATTTCCAAGTAATTGATGATATGATTGAGCGGTGTACGAACTTCGTGGGTCGCATTAGATAACAAGAGCTTGTTCAATTGGTTGTATTGCATGGCTTGTTCTCTCTGTCGCCAAACGCTGATAAATTTACCATAGACTAAACAAAGCACCGAAGCAGTCTCCAATTCTTCGTCTTGCCAAGCACGACAAGTGCCTACGACAACTTCTGACCAAATCTTGAATGACTTGCGTGGTTCCAATACAGCCTTCCCTTCACGTCCCTCCTTGAAGGGTTTTCCTGCCCAATTAACATGACGGGTTTGAGCTTTGCGCATGAAAGTGATAAAGTCGATACCTGAACTGCTTAAAGGAATCAACATCAAACCTGCAATGACCTCTAAGCCATTTGGCAAAACCATGTCGGGGAAATCGCTAGCTACGTCTTGACTGGTGATCACTTGTTGGAATTTTTTGATACGCAAATATTCGGTAACAGCCAACACTTCTTGACTTGCACTTAGAGGTCCTAGAATCTTTGCTTCATTACCAATAGCGATCACACCAAAGTCTGCGTCGAACAATTTCAACAAATCCTCGGCATTCGAAATGATGTAACCACTGGGGTTGCGATCTGTCGGCAATGTGTTGATCAGCTTTCGTGCTGATAGACGTCTGGTGTAACTCAATCGTTCAATGTTGCGTGAGACCGAATCTCCGATCAATCGACATAATTGACGTACGGGGAAAGAAATTCGTCTTCCATGAGATCCATAAGTATGCAAAGAGATTAAGCCCCAAAGCTGATCGAATGCAGTGATGGAGATTGACATCGATGCACGTACTCCCATGTTGGCCAAATATTTGATATGGATTGGGCTCATTGCACGTAAGAATGAATGCGTCATATCCACGGGCGATTCCAAATCTGACTTTTCACGGCATACCATCCGAGCAGAGGGTTGATCGCGATCATAGAGTAATCGAATCTTGTTGATCATGTAAAGATCTCTTGCTTGTTTGGGAATATCTGTCGCGGGAAAATGTAGACCTCTGTAGAGATCATGGGTATCATTCCAATCTACCAATTCGCACACCACTTGACCGTTCCACTTTTCATCAAATTGATAGATCATCACTCGTGAGAAGCAAGTCAGCTCTCGTACGATACTGACAACCACTTTCAAGAATGCCTGCAGATCATTTTGTGCCGAGAATTGTTCGTTTACTTGACTCAAGATTCCAAACATATCCAGCATGTCTGCGCTATCATCCAAGCCCATACCCGGACCTTGCGCGGTTGCTATGCTAGATGTGGGGCTATCGGGTCTCTTTTTCCTTCTGGGTCGCTCACGTTTTCCGGTGAAATCTCTCTTCATCCTTTGCAGAGCTTTGAGTGGTTTGGAAGAAGCTTGTGTCGACTCCATGAATTGCTCAGGAGTTGGAACGTATGGCATACCTTCCAATCCGCCTTTAACCTTGGTCACCGTAGCGATTGCAGCACTCACTTTTGTTGTGCCATCCGAATCGATAGTGGTTACACTTGGAGGTGGTGAGATTCCTCTACTGCTCATATTACTCGTACTGCTACTCTTTTCCGTTTCATTCTCTCCAGGCGATGGAGGAGCGCTCCTTTGAAAGATTGGATTGATGGAATCGCCGATTAATTCAAACTCCAAGACAACTAGAGTTCCCATCTTCTTGCTATCATCGCTAAGCGATTCCGTTTCAAGTTTGTCTTTGGGCTTATCATTCGTCACACGATGAGCAGCACACCATGCTTTCCACGATCTTCCCGGTCGTCTAGGCCGCTGTTGGCCGCGCCCATTGATCTGGAATACGTTCGGGCCAGATTCAACGAGATCAGACTTAGAGTCGTTTAGCATTTCGATATTGTCCCATAGCACATCTGCTTGATCATCGTCAAAGCAATCCAAGAAAGACTCCAACTTGAATAAATGCGCCGGTGGTAATCCAAGAATGTCTCCTGTATTCTCCGAACATTGTCGTACCACTAAGCATCCTTCTTCCTCCTCTCTGACGACTACCATACATCCAAAAGATTGCACTGCGCCAGGAATGTGAATCGGCTCATCTTCGCACCGTGTGATCTCCCCTTCTCGTCCAGTGACGACCATATGGCCTTGATCTGTTGCGACATGCTTGAATCTCGGTAGAGTCATTGATTCGATATGATCTTTTTCCGCCTGTAGAACTGATGCACTTGAAGATTCATCAATACTGGCATTACCATCAAATGATGAACCACCAGTCTTTGAAGCACCCTCAGCTGATCGTGGTCGAGGCGATCTGATCAAAGGTACTGAAGGCTTGGGAGCGTCATCTCCTAGGCGCAAATTACGCATTTGATCTACTGATGGATCCAGTGATATACTCCCTCTTTCGATCGAATCAGCATTCATATCCTCACCTGCCAAGAAACTTGCCTCGTCCTGAGAAGATGCCTCGGATGGCATTTCTTGTAAAGAGGCGATGGTAGGAGAACGAACACGACTGGGTGGCGGATCACGAAGATCAAACGTATTACGGGTTAAGGGAGTTTTTTGCTTTTGATGAAATTCTTCCGATGCACCAGAGGGTAAACTTGGCTTCTTTTGTTTGGGAGAATGTTGCGAGGCAGAATATGCGTTTAATGAAGCGTTTCTGTTATGCTGACCGGATGAACCTGCTGGTTTAACAGAAACGGCTGAACGAATCGGATAGATAAAAGGTGTTTGGCCACCTCCGCTTGCCGAGCCCGGTGAACGTAATTCACTTGGACTTTGAGGTGGCGTTGGCATGATGGGCAACGATTGATATGGATGATGTTTATCTGGGCATCTGAAATGGAGTGATTGGTCGAGAAACAAGGAATGCTATGTTGTCCAATTGCTTGTGTAGTATGCGAATCCTAATCAGGCTTCCAGGTGTTGCAAAAGTGACTGTGCAATGTTGGTATTGAAGGTGATGTGGCCCTTGTCACAAAAGTTGCATAAGTCGAAAGATGAGAATTGCAAAAGTACGTAATCACGCCAGCCTATCCTTGTCGTATGATACTCCTCAAGACGAGACAGCCTCAAAACGAAGAAAGGTTGACCAGATGAAAAGGCCACTTTTTAAAAAAGTGATTGAAGTTATAATGTATGAATGGTACCAATCACCCGGCCTTCATCTTTCATTGTTCCCTTGCTAAGCTATTGGGTTAGTAAGGTTGTGTGTACAAGCAAGCGTACATGTTCGTCGTTACGACTGCATACGAGAAGGGACTTTTGCTCTTTTTTTTTCTCTCTCTCTTTGCTTGCATGTATGCAAATTGCCAGAGACAAAGTGGAAGCTGCCTGCTGCTCAGTCCCTCAATCAAAATACATAGCATAGCAGCAGCACATCCACTCACTCAACCTGTGCTTCACACACATAAACACTCAAGTCAGATCCTTCATTTATTCATTAGTCGACCGACGCGCGCAGCAAAAAAAAACACGTCTACACCTATTGTGTATTGTGTGTGCTGACCTGCAGTGCCTGTTTTCTGTGTAGATCGGATAATAGGGTTCAACAAAAACTAAAATAAAAAGAAGCGATTCAATACCCTCGGCTTATTCCGTAATAGATCTCACATAGAGAGAGAAGATATGCAGCCTCTATCGCGTAAGCTGTCCTTTTGATTGTACACAGCGATCGAGATCAGCTTAGAGCGGCGGACTTCTTGTGGCTTTTATCTCAATGAAAAAACAAGACATCTTATTCCCCGCTTCAATGAGAAACAATGGCAATGTACACATCATACGTTTATTAAGTGGCTCACTTTTTAAGCTTTCATTAGACTTAGCCACATCTTGCTGTTCCATTGTCATATGTCCGACATCAAATGGAAGCCACCGTAAACAAAGTCTGAGCACACTAATGGCCTCCATTTAAGACTTTTTTTTTCTTCTATCAGCAAGGCTTTGCGTACAGGTCTGTGTTTAATTGATTGATGATTTAAATATACACATGCTAAAATAGTACAAGTATACAGGTTTGCTGTCACAAGAGAATAAAGATCAGCGAACCTGTCCAAAGGTATCACATGTTCTATCTGCCGAGCTTACTTCGCCCAATGCATTGTCAGTGCTAGCATTGGAGATATCGGTAGACGAATAAAGATATCGATCCAATCGCTCTTGTTCATCTTCTGAGATCATAAATTGTTCATTCCATCCGTTCATACTTCCTCCCATCACACCAAATAATTGTTGAGCAATCAATCCAATCTCGTCCAATTTATGAATCAAATCTTTCATACTTAACGCATAAGCAAAATAAAGAAGATATTCACTTGATCCACGAATCGCCCTTCTTTTTACGACTGGTAATTGTCGAATCTTTTCTAAAACTGCTTTTCGAGCTTCTTCTGCTGGTGGAAAAAATGGAGGCAAAGGTGTTTTGAGGTGGAATGCTGAACCCAAAAGCCAAAAGAATAAACAAACATTGCCAACCATATTGCGTCTTAAGCCTGAAGCATCCACTGGTATAATAAAATCTTGTCGAACGTCTGTATGCCAATCCGGCCTGGATGTGACGAGATTCATAGTATGCAGAAGATCGAGTACGTGCTGACTACATCCCAGTAAACGTCTGTATTGCTCTACCGGAAAAGGTCCTTTCAGTCTAGGCTCGTGACGGGTTTGGGCCAACAATCCTTCTAATTTGATGATATTCACTTGCAATGCCAGCTCAATCGTTTGTATTTCGCTCAGCTCTCCATGTCGTTCAATCAAAGGTTGAGATTCGATCGTGTTTGCACGGGATCCAAATCCATTTTCAGCTTCTTGTGAAGGTGCTTCAGCAGATGAATAAGCCAAGACCAGCTTTTGATAGAGAAAGGCTAATTTGAATAACAATTCCGACACTCCTCTCGTCAATTCTCGTCTTGCTTCCGTAGGCCAAACAAGATGATTAAGAAGTGTTGCCCAAACAACACCGACGATCACATCGACCATACGTCGGATTGCAATCTCTTCCACTTCGATACCGACTTTACGTACATTGTACGAATACAAAGCAGTAAGGTTGTAAGTCAGCAATACAAAGCGACCACTAGATGCATATTGTGGCTTCCCGATAATCCAAAAGAAGCACGGAATAGAAAAGATCGCACCAAAGATTGGCAAAGCGACATTGTTATCGGGGAAAAGCCAATAAGCCAACGTTGCTGCCACAGCTCCTGCCACCGTTCCTCCGATTCGATGAACACTCAATTGATTGCTCTGACCTACAGTTGGACTAAGAACAACCAAGAAACTAATTAGAGCCCAGTGAGCTTGAAATTCGGTAAAAAGTGGTCGTGTACTTGCGATGAAAGCGGGGCTGGCAAGAAGCGCACATCCTAATCCAGTCTTGATTGCAAACTTGGTATCGGGCTGCTTGAAAAATTGTCCCAAACTCCATACTGTCCGATTCAACTTTTCTCGTCTCGTGAATGGAGCAGGTGTTTGCGATGTGTCAGGATGATGAGGTTGAGGAGAAGCCAGAGAAAAGGCGGGAGTGTTGCGTATAAATAGCGCATACACTGTGCTACCGAAAGACTCTTCTTTTGAGGATCTTCCCCAACGATCATTGCGAAAACCGAAAAGGCCTTTCAAAGAGTTCAGCATACGAGTGTAGATTGGTCCATGACGTTTCTCTTGAATATGCTTTTCGTCCTTCCTGATTATCTCTAATGCTTCTATGAGTCTCTCGAGTTCTTTTGCGAATTCCTCAATCAAGAAGAGGAAGTAGAAAATAAGGAAGACGTCTTCATCCGACTTCTGCCCTTGCATCTCGGCAAGACTTTCTGCCTCAACCGATTGGCGCGGGTAGACGGAATAAGAGCGCTTAATAGCCACCGTTCTTTCGTGCTTGAATTCCTTCAAGGCTGATCTGACCTTTTGAGCCATAACGTCAAACGTTTCATCATCTTGGACGTCTTTCTTGTATCCTTCTCTAGAATCTATTCCTTTCACCGTTGCTTCGAAAGCAGTCGTTAGTCCTTTCAAGGTCTTGCCACAGGTTGACACCAAGCTTCGTACATGCGGCCCAAGACTTTCCAGATAATGGTCAAATGCAGATTGTCTTGGCTTAGACTTCTTAGGGGTGATGAATTCGTCTGGATCATCTACGCCCGTTGGCGATTGTACGGTGACCGAAGTATCTTGTCCATCGCCATCGAGATAGACAGATGTAGTGAAGCCTCTAGAAGCTCCTGTCGAGCTAGATCTTGCTTGGTGTCCTGGCGAGGATTGTACCATCTCATGCTGCAAAGTACAGCTGGTACGTAGACCTCCAAGATGTTGTGCTAAGACGTTCAGACTGTCAACAACTCGCACATAGCTTGATATTCTCCCTCGTATCCGCTGATCAAAAGGCGCTTCGAGCTTTGCCTCTTCTAAGTCTTTTTTCAGACTGATAAATGAATCGTGGTGATTATCAATGGCTGCTTTGATTCGCTTAGACTTGATACTAAATTCAGTGATATCTTCCATCAAGAATGTTTTGGTCAAAACCCGTAACAGGGTCGAAAAACTCTTGAGGTTTCGTTGAATGTCGTACTGTAAGCTGGTGCAAGCACTTTGCGGCCAGATCGTGAAGCAGACTACATTTGAAATCAAAACTCCAACAAACACGACCAAAGTTACTTGCCAGATCTTATCTGTAGAAAAGTGACCGAGATGAGAAGAACCTTCCTTCACGATAACGGTAAAGATCAAAACACCTATCAAGGAGCATGCGGTATTGAATGTCGGCCTTCCAACACGTACCCGAGCAAAACCGACCAGAGAAGTGCCAAATCCAACAAAGAGAATGATACTTATAGCGTTGCTCGTTAAGGGAAAGTCATTCTCGTGCAGATAGACTGCAATCGTCATTGAGGTGAGAGCGAGAGTGATTGCATATACGAAACCGAAAAGGGCAAAGATGTTTGCTTCCACCATTCCACCGACAGATCTTCCAGGATGAAAGTAAACTGCCACAGTAGCAATAAAGTGTAGATTTGAGATTGGCACCATCTTTGAGGGGTCATGGTTGGGAAGTAAGACGGCCAATTGGTGCGAAAGAGATGGGACATATGTGCACAACGAAGCCAAAGCATAAGCGATCACACATTTCACCACCTTTTTCAGGAATGATTCTGATATTTTCCATTTTTTCGCCTTTTCTTTGATATACTTGACTGTGTTAAATTGTCGTGACAGATCGATTTCGGACTGTTCCCTTCTTCTTATGTCGGAAGCAGTGGGCTCTTCTATATGTTCTATTTCATCTTCGCTAGATGAGCTATCATCCTGATCTTGGGGTATGTTTGCAGATGAGGACCTCCTTCTACCTAAGCGTGAATAACTGCTTCCGGCACTTCTTGAAGAGACAGAGGCGTACCCTTTTGGTTTTACACCATTTGCCATGTTTCATTCACCTTTCATCCCACCTTTCAGCAATGGTGGTCATGAAGACTAATCTTCTTCCGCTTCACCTTCTCTTGCCCCTATTATGCACCTTTGCTGCAAGCATTGACATTTTAGCTCCGGACCCTTTTTTTTTGTTTGTGTGTGTGTAATGCCCGTGCATTTCAAAGCGTAGGTACGTGCTGATAAGGTGGAGAGCAGTAAGTGAACAAAGGGGTGTGAGTAACTTACCACATCCTCCTCCCACCATCTTAAAGGCAATCAACGATCATTTACTCTGTCGACAACAGTGCTCACAATGCGATCTTTAGCCTTGATCGCTCTATTGAGCTGTACGCTGAATGGCTTGGCCTCCCTAGCGCAACTTGCACCCAATCAAATCGTATTCCAATCTGGACCACAAGTCAATTACTCGGAACCTTTGGGTAACGCAAAAGCAGCATATACTCGTGCACAAAAGGTAGCAATCATTGGTGCAGGAGCAGGTGGATCAAGTGCAGCATACTTTTTATCAAAAGCACAAACCAAGCTCGAAAATTTGGGATTCGGTGCGCAAGGTATTGATATTACCCTATTTGAACGAGATGAACGAATAGGTGGTCGAACGACTGTCGTACATGCATATGATGACGAAAACCTCCCGGCGATCGAATTAGGTGCAAGTATTTTTGCAGACGTGAACAAAAATTTGCAAAGGGCCAGTAAACAATTCAACCTGGAAACAGGAGCAAAGCTTGGTGAAGATGGTGTAACGGGTGTTTGGGATGGACAGCAATTCTTGATCGAAGGATTGGATGACGGCTGGTGGAATTCTGCCAAGATGTTTTGGAGATACGGCTATTCTCCTTTGACGACCCAAAAGCTTGTCGGTAAAACGGTAGATGCATTCTTGCGTCTTTATGATCCTGCATACATGCACAAATCCAAAGATGAGAAAAAAGCGACTGATACAAACAACTCATCCTCCAACACAGAAAGCGGATACCCTTGGCGTACCATTGAAGATTTAGCTAAAGCGATGAGTTTTGATCAAATGGTCGCTCGTTCAGCTGGGGATTACTTTTATTTGCAAAGTGTGTCGAAACTTTTCATTGAGGAAATCATTGAAGCTGCTACATTGGTGAATTACGGACAAGAGGTTTATTCTATACACGGACTTGGCGGATCGGTCTCTTTGGCAGCAAGTGGCGCAACAGGAGTTGTTGGCGGAAATTACAAGATCTTCGAGAGTATGCTTGGGCATTGTGAAGCATTACATTTGCGACTGGGCATTCACGGAGAAGTTACCGGACTTGCTAAATTCAAAACGGTGGAAGAGGCTATTGAGGCTGATAAGATTGACGAGAAAGAAGCACGATCACTTGGCTATCTAAAGACAGATTCGCGGGAGCTGACTGAAGCTGGTTCAACGACAAAGTGGTGGCTCGGAACCAAGTCGGGCTATGGTGGATTGTTTGATGCAGTCTTTATTGCTGCACCTTGGCATTCGGCTGATATCACTCTGTTGAATACAAACGCAGTCATCCCGACACCCAGATACGTCCATCTGCATGTCACACTCGTCATTACCAAGGCAGACCAACCAAATCCGGCTTACTTTGGACGAGGAGAAAAAGACGTTATCCCCAACAGTATCTTGACGAGTCATGCCTCCGTGAGAAAGGCAGAAGAAGAAGAAGAAAAGAAGAAAAAGAGAAAAGAAGATGGTAAAGAAGGAAAAGATGCAAAAGGCACAGACAATACGAAAAGGATCAAATGGTGGCCTTGGAGTGGAGGAGATGACAAGAATCGTGGACCAAAGCTTGATTTCAATTCGCTAACTTATCTTGAAAAGATTCCATCACGAACAGAAGAAGGAAAAGAAGATCACATTGTCAAACTATTCTCTCAAGAACGTCTTAGCGATGATAAATTGAACGAAATCTTTGGTCAAGACAGTATCCTTTGGACATATAGAAAAGAATGGGACGCTTATCCGTATTTAACTCCAACGACGACATTCCCAAAAATCAAAGCAGACGATAATCTTTACTTCTTAAACGCAATGGAGACATTTATCAGTACGATGGAGACAGCCACTCTTTCAGCCCGTAACGCTGTTGCTCTTTACCTAGAACAACTGTATGGCTCTGACTTTGTACATGGCGGAAAGAACTGTCCATGGCAAAAAGAAAATGCTACCAAAGACGACAAGGAGCCACAAGAAGGCGAAAGCGATTGGGCCGCGTGGGGATGTCAGAGTGCTTAATCATTGCTCTTAAGTTTATCCTTTCTCTTTTTGATGATGGATTTCTTCTTGTATGCTTCTTCAACTGTATTTTAATCGAATTTTAATCATGACCTTACCTGACAAAACACTCTCAGCCCAGATTTGATCGAATAACTAGATGAATTGGAATAATCCAACAAAACTTTACAGTGCTTTCATTTCATAATGTACCGGCCATCTAAAGAGCAGAACATCGCTGATGATTATTGTTTCAATGCCTTGTGCCTTAGAAAAACGTAAGCGAGAGCGACAGTAGGGGCTTGCATGATTTGACCACACAAAAGGATCAATTCGAAGTGTGATCGAGCGTTCAGAAGGATGAGCGAGAAACCTTTTCCAATACTGTGTTTGGGGGGGAGAAGGATGTCAGCTTTATCAAAAAATTTTCCCTTTCATTTACTCTACCACTCACCTGTCTCGTGTGCAACTTCGCTCATATCTGTACCCTGAATTTCTGAAGAAATACCGACGAGTGATTTACGCAAAGCATCCTTTGAAGAAGCGTACAACATCTTTTGTTTAATCTTGCTGTCATCGGGGGACCAAGTGAAAAAGCAAATTTTATTTCTCTTTCCTTCTTCACCTTTTTGATATTCGACATCGTAAACGGCATAAGCGCATTCGGCCGGTTGTAAATGCTCCAAGAATTCGTCATAGTTTGATGATTCGGATGTTTTTGCGACAACGATTTCGGTATTGTTGGGAGAAAGTTTGAAGATGATATACTTTAATTTCTTTCCTAGTTTCAAAGATTGGAAAGCCTCTAGGCATTCTGGTGCCACTTTAACTCCGGAAGACTGTATTGAGGGTGTGAATTGGATGTGTTAGTAGAAATGTTCCGGTTGTACCTTATCGAGACGAGATGTTCCTTTGTTTGGGCGATTTGGGAGTGGCCTAATCTGTAATATCCGACCGCTCTTCACCCCGAATGCTCTCTATCTCTCTCCCTGCACTTACCATTCTCGGTGATCAATTTTATGTAGTATTTCTACTTTTTGTAGTTTGTTTGTTGTTGGTCGTTTTGATGAGAATATTGGTACAACATAAAACAGGAGGCAATAGTCTAATGTCGTGCACGGCCAATGTACTGCTTCGCGTAGAAAGTAGATTCTCGTTTATCACTGAGAGCGCGCGCAGTGTGTGTGTGTGCAGTGCAATTTCATGCCAATCTTTCTTCCTCCCGATCTTCCATATCTTAAGCGTGCATTTGTTGTGCAATACTAAGGTGTTAGATAATAATTCACTGTTGACTTTCTTCTCATAACATCGAAAGTCTGATCAGCAATCATGCTATAGGACCATAATAGCGACCTTCAATTATAACACTGTGATGATAACCTAATCGTGATTTGTGCCTGCGTATGAGATCCAAATGTTCTTTAGGGGTCTTTTCAAAGATCTGTTCAAACGCGCCAGCAAGACAAGCACCGAGACACGCGAGCACATTCCCCTTCTGATAAATTAATTATCTGCTGACATAAGCTGGATAATTTACACAGGAAGGGGATCGTGATTGCGATAAATTTCGAGCGAATACGTAACAATATTTAACATTCTCTCGGAAAGAAAGATAGAAATGTGGCTCTTTTCGCTGTCAGCTACATTTCTTGGTCATCCTCGAGAATACATTAGATGAAATCTATAAACATTCAGCGGATTCACGATTTCAATTTATTTATTTTTTAATGACATTTCTTTTTGCCAACTGATCATAATGTCGATTAAGTCCATGAACTGTGTATAGGACTTGATCAATGTTAGAACTGTGGTTGTCGTACCTCACCCAATGGCAAGCAATCAAAAAGCATACAAGGGAGAACATAGGTTAAAAGTACCCCTACTATCATTTTGTTTCTCTCACCACCACCACTATTGAAATCCAACTTTCTCTTCACTGTTAATAGGCTGAGCCGTAATGCTCCATTTTGCCTCGCCTTCAATTCACATGTACTATCTGAGCAATGGAATGATGATGATTGAATGTCTCCAAATCGACGATTGGGTGTTAAAGATACTTTTATTCAACATTTCAGTATATATTCAACCTTTGACCCACTTCTCATATCTGCGGCCACAGAACCGTGAAAGTACCGCATCCCGTCCGATCTGCGAAGTCAAGCACGGTATCGCCTAGTCAGTACTGCGGTGGGGGACCACGCGGGAATCCTGGGTGCTGCAGTTCTAATTCCTTTTTTGCATTCTCTTTTTGCTTCGAGGATCATTTGCAAGCATTCATCTTACCCTGATATACATTAGCTGCCCAAAAGGCATGAGATGATCGCATTTATGTAGTGTCTCAAAAATGTTAAGAATAAGACACAATCATTAAAATAAGATTGCATTTGTATTGATTGGGAAGAGTGATCGTAACAAGCGTTCAACAACCACACTTTTCCCATATGGTAGAATTCAGACAAAAGTTCTCCGTCACTCTAATGTTTCGTTCGTGATTCAAATCAATTGAATTCTGAGTAGGTATCGCAAAGTAAGTTACAGGATTAGGTGACCAAATATACAGATATAAGATTAGGTGATATACAAAATGAATCAAATCAACGAAACGAACTTAAAGGTGTCGTCCTAGCGGTGACCTTTGTTCTTCATGTTCATGCCACCAATGACTTTTCATTTGACGACCTCTTCTATCTTCTTCATCATCACTTTTCGCCGTTCGCACTTGATCCGATTGTCGTTTGAATCTTGATTTATCGGCATCAAGATGAACAGAAGCTAACCTTTGACGGTGAGAAGAAGATCGCATAAGAATGGCAAAATTATTAATCATACTTTCAACTTCATCATGTGTTTTTGGAGGTGTGAAAGATGAAAGTTGAACGGGATGTTGTGATGGACTTGAATGGGTTGTTGAATTTGTTGATGATTCTCCTTCAAAGTTTGTCTCGAAACTGTCTGCTTCTTCTTCTTCTGGTCCTTCTTCGTCATCGGATGAATCGCTATCGTCACTGAAATGAGAATTGAACGAAGACATTATTTGTGAAGATCGTTTCATTTCGGTTGCTTGTACAGTGCGGGTACGCAGAGGTGAAGAAGAGGTGATCGAAGCTCGTTTGCCATGCAGAGTGTACATGAATTCATCATGTGTCTCTGTATCAGCACTGTTGTCTAAACGACTGAATGGAGCTTGAGGTGGTGTTAGCTTGATTGGATTTGAAGATCCCTCTTGTTGTGATCCTGATCCTTCACTGCGTGCTCTTGAATGTCTCTGGAATGCAGCAGCAGTGACAGTACGATTGCTCGGTCGAGTAAATGCTCCGTCTAAAGAGCTACGTTTACTGTTGATAGCCATCTTGCTTTGTGTGTTTGATTCCACTTGTTTGGGTAAAGGTGGAAAGTATGAATCCATCCTTTCTGAAGGACGTGCTGGATGTTGTGAATTGTAGTAAGCGTGATGGATTGAAGCCATGATGTTGTTGAAGTCACCTTTCAGTAAAAGGGGAAGAATGAATGGATTGATAACAGGAAAAGAAAAGGGGCCGTCAAGAATATTCAACAAAAAAGAGGGGGATTATATTTATAGAAATGCTTGCTATTGATTTTTGATATTATTCGATCTGTGCTCAGCATCATTATATGCGCCGAGAAAGGAGGTTAATGACTCTGCATTTCGGCATGAAATTTACCTTTTTGACAGGAGGAAGGGCTGCATGCATTCATTATTCAGGAACGTTTTAATCCGAGTGAGTGGAGAAACATCTACCCAAAGACGTTCACCTCCGAAATTACTTCTAAAATTACGGCTTATCGGCAAATGATGTGTTGTGTGTTTGTTGTTGAAGCATATAGCCAAGTATCTTGACATTACCTTAATTTAGGGCGGCAAGATAAGTCCGAAATGCGCTGCGCAGAGCAGAGTAAAGCTTGCCGTGCAGTGTTGCATAGCAATTTAACTGTTAGATTCTGGGCATCAAAAGGCACACACAATGCCGTCGTACATACATTAAATCAGCCCAGCAAGCGCGGCGTTAACTTCTGATATCAGTTCAGGCACAACCGAATTCCGCGTGCAAATCCAAGGCCCGCGGGTGGGTAAAAGGGGTAAAACCGCTTGAAGGAAATCCGAGGAAGATCATATCTAGATAAGTGCTTATGAGATATATCTGCAAATGATGATGACATATTGCAAAGATGATATAATCATACATGCTCATAAGCAAAGCTTACGATAAAGGTTTAGTCCCATTGCTATCGACCTCTATGCTGGCCTTATAGAGGACTAAACATTAGTAAAGCGTGAAGATTTCAAACTCAACACAGTCTTCCAACCTGACTAAATACCGTACTTGTATATCATTGATCATTTCTTTATCCAGCATTGACTTTGAGTTCTTATATAACTAATACCTTTACGTACGTAAGTATCAGAATGCAATTACTACTATCTGCATGAAGAACCTTACCTATAGCCTTGGCGGGTAGACATCAAGATTTCCTCTTTTACGGATATGCTCGGTGAAAAAAGCACTTTCTTTTGTTAAAAGTCTAATTCAGATCTCCTTTAAAAATCTACTTCCGTAACCGTGTGTTTAAAAAAATTAAATTGAATATGCACGCGTTATAGTGATCAATTGCCCCCTTTTTAATCAAACAGTTAAACACGCGTTTAAGAAAGGCGCGGCGCTAAAGCAAAAAAAGGCGTCGTACAGCACAACACAACACGCACGCTTTATGCATTTCTCTTTGAAATTGAATGCAACTGCACAATATGAAACCCTTGGACCCCTCCTTGTAATAAAAAAAAAACAATACAAAACCCAAGAGCTACTTCTCTTTCTCTCTTGGGTAGACAAGGAGACTAGCAGTCTATATGTACCTTTCTGGTTGAGCTTAATTGGCAATTAAATGAATTACATTCTTAGCTTGAGAGAGAGGGAAAACATACTTTGTGCATCTCGCACTCGCGCTTCGGGCAGAAGGGGAAAAATGTGGAAAGGGCAGAAATGATTGCGCATTCATCTGTCCAAATAATCTGAGTTTGAATATTGTTGTTACAAATTAATAATAACATTTTATGGCTTTTTGTTTTAATGACTAATTGTATCCTCAAAACCATCATTGCGATTATCATTCGATTTGCCAGCAAAGATGACCATAAGAAACACTATCAACACTCGTTAATTCCTTTATAAGCGGAAAAGGATGTTTACTTTTTACTGGATGCTTCCCCGGGAACGTGCTGGCATCCTTGGCAACAAGATTACCTCTTGATGGAAGTATGAATCGTCAATATGATCTTATGGTGACGGATCATCCAAAATGAACGAGTTCATCGTCTTCCGAAACGGATCATTCGACTAGATGCTCTATGAATATGCGACTCAGCCAATCAATCAGAGATCAGAGATCAATTGAGACCACTTATCCGCGCATCATTCGGTTTCATGTCAACTTCTTTCGGATTCGAGTGCAAAAGTCAAGGTTCAAGAATCCAAACGTAGGAATGAATGAATCTTTCATCAAAAGAATAGCGACCGGGTAAAGAAGATAGACCCGCATTCATCAGCCTATAATCGTTAATCGTACCGTTGAAATCTCTCCGAGGATCAACACAATCTATTCTGATAGCCGTCATCTTGGATTAATGGTTTCTCGTGTTCCAAAAGGTGAGAATTACCGTCTCACTCAGCGTATCTTCGCTTAATGTGCATCCCGCGTTGAATCCCCTCTATTCAGGGCACCAACAGTGGGGTACTAATGCCTTGCCGAAGCTGACCCCAATTATCTTTCTTTTCCTTTTTCTTCTCTTCTCCTCTCCTTGCCAAACGAAACCGCATCGATCACTTCACCTTGCCAACGTGCCCGTCCTTACAACCACAATAATCATCAACTGGATTACGTGCAATATTCGATCCGATTGGAAATTCCGTTCAACGTTTCGGTGGAAAATAACGACGAAATGCGATGCTTGATCTTCTAATCTTGCTCGCAGAGGGATGAAGGTAGGCTATGACACTTTTCCGGATTGATGGTGATCAACAATCACTCGGGGCATTTTCTTGAGTCTATCTGACGGTGCAAGGTACAAATTCTCACCATAGAGGCTCAAACAGAGAGCACCTGAGTCGTTTGAGGAACTTTCCGTGAATAACGATAAGTCGTCGTCTGAAGAGCAGTTGAGATAGGGAAGAGGTTCTTGTTATCCTCTGTTTGCGAAAAGCACATCATAATACGCCATTCATTATGTCACGGATTACACATGAGTACATTTATGTCACCAATCGTATAACATACATTGCATCTTACAATCAATTGGCTGAAGTAACACCATCGCCTTATCGTCATGGGGTGCAGTGCTCGAAGAATTTAACTTAAATGGCCCGCAACACCTAAGATGCACCTTGATAGAATCCAACTACTGGAAATTTGCCATCTCATCATTATGTGATCTATATACGATCTGCAGCACTGACTTCCTCCCAATTTCATGTCTCTTCACACATCGCGCACACCTAAATTTCGATTGCTGATATGTATGGATTGCAGGATAAGTCGATCGCCTCACACAAATATGCGAGAGCAACCACCATAAGATGTCATGATATCGATAAGGATAATCCTACATCGATTGACGTTTTTGACAGTACAATGTACAATAAAAGACCAAAGGTCTTTGTATACGTGAGATATGCATGATGGGAATGAACGGAATGGTGAAAATGGGAGAGTTTGATAACGATCCACTGTTACATTTACTCGTCATCTTCCTCGTCCTCCTCTTCTTCCTCATCGTCATTTTCTCTCAAACTTTCCAAAGTGGCCACAGCGATACGGTCCAAATCTCTTTGACCATCTTGGCTGATACGGCGTCCACCCTTGGGGTCCTTTTCCAAGACACCAATTGCTTCCAAACTTTGAACAGCCTTACGTTGAACGGATCCAGATGCATCAGTGTGACGTTGAGGGCGGAAACCACGGTTCTTTGGTCCACCGTGCAACTTTTGTAGAGCACCAATACCGACGGCTTTGTGGATGTAGATGTGACGGGCCAATGCAGCTAGAAGGGCGGATGATATTGTAATCATATTAGTATAAGGTCGGATGATTTCCTCATTTTCGCATTCGTCTGCTACTCACCAGCACGGACGTAGAACCAGTCAGGGTCGTAAGGACCGAGTTCCTTGAAGGTACCGGTCTTGACAGTGTCAACCCATGTTGGCACTTCCAACTTTCCGGAGCGCTTCAAGTGGCTGGCGTATGCCTGGATGAAGGCCTCAGCTGGGACATCCTTAACGTTAGGCACTAGAGAATGGCGAACGAATCAAAAAGGTCGAAAGGTCAGTATGCCGGTCTTCTCTGAAAATTCGTGTCGGTATTATCCCCTCTCTCTTCTATCGGTGTTCAATTCGATGTCGAATTTGGTCGTACGTCGTATCTGATTGGACCGATCTCCCTTCTCCCTTGAAATGATTCCCGAGCAGCATCTAATCTCATATCGCAAAGTTCGGACCCATCACAATCATTCCAACTGTCCATTTCCCACCACCTTTTCTCATCTCCATGCATTCCCTCTTCCAACAATGTTTCAATCACCGATACTCACTCCTGCGAAAAGGAAAACGAGACAAGGTCAGCAAAGATGTCGTAATTTGAGTCTCAGTTCGAATAAATGACTTACTTGACTATATTCTTGAATCGAGGATGATGATGGCAACGACTACAAGGTTGGAGAAGGAAATCAAAATTGACATTAGAAGCAGCTAAAGGCTTGTTCTGGGCATACGCTGCTGCCTTTCGTTGGCCTTGCTGCGTTTCCGTTGCTTGCGCGCAGTTAGACTGCTTTGGCACTTTCTAGCACTCGTCTTATGCACCACAGCCGGAGCAAGAGAAAACTCCTGCTTAAAAACCACGTGTTGCGGCAAGGTGGAATTCTCAATGCAATGACACGTGATCTTCGAGACTCTCGCGTTTGGAAGAAAGCTTCTTAAGCCGTGTTCTTCCAACTTTGTGCCTGGGCGTAAGAGAAGATTCCCCCCCTCGATTCCAGCAGCTCAAATGACCCAGCTGGCTGGCTGTGAAGGTGACATGACTTCTGCATATGTAAGCAGTTGTTAGAAATGCACGGTGCTTTGCCAATGATTCTCAAAAGGGTGGAGTTATATAGACTTCCATATCCTTCCTCTTCAAGACCATCATTACAACAAATTCGACAATATGGCAACCCAAGACAAGAAACCCGCAGCTGAAGCTAAACCAGAGGTTTTCGGTGACACAATCCTGACAAAATACAAATTCGCAGGTGACATCACTTCAAAAGCTATCAAAGCAACAATTCAAGGTGGTGTAGAAGGAAAGACGATTTTGGAAGTATGTCAATTAGGAGACAAAGCTGTTGAAGAGGGTGTTGCAGGTGTATTCAAGAGTGATAAAAAAATGCCAAAAGGATCAGCATTCCCCACAACAGTTTCAGTAAACAATGTGATTTGCAATTATGCTCCTTTACCTTCCGACCCTGCTTCCTCAAGAGCATTGAAGAACGGAGACGTTGTCAAGGTTCAATTGGGTACTCACATTGATGGGTATGCAGCCATTGCAGCAGAGACTTTCGTTGTTGGCGCTTCTAACTCCAAGCCAGTAGAAGGAAAAGCGGCAGATGCAATCAAAGCTGCTTGGACGGCAGCCGAAGTTGCTATTCGTGCTATGCAACCAGGAAAGACCAACTTTGAAGTTGCAAAAGAAGTCGAAGCTTCAATTCGGGAATTCGATGGTGTTCGTGCCGTTGAAGGTATGCAAACCAACTTGATGGACAAAGATGTCATTGATGGAAAGAAGAAGATCGTTTTGGCCGCTGAACCAACACAACGTCCTGAAGCATGCAAACTAGAAGAGAATGAAGTTTACGGAGTAGACATTCAAGTCACAACCAGTGAATCTGGAAAACCAAAAACGGACAATGAAAAGACCACAATCTACAAAAAGACTGGAAGCACATATCTATTGAAAATGCAAACATCCCGCAAAGTGTTTAGCGAAGTGCAAAAGACTGCTGGTGCATTCCCTTTCAACTTGCGTATCTTGGAAGATGAAAAGAGAGCTAGAATGGGTATTCAAGAATGTGTTAATCACTCTTTGGTTTCGCCTTTCGAAGTATTGTATGACGGAAAGGAAGATGCAATCACTGCTCAAATTTTCTTCACATGCGCCATCTCTGCCAAAGGTGCAAACAGATTAACACCTGCACCTGCTTGGTACAACGAAGAGATTGTCAAGAGCACACAAGCTGTCAAATCGGAAGAACTCAAGGCCAAATTAGCCGCCCCCGTTCGTCAACAAAAGAAGAAAGCAGTTAAGGCTTAAGAAGTTTTCACTTTCTTTTTGAACAGCCTGGCGTGCGATTAGATGGAAGTATATCTGGGCTGTGAGAAGAAGGACGGTTTCTTAATGCTGTCTTTTGACATCCCATCTTTTCTTCTTCCCTATTCCCGCTCGTGTACTAGTACGGCTTCTATATGTTGTGTTTGTTTAAAAGATGCAACAAGAAATCGACACTCTTTTTTCTATTGCTGTATCACAAATGAATAATCGATTCAATTCTCTTGACTGTGGTTTGACCTTGGGTGACATTGTCCTCCCGATATTCTCTTGATTATGGAGAAAGACGAAATGCATTCGCATTGTATCCTCTTGAGTAGCACACATAGAAGCTTATAAGCGCTGCTCACAAACTGAAAGGATACGAGTCTACTATTGCTATATTTATGAGGAAGGGACTCAAATCTCATCTGGTAGATTTATTGAGGTGATAGAATGCGTTCATAATGCTACAATGAAAGAAGGGAGAGAATGAAGGACAACAATCTCAATGTCGGATTGAGTGAGTGTCAGGGCACATATTATGTTTTGTCAAGAGTCATCGAATCTCCGAGAATTGAAGGGAGTAGTCGTTAGAGGTATATTGCAGAGCGAATGAATTATGTGCTTGCTTGCTTGATTTTTACGAGTTCGTTATTAAGAAGAGAATTTCGTCGTTTGATTAGGTACTATGATTTGCAAATCGTTGATGAGGGCTCAACAAGTTCCTCGTCTTTCCATCAGAAGCGTAGGAGGAATGAGATTGCAGAGTTGCGTTTGCGGTAGGATATCTTGCATGTCCATATCCGCTCGCATATCCTACACCACCTCCGTTATTTGTTGGAGTTGAATGTTTCACTCCTATTCCATACTTTTCGAAATCGGCTTGTGTCAAATTTATTCCTCCCGTTGCTGTTGTTCTTTCTTCCATTATCTTCTTTCTCTGTTGACGTTCCTTCTGTCGATCGTTCAATTGACTGAACGTCAAGAATGCCCAAACAGCGATCACCATTACGAACAAACGAACGATGGACGTACTAAATGTGTAGATTGCCCTTAGCAAAAGAGCACCAACAAAGATTCCTACGCCGCTTGTGGCAAGTAGAGGTAGAGATAGTTCCAATTCTCCAACTTTGACTGTCGCAGCAGTAGCAGGATGAGATTGTCTGTCCATATCGGATGATGCGCTCGTACTTGTGCTCAAAGTTCCATGTCCGGAAAGAGAAGACGAAGTGGAAGGAGATTTGTTAAACATTGTGGTTATTGGATGAATTGGTGAAGTAGGTGAACTTGTAACAGTAACACTCTGTCTTCTAAGTGGACTCTTTGGCTTTATCTTTGGCCTTATTGCCATTTGAGCACGAGCAAAAGTTGAAGGCGTTGATGACATGATTGCGTGCGGTACCGTCGTTTTGAATGGGTGCACTGCTTTTACCTCACTTTGGATGACGGACGTAATGATGAAAGGATATAAATTAAATCTTCCATAATGATATAATATTATAAATGCAACTGTGAATCAGGCACAGTGTTCTGGTGTAGGATTGTAATACAAGCAAGCTGCTATTCATATGTCTTCCGATCTTATCATTTACGCATTATTCTCCCGCACGCGCACTTTCACTGTGCGTTGTGCATATGGGGACCCTCCTTTGTTTGTACAAGCGCATTTTTTATTCATTACTTTGCCGATGCAAATTTATTACTGAACAGCTCATGTGGGGTCGGTCACATGAATATCCGGTGTGCACTACTACCGATAAAACAGCTTATAGTCATGAATAGAGCTATTGAGGACTTCAAGCTGTACGGTGTTTCTAGAATGTATTTTGTATGCAGTAGAGTATTCCAATTCAACCAAAAAGTGAAACAAATGCAAAGACGATCATCATCGGGACGGGCGTAATTAAAGCCCTTTCGTACGAAATAAGCAAGTATGACAAGCTTTCAATATAGACTTAAGATTATGTTATGATGAATGTCAGCGACATGAAGGCGCTACTATGTGGTCGAAGTGATATGGGAGTGTATTGAAGGTTGGTCAGGGGTTATACCGTCCCATACTGGGTGTAAGAAGTGATAGAAGCTGTACGAGTAGGCTGAACAGGCTATAAGACTGGCATTGCACCAGCGTTGCACAGCGTGAATGAGTTTAACCTTTGGATTTCCCCGTAGAAGCAGACAAGCAGACTACACACACGCGTGCTTCTTTCGAAACTGAGCATCTACAAACCCAGGCACATTACGCTTTTTATAGCAACACCTTTTTACCAACACTCGCTCCACTCTCCTATTCATCCTTCAAAAGCATTCATCCATCACTTATTGTCACCAATCTTCTAAAAGAAAGCCATAAGCTGCTTGGCAAGCATAATTACCTTTCACAATGTCATTCAATGATCTAGAAAGAGGCGCAACATCCTCACCACCTCCTATTCGATCAAGTAGCAACAACAGCAACAACAACAACAACAATAATGCTGGTACAGGTGGATTGAACGGACAACAATACTTGAACGGAAGTGGACGTTCAAACAGAAACAATAATGCAAGAGGTCCTTTACCTTTGTATCATGCACCCCGGTCATCATCCGATTCAGGCAATCATGAAACACCTTCAGCACCTGTACAATCCGATCCAGAATTCAAACGATTGGCAGAACGGATTGGAATACAAGTGTTCAAGTTGAACAGTAATGTACAAGGGATCGATAAACTTGTAGAATTGCAATTACGAAAGATGAGAAGTAGCGGTAATCAAACAGCGGCCACAACGAAAGCATCCGATAAAGATTGGACAGCGCAAATTCACGATTTAACAGAATCTACTCGAGCATTAGTGAAAGACTTGAGTGGATCAATAAAGGGTTTGGCAGGTTTTCAACCCTCTTCACTTTCTCAGACAGATCGTTTGACAGCAATAAAGTTACAGAGGGACTTTGAAAGTGCAATCAATGCATTTGCCAAGGCACAGAGAGAAAGTGCAAAATTGAGCAGATCCATGTTAGATGGAGCAAAGGAAGAGCGGGAAAGGACATTACGTGCTGCATCCTCTTCTTCAGGACAAGATGCAAACAAGGTTGCTGTGAATGAAACACTTGTTCAGATTGATGACGCACAATCACCAGAAGGACAACAACAACTTCAACAACAGGAACAGAGACAATCCAACGAACCAAGTCAAGCAGAAATTGAATTCCAAGAAACCCTAATTGCAGAACGAGAAAGTGAAATTCGCGAAATCGAAAGTGGTATTCAAGAATTAAATGAAATTTTCCGTGATTTAGGACATATTGTTCAAGAACAAGGAGGAATGATTGATAATATCGAATATAACGTTCAAACGATTGCAACGAATACCGGAGCTGCTGATCGTGAATTGGTCTCTGCTAGTGATTATCAAAGAAAGGCCGGAAGAAGGGCAGCTTGTTTGATGTTGGTCGTTGGATTCGTTGTGGCTGTCGTTCTATTAGCAATCCTTTCTTGATAATTATCATGTACATTATGGTTTACAGTGATCGTGTTCTACAATCTATACTTTCATCTTTTAATAGCATGCTCTTAAATGCAAAGTGCATAGCCAGCTACGAAGAGGAAGGCCTTCTTCTGTTAAGTTGGATTACTGTTTGTTGCTATAAGAACGATTACCCTTATTTCACAATTTGCTACTTTCGCGCCATTCAACGCTCTTTAATATGCACCTCTATGCATCTATGACAACTTTAGCGCTTATCTCATCAGATAAAGCTTTGTCTTTGAATCTTACAAATTCTTAGAAGTTGGCTTCAGAGATGATTGATTTTTGAAACCAAACAAGATTATGATCAAGCATAAGCGACATGACTTTGATCGAGATGCAGGGGAGATACAAAGATGAACAGGTACAAAGTGCTTGACAATCATCTTTTATATTTCCGAAATTGAAATTGAGTTAGAGAGTGGAGGCACATTACGGCAATTCATGCAGTATCACTTCTTACGCTAAAATTCCTAAGAAGATTTGTCAATTTACAAATTGATATGTTCCTTTTAACAAAGATCGTTATAAAACATACGATTAGGTTCTTAACATCTTGACATCAATATCTTGTCAAAGAAAACCATAGAAAAGATGAATCTTGTAGGGTAATAGAACGACTTACTTCCAGAACAACATCTTGGTAACACCGACCAACACCATCACCTCTTCAAAGATGGCACAACGATTGGACCACCTATTGCAAGGGTACACCCAGCAGCGAATACCGTCATTGGCTTCACGTACAAGCATTCCCTCTTCCCGTCTTGAAGTGAAGGTAAAACGGACAGATGCTTTACAAGATGATGACAGTCAGATGTCGTCCTTTGGACCCGACGATGAAGATTACATGTGGACTGCCATAGTACGTATGATTGGAGCATATACCGACTCTTCCGATCTACTGATTGTAGAGCCAATGCAATGTGAAGAAACATCAAATTGGAAAGACAGAATATCCACCTTTCGGATAAAGATAGAGCGAGATGCAACACGAAAGGATGCATGCCAGGCAATTACCAGAATACGAAGAGAAGGTGGAGTGGAATGCTCTCTCGAGGACCTGGTAAAAGCTTCAAAGGAAGCGGGAATGAATCTGATTGAAGGACAGTCCCCCGCTTTGGTAACGATCGGAACAAGTTCATTATCACAGAATCAACCTGACTGGTATCCCGTACAAGGAATAGCTGTCATGCTTGATGCCGAGAAGCAGTCAATTTCAGTCATTGGAGATGCGAGTATCATCTCAAAAGAAATGTCAGATGTGCTAGGACGTCAAATTTGGCAGCTATACAAAGACATGAAAAGTGAGCCTAGCTTGCCTTTCAAGCGTCTACAGATACGTTCAGAAGAATTATTGAGCCAGTATGAGCGACCATACGATCCAGATGAAGCACATCTACCTATCGAATGGCTACGCAAGAACGCAAGAGATAGACCAGACGCTATCGCTCACGAATTATGCGATGAGCCGGATGACGAACAAATACGAACTCTCACATTTGGACAATCGGACGAACGCAGTAATATAATGGCAAATTGGCTTCTTCAAAAGCACAACGTTCAACATGGAAAGCCGATTGGGGTTATGAGAAAACGTGATGAGCACTTTTATATTGCCATGGCCGCTATTCTCAAAGCAGGATGCTGTTACTTGCCAATCGATAAAGATTTACCGAATGAACGAAAAGAATTCATCATCCGGGATTCCAATGCAGCGCTTCTCTTGACTGATGAAGAAGGAGCAGGGGCTGGTCTGGCCAGCAAGCCAAGCTTCAACATGGACGACTTCTCCATTCAAAAAGAGATCGCTCAGTATGACTCTACTGCACCCAATGTGAAGGTAGACTTGGATGATCTAGCATACATCCTCTATACCTCAGGCACGAGCGGCAACCCGAAAGGATGTTTGCTAATGCATCGTGGATTATATTGGGCAATCAAAATGTTTGTTGAGATTCCAAGTAAAGTCACAAATCCAGACACGGATAAACGATTGGCAATGGCAGCCGTTGCATTTGATGTGCATGTAAGTGAAATGGTACAAGGTTGGGCGATCGGAACAAGATTGGTCAGTATTAGTTCAAGAATGTCTTTATTGGCTGATTTGCAGGGAACGATCGAACGTTTTGGTATCACACACATTGGAATGGTGCCAAGTATGATTGAAGCTACATTGACAAAGTCACCTTCGGAATTGCCGTTGAAGTATATTACTTCAGGAGGAGAAAAGATTAACGATAAAGTCTTGCAAAAATGGGCTTCCCACCCTGGAATCCTCTTCGGCAACTTGTATGGCCCGACAGAAGCAACGATTGGATGTACGGCAAGGATCATTCGAGGAACGGATGAGCCGAAAGAGGACATTGGACATGCTTTTGTTGGAAGCGGTGCTTATATTGCCGACTCGGATTTGAACATCTTACCAAAAGGAGTTTCGGGAGAGCTAATAATTGAAGGTCCGTTAGTTGCAAGAGGGTATCTAAACTTGCCAGAAGCAACCAAGAAGAATTTTATCGAATGGCCAAGAAAAGGTTGTCGTGCGTATAGGACTGGTGATTTGGTCAGAATGAATTTCGATGGCAGTCTTTCCATTCATGGAAGAATAGATTCTCAAATCAAATTACGCGGAGTTCGTATCGAGAGTGAAGGTGTAAGCGCAGTGATCAGCAATGCAAGTAAACAAAGTCGAATTGACGCAGTGAGTGTGATTTGCAAACATGAAGCTGTTGGAAATGCAGATATGTTGGTCACATTCATCACGCCTAGCATCCAGAAAGAGAAATCCAAGGACTCTAAATCTGCCAATGAGAGAAGAGGAAAGCCGGAGGTGAGGGAGCTGGAAGATGGACAGCTGATGGACACTCTCAGGAAGGCATCGGTCGAAGGATTGGCAAGTTATATGAGACCTTCTCACATCATACCGCTCACATTCTTCCCGCTGAGTCACAATGGAAAGATCGATACCAAGCCATTGGCTAGCCTGTTCGCTGAGACATCTATGCCAACATTAATGAAGGTGCAGGGACTCATGTCAGAAGAGGAAGGAAAGAAGGAAGAAGACACATTCGTTGGCCCTTCTAACGAAGAAGAGGAGATTGTCGTAGGATCGATCGCTGAACTCATTGGAACAGACTCGTCAAAGCTGTCAATGAAGCAAAAGCTGCTGGAGATAGGCTTAAGTTCCCTCAATTGTGCAAATTTGACAGCGATTTTACGCTCAAAGACAGGCGTAAAGATGAACGTTTCAGATGTTCTTGCATGCAAGACGGTTGCAGAATGTGCGGCATTGGTTGTGAAAGGTAAATCAAATCAGAAAAGCGGCGACGATTTACCTTCTTGGGATGCAGAGCAATTCCGCAAAGCTCACATCGATGTTGTTCATCAACATATTGCGCCAGAGAGCATTGAGGGTATCTATCCACCGCTCCCAGTCCAACCGGGTGTCCTATTTCATGCAATGCAAGAAAAGACTGGCTACGTTCAGCATTTCACATATAGATTCAATGATTCAAGTTTCTCAAAAGAAGCTATTCACTCGGCATGGAGAGATGTTCAAAGCTCTTTGGACATTCTGCGTACAGTGTTCGTGCTGGATCAAGGTGAAGTGATACAAGTTGTTCTTCGAGAAGATGCATGTTCAGTTCCATTCATCACGCGGGAAGTTGCAAGTAATGCAATATCGGGGAAAGAAGACTTTGAAGCTTTCGTCAAAGATAATAGGTCGCTTGAGAATGCTGCTTCACACATCAATGAAGACTTTGGTACTCCGATGTTTTTGGTGACAGCATATGATGCGGGAGATTCTTCTACAGCCAGTATTATGACTGTTTCGTTCAGCCACACAATTTATGACGCATTCGCGGTGAGGAATGTCATGACTGCATTTGACAATGCACTCTCTAAAAGCTCGGTGGTGGATAAGCCTCTCTCAATGGCAGCACTTGTAGATCAGCTTCACTCAATACCAGAACAGCAGCATCAAGTATATTGGCAATCAGCTCTCGAAGGAGCAATAGAAGAACGCAAAAGCTTGTCGTGGCAACCTCTACAGACTACCAAAGGCACAACAGCTAGAAGGACAAACAAAATCTTGGACATCGCATTGGATGACGTTCAGAAACGCTGTAATATTCTCGGAATCACTCTTCAGACATTTTTCAACGTCATATTTGCCTTAAGTGCACGATCTATCTTTCCAACTTGGCAAAACTATGCCTTATTCGGTAATGTTCGTAGTGGACGAAATTTACCACTCATGAAAATCAACGAAGCGGCATACCCCTTGGTCACAGTTGTTCCTTGTGTGGTGGACTTGACGTCAAGGCAGATCGATGAGATCTTGAAGACCACTCATTCTTCCTGGACGAAGTCTGTAGAACATGAGAATGTTGCATTAAGTCAGATTCAAATTTGGGCAAAATCAAGAAACTTAGTCGAAGTTTTATTCTCTTGTCGAGTTGAATCAAATGCGAATCGTTCAAATGCATATCAGTCAATCAAGCATTTCTCTACTTCGGAAATGGATCCAGAATTTCCCTTGGCTGTTGAAGTTCTTTTGGATCAGAATGCTGATTCGGTTGACGTGCGGATCGCACATACCCCTTCAGTCATTACTACAGATCAGATCGAAGACCTTTTGCGCCAAATGCAATCAAACGTTCGTGCATTGTTGGATGGAGAGCACTTGCAAATCTCAAGTGACGATTCACTCATATTGACCGCTAAACCAACACAAAACAAAGGAAGTACTGTCGATGTTGATCCGAAACTTATGAAAGATTTACAGGAAGCTCTTTCTGCTTTCCTGAAGGTGGATCGCAATGTTCTTCAGCCTAGCACTTCATTAGTTTCGTTGGGAATGACGTCTTTACGTGCCGTTGCATTTTCTCACTCGATTGCAAAGTCGCTCGATCTACACGTTGATCCAATTGATGTAGTACAGGGCGACAATGCTATTTCCGTCGCTCAAGCTATCACAAAGAAGAACAGAAGCAACACAAAGGAGGAGGAACAATCAGATTCCTCATGGGACTTATCCACAGAAGAATCAGATGAGCTGGGAGATATCAAACTAGACAAAGATGATGTTATTGAAATCGCACCTTGTACTCCTCTGCAAGCGGGAATGTTGGCTCAAACGGTTGCATCAGAGGGTAGGCTTTATATCCATGCTTTCGTAATGAGACTTACTAAGAATGATCAAGCTTCAGTTAACCGAATGCTTGAAATTTGGTCTGATATTTACGCAACATACGGTATCTTGCGTACCTCTTTCCACTTCCTCTCATCAACCGGGCAATGGATACAAGCTGAACATTCAACGAAATCATGCCCGCTGAGCATCTCGGAGATAGCAGAAGAGGTTGATGAATCACAGGCAAGAACATTATCAACGGCTCATCTAAACATTAAGGGAGAAGAAGCTCTGCGAAAGCCGCCAGTACAATTGGTACTTTTCCGGAACTCTGGACTTCTTGTATTGGCGTTACATCATGCGCTTTACGATGGAGTATCTCTGGCAAATTTGTTTGAATATGCGACAAACATGTACAATGGAACCTCGCTGCCGCAAACTCCTTCTTTCCTACCTATTGCTCGTCAAATTGTTGCTTCAGAGGAGAAAGCGACATCCTATTGGGTTGATAGATTACGATCTGTCAAAGAAAATGTGTTTGTCAAACAACGCAAAGGGGACGATAAATCTACTCAGGCCTGGAGAGATGGTACACAACTCAGTCAAGAGGATACTGAGAGCGTGCAAAGCTTCAAACGTCGCTATGGTGTATCTTCTCAAAGTGTTGGACAAGTTGCATTTGCCTCCACACTCTTTGAATTTGGCAAGAAACGTAACTCTGACGTCGTCTTCTGCCAGGTTGTTTCGGGTCGCACAAAGAGAGAAGCAAGCCAAGTGATTGGTCCAGTCTTCAACACGGTTGCAGTTCGTGTCGATCTGTCTGGGGATGTGAAGGCAAGGGAGATCGTTCAGCAAATCCAACACGAAAACGGTCAATCTTTACCATGGCAGCATGCTCCTTTGAGAAACGTGCAAAGACGATTGCAAAAGACTAGCCTTTCTGATGCTTTGTTCCTCTATCAGCCTGGCGTCGAGAAAGGAGAAGAAAGCAGCACAGCGGACAAACCATGGACGCTGGTGACAAGCACATCAGAAGAAGGATCCACTCAATTTACTCTCAATCTAGAGCTTCATGATGCTTCGGACATTGGAGGCGCTTTGTCGGTAAGAGCAAGTTGTGCAGCAGACGTTTTGTCGCAAGCAGAATTACGAGAGATTGTACAGCTTTTCAAATCCAAGCTTGTTGAGATCGTTCAATCACCGAATAAAGTTCTTGCTCCGGGCACTACAAAGACGCATGTCAATGGTACTTCTGTGAATGGTACGAGTGAACGTGCATCCGATGAAGGTGGACATCCAATAGCAGATGCTACATTGGCAAGCGTACTCAGTCAAGTATTACATGTGAAGCCCGATTTGATCAAGACACATACAAATCTATCTTCTATTGGTCTGGATTCGATTGCAGCTATGCAAATTGCATCTCGAACTCGCAAGCAAGGGTATAGCATTACCCCCATGCAAGTCTTACGGTGTACGACCGTGAATGAGCTATTAGCAGTCGCAAATGCAAAGACTGATGCAGGTAAAGGAATTCAGAAAGCCAAAGGAAGAGTAGAGGATGCTGTTATTCGACCTTCCCAACATATTGTCAAGAGCGCAAAAGATCGTCTAGATTCAAGTATTGCTGAGTATGCCGAAGGTTATATACCAACGGCAGGTATGCGATACCTCTTTTCTGGATGGCAAAGAAGTGGCGGAAGACAATTTCAAATTTGCATTGGTCGTAGAACTGAATCAGGCCAAAAACTCAACGTGGATGCCTTGAAGAAGAGTTGGTCAGATTTACATGCACGTCATGCTATACTTCGATCGACAATTGTTCCAAGTGGAGATGATGAAGTGCCTCTTGTGCTATTTGTGGTAAGACAGGGTCATTGGGATGGCTTGCAAGAGCTTATTGATAAGAGAAAAGAGTTACAATTAGCTAGTACTGAGGAGCAGCAAGATTACGCCAAGGAATTTGGAAGAACTCTTTTACGTTCACCTGCGAGTATGGGAATGCCGAGCAGTCGGTTGGTGATTTTGCAATTACCCGAGTTTGACGCTTTCTTTGTTCAGATGCCACATACTCATTATGATGCGTTCACCGTGCCACGTCTACTGAACGAGCTCTCCCAAGAGTACGTCAGACACAACAAAGATAAACGTCATGGGAGCACAACGTCAAAAGATGACTTGAAAGAGTTGGAGGCATACTTGACACATAGTATCTTGGGAGAAGAGTCTGATCAGCACGAACAGGACACGAAGCAGAAAGAATACTTCCGGAAAAGCTTAGTTAGCCAGCATGAAGCACATGTATGGCAAGACGTCAAGTTAACAGCAGGTGACCACGACATCGCTCGCAAACCGATCACATACTATGTCCGAGAGCTTCGACAAGGCACTCCAAAAGTGCATGAGCTGCTAGAATGCTCTGAGAGAATGCAATTGACACCGGCTGCTATTCTCACATCTACATGGGCTCACGTTCATTCTGGTCAAATGGGTAAATCATCAAGCACATTCGCATTCGTCAATAGCGGTCGATCGGCAGAAGTGGCAGGCATTGAAGATATCTTTGCTCCGACGATAAATCTGGTTCCTACGTTCTTGAACGGCTTGCAAGGATGCGAGGATCTTGCAAAGGAGACTACAACTTTACGTACTTCGATTGTCGAAGCGGCAAAGCGTGTACAAGAACGTTGGAAACAGCAACCTTCATGGGCAGTCCAGAGTAATATGTCCGATATTCGTAAATGGGTCGATTGTCCAGCTGAGCAACCTTCGATTTTCAATACGACATTGAACGTTCAAATACGTCCATCAAAGCAAGCGGGATCTTTGACGGATACCGTCAAATTGAATGGCGCTGGAGAAGAAAGCGAAAAGCCGAATTGGCTTCCAATTCGCTTGCAAGCTGGACCACATCCGCCTTTTGGTGATCGAGGTTGGACGCAAGAAGATCTAAAGATGTCCAAAGTACCAGACTTATTCTTGGACGCAAATGGCTATGTGAGCGATCCAAGCGTTCGGATTGACGCCCGTATGGTCGTTGCAGCTTCTCAGGCCACAAAAGATGAAGAATCAGTAGTCGTTCTGGAAGCAGAGGTGGCACGAGAAGTATTATCTCGAGAGACAGTAGACAGTGCTCTACAGCAATGGGCACAACTACTGAAATTGGTCGTGGAAGCACAATAGAAGATGAATCTGGATGGTAATCATTTCATATCTACACTACTGTACAATTGGATGTCTTTTCTTTGTAATTATACATTGCTACTTGCTAAAAGAAAATATCTGTTTGCTGAATCATCAAGCTCGAGTGCGTTTAAAGCCTCGGAAGGTAAATCCTTCGTCTTCATCGTCATCTTCATCCTCCTCCTCATCAATTACCTTGCTCGAATGAGCTCGTTTGGCGGGTGATACCCGTGTTGTGCCCTTTGCCTTTGCTGCATTTCTCCCCTTCATTTGCGATGGCGATGAGTCGGCATACACCGTACTGCTCTCACGATTTCGAGACGATTCTTTGGATCGTGATTGTCGGCCGCTCGATTTATGACTGGGCTCATTTACCTCGTCATCCCATAACATTTGATCATCATTGTTCATATCACGACTGTCATCGATATCCAAATGAAGATCGATCACAGGCTTCTTCTTGGGTGTTGGTCCTACTTCATCATCATCGTCTTCAGAGTCCATTTCCCTTGGTTGACGTTGCGTCAGTCTAGACTGTGTGGATCTTTTAGCGCTGCTCTGCGTCTGCTTTGAAGCTGGCCATTGTTCTTCTTCCTCTTCTTCATCGTCATCATCACCATTCGCAACAGAGAAGATACTTCTCTTTTGTGAGGTGATGCCGTTCGTTTCTCTCTGGCTACGCATACCATTGCTAGAAATATGACTTTGGGTAGCATAGCGTGGTCCTGTACCATAATCATGCGGCTGCACCAGATCCATCGCAATGGGCTTCCTGGTAGCACGGTCTTTGGAACGAAATTTCTTGAAGTTCGGTCTCCCTTGCCAAGCAGAGGATGCCCCTTCGGAGGAAGCAGTAGAAGTATCACCTACGGTAACAGAACGATTGCTTCTTTCGGTACGGACGAGTGGCACAAAATCAACCTGAACAAAGTTTCCGGCCGCACCAATATTGAAATCGTCAATGGACATCTTTTGCCATGCCACAAAATCTGGATCTTCCAATTCATCATCACGGACTAGCATCGTGGTTTCCTTATTCTTGGAAGAACCAGCTTGAGATTGAATCGGTTTTGCGATTCGTAATCGATCAAATTCTTTGTCAAACGCATCTATGTTCTTCTTGCTCTTTTTCAAAGTCATCAAAGATTGCAAGAAGCGATCATCTTTAGACACTTCTGTTGCCGTATTCGAAGGTCTTTCGGCAATGTATTCCACTCCTTGCTGTGTACGTTGCTGTGTTGGGCCAATTGATTGTGCAGAAGCATTTATGCTGCCGTTTCCAATAGCTTCATTCTGCTGCGTGTTGATCATATCTCGTTCATCCTGAGCTTCTTCTTCGGCTACACGCTTGTTGGAACGAGGTACAACAGTCGTATCAGGATCTTGAGTTTGTGCTTGCGTACGGGCTTGACTTCGCTGAGTTGCTTGACGTTCTTCGTCTTCTAATTGCTGTCTAAATCGTCTGGTATAACGTTCTTGCGTCTGTCCAGTGCCACTCAACAATGAAGAAGTAGGATTTGCGTTCGTCATTGCGTCATTCCCTGAATCCTCAAATATACTCTGCCAAATCTCTGATCTTCTTGCTTGTTCCTTATTTCGCGTCACGTTCCTCCTTGGCTTAGAAGATGCTGGCTGGGAGGATAAATGCTGCTGTTGTTGTGTGGGTGGAATTGACGATTGTGATTCTACAGGCAAATTTGAAGATACCTCTTTGGTAGCTGGAGTGGACAGAGAACCAAACAAATCATCAAACGGATTCACTTTTTCCAAACCTGCTCTACGTTTTGGCCGTCTTGAAGGTGTTGGTGGAACGACGAATTGATTTTGAGCGGTAGTTGGTGGTGCGGGTGAATGCGCACGCTGCTCTACTTGCTCTGTCGGCGGTACGGACCCGGATTGCTCCATGCTTTGATTCCTTTGTTCATTCCCCACCACTTCCTCTTCAGCATTGTTGGTGCTGCTTTGCACGTCCTCACCTTCTTGTGCGGGTTCTTCAACTTCCTCTTCTTCAAATTCTTCAGATGCGAGCTTTGTCAAGAATCGCGAGGGTGCGATCAGAAGAACCGTATCTTGCAGCGCTTTAAGGCCACTCTCTGGCATATACACACTCAATCTGCGTGATACAGATGCGAACCATTTATACCAAGGAGTTTCAGTATCTGTTGTTGAGGTGATGATGACCAACGTAGACTTTTGCGATGAAGATGATGCATTGCGTTGTGTAGAGCTTTGTGATCTATCTTGTGCTTCTTCTTGTTTGGTTTCAAGGTATTGTTCAACTTCCTCTTTACTGGTAAATCGGGATAATGAAGAGGTAGAACAGACCTCGATATGAGCACCGGCTGCTTGAAAAGCATGAGAGCTGTTCTTGAATGTGCGGCGGACATCGTCATCAGCGCTAGCAAACAGGATCGTCATACCCTTGAGCAGAAGTTTGCGTCGTCCATCAGGCTTACTTTTCGATTTGATCTCTTCGTAGGTGATATCGTCTACATTGTCGTCTGGCGGAAAGTAATCTTCATAACTTGGCAGTGAGAGTTCGAGCTCGAGTGTATCCGACTGTTGAATGACTTCATCGATATAATCATCTGTAACAACATACGACTCCGCTACTAAAGCCTCCAAGAGTTGCACGGTAGGAGATGCAGACTTTGTTACCAAATGACTGGCTCCTTGAACGATATTGGGTGATTCGACAATCGGGATACCAAAGGGAGCCAAAGACTTTTGCTTCGAGCGAAGATCATCCAAAGAAAGAACATCAGGCGCTACCCAAAACAACAGCGGTTCCCAAACGATTCGAATGGGCGGAGAACTTTTTGTAAAGATGACAAGATCACCATCTTCAAGTTCACGTTGTTTGTTCGGTTCAACTTCTTCGCCAATAAAGCTCTCTGGATTTTCTTTCCATCTTTCTTCATCATCTCTTGAAATGACTCTTACTAATTTCTTCCCTGCATTTAAGCGAATCTTTGGCCAATCTGCCGAATAATTCACATCAGTTAAACTGGATTGTGATTGTGACCATTTATCCACTTCAATCGAACCGGAATCTCGACTGACAGTCTTATCGGTTAGGATCAACTTTGCTGGAGGTTTTCTGCCAACGTCATATTGTGTGCCCGGCTTGACTAATTTCTTGTAAGGCTCTGTGTACAGAGAAGGAGAGGCTTTCATATTAGCAATCATTCATATTTCACCTCCCCTTCCCGCTCAACCTTCTCACCTTTGCTCCCTTCAAAAGCTGACTCTACAACCCACATGACCACTGTACACCATTTGAATAAATAAAAATCCTTGACGACGAAAGATGGAGGATGAGAAATAAAGAAACGATCATGCGGAGCAAAATGAAGATGAAAGTAGAATTGTCAGCACTAAAGTGTTGTTCTTCTGCAGTGAAATTTCACTGAAGTTCCGCCTTGTCTTCGGCGCGTTTAGTATTAGGCTGCAAGACGTAAAGGTCATAGGACTGACTACCTTCATTGTGACAAAAGCAACACACAATATAACAACATTGAAGAAATATATGATCATTTGTAGACTAGGTATATAAGATCTTGCAGTATGCGAAATTAGATGAAACAGAAACACTACTTCTTACGATTCCAAAATTTACTTCCAGATGAAGGTTGACCAACTTCTTGCGTAGCAGTCGTTTGTGATTGTGAACCACTAGCACCACCTTGCACATTAAGTTGTTGCTGAGAATGATCTGTGACCAATTTTTTTGCAGCAGGTTGGGCAGGATGATTATCTTCTCTTCCTCTTCCTCTACCGACAGCTTGACCAGGCAAAGGTGTTGGTTCAGGAGTCAAATTTGGTAAACCAGCAGCGATATGTTCTTCACCTAAAACACGCAAATATTCCTCCAAAAGTTTTGCATTTCTACTATTTGCCTTATAAATTGCCAAGATCATATCACCTGCAATCGGTACCAAACCAACGCCTGCACTAACACCATTATTTACCCACATCTTCGTTACGATCCAAGGTGGTAAATTTGCACCTTTTGCAGCCGGTCGAAGTACCAAAGAATAATTTAACAATGCATCTGCAATATCACCTGCTCCTGGAATCAAACCAATAATTGCCGTCCAACCGAATCGGAAACCACAAAGCTCGAAACCTTTGTCCAAGTAATGAGCACGACGAGAGATCTTGCGTAGAAGTTGTGCTTCTTGTTTGGTTAGTCCTGGTGGTGGTGGGCGCTATGAGGGATAAGATGAGGAGAATGTCAGTCGTGATCGTGCAAAGTGTTAATACATCTCTTCCCGCTCACCTTTCTTCTTTTCTGTTTGCCATTCGGCTCTGTCCAAAATTCATAGAATGGGTCTTCAGGTTCATATACCCGAGCATGTTGCATGACCAATCTTTTGGCTGCATTAGTTGCAATAGAAGTCATTGTGAACTATAGATGATGATGGAAGCAAGAAAGGGAATTGTTTGACAACCCATTGTTCGTGTGACATTTCCGCCGGATTCTTTTAATCGGGCGTGTGAGCGAGCAGCAAGTGGGTGAATGGTGCACCGCCTTGCCCCTTCTAGGCAATGTTACTGTAGAAGGTGGAGGCTTTTAGCTCAATTAATAGAATTCCATACACGCGTGAAGGAAGAAGAAAAGATTATTTCAACCCTAAACCATATTCTTGACAGGCTCTTGCAAGGGAAAATGACCACACAACTGATCGGGTCATGGTCATTGGATGTCAATGGAAAGGGGAAAGATACCTCTTCCCTTCCATCTCCCAATGACAAGAAAGCAATCGAAGTGGAAAAGGGAGATTTTGGAAGTTTGAATGCAGGCTTGCATGATTTACGTCAAGATATCAATGATGTATTGACACAATGGAAAGATGCAATCGGAGATGAAGGTCAAGCTAAGAATTCAAACAATGCTGATCAGCAGGAAGAGGAAGATAGTGACGATGGAGATGATTGAAATTGAATATAAACACAGATGACATTAAGATGGTATACAGGAACTTGATCTAGAAGAAAAAGGAAACCGAGACAGGAGAAAATGTCGCTTTATACAAGATATACAAGACCGGCATCACTAGATCAGTGCTTTCCGAGGAAGTTTTGCAAGCCACCGAAAGGACCATCATTTTTGCCATGATGACCACCATGATGACCGCCATGATGACCGCCATGGTTGTTCTTGTTTGAAAACATTTCAAAAGCCATCTTTGCACCTTGTGCCAACATCGCACCACCACCTGCACTTGCCAAAGTTGAATGATGACCACCGCTCATCTTGTTGGCTGCCACACCTCCGATTGCACCTAAGGCCATTGTGCCCAAACCACGTTCACCATCTGCGCCTTGTGGAATTGGGTTTCCACGTTCGTCATAACGAACTTGTTGATCTGGACCTTGATTGTGGTTCATGACCGCATTATTACCGCCACCGCCGTAATTTGGACCGCTTGGATGGGCATCATAATAAGAGGAAGCGTTGTTGTTTCCATTCGCACCGTATGGGGATTGACCGTAGTTTTGATAGCCACCTTGGGATGCTTCTGGGAAACTTAGACCACCGGGGTAGGTCTGATATGGGAAAGAGGTGATCGTCAGATTTGATTCTACACAATAATCTTGTCATTGTATGTACTCACAGATGGACCACCTGGATAGCTGCTAGGTTGATTGTAATAAGACATTGTTAATCTTTGAGAAATGATGTAGTTGTGGGGAAGAGAGAGTTAGGATTTCGATGAAAATAGGGCCTTTTTATGTCATTCTCTGTCCACGTTTTACACTTCACAGCATTATCACCGGAGTATGGCGTATCTGCCACAGCATTTTGCATTGAATGAACCTGGTCATATCTTTTACAAGTGTAGCAAATGCCATTAAATGCAGGCTGTGTACGCTACACCTCTTGGCGTATGTAGAATACAACTTATGCCGAATATTGAGTCCGAAAAGTCTTGACAATTCTTTTGAAGAGGCTGTGTGAAGGAACTAATCTTTTGGCGGCTGTGCTGGGTTTGTTCGGCGCCTTTACAACGCGATGCGCTGCGTAAAAGTTGCCTAGGGTTGACAACATTAATCCGAAAATGAAATATATTCATAGAAACAAGACAAAGCTAAATTGATCTTGACATGTTCATACACAGAACATTCTTTCAACATCCCTAACTTACACAGCAGCTGTCTGGAGATCCGACAACGGACAATGCCTTGAATCGGGAAATGTAGCTGAAAGGGCGACACTCAGCAAAGATGGAAGATAGCCTACCTCAATCTTGGAAGCCACATATCCTCAAACCAGAAGATTATGATGAATTGAAAGCTTTGATTTCGAGCATTCAAGAGGAAAAGAATGGAACCATTACACATCCTTTAGCTGCACGAATCCATCTAGAAAGATTGGTTGAACGGTATTGGGAACGAAAAGCGCAAGAGCAACAAAGAGAGAATGATCAGGATGAGGTAACACCCGAAGCGCCAGAAGAAGAAGAAGAAGAAGAGGAAAGCTTGGAGGAGCTGCGATTACGGATCTTACAGCATCCCGTCTATGCAACCGTACCGACGGTCTTTCGATGGCCTATTTTGACTTCTCAGCTAGTACGACCGGAATGGTCCTTAGCAGATGAAGTTATGGTAATCTTAACAAAGCAATCTGTAAGAGCGTCACGAAGCAGCCACCATTCAAATACTGAAGAAGATACTGCAGAGACTTTGACTGAAGACCAAGAGGAAAGTCAGCCTCCACCAGCAACGCAATCCGAAACTGTAGAACATCCGTCCCTTGATGGAGAAGAGGATGAGATCCCACCCTCATTTGCCTTGCCGATAATCAATCAGTGTCAAACATCTCTTCAAGCCCTGCTAGAGTCCTTGTCCGATCGAATTCCAATCGGGCGAGGCAATGGACAAAAGCGTATGCAAAGGCGTGATATTATAACCTGGCGAGATGTACTGAAAAGTGTCAAAAGCCTTCTTCCGCCAACTCAATCACCTGAAGAGGTCGTACAAAGGATTGAAGAGCGAATGCATGCAATTGCCGGTTCCGCAACGGTCTTCCCGAGCGCTGCTGTTCTGACAAACCTTGGCAGAGAGCAAGGTGCATTGGCTAAAGTGTTGAGGAAACAGGCTCCTATACTAACTCATCAATCGGAAAATGCACATAAACTCTTCCCTCATAACGATCAGACAAAGAAACGACGTGCTTTGCAAAACCGATTGCGTGAGATGGATCAAGATCTTTTTCTCAGTCCGGATCGCTTCAGACATTCTCTCTTACAACCTTCACCTTCTGAGCAGAACTTGTACAAACGTCAAAGATTCTAATTCATTGAGAAAGATACCCACTTAATGTACAAGACTTGTTTCACTTGTGTACTACAATAGAAAAATTCATTTCATTTCTTCTCTTCGCTTGATTCCCTTCCAATTCCATCTTCGAATATGTACAAGTGCTTTGTTTGTGTAAAAAAAAAGAGAATATGATCTCTGTCCTTCTTCCCCGGGTTAAAGAACAAGTCATTATAAAAATACAATATGGGGGAGAGACACTGCTTGGTGGCGGCGATCGTATTATCGGATACTTCTACATTTCCATAGCAAATTGTTCATCATTTTCATGATGATGAGCGTTGTTACCGTTATTGCTAGTGGTACTCGTGCTACTATTACTGCCTAAACGACCACGTTTGACATGATGATTATCGTTTGAAAGGTTTGGAGTGTCTTCTTGCTCTTCATCATTTGTTTGTTGTTGTTGTTTTGCAACAGCTGCTTCTGCCGCTTCTAAACGTTCTTTAAACGAAGAAGGTGTTGTATTTGTTTGTTGTTGATTAGAGCCAAGTTTACCAAAATTGAACGCATTACCCGGACTACGTGGCTTGCTTGCACTGTTTGGTGGAGAGCGGGTAATGCTGCTTGCCGTGATCCCAGCACTACCGATACTGCCAACGTTGAAGTTTGCAGAAGGTGATCGACCGCCTGGTGAACGACCGTATTGGACACCATTCATATTCAACGGTTTGACGTCCTTCTTACCGGATTTCACCACAGTAGTCCAAGGTGGAGAAGGATTGCGAACGGTAGAAGAACCGTTTGTTGCTCTTGGAGGGTTTCTTTGTTGTGGTTGTGATTGAGGAGGTGATTTAGCATAAGGGCTGTTTTGATGAGCAAAACCGTCTGATTTCAATTCGGGTGAACGACTGATCTCTTGCGGAACAGGAGTGATTGTTTGTGATAAAGGTGAACTTGCCAAAAGCAATAATTGTTCACGAGAATAAACAATCCTATTCGTTCCGCCAGGTGTTGTGCCGAAGAGTTGAGTGTTGCCTGATTTGCTGGCCTCTGTTTTTGTAAGAGTCTTGTTATGACCGTTCATCGTTTGATGATTATGACGAACATTATGTTGGTGATGATGATGAGATTTTGGCATATGGAAATCAGTTGGAGCACGACGAATGGCAACAGGGGTAGTCATGGTGACAAAAAGAGAATATTATATCTGACTGTAGAGAAGAAGAAAGAAGAAGGAAGAAGAAGAAGTACTGTTGAGATAGGGTGAATGAAGTGCTGAGAATTGAATGAGTTGCGCGAAAAAGGATGGATTCAGGAGGATGTTTAAGTCTTTATATCTGATAGCTCAAGCATTTATCTTTATGGTTATTGTATCAATTTTGCCCGGAATGACGAGCGGTGGGGGTGGGTGTCTGTGCGTTAAATTGCATGCCGTTGTGCATTGAATGTGTGATAATGGCACTAAAGCAGTCTCGGAAAGAAGAGCATCAAAAGTTTGGGGTATTAAAGCTGTTTTAGGAAAAAGGTTGCCGCTCGTGTGGATACGCACGTCATCCGTAAATGATCGAAGCACACCCTATCTTCACACTGACTTTTCGCCCTTCCATGCACTTTAACAGCGTGCGTATCACCGCTTTACTACTTCAGTGTATCTGTTAATATGCTCGGGCCTTTTTCTTATTTTTATGCAGGTTATGTTGCATGGAAAGATAGGAGCACTTCAAGAGATTACAATTATTATATTGCATATACATTATATCTATATCTTGAAATATGTTTGAATGAAGTGCAAAGATTTGATAGGAAGATATCGGATTCAGCCTTTCTTGGAAACAATAAAAAGACGGGATGATAACAGCAATATGAATTAAAAGGCGGGGACCGTTTCTCTCGTTGGCAGATGACCTTCGATCACAAAGAGGATGGCCCAAACGTGAATAAGTGAAAATGACATAACTCATCAAATCTTTTTATATCTTTGTCTTGCGCCCTTGTGGCTTCATTTAAAAGAAGGAGAATAAAAATAAAGTAGGGATGATACCCCGGATTATTTATTCCGCTTGTGAACGAATAATAGCGTGCGCCCGCCTGCTTTCATGCTCTCTTGCATTACCTGAGGCGATGAGAGTGCTTTTCCGATCAAACATTCTCCCATAAGCTAGACTCTTACCCCACAAAAAGTGAAGTCTATTGGAACACCTTAAAAACACATTCCAAGTAGGCTGATTGCTGAATACCTTGCATTGAGTGAAAGTTTATTTATTGTGAATTAAAGGTTTTATATACTTTACTGGAGAGTTCGAGAGGTCCAATAAACAACCTCCCTACATGTGATCATATTGTGAAGAAGTCACATTCCGCACGTGATTTGAGCAAAGATGATGCTTACATATGCAAACAGCTAATAAATGATCGTCATTGCAGCTACTCCTTGGGGTTCAAATGTCTAATGGTGTGAAAACGAACAAAGAATCAGCCCCACTTTTTGATGGAAGTGCAGGCAGTGATTTTGCCTCCACCTGTTTTGATTTATGAACCCACAAGCGACGCCCAGGGCAAAGATGCAATGCTTGTGTGTGTTTCAGCTCTCAAGACTCTCGGCGTAGTGCCACTCACATCATCTTTTTTTTTTGGCTCGGTCTGCTTCTTTTTTGTTTGCTTGGACTATAACGCGTAATTATTGCATTTAAAATGCCTTACCCGCTCGGTCAAAAGGAGCACATCCACACGGTTTTGTTAAGACAGAGAACATTGGCGTGGCCCTCTCCTTCTAGCGTAAAATATAAACTGATAAAGTGCACTCCACCTTTAAAATAAAGTGCGGAGCGCACAGTTCCTTTGCCTGTTTTTGTTGTCGAGTGAGAGTGGGTGTAATGCGATCTGTAAAACAGTGTCCAGATCGAAATCGAGGTAAAGTTTTTTGTGTGTGTAGTCCACATCCATTCAAACTTTTACTCCCGCTTTTCTTTCACATTCATCACTGTCATCTCTCTGTTCAATTGACAAAGAGAAAGAGACTGACAAAAGCCAATCTATAAAGGTGTGTATACGAAAACATTTCATCCCCTTCTCGAAAACCATCTGACCACCCTTTTGTGTCTTTAGAACCTCTTTCATTCATTCTTGATAGCAACAATGTCCGCTTTGTCCAGTGTCGAGATTGGCGATGCACCACAAAAGGGTCATGGTAAGATCCGTAGGGCTGCCATCAGTCCTGATGCTTTGGTAGAACGTCCATCTGAAGGAAATTGCAATTCTATGGCTGATGTTTTGGACTTTGCAGTCAAAAAGTTCACAAACAAACCAGTGATGGGAGAACGTGATTTGATCAAAGTACACAAAGAAGAAAAAGAAATCACAAAAAAGGTTGATGGAAAAGAGGTAAAGGAAAAGAAAACCTGGGAATACTCTGAATTGAGCGATTATCATTACTTGACTTACAGTGAATTCTACGAACAAGTTCAAGCTGTCGGTAGTGGTTTGCGTGGACTTGGCTTGTCACACGATACAAGATTCAACATTTATGCTTCCACCTCTCTCAACTGGCAAAAGATGGCTCACTCTTGTTTCCAACAAAACATTCCTTTCTGCACTGCTTATGATACTTTGGGAGAAGATGGTTTACAGCATTCACTCTCTGAGCCTGACGTCGTTGGTATCTTTACAAACCCTAAACTTCTCAAAACATTGACAAACGTAATCGGTAACACACCCACAGTCAAGACTGTCATTTATGACGGAAAGGCAGAACAAGAACAATTGGACAAATTAAAAGAAGCAATGGGCGATCGTGAAGGCGTTCAAATCATTCATTTGGACGAAGTATTGAAACAAGGAAAAGCCAACAAAGTTGAACCACATAAGCCAAAGCTGGAAGATGTTGCATGTATTATGTACACTTCCGGTAGTACAGGAGCACCAAAGGGTGTGATCTTGACCCATCAAAACTTGATCGCAGCTTTGGGAGCAATTGAAAAGTTGATCGGTCATCATTTGAAGCCAACGGATACATTCTTGGCTTATTTGCCTTTAGCACACATTTTGGAATTCATTGTTGAATCTGCATGCTTGTATGTTGGTATCACAATGGGTTACGGTAGCGTCAAAACACTCACTTCAGCAAGCACGCGCAATTGTGAAGGTGATTTGGCCGCATTCAAGCCAAGTGTGATGGTCGGTGTTCCAGCTGTTTGGGAGACGATTCGTAAGGGTATCAATGCAAAGGTTTCTGGTGGACCTGCAGTTGCTCGTGCTTTCTTCAAAGCAGGTTATGCTGCCAAGAAGAACAAAGTTCCAGTTTTGTCCGGAGCTGCAGATGCGATTGTGTTTAGCAAGGTTAAAGCACAAACCGGTGGCCGTTTACGTTTAGCATTGAGTGGTGGTGCAGCTATTCACAAGGAAACTCAACAATTCTTGGAAATCGCATTGGTGTCTATTTTGCAAGGATACGGTTTGACGGAAACTGTGGGAATGTGTGCAATCTTGGTACCTGAATTGATGCAATACGGTTCAGTAGGCGTTCCCGTGCCTGCCGTTGAAGTTAAATTGGTTGATGTGCCTGATGCCGGTTACTTTGCAACTAAGAACCAAGGTGAAATCTGGATTCGTGGACCTGCAGTGAGCAAAGGATACTTTAAGCGTGAAAAGGAGACAAAGGAAGCCTTTACCGAAGATGGATGGTTCATGTCTGGTGATGTCGGTCAATGGAACAAGGATGGTACACTTTCTATCATTGATCGTAAGAAGAATTTGGTCAAATTGGCAGGAGGTGAATACATTGCAATCGAACGTTTAGAGTCGGTTTACAAATCATGCGATTACGTACAAAACTTGTGCTTGCACGCTGATTCTAATGCCAAGCAGCCGATGGCAATCGTTTTCCCCAAAGAGGACAATTTCCGTAAATTACAAGGAGCAGACGCAAGCACAGACTTTGCTGAATTGTGCAAGAAGAAAGAGTTGGTTAATGCCGTTCTTAAAGAATTGAACTCTGTTGGAAAACAATCCAACTTTTCTACTATGGAACAATTGCAAACTGTTATCCTCGTTCCTGAAGATCTTCCAGTAACTGCTGCTCAAAAGATTCAAAGAAAACAAGCTGTGGAGAAGTACAAGGAGCAAATTGATAAGATTTACCCTTGAGAGGAGAAGTGTGAAGATTTTTTCTCATTCTACTTTCTTTTAGTTTCAAGATACCAGCCTCCTTGTTCTGCCTTTTTTCTCCCGCGACATCACACATTGTACGCCATCTGACACACACGCACACACAATTCAAGTTCTTTCCATCGTACAATTCAGCCCTTCAATCCCCGCCTTTTCTACTTCTTCTCTGTATATATTTTGCATATTTCAATGATTGATGACCTGAATTGATGTTTGCCGGTCATCCCCGCTTTTTCCCCCGCGCCCAAAGAATATTTAAGTAAGTTACTCTAAGTAAACGCGGCAGGGCGCTGCGCTTGTACTCCGAACGAAAGTCCGATGTAAGCTGCATATCCCTCATTATTCTTAAAGATGGACGCCCGCGAGTCAGAGATTACACAAAAGAGGGAAGATTGCATAAGTATCTGTTGTGCAGCGCGCGAGCGGATCGTTTATGTCATTCTTATTTAAACGCGGCCGGTTCTCCGCTTCGTCCGCAGTGCATTTAAGCAGAGAAAACTTTTCTCCCGTTAGCAACAGCTTTCAATTCCTTCTTCCCCTTCTCTCTTATCATTTAGAGTGTACATACATACTCCACTTCCTCCCTGTATATTGTGTGGGTTGTGAGACCGAGTACGCCCCCCGCCCTTCATCATGACTCCGACTCATATGCAAAAGGCTAAAGCTGTTCTGCATTCATCATCTTTACCTTTTACCAGCGGCGCCCATTCATCCGTTATTTTACGCCAAGCTGCTACCTTTCCTTCATCATCAAGAAGTGTATCCTATAAGAACAGCAACAGTCTCACCCGTCAATCTCGCTCATCTCCTTCCAACATCGGGCAACCTTGGTCATCATCCTCTACAATAACAAAGCGTACATTCATGACCTCTTCTTCATCTTCCTACAAAAAGGTTCTAACCCTTGATTCTATCAATCAAAATGTTCGAAATGTAGAATATGCCGTTCGAGGAGAAATTTCAAATCGTGCAAATGCATATTCAAATCAATTAGCCGAAAAGAAAGGAAAACTTCCTTTTGATTCTGTTGTTTCTGCAAATATCGGAAATCCTCAACAACAACCACATTTAGCTCAAAAGCCACTCACTTTTTGGAGACAAGTTGCTGCACTTACCGAATATCCAGATTTGATCGAAAGTCAAGAGGCAAACAAACTTTTCCCACAAGACGCAAAAGATCGTGCGAAACATATCTTGGAAGATGTTGGAAGTGTGGGCGCATACTCTCATTCAAAAGGTGCACAGAGCATTCGCAAACATGTTGCTCAATTTATAGAGGAAAGAGATGGTTATCCTTCTGATCCGGAAATGATTTATTTGACCGCAGGTGCTTCTGCCGGTGTGCAATTGTTATTGTCGGTTTTGATCTCAAGTTCAAAAGTTGGAATCATGATCCCAATTCCACAATACCCACTTTATTCTGCCGCACTTTCTTATTATGACGCTCAACCGGTCAAGTACTTTTTGAATAGTGATGATGATTGGAGCGTGGACGTGAAACAGATGGCCAAAGAAGTTGACGATGCACGCGCAAAGGGAACAGACGTTCGTGCTTTGGTCGTGATCAATCCTGGAAATCCAACTGGAAGTTGTTTATCGGAGGAGAATGTTCGTCAAATCATTCAATTAGCACACGAAAAAAGCTTGATCGTGATGGCTGATGAGGTTTACCAAACAAATATCTTTAAACCAAAAGATCTTCCTTTCGTCAGTTTCAAAAAGGTTCTACGCGATTTCAGCAAAAGCACAAAGAAGGAAGAACAATCGATCGCAGATGAAGTGGAATTGGTCAGCTTCCATAGTATCAGTAAAGGCGTTAGCGGAGAATGCGGTAGACGAGGAGGTTATTTCGAATTGACAAATATTTCAACCGATGTCGAAGCACAGATATACAAGATGGCAAGTGTAAACCTTTGTCCTTCTATTCAAGGTCAAATTGGTGTAGACCTTTTGGTTCGTCCACCAAAGAAAGGTGAAGAAAGTTTTGAGCTTTATCAAAAAGAGGTGGATTCGATCCATCAAACCTTACTGGAACGTAGCCGAAAGATGGCCGATAAATTCAATCAATTGGAAGGTATTCAATGCGGAGAAGCACAAGGTGCATTGTATCTTTTCCCATCGATCAAATTACCACAAAAAGCAATGGAAAAAGCAAAAGAAGAAAAACGCAAGCCAGACGAATATTATTGTTTACGTTTATTGGATGCAACTGGAATTTGTGTTGTTCCTGGTGGAGGATTTGGTAAAGTGGCAAAAGAAGATGGAACAATCTTTTTGCGAACGACAATCTTGGCAAAAGAAACAGATGCATTCGTTGACCGATTTGGTAAATTCCATCAAGAATTTTTGGAGGAATTTGGCAAACCTTAGAATGTTGAGCTTTAGACGTATATAGAAAGAGAAAAAACACTTGTAGAATCACACATCAGCGCATATGTTTTATATATTTTCAATCAAATCAGATCAATTTAACGACATTTAGAGATTGAATTGCATTTCATTGAACGTATCTTTATTAGCACCACAAAACAAGAAAACAAAAGAGAACGAGATTATACATCGTGAAAAGTATGAAGAGAGAAAGATTTATTGAACGGAGTATGGTTGATTTTGATGATTGTTCAAGATGTCTATTTGCGAAGACTGTTTAATGAACGGGTGAAAAACGCATTTCATCCTTTACGCTATCGGTCTTGAATTGAATCCAATCCTTGAAGAAGTTATCACGCATCTTCCATGGCTTTTGATCAGCTGCTTTTGGCATCAAAGGTTTAGCACGTTCCAAATAACCAGAATTGAGGTTAACCAAAGGAGCAACCTTGACTTGATTGTGATCGACTGTTGGTGTAGCAGCGGCATAATTGTTCTCTTTCATGAAGTTTAACAAACGAACCAAATAACGTGCACACAAATCCGAGCCAAGAGTCCAAGAAGCGTTTGTATAACCGAAGCACATTGATAAATTTGGAATTCCATCGATCATTTGACCTTTGTAAACGAAATGATCTCTCAAGATCATCTTTTTACCGTCAACAACGATATTCGTTCCACCTAACATTTGAACTTTCAATCCTGTTGCTTGAACGATATAATCAGCTTCTAATTCACTTCCATCTTTTAATCGAATTCCGTTTGCCATAATTTCTTGTATATGTCCTGTAGCGATTGATGCTTTTCCTGATTTGATTGCTTTGAAGAAATCTCCGTCGGGTACCATGCATAAACGTTGATCCCATGGCTTATAATTAGGGTTAAAGTGTGGATCCATTGGGAAATTCTTTGGTAATTGTCTGGCGATCAAGAAACGTAAAACACGACGGATAAAGTTTGGAAAAACACGGCTCATGTAAAATAAGAATGAAGAACGGATTTGGTTACGGATACGCATATAAGTGTGTGCCCATCTGCCAGGCAAGATTTTACGAATGATTTGAGCGACGGGATCGATTGAAGGTTGAGCGATGAAATAAGAAGGAGAACGTTGTAACATTGTAACCATTTTGGCTTCTTTGGCCATGTTTGGCAAAAGTGTAACCGCAGTGGCACCACTACCAATCACCACAACTTTTTTGCCTGAATAATCCAAATCTTCTGGCCAGAATTGAGGTCGTAGAATTTGACCTTTGAAATTTTCCGATCCAGGCAAGACTGGGTAATATCCTTCATCGTAATCGTAATATCCGGCTGAGAAGATGACGAATCTTGCAGTCATTTTAGTAGATTCATTCTTTTGATTGTCATGAATTGATAAAGTCCAAAGGGCATCTTTTGTTGACCAATTTGCTTCTTCAACTTTTTTGTTGTATTGAACTTTCTTGTCAATTCCAAATTCTGATGCTGTATCTTTGATATATTGTAAAATATCTGCGCCGTCTGCGATTGATTTTTTACCTTCCCAAGGACGGAAAGGGAAACCAAGCGTAAACATTTCCGAATCAGAACGAATACCTGGATATTTGAATAAAGACCATGTTCCACCAATTTCATGACGTGATTCTAACATGGTAAAATTGAGAGAAGTACCGGTTTGTAAACGGTAAGCGGCATTCACACCGGAAAGACCGGCACCAACGACTATTACGTCGTAATCTGCTGCGACCATTTTTTTTGTGAGGAGAAGGGGGGAAGATGGCAAAAAGTTTAAAGGGGTTATGACGATGGAGGCAAAAAGAGCAAAGAAATCTATCTGAGCAAAGCCTCGTGTCTAAAATGTCCAAAAGTGGATGATGGTGGTGTTGAGGAAGGGAAGTGGGGTAATTGCAATCCGAGTATAAAAGTAAGATGACCAAGAAGAAGATTTTAAGACATACGGTGAGTGTCCATACTTAGGATTACCTATTTTGTCTTCCGCCTGTTCGGTCATTTTGATTGACCGGAGTTGGCGAATGAACAGTGTTTGTCAATCAGCATTAGTTTATGTGGGAATCCACACATAGAATAGCAGCACTTATGCTCCCATGCTAAACAATGATTTGAAAGGAAGATTTTTGCATTGAAAGTGCCTTAGCATGATAGCAGGCATCATATCAGTCAGAGAACCTTTTTTTACTCATCATCAACTCCACTGGGGCAAGATGCCAGTTTGATGGAGTAAGCTGGGGTATTGTTTTCATGCTTTGCGCAATACGCGTTTAACCTCGGTCAACTCGTCTTTCACACTTTTGGATTGCAACCGAAGTGACGTAAACTTCAATCCTGCTGATATAAGCAAAAGAGACACGTGATTGCTCTAGGATTCAACCACCAATCCACCGTGGATCCCATTCCTTAACCCTGAAATGAGAATGAAAGAATTAGGGTTGCAGAAAGAAATTATTGATTCTACATGCCTCCTTCATAATAAATTCCTCTCGTATCCATGATCTTGAAGAAGATTTATAAAGAGACTGTTGTACAAAACAATTGATACTTACAACAACCATCCCTGTATCCCTGTATCCCTGTATCCCTTTGTTTCGTTGAAGCTTAACCTCTGTCGAACTGTTATCAAGCTAAAAACATCATGCGTTTCACAATCATCGTTCTCTTCCTCATGATACCTGCAGCCATGGCAACAACGCTTTGGAATCGTCAATGCGAACCGGATCCTTGTCCTGACCCAGAATGTGTATGCTGATAAAGCAAGTACCCTTTGATCTTATCATTACAGTTATTTCAAAAATGAAAGCTGCCTCTGGTAAGTGAAATAATCGGACATTTTGTTTAACAATATATTTACTCTTTTTCCACTATATGATTTCTCATCTTGGCTTAAATAGCAAATAAGATCAATATATTTTTTATTTTTTCACCTGTGCTGAAAGCATAATAATACAAATTACTCTATACTACTTCTGTTTATGATCTTTGTGAGCTGTGGAATATAATCAGGTGAGGGGCTAGTCTAATAAGTCACCGTCAATATCGTCCTTCAAGAATGTAGGTAACCCTGAATAAAAGATTTAGGGCACTTTAGTTCATTTTGCAGAAACATTTATTAATTCTACATACCTTCTTCATATTCATTCAATTTTTCTCCTTTACTCTTATTATGTCATACCTGTACTGATCTTGCAAAGGTTTATAAAAAAGCTGTTGTACAAAATGATTGTTATTCACAACAACCATTCTTATATTTCTTTGTTTCGTTGAACATAAGCCCTGCAAAATTCTCAACAAGCCTACATCATGCGTTTCAGCATCATCTTGCTCCTCTTTTTGGTACCTGCAGCTATGGCATCAATTCTTTTAAATCGTCAATGCGGAGACGACCCTTGTCCTGATTTGGACTGTGATGCTTGTCGCAAGAAATCTTCGGTTTGATCATTACAGCTATTTTAAATATAGAAGCTACCTCTGGTAAGTGAACTGGTTAGGAAATTAAATTTTCCAAATATTTATCCGGCTATCACTTACTGTTTCTGATCTAGACTTTAAATGACAAACAAGACCAGCATATTTTCATCTTTTCACCTTTGCTGTAAGCAAAATAATTTAATTTTCTATGCTAATTCTATTTATATCTATGTAAGCTGTTGAGTATGTAATCTAGCGAGGGACGGGTCTAATGATCCATCGTGAACACCGTCCTTCCAGGTTTTAGGCAACCCTGGTGTATGAATGATTTAGCTGAGATTTCTTCTCTATTCGTGAAAGGAATTTATAACCTTTTCATTAAACTTCAGAAAGTTATAGTCGCGATCGATATGAATCGTTTATAACATAAGGCGTCGAAGTTGAAAGGTCTTCTTCGCGTTTACCAATAGGTACGATTTATTTATATAAAAATAGATCCGCTTATCTCAAGTGCATACTATGCTTGGCAATCGCTTTTCATTCCGTTTTCAGACAAGATTTCGGCCTTCCGCTCATCTTGATATAACAAAAAGATTAGTCACATAAAGATTAATCACCTTCAAGTACAATTGTATATACTGTAAATCACTTTTACCTGTATTACCTTCCTTCTCTGGACTACCATCAATCCATAAGCTTCTCTCTCCCCCTTTCTGCACCAGATCGCCACCTTCTCAGCAAGTCATTCGAAAGAATCAAAATTGCATTCATTACTGTAAATCTGTGAAAGTTGAAAGTCGGGATAATGCAGGGACTGAATTTCCTCCCTTTGTTCTTTATCCTTTTTTTTGATCAGGCGATCGAGACAACAAGATAGGTCCGTTCTACAATCGAACGCGTTGAGAATGAAATACCTTTCTTTGCGTTGATTGGCAAATAATTATGATAAAGGAAAGAACCGGCTTATCTCAGCCCATTTCCTTGCTTGGCGATCGGTTTAACTTTTTTCAGACGGGATTTTCAGCCTTCCGTCTATTTCAATATATGACATCTTACCAACTATAAATCAATTCCTTCAGTAAGATTTCACTTTCTCTTCAGTACCACCAATCGATCAACTTCCCTTCCCCCGTCTTTGTTTAAACTTCACCTAACTTTGTCTGCGAATCGAGAGGGCTCGCTTATTCAATTCAGACTCTGAACAAATTTGTACAATGCGTCTCAACATCATCTTATTCCTCTTTTTGGTACCTGCAGCCATGGCATCAATTGTTTTAAATCGTCAATGCTCACCCGACCCTTGTCCTGATATTGACTGTGATGGTTGTCATCATCAAACTGTAGTCTGATCGTCATCCATGTTTGAGAGGTGGACGTTGCCCAGAGTGAGTGAAGGAGATAAAAAGAAGCTTTATTTTTGAAAGAGATAATTGACATGTTTAACAGCCAGCAAAGTCTCAAGGCAACAGATCAAGCTCAATGAGTAGAATATCAGGCCAAAAAGCCTACAATACCCCCCAGCAAGAGTACCCAAGCTATCGTTCAAATTCAATCCATAGATTCAAGCTGAACAGATATGACTGTAAACCTCTTAAAATTCAAAACAATACAGACTTATACAAAACCCCAATACTGCTCCATTTGTTCTTTGTGCATTTTAATCCTAGAGTCTATCACTGATGAGGAAGGAAAGTATGGTCTCGTCCCCCTTCTTGCCACGTGCTTGTTAATGTATGAATATTTTTTCATTGGTGACCACACATTTAGAATATTGGAGAGCTGCAGAACAAATCTTTAATATTCTTTGTTGGAATTCTGTTGATCATGTTTGCACGTTCCTTCGTGAGAATTGGAAGGATTAGCGTGCATCTTTCGTGCGATAAAATGGCACTGCGCCTGCGTGTCGCGTATGGTAATGAGCACTTAATATCCTCTTAACCTCGCATGTTCCTGAAAAAATACATAGATTTATATTTCAGGAACGAAGGTTATATAAAGAAGATGCATTCAAGTACCCAATTCATTTCTAAATCCATCTATCCCCCATAATGACTTCCAAAATTAACACAATCTTTTTATCTTTTATCATCTTAGCCCATCTCACGCTCGTTCATTCATGGAATCATCATCCTCCTCACCAAACACTTTCACCTATTTATGATGATGGCAATGCATTCCTCAACAAAGGCTTGAATCCGAACATTTTTCATCATTTTGGTACGTTTAGCTCACGTTATTCCGTTCAACCGAGCGGTTCTCTTTACCCACCCAAGCAGTGCAAAGTAGTCCAAGTAACTTCGCTCGAACGTCATGGTTCAAGACATCTTTCAAAAGGTGCTTATAAATCTGCAAATAACACTCTTTCTACCATTCAGGCAGCAATCAAACAATCCCATCAAAACATTGACAAATTACCGAAACTTATTCAATTCCTTGCCCATGCAACCATTGATAGTACCGTGGAAGATTTAAACCCTTTTGGTGCTTTACAAGCATGGTACAGTGGCAGAAGTACGGCTTCAGTCTATAGTTCACTTGCAAAACATGGTGGTGCATTTATTCGGTCAACTGGAAATAACGTGATTGGACAAGATAGAGTTTTGATCACATCAAAATATTGGAGATTAGGATTTGATGGTAAACCTTTTCCTTCTCGTGGAATGACAAATTCAAGTCAAGTTCGTAGATTATCACAATCTATCAAACCTGCAGATGTTATCTTTGCAGAAAATTCTGCAACGAATGATACCTTGAGTCCCTCAACTTGTCCTGCCGATCAAGCGGCAAAACCGGCAAACATTTCAAGTGATGCAATGCAAGCAGCATATGCAAACAGTACAGTTTTACCAGTGATTGGCACCCGTCTGCACAAATATTTCCAACAAAACAAGATTCCACTCAACATTACTCAGTACGTAATCTCTGATTTGGCTAATTTGTGCTTGTTTGAAACATTTTCACGAGCACATATCAGTCATCAAGGACAATCACTTGATATGCCACAAAGTCATTTCTGTCAATTGTTTGACGGAGAAGATGATTGGAAGATCTTGGGATATTTCATGGACATTGGAATGTACTATCAAGCCGGCTATGGTGATCCATATCACAAAGGCTTGGGAACTGGTTTCTTGAGAGAATTGTTGGCACGTTTGACAAACACTTCTCCGCTTTTGAATCCACCAACCAGCTTGAACACTACACTGGACGCTGCCCACAGTGCAACCTTCCCGATCAAAGATGGTATGATTTACATGGATACCTCTCACGATGGCACGATGGCATCTATTGCATCTAGTATTGGCTTAAAGAGAAGTCCATCAAAATTGACACCTGCAAAGCATGCGGAAAACGAACCGCATAATTGGAAATTTGCTCAAATTGCACCAATGCAAGGTAAGATTGTATTTGAAAAGTTACACTGTGATCAACATGGTGGACATCCAAAAACGAAAGAATACGTTCGTATTCGCATGAATGATCAAACACAAATTCCAGATCAATTTTGGTGTCCCGGTGCCAGTAAGAAGGAGCAGAAAGAGCGTATTTGCCCTTTGAACATCTTTAAGAAGCATTTGGAGTTCGTTGAATCTGATTTAGAATGGAACAAATGCTACCAGTAGTGCGATGTACACTTTATAAGGAATGACAGTTGTGATACTAGTGACTGACCGTGAGAAGGATGATATAAAAGCACTCTTGGGACAATCACAAAGAGGAAGCTGTCAAAGTTGATAAATGACTGAAGACTGCAATCATAGATCGCATCAAGCTATACTGAATGTTGCCTTGACTGGTACATGATCGGAAAGAGGCTTGCCAGTTGTCTTGTTCAAAAATTCACTAGCATCGTATGTCCATGACAATGCTGAAAGTTTGACATCTGTTCCAGAGCGGTAGCTGTAAGGGGAGAGGATGAGGGTGATCAGCAAATTGTTTATCAGAGTGCTTAGCACAATTTGTACTCACAAAATCTTGTCAACCGTTTCACAAGTATTGTCTGCTGGAATTGGATCAGCACATAAGAGAGGATCTGCGCCTTGAGCTGGTGCCAAACCTCCGCGGTACAAGGTAACCCAAGGATCGGTGACGCCCGAAGCAGTGATGAAATCACTTAATTTATCCATTGCACGAGTATAACGACAATTTGTATCACCCATCACGATCACTGCACGATCGGCAGAAGTAGTAGCAATTGCTTTAGCAACTTGAGCAAGGTTTGAGACACGAGCTTCTCCATCACCATCTTCGTCACCTGCATCTGCGTGTAAATTATAAAAATCAACTTCCTTACCTTGATCGAACGTGATTGTCATAGAAGTGAAACCTTTTGGCGTTAAACAATCACCTTCATTTAGGTAGCATTTATCCCATTTGATTCTTTGTAAATTTGAAAATGCAAAATTGCTCAACGTATTCAACCCCGAACCGATTGGCACGCCTCCGCTTGTTGCCGTTCGATATGGATGCGTATCAGTTCTGTAGATGTAGGCATGATAATTGAAATCTTCTTGAACATGAATGACATCAAATTTACCATTTGCAAATGCTGTACCGATATCCAACGAATTTTGTTTCTTGTCGCCTTCACCATTTCCATTAATTGCTGCTGGTAAACCGGCAACGTTCATGGTCAATACGGTGATTGTTTGAGCTGCATCGACAACCTGCAAGCAGGCCAGTACGATAGGGAGTAAAGGCAATAAAAAGTTCGCCATTGTAGTCTGTGTTACTGATCAATATTCAACAAAAGATCATTACAGCTTCTATTTATACCCTTTCTCGGTTGTTTTCCAGGAACCGGGTATCCGATGTTTAATGAGGAAAACGTGCATGCTAATCATTGGAGCTTCATATCCTCGATCAAAACAAGATTTCCGTTCCAACTTTCCGTCTTGTTTCCGTACGAGAAGCACTATCAGCAAGATTGAGCTTTACATGCATGTACGCCATATGTCTATTACATACATTAGCGTACACTGTTGCAATGAGCACGTTTCTTGGCACGGCTCCTAGTTTGGAAGAACATTGCTTTCCCGTGACCTTAATCTCAGGTCATGCTTGACACAGTGGACCTTAATTTGCTTTATGTACTGTTCTGCTCCGAGCCTTGATTGCAATTGACGGTTAAGATTGTTCCTCTCTGGAACTCCGATGTTCCTTTTCCATTTCCATTGGATCACCTTCATTATAGCCTTTTACGTCATATTTGCGAACCGGGTCTTTAGCACCGATTTGATGGCTTTCAGCAACTTGACGAATTATTATCAGCCCTTAGCAATTCAATGAGCCCTACATGACCTTGCTTACGTTCGTATGTCCTTCCAATGCTGAGCAGGTGGCATGGCCTTTTCCATCGATTCGGATAGATAGACGTTTCCAACACGATCTGTGCTGAGGACGTGGGTCACTTCTACAGCTGCACGACCAGGACATCTACACGAAAGCGAGAGAAGCGATTAGATCAATCTTCTTCTAGTAATTCGGGTCCAACTATACTCACTTTCGAAAGAATCGTTCCACAGGTCTGCAGATCACACCGTCAGGCAATAATCTACAACTGTATTGCATCATCTCGTGTAAGGTACATCCACTTTCTCTACTCATTGCATTCTTGCCGGCATTCTTCACTTCATTATCTCGCTCCATCGCCATCGTTGGTGATGAGAGTTTAGCATTCACTCGTGTGGTCATCCAGACAAAAGAAAAGGACGTGCGACAAATTGCAACAACGCTTTCGTGCCAAATTGTTGCCACTGCCAGACTACAAATGCAACTGTACACGCTTTAAGGGAACGTTTGCTTTCTTAGGCTTTTGACTGCAAAAATATAAAAATAAGCTAAAACTTTCTTCTTGAAGAATTCCTCTGTTCAAGTGCCTTGTTTCCAATGAAAACTTCTTTTTGCTGAAGTGAAAATGGACTGTGCGGTGGTGCACGCGCCCTTTTATGAATTAAGAAGAAACAACAAAACTTTCAATTTAAGCAATGCCCGCGTGAGAGAGGAAGAGGATAAAGTTAATCAAGTTCGCTTTACCTCCTTTCTTCTAAACCACATCTACATTTATAGAATCATACAATATGGCTGCTCATAACTACAAGGTATGTTCAAAGATGATCTGCTACTTGTAACGATTGAGAACTAACCCCACCTCTTTCCCTTTTACAGGTCGCTGATATCTCCCTCGCTGCTTTCGGTCGCAAGGAAATCGAAATCGCAGAAGGTGAAATGCCTGGTTTGGTCGCTTTGCGTACCAAATACGGTAACGAAAAGCCATTGGCAGGTGCCCGTATTGCAGGTTGCTTGCACATGACAATTCAAACTGCTGTTTTGATTGAAACTTTGGTCGCTTTGGGTGCTCAAGTTACATGGTCTTCATGCAACATCTACTCTACCCAAGACCACGCTGCTGCCGCAATTGCTGCAACTGGTATCCCAGTCTTTGCATGGAAGGGTGAAACTGAAGAAGAATACCAATGGTGCATCGAACAACAACTCAAGGCATTCCCCAACGGTGAAGGACTTAACATGATCCTCGATGACGGTGGTGATTTGACCTGGACCGTTCACCAAAAGTACCCTGAACTTTTGGCCGGTATCAAGGGTGTCTCTGAAGAAACCACAACCGGTGTTCATCACTTGTACACTGCCATGAAGCGTGGTACATTGAAATTGCCTGCCATCAACGTTAACGACTCCGTCACAAAATCCAAATTCGACAACTACTACGGTTGCCGTGAATCATTGGTCGACGGTATCAAGCGTGCCACTGATGTCATGTTGGGTGGTAAGGTTGCCATTGTTGCCGGTTTCGGTGATGTCGGTAAGGGATGTGCTGAATCTCTCCGCGGTTACGGTGCACGAGTCATCGTTACAGAAATCGACCCAATCAACGCTTTGCAAGCTGCCATGGCCGGATACGAAGTTGATACCATGGATGATGTTGCTGCCAAGGCAAACATCTTTGTCACAACTACTGGATGCCGTGACATCATTACTGAAAAGCACTTCAACCAAATGAAGGATGATGCCATTGTGTGCAACATTGGTCACTTTGACATCGAAATCGATGTCGCTTGGTTGAACAAGAACGCCAAGGAAAAGATTGAATTGAAGCCTCAAGTTGACAGATACACCCTCAACAACGGTCGTCACATCATTCTTTTGGCTGCCGGTCGTTTGGTCAACTTGGGATGCGCTACCGGTCACCCAAGTATGATCATGTCCTTCTCATTCTGCAACCAAACATTGGCACAAATCGAATTGTGGAAAGAAAACGAAGGCAACAAGAAATACCAATCCGGAAAGGTTTACATGTTGCCCAAGTCATCTGATGAAGAAGTTGCACGTTTGCACTTGGACAAGGTTGCTGTTAAATTGACCAAATTGACAAAGGTTCAAGCCGATTACCTCGATTTGGGCGAAGAAGGTCCATACAAGCCAGAACACTACCGTTACTAGATGTACGGATTGTGCTCTGACTGGTGGAGTTTTCTAGCTTCTTTCTCCAGCACAACCTGCCCATGTCTTCTTTCAACACTGATGACAAAAGGGTAGGTTATCCTATTTCCATTCCATACCCTATCTCTCAAAATCGAAGTTCATCTCTTTTGAACTACAAAATTATTTTCTGGTCAGACTTCCTCTTTTGCTCTTGCGATTGGGAATTCTGTTCTTATAATTTACATATATAATCACTTTCGTACATATATCTCGTTTTCTAGGTTTCGTCATAGTCAATCACTTTGCTGTGTATCAGTATTCAAGCATTTCCGCTTTTTCAACAAAGCGTTTCAATCCACATCATTGAAAAACAATCATTTTGTATGACAAGAGTGACTTGCTTACTTTCGGTAGAGTATCCGGATATACCGCGGAAGATCAATGAATAAAGCTCGTGCGACCTCGTGCAAAGCTGCAGTAAAGAGAGGCGACAGTGCGCGGCACGCTAAAGAAACAAGACTGTCTCTTCTTGCGGGTAAAGGAAAGGAACAGCAAGATGAATGAACAAACCAAAACTCAACGGCAATCTCTTTTAATTACCCACCACCATTGTATGCACTTCTTATTCTTATCTTGAAGTTGATGCTGTGTCGTGGAAGGGTAGTACTACAAATAGCAACTCCTCACTTTCTTCCTTCAACACGACGATCATTCATCCTGGCATTACAAAGAAATACCCTTTCATCGGCCTTACGAGGTCGATTTCAAAGCAATTCAATCTTGACGAATACACGAAAGAATAATTCAATTCATACTTCTTCCCTACAACATATACCAAACAAGATGGGCGCAATCGCAACAGGCAAAGTGGACACTACAGATCGAGTGGCCAAGCTACGACAACTTCTGAAAGAAAATAATGTGACAGCATACGTTGTACCATCAGAAGATGCACATGCTAGTGAATACCCAGCAGAATCTGATCTAAGACGGGCTTACATTACAGGATTCACAGGATCAGCAGGATGCGCGGTTATTGATGAAAAGAATGCATCTTTATTCACAGATGGAAGATATTTCTTACAAGCAGGTCAACAATTAGAACCAAAAGTTTGGAAATTGATGAAACAAGGTGAACCAAATGTTCCAACTTGGCAAGAATTTTTGGTAAAAGATTTACCTGCAGGATCAAAGATTGGAATTGATCCTTCTTTGATCAGCGTTGATGATGCAAAAACGATTTCTTTTGAATTGCAAAAAGTTGGATCAACTCTCGTTCCTATCGAATCGGGAAATTTGGTCGATCAAGTTTGGGGAAGCGAGAGGCCACAAAGACCACAAAAGCCAGTCTTTGTCTTGGACGAGAAATACTCTGGACGATCAGCAAATGATAAGATCAAGGAGCTGCGTGCAGAGCTCAAGAAGAAGGGAGATAACGTCAAGGGTGTCGTCGCAAACATGTTGGACGAGGTTGCTTGGCTATTGAACTTGCGAGGCTCTGATGTGCCTTATAACCCAGTCTTCTTTGCTTTTGCATTGGTCTTGTTGGAAAAGACTATCCTTTATGTGAACGAAAGCCAATTGGAAGAGTCAGCAAAGAAGTACATCGGCAAAGATGTTGAATTGCGCCCGTACGAGAGCTTCTATGATGATCTAAGGCAGCTTGGTAGTGGTTTAAAGGAAGACGAAAAGATCTTTTTGAGCAAGCGTGCATCTCTGGCCGTTCAAGAGGCTCTTGGTGGTGCATCAAAAGTCTCTGTTGACCGTTCGATTATCATTGATCAAAAGAGTATCAAGAATGAAACAGAGATTCAAGGATTCCGTGATAGCCACATTCGTGATGGAGCTGCACTAGCAAGTTATTTTGCATGGCTAGAAGAGCAATTGCAACAAGGCAAAAAGGTCAGCGAATACGCTGGATCAGAAGAATTGGAAAAGTTCCGTGCTCGTGATAAGGAATTCAGAGGACCTAGTTTCACCACAATTTCTTCTACAGGTGCGAATGGAGCCATTATTCACTACTCTCCCGATCCAAATGGATGCCCAAACATTGACCCTTCGCTGATGTACTTGTGTGATTCTGGAGCACAATTTACAGATGGAACAACGGATGTCACGCGTACGTGGCACTTCCAGAAGCCTGATGCAGAGCAGATTCGTGCATTCACACGGGTGCTACAAGGACACATTGCTATCGATCGTGCAGTATTTGCAGCTGGAACGACCGGTTATCAATTGGACGTCCTAGCCCGTCGTCCATTATGGGGTGAAGGATGGGATTTCCGTCACGGTGTTGGACACGGAGTGGGTCACTTCTTGAACGTTCACGAGCCACCACAAGGTATTTCAACGCGTGCTGTGCACAATGAGACTTCTTTGAAAGACGGAATGGTGATCTCGAACGAGCCTGGATACTACAAAGACGGATCTTGGGGTATCCGAATTGAGAATTTGGTTGTTGTACGCAAAGCAAAGACGCCAAATTCGTTTGGATCAAAGGGATACTTGTGTTTTGAGCGTTTGACGTTTTGCCCTATTCAAGTTAGCCTGATCGATGCATCCTTATTGGATGAAGCGGAGAAGAAATGGATCAACGAGTACCATGACGAGACATTGGCAAAAGTTGGACCGATTTTGAAAGAATTGGGCGATGAAAGAGGATATGCGTGGTTGAAGAAAGAATGTTCAGCACGCGTATGAGTGCGGAAATCAAATGGATAAAACGGATTTGTGTGCGTTAGAGAGAGAGTATTGTAGATATAAGATGTTTTTCCTCCCTCTTTTCCTTCCCCTTTCCTTTTCCCCCCGCTAAAAGAGTTTGCTGTTTGAATTATCCACTTACAGTCAACGGGACAATGCGGGAAGATACATATGTACAAACTTTTATTATCGATGAGCATAACTATCCACGTTGATGACGATGTACATTTTGTGTATATCAATCGTCAATGAGGCTGAAACCATCGGGACATTCCTTTTTCAATACCTTTTCTATAAAATTCTTATGCATTAATACATCATCGTGATCGTGTGATCAATTTGACAAGTAGATAAGGTTAAGCTCATCAATTACACATTTGGGGCCCCATATTGACACTTTGGATAAGATCATTGGAATGACTGTTGCCTTTGTTATTCATAAAAGCGCAGCGCCGCCGTTTGTTAAAGTCAAGCACACGTTTGCTCATCCTTCATCAAGCGCGGGCTAAAGGAAGGGGCCGCGCTATGAATAGGCACGCACATGTGTGTGTGTTTGCTTCTAATTTTAAATAAAGATCTACGTGTGTAATTCGCCGAGAATATAAGCATATGTACTTTTTAAGAGGGTCTTTGGTGACTATGTAAGTGGCAATGGATTGTGTTCGATTGAATGATAGATGGAACACATTTTATGATGCTATTAAAGAATGACAGTAAATAAATAGGGTTGAATGTATGCTATTAAAGTCACACACTCGACTAAGGGAAGGAGGTCAAGCGCGCTGAATAATAATAATCAAAAAACGGGCGAAATGCACGCCCGTTTGGCAGAAAGGGGGAAAAGGGAGAAAGAGCATTGCTCCACAGTGTGTGTGTGTGCGTGCAAAGCGGAAAGGTGGAGTAGGGATGGACAACAGATAACACAATAGGCACACGCACACTGACTGTACCCACTTTATTATTTACAGCAACAGCCAGTCTGGGCGCCGAGCAGAAATAAATAGGCGCACGCATACCGTTGTTATGTCAGTCAGATCCATTCTGTAGTGTGTGTGCAATATGTCTAGAAGCGAATAAATGTGAAGAAGTGCATTCTGTGTACAACACATGCTTCTCTGCCGATACCATTTCGATTGTCATCTTACTACTACCGAAAACCATTTTAATAGAGCTTTTATCGTGATCGAGGCAATTCCACACAAGCACATCCAATCAGGACTCGCATCTTCTCATTTTGACAGCGCAGGGTCCATCAGAGCAAACCAGGCCAACCAAGCTCGGATCGGCGCATTCAAACCAATTTCTCTTGTCAACATTGTCACCAATTGAATTCTCTCATATCGCAAGCTCTCAATCGCAATCATGGCAAACACAAACGGCACCGCCGAAGCAGCTCCAAATGAGCCTGAACAGGCAAAGACAGATCATGAAGCAACGGCTGATGACATAGAACGTCCACCTGAAGCTTTCAATTTATCCGATTCAGAAGAAATGAATGCGGCAAACAATAAAGATACAAGCGAAGGAGGAAAGATCAAAGCTCTTCTCAATGTCTTACGTAGAATGATCGGTGTCAAGGATTTGGCGGCAATCAGACTTTCACTTCCTGCTAACCTTTTGGAGCCTGTGCCAAATTTGGAATATTGGAATTATATGGATAGAGCCGATTTGTTCTCTGTTGTGGGTGATCTGGATGATCCATTAGATAGAATGTTGGCAGTACTTCGCTTCACTTTTACCAAAGAACTCAAATTCGTACACGGAAAGATTTGCAAGCCATACAATTCCATCCTTGGTGAATTCTTTCAATGTCATTGGGACGTTCAAGTTCCGGAAGATGCAGAAAAGGTTGGCTATCTTCCAACTATGGCTTTGCGTGTAGATTCTCCAAGTCTTTTACCCCTTGCTTCAGCTGCCTCTTCATCCGGCTCTTCTATCAAATCAGGCAAAGCTTCAAAGTCTGACCGCCGCACAGCTTCAACGAAGGGAGGATCTAGCGTGGACGAACCTGCTGAGAAATCTATCGATAAGAGCAACAATATGGGTTCAACTGGAGCATCATTGAATCCCAATACCGAGGCACAGAAGACCCGTCGTGGACTGTCCCGATTGCTTACCGGTACACGTAATAAGGTCACACCCAACAGCGCCAACAGTACGGCAAACACTGATTCGAGCTCAAACTCTCTCAAATCCCCAGCTCTGTCAGCACAGAAACCCGATCAAGAAGTTCCAGATGCAGATAATGATGACGATGATCAATCTGTTGCCGGTAGCTTCAAGACGAGCAAATCCGAGGCAGAAGGTAGAAGGGTATGCTTTTTGACCGAACAGGTTAGCCATCATCCCCCAATTTCAAGCTTCTTTGTCGATTGCAAAGATGCAGGCGTTCAACTTCGCGGTGTAGATCAATTGAGCGCAAAATTCACGGGAACGAATATCAAAATTTTCCCCGGAGACCGTAATAAAGGAATATTTTTGGGTTTGACGGATAAAGCACGCTGTGGCGCAGATGGAGAAGAATATCAAATCACACATCCTACCGCCAGCATTAATGGTTTGTTACGAGGATCTTTATGGGTTTCAGTGCAAAATCAGGTTTACGTTACTTGCAGAGGCGGAAAGAGAGCAAATGATAATGGTAAAAGATTACGCGCAATCACGGAGTACAAGGATGAAAGTTGGGTCGGAAAGGCAAAGTATGCATTAGAGGGTGTGGTGTACGAATATGAAGAAGAAAAAGAGGATCCAGAGCAATACACCACGATCAGAGATGTTCCAGCGGATCGTGTGATTATGACTTTTGAGGGTACATGGAAAGGACAAATTCATTGGAAATTGAAAGGGGAAAAAGAATCAAGATTGTTGATCGACCTTACGGAATTGGACCCGATCAAAGCAATCAAAGTTCGACCTTTGGAATCGCAAGAAGAAATGGAAAGTAGAAAGATTTGGAAAGATGTTACAGAATCAATTTTAAACAAAGAATTCGGAACGGCAACAAAACATAAACAAACAATTGAACAACAGCAACGTGAAAGTGCTGCCGAGAGAAAGAGAAAAGGTCAAGAATTCGTTCCTAAATTCTTTGATCCAAATATTGATGACGGACGGCCTAAATTAATCGAAGCAGGCAGAGCTGCTTTAGACGGTGAACATGAATTGGCAGGATACTAGTCACCCCGTTTTCTTTTTTTCTGATATATTTTCTCTTTTCAAATCGTATTAATATTGAACCTCATACCAATTCTTCATTGCCCTCTCCCTCCCTCTTTACGATCTGCTATATCTTATACAATCGCATTTAATGAACTTTTCTTTGAGGACGCGGATGCGGATATGTATTGCGTGTGGTTTCTATGATACAGTATCTATGACCAAGATTGTTTGACAAGATTAACGATGTCTAGCATTGATGATAATTCGTTCATTTTCTCATTCGGTGGAAGTCGATCGATTTGTTCTTTTGTTAATTCTGGTTGTTGTCGCCTTAGCCAAGCTGCTTGTAAGCCGGCCGATTTTGCGCCCAAATAATCTTCTTCGAAATGATCGCCGACATAGAGAGTTTGTTTACACATTTCTGCCAATGTGATCTGTTGACTCTGATCAAAAGGGAATATTCTTTGAACGGCGAAATGAAAGAATTCTTTACTTGGCTTTTCGAATCCAACATCGTAGGATAACGTTGGTCCACTTACTGGTTCTCGAGCTTTTTTGACAGAAGAGCCTAGATCTTCATCTGAGATATTTGTTGGAGCTCGTTTGGAATCGTATACCACATCTAGATCCAGAAAGCGTCCAAGACCAAGGTCTTTGCATGCATTCAAAATACGTTGATCGCTATTGGTTGCTAGACTCAACGTCAGATCAGCATTTGATGGGCCTTTCAATTCGTTTAGCTTCTCAAACACATCCGGGACACCTTCTGCAAGCTTATAGGCTTCAGCGCTTCCGAATCGATTGAGCAAAGCGGGTCCTAAAATAGGCATTGCATCTTCCACCTTTGTTTGTTGAATACCGCTTCCGATCATAGTTTGTTGTATTAGTCTTAACCACCAATCATCTGGGGAAGATAAGCCTGTATTCAAGCCATAAACAGGATACTGTTTTGCTAGCTGTTTGAATGAACTCTTAAATGATTTCTTGACATCTTCATCTTGTACTTGTAATCCTACCTTTCTAGCCTCTTCTGCGTATTGCAGATAAGGCGCACTCCTTGGTGTGATGAGCGTATCGAATGCATCAAAGATGATCACTTTGATTGGCACCCTTGTACTGGAAGCTCGACTGGTGAGCGTAGACATCATTTGTTACCTTGTCATTGCCGAGACTTGAGTATGATTTGCTCTTTGTGATATGGCAGTCATTAAGATCACCTTCCTGCAGGTGGAGAAGCACACACGTGATGGTCATGGTTGTTGTGAGCTTAATTTACAGTCAAACGCGGGCTTAAAATGTACGCCCTGAGTATAGCTGGGTGTGCTGCTGTACTCATGCGTGATTATGGTCCATGCATCAGCGTACGCCTAAGGCACAATACAATAATAGCATACAATTGACAACCTTCTCTTCTTTGTTTCATTGTCATCATCTGCACATCAAGTGCTCATAGAAGCTCCCTTTACTCCCGCACACAAAAGTCAGTGTGCCGCCTCTACCATTACACCTTCACACAGAGGGCAGGACGACAAGAAGTTGGACGGATCAGGATAAGAGGTCGGATCTGCCCAGGATGTACAACCATCAGCAAAGATTCATGACGGGAGGAAGTGGTTCATCAAGAGCGCCAAGAGGTGCTCTGTCAGGCTCAAATAGCCCAGGAGGTGGTGCATTAGGAGCATTGGCAGATTGGGCAGCAAAAAGCTTAGATCCCGAAATGGGAACAAGTCCAATTCAATCTCACGTAGAAAGATGTTGTGATCCTTCTCATCGTGAACCCAATTTAGCATTAAATTTGGAATTGGCAGATTATATCAAACAAAAGAAAGCAAACGCACCACGTGAAGCAGCAGTAGAAGTTGTTAAAAAGATCAATTCTAGACATCCTCACGTTTCCATGTTGGGATTGCATCTCTTGGATCACCTGGTGAAGAATTGCGGATACCCATTCCATCTACAAATAGCAACAAAGGAATTCCTCAACGAGCTCGTCAAAAGATTTCCCGAAAGACCTCCCGTATTCCCAAGCCCAGTACAGAATAAGATCTTAGAACTGATTCACGAATGGAAACAGACGATATGCGTTAGCAGCAAACACAAGGAAGATCTCGTTCACATTCGGGATATGCATAGATTGCTGGGTTACAAAGGATACAGGTTCCCAAATGTCGATTCTCGTGCAACTGGTGTAATGAATGCAGAGAGCAATTCCCTTCAATCTCCCGAAGAGCTTGAAGAGGAAGACAGAGAAGCACAAGGAGCGAAATTGCAAGAGCTTATTCGGAGAGGGACACCGCGTGATTTGGCACAAGCACAAGAATTGATGAAGATCATGAGTGGAGCAGAACCTGAATCGAAACCAGATTATTCGGAAAGGACACGAAAGGAACTTGACAAAATTCAAAGTCGTACGATCCTTCTGAACAATATGCTCGATAATGCGAGCGAGAGTGAAAAATTTGTCCGTGGTGATGCATATGATCAAATCGCTTCTCATTTGCGTGGCGTTCAACCTCGCTTACAAAAGATGATTGGTGAAGGAGAAGAGGAGGAATCTGAGCACATGGACAGACTACTGCTAATCAATGATCTGATTAATCAAGTGATCGAGCGATACAAGGCATACAAGAAGGGAGACTTCTCAGTCACTGTCAAGATTGACCCTTCCATCGATCCTAGTAAAGGAGGTGCAGATGCGGTCCCAACAGCCAAGATTACTGATTTGATCTCGTTCGAAGATGAACCTAGTGAAGCAGCTGCTTCTGCAAACGCTGGCTCAACTTCTGTTTCTGCATTGGATGACTTTGCTTCTTTGACATTCGACAATACTCCATCAACAAACGCTAATGGCTCCAGTGCAACACCCGCTTCAAACCCTGGAGGTCTTCCTGCCAACCTCTTTGATCCTACCAAATTAAGCAAAGCCCCAAACAGCGGCAATGTCGGTGGAATGGCGTTTGGACAATGGGGTGCATTGCAACTTCCAACCAATGCCACTTCAACGTCTGGCACTTCTACACCTGCCAATGCAATCGGAACGCCAAATAATGGCGCCTTACAACCAACTCAAACGGGATCATCTATACCTTCTTCAAGTGCTCCTGCAAATCAACAAGCAAAACAAGCATCTGATCCTTTCGCTGACCTGTCAAAATGGTAAGCAGACTTTTGTCGATACTAGGTTGGGCAGAGTAATGTGATAGTATTGTTTTCTTTGAGTAAAATACAACAGTGTGAATCTATGCTTGTCAGGTAGTTGCGCTTGAAGGTGCATGAGACGAGACTGGAGAAGCGATTGTAGATGTATGTATAGATGGCTCATCTTGCCAAACCGTTTCAGAATTAGACCATATAGCATGTGCGGCTTGCTTTGATTGTGCACGTAATTGAGCGACATCAACACGGGCTGCTTGAGCATGTATTGCCAATCTTTCCACCATTTCATCTGTACCCTCTCCATCAACATCATCCAATTCACCTTCATTGAATCGATCATAAAAGTCAATCATCTTTTCACGCATATGTTCATCTTGCCAAACGATTTGTGAGGTCAAATGAGCGGCTTGCAGATTAGCCCTCAAGTCTTGTTGTAGGAGTTCTGTTCTATGCAAGGATTGTGCAATTTGTAGAAGTGCTGGAACATGTGGCGTACGTGGTGAAACAAAGATTATACACGACAAAAATAGCATAGAACCATGCCAAACGATATTCCTGTTTGCGTACCAATGACTCCATCTGCCTTTACCTAAACCAATCTCGTAAAATCCACTCAAGATTGCAATCTCGCATAAAGCACAAATGGCTATAAAGTACTTTACCACCTTTCGCCATTGATGTCGATGTGGACGAAGTCGACTGCCATCACTTCCATTGTTGCTAGCCGCACTTGTATCCTTCATTTGTATCGAGTCGACTATTAGCAGAACCACATCATCAAAAGTGTTCAATGCATCAAATCGCAAAGTCAGAATGCCCAATAAGAAAAGGTCGACGCCGTATTGCATGATTCGGGTTGCCAGACTGAAGTAGAGGTAATCGCGACTTGAATCACAAAAGGTACAGCTGATGAAAGGATCAATGCCGAGCAACAGATGCAACTTTCTTCCATCAAGACTGCTCAAACGTCTAATGAGTGTAGTGAGTCCTTCTTGTGTCCATGTCGATCTCCATCCGAATTTATGTCTTGGAAAGGTTTCTAGCAATGTCGCCAATACTGCGCTAGGTGTATTTACACTCCTGTTTAACAAAAGGAATATATCCGTCCTCAATGCGTATCGAGAGGTCAACAGCAGAGTGGAAGAGTGATAAGCCAACAAAAGCAGGAATGCAAACGTGATCAGTGCATTGCTTGGTAAAGTCAACGGTAAAGGTAACCGAGTGATTTGTTGGATTGGTAACCGATGATAATGATGCTGTGAAGAAGATTGTTGACGGTTCTGTTTTCGTTGTGCTTGCCAATCGACATACTTTCTCAAAGCGAATGGACCAAAGATCAGAAGCCCGACCGTCAAAGTACCGGCACTGACCATCTCTCTATGACGAAACAGATGAGTATCAGTTCTTTCTTTGTCTATGATGGTTTGTGTTGGAAGAGACGCGTGCTTGGAGTGAGCGCGGACGTAACTGCATAAGCTCCACTGTAATGCCTTCACTCATTGCACTCGTCGTTTCATGTCAGGCACTCAGTTGTATGTATGTTTTAGCGCTTATTGTATGCATCAGCAAGCCAATGAAAGTAACACACAATTTAAGCTTATCAGGTATGGGGAACGGCCAAAGTTCAAGTGTTTAAGAAGGCGTTTCTCTTTCTTCTAATCCGCTTTGATCTCTCCTTTTGGTTGTTTCCCAGTTTAGCATTCAACCACCCCCTCCCGTACTCCTATAGATTCGGCAAAGATAATACTTCATTCGTCTTTCAACTTCAAGCAATCACAATCCCAATGACAAACGAGTAAGAAGGTGTTGAACAAGATGACATCTGGTAGAGGGAATGATACCAGTGCGATCGCGCAAGAGAAAGTGCCAACACTGATTCTTTTGACAGCTGGCTTGTTGGGTCTTCAATGCGTTTGGAGTACAGAAATGGCATTCGCAGGTCCATTTCTGTTGCATCTAGGTATCTCTAAATCTCACATGTCAATCGTTTTCGTTGCAGGACCTTTGAGTGGTTTGATTGTTCAACCTTTGATCGGAGTGATAAGTGACGCAAGTACAAGTAGATGGGGCAAAAGGAGACCACTTTTGTTGTTCAGTTTGTTGACATGCGCAAAATCGATCTTCACCTTGGGATTCGCCAGACCTTTTGCTTCAATTATTAGTGACAACATTAACACACAAAGTAACATCACACTCATCTTGGCGATCATTTCCATCTTTACGATTGACTTTTCGGTAAATGCAGTTTCTGCGCTGGATCGCGCTCTTTTGTTGGATCTGGTACCAATGCATCTTCAAGCCACTGCAAATGCGTGGTGTGCTCGATTGGCTGGGATTGGCGCAATAATTGGATTCTTGATCGGTCAGGCTGATTTGACAATACATGCACCTTTCAAATGGTTTCCAGCTCTTGTAAAAGTCCAAGATGGAGAAAGCGACAAGATCGAAGCGCAAATGCGATGTGTGTGTTTGCTGGTGGTATTTCTATTTTTGACGACACATGCCATCACTCTGTACGTTGCAAAGGAAAAGCCGGCAAATATCTCTGGACAGGATCATTCTTTATCTAGAACGGCACATAGTCGTCTTTCGATTCGTCATCATTGGCAAGCAGTTTCAAAAATTATCAGTGATCTCTATTCTACCGCGATTACCTTGCCACGGCCAATTCTTGACCTGTTTAGAATACAGTTGTTCTACTCTTCGGCTTGGTTCCCCATCCTATTCTACAGCACTACATGGGTCGCTCAGATCGCCAGTCAATCTCCTGATTATGATGACGCTTCGGCCGCTCGACTAGGATCGCTGGCTATGCTCATGCATGCAGTTTTGTCGTTTGCTTGCACGCTGATTCTGCCACCGTTACTTGAACGGCATAATTCGAAGCAAAAGCATGCGAAACAGCAATACAACCCATTGTCGATGTTATGGTCAATATCTACAGTAGTTCTCGCAATTACTCTATTGTGTACATGGATCGTTTCTGCGACGGGAAGTATCCATGGAGCAGTATTGCTTATTGCGTTGACCGGTTTTCCATGGGCTTTGGCTGCTTGGGCTCCTTATTCGCTTTTGGGGATATTGATTCGCAAAGAAGCTGAAAGTTCACGAGGTTCAGACAATGTGCCGATGACCTCCCGATCTATCTTGCTTCGAAGAGGGAGCCATGAACAAGAAGCCCAATTCTTAATCTCAAACGGGGATAGAAGTGATGACGATGAAGAAAGTGAAGATGAACGATTGCAATATCGCACAGCTCGACATGAAGCAAATGAAGATGATCAAAGTAGCCCTGAGCCAGACAGAGAACATATTGCTTTACCGATGGAAGCACCCCCATGCGAAACATCAGATCCGGAAAAAGGAGCGACAATTTTGGGTTTATACAATATCAGTGTTGTAATGTCGCAATTCTTCATGACATTGGTCGGAACGATTCTGTTTGCTGTTCTAGAACCGGATGTATCAGCCAAGTCAGTCACACCGTCAGGAACGCTCAAAAATGATGTCAACTCTCCAGATCAACATGATGCGGTGGGCGTAATTCTTCGTGTTGGTGGAATGTTTTCGATTGTAGCAGCCTTTTTAATTTTCCGAGTTGCCAGGAAGCATGCTGCCGTTCTGGCTGATTGATTCGCTAATTTCTACATAGAACTATCACAGCACACCGTCATTGTATACTATACTCAATCCTTTCTAACAAAGTACCATCATAATGTACAATTCTACTGTGGTGTATAGAATTATCATCATAAGCGGAACGAACAGAGCGTTTCTGGGCGCGTAAGTGGTATGCACTGCACACGCTCTTACGCTGTGGATGGATAAATGCCATGCACGCTAAGAAGGAATTATCTCTTACACATCATCTTCCGTCTCTCTTCTTTCCGATCGCATACACAGTCTCTTGTCTGAGGAATAGCAGAATAATAGCATCTCTCTGATCAAAACGACATCTCGCACTTATCCGACAAATACAGGGAAGGAGTAGAATAAGGCAAGATGCAGAACAATAATGTCAATCAGCAGCAGGTACCATCTTTACCACCCAATGCTACTCAACAGCAGCAACAACAATACAGAGCAGCCATTCAACAGCAACAATTAGCTGCAATGCAGGCCGCTGCAAGACAATTACAGCAGGCTAATGGTAATCCCAATGCTCAACAACAAGGTCAGCCGCAAATGCAACAACAACAGCAATCGCAACCGCAACAGCAGCAGCAGCAGCCGCAACAACAACAACAGCAGCAGCAGCAAGCCGGACCAGCGGCTGCTCAAGAGCAGATGAGATTGTTGCAACAAATGTTTCAAAATCATCCAGAACAATTGCAACAATTTGTCAATATGTCTCGTGAAGGAAAGATTAGTGCAGAACAGATGGCTCAACTTCGAACTGTGATGAGCTCTGTTCGACCACAACAAGGATCGCAACCGCCTTCATCTCAACCTGCTCAAGCACAACAAGCCCAAGCTCCTCGTCCGCCAGCTGCACAACAACCTCAATCACAGCCTCAGCCCCAATCACAACCACAGCAAGCACAACAGCAAACGCCTAGGCCACCACAACAAGCCCAACCTAGACCAGCACGGCAAGGTCAGCCGGGACAACAGGGCAATAACCCAAAAGATTTCCAAGCAGTCATGCAACAACTGCAACAAATTGCAGATCCGATCGTGAAAAGGGTGAGAGAGCTTGATGCAAGGCTTCAAGCACCCGTTGAAAGAGGTGGTGTGGCCAATGGAACGCCAGAGAGAGCGAGGGTGGAAGCTGAATTGCGAGAGATGCGGTCTAGACAGAAAGCGCTTGGTCAGCAATATCTAGCTGCCAAAGCTCAATTGTTGCAACAACAAGGCAACACGCAGGAAGCTCAAAAGATCATGCAATCGCTTCAACAGCAACATCAGCATCAACAACAGCAACAGCAGCAACAACAACAACAGCAGCAAGCTGCATCATCTTCTGCCAATCAGCAAGGTGCCAATGGAGCTGTTAATACTCCTCCACAACCGCAGCAACAAGCTGTACGACCGCCAGCTTCCGGGGGAAGTTCTCAGCAGCAACCGCAAATTGCACCAGCAACAAGTTCACCAGCTGGGAAAGGCAGAACATCCGTTGGACCAGCAGGATCAACAGCATCGCCTGCACCAGGTCAACAATTACCTGCAAGTCAAGGTCAAACGCAAGATCAAAGTCAGCAAGTACAATCGCAACCAAACGCTTCCGAAGCCATGGTTCAAAGACCTACCGGAAGTATGGGACAAATGGGCACAACGATTCCGGCTCAATTAAATGTTGCTCCGAGCGCGCCAGAACCTTTTCCGAATACGACTGGACCTAGACCAACACTTTCACAAGGTTTAGGTGTAAATCCTTTATTGGGCACACCTGCAATCCTACAAAGACCAGATCCAATCGCTGGCTCTTCTACCGGTCCTGTTCCTGGTAAAGCAAACGTTCCTGGACAATCGAATAATTGGGAAGAAGTACTAGGTGTTGCATCTCGCGAAACAAAAGGTGGACCAGGCGATATGAGATTGTCAAACTTGAACGGAGACGAATTGGCAGCAGAGATGGCCAATCCGGACTTCTGGGATTCATTGACAGGACGTGGAACGGGAGCTGATAGTTTGGTGAATGCCGGCAATGCTTCCACAGCTGGTACAAACGGAGCTGCAGCAATCGGAGGTGCCAGTGATGGACGATTGCTGAGCAAGAGAAAGGTGCAAGAATTGGTTGGCGAGATTGATCCAAATGAAAGATTGGAAGGTGCTGTTGAAGATATGTTGTTGGAAATTGCCGATGAGTTCATCGAATCAGTCACTCAAGCTGCTTGTAGATTAGCAAAGCATCGTAAAGGCGATCGATTGGAAGTACGTGATGTTCAATTACACTTGGAGCGTAATTGGAATTTACGCATTCCAACACCTGGAAGTGTACCTATCCCACCACCGCGTATCAAGACGACGGCTCAACAAAGTGCAGGAAACAAAGCAGGTGCAGGAGGAGGTGCCGCCTGATAAAAAAAGGAACAAAAGAGAACCGACTTGTAGAATTACAACTGTATCAACATTCTCCTTCTACGAAAATTACAAATACAAATATATTACCAATCTGTTTGTCCACTGTCTATGGCCTGTATGAGCATACGTGCGATGTGCGATTCTTCTTCATGTAACGCAATCAGGTTGTTTGCGGAGGAAATTGCCTCTTCTTCAGGGAATTGAGAGTGGGACGGTGAGAGCTGTGGTATAGAGCCTTTGATGGCTTTAATGTGCTGATCAGCGTCTTGACAGACTAGGTGACATAAACCCGCCAGGAGAGCATGCATCCTTTCTTCATTCTTAGGGTTGATATTGTCTCTTATGCCTTGTACATTTTGATGCCAAGCTTTAATCTCTCCATTCTTCTCGAGACAGTTCAACTCGTTGTCGTGTAAATCCACTGCGATCAAACGAGCGGCTAGCACTAATCTGTAAGAAGGATGAGCGGGACTTGGAAAAGGATGAATGGTATATTCGCCCCAGTAGCCCTGTTCCTCCAGCATTTCAATCTTTGCCTTTCCCTGGTTGCCTTGCTTTTCCAGTATTCCGAGTATGATATGATCGACATGAACCTCTGAGTATCGATTCCCCTTCCATTCCGAAAGATCATTTGATAGTGTGCTGGGTATAGTAAAGCCATACTCTGTCAATAAGAATCCATTAGAATGAGGTCCATAAGAAATAAAAATTTCTTCACCCTGCAATTGACCTTTCCCATTCTTTGGTGCATTTATCTGTAAGGCTTTTGACGGTAACCAACGTACTTTGCTTTCTTTTTCGGTTTCCATTGTATGATTTGCCATATCCAACAAAGGTGCCAATGTGAAATTATCTCCGTGTGGCTTCAAACCGAGAGGTAAATACACACATCTCGAATTCACACAAGCCCATGCCCATACCCAGTCTTGCATTGTTATGGAGGAATAGACGTGCCCATTCATGCACTGGTCCAATAGATCAGGTCTGGACAGCTGTACTGCTTGGATAGCTCGCACGTCTCTGTCGAACCGAAGCTGGACTTTTTGTGCTTGAGCTTTGATATGAGCTGGCAGATGGTCTAGCATTGTTTGAAGGAGTAGCGTGGTCTCATTCGGTGTGAATTCTGCATTGCTTTCATTGTGCTGTACGTAAACTTGCCAGGTCAGTGGAAGCGAAGAGAATGAAGTAGGATATGTACCTAAGAACAAGTCGAGATATTTATGAGATTCTTCTTCTCGCTTATCCTTTGGAGTTTGCTTTTCCACTCTTTGTCCTGCTTTCCACAGCGCCAAGATTAACGTCAATACTTGAACAGAAGTCAATGGCAGTGAACACTGCTTCCCATCCAGCAGTCTCGTCTCGCCTGCCTCCCAGTGAGAAGGATGTGAAGGTTTTGTTGTACTTGGAATAAGCTCCTTTGGCACGAATCGATCCGCATTGCTCGAGTTCAAAAGACAGCTCGGAGGCAAAACGAGTAAAGTTTCACCTTCGATTACATCATTCCGCACAAACAAGCCTCGACCGAATTGACCTTCTCGTATACACAATGCATCTAGCGTATTGTATCGTTCACAAAGCTCTTCATCATCTTTCAGACCCATCAGGGTAGGATGAAAGCTTTCTTGCGATAAGCTGTTGTTTGTGAATGAGGTACAGAGGTAATGATGGTAAAATCGTTCCCCACGCTGATAAAGTTTATTTAGACTTTCTTCCCGACGCTCGCTCCGCTAATAAAAAGAGGCGCGGCAGGTATACATTGGCGGAAGCAGACAACGGTACTTAAGATACAGAAATGCAAGCTGAACACAGAGGTACCAAGATGTCCCATTTCTACCTAAACAAAAGCAATTCTACAGAACTTTCTAATTACTCTAAAAACGCTACTGAATGAGAAGCGGAGACGAGATCGGGTTGTGCAAGTCCACCTAAGGTCTTGATCAATTCGAGTCCCTTCAATCTCCTCTCTTCCCATTCGGCCAAGTGCCAACTTTGTGGATCTTGCAATGAACCCAAACCACGTTCGTCAGATAAATCGTTTGGTTTACGTGCAGGATCATAAGCATATAGAATCCCGCCTTTACGATAACCACTTCCCATCACGAATGCATCTCTTGGCATCGCTTTACCCGTCTTTGCTTCATAATCAGCTTTGGCTCTTGCAAGTGTGTTTCTACGTAGATTTTCTGATTTATCCCAGTTTGTCCTTGTCGATGCGAAAGTTCCATAACCTGAAGTCGCAACGACGAACCAAGGTGGAATTGTCTTTCTGCCTGCTTTTGTGCAATAACGACTGACGGAAGTACAGTATAGCGTTCGCTTATCGTTTTGGTCTTTTGCGTGTACCCATTCATCTTTCACCTGTCTTTGTGTTTCAGCTTGACTTGGCGTGATTTGTGTGGTCCTTTGCTTTTTTTCCAATGCTTCTGCTTCATGTTGTGGTTTTGTGACTTCTCCCAGAAGCTTCTTGAGATTTTGCGCTGATTTGCTTCGGACTACTGAAGATCGAGTTGGTGTAGGTTTAGAAGGTGACATAAACCGTGCAACGATGTAAAACCATTTTTCATCCCATCCACCGATCGAGCATTCAACTTCATATTTTGCCATGAACGGGATCTCACGATGAAAGATGAAGTTGCTTCCACCCAAAGCCCAATGACCACCGTCAAAATGAACCCGTAAGAATCGAGAAGAAAAGAATGCTATTCTGGGGTGATCCAAAGAACGTGGATAGGAACTGTTGCTCATATGGCCGTTCCAATCGCAATCGTCTGGTGTTGCACGTAAGATCATACTGAATCTGTCTGTAAAGATATCACGACCGAGAGGGACTTGGTCTAAACGTAAACGAGGTGTGATTCCGGGTGAAGTTGTTGGATATTTATTTGATCGAATCCATGGCAAGAGTGCATGTACGCTTGGTCTTGCTCTATTTCTAGAAATGACTGCAGCTCCTAATACCCGAATATGCCATAAAAGAGGAAAAGATTTGATATTGATCAGTACCAATGAAACCAAGATAGCTTTTATCCACGGTGGAATTCTGGGTAACAGTTGTGGTAAGATTTGTAGCATTACTGGAGAGAATAATTGCGAAAGTGTTCTTCGAATATAGTAAGGCGGTATCACCTTTGGATCCGGCAACCGTCTTGTTGCAACAGCTTGACCTGACATGACGGGCAATGGTGGTAGAGGAGTATGTACGCTAAGATGGTTGCTGTTAACCTTAACTTCTTACTGAATCGGATTCCGGTTCAAATTGTCATTTTGAAAGCCGTCGTTCACAAGGTACTGCGCTTGTACCCCAACTTCTTTTCAGCAGGAACACAGTGTGTTAATTAAGCCTTTTACCCCACCATTTAAAGTATACGCGTGCTCGGACTGTATGCTTGGCTGCTTCGTTGTATTCATTCACCGCTTTTATGGCTCAAGTCGGAATGTCCGAAGAAATGAACTAAAATTAGGCTACCACCATTCAAAGTCAAAGTTGTGGAGAACAGGGTTGTCCTTTCGATCATCACCATCACAACAATCCTGTATGCGCTTTTCACCTTTACTCAAAATGGCAACCAGATCAATTCCTAGACTTGAACAATCTTCAAGCGCTTTGTTTTTGTGTGATATTCAAGAACGTTTTACAAAAGCAATTCATGAATTCGATAATATGGCAAAAGCATCTTCAAAACTTTTGAGGGGCGCTCAAATCTTGGAGATCCCAGTTTTCACAACTGAACAAAACTCGAAAGGTGAGTAGGTGCAGTCATTAAGCTCACGATAGCTTGAATCGTGCTAATTGAATTTTCCCAACCCTCTTTTGCAGCTCTTGGATCGACGGTAGACGTTCTCAAGAAAGATATCCCAGAAAATTCCACAATCGTTGACAAGACCCGATTCAGTATGGTATTGGACGATGGAACAACAGATAAATGGCTACGCGATCACAAAGTTCAAAATGTGATGATTGTCGGAATTGAGAGTCACGTATGCGTCTTACAAACGACATTGGACTTGCTCAAGAAAGGCTTCAACGTTTTCATCATTCGTGATGCAATCTCTTCTTGTAATAAACAAGAAGTTCCACTTGCCATCGAAAGAATGCGTTTGGCTGGCGCTACAATCACAACATCCGAAAGCGCTCTGTTTGAACTGATGCTAGATTCAAAACATCCCCATTTCAAAGCTATCAGTGGGCTAATCAAGACGGAAAAGGACAGTACAAAAGCCGCTCTTGAAGCACTCACATCACGTATTTGATCGGTACATGTACTCATGCAATCACACTCATGATCGAAATGGCTAACGGATGCTTTCCATAAAAAAATTGCTAATGTACATATATCAAAGCGGAATACAAGGGTATATAATACAAAAAGAGAAAAAGATAATGAGACAACATCAATGTCTCTTGAAAGCTGTTCTAGACGCCTTTTTGTTGGCACCAATACGACTTCCGCGTTCGGTTTGTTTGCTGTTTCGTTGCAGTTCACGCATTTGAGTGGACTTTTGACGATTCTTGTTCTTGACATTGACGCGGTCATAGAAGTTCTCTGCTTTGCGTTTGGAAGTCGTCTTGCGTTCTTCCTTGCTAGTGGAATTGTCTGCAGCCGATTCAGACTCTTCTTCAGCTTCTTCATCGTCTTGCTCATCCTCGTCGGCATCTTCTTCCTCTTCATCCTCCTCATCGCTGGCTGCATCGTTTTCTTCGGCGCCTCCACCGAAAACGTCTGACCAGGCCAATTCGGGTAAGGCATCACCTTCTGCTTCTTCTTCCTCTTCATCCTCCTCTGATTCTTCCTCAGCCTCACTAGAAGCTTCATCGTACCCTTCTGCAGCATCTTCATCACCTTGATTGACTTCTTCGAAATCTTCCGGCATTCCAGCATGCATGTCTGCATGTGAGAATTTCGTTGCAACGGCAATCTCCCGCAACGGTTGACTGACACCCTTGACAGTACGTTTTGTGGGTAGTTGCAAGGAAGGGTCCTCGTTTGCTTCCTGCTGTTCTTCTTGCTCGGCAGCTTTGGCTTTTCCTTTGCTGTTCGCAAGTCCAAATTCATCCGTTCTGGCCATCATCGGTGGCTCAACGTAGAAAGGGATCTTACCGCGAACCCAATCGTTGATCACCATCTTGGCACACGTATCAAGATCTGCATCTCCTCCTTTGAGCAATTTACCCATGCGGTGTGCCAGTTGCGATAAGAAGTCTTCGTGATTCTTCCATCCTTTCAAATTGTATGTTTGACGAAGATATTCAGGCTTAACACGAGCCATCAGTGCTGGGATATGTTCAGATGGGCCTTCGACATTCTCAACACGAACCACACCCTTGAGAATTGTAGCTGTCTCTGTATCACCCATACCAATAGGCACAATACCTGGGCAATCGATTAGATAGATTCTGCGCATCAAGGAGATATATTGCCAGACCTTCGTTTCACCGGCAATTGGTGCCACTTTGCAGACCTTCTTTTTCTTGAGTGTGTTGATAATACTCGATTTTCCGGTGTTTGGGTAACCAACGAAACCGACAGAAATTTGCTTCTTGTCCGAATGCAAAACACTGAATTGACGGAGCAGTTGAATCAAAGAACCTTTTCCGAAAGAATTATTGATAGACGCATGGAATGCGATAGTCGGGTATTCTTTTGATAGAATCTTTACCCATCGTGCCTAAAAAGAAAAGAAAAAAGTCGATCAGTATGATGTTCCTCCAAGAACTACGAACAGAGAAGTGAAAACCGTCCTCGCTCAACTCTTCCCGGAGTTCGAACAACGCTGGCCACGCCTCCCGACAAGCCTGCACCTCAATGGCGGGAGAGGCATCAAGCAAGTGGGCTATGCACAACCACCGAGGTGATCACACACAACAATGAGGGCGACACAACGCAGCCGTTAATCTTCCACTTTCGTAACAGTCCTCACGTCATTGGTATATCATGGGCCTTGACAAGAAAGTGGGGAATTGGGAAGGCTGAGAAGGATGGTTTTCACAAAAAAAATACTCACAGTAACCCATGTTGGCACTAGATCGACCTTGTTGAGCAAGAAGATCAAATGTTTGTGTGGCTTCTCTTCTTTCAAGTGCTTTTCGACACTGCGACAACGTGTGCCAAGTGGATCACGTACATCCAATACGTGTACAACCACGTCACTCGAGTCGATGACCTTGTATAATTCAGCCCAGATTCGTCGTGATTGACCTTTACTATATCCTGGTTCACTACGTCCACGTGTGACCGGCATTGAATAGATATCATCCGATCCAGTTGCGACTGCTTCACCATCCATTCCTAGATTGACTTCTGCATCAGCAGGAACGAGGCCGATGCCATTTGCTTTTTCCCAAGCTGCTAGTTCTTTTGCATCTGCTGCAACGCCTGCCTCTTCACTTGATGCAGCCAAATCGGCAAAGCTGGATGAAGTGTTGTCCAATCTTGGTCTTTTCCTTTGGGCATTTGGTCCAAATGTCTTTGCGAAGGATTCAACAGAGGTAAGATTGGATGTCTTTCCCGATGATTTGGTTGCTGTGCCTTCTTGCAGTAGAGACATGGGTAGCTTGTTACGCCTCAAAAGAACAGAGTATGGGTCATCCACGCGAGAATGCAAAGCGGTTCTGAAATGATCCAAAGCATCTTGTGAAATAACACGAGTGTTACCGAACCATCTTCTATCAGGTTGAACACGACCAGGAAGTGCTTCACTACTTTGAAATTCAGCAGCTTGAATGATGTTTCCTTTTGCATCTCTGATTGCCTTACTTGCAATACCATCTCGCGATAACATCTTTACCGTTTTTGCTTTTTTCGCATCACGATAAAAATTTTCACCTTTTACACGCTTTATTCCACCATTTCCACCACCGCCTCCACCACCACTTGATGAAGAGGATTTTTTGTCTTTTCCACCCTTTACCTTGACAGCCATCTTGGAGAAAGATATGTTGTCTGATTCGGAAAGGGGTTGAAGGAAAAGAAGGAAGTTATTCTGTGCAACTTTTTCTCTTAAACGCTCAGTGTATTTTTTTTCTTAGCCTTCTTCTCAAATTTTTAGCCACAAGAACCAAATTTTTCCAATCTTTCTTTAACACGTGATACAACACGCTTACACGTTACGCCTGGAGTGTTAAGCACAATCAATGAAACGGCTTATCCTCACTCCAACGCTCACAGTCACTGGTGGTGTCAATAAAATGAAGCATTGCAAAATATTATACAAGATATAAGTACAAAGAGAATATGCAATATGAAATACAGCAGCAATTTTATACAATCCTTCCTTTATTGAAAGGATAGCCAGGATTGATGCAGTTTATAAATAGCATCACATCGACCATCAATGTATGGCAGATGAGCATCAAATATCTTATGACGATGTCCGGTAGATCTCCAACAGACTTCAAGTGTTGATCGATTAGTCTCTGAAGCAATAGCATATAGGCTTGTGCCATTTTGTTCGACTTCTGTTGCATCTTGACGGGATTGGAGTCGTTGGTTGCTCTTTCTAGCCATTCGTAATTTGTCAAGATGCACTACATCGCCTTCTTGCAAAGGCATCAGGCGTAAATCTTCTCGTTTTGCCAGCATCGATGCAGAATCAAAGCCTTTGTCAAAATCAAAGTATGAACGTGAGTCAAGGTATCCACTTTGATCATCGGCAGCTGAAAATGCATAGGAGGAAGCTGATTGATCCGTGATATCGTGAAAGCCTGCCCACATCTCCGCACACAGGCCTTGCAATACGACTTTCAGGGTGTATCCTTGACCGTCTTGAATCACAACTTCGCATCTTCCCATTTGCTTGTTATAACCCGCCTTCCAATCTCTCACGTACTCCAGCTGTCCAACTCGACGAACGATTGCCAGTAAACTGATCAAAGGCTGATGCATGTTGTAATCATTCTCGTACTGTCCTGGCCGGGTATCGTCGTTATCATTGAGCAGGGAGGCAATACTCGTCAACTCTGCTAGAGTGAAGCGATACGCTGGAGGAGGTGCGATAGACTCGAATCCGGCAGTGGTCTCTGCTACATTTGTGATAGTTGTCGGTGCTGCAATTGAAACGAGGTCGTCTTGACCAGACTCGCTTTCGTTGATAATGCTTTGCATCAGACTTTGATCTTTGGGTGATTCCCTCGCCTTTCTCTTGCTCTCTTCCAGATCTTTGAGGAAGACAGGTCGTACTGTGCTAGACTTCTTTGAGATTCCAACCCGACGAGCAGGACCGAGAGCCAGTTTTGCTCGCGGCAGATTCTTCGATCGTGTTTGCTTGGTTGATATATTGGGCTGATCGTTGTGTGATTCGGCATGAGCATCGCTGGGATCTGATTCTTCCGGTTCTATAGTCCTCTCCGGCGCAGCAGCAGCAACGGAAGAGACTGTCGTTTGAGCATGCTCCGGTGCAGATTCGTTCGATTGATCGTTAAGGTTCTTTCTCACAGATAACGAGTCTGGTACGGATTCGTCTTGGATTGTACGAGTGCCAGATCTTGTCAACGTATCTTCTTGCGCCAAGGAGGCTCGGTCTGCGTCCCCCTGTTCTACTATTTGAGCAGTGCTGACAGATATCTCATTGGAAGGCTCACTCGGCCGGTTTGCTTGTGGCTGAAGTCTCTTTTGAGCAATATATGTTTCCCTAGAGGTGATTTTTAGGCTCTCTTGATATTTGGCCACTTTCCATTGCCATGTCAAAGGAGCTCCATCGTTGCTCCTTGCCGCTTCTGCATATGGAGAAGGGGCATTGCCTAGATCATTATAGGCAGGAGGGAGAAAGACGATCCTTTCTACATTTTGCCTTTCTCCGTCCGGCTGAATGGTGCGAATGACGTCCATAAATAATTTGAAAAGAAAGGAGGTAAGGGCTGACGGCGATCGTTCAATTAACCGATCAATGGGATGATTAGGGTGAGGGAAGGGAGGAAAGGGATGGAAGGATTAGGGATCCGGTCGTTTAGGTCATTTGTACTTGAGCTGAGTACCCTTCTGGGCTGATTATGATGGTAATTCGGAGTAATGATTACAATCAAACCAGCCAACTTTTTCTCTGACAAAGCAACACTTGACCAACACTTTCTTCGCTCAGCAAAAGATTGCCAGGCGCACGCGTGGTGTTAATTGGCGCGTATTTCTTCGTGTCTCCCTAATTTGCAAGTGGCTCAAGTCTCCTCACCCTGGAATCTGTTAAAAAGGGTGGCTGAATCTAGACGCTAAATATATGCACGCACGCTCCTCCTCGTATTGTTTAAAAACTGTTACTTCTCTCCACTTTCACAATTGCTATCAGAACCACCATCAAAAAGACAATCTATAGAACAACATACGATGGCAACTGATTCTTCCTCTGAAAAGAAACTTGATCTTACCAACCTCAAATCATATTCTCCACATTGGCCCAATACGCTCAGACTCAGTCTGGCAATTGCAGTTCAATATGCTTGTCAACGTTGTGCTGAGAGAGCGGTTGCAACCCATAAACTACTGTATCCTGATGATGAAGTAGCTCCAATCGGATCTGTTATGCGAACATACAAGGGCGAGCAAGTCAATGTTCCACAAAAAGGCGAGCAAGGCGATGTTCCGCAAGAGGACAATGCAGGCTTAGTGAATCGTGATGAAGATGGAAACATTCTGGGTATCTTAACCGGAAGTGCTCGAGCGGAACAAATCCGACAAGATCGAGAAATGGTCGAGGCATGGAGAGAATATACAAATAAATTCTTGATGGCTACTTGTCAACATTTAGGCATCGCAATCGAGATGCTACCACCGGGCAAACCAACGTTGGAGGATATCCTATCTGTCAGCAGAGGTAGACCCACAGATCCAGATCATGCAGCCATGCAAACAGAGTTCGAATTGGGTACAAGTTACTCCAACCCTTACCGAGAAGGTACAGGAGAAAGAGAAGAGGAGGTAAAAGAAGAGGAGAACGTAGAAAAGACAGAAAGCAGGGGTTTAGGAGCAGAAGAAATGAAGGATCAATTGGCAGACAAGAAAAGTGCTACTCATGTAGAGCCAGAAGCGGCTCACATTGAACGCCAAGGAGGAATCCTTGACGAAGACGAAACGAAAGAACTTGAAGTGATTAATGAACTCTTGCTCATTGCTTTGGGAATGGGTCAACATCGTGGTGAAGATGGCAGTACGACTTTGTTTGAACAAGAGGCAATCTTTGGTGATACATCTGTCGAACTATCGTATGATTCAAACAAGGAAAGTGTGCCCGAAGAGCCTGTTCCCGAGAAAGAAGAAGGCGATCAACAATTCATGAACGATCTTAGCAAGAAAACCCGAGATTTCTTCCGATCAAGTGTAACATCCCTCGGCAAGGCGGGAAAAATTGCAAGAAGTCGAATGGAAGGCAAGCCCAAGGGACCGGTAAAACCGAATGAGATTTGCCATTACGATGCCCGTGCCCGTGCGATCATCTTTGTCGCCGTGACTGCAATGGACGTCAAAGGTGCAAGGGTTTATCAAGCGGAAAAAGTGCTTGCTCAATCAATCTACTTTATCATGACAGAAGGTAGGAATGTTGCTAAATCAGAAGGTAAAGGCGATCCTTTAGAAGATACAAAGAGAAACACTTGGATGAATAACGCAACCCATGAAGCCGTAGAAAAGGAAAAGGCTAAAATTGATTGGACAAAATGGGCAGCAATGGGTGCTGGAGCAGCCGTTGGAGGTGCATTGATTGGTGTCACGGGAGGATTGGCAGCTCCACTCATTGCGCCTGCTCTAGTCGGATTGACAGGTATTTCATTCTTGGCTACAGCAGGAGGTGTTGCAATGATGGCAACTTTGCTTGGTGTTGGAGGTGCTGGATTGGCTGGTTATCGTGTGAAAAGAAGATTACGTGGAATTGATAGTTTCGAATTCACTGAAGTTGATACAGCAGCAAAGGAGGCTGGAGTCACGATTCCATCCTTGCATGCGACAATCTGTTGTCCAGGATTACAATTGGAAGATCATAAACAAGGAGAAGCCTTTGATCAAGTCTTTCATCAAACGCCCGATGACCGTGATGCATATGTGATCCATACGGAAGAGGAAAAGATGACCAAAGCTGGTGAAGGTTTAAAGGGATACGTTTTGCAAGCCGTTCTTAAGAGCGGAGGACAAAGAGTGGGCCAAGAAGTATTAAAGCATACTGCTTTGGCCGGTATTGCTGCTCTGACGATCCCATTGACCGTTTATGCAGCAGCAAGTACTGCTTTAGATGGCGTTTTCGTTCAAGCAAAATCACGCTCTTATCGTGCTGGCTTGATCTTAGCCGATGTGATCCGTGATGAAGTTCAAGGTCATCGTCCTGTAACGTTAATCGGAACTTCGTTGGGATGTGTGACAATTCTCACAGCTTTAGGAGAATTGGCAAATAAACCCGGCGAGACTGGACATTTAGTCGATTCAGTGTTTTTGATCGGTGCACCTTTCTCACCTTCTCCGGCCGTTTTACGTAGAGCAAGATCGGTCGTTAGCAGAAGATTTGTCACTGCATTTTCAAGTCGTGATATGGTTTGTGCTATTGCTGCTTGGTTGGGTAGTGGAATTTCGTTGGAAGAAGTTAAGAATGGACAAATGCCAAGAATTGTTGGCTCAAGTGCAATGTTGGGCGTACCGGGTGTAGAAAATGTTGACGTGAGTGATTTGGTGGGCTCTCACTTTGATCTATGTGATGGGGATACGCTTGAGAAGATTTTCCAACGTTGTCGTATCAAGGCTGAATAAAGTCGCACCTCTATCATCTGATTCAAATCACATATATTTTACATACTCTTCTTTCGTTCTTAATTATAATTTTCTTAGATTTTTGATCCCGATCTTAATCGTATTATTTCAAGCAGTTGTAGAACATTCTTATGAATGTAATATGCTAGATGCGATCTAGATTCATGTATGTAGTCACAGGCCTTATTAACCTTCTTCACGCAGGAGATTGTGACCATAATGACAAGTTATATAGCGCCATTGATTGTCTAGACCATCAACGGGATTTGAAGTAGCCAGACAAGCGATCCAAACGAGTTAAATTGACGCGCTAAATTAGTTTCAATCTCATGGTGATTCGATAGAAGTACAGATTGTGTTTGAACAAAGGATTGCATGGTATATTCTTTAAAATCCAAAACCATTTGAGGGATCATTGATTGATAAGTCTGGACCTTTTTGACACTTTTAAGAGATTAGAAAATGACATTTATCCAGAATACTCGTACGATACATAATTACTGCTTAAACAAAAGCTAGGCACGCAGGTCGAAATTAAAACTCAGCCTCTTTAGTCTGATGAGCATAACTTTCATCCAAACGCATCGGCGCTGCTTAAAAGCAAGGAAGATCCGAAAGAGAATGATGATCGCCGATAACACAGATTGAATGCCCGTTGAACGCGTCTTTTAACAATAATGAAAAAGCTGACGTACGATGCGATGCATGCAGCCTTTATTTTTTTGCTTTACACGCAGATGATGTGCATGCACTTTTGATTGCGCGCAGGGCCAAGCAACCAATAAAAGCTTTGAGCTGAGGTAATACAATCCCTTTAAGCCGATTTAAGACAGTCGGCCAGCATACTGTTGTGTTTTCTTCTGCCAGGAACTCTTCACGCCGCATAGCTGTGAATGGCCTCCCTTCCTTCCAATTGCCCGTGTCAAAGGAGATCTCGTGTAATCAATCATCTAATTCGTCGGGATATGGTGCACCACACACACTTTACTGGGCGCAGCATCGCATTGTGTTTTTTATTTTGCTTTGATAATGGTACCGAACGGCTGTTAAGATGCCCGATCTTATATGAATTGTTGTTAGTCATACATCGCGTAATGAAATTGACACTTTTGGCTTTTAAGTGATTGTGTCTGAGGTGCGCCAAATAATTGGTGTGAATAGGTAATCATTTTTCTCTTTGTCTTGCCTTTACCTAAATTCCTGCATACATCTTTTATTCGTCAAACAAAAATTAAAGGTGGCGGGCTTTTACACAAAGATTACCTTTCGCAATCCTTGTTGGGATTAGACACATCATCATGGAGTGTAGGAATTGTAAACGTATTTGATTAAAACGTTTGTTTCTCGCCATCATATCCATAAATCACAACAACACCATCATCAACGCGTTATCGATCAAATCAAATTGTGGAGACCGCTCATTCTACGATATTAAACGATCTCGATTTGATTCGATTTGACATTGCACAACAATTCTATTCATCATTGGGAAGCATCGATACTTGCACCACTCAATACGATCGGGTCCGCTGTTCAACCCTCATCACTTGTTCAATTTTCAATTAAAACTCATCGATTGAGTTCAAAGAAGAAACAGAACTCGTAAAACAGAAATGACAGCTCCAAATGAGCATGCGAAGCTTTCCGCCAAAGATGTCGGCGAGCTCAATCTCGTGCCACCGCCGGCAGTATCATCAGCAGCGCAGGTAATGGTGGCGGATATGGACTTTCTCAATGCACCTAGAATGTCTGCTAGAACGTTGGCTCTGCATTTACTACAATTGACAGAATGTCCATCATGTCATCAACCTGTACAGGAACCGGTCACTTTACCTTGCGGACATAGCTCATGCTTGGCATGTATCATGCAAATGGGAAGATCGTCTGATGAAATGGCCGATTCGGCAGTCTTGATGCCAAGCACATCACATCTACCGCCACGTTTACCACTAGCAACAACAGTGGTTGCATGTCCATTAACAGGATGCTCCAGAAGTGCAATCGGTAGAGGTCTAGGAATGTGGAAGGGTCACTTGGCCACATTTGGGGCCGGTTCTACACAGCAGAACCAATCTTTAAGCTCAACCGCAGATGATGCAATCGATGGGCCAGGTGAATTACCTCTTGATGGCTTCGTCGTTCCCACAAATCGAGACAGTTCCAGCCTTAGCGTGATCAGACCGCAAAGGAGAGAATCATTCTCGTCCAAATATGCCATCTCAAAATACGGTACAGAAGGACAACATATCACGAAAGAATCATCTTTATTACGCACTGATGTTACACTTTCAAAGGCGATCGATACCTTACGTCGCTTTGCCAATATACCCGATATGCCAACGTACCTACCTCAGCGACAATCTCAATCGACTCTCCATCGCGGCGCAGGTTCTAGTCGTGGCAGACGGAGGACGAGAGGAAATAGACAGAAACTTCATACACGTTCAACGCAAGATGATACACGCACACAAATAGATGAAAGGTTCTTAGCCGTGATGGGTGCTAGTGAAGAAGGTGTCGATTCTGGTACGATCGGTGGCGTGTCTGCTGTGGTTGAATCGTCAACAGAAGATGAAGAAGACGAAAGCGATGATCACAGCCATGAAGAGTTTGAGTCAGATTACGACGAGCATGCCTATGACGGAGGTATTCGAACATCATTAGCTACGGATGAAGACTTCTTTGACGACGATGACGATGAAATTGGTGGAGCGTTTGCGCGACAGGATGAAAATCGCAAAAGTGAAAAACGTGTCCGACGCCACACGTTGCAAAGACAATCCATTTCACATACACAGCTTCCGCATGGTTCTTTAGCCGAAACCATCAAAGAGGCCGAATTGGATGATGATGAAGCCTTGGAACAACCATTTTCATCTCGCCAACTGGTCTTGGACAGTCTTCATACAGATATGATGGATATCATGGAGTGTCAACTGTGCTACATGTTACTCTATCAACCGCTCACAACTCCATGTGGACATACGTTCTGTCGTCGATGCTTTTCAAGAAGTCTGGACCATTCAACTTCTTGTCCTCTTTGTCGTACTGATATGCCGCCGTTCTCCTTCTTCCAAGAACATCCTTGTAGCTCAACACTTGTCAAGTTGATGACTGCCAGTATCACGCGCAAAGAGAAAGAGGAAGGAATAGCAGAGGTGGCTGAAGGAGCCGATATCAATATCTGGGGCATGGCCAATATGTATCAAGAGCGCAAATTAGCCATCGAGAATGAAGAACGCGAATCATTGCTGTCTACGCCAATCTTTGTTTGTACTCTCGGTTTCCCTTTCATGCCAACGATTCTGCACATTTTCGAACCACGTTATCGTTTGATGATCAGACGTTGCCTCGAAAGTGGTCATCCACGGTTCGGAATGGTAATGCATTCGCAAGATATGTCAACCAGTACGCCTGGCATGTCATCATACGGAACGATGCTGGAAATCAAGACGGTCAAAATGCTTCCAGATGGCCGTTCGATGATTGAAACCGTCGGTTCCCACCGTTTCCGAGTAATGGAAAATGGTAGCCTGGACGGATACTCGGTTGGACGAATCGAAAGAGTGGATGACGTTCCTGCCGAAGCTGAACACGATCTAGAGCAAGCCTCTATGGGAAACTTCAGCCTTTGGAATGAATCTTCTCCGCGAAGTTCAGACCGTGGCAATCGTAGCTCTGAGAGCGGTAATGTCTCCGGATCCAGCGGTGACTCTTTTTCACCGTCTTCGGCAAATTCTTCTACGATGATGACAATGGCCGAAGCGCGAGAAGCACATGCTGCTTTCCAAGCTGCTATTGGTCTTGATTCGCTCAACCGTCATGCGGCAGCGGACGAACCACGCCGGCCAACAACCGTTAATGCAGCTGCTACATTTGTCCAACGTCCAATAGCCGAACTGATTGGTGTCTGCAGATCCTTTATCGAAACATTGCGATCGGGGTCGGCACCGTGGCTCATGACACGGTTGAATGATACGTATGGTCCGATGCCTGATCCTTCGAATGTGGCTGCATTTGGCTATTGGATGGCTTTGGTTATGCCGATCGATGAACATGAAAAAGCTAAACTTTTACCGATCAGAAGTTCTCGTTTACGACTTTGCATCGTGGTTTATTGGATCGAACAATTACGTCAAACATGGTGGTTCAATCACGGTTGTTCGATTCAATGACTATGCATTGCTTTTTGCATTGCTCTTTGCACTGCTCTTTTTAATTAATTTGCTAATACCTGCTATGCTATGAAGGAAGCAGAGATGTTCCTTTTTCTAATTTCACACTTTGTCTCTTCTTCCACTTCCGTGTACTTTCTCTCATTATTACACTTCATAAAATGACACCATGGTCGTATTGCATTTGTATTATCAGTCTCTTTGGAATCACAAAATCATACATACGTTGTTTATATTTTTGGACTGAAATGCATCTAAGATCGATCAAAGAGGAGAGAGAAGTGCACGCATGCCTCCGAATGGCAATGAGAGAGGGATGTGTCTCCTCGGCCGAATTTACACGCGCATCAGTTTTGGGGAAATGTTCGATTAGAATTTTGGTGAATATGCACGTGCTTTTCACGATAATTTCCAGTAGCGCATTAAGGAAATTTTCCCTGCGGTATGGCCGCAGACTGGTAAGCGTATGCAATAAATTGTATTGCGCTTGAATACAAATACGCGCAGTGTAGTAAGATATGAATACAATTTTCCTAATTTGACTAAGATGCGCAGGTCAACTAAGGCAGGAGTACAGCATTTGATGAGTGTAACGAAAGGCTTGAAGCTGTCAAGGCGTCGTAGAGTGAGTGCAATTCTTCTCTTTGCCTGCCTGCTTGCTGCTTGAAGGTATAACGAGAATTCCTGATATCCATGCAAACGATTGATTGATTGTTCTTGCAAATCATATCATCACCACCAACATCAATACCTCAAGGCGTGTGAATCGACAAAAATGGCGGTCCACCACAACAACATTCTTGCCAACAACCATTTCCGCAAGGTATGTATTATGGAAAAAACAGCAGTTCTTCGGTCAGCTTGGCCAGAGTAGAAGGGATAATGAAACGGATGATGTAGATGAAATTCGATTGATGGCGTATTCGGCATTAGAGATGGTAGACGAGATCGCCACAACTCGTGGGATGCACAACAAGCGAAAGATGCCATACGAGTTGCCACATCCTTGATTCCGACATCATGATACATTCATCCAAACGAACCATACGATATCGACAACCTCGTGAACACTCTGAGACAACTCAATTTGCCGTCTTTCATTACACCGTTTTCCTCTACTCTAGCCACCTGCTCTGAGCGATTTCTTACAAATTCCCCCAATAACATATACTGACCCTTCCTTCCTCTATTCTACAGGACTGGCAAAGACGGGTCAAGGTTTGGTTCGACCAACCCGGAGCAAAGAAGAGCAGACGTAATGCCCGTGTCGCCAAGGCTGCCAAATTGGGTGCTAAGCCATTGAAGTCTCTTCGCCCCGCTGTTCGTTGCCCAACATTGAAATACAACACCAAATTGCGTGAAGGAAAAGGTTTCACTTTGGACGAGCTCAAGGCTGCCGGTATCGGTCGTCATGAAGCCCGCTCAATCGGTATCCCAGTCGACCACCGCCGCCGTAACCGTTCCGAAGAGAGCTTGAAGCTCAATGTTCAACGTATCAAGGCATACAAGGACCGTGTTGTCGTCATCCCCGCCAGCACCAAGAAGAACAAGGGTAACAAGCCAGACATCAAATCTCTTGACATCACCCGTGACACAGCTGCTGCCTTCCCTATCCCCGCTGGTATCGTTGCCGAGAAGCCCCGTGCCATCACTGCTGAAGAGAAGGAAGGAAATGCATTCCGTGTCTTGCGTGAAGCCCGTGCTACTCACCGTAACGCTGGTGCCAAGGCTGCCCGTGAAAAGAAGAAGGAAGAGGAAGCTGCCGCTGCCAAGAAGTAAACTAGGATCACCGTTCTACTTTGCCTCTGTTATGCCTTCTCTTTACGACTCTTTTCTCAATCATTGTACAACCTTTCTTTTAGGTGGATGGATGGACCTTCTTCTATGAGGTACCCCGTTCAATCACTTTGCAGCATCTTCAACTCACATACACACACAATCTCACTCGCATGTCTGCATAATCTCGCCCAGGATTTCAGACGGTATGCATCACCAAATATTATATGAAAAACGCACGCTTTCCTTTTGCATCTCACTCAGAGTAGGTGGATGTGATGGATTGTATGCTTGGGTATGATTTACTCTCTTGTAAAGCATGATAATTCAATCGATCGAAAATCATAACGTCTGTGTGAAATTGAATAGATTGGGCATGTGTGGTATTGCAAAATAGATTCTATTGCTCTGGTATAGTCATGAAAGTCATTAATAGTCGTTAGAAGATGATATGCGTGTATGTACTAAAAGATGATGGATGACCGTATCACTGGTTGATTTGCTTTTCGGTCAAAGGTAAGCTGACCGAAGATCGATAAGCGGTTCTTTGTTCATGCACTTTGTTCAAAGCGATCCTTTTCACTTCTCCTTTCCAACCTTTACGTTCTTTAGCAGTAGATTCCCATCTACTTTTACAAGCCTTATCGGCAAGATGAACGACATAAGGAGGGGGAGTTGCGGTTGTGGCTATGCTGCGTTTACTACGAATACTGCTTGCGTCATTATCGCTTGGCGTGCCGCCCCGTGAGATTGGATGTGCAAGATCGATAGAGTTTCGATTCCTATTTAAAAATGCAGGAGGCGGCGTTGCTGCTGAACGTAAAGAACCGGCAGTGATCGTTGGACTGTGAAGAGAAGGTGGAGCGAACAAAGGTGATCCACCGTCAAAATGTGATTCTACCGCTCTCCTTGGTTTGGGTTGAACGAGAGCAGGAGATATCGGCACTGAGACGTTGTGTGCTCTCAAAGCTGTCGTTGAAGTCATCAACGGAGGCAGAGATGCACTCGGCCTGTGCCCTTTCTGAAAATCGTTCGGAGTCGATGCATGATCGAGCATGGAAGCTCTTTTGTCCTGTACATTAGTCGCTATACGAGAAGCACTTATTGCTTCAACACTTGACTGTGACTTTTTCGCTTGGAATTTTGGAGGAGAAGGAATACTGCTTTGACGTTTACGATCTTTTTGTTCTTTTCCATGAGGAACTCCATTGAACTCAAGCACATCTGCCATTCCATTTGGTAAGCCTTTGGCGTCTTGTGATAACCTTGCTCGGAACTTTGGAGGTTCGATGAGAATACCGTGATCGTGCGATGCTTCTCTCACCGCCGTCAATGGTCTGGTCCGATGACTTTTTGCCCAGTGAATTTGTGCGTCTTTCTCTTGCTTGCCTTCATCTTCGGTCTTCTTTGGCTGATCGCTTCTCTTAATGTCTGCCGAACGACGAGCCACGTTGCCCATGATGTATAGCGGCTTTTCCTCTTTGGCAACCTTTTCCGGTAGTGATACCAGTGGAATAGACTCATCAATCGCAGTAGATTGTCTACTGAGTTTACTCTTTTTCTCTTCCGATTCCGCAAGAGATTCATTGGTTTTGTTTGTCTTTTGTTTCCGCAATCTTTCCTTTCGTCTTTCTTCCCTTGCCATTTCGTCAACATTCAAACCCGCAGCTGCCCATTCAGCACGCATCTTTCGCTTTTTCAAGCGATCATCTTGTTTTTGTTTACGTAATTGACGATGTTGTGCAATCCTGGTTGCAGGAATATAACAAACACCTTCGTTTGTACAAATTCTCGTTAAGCCTTCTTTGTCTGCATCATTCAAATCTGCCGCATTTACACTTGTTGGTGTTGAAACGTAAAAGTGACGATAAATAGAACGACTAACGCATTTTGATATAATGACTGAAAGCAAGTATTCCACCGCTCGTACTACTGTATCAACCAATTGAGCGATTGATAGTAATGCTGTTTCGATATTGTGCAATACCGGTCTTGAGACGATTGCGCCCATCTCCCTCTGGCGTGACTTTGTTTGCAAACGATCAGTCGAATGAATGGTATACAATGATATTTGCTATTTGTTTTACCTTGATGATGATCGTTTTGAGTATATTCTTCGTTTGCGATCAAACTTCTTTTCAATTCTACGATTATGTGATAGGCGGTGGGGATCCGAAAATGAATTGCCAAGCCTTGCGTATTCCTCGGGACTGAGGTAATGTCAATTGGACGCGGAAAGCCGAGCCGAGGCGATGCGAATGTCAAAACGTCTGTCAGGTAATATGATATACTGTACAAGAATGATGCGATATTGATGTGGTGATGAAGGAGAAAGAAAGAAGGGTGTGTGTATGGGCGGATATATGCACAAGGGCTGATGTACAGATATGAAATGAGTTGCCTGAGTGCGTTTGTGTTGCCCAACGCCGCCTTCTTTTTCAAGGCTCCACAAATGCCGATAATAGATAGATAGCAAAAAAAGTGGCTGATAATTTGGTTTTTTGTCTTTTGTCAAGATGTCATGATCGAATGTTTATGTACAGTGATTTTGCAAACCATTCAATCAAGACCAACAATGGAAAAAGGAATATGCAAAAGATTATCATCAATTCAACTTTTTAGGGGCATTACCCTACTCTTAGCGTAAAGCGGCAGCCGGGGTGAGTGGCGGCCTGTGTGCCTAACCTGCACGCAAACACAGCTTTTAGTCTTGCAGATCAACACTCACACACAAAAACACGCGTTTGTAGTGCAAAAAGGCACACACTAACACTAAACTGAACATCTTGACAGCTTTTTAGTCTGCTTACAAGGGGAAAGAAGTAGATTCTCTCAACAAAGGTTTCGGCAGTAAGACTGTTAACGTGTATATAGAACAGATGCCGGGGAAAATTGGGAAACTCATGAACATAACCGTTGGAAAGAATCAAAGCGGAGTTCATAAACCGTTAATACTCTCTTTGGAAGTAATTGGTTTCATGTTCATATTCTACATGATCCTATAAATAGACTTTATGTTAAAGTGCTTTGCCGATCACACGATGTGCGGGCGAATATGTGACAACTTTTTTAGCGTGGATCGGAGAAAAAAAAAAGAAAGTGTGAATTAAACATTCTTCTTCTCTTCCTTTCTCTACCAATCAAGAGGGGTGGAGGAGATGAATGATGAAGCAAGAGCAGAGGAAATCAGCAGACATGCTATAGCAGATGATGAAGAGGTTCCAAAAGGTGCTCTTTCGGTTCGCAAAACAGATCAAGCAGGCAGAGGCGTATTTGCCGCTAAACCGTTACAAGCTGGAATGCTACTTAACGTGAGTCACGTCCTCCTTTTTCCCGCTGATGAATACCAAGAGCATGGCCGACATACACAACTGGACAATTACACCTACATTTGGAGCAAAGGAAAAGATGGCTCAACCATGGCTTTGGCATTAGGATTAGGATCTCTCTTTAATCATTCTTATGAATCTCCAAACGTATCTTATACATTCGATCGCGCAAAAGAAACTATACGCTACACCTTGATGAAGAATGTAGATGCCGAGACTGAACTTTGCATCTCATACGGAAGCGGAAAGATGTGGTGGGAAGCAAAAGATGAAAGTCAAACAACTAGAGAAGATTCTGCCGAGCGAGATTGGATGGAAGGATTTGCAACTATTTCATCATGAAACTGATTTGCTCTACAAAAGGCATGTATTTTTAGAATGCAATCTATTGTACACTATATTGAGATTGAAATTAACGTCAATGTCACCACTTTTATCGAAAGACTTGCATACATTGTCGTACTCTATCCAGCAATGAGATTCTTAGAGTGACTTCTTTTAGATATAAGGAGGTCCCATTGCGCGACGGAATTGTTCCAGAACGACTTCGACAACCAAGAGCAAAACACCACCACCGGGAGCTAAACGGAGTACTTTTGGTGTGAAACCTTTATAACATCCTTTAAATCCTTCTTCTTTGGCAATTTTAGCAATTCCAGGGAAAGTCCAAGGTTTCTTTTGTCCCGGGGCCCAAGTTGCATTTTGAACACGACTTTTGAAAACGTCAGCAGGTGTATTTAATGCTGTTCCAACAAATCCACCAATTGCACCTGAGATGAAATTGTTACGCAATTCTTGTCCTTTACTTTGTGGCTTTGGCAATAATGAACGAACTTGGAAAATACATCCGAAATAACCACCGTTCCATAAAACGTGTCGCCAGAAAGTACTTTCTAACCCGGAGTACATTCCCAATAAACCGTCTCTTGCTACTACTTGCTTGATAACGTCTACGGGTCCTTTATAAAGATGTGCCTGGGCTTTATCTTGCAATTTGATCTTTACAAGTTCGAATGGAACGGTGACAAATGCTTCCACACCACCGGCGGAACAACCAGTTAGGATTGAAAGACCTTGAGTCATTTTATCCGTTCCCGCAAGACCACGATAAGTTTTACCCCAAAAATCATTTGCAGCAAATTTAACGGCACGTTTTGGAGCTTCTAACATTAATGGTGGAATTAAACCACGATATAATCTACCAAAACCTTCACTTGCAACAATTTTACGAAAAGCATCAACCATTCCAGTGTAATGTTCTGCTCCGGCTGCTTGAACTTTTCCTTGTAACATCAATCGCGTCTTTACCGTATCGAGAGGATAGAGAAGTAATAGCTCAGATACACCGGCTATTGCACCGGCTGTGAACTGGCAATAGAAAGGTAGAGCTTTGTGAAAGAAAGAGAGGACATGTCAATGAGCAAGACAGAAGAAGAAACATCGGACTGGATCGGAATGACTCACGTTTGGGATTCTTTGTTGGAGTTGCCATGATGACTGTGAAATCAACACTGCGAATCGAATGAAATCGAGGTAGTGGTGTTGAGAAAGAGGAAAGATGATGTTTTGGAAGTGTATGTTGGGGTACAGGGTTATACTATCGAGAAGATTGCAAAAGTAGTAGTGCATATGCAGCTACAAAGTCAGAACTCGCTCGCCCGCACTGAAGCTTCTCACCCGATCGGAAATCTACATTAAAATAATCTAACTATTCTTAATCTTTTGTCCCGCTTTTGCGCTGTAAGCGAAGTATTTCTTTATCGGCCTTTCTCGCGTTCATTTTTTGAGCGTACAAAAATAGGACAACAATCCGGCACTCCGTTTTCTCACCAGAGAACATGACGTCTTAATGATTGAAGAGCGACCTTTCTATCTTGCGCGATAAGATTCGGAAAAAGACCTCTTTCTCTCTCTTTGGCGCATGACTTGCTTCAAGAAAAGTATCACACTGCAAACCGCTCCGGTCCGATTCAAGATCGGAAAAGCGAAGAGCACAGCTTATGTAATCGGTTCTAGGATCAAATGATTGATTCATGATCATGGCATTCCATTTCATTATTCCAAATCTCTGTACAAAAGGCAAAAAGATGTACGAACTACCGGCCCATTCAATCCAGGCGTTGAAGATGCACTGAAAGATGATCGAATGCTGGGCACTAAGATGTTCGTCGCGGTGAATGTCTCCCAAAAGGAGAAATTCAACGAGAAGATGGCATATGTTCTTCCCTGGAGTCGCATTGAAAAGTATCTCGGCTTGACCGTTTGACGCTCACCAGATGATCACTGAAAAGAGAAAAAAGATCCTAGGAGCAACACGGAGAATAACGGTGCCTGATGCCGCACAAGGAGAAGAAGAAAGAAGAGTTGCAATTGAAATGCATCGTTATAAACGCGTATGCACAAACGGAAAAATTTGGTCAATTGCTACTATCACGTGCACAAAAGAATAAAGTCAATCAGTTCATTAACCGGAAATGCACAGACTTCCTTTGGCATCACTCTCATCACGACAAGATGTCATTCGGAAGACCGCCAACATATTCAAGCTTCAGTGTCACACCTCCAGATCGTGGTTCATTCCCGCTTGATCATGATGGTAAGTGTGAAGACAGAGAAAAACTGTCTGAAAAGGTGGAGAAGGAACTGACAGATATTCCTTTTCATACTTTCAGGTGAATGCACAAAAGTGATGAAAGAATATATGACATGCATGAGACAGAATAAGATGGATAATGGAAAGTGCAGACATCTTAGCAAGTCGTATTTGCAGTGCAGGATGGAAAAGTGAGTAGGTTCCTATCAGCTTAATTTCTATGCTCAGTATGGCTAAAGTAGTGCACTCACTCTTACAGCGGATTAATGGAAAAGGATGAAATGTCAAATCTAGGGTTCCATGAGGAAGATCTAGGCAAAGCAAATTCATCACCCTCTTCTACATCTCAACAGCAGCCACCACCACCTGAAAAAGGCAAGCGAATGGTATAAAAGGCATCGAGATCTATTTTGTATTATTAGTCTATTGTACATTGTATAAATACAGCATGCATTTGCGGGGAGAATCACTCTTGCTAATCTTCATCACCTAATCAAGCATCATTCCACCACTTGTGATGATTTCCACTACTCATAAACGTTTCAAAAGTCCATATACGCGGCTCTAACATATCTGTGCTTGCATACCATCGATAGACATGACATCTTTTCGATGCACGTCTTTCGTTCAAGATTGTTTGAATCCTTTCCGGCGTCAAAGAAGAAAGCACTTGGTCAATACTTTGCGATTCGGAACGTTGATCATTCTTTAGTGGTTGAACTGATTCGTCCAAAAGAACATTTACAGCTTGACGGATATACTCATTACCTTCAAATCTGTCCAATTTGAGTACATCTGCTTCACTTAGTCCTTCTACCAACATACCCCGAATAGCCGTTTTGGTGGGTGACTTGCTGGAATGACCTGGATCTCCTTGTGATAGAACCTTTTGACTGTCTGATAATGGTATCAAGCCAGGATAATCTTCTCCTTTTACATGATGAAGAGCATAACCCTCTAAAATGGCCGGTTGAACGATAAGATTGGAACCTTGATGACCTATCATTCGTGCAAGAATGGCAGGATGAACAAGAGTACCATAGAATAATAGCGAATACGTTTGAGAGCTTGAATCGGTTGGATATTTTGCACTTTCATCTATATGAGATGCAGCAGGCATTACACTTGAACGCAAAATACCCGAAGATGAGCTCATCTTGAATATTCCAAAGGATGGAGGAAGTGTTGGTTTGATTTACTCCAATGATCTTCTTATTCTTTAAGCGCGTTCGGCGCGTTTCGGTTTATCACTTTTGATTATATAACACATCCGGCATTCTATCGTGCGAGTTCTCAATACGATACCATAACCGGTACCTTTTCATTCGTATGGAGATGGGAAATTGAGTTTAATATTGACGCTAAAGAGGACAAAGAAGATTTAAACGACAACCGATTTGATGATCCGAGCCGGGCGAGATCAGCGAAAAGAATTAAGCGTTGGTTTAATGTCAATCTTCATTTCCCGATAAAGTAAGGTTCTTTCCTTTGTGAGTGGGGAGGGGGCAAGACAAAAGCATGTTTCCAACATATCATGCATCTAGAGATTATTCTCAACGTGGGGTTTGAAATCAATCTATTTTATTCAACTGCATTGTAACGACACTATGTACCTGAAAAAAAGTTAATCGGGAAAGATGAGTGTAAAGACGATTACCGACATACAAAAAGCATGGTAAGCTTTTGTCAAGGTTTTCAAAGCATGTTCTCCGGCGACAGAAGCCTGGAACTTTATGTTCGAACGGGATTGCGAAACAATTAATGGCACGAAATGCATGGTCTTAGCCGACATAACTTCAAAGTGTGTTATAGAAGCACTGGGAAATACCGGAGATATCATTTTGAAATGCTTTGGGTTTAAATATATTATCTCAACCCCAAAACCCAGCTCTTCCAGTACGTCTGAACAATGTTCAGGACTGCATTTATAATCACACATGATAATATAAAATGTATGCGTCCGACTTTATTTAATTTTAACTTATCTAAGCGATAAACCTGAAAACAAAGCCACACTTTATAGTGACAGCGAGGTCACTTCTCCTAATATACGGTACATTCTTTCCGAGCCTTTCCGTTTTTGTCTTCTTTATAAAGCTTAATGCTGCCATGGACCCTTGCATGTTTTGCTTATACTACTTACTCTTTTTATTTATTTATTTGTTATATGCATACTGTTTATACTGCTTAAATTCTATTTATTTGTTTCAAGCCATTTACGTCCCGTCTTACATGCATAAATATAAAATACACTTTTCGGGTAGCTCTCATTCTTGTCAATAATGACTAAAAAGATTTAGATCGGCAGCATTATACTTTTCTCCGCATAGTCTGTATTGTCACAATTATGACCCTACGCATCAGGAACATATGCCTTTATAAAGAGCCTAAATTGTGGCTGAAAGAAAACGAATATTCTATCGGTCTTAAAAGGTCATCCTAATACGTCCCCCACTGTGATAATATTCTCGAGGTTCCTTTATTATGGGAAGTTGAATTGCCGCCGGTGGATGGCGGAGAAGATGCAAACATACAATGCATGCAAAGACATTTGTATGCATGCTTATAGGCTTTTTACGTAACAAATATCAATCAAGGAACCCTCCATCTCCGGCGGAATGGAACAGTTGGAATCTTTGTGTTCTTTACAGGACGGGATCTTATTAAAAGGAGGATAAAACATACAAGCCATACTCTTGTCTCTTATTGTGCGATCGACACCGAAGAAGACTTAAAATGCGTGGATTGCCGCCCGATCTGATGTTCCATTGCGAAACAGTGGGACAGTGACCATGAATAATTCTTCTTTTTCATCGGCAAGGATTGCAGCAGTTGATCTCCATCCCATATATGTTTCACACAACTTAAGCCGCGGCTCACAATTTGAAATGATGAAATTTTAAAAGTTTATCGTCTTGACGTGGGCAACAAAGAATATAACACTTTCCCTGTGATTTCTCGATGAAAGCAAAAGGTAATTTAGACGGTATGAGAAGTATTTATTATGATAGGCACATCTTGAGTCATAATTTACTCTGCTTTCTGATTGAGGGAATTTCTGGAAAGACTACTTAAAGAGTGCCATTTTTCTCTTAAGATGTTAACACCTCACCCTTCTATCAATAATTCCTCCTTCCCCTTCCCTGCCCCCACTTTTCTCGAAGAATGTTTTTGATCTCGAGCCATTTTCGCAACATCCTATTGCCTTTCGTCCTATTCACGTCCCTTATACATGCCGCTTCAATCAGCAAGCAAGAGCAAGAATGGAGTGAAGCATTGGTAAAGCGTTTGCTTGCACAACAGAAGCGTGATGGTTCAGGTGAATCGTGAGTGGTATAATGCTAAAGTCTGTCTTTGAAGCATTCAAATCATCTAACGTCTCTCCTTTCCCCAATCTTTTTTGTTGAAAAGATGTGTCACAATGAACAATGAAGATGTCGCTAATTTTCCCGATTCGATCATTGAAGCAATGATGAATTGGTCATTCAACAATACTCAAAAAGCTCAGGCTGGCGGGGTTACACCGATTTATAAAGCTCCAGTTGGAAAATATGATGCTAACGAGTTCTACAATTATGGCGGGTACGGTCAAGACTACGATTCATCAAACCCCAACTTAGACGTACAATTTTACGTGCCCGATCAAATTGATCAACAAAATGGTGCATTGCCTTTACAGGCCTGCTATACTAGCAACACTTATACTGTATCCGATTTCAACCAAGATACTAAAGATTGTCAAGTTGCCAATAATACTTTGAGTGGCAGCACTGCTGATCCTGGAACTCAAGTCGCTGTCCAAGTATCTCAAGGTTATTCTTTGGCAGTCACTGCAGACACTTCAATCACACAATCATACACTGCAGGAATCACAGTCACACTAACGTATGGATTCGATGCAGAAATAGAACAAGATACGGTGGCTGCCGCAGTCAGTTTCTCGTATAGTTATTCCTCAACAACGGATCATTCAGTAACACAACAGACAAATACGCAAACAACAGAGACTGTCACAATCAATCCTCCGGCTGGAAATCAGTGTGATATCGTGTTGTCTGCGTATTCGTGCCCTGGAAGGTGAGTAGAGATTTCTGATTTCTGCTGAAGTGATGCTGACTATTCTATGCTTCTATCATATAGTGTCACACTTAGCTTCCCTGTCTACTTTACTGGACAGATTACAGCACATTACTTCAACGGAAACCCTGTGCCAGGTGCCGCATCAGAATACTACTTCTATCCTGATTTCCAAAGCGACAGTGAGTTGAGAGATATTGATGACTTAATCACGAGAACCAGTTCGCTTATATTGTTCATATGTTTCATCATCTTTTGCAGTCATTCAACCGTATGACTCAATTTACCACACACTAAATGCAAGTGACATTGTTCAGCCCTTTACATTCACTTTCGCAACCAACGGGGAATATACTGAACAATGTGAATGTGTGGACCCTTCAATATGTGGGTCAGGAGCAAGTACAGCCACATCTACCTCAACCTCAAGTGCGCCTTCGCCAACGTATACTCCATCTTTATCTTGTCCAACAAATTTGCCGGTTGTGAATGCATGCAATACGAACTTGCCATCTTATCTTTCGGATCTCCAATACGATTCTAGTCAATTCACGGCACACAACGTTACCATCAATCAACAACCAGCACAAGGTCAAGAGTTATCATTTGGACTTCATCCGATCACCTTTACGACTTCTACAAACGGTCAAACTTCTGCCACATGTTCCAGTGCCCTTCAAATCGTTCCGCCTTGGACAGCGGAATTTGTTCCAAACACATATACATTAACTTATCCAAATGATGGGTCCGATATCAATGGTGAGGAATATATTATTGGTTATTATGGACAATGCGGAGCAAATCAATACGGTCAATGTAGACTTGAATCGGTCACATCAGAATTTGCTTCCAATTTTGCCTACAAACAAACTTCTCCCGATGGAGCAGCATTCACCATTCTAAACCTCTCTAATGGTGGACAAGAATGGCCTGCGAAGGACATGTTATCCTTTGTTATCTCATGCTTCGATGCGTATGGCAATAATGGTCAGGTAATGGTTTATCAACAGGCAACCAGAGCACCCGGAACATTGGTGACCCAGACCGTTGATGCAAATACGGATACAATTACCCAACAGAGTACAACATCCTTTTTATATACTTCGATCGAGACATTCAACAAATTCACCACTACGCCAGCAACAACTGTCGATTTATTGACGGCAACACTTTATACTGCCACCTCAATCAGTTCTACCGAAACAATTATTGAATATGGTGCCACTCCGGTCACCTCTACAATCTTTGTTCCTTCTACCACAGAGTTGACGGTTACCAAGACCAGTACGGCAACGCAAACGGGTGCTTCTATAAGTTCAGATGTCGTTACAGCTCTGACAACATATCCCCCTGTGACAGTGACGTCATTTTCTACAAAACCATCATCAACCATCACCGTCGGTTCCACGATCACCGATTTGATCGTTGTCACAGAGACTGCATCTCCAACGCCATGTAAGCGTAGTGATGCTTTGAAGCGTCGTATGGAAAGAAGAAGTGCTCCAACGCCTACAATCACCACCACATACACGGACAAAAGTTTAACGGAGACTGTGACGGATACAACGGACACAAAAGTTATCTATACCGATGGAACTTTAATCTCAACAGATTACACCCAGATCGAAACGGTTTTCGGTTCAAAGACAGTCACGATCTATGAACCTTATGTCACCACAACCGTTGAAGGTGTCTTGACGACAAATTCGATCAAAATTGTCGATGCTTTATCAACGAGTGTTACCGCAACACAAACGCTGACATCGACTGACATTGTAAATTTTGATCAGACAATCACAGTTCCAAGTATTACAACCGTTACACAAACACACGGCTCTACACCTACCGTCACCACCACAGTCGATGTGACTTCAGGCGTAACAACAGTCACTGACCCCAACATTCCTGCAAGTGCACCTCCGGTAGTCAAATTTAGTACAACGACAATCTATCCAGCATGTACCACAACAACGTCATCATCCTCCTCTTCCTCTACCTCCTCATCCTCGTCCTCCTCTTCCTCTTCAGCCTCTTCCTCAACCTCCTCATCCTCTTCTTCTTCATCCCCAACGCCGTCCAATGGTCTTCTTTCTAACGGTCTTTCTTGTCATTCAAGTACTCAATGTCAGAGTGGAAACTGTTATCACAGAAAATGTGCAGCAAAAATGCAATTAGGACAAACGGGATGTTATAAATCGCAAGATTGTATCTCAGGCAATTGTTACAAGTCCACATGTGTACCCTTGAACGGTCAAGGAGTTACAGGAAATCCTTGCAGAACTTCTGGACAATGTCAAAATGGACTATTCTGCGATCATGAATCATGCTCTGCGAAACTTGGTTGGGGAGGATCTTGTTATAAATCGGAAGGCTGTCTAAGCAATAAATGCAATTGGGGTAAATGCGCATGATCATTCATGTCCATCAACATTCTTTTATATACTCTACTCTCTCTTTTCTCCTCTTCGTCTTCTAGGGCATTTATTGTCACCTTTTCTTTCTGTCAGTCTCTTAGGTATTCTTGAAAATTGAAATTGAATATTATTTATCATATTATAGGGGCATATGGAGCAGCACTGGAGAAGAATAAGCGAGGTGTTTTATTTAAATATCGATTATAATACTGTTTCAGATGAATACTTTTAGGCGAAAGTGATAAAGAAAGGAACTACTCGATGAAAATTTTCTCACATTTAGGACATATGCAGTAAAAAGGCCACCTAGGGTTCGGATATAATCCCAACCCTTATCCTAAACCTTAATGGATTTTAAGCTGAATATATATCCTAACCCTATGCAGGCTTTAAGCTGAACACTAAGTACGGTCTCTCAACACAGGTAATCTGACAATTTTTTTGTTATATTCCTCAGTATTGCTTCTACCGTAGGATTTTCATCATACGGAAGAACCTCTCTGATCAAATGTTTGACTGTACGTACTGGCCTGTTGCTGTCTTGTTGCTATTCAATGTTAGTTGGTTATGTGATGCTTCTCCTTCCCTACGAGAATAATTCAAAGGAAGAATGTGTTTAGCTGAACATGTGGCAGCAGTCAACATTCTCTCCGCATTTCAGCCACTTGGATGGCATTTTGTATACAGAGTAGAATTATCCACAAAAATCTTCAGCTACGCAATAGTTTAGTCATGTCATTGTCCATCAATTTGGCGTTTTAATCTATGTCTTCTTATCTTCCGCAGCAGTAAAAAATGCAAAGCTGGAATTGGTCCCATTGTTGTGGTTGTGTTCCTACCAACGGACTTCTTGATTGATGACGCACAAGTAATGATAAGGGCGTTGTAGCCCTTTATGCAGGCCTTTTCTGTCTTAGACAATTGTAACAATAAAAAAAAACAAAATGGCTGTGTTCTAGGCACTGCTTCTATACTTTTGCGGAGCAGCTTGGTTTAGGGTTCCCCTGCGTCAGACAAAACACAGATTTCCTTTTTGTAGTAGTGAAATTTAATTTATTCGTTCATGTACCTGGACTGTGTCACAAGAAGTTTAGCCTGGGTAAATCTTGATACTATTTCATACTAAAGTGCACCTTAGTGTAAAATAAGACTCTTGTAGTTCCTACTTGGGTCGCAACTGAGACGGCAGACAAAACAAAGATCAAGCAAAGACTGTTATTCTTCCTCACATTTATGGTTCACGAACAATTAAACCTTCCATCAATGTTATCATAGCACACCACCCCTGTCTTCTACTTTGGGTCTGGCACGCCACCAGATATTAGTGACAGCATCCCTACATGGATGCAGTGCGGTTGCAGGATAAAAGAAAACGCGATACGACAAGCGCCGACGCATGAAAACAGCATTAAAGCGCAGGTTAATGCCAAAAATGCAATTACCTTTTATACTGCTTTTATGCCTTAGCTTCTTCATATCTATTTCTAGAAAATCACGGCAAAAGTGCCGCTCATGACTATCCCGCGCGCGGCTTTCGATTGCGCAATTGGCTCTCATGATGATCCCCTTTCCCCTTCATTCCTTCTCGTCATCACCATCATCATCATTTCACATCACGTTCGTGGCTATTGACGGCTCGGCGTTTCGCCTCTTTCTTTCTCCTCCTTTAAATCCAATCACCATTGCCTAGTCCGCTTGAGTTTTACTCGCGAAACGGCTTGGTCCTTTTTCTCCTCTTCTCTATTCTTGAATTCTGATCCTATTACGCTCGAGTTTTACTCGCGGAAAAAGATCACCTTTCAACAAATCGCCGATTACCGTCAAATATTTAATCTTTAATCCACTTTCGTATAGTCTGTCAAATCGCAACTTTGACCGTCTTTCTACAAAACAAGTATATCCATACCGCGCGCCATAGAGTCGCTGCATCGTATCGGATCCCAGCAGTAGAATCCCTCAACATACTTTCTGTAAATCTCGACAAATTCAATTTCAATCGAAAAAGATCAATTTTACAAAATGTCTCTTCCGCAAACCGCTACGTCCACCGTGAACTACAGTTCTATCCCGCAGGGCAATAAAACTGCATCTTCCAAACCTTCGATCACTCGAAAGACATCTGGAGGCGGCAACAAGAAAGGTACTTCAGCCGAACGTCGTGCAACCCATAATGCCGTTGAACGTGCTCGCCGTGAATCCCTCAATGTTCGATTCTTGGAATTAGCCGCCAACCTACCAACAACGTGCACTGTTCGTCGTCCATCAAAGAATTTGATCGTGAATAAGTCTTTGGAGTTCGTTCGTAATGCATTGCACAATGATGCAGTCCTTCGCTTGAAGTTGGAAGAATCTCTTCGTCAAAATCAATCCATGTTACAAGAGCTGAACCAAATGCGCGCCGAGCGTGGTCTCTCACCCCGTGATAGTCAAACAACAAGTATTGATGCAAATCAACAAGCAGGCTTCTCAATTGATGCTCTCACCACCGCTTTTGGTATGCCCAACATGCCACAACCATTGGCAAGTGTTGAGTTCACCAAACAAGTCACCGAACAAGGCATTCAATTCGATGCCAACAATGCTCAATGGTTTGGTGGCGACGGTGATGAAGACTTTGTGTCAAACACTGCAAGTGGCGATGGCTTCTCAGCTGCTGCTTCTGATCATAGCTCACCATCATTGGTCGGCGAAGATGCAAATGCAGCTGCTGTAGCAGCCGCCGCCGCCGCTGCTGCTGCGTTCCCGAGCAATCCCATGTTCGCAAACTTTAACGATATCATGGCCGCATCGCAATCATCCCCGTATAGCAGCTTGCAGCCAGCACCGCATCGTCGTCCAGATACAAGTGACTCTCTTGATAGCAATGGTATGTCAAACACATATGCGCAATACGCAGTCGGAAGTGGCGCCGCCACCACCACTACTTCCAACTATCCTCCGATGGAGTTTATGCCACCGATCAACCCATCCACTGCAGCCGCATTTACCAACTTGATGAACAACTTCAACAATCAAAATAACGGACCGCACACCCCTCAATCAACTCAATATAGCACATATGCATCGCCAATGTCAAACGGTAGCATGAACGCAAACGGAACTGGTAGCTCGCATAGTTATTCGCATCACAACAACAATAGTTATTTTGCCATGACAGCATAAATTCTTCACACATTCTTTCTTATTTTTCTTGGATTGCTCATTCACTTCTCGTCCTCCTGTATTCTCATAGCTACCTCTTTCTTTCCTTTTTTTTTTCAAGGAGAGACTTCCGTTTGTAGAAGTTGATCTTCCTTTTTTTGTCTTTACTAATCTTTGTTCTCGTTCTCGTTGTTGATTTCTTACTCTCACCATTACTTTTGTACGCCCATTTATAGGGCAGATGCTCTATAATAGTACAATATCGGAAAGAAATAGCTCACCGCGAGAAAGTGTGATGAAGTTAAGATTTATTAATTAGAAAATTGGCAACATCATCCAGTTGCGGAAACAACTTTAGAGCCTAAACTACCGTGGTAAGATTGAAAAGTTCTATGCAACACCAGGGTAATGACCTCGGATATGGTAATAACGTTTAGGATTGGACAAATCGCATCCAAATTGTAAGAAAGAGGTGTGCAAACACCTAGACTATTTGGTGATGGGTGGAATGAAAAATTCCAGCTTAAGATAGAGTCCACCCACCGTTGCCAAAGCAGTCTGTGTAATTGAAGTTTCTGTTTGTTCGTAAAGAAACAAATAAACAAGAAAAAATCATATGAGTTTGTGTGAAAATTCAACTCTCCCCACGGTAAGGTACTGGGTACTAATAGCTGGTTCACGCCGAAGTCTCACTCAGGATAGCAGAAAATCGTATCAATTTTATTTGAGATCGGTTACCTGCCCCTCATTTATACGTTTACAAAGGTCCAATAAAGCACGAGCACAATATTTGAAATCGTCAATATCAAGCCATATTTGAGCGCTCATTCGAACCCAAATCTTTCCGTCATGTGCAAAAACGGGAGCAGCACATTTGAATTCTTCAAACAAAGATTTAAAGAACCAAGATTCCGCTTTTTGAGCCCATTTTTCGAATGCGACGGGATCTTGCGTATTTCCATTTGCAATACGTGAAGAAATGATTGGCAATCGTATATTTACCATCGAGGCTGTTAATGAATGATCTTCATTATCCATCACTGAAGTTCCTAGAATCTTTGCTGCTTCTTCTCCCCCGCGAACGGCTAAATCGTGGTTGTAATTCATTATCCTTGCTTCTCCTCCCAACTTTTGACGGAATTGAATCGCGGCTTGTACGGAAAGTGCGACTGACATATCTGTTGTTCCATTTAACATCCATTGTTGTGACCAAGTATTATTTTCGGATGTAGCGTTTGGTGTGAAGCAGAATGAAGTGGGCATACCGGATCTTTGAATGTGTCTATTGCGAAGAGGCACATACAAGAACGCATTACTCCTGTGAGCATATAGCCATTTGTGACAATTCGAAACGAAAAAGTCAGGATCGGCTTTCTTGAGATCGATTGGAATTGCTCCGATTCCGTGTGCTCCATCTACAAGAGAGAGGATACCATTCTCTCGCAGAATGGCAACCATCTCTTCCCATGGCAGACGTACACCAGGTCTAGAAAAGATTGTATCGACAACTCCGATTCGGATTTTCTTTCCAGCTTTCTTCACACTTGCAATGCTTTCACGCAGTTTTGCTAGCATATCTTCGTGTTTGCATGGGAGAGTTATCGAGACGACTTCATTTGTGACATTTATTCCACGTAATCTTTCATTTTCCAAAACGTAATCAATCGTTTTATTGACAGCGCCGTATGTGCAGGATAATGTCAAGATCGCATCACCGTCTTTGAAGATCATATCTCTCAAAACCGCATTTGTTCCTGTTGATGCATTTTGGATTAATGCAATCGTTTCTGGTTCAGCATTGACAATCTTTGCTATACTTGCTTTTGCTTCGTCTACTAAATCACCCATCACGTTGTATCGCCAATTGTCGGGAGTTTCTTCCTGTTGGTCTAGTAGCTGTTTCACATATTCCATCACCGGTTGAGGACATGCTCCATATGAGCCATTGTTCAAGTTCAGATAGCCTGGTTTAAAGTTAAAATATCGAGCAGCAGGTTTGCCTAATTTTGGTAAATCGTAATCGCCTTCACGTTCATCTGAAGTCAAGCTGTATTTCTGTTGTGATGCTTTGCTTGTTTGAATATCTGTGTGGGCAGCATTGGAAGCAGTCTGTAAATCTTTCAGCTTTTCGGCTGTCGCATTCACTCTGTCATCCTGATCATCATTTGCTTCAGGAACGGGAGATCCGGTCGCCCATGGATTATCCCTTGCTGGCTTTCGCATTTCGGATACATGCGGTGTGAATGCAGGTGGATCTGCCCATGGATCCGCACCTGCGCTCATACTTATTGAGGGCGTTTGAATGGATTCAGATATACTTACGTTCTGGGCAGCAGCGTCCTGCTCTTGATCTGAAGTTGATTGAATGACAGCGTTTGAAAGGATAGAATCTTCGGGTTGCCCATTAGCATAAGATGCACTTCCTTTATACGATTCATCGTTTGATACAGTCATCCCTTCTGTATGAGAATTATCATGCTGAGATGACTCGGGTTCGTTTTGTTCTATTGAAGCCATTCTGATGCAAAGATCACTTTAGCCGAGTGTGTGTGGTTGCAAAAGAATGAGTCACCAGGACCACAATTAGGAAAAAGCTTAAAATTGGTAATCAAGCCACGGTTTACCCCATTTGTATTGTTTGCGTGTGAGGAGCATCTTAGACGCGCTTTTATTAAACGCCCAGCTTATTTTTAGCTGCCAGGCTCTCTATCAAGTAGTTATCCTTCAAGATGACGGGGTGCCGACAATTATTCATTCAAATCGATCGATGAGGAGAGTAATCGAAGGGACTCTTGAAGATGTTCAAGATTGTATTAGCGCGAAGCATTTGATCATTTTTCCTATGTCATTTCAAATGACGCACTATCTAATCATATGATGCTTAATACCGAGGGATTATTCTTTATCACCGAATAGATTCAATCAAAAATAGGAGGAGCACAGCATGTTCCAGGTTCTTGGTTTGGTTTAATGTGTGTGGCATACACAAAGATGATCATAATGTTTTAACACCGCGGCTTCTAACGACGAGATACGCGTTTAACCTCCACACAAAGGTGCATTATGTTAACAACCCTTAGTATACTTTTATGCTCAATTGGATAAGCGTAAGCCACAGGATACTTGTACAAAAAAAGGTTATAAAGGATGTCATTTCCCGACACTCTACTCAGACAAAACCATAGAACCTCCCCCCTCATCATCAAACAACAACAACAATTAGTCAAAATGGTTTACGGATATGGTGGTTGGAAGTCCAACTTTACATTGGCTCAAATGACCGATTTACGTTCAAAGGTCGCAATCGTGACTGGAAGTAATTCAGGTGTAGGAAAAGAAACTGCACGTCAATTAGCATTACACGGGGCAAACGTTCACTTGGCATGTCGTAACCCGAAAAAAGCAGAAGATGCAGCAAAAGATATTCAATCTTCTTTGGATTCAAAAGAACCTCATTCGGAAGAAGGTGATCCGAAAAGTGGTCCTAAATACCCTGGAGGTAGCGTTCATGCTGATCAAGCGGTTGATTTGAGTGATGTTAGAGCAGTTCAAAATTATGCGGAAAATTTCAAGAAAGGTAATGATCGTTTGGATATTTTGATCTGTAATGCTGCAATCGTTCCTCCCGAATTCACAAAAGGAAAAGCTCCCGAATTGGAAGTAGCTTTCGTTACAAGTCATTTGTCACACATGCTCATGATCGATCAATTCTTGCCTTTACTACAAAGTACCGCACGTAAACAACAAGAAGAGACAGGTAAGAGCGATGTGAGAGTTGTCATTGTCGCTGCTGATGTGACTGGATATGTGGATAATCGTCTTTTGAACCCAATGAAGGTTTCTGAAGAATGGTTATTGAACGATATTGCAGAAAAGAAGGAAACATACGGTGCAGGAGCTTACTTACGTACAAAGATTTGCAACGTCTTATTCACACGTAAGCTTGCACAAAAGTTGGGCGATCCAAAGGATAACGGAGTTCGAGTCAATGTCATCCATCCAGGTGTGATTTCAACCGAAATCTTCCATTCACGTTCGCACGCTGATAACAGTGAAGATTCAAAACCAGGTTTGGGAGAACGTTTGGTACGTAAGGCATTCAATTCAAATTTGGTCTCTATGCCACCACCAAAAGGTGCATGGAATTCATTGTATGCAGCATGTGCGGCCGAAGTTCAAGAAAAGAATTATCAAGGTGAATACTTTTTCCCTTGGGGTAACCGTCGTACGCCTGATATCTGTAAGATCGGTAAAGATGACAGCGTCGCACAGAAATTATGGGAATTCAGTACAAGACAACTTCGTGAAGCAACCGGTAACGAAGATGCAGTCAAGAATCTCGATAACGTAGGTGCTTACACTGCTCAACATAGCACTCAACCCCAAGCTGCCACCCAATAAACTGTCAATATACCTCTATGTCTTTGAATAAGAATCCGTCTATTATACAATCTATAAATACAGTATTAGCCGTTCCGATGCTCAAGTATAATCGTATCCTCCCATCTCAGTAGCCGCTGCTTGTAAGAGATCTTGCAGGGAATCCCTTGGATTTCCAACAACCCTAGAAGATTGCTGTTGATGGTGAATCGCTCGATGTGCAGGCACTCCACGAGGTCCTGTACGAGGATTATGAAAACCTGAATCAATGTTTTGCTCTTGTCTACGTAGTGAAGATGGTGGGGGCAACTCAACAGTTTCCCTCACCGAATGAGAATTTCCCGCCCGCTGAAATGAGCGGAAGGGATTGTAGGCTAAGAAATCTCCAGCGGGATCTTGAGTGTTCGACAAGTTGTTCGGCAAATCATCTCCTTCGTCTAATCCATCATGAATTGGACTTCCTCCCTGGTGTGAAGAACGACCTCCGTACGATATCCGTTTCCCGTTTCTTCTCTCTTTATTTTTGATCAAGTCATGTTCGCCCATCATTTGCATCACTTCTTCATGACGCAATGCATTAGCTCGAAGTTTAGCATTCTCTTCTTGTAATCGATGCATTTCAGCTCGTAGCATTCGATTATCAGCGCGTAAATCGGCCATTTCGTTTTCCTGTTCAACTTCTTCGCTATATCTCTTCATATCTTCCATCGTTCTTCTATTCCTGCTTCCTAGAGGTCTACCGCGCTTTCTTCTTCCCACTAAAGCTTGCGTCACATCAATTATATTCTCAGATCCCACCTTTGCTCCTCCGATCCCCAAAGACTGTATCCTTTCCAACTCCTTTCGAATCGCTTCCGTCTCTTCTTTCTTTTTCGCTCTTTGTCTTCGTGCACATTCTCGGTTTGCTTCTCTTCTTCTTTCCAAGGCTTCTTCCGTAGTGTAAACCCTACGTTTCTTTCCTTTTGGATTTTCCTCTTCACTTTCATGTGTCGAACTTGTGCCATCTTCCCTACTATCTTCGGTCAATGTATTGGGCGGTATTGAATTGTCAAGCTGTTTCAATGCTGCAGAACTTAGTGTTTGGTTGTCTGTATTCTTTGAGACCGATCTCGTTCGTCTTGCTTCCCCTCCTCCTGCAGGTGACATGGGCATGCCTGCAGCCATACCTGTACCAGCCGGAGTAGAGCCTGGGTTGCCGAACGAAGACATCATTTGTTGCCATGCATCCGTATTTCCGTTTTGACCATTCGTACTCGCCAAAGCTTGTGCGAGCGCTTGTGATGATTCATCAAAAGGCTGCGCCAAATTGAGGTTGCTGGGCACAAAATCAGGATCGTCATCATCATCGCCAAAGTCAAAATCAACAATGGAGAATCCAGCCTGAGGTTGCTGCGTCGCATTTGCATTTGCATCTGCCATGATCGGGAAAGATGCTGCAAGTGCGTTTATCTCATCCATGGTAGGAAAGGCAGCATTCGGTTGAGAAATCGTAGGTTGTTGCGGCGTTTGTGCTGGTTTGCGTTGTACCTCGGCTCGTGGAGTGGCATCTTTTTGTCCTTTGTCTGATTTCTGCGTACTCTTCCTTTCCTCTTGAGCTTGTCTTTGGGCCATCAAACTCTGCAATAAAACTACAAGATCATTTTCCAACACTCTTGCCCCTTGCTCTGATTCATCGACAGGTTGCCCTTTAAGCCTTGCGATTAGATTCCCAATCAAAGGTTGCAAATTCTTGAATTGAGCTTGCGTAGGTGCAGGACTTGCAGCAGTTTGTACAGTTGTGAATTGTTGTTCAGCAGGCCATCCAGTTTGATTCTGTTGTGATTCAGCGCTATTCCACATCGAAGGATCAGACGATCCCAAGACCTCTGTCAAAAAATTGATCGCGCCATCGTAGAACTCATTTGAGGGAGTGGAAGCAGCAGAAGCATAAGCAGGCATATTCGGAAACGGAGTCCCATGCGAAGCAGGAAGCGGGCGCGTGGACACGGGGTCATCCTTGTTTGTCGAGGAAGCTGTGCCATTCGATGGCGTTTCAAAAGTCATTTGCGATGAGACGGCAGGCTGCCCATTTTTGTTTGAGAAGATCGGATCCATAGCCATTAGTTGTGCAAGGAACTTTTCATCGAATCCTCCATTGTCATCTACGCCTTCATCCTCCTCTTCTTCATCGTCATCATCTTCATCCTCGTCCTCTTCGTCTTCATCATCATCTTCCTCTTCATCCTCTTCGAAGTCGTCATCTTCTCCACTTGGACTGGATCTGTCATGTGTATTTCTATTCACTTTCGATGTGCTTAAAGACTTCTCGTTTTTGCGAGCCGTACCTTCACTCATATTAACATCTTGGTTGTTAGGAGTGCGTGCAAGCGCGGATTTTTGTCGTTTTGGCGCCATATTTAGCCTTATTGAGCGACTTTAGAGATTGTGTTTCCGACTCATGGAAGCCTGCTCACATGCTCTGAAAAGAGCTTTGGCATAGGTTTGATATTGTTTAGATGATGGTGGAAGAATGAGAAGAGGTATCTTGAGCGGATATAATTATTTTATTAATTTTATACACGTTTATTCATCGATTTTGTTGATAGACGCGCCGGGGTTTAGTGTCGTTTTAAAAGACGCGTTGCAGGTGCATGCTGAGTGTTCCTCCCTCACCTCCTTTTCTTATGCCCTGCGCCAACATAAAAATCACGCCGGGCGCAAAGGTGCAATCCAAAATCCAATTGTCCGCTTGGCTGAGATGAAATTGAAATCGGGTGACAATATTCATACAAAGTTGATCATCTCAAAGCAACACTTTGGGAATTCTTTGGCATCGAGTAAGGTATAGCCATGGTCATCTCGGAAACCTAAACGTGTTTATTACAGAAAGGGAAAGCAGGCACGAACTGCTAAGCCATCATCGTCAATATGGCATCTTCAAGCGGCTCAGCGTACAAAAATGATAATCGCGCAAAGGATGCTAACGGAGAAGGTCGAAATGACTCTCCTCCAAGACGATCGAGATCACCTCAACAAGATTCTTTCAGAAGGTATGGAGGCTCTCAAGACAACGATAGAGGTAATCGGAACGACTCAGGTCGATGGTCTTCTCGAGATGCAGGTCCTTCACGACCAAAGGACAGGAACGGCAAAGGCGGAAGAGACAGGAATCAAGATTGGAAATCTCGAAAGAATCGAGACAGAGAAAGAGATCGTGGATGGGGCAGTCGCGATAATCATTCCAAGAAGCGAGAGAGAGAATCAGACGGAAGATCTGCACGAGGTGGTTTCGGCAAAAGTTCTCTAGAGAGTAGATTGGAGCCTCGACATGATTCAACCGGAAAAGCTGCTGATGACGATGAAGAAGAGGATGAAGAGACTCGGAAAAGGAGGATAGAGAGACTGAAAAGAAGAAGGCGTAGTGCAGGCTTTGACAGTGATGATGAAACTGTCACTTTGGAAGATCTTATAGCTGCAAGACAAAAAGCCAGAGACGATGACAGGGAGATGCAAAGAAAGAATGATGACGGAAAGAATGAGATGGAAGCATCGCGGCCTGACAGAAGAGATCGCGATGAATCAAGGAATAATAGAAACAATAAGGACAGAGATCGAGACAGAGACAGACGGAGTCGCGATGATGAGTATAAACGCAGAGACCGAGACTGGCATGGCGACAGTAGTCCTGCGCAAAAAAAGGTCGAAAACGGAAAAGATAGATCTCCACACACTAGCAACAATCATTACAATGGAGACAGAAGCAGAGGCTGGGATCGTGATGATGATCGACAATCAAGTCCAGTCGCACGAATCTTGCGTCGTAGAATACCATCGTCAAGTCCATCTAGAAGAGAAAGAGAGAAGCATGGTAATGGCAATGAGTTGGCCGACGACACAGAAATGCAAAGCGAGAAGATGCAAGCAGATAATGCCTTTATCATCGAACATTCTGCTCCTTCTATACCACTTCGTGCTGGACCTGATGAAGTGTATGATCGGGTTGCGCAAGTTGGCGAGGGTACGTATGGGCAAGTGTTCAAAGCTAAATCAGACAAGACTGGCATCACTGTTGCACTTAAGAAGATTCGAATGGAGAGCGAAAGAGATGGATTTCCAATCACAGCTTTACGTGAGGTGAAACTTTTGCAAGGTTTGAAGCATGAGAACGTCGTCCGGTTGCATGAAATGATGCTCAGCAAACATTCGATCTATATGGTTTTCGAGTATTTACAGCATGATCTAAACGGTATCTTGGCACAACCTTCGATCACATTCTCGCCTGCTCATATCAAATCTCTTGCCGCGCAATTGTTGTCTGGATTGGCTTATTTGCACAAACATCGTATCTTGCATCGTGATTTGAAATGTTCAAATCTACTTCTCAACAACGAGGGCACGCTTAAATTGGCAGATTTCGGTTTGGCAAGAACGTACGTCAAACAGACTCGTCCTTCTGCACGAAACAAAACGTTGGATTATACCAATCGAGTGGTTACGTTGTGGTATCGTGCACCCGAACTGTTATTCGGTGAAACGAGCTATGATGATGCGATTGACGTTTGGGGCGCTGGGTGTATCTTTTTAGAGCTCTTTCTCAGAAAGCCAATCTTTCAAGGCATGGATGAGATTCATCAAGTTCAGTTGCTGTTTGAGATCTTGGGACCGGTATCCAAAGATGAATGGCCAGAGGCAGAGCGGCTGCCTTGGTTTGACTTGATCCGACCAGCAAGCAACGATGGGGATGGCACTCTTATCAAATCACATAAGGAGCATTTGCGGAATCTAGTTGGATCAGAAGAACAAGTCCCAGATGATGCACTTGAAGTCGCCTTGGCATTGCTCACCTATAATCCCCGAAAGCGTGTTTCAGCTGTTGAAGGTCTCGCATTGTCCTACTTTACCACCAATTCACCACCAGCCGAAAAGCCAGCAGCATTATTGCAAGCTGTTCAAGGTGAATGGCACGAGTTTGAAAGTAGAAAAGCAAGAAGAGATGCAGCCGCACAAGCATTACAAGATCATGTTCATCGTGAAAAAGAACAACAAAGGATAAGGAGTGAGATTGGACAACCGCAAATGTCTGATAAGGTCACAATAACGCCTTCTACGCAAGAACCCGTTCAAGATACCACGATGAGCTCTATCGCAACTCCAACAATGATCATCGATGAGGCATTGCAACGAAAAGAGGAAAGAGAGGCATCTGCATGAATTGAAACGGCAAAAAGCAATGATAAAATTGTAATACTACAACGGTAAATTTGTATTCTCCTTTTGTATTAAACGCATTTGAAGCGATTTTTTTGGGGGGTATCATGTTTAATTTAGGGTAGAACGTCCAGGACCAGGCGATAATTCTAACGCTTCGTCTTGGTCTGGATGATCGGTGTATTGAGCATTGCCTTTAAACGGTACTTCAGGTCTCGTTGCAAAGTCTGAATCATGTGTATCATCAGAATGTTCTTGACCACGTAATTGATTACGCTCCAGGTCCATCTCGTCTCCACTTCCGTCTAATCGAAGGCGGTGATGATGATGAATAGTATGGAACAAAGACGTTCTTGGCGTCCAAGGTTTATGACTTTGATAATGCCACAAGGGAGGATAATAGTTGTGATAAGCCGATAAAGCGATCACGAAACCGAGAATACCACCTGCGATAACGTCTGTGGCATGATGACGATAATCCATCGTTCTTGAAACGGCGATCAAAGTGGCTCCTAACATAGGAATGAACAAGATCCAAGAAGCGAAAGCGTTTCCTCTTCCACGTTGCCAGAGGTGGAATTTGCCTGCGAACCATAAAGTCAAAAAGGTCAAACCTGCAAATGCAGTACTGGAATGTCCTGAAGGGAAAGATCGGAAACCATCTTGGATTAAGTGGGAGGTGACGTCTGTCGTACAAACTGCTTGTGTTGCTAAGCCATAGGGAGATGCATTTACGCTTCCCGCTCTAGGTTGACAACGATCGATAAAGTCCGGTCTTGGTCTTCCGACGCATACTTTGATAATCGTGGTTGCAGTAAGTGTGAAAGCATGTGCAACAACCAGACCAAGAAAGCCAGCATGAAAATCCCAAACACTTCTACTGATGCCCAAAGAAACAACGGCCATGATCACAAGAGGGATAACGAAAGCCAAGACTGCCAAGAGTCCAACGCTGACCCGTTCATGAGTTGCATAGGTATGTTGAATACTTGTATCGGTCAAGGAGAATTCCCGTCTGAAACCATAAACGTTGTTTATGATCTGTAAGAGACCGGCAGTAAGAACGGTAAGTACCCAATCTGGCGCATAAGAAACGATTAATTCCCAACGTTTTGTTGCCGTTGTTTTATCATGATCTCTTGTTGTCCATCGCATTTCGTCATACCAATAAGAAGCCGGTGCAAAAATACGTGAAGTAAAAGAAGAATCAGAATTGGATCTTTGATGCTGTGAAGAAGGTCGTGGTTGATTGTTCGAACGCGGTTCTAATCGATTACGTGATGGTGGTTGTGAAGGCTGAGCTCCAACGCCGGCGGAATTTTGATCAGCGGCGTTCATTTTTGACATTTGAAAGCGGAGATGAAATCTTAATGCCTTTCGCGAAGATCTTTGAAAGATGGTGGTGATCAAGGATGATGTTTATATTTCTTCCCTATGCATACATCTGCCCACAATTTGTTGCTCTTTTTGTCATGTCACACAACACAGCATTCGAATTCCAAATATAAAATCACACCAAGAGCGAATAAGGCGTTTCGACTGTGGAGGCGATTCGACGCTAATGAGAAAAAGCATGCCAAGCGTTGAATCACACATACACACTACAACAATACAACTACATGCGGCATACATTCAGGGGTTCCCATCATAACCATCTTGCTTCCATCCTAAGAATACCGATTCGAAAGTTGCCGTTATTTATTATTCATAAGACCTTGATAGCGGCGCCGTTGACGAGATGATGATATTGATTTGTTCTTTATTTCCACGAGAACGCGATTGGGCCGCTGCGATACTTTGAAATGAAATTCAACAGAAATTGTCAGAAAAGGGGTCACAACGGATTCTAAAATTAATACGAATCCGTGCCCCGATTTACACAGACATAAAAGAGTGATCGACTTTTCATTTTATTCTCCATCTCCATACACTTTTTCATTATGGTACCCTTTACCCCAAAACTTTTCTTCGGTCTTTTGTTTGCCACGTTCTTTTTCACCCTAAAAGCGGCCACTTCCGATTCAGACTATGATGCCTGTCGCTTGCAAGCCACACAATTGTACGTCATCGGAGTCTCTAACGGTGATGAAGAAAGTGTCGATAAGGTATGTACACATGTTGCCGACACGATATCTCATAATCAATTCTCTTACACTCTAATCACCTTTTCATCAGATTCCTTTTGCGCCCAACGTTGTCAGATATGAGTAAGTGTATTTTGATTTGATATGACGCCCCTGAACTCGACTAACCCCAGACTTTCATTCTCAGAACGAATTATGGCATCCGTCGTTTAAGAGATTCAAATGCCGAAGAAGCTCGTTATAACACAATTTCCGGAGAACAACGTTACTTTATCAATGGCTTATACCCCGGCGCACCTGCCCCTACGTATGCTTTCTATGAAGGCGATCATGGCATCACTGATTCGAATTTTACCCTTCAAGGTAGAATACAAACAGGTCCTTCCTCTCAAAAACCACCAATCGAAATTGGAATTGATATCGGACCAGTTGCAGTTCGAACATTAATGAGTTTCAATTATACCCAAGACCCTTGCTTGATCAATCATGTTGAAATTTATGCTGAATTTGGTGATCATTTATAATTTTACTGTAGTATTATACATATGCTAATAGTATACATCGAATTCACCAACCATCCACACGTTCGACGGTGATCGTTGGTGCAGATCCTTGAAAGAGCATATCAATTATTCGTACTTTGATCGTTTGACCAAGTTCTGGTATACGATTTTTGGGCCAAAGACATTGAGCAAGAAGACCGCATTTGAGTAAATTAACAACTACTGCAGTTTCATTATTTGGTAAAAATCGAATATCACCAATCGTAATCATTGCTTCTTGTTCTTCATCAAAGATTGAACGAATAGTTTCATCTTCTAAATCTTCTTTTGCAATTGGTAAAGATGCGTATTGATCAAAAGGTTCAATTTCCTTTCGCTTTTCGGGCGTAAGACGTGCCAAGTAAGCTCTATGCACCTTCAAAGCTGTCCAAAAGATCTTTGACGATAATTGTAGGTTCTTTGCCCAGGCTTCTTTACGTGAAATTGATGGTATGCTGTTCCTTACTTCCTCATGTGAGAATGGAGATTGATCGCTCGCTTCATTCACCTTGAGTGATTTGATCTTATGGCGAATTTGCCAATGCATCATCATATCCGCATATCGTCTCAGAGGTGATGTCACTCTAACGTAAGCCGCATTGAGCAAGACGTCATTCTTGTTCTCTTCCCTTTCTGCTGCTTCCTTTGCTGTATTCGTCCTAATTCCGAGGGAGAAATGTTCAGCGGGCGTGGGAGAAAGCATGACGGATTTTTGTCGAAATTTATCTTGCAGTGCATCTTGTATCGAAATGAAACCATTTTCATCTTTTTGTGCTAAGAATTCCTTAGTTACTTCTGGGTCATCGAATGATAATTGACAGCGGTACAAAGTCGGTACGTCGTATTTCTCCATCCAATGTCCCGCCACTCGACAAGCTAAAATTGCAAATTCACCAATCATACCTTGCGAATTAAAGATTTGACTTGCAAGGTCAAGATCAACTTCGCTCGACGTCATAGTAGGGAAACCGGCGAACAGCTGACCCGAAAGGCTTTCGAAAGAAGATGATCTGATCGGAGAGACGGGTAGTGGCGATGAGGTTAAACGTAGATCTATACCTCTCCGTACTAATTTGACGAAATGTGCTCCAAGGACGTCAACTCTTCGCTTTTGCATCGAGCGAGAGAGATTAAAGAGGGTACGTAGATCGTCCCATTGTGCGTTTTCACCATGTGAAGAAGATTGGAGCACATCATTTGCTTCATCATACGACATTACTCGAACTTCACGGAGTTTAGATAATCCAATATCACATTCCAGTGCCGCGCCAGTGGAATGATCAACCTTTACACTGAATGTCATCGCTCTTCGACTTGTATCCGCATCATCTTTGTCGGCCAATAAACCCAATCTTTGCACGTACTCCTTTGGCAGCATCGGCCATGTAGTTTCGTTCATATAGTATGTGAGCCCTCTTTTTGCTGCAAACTTTGCAATTTCGTCTTCAGGCTGAATGACGGATGTAGGATCGGCGATATGAACATGAATCCAAGATTGATTTGGATCTTCCGTTCTCTCAAGCGAGATTCCATCGTCCAATTCCTGCGCATTTGCATCATCAATAACATAAACAGTTGAATGAAAGTCCCTTCTGATCCCTGCGTCAGCATCAGTCCAATCTTGTGTTGCAATTTGCTCTGTTGGAGGTTCGGCTGATGTTAGCTGTTGAAATTCGTTCTCTAAATTACTCAAATTATCCCAAGGTGTCAAGAGGCCGACATCATGTAATAGCTTCGCGATTTGCATTTTTGTCATTGCAATAGTTTGTACGTAAGGCCCTCCCATAGTGTCTATCTGATCGGGTTTCATATGCATCTCGTATCCGCATTTTTTCAAGATATGGAACACCATCCCGCTGCTTGATTCAGTGATAAACTCTCTTCGGATACCCAAGGCAGAGCGTAAGAAGAGCAGGATATCCTTGTCACCTTGGCTCCATTCGATTTGTTTAAACAATTCATCGTTTAAGACACGAGGCTCTCCGCCTAAATCCAGACTTTGTTGTGACTGATTTCGAAGTTGACGAACTTCCTTGACTTTCGCAATAAAGTCTTCCACTTGATTATCCTTTGCGAACGTGCCTTTGCCCTTTGCGACCAAAGACGATTCAATTTGATGTTGCACTTCATTTTGAGCAATCCGGTCAGTATGTGGTACAATGGTGAACGTGTTTGTGAAACGATGTGAAGTAGGATCTAAGCGAAATACTTCAGGTGCAGAAAGCATTAGCTGATGAACCGCATATACCTTTTCAGGTGCATTCGATTCGATGTCTATATCTGCTTCGCCTTCATTTAGCCCTGAATCAAGAAGTAATCGCTTGCATACATCCAATACAGTAACTTGAGTGAATTGCATATTCTGCTGCATTTTTTCGGAAAGGTAGCGTCTTTCGAAAAATGGCAGAAATCTTGATCTTTGCAGCTCAGACTGATGCAATAACGTTCTCATTCTGTTGCAAACGTCACTCCTTGCCTTTAACGAGACGATATCGATCTCCCTGGGACCTTTCTCCTCTTCCGTTATACCTCCCGTCTCAAAAACATGTCCTTCTTCTCTCTTGATTATGGCACGCTGTGCTAGATTGTCGTCAATAAAAGCTGGAAACGTGATGACAACGTCCACCAAGCTGAGCCTTTTGATATCTCCACCGACTGACAAGATGGCCAATTGACGATTACTAAGCCCTAGAGAAACATTGTCCTCTGTGGGTAGGATTACTCCAGCCAGTCCTACCCCAGCTTGCACTTCTACAAAATCTCCGGGTTTCATTTCGCCCAATGTTCGAGGTGGTTTGCCTGTCGATGCATGATAAAGAGACGATTCATGGAATAAAGCTCCTCCTGTACGATTTTTCAGCGAATCGAGAAATTCCCTCGAAGAGAACCGCGCATGATTTCTATTTTCATTTTGATAACTTTTGGTAGATGGGTCGAAAGCTTTTCGTCTTTTGTGATTGCGGACACCTGGCACGAAAGGTATTCTGTCATTTATACTTTGTGAAGTAGATGCATGATCTTGTGCGAATCTGTTTGATGACGTGCTAAAGTATGCATGTGAATGAGTATATTGATTTAAGCTTGATCGCAGTAACCTGCTTGCTCCGTTGCTTGTGAGGGGCGATAGTATCCTCATTTGGGATAGGGATGTCGTCAAGCAGGATGAAGAAGTGAGCAAGCAAGTTCCATTCCTCATATTCTTATTACATACACAACTTTTTTTTATTCCTCTCTTGTAAGCCGAATTCCGAATAAAGCGAAGATCTTCGATTGGCTCGATCTTGCACTACAGCGTAAATGTTCACACGCTTTTTACTCCTGCTAATGCCCACCACCCACTAGTTAAAGCTTGTTAAACTATAATTGGGGTAACAAAAAGCCACGTTTAAAGCTAACTTGCATGCTGGGGTATTTTACCTTGGCTTCATCTTACCACCATCAACACTACTGCATAGATATGCTTTGATGTCATTCATTCAAACCTTCCCATCAATATGACCGCATCTGCAATGTCTGATCGATTTAGGAGAGCAATACAAAGTGATGATCTCACTACAGCAAAACGGATATTCGATCGAATGACAACACAATCCGAAGTGGCAAGTGGTAGCAGTAGTCATGGCAACAACATCAAATTTGATATCAGAAATCAAGCAAGTCAACCTAACAGCATTCATGATCTTTCATCATCCCATTCATTTGGCCACACATATGGTCAGAACCATCATTATCATCAGGGAAACGATGCTAATTCAATGCATTCAACCGAGGCATTGGGTAATTGTCTCGCTCTTTCTGCTGCTCAATTTAACACAGCAAAACAAAGTAGAGTCAGAGAACGCAATCGAGAATCAGTTCGAATCAAATCAAGCTTAGCAATAGCAGTAGAGAATGGTGCAAGTATCGAGTTGATTCAATGGCTCTTGGAAATGGGTCATGAAAGAGGAGATTTCTCGCGTGATATTCGTGGTTGCACTGCTGTCTCTTTAGCAGCTCAAAATAATCGTACAGATGTGATTGAAGCATGTTGTATCGATGCAGTCGCTCATGCTGCCACTCTACATCATCAACGTTCATTGATGTATTATGGATTCCGAAACAACATGAACGCATACTACGAAGATGGAGACGACGAGCTAGAAGGTGATGATCGTAATTCGAATGCAAGCGCAGAAGGTGATCGATCAGAAGGGGATCTGAGCCCTGCTCTAACTCTAGTAACAGCAGCCGCTTCAACACCTTCTCGTAGACCTAGTCCAAGTCCTCTCTATCTCGCTCGTACAGATCGGATTATGGACGGAAAAGAAATGAAAGAAGAAACACTCAAAGCAGATCATGAAGGTGACGATGCAAAGTCTTCCGCAGGAGGGTCAAGTGAAATGGATGACATTGTAGGAGTTACAATCACACGATTGCTCGATTGTCCTGATGAGCTTGGCAGGACGGCATTATCACTAGCAAGCATGAAAGGTCATGAAGACGTAGTTCGACTTTTGCTCGAACTAGGCGCCACACTTGATTTGGGAGACTTTGAAGGCAATCGACCTTTACATTATGCATCAGCTTACAATCAACTAATCGTCGTACAATTGCTCATCGAGCGTGGCTGTACATTCGCAGCAAAGAACGTCCTCGGATTCACTGCAGCCGATTACGCATGGAATGCTTCCCTCAAAAGTGCTTTGGAAGCATTTGCAAGAGCTCAATTTGACGTTCAACGAGTTCGTATTCGTCGAAAGGGTGGCGGGCGTAACGAAGATTCGCCACCATATCTACGTCAACAAACACAACAATCTAATGGCAAAGCGGGCAATGCGCCTTCGCAACACGATCATACCCATAGCGAGAAAGCTAAAGCTGCTCAATCTCCTTCAATCTCAAAGAGCTTAGGCCTTTTCCCTGCCCAATTGCCTCATTCTTCACCCGACACATCCCTGCCATCATCTCCGCAACCGCCAAGTCAACCTAAATTAACAACCCATTTACGAGAATTGTTCTAAGCAGCTGTTAAAGCATCATCATCATCATCATTTCAATTGTATCATATACATTCATGAACGATAAAAGCAATGTACATCTCTCTTGTGCATGATTGCAAAAGGAACGTTTTGATTTGTGTTGCAGTTCTCACAACTTCTGCTTGGCGCTTTCTTCGACGCCGCTCATGTCGCTATCACTCTCATCGCCTTCGTCATCTGAGTCACTACCGCTACTTTCCTCATCGTCTTCGTCAGCATAATTGAGCTCCCTTTTCTCCATTTCATATCCAATCTTTTGAAGTGCTTCTTGCATTTCATCAATGTTGGAGGGCGAACAAGCGATCGCACAGATAGATCGTTTAGGATCAAAGATCGGTTGAATATACTTTGCCAAACAAGCTCGAACTTGTTCTTGAGTAACCTTTTTCGCTTCTGCCAATAACCATCTTCCTCTTCCTTTTGGTAATCCACGTAAGACTGTATCGGAGAACGCTTCACTTGCAGCTTGTCCAACGGTTCCTTCACTATCAGCAACGCTGAAGCACAAACTACTTTTTGCGCTATCCAAAACTGTATCGTCCATCTCAATCTCTCCTTTCACCAATTTACCAATCACATCAGCAGCTGCAGTAAATGCTTTTGCCGAATCGGGTGATCGATATAAGGTGAAATGGATCAGTTGTGCTTCAATATCTGATCGAATCGAAGCTCCATATGCCAATCCCGCACCGCGAATGTAACGCCAGAGATAGGACTCCAAAGCATTCAATACGCTAATGGTGACCGCCAATGCAGCTGAATCAGGTTCATTCCAACCAGCAATACCCTTTGCTGAAAATACGGCGAAAGAACTCTCGATAGTGGATAAAGGAGTGATTACACCTTTCGATGATGGTGATTGACCCAATGGAGTCAAAACATCTCGAGAGAATGGAATTTGCACCTCTCCTGTATCTGTAGCGCTTGCGTTCCATCCCAAAGTCTTGGCAAGGGAGACAAGTGGTGCGTGTGGCGAAGGCAAGCTGACGATATCACCTGCAACAGCCACAATCATGTTCTTGGGTTGGAATAGGATATCTCTCAATTCTTGTAATTCGTTGATCACTTGCCGTGCTTCTTTGTCAGATGAAAGCCGGCTAACCACATCAGGAATAACCTCACTCTGCTTGAGAATCGAGTTGTTGATATTGGTAGATAATTCTCCCGAGTGGGTCAAAGATCGTGCTAAAGCCCATGACATCATTCTACCATCACGTCTTTGCTCAGGTAATGATTGAGAAACCTTGGAACCGTTGACACGAATTCGATCTAAAGAGAGCTCAGAGAACCAAATAATGTCTCTTAGCCAGTTGAAACCTTGCTCGTACTTGCTGCGTTCGACTTTGATCTCCATACTTGCCATCTCAGCAAATCCAGATCCATAGCCCAAGTTTGCATCATACTCGAGCGTATCCTCATCCAAACCTTTAACAACTTCTTCGTACGTCAACTGAGTACCGTCAGGCTTTTTGATAGGCAAAGACCAGATTGAGCTCATAAATAAGCTCATCAAAGGACGCAATTTTGCAGGCAAAGAAGCAGTATTGAAGAGCATCGTCAAAGTGACAAAGTTAGACCTAACGTCTCCCCAATGCACTGCAAAGGGCAATGAAGCGTGCTCGCTCTGCTTCAGATGCTCCCTTAATTTCTTATCAGATGGCTCGTTTGATTCTCGATAGCCAGACTTCTTCGGACCATTCTCTGTAGCAATACCAACGCCAATCCAGTTGATTGAGTCCACATTTGGAATCTTGAATTGGGTCAAGACATCATTCGGGATAGGGACATCATTTGCCTTTTGTGCTTCTTTGACAGTCTCAGCAAGCTTTTCGAGACCTTTTTCGCCCAAATCTTCTTTGCGCTTTTCGATAAGTGCTTTTGTCTCGCTTTTTAGATTGTCTGACAATTTTGAGGAAGGCTTACCGCTGATCACCACTCTTTGATTTGCGATCAAATACTGTTTCAATAGATTGATCCATTGATCTGAGCTCCAAGAATCAAGGATATCAAATCGTTTCATCTCGTCCATCGATTTCTGTAAGTCTTGTCCGTCTTGACTTCCATACAGGAAATCATTGATGATGACATCACTGAATGCATCTGCTGGTTTCGTCTCTAGCATGTTAAGAAGTTTGACACGTTCTCTCTTGATCAACATTTTAATACGCTCCATATCGATTCCTTTCTCTGCGACCTTTGTAAGTACTTCATCGACCAATTTCTTGTCCAAAGCTTCCAAATGTTCTGTAGGAACACTAGACATGTACATCTCAATCGTTGATGCGCCTGCTTTGTCTGTAGTGGAGTAGTATACGTCTGTGCATAGAGGATCTTCCCTTTCGACGAAAGCTTGTTGGATCGGGCTTACAGCTGAATCGGTCAAGTATGTACCTAAAAGACTAATAGCCTCTGCAGTGACCCAGTCATCCACCCGTGGACCGTTCCAAGAGATCATCACTTCACCCATGCTTTCATCACGTTCGGGAAAGTCGACTACAATAGCTGTACGATGCTCTTTCATTTGTGGTACTTTTGCTGATGGAGTGTCCATGAACGGTCTCTTCCATCCTTGCGGTGCTCCATTGATGCCATGTTGTACTAGTCTCTCTTCTGTAGGCTGAATGCTGTCGAATAACACCTTACGATCCAGCGGTCCACATACGACCAATGCTGTATTGTAGGGTTCGTAGTATTTGTGATGATATTTTCTAATCTCGTCAATAGTCAACACACGCAAAGCTGACATTAGACCTCCAGTTTCACTTCTGTATGCGGACGAATTTGGATATACTTTTCTCTGATAAGCCAATTGCATCAAACTGCTCGAAACATTTTCGCAACCTTGCATCTCGGAGAACACAACACCAGCATCTTCACCTTTTCCGTTGACGTGATATACTTCAGTCACGAAACCTTCTTTTGTAAGAGTTGGATGGAAGACGTGATCGAGATAAATTGGTAGCATACGTAAAAAGCCGTCTGAACCTGCGGTTGTGAGTGTATATGCTGTATGGTCTTGAGCTGTCCATGCGTTTGTGCCTTGTGCGAATGCTCGATTGGCAAGAGTGTCTAGCATTCCTTTGTATGGGTATTGCTCTGATCCCAAGAAGATTAGATGTTCTAGTGTGTGCGGAACACCACTGTCATTAAAGATCTCACTGGCAATTGTGCAGTAACAATTCAAAAGTGGACTTTCAAAATTTGCCCAGTAAACAGTCATTCCTGTCACCCTACTCTTCCACTTCTCTACCGACATGCCCGGAGCATAGTCTAAATTGACAGTTTTGATAAGGTCAAAATTACCTTGAGTCTGAGTTTGAGCCATTGTTGCGAATCTTCTTAAAGGTGGTAGTGTCGACTTGATTTTTATGCTTGATGAAGGCGTATAATTTCTATACAATGAACGATTGTAGCAGCGAAGACTGATGAGAGGTTTTGTACGTAAGAATCCAGAACCAAGAGAGCGTAAAGGAGTGATTAGCATGAGCCAGTCTATCGGAATACGGTTGCAGCAGCTTCTTTTTCACCGCCACCACTTGCTGCTATTGGTTGTTTGTGATGGAGATCTTTGAGAGCAAAACCGGTAAGGTATGAGCGTGCGCCTTAAACTCGGTTAGCGCCTTTGTGAGCGGCGTATTCTTCTTAATATCCGATATTGAATTATATAATCAATTATCATTCAAATACTCACGCGTAAATACATTAGTATGACTTCTTTCTTGAATACAATCACCTGCTATCACCTACTATTCTACATCGTACTCCTAGGGAGAAGGGCATCCCGACAAGCTCATACGCCATCATGGCTCCTTCTGCACCACAGACGCCTAATTCGCCCTTTCCTTCACCTAATACAGTCCAACCATCTTCACTTTCACGTCTAACGCTATCCGATAAACTTCTTTTATCACAAGCAGTACATCATATTGGCACTTCACCGCCTGATTGGGGAAGAGTTTCATCAATCTTACTACCACATCCACTGATCAAAACAAAGTCAAGACTTGAACAAGCAGCAAAAGCAGGTATTACACTTGGACGTGTTTTTGGAAGTAGAGAATGTGAACGAGCATGGGTTGCTTTGATGAGACAGTATAATCTTGTTCTACAACCGGGTGAAAGAGATCCTGCTTTGGAAAATGAAGGAGAATCAGGATCACCGGCAGTAGGCAATCGAGCAAAAGAAGCCAGAGGTCTACCACCCAAGACCGATAGAGGAAGTCAATTGGCTTTGGCACAATTCTTGTATGCTGAAAGAGTACGTGAACTGCAAGACCAAATAAGAGCGAAAGAGAAAGCTTTTAAAACACTAGCAGGAGAGATCGAAGCGCTGAACTCGGGTACACTTGACGATAAGCTGCTGCTCGAATTGGAAAAGAGTGGAATGCTACGGGAAGAATCCGAGAAGGAAAAAGAAGAGAAAGAGATTGCTGCACTACGAAGAGACGATGATACTGAGGATCTTACGCCATCAGCTTCGCAAAGCTCTGCGGGCCGTGCTGAACAGTCGACACCGAAGAAAGCAAGCAGCACAAAAACATCGCCAAAAGTATCTCGAGAACAGAAATCCAATTCTACCGCATCATCTGCTAATAGAAGTCCATTGGCAGAAAAAGATAAGGTAGAAAAGGCGAAAGGCACGAGTCCAGCTAAGCAGAGTACAGAAACCAAGACGTCATCTATCTCTCCAAAAGCTGCTCTGAAGGAGAAGAAGGATGAAAACAAGGCAGCAACTACACCTGCTGCTGTAGCCAACAAACAAAGTGAAGCAGCCGGGACTAAGAGCGATGCGGCAGCAAGCTCGATTGAGGGAGAGGGAGAAAAGAAGACAGACGCGGCGCCAGACCCATCACAGCAGAAGATTGACAGCATTCCGGCTATTGATGTTACAGAATCGTCGCAAGAAGATGCAAGCAAGACTGCTTCTGTGTCATTATCGGAAGCTGTAGAAACCAATGCAAAACGCAAACGTGATCAGACATCTCCAGAAAAAGAGGCGGATAAGTCTGATTCTACACAAAAGAAAGCAAAAGTGTCATCCGGCGCTTCCGATGCCATGGCAAACGCAGAAAAGTCTGCAGCAAATACTCCGAATGTGGCGTTGTCTGATCCGCAAACATTGCTCGCATCAAAAGATAAGGAGAGCAAAACATCCAAGCCTCCAGCAACGGAAAGTAACGACGCTCCCGGTAAGGTTACAGAAGTCTCAGCTGCGGAGAAGGAAGAAGAATTGGAGAAACCGCCAGTAGAGGCTGAGAAAAGCGCAAAGGCACCCTTGGACACCAGAAAGACAGCTTCTGCGGACGCAAGTACAGATGCTATGGAGGGTATTGAGGAGGACGAAGAAAGAGAAGAGGAAGATGATGACGAACAAGAAGCAGAGAAGCGTCCTGAGCCAAGGAGAAGTAGAAGGAGTGGGCGAAATGTTTCGGTGGCCACAGATGAAGTTCCCACACCACCTCCCTCTGCACATGCAACAACGAGTAGTACAGCTAAGAATAATCGAATTGAAGCATTACGTTCACGCGAAGCATCTGGTGCATCTCCTGACACCGACGATGAACGAATGGAAGAGGATACAGTGGATGGAGATGCTTCACGTTCAACGATCGATCGTAGTCGAACCAGTGTTTCACCGGCTGCCGTTCGACGTGGTCGTGGTACAAGCAGACAATCACGCAGAAGTGGCGGAAGAGCACCTAGCACGGGCACAGCAGGTGTTGGAGAAGAAGCAGGCAGTGATGTAGAACGAGAAAAAGCCGCTCAAGTGATTGAAAAGAGAAGGATGGAAAAAGTATTGATGATGCTACTCAATGAGGTTAGCAATCATACCCATGGAAACCTATTCCATGCTCCTATCAAAGAGTCCGATGCGCCTGATTACTACACATTGATTAGACATCCTCTCGATTTGAAGACGATCAAAGCACGTATCAAGGAAGGAAGGATCACTTCTGCTACTCAACTTCGAAGGGCATTGATGCAAATGTTTGCCAATTCACTCATTTACAATCGTCCAGGTTCGGAAATTCACAGAATGGCTTTGGAAATGCGAGATGCTGCTGAAGATATGTTGGACCGATTTGAACAAACTCAAATGTCAGCAAAAGCTTCACGCCGTTAAACATGTACTATTACGCACAAAATCAGTAGAGACCATGTATTTTTCATCAAAAGGGAACAATAAAGATATCATTAAAAATGCATTAAAAATAATTTATTTCATAAAGTGAGTAGGGGGTATATTTATCATTCTCGAATGGATCCCATGCGATTAAATGTGTCGTTATGAGTTTGTATTTCGTTGGCAAGACCGCTGTGATTGCCAAATCGTTTCCTTCTTGGTTGATCATTGTTGAAAGATGCTCCTCTCCTGACAGGAGCAGGTGCCCTTCTCACCGGAACATTTCCATTGTAAGACAAGCTTCTGGGATTGTGTGGCATGCCTGCTCGTGATGATTGACGATCAAGTCCATCATACATACTTCCCGATTCTTGTTCTGTAGATGCGATTGATGGACTTGATCGATTTCCTATACGTTGAGAAGGACTATTGGAGAATCCATCTTCGCTTGCAGGAATCGTTGGTGTTCGTGTTGGGGTATTGTCTGTACTTTTGTTGGATCCTGCTAATTTGAATGTTCTCCTTCGTCCGGCTACAGGTGCACTTCCAGCAATCGAAGGTGAACTTGTTCCGCTCACACTCCTTCCTCCGCCACTGCGACCATCCAAAGAACGTGTATCAAATGATTGTGTTCTCATTGATGCGTTCAAACGACCTTGCGGTTGCGAAATTGCAGTATTGCCACGTACCATTCCAGGTCGTACATTGCCACTTCCAGTTGTCGAACCACTTACAACACTCGGACTCGTAGGTGTCACAGGATGACTACGAACGGCAAATCCTTTTGTATCCAATGTACGCGTGAATGGACTCAAAGTGTGATTGGAATTGACAAGATCCATGAAATGATGTGAAGCATCCATCGTCATCGCATTACTTGAGTTAGATGCAGATAATGAAGGATTTCGATGGGAAGGAGCTTGACCAGGCTTCGAAGGGCCATCACCTGATGAGACTGCAAGGGAAGTAGATGACGGCCTGGTAGAATGAGTAGATGGATGAGATGAAGTTGGTGCTGTAGAAGCGCGAGAGGCTGGTGTCCATGCACGCTGTCTTGCAGTCATGTCCTCGTCGGGAGAGTAGGAAGGATGTCGACTAGAAGCACCACTACTGCTGAATTCGTTCGAGCTAATCGATAATTGTCTACCATAACCAGGTCTATACATTCTACCATATTGTTGACGGTAAAGTTGCGTTCTATAAGCAATTGAGGAAGGATCCATTTCATCCGGATCAAGTGTCACGAGCGATTCATGACCAGCTGCAGACGGAGATTCATCTGTGTAGTCATCACTCTCTTGCATAAATTGCGGAACTTCATCTCTATCATCCACTTCCTCACCATCAGGACGAATTGTGTATGTATGGCTGCTGGCAGGTCCCCTTGCTGTCGAACTAGCGGCCGTGCTACCTACCATCCGCGAGCTTGCCAAGTCGTCCTCTTCTTCAACGTCAGGTGCTTGTAAGCGACTGGCATTGTGGTAAATTCGTGGACGTACAAACGTACCTCCTCCAACAGCTGGAATGGTTTCGTATTCCACAAGAGGTGGCCTTGAAGTCTTTCCCGCTCCAGATGTTGAAGAGCGTGATCTAGAGCCGCTGGCTGACATTCTTGAGGAAGAAGGCTTACGCGGAGAAACCGATAAGTTGGATGACGGAGTGAACAATGAAGAAGATTGACGAGCACTTTCTTCTACAGCAGAATTGGAAAAGTCTGCGCTTGCTGGCGGATATCCGAATCGAGAAAAGTTACCAACTTCGTCCTCTGATTCTTGTGTCAGATCTTCAACGTCATCATCGCTTTCACTGTCTTGATCAGCATCTGAGCTTTCTAGTATAGCAGAGTCTTGATGATTGTCGGGATAGTCAGGAACATCATCAAACTCATTCCATTCGTGATCAGGATATCCGCGGACTTCGTCAATATCTTCTTCTTCTTCGTCTGTCTGTTGCACAGCTTCATCATCACTGGATTGCTCGAAATCGGGCCTATGTGTTGGCGAGCGAATCGGCGGTGGCGATGTAGGCTTACTGACTTTATCTTTCCCTTTGTCTCCCGATAGAGACAACGAAGCAAAGTCACCTAACCCTCGTGTCTCTTGTCTTGCCAGTTGTGCTAGACCACTGAAATTGCTTCTATTTGCAGAAATACGAATCTCGTCCGGTCGAAGGCCATACGTTGGATCGTAATTCTCGACGTCATGTGCATATCCGGAGTGAAAACCACTTAGAGAACCAATAGAGGTGGATTGAGATAAATCGGCATAGCTCTGTCCACGACCCTTTCTACCTGTGGGCGAGGTGCTGAATCGGTCTACGGGTGATATTGATGGGCTAGTCGCTTTCGTCGATTGTGCTTTACCAGCTGCTGAAGAGCTGAATGATCGCGATGGTGCTCTAGGTGTGTTGAATGTCGAATTTCGCAAAGGAGGAGAGGAAGGAGGTGTTGCAGTTGCGGTGGTTGCTGCTTTTTCTGTTTTCCGCTTTCTTGCTGGAGATTTTGCCTGTTTCGACCTCGGTGCAGATGCTGTTGAGCGTGCTTTCCTCGATGGAATGGATATACTTTGGCTCTCAGCATTATCGGTCGGGAGTGTATCTCTAGGTTGCTGGAAGGTGTCTGATTCCACCGGTCTCATCGGGGCAGTTGTAGCAGTATTGCTCGATTTGCGCTTACGACCTGACAGCCATGTCTGACTGAGTCTGTGTATAATGCCAGGCAAATCTTCGCGAAACATTTCTCTCAGTTGACCTTCAATTTCCTGTTGTAGGTACTTTTGAATTACAGCAACACTGTCGAACGTACTGCTAACCTCTACACTTTCCAAAGGATCATTTTTGAATACAAGTGTAATTCCTTTCTGTTTGGACACTACCAAAACGATGATCGCCTTGAGTCTCATTGAAGAAAGTCGAAGTTGCATCGGAACAACCAGTGGCCGAGCAGCAAACAGAATCCCACGAGAGGTCGTCGAAGAAGGAAACGCCGATGAAACATCTTCAAAGGGAGATGCAGAACCGCTAGGATTAGGACGAGTGAGAGGATTTGCTTGAACTTTTGTCGAAAGCAAAAGGTGTGCATCTCCTGTATACGTTAAACGAAAGATTCCTCTTAACCTTTCTGAACTTAATTCACCGATTTCCAAAATTTCAAGTTCGGGCGGAATTGTTCCCATATTTATATCTTCCACTTTTATATCATCTGCAATCACTTTTGGCTTTGGACCTCTATTTAATGCGCCATCGAGCATTTTTGCCGCATCGGCATGAAATTGTCGTGAGAATTTCGGCCAAGAGAAATTGAACGACATGCTGGGCGAAGGGTTGTGAGGGGCTGTCGGGTGTTGTTGTGTATATTGCGATCAATGATGTTTGTCCATCTTTTGAGGTGTCATCGGAACAAGAATTGTCAATAAGAGTTCACGACTTGAAGTAGGTGGTGATTCGTTTAGATGAAGGTGTCAAAAAAGGGGTGAAACGTAATACGAGTTTGTAATAATGAACCAACATCATCATGGGCTTACACTTTTATTGTTAACGCGCCCCTCCGCGTTTTAAAGTTCCGGAAGAGAAAAAAAAAGGTAGCCAGGCTGCTTAATAAGCACAAAGATGTTCCAAGAAGAATCGTTAAGCATTTACACTTCTCTAACCCACTCTCCATCATGATCGAAAGAATGTCGTGTAATCTCAATCATGTCGTAGGCACATTTACAAGAAATACAGCCGGAATTCAAAGGTTAGGTTCTAGTTCATCCTCGGTTCACTCGATCAGAAACATTCACTTAACTCCGCTGGTCAAACAACAACAAACAAGTCAAAAACCTGAATCTTCAAGAGTGTTACGTGATGAAAACATCAAAGCACGAAGGGTAAGATTGGTAGACCCACAGACAAACGAATTGATGCCTGGTCCATTCAATACAGCAGAACTATTGAGATCGATTGATAGGACACGCTATACACTTCAACAAGTAGCACCAGGTAAATCTGTTAATTCTACACAAAAGCCACCGATTGCAAAGAAGGAAGAAGAGCCTTCCACCCGTTCCACACGAGACTGGAGAAGCCGTGGAAAGCCTTCGATCTCACAAGAAGATGATGCATCGTTCACAGAACCAGAGCCGGTCAAAGAGGAGCAAAGTCCTATAACGACATTAGATGATTTACCGATCGTAAAATTGGTTGATAAAAAAGCAGAATATGACAAAAAACGTTTAGCAAAAAAGCAAAAGCAGGGAAGTGATGTCGGAGAAGAATCTACTTCAGGAGGCACAGCGGTAAAATCTGCAACTACACTGCACAAAAATATCGTTCTTTCTTGGCAATCGACAACACATGATATTCAACATAAATTACTACCGATCAGAGCAAATATGATCAAACGTGGCACGGGAGCTTCATGTACGATCACAATCGCTTCCAAAAAAGGAAAGGGTTCAGCGGTAGATGAAGAGGGCAAATTGGCATTCTTGAATAATCTGGAAACATTTCTTTCTGATTGGTCAAATGCAGCAAGTATCTTGGAAGAAGATGGTACACAACCATCCGAAGCAAAGAAACTACAGTATTTCCCACGAAGGAGAGGGGAAGTTCAATGGCAAAAGAACAATAAGACTGCTATTTTGATCATGGAAGTGGCGCGAAGATGATGTACTTTTTAAAAATAATGAAATGACCAAACAACATAACACCTGCATTCGATTTTGGGAAGCTGATAAGATATCATTAATATTTAATTCATCGAAAAAGACGATATAAAAAGTGCACAATACAACAATTTTCTATCCTTCTATCTACATTTTTCCTGCCACTTTGGCAACGTTTGTCTTTGGCCAATCGTATCCGTCATCGGCACGTTTGAATCCATACTTTTCGATAAATGCATCTAAACCGGAAGGTCCCCGGCTACCATACTCATAAGATTCAGGCTTGAGTTTTCCTTCATCGATAGCATGCAAGATTGGTGTGAAAATCTTCCAGCTGACGTCCAATTCGTCATCACGAACAAAGTTACTGTGATCACCATTGAGTGCGTCCAAAATCAATGCTTCGTATGCTTCGGGTAATCTGAAATCGCTGAATCGGTCTTTGTATGTCAAATCCAAATCGGTAGGTATTGTTCCCATTTGCAATCCGGGAACCTTTGTACAGATCTTCTCATAAATCGCTTCTTGTGGTTGAACACGCCAGACCAATTCGTTTCTCTGTGCATTTTCAAAAAGCTTGTTCTTCTCATCCTTGAACTGAACACGGATCTCCACCTTTCCCTCGTTCAATGCCTTACCGGCTTTCATGATGAATGGAACTCCTTCCCAACGTTTGTTGTTTACCCACAATGTCAAAGCGGCAAAAGTGGGGCAATTACTGTCCTTTGGAACGGTGTCGTCATCCTTGTAGCCTGGCTTGCCCTTTGCGGCTGTATATTGACCCAAGAGTACGTCAGCGTCTTTGATTGGAGGAACGCTCTTCAACACTTCCACCTTGGCATCACGAATGTGTTCTGCAGAGAATGATTTTGGCTTCTCCATGGCAACCAATGACAAAACTTGAGACAAGTGATTTTGTTGAATATCACGGACGATTCCGAATTCGTCAAAGTATCCACCCCGTCCTTCGGTACCGAAAGGCTCTTTGAATGTGATTTGAACGTTGCTGACCAAATCCTTGTTGAGTACAGCATCGATGATAGGGTTTGCAAAGCGGGTCACCAACAAGTTCTTCACCATCTCTTTTCCTAGATAATGATCGATTCTGAATGTTTCTTCTTCCTTCCACAATTCCTTCAATTTACCCATCATCTCTCTCGAACTTTCCAAATCTTTTCCGAATGGTTTTTCGATAATGATACGGTTGTGACCGTTCTTTGAATAACAGTTCTTCTTCAAACCCTCTGCAACGACGGTGAAGACGTTTGGAGGCAAAGCCATGTAGAACAAACGACTTGCGCCGTTCTCGAATTTGGACTCACGCTCTTCCATATCTTTGTTCAATTGTTGGAAAGCTTCATCTTTGTCATATGCACCGGCTGTGTAAGTGCAAATGTTCAAGAAGTCCCCCTTCTTCTTTTTGTCTTCGTCTGAATCTACACCTTTTAGGAATTCGCCAATCTTTCCGTGGAAGGTGTCTTTGTCCATCTTTGTTCGGGCATATCCAATGATTGCTAGTGCCTTTGGCAGCAAGTTCAATCTGTAGAGGTTGAATAAGGCAGGATATGTCTGATAAGATTGGAGGTGATGGAAAAATGGTGAGTACGGGATTGCGATATGAACTGAGCGAGAATGCATTCAAACTTACCTTTTTCTTTGCCAAATCACCGGAAGCACCAAGGACTGCAGATTCGGGCGAGTACAATGTTAGTAAGAATAAAAACTTTGGAGCGCCGTTAAGGTGTACGTACCGACAATGATTGTCTCCTTATCGAAAGAAGGTTGTCCGCTCATTTTCGAATGTTTTGTTTGACTGGAGAGAGGAAAGGATTGTTGGATGTGAGCAGTTGTGTATGTGTATTGTGGAGAGAAGGATGTTCACCCTGTGGAGTTGATGAATGCGTTAAAGGCCAACCAACTCAGGGTTAGGACATGCAAAAAGTATACTTACAATTCTCAGTAATACCTTTGATTGATACGAATTTCGAGCGAATGCAATGTCACAATGGATGAACGATGGTGGTGGATAGGATATGTCTAATGCTTTCCTTACCTTTGAATACATACGTACCTAATCTTTTGTATGAGAAGTTGGTTATCCGTGCGTGTTTTAATAATAATTGTTTTTAGGCACTTTATCGCCCGTGTCTTTCTTCCCAGCAGCAGGAAGTTTTGCCTTTTATCGTGGGCCGCGCACGCAATGAAATGCACTCCCCATTGCGTTGGGGCTGGAAATCTTAAGTTCAAACAACAGTCATACGGAAAACAGCAACCGCTAATCTAACGCGTGCACATTATTCATAGGTGGAGGAAAAGTTCGGATTTTAGACCTGATTTGTAAAACACGATTATATCAGCAGCAGCACCTATTCATACTTCCATTCTCGACCTGGGTTGAGGGCCGAGCGTGCGTGTACATTAAGGGGTTGGTTGTTCCTATGTTTGGATGCCGAACTGTCAAATGAGGGTCTCGGGTTCGAATAAAGTGAAGCCGCCGCCCTTTACCCATAAATAGAACAACGGAGAGCCGCTTTCTTTTCATTGCAATGAAAATAGATGTACATCTGCTGATGAATTACTGTCCCGCCGCTGCATGATTGCTGCCTTTTTACGACGTTTGACGGCATAATCTATAAATTAAGACATGTTTCTAGAAACACTGATAATCATGCAAGCACCGCATTCTCCTTTGCATCACGCAAAACAAGGGGAAAAGATGAAAGTATAAAGACAAACAGATTACACATCTCATCGTATCTTGTCTTTCTCCATCTTGAACCTCCATAACAAGATGATACCAAGAATGAATGCGCGACAATTGGCCACAATGGGTCAGATACGATCAGTTCAAACTCAGTCTAGACGATCGGGTCGCCTTTATGCAGCCACAAGTCATCAAGAAACGGTTATAATGCAGGTGAGTATTACTTGATCATGGAGGCTGTCGATCAAATTCATTTGAAATTCAAACTCAGTATTATTTCATGGTGCCGGGTCTGCTTTTGAATTCGGCATATGATCGCGTTTAAGCGCGCTAATGATGAGTCAAAGGGCGTAATGTCAATTTGAATGATGTGAATGCATGATAATCGATTAAAGCGCAGATTACTGATTAAAAAAATAAAATCTTCCCTTCCTCCATCTCGACATCAAACCCCTGGTATCCTAAACACAAACACCAACAATATGACCGAACGGTGACAATATCATACCCCCGTTTAATAATACTCACTCGCAATGGGATCTAAACGCTCCATGCAGGGTCTGATCCTGGAGATCCTGAACGCACAACCCTCCTTGCGAGATTCGAAAACGTACCTCAATTCATTCGGTCCTCGACAACGTGGTGAACAATTACCGCAACAGCAAAAGAAACAAGCAACAGAATCAAAGCTAAATCGTCATGAATTATTTGCACTCAAATCACAAGCAACGCATATGCCACAATATGGACCACCACCACTTCCACCTTCATCACAAATACCTCCGATTGGCGCAAAGACAACGAAACAGAAAGCAGAATTAGCGGCTATTCGCAAAGAAATTGATGACATTCTCTCAACCCAAAAAGGCGAGAAGACCCAAGTTCAAAATGAAGTACAAGCAGAAACATCATCGATACCTTCCGATTCACATCATTTTGCACAACCTGATGTGGCAGTACGAGTATTACCGGATTCGGCCATTTCGTCCAATGCACAATCTCAAATGGCTGTCACACCCGAAACGCAAGCAGCTTTGGCTGAATCCTTATCTTCACCACCAGTGCAACAGCATACTGCCTTGGTAAAAGTACAAGGTCCATTCACAGCTCGTCAGATGGAAAGTATCGCAGAAGGATTGGTATATCTGAAAAGACTAGGACTAATGTCTGTTGTCGTTTTGGATTCGGAAGATGCAGCTTGGCGATCATCAGTTTCGGACTTTTCTCCAAAGGATGGAAAATTACTCGAAACAGAAGATCTTGATGGCGATTTGCGTCCTTGGTCGGCTGCTACCGGAAGCACACGTTCTTCCTCTGTGGGAAAATTACAAGAGGTACTGCGCAAACAAATGCTCTCGTTTGCAACTCGGTTATCCGAACTGCTCACAGAAAAGGGAGCTGCCGCTCGTCCTTTCACGCATGCAATGATGCGAATCGATGCGAATGCAGTCATTGAATCTGACGCTATCAATCCTCCTCATTTGACCGATTGCCCTTCGTCATCTGCAAAAGGGATGAATTTCAAACGGTTCACCAAGAAATCAGACGTTACCAAGATTGAGAACAGATCTCCTCTGGTCACAGACGATAGCCTGGCAAGCGTTCGCCGAGCATTGGCCAGTGATATGATCCCAGTCATTGCACCTTTGGCTCTATACAATGATCCGGATGCTCTTGGTGCACCGAGAACTGTCTGTGTACGATCTGATGATGTGATTGTTGGCTTAACACGTGAAATGTCTACAGAAGGAAAGGCAGTAGAAGCAATGGTACAAGAAGCAAACGAAAAGGCCGAAGAGTTGCCTGGAGATATTGTGGATATGATGCCTTTGCGTTTAATGGTGATCAATCGTGAAGGTGGTATTCCCTCGCATGCAAGAGGAGGAAACCCGCATCTTTCCATCAATTTGGCTTCTGAATATTCGCACATTAGCAATAGCTTTATTTGGGATGAATCTCATCCTACGGCGGTCAACAATCTATCCATGGTCCGTGATTGTTTGGCATTCATGCCACATACCTCTTCCGGTGTCGTAGTATCCTACCGATCACCAAAGAGCTTGATTGCCAATTTGATCACCAACAAGGCTGCTCATTCACCGTCTCTGCCGCACAGATTGTTGGCAGGACGAAAAGATGTCCGTCACACTCCAACAATTATCCGTCCTGGACTTTCAGTACGTGTTCTGTCTTCATTCGATCAAGTGGATTGGACAAAGATGACGCAACTTTTACAACAATCTTTCAGACGTGATTTAGATGCAGAGACATACTATGCTCGTTTGAAAACTTGTTTGGACTTTGTGATTGTTATGGGAGATTATCAAGGAGCGGCCATTGTTACGCATGAATACGCCCCGGGAGAAGACCGTACAAAGATTCCTTCGATTGCTTACCTTGACAAATTTGCAGTGTTGCCTAGTCTGCAAGGTAGTGGTGCTGTTGATTTCTTATGGGGTGCATTACGAGATGAAGTTCATGGCTTGGGCTTATTGGATGCGCTTAACGACAATGGAGGTTTGGGCGGTTTCGGCGTTGGACGTGATTTGGTATGGAAGAGCAGAAGTGCCAATCCTGTGAATAAGTGGTACTTTGAACGTAGTAATGGATTTGTACGGATAGGAGATGAAGGAAGCTGGACTTTATTCTGGGCAGATGCCGAGCAAAGATTGGCGATCATGTCTGGTGAAAGACGACTTGGAGCAGAAGCATCTGCACAAGATATCATGGATACGGCCAAAGAACATGATAAACATTCTTGGAGCGCAAGAAATGAAGAAGAAGAAGCGAATGAAGTTAGTCGACAAAAAGCGCAATCTCTTTTGGTCACTGGAAGCGGCGATCTTGATCAACTTCATCCTCAAAGTGAACATCAAAGGATGTTACCCGTCATTGCACCTAATGAAGAAGGCAGATTAGCCAGATGGGCGAAATGCATGGCTTCCATACCAAGTGCATGGCTTTGAACACATTATATATTTATGAATAGCAATAGACAAGCATTTCAATGCTTTATCAAATCATCTCATAACTCTCAAATCATCATTTGTGTAATATCATGTATATCATTCATTATTTCTTGTCAATCAATGAACAGCATTTAATATTCAAATCAAAAAAGACACTGCTTATCTGCCTTCTGTTTTCCTCCACAGTTTTATGCCGAACGGCGAATGAATTTTTGTTCCCGCTTGTCACTTTAGCGGTACTTCCGATCTGTCGGAAAAAGAAACAAAAAGGCGGGGGTGCTTTCAAAAGAACATTCGATGACTTCCTTGAAGAATCACATCCTCACACTTTAACTTTCTCCACTTCCATCAAGCTATATCGATTGACAAACACAATGGTGGTCACATTATTCAACTTAGAGAACTCAAGAGCATTCCGTGTGCATTGGTTAGCATGCGAATTGGACATCCCAATCCAATCACGCAATTACGAACGTATGGGAGGCAAGAAAGCCGTTCCTGAAATGGCAAAAGATTCCGGTTACAAATTAGGCAAATCACCATGTATACAAGATGGAGATATACAAGTTGTAGAAAGTGCAAATTGTATGTTGTACCTCGTTGAACGATATGGACCAGAAAGTGGTTTTATTCCTTCTCCACCTAATTTTGCACAACGAACAAAAGTGATTGGTTGGATGGATTTTGCTGAAACGATTATGACACATGCGTTAGCCATAATTTATGCACAATGGTTTGCAGAAGATCAAAAAGAGGCGGTTAAGAACATTACTGAAAAAGCAAGTGCTAATGTTCAAAAAGATTTAGATGAAATCGAAAGTGCTTTAGAGAGTACTGGAGGACCTTTTGTTTGTGGAAGTCAAATTACCGCTGCTGATCTTGCTTTGGCTTTTAGCTGTGAATATGTTCTAAGCAAGGAAGTCGGTACTAAAGGTCATCCAACCAATTGGCCAAAGATTCATCAATGGCTTCGCACTCTGGAAGCAAGACCTGCTTATCAAAAAGCATTGAAAGAAGGACCCAAATACGACTTTTGCTTCCTCAAGAATGAAGGCAAACTTTGATTTGTAGTTAAAGGCATCATTCAATCTTATTATCTGAGAATTTTTGACATCTTTCATAAGTTCTGTGCGAATCGAGGTTCTGTAGCTTCTGTCTGAGAGCCAAATAATTCAGAAGCTTTTACAGTGTCTGTATAGAAGACTGTCATTATTCGACTGCTTAAATCTGATCTAATAAAGTGATGGTGGTCATCATGATAACCATACGCATTCACTCCATGAGGAAGTGATTGAGCCTCTTTTAGCCTGCATCACGTGTAGTGCCTTGCGGCTTTTTTCTGTCTGACGCGCTTAGGCCTGAGGTGTGTTCAAGTACACCTAGAAGAACTTCCTGAATGATCATTTCCTGCCTTCGGAAGCTCTCCTCTTTGGAAAATCTGATACTTTTATCAGCTGTTTGTTACGTCAGTATCGCAGTTGGCAATTATTGATAATCATAATGAAATTATTTTTGTCTCTGTAACCGTATCTTACGAGCTGTATTGATGAAACGCAACAAGTGATGTCTGGCAAGTTTAAGTTTTACTGCGTTTAAACGCGCGCGCGTGTGTGTGTGCGTAAGTGCGGCCCTACACACTGGCTTCTTCCCTTTCCTTTTTTTTCGTTGGTTTGAGATGCAGCCAAATCTTCTGATTAACAGATCATTCCTTTTACTCATTTCGCCATCATCATTTCTAGCCACGCCTTCTCTGCAGACCCATCAAGAGGTTGGATTTAGATTCCGCATTGCAGACGGCGCCGAGCTTCAGTGAAGAGATATCAACGAAGAAGAACTTTCAACCTTTTAAAACTCGCACAACATGTCTCGATTCGCAAGACCAGAAATGGTCTTAAAGCGTTCTGAGGAATTGATCGGTGTCGGTCAACCTCAAGCTGCTTTACAAGCCCTTCATGACGTTTTCACTTCACGTAGATTCCGTCAAACAAGCTTGACCACTTTGGAACCTATCATGTTGAAATTTGTCGATTTATGCGTCGAATTACGTCGTGGTAGAGTTGCAAAAGACGGTCTATTGCAATACAAAAATGTTTCACAAAACCAAAATCCAGCTTCGATCGAATTGGTAATCAAGCACTTTATCAAATTATCCGAAGAAAAGGTTCGTGTCGCACAAGAAAAAGCTGATGCTACCGCCAAAGAAGCACTTGAAGTGGACGATTTGGAAGAAAGTGAATCTCCCGAAAGTATGCTGTTAGGTGCTGTGACAAACGAAGAAAGTCGTGATCGTACAGACCGTGCACTCGTTACGCCTTGGTTGAAATTCTTGTGGGAATCTTATCGTACTGCTTTGGATATCTTGCGCAACAATGCTCGTTTGGAAGTTCCTTATCAACAAGTTGCCCATCAAGCATTGCAATTCTGTCTCACACTTCAACGTAAGACAGAATTCCGTCGTCTTTGCGATCTTCTAAGAACACATTTGGCAAATGTTGCCCGCCATGCACATCATTCGCATGCAATCAACATCACCGAGCCGGACACATTGCAACGTCATCTCGATACACGATTTGCACAATTAAACGCTGCTGTAGAATTGGAACTTTGGCAAGAGGCTTTCCGATCAGTTGAAGATGTTCACAATCTATTAACAATGGCCAAAAAGAGTCCCCGTCCAAGTATGATGGCAAACTACTACGAGAAACTTACAAAGATTTTCATGGTTTCCGATAATAATCTCTTCCATGCCGCTTCATGGAACAGATATTACGCCTTGGCACGTACAAACGTCAAGACGGAAGAGGAGCATACAAGAATGGCATCTTTGGTCTTGTTGAGTGCTTTGGCTGTGCCTGTCATTTCTTCAAGTGCTCCCGGTACAGGTAATATGAACAAAAGCAAGTCTGACTTCTTGATGGCTGATCAAGAGACCAGAAGCCGTACCGGTCGTTTGACGTCTTTGTTGGGTCTCTCTCAAACACCCACCAGAGCCGGCCTTTTGAAGGAAGCCCTTGCACGTAACGTCTTGAAGCGTGTCAAGCCTGAATTGCGTGACCTTTACAACATTTTGGAAGTCGAATTCCATCCTTTGAGCATTTGCCAAAAGATCGAGCCTATCATTCGCCAAATTGCCCAAGATGAGGAAATGGCCAAGTATGTCAAACCATTGCACTCAGTCATCTTGACCAGACTCTTCCAACAATTGAGTCAAGTTTACGATTCCGTCATGCTCAAAAAGGTCATGCAACTGGTTTCCGCCTTCAAAGCCCCTTACGATTATTCACCAATCGAAGTTGAGAACTTCGTTCTGAACGCATGCAAGAAAGGTCATTTGAACATCAGCATTGATCATGGAGAACAAGCAATCACCTTCCAAGATGATCCTTTCGATGCCAAGGTTCACCCTTCTGCTGCCTCTGGATCAGGATCCTATGCTTCGACCAGTACCTCCAATGACGGAGGAGATGCTGTCCGCTTGCAATCTACACCAAGCGAATTGGTCAGAACGCAATTGAGCCGATTGGCAACATGTCTCGATACTACGTTGAAGACTATCGACCCCAACATCCTCGATGCTGCTCGTGAGGCCAAACAAAATGCTTTCGCCCGTGCATTGGATCAAGCTGATCGTGAACACACTGCAGCCGTTGCCAGAAAAGCAATCTTGGCTCGTCGTCGCGAATTGTTGGAAGAGAGAGCAGTTCTACGTGAACGTGAGGAGACAGAGGCCAAGGCTGAACGTGCTCGCTTACAAGCACAAGCTGAACAAATTAGAGTTGCAGAAGAACAACGTCAACGTGAACAAGACCGTATCAAACGTGAAGTAGAGGCAGTCCGTTTGGAGGAAGCACGCAAGATGGCACAAAGCTTGAAGGAGAAGGGTGGTCTGAAGTTAACCGAAGAGGAATACGCCAACTTGGACACGGACAAGCTCGTTCAATTGCAAGTTGAGCAACTCGAACGTGAAAAGAAAGACTTGGCTGAAAGATTACGTATCGTTCACCGTCGTATGGATCACATGGAACGTGCTTACCGTCGTGAAGAGATTCCCTTGCTAGAGAGAGATTACGAACGTCAAAAGAAAGAAGATCAAGAATACCATAGAATTGCACGTCAAACATTGCTCCAAACCAGCCGTGATAAGCACGAAGCTGATTTGAACGTCAAGAAGAGACTTGCCCGTATCTTACCTGATTACAACAGCACTCGATCTGTCATTGAGGACAAGCGAAAGACTGTTCTAGAAGAACGCCGTAGAAGAGCACAAGAGCAAATTGAGATCGAGAAGCAAAAGAGACGTGCACAAATCGCCAAAGAACGCGAAGAAGAACGTTTGCGTGAAGAAGAGGATGCCCGTCTACGTGCTGAACAAGATGAACGCGATCGCGAAAGAGCTGAAGAGGAAGAACGTCAAGCTGCCTTGCGTGCAGAAGAAGAAGAGAAGAAACGTCACTTGGAAGCTGAGAAGGCACGTGAAATTCAAGAAAGAAGAGCCAAGATGGATGCACAATCTGAGAAACAAAGACAGAGAGAAGCAGAAATCGAAGCAAGACTTGCGAAGGAACGCGAAGGTGGATTTCGCGAGCCAAGCCGTGCTTCTCCCGCTTCTGCAGGACCACCAAGTTTCGGTGTCAAAGCCGGTGGATGGCGTGAGAAGTTGGCAGCAAGACAAGCAGCTGGTGGTGCAGGTGGTGAATCATCTCCTTCTGCTACTCCTGCTGCTACTCCTTATGGTGCACGTATCAATGGAGCAGGAACGCCTGCTTCAGAATCACGCAATCAATCTTCCAGCCCACATGGAAGTCCAGCTCAACCAGCATCTAGAGGACCATCTGCCTTTCAAAGAACGGGAGGCGGTGGTTGGCGTGATCGGGAGGCAGGTAAGACTGCTTCTGGACCTGCTACTCCTGAATCCGCACCTCGTGCTTCTACACCTAGTGCAGCAGCCGAAAAACCAGCCGCTGGTGGTGATGATGATGGATTTACTACCGTTCAAAGCAATGCTGCTCGTGGTAAGAGTAGTTACGTACCTCCTCATTTACGTCAAAAAAAGTAGAAAGTTGATTCGATTAGGAGGCAATTGTAGCAGAGGATCGAAATGTAATATTCATTTTTTTCCCTTTCATGTACATATTTCCACCTTTTCCCTTTACAACATCTGCAATTCATGTTTTATGTTACGCTATACAATGCATTTCATTATTTGAAAGGATATAATCTCGAACAGGTGGTATGGTACGGAATGCTACATGAGTACAAAAGTGGTGGGAGTACAGGATTGAATCTTGGTTTCGAGTGCTCTTTCAGGGTTGGGATTCTATGAACGTTTTTTATCGATTGAACTTCTATAAGCTGGATCGGAGACTGAGTAGCCTGGTGGGTTGTACTTCTCTGACTCTTTTTCGTACGTATCGTGTACTTGCGAAGTAGATGCAATATTCTGTTGTTGCAAAATGACCTCACCTCCATCAGGTGCGCGAGCTTTGATCGTACCAGTTGCAACTTTAAGAAGAGCTTTTCTACGAACGCCATTGATATCCTTATAAACGATAAAAGCCGAACGACCAACAGAAGCAACATTTCCACTAATCACTTTTGCTTCTGAGCCATATCGATGTTCGATCACCCTTCCGCTTGCTTCACCGCCATCTTTGAGCAAGCGTTCGGCGCTATTTGTTACTCCATCCAAAACGACATTAAAAGCGATCAAACTTCTATTCAATACGCCACGAAAACCTTTTGGATTTTGTACACTACCGTCAGATTGTGTTACTTGTTGAATTCCTGTTCGCTTTCCGATTTGATCTCCAACATTGGATGCTGCAGACAAGATTGCAGTAGTTGTACGATTACTAACACTTGTCACTTTTCCGCTCACATTACGAATTTGTCTTGCGGTATTGTGTGTTTGAGGGCTAAACGTAACTGCAGTTCTTCCGGACGTCGTCAAATTCGAATCAGTCGTATTGATACTTGCACCTCCAGACAATGGCTTTTCACCAAGCTCATCTCTTGATAGGGAGCCAGAATCACGGCGTGACCCGGGTTGTGAGGAAGGTGGCGTAGAACGGGTAACATAAGAATCCGCAGCCTTTAACATCTTTGTTCCTGCCCATTGAGATCCTTTTTCCAACGAGCGAGAAACAAGATTCGCTCCACGCAAAAGCCAATCATTTTGATATGCAGGTGACAATTGTCCGTTCTCATCTCTTGGTGCAGCAGAGACTTGTACCATTTGTTGAGAAGTACTTCCTTCTTCGGGCAATTCCAAAATGACTGGATCCTTTTCGTGACCGGGTTTGTGTAACGTAGAATCTTCTTGCAATTGCCAAAGTCCATCAATTGTACCTAGCAGCTTTCCTTCATCGTCCAGCAATTCCAACTTTGCTTTTTCTTTATTCGCACTGCCGCTTGTGTTACTGAAAGCGTGGAAGGCACAGTAATCAGACAAGATCTCTTCAAAGTCTCGAAGAGATTGTCGATCGCTTGTATTGAAGCTCAATTGAATTGCAGCATCTGGAATTTCTGCTGAAGGAAACGAATAGGTTGCAATATTGCCACTTTCCGGGATGACCGTTTGACTTGATTTGATCGGCATTGAGAAATCCGTTCCAACCTCCAATGCAAGCCAAAGGTCTGTTGAAGTCTTTTCTTTTGCTTTCCCATTGCCGGTAGAGGATGATGTAAAGTCTGCAAAGGGATCTTCAACAGGTACACTGACAAAGATGGCTTTCAGAGTACCACTTGCTAATTCAACATCAGGTTCTCCCTTGAACTTTTGAATGACTTTTGCACCATTGATTTCTTGAAGAACGACGCCTTTTACATCTGCTTCATTTGGGAAGTTGGTCATTTCGAACAAAAGCTAGTATTGTAGTTTGTTCTGCAGTGATGGTGGTGAGGTGTCAAGCAGAGTTGAATGGAATGAACCGCACTTTATATAACCAACCGATTGCCACTTTTGCCTTATTACGGAGATGAAATCGTGGCAGTGATCAAACCGAAGGGGGCAATTGTGAAAAGGTTGACAGCAATCTTCTTTATGGGGAAGGCAGTGCACGTACATTGGGTTGGCTGTGTGGAGGATTTGCAGCAGTGTGTCTGTGTGTTTTTTCATCTTGGCATATTCTCCGATTTTCCATTTTAATAATGCAGTGCTAAAGTCCGCGTTTCATAACCTCGTCCGCCCGCGCTTCTTTGGATTGTGTACTCGATAGGATCAGCTGTAATTTGCATACATACGTCCGAGCTGCGTGGCGTGGCGTTGTGTGTGCATGCAACGCTCGACCGCATCTTACAGGATATTTATGCAATCGCTGACCGGGTAAATTACGGATAGACGAAACATGCGCAGCGCGTTTGTTAACAGCTGCTACATGCACGCGCCGGTGAAAAACGTTCTTTTGTCGAATTCTGTTTTGTCTGAGCGGTTGTTTACCTGCTTTGTATGTCTTGGCAAGGGCGTTCTTTTTTGTTCTAATAAGATTGATCGGTGAATAAGCAAGAAAAGCTGCAAGGCTTGTACGCTAATTGTGTTTGAATTGGGTAACATCGATGTGATATATAACTTGGGGTCCCCCTTGGTAGACAGGCAACTTGTCATTTTCATTTGCATCCTCGGCATTCCTTGTCCAGAGTATATTTCATGCATTCATAAAAGAGATCTGATCAGTTTTAGACGCGGATTGAGTGAGGGGGTTATTTATAAATCAGAAAGCAGGCAACATTGACCGCATATGATGTAATTGTTAAGGTCCAAGGAACCGCGAGGGGTATCAATAAAAATCTTTCTGTTCACCATCATCTTCTCATTTTCACCCCCTTTTTACGTTTCGACAAAAGCAAATTATTGGCCTTTTTACTGGGCTGATTCTTTACGCCTTCACATTCGTTTCCGATCGATAAATAGACACTCTTTTTCGTTCTCAGCCCCCCTTTTGATTCTCAAGATCCCGATTCAAACCTCCCCTCTCTTCACCTTCACAATATGCGTTTCTTTTCAACTTTAACTTTGGCAGCCGCAGCCTTTTCTGCTGGTTGCAGTGCAATGCCATTAGAAGCTCGTGATAGCCTACCCGATTCGATCAAAGTACCCGTCAAGAATTTGTACCCAGAAGATGGTGTTTGGAACTTTGATACAAAACAATTGATCCAATCCAATTTATGGAAAGGTAGATTGTCAGTTTACAAGCCAAGCGATAACTCTCACTTTAACGTCTTAATCCCTGGCGTTTCATCTTCCGGTGATGGATCCCAACAAATGGCAGGTGTTTCTTTGGACAAACGTACAAATGCAAAACGTTTGTTCGCCGTTGCAAAACCTTCGGACGCTTTCCGTTTTGACGGTACTGTTCATGATCAAGGACCATGCTCTTTCCATGCATTCAACCTTCCCCTTTCTTCTACTTCCAAGCCAGCTTGGTCAGTCGATTTGCGCCCCGTTCAAAGCGCATTTCAACAAAAGTACGGTACCCGCCCATACGGTAACGTTGCCTCTGCTCAAGATAACGATGGTTACTCGTACGTCATCTTTGCTTTAGGTGCACCTGCAATTGCCAGAGTTAGCCCTGACGGAAAGACTGTTGAACCATGGTTCTTTGAAAAGTCTAATGGAAGTCAACGTCCAGGTTATACCGGAGTTGCATTCATTCCAGAAGAGAATGCAATCGCTGCTTTCGGTGGTCCACGTCCTTTGACTTTGTTCCGATTGAGCGATTCTACACCCACAGCCAAAGCAGTTACAATCAATGGCAACTTTGGTTCTTTGTCCGGTACTGAAAAAGTCAAAGCGATCCCAGGCAATGACGGTAAAACCAGATTGATCGGTGCAAAAGCTCCCGATGTTTACTCTTTCACTTCAACAGATGGTTGGAACAGTGCCTCTTTCAAGACTTTCACCCGTAAAGGATTCCAAACGAACTCTTTGACTACCATCTTTGAATATGGCACAACAGCTGTTCGTGGTATTTACGGTGCAGGTGCTTACTTTGACACAGCAAACGGTGGTAAAGGTGGTCAAACGGTCTTCCCTGCTTACCGTATCAGCCAAGACTTGTTGGCTTAATGTGACTGTTATCCAAAATCCCATTTTTCCCAAACATAGCAACCTCCGACCCCCTCTTATTCAGTAACAACGGACAATTCATTTTCAATTTGATGTGAGCATCGCACTTTGTTGCCTTGCCTTTCCAATCTCTAGATAGATTGATTGTGTGATAGTGGTGAGCATATGCGTATGTTTGCACTCCGTGGACATTATGGTAAATGACAAATGTTCGAGTCAAAATGGACGCGATTAGCCTAGCTTGAGAAAGTTGAGTCAGGCTGCAGGCATGCACACGTAATCTTTTACCGATTAAAATTTCAAAAGAAGGTGTGTGTCGTATGACTTACTGATTTGTACAAAGAAGAAAGGTTTGAAGTAAGGTATATTAATCAAGTCGTAAAAAGTCTCATTCTTTACCCTCATCACTCATACAGAAACCTATACTTAAACAACGAATGGCTACAAATAACTCTGGATTTGCTCTTTCAGCAACATCCAAGCCATTCATACCTCCACAAATTGGATCAAACATTTCTTCTTCCGGATCGACATTGCCAAAGAATGAGCATGATGGCAAGAACAGAGAAGATAATAACACAAACGGTAGTACAGCCAATAAGTCTTCCACCTCTTCTCGAGGTCGTGGGTCCAACAGAGGAAGGGGCAGAGGTACAGGTAGAGGTAGAGGCGGTGCCAGTAATGTAGCAGGAAGGGAGGGAAGTGGCGAATCGAGTAAAGTGAATGCAGCGAAAGAAGATGGCACTAAACACAATTCAAGTAATACCACTGCATCGAATGTACAAAATGGTCAAGCAAAGAACGCAAATCGGAACGGAAAGGGAAAAGCGAACGATGAAGATGATACAGGCAAACGGAAAGGCGGAAAGCCAAATGGAAAGACAGAAGAGGCTACACAAAGGAAAGGCGGCAATCAAAAGCAAGGTAGAAAATTCGCTGGTAAGCTAACTTCCAAAGCAGATGAAATAGAAGATGAAAATGCAGTAGATAAGCTTCAAATAACACAATTAGCAATCGAAACGAGCGATTTACGATCTCGATTGGTATTGGAATTATCGACTGGTCAATATGATTGTGCGATTTGCTATTCGTGCGTTACGACAAAGAGTGCGATATGGTCTTGTCAGCAATGTCACTCAGTTTTACACTTACCTTGCGTAAAGAAATGGGCACTTTCAAGTGTTGAAAAGGTGGAAGCACAAAATGCAATGCAAGATGACGCTTCGATGCGATCAAGGAAAGGTACATGGAGATGTCCAGGCTGTCAATTATCCCATACGCGAGAACAAATACCGAGCATATACAAATGTTGGGATGGAAGGGTGATCGAACCTCAAGGCGGTAAGGGTATTCCACCTCATTCGTGTGGAAAGCCATGTGCGAAAGGGAAATGTATGCATGGTTGTGCGGCTGGCGTTTGTCACCCGGGTCCTTGTCCGCCTTGTCCGATCACTGTCACGAAAGGCTGTTTCTGTGGATCACAAAAAGTTTCACTGAGATGTTCGCAAATGCAATCTAGTCCAACTTCCGAACCGACCGGGGTCAGCTGTGGTAAAACATGCGGAAAGCAATTAGCCTGTGGTCAGCACCCATGTGACCGAATATGCCACTCGGGACCTTGTGGACAATGCGAGGAAGACGTACTGTCGAAATGCTATTGTGGACGGAAGGAAAAGCAAATGAAATGCGGAAGTGGTGATGTGAAACAGAGTACAACGGAAGACGGAATAGAATGGAAGGGAAGGTGGCGCTGTGAATCCGAATGTGATCGTTTATTCGATTGTGAGATACATCATTGCAAGAAGCAATGTCACGTTCAAGAGCAAGCACCTTCACCTTGTCCATTCTCACCACTGTTCATTCAATCCTGTCCTTGCGGTGCTGAACAACTTAATGCGAATAGATCTTCCTGTCAAGATGAAGTCAAGACTTGTAGCAACACATGCGGCAAATCGTTGGTATGCGGCCATCAATGCTCTTCGAAGTGTCATCTGGGTGCATGCCCTCCATGTACTGTACCAGTTGTGACACCTTGCCGTTGCGGAGAGACGAAGAAGCAACTTACATGTCATGAAAAGCAACGCGAAGAAGCTGAAGGTGGTCAAGAGATTCTATGCCAGACTGTCTGTCGCTCGGTTAGATTATGTGGCAAGCATGAATGTCGCAGAAGATGTTGTCCCTTATACTTCCAAGCAAAGAACAAGAGTAAAAGAAAGCCAACTTATGACGAATTATTGGAACAAGATCCAGCAGGCTATCATACATGTGATCATACATGCGGTAAGCTCTTATCTTGTGGCTTACATCGATGCGAGAATGCTTGTCATCGAGGTCAATGTCCTCCTTGCTTGCAAGCTTCATTCGATGAAATAAGCTGTCACTGTGGTCGGACAGTCTTGGAGCCCCCCGTACCTTGCAGTACTCGTGTTCAATGTCACTTTCCATGTGCACGACCACCGCCCGAATGCAATCATCCACAAGTCAGTCACGATTGTCATGGCGATGACGAAAGTTGTCCGCCTTGTATATTCTTGGTGGACAAAGCTTGTATGTGTGGTAAGAACGTTGTTTCAAACGTGCCATGTCATCGGTCGAGGGTATCTTGTGGTCAAACATGCAATACAGTCTTACCTTGCGGTTTTCATCGTTGTTCTTCGCTTTGTCATGAACAGGGCAATTGTGGACCCTGTCAACAAATGTGCGGTAAGCCAAGAAAGTGTGGCCATCCTTGTTTGGATGCTTGTCATGCGCCTGCAGCTTGTTCTGAAGCAGAATCTTGTCCGGCTTGGGTTACACTGTTGTGTGCATGCGGCAATATTCAACAAAGGGTTCGTTGTGGTTCATCCTTGCACAATCCTGTGGAACCTGATCGTACACTGCAATGTACGGATGCTTGTCTTTTAGCACAGAGGAATGCTAAGCTTGCCGAAGCATTCGGTTTGAGTACTGCGCAACATCAAGCGAGACAACAGCCAAGCGAGTATCCGATGTCAACATTGACGTTCTATGGAACGAATTCAACAATTCGTAAATGGTGCGAGGAAATTGAGAATACACTCACCGAATTGATCCGATCAAATCGACATGCGATCATCTTGCAACCCACAAATGCAACTCAACGTCAATTTATGCATGATCTGGCCAACGTTTTCCGTTTACAATCTGAAGATGTAGATGAAGAGCCTAGAAGGTCAGTTGCTATTCGTCGTTCGATCAACGCTCATGTGCCTACGCCTACACTTTCGGAAGCTTATAGACAACATCAAGAGACTTTGGCAAGATTGCGTCCTACAGCCTTGGGACCTTTGAAAAGAGGACCGGCCAATTCGGGCAAATCTACTCCAGGAACTGTTACGCCAACTGGAGGCAATGCATGGGGAACGTCATCCGAACAACAAATGAATGCGTTGATGCTACGTGGCGTGTTTGGAATCGATGAGAAATCTTTGACGGAAACTATCCGTAAGATGGCTGGTGTTCCGATTCATGTTCGTTGGATGAACGAAGAAGATGTGATTGTTTTGATCTCAAATACATCTACGGCTAAATTGCACGTCCTTCGAAATGATATTCGCAATGTTGCTTTATTGAATGACGGATCTTCGCGGTTAGCAAGTGACGTAACTGTTTGTCTTTGCGATGAACGTGGAAAGGTATTACGATTCGATTCAAATTCAGGCCAAGACCATTCTGCTTCGTCAGCATCTAGGGGAATCTTGAACCGTAATGGCTCTGCTTCGGCTGCTTGGTCCGCCACAACCACGAGCAAGCCTACAAGACCTATGGGATCGGGTTGGGCGGCTGTTGCTGCTACAGCTCCCGCAGCTCAGTCACCTCGTCCTAAAGCAAGTGCTTGGGGTACGGCAGCACCGATACCCTCAATTAGCAGCGCATCGATGGACAGACCATCTTCAATCAATCCTCCAACCACCAGTGCAGCTGTAGAGCCAGAACGAGTTGATACAGCAATTGTACCGGAAGCATGGGACGATACAAGCTTGAGCTAAGAAAGTATTGTAGTCAATGTATCAATGAAAATAGTGTTTGCATTGGGAGGCGAAAGTTGTAATGATACAGTAATAAGAGAATCTAGGTTTCTGAAATTGTGTTAAAAGTCATGTGTCATTGTATGTGATTTAATCAACATCATCTCGTGTGTTGTCAATTTTGGATGTTCGTAAATTTTCCGTCAATGTGCCAACATCTTGACTTGCTCTTCGACCTGCATTTCGACCTAAACTTCGAGCAATACGTGAAGTAACATTTTCCAATCCTAATCCTAATCCGCTTCCGTTTGACAAACTTTTTGAGGTTTTATTTGCAGATGAAGTTGGAGTGGCCAGCACTGTATCTGCAGAAGCGCTTTGAGCAGAAGCAGATTCATCTTCATCTCCAAAAGAAGGTATTGTTTGTCTAGAAAATCGACGAGAGCTTATAGAAGAAGATCGACCATTGAGCCTGGCCGTCTTTTGCGTGTCAAACTGCTGCATTGGCGATTCAACAAGCTCTGAATGCGGGATTCGATCCTGAGAAACAGACGAAGCGTTCAAATCACTTTCCAAAGCATCCTCCAAATCATCAGCGATTGAATCGTGTAGCTTTTGATGCGTGCTTGCGTTCACTGTTGTGACTCTAGCAAGCGAAGGTCGTGGCTTAAGAGGTGAAAGAGAGGTAGGGAAGATTGCATCTCGATTTGCACGCTCAGCCGAAGAAGGAGGATTGATATCAGAAACGGTTCTTGAATGGTGAATAGCGTCACTAGGTTCTACTTGAGAATGCGCATTGCTGTATGTCGGTGTCCGAAGGATACCTTCGCCAACAGGTCTATTGGCTTGGCGAATACGTGAAGAAGATTGTTTGGTCGAAACGGAATCTGTGCTAGAGAACGGTGAATGTGATCCTCCAGGGCTTAATTTTTCGCCTGGTAATGCCGAAGCCGTAAACCTGCGTAAAGATCGATCCGAAAGACTGCGTTGATCTGAGCCATTGCTATTACGACTAGTCATGCCTGTGCCGGTAGCAGTAGAAGCTTCTCCATTTGGAGAGAGCTGTGGTGATGTAGCATTGCGACCACCTGTCGTGTCGAAAGTGCCTCTGCGATTCGACCAAGGAGTGTTTCGAACATTAGGAGAGTTCAATCGACGCAAATCCAAAGATGATCGTCTCTGAATCCGATCTTCTTGCAAAAGGCTTGTTTTGTTGGGGCTCTTGGGTGTGTAGCGAGGAGCCATTCGAGTACGAGTATGGATTGAGTCGGTAGATCGATCGCCCACATCGAGCATTTGGCGTGTATGAGCGGTCCACACAGCGGAAAAAGCAATCAAACCATCTGTCAAGCTGCGCATCTGATCGTCGCTCCATCTAACAATCGATCCCAAACCACGTTCGACTTGTGCAAATGCTTCTATGGAATCTTGACCATCCCCTTCCAGTTCTGCATCGATTTGAAATCCTAATATAGCTTGAATTATCGTCTTCAAACCATTATTGATTTCTACAGATGTTGCACTAGCCTCTCGCATACGTTCAATCAACTGGACAGCCTCACGAGTGACATCGGAAGCGGCTGAATCTGAGCCGTTAGGTCGAAGAAGCTGACGCTCAAGATTATCGATGCAGCTTTGCAGATTACGAGCGTGTAGTGGGCCATTTGAATCATTTGCTATATTGTGACGGCTGTTAGAGTTGGCAGGAGTCACAGCCGACTGTGCAACACTGAGACGGCTGGTAGCTCTGCGAATGGCTGATTGCTGAGAAATTTCGGGAGTACGTGGAACTGTTTCAAGATAAGGGTGCACGCCTAAACGTGAAGTTTGATTCTGTCGTAGAGATGCTCCAATCCGTTTTGATTCTGGTGAAAGTTCGATTTGAGCACGATCAAAGTATACATTTGCCTTCCTTGGCTCAGTAGAAGGTCTAACGCTCGTCGCAGAAGTAGTCGCAACTGATGTAGAAGGCGTGCTGCTCATATTTGATCTTGCACGCGAAGCACGACTGGATGCGCGAGATTGACTACGAGTGGCACCTGTGCCAGTCAATTCGTCTATCCGCATTCGAAGATCATCCAAGCCTGACGTAGTCCGGCCACCATCTGTCATCAGTCTTTGCCTTTCTCGCAATGAATGAATACGCTCATCCTTATCCCTTTGATCCAAAGCTGCTGCGACAGTACGTGGACTGTATGTTTGCCCTGCCAATTCAGGCATTGGTGGTACATCATCGAAAACATCACGTCCATGAGCACGTCGCATGCTTGCTCGTGAGGCACTTCTGTGCAGATCTGAAGTTCCATTTGATGATCGATGAGAGTATGTCGATGAAGCAGACACTTTCCTCTGACGTGCTGCTTCACTTGGCGAATAGAGAATATCAGCTTGGTCTGCTTTTTCTACGACTGAAGATGTTCTGGGAGTAGGATTACGACCCAAATATCTCGAGACGCTGCTAGTATCAACGGAGACTCGACTTGGGCGTCCTGCAGGCAAATCTTCGGCATCTGCATCTGAAGCAAATCGCCTGGCGCGGTAATTTGCTGACGGCAAAGAATCATTTCGCTTATCGCTCGCTTCACTGCTGCTTGGCCATTCGTGTTGTGATGTTGTGCCAAAACTGCGTCTTGGTCCTGTGGGTGCTGATGTCGTTGTCCAATCTTTAGTATCAGCTCGTGAACCTGCTCGAAAGTGTTCAGGGAGAGCGGTCCTTCGGCCAGTATTTTCCCTGCCAACTGTGGAAGGATACTTGTTTTGATTTGCATCTGAGCTTCGTCTTGCCGATGTACGCGATGCTTTACCGCTTGAGAACTGATCTTCAGGAGAAACAGAATGACGAGGAAGTACTTCTGTGCCCGCACTTCTAAATTGAGAAGCGCGTGCCGTAGCAGCAGCTTTTTTGCTTGATGAGCTGGTCGAACTTTTCTTCCTACGACGGTCTCCAAATACTGGACCACTTCCTTCTGTATCAGAAGTCTCCCCTCCATCTTTGACTTGCGTCATGGGCGTCTTTGATCCATCTTTCGAAGAAGTGCGATCTCGTTCAGATTCGAATGAATTGTCTGTTGATCTTGCTCCAAGACGAGATTCGGAGCGCATCCTTGAAACATCTTGTTCTAGCAAAGCGCTCTTTTTACGTCTTTCTTGACGTAAGGCTCCAGGCCCTGTCGTTCTCAAAGATGAATCTGGCGATTGGCTATCGGGATCATTGGTCTTGATTGTGGCTGATGAATCTTGATGGCGAAGACGTGAAGCGGACATCCGTTCTAGATCTGGCAAACCTGGCTTCCTTCTCAGCTCGCGAGGTGTATCATCTGATGAACTTTGATCTGTTGCATTGCCTTTCAGAGTGTTCCGTCTAGGATTGCTTGGTAGGATGGCCGTATCGGTACTGTTGACGTCACCTTGTGAACCATCCATCTTTTTATCTTTATGAAATGTTTCCATACGTTCAGCCAAAAGGACTAAACTATCGATCAAAGACAAAGAAAACGTTTGTTTGAATGGAGATGTTAAAATCTTTTTTTGTGATCGACGTTTAGGGTACCAAAGCATTCGCGCTTAATCTTTGAATAAGAAGCGAGCCATCCGGCGATTATTTTGCAATCATAAAGTCGTATGAAGTGTGAGTCAAATCTCTCTTGTGTTTGTTGCGTGTTTTATTTCATGGTTGTTTCATTCAATCTTTCTCTCTCAATGAAGTGATGATAGTAGAGATGAAAAACCTCCGATGCCGAATGCATGCATAACAGTAAAAGCTGCTTAACACACACACTCTGTGACTTTAGGCGTAGCGCTTTTGCCCTTCAAGTGGATGCTGTTTTAGCGGCTAAAATGAAAGCGCGAAAGGAGCATTTGACAGGAGATGCTCTCCCCCCTTACGCGTGTTTGACAACAGGGACGCGTTCAAGAGAGAAGAACAGTTGAATCAGTATTCATTACATCACTTCATTCATCAATGCCTCACGCCTTCATCATAAGGGGCAGTCAATAGCGATCTTATGAGATAGAGAAGAGAGTTATTTGATGAAGATGTAATAAAGTTTTATTCTGCGACAATAAACAAGTTTAACCGCGGACCACTTGGCGGAGAGCATATTACGGGTGTGCCTTTTTATAGAGAAGAAGAACACTTTTAGCGCAGATTGATAGAAATTATTCTTAATCGGAACCGGCTAAAACGGAGTTGGAATTTGATATGAGTTGAAGTGATAATATCTTACACAAGTCTATACTCCGAACCATCACTTCTCTTAACACGAAAACGGGTGACCTTCTTTGCTGGGTTTGAAGAGAACTTTATCACACTTTTTATCAGTCACAAAAGTTTTGAATGACGTTTTGTTTGTTTTTTGTGGCGCTTTGATCGACTTCGCGGTCCGTGCTGTCGTATGTAAGGCACTACTTATTGCCACAAAGATTGTCGATCAAAAGTCTAATCAATCAATCCAATCAAAGAACGTGCTTGGATAAAGCGGAAAGATCTGTATTCGGACAAGCGCTTCTCATTTATTGACTCTCATCATCGAAACAGTCAATCATGACCGACACGCAAGAACAGGTAAATGTATTGATACTGGGAGGGATGCAACATGTTGGTCGATCGCTCGTTCATTTCTTACTGAACGAATTGCCTGCATCACAAACAAAGATTGGTCATATTCGAATAGCAGACAAATTCTTGGTAACGGAAACAGCGAGGACAATCTATGTCGAGCCAGAAATGCTGAAAGCCATGCAAGAAGGTAGAGTGGAACATATACAAGCAAATTTGAACATTCAAAGTACGGCAGAAAAAATGTTTGAAGGACCAAATGGGATAAAGTACGATTATGTTTTTGATCTGAGCGGAGAAGGTATAGTGAATCATATGTTACCGGCACAAGTCTTGTTGGAAAGAACTACGAAATTGACCGGCCTACTTGCAAAGATTGCTAGCAAAAAAGGTGTCAAAGCATACATTCGCGATACACCTCCATTCTGGTTGAGTAAGGCAGGAGAGACTAACTACTCGGAAAACTTTATGGTAGAACAAGGACAAGGTGCAGAAACAGCTCGGGCATACTATTACTATGAAGCAGAAAGGGCAGCAGCAATAAATGAAACGTTACCTTTGGTCATTCTAAGATCGGCAAATGTGTTTGGACCGCATCAATACCATGGCACAGTCACTCCACGAATCGCTCTGGGTGAGGTATACGCTCATCTCAAAGAGCCTTTCAGACTTCTATGGTCAGCGGATCTAAGGCTACACACTTTGCATTCTCGTGATTGGTGCAGAGGTGCTTGGAAAGCGGCAGAATGGATGAGCAGCCGATCAAGAGAAGAAGCCAACAAGATTGCAGGAGAATCTCTCCCATATATCAAACCGAAGGATGTTGGCAAGATTGGCGAAGTTGTCGACAAGAGCAAGTCTGCCGAAAATGCTTCTATTGAGAATATTTGTCTACCTGAAAAGACGCCTATTGCACCCGTTTTCAATTTGGCTGATCAGGATGACATGACACAAGGAAAGATTCTTGATGTGATCGGAAAAGTATTTGATATTCAGACTGGCTTTACCAATGCTGCAATCAATGCATGGGCTAAGTTGAACTTGAATAGCGTAGTGGACGAAGCAAATGAGAAGCATACAGAAGCAGTAGCTGAAATATATCCCAATCAAGATCCCCCGATCAGATATACCCCACACACATGTTATCTTGGCACTCAAGATCTTGCCCAGAAGGCTGAAGCGCTTGATCCAACAAAGGCGGAAAAGATTCTTGGATGGAAAGCAAAAGAGAAATTTGACGAAGATACAGTCAAGGAGGTGATCCAAAGCTTCAAAGATGCAGGCGCTTGGCTTACGAGATGATTATGTTACAATTATGACAGAAACAACAATGATGCTCTAATATACAAATGAATCCGTAGTAGTATTTCGTCTCATTGCGTGTTCCTCTTCTATCCTTTGTGTCGCTGCCACCATTTGGGCATCCCATTCAGCCTCATTTAGACCGTAGTCGTCTCCAACAGACTTCCACAGGTTCTCTTCATCTTCTCTATCTTCGTTGACTGGCTCTATTACGCTCTCTTCTGAGTCCATGCCAAGAGTCTTGAGTGAATGAACGCCACTAGGGCAGATGATGTAGTCAACGCTGCTTTGTGGCCCAATTTGAATTGGTGCGAATGGATTCAAGACAACCGTAGCCTTTCTAATACCAAACAAATGCTTTCCCGGCAGATTTGAATCGGCAAGTCGAAAGTGTTGATGACGAGGAAGAGGGATTTTCTGTGGGCTTACCGAAAGCATCACTCGAACATTGATCCCGTTCACCCAATTCAATCCCATAGATGCCATCTGCGTGTCTGACATGAAGTCTTCTATCAGTTCAGCTTTAGATGATTTGGAATACTTGTTCATTCTTATATCTCCCAAATTTGCCATAATGCCAGCAAATTGAAGCTCTTGAAAAGGAAGACTGAGAAATGCATCTTGGCCTTTGGGAGTCGGTTGGGGTTTGAAAGTTGGCTGCTTCTGTGTGTTATCAACAGACGCACTCTTTTGAGTGGAAGAAGTCACTTCATCAATTCTGGATTCCAGCCATGTACGTATTGCCTCTTTATGTCGATCTTGCGGGTCTATCACATGATTGACAACCATAACAGCTGAAGGATTTTTCTGGTCCATCATAGCAAGCCTTTTGAGGTTATCGCTCAATTCGCAACCTATCTGCGATCGGGCCACCGCCACTGGCCCATTGTACAAACCACGTATTAGATCTGCACCTTCATTGATTACTCTCGTCAGATCGTCTAATACTATGAGACCCAAAGGCGATAACTTTTTGCTTGTGATATCTTCAATCAAGGCAGGTATCCTGTCCGTGATGGTATAGTTTAGCATGTTATACAAAAGTGGACTATCCAGGTTCACATTCTGCAAAAGAGTTGTTCTAGCTGCTTCTTGTGCCTCTTGCAAGGTGTAGCATCTTTTTTCACTGGAAGCAAATGCACCTTTTCGTCTTTTTGGCTTTCGAGTATCGCCTTGCTGGATTTGAATGTGTTTTTGTGCTTCTTGCTCCCTTGCTTTACGAACTTGCTCTGCCATAAGATACCTTTCTTCAATCATTGCATCGCACATTTGCTGCATTCTCCAAACCAAGGTCGCTTGTTCTGCCTGGCCATCAAAAGTGATCAAGACCACGGACCTTTGTTGGTCAGCGGGTCGGATTCCCACACCTTGTATCATATTGAGCAAGCTGTCTTCTCTTTCCTCTTGTGCTGGTGTTGTCTCTGTCGCATGTATTGCCGTGGTCAACGCTAAGGCGGTAAAGATTGCAGATTGGAGGATGATTTGCGTCTTTCCGGTGGCAAACCTTCCCGATATCTCTGTCAATGCGCCCTCTCGTAGTCCTCCTCCAAGAAGCTGGTCGATGTGTTTATCTCCGGTGGACCTCCACTGCTCAGTAGGGTAAGCCCTGTCATCTTGTGTCCGATTTTGTTCCTTTTCCAATAGATCCAAAGCGCTCACTGCATTTGGTGCTTGAATAGCATGTGCTGCCGAGGTGATGTATGCTATTCTTTCTTCGCTTGAAACTCGATTGAAGAGTGCATTCAATTCTTTCTCCGATTTCTGTAGCAATTGTCCTACATCCTGTATTCCGGCTGAATGCGCAAATCTGTGTTAGTTGTAATGTTTGCCATGCAGTACTCCATCATCACTCACCATTCTTGTATGCTTTTGCTTCATCATCAGAGATTGGCAGCAGTTCTAATTGCGCTGCTTTCATATTTGTTTGATGATGGTTGACTAAATGCAATCAACAAAAGACCAACACTTCTTCACTTAAATTACGCGTAAATTACTAAACGCGTCCTTATTGCATGCACTCCATCATCATAAGGTATCATTATTCATTTTCATTTTACGATTTAAAAATGTACATCTCGAATCATGTTTTTGTCGTTTCCTATGACTTACCCGACCCCATACACGCATCCTTTATCGACAAGTACATTTTGGCAGACGAAAGTCGAAGCTCTTGATCTTGAACGAGATTGTGGGCAATTTGACGAATATGATCGCTTACATCCATTTTTACAAAAATGTTGGAAAGATCAAAATATTCTAATGGCTGCGAGATCATAAATTTCTCTTCCAGCTCTTGATTCAAGGCAGTTTCTTGAAGGATTTCTTGCGCTGATACTAAGATTAACTGTTCTATAGTTGTCATTTGATCTTCTCGAATTGTGTTATTTATCCCCTCAAGAGCTTTTGTTAATTTAATCCGTACTTGTTTAATTGCTTCAGCCCGATTCACGATGATCTTTCTCGTATCGATTGCATCTTGACGTATTATTTCTTTGATACGCTCTGGAGGCTTTTTGTTCATATAAGACAGAATTCTTTCTTTTGTAAATTCTAATTCCACATGTTTATGCTCCCAGGGATCGAAATATTCGATTGCAAAAATCCAGATAGGCAGCGCACTTCTCAACGTGATCATACCTATACTTTTTGAACTGAAGCGGCAGACTGGCTGCCAATGCTGAGAGTCAGACTCGTCAGAACCTGGCACGTTATAGTGTTCAACATTTCTCAGTAGAACTCGGAATAGCTTACGAGCGTAACCGGAAAATAGTTCAGGGTCGAGAAATATATCCGAACACGAATCATATAAGTACTCGGAATCGACTTCACCGTCCGGTAAGTATGGAACTTTTACGTTGTTTAAGTCTCCAGGCAGATCTTCCTCGCTAGGATGAGGTCTTATGTAAACGCCAAAAGTTGCGTCTTGATCCATTTTAAGAATATAATTATCTATATCCCTGCGTTTAACTTTCGTCGGCGAGTAATTCCAATCGAAACGACCAAAAACTATACCGATAGGATCTAACGTAATAAGACTTGTTTCCCGACATAGGGGTCATTTGAGGCAATCTTGCATAGTGCCTTTAGGATTCACTGAAAGAAGTTGAAAAGGTTTAGTATAGGTAAAAATATATACGTCTGATAACTTACCAAGATCATCAATTTCTGTAAGACAGACTATAAACTTTTTTGCCATTTTATTTTCGAAATAAGTATTCAAAAAACTTGATTTGAGTCCGTCTCCCTTACAAATAACTTCAAGACCAGATGGGAGCGTTTTAAAAAGTCTGAAAAGTATACTAGTTTTATTGCAATGTCTATGCATTGAATGATGGTATTCGTCTGAATCTTCGGCTTGATACCCGGCGTTCATATTCACGTATATAAGCCGAACGTGTTGAAGATAAAGATGAACGAAGGCAGTACGATGCCACCAATCCCTAAACGAACAAAAATCTTTGTCTTCGTTCAGGTGTACCTCCATCCAATCTTGAGCCAAAGTAATTTGCCGGGTTACCCGGCATAAATGACGATAAACACACATTGGGTCACCTTTATAGTTGAACTGAGCCTCGAAGGGTTGCGGTTGCTTTTGATGTCTTTTATAATAAGCTGTGCTGGAAGCGTCTTTTCTGGCGTAACCTATAATGATACTTGTCCCAGAAATTCATGAGTGGGCAGATATAAAAAGTACTAAATCTCTCAGAGACTCACCTCCATACTTCTACAGGAAGCATCTTTGTGTTCTTAAGACCAGCAGTTTGGCTGATTACAGTACCGGATGGTAGTCGGAAATAGTTAAACTCTACAACTCACACAAACTTGTTCTACTGTATCCACGCTCGGGCCCCTCCCACGACCCTCAAAATTGGCTTGAAGCGTAAATGTTTTTTTTTTTTTTTTAATTAAATTAGGGTTCTGATGCACACCCTCTACGCAGCCAAAATTGTGTGACAAGAAGAAAGGACCATAACTTTGGATCCGCAATAAGCCTTTGTGCGTAGCGCTGCGCTACTACTGTTAAAAAATGCTGACTATCTAGCCTCTCAAGATCATTTGAGCATAATGAAGACCCGTCATTAGTCACAGCAAAAGATGTGACAAAAAGATAACTCCCCTCTAGCCAAATAGTTCATACCCTAACGGGAGGCCACTAGGTGGTTGGGAAAGGTGAGATGCCCGAGAGGTTAAGGGGTCACGTTTAGGTGTTGACTTGCATCATGTCCTAGTTTTCTAGGGATTAAAAACCGTGATGCTTAGGCGCGTGGGTTCGAACCCCACTCTCATCAAACACTTTTTTTGCTTTTTTGCAGAATGATGATTTACACGCCCAGACGCGTAAGATATATCTCACGCGTTAATTTACGAGAAGGAGATCAACACTTTTCGCGCAGCGAATCAAACATCACATCTTTCACTTCACATCATCCAAGTTTGGTCAAAGGTTGACAATGGTCAAGACAGACACAGAGGAAAGTCAAGCTGTGCAAAGAAGTGAAGCACAATACGATGCATTGACTGACCTTGCTGAACCATTACTGGTTCCGCTTGCGTCAAGAAAGTATAATCTACAGTACTCAGCATTGTACGATTACAGATTGAGAAGGTTGAAACATCCAAAAGGCAGACTATTGGCAGCAGCAACAAGAAGGTGGACAGAAGGAGTCTACGAAGAGGAGGAAAGTGCAGTAAATGAAGAAAGTCAAGCAAGTACAGCAAGTACTTCTTCCAATTCCAGATCACGCAAACGTGGACGAAGGGAGGAACCTTTACCTACGGCACATTATGTCAAGCGAATTCTCGATGTCAAACAGGGTAAAATTTGTTTCGTGATTGGTACAATCTATTGTAGCATGCATCTCAAACCAGACGTCTTGGAAGAATTGACGAGAGAACAATGGCTACCCCCGCAACCGCCAAACGAACGATATGCAGACCCGGAAAGGGATGAATTTTTTGTCGAAGACGAAAGTGGTCGTGTGCGTCTTGTTGGTGATGGATTGGCTCCAGATGGCTATCTGAGAAGTGCTCTTGTGACGGGAGTGGTGGTTGCCATTCTAGGAACGGAAACACGATCCGGTGATTTTGAGGTTGCAGATGCGATCTTTGCCGGGGTACCACCACCCAATGAAACAAATGGCAATGGGACACACAAAGTAAAGAAAGAGGAGAGCAATGCCGATGCCATGGATGTGGACGAAGACGCTAATGAAGGCGAATGGGTCGCACTTGTGAGTGGATTGAATATCGAGCCAGCAAAGACAGATTTCATAGGCAAGACGGAAGGACAAAATAAACAAAATGGAATCACAAGCAGAGAGAATGAGAGCATGATGGGATTCGCCGAAGCAGAGCTACGATCGATGCTACTGACAGATTGGCTGCTAGGAGCGGTGGAAAGTGATGACAAGGTAGAAAAGGTGGTGGGTTTGGTGATTGCAGGAAATTCGATCGCACCTGCTCCACGCAATGATGACGAAAAGTCACTTGGACCACGCAACAATCAATCTGGACCTCCAGCAAGCAAAGATGCCTACCCTACCTCAACTTTCGATGACTTTTTGGCTGATTTGGTGTCTTCCATGCATGTGCACTTATTACCCGGCTCGAATGATCCAACGAGCATTGCTCTACCACAACAACCTCTTCATTTTGCACTTTTGCCAAAGAGCTCCCCTTCCTCAGGTCTACATCGGGAGACCAATCCGGCATGGTTCGGTTTGGCAGGCAAGAAATTCTTGGGTACTTCTGGCCAGAATATCGATGATATCTTTAAATACATGCTAGAAACTGACCCGGAATCTCGTTTGGACGCAGCTTGCAATACGTTGGATTGGGGTCACATCGCACCGACTGCGCCTGATACATTGGCTTGCTATCCTCTAAATGATCGAGACCCATTCTTGATCGAAGCTGCACCAGATGTTTATTTCGTTGGCAATCAAGATAAATTCAGCACACGTCTCTATCACGGTACAAATGGTCACAAGGTTCGCGTCATCCTCTTACCAAAATTCAGTACATCCGGATCTATCGTTCTTGTCAATCCCAAAACGTTGGCTGTCAAACATGTCAACGTGGGATGGCCTTCACTACCACACAATGTACACGAAGAAGAGTTGGAGGGATGAGACCCTATCAAATATATTAATAATAGAAATGTATAAGCTACATGCGTGGGTATATTAGATCAAGTGCGTACCGATGCATTCGTTGAAGGTTTGGGAATGAGGTTGGTGTATTGTCTCCCATTCTGCTGAAGTTCTTCAATCCGTGCCTGTAATTTCTTCCGTTGTCTGATCATTTCATCAAATTGAACATGGGGAATTTGGGCTAAGGGCATCCATGGTTTCTTGATCGTCTTGACTGTACTTCCATCCTCCACGGATCTCTGCTTGGTGAAAACGGGCGGTAATGTGATCACACGAGGACTGGATGCCATTTGAATCCAATCTTGTACCAATCGTTTATTTTCTGCCTGTTTACGTGCATCAATAGCACTCTTGCCAGTCTTGTTTGCGCGTGCTGATTTGGGCATTCCCAATCCTTCGATTCGACCTTCCTTCTTTGATCTTGGTAGACCAAGTTGAGCAGACTCCGCCGTTTCTTTGGATTGAGGTACTTCTTCAACATCCTGAGCCAAATCTTGAAGTCCCAAACGAGGAGCAAGTGCAGGCAATTGTTGAACCTGTGCCAACAAGTCCCTTCCTTTTATCAAACCATTCTCCAATCGCAAATACCGTATTGCACCGCGCAAAGCTTCAATTTGATCCACCAAGTAAGAAACCTCATAATTACCACTTGTAGGCATGTTGGGATTAAAGAATCCACTTGGCGTAATCGTGGTTGGATTGGTGGGCAGTGTAGGGACTGCACCATCCGAAGAAGGAGCATTTGCAGCAGCGCCTTCCCCTGCGGTCGTACGTGCACCATCATTGACAGCTCTTTCGTATTGAATTTGCAATTGCTCTAATTCTTGTTGCAAAGCGCTATTTCCTTCTTCGTACGCTTTCATACGTTTGGTCATATCCACTAAATCATCGCGTAGAGTAGTGACTGTTTCGTTATCCTGTCTGCTCCTTTGTAATTGCTTTGCGATTCGCTCAATCTTGATTCGATTTTCTTCAATGACTTCATCGCGTACTTTGATTTGCTTGTACAAGTCACGTAAATCCTCCGTCTGTTTCAAGTAGTTTCGTTGTGTATCAGCTGCAGTATCTTGTTCTTGGCGGAATTCTTCCACTCGTCCAAGCCAAGGAGCAACTCCTGATATCTTGTGAACATTATCTTGTTCAGTAGCAGCATTGAGTAATTCGGTCACTGTTTGACCCAAATTTGTTGTCTCCGTCAAGCTCGGTTTCCAGGCAGCGGCAGCACGAGCGGCAAGAGATGTGCTCATTTGGGCTGATCCGTCTTCATTACTTGCCGAGCTCATAGCCTCTTTCGCAGCCTCTGAGACAAGCGCCAAGATATCCTTAAGTTCAAAAGTCGATTTGTTCGTTCGCACACTGCTTACGTATTCGTTAAAAGACGTTGCCAGCATCGATGCAAATGCTACCAATTGACTACTGCAGTGGCCCAGACCAGGCAACTTGACAATCGCTTCCATCTTGACCGCTTCGTCATTAGCATACAAAGCTGCCAGTCTGCGCAACAATTTACGTGCAGGCACTTTCGTTGATCGTATATGGTTGATGAGCTCTTGCAATGGTGTGAACAAGACTTCACTGATATCCAGATCATTCAAGCGCATGTCAATATCACCGGTGGGAAGAAGTCCTGATGTGTCTCCATCACCAATTTGCTTTTGTAAAGCTTCTGTCTGCTTGTTGAAATCATTGTAGAGAGAAGCGACTGCTTGTTTTGAAAATCCTAAAGCAGCAGCAATCGTATCAAGATCCAGATCGAACAACGTCGCCGATCCCAGTTCTTTTGCTGCTAAATCGCTATCGATCGACTCTGAGCTGCCATCCAGAAGAGCAAATTCAAAGTCTTCTAGCATTTTCACAAATCTGCGATAATCTTTTGCACAATCATCCTCTTTCAATTCTTCCCGACGTAGAAGATCAATGTGTTGATCGATTGTCCGCTCGATCGAAACGAGCTCCTTAAACATCCTGCCAGACTTCAAGAATGTAGGAATGGAAGCCAATTGAACCAAAGCAGATATTTGACGTGAAGAGGCAATAAAGTGAGCAAGTGAATGTCTCATTCGACAAATTGTGATCAAGCGTTCATCGATCACGCCCACTAAGCTTCCAGCGATATCGGTGCTGCTCTCCACTACAGTCTTGATCACTTCAGTCTTTGTTGCAATCCTTTGGAAGAACAACAAGCTTTCGACAGCATCCTTGTCATCTTCAAAGTACTTCTTTGGTAGATAAACGCTCGTGATGTCCAAATGACGCTTAGCCTGTGATGCTTCTAATCTGCCTATTTCCAGCTCAATCGTCTTGGCTTGCGATTTCATAGTTGAAGATTGCAATTTCAAGTTCAAATTGGCAATCGCTTGTCCTTCAGCGGCGGCAGCAGCTCTGTCCACGTCACGAGTCTCTTTGTCATTTCGCAACGTTTCCGCTTCGCTTTGCAAGTTCAGAACAACTTCTCGGAATTGAACAAATGTGTTTTCATAATCCACAATGTTGGCCTCTAAAGAATCGTTGCGCAAGTGATATTCACGCAATTCAATTTCCTTTAAATCCAATTCTTCTTGAAGCTGCTTTTCGGTTTCGATGTGCGTCTCTTCTAACTCGTCATTCAATTCTTCCAAGGCTTCCAGATCTTCATTAATGAGTCGCAATTCTTCATTCTTCTCTTGCAAGGCCATATTGCGCTCTGTCAATTGTTCCAGCATTTCTTCGGCTCCCAATGCGTCATCCAATTGGATCTTCAGATCTTCCAGTAATGCTTCGGATTGTTCCAATTTGGCCAGTGTAGATTCGTACGAAGCCTGAATTTCGTCCAACTCGCGCAATTCTTTCTCCATCGCTGCAATCTTTTGCTTTTGCTCACTGTCGGATTCAGCTGTCAAATCCCTCAACCGTAAAAGTGCCTCCTTCAAACGTTCATTCTGCTTCTCCAGCTGGATGTATCCCACCGATAGCTTCTCGCCTTCTTCCACTGGTCCAGATTCGAAGCGGGCATTCTCTTCCCGCAAGACTTCAATATCAAGTTGCAATTCCTCCACCCGATCTTTCAGTAGCTGCAGTTCCTCCGATGCAGCTTCAGCTCGTTCTTCTGCCATTTCTTTGTCGAGCGTCAGTATCTCCACTTGATCTGTCAATTCCGCCATCTCCCTTTCATGTTCTTCCTTGAAGGTGTTCCATTCACGCTCTTGTCTGTGAAGGTCTTTCAATTCGTTCTGCAGTTCTTGTTGTTTAGCTGCCATCTTTGGCTTTACTACCAAGAATTGTTCTGATTCTTGTTGAATACGTTCCGCCTCGCGGATCGTTTCTCGATCCTCCTCACGCTTCTTCTCAGCGATGCGTAACTTTGCACGTACTTCATCCAATTCGCGTTGTAATGCAGTGTGATCAACGGTCGAACGAGTTGCCAATGCGTGAGATGATGCACCTCTACTTAATGACATGTGATCAGGTGGTTGCGATGTTGCAGCTCTTTGTAAAGAAGGAGATGCAAGGATATCTTCATCTATTTCATCATCATTTGTTGATTCTTTTGTCATGGACTGCTTTCCTGGTCTTCCTTCTGCATCTTCTATACTCATCGCCATCAAATCGTCATCGTCTTCTCCCTCGCCTACATCAAAAGATGTGGGAGGTCTGCTGGATCGGGAAGATGAAGTACCTGTCGTCTTTGGTGTTCGATTGGCTGGTGTTGCTCGAGAAGTAGTCGAACCGGGAGTCGAGCTTGCTGTTCCTACTGCTCTTCTTGCAACGGTAGACTGAGGTGCTCTTCCTGTAGCCGTAGTGGCCGTTCGTGCTGGTGTTCGTGGATTCAAGGCTGAAGTAGAAGCACCTGGTGGTGCCATGGAGGTTCTCGTTTTAGCAACAGGTCGTAAACCTGCTTTAGCTGTTGCCGCATCTGGAGCACGACCTGCTTGCACTGCTGATCTTGCTTGATTGATTGTGGTTCTTTGTGTGGGTGCCGGTGTTCGAGCTGCTGTGGTGGTAGTGCTTGGTCGTGCACTTGTTGCCGGCGTTCGAGTGGTACTCATTGGCCTTTTCACTGGAGAAGCAGCCGCAGATCTATTTGCTGCTGTGGAAACACGACCGCTGGCAATGCCTGCCGTACTTGTTCTGGCAGGCGTTTTTGGTGCCAGTGAAGCTCGCTTTTGGGGCGATCCAGCCTGTTGTCGAGCTGACGCTCCAAAAGCAGAGGCCGCAGAAGCGGCCGAAGGAGGTGGGAGAATGCTGGAAGGGCGTGAGACACGAGCTGCAGGTTTATTGGGGCTCACACTTCGACTTGTCGATGCAATACTTGATCTGGACAATACCTGACCACTTCTGGAAGCTGGGATTCGATTTGCTGCAGGAGGAGCTCTGGAGATAGCGGGTGGCGCCACTGCTTCTTCAATCTGTTCGTCTTCATCCAGCTGCTCTTCCTCTTCCATGTCCGGTAGTACGTGTACCTGACTCGAACGGACAAAGATACCATGCCCAGGATGTGCGGTAAAGTAACGTTTACCTTGTACTACACCATCATGCTTTCCTGCCGTATCGTCAAGAGCGATACCGACCCAGATTCCATGCGAGAAAGAAGTCTGACCGACGAATAAGATCTCACCTTGACCGTACGAGCTCAATTCGCATCTTTGATGTAATCGTAATGGTTGATTTGCACCTTCTTGACTTGATGATGCGGCTGCGTTCCGTGCCGCTCTGGCCGTTTCAGCGGGGTTGCTCATGTTTTGAATGACAGAGCTGAGATCAGCTGATTGTGCAGTTGTTCATTTGTTTAATGTTTAGCGGTCAAATCTTGCATTCCACCCCACGAGATTATGGTGATTGGAGAAAAGTGTTGATTGTGAAAGTGACACTAGACTTCTTTCTTGCTGGCCTTTACGCGTGCAACATTGTACCAACAATGACACGCGTAGCATGAAAGGGTGCGGGAGGGAGATTAGCTCACTTGCATTTATTCGGGGCCCTTCAAGAAAAAGTGTCACTCTATATCTTTTACAGGTATCTATCTTTTCCCCAATACGATCACAGCAATGATGTCCATGCTTACTCGGAATAGCCTATTTAGCTTCACAGTAATTATTTTGCTCGATCTGATTTCAGTTCACTGCTTTCCGACAGGTGAGATACACTCTTCTAATAATGAAAAAGAAGGAAGTTGGTCGGACTTAAGTGATATTCTGGAGATGAACCATTTCGATCCTAGTTGGCAAGACGAAGTTCAAAGCGGTAAACAACAAGTCACAGACACCCAAGCCATGAATGCTAGCCTGCAAGCTAATGAAGAGAACAAAAGTAAACCTAGAAAGAGAAAAAGTCGCAGTACACCGGAAGCTAGAGAAAAGCAAAGAATCTACAGTCAAAAATTCAAAGATTCCTTGAAAACGAATCCTTTAAAACGAGTGAAGTTCAACGAAATGAGAATGGTTCAAGAAAGAAAGCGGGAAGCGAATAAAATGTCTAAGATGACAGATAACGAAAGAGAAATATACCTTTTACATAAAAAACAGACTAGGTCGCATTACAGAATCTCAAGTAAAGAGAAATACGGTGGATTTTCTTCTTTAAAAATGAAGCGATTACATGATATACGAATAAAAAAGGGAGAGGGTACAGCTACTGAAGATGATCTGAAATATCTGCAAGATCACAATTTGGCAAAGAGAAAAAACTATGCTGCTCATAAACAAAGGCAACAAAAAGATTGACCAAATTTTCCTCCTCAAAACAATGTCCCGACCTTGTTTCAAAGAGTCAATATCGTATCGTCAAGGCCGACGAGCAAAACAGTATATACGAGTATTTGCGTGCATTAAAATCTTGCATTACGCAATAAGAGGTTTTTGTGGGTACACAAATATTGCGGCTAATTGTACTATTTGAAAGTGAGAAAACATCATTTGCGTTCCTTTGCATTCGCTTTATGATCCCTTTGCAGATATAAATAGGGGGTAATAGGGTTCTTTGGACTGCAGCTTTCATTCAGGGCGCACTTGCCATCGTGAAGTGGGCTTTACCTTCTCGGCAATTTCCTGACTTTGTCTAATACTATCATCTTTAAGATGCATATGATCTTGTGGAAGGGTCTTTTGAGTATCATCTCCATTTTCCCATCAAATCAATTCTTAGTCTACTGCATTCCAACAAGTGAGGTATACTCTAACGATAATAAGCAACAAGGAAGTTGGTCAGGCTTGAGTGATATTTTGGAGATAAATGATTTCGATTCAGAATGGCATAACGAGGCTCAAAGTGGTCACAACAAAGAAGGAAGAGATGTCCAAATCGGTGAGAGCATTACGCATGCCACTAAAGTCAATGGTAAGAAACCTAAACAAAGAAGAAGCCGAAATACACCCGAACATAGGGCGAAGCGAAAATTGTACCGAGAAAAGTTAAAGAGTATCTTTGAGAAGGATCCCGTAGCACAGCAGGTTTACAGGGAAAAGAAGAATAAAGCAAATCGAAAGTGGAAAGCTAAGAAGATTTCAAAAATGACCGAAATCGAGAAAGAAGCCCTTTTCATGCGCAAGAAGCGGACAAAAAAGCAATGGGAAAAATTGTATAATGAAAGATGTGGGGGGTTCTCTTCCCCAAAACAACAGCGTTTAAATATGATAAGAAAGATGAAAGCTGAAGGAACAGCCAATGAGGCCGATTTGAAGTTCTTACACGAATATCAAGAGGAACAAAAGCAGAGAAAGAGGAAATCACGAGCTGCCCAAAAAGGAGGCATTTGAAAAGGTGGGTTTTCTTGTCCAAGGAATCAGCGATTGAATGAGATAAGAAGATCGAAAGCGCAAGGAACAGCTAATGAAGAAGATTTAAGGCACCTACGAGATTATGAAGAGGAACAAAAATTAAAAAGGAGGAGCCAACACGCTGCTCGCAAACAAAATAGTCAAAAGATTGACTAACCTTATCGCTCTGATGTAATACCTTAGAAAAGAGTAATAGTGAAAGCAGTATCTCAATGCTAGCAATGTTCCATTTCGAAATGATTTTATACCAGTAAGTATACACGAGTCTCTGCGTTCGTCGACTTCTGCCTTACACAGCATGAGATTGTCGTTGAATACAAACAGATATGTTTATTGCGTTCACTACGTGAAAGAGACGCAAGATAATTTGCATTTGCTCTATGCGTCACTTCTTGCGGTGACAAAGGAATACCGGCGAACACAGCTTGCATCTGGGGCGTAATCGACGTTGTCAATATAAAAGTGCTCTCTACGTCATTTACAAAACTTTATTTTTTTCTGATGCACTCAAAAATAAGATGAGCATGGTCTCTTGGAAAAGTCTTTTCTGCATCACAGCCATCAATTTGTTTGCTCAGATCTCTGTCTACTGCTTCCCAGCGGGAGAGAGAAACTCTCACAACGAAGATCAAGAAAATTGGTCAGGACTGTATGATCTTTTGGAAATAAGTAGTTTCGATCCAAGCTGGTACGATGAGACTCAAAGTGCTCACAAAGGAGGTGAAAATGCTCAAGTCGGAAGCGCTAACCAAGGAACTATGGAGGACGGCCGAAAGAAATCTATGAAGAGGAAAAGTCGAAAAACACCTGAAGACAGAGAGAAACAAAGAGTATATCGTCAAACCTTAAAAGAGAATCGTGAAACGGATCCGATAGCACAGCAAAAACACAGAGATAGAATGAATGAATTCAATCGAAAGTGGAAAGCAAATCGTACATCAAAGATGACAGAAAGCGAGAAAGAAGCTTTCATTGTGCGCAAAAAGCAGGCCAAAGCACGATACAATGAATCACACCGCACCAGATGCGGTGGATACTCTTCCTCAAAACAACAGCGATTAGCCAAGATAAGAAGAATGAAAGCAGAAGGAACAGCCAATGAAGCTGATTTAAAATTTTTACATGAATATCAACATGATGCAAAATTGCGTAGGAGAAAAGAACGTGCAGCCCAAAAGGGGCACAATTGATCAAGCTTATCGAAATCAGATAAAGCGACACGTTCTATTTTGTGGATTTTTATCCTTTCAGAGGATTTGATAAGGCGGAAGAAAGGATGCCGTGACTGTTGCATGGCACAGCTTTGCCTTTGTCATTTTTACTCTTTTGCAGACGTTCGGGGCGCACATTTCCCTAAGAGAGCGGAATTTACAGTTCATTTAGCACAAAAGAAAAACTGACTTGATCACAACCAAAATGATTTCCGTTCTACAAGGGTATATTATCGGCATCACAGCCATCGTCTCTCTCATCTTTTGTACTCGGACAGATGGTGCTCACTCGCCTGATGATAAAAGTCAAGGAAGTTGGTCAGGGCTAAGTGATATCTTGGAAATCAATCAATTCGATCCAACCTGGCAAGGTGAGGTTCAGAGTGGTTATAGAGGAGATGCCAACACATCGCAAAATAATGAAGGTGGACAAGAGAAAGCTAAACGGAAAAAGATTCGTCTTTCAACACCAGAAAAGCAACAATCACGGAAGCTTAGACGTCAAAGATTCAACGATGCTTTAAATTCGGATCCGGTGCGAAAAGATATCTATAAAAAGAAGAAAGCTGAATGGAATCGGGCATATAAAGCGAGAAGACGAGCAAGAATCACAGGAAGCGAAAAAAAGGCTTTTAAATTACTTGAAAGTCAGGCCAATCGTAGATATTACATGAAACGTAAAGAGAAATACGGTGGATATTCTTGTCCAATGATGCAACGATTGAATGAGATAAAAAAGTTACATGAAGAAGGTAAAGCCAATGAAGAGGATCTTAAGATCTTGCACGATTATAGGGAAGGACAAAAGTTAGCAAGGAGAAAACAACGTGCTGCTCAAAAAAGTGGCACTCATAAAGGGTGATCGATTGTTTGCACCTATTCCACTGGTTAAAGATGCTTGCAAAGCCCCGTTCTATGCCCGAGCACTACAAGACAGGCATCGGCATTTGGATTTGCACTTGATTGACGCAATTAAACCGTTGGCGTAATTGCAGCGCAGCGCAGGGCGTACTTTAACTGCTGCCACACAAAATCCGGAATGCTTAAAACCGAATAAGACATAAAGAGCACTTCAGCACTGTTGCACTCTTTAAATGAGTTCGTGCTGGCCCATGCGTTAAGAAGTTAGAAGTTTCTCTTTGCTTCACTTAACCGTGTCAGCAGGTTGACTTTCTATCCATCCAACCACCACTACTTCCACTCTCAATCAACAATCCCAATCATGAGCTCATTCGTAGGAAAAGAAATCCCTCAAGCTACATTCGCTGAAGTGCCATACACTCCAGCATTGGACGATCCAAAAGCATGTGCTGGACCTCCACGCAAAGTTCAAACTCATGAAGCATTCAAAGGCAAAAAGGTTGTCATCGTTGCCGTACCGGGCAGTTTCACTCCAACTTGTCATGGAAATCATGCTCCAGGTTTCGTGAAAGATGCCAAAAAGTTCGCTGATAAAGGTTATGACGTTTGGATCATTGCTGCAAACGATCCTTTCGTTCAATCTGCTTGGAGAACTTCCCTTGGCGCAAAAGATGAAGTTCATTTTGCTACTGATGTTGACTTGCAATTCTCAAAAGGTATTGATGCTACCGTCGATGCTTCTGCACATGGCTTGGGTATCCGTGCTGCCCGTTACGTTCTCATCGCTGATGACTTGAAGATCAAGAGCCTTGACGTGAGTATACAAATATAAATCTGAGTGTGAACTACTGCTAATATCCTCAAATTCTCTTCCCTCCTTGCCACAGGTCGAAGCCTCACCCGGAGAGGTCAACGTCTCCTCAGCTGAGCTTGCATACGGAAAACTCTAAACTGGCTGCAGAGAATTGCCAACCGCTGTATAAATTTGCACCATTTCAAATGTGATTCCTAAATCAAAATCTCTCTCTATTGGTGTGTGCTGTCATACAATACATTGACTTCTGTGACACGAAAATTAAGCAGGTATATATGGTATCTGAATAAGTGGTATATCTCTAAATCTTCTCGAAGCACAAATTGACATCGGTTGTTCATCGTCTTGCTAGGTTGATCCCTCCGGCCAGTTGAGTGCGCTGCTGCATAAGCCAACTTCTGGGCTTCAAACCGTTGATATCAATTCCAGCTTTGGTTTGTGATCTGCCGGAATTAGAAAGAGCACCAGATGCATTGATAGCATTACGAATTTCTTTTTGCTTTTGATCGTAATAAATTGAACTTATCAGTCTTTGCTCTAATCTCAAAACTTTGTTTTCTTGTTCCAACAATCTAGCACGTTTAACCAATTCTTCTGGTGCAATTTGTCCTTTAGCCTTTGCATTGGCAGCGTCTTTGATCATCTTGTCTTGTTGACGGATAAACGTTCTTGCTTTTTGTAATTTCTCTTGTAATGTTCTGATTTGTGCTTCACTCTTTGCCGCCAATTCTTTATCGGCTTGTCCTTGTGCTTTCGAACGCAAATCGCCCATCTCTAATTCACGTTGAAGTGCACCATCACGCTGTTCGATACTATCATTTTGCAAATCAACCTTTTCCATCAAGAGTGTATTGATCTGCGAAAGTTGCATTCGAATCTGTTCTTCCTTCGAAGCTTTTTCTTCTTGAAGTTGCTTCATCGTTCTTTCCAATTCAGCCTTCTCAACATTCACCTCTGCACGAACCTCTTCGATCATCTCCAACTTATCCTTGCCGACCAGAGTGAGATCAGATTTAGCAATCGTCAATTCCTTCCTAGTCTGTTCATGCTCCACTTCCAAATCGCCCAAAGCTTTCTTCGTCTTGTCTAGCTCCTCCACCGTCTCGTTCAGGCGCATTCGAAGCGCTAGGTTCGCTTCTGCCCCATCGCCAAGATCAGACTTGCCTTCCTGAATTGCCTCCATCTGTTTCTGTATCTTCATGTTCTTCTGGTACTCCTTGAGGTAATCACGTTCGTAACGCTCTTTCATCTTGTTGGCATCTTGCAATAGATTCTCAACGACGAGTAGTCTACTTGCATCTGCTTTGTTTGCTTGTGCCACTTTGAGCTCTCGTGCCAATTTACGTACTTGAATCTTCAAGCCTGCCATCGTTGTTCCACTCATGGCATCCTCTAAATTCTCATCAACATCTTCATCGCTTCCTACATCAGTACTCGACATCATACCATCCGATCCATTCACGCCTCCTGTACTGGCTCTTTGTTTGGCCACTGAGCCGCCCAATTCGAGTTCCTGTATACGTTCTTGATACAGGTCCAATTCTTCCTTTTCCTTTGTACGTGCTTCCTCTGTCGCACGAAGCTTGACGGAGACTTGTTCACCATCATATCGAGCAGAATTGAGATCTCTCTGAAGATTAGAAGCCTTTGTTTCCAGCGCTGCAATTTGTTCCTTGTACGAATCCATCAATGGTTTGAAATGTGCAACCCGTTTATATTCATCTTCCACCGCTGCATTCCTATCCACCAATTCTGCATTTTGTGCTTCCAACGTTTTCAATTGCCTTTTCACTTCTGATGCCTCTTCAAGCTTTTTCTTGAATTTTTCCATCGCATTTTCCGTCCTTTGCAATTTGTCGGATGCATGTCGCAATTCTTCCAATTCATCTTTCATCTTTGCATTCTCTTCCGTCTTGCGTTGAAGCTCTTCAGATTTCTTTGTCAGATCCAGCACTGACGCATTCAGTCGCTCCACCTCGCTTTCTGCTTCTGCCAAATTATCTTCACTTCTTCGTAGACTGGCTTTCAAACGTTCGATTTCTTGTCGCATCAGAACATCAGCTTGTACATTCCGATCACGTTCAACTTCTTCACGAAATCTGGTGTGCTCCTTTGCTGTTTCTTCCTTTTCAGCTTGTGCATCTTCCAGTGAATTTTTCAAGATGCGATTCTCATCTAGGAGGGCAGCATAAACTCGCTCCATTTCGGCTGAGTTGTCTTTTGATGTTTCACTTTTCAATTCGCCGCTACCCGCTCCGCTCTGATCGTTCTGTTCTTCAGAGAGGAGATTCTGGCTGATACTTTGCTCTGCATTGTTGTTATCTTCACCTTCAGCACTCTCTATCGGTTGCAATGCTCCCATAACTTGTTCAATCGTGTACATGAGCTGCTGTTGATCTTCAAGCGGTAAAGATTGAATGGCCGCGATATGTTCGTTTGCCTGATCACTCCTGACTGCTATTCCGATCACCAGGCTTCCAAGCTTATAAAGATCTTGTTTGGATCCATCTCTTGCCAAAGCGTCCAAGTCTGGAACGTCTAATGCGCTTGGTGATTGCTGTAAGACTTCAATGTAATACTGCGTGACAAGCTTGAACAGCCTCTTGAGTGTTGCCGTTTTCAAGATCCAATTATCCTTCACTTCACCTCCATGTGGATTCCTAAAGTAAGTTGAATCGATAGTTGACAAAATCTCAAAGAAGGCAACACCATCAGATAAATCATCCGGATTGTCCACTGTCCTACTCAAGAAACTATCCGCTCCTCTTGCACGATCGACAGCTTGTACCCATGCTGTTAATGCACGTACTTCACCTTCCAGATTTGGCAAAGAGGATGACCCACTATCGTTTGCATCTTTTTCTTCTTGTGAGATGGAACTTTGAGGATCTTGGCCTGTTTGTATTGGATCTCTCTCTTCCATCTTTGTTGGTGGTGAATGAATGGGGTGAATGATAGGCGTCTTACTCTTTGAGTGTTGCTCCGTTTCAAATTGGGAATTAGCACTTAGGCAGGCACACACGCACGCACGCACACACACACAGAGGCACAAAGGCGTCACACAACACAAGCGCACAGGCATTTATCACACACAACACATCCGTCCCCTCGGGGTAAGAGCTAAAAACCTTAATTTCAATTGCAATTGAGATCCACAAGATTAGCAACCCTCATCCACGTGAACTTAACACGGTATCCGCGTTTGATTCACAAAAAGGAAAAGGGGGGCTTGTTCTAGAGCATTAGATTGTGAGACTAAGTTGAATAAGTCTAATTCCAAGATTTCTTCAAGTTGCGGAGTATATAATAAGCAAATTCATTCAGAGGACAATCCGTTCTCCGCAACCATCTCATTCGGATAAGCTCTTCTTTGACAGGAACTCATTTCATAAATGTCACGAAAAAGCAATGGGCTCCGATTTGAAGGAGGAAAATGAAATGATGCGGGCACAAGCGTAGCGCAGCGCAAGGCCTTCCTTCCTGTATTATTGGGAGTCCGGTGAGATCGAATTAAAAAGAAATAGGGGCACTCACTTCTAGCGCGTCTACATAATGCAAGCAAGCACTCCACCTGTACAACACTTTCAATAATTCTGAGACCAACACTTGCATACATTTATACAGATTTGTGTAAAGATTATCCTTTGTCATTATTTATAAAATCAATAAAATCAAATTGCGAGATGCTTTTTTGAATCAGAAAACAATACTTGAATCTTTATAGGAAGAGCTTTATAGAGCTCAAGTTATCTTCTTGGAAACCCTTTATTTTCTCTCCACAGCTCGATCGTAGGAACAAAGAGAACATCAATAAAATATAAAAAGTCGGCGCCGCGATTTTTAAGACGCGTAGAGTTACTGCTCATGCACGAAAAATAAAAAAGGAGGCCCCTGAACATCTTTTTTGTCAAAAGAGGGCTAATGTGCTGATGCAGGCTTAGAATTTCTATCAAGTCAACAAACACACACACACATCCCCGACTCTTAACAAGTCTTGGAAGTCATTAGCATTTAGTGTGTGCAAAGACGATCCCTCTTCCTCTTTTGTTATCTACCGTCATTCCCCTGTTTTATCTCCTTTTTACTCTGCATCCACAAACATCTACACTTCTTGCTTGATCACATTCGACTTTGAGAAGGAAAGGGGCTTCAACATCTGCAAGTGGGGTATATCATACTACTATCATCATTCACATCCATATCATCTCAATCAACCAAACAAAATGCCAAACATAGCTTTACCGACACGATCACCACTTCTATCACCCAGAAGAAGCTCTTCAGGTTTACCGGCAAATTCACGTAGCAGAAGTAATTCCAATCAATCACCAATCGATCGAATCCCATCAACATCTTCTTCTTCCGGTTCACAAAGTTTCACAGAAGCTGCCAGTTCTCCACAATCATCACGTACAATTTCCAATCAAAATTCACCCGTAGGACCTTCATCATCACGGCCAGTTTCTCTGGCTCAGTCTGCTAGACCTATGGCACCACCACCACAACCGATCGCCAATGGACAAAGGCTGGCAGATCAATATGTACTCTTGGAAAAGCTGGGGACAGGAAGTTTCGGAACGGTGTATAGGGCCATGCACAAAGAGACAAAACAAATCGTCGCTATCAAACAGATTGATTTGGAGGATTCCGATGATGATATTAGCGAAATTCAAATGGAGATCGCCCATTTAGCGCAATGTGACAGTGACTTTGTGACAAGGTACTATGGCAGCTTTGTCAAAGGATATAAGCTTTGGATCATTATGGAATACTTGGCCGGAGGATCTTGCTTGGATTTATTGAAAGCAGGTCCATTCTCGGAAAGTCACATTGCAATCATTTGTCGTGAATTATTGATGGGTCTCGATTACCTACATTCAGAAGGCAAGATTCATCGTGATATCAAAGCGGCCAACGTTCTCTTATCAGCTTCGGGAAGGGTAAAGCTTGCTGATTTTGGTGTTGCTGCACAATTGTCCAATAACAAATCTAGGCGGAACACATTTGTTGGAACACCGTTTTGGATGGCACCTGAAGTGATCAGACAGGCAGGTTACGATTTCAAGGCCGATCTTTGGTCTTTGGGTATCACTGCGATTGAGATGGCAAAGGGTGAACCTCCATTGGCAGAATATCATCCTATGCGTGTGTTATTCTTGATCCCTAAAGCCAAAGCACCAACCCTAGAAGGCAACTTCTCAACAGCATTCAAGGATTTCGTCGATCTTTGTTTGATCAAAGACCCAAAGCACAGACCTACCACACGTGAACTACTTGGCCATCGGTTCATCAAATACGCTCGCAAGACGTCCACACTGACGGAATTGATCGAACGTCATACTGAATGGCGCTCGCGAGGAGCAGAAAGAGGAGGCGCAATCGTTCGTGATCATTTGAAACAGGCTACCGATTTGACAAATACGACGATGAACGGAACAATGATGAGCGATTGGCAATTCGATACAACAAGATCACGTATGTCTGTTGCTCTTGGACTACAGGGAGCCGGGATTGATGACGAAGAGGACAGTGATGATGAAGAGATTGATTTGAATGCTGCTTGGCAATCGAAGGGCAGAGGACCTCCAAAAGATGGTGAAGAACGTGAAGGATATGGTACAGTTCGTCTTGAAGCTAGACCTGCGGGTGAATTGATGGGTGCAATGGAGAGCAGGCATAATTCAGATCTGGCCGCTACTAATCAGAGCCCATACGAGTCAAATGATGATGGTGAATCTTCACACGGTTCTTCTTCTGATGTTTTGTCGTCAAGTGTGGATGCTGAAAGTAGTACAACTGCTGCTACTTCCGCGAGCGGAAGTCGTGAACCGAATGGATCGGTACATGTTCGCAACCTTCAAAATACGTTGGGTGGCAAACCGGCTTCACTTGCACCTCCTCCTTCTCAATCTTCTATCAAATTGGCAAACGGAAGTGAACGCAAAAAAGGCACACGTAGAAGTAGCTGGAATGCGAGACATGATATCAATGGTACGATTCTCAAAGCGGGTGATGTAGCAAATGGAATGGATACCATTAGACCCGTGAAACGATTTGATCAAAACGGTTCTGCGCGTATCAGTAAAGATTTTATTGGCTCGATCTCCAAACAACCTGCTGAAGCGATTGGCTTGGGTGTACAGAGTGAAGATGGCCATGAGAATTTATTCAACGAATCTCACAAGCTCAAGCATAGCGCCCCTATGCGTCGAGGTATAACGGAGGACAGCAGAGTTGACACATTCCAAGACAGTGGTCAAGCAGGAAGGGCGATGGTGAGAGATGTGATCTTACCTGCTTTGGATCGAGCAAAAGATGACGATCTTGAAGCTTCTTCGATCGAAGCACTCGAGATGATTTCAAAAGGATTTGATGATCTCAGTAAAGCTAATCCAAAATTGGCTTACTCTACCATTGTTGATCTTTTGCTAAGCATGAACGATAATGATCAAGCCCGTGATAATCTCTCGATGACTTTCCGTCAAAAATTATCACCGGATTGGCGCTCCAAACGTGAAGAAGAAGAACGTGAAGAACAGGCGAACAATGCCCATCGAAGTCCGATCGCTGATCTATTGTATGGAAGATGGATGGAAGGTCTTCGAAGTCGTTGGAATGTATTGGCTTGAATGGGAGCGACGATGCACTGCATACTACTCAATTATCATCTTATTAGGTATACCCACTCTATTTACAACAACAACAAAGGAATATTTGCTACATTTGCATGCTTTCTCATATCTTGCTCTTCCCCTCCCCCTCCCATTTATTTTTTCGCCTTCTCTGCTCGTGTCACTACTTTGTTTGCTACATTATGAACTTTTACTTTATTTCCTTTACCCCCACCCCCACTTGTTATTGCTCGTTGAGATATGCTTACCAAATATTATTCCTTTTGAGATTGAATCAAGATGTCATTTTCCTGTTCGGTTACGCAAATTTTGTTCTTTGAAACTTACTCTGAAAAAGCCCCGAGGATCGCGAGTTAATGATGCAAATTCGATTCATCCAGCTTGACTTTTTACAACTCGATCAACAAAGTTGTCATCATACGATCCTGTTTAAACAGCAAGATGAGAGGTATTCTCTTTTTACTCTTCCTCGCTTGCTCACATGCAAAAAGCGGCAATTCGCCGAAGAGAAGTGATCAGCGCTTTTCTACTCCCACACAGAATCATGAACAACAAGGTGTAAATTGGTCAGATTTTGGTGATCTAATGCCAATTGATAAAGATTCCGAGTGGCAAGAATATCGTCAAAAAGTGGGCAATGATCATGAACTGTTTAATAAAAACGAACAAAAGCCTAAGAAAAAGAGAGGCAGGCCACGTAATCCACCAGTGATTGTTGATGAAACTTTCAAGTCTAATGCCAGAACCGAGGTTGGCCTACAACGTGCAAAAGCGAAATGGCTTTTGCAAAAGACTGAACCTGAAAAGTTCAAACGAATTCAACAAAATCATTATGATCGAAAACGTGAAAGAGAAGCAAGAATTTTAAATGGAACAAACGAAGAAGTTCAAGCGTATCGTCAAAAGAAACGTGAGAATACAGCAAAGAAAATGCAAAGACATAAAGAACGAACTGGTTTTTCAACTTATAGAAGCAGTAAAATACATAAATTGAAAACCCTTATTGAAAGCGAAAAAGGAACTCCGGAAGATATTGATGAACTTTCCAAAATGCGAGAAAAGGATCGAACTCGACATTCGCTACATCGACAGCGCAAGAAAGTTGAAAGATACAAAGCAATTTACAACAAACATGCTTAATCTTGGTGTACACAACATTTGACATAATTTGCCGCGCCCTAAATGTAACCCCGGCAATTGTCAACCATTTTTTTGTGTGTGAAATCAGTGCAATGCATTTCTCTTTCATGGAGGTCATCATGTCTCGGTTTATCACGATGAATATTCGTAGTATCAGTATAGCTCTGATTCTAATACTATCGCTCAAGACATGCAGTGGTGCAAAAGGCGGCTCAGCAAGTGGCTCTCAATCGCCACCAGAGTCTCCTCAAAATCTTGAGATTGATTGGAGCGGATTCGGCAATCTTGTAGATATCGATAAAGATCCAGAATGGAATGCCTACCACCGCCAAACCTCGGAATCAGGAAAAGAGTCGGAGCAACATCATCAAGTCTCTTCATCGAAAGCAGTAGATGATGATGGATTTCATACAAACGCTAAAACCAAGAGAGGTCAACAAGAGGCTAGAAGACTCTGGTTACTAAAGAAGAATGATCCGGAAAAGTACAGTCGTTTACGGAGAAATATATATGCACGTTACAGAAGAAGAGAGAAAGAGAAAAGCCACCTCCTCAGTCCTGAAGTGGCTCAACAACGTTATGAACAGGGAAAAAAATCAAGAGCAAAATACAGAGTCAATTACAAACAGAAAACAGGATTCACTCGACCCGAAAGTGTGGAGCTAAATCGAATAAGAGAACGGGAAAAGAATAAAGAAGCCACACCTGAAGAATTAGCAAAGCTTGAGGAAGTGAGAAGCAAGCAAAGAGCTGTCCAGATAAGGTATGCGAAGAGAAAAAAGCTTAAGAGCATCGCTGCTGAAAAGCACAATTCCACACCTAAGTAGTGATTCCGTTACATAAATAAACAATTGTTAATCATGTTGTATATTCAAACGCATTAAAGGATTAAGTAGGGCGTTACGAATGCAGTGCAGCTAAACAGAAATCTCGGTCTGAGTGCTTCTTGCTTTTTACCAGATTTACAACGACAATGATCCTGCTTTCCCTGTTACTTGTCTGCTTTGTATCCCTATCAGTGGTGACTGGAACTGACTCTCATTCATCGTGGCAAGAAAGCACAAATGATCTAAGAGGTTCGAATCATCCAGCCCGCGGTCTAGACATTGATCTTAACCAGCCTGCTCTTGAGACAGGAGAAGAAGTCGATGGCTATAATCATCCGGCGACATTATCTCCCGCAGCAGATCCAGGAGCTTCAGAAAACGCTGCTGCTGCTGCTGTCCGCGAGAAAAAGAAAATTCTACAACAAAGGTATAGGGAAAAGCTCAGTCTCGATCCATTACGCAAAGCTAAATTTCTAGCAAAACAACGAAAACAGCAAACGAAATATCGAGAAAGAATTAAAGCTACTCAAACCGATCAACAAAAACAAGCTCGTGCGAAACAAATTTCACTTTCTTATTTTCGACGTAAGAATACTCTATACTCAGGTTTCAGTTCACATGCTCAAAGGGAAAGACATAGAATCAAGAAATCAGAAAAGGAAGGCAAGGCTAATTTAGATGATTTGGAATTCATTGAAAAATTACGTGAAGGTGATCGAAATAGAAAACGAAAGCAAGCATGGAAGGAAAAAAGTCGCAGTGTTTCTAGTAAGCAGCATGGCGAGTTCCGCGGCTGATAATGGCTTTGTTGAGTAGCATTATTGCATGTGTATGTGTCCAATATAGGCTTTGAAGCCCCGAAAGGAGCAAAATGATTCGCATATTGAATTCATTGAACATCCAATAACAACTCTCCTTACCTCTCCCTCGTTGCGCTCTGAAGAAAGAAGAAAAGATGTACGTCACTTGGATCATACTTTCCCTGTCCTTAACATCGTGCGCATGCAAGCCAACTAAAGACTATTTATGCACTTTTGATAATCAGACGGGTACATCGATAGGAGATACAGACAACAATCGAGAAACGAGTGGAAATGCTCAAAGATCCCGCAATACAGATCTTACCTTATCACTTCAACACCATACGCACACAGATATAAATTATGATATGGCCACAGAACCTCCTGGGACTGCATTGACGAAATCACAAAGATATTTGGTGAAGTTAAAAAAGGATCCTATTCGATATGAAGAACATTTGGTGAAAAAGCGAGCAACAGTTAAAGAGTGGAAAAAAAAGCTCTCTGAGGCAAATCTTAGTCCAGAAGAGGCGTTAATTTTGAAAGCCAAGAAGGCAGTGACTAGATCTAAGACATATTATAAGCAAAAGCAAAAGTACGGAGGAGCAGGACTTAAGCACAGATTTGAACTTGAACGTTTGCGCGAGAAAGTCAATGCTGGTTTAGGTAACGAAGAAGATGTGAAAAAGCTTGATGAGGCCGATAGAATACGAAAGGAGAAGAAATCGATTCGTAACCGTAGAAATTATCTCAACAGGAAAGCCAAAGGCAAAGGAACGGGTGCATGAGCAAATTTCCCTGTGCATATAAGCCGCTCCTATCTGTTGACCACCAGCTCTGCCCAACTCTCTTTCGCTTTTCAATGGTCATATTTGCGCTGTATAGCTTTGTGTATCTTCTTGTGACGGTATTGCATATTTCGGGGTTTCTCTAATTCGCAGCACGGTGGCAGTGCTGGAGGTGGATACACCTCAGATTTTCACAGGACTAATGGATCGTTCTACTACCAAATGATGATGATCATTAGACGGGTGACCTTTCTTTATCTACTATGGACTTCTTTCGTCCTGAATCAGTCAAATTGTACAGATACACATGACACCTCATCTTTGGCCAAAAAAGAAACCAAGAGAGCAGGTCTCTCGATCGATCTTAATCAGCCTGCACCAGAAGAATCGGAGGAAGAACATACAACCAGAAAGACGCCAGCAAATCGTAAAAGAGTACTACGAGATTATTACGATAAGAGGAACGCAAACTCGGCTCGTAAAGAAGCTCATTTAGAGCGACGCAGAAAGCGTGAACGTATATGGAGAGCCAATAGATTCAATAATAAGACCGAAGCAGAAAAGCAAGCAATCATTACGAGAACGCAAAAACGAAAGACTGCAGCTTACTTTAAACGCAAACAGCTTTTTGACGGAATGAGCAGTAAGAAAGAAATGAAGAGACATAGAATTTTAACCTTGCAGAAAGAAGGGAAAGAAGTTCCACAAGATGATCTAGAGTTTCTTCATTCCCTTCGTGATTTCGATCGTATACGGGCAAGAAAGCTTCGTTCGACAAGGTCCTCAAAGAAAGTTCAAGATGCGCCAAGTCCGAACAATGAGCAAGGATCACAAGAAAAATAAACATGCATGTGGTAAGAGTGCGTAATGATGCACAGCATTCGCTTTTCGGACATAGCCTCAGGCGATAAGGATCTTTCTGTGGAGGAAGGACCATGTGTAGACCGCAGTACATTCTAGCTTCCACATAAGTCCTCCTTGTGAACATCAACTTCTTTCTAAAAAATGCGCTTAAGTTGTTGCCTGTACGTCTCTTTCTTATTCTACTTTGTCAAGAAGTCGAACTGTGTGTCAAAGTCAGCTTTGCAAATTGAACCATCAGAAGGGGAAATGAAGTCCATTCCCCTTTTTGATCTTAATGAACCTGCGCCAGAATCGATGGATTCTCCATGGGAAAACGTACAAGTTCCTCAGCCAAGAAAGACCAAAAAATCCGGCAAATTTCTCACCGAAGAGGAAATTGCACAACGTGCTATTCGTAAAAGAGATCAGAAAAGATTGTCTAGAAAAAGATATAGACAAAAGTTGAAAATGGATCCTGTACGTAGGGCGATTTTATATCCCAAAAAGAACAAGGCAAATCGAGAGTATATGGCTAGACGCTTTGAGACTCTAACGGATGAAGAAAAAGTGGCTTATCGCGAACATATCAATTCGCTTCATAAAAAAGCCGCAGCTAAGCGAAAACACAATCGTGAAGGTTTCAATACCCATCAGAATCAAGAAAGGCATAATGAAACTCAAATGAGAGAAAAGGTACAGCCATCAAAAAAAGGGCTGGAACGATTGGAAGACGTCAAAAGGAAGAGACGTGCCAAGTATAGCAAGGTGAGATTAGATCAAGCGGATAACCCAGACACGAAGGCGGCCATACCATTTGAGCAAGCTCATGATTGACTAAGCATTTCCTATATCGAATGCAATCGGGTCGAATTGTGTGTCGTATGCATTTGTGGATGCTGTATAGTATACAGGCATAGCCAGAGGTCTACAAGAGTTATTCGGGGCAAGTGCGGGTTTCACATGTTGTAGTGTTTTGTCATATCATGAATCATAAACCCATAGTGCTACATTCATAAATAATTATTCATCTTTCCTGCCATACGAACATATAGCATACCTTGTAAGATGATCTACTGTCTGCCTTTCTATAAATTATTTACTTTTGGGCTCTTCCTTAGTCTATTTACTTTTGCGTATTCGGGAAGACCACCAATAACATCCAAAAGCAAGCACAACCTCAAAGGCTAGAGATTGATTTGAATCAACCTGCAACAGAGTGGGATGATGGAGACGCTCAAAAGAAGCATACTAAACCATACAACAAGAACGCTGCTTCAAGGACACCTGAGATGCAAAAAGTCTACAAACAACGTTGGCGAGCAAAAATACAAGAGGACCCTGAACGGTTAAAAGGTTTGAAAGAGAGAAGTAAGGCCTCTCACAAAAAATGGAAAAACAATCTTTCTGAGGAGAAAAAAGCAGCACACAGAGCTCGAGGTAGAGTCAATACTCGAAAGAGTCGACTCAGGAATAAAGAAATAAGATACGGCGGTTTTAGTAGTTCAAGAGAGTTTCAACGGTTCGAAATAGTTAACAAACAAGATGCCGGTACTGCTACTACGAAAGACTTAGATCGATTAGAACATTTAGAGCAATAGATCGTAAGAAACGCAAAAAACAATATCATAGAAAGCAATCGGAAAAGAAGTCCTTATCCGTTGCAGAGGTCAACGAGGAGGGTCAAACTTCGGGGCCTCAGTAAATTGTGTAAATTTTACGTACTTCGCATATCTCCTCTGAGCTAGAGACTGCCCTGTAAATTGCGTATTTGATGCTCAATGTAATGATCTTCACCGCTGATGCTCTGATGGTAAGATAAATGCTGTGCATAATATACATCTTTTAGGAACCTTTCTTAATGTTGTACTCTTACGGCTGACCATCATGTGGATGACACTTTCAAAAAGAACATACCTACTGTATCCAATCGCAGGCTTCATGGCGGCACATTGGTCACAATGCAAGCCGGTAGACAATCGACACGACTTGAGCCCAATTGCGGATGTGAACTGGTCCGAACTCGGTGACATAATAAATATGGATGAGATCAATCAAGGTATTTCAACAACTCAAGAAGATAGCCATCTTACATCTCCGCCCCTCGCCCAAGTCCCAAGCAAAAGCCCTGATGGAAGAAAAAAAAGGAGAAAGTACCATTGACTGAGGAACAAAGAATGAAAGCGAAAGAATCCAAAAAACGTTATTTTGCAAAACTTGATGCTGATCCCGTGAAGAAAGAAGCGGCACACAAGAGACGTCTTGAGCTGTACAGACTGGCACAGAAGCGTAGAGATGCGAAAATGACAGAAGAGCAACGGCGAAACTTAAAGAAGGAGAGATATATTGCCAATAAAGCACTTCGCGAGAAAAAGAGGGTAACTACTTATGGAGGTTTTAGCTCACTCAAATCTTTAGAATGGCATAATCTGAAAGAGCTGGAAGCGAATGGGAAAGCAAATGAGGCAGATTTGGCAAAGCTCAACGAGTTCAGGCGAAAAGATCGAGAGGCGAAGAAAAGGCAATATAAACGTACAACATCATCGGCACAATCTCTTTCACCTCGTCACACGCAAAGTTTTAAAAAAGGTCAAAAGGATTAAGCTGTGTTTTCGGGGGCGAGTGTATCGAAAAGGGGCGTAAGTAGCTCTTTTCAAACCTGACACTGATTGCATAAGAGTTGAACTACCTCTTTTTGTTTATACATGTCATCACCTTTACCTCGCAGAATGTTTCTCTTTTTATTGTATGCTTCATTAATGATTCGATTGCAATACTCTTTGGTGAATACAGTAGATCGTGACGCCGACTCAAGTAGGATTGATTGGTCAGATATTGAAGATATAGTACCAATGGAGGCTGATAAGGAATGGCGAATATACCAATATCAATTACATCATAACGTGAAAGAAGGGAAACCTAAAACAGAGAGACAAATTCGTTGGGAACGAGAGAAAGAGTTAAGGAAGCAATTGAAAGTGGACAATCCCGAGAAGTTTAGGTTGCGAGCAGAAAGACGAAAACAAACGCAAGCACGGGCTAGAGAAAGATACCTAGCAAAGCAAAGATGTCTAGGAGAACAATGCCCTCAGATGAAAGCAATGAATTTAGCAAGAGATCGTGTCCGAGCAAGAAAGCGTACTGCGAATAGGAAAGCACGGACAGGATACACTTCACTGAAAAATGAAAAATTTGACAAGCTCCGAACCCTAGTTACAGAAGGTAGAGCTTCACCAGCACAAGAAGCCGAGCTCCAGAGTTTACGAGAAGCTGCAAAACTTTCAAATAGAAAACGTACGGAGAGAAGGACGCTTTTAAGACTGGAGAATGACAGCAAAAGACAAAAGACTTCTCATTCAGTTCATGGTGATTAGATTCGATTTTGTTTTTCCTTCGCCCCTCTGAAGAAGCTGTTCAGCATTACAATCAGTCGGGGCAAGCTCTCTGTTGTGTACGTTATACTGAAAGCATTATGTACCCGCTTTCATAGTTCTCGACCCTTCTTCCGATCTATACCCTAAATTGAGAATGCTCAGACGCTCAGTATGTGTACTTTCGATAGCCTTAGTAATGACCAAAGCTTCAGTGTATTCCGTCCCTACAAGTTCCTTGACATCGAACCAAACTAGAGCGGAAGGAGAGTGGTCAGGATTAAGTGACATTGTAGAAATCAATAAGTTCGATCCAAGCTGGGGACAAGAAGCTGAAAGTTTGCCAAAGGAAGACCATATCAAAAACTCAAAGAATCATACGGAACCTTCTGAAGCAGCCAATAATGGAAAGGCTGGCGGTAAGAAACGCTTTTATCCAAGAAGTAAAGAGAAGCAGAAAGAATATCGTCAACGATTCAATGAAAAGGTGAAGTCAGATCCAGTAAGAAACAAGTTTTATAAAGAGCGCAAAAAGCAATGGAATGCGAAATGGGAGGCAAACTATACCTCAAAATTCACATCACAAGAAAAAGAAGCGTACGAGCTTGATAAAAGGAGTAGGAAGAAGCAATCTAATTTGCGTGGAAGGGCGAGATTTGGCGGTTTTTCTTGTGGAAAAATGCAACGCTTGAATCAAATCAGGAACTTGCAAGCCAAAGGGGCAGCCTCGGAAGAAGACTTGAAGTTCTTGCATGATTACCGAGCGTCCGAGAGAGAAAGAAGAAAAAAGGCCAAAGAAGCAAGAGAGGGCTTGGCGAGAAAAGGGTAGATACTTTTCAATCTCACTGTTATTGCGTGATTTGCTACATTGTGTTTCCTTAGCCCCGAAAGAAGACATTGCGTTGTGTGTATCATATGCAATCATTCCTCAAGAACCGCGAATACATAATCAGAGATAGTGCTGTCTCACATACTTAAAGCTCTTATGAACATTCAGCCAACTTGACACAATGATGATCACAGCTGGTGTCATATATGTGTTGCTCTTTCTACTTTTTCCTGGTTACATGAAAGCTGGAGAAGACTCTCCATCGCATTTCTTAAATCTCGATTGGGACAAATTCGATCACCTTTACGAATTTCATCATGATGGAGTTCCGTCTGCGCCACTCACTGGCGATCACGTAACTTCAAAAGCGATGGTAAAACCTCTGCTCAAGGATAATGAACAAAAGCCTGACATTCAACGAGAAAAAAGACCATACACAAAAAAGATAGTGTCCGAGAAAGAATACAATAGGATTCGAGGAATGAAAGCAAGAAATGTGGTGCAAATGAAACTCGCAAACATGTCAGAAGCGGAAGTTATCGCTTACAAGGCAAGAATAACACAAAAGAGACAAGATCGTGAACGTATAATGAAGGAAAAGACAGGATATCGTACTCCAACGCAATACAAGTATCATACACTCAAAAGGCTAGTGGAAAGTAATCAGGCTAATCAAGCACAAGAAAACGAATTCAACAGACTTAAGGAATTGAGCAGAAAAGCTTCTGCTCGCGCTATTCAACGAAAAAGGGCTGCAGGGAGCAAGAAGACATAAAAGCTTCCTCTCTCACGTTTATAATCTGATATGCAAATTGATCTTCAATTTTCATGATTTTAAACCTGTGTATATGCATTGCCATCTTTTACGCAAGGAACAGCCTCGTAAGTTTTACATGTACAATATTTTGTGCTCAAAGTTGTCAAATGAAGTATATTGTTGTAAAAGTCGTGATAGCTTTAATTTCTCAATCAATTCACTTGAACCAGCTTTAAGCGTAAGTAATAAGTCAATTCGGATTCATTCATACGATAGAAGGTCTTAAAGAGCTTCACATTTAACTGCAATAACCAGAACAATAACAAAACTGAGCCTCTAGGACATGAAATAGAAACGCAAAATCCAGCTTTGGCGTAAGGAAAATAAGGCGCCGGGGCAGATTATGTGTCATTCATACTCATTTAATCACTGAACATTTTGAATCCGGTAATATATCTTGTAGACCACCACTCCGTCAAAAATGAGAGGAATCAGCTCTTCATTGCTCTATCTAGGCATTATACTTCGATTACCATCTATGACATGTCAAACGAGCGAAAACGGATGGTCTGAGCCAAGTCCAAAAAAATTTTCGGAATTGGATTGGGATAAATTTGATCATTTATACGACATAGGTCAGACTCGCCCAGATGTACGATCGACTCCGCCACCTGAATTGAGCAAAGAAGCGCATTTAGCCTTGAGTATGCTGGATCATAACAATGACTCTCCAACAACAAAAGGAAAAACTGTCGAGACTTTAACAATCGGAAAAATGAAGTATCGACAGTTCAAAGCAAGAGAACAAAAAAAGTTAGAAACAATGTCCAAACCAGAACGTGATGCTTACTTTGATCAAAAGAAAGCTAAATACCGAGAAGATTCAAGAAAACGAAGAGCAAAGATAGGTCATCGCATTCAGGGAGCACAGTCATATAGTAAACTCAAAAAACTCGTAGATACCAATTCAGCCACTTCAGAACAGGTGGAAAAGCTTAAAAAGATTAAAGAAAACAATCGAAACGCAAGAAGACGATGGCGAGTAGCACAAAAAGAAAGAATAAAGCAGGTTCGTACGTACAAGAAAGAAGGTACACTAACTCCAGAACAAGCTGAAGAACTTGGGAAATACGAAAAGAACTTAGAGAAAATGCGAAAGTCTTCTCAACGTGCTCGAGATCGAAAGAAGGCGTTGAAAACGCAAGCTAAAGAGCGTAACGACGCATGAATAGCATACAACCACATTTCTATTACACTCGAGAAGCTTGTTGAATGAATGGTGAATCCCATAAGCTCGCTAGTAGTCGCCTGTCCCCTTCCCAAGGCTTTCGGCCATGCTGAACGGCAAGATTATCGATCAATAAGACATCGCCCACACTCCATTCTACATTGACCTGTTCTTCCGAAGTAATACGCAAATTTTCCCGAATCCAGTGCTCTGAGAATGGGAAATCATCTTCCCTTGGATGTGAGCCAACGAGGTATGGCGGCAGCTGAACAGGAGGCTTGAGTGTTTGATTCTTCTGTTGAGCTTCAACAAATTCCAGTAGATTGGTTCGCCATGCGGATGCTTCTTGTTCATCCTGGCGTTTTTCCTCATCTGGTTTATGTAACCCTGCATAGACAAATCGAGTATGAACATTGGTAAAGTAAGAAGGTACTTTGAAGATTGGATGTTTGCGTACGCCCGGCGTTCGTTGAACGACAAGGAAGCTACCATCCGGCATCCAATGACCTGAGTATCCCTTTCGCTTCCAAACCGGTACATTTTCATCTTCTTCTGATGCATTTTCATCCCAACCTCCTTCACGGGCCAATGCTTTGACATTTTCTTCAACGATTGAGCGTTTTTCCGATTCTGATAAATTTTGAATTTGAACATTTTTATCTTGAGGACCGAATGCATTTTCATTGAATACGCTGTTTCCTCCAATGTGATTCTCCACGTTTCCCCGTGGATGATGAATGGCAAAAGCGATACCTTGCTTGGTAATCGTTAGTAAATAGTCATTCAATTCCGTATCGAAGCGGTTATGCAAACGCAAACTCGATGCGATTGGCGTTTGTCCACCCTTTTCGGGAGCTGAGAGGCAAAAGAAGGCGATGTAGGAAGGATAATGAGATGATAGACCATATTCGTTATGCGAGCCAATTTCTTGTGTTGGAGGTCCTTCATTGGCTGTTGCTACATTATCTGCATGAGGACGTCTAAGCACCATCAATCCTCTGTCAACATGTGGTTGCCAGCCTGTGCCTTTTGCTAGGGTATGCATGAAAGCTGAAAAATCATTGGCTGTGCGTAGAGGTGTGTTGCGGAATTGGACTACACCTCCTGAAGCTGTGAGTATTTTACGTAGCTCAGATTGATCTTGCAATGGTGCATTTGAGCTTATAGCATTCGTGCTTGGTTGAATTGACAGCTTCTCTGCGGAAGCTAAGAATGAGCTCAATGATTGATCACCTTGCGCTTGTGGCTCTAGGATGTGTGGGAAATCGACTACGATTGGCTGCGTTGCATTACCATTTGGAATCTCCAAGGATCTTTGATAGCTTGCTTGACCGGCTCTAAAGTCATTTGATGAATGAAGACCGATTGAAGCGATTGGAAGATTATTTCTTGGTTCTTGAGTAGCAACGGACATTTTTGATGATGAAAGTAAGGAAGATAGGTTGATGCTGAGAATGAGGAGCAAACCCGAACAAAGCACGCATGACCAAATTACCATCCACCCAATTCATGCAGGGACGTGAGCGGCTTTTGAGTCTTTATGCATGATAAGCCTGTTCCTTATGTTTAGCGTCTTTTTTGCGATTGCGCAATTGACCTTTAACGCACGTAATCCCCCCAACCTGATGAAAAAGGTACCATGAAAAGTAAGATTGAGTAATTACTTTTTTGTATAAAGGAACAAACAAATACTTTCTATCCTGCTTCCAGATATCATTTATCTCAACACGGTCCAAGATGATCTCAAAATTAAAGACCTTCTACCGATCCGTCCTATTCCAGATCATTATCGTTGGCTTGGTAAGCTTTGCTGAACCGGGAATATGGAACGCTTTGAACAACCTTGGTGCTGGTGGGCAACAAAAGCCATATTTAGTCAATGCTGCCAATTCACTTACATACGGTATCATGTCTATCGGATGTGCATTGGCAGGTGGATTATGCAATAGAATTGGACTCAAATGGACCTTGGTACTAGGTGTGATCTTTTATACACCTTATGCTTCTAGCTTATATTGCAATAATCGATTCGGAAATGAATGGTATGTCTTATTCGGTGCGGCTCTATGTGGAATCGGTGCCTCAATGTTTTGGGCTTCCGAAGCAGCAATAGGTGTAGGCTATCCTAGTGAAGATCAACGTGGAAGAATGGTGGCAATTTGGCTGGGAATTCGTAACCTTGCTCCGTTGATTGGAGGATCGATTTCACTCGCAGTAAATGTCAAAGGAACACAAGCAGGAAAAGTGTCCTATAATACCTATCTAGCATTGATTGGCCTTCAATGTTTAGGTCTACCATTTGCTCTGTTACTCAGTCCTACCGAAAAAGTTCGCAGACCAGACGGCACCCCAATTCCACATTTAAAAGGCAAACAAACTTCATTCAAACAGGAATTGCGTGAAATTTTCAAGACGCTAAAATTACCTCATATGGTCCTTCTCATTCCAATCTTTATCAGCGGAATCTGGGGGACAACATATCTTTCAAATTACCTCACTCACTATTTTTCCGTCCGTTCAAGGTCTCTGGCTGCACTTTTGACAGCAGTTGCCAATATTATCGGGGATGTCTTTATTGGCTTTCTTACCGATACGAAGACGTTAGGCAATCAAGCTAAAAGGGCAAGATTTACATGGTTGTTTTTTGCAATTCTGACAACCTCTTTATGGATCTGGCAAACGATCACGCAAGTTCACTTTACCCGAAATCCCCAAGCTGTGGGTTGGGAGGGAAGTACAGGTAGATTCAATAATGCATTTGCCGTTTTCATTCTTTGGAAGTTTGCATATGAATCTCAAACGGTATTCTTGTATTGGCTAGTAGGCACTTATCCTGTACAAGATGGATCGATGCCAAGAATCGTGGGCGTTTTGCGTACTTTTGAATCTATTGGCAGCTGTTTAAGTTATGCAGTAGGTGCAACTCACTGGGCAAATCTGAACCAATGCATTCTTTCGTTCGCATTGTGGATGGCTTGCTTGATTCCTACCACTTTGGCCGTTTTGCGTGTTCCAAGTCACTTGATCGAATATACTCAGCACACACCCTCTGACCCTGACCAAGAAGCAGGTTCTGAGCAAACGGAAAAATCAAGCATAGAACAAGGAAGTGAAGATAATGAAAGCGGCAAGCATGTTGTAGAAAAGGTGTGAAATTTCAATAGAGTACACGATAGAGCAAACTTAGAAATCAAATCTCATAGATGTATACAATATACCGTGTATGTAAGGATACTGATTATAATCATTGGAGCACATGAGACGGGGCATAAGAAGCCGCTGCGGCCTTGACTAATCCGACGGAAGTGTGACCTGAGGATGTTGCTGGGAGACTGCACTCTACACGACAGCATACAGCGTAACCTATACACAAATGCGGTGCAACAGTTGCATTCACCTGCTTCATACGTTCAGTAGAGAGCGAAAAGTACCAGATCAAACTCTTTTACATTCGGCAGTCTTATGCTCTCTGTCAGGAAAGATGCACTTCATAAAACGACTTTCCAGCTTCTCTTTGCTGGGTATAACAGCTGTTGCAATAAATACGGCTGGACAAACAGATAGTCCTCATTCACCGGATCGATCTCCTCCTCATGCATTTCACATCACCCAGTTGGATTGGGATAAATTTGACTATATGTATACGTTGGATGAACAGCCAATTCATGTCCATCAGCAATCGCCTCAGCACTTACCACAATACCCGCCTTCGTACTCGCCACAGCAATTACCTCATCACTCTCCAGAGCAATCTTCGAGAAAACCTTCTCCTCCTCCTTTTTCAACGCAATCTCAGCATCTTTTAAATGAACCTTCTTCTCTTCTAAAAGAACAACCTCTTACGGAAGCTCAAGAGAAGCAAAAGCGGAGAAGAATGAAAGATGCGGAAGCGCACAGAAAACATCGAAAAGAATTTAAGAAGAATGATCCAGTAGGGTACAAGGAGTTTAATAGAAGAAGGAATCTCGCAGCAAGATCTAGAAAGGAAATATCGAAAGCTAATTACACTGAAGAAAGGAAAACACAACTTAAAATTGCCCATAAAGCTTATCAAGTTAGCTACCGTCAACGTGTGAAAGCAAAAATAGGTTACTCTAAACCGATTGAATATAGATATCAATCGCTCAAAAAATTAGTAGAACAAAATAAAGCCACTCCGGAGCAGGTGAATCAATTCGAAACTCAGAGGGAAAAGAGACGTGATACGGTAAGAAAGTCAAGAATACGTAAAATGCAAAATGCACAAGCTGACACGCCAAAGTGAAAAGGCTGAAAAGTAACACTCACCCGAAGATATGCAATTGAGAGATACAAATGAGGAACGGGTCATAAGTGGCAGTGCACCGTGCAGAAAGCTATGAAGTCGTATGATATAATTCATGAGATTAGATCAAGCGGATAACCTAGACACGAAGGCGGCTATACCACTTGAGCAAGCTCATGATTGACTAAGCATTTCCTATATCGAACGCATTCGGGTCGAATTGTGTGTCGTATATATTTGTGGATGCTGTATAATATACGGGTATAACCAGAGGTCTATAAGAGTTGTTCGGGGCAATTGCGGTTTTCACAGATTGTAGTGTTTTGTCATCTCATGAAGCGTAAACCCATAGTGCTGTATTCATAAGGAATTATTTATCTTTCCTGCTATGCGAATATAAAGCATATCTTGTAAGATGATCTACTGTCTACCTTTCTATATATTATTTACTTTTGGGGTCTTCTTTAGTCTATTTACTTTTGTGTATTCGGGAAGACCACCAATAACATCCAAAAAGCAAGCACAACCTCAAAAGCTAGAGATTGATTTGAATCATCCTGCAACAGAGTGGGATGATGGAGATGCTCAACAGAAGCATACTATTACATCTCACTCACCTCAGCAACCAATTCAGCGCACACCTCAGCAATCTCCCCACCGCATTTCTCAACGTTCACCCCAGCTCGTACCTCAGCTCACACCTCAGCATTCTTCTCAATTATCCCAGCAATCGCCCCAGATCTCTCATCAGCAATCTTCTCAACGCTCTACGATTAAGCCAAGTCTGGCTAATGCTGCAGAAAAGAAGAAGCGTGCAAAGGAAAGAAATGCGGAATTGGCAAGGAAACGATTGTTAAGATTCAAGTTAAATGATCCGGAAGGTCATAAACAGTACAATCGAGAGAAATACCTTAAGCAAAAACCTCGACGACAAGAACTAAAAGCTCAATGTAGTGAAGAAAAGAAGAAAAAACTCAAAGCTATGAATGACTATTACCAACTTGGCTATCGTCAGCGTATGAAAGCTAAAACTGGATTCACCAAAACGGCTGACAGAAGATACAGCTCGCTTCAGGTCTTAGTGAGCCAGGATAAAGCAACTCCAGAGCAGATAAATCATTTCGAAATGGAGAGGGAAAAGCGACGTGATGCAGTAAGAAAGTCCCGATTACGTCGAAAGCAGAATATGCAAGCTGATACGCAAAAGCCAAAAGAGGATTGATACACATTTCTGCACTGCTTTCATTCAATCTTTGTGCCCCGATCGTTTGCAGATGAATGATACTTGAAACTCTTTGCTGTCAATCATGATTTGTTATTGATTATATTATAGATACGTACCATCTCCTAATCATAATGGTACAGTTGTACGGTTTTGGGCACGTTGTTGTCTCGTATTACTTGGTTATAATCGGATTTCAAGTAAGCTTCGCAGGTGATTCTGAAAAACAGATACTATCGCCAACGTTTGAGTCACTCAGCCTCCCGAGCCAGAATAGCAATAAATGGGAGGCTCTACTTGGTGTAGCAGAGAAAGAGTCTGCATCTTTTAAAGCAAAACGAAAGAGAAAAAGAAGAAGATCAGAGACTGATAGTGCCTCATCCAAGAAGAGGTATCAAAACTTGAAGCAAAAAGGTGGCGTGGAATACGAAAAGATGTTAGAACGGAAACGTCAAAATGAACGTCAAAGGAAGAAGAAGATTGCTTTGCAACAAACAGAAGAAGAAAGAGAGCAACATAGACTTTCTGAAAATCAGCGGAATAGAAAGCTCTACGTAAAGCGAAAAGAAAGGACTGGGTATTCCTCTAATAAAAGGAAAAGGCTTGTCTGGATCCGAGAGTTGATAGAAGAAGGTAAACATACACCGGAGCAACTTGCAGATCTAGAGGAAGATCAACGCAAGAGGAGGGTAAAGTATCAAAGAGAGAAAGCTAAACGTATTTTGATTGGAAAACAACTGGGTAAAGCTTCTAAAGGTCAGATATGAATTCAAATCTTATCATATACCTGCTACAAGATCCCTAAGCTTGCATCAATGAAGTCATAGCAATACAAGCGAATGCTACACAAATACGATCACAGCAACGCTTTCTGGAAGACTTACGGGTCTCGAACCAGCGTGCTTGTCTTCGACGTGATGCAGTGCTAATCAGATGAGTGAATCCGTAAGACGGAAACTCGCTGTAAATCGATGTTCCACGCACCGGTTTATCTCTTCTTGCATATTCCATCACCTTTCACGCACCTATCTCTGTATTTCCTAAACAATGAGGTTTGATTTGTCAGCTGTTATTGCATTATTGATCAGCAATTTATGGTTTTTCGCTAGGATTTGCCGAAGCCAAACGTCTCCAAATAGAAATAGGCGAGTCTCTCCTGATCCTAAAGATGTGGATTGGTCAACTCTTCCAGATCTCTTCCCTATCGATGACGAGTTACCTGGCTCAAGCCCTGCCCACAGTTCTAAAGCGACGATACCTGAGATGTCACACGACAGGAGTCCTGCGCCATCAACAGTCTTTGTCAGCGATAGGAAGAAGTTAAAAGCTGAAAGAGAAAGACGAAACAGTCAACGTCGAAAAATTGAATCACCAGATGCCTATCAAGCTATGCTCAAACGAAAAAGGGAACAAATGAAATTGTACAAATCAAGAATGACACCAAAGCAATTACAAATACATAGAGCAAAGCATGTCAAAAATCAAAGAGCTCATGAAGCTAAGATGTTGGCGGCCACAGGCTTTCGTAGTATATATCATGCTGACCTGGAGAAATTAAGACAAAATGAAGCACAAGGGACAATAACACCAGAAGATGAAAAGAAGCTCGCAATCATACGCAAGAAGAATGTGATCAGGAATGAAAAGTATTTTCCGCGTAAACGAGCCAGACCAAATAAAAAGAAAGACGGTGAGCAAAGTGGGTAATTGATATTGAAACCAATGATTTTGTATCATCACATGGTTCCCTCGAGCAATTAATTGCGTTTGTGTACGACACCACATTTGCATATTTGATTCGGGGCTCTACGTTTCTCTTTTTACACGATGAAAACCTTTACCGACTTTGAAATACCTGCATTTTTGAATCAAATGACGTTTATGACGGCATCTACCTGTTTTATTCTTGGAAGATCAGGTCAGCTATGAGGCGTGTGCTGTCTACTTATAATCCCCTTTTTGTGCTGGTGATCGTCATCATCAGTTTAAAGTTCACAATACAATCTCCAATGAATAGAAACCTACCCGGTTCGCCCATCGTGGAGGATGTGAATTGGTCTGATCTCGAGGACATCATACCTCTCGAAGACAGCATCAAAGATTATCCGAGAGAACATCCTCAATCATCACACTCGCCGCCTTTGACAGGAATATTGCCTGGGAAAAAGAGAAAGCTATTTAGTCCTGATGAAGTACTTTCTCCGGAAGAGAAAGCAGAAAGGAGGCGAAAAATAAAGACGGCAAGAAGAAAAGAATTGCGAGCAGAAAAGAAAGCAAAAGATGCGGCAGGACATGCAGCGATGTTGAAGGCCAATAACGAAATAGTAAAGAAGCGAAAATTAGCATTGACAGATGAAGAAAGGAGAAAGTCCAATGAACGAAGTAGAGTACGCCAACAACGTTATCGTCAACAGAGTAAAGAGAAAACAGGTTTTGCGACAAATTTTTATGCACAAATTCGTCAAATAAAACAACTCGCTGCAAGTGGGCAAGCGAATGATGAACAGCTTTCAAGACTTGCTAGATATACAGAGCGGCAGAAGAAAGCACAAAAGGCCAGGGTAAAAATTTCGAAAAAGTCTTTGGCTAATAGTTGATGTGTGAATTGTGGCAGTGATTTAGATAAAATGGAATCACTCGGGGCTAGAAATTACATCGGCTCTTTTCTTACTTGATGCTTTTGGTGATCCTTTCTTTCGAGTTCTTGCCGACCTTTAGCATCAAAAAAAAATATTTGACCTTCTTGTTATGCTGAAAGTTCTGCTGGTAGTCCTCTTGTTTGCCTGGATTCCATTCCTCTCGTATCAGAAGCCAATGGATGGCGAGAGACCCGTCTCTCCGGTCGATCAAGATATTAGCTGGTCGGATTTGGAAGACTTATTTCCGTTGGATGATGCAAATTCAATTAAGCTTCCTACCTCTTCGAACCCGTTGCAAAGCCAATCGCAAAGTCCTCCTTCTCACCGTTCAGGTCCTGCGCAATCGCCAAAGGACAGTCTTGATGAAAGAATGCAAGAATGGTTAGCACAAAAGAGAAAACAGAGAAGGGAGCGATATGCAAAAAATAAAGCGGAACATCCCGATGACTTCCATGCCGCAATTCAAGAAAAAAACGAGCGAATAAGAATAAAATTGGCAAATATGACAAAAGAACAAAGAGCAATCGCAAGTGCAAAGCGAGCTGCAAGAGCAAAAATCGCTCGTCAAAAAAGAAAAGAAAGGACTGGTTTCATGACCAAATCATAGCAAGATATTATTCAATTAAGAGTATTGGTGAAAAAGAAAGAGGCAACTGAAGAACAAATCCAAAAACTCAAGCGCTTGAATGATAGGAAATCAAGGGCAAAAACAAAGACGCCGTCATCCAACGTGGAAAGCGCAAACACGAAACGAACATGATTCAAACTCTTTCAATATTTAAACGTTGTTGTACATCTGCAATCGTCTCTGCTTACAAGATCCGACAAAGTAGAAAGGTATCTGTATGAATCCCAGTCTTTAGCATAATTTGTTATTTCTTCCGTCTGCTTGGCATACCACGAACAGGTCGATTACCTGCCGGCGCATTGGATGATGGAGCACCAATATTGAACAAGGAACCTCCTCCTCCCATTCCGCTAGGTGCTGGATTTGCTGCACCAAAATTAAAACCTCCTGCTCCTCCAGGTGTGGTGGGAGTTGCAGGTCCGTTTTGATTTCCGGTGCTGGGTGCACCAAACACAAACGCTGGTGGTGTGCCCGGTGTGCCCGTAGCACCATTCATTTGACTTCCACCACCGAAAGATGGTGCATTTGAAGTAGCATTGGACATCGGCATCGAAAATGAAAACGACATCCCATTGCTTCCTCCTGCACTGCTTTGGGGTTGTGTAGGATTGCTTTGCGCTCCTGCGCCAAAATTGAATGAAGGAGTCGCTCCGGATGAAGGTGCTGTTTGTTGCCCAAATCCACCAAATCCTGTGTTGCTCGTTCCATTCTGTTGTGCAGCTGGGGCACCAAACGTGAATGGTGTAGGCGCTGGTGATTGTTGTCGACTATTATTTTGACTTCCAAAAGGCGTGCTGCTTTGCTGACCAAATGACGTACTACCCGTATTGCCTGCTTGGCCGAATGCAAATGTGCCACCTGCAGCTGCATTATTTGTTGGTTGACTCGCATTGGTATCTGTCTTTGCACCGAATGTGAATGGACTTGATCCAGCTGAAGTGGATGGTGCATTATTATTCGAGGACGGTGCTCCGAACGAAAAAGCAGGTTTAGCAGCTTGGGATGCAGAAGAGGCCGCACTTCCGAATCCTCCAAATCCACCCGTGCTGTTAGTAGTTGATGGTGTGCTTGATGCTTGAGAAGGTGCTCCAAAGCTCATAGCGGGCTTGGTCTCATTGTTGGAAGGCTGTGAAGATGCACCGAACGAAAACGCAGTCGATTTCTTCTCTTCATTACTTCCGCTCGCAGGAGCACCAAAGGTGAATGTTCCAGGTGATGAAGTAGATGCGGCAGGAGCTGGACTGGCAGCAGGAGCTCCGAATCCTGTAAAGCTGCGTTTTGCTTGTGGCTCTTCTGCTTCTTTCTCATCATCTTGACCTCTCTTCTTCTTTCCGTCTTCGCTTGAAGTGGCGGAAGGTGCGCCAAAGCTGAAGGAGGGTGTTGGTGCAGTGGATGGGGCGGGAGCACTGCTTGGTGTTCCAAATCCTGAAAAAGATCCGGACGGTGCACTTGCTTTGGGAGCTTCAAAGCCCGAGAAAGCTGGTTTGGATGTCTCTGCCGGCTTGGATGCCGCAGGAGCGCCAAAGGAGAATGCAGGTGCAGTTGATGTACTCGATGGAGTAGGAGCAGGTGAAGCTTGACTTGCATTATTACCAAATGAGAAAGATGTTGTGCTCGGTGCTGGAGTGCTCTCAGCGGGCTTCCCAAAGCTAAATGCAGGCTTGGAGGTATCACTCGTGGTGTCCGCAGTTGATGCAGGTGTCCCAAACGAAAAAGCAGGCGTTTTTGGAGCTTCTGGAGCAGGCGTACTAGACTTAGCCAAAGAAGAGGCAAAGAAATTGGGAATTGGCTTCTGACCTTCTGCAGCAGCAGGCGGTGTTGCAGATTGTTCCTGTTTCTTTTTCTCTTCAGCACTTGGAGCAGTAAAGAAGTTGGATGAAGGAGCCGGAGAAGCGGATGAGCTCGTAGGTTGAGGAGATGAAGCGCCGCTACCACCAGCAAGGGGAGATGAAATAGCAGGTTGGAACGAAAATGCTGGCTTGTTCAACGGTGCTGCAGAAGTTTGAATTCCACCTTTTGGTGACGAAAGCGAGAAAGTGGGAGGTGAAGGAGAAGACAATGAAAAGCCAGGTGCTGCCTGAGTTGCTTCAGGTGCAGCAAATCCGCCCATTCTACTGAGCAATGATGATCCTTCGGCTTTACTTGCATCCTCTGTACTGTTTGACGCTGGTTGTTCTGTCAGAGGCTTTACCTGTGGTGATGAAGCTGTACTTGAAGCAGTGCTAGGCGCCGAAGAGAAAGAGAATCCTTGAGGGAAGAGATTGGTGGGCAATTTGATCTTGCTCAATTCCTCAGCACTCGGCGAATCTTCCATAGCATCATCATCGTCATCATCAATTCCAACACGACCAGAACGTGTATGTGATCTGCTAGTCTTTTCAGCGCCTTGTCTTAGTGAAGAACTTCTTCTGTTCTCGGAAGAATCGGTACTGCTTCCGGCATCATCCATCTTGATACTAAATTTGTCCCTCGACGGTACAGCTGCTTTTGCCGCATCTGCCGTTGCGGCGGATGTTTTGGCTGCATTTGGGCTGCTGAATGGATTTTGACGTTCAGCACGTTGCTTGTTTGCTGCTGAAGAATTACTGACTGAGAATCTCGCTCTGGACATTGGTGCTACTTTCTCCTGTTGAGGTGATACTTGGCTTGCTCGTTTTGGAGGAGAAACTTGCGTGGAGATGACTTTGCCTGATCTCAATGTACGAGGTTCGTCTTCCATCTGTACAGGAGCCTCAGTCCGCTTCTGTGTTGTTTGTGGCTTCTGCGGGGCACTTTTTCCAGCTTGTCTTCTTCTAGGAGGCTCTTCAATTTCTTCTTCTTCCTCTTCCTCCTCATCTTCACTTGCTTCGGATTCCTCTTCATCAGAATTCTCTACCTCTTGATCCTCAGACCCCACAGACATCGCATCTGAGTTGGCCTTTGCGATCTCTTTCCGTAGGCGTGATCGCAAGCCAACAGAAGCTGGTTGATCAGTATGTTGCATCTTTTGCTTACGCATCGCACGAGCATATGGCGAAACAGCTTTGACATAATCACCAGCACCACTTCTTCTCGACGAGTCCGATGAAGGTACTGCTAATGGGATATTGATTGGTTGATGTGATGAACGTGCTGCACTATCCCTTCTTGCATCTCCTAAAGGTGTACGCATACCCTCCAAAGCGTTCAAAAGTCTTTCAGCTTCGTTGTTCGCTGTAGGTTTCGGAGGTCTTGCAGCTATCTGTTCCTGTCTCGATATAAAGCCCAATTCGGAATCCCATACCATTTGACGCTTTCGTGGATTGGCGTCACTCATCATTGAATCGCCATCGATGCTCATACTCGCCCCCCTTTTCAATGAACCATTCTGTGTAGTCGCTCTGGACATTGCATTAGGATCATCCTCCGCCATTCTCGTATCATTCAGAGCAGGATGAACGATACTACGCATGTCGTTATTCGTTGCTGCATCACGCATCGCAAGATATTCTTGCATCAATTCTTCTCCTTCTGAACGTCGAACACTTGGAGGAGCCAATTTGAGACTGCTCCATTCCCTTCTTTTCGGTGTGGTGCCACGACTGCTTGCCCTGCTATTTGCGACTGAACCAGCTCTACTTCCATGGAAATCACCTCCAAACATACTGACTGGTCTGACAGGTGTTGTGATCAATCCTTGTCCACTTTGTCTTACGCCAGGAGAAGCTCTCCCATGCAAACTGCCCATCTCACTAGCTGCTGCTGAGCCACCCAGACTACGTCTCTGTTGAATCGCAAATGGAGAACGAGAAGGCAGACGATTGTACGAGGTTGAAGCAAGAGGAGAATGGGATGCCGAGCCTGCACCGCCATACAAACTTGCAGATGTTGTCAAGCCTCCTAATCGACGTTCAGATCCGAATCCATAAGCAAAGGAAGCGCTACTGTGCGCCTGAGAAGCACTTCCGCCGCTTGCAACGCTTCCATCTCCCCTTTGCGATCCTGATCTTCTATACCCAGGCGTACCAAGTAAACTTGCGGAACTTGCCACGCCGTACCTTGATGCATTTGATGGTTCCACCGAAAGACGTTGACGACCATGAGATCGAATGATTGCACTGGCCGAAGAACGAGCAGGCGAAGGAGATCGATGAGCATTTGCTGATTTTGGGGTATCTTGAATTGCAGAACCATTCCCCGACAATCCCAATTGACCGCTACGTGATGGAAGTCCGACCGTATTTCCGAGATAGGGAGAACGTGAAGGCGTGCTTGGCGGAGGAGCAACAAAAGCTGAAGGTCGAGAAGAGGTTGTACCGAATTCATGAGTAGCAAATGTATTAGAGCGAGAGAGTGATTGCGCATTTCGTTGAGCTGCTACACCTTTTTCTGCCTCTGTTCCAATTGAATTCGATGAGCGTGAAGTAGGCAAAGAGTCAGACTGAGCAGCGCCCGATTGAAGCCAACTTAGAGGTCGCGAAAAGATTGCTTGACGTAAACCAGAGAGCAATCCACCCTTTTTGCTGGAAGGCGTATTCGCATTTTGCTGGGGCGTACGAATGGTGGTGGATGGTGATGTAGCATTGCCAAAGCGTTTACTCGTTTGTCGATTGGGTGTGACCGTATGTGCGCTGGATGGAGAATCGAAGCCTTGTTTACCTGATGGCCCTAAAGATGACCTTGCGTATGGTTTGCCAAGTGATAATCTTTGTGCTCGTGATTCACTCTTTCTTCTTGATGGACCGGTCAATGATCGTGAAGGCGTTCCAAGTTCTGGATCCTGTGCATCTTGGCTGACAAAGGAAGACGTCAGCCGGGACGTCATTTTGAGCTCTTCAGATATGGGAGGGAGGTTTGCTTTAGAGGGAGATCAACATGAATGCTTTGATCTTGTGAGAGGTTTGATGTTTGTTCTTCTTCTTGCACACCCGCGTATGTTTGATAGAGATGCACCGCTTTGCCTGCTTGTCTATCGCACGATCAACCTTTGATTACTTGTATCAGATTTCCCTCTCGCTTTTGCGTTGTTGATCGCGTTGAATTGTCAATGATGGCAGCGGCAAAAAGAAGGAAAACTTATTGTAAGAAAAAAAGAGATCGACAATTGCCTGTGCGAAATTACAGAGCCAGAGCCAGAGAACACGCGCCAGGCTTTACCGCCGTAAGAAAAGAAGAACTTACCGCTGACACGCGTTAAAACCCTCCTTACGCGAGGATGCTTATTGACCACCACTCTGGCGTGACCAACAAACCACATAGAATAGCCTCAGCTCTGATTGTCATAAGCATGTCATTGAGAATATAGATATACAGTGTAAAGATGCAATATGTGAAATATTTATGTGTGAAAAGGTTGAATCATCTAAGCTTTAGGAGGTGGACCGAATCCATTTGCGGGTGGCATTTTCCATGGCGTTGGATTGGCATCCAAGGTATTGGCAGAAACTGTATTTCCCCACCATTCGATAGAGATTGATCCATCTTTGGGTAATTGCAAAACCAAAAAGATTACCAAAGTAGAAACAATCGTTCCCGCATCCAATGCAGCCGAAGTGACAAAATTGTACTTACTCCACCAACGGAAATTATACTTTCTGATCAAATATTGGAAAATAAATGCAGTCGTAAACCAAGCCGTATAAACAATTCCACTTGCAGGAGGTGAAAATGTTGCTCCACTCAAAACGATCGGAACAGAGACGAACTTTAACCATGATTTAGGGTATTTTCTTGCCAAGAACCAAAACGGTACCGGCAATACCAATCCTGCCAACATGGCCCAGTATAGAGGTTTGTATAATCCTCCATTTCCAAACAATCTTTGCGGTCCAATGATTCCCCATACGATAGAGGATGTAAAGAACACACGTGCGTGAGGGCATGAAAATCTATGTTCTTGATCTTGCGCACACAAATTGTGAACACGAGCAATCATAAAACGAAGAACACCAATTTGAACAAACGAATTCCAAATGGTAAAGATCGTTTGTGCTGCGAACGATTGACGTGGTGGCACTTTCATATAATGACCAAGTTTTAAATCTTGCACAAAAGTCAAACCATTAGAGAGTGTGTTGAAAGCGTATGTCTTGAACATCATATTGGCCAACGGAAGTCCGGGTAATGAATAACCTGCAACCACTTCACCGATCAAATTTGTTCCAATCGTCGTTCCCGTCATTGCATAAATGAAACCAGAGGGCAAAAAGTACACGATCGGAATCGCAACCGCCACGACTAATGCCCATACAGGCATATCGGTGTCGTATACCTCAATGCAAATAATACCAAGGATGAACATCAATACACCCAAAACAAAGTACCACCAAGATGGAACTTCAGGGTATCTTCTCATGAATTTGGCGTGGATATCATCTTCTTCCGTTCGTACTCTTCGGACACCACGCCATAATGCTTTGCCGTGATACAGAATTGTATGAGACAAAAGAGCGGTAGCGGCTGCGAATCCTGTTGTATATAGCATCGTATATGTTGCCGATAAGAAAAGAGGTGAATAGGCTTCGTATGCTTCTACGTTGAACGATTTCAAATTTTGAATCACTCGGAAGATGTCGTATGGTTGACCATGGTTGTCGAATGCTTGGGTAGTGTTGAAGGGCATATAAGCGGTAAATAGTGTGTTGGTGAAATAAAGTGATAATGTGCAAACGATGAGCCAAAGAACGAATCCGGTGAAGGTATTGCATTCAGCCCACCAGGGGAAAATGAGCGGAGATCCAATGTAGTTGATCTGATTCCAATCGAATGTCAAAACGCTCAACCCAAGACCGGTTTGTGTTCCAAACAATGTGTTGATGATGAAATTATTCGGCCAAATCCAACATAGCCATCCGAATGTGGACAATGCATTGAACAAATAACTCGGCACAAAGTTCCACAAAAATGCTCCACCCATTACAAAGGAGAAGAAACGGAATCTTGACATGGAAGAATCGTATGCATCATCTTCTGCGTGCAGTGTGTTGAGAATGGTTGTGATAACCAAATTTTGTGGCCAAATCATACTTGCGGGCCAGACCAAGAATCGTCTTGACATACCAGCCAGTGACATTCCGATCATCGATGTTGAGATTGTGTACAGGATTGTGAACAAGATTGGTTTTGGAGTGTCGTAAAAGTAGACTGATTCCACGGTCAGTACGGTATAGAGCGAATACGCTTGTGTTGTGCACAAATTCATAACGATTGTGATTAAAGTGTGCTCTTTGATGTTGAACAAGCCTGGGTTTAGTGAGAATTTGCTTCCACCTAGCCATGAAGGGAGGTAGAATGTGCGGATTGGCATGATTGTTGCCAAGAACTTACCACAAGGATATGCGATCAATTGCATAACGATGGGCATCAGAGTAGGAGCAGGATACCGCAAACTTAGCACGGTATTGACCGCACTTGCAAATGTGCTAAGAATGAAACAGAGGAACCATGCACGCAATGTACCGCAAGGCATATCTGGATCATCGATATTCGATACGGAAGCTCTCACTTCAGGGTAAGGGGAATCTTCCTCCGTTTCCAGTTCCAGCTCGACCATCCGTAGTCGCTTGTTTCCCATTTCATATTGTGATAATCCGGATGGAGAAAGCTTCATTCCGCCGTCCATGCCAACATCTCTCACCAAACCGTTGTCCATATAATCTCCTGCCATTTTGTCATCTACATCATCATAGGGTGATTTGCGATCGATTGCTGTGAGGTTGAAGGGGAGATCGTGCATCGGACTCATGCCTGCATCAGCTGCTTGACTCAGTCTGTTTGTTCTCTTTCGTAATTGTCCCGATACATCACGGCCCATTTCGTCCAATTGTTGTCCACCTAATGCAGTCATTCCCACATCTCGATCACTTGTGACTTGAGATGGCGCACCTTCTCTGCTGTGGGGTAGTTCCATCAGAGCCTCCATCGAGACGGGGAATCCTGAGATTGCGCGAGCATGATTTAGGATGGGTGTATTCATATCACGATGTAGGCTGGACGTATTTGAATCTTGACGGGTGAGTGATGCCATAGAAGGGCCTCCTCCTAAGCGTGATGACATTCCCGGTCCTAGATCTAAACTTTGTCCGGGAGAGGGATTGGCAACTGCAGCTGGTACAGTGATAGAAACATCACCAATAGGTGAAAGTGGGTTGCTGATCGATCGTTTTTGTCCTGCAACATCGTCCAGCGCTGTTGCACCCGAAAGAGGTCTTCTCAAACTTCCGGAACTGAAAGGCCTTCTTCCGGTTTGGGTATCTGGTTGTTGTTGACCGATCAAATTTGGATCGAAATCGGCGGGCATGTCTACCAATCTTCCTTGTGCATCATAAACCGCACCTGTAGCTTCGTCATAGTAGAACGTCTCTTCTTCTCCCAACATACCCGTTGATGATGGCCCTGCATTTGAATTTGGATCTGCGACAGTTACATTTGGACCGTCCAATTGAACAACATCTGCAGATGGACCTAAATCCGGAGGAACAAAAGCAAACACATCACCATCATCTTCCGTTTCGTAATCATCTTCATCGTACTCTTCTTCTTCTTCTTGAATGTATTCTCGTGATCCGTATTGATCTTGTCTGTATTGTTGTGCGGCAGGATTTGCAGTTGGGGGTCTACTACTATCTGCTGTGCCTGAACGTGAGACTGTTCTTCCTCCTGCTGCTGTTAATGGTCTAGAAGCCGAAGTGCCAGGTCTAGCAGATTTTAGCCTTCCACCTGCTGATCCAGACCGAGTTGAAGGTCTTTCCTGACCGCTCATTTTTGGTGGTATATTGAGGTTGTGATGATGATGTGCAAGAGTCAATGGTGATGATTGTATGTATTCCTTCTCCGCTATTAGTATTACTCGATATTATTATTATTCGTATGCTTGAATATAAAATCCAAAATGAAAAAACGGTTCTTGCTTTAATATGTGTGTGGCGCATACAAGCAGAGCAGCTGCACAACGCAGCGCAGCGCACACCTTTATGTGTATTTACATGCCCAGCCGGCACGGAAGGATGTGTACTATCATTGAATGCGCTGACTTTAAGAACCTGCATACCAAAGTCAAATTGAGACTGTGCATGTACCTGAAGCAGACCCACTTTATTATGATTATCATTCTACACTAGGAAGGCCAGCTGTGCAAAGTAGATTGTGCGGAAGCAATCATATAAATCCTTAGCGTATTTAATCAAATTGATCTGATCTGCATCCTTACAGAGGCAAACCCGCTCAAATTCACCGATTGCTTGCTTGCTTTATTTTTGTTCATCAATGTCAAATCAAGAGAGAGAGGGACGAGGTCCAAGCTTTTGATTCACTTAAAGTCCCTCTTCCCCTGTTTATAAGCAAGGGGAAACCTCACATGCGCGTTAGGATGATGTTAGCTTCAAATGACAGGTCAATTCTTGTTGCAACTTCTGGTGATGTGCATGCATCGGCTGTCCAAACTTAATCTACTCTGCTTCCGTTGAAACTTTAAAAAGTCATGGGAAAAGATGATCATCGTTGGCTAAGGTTATAATCGTACCTGATTCAAAGCGTGGCGTTCTATGCAGATAGGTACACAAGGAAGACAATCATTTCTAGATCATCAAGGGGAGAAGACGCTTTGACTTAAAAAGCAGATAAAAAAGTATATCTTCAACTATTTGAATATCTCTAGTTTGTTGGAATTGTTGTTAGATTAAATGTTCAGCATCTTACGCAATACTGAAACATGCTAAAAACAGTAGTCACCGAAAGAGGTGCGGCAGGTTAAGTTTCACCATCTTTGCTTTGAGTTCACGCGTGGCTCAACACGTCAGAACGCGTACAGCATAGCGCGTAAACCCAAAGCGTGTAAAACACGGCAAATTGCATTCATTCTAGAACAACACTTTTCCATACAAGAACTGTTTGTTGCACTCCATCACGACGTTGATCTAATCAGACTTCGATCAGAATGGAGGAAAGTTTTCCGCCATCAACAGCGGTGGGAACCTTTGGGAACACAGATAAAGATTTACACGTTCAACCTGCCCATTCATCCGGTTTAACACGTTTGATTCATGCTCGTCAAGTTAATGGCAACAAGGATGCTTGCAGAATGTTTACAGGAGGTGACGATTATCTCGTTCGTATCTTGCCTGCTGAACAATCTAGCAACCTCGAAGATATCACATTGGAAGAATCTACCAAACCAATCAGCTGGTTAGACGCCAACGCAGATCTTCTGGTCGTTTCTAGTGAAGACGGATACGTTAGAATCTATGAAATTCCTGCTCTGATCGAACAGCAAAATGCTGGAATGGATCTTTATTCCACTTCAACAGAGCCAATCTTGTTGAGCAGAAGTGCATTGCCAGTTCGTTGTGCATCATTGGAGAAAGCAGTAGGAAGTCAAAAGACGCCTAGGATTGCCGTTTGTACTGATGATTTAACGGTAAAGGTAATCGATGCTGGTGATCCAACACGCGTTCAACTGCTTACAGGTCATCAACGTGGCGTTCGTGCAGCTTCATGGTCACCGATCGAGCCTACTCTTGTTACATCCTCATGCGATGGCACAGTGATGGTGTGGGATTTGTCCACATCTGAACCAAAATTGATCAAAACTTTGAACGATGTCATCGCATCCGGTAACAAATACTCGGAATTGAACGCAGAGGCAATCTGGCATCCTTCCGGTGATTTTTTCTTGTTACCATCAAAAACACATGAAATCGTCGTCTGCTCTGCAAAGAATGATTGGCGTACATTCGATGCTGGTTTCGTTGTTCCTGAAGGTAGCTCAATCAATCCTACTACAGGAGATGTCTCTTTCATGGCTTTCAGTCCAAATGGTCTCTATCTTGCCGTCGGCACAACGGATGGCCAAGTGATCGTTTGGGATTGGAACAGCAAGAAGCCGATCACTTCAAAAAGAGCACAAGCCTTGGTATCTGGGATCAGCTTCCATCCTGCACAAGATGCATTGGCTTGGAGTGATTGCGAAGGTCAAATCACACGTTGGAGCAGAGTGGTAGGACCAAGCAGACAAAGTCCTTTCGATCTCTCACTTCTAGAAAGATCATCAGCTAAGGGTAAGAGTGCCATGGACGCAGATTCCCTCTTTGACGCAGACTTCAACGACGATGACATTATGGAACTGGAACGAGATGAGCCGACAGAAAATGTGGAATCGACCTCCAGATCAAAGAAAGCAAGACGCTCACGTTATCCAAGTCATTCTGTTGCGTTCAACGAAACCAAAGCTCAGACAGCATTCCAACCGACAGCTACACCAATGCGTAACTCAAGACGTTACTTAGCCTTCAACGCAATCGGATCATTGGTCACTATCGATCAAGAATCGCATCAGTCCATCTCATTTGAGTCATTTGATACTGGGGCAAGACGCAACTGGCGTTTCGTTGATCATTTCGGATACAATATGGCTTCGATTGGAGCTCACGGTGCATTGATGGCATGTCCCGAAAAGAATGGAGCAGATAGCTTTGACGGAACAGATGAAGACGTGGACGAAGATGGAAATGAAAAAGATCGTGGTCATGCAAGTAACATTCATTTCAAGCCATTTGAAGTTCCAGGAGGTTGGGCGATTCCGGGATCGGAGTGGTCAGTCGATTTACCAAGAGGTGAGCACGTTACTGCTCTTGCAATGGCAGGTCGTCGATCGGCTCAAAAAACTGCTGTGGATAGCTGTACTGCTATTGCGGCTACTACTGAAGGCTATCTTCGCTTCTTTACAGGAGCAGGTATCCAAAAGTACATTTGGGCATTCGGCTCACAAGTGATTTCCATGGCCGCTGGTAACAGATTTGCCTTGATCATTCATCGTAACGGCGCAGCGGCAGATTATCATCAGAACATGCTCTTCACCTTGATCGATGTCAGCTCCCTCGAGATTCGTCAACAAGGTGTTCTGCCTTTGGTAAACGGAGCAACATTAACCTGGCTCGGATTCAACGATTTAGACATGCCGGCCATCTTTGACAGCCGTGGCGTATTGTACTTCCTTGATCGCGCTCTCTCTTTATCTGGTCAAGCAAGATGGTCACCCGCTCTCGATACGAGACAAATGAAGAAAGACGGCAGAAGGGTGTTTGAAGACGGCGTACGTGGAATGAGATATTGGCCTGTTGGATTGGATGGAACAAATTTGCTAGCCATCCTGTTGAAAGGTCAACAATACCCAGATGCAAGTGCGACAAGCCGTCCTTTGATTCAAGAAGTACCCTTCAGCATGCCAGTGATCAACCCTTCCACTCCTGCGGGTGCGTTAGAAGAACAAGTTTTACGTCAAAATCAATTGGCTGCCTTTTCACGAGCATTCCGTTCTTCTCTTCTACCGGAAGAGGAAGATGATGAATATTATCTCGACGTTCTCGAACAACCGTTGGCAAAAGCTGCTGCAATGGAACATGAATCAGATAAGGCTTTGTTGCAATTGATTCAACTAGCATGCAAATCTGATCAACACCAACGTGCCTTAGATGCTGCCCGTGAATTGCACACCAGCAGAACGCTTGAAGCCGCATTGCAGATCGGAGCATTCTTCCATCAAAGCAGCTTGATCGATCGAATGAACAGCTTACGCGGCTGGATTGCCGAAAGACGTGAACGTGATGATCGTACCATGGGCGGTGTTCCATTCATCACCGCTTACAATGACGGTCAAACATCACATGCTCCTCCTTCTTCCCGCGTTTTGGTGGCCGGCAGTCCGAGTCCTGCGATGTTGGATGGAAGTGCTGATCGTGTAAGAGCAAAACAGGCATTAGGACGTGATTTCAGCAATGGAACAAACGGTCATAGATCTTTCGGCGCTGGAAGAACATCCGATTTGGCCAAATTGGGTCAACAGCCAAACAATTCATGGAATGTCAGTCCAAGTACAGCAGCAGCATCAACTGCACCTCCGCCTTCATCTTCTATCGTACATGATGACGAAGCTAGCCGTGGCAGTCCAGTTGCAACACGCAAACGTACTACATCCGAATCTGAAGAAGATGGATACGATTCAGGCTCAAATAAACGAGGAAAAGAATCTGCTGCAACATCGCCCTTTGCAAACAAGACGAATAACTCTTTCGCAAAGCCTCAAGCTGCTGCTTCTTCCAATAAAACTGCCAAGAATCCCTTCGCTCGTACAGCAGGAATGAGCCGCGATAAGAGTATGCATAAGAGCAACTCTTTCTTCGATCGTGTAGAGAATGTCACTCAACAAGCAAACGCAAATGCGAAACCACCTTCAAGACAATCAAGCATGGGAAAGACCAAACAAACCACTTTGTTTGGAATCACGAGAACGAGTAAGCCAAAATCAACACCTACTGCAACTCCCGCTTTCGGCGATCAAGAGAGTCAACAATCTGACAACGGATTTGGATCTGAGGAGAGTTTGCGTCTAACTTTAAGTTCAGCACAGCAACGCGACGAAGAAAGTCAAGTTCGTTTAGAGGAAACACAGTTTAGTGCCGATGGTAACGAAGAAGACGATGAAAGTCAACAGCGCTTCGATGCTGAACATCACCGTGCTGCTTCCTCTTCCATTCCCGTTGCCTGATCATACATGTTTCGAGACCTGTACATTCTTATACAATAGCATTCATTCACCTTACCTGCTCTGATCTAAGGGACTCTTTGTTTCACTGGCTGTTTCATGTATGTCGAAATTCGCATTGCTGAATACAAGTGTTTATATGTTTGTGGATGAATGAACGATTGCACGAAAGACAAGGCGAATACGTGAGATAACGTTTGTTCTTCGGTTGTGGGTCAATTAATTTGTTCATAAGTACCGCAACTTGAACCAAAGGAGCAAACGAGAACCTGCGCAAATCTTCTTTGTTTGGGGATGAGCTGATCAACAGCATCCACCTGAACTTTGATCGGCGACAGATTGTCCTTGACCGAGCTTGACGTTAGATTTACCACCGGCAGCGTTTCCAACTGTTGAAGATCCCATGCGGTCCTTAATATGTTTGGCCATAGTCAAGAATGCTTGTTCTACGTTTGTGGCTGATTTTGCACTTGTTTCAAGGATAGGCAAGCCGAGTTGATCTGCAAATTCTTTTGCGACATTGTATTCTACCACTTTCTTGTTTGTCAAATCACTCTTGTTTCCTACCAACAATTTGTTAACACCTTCTGTTGCGTATCGGTCAATTTCCTGCAACCATTGTTTGACGTTTGCGAATGTGTCTTGGTCGGTGGTATCATACACGACTATGATACCGTGTGCTCCACGGTAGTAAGAGGATGTGATGGTACGGAAGCGTTCTTGTCCAGCAGTGTCCCAGATTTGAAGCTTTACTGTCTTTCCTTCCAGCTCGACCGTTCTAATCTTGAAATCAACACCAATTGTTGAGATGTAACTTTCGCTGTAAGAATCATCAGCAAAACGAAGCAAGAGACAAGATTTTCCAACACCGGAATCACCGATGAGCAAAAGCTTGAACAAGAAGTCGTATTCAGGATTCATTTTTGTATATGATGAGAGATGGTGGTAACGGCAATCAGGAGTACACTAAATAAAAATACACGCACATGCACGGCGCGCACAACACACACGCACACACACACACATCGCGCCCGCCCACAGGAGCTCTCTTATGCTTGAATGGATGCACACGCCCTGGCTGGATGCATGTCCCTCAATTAGACACTAATGAAAGCGCAGCGCTGCGTACGCGTTGATTACTTGTCAGCCCTGCTTGAAAGGCGGCGCACGCAACGCAACACACCACTCAGCCTAACCAACTCATGCTGGCTGGCATAAGGGGTCACCACGGTACGCAAGGAAATCTGTAGATTGAGACAATAAGACTTCCTCTGATCGTTGATAAGATGAAAACGACCTAGTATAGATTAAGTAGAGAATGGATGGATGTGAAAATGGATCATTGCGGCCAGGAAGATAAACTCCATTTCATCAAAGTCATTTTTGGGGTTATCTTTTATGGCAAAGTCGCTTTTGAATTGCACTTGTGGCATCCGTTTGCAACGTCAAAGCTTGCATAAAACGGCTGACTTTTAGAATGAGAGCATATATAGTTTCAAGTAGCAGATAAAAAATATTGATTGCGGCCAAGATGCAAAACAATTTTGAATAAATGCGCTCAATTATTTACTTTTGCTCAACAATAAAGAACAACGGTAGTAAATAGGTTACATTTCACAAGCTTGCGTGACAAAAACCTATTCGAGCGCTGTATTTGCTAATCTTTGGCACATTTCTGGGTTGTATTTGCGTTTTCACACATACAAGTAGTCCATCCTACGATGGCGAGCACCGAAGGACTGATCACGGTGAGATTGATTTAAGACACGTGCAGAGAGCTGCTGACTAAGCCGTTCATGCCCAACCAAATGATCCGTGCAGGATTATGGCGTGCTAGGTGCATGAATATTGCGAATAAGAAGAAGTTTGATTTAGCGTTGTTTGTCGTAGTGTCTTTCTACCTCTAAAGAGCAGTATCTCCGACTTTTCTTAATGGGAAGCGAAGCCATGCTCGCCTGACCTTTTTCTTTTCTTCATTAGAGCGGCATTTCGTGATTGTCATGATGAGCACGTTTGCAACAACAGTGACAGAAATAAAAGAAGGTTAATTAGACTATTGTTGAACGGAAGAACACTGTTAGTATGCATAGATACAACCCGTACACAAGAATATAAAGAAATCTAGTAGCTCTTCATCATCCTACCTTCATAACCATAACCATCTTTCTTTGCTTCTGCTTGTTTCAGATCGCAAATTGTATCTCTGTCTTTCATAATGGCTTCTAACTTTGATACCCTTCAATTGCACGCTGGTCAAGAACCTGATCCAGGAAGCAATGCTCGTGCCGTTCCAATCGTCGCTTCAACTTCTTTCGTTTTCAACAACAGTGAACATGGTGCTAACCTTTTCGGTCTTAAGGAATTTGGTAACATCTACTCACGTTTGATGAACCCAACCAACGATGTCTTTGAAAAGCGTGTTGCTGCTTTGGAAGGTGGTGTTGCAGCTGTTGCAGCAAGTTCAGGTCAATCCGCTCAAGCCTTGGCTTTATTGTCTTTGGCAGCCGCTGGTGATAACATCGTTTCCACATCATACCTTTACGGTGGTACTTACAATCAATTGAAGGTTCTTTTCCCACGCTTCGGTATCACCACAAAATTCGTCAAAGGTGACAAGCCTCAAGACTTTGCACAAGCAATCGATTCTCGCACAAAGGCTATTTACATCGAAAGTATTGGAAATCCACGATACAACGTCCCAGACTTTGAAGCAATCGCTAAAGTTGCTCATGATAACGGAATTCCCCTTGTAGTTGATAACACTTTCGGTGCAGGTGGTTATCTCATTCGTCCAATTGACCACGGAGCAGATATTGTGGTCCATAGTGCAACCAAATGGATTGGTGGTCATGGTACCACAATCGCAGGTGTCGTTGTCGATGCCGGTAAATTCGATTGGAAGGCAAGCGGAAAGTTCCCACAATTCACCGAACCATCTGAAGGATATCACGGTTTGAAATTCTGGGACACATTCAAGAACATCACATTCGCCATTTACGTTCGTGTTGTTCTTTTGCGTGATTTGGGACCAGCATTGAACCCATTCGGTTCATTCTTGTTGCTTCAAGGTTTGGAAACTTTGAGCTTGCGTGTTCAACGTCATGTCGATAACGCTTTGGCAGTCGCTAAGCACCTTGAAGCACATCCTCGTGTTTCATGGGTCAGTTACCCCGGTTTGGAATCTCATCCAAGTCATGCTTTGGCAAAGAAGTACCTCAAGAACGGATTTGGTGGTGTTTTGAGCTTTGGTATCAAGGGAGACGCAAAGGCTGGATCTGCATTTGTTGATTCGTTGAAATTGGCATCCAATCTGGCAAATGTCGGTGACGCAAAAACACTTGTTATCCACCCTGCTTCCACAACACATCAACAATTGAGTGATGAAGAACAATTGGCAAGCGGTGTCACCAAGGATTTGATCCGTTTGAGCGTGGGAATTGAATTTGTTGATGATATCATTGCAGACTTGGAACAAGCCTTCAAGGCAACCTCTGGTGTTTCTGGTCAGATTCCTGGAGGAGAAAAGGGCCCTGCCGGTGCAGCATCATTGGCTGGTGCAGCATAAAAAGGATGTCAATCCACAATCTTAATTTTATGATCCGTTCAACCTGGGTCAGACATATATTTGCAATATGTACGTTCCGTGTTATGCCTACAATGAAAATTTATCAAAGATAAGTGTTGTATTCGCCTCTGAGTGTGTTAAGAAGAACTGCAGTCCGCTGCAAGGTGTGAAGATGATGATCCCAGATGTCAATTCTCATCTCCGGCACTAAATTGTCTCTACGCGCTAATCTCCGACACGCACAGACAAAAATAAGCATTGATCCTTCTGACAGATCACAACTTTCTTTCACTCCATAACATCAAATTATATGAAAGTGCTTCAACGGTCAGCATACATCTTTGCACAATGTCGATCGCAATGGCAATCCAACCTTCGTTCATATTCTCAATCAATGTCAGTGGAACACAAACTACAAAAAGTCGAAGAAGAATATCTAAGTGACGCACATTTACGCATACTTTCTTCACCTTTGCGAAGATGTCAATCATCAATGATGGTTTTACCAAAAATGATGATGTTCAAATTGGTTGGTTTGAAAGATGCAGATGAAAGTCCGTTTAAGTTGATGGAAGAATTGCAGAAAGAAGAAGATGGTTTGCGTGAGAAAGAAACGGGAAAGTCGGATAGATGGTTCGGTCGGCAAGCAAGAGTCATGCTTACCAATAGACTGAAACAGGAAGCAGATATGCTCAAACATAAAATCGCTACCAGTCAAACGGAAGAAAGCAAAGCAAGATTTCAAGCTGAGCTCACAGAGAAAGGTAAACAAATAGCAATCACACACAGCTTTCAAAGACCACGATTTCTGAAGTACTCCGTTCAAGGCATCGAGCCGCAAACGAATCGAAAAGGAAGTGCAAAGTGGTGTGTATTGAATGCAAGAGCCGCAATGGCACTTTTGGAAAAGAGAAGCTTCCGCTACGCTCAACAGAATATCAAGCCGGATGAATTCTTATCGATAATAGGCAAAACGTTGGAGAAGGATGTAGTTCACACCGCCGAGTATTTGTCCACTTTGCCAACGGAAGATGGCTGGCTGATACGACAGAAACACAAGAAGGGCAGTCCATTATCGGCAATCGTTCTGACAAAGTTTCCTGGCGCTATAGATAGCGATGATACCCCAATGTACCTTATGGACGAATTATTCGATAAAGAGAACGACTTCAAGGACAAAGCCGTTCAAGCATTGCAAGCAATTTCACAAGATACCACTTCAGATCCTGACACTCTCTACATTCGCAAACATCAATTGACTACCAATCTTTGTGTCGCTCTTTGGCGCTTAAGTCAATGGCGACAGTCCGCTAGGGAAGCAAGAGAGAGAGAGGAAGAAAGACAGATCCAGACGTGAAGGTGGGTAATGTACAATACTAAAAATATGAACAAATGGGATTGATGTCATGGTATGGTATACATTGATCAAGCTTTGATGCTACGGTATTTATCCGTAGCTGTAATGAGTTGATGAGCAATACCCAATTCACCTGATGCATGGGCAGCATCGGGAACGAGATAATAATCAGCTTGAGGCCATTCTTTGTGCAAATCATATGCAGTTTTAGCCGGACAAACGACATCATATCTACCTTGAATGATCGTTGCTGGGATATGACGAATTTTGTCAACGTTTTCCTTTTTGAGTAATTGACCATCTTCCATCCAACCTGCATTGACGAAATAATGACATTCGATACGAGCAAAAGCGACTGCATAATCATCCACATCTGCACGTTTGATAACTTCTTCGTTGGAGTACAAACGCAAGGTTGACATTTCCCATCGAGTCCATCTTTTTGCGGCTTGTAAACGAGCTTCTTTGTCATCGCTTGTTAGACGTTTATAGTAAGCAGCAATCAAGTCACTCTTTTCCTCTTCAGGAATGTGCTCGTAGTATGGCTCGAATTGTTCAGGGAAGATGTGTGAAGATCCATTTTGGTAAAAGAACTCCAATTCACTACGACGCAAAGTGAAAATTCCACGCAAGGTGAGCGAGAGTACACGATCAGGATGAGCTTGAGCGTATGCCAAAGAGAGACAGCTTCCCCAACTTCCACCGAATACATGCCATTTTTCATGACCAAAGTGTTCGCGTAATTTTTCGATATCCTTGACGATGTCCCAAGTTGTATTGTTTGTCAAATCGGCATGTGGTACGGATTTACCACATCCACGTTGATCGAACAAATAGATTGCATAATGCTTTGGATCGAACCATTGACGATCGCTTACGGAAGTTGCACCACCGGGGCCTCCATGCAAGAAGACGGCAGGAACACCCTCAGGATTACCGCTTGCTTCCCAATAGATCTCGTGTAAATCATCAACCTTTAAGGTGCCTGTCTTGTAAGGTTCAATAGCAGGATATGGGGCACGTAAACCAGATTTGGGAACATACGTGGCATCTTCGGGTAAGGTTGTCAAAGCAGCTTCTGATGCCGGCTTTTCGTCTTTGTCAGGAGGTGGTGGGGGTGCTTGATCTTGCTTTGCGGCTGGTGGGTTTGATGCCGTAGCAGGAGCTGCAGCAGGGGCAGCAGCTGTTGTTGTTGTTGAAGCAGATGTATCATTGGCAGGCGTTGCAGCAGGAGCTGTTCCTGAGCCTTTGTTAGGAGAGGAAGGTGCGTTGCCCATTGTACTGAAGCGTTTTTTCAGCTTTGACAAGACACCACCTCCATTAGCATTGTTGTTTGTTGAAGCCATTTTGACAATATGAAAAGATGATGGGTATGATGTTATTCGTGGTATATGTCTGAATGATTGTAAGAGTAAACGTTTCATCATTGTATTCAAGAAGGTTTATAACTTTAACAGTGCACAATTTACACGGGCCACCCACAATACAAAAGATTAGCGTGGTTTCATTTTAAAGCTCACACACTCATTAATAAAGCACGGCCTATTTGACTCTCAGACACACACACACACAAGTCAGTTCGGCACCGGTGCATGTATTCGGACTAGAGTATTCTTTGCCAGAATAAGCCAGCTTCATGCTTCCATGTGCAGGAGATGCCCATCAAAACGGCAAGACAAAATGTGGATATAGCAAACAAGGTGAGAAGAATATGTTGGAAGAAAGCTATTTGAGTCACCTGACATGATCATCCCACTTTGCAGCTATCAAGCAAGGATTTGTTACGCTTGAGCAATTCGAACCCAGATGAGGGAAGTGACGGTCACGATGATGAATATAGTATACTTACGTCAAAAGGACAAAGGTACGTCATAAAAACAACGCTACTAGATGATTCGGAAGCTGAAACACACTCATGTCAACAGCTTCAATTGTAAGGCTTACCAATCACAAGAACTTGAAGAGCATGACCGAAAAATGATGATGACAATATTCGAAGAGAATATGAGGACGATGTGAGTGTGATTTAGATGGTCATGTGAAGGAGCTGTCCTGACACCTTAATTCAGGTACGAAGAAACGCCAGGAGGTTGGGATGCACAATCAAAAAAAGAAGAATTGTTTGACAATCTGTCAAGATTCTTCATCATACGCCAAGCAAATCAAGACAATGCAGCTATAATTGCATTTATCATGTGGCGCTTTGATTTAGAAGATTGTGATGCAAATGATCCTGTTGCACGAAAAGGCAAACGAAAGATCGAGATTGCATATTGCTATGAGATTCAGGTGCATTCCGATTTCCGTCAATATGGACTGGGCAAATGGATGATGAACAGACTGGAAGCAGTTGCACGCAATACTAATATGCGAAAAGTGATGCTAACCGTATTCAAGTCTAATACGCATGCAAAACAATTCTACGATCGATTAGGGTTCAAGCTTGAATATAGTACGCCAGAAAACGAAGATGAATTGGACGAGCTAGGAGAATATGTTATTTTGGGAAAAGCCACGATGTAAGGGTGCTGACATGTTGAATTTGAACAATTGAGCCTCTTGGCATGGAATCGCGAAATTGATTAAAATGGATGGGTACGTGCTACCAAAATATTGGAATGATTGTGAAGGAAGTGTTTGAATGCAGCCAAGGTTGCTTGGCACATTTGTTGCCGCGCTTGGCCTTTGATTTGGGCCCTTTAGGATCCGACCGGTAACGGCTTTTTTGTGTTTTTTATTTAGCGTCTTTTGTTTTGTTTTTTGTGCCTTATTTTGCCGGATTTGGTTTTACACGCCGAGCAATAAATATTTGTCAAAATAGATTAGAAGCACTTCATTTCTCCACCTGCATACATACGCCTTCTTTTAGGATTTAGATAATCATGAAAAGGAGGAGAAGAAGGTCTTGTCTATTCACCACCACTACCCTCCAAGATGTCGCTCTCCCTAATCATAGATGATACCAGCTTGATGCTGTTATTATTCATCATCCTTTTATTGGCAATTGGCATCTTTTTCGGCAAATCATATCGACCTCTAGTTCATCCTCTCATCTTGAGCAGACAATCAGACGTTTCACCCGTACGTAGAAAAGGTCAATCGGCAATCTATAGAAATGCAAATTCACCTGCAGGATTCGATCTTTCAAGTCAACCTCGTAAAGCAATCGTTTCGGTAAAAGATGTTTTGGCAAAAGGTTCAGGTTCGGAAAATTTCAAAGTGGACAGAAAACGAACATTGTACGGTATAGATCGTAGTAATCAAGATCTTCTGACCGAATCACAGGACTTTGGACGTGGTTTAGCAAAAATGCTCAACCTGCAATCAACGTCTGCATTGGCCCTTGGTGTATGCGTTGAAGTTGATTCGACAAAGAGCTTAGAGGTGATCATTTCGGGAGATGCTCAAACCAGTGCAGCGGAAAATAGATATGCCCCTATAATTATTGCGCCGGTCCACATTAAGAACGGCAATACCCCTCAAGAACTTCCATCTTCTTTAAAAATGGCCGGAAATACTCACCTTCATGCCATCTTTACAACACTTACAACATTTGAACGTGCAACGGAAATGGCTATTGTTGGAAAGGATACGATTTTCATCTTTGAATCTGTAGAAGATGCTCATCAGGCGGAGAAGCTATTGAAGAACAAGATTTGCAGCTTTCATCATGTGGTAGAACAGGCATCCCTTCTGCAAAGTACGGTTGATTCGCAAGATGAAGGAAAAGAGAAACAAAGTACGGACGAGGCAGGTAAAGCGATCCATTCGATCTTTTGGTCCGGGAAGGCGGGTTGGGTAGAAGCATCAAATGCAAGCCTAATTGCTGGATTGACTGCTCATTTGAGCTTCTATTCTGCTGATTCTCAACCTTCAACGAGAGATCATATCTTGATCGAACAATCGCCTTATGTCGAAAGTCCATCTCTACGTCTAGCGGCTGCTGCCATTCCAGCCGGTTTGGCTTTAGCACTTTTGCCGCTTTATACGGGTGCCTCTCTCACCGCAACAAACATTTCCTCTAGTCGAGATGATCCTAATCCTGCTCCAGCTTCCGAGTTCTCAGAAGCAGGTGCCACTTTACTCTATACATCTGCTTATGGTGCTTCTACTTTGGCTGCTTGTTTATGCACCATCTCCAAGCGCAGCCCTTTAGCCATCTTGGCAGCTCATACAAAATTGGCCGCTTTACGTCACGGTTCGTTCTCCAATAATGGCTTTTGGGATAGATATCTGTTCAGTAAAATTCGTCAAAATGTTGGTTGCGAGCACCTCCGTTCGGTGTTTATCTTAGCGGAAGGCCCTACGATCGGACAAGGATTATTGGATGTTTTACGTGCTCAATTGGGTTGTGCTGTTCGATTGGCATATTTGCCTTCTGGTCCTCTTCGAATTTATGATAACAGCGTCAACGCAGGAGTAAAGGATGCTGGTTTGTTACTACAAGAAAAGTATGCTCTTCCTGTTTCGCCCGTCGCTGTGACACACTCTTTGGATCTACAAGCGTTTGCTACGCACAAATACGATGACAAACAAGTGCCTGCACAAGTTGGAGCACCGAATTCCACCTTAGAGCTCAAACTTGTCGAATCAAAATTCGCCCTGTCCAAAGGTATGAAGGTCTCTGGCATTAATGCGGATATCGACCCCGGTCGTGCTCAAGATCCGTTTGGAGAAGTGTTTGTTCGTGGTCATTCTTTCGCAGGCGAGCAAAATTCCGATCAATGGTGTGCAACTGGTGATTTAGGTACGATGCGATCGAACGGAACATTGGTAGTGTTATATGATCAAGCAAATTCTGTCGAAGTAGACGTTCCAACACTTTCATCTGAATATCCGACGACCAAACGTTCTTCTCGTATAGGAGCAGGTGGTCATCCTACTCGCGCTCTTCCAATTTTGACGATTCTCGCATTCTTCCTCTGCATCTGTGCAGATGCCACACAAGCACAAAGTACATCTGTCAATACAACTTTTGTCAATTTTGCAATCAGAAGCTTCCTTTCTGCTCAACGTGCAAGTTGGGAACAAGGTGTCGCGCAAAGTGCATTGTTGGAATACCATGCCGGTTCTTGGTCAGTATTTGCGGGTAAACAAAGTCCTGCTTATTTACGTAATGCAAGTGATACAGAACGTTCATCTTTGCCGCATGAAATCACAATGATGGCTTATGGTGCTGTACGATCACAAGATCGTCAAGGTCAATTATGTTCACGTGTTACGGGAGATGAATCGGCAACGGAAGGAAGTGCTTTAGATCCTGCTTCATGTGGTGAAGCTGTTCTTTTAACTGCTTATTCTATGGGTCAAATTGAAAATGGACGAGTAGATGAGAAATCTTTCTTTGGTCAAGCAGCTAGCAGACAATTAGACTATCTCTTGACCGGAGCGCCAAGAACTCCAAGTGGTGCAATTTCCATGCGTAGTACTGGTCAATCGTATTGGAGTGGTTTGTATTGATATCTCCCCTGTCAGACTATATATTACACAGACACCTAACCATACCCCATCCCTCTACCCCTTTAGACGGTTTATATATGGGACCGCCATTTATCGCACTATACGGTTTGATGACAAACAATGCATCCCTGCTAGAGTTCGCATATCAACAAATACGCTTGTAAGTATCAATCCCATCAAAGCACTGGCGATAATCAATAAGGTAAAGAGTGTAATCTGACATTGATTGAATAAACCATGTTAGATACCGAGACGCTTTAAGAATCCCCACTGGATCAGCCGCAGGATTATTCAAACACATCGTTAATGCTACCGGTGACGGTGGCAATGATGAGGGTAAGTTTATAGGGATGTTTTCTTGATAGCATTTATCTTACGAACTAATCTTCTTTTCAGGTGCCTGGCTCACGGGTAATGCTTGGTCAGCTGCTGGAATGTGTCGGGTTTTGGCAAGTATCTCTCAAAGCTCCTTTTCCAATTTGATGTCTTCCCAAATAAGCGATCTCATTGACTGGATCAATGAGATCATTACCACTGCCCTCAACGCTGGCGATCCATTGATACACAATTATATTAATGACAACAGTAAGTGATAGAAGGTGTTAAAAGTAGACAATTGTACTGATCCCTCCCGTCACAGACACTTTCCAGGACGCAGGCGGTTCTACTTTAATTGCTTATTCAACTTACAGACTTGCTCGAATTGCGACAAACCTTACTCTTACTAATCAAATCAAACAATCTGAAGCCATTTATACAGCCGTACAGTCAAAAATGGATAATGACGGTCAACTTATTCAAGGTACAACAGTCGTTAATCCTCTCACATTCAATACTCCTTCACAAGGATCGCCTGAAAGTATGGCTTTTCTCGTTTTAATGTCTGCCGCACGTAGAGATTATGCCGAGAGAAATGTTACCGGAACAATGGGACCGGGATCAGGTACTCATGCTGCTTCATCTTCTGCTCAATTTGCTATCCCCCATGCTTTACTAGGTTTTGCTCTTGCTTCAACGCTCTGCTTTATCATGCTATAGACTTTATCTTTTTTCTCTCCTGCTCCCTGTATTTCATAAAAGTCTTTTTAATCTGGATATCATTCGGTTCTGCTATCCATGTTTGATTAGAATACAATACTGCCTCCATTTCAATACAAATCATCTCCGGCATCACTAAAGAATCCCGAGTAAGCCAAAACTGTAAAGAGCAAAAAAGTCAGCCAGTGCACCACATGTTCAAGCTGCATTCCACTCACTTGTTCCATAAACGAGCGCTCCTCCTGCGATACTCATCAATCCTGCCATATCTGTAATTATGCCAGCGTGCGAAAGTGTGATTGGCATTGCGAATCCCATGACCACAATACCAGATGTTAACCAATTGCCAAGATCGACATAAGATGAGTTATAATCAGCCGAAAAGTCATCAGCTCCTGCACATCTTGCACATATGCTGTTTGGTAAAGGAGCAAATACGAAAGTTAAGGCGACAAGGATCGGTAGCCAATTACCATATAGTGCACATGATAAGATGACCAAAAGGAAACCCAATGCCAAGACGAAGGACAATAAGATGATGGCTTAAGGGAAGTGAGTCCGTCAAGCTGATTAGATCTTTGTCAAGCACTGCATCCAATATACAAACTCACTCTTCAGTCCTGCAGCCATTGTTCCCGCTCGTTAAGTGATTGTAGATGATGGTGGTGGTGGAGTATGATAAGGATGCGGGGATTGGATGGGTTGATTGAATTCACGTGTGCAATACGCGCTTACATTGGCCTAAGCGGCGAGAAGCAAGAGAAATACTTTAAACCTTCTCCACCAAAGTCATCATTGAATGATCTCTCCATCCTATAAAAGATGGAAGGTTTCACACCAAATGCATCTGCTTTTGGACAAAATGTGAATCCTGCATCAACGTCATTTGGTACGAATGAAACCCAACATCCAAATCAATCATGGAATGCAAGAGGAAGAGGTGGATTTAGAGGTCGTGGTCGTGGCGGATCAGCACAATCAGTACGCGGAAAACCGTTCAGCAATCGATCAGCCGTATTCAATACAGCAAGTCAAAGTTCAGCAACAGAAGAGAATGAAGAGGAAGAGAGCATTGATCCTAGTCCTTCCATATTCATGCAGCCTGAATCAAGCTCATCTAGCACATTTCAGTCTTCTTTCGGTGCTCCTGCAAAGCCTTTCAACAAACAGGTAAAGTTCAACATACCTACAGAAAATGACGAAGCGCTTGACATTGAACCTGATACCGATGTCAACGCCCTTGGGGGCAATAAACAAAGTGACCAAGACCGCAAGCAACGATTCGAGAATCTACCAAAGCAAAACAGATTCTTTGAGATGCGTGCTCAGCGGGAAACACTCAGAGCCAAATATATCCGCCAAGGTATCCTACCAGATCCTGAGAAGCCAACAGATCTAACAGAAGCCAAAGCACTTACTGGAACATGTATGGAAATGTGCCCTGAATTCGAAAAGGAAGAGCGAGAATTTCAAAATGAAGGTGATACACTGGAAATGTTTCCAGGTACGAATCGAATTGATCCCACAATTGCAGTCAAAATTTATCGAAGACCGGCAGCAGGAAGAGAATTACCACTTCCCGAAGATGTTCGTCCGCCTGAAGTATTGAGAATGACATTGGACTACCTTTTGCACCAATTACTGCCATCCGATCCAGGCTCTCCCGTCTTTACCTCTGTTCAACCTTTTATGTGGAACAGAACACGGGCAATTCGCCAAGATTTCATCGTTCAAGGAGATGGTGGTGAATTGGCGATTGAATGTCATGAGCGAATCGCGAGATATCACATCTTATGCCTACATTGGCGGGGAGGCGTAGGGGCAGAAGGATGGAGTGAGCAGCAAGAGCTTGAACAGCTACGAAAAACGATTCGAAGTTTGACAGAATTCTACGAGGATATAAGGAGGAAGAAGGGTGTAATCAGTCCCAACGAAGCAGAATTTCGTTCTTACAATCTCCTGCTACATATGCAAGACCCTGAAACACTTCGAGAAGCAGAAGGTTTGCCAACTTCTATCTTGCAAGCGGATTGCGTCCAAGTTGCATTGAAAGTTCGAGCTTATGCGCAAAGAAGCAACAACGTTCTTCGTCGAGGACGTCCGTTGAATACAGAGGCGACCATGAATTTGTGGACACGCTTCTTTGGAGAACTTCGAAGGAATCCGCATGTGAATTACTTGTTGGCCTGTTTGGCCGAAAATGTATTCTCGCCTGTTCGAGCTGGGGCTTTAAAGGCAATGTCAAAAACGTATAACGTGCAACATGCACCTCTGCCGCTCGACTATCTCAGAAGAAGTCTAGGTCTAGATCAAGAAGAGGAAGCTCGATCATTTGCTGTTGAACTAGGTGCAGAAGAGGCGCTGGACCCGAATGGCAATCTGATTGGCCTTCGTCTTGGTAAATTCAATGACGATAAAGCTCTTCCTTCATCACCTTTCAGCAAGACCATTGTTGAAGCGCGAAGAGGGCGCTATACTGCTCAAGACGTAGTGGACGGCAGGGCTTCAGGTGCCAAACCTCTGATCAAAGTATCGATCAAACCTGCTCATGCTAGGTCTCAAGCCGCGCCTGTAAGTCATCCCACACCAGCAGTTCCATCCATTCCATTCAATTCACTGCAGCAAGATACCCAAAGTTCGCCCGCTCCAGCACTATCCGCCAAAGCACCAGCATTTGTGCCATCAGCTCCTATTCAAGAGATCACTGCGCCACCTCCGCAACAAAAACCCCCACTCCCGCAGCCGCCTACCTTCCCCACACCAAAGCCAAGCACATCCGCTTGGCCATCGCAACCAGCTGCTTTCCCTAGCTTTGCGGCCAAAGAAGAGCCTGCACAATCATTTGGCACAAGCTCATTCTCTTTTGCTAAGCCTAAAGAAGAAAAGATTGTTACGACAAGCAAAGCAAGCCCTTTCAGTTTTGGTGCTCCCGCAAAACCTTCAGAAGCTCCTGCAGTTGCCGTCAGCAGCTTTTCATCATTTCCAAAGCCACCCGCACAAAACAATGAGCCGAAAGTGCCACCTGCAATTTCACAAGAGATGCCCATCAAAAGCGTTCCCAAAGAAAAGGACCCGAAAGCAAGTGATGCACCTGCTCCTGTTGCACTGCCTCCTTCCCCTTCTCCAAAAGCAGCACCTGCTCCTGCTGCTCCGCTGCGCACAATACGTTCCGTGACAGACGGTCTAGTAGCTCGATTGATCAAAGAAGTTGTGGCGAAGAAAGTCTACTCAATCACTGAACAGGCCTGTCTGAGAGAAGCACGATTGCGGCAAACGGAATCAAGAAGCCGATTGATCAAAGAATGCTCAGATCATCTTTGCTCAATGATGCTGGAAGAAACGATAAACGACAGTCTCGCTTTACAGGCAGGAGATGCATTGTCAGACGAAATGTATTCTCGAAGCTTGGTTGCTACACAATGGCATCGCTGGAGAAGTGCTTTAGGTAGAGCCCGTCTACGCAATCACCAGAATACACGCTTGATCGAATTGAGGAACAAATTAGAAAATAAGCCTTCTCAAACTCACAGAAGCAAGTCTGTCTCCAACAAAAATCCTAATCGACATGTCTTGATGGAAGTTGACGACAATTCGCTCCAGACCAGCCTTGCACACGCTCGGAATGACCGCGAGGACTTATGGATGCGATCAACATTCTTCCTTTCCATCGTAGCTGCATTTGAAGACCTCTTGGCGCCGGACATAACGACTTGGACTATTGGCTTTTCATCACCTTCTAATCCTGATACGCACTCATCCACGCAATGGTTGCGTACAAAGCTATCCATCGACAGAGAACCGCACGCTGAAATCATTCTGCGCTCCGATACGATGGTGCACATGATGGATCTGCAAAGGTCTGATGAGAATGATGTTACTGGAGAGCGTGAACTTGGGTTGGTACTGTTTGAATTGGATGAAAGGGTGACGAACGAATGGAAAAATGCATCTGGCTGGGCAAAGGAGAAGAATCGTTTACAAATCTTGTCAGAATCCGATTTGGTTCAAAAAGGGAAATTCGTACCCAAGCTCATGCTGATCTGTTGGACAAAAGATACTTCGGCAAAGAATACTTCCTTGGAGGCTGAGCATTCCTTGCGTAGAACGATCATCAAAAGACTGGGCTTGGGTGCATTGGATGCAAATCGGCATGCTTGGAGTCAGGTGGAAATTTGGAACGTCTCTCAAGATGGATTATCACCGCAGACTGGCTTTGAGAAGCATCTCCAGTCTTTGCGTGTACCGATCGAATATGCCGTAAATCACCGTGTCTTGACTTTAGAAGATGTCGTGATGGTGTTCATGGCTCCTTTGCGCTCAATGCTAGAAAGGATCGAACTGTGCATAAACAGACTAGAGCAAATCCCTGGGACAGCAGCCTTGCAAAACAGCCTCCAAACAATTCTTCGATCTGCGTTCGAAATCTCAACTGTGCTCACACAAAGGGTTCTTTCGGATGTAGTATCCGCCTCAGAAGTAGTTCCAGACGAAAACATCTCTGATCAGGATGCAGAAATACCAATTCCCTCTGCACCTATCAAAGAGCAAGATTTGACAATCAATTCCTTCTCATTGGCATTTTCTCAACTGGCGAATATTGTAGAAAGGTTCTCGAAACAAGGAAAAGATATTGCGGGCATCTCTCTGGTTCAGACATGGCTGATAGAGCAAAGCAAGAAGATCAAAGGTGCTACTACGCAACTCGGATTTCCATGGTCAGAATATTTTGATCGTTTGCTTTTCGTTTACGTTGACGAACTGCAATCGAGATGGATTGAAACACTGTTTTCAGACAAAGAAGAAATTGATGTACACGCTCAACAATCAAAGCACATCTTCGAAGAAGCAGCCAACGAAATCGAAACCAAAGTCAAAAAGATTATTCTTGATCAACCACTTCCACTCAATAACCACAGCAAGCGTCGCAGTCAAAGTGACGACCTTTCAGAGGAAGCTGGCGGCTCTCACACCGAACGACCAGTCGCCAAGCTGAGACGGACGAATGGCGACGGTGCGGTCAAGCCGCCAAGCTCCTCCGCTATTGCGAGCTTACGAAGCTTGATTAGTAGCGCTAATCAAATGCTCGATCAAAGCTGATCGCGCATACCAGAAGATGTATCTATAGCATGTATTTCTATACTGTCACAACTATCATTTATTTTTGCAATGCACCGAACGAATTGATTGTTAATAAAAGTACAAATGTATGAGTGGTATTAGCAACTACATCCTCTTTCTAGACCTCCAATCTCCTTCATCATCTTGTTCTTCTGTTTCTCCATCTTCTTCAAACCCTTCTCCATCTTCTTCAAGCTCTTCTTCTTCTTCCTCGTATTCATCATCTTGTTCTTCTTCCAAGCGATTACCTTCTCTACCTAACACACCATATCCCAAGCTAGTATTGTTTGGATCGTCGGGATCTGCAAGCACTTCCTGTGTACGATCAATGCGTGGATGGCGTTGAACACGGAATTTCGTACGATCCTTGAATTCCCTTCTTCGTTCCTTCACACGTAGATCCTCCAAAGTACGTTCAAACAAGAACAGCAACTGTTTCAAACGAGGATGTGTTTGCAGTAATTGTCGAACGGTGATCAAACTACTTCGTGTAAATTTATCTTCTTGCTTATTTGAAGGTGTGCTATTCCCCTTCATTCTAATCACACCACCTGCATCTTCGCCTTCGTTTATGATATCCTTTAGCATTGCCATAGTTTCAAAGTGAGCAAACCAAGGCGAACGAAGCTGATCGAGAGCTTTTTGCGCTTTTAACGGTCCCATCATTTCATCTGGATCTGGGCTCGAGCCAGGTCGTTCCGAAAGGTTACCCTGTTGCTCTTCGCGAATAGAAGGATCAGCATCAGTCTCCTCACTGCTGTCTTGATTTTCATCCGGAACCACAACGTAAGGATCATCAGGTGGAAAGCGGAACAAGTGTCGTTCGATCTTTTGACCTGATTGACTTAGTTTTTCTGTTTCTTCTTTGCCAAACAAAGCTTCACTTTGACCTTCAAATTTGGGAAAATCGCTCAAAGCATCATCTTCCGTGTCTTTTGTAGAGTGTGGCAGAGGCGTGACATCGCTAGTGTTTTCCTTGGTTTGTTTGTTTCTACGATGAGCCTCTAGAGCACGATCATAGGCAATCATTTGCTTTTCCTCTGACCAATATCGAGGTGGATCTCCGTTCAAAATTTGCTCAATGATTTCACATGCGTCCAAAAAACGACCAGATTGAAATAAAGTTGTTGCTAAATGGTTCCAATTATGACTGTCAAATGCAAATCCATGTTGACGACATTCGGTCCAAATTTTTGCAACTTCATCCGGTCGATTTGCATCTCTTAGGGCAAGGATAGTCTCTGAGAGAAGAGGACACAAAACATGTCGCATGCTTGCCTTTACACGAATTGCAGATCCTTCCTCACGCGGTTTTTCTGCAAGAGATAATTTCTCAATTCGTTGTTCTCGTTCAAGTGTTCTGGCAAAGACAGTTTCCCATACTCTCAAAGCAGTCTTGACATTATCATTACGACGCAAAGCACTCATGAGATTTGTCCACGCCTCCAAAGGAACTTCAATCGACCTGTCAACCATACCTTGGATGATGTGTTGAATCCTAAAGACGTCCCCTCTTTTCATAGCCTGCTGTAAGATTGGCCATTGAATGGTGACGTATTCTGAAGGTAGCTTTTCAGAAAAGTGATTTGCTATCTCTTGAGCACCTGCAAGGGCTTTTGCACTGTCACTATCTCGATCTCCCTCTTCCTCTAAATCATCATCTTGCATCTCTTCACGTACGTATCCATCCACAATGATGCTAGCAAGAGTGCCATCAATGGGCAATTTACGTGCATCCAGTTCATCGTAATACGACTTGGCTGTTTCTCCATCATTTAGTGCAAGATATCCCTTGATCATCACTGTGAAATGGTGAGCGTTAGCTCCCTTGCCATGTGGCATGCCCCCTTTGCCACCCAAAGATTTTTCTGCCATGGTGAATAATTGCTCTGCAATTGGAGCAATTCTTGCATCCCAAGCAGAAGTTAGCAAAATCGTGAAAACATGCGCATCAGGTGAAAATCCAGCTTGAATCATATTCCTGAGAAATTCAATCGTTTTTTGAATTGGCAAACGTTGAGCTATATGTGCTCGTAACATTGTGGTGTACGTCTTCTGATCCGGACGAAAACTTGAATTCGGATTTTTGAGCAGAAATTCGAACAGATTGACTGCACCTTGCCAGCTGCGTGCTTGAATATGTGCATGTAGTAAGCCATTGTAAAGTTGAATCTCGTCTCTGAAATTTTTAGAGATAGCAAGTTGAACAATCTGACTTGCATTTTCAACATCCCCCTTCTGCGCAAAAAGGGAAAGAATTGCTCGAAACGCACCATCACCTGGATAACCTTGCTTGTTCAAATCGTCAAAAAGAGTAATGGCAGAAGAAGGATCATCTCGTTTTACGTAATCGCGCAATAGATCTATCCATAGTTCCTTTCGCACTTCAATGCCGTTTTCCGTCATTCGATCAATCAGCAATTCGGCTTCGCCCACTTTGTCGGCTTTTAAAAGAGCTTTGATCAGGTATCTGTATTGAGATGGTCCGGCTTCGGGCTTATCGGTATCTGTAACTTCATCATTACCCTCGTCATCCGTTCGCTTCTCAACAAGACCTTGCACCATTTCTCCCATAAAATATCTTGTTTCTAGCATTGCGATGCAAACATCCACCTCGCCACGATTTGATGCACTTCTTAGCCGCATCAGGAAGGCGAAATCTTCTTTGTCCATCTTACCTGGGCTTGGAGTGTCGGATAAGAGTACCAGAATATCCTCCAAGCCTTGTGAATCGCCACGTTTTGCGCATCTTTGTGCGAGTAAACGTTGTGCGGAATCCTTACTAGTATCCTTATCTGAATTGGAAACCTGCGTTTGCATGATCTTCTCCACAACATCTGCCATACTCCGTTCGTTTGCATTCAATAATCGCTTTACGAATCGTTTCGAGATTGAAATTTTATGGATTATCCCGATTCGTTCTGCCCACAAATAAATCTGAAAAGCTTCTTGATGACGACGAGCCGAGCTCAGGGCGTTAAGTAGCGCATCTACTGGTTCATTCATCTCTTTGACATCGTTCGTGTTTTCAAACACGAGCGAGGTGATAAATTGCAAAGGAGAGTCGACCATCGTAAGTAGCTTATGATATCGCCTCCGCGCAAATATTGAAGGATTTGCAAACCAGTCAAGTACGACTCTATTCAATAACATTCGTCTGGCCAACTCGTTCACTTTGTCGTTACCTTGGGAGAAGCTTGCGTCAATAATCTGATGCAGAGCTAAAGAGACGGAGGTGACTGATTCCTTCACCTTTGATTCAATATGTTGTGGTGGTAAAGCCAAACTAGACTTGATGTTGTTCATCACAGTGGTGTTCCTGTCGAACATGTCTTCTAGATTATCAAATGCAACTTCTGCACCTTCGGTGATAGCAATTGCTTGAATACGTAGACAGTCGAATCGGATTTGCTCGTCCTTATCAGCGATCTTGGTATCCTTGTATCGCTCACAGAACTCCAGACTTTCGTGTGCGACGGCAAGACGAATGTCGTTCAACCTAGGTCGCTCTTCCGGCCATAATTTGTGTACAGGAGCTTTGTCCAATGCAATGAATAAGCGGATCAGATGTCGAAATTCGTCATTGAATGCATTCTTTCCTTTGGACTTGAAACGCATACGTGCTGCATTAACCTCTTTTTCGACTTTTTCCAGATAATTGAGCCTTTTTGGGTTGCTTTTCGTTTCGTCATTGGTGGAAGTGTGGAATACGGGAGTGTCTTCTTCTGGTTCAGCTGCTGATGAATATAGTCGAATGAAATGCGGCGAGCTGCTCATTGACGATACGGGACACATCCGTATTCTTCCTTTCCTCTTATTTTCTGGAGTATGACTGGGTCGTTGTTCGGATAGGCTTGATATATGCGGAGAGGTTACGTTTCTGCTTTGTTTCGTGCCACCATTTCGGGATGGACCTGCTTCACAAATATACTCTATATCCTGAGCATATGAAGACGTCGCAAAGCCTTCATAATTGCACAAAGCTCTACGATTCAAAGACAAGAGCGTCTTTGATATTTGTCCTACGTTGCCTATACGCATTGTGATCTTCCCGGAATCCGCCACTCCACTCGAAAGAAGAGAAGGCGATTCCTATGCAAATTGATCACTTCTTTTACGTGTTTCTACCTTGTCATATATTCTTGATATTTGTTGTTGCCTTCAGCATATTGAATATGATGTACACATGTTGTTGTATGATGGAAGAGTTGGTCGTCTGACTTTGTTGTAATCACCTTTATAATAAAAAAGTCTTACACAATTTAATCCGCTAATTTTTTATTTCTTCTTGGGATAAAACGCGTGCTTATTAAGCGTGAGCGTGTGTGTGTACGTAAGCTGATAAGCATCCAAATGAGGATCGAGCGCGTTAGGCACACGTGGAAAAGGGGATGGCTATCAAGATGGTCTTGATAAGTAGGGTGGATGCTATTTTCACCTCTTTCTCCCATTTGAAGGATAAAATATCAGTAGATGATATCAGAAATTCAATATAATATTTAAAGCTGTGAGTCTTATCCGACTTAAGTGATTCAACTTATTCCTTATCCGTTGTGCCTATTTTTCTGTAAATAGGGGACCCTGTGTAAGTGTAAAGTCGATCATTAGTGCATGTTTATGAATGTGACAGGCCTTCTTCCCGTATTTAACTCCACCTCTTTACGCGTGTGTGCTGCCCTGAATTGAAATTTAAGATCTAGGAGATGATGCTACTGTTTGACATTTGAATGGCGTGCATACATTGGACATCATCATCACATCATCAGGCTCAACATGTCATCCGCTTTGAGTCATGATGCAATGTCAAATGAAGATCAAGAGGCAAGTACTTCATTCATTGATTCAAATCCTACAACACCTATAGACACGTCACATAAACATCATCATCATCTAATAGGAATACCTCATCCGCATTTACACAGACGACAGAATAGCATGATGGAACAAAGAGATCCAAACCCAAAACGAAAGATGAAGCCCGCCAGATTGATGAGTCTAGGCAACCCAAAAGCATTCGAACAAGAAGGTATTTCAAGCACAGATTCCGATCAAACAAAAAGAGCAAGTTTTGAAGATGATGTAAAGACACCTTTAGCCTCTTCTTCTTCTCCATTTGCAATCAAACGTTCATTCTCCTACAAAAGAAGACAATCTTCTCCAACCGGTTTATCACAAAAATTATTACGGGAACAACAACAAGAACAAAGGCGTAGACAAAGTTTAGCGGGTGCAAAACCTGTTGCGCCTTCTTGGCATCCAAACGCCCCCGATGGTTTAAAAGTTCAACCTCCTCCGGACGCATTATTATTGCCTGATTTACCTGTGGCCGGAATCGCTTCTTCTTCTTCTCACACAAAGGATGCTCATTCAAATACATCAAATATGGGTGCTTGGTCAATCACAGATCGAATCATACATTCTTCCACTCCAGCTCCAAAATTAGAATCGGAAAAGGTGTTGCAATCCGAATCTGTCAAGTTACAAAGGCCAAGTATAAAGGTCCGCGTGATCACTTGGAATCAAGGCAACAGCGTACCACGAGGAGATCTGAGTGTATTGTTAGGTAGAGTGGGAGAATATATTCCACCTGAAGCAGGCTGGGATGAAAGTAGCGACGAAGAAGACGAAGATGACAAAACCCTCAATCCTGAGAAGCCAAGCAAACGGAAGCATAGAGGGATGGGTGTATCAGGACAAGAAGGAATACCACGCAAAGATCGCATACCACCACTACCACACGATGATGCTCACCCATATCATATCATCGTTATTGCAGGTCAAGAATGCCCTTGGGGTGATGGTAAACGCATTTCAACTGGTGTGGGAATGGCAGGAGAGCTGGGCGCTTTGGGCAGGAGTAAGAGTAGAGCACATGACCTTGCAAAAGAACGGGAAAGAGAAGCCAAAGCAAAGGACAAAGAACCAGCCGAAGGAGCAGAGATGCCAAAAACGCCTGGCCTTGTGGTAACCAATGAAGAAGATCCGTTCAATGATGTTTATCCACTTTCAGCAAAAGATCATGCTTCCACTGCTCACAATCTCAAAGGACGTGGAGGAAGAGGTTGGAGTGAAATGTGTGAAGATTGGCTTTGTCGAGGTCCGCTCGCTCAAGCAACGGCAACAAAAGGTCTCGCAATGGCAACTGCGGGAGCTTCTAGTCATAGCAACAGTCTGCCTTATCCTGCTTCTGCTACACATACACCTGAAGATGGTCAATCGCCTTCTGGATCGAGATCGCCGACTCCTCAACCTTCCGATAGAAGTATTCTACCTCCGATCATCACCAATGGCATCTCTACTCCGAAGAGTCTTCTAAGCCCAGACTCGTCCTCTTCGCATCTACCCTTCTCGCCTTCTGCCTCTTCACTACCGATTGCTATCAACGACAAAGGTGAAACGCCCACTACCAAACGATCCAGTTTAATGGTGCCAAAACGAGTGATGAGAACTCTGTCCAAACAACGTCTAGATGAAGCATCAAGAAAGATATCAAACTCTCCTCTATCTCCAACGCAGATAGGACTGGGAATAGCGGGAGCAGATGAAAGTGCATTGGAACGAGCAGGCATTCATCAATCCAGTTCACCTCCAAAACGTCCAAGATCTCCGCTCAAACAATCGATAGATGTACATCTACGGAATATGAACGGAAATGAATCAAATGAAGTCGTAGACGGTTCAGCAAATGCGCCGTTTTTGCCACTTTCACATTCTGCCTCTAATTCATCAGCTGCAGCTGCTGCCGCAAGAAGATCAAATCATCGTTTGGCAATTCGAATTCCAGGTCTTTCAGGAGCACATCATGTCACCGTACAAAGTGATGGTACTCCATTATCATTTGGAGCGTATGAATTAGTGTCCAAAGAGCGTTGTTATATGATGTATACGGCTGTGTATGTTTGGAGAGGATGCTTGGACAGAGTACGTGGATGCAGTCAAGGTCACGTCAAGAGTGGCTTACTTGCTGGGAGAGTAGGAAACAAAGGGGCAGTGGGCATCTCACTAAAATTAGGTTCTACCAGACTTTTATTCGTCAACGCACATTTGGCAGCACACGAAGGAAAGGTAGCAGAACGAATAGCCAATGTTGAAAAGATTAAAAAGGAACTCAAAGTGGATACATTTTTACCCAAAGATGATCCACGAAACGATGATGATGATCTGACAAGCTGTTTTGATTATGCCTTTTGGTTTGGCGATTTGAATTTCCGTGTGGATATTACCCGTCAACATGCTGATTGGTTGATCAAAAAGCAGCAATACGATCATGCACTTGCTTTCGATCAGCTTAAGAAAATCATGCGGGAGCAACCTCATATATTCAACGGGTTCAAAGAAGCACCGATCAAGTTTCCCCCAACGTTCAAGTATGATGTTCTCAAAACCATCAAAGCGAAAAAGAACGAGGATCGTGCTGCTGCAAAAAGGCGAAAAGATGCGGGAGCGGACATCTTTCCCAGTGGCTCGGCAAATGAATCGGGTGATCGATCATTCGATACCCTCGAGCCTGCCACACCGATTGCACCCCCTTCTTCTTCGGGACATCATTCGCACGATCAAGATGATGACGATACAAGTTCGCTTTCATCAAATCTGCATTCGTCTTCTGCTGGCAATATTTCTGAAGCGGATGAATCGAGCAATGCTACGTCACCTAGCTCACCTTCTGATCCTGTTGTTGCGCAGAATACAGCTGCAGCAGAAGGATTAGGTGTACATGGTAAAGTGATCAAAGCAAGAAAGAGGATCTTTAGTGTAGTTCAATCGGCTGTTGGAGCGGTAAACCATCATGGCCATCACGACCAAAATGCCAAAAAGTTTAACAGCAAAGACATCAACGGTGCACGATTTCGCACTTCTTCGGCAGGTTCTCAAATTCAGGACGAGACACGAAATGGACAAAAGAATGGAAGATTATATTCTTCTGCTGATGAACAACACGTTCCGGTGCGTAAAATAATCACGAATGAATCCAACAAGTCAAATGCGTCACACGGCAGTATAATCAAATCGCCCAGTCAAGCAAGCTCTCTCATCTTTCAGCCTATGAGCGGAGAAGCGGGAACGAGTAATATACCAGGATTAGTTCAAGCTCCTAGAAGATCGAGCGCAATAACATTTGCCGATCAAAATACCGAAGCCAATGGTGCCGAACTATCTGTTGAACAGCAACCGTACGACACGAGTGCCAAACAGCGTGTACCATCCTGGTGCGATCGTGTTTTATGGAAATCAAATGTGCCTGTAGAAGCTGACAAAGAAGATGAGCAGGAGGGATTACATACCGCCAGTTCTCGACCTAGCAAATTCACAACTGCACTAACAAATGCTTTCTCTCGCTTGCATGGAAGACAAGATTATGCAACGCAACATTCTGCTGGTACTGTGGAAGGATACCCTAGATCATCGAATGATCAAAAATTACCACAAACACAAGTCGACAGTGCCGCCACAGTGATGCCGGCTACATCAGCTCCACCAGTCCCTCAATCTCCCAAGCGCAAATGGTACGGAAGGAAACATCTACCTTCAACGGCATCAGTGGATAAGCAGATACAAATGAAAACGATGAAGAGATCTACGACCATTGCCGGCGTTGAGCCTTTGACTGCTACTGATCCCCTAGAAGGACGCAAAGTGGCAAAGCGAACTATGAGTGCGACTGAACTTCCGGTCACGAGCAAGTCAGTCGATAGCGCTTTGACGGCTTTTCAACCTTCAAAGATGGCCAAGCAAAATGGAAGTCCTGTAATCTCTCCACGCAGAACGAGTTTGAATCTTGAGCGCATTCGTCATAGGAAACCTAGCACTTCACCTTTGGCGCAAGAGTTGAATGATCCATTGTCTTCAAATCAAACTACACCCAGTGCAGGGGTGATTGGAATGGACCACGCCAATTCCCCATCTGCAGCAAAGGAGAGAGCATCTGCTACTGTGGATGCAAACAAGCGTGCATCAATCCCGCGATCGGGCAGATCTACTCTACAACCTGACCACGAAGCCAGTTCGCCAAGAAGACCATCGAGATGGAATGATTTATTAACACCTTTGATGACGTCACAAAATTCCGTTGCGAATGCTTTGGCCAATTTCGCATTCAGATCTGGAATGACAAAAGAAGCACCGATCAATTTATCTGCTGGAAGTGGCACAAAAAGTGGATTTTCGTCTACCGATCAAGATTTAAACAAACAATCTCCACTTTTGCCTGAATTGATCGGTCCCCGTAAAGGTGAGATTGAATGTTTATTATACAAAAGTTTAAACGATCGAGAGATGCGAATGTTGGAAGGTAGATCGGATCATAGGCCGGTCATCTTTGTTGGATCGATTGGTGTTGGGGTCTCATCGCCTAAAGCGCCAAAATGGAGACTGTCCCCGTCATGATGTTGGTACTACTTTATACGATTATACCTATTCTGCATCTACAATCTTGGTTGACTGTTGTATTTTAGCGGGAGGTCCTTGCTGTTCTCTTGCATAAATTGCCTTGGCTGCTTTAGCGCATAATTTATGCCCATTGCTCCTATTCAATGCCGTGTAAAGATGTGATTACTAGGAGTACACTTTAATTCTTTGTTCATCAACAAATGTCAATCAAATACAGGAGAGCGTTGTTGATCTTTGTCATTCAATATTACGTATGTGGATCCTCATTTCAGCTTCGGCCCGCTCCGCGTCGCAATCTTTGTACGGCACGGATGCCGTGAGTGCGGCTTCATTACACAATACTTACGGCCCCCTTCATTCATGCATGCCTTTTGAATGGACGATCAAGCCCACCATCTACACTGACCTTTAAAAGCTGCTTGGTGACTTTATCCCGTTTTTGGAAATGCATTTAAGCCATATGATTCGCCAATTTACCTTTACGACAACCAAGTTGTCATTAATACTGCTGCTTTGTATAATGCCAAATATTTTCACTCTTTGCACCGGTACACCATTCAAAAGAACATTGATGGAGAACGGTTTACAAAAAGAATCGGGAGTTCAAGCCTTTTGGCTCGATGCCAAAGCAAGATTTGGCTTCAAAAGCACTAGAGAGCCTTTACCGAGAAATGATCCTTTCTATGGCTGCAATTCAACAGTCGAGGAATTGAAAAAAGGAGATTACTCACCTGGTGCGCTCTTACGCAAAAGAGGAATTTACTTGACCGACTTTATCGATTTTGATGCTGATGAAATGATCGGATGGCAAATGGCATACATCACAAGAGGTCAAGATGCAAAAGATGATGTAATGGTAACAGTGGCAACTATTGTTATCCCTCCAAATGCAGGTGCACGCGACAAGATTGTCTTTCAAATGCCAAAAACTGACAGTGCAAACTCCAATTCTCGAACTTCTTACATGTTAAGAAGAGGAAGTGGCTCGATCGCTGGAGCTGCATCTGAACAAATCTTCATGATTGATTTCCTCAAGCGTGGTTATATCGTTGTTGTTGTGGATTATGAAGGTCAATTTGACGCTTTTGGCGCAGGTCCAACCGCAGGTCATGGCGCTCTTGATGCGATGCGTGCAATTTTATCGTTCGATGAATTGAAATTAGCACCCAAAGATCAATTGAAATTTGTCGGTTGGGGTTATTCAGGTGGTGCAATTGCGATCAGTTGGGCAGCACAAATGCTAGAATCTTATGCTTCTGACTTGCAACCTTATATCAAAGGTTGGTCTTGTGGCGGTGTTCCAAAAGATTTGAAGCAAGTGGCCTACCATGTCAACAATGGATTAGCAGCTGGCTTAATCATCGGTGTAATGCAAGGATTAGCCAACATTAACAAAACTTTGAATGATTGGCTACAAGCAAATACGAACGAATATGGGAAAAAGGCCCTTGAGGTTGCAAAGACTGAGTCTTTTTGGGATTTTATGCCCCAAAATGCATTCAAGGACATTTTGAACATGGTTCCTGGTGGAACGGGAAAAGATGCAGGGTACTTTACCGTTGAAGGTGATGCTTTATCCCCTCCACCTCCGAAAGAGGCATTGGAATTTAATCAATTAGCACTCGAATTCACAAAGACAAAGGACAAAAAACTTATTCCGAAAGTGCCAATCTTTCTTTATGAAAGGATTCCTGATGAAGTTGTTCCGATTGCTATTATAGATGATTTGGTGGACTTATGGTCATCAAATGGAGCAATTATTCAATATACTCGTGTTAAAGTTTGGATGCACGTTGGTGCAATTTTTGCAATGCAATCGCAAAATGTTGCATGGATTGCCGATCGTATGGATGGAAAACCGATTGAAGCAAAGGATGCTTATAAGAAAGACTTGGATACCAATATTGATGATAAGGAAAGCGAAGCCGTTTTGGGCAAAGAACGATGCGGCAGTCTGGCTAAATTCTACAATACGATATATGGTAAGCCTAAGAGGGTTTGGTGGTAATTGCATGTATCGCTTTGACGCATCGTACCGTTCCGTGAATATATATTATTATGTCATTCTATTAATGAAATGAAATGAACTTTTGACCATTTGAATAAATTAAAAGAGGCTTCGACGGGCCGTCGAGCTCATCAACGGCTTACTCTTACACCTTCGATTTGCCGAAGCACATCAGATAGAGAAATTAAACTTTTGCGGATCCTGCCAATATTGCCGTAGCGAAATGTTCTTCGAAAGTTCTGTTATGTGCGGAGAAATAAATAGGGCGTGGCGCAAGCATTCTCAGATGAGCAGAAGTAATCAAATGAATTGTAAGTGCGCAAATGACAACTTCGACTTTCAATCAGCCACAATCGATTAATGTATATAAAGAGCTCAAAAGCCACTCAATACCCCCCAAACTTGCCAACCAGCTCATTATTCCCTACGTCACCTCATCATGCTCCCTATTTTTCTTCAATTTTTGCTCCTGGCCATCCCCACGTTGTTGTCTTTCAACGTTGGTGGGGCCAATTCACAAGCTGTAGGCTGGAATCCAAAGCAACATCCCTACCCCAAAGTTCCTCGCGGCAGCAAAACATGGTCTTATCGTTCTGCAAAGAAGGGCGGCAATGATACTTTCCCAGATCCCTACTTTGCCTTGGAAAAGCCACTTGACACCGATCCAGGAGTTATCAAGTTCATCGACGATCAAACCAAAATGTTGGATGATTATGTTAAAGGATGCAAATCCAAAGACAAGATTGCAAAAGCCATTGCAGACGCTTTCGATTATAGCGATTATGACAACGTGCAGTTGATTGCTCAAGCGGCAAAGCCATTTTACCTTTACAGCGTAAAAGTAGGAAAAGATAATCGTCCAACTTGGTATACCTGTACGCCAAGTGAAATGGATGCAGCAAGAAAGAATAACCTTGCCACACCTCCAGGTAAGAAGTTTTTGGATGAAACATTACTGAGCGTGAACGGAACTGTCAATATCCAATACACTTTCGTCTCAAATGACGGTCAATACTTCGCTTATATCGCTGCTGATGCCAATGCGGACGTGGCAAAAGTATTTGTGCGTAAATTTACTTCTCCATTGGCGCAGGCCAAAAGTTTCCCAGAAGGCGGCGAAGGTGCGTTGCCGGATGCGCTTCCATTCATTGATGGTAACAGTGGACTTGCTTGGACAAGAGATAGCACTGGCTTCTTTTACGTGCAAGTTAATGACGATCAAAGTGGCGCAAATGCAGAAATCGGATCAGCTGTTCGTTATCACAAGCTCGGAACACCGTACGAAAAAGATGTCACGGTCGTACATCCGGATAAAGTGGGCCCAAATGGCAAGCAGAACTATTGGTTTGTTTGGATTAGCTTAGATGGCAAATGGCTTATGGTCATGGGATTGAACGATGTGACCGGTCACGCAAAAGCGTACGCGACCCTTTATGAAGGCCAGACAATCTCTGACAAAATGAAGTGGATTGGCATTGCATCCGATTATAATTACAAAGTTCAATGGATCGATGTCATCAAAAATGTCTTTTATTACTGGACGGACAAAGATGCAATCGACGGCAAGGTGGTAAAGTCAACACTTGATTGGAGCAAAGCACGTGCTATCAAGAATGATATCAGCGAAATCAAAGACGATTTGCAAATGACACAGCTCGTTCCGGAGCAAAAGTTTAGCAAGATTATGTACAACTTTCCCTTTGGAGGAGATAAAGTGATGTTGGTGTACATCGTAAATGGAAGATATGTGCCAAAGATTTACAACTTCATGACTGGAAAATTGCTGAAGGAAGCTACGCCGAATGAACCTAGTTCGATCTACAATGCAATCGGAGATAAAGATGGTATCGTGGGAATGTATGCAGGTACATTCTCACCCAAAACGGTTTACAGAATCAGTTTTGAAAGCGATAAATACTCTGAAACTCTGTTGACTCAACAAGCAATCAAAGGAACCAATCCAAACGATTATCTCACAGAACATCTCTTTGCAACCAGCAAGGACGGCACAAAAGTACCTTATGCGATTCAGTACCACAAAAGCGTCAAAAAAGATGGGACTGCAAGCGGATGGCAACATTGGTACGGAGCCAATGGTTTTATCGAAAACTACTTATGGGATCAATCATATTTCTCTTGGATCAGGAGTCACCATACAGTTTTCATTTGGTCATCCGGTCGTGGTGGTGGAGATCGTGGTGAACACTGGCATGAAGAAGGACAAAATCACAACAGGCAAAATGCATACGATGATATTATCGCCATTGCAGAAGATCTTGTAGCCAAGAAGATTGTTGCAAAGGGAAAACTCATCGGCGAAGCTGCTTCTGCCGGAGGAATGGCAGCAGCTGTCGTGGCTAATCAAGCTCCTCCTAATACATGGGGTGCTCTGTTTGCCGAAAGAGCCGTGTGCGACGTCTTCTTGAGATGTGACCATTCTTATCTGATGCACAGCCTTGCATCAGGGCCACAGTTCTGGAACATACGCAGACGTGTGAATCACGCCCCTGTAGAGTTTCGAACTTTAGAAGTTTCGAACTTCAGCCAAAGGCTGAAGTTTCTTATAGTCTTTCATAGTTTTTCTATACATCATGTAAAGCTATTTAAGCAGTATTCTTTAGATGAATTCAGAACCCAATTCATCATCAATCTATTCATTCCTTTCAATCAGAACCTTTGTGAGAAACCTAGATTGTTCAATAAGCAAAGTCACTAAGAGATCTAGTCAGTCTTTTTATTAGTACGAGCTGGTCTCGAAGCTAAGGAAGCTCAGAGATGTGACCATTCTTATCTGATGCACAGCCTTGCATCAGGGCCACAGTTCTGGAACATACGCAGACGTGTGAATCACGCCCCTGTAGAGTTTCGAACTTTAGAAGTTTCGAACTTCAGCCAAAGGCTGAAGTTTCTTATAGTCTTTCATAGTTTTTCTATACATCATGTAAAGCTATTTAAGCAGTATTCTTTAGATGAATTCAGAACCCAATTCATCATCAATCTATTTTATTCCTTTCAATCAGAACCTTTGTGAGAAGCCTAGATTGTTCAACAAGTAAAGTCACTAAGAGCATTAGTCAAGTCTTTTTATTAGTACGAGCTGGTCTCGAGGCTAAGGAAGCTCAGAGACAGCGGACAAGACTTGGTTCTGGTCAAACAGCCGAATACGGTGATGTGAACAATCCAGTCGATTATGATTATGTGAGAGCATGGTCTCCATTGCAAAACATCAACAATAAGCAGAAATACCCTGCAATGTTGTTCCAACCTGCAGATTCAGATGATCGTGTTGTTGCGGCAAACACTTTCAAATGTTTGGCACAATTACAATATTCAAACCCAAACAACCCTGCACCTTTGATGATGTATCTGGCAAGAGCTGCAGGACATACAGGTGCAGGTTTGAGCACGGACTCATACACTGATGAAACAATCGCTCAGCATTGCTTCGCCGAATTGGCATTAGGTTTGAAGCGTACCGATTGAAATAGTACATCCATATGACATTCTGTCACTCCATATTTCTACGTCTATTTGGTTTCCCCCTTCCGCCCTTTCATTTTCAGAAAGAGAAATTCCATGACCTTATCCCTCTTCTTAAATATAACATAAAATTATGTGAACAACGACTTCCCTGTGTTAATCTTATCTAGTCGAACTTGACATCAATTATACCTAATTGACGGCCAATGATCAATACTGTTCACGATAGCCATCTTATTCGATATGCCTGTCATGCTGCGCGGCGCTAATTCTGCATTGACCTTGATAAACTGAACACGTGAGATGACTCGATAAATAAAAAAGTGACTGATACGAATGAATGCTTCTCACCTTTTCTTCTTACCTTTGATCAAATAAGGGGATCACATCAAACGCACCCAAATTGTGATTTTTGCATGCTATTCCAACTAGCTAGACAATCAATCACACTCATTAGTCGTCGATCCCAAAGAAGCTTTAGTAATCGTGCAAAAGTAACAAGTGCTATTTGTCCTATTCCGAAACAATCATTCATACAACTCAGAATGGCTTCTCAACAGGCCGGAAATGGTCAGCCATCTGATGATGCCAAGAAAGTGAATGCTGCCACAGCAGAAGCCAATGGCGATTCCACCTCTCAAGCTCCTCTTGGACCAGATGGTCAGCCAATGACAAAGACCGCACTAAAAAAGGCAGCCAAAGAAGCTGAACGAAAAGCCAGAAGTGAAGCAAAGCAAGCATTGCAAGCACAAAGGATTGCTGCTCAACCTGCCGCAGAAAAGAAGGAAAAAGCAAAGAAAGAAGTCAAAACTGAACCAGAATATGTCAATAACACAAAACCTGGAGAGAAGAAGGATCTTTCTCAACCTATGGAAGCAGGATATAATCCAGATCACGTAGAACAATCTTGGTTCGAATGGTGGGAAAAGAGCAAATTCTTCACCCCTAGACCAGTCACTGAATCCGATCCCCACAATCCTGAACGCACATTCGTCGTTCCAGCTCCTCCACCAAACGTGACTGGAGCTTTGCATATCGGACATGCTTTGACGATTTCCATTCAAGATGCATTGGTTCGTTATCATCGTATGAAGGGCTATCGTGTATTATTCAACCCAGGTTATGATCACGCAGGTATCGCAACACAAGCTGTCGTAGAGAAACGTATTGCCAAGACTGAGGGTAAGACCAGACATGATTACGGACGGGAAGCTTTCCTAAAACGTGTTTTTGACTGGAAAGATGAATATCAATCTCGTATCGGTAACCAAATGCGTCGTTTGGGTGCAAGCTACGATTTCACACGTGAAGCATTCACTATGGACGAGACCCGCTCAAAGGCAGTCATTGATGCATTCTGTCAATTGCATGAAGAGGGTATCATTTACAGAGGAACCCGATTGGTGAACTGGTGTTGCAAATTAAGCACCACCTTGAGTAACTTGGAAGTGGATCAATTGCAGTTGAATGGTCGCAAGATGATGAACGTTCCAGGCTATGATGAGAAAGACCGATTCGAATTTGGTGTGATTATCAGCTTTGCCTACCCACTCGAAGGCTCTGATGAAAAGATCATCGTAGCCACCACACGTATCGAAACAATGTTGGGTGATACAGCTATTGCTGTTCATCCTGATGATGACAGATACAAGCACTTGCATGGCAAGTTTGTAGTCCATCCATTCTTGCCTGACCGCAAGATTCCAATCGTTGCTGATTCAATTGCTGTTGATATGAGCTTCGGAACTGGTGCTGTCAAGATTACGCCCGCTCATGACCCCAACGATTACGAAGTTGGTGTACGTCACAAACTTCCATTCATCAACATTCTCAATGATGATGGTACCCTGAACGAAAACGCCGGTGAATTCAAGGGAATGAAGAGATTCCATGCCCGTCGTGCAGTCACTGAAGCATTGAAAGCAAAGGGACTTTACGTCGAGACAAAAGACAACCCAATGACCGTGCCCATTTGCAGTCGTTCTGGCGATATCGTTGAACCAGTGATCAAGCCTCAATGGTGGGTGAACTGTACACCATTAGCTAAAGCTGCCGTCGATGCAGTCGAAAAGCAAAATATGATCATCACACCAGACGTTAGCCGAAGAGAATTTTACCGATGGATGGAGAATTCGCAAGATTGGTGTATCAGTAGACAATTGTGGTGGGGTCATCGTTGCCCAGCCTACCTCGTCAAGGTTGAGGGTAAGAGTCAAGATCCTGCAGACAGTAAGAATTGGGTAGTTGGACGTACCTTTGAGCAAGCAAAGGAACGGGCTGAGAAACTTGCAGCAGGTGCCAAGTACACTATGGAACAAGATGAAGATGTTTTGGATACATGGTTCTCGTCAGGTCTATGGCCATTCTCTATCATGGGTTGGCCAGAAAAGACGGACGATCTGAAACACTTCTACCCAAATTCTCTCTTGGAAACTGGTTGGGATATCTTGTTCTTCTGGGTTGCAAGAATGATTATGCTCGGTGTTCATTTGACAGGTACCATTCCCTTCAAAGAGGTCTTTTGTCATGCAATGGTACGTGATGCACATGGCCGTAAGATGAGTAAGAGTTTGGGTAACATCATTGATCCTTTGGACATCATTGAGGGTATTCAATTGCAAGGATTACATGACAAATTGCTCCAAGGCAATCTAGACGAAAAGGAAGTACAGAAGGCTATCACAGGTCAAAAGAAGGATTTCCCCAAAGGTATTCCCCAATGTGGTACAGATGCTCTTCGATTCACTCTTTGTGCTTACACAAGTGCTGGTCGTGATTTGAATTTGGATGTGAGCCGTGTAGAGGGTTATCGTAAATTCTGCAACAAGTTGTGGAATGCTACCAAATTTGCTTTGATGAAATTGGAAGGTGGCTTCCAACCTGCATCTGAGCTCAAGCTTACTGGCGATGAAGGGCTAGCAGAGAAATGGATTTTGAGCAAATTGGACCAAGCCGCTCAACAAGTTAATGCAGGATTCAAAGAACGCAACTTCATGAACACTTGTGCGGCAATGTACAATTTCTGGTTGTACGAATTGTGCGATGTGTACATTGAAGCAACGAAACCCATCATGGAAGCTGGAGATGAAAGAGCGCGCGCTTCTGCTCAACAGACTCTTTACACATGCTTGGAAGAAGGATTGAAATTATTGCATCCTTTCATGCCATATGTTACAGAAGAGTTATGGCAAAGATTACCACGCAGAGCAAGTGAAAAAGCAGAGACGATTGCATTGACTCAATTTCCCGAATCGCTTCCTGAGAGACAAGCTTTGACACAAGATGCTACTAGATTTGAAAGCGTTTTCAGCGGTATCAAAGCAGCACGATCTTTGGCAGCTGATTATGGATTACAGACCAATTTGCAAATTTGGCTGCAAACAGAAAAAGATGATTTGTTGGAAGCATTGAAATCGGAATCATTAATTATTCGCACATTGGTAAAAGGATGCAAATCTCTGGAAATTGTTAAAGCTCAATCTGACGTTCCAAAAGGATGCGGTGTTCTTTCTTTGGCCGAATTGCAATTGAACGCTTATGTTATGGTGAAGGGACAAGTGGATATCGCAAGAGAGATTGCAAATCTAGATAAAAAGATTGAATTAAACAGACAAGCATATTCACGTACAGAAGCACTAACTAAAAAGGAAGAATTCGAACGTGCACCTGAGGATGTCAGGAATGGACAATTGGAAAAGCTCAAAACCAGTGATGAAGAACATGCAGCTTTATTGCAAGCCAAGGCTAACTTTGAATCCATTCGCGATGATTAAAGGGTAGATTTGTAGACTATATAATCGCTAAAATGATATGGCTTTATTGTGCCTTTAATTGTGATGAGTATTTGACAATTGTGCACGACGGGAATAACAAAACCGTTGTCGCTCTGCATAATCTGTAGATCCGGGAACGCGACTTGTTATGCATAAAGTTTCCCAGTTTACCTTTTCCGGCAAATCAGCGCGTGCGAAACTCTTACCCCAGATTCAGTCAGGGTTTGACTGCATATTGCCTTTGAAACATTTTTAGCATCTTTTTTTTTGCTTCCAACCATCACTTCAAATCAACTCATGTCTTCATTGCGATCGTCTGAAAGATTCACAGGTGTGATTATAGGAGCAGCGGCAATCTTATTCGCAGCATCAGCATACAATGTTATCCTAGCAAACGTGCAAAACGAACCAAACAAGAAAAGCAAATCAAAGAGTGACGCTCTTTCTTCAACACAACCCGAACCCAAGCTATCATCACAATCTGCCGTTCATAATGTCACATATGCAACTAAACCGGAAGATTGTCAATCTTTCAGTTCAAACACAAAAGAACGTCCAAAGCTACATGCTGGAGCATTGTTTAAATTGATCGATATCGCAGCAGGCGTTGCAGCAAGACGGCATGCGGGAAGATCTTGTGTGACAATCAGTGTGGATTCGGTCGTATTACTCAAACCAATTTACCTCGGTGACTTGATTCATGTTTCTGCCAGCGTGAATCGAGCATGGGGAAGTAGTATGGAAGTTGGAGTTAGAATCGTAAAAGAGAGTATCACAGGACAGGGAGATAATAAGATGGAGTATGTCAGTCATTCTTACTTGACATTCGTTGCAATTAACAAGAGCAAACAGATAGCTGAATCATCCTATTTTGGGAAAGCATGGCAGTCAATCTTTGGTGCACCTGCCAAGCCAGCAAAGCCAAACCTTGCTTTGATTAAGCCAATGACTCGATTAGAATCAAGACGTCATCTCTTAGCAGGGAGGAGAAGAACGAAGCGACTTGCAGATGCTCAACATGGCAGAACACGCGAGGGCGTAAGTATTGAAATCAAATCAAAAGTTCGTCAAGAAATGCAAAAGATGATGGACGAATACGATCAACAACAATTCAATCCACCTTCTCGTGATATTGCAAATGCGATAAGAGGAGATGAACTTTTACGTGCGATTGAGATTGAAGTACTCATTCAAGCTTGGGCACAAGGCGAAGACGTCGTTCATGTACATGACGGAATGGTAGAAGTCAATATGCCGGGTGATGAACCTTTGTTGTTTCCTGAGGCTGAGGTAAGGCAAAAAGCCAAGAAGTTAGGTATCAAATTACCCGGAGATGCAAGATTTGATCCGACTGAATACCGATTGCAAGGATCTGCAACACCAACTTGGGCACAATCAGCATCGCCTCCGCTAACACCGCTAAGACGCAAGCAATCCAACTTGCATGCACACAAGGACTTACAATCAAACTCGCCATTTGTCACCTCACAACAGCCTCTGCCAGCAGTCGGCTCGGGGAATAATAGCTTGCCAGTCATCTCCACCCTGACTACCAGCATGCACATCGTCTTCCCTCAACATACCAATTCGATCGGAATAATCTTTGGTGGAAATACGATGAGTTGGAGTGAAGAAGTAGCACTGATGGCATGTAGGAAGATTCAAGTGAAAGGAATGATGAGGGTACCGCATTGGAAAACAGTTTCGATGGATGGTTTAGAGTTTAACGTTCAAGTTGGAGTAGGAGAATTAATGATTTTATCTGCAATCGTCGTTCGTACATATGCACATTCATGTGAAGTGTATGTTTTGGCACAAGCGGAAAATCGTGAAGGTCAAAGACGATTCACAAATGATGTCTTGTTCACGATGGCATACTGCAAAGAACAAGCGTTGGCCACACAAAGTGATACTTTAGACGGAGAAGGTAAAGTTGGATCAATTGACGATCATATCACATCGCAAATCATTATGCCTGCCAATTCGGCTCTAGAATCGTTTGCCAATGCCTCACAAGTACGCAGACAACAAAGATTAGAATTACGTCAAATGTTGGTGCGTGTTTATGGGTCTCAAGGTGATATGGCAAGTGCTTCAGAACAATAGCGGAACTTGTACATTTCTTGTATCATTTTGTATTCTATCTCAATTTTCATACAAATGCTATTATTCTCATTCTCCAGCCAAACGACGAGCAGTTGCGTCTCTCTTGGATTGTAGTGCAGCCAATTTTTCGTCCTTTGTTGCATCGTAAGAGACGGTAAGTTGATTGAATGGATTGTCTGGGTGTTTTTGGAATTCTTTGTAAAGAGCGTCATGGTACTGTTGTGATCGCATGCCTGGTCTTTCTTGTTTGATTCGTGCCATTTCACGATCTTTGAATGCTTCAAATGCTGCTTTGAATCTACGTTCAGGATGACGTTCAAGTCCTGCTGCTTTGCTGCCTTGAGATGCAGAATCGGTTTTCTCGTTTGCGATCGAAAGAGCGTCTAAAGCATCATCGATATTTGAAGCGCTCAAAGAAGTGATTGCATCATCGATTCCACTCGGTACAAAGTTGTTTTTCTTACCACCAGAAGCTGCTTTTTCAGCTTTCTTTGCTGCACCTTTCTTACCTCCGTCCGGTATAGAAGCTTCTTCTTCCGCCAAAAGTTTTTCTCGCTCTGCTTTCTTTCTTGCTTCTTCTGCTTTCTTTTCTGCTTTTGCTTCTGCACTTTCTTTACCTTTTCCCTTTTTGCTTCCTGGATCATCCCATTGTGCCGCTTCTTTTGCTTCTGCAGCAGCTGCTGCTTCGGCTGCTTTCTTATCTGCATTCGCTGCCTTTTTCGCACGACCGCCTTCGGCTTTTGCGTTTCCTGTTGGTGATGGGAAGGTTAGCGTCATGCACTTTTGCTAGATAACATTCACCCTACTCACCTCCACGTGGCGGCATATTGTATTGATTTGATGAGGTGATGATGAGAAGAAACAAAAAGAATGCCAGGCTAAAATCTGTTAATCTGATATCACCGAAGCTCCACTCAATCAGAGTCGCGTCACGAGACCAGCACAGGAAGAAAAGGGTGCGGGAAGCAGGTACATCTTAAAACACACGCTAATCCCGATGTGCACACATGCTGATGAGGAAGTGTTCCATTCTCTGTGACTCATGCCAATCTCCATGGACAATTTCAATCCATCCAACGGGCTCACATGACCGTCGTCACAAGGTCTGCATTTCCGATCGATTTGGAAGGGAAGTCGGAATTTGATGCAATACAAATGGTATTTGAATATTTATTTTTGCGTTCCGAAACGGAAGTGTGAATTTGGATAAAGCCACAAATTTCTAATCATGCATACGAGCACGTTCTTTTATTGATGATGATGATCAATTTGATTTACACAGCTTAAAAAGACACCCCCATTGTTCATCTGATTGATTGCACTGCCATTTATTCCATAAATAGGTTCACACGCTTCTCTGCACAACACACTCACTCTTTCCGGGCCAATCGCGTGCATAGAAAGGATTCCAGACCCGGATTCTATTTTTTGACTTGACAGGCTTGTTTGACGTTTGTGGCACTAAATGAAGGAAAGCCTTTTTTCTTTTGTTTTCTTTTTTCGAATTGCGATACGCTAGCTAGGGTTGTGTGTGTGCGTGTGTGTGCGTGTGTGTGCGTGTGTGTGAATAAGCATAAAGTGGGCACCGGTGTGGTTTTGCGTAACGCACACACGCGTCACACACTTACACAGGCAGGGCATCGGGCAAACACACTGGTGCTAGTGCTGTTGTTGCATCCCTTCCAAGTGTGTGCATGCAATCCTATGCAGCTGATTTTTGAATACATACGATTATCGGATTGGTAATGTGAAAATAAACTACTGCTCAAGTGCCCAAACTGCTCCCGTAATGTAAAAAGTGCATTTGGACTTGCTGCTCTTCATGATTGAAACCTTAATGGTGTGTTTGTTGAACTCAGCATTTGAATTGAAACAGATTTGCATATTTTATCATCGCCGGCGGTTTGACATCACCATCATCATCAAGGAAAGATAAAAGAATATAATAAAGCAATTTGCGTCCTTTTTTGATATCATTTAGGGCGCTCTTCTTGTTTTTCTTTTATTCTCTCACCTCCGCCCTTTCGCCAAGTCCGAACAATTACGCTTCAAATACTCGCTCGGACTATTCGCCTTCAACGCCTTCATAGCAAGACCCTCTTTTACGCCTTCGTCAACGGATTGCACTCTACAAGTTGCTTGCTTAAACACGTTCTATATCAATCCATTACGCCTTTCTTTCGTTGTCACCACAACGGATAAATCAAGTCAAGTCTGGGGGTCTTAACAACTACACTTCTTGGCGCAAACCCGTTCACAGCGGGGCACGATTTACCTTTTTGATTCTCTCGCATGACAAAGCCGCTTAAACAAATGACGTGTACATCGTAAGGCGTATTTAACCAAAAAAAACATCCGAAATTTGAAATCATTGTTGGTTGTGAGTTCCGAATAAAGGCAAGCCGCCAAGAATGAATGCAATAGCTCCTCCTGCCAATTCGGCAAATCATACAGCAACTTCAGATTCACCTTTTCGTCAACAACAACATCAACAACCACCACAATCACAAAGATCATCAAAGCAATTCTTACTGCCACCCGGCAGTAGCAGTGGTCATTCTTCTAGCGCTTTGGCTTCACTTGCAAGAGGATCATTAATGATGGGCTTAAGCAGTGAAACAAATCCAAATCCAAATGCTTCTTCAAGCTCTTTGGGCTTGGTGTCAACGCATAGTGGTGTGAATGGCCATACACCTACAGGAGAATCATCCAATATGATCATAGGTCCAAATGGTGTATTGGTACCTCGTTCTTCCATCTTGCTAAATCGTTCAACTCGTAAATCACTTGTGGACAATTGGAGAGTGAAAGGACCAGATGGCTCGTTAATTGCACCTGCTGTCTTGCGAATCCCTGCAGTTCCCACACTGAAAGAACAAAAGGAAAGGGAACTTCAACGAGAATTCGAAAGGGCAGAACGAGAAAGGGAGATTGAAAGAGAAGTGCGTGAAAAGGAACAAGCTGAAAAAGTGTGGGGAATACCCAGGAAAGCATTTTACCTTGGCTTGGGAGAGATTAACTTTAATGCACAAATGGCAATGCTAGGTGGATGGGGAAATGGCAGTGGTGGAATGGGTGTTGATGTTGCAAATCGAACGCCATTGACGTCCAAAGCGACAAGGAGAAAGAGTACGCCTGTCACTTTTGGTGGCAGCCTTTCGAAAAAGCAACCACAAAAGACAAGATCTGGCAGGCCAAGCAGTTCTCATGGATCTATCAAAAGAGGTCATGAACCACCTGCTGCTCCTAAACCTCCACCAAAAGAACCAGAAGAAAGCGATAGTGATGAATCGATGGATTTGGAAGAATTAGCAGCATTAAATGCGATCATCAATACGAGAAGGTCTATGGAGGCTGCGCAAGTATTGGCAAGTGGAATGTATGCAGCACGTCCGACAGCGGCCATCAAACGTAGCACTAGCAGTAATGAAGCCTTGCGTAAAAGTACGGAAGGTGAATTGGATAGCCGACCGGCAGAGGAAAGACAAGAAAGTATGGAGAGTGTGCCAACTTTGAAAAGTACCACTACCTCGGCTGTGAATGAGAGTGGAAGTGATAGTGGAATTCAGAGCAAGCCAGCGCATCCTAGACGACATTCAGACAATCTTGCTGCTTATCCGACCTCTTCACGTATTCGATTTGCACCATTACCACATACTTATACACCTTCGCAAGCGATACCCAATGTTGATGAGGATACCTCTCAAACAGTGGGTATCACTGCACAGAACGGGGATACGCTCGCTCCACCAGCTTCAAAAGAATCTGATCGTTCGACTGAAGAAGTTTTGAATACATCAAAACCAAGCCCCACAAAAGAGCGAGAAGATGTTGAGCTAGACATGGAAGAAGAGATGGACGGTGATGAAAGTTGGACGAGACGCTGGAGTGGATCAAAATCAAGCAAATGGTATTTGATGGGCATGCCAAAGAGCGTATTTAGTCCTCAATACTATCGTACTTTGCGCCGACCTATGTCTGGTGGTTCGCATGATTCTTCAATGACTGCTACGCAATTTGGCGCAAATTCTGCCTCTTTGGCACTTTCGGATAGTGAGCGAAGAGGACGAAGAAGATCTCGTTCTAAGCGAGCGTCAAACAGTCGTGCAAGCTCAATCAAATCACGTTCTTCGAGTATCGGCTCCATGGATGAAGAAGAAAGAGATCGAAGACGACAGCTTATCCTTGCCTCTCGACCAGGAGGAACAGGGATGGTCACTCTTCCGGATGGTCGAAAGATCCGAGCTAGAAGAGTGGGAGAAGCATATTCTGACGATGAGGGAGATCAGACGCAAGCATCAACGGAAGTTGGTTTGGGTGCTCTCGCAAAGGCTGCAGAAAGACAAGGTTTGACTGATGATGAACGTCAAACGGGCGAGAAACGAATGTCAGACGATGAGGGTGGCAGAGAAAGCGACTTTGGCGAAGAAGAAATGGCTGCAGATGACAGAGATAGCATTCGTGCTATTGCAAAGATGAAACGTCGCAAACGCGAAGCTTCCATGGATAATGCAGCTAAACCTGCTGAAGATGAGAGTGTTTTCATTTCGGATTCCACCCAAGAAGCATCCAACGACACAGTTCTGCAATCTGATAATAAGAAGTCGAATGCGGAGAAAACAATCGATGAAGCTGCTGCTACCAGTGCAATTGCAGAGGATGAGAGCGATTCCGATAGTCTAAGCGATGAAGAGGCCGATCAAATGGCACAGAGTATCAGTAGACTGGACGAAGAGAAGCTGTCACAAGGTCGCATGCCCAAGCGATCAACCACGATGCCCTCTGGCCCAATCACCTTGAGCGCTTCTCAAGCGGCAGAAGTTCGCAGAAGACACGAAGAAGAAGTGGCAGCATTGGGAGCTGAAGTATTGCACAATATCGCGAAAGCTAAAAAGGCTAAACAGATGCAATACGATCAACAACAACAGCAGCAACAAGGAGCGTCTACTCGTCAACAACAAACACAACAACAAAAAAGCGCTACAGATAAATTTGGTCATCAAGATGCGAGATTGCTACGATCGCAGACTGTGCATCATACCGGCCAGTCAAACTCTCCAGGCTTGCCTACTCAGTCTACATTCAAAAATGCAATTTCACAGACCGACCGCGGACGCGGACGTGATGTTCGATCACGTACACAAACATCAGCTGAGGATGAAGTGTTTTTGAGGAGTGAAGGCAGACATAGCAGACTTTCACCTTTGCGACACTCTCTCCGTACGAAGCCACGAACGCAAAGTGTTCATGTCAATCGCGCTCCAAAACAAACTGAATCAAACAAGCAAGCTTCGTATGATGTCTTGGAATCGCTTCGACGTCCAGATCGCAAAGGAACGGGCAGCTCATCTTCTGTTAGTCGACTTCCTCGCGTATCCACTCCACCTCGCATTCAATCCGACACTGATAGTCGCCCGATCACGCCTACCAGAAGGACTGCAGATGATGAAAATGAAGCGGGAGATTTGACAGCTTCAGTCTCATCCGTACGTACGTTAAGAGGAGCAGGTGATATTATTACAGATTTCCCTTTGCAATCGTCGCCTCTCTCCCAAGGTGCAGTCAGTCCTTCTGCAGTTCACTCTCTTCACGATTTACACAATCCTGACGTTCAAACACCATCAATCGCAGCCGCTTCTATGCCAAATGTAGCCGTTGATGCGGAAGACCTTGAGTTGACGATTGATTCACCGCTTGCCGAATCGCCATCTTCAAGCTTACGAACAGCTTCTATTCGTTCTTTCCGTCGATCACGCATTCCAGATCTACCTTCACCTTGGGATCTTCCAAGGCGTCCAGATGCTCGTGGATATGCAGTCGTGCCTTTACCAGGCAATCAATTAGGACGTCGTCCTGATAGGCCACGTGAAGGCAGATTTTGGCAAACGGACGAAGAAGATGGAGAAGAAAACGACGAAGAGTATAGCAGTACAGAAGATGAAATGCCTGAAAGACCATACACGCAAAAGAAGATCCAATCGACAATTGACTCGGATGATGAACAAGAAAGTGATATGGATGCTGAGCAATTGGCCGAAGAGGAAAGAAGGACTGCCGTCCAAAAGAAACGTGCAACGACTCGTGCTGCTGGAGCCGAATTGGTTAGTAGTCTTACAGCTAAACAAAAGAATCAATCGCAAAACAATCTCGCTACACGATCTGCAACACGATTAAATTCAAAGCGATCAACATCTGCCAATCGTCAAACGGATGCAAATGGCAAATATTCTCAAAGACCTGCAAATTTATCGCGAAAGAGTGCCGAATTCCCAATCTCAGGTCAAGCGCCTCTGTTGCACAGACACAGCAAGTCATCCAATCAATCAGTCACTTCAAACGGCAGCTCACGTGGAGATGCTAGCAATGATGTCAGAAATGGCCGTCCTATCTTGTCAAGAACTGTTGTATCCACTTCGCGGGATAGGAAAGGAAATCATGTTGCAAAGATCACACGTGAACGTGATACATGGAATGATTTTGACGATCACGAAAGCAAAATTCTGGGAAAGAAAGATGTCTTAGCAAAGCTTAAGATCGAGGACGAAGATGGAGACTCTAGCGATGTCGATGATCTTTGGCCACCAACGTTGGATAACGCTCTGGGCAGCGGATCACCTTTGCCACGTGTACCTGATCTGCCTTCCCCGATTCAAATCCCTTTGGGTAAATCGACCTCGCGGCCCACTATGGCAGCTTTATCCGCAAAGAGTTCTACAAGTCTGTCTTCTAGTATTGGCAGTTCAAATGGTGCAATGATCAGCCCAATTGGTGACGTGAGTGCATCTGCAAAGAAGTTTGGCCATAGTCCTACTTCTCCAAATGGTTCTGCATCGAATCATTCAACAAGTTCAGCTATTCGATTAGCAATGCATGCAACAAAAGCAAAAATCGTACGTGAAAAACGTGAAAAAGAACAAAGGGAGCGTGAACGTGAAAAACGTAGAAAAGCACGCGAAATGGACGAATCTCTTGATTATGGGTGGCCGAAAAGCTTACAAGGTTCATCGTTATATTGATTTGATGAACATTTTATACCAGCTCACGATCATACTGTATTTATAACCTCGACACACACACACACACATCTCTGTTAAAATCAACATGTTTTGCACGTCCTTTGATGTTTGATAAATCATTAATCAATTAAGATAGGGAACACGTTGTACAAAGGTTTATCTAGAAGAACATATATAAGAGCACATGAAAACGGGAAAAGAATATTATATTAGGAACCCTTTTAGAAAGGCATAAAGCTCATCAGGTCTCCATAACTGAGAATCGAAGAAGGGTTGGCGGAACAAAGAAGTAATAAAACCGAAACAAGGATCGGTAACCAAAAGTAGACCAGCATTCGATCATCTTTAAGGGAAGAAGGCGCACGTGCAATCACATTTTGACGAATCTTTGACGTTTGTTTTTCGTTTTTCTTGGTACGATTTTCAACTGAAAGTCCTGCTGGTGTTGAGGCGGATTTGTTTGCCTTGCGTGAGGGTGATTTACTGGACGATGGCGTGGAAGCAGTTTCCACTCTTGATTGATCATCAATGCTCACGCTGCGTGGACGTGTTGGTGTTTGTTCGGAAGAGATGGCTTTTGGTGTCAGCCGGGCTGAGTCTTGGGAGGATGATGTTGATGCAATGGCAGGGAATCTACTTTCACCAATGGCAGGTGCATGTAGAGAATCATATGCTGGAGGTGGTGGAGATGATAGAGGATTGATCCATAGAGCGCTTTCCTCGAAGATGTTGCGCCACATAGAAGCACTGGATTGGGTCTTGTCATCTTCTGTTACTGACTTTTCTGCACTTGCTTGAGAGGATGAACCTTCCTCATTGGAATGGGCGATACTTCCCCAATTGGTGAAGCTCGGAGGTAGTGCCATTTGGAAGACAGACACGACGGGAACATTGAAGTGGGTGAAGCCTCCATGCAAAGCTGTTGGAACTCCAAATCGGGCACGATTAGCAAAGTCCAAGCCTCCAAAGACTAGACCTTTCAATCCAGCTTTACGTTCTTCACCGGCTTCGGCTGCTTTTTCGTTGATGCTTTGTGAATCTTTTTCGTTCGATGATGTTCCAAGAGCTTCTTGCTTTTTAGCGCGAGCAGATGCTGGCTCAAAGTCTATTGACGCTGTCAAAGCAGGATGCTCTCCGCGTTCAAGTTGTTCATCATCCTCATCTTGATAGTCCGACTCCTCCTCATCTTCGAGGTAATTCTCACTTTCTTCATCGACGTAAGAGCTGACATTGTCATCGTCAATCTCGGCTGAGAGCTCGTCTTCGTCGCTCTCATCATCTGCTTCAACGAGACGATTGTATAGACTTGACAGACCGAGGTGATCTTCCAACAATGTTTCAACATCAACTTGTTCGCTTTCGCGTGCGACATCCAAAGCATCGCGGCCAACCTCGCAGATAATACGTGCATTTGCTCCTTGACCGATCAACATACGTGCGATCATCACACGTCCATGCAAAGCAGCAAAGTGCAAGGCAGTATAACCATTGTAATCACGAGCATTGATTGGACAACCACGTTGAATGAGATCAGAAGCCAATCTATGGAAGCCCAAAATGACGGCAAGATGCAAAAGAGTGTGACCTTGCTTGTTGGACAAGCGTACTGCGTCTCTTCTCCATCTTCTGATTGAGTCATTTTGTTCAAGATCAACATCCAATAAGCGCAAGAATCCCATTACCGAATCTTGGAATGATTGATTTCCAGACATAGTGGCAAATAACCCTGCAACAGCATTTCTCGAGTGAGTGGTGCCGCCTTGCGAACCGCCGCTAGAGTTGCCATTGCCTTGCGATCTGGTGATATTTTGATTTGGTCCTGATCCCACAACCCGCATAGCAACATCCCGTGCCGATTGCATTTGACCAGTCATTTGCAATCCGACAACCTGCAATGCCAATTCCATCAATGCACGATCAGTTGCATCGATATATGTGAACAACTGTAGAGAATTATTGAACCGTTCCACATTGTGGTCTTGCGATCCAGGTCCTTTCACGGTGACAGCAACTGGTCCAGGTGAAGCACTTGGTGGCAGGAGACATAAAAGAGTATTGCTACCCCAAACTCTTGTACTTGTTGCAGGAATGTCTCCAAAGTAGCATGTCAAACCATCAACGAAATTCTCACCCAAGACTGTCACCTCAATACCTCCGCTCGTAGGTCCTTCTCCAGGAATCAATTTAGATATGGAGGGAATAGGTGTATTTGACGCTTGAGCAGATCCCGAAGCACTGGCTTGATTTCCAGCAAGATTGGCGTCCATGGTCATTCCCGGCAAAGAGCGTGCCAACATTAACAAATTTTGCATATTTTGATCTCCATTTCCTTGACCTCGTTGAATACTTTGCATAAACGTATTCAAATCAAAGCCAGGCACGCTTTGCGGTCCAACATTGAGTGTTTGGGAGGATATCGAGCCTTGTGCTGCCATTCCTGCTGCCCACTGTTGCATTGCATCCAAGTTAGGAGGGCTTGCTGGATGCTGTGGTAACTGCTGCAAAGCACTGAGCAAATGCTGCTGTTGCTGCTGTTGTGGCAGTCCCATACCCATACCTTGCATGGAAAGAGATCGTGCTTGTTGCATGGGTGAGGTGACTTCAGTTTGTGGTGTTTGAACACCTTGACTTGCCCGTGAACTTGCCGTTGGGCTTCCAGCAACGTTGGCCATTGCTGCAAATGCATTCCAAAAGTCAGGATTGTTGATATCAGGCTGCGATGTAGGAGGCGATTGAGCAATCGCAGGTGTATTCTGACCTGTGGAAAGACTTGCTGCTGTTCCGCTCCTTCGGGATGCATTGCGCTCTTCAACATCACCGTATGGTTTGCTTCTAGTTGCACGTCTGGCTTTTCGTCCTTTAGCAGCAGTGGAGTTTCCGTTTGTCATGGCTGCTGCATTAGATTCACCACCTTTGCCTGCAACTGCAGATCCTTCAAGGGTGTTCTCTGATGAGCCAGCTCGACTGCGTGACCCATCCACACGGCGGATATTATCTGAGTTTGTGCTGGTGTTGGCGGCAGCCGCTGCAGCAGCCGCAGCTGCAGCAACAGATTTGTGGTCATCCGTGATCATGATTGGAGGAGTAGAGCCGGATGCAACTAAATTGCCGCGATAGTCTCGCATTGTGAAAATTAGACAGAATCCAGTCTTTTCCCGATGATGACGACAGTAGCATGTAATCCGTGTTGGTAGAACACATTGTCCCTCTTCGAAATTGACAAAATCACCGCAATTGAATACCACCACACGTTTCTCTGCTTCCTCTTCTGATCGTCTTTTGATTTCAGCTTTTGCATTGGCAGAATCTGGATCGATGCCTAATTCTTGATAATCTTCCAATGTGTATTGCTGATCATCTTCATCTTTTCCTTCATCCTTCTTGGCACCGGATTTTCTGCGTTGAGCACGCTTCTTTTCGCGCTGTTGGCAGCTTTTGCAAACAAAGACTCTTTCATGTGGTGGTGTTGCACGAACAACGGCCGCATCCATGAACAATGTCTTCTCTGTAGCCACATCCGCCTGTTTATGCTTTTTCGATCTTCGCTTTGTGCCTGTCAAAGGTGGCAATTTGACATGATCAAAAACGCCGATGCGTTCAAAAGTCGAATTAGACGTGGATGCTTCCCCTTCGGTCGTAGGTCGTACAAGCTCCAATCGAAGTCGAATTTGTGTTTCCACACGAGATTTAGCACCAGCAAATGAGATACCATGTACATGTACCTGCAGACCCTTCAACTCCTCCAGAGGTGGACGAACGACGACCTGAGAAGAAGAGGGGAGGTCTGCGTCCGAGGTATGGCTGTAGTGCGATCCCGAGTGCAAAGCTCTTGGATATTTCATTTGATCACTTTCGTTGGAGTTTCTGCGGGAAGATAGTGCCGAAATAGCGGATGGGTCGAATGACTGTGATTTAGCGGTCATATTACTGATCTTTTGACCACTTGTTTCGCTGCCCACACTTTCATCCTCCCGAGCATCTGTGCCGGCGGATTGATCGAAGTTCTCCTGCTGTATCAATGATTCAAACATAGCATCATCTGTCATCTTTGTATCCTCTGCCGATTGCCATTTGGTGGCCGGATATGCGGTTGAATCGTTGCTGCCTCCTACATTTCCGGCCACTTTTCGGGAAATGGTAGAAGATTGCTGATTTTCCTGTTTGATGTCAGGAGTAGCGGCGTTTTCTTTGGTAAAGTCCATGCTTTCCGGTGTATCAGCGGCAGAGCCAAAGACAGATTCCCAATTTGGGCTCATTGCTTGTTCTGCTATAGAATTATCTTCGTCTTCATCTGCTAGATTGACCGGATGCTGAGTATGCGATGTGAATGTTACAGGCCTCTGATTACCAAGGGCGTGGTTTGGTTTTGTGGAAAGAGTACTGCCGCTAAATGACGATGCACGCGGTGAAGAAGAGCCGCCTTCCTCTGACGTCGAACGGGGCGATTCGCTGCTGTTTGTCAAACTTGGAGGTGAGTCGTTATTTTCGCCTGTTTGATATGATTGAAACAGATACGATGGTTGTGCGTCGGCTGTGATGTTCATAATGAATATAGTATGACGAAGGTGACGTGGGTGTTGCGGATCTGTAGCAAATATATGCACTACCCTTGGCGATCAAAAAGAAGATATTGTATCGTCAAAAACAATTCGATGGGCGAGATGTGATATTAGAGAAGGAAGTGAATGGGTGAGGACGTTATCGTATCAGATGTCCCACGCTCCTCCGTGCCAAGTCTGGATTGTTGGTGAATTGGATGCCGATATCGAATGGCGTAAAATGATGGATAAGAATTCAATGTTGCAACACAGACTGATTAGCCATTCCAGCCGAGAGTTTCCTTTTGGAATGCTGTTCCGTTTGTGTGTGTACAAAATGAACTTTGGAGTGCACCGACCTCTTCTATTTACGATCGAAATTGCAATGGTAAGAGAGCTAAACAAAAGGCAAACGATTTAATGATTGGCTAAAGACGAAAAGTTCATCCGTCGTATAGAGAGTTTTACTTTAAAAAACCCGCTTGAGCGCACTCTAGCAAAAAAGCTTGACAGAGATGCAGTGCTGCTTGCTTTGTTTTCGACGTGGGCAAAATGCGTATGCAGGACAGACAAAATGTGACTGTCACCTTGTGTGCTTTTGTTGCGTGCGCAGTATCCCGAGGAAAGTTTAACGAATGCTCCGCATACAGAAGGGTAAACGCGCGTCATGTTTAATTTCAAGGCACAATTAAACACTAATCCACGCTTAAGCCTCCAGTGTACCCCAACAAAACAAAAATCAAAACCTTAGCGTCGTACCGCGGTGCAATTTCGGCTGCTTAGCCATTACACACACAGCCAACTTAAATTCCGTTCTTGCTCTTTTCCACACAAACAGGATAAAAGAATCCTTACTTAATCTCAATTTCATGCTAATCGGAAAGTTTACTACTTTAGAGGAACTTTCCAAAGCTTCTACAGATATTTCCCACGCTGAGCTGTGAAGAACGTAGACGTGGAAGGGTAAAAAGTCAAAAATTTTAATGACGCCAGCCGGAATCGAAAAATGTATGCCTCGTGGCAGGATCGAACTGCCCTCTCGGGGTCTATTTAGTACTATATGAATCCCGCGTACTAACCACTATACTAACGAGGCGGATATGCTACGCAGGGGCAGGGAGGCTGATATGTACCAAACACATAAAAAACCATCCGGTTGATAGATATCCGAGATGCTGGAAAAGACCAGCCGTTGGTCTTGAAGAGTTCGGCGAGATAGAGATAAATCTTGCATAAAGAATTGAGATTGATGGGATAGAATTACAGGGTCATGAGTCAAAAATGCATGTAGTGTACAGGTATGCTATGTGCCAGTTCGTCCAAATGGAGTATTCACGCTCTATTAATCCTTCTTGTTCTCTTCTTTGCTCTTCTCAACACTTTCTTTCTTTTCTTCGCTCTGTACTTTCTTCTTCTTTACCACACCCAATAGTCCTTCCCGCTTCCTCTTCGCTGCCTTACCCTTACTCGCTCCTGAGGCAGGTGTTGGTGGGGTTGTCTTTGCAGGTAGTGTAGGAGAAGAAGCTTCTTTTGCCAAGGCAGCCTTTCGAAATCTTTCCAATTCATCTTCTGTTTCTTTTTGTTTAAGTCGTTCTGCTTCCTTCTTTTGTTGTGCAACTTGTGCTAAGAACACACTTTCACTATCATCTATTCCTCTGAATTGATTGCCTAATTTTAACTTTTCATCTATTGCTTCTTGTTTGGCATCTTTGTTTGCTTTTAACCTTTCGTACAAGCTTCGTGGATCATACGTAGATCCATCACTTCCGCCTGCTTCCCTTCGTGCGGCTGCCAATGCTTCAGGAGGTGGACTTTGTCCTAGCCTTGCATACGTTGCACGAACTTCTTCTTCCCTCCTCTTTTGTGCTTCCTCTAGATCATTTTGGCTCACAAAGCGTGAAGTCACACTTCCTGAGGGTTTGAATGATGATGATCCATTCATCTTATCATCCAATGATCAAAAGGCAATCCGCCTGATGGAAGTCAGTACCAAAAGGTGCAATGCACGCGTGAGAGTGATAAAGATACAGGCGCACGGATATAATCTTCAACTTTCTTCTTGATTACCATAAGATCATATTACGGGTGAATATGATGTCTATATGGACGAGGAGCTCACCGCTGGTCGGCAGAAACAGTAAGGTACTTCGAAGATGCAACAGATGCTTCCACTCTGGCAGAATACAGCACGTTCAAAGATTATTATGGTGCGGATCAGTCCTGGATCAGAGTAGTAGCACACTAAAGGAAGTGCCAAAAGATTGGCTATTAGCGATGGGAATGCAAGAAGATGTAGAACAGGGAATATCATTTGGTTCTTTGGCATCATCCTTTTCCCATTCACTTTTATCCTATACGACTCTTCCACCCGCTCTTCCCGTCCAGAACGTTATCCCACAAGATGAAAGTGAACCTCCACGTACAAATCCAGCAGGATTACACAAAGTGGTAGCTATTGGACGCAATACATTTGGTGAGCTAGGTTCTGGATTTTCAAGTCAAGAGAGCACTTGGGGAATGGTGGGCGCTGGTTTCGAGGGAGCAGGTGGAATAGAAACTGTTCGATGCGGATTAGGAAGCAGTTGGTTATTGACCAAAACAAGCAAGGACAAAGATGCATCTTCACTCCTTTACAGCTTTGGCAATCATACTTCCGGTCAACTAGGGGTAGGAGGGATATCCAGGCCTTATGCACAAAGTGAAGGCGGTGAACCTCAATTGGAACTCTATTCTTCACCCCGCCGTGTTCCGATAGAAGATGACATCGTCATAGAATCGATCAGCTCCGGTCTCGATCATACAGTCATTCTTGTACGCCTTCCAAATGGCACACAAGAGGTACGAACATGTGGAATCAATACAGATGGACAACTGGGCCTTCCCTCTGTTCAATTCTCTTTACCTTCTTTTAAAAGTATCCAACCGGAAAGCTTTCAACCTCCTCTTCCGCCAACGGAAGAAGATCCAATTGTAGGTGTAGCTGCTGGAGGAGATTCTAGCGCTTTGTGGACTGCAAGCGGAAGGATATGGTGCTGGGGTAACAGTGAATACGCTCAAGCACTTGTTGGTGGGGAGCCAATCGATCGTATTGATGTTCCAACAGAGGCATCATCGAGTGTTGCGAGTGTTCTGCAAGGAGCAAAAGTTGTTGACGTAAAGTTCGGAGGAAGCTTTGTGGTATTGCTTGATGGTGAGTGTATGATTTTTGCTGTTATCTGATGACAACAGTTTGCCGGGGCAATCGGACACTGATGAAGATGATCCGGTTTGCTAATCTGCCATGGGTGACCATGGTCAAAAACAGTCTGACGGAGCTAAGAGCATAATGAATGATCGATAGATGCTGACTTTTTGATTTTACATCTCTTCCAGATCAAGGCAATGTATATACAGCCGGCTTTGGAGCACTCGGACAGGGCAAAGACCGACTATTATCTCACAAGCCACAGAAGATCCTACAAGGAGCAAGTCGAATCAGTACAGGACTTGAACAAGCATCTGCTGTTCTGCACGGCGAAGCAGAGAAGGAAGGCGAAGGAAGACGAACGGAATTGGCTGTCTGGGGTTTAGATTCTGGTGCTGGTCGATTAGGGTTGGGTGCAAGGAATCCATACCCAAGCTACATGCTAGCAAGTCGATTCACACCGGACGAAATTGAGAAACGCATTTATCAGCCTGGATTAGCTAAAGGGTTGCGGAAAGAATTGATCTCCCCCAAACAATCAAAGAATGAGGGCATACTGGATGTAGTACATGGAAGGGAAGTGACTTTTGTCTTGGTGGAAGATGGTAAAGATGAAATAGGAAGATGGCTTCCAAAGTCTGAACAATAGATTAGATGCATGTATTTTTAATTTTATCGAATAAAGCTCCACACTGCAGCCGCGTTTCTTACATTTAGCGTGCGTTAAACATTTTCAGATTTTAAGAAGATTTGCCTACAGACCATCATCATCATCCTCAGCATTATGTCGGGTTCAAGTATACCGCTACTCAAAATCACAGTAGAGTTGGGGTAAGTTATGCTGAACTTGGTGATCGTTCTGATCGCATTACTGACTGGCTAATTCTCTTTGTCCGGTGGTGCAGAGGGGGAACAGAATTACTAACAGCAAATAAGAAACTAAAGAAGCACATCCTGCAAGTACCAGCAGAAGTATTCCCTAATGAACTATCTCGAGATTCGGATAAAGCAGCAGGAATATCTGATGGCTCAAATGTTGTGACAAATGGAACACAATCACGTCATCCAGCAACAATGTCTGATTTGATCCAATTGGTTTGTCGTGATGTGATTGTCGAACGACATGGAATGCTTGTCGAATCGGATGGATCGATGAAGCCGGGCATTCTTGTTTTGATCAATGATGCAGATTGGGAATTAGAGGGAGAGATGGAGTACGAATTGCAAGATGGCGATCAGATTTGTCTAATATCTACACTGCATGGTGAGTTTGCATAGCAGGCAGCAGACACTCAATTCTGAAGCTGACATATATCTTCACTCTCTCTTCAGGTGGATAATGTATCATATTAAATTCGACACAATCAATGTATCTATCTATGGAGTTAATGTTTGCCCTTCAAATAAGCTTTAAAAAAGCAGCTCTTAGATCAGCTTGAAGGTCTTCAAACTCTTCAAGACCGACACTGACGCGGACCAAACAAGGATCTTCTGTTGGATCGGATCCTAATCTATGTTCCAATAATGATTCAACTCCACCCAAAGAAGTAGCAGCTGCAAAGTATGTTGTCTCATGGGGCAAAAGGGCGGCTTTTTTCTTATCTGAAAGTCTAAATGCAAACGTTGCTGGCCAACCATTCTTCATTTGAGCGGCAGGATTGAAATCTTTACCTTCTTCGAATCGTGGTGTCGCACTTGTATCTTTGTCTTTTCTGGGTTGTAGACTTGCATGCCATACTCTTTGGACTACACCTGCTGAGACAATCTTTTGATCTTCTTTTGATACTGTTGAGCTCGATGATGTGGCTTGCACTAAGGTTTGAAGCCATTCTACCAATCTGGTAGCAGTTGTACTTTGTTGACGCCAACGAACCTGTAATGAGCGCAAAGAACGTAAAAGTAGCCATGATTCCATATTACCTGGCATACCTCCAAAATGACTACGATCATCAAACAATTGATCCCATTGCTTCTTATCCTTCACTGCCAAGATACCCATCAACAAATCCGAATGTCCTCCGAAGTATTTTGTTGCGCTATGCATGACCATATCCACTCCTTGTTCGAATACATCTTGCAAAGGTGCAAAAGTAGAATCTACTGCAATCACACCGCCAGCTTCATGTGCACGTTTGGCATAATATTGCAAATCACGAGCTTCACCTGTTGGATTCAACGGTGTTTCTACCCAGACTAATAGCCCACCCTTTGGTGTATCGCTACCATCTCCTCGTTTTCCGACGTCTAATTTTGGATATTCATCATCAAGATCGATAATCTTGACATCTTGTGTGCGTGAATAGATCTTAATACCAGCGTGAACGCCATGATATCCTCTTCTGATAGCGATCACTTTAGGTGCATAATGTAAGATTGCACCGTATGCAGCCGTCAATCCACTCGCATACGTCAACGCATGTGAATCCAACAAGCTCGATAAAACTTGTTCTGTTCTTCCTCTTGTTTCACTTGTGAATCGTGAATAGATGTGAACTGGAGGCTTTTGCCAGTCTAGTCCTGCTTCACCTGTTTCGGCCAATTCTTGACCAATTTGTGATGCTGGGTGGGGTAGTCTGAACGTACTGCTTAACGAAAGTGAAGGAGCGAGCGGATAGTTTGGACTTGTGACATGATCGGGATCATCAGCATGCAAGCCTCGAGTTGCTTTTCCAGGTGTTGGCAAGTCTGCCTTGTTTGCATCGTTGAAAGGCATGTTGGACAGATGTGATGGAGTGATTGAGAGTAGGTAATAGTCTCTCGTGTTGATCTTGTGCATCTTTTGCAAAGCCTTTTGATTTTTTCTTCTGACTCATTCGGAGGTGCAATGTCCGAACTTCTTCCGAGCTTTAATATAGCCTGCATTTATACGCGCTAAAAGAAGTACAAATGTACGCCACAAAAGAATAAACTTATCATGCTGATCCTACTCTAACAAATATAATTTATAAGCACAAAAGCAATATAATAAACATATTCATACTCTTTAAAGCTTAGCAAAGTTGGGCTTCTTCTTTTGCATAACTGACATCATCTGTGGTAGAGGGATGGGAAAGAATAGCTGCGTTAGAAACGGGTATAATCATGCTCTCTTTCATCACTCACAGCTTCTGGAATATCTCCTGCTTGTAATCCTGCTCCGTTCAAGACTGCAGTGTATGTCAAACCCTCTTGAACTGTATGATCTCTGCTGTGCAATAGTAGATGCTTCGTATTACGCAAAGCGACTGGACTCTTTTCAGCCAAAATTGTTGCTGTTTTGATAGCTTCTGCAAAAACAGCATCTTTTCCACCAGGGACAATCTTTGAAATGAAGCCAAACTGTAAGGCTTCTTTGGCATCAAATTCTCTTCCCGTAAAGGCTAATTCTCGTACCCAAGAATCATTGCCAACAATCTTTGGGAATCTTTGTAAAGTACCAATATCAGCTGCTAACCCAGCGTCAACTTCTCTGATAGAAAATCGAACATCTTCAGCTGCATAACGAATATCAACCGCACTTAAAAGATCCACCGCCAAGCCATATGCGACATTATGCACTGCCGCAACGACGGGTTTATGACATCTTTCCATTTGTGTTAGTGCATCTTGAAATTCTTGAATCCAATAAGTCATCACCATTGCACGTCTTGCTGGATCATCTCCTGCAGGATCCATCACTGCTCCCAGCGAGGAGCTCATCACTGAGGTTGACCAATTATTAGCATTCTGTTTGCTATCAGCAAATGATTATATATACTCACAATCCAGTCCAGCAGTAAAGCAACGATTCTCTCCTGTCAACACAATAGCATTCACATCTGGATCACGAGCGATAAAGCGAAAGATGGCGTCCAATTCTCTCCACATTGGTTCAATCCATGCATTCACTTTTCCACGATTGAAGCTTACCCTTAGCACGCCAGGTGCTTCGAATACAAGCTTGTGTAGCTTTGCTTCTCCGAAATTGGTGTATGGTTGAGGATATGACATTTTACTTATTGATGGCCGGGAAGGATGGTGATGGTCAAAGCTTTGAAGAGGGAATGCTCTTCTCCGCATTCTAACGCGTGTGATAATGTCTGTAGTTTACCGGTACATAACTCTAGCGAGAGCCGGATAAATGCAGACACCAACATTTCCATGCTTCCCACCACCACAATCAATAATCTTCTGTCATTCATGATCACATTTCAAACATCAGCGATATGATGGTCGCTTCGCCGCTGCTCGAAGATTAGCTCTGACTAAGATTTGCTTGGTAAGATGAGAAGACTTGAGTAATTCCGCGGAAAGTAAGGCTTCGCGGACCGAGAATGCCTTCAAAGGATAGAAGCTTCCGTTCCAAATTTCAGGTATAAAGACATGATGTAGTCGATCGCCAAACACAAGGGAATGCAAACATCTTCGGATTTCGATTCCGAATATACTCGCATGTTTCCAGGGAAAGACGCCCACTCATTGAGCCTACTCCCAAACTCATAAAGGCGGCTTCGTAATAACCGAGAACTATGAAGAATCAGATTAAGGCACACATGATTCTCGTCACGACGGAAGTACCCCTCCAGAAACAAAAAGATGTCATGTGGTATTAGCAAGAAAACAAACAAGAAGAACGGAACCGCGCCCTTGATTTTCATACATAATGACGGCAGCCTTCAACGTGGAAAAGGAGTAACTTTTAATGAAGTATGGTAAATCTTTGGCCGAGCAGAGTAATAGTGATTATGCCAAAAGTGCACAAAATTAAGCCTTCAGTCTGCTTACTTCTTTTTAGGATCCCCACTTTCGGTCCCTTATTTTGTGCTTATCTGAGATGCATAGTCATAGAAGGAGCAGAATGGTATATAAGCACCGCCCCTTCTTCCAAACGATCTTTTGCAATATCATCCCCTCAAGCGAAGCTCCTTTTTAGCCCATCATGAAGTTTCAATATCTACTTCCAATTTTCTCCGTTCTTCTCACCTCTGGTCGCACTTACAGCTGTTCTACCTCCGCAACTTCGAACAATTGGGACCCATCCAAAGACACCTATCCTAGCGTTCGTCGTGTAAATACGACATTCTCTTATCGTTCAGCAAAAGCGAACGGCAATGTCACCGTTCCAGATCCATACAATTGGTTGGAGGCCGATATGGATACATCGGCCGATGTGAAAGGATTCATTGATGCACAAATGAAATTGTCAAATTCATACTTAAACAGATCCAAAGATTACGATGCAATTTTCGAATCTATCAAAAATCTCAATCGATTCGTCAATATCGGTTTGCCAACCGCTTTCGGTCCTTTGGACGATAGAAAGTACATCTATAGTGCAACGCAACCGGATGATGCAAGACCGATCTGGTACATTGCAACAGCAGATGAAATGCAAGCTGCATACAAGAACAATTTCAATCCTTTACCTGGCTCCAAATATTTCAACGAAAATTTGCTCAGTTCAGACGGCTCTCAAACAATCAAAGAATTTGATGCTTCACCAAATGGCAAATTACTGGCCTACATCTTCAATGACGGAGGCGGTGATAGTTACACCGTTTATGTTCGTAATACTTCTTCTCCTTTTCTCCAACCGGGAAACGTTGCAGGCGGAGCAGGAAGACTACCGAATGACGTCTTACCCTATGGAGCTGGCGGAAGCGTTTGGTGGGTTGATGATACAGGATTCATTTACAGTGAACAAAAAACTCAAGAATCAACTGAAGGCTATGGATCAAGTATCAAGTATCATCGGATTGGTGATAAATATGAACAAGATATCACAGTCGTTGGTGTAGTAAAGGACGATCCATATGTATACTGGAATACATTGGTGTCAAAAGACAAGAAATGGTTGATAGCACAAAAGCAAAAAGGAGTTGATTTCCACAATACGGTCTACATCGCTTCTTTGAATCAAACAATTTCGGGAAACATGAAATGGCAATCAATCGCTCCGGATATGAGCGCTCAAATGTACTACTTTGCCAGCATTGGCAATACGATCTACTTTGCAACGGACGACAATGCGCCAAATATCAGGGTGATTAGTGTACAAGTTGATGAAAGCAAAGCAAGAACAGTTTCGCAACTATCCGATCTTACAGAAAAGTTAGAGTACCATACCGTCGTTCCAGAGAAATCAGATGCAACAATGGATCTTGGTTCAATGGATGGCTGGATGCCAGTCTTTGATACAAACAAACTTTTGACGTACTACGTTCGAAATGCAAGATATGAGCTCTATCTGTTTGATCTTACCACGGGAGAACAACTCGCTCAAGTTTTACCTGATCAAAAAGAGACTGTGATTCTGTACACCACAGCCCAGTCTGATCCTGAATATTTCCTGTCAACTACAACACTCAACAAGCCGGTGACTATGTATCGTTTCACCTTTCCGAATGGAAAGCTGAATACCGAGCGCATTTATGACACCACCGTCAATGGAGTAGATCTTACAAGCATCACATCTGAGCAAAGATGGTCAACCAGCAAAGATGGAACAAAAGTACCTTTCTATTTGTTCTACAAAAAAGGGTGTGTATTCGATGGTACAAGTCCTGCATGGATCTATTCATACGGTCAATATGGTTACAACATCTTGCCGACATATAAATCACAATACGTCGACTGGATTTTGAATTATAACGGTGTGATGATTTGGGGAAGTCCAAGAGGAGGCGGTGAGGTGGGCGGCGCAAGTTGGCATGAAGAAGGAATGAAAGCAAAAAGACAAAATACGGTTGATGATGTTATTTCATTCGCAAAATATGCAACCGAGAACAAAATTGCTGCACCGGGAAAGATAGTGGTGAATGGAGGCTCGGCTTCAGGTACAACTGCCATGGTTGCAACGAATCAAGCTCCTGAAGGCTTATTTGGTGGAGCATGTATCGAAAGAGGAGTTTTAGATATGCTTCGATTTAAAGTATTGGAAAATTCTGGAAATGCAAATGTGCCTGAGTACGGCGATCCGGACGATCCTTCTGATTTTGATTATTTGATCAAGTACTCACCTCTTCAAAACGTGAACAAAACCAAAGAATACCCAGCTGTTTTGATTTTCACAACTACCGCAGATACAAGAGTCGCACCCAGTCATTCGTTTAAAATGACTGCTGAACTGCAATATGATCTTCCAAAAAACAAGAATCCATTACTATTGTATCAAGCAGGTGGAGCCGGACATGAAACAAAGCTCAACAGTAGATCATACACAATCGAAACGAGTACTATCAAACAAGCCATCCTTGCTGAAGGTCTTGGCATTCAACGTTGCTCTTGAGTGCGAGCAAAAGAATGGACACTGAAAAGTTATTAAAAAATATTGTTTCGATAAGCTACTTTACAAAATTACAAATGAATTTCTTATGTGCGGTTCAAAATTGTGCATGGCCTTTGGAAGATTAGAATGACAGGTTGATATTGTGAGCATATTGAAAGAGGCCGTTAAGGGTTGTTCTTCCCTACTCTTCGTCATCTTGGTCGGTTTGTTCTTCGTCGTTGTCTGCCTATTCTCCGTCAACTACACCACTGTTTGGTTGAACTTCTTCGTTGTCTGCCTGACCTTCATTGTCATCACTTTGCTCTTTGTCGTTTTCTTTTTGTTCCTCAGATAGTGCTTGAAGCACGTCGCAAAGGTCTTTTGAAGAATTATCTTTGAGTCTCTCAAAATGTTGGGAGTACTATAAAGAGGATAAATACGATTGCTATCAAATGAGAAAATTTCATTCGAAGACGCATTCGTGTTATCTTACAGGATGATAGCTTTGTATAAAGTACAATTATTGTAATGGCAACGGTCGTGTACAGCTTGCAGAATGCACTGAATCGTCATAGTAAGCTCAACTTATCCTCTTTGAGCGATGAGAGAAATGTGCGTAGATCTTTTACAGAACCGCTACTTACTTTCTCGATGAAGCTAGCTGCAAAAGAAATTTCTTCAGCGGTAAGATGGGGATGCGTCTTCCCTCTTACGAAATGACCGATGGAAGCTTCATGGATCGTCGTGCGGTATCGATCACACAGAAAAGGCCATATACGTTCAAAACACCAAAAGTATATATCCGCTGTTTCTTTGGTGGAAGATATGTCCGATTCCAATAGTCGGCGCCATACACTGATGTACTTCACTAAAGCAGCAGTACCATATCGGGACTTCAACAATGCGTAATTCCTGTTTTTCTCCTTTCCAAAGGCTCCGCAAAATTTATGCAGGCCGAAATGTGAGACGATTTCCGATCCATACTTATGACCAAAGTCAATCATATCTGCCGAGAAGCTGGAAAGAAGATAGTGAGGAGACTAGCCTGGTAATAAATTTTAATCTATCGTGACTTACTCGATTGACCAGCTTTCCGAGGGGACGACGCCGCTTATAATCTCCAAGGCACGGCAGACTACCTTAGGAGGAAATTTATCAAAAAGCTCTACTTCTTCTATTTGCATCACTTTCCCATCCTTGTTTGAGCAGAAATCGAACATATCTTGAAAAAGACTTGAATCAATAAGCCTAGACTTTTCTACTCCGTACTTGATCTTCTCGCCTTTGCCACCATGCTTTTCATAGACTATATAGAAGTCGACCTTATCTGACCTCTTCTCAATAATGTTTCGAATTTCCGGAATGCCATTCTCAGGATCTGTCTTTTGCTTTTTCTGCGGAGGTTCACTCATTTTAAAAGAAAGGTAAGCAGCTGTGATGGAAAGAAGCAAAAAGTGGGTTTTGATAGATTACTCAGTCAGCTTTCTGCTCGCGTACCTCTATGCACCACTTGCGGGCTTTACGGAGCCGAAAAGGAAAGTGCATACATTCTCATGGCTCAAGCGATCAAACTTCAAAAATATAGTACATCATAACAATCTTGTTCTATAAAATGGCATTCCACGATGCTGGTGAGCGAGCCCGAGAGTGATTGATTTATTCTTTGACTCGATTGCTATTCAACATAATCTAGAATTGTACTATATATGCAACATCTCTATGATACAAATTTAATATATTTAGCAGCCATGTAAACGTCTTAAATGCTGCAGTGTTTTTCAGAATATAAGATGTCCCAAATTGATGTTTCAGCATGGGAGCTTTCAAAGCTGCATACATGTTACTCACTCGATCTTCCATTTATTTGTATCGACAATACCGGCCAAAATTTTCAAAGTCTTGCAGATCGTCTTTCTCTCAACGTATGACTGAAAGGAGAACCTCACGCTTTTTTGGTTCGCTCGGATTTTTCCTCGTCCAGTTCTTGCAGAAGCCTTTGCAGATCTTTATTTTTTCTACCGGCCCGCAGCTTATCGATATATATTGTCGCAACACAAGTATCTTCGCCCGAGAAGTATTTCCCAGAATCATGGTCGATAAATTCAGACATCGTAGCTTTTTCTGGCGTCGTATTGCAAAGTTTACACCATGAAGACCATGTCATTTCCATACACCAAAAATATGCCTGAGCGGTCTCCGCTGTCCATAATAGATCACTCTTAACCATCCTATACCAAAGGCTTATGAATTTGATTATAGCTGCACTTCCATACCGAGAATGAAACTTCTTTGAATCACCAAGTGCTTCCTCCACGAAAGCCCGATGAAACTTTTGAAGTCCGACGTATACGACATTGTTCGCACGATATTTATGACCTAAATCGATCAGATCTGCGCTTTGGCTGACATTTATTATCGGATAAGCTCTGGGTCACTGTATTGCATGTTTGACTCACTCACTCTATAGTCCATATCCCTTGCTCGACCACCCCGCTAATGATCTTTAAGAATTTATGTACGACATCTAAATCCATTTCTTTAAGCTCGAGCTCTTCCTTTTGAGCTTCCCCATGGCTCGAGCATGCATCGAACATGTCACTGAAAACGGTTGAGTTTATCGTAAGGGCAGCTTTCTCAACTCCGTACCTGACGGTGTTTCCTGTAGCGCGATTCTCGCATATAATGATAAAATCAATATGCTTACTCCTCTTTGGATTTACAGGAATTACGGTTGAATCTGTGAAGCTTCCGACCATCTGAATCGAAGACGCTTCCGAGCTGGAATTCGACATTGCACGTTTGATGATAAGTGCAGTGAAGATGGTGGTGAAAAAGCGAGAAGACAATGTTAATTTTGCTTTCTAAAAGGTTGCTCAGCATTTGGAAAATTTTCTTCACATTACATATTATTAGTGACGGCGCCGTCGTGTCTAAAGTGATTGGTTGTGTGACATGCTCGAGCGCCCAACGAGGCCAAAGCGTTGCAACGGTATGCTACTGCTCTGAATTCGATGCAACGAGTTCAGCATAAGAAGAATGACGAAGGGAAATGATCAGACTTGGCTCCTGAGAATTATGGATTGCATGTGATCCGAAGAGAAAATATACAATAGTCCAATTACATTATGAAACATGGAAATAACGAACCTCCGGTAGCAAGATTGCCACACCAGCAACCGTTGCTGGAATTATCACTACAGCACACCAAGTAAGGAATTGCAATTTGGTCACCAATACTCCACGTTGTCTGAGACCGTCACGCCAAAGTAAACCAGCCAAACTTGCTGCAAACGTACCACCAAGAGCTCCAACATTCGAACCAAAAGCGACCGAATAAGCAGCCGCTCGTAAGATCAATTCTGCTTCTTGTGCCGGTAACTTTTGTTGGAAATAGGTTGATTGAAGTGCACGAGTAAGCAAAATTGTTGCACCGATATTTGTTCCTCCTAAATTGCAGAGAATCACTCCCAATAACGAAATAAAGAACGAACAACCAATATAACCATGACCGCAGACGTTTCCTAGACCACCAGCAAGGATGTTGATGAATCCTACATGTCCTAAACTTTGAACCAAGATAAACATTCCAAATGCAAATGGGAGAAGTGGGAAAGGCAAACGAGCCGCGACATACGTCACCGTTGGGAAGATTTCCATGCAATGTTCATGGAACGCAATCAGCCGATGGAAGACCGGTTTAGACTTACTTGTGTCTTCTTTGGATGATTCGGATTTTGGTGGCTTTTCTTCTGATGTCGCAACCTTCTCGACACTAGCCCTTCTCGATTCAGTTGCTGCATTTGTGCTTTCCTCTGCGGTATGCTCGCCGCCATTGACAGACAACGCAGGTGCATCTCCATTTGCATTACCATTTTGCGTTTCCACCACATCTCGCTCTTTAGCCTGTTCCTCTTTGCGGAACGATCTCCAGGTATACCAATCATAAACGATATCTCTCGTCAAACAGATGGCTGCTCCAGGTGCGGCCACCATGTAGACTTTTGCACCTCCTGTAACATTTGTCACAATCACAGTAATTAGCGTTGCAGCCATGATACAGCTTGCGAATATTGCACCTTTGGGATCCACAAGAGCTGCTTTTGGATCTACATCTGGCCTCACAATAGTCTTTGGGATATAAATGATTGGAGTACGATGTGAATCTTTTGTTTCGTCATCTTGGTCATGTGAGTTGCTATTCTGTGAATCATTTGACAAGTCTTGCATTGCAATGTCGTTACCGTTCTTTGTTGGTGAGATGGGTGGTTTTGATCGATTCCTTCGGCGTCCTTTTGACCCAGTTTGCCCAGTGAAGACAGATTTTGCCCAGCCAGTCACACCACCAGAAGAAAAGTCTTTGCCCTTCTTCTCAGCAGATGTAGGTGGCTCGTTGCGGAAGAATAGGAGCATTGCGCCCAAAGCTGCCAGAGCGGATACTAAGGCTGGTAAGACCATATATGCGGTATAGATTGGGAAGGAAATATTGAAACCGCTAGCGATGACCAAATTCGTCGGATTGGAAGAGACCAAAACGGCACTTGATACATTTGCTGCTACGAATTGTGCCCAGATCCACGCAGAAGGTGGAGAGATTCCAGCCACTCGAGTGAGATAAACCAAGAATGCCGTTCCACTAAGAATGACTGGATCATTTCCGACCAAAACACCCAACGTCCAAAAGAAGGCATAAAGGATGAAATAGAGACCCATTCCATTACTACCCGCTTTGATACAGACTTGGAAAGCTAGGTAGCGAAGTAAACCAGTTGCGTCCAAGCTAATCGCAATATAAGCCAAACTGATAAAGAAAATTAAGACATCATATGGCTCCACTCCTTCTTCTCCAATGATACCCAGCTTGATCTGTTCACCTCCGATTGTCTTTGTTGCTAGCAAGAATAGAATACCAATCGCAGGTGTCCAGACATGATTGAAGACCAGATAGCTGCGTTTATCACTTTTGATCTGTGATACTTCTGATGGAGATTGACCTTCAGGTTGAGCTGCTGTTGCTTCTGGAGGTTGGACATCTTCTTCTTCTCTCTGTCCATTATGATCGTACGCACCAAACAGCTTTGTTCGAACTGATCTTGCTCTCTTTGCGATGAAGTGTGGAATCGGAACGTGAACCGGCTGAATGCAAATCAGTGCAACGATAGCAAATACGATGATTGCAAATATTCCATGTCCATCCAAAGAGTCTTTCGTTGCGTCTATAGAGGAACCCGATCCCGATCGTCTAAGCCATTCCATCATGGCAATCTATTCAGGCACAGTATTTGTTATTGGTTGTTGAAGAAGAGAGAGGGAGAAAGCAGTGCTAACCCACAATCATTTTCGAGGGGATTTCGTTCGTTGTTAGGAGGTATGTATGTACAGCCTTGTGTTTGAGTCCATGTGGCTCTGCTGTGTTAAATCGGCATAGTCCATTGAACGTAAGTGTGGCTTGCGCTAAAAAAGCAACAATTTAACATTTTGACAGATAAAATTTGAATGAATGCATCTTATTATTACACACGCAGAAAGATTTCTAATTTGCCGGTTGACCGTCCTGTCATTCTACTCGCACGGTTTCAAGATAGTCTACTTAACGCTCATGCCAAGGTGCCAAGGCGTGAATTGAACGTGTACAGTTAAACCCCGAACTACGAACATTACACGCGTATAGCATACACTGATCATCATGCGTTGGGTACCATTAGAATCCAACCCAGATTTATTCACAACATGGTCTGAATCTATGGGATTGGATACGTCAAAATATGCATTCACAGATATTTATGGATTGGACGATGAAGTGCTAGCAATGGTCCCACAGCCGGTAGAGGCGGTCTTGTGTTTGTTCCCCGTCACAAAAGAGAATGAAAAAGTGATGGTCAAAGAGGATCAAGAAACTCAACCATTCGTAGGACCTGAGAAGGAAGATGATCTGATCTACTTCAAACAAACAATCAGTAATGCATGCGGTACAATCGGGCTATTACATGCCATCGCAAACACTTCTGCACGAAAGACTCTCTCTCCAGAATCACCAATGGGACAACTTTTGCGTGATGCTCTTCCTCTCAATGCTACCGATAGAGCCGCATTCTTGCAAACATCAAAAAGCCTAGCACAAGCACACACTACAACAGCCTCAAGTGGTCAAACAGCTGCACCATCTGCAGATGATCCGGTAGATTTGCACTTTGTTTGTTACGTTCGCGATCCAAAATCCAAAAAGTTATTTGAACTAGACGGAAGAAGGAAAGGACCGGTTGATCGTAAAGTTGACGTTCCACAACAGGAAGATTTGCTCAAAACGGCCACTAAATGGGTTCATGAGAATTATATGCAACTCAATCCTGAAGAAGTTAACTTTAATCTGATAGCACTTGCCTCAATGGCGTAAAATGTATTAACACCGAGATTCATTCAATTCATAAATAGCACATAAGCATCATCATCATCATCATCATTACATCTTCTTGTGTGACCTCGCTTACTCGGTACCTTTCAACCGTAGCAGTGCAACCAATCCTCCATGGAGAAGAAGATAAGCAGAATGACACGCTTATGTGAGCGAACATTTCAAAGTGCTGAGCAAAAGTGCACAAGAAAGTGGAGGATTTGGTGCGTGCATAAAGACTGTTAAAACGCATACGCCTTTTTTGTTCAATTAATTCCCTGCATGTAGACAAATAATATTAATTGAATTGAAAGCACAACCCTCGACTGTCTTACGACAGAAAAGCTTAAAACTTCTTTACAACTTTCACCACTTCTTCCTCATTCACCATCTACAGCACAAATCACCAACAATGACAAACAGTCCAACAGTCATCCGTAACGTGACGGAAAATATTGCTACCTTCTCTAGACCTTTTAGTCGATTTGGTGTTTTTCCAATCGGTGGTCGATCAACTGCAATTCGATTGCAAGGCGATAAGGGTGTTTGGTTATTGGCAAGTACACCTTTAGATGAAGAAACAAAAGCAAAACTTACCGAAATGGGACCGGTGAAATATGTTGTTGCTGGTGATTATGAACATAGTATGTTCATCAAACAATACGCTGATGCTTATCCAGAAGCAAAAGTGATCGGCGTGGATGGATTGGCAGAAAAAAACAAGGATGTCAAATGGACAGGCGAATACGGTAAAAGTCCAATCGATACAAAGTATGGATTCGAAGATGAAATTCAATCTCGTTACTTTGCAACGTTTAACAACAAGGACATGGTCTTCTGTCATAAAGACAGCAAAACTTTGATCGCTGTTGATTTGTTGTTCAACTTGCCATGCAACGAACAATACAAGAACACACCAGGTGGAAAAGTGAACACATGGTTACCATTCTATGGCTCATTGGCAAAGAAGTTCCAGCCACACACCGATACTCATCAAAGCTTTTTGTGGAAAGCATCTGCCATTAACGATATTGCACCAAATGAAAAAACACCCGGATCACCTGCTGCAACGACTGAAGAAAAACGTAAACGTTTTGCAAAAGATGCAGAAGAAGTTGCTTCTTGGGACTTTGACAGAATCATTCCTTGTCATGGTGATGTGATTGAAAACGGTGGAAAGAAGGCTTGGCTCGATGCCTATGCTCGTTTCTTGAGCCCAGATGGTAAAGCAAAGATTTAAAGAAACAAGTCAGTCATACATTGCATTCAAACATTAATACCCCATTGTGCTATACTCTCTGATATCTTTTTGAGAATGCATTGATCAGCTTTTAGTAAATATATAAAACAAGAGTTTGAGTGAGTGAAAAAGAAGATTAGAAAGAGTCCAAGCAGAAGAGCACGTTGAGCAAATGAAAAGGGGGAGGGTATATTGATCCATCGGAATACAATCCATCAAAGCATCAAAGTAGCAAGGAAGACTGTAAAGCTTGTAACGAGGAAACCTTTTAACCATGCATCAGAAGAACGAGCGAAAGCTGGCAAAGGTGCATTATTACCTGATTGCATAGCAGAAGCAGTTACTGTAATTTGCGAATCTGGACGTTCGGCAGGATTATTATATCCTCCACTAAGAGTGGCAGCAATTCCAGGAATTTGATTTCCAGTTGTTGTTACATAGCCAAAATCTGATCCTGATGCTTGTGCTGCTGCTGTGGATAAAGATGCTCGTAATTCCGATAATGCTTCTCCGGTCAATGTTACCGTCTCACGTGAAATTGAAGGCGATGGTCCTGTTTGCAATGCAGTAAATACGATTGTGGAACCTGTACTTAATCCATCTAAACCAGCTGAAAAGGTAGGATCTTGGGCTGAAAAGAGGGAGAGAAAAAGATTCGTTTAGTATGAAATTGTATGCATATGATGGCGTTCGTTCACTCACCGGTAGGGCTGATACCAGCTGTTTGTTGTGTGACTGAAACTTGACCATAACTAGTAGGAACGGATGCAGAAATTAGAACGACGAATAAGAAAGACCGAAGAAGGTTAATCATTTTTGTGCGGTGGCGGTGGTGGAGGAGTGAATCAAAATATTCGATGGTGATGATGGATGATGGCGAAGAAGGCCTCCATTTGAAGATTGACAGACCCCGCTTCCCGCAATTGTCGATCTATAGTATGAAGCGGGACTTTACGCGGTGTTTAAGTCAAAAATGAAATAAAAAGGTGGGGCTATAATTGTTTGTTCACACGGTGCGCTGCGTGTGGGAACAAGCCTGCGTCCGGCAAGACGACTGACCGGCTTCTCTTTTAAGGAAATGAAGCAATGCGGGGTGACTGGCAGACTGACTACTTGCCTTTTTCAAACAACATCCATCCTTGGTACAATTTAGCGTACTTTTTTGCTGCTCGACAGATTATTCTCGGGAATATATAAATTGACATGCCAGACTATAATCTTAATCGCAAACACGAATGCTGAATGTATGTGCATTATACAATAGGTGGTGATACAAGTACTAGTAGTAGAAGGGAGAGGGTTTTGGTTATTGACCTTTACGTGCTTGTGTTTTATAAAAATCAACAATTGCGTCCAAAACGGCTTGACGTTTATCATCATCTTCTTTGCTTTGTCCTTTCACCTTCTTCATCATAATGTGTTCATATCCATCCCAAAGACGGATTGACTTCTCTTTTGAGCTAATTTTGTCATAGAACATTTGTGTTCCTTCATAATGTGTCGCTCGATCATTCTTGCCGTGATGCAAAGAAACAGGAACGTTGATCTGAGGTGCCAATTGCCAAATCTCAGATAAGCCAGCTAAGATAGCCAATCCAGTAGAAATACGAATCCATCCTTTATACGTTTGTGCGTCTGCATGGAATTCAGTTTCAACTCGAATATCATCACTCACGTTTCCCTTTACACCTGGTGACATTGGCAACCGTCCTGCAAAGAATGCTAAAAATCGAGCAATCTTTTCAACCATTGGTGGAGGACGAGATTGTGGACTGATACGTAACATTGGTGCAGCACATGCAACACCGGCCAAATTTGGTCGCATAGTCTGAATGGCAGAACTGTTTTCGCGTGCTAATTTGTTGTATTGACCTTTTGCTTGAGAATCGGCAGACAGAGGAGGATACAAGGCTGCATAGTATAGAGCAGTAAAGCCGCCCATTGACTCACCCTGCAAGAACACTTTCCGTCCTGACATTGAGGGAGGATCGTTCTTCATGATATCAATCAGGACATCATGAACTGCTTCCACCAAGATACGCAATGAGGGTATATAGCAATGTAGACCTGTGGAACGTCCAAAGGAAGGCAAATCGATTGCGATCACACGGAAGCCTTGCTTGCAGAGGTACAGACCCATTTCAGCTTGTCTTCCAGCGTAATTATTTATTCCATGTAGTAGCACAATATCCGCATCAAGCTTTTCACTTTCCATTGCCGTATCCACTTGCCAAGTAGAATAGGATACAAAATTGATTCCTGGTCTATCCCAACTTCCACCTTTACGCATCGCATCACTTCTCATTGCAATCTTTCTCGTTACTGCAGTCACTTCTGGGTTTTCATAGATGAGCTTCCTCTCCGCTTCTGATAGGGGTAATGATGCCCTTCCATACGTTGCATCGCCAAAGCCAGGCGTTAGAATGCGTAAATGACATAGCAAAGGTTCAATGAATGTACGGAATCCTTCCACAACGAGGAACGTGATCCAAGCTAGTACATTCAACACTGCCAATTGGAAGCTGTTGCTGGCTACTTTTGCCATTTTGAAAAGGAAGTGATGGTCGCAAAGAGGTTGCATTGAGAGCGGCATGTAAACGCATTCAGCCTTTCTTTCTTCGGCTTTACTCCACCGCGAACCGAGAATTTTAAGGAACATCGATTTCACTTCCACGCGCCCAGCCCAAAAGAACAACAACGCACACCGCTTACCTGTACATGCATTTCATCGGCTTATCGCTCAAGGCCCTGAAGAAGGATGTCAAACGCGTATTGGCAGTTGAGCAGTCTAAATGAGCACTTACTGCACTCCGATGACAGTTTGGTCCCCTTTGCATGACAATCTCTAGGGTCACTATCTCAACTCTTGACTACATCATTCTTTTCTGGAGGCTCACCTAGAAAAGATGTTGAAAGTGAGTATACCAATAAAACCAGACCCTCACGTAAGAACATCTTCTGACACCTGTCTTGCCTTCCACTTTCTTTAGTCAGTGAATGATGCTTTGAACAGCAGCAAACCATTCACATCCGTTTCTGTGCTGATCGATCGATTGTCAGCCAATTCGTACGGCGAAGATGATTTAGACGGTATTCCAGAATTAGTCGAAGCAATCAATATCCAATACACAGGTCCATCCGAAGCAAGTCGTCAACTTCGTAAAAAGCTAAAATATGGTAGCATTCATGGACAAAAACGTGCTATCACAATGTTAGGAGCCTTATGTGAAAATGCAGGTCCAAGATTTCAATCTTCTTTTGCCGATGAAAGATTGGTAGAACGTATCAAAGTGATGTCACAAGATCCTCTGGTGGACGCAAGTGTACGAAAGAAATTGATGCGGATGTTATTGGTTTGGAAGCAATTGTATAGCAAAGAACCTACCATGCGTATCCCAGCCGGCTTGTACTCTGCTTGTGGTGGTGGTCGTAAGAGTGATGCTCAAATGAGAAGCGAAGCAGCAGAAGCCTACCGAAAGAGAAAGCAATTGGAAGATCGTGATCGACAAGTACGCATGGACAAAAAGGCGGCCGAAAGAATGCAAAAGGAAGAAGATGCTAGACGAGCAAAAGAAAGCAAAAAGAAAGGTGGGGCTAGACCTACATTTAATTTTGAAAAGGAGAAGCCAATCATTCTTTCCACCTTGGCAACAAGTCAACAATCCGCTACCTCTTTGGTCAACGCATTGCAACATGTCAATCGTGAAAAGGAGAGTATCACAGAGAACCAAAGGGTACAACTCTACCTCTCACGCGTAAAGGGTGAGCGTAAAAAGGTTGTCAGGTACATCCAATTGGTCAAGGATGAAGAATTTTTGGGAGGTTTGATCTCCGCTAACGATCAGATTTTGCTCTCTTTGGAGCTGTACGACAAATTAGCAAAATCTACTGAAAGAGACAGCGACGAAGAGGATGGTGAACCGCTGGCAAATATCAGAGGTTCAAAGAGTGCAGCACAAAGAGCACAAGAACGTGCAGAGCAAGAAGAAGCTGAAATTGCCATTGTTCAGCAACGCTTGGCGGCTGCACATATCGAAGAAGGTGAATTAGACGCTTTGCAGGACAAACAACGTCAACGAATCGAACGATACAACAGCTATAGAGGACCTTCAAGAGGCGCAAGTATGAGCAGCAGCAGCAAGGGAACTGGGCATATCAACGATCTTATGGATCTCAACTTTGATGATGATGGCGAAGGTAGACCACCACATGCTGTCATGCGTCCTACGTCAACAGCAGCCAGCAGTAGCGCGCAAGGTAGCAGTGCTCATCAACAAAGCTCTACCTTGTCAGATTATAGCGATTACGAATCCGAATCTGACGAAGAAGCTGCTGCGATTGCAAGCACTGGATTAGAAGGAAGAGCAGGCTCTAGTAGTCTGAAACCAAACGCTGCTGCTGCATATGACGATGATGATCTGTACTCCAACCATCAGCCAAGCATTGGACCTGAGAGTATACTCGATTACGACCTCGAAGGCGCAGACGATGATGATGACCCATTTGCAGATCCACAAGAAGCGCAACATACCGGCGGAAGTGTCGGCTTTCAACGTCATCAAGGTCCACGACAAGGCTTTGCAGCCGTATAGCGTTTTTCTCTAAAAAGCAATACATTCATTTCAAAATTACTGTTTCTGATCATGACTGAGTAGACGAATAAAAATACAACACTGACATTACACAACCCATTTTTGCTCGTTATTGACTTGTTGAAGTAGGCGGTGGAGGAGGAGGAGGTAAACCTGATCGTTGATTTTGATTTTGCGATTGACGAAAAGCAGCACGACTTTGCAATGTTGCATGCATATAAGCCGGAAAGAGTGGATTGGTAACACGTTTACCTCTACCTGTAAAATCAACACGAGCAAATCGATCAACACCTTCCGGGACTGGTGGTGGAGGACGTCTCCCATAAAAACGTCGAACACCCAGCACAAATCCTGGCAAATCTTCGCTTTGGCTACCCTCGTTACTACTGGAAGTACTGTTGGATCGACTGTGACTTTGTACACTCATTTGACGAGTAAGTTGTGAGCCGTTTTGAAGATCATCAAGCATCTTCTTGACTGATGACTGGATATGATCGCCTTCTTCTCTACGTGCTCTTTCACTGCCGTTTCTAGACGTAGGTGCATCTTGCACAGGCACATAGCCATCATTGCATAGCCCTGTACCCTGCATTAGCTCCAAAAGGCTCACGGTTGTTCCATATCGATCATCTCCTGCTCCGCCGATCATGTTCACATACGAGTCCATCAAAAGATTATCCGATTCGGCCAGAGCGCCTCGTATGTTTGGCCATCTGGGCAAGGGTGAATTATACTGTTGGGGTAATTGACTATCTAATACCCAGCCAGTAGAAGCACAAATTGCTTCGAATGTCTCTCTTTCTTCTTGTGAAGGTGTGATGAGCATATGTGAGCGATCACTAGCGAAATAGGCAAAATAACTTGCAGCAGGAATGATTCGAAACCGAGGACGAAAATGAGCAGATACGGTAGTGTGAATGTCTGATTTGAACGTAGCTTGTAAATACTGCGAAAGTCTTGTTGGAGTTCTTAAGCAGGAGTCGAGATCGTACACCCATGAATAGGTAGTCTTAGTTTCGGTTTCGGTCAAACCTGGATTCGATTGTGGCACATAAACTGTATCCAAGATGGAGTAATCGGTTGGCACAGTAGATTGCCTCCTTGGCAGGCGGGCGGACATTGGACCAGAAGAATGAGTCGTTCTCGCTGACGGCCTACGTCCCAGGCTTGCGTGAGATTGACTTCTTGGTTTTGGTGTACAGCTCACGACCACGAAAACATGGTAATCCCAGATTACAATATTATCCGTTTCGGGCATTTGACTTGCACGTTGTTGCCAAAGGGCTACATTCTTGTTTTCGTTGCTCACAAATACCACGTCGACATTCCACTGCCAGTCGTGATTCTCCTCCTTGTTTCGCTTCTTACATATCCTGTCCAGGTATGCTGCCAGAATGTATGCATTCTCCTCACAGTAACACTTTGTGTAAATGTCATAAGGCTGTGGAAGTGCTGGTGGTTCGGGCACAAATTCTGGAATGCAATCATCCTCTACTGCTTCAGAAGCGCTTTCTGAAGTCATGAACATGCTAGTAGCCCTTTGTAGTATTTGTTGTTGACGATCAGGAAATGACATTGACGTTGGTGTAGAAACCGATCTTGGAATGTTGCGTAATCGTATATAGGATGAATCATTTGAAGAAGTCGGAGAGGAAGAATTGAAAGTATCCAAAGCTGATCTAGGCTGAGTGGTTGAGCTGCTGCTGCCGCCATTTGTACCGCCACCACTTGTTCCCAATTGAGCCGTCCTCCTGAATCGCGGCAGCAAGACAGTTGGCGGTGAATTGGCTGCGTCAGAAGTACTTGCGCCTGTTCTGCTTGGGCGTGATTGTTGACCATTTCCTCTCCTTTGACTGCGAGAGCGCATTAAGCTGCTTGGATCCGGCAAGACAGCTGACCACCATGGTACTACCAGGCCACGATCATCTGTGATTGTATTGATCGAAACAGTATCGTCTTGCCATCTTCTGTTTGTGCTATAGTCAGTTGGAGGTGGTGCGGAGTGTTGTCTTGGTAAAGGTCGTAAAGTGGACGTAGAAGACCGTCCGGTTATACTTGCGTTATCATAGGGGTCAGACTGCCTTGATGATGTAGCAACGTTTGCATATTCTGTTGTGCCAACAAGGGTTGCAGTGTCAGTGAAGATACTTTGTGAATCATCATCAGCCTCTTCCGCGGACATGCTTGTTCGAGATTGCATTTTTGCTGAAAGTCTTGGTGGTGGGTTGAAGCAAGAATGTTATGAGATAGCAGTCTCCTTATGTGAGGGTTCTCCTATTGAGACATCATATTGACCCCGGTGATGATTGCCCCAAAGACGGTTCCGGTAGTAAAGGATGATGATCAGTGTTAATCTTCTATTTGATCCCACATGACTGTGCGTTTAATATTTACTTTTGGCTGCATTAGGTGCATTATCTCTACTTTTATTAAAATGTGAAACGCTCGAATTCTCCTTAAGAAAAAGTGTGTACCTCGTGTTAGACTACTTAGTGTGCTAAAGTGCTTCAGATAGTCAACAACACGTACTCTTGTTGTATGGGGTCGACATTTTCATGAGATGCAATTTTTATTTTAGGCTACGCTAGCACTTAAGCTTCGTTCGAACAAAGCTTAAACCTTCTTAACACACTCACTCCATCAGATCATGGGAGTACCGGATCATTCGGAAACGAGAAGGCTGATTGACTTCGCTGCCAAAGCAGCTGAAACGTTTGTCAGTGCCTATTATGCGGCCACAGATGCTCCACATCGTGTACAGGTAAGTGATGGATGGTATTCTCTAAAAGATCATACACTGACATCCTATCCTTTGCAGCTGATACCGACATTATATTTGCCCGATGCTACAATCGTATGGAATGGCCACCCGATCAGTGGTTCGACAAATTTAGCTGCCCTGCTTAATAGCATGCCTGGCAGCAAACATGAAGTGCAAATGTTCGATTGCCATCCATTGGGAGGAGGCACGATAGATGGTTAGTATCTCTCTCGATTGCACCAACTCCAACATGTTTTTCACACCTGCCCAATCGTATGCCCGGCCTTTCGGTAGCTTTGTAGCTCTTTTGTTGCAAACGGATCTTACCGTTCAGCAGGGTTTGCCTGTCCATGTCTAGGTCTTCAGATCATGATGTGGAGAGACACACGGGCTAGAACATCCAAATCTTCAGACTCAGGCTTCATGCCAGGTTGAACTTCTTGTTCTTCCATTCAAGAGCTGAGGATGCTCCATATAAGGGTTCACGGCACACAAGGTTCACGATTGCTGTACGAGTAGTATCGGAGCATACATTCTGACACAAATTCCCTCAAATTTTTCTATTACAGGCACATTTCAAACTCCTTCCCTAACCCTGACTGTCTCAGGTGTGGTCGTTCATCATACCCCAGGATCGCTCTCGGCCATGCCACAATCAAATGCACCAAACTCCTCAGGCTCGGGCAAATCTCGTGGGAATCCTTCGGACGGAAGCGATTCTAGTATACCAGTGGACAGCCTTGCAAGGGCGTTCTCACAGAATTTTGTCCTTGTACCACAAGCAGGTCAAGAGACTGGAGGAATCAATGTCAGCGCAACACAAGAAGGAAAGACCATCTCGGGACGCTTCTTTGTGCAAGCTGATGCTTTCAGATTCATTGGATAACAAAAACAGAGACAACTATCTAAACAGACACCTGTAAATTATGCATAGACTTGACTGCTTGTCGGGCAGCCAGCTTCCACTCAATTCATCCTTGTATATTATTGTATCAACATGCCAAATTGTTTCTTGCCATCATTCAATGCAGGTGAACCTTCAATCTTCGGCCGAGTACATACATAGCATGACTTTCCTATTCCCGGCCATGCCCGTGTACGCGTAGAGTAAGGCTGAATAATTCACACTACAGGGCCAGCGCTGGTAGACCAATCAGGTTCGGGCTACTAAAGAGTGCTTACGAGTATAGTGCTGCTTTGTAGGGTGTGTGGGTTAGTAAGTGTTGGAGAAAGTTGACTGAGAGAGTGGGCTTGCGCTGTGTTGTACGTTTAGTCCGATGTTTGGAGATCGATCGGATCTCTTTTACCACCATTGTCAATACACCTTTGCTTTGATCGCTAGAAAAAAGGCAAAGCAGATTTGGTCAATTGCAATCAATCCTACACCATCACACTTTTCCTTACAAAATGGCCGCTCTAAGACAAGGTGCCGTTAACCTAAAGCTCTCGGCAGTTGCTGGAAGTCCTCATCTTCGGATGATGGCTACAGGTGCCCGTGCATTCAGTACAGGTGAGTGAATTGGACGGGAAGGTGGCTGTTGGAGAGTTGAAGATGTGCTGACAATATATCGCTTCTCTCTCCTTAGGACGTGTTGCTCCAGTTCAAAACACACAATCTCGTAATGCAGCAACAGTTGCTCCCAATGCCAAAGAATGTGAGTAAGACAAGGAAAGCAGCAATTCTCGATCATCAAAAGGCTAACAGTTCTTTCACCCTCTACAGCATACATCAAAGGAACAGTCAACGAACCAACAACCTTCCCTCCTCCTCATCCAACTCACGGATCATATCATTGGGCATTCGAACGTGCGATTTCGGTTGCATTGGTTCCATTGATTGCAGTTGGTGCAGTAAAGCATGGAGCAAGTGGAATTTTGGATGCCACTTTGGCATTGACCCTAGTCTTGCATTCTCATATCGGATTTACAGCAAGTTTGGATGATTATCTACATCCCCGTAAATTTCCCAAAGCAGGACCTTTTGCTTCTTGGACTCTAAGGGCAGCAACCGTTGCAACGTTGGCTGGTATTTATGAATTCCAAACAAACGATGTCGGTTTCACAGAATTGATCAGCCGTGTCTGGACAGCTTGATGTTCTCTAAATAACCAATTGTACTTTTTTCTTATTCTTCCTTTTGTGTCTTTACACTTTATCAGCACAATGACAATTCATTACTGCTATCACATATGAGAACTGCATACATACACACTACGTCAAGAATCGGAAAGAAGTTGTAGCCTTTACAGCCTTTTGGGAAAGCCGAACGCCAGAAAGGGCGATTGATTGCTGCGTGCCTTCTTTTGCTCGCTTTGTACGCGCATCGCAAGCCTGACGCCGGCGCCCTGAGCCGCACGCAAACGCAGGCAGAGACGCCCTTCTTTGAGTTTTAATGTATTACTCGAGTAGGAAGGGGGGAGTCAGTTGAGAAGAAACTCATTTTTTTTTCTCTTGCTTATTTTCGCTTGGCAGACAGAGAATGCGGTTGTATTTCGGTAAAAGGCAAAACAAATGTCTGTGCAACAGTGCAAAATTAAATTCTAACCTTCCTGCTCTTGCTGCTGCATGACTGGACATTCAAATGGGAAAATGATAAGATTTGCCTATGCATCTATGTATCTAATCTCTTCCCTTTCCCCATCATCGTCATTCGATCACTTCTTCCCGCTTTTCTTACAAAAGAGGGGGACTTGATCTTTGAGCGACCTTGATTGACTGCAATCATGGCGGCAATGCCAAAGCCTACATTGAAAGGCGCACAGGTTTCTGTGTTGCTTGGATCTCAATGGGGCGATGAAGGAAAAGGAAAATTGGCAGATATTTTAAGTTTGGAAATGGACGTTTGCGCTCGTTGTGCGGGTGGAAATAATGCAGGTCATACGATCGTAGTGAATATGGGACCTGAAAAAGTCAAAACCACTTTTGACTTTCATTTATTACCTTCCGGTTTGGTCAATCCACGTTGTGCGGGTTTCATTGGTTCAGGTGTTGTCGTTCACGTTCCATCCTTTTTTGCCGAATTGGACGCTCTCGAGAAGAAAGGTCTCAACTGTGATGGCCGTTTGTTCATCTCTGATCGTGCTCATCTCGTCTTTGATTTCCATCAAGTTGTGGATGGATTGAAAGAAGTCGAATTAGGCGGAAGCAGTATCGGTACAACAAAAAAGGGAATCGGACCGGCTTATTCTTCCAAAGCATCTCGTTCAGGTTTACGTGTTCATCATTTGTACGATTATGAGCTCTTTGCTACAAAATTCCGTAAATTGGTCGAAGGTCGTTTTAAACGTTACGGTCATTTCGAATATGATACCGAAGGTGAAATCGCTCGTTATCGTGCTTTTGCTGAACGTTTGAGACCTCACATCGTTGATGGTGTAACATTTATCCATACAGCTTTGGCAAACAACAGAAAAGTGTTGGTTGAAGGTGCAAATGCATTAATGTTGGATCTTGACTTTGGTACATATCCATTCGTTACAAGTTCATCAACAAGTGTTGGTGGTGTTTGTACCGGATTGGGTATCCCACCTCAAGCGATCGGTGAAGTGTATGGCGTTGCAAAAGCATACACAACCCGTGTTGGTGCTGGACCTTTCCCCACTGAATTACTCGATGATACCGGAAAACACTTGCAAGAAGTTGGTGCTGAATGGGGTGTTACAACCGGTAGAAGGAGACGATGTGGTTGGTTGGATCTGGTTGTTCTTCGTTATTCATGCTTGATCAACGGTTACACTGCTTTGAATTTGACCAAATTGGACGTCTTGGATCAATTGGCTGAAGTCAAGGTTGCAGTAGGCTACATTGTCAATGGCAAGGAGTTGACAAGTTTCCCGGCTGATCTGGAAATCTTGGCAAACGTTCAAGTGAAATATGAAACTTTACCAGGATGGCAAAGCGACATCTCCAAAGTCACATCGTTTGACAAATTGCCCGTCAACTGTCAGCGTTACGTTGAGTACATTGAGAAATTCTTGAATGTTCACATCAAATGGATCGGTGTTGGACCAGGTCGTGACTCAATGATCGTTCGTTAAGAAATCTGTACTTTCATACCTGTGTAGTGTGATTTGTAGTGACAGAAATAGAAATGCGTTTTATCTACTTAATAAAAAAAAGTTTGAATGATGCTTTATACATGACATTGAATATTTCCGATTGCATACACAGAAACTGTCTCTAACCAATGATCAATTTACCTTCCTCATCGTTAAAGTCATATTCGGGAACTTCCAAGTTCAAAGGTGCAGGTCCACGACGAACTCGTCCAGAGATATCGTAGTGGGATCCGTGACAAGGGCAGTACCAACCTCCGTAATCACCTGCTTCACCGATTGGAACACAACCCAAATGTGTGCAAACACCCAACATGACAATCCATTCGGGACGCTTGACACGATCGGCATCCTTTTGAGGATCACGCAATTTAGCAACATCGACTGCATTTGCTTCTTCAATTTCATCAGATGTTCTGTGACGAACAAAGACTGGCTTTCCACGCCATTTGATGATTGCATTCTTTCCTTCAGGAATGTTTGCCAATTCAACTTCCACTTTAGCCAAAGCCAAAACATCAGCAGAAGCAGACATGGAAGCCAAGAAATCGGAAACGGTAGCTTTTGCACCTGAAGCAGCAACTAAACCCATTGTACCGACCATAAAGTAGGAGAAAACTTTGTTTGTATCTGTGTTTGTGGTACGGTAAGGTGTGAAATCAGGAACGGATTGAGCAACCTTTGTAGATGTGCTGAATTGACGAGGCGATCCTAGTGAGACGGGAGCGTTGATATTTGTACGTGCTAATAGAGAACCGTTTTGCATCGATAGCTTAGATGCCCAAGAAGGAACTTTGTCGGCATCAGCACGGGCACCACCGCCATGGTGAGCACCGTGGTCTTCTGCATGTGGATCGAATGGTGCGCGGGCGTTAAGGTTCAAGTTTGCCGAGTATGGAGCACCGTTTGCCAATGTAGAGACGGTAGGTCTGTTTTGAGAGAGAAGAAGAGTAAGTATCCTTTCCTTCCAAACAAGCAATCGAAAAAAAAAAAAAGACTTACCCAACATTGACGAATTTGCGCGAAGCAAGACGAGCGCTAGACAAGGCCATCTTTTGTGAGAATGAAGCGCAAGGTATAAGTGGCAAGTTTGATGAATCTGACGGCGAGAAGAGAAGGTTTAGGTGGTGACCAAAGTGCGCGCTTCTTCTTATTATCTTTGTGCTCTTTTCTTCTTTTGACAAATCACAGCCCACGACGCTGCGCCCAGCAATTGCTTGTATGCTTTGAAATCCAATGAAATTTCCACAGCCCAGTAGACACAGTGTGTGCAGCTTAGGGCCTGGGAGTCTATTCCGGATATTTCCTCGTTCCCTCACGCGTGCACATAAAGCGGCGCAAGATGTATTCGCTTTTGCAGGAAATTGTATTGCTCTGGGGGCCAGGTTTGTATTCCAAAACAACTAGAAAGTGTATTGCTCAAGAATACAACTTTACGCGCGATGCTTGGTGTAATCTGACTGATTAGAGTGAATGAGCGAGCGGCCTTTTGTGTGATATTGCCCATGCATTACGAAAAGTGGTTCAAGCAGGCGACGCGTACCTGTAAGGTTAGCGTGCTCAAAGGCGGTATCGTGCTTTAAATGAGATGGAGGTTGGCATTTACACTGGTGAAGTGCGTGTAATTTTTATGTTGAATCGATTGCTTATCCACTTTTTGACTCAGGGTGCATTTTTATAGGACGGATAAGGGCAAAAACAGCAATTCGTCAGTGTAATCGGATCTAGCAATCCAATCCAACTTCAACTCTTTGAACACTCTTAATCACTAACGATCAACATCGATTCAACCAATCACAAAGATATTCTCGTTAGCAAGACACGAGAAAGTCTGCTTCTTACTCAACAACATCTTGAAGTGATTCACAATCACCCCTTCTGACCTCTATCGCGACCTTTAACTTGAATCACTCGCCATTGCTCAGCACTTCTCTGAGCATCCGCCGAGCAAGACCTGCTTCATGACAAGCTTCTCTGCTTACGCTTCACGTTTCCTTTCGACCGGTGCAAGTACTGCAGCTATCTCACATCACGGATCTTCCCCTTCTTCAAGACAATCAACTTATCAACCTTTCACATCATCCGAATACGCACAAGATGAAAGTGAAGAGGATGAGGTAGGATACAATGACAACCTGTCAAGCAGAAGCCCAAAAGGCAAGCGCAGCACAGTAAACAGACATCTTCCACATCTGAACGATTTATCAAAATCTAACTCCGGCAAAATATCCAGCTCATCGCGCTTTCTGCCTACTTTCGGTGGAAATAATGCAATCGGAAAGACGACAAAGATACGCGATATGGATGATGGAATCGATGAGGATGAAGAGGACGAAGAGCCATCTTTCTATCAAGATCATCGAAGCAGAATTTCCATACCCAGAGCTAGCGAATCAGCCATCTCTGATGAGCAAAGAACTCCAGGTGCAAGTATCCTCAGAACAGATCAACATGAAAACGATCCTTTCAGAGTTGAAGAGGATATAGAAAAGCCCTCTACCACGAAACACAAATCAAAGAATCACGCTATTCATTCCAGAGGTCTAAGCAATGAAGACAGAGCTCGTGGCTGGCTAGCACATGGTGCAGATTCTTCCAGTGCCGCATCAGATGCATCCGTTCTCCCAAAGACAAGGAGACAGACACGAGATGACATTTATCGTGATCCTGATGAGATTTCAGCAGCTGAAGATGACGAGGAATCGGATGTTGCTCGTCAAGGCAGACGTGCATCTCGGCGCGGCAAAAGGGGCTCAGGAAAAAAGGGATCTCACTTCAAAGATGATTCTGATACATCACAGATCTCCAGTAGCGATGAAAGCCAAGCAAGATCACAAGATACATCTCGTGGAAATTGGAGGGCAAATCGACAAGCTCGGAATGCTAGCTCATCACTTAGAGAGCCACTTTTATCTGCTGCAGGGTCTGAAGTGAGAGAGCAACCACCAGGTGCATTCAACGGAACAACGAGCAGGATGGTTTCTGCCGATATCTACGCATATCCACATCCTCCTGCAAAGACTGGCTGGACACCTTGGGCACCGGGAAATCGTGTACCGCTCTCCCAATACAAGGATAAAATGGCACTTTTATCCTGGCTAGGTGTTTGTGCAGCAACATTGTTCATTGCTGGTTGGATGGCAATTGGCGCAAAAAGCATCGCACCACCCTCATCACCATCGACGAAGCCCTCGCCTTATTATACGTTGACAAGATCGATTCCCGTCTTATTTCTTCTTACCTTTCTTTCTCTTGTAGCAGCAGCCGCTAATTTGCTGGTTTTACGAAACATATCTCGAGTTGGCGGTGCTCGTATTTTGAGATATGGTTTGATCGGTATACCTCTTACACTTTCGCTAGGATGGGCTTGGACTTTTGCTGGAAGCTCTGTTTACGATGATGAAAGGTGGACCGGTGGCAGCTGGAGCACGACAGGATTGCGAGTACTCTCAATCATTCCACTAGCCCTGGCAATATATTTTGCTAGGAATGTTTGGAAAAAGCGCGATTCCATCAGTCGCAGTCTGTCCGTTTTGGAGATTTCTGCGTCTGTTGTGGCCAAACATCCGGTCTTGCTTTTGTTATCAATCTCAACCTTGGTCTTCTTTATCGCAGTCTCCGCGCCTTTTCTTACAATCTTTACCAGGCTATTTTTACGTGGTCATTATGGCGAAAAGGGTTTGCCATCCAATGTCTGGAAAACGGATTCGAATGCGAGATTTATGGCGTGGATTACCTTAGGCACATGGATCTGGACATGGCTCGTTTTGAGAGGTATACAACGAGTGACAGTGGCCGGAGTTGTTTCGCATTGGTACTTCCATCGAGATGAAGACGATCAAGCTCAACATGCTGAAGATGGCAAATTGTTCGATGCTCAAGAAGACGAAGAAGATGACAGTCTACCGGGACCAGCGCCAGGCGAATGGTTAGGCGAAGAACAAGTGAGCATGCAAGCGCCTTCACATATTGATATCGTACGTGCTTCATTCATTCGTGCAACTGGACCTGCTCTCGGAACGATTTGTATGTCTGCATTCATGCTTAGTATCGCAAGGGTGGGAACATGGATGGCTGCAAGTGCACGTTGGGCTCATCGAAAGCTTTCCGCTTCTTCTCGTGTTCCTGCTTTCATGCAACCATTGACGTACGTGGTAGCCATGCTGGCAGGTGTAAGCGCACTTCTTCAAGGCCTAAGCGACTATGCTTTGATCTATGTTGGAGTAACAGGAGATGGTTTTGCTGCTGCAGCTCGTAGATCAGCTCGATTGACAGGTCGTCAAGGTGTCAAATCGGTCATGGAAGGATTGGTGATCAATATGTTACTGGATTTGACTACATTGGCACTTTGTTTCCTTTGTGGATTGGCAGGTTTCTTGATTTCTGCTCATTCATTACACGTTCCCGCTGATGCACCTTTGGTTGGTCTGCTTTGTGCTTTAATGCCTTATGCTACCTTACGTCTTTGTGCTGATGTTTTGTCCAATGCAGCCGATACCCTCTACCTTTGCTTTTCTATCGATGAGGCTAGTGGAGAACAACATTGCAAACAAGCAAGTGATGCTTTCTTTTCCAATAATGAAAGCTTACCTTTCTGATTCTCATATACCCTTTCTTTTTGTACTCTTTTCATGTATATCTTTGGTCACATTCAGATGGACTGTTAGTAATCGACAAGAACACGCAATGCTGAATACACCTCTTATTCGTACAAGTTTCAATATTGCTTCATGTATGCTCTAAATTACAAATGCCATATGGTACTCTTTCCTCATTGCTATGATGTAGTGTTGTTGACCGGAACATTGAGTGCTTTCTTGACTGCAGTTTGTGTTGGAGTGATGGCACTGGCGATTCGTTGAGCTCTGACATCTGATTGAGATGTGGCAGAATTAGCAAGGATATCCTTAAAACGTTCTTGACTCGTTTGCAAGCTTGTGATCATCCTTTGCGCTCTTGCTTTCCTTCTTGGTGCACTATTTGCAGCAGTTGTGGGTAATGTTCCATCTTGTAAAGGTTGAGGAGCGATTGCTGCCCAAAATTGACGTAAGAATTCAGTCGTACTTGCATTTTGCGTCATCATCTGCTTGAGTATGCTCTCCGGTATTTCGTTCGCTGAACCCGCTTTTCGCCATGCTCGTGCTTCCTTTCTTGCATGTACGTTTTCCAGCATTCCGCTCATTGCACTAGAGAATTGCTTGCTTCTGCCTTGAATCTTTGCATCGAGAGAATTGGTCCATTCTGCGACATTCTCTTCCACTAAGTTCTTGATCTGTTCGTCCGTCAGCTCAACCTCGTCATTTGTGTCTTTTGCACTTCCGTTTCGTTGAATCGCAGTATTTTGCCCACTCTCAGAATTTCTATCAAAAAGCGATCTTCCTTGTTGAACATTGAGAAGCTTCCTGCGCTTTCTCTCATCCTGTTCTTCCAGCTCCTCAATCCTGACACCATCATCAGCGTCGTCATCACTATCCTCGTTCACTGCAACCACTTTTGCTTTCCGTTTGCGTCTCATAGCTTCGTCTTGTTCACCCAAAGCGGAATCCAAAAGGCTTTGAGAGTGATCATTGAACCTTCTCATTAGAGGCAATGTCTTTCTTTCCACCCCAGCTCTCATCGTCCAGTCCTTTTCGTTTCCCGTCTCACCGTGATCTTCTGCTGTTGCTCCCAAGTCCAAAAATGCATCGTGAGCATTATACTCCCTTCGTGGCTCAAGCCCATCATCTTCTTCAACAAGATACTTGTCAAATACATCATCTGCCTGAACAGTATGTTGAGATGCTTGAGAGCGAGCAGAAGTACGTAACCTGTGATATAGCTTCGATGAAAAGTATCGCTTCCAAAATGTTGGTTCATCCATTACAGACGGAACATTTTCTTCAAAAGCTCGTGCTACAACTGGATATTGCGCTTTAAGATCACGAACGAGTTCTGGGGTCATGTTGATCTTCATCTCTCCAGATTCGTTTGCTGTAGGTCTTGGATCAGCAATGCGTGCATTCCGACCTTGCTTCTGTTGCATAGATGCACGTTCAGCGTTCAATAATGCCCGTCGGGTAGGATGTGCCCAAAATTCTTGATCGGTGATTTGTCCTGACATGACCACATCTTGATGCAGAACAGCAAGAGATGGATTCGCCTTGAGTACACGAATGCGTACTTCAAGTTCTGATGGTCCATCTTGCTTTGTTGGCTCCTTTCGCATTGGTGTACTGACTCCCGATGGAGTTCCGCGAGATTTAGATGGATCGGATTGAACTGCTGCCGGCGTTGCTGATCCTTCTGCACGAGCCGGTCCTGGCGATGGCACTGCACTTGCCCTTTGTCTATTCTTGTTTTGAGAAACGACTTCTGCCAAGTAATTTTTGAACGCATTACGTTCTGAAGATGCTTTCGTTCGATCTTCATTGCCTGCTATGCCTCCGGTGAAATAGAAGAATATCTTATTCTTTCCATCCGGCCCAGCTGTTATACCTTCGGCCAGCTGCAACACCATTGCCACCTGCTTCTGACCTTCTGCTGATACTTGAAGATGCACGATTGTCTTTTCATCGATAGCAAGAGCAGAAGAAGCAGCAGAAGATGAAGAAGGTGTCCAACGTAGAATCCCGTTACGTTCCATTGAAAGCGTACCCGGTAACTTGGAGTAGGACACAGCCGCATGCAGGAATGCCTCTGAAGAGGTAGCAGCGGCAGACATGTTTGTCAAATGCCGCTTGCCTTGAACACGAAGTGATGGTGTTGAGCAAGAAAGAGCATCATTTTTCCTCCACTGTAATGCAGATCGCTTTACGCTAAAGCGCACCCGCGTATGGTGTACAATGACTATCGATCTTCTTTCACTTCTTGCTTCTCGTTCGATACAATAGAATGACAGAGTATGGGAAAACAAAAAGGCGGCAGTAATGTCGACAAAGTGAAGGCGACATCCAAAACTACCGCAAGTGCAAGCAATTCATCCGTACAGGATGATGTCCGTTTTCCTGCTATCGGCGGACAAAAGCATGCAAGAACGCTTGAATCTCCACAAGTTTTGGTAGCTGATCAAGTATTGTTGTACCCTAACACGTTGACGAATTCTGAATGTGAATCATTGATTGGAATGTTTGATTCAGACAACCTAAAAATGCAAGCGTCACCACCGGCAAAGAAAGGTGAAGCAGAACGAACAAACTTCCGATTTTCCACCGTTTCACCAAAATTTGCCAAAGAGCTGTATGAATCAACAGGTCTTTCAAAAGTTGTTGCAGATTGGCCAAGTGTGTTTCCTAAAATGAACGCTAAACCTGTCGGATTATCATCCAACATACGAATCTATCGATATGATCCAGGTGCAATCTTTGCTTGTCATTATGATGATCATTCGATCGATCCACATTTTGGACCTTCTTGGGGCAAAACGGAATGGACACTATTGGTCTACCTTACCGGAGAACCTGAAGTACAAGGCGGACAAACTGTATTCTACAAAGGTCATACAAGACCAAAAGATGGAATCCAATCAGAAAATGCAATCGTTGCTCCATTGATGAAGGGTGCGGCTTTATTGCATCGACATGGAAAGGCATGTATGCTACACGAAGCCTTACCGCCTACAAAAGGCACCAAATGGGTCTTACGATCCGATCTCGTCTTTGGAACATCATGAACACGTTGTTGAGAATATGTAGCATATCAGTAGTTTATCTAAAATGTTAATTATACTAATCTATACAATTGTGATAATGAATGGTAAAATTGAAGCGGTGAAAGCAATGAGAGTTCAATCTAGATCATCTGGTTCAGGAAAAGAACCCGGTACGGCTCCTGAGCTACCACCATGAGCTCGGGCTTCTGCCGCTCTTCGCATTCGTTCTCGTCTTTGATTTGGGCTTTCGTCATCGATGTCATCATCATCTTCGACGTCGGTGTCTTCTCTTTCTTGTATGATACCTGTAGATGAAATTGGGCGATTCGGATGTGTATTCAATTGTGCTGAACCTGATGTGCCGGGTACAAACATCGTTGTAGAAGAGGGACCGGCGGAAGATCCGGTACTTGTCTGACTTGGATCCTCTGTTGCCTTCTTTGGCTCCAAGCTGACTCGACAGACTGGGCAAGTTCCACTGTTCTTCAGCCAAGGAATCAGACAATCTTCGTGGAACAAATGCTTGCAAGGCATCATGACGAGTTCATCCTGTTGACCTTCTCCAGGAGCAGATTCTGGAGGATCATCAACGTCCATTTCACTTGATGGTGCTATACCGGTAGGAAGATTGGAATCTTTTGATGCATCATGGGCAGGTGCAGATTCTTCATCTTCAAAGCTGTCCATGCATGTTGAACATTCTCTATTTCGAGCCTGGCGAACTTTTTCGATCTCCCTTCGGCTGAACTTTTCCAATTTGGCAATAGCTTCATCGCTTGCAGGTGGCGGAGCTGTAGATCCTCTTGTTTGCTCCATCAATTGTGAAATCACATCATCTAAACCTTGCTGACCCCAAACATAATCACCAGATCTACCTCTGAATGCGTTTCCGAATAAGTCCACTAGCATTCCCGCTGGACCATCATTTATACCACCAAACAGATTGGAAAACACTTCACGTAAAGACTGTAGCTCTGGTGGAAGGTCTGGCTCGTCAGATGATGGCACAGAGCCTGGCATACGACCGCCGTGATTGTCATTATTGTTGTCATGATTGAAGAATCGTCCATCAGCAGCACCTCCTGCTCCACCCATTCCATCATCATGAACGGGCTCGAGATGATCATCAGGCGGATTTCTTCTTGTTCCAAATGTACTAAAACCTGAGCCGCCAATTCCACTACCACCTTGCATTGTATGCGATCCCATACCCCAAGTCACATTTAATGGACCAAGCCGAGTCGTTCCAGTTCTAAAACGGCTTCCATTGTTTGTGCTAGATGATGATCCTGCCTGATCATTTTGCGTGTATGTTCCTCCTGTCAATGGGTCAGTTTCTGGCTCTTGTGGAGATGAGGATCGATTTGGCGTATCAGATGAAGTTGTCCCCCTAGCATCTTGACCACCAGCTGCTAAATTTCGCAAGATTGTAGTCATGAAAGATCCGATATCCAAACCCGGTCCTTGATCATGAATGCCAGCAGGGCCATTTGACCAATATTGTTCGTTTGCAGTTGCTGTTATACCTTCTTCTTCTCTTACGTCTTGAGAAGAATCAACTTCTTCAACAAATCCACCATTGCATCTCGGACAAGTAGGTTGTGGAGTCATCAACGGTCGTATTTCTATACTGCACATATGACAAAAATACATCGGTGGTGCACCCCCTCCTCCTGCTTCTCCATGTTGTTGTGAGGATGACATTTTGTCGAACCTCTATATGATTGTGGTAAGGAGAGGAAATAGCAAGGCCACAATTGTTCTGCTAATATGTTAACCCCGAAACGTCATACGACAGTGCATTTACACACTGCATATAGACGTGGCGTTATACGGTAGCTTGTGTGCCCTTTGAGAGAGGGCGGTATGCAAACATTGACTGCAAAAAGGTGGAGCATTTAAAGTGCTTTAATCGCGTACGCGTAGAGAGCAAGCCAGTGATTAATTTACACAATCAAACGCGTACGTGCAGGTAAAAAGTGTTGGTTGATTGGGAAGAGGAATTAATGTATCATCAATTTCACCATCACAATGCAAGCAGCTTGATACAATACACAACACACAACATGGCATTGCCTCAAAATATAAGGGCAGGTCTGCTACCTACTGAAGCAGAATACCTGGCTACTTCCGAAGTAGAAATCAATATCGTTCCGCTGATGAGAATGGATCGTGTTCGATTATTGGATGGCATTTACGGACCTCTGCGACCGCCAACACAAGCAAGGGTACCACTATGGCTTGCACTCAATCTCAAAAAACGAAAGAGATGTTCGATCGTTTGTCCGGATTGGCTGCTGATCGAACAGCTAAAGAAATCGCTTCAACTAGAAACTATGCAAGACGAATTCGCACCTTTACCGCTACACTATTTGGCAATCTCGAAAGTTTTACTCGAAAGCGCATCTGAAGATATACCCGATAGCGATGAGGTAAGAGCATACCTCAAGAGTATACGTGAAGCAAGGCAGAGTAAGATCTTAAGTGGTGTAGAAGCGGTAAACACGGAACATTTGGGAATGACAAATATCTCTTTAGGCGAAGTGACTGAATTGAGATCATTCTTAGGCACAGCATTCAATCATTTGAGAGCAATACAACAGGCGGGAGAATCAGAAGAACAAGAGGAAACAGCTGCAGAGTCAATGCAGGAACGTGAATTCAACTATTCCATCCAACGGGCGAACCAAGAATCGGAAACGCCTTATCAGCAAAGAACGACATCGTATACTACACCTTATAATGCATCAGCAGCCGCGCCATCTTGGTCGGCATCTCGACAGAGCGGGAGTGCAGATCGATCGAATGCTGCAGGGACAACAAATGAATCACAGGAAGAGGAATCGGGCAACAATATGGACCTGTTCTAAGACACACACACATTTATCAATCGTGTACAATTTGTATCATATTCTTCAAGCATCGCATTGTCATACACATTAATAACTCATACTGCGTTCGATGATGGATGTCAAATGAGATGATCCATCACTGCCTTGCACATCCCCAATACCGGGAGCCAAGTCCAAAACCCGTCTTTGCGGAATTGATCCTTTTACCAAAGCGGGAATATGTTCGTTACGATAACCGATTGCCGATAAACCACGAGGCATTTCTAACACTTCTCCCAAGAATCGTGCGATACGATCGTACACCAATTTACCAACCTCTGCATCGGGTAATCTTTGAATCGCACTAGATTCTTCTTCCCCTCCAAAGATTGCTGCAATCTCACGATGGCGATCGGGCGAGGATGGTGCAGTAAATTCAAACACTGTGAAGAAAAAGAAGTCAGCTTTTCATTCATACTTATTCAAGGTGATGTCATCACTCACCTGCTGGTCCTGTAAGACAAACGCTCAATCCGTGAGGGATCAAAGGATGATCGACTTTGTATCCTGGGAAAGTGTATTTTGCCGTTGATTTATTCAATCCAGAGATAGGATAACTGATTCCATGACAAAGATGAACACCTGCATTACCAAATCCAATTCCCGCAAACGTTGCCGCAAGAAGCATTTGACCTCTTGCTTCTTTATCTCCCATCGGATCACGTTTTACCCGAGGTAAATATTTCACCGTTTGCTTTAATGCCCACAAGGAGAACACATCGGAGATTGGGTTGCTTCCTTGATAAGCAGGTCGTTGAAGAGGATTTTGTGGTCTAGGCGTACGTTCAAAGTAGGGAATTGCTGTGTAACTCTCCAAGGCATGGAACAGAACATCAAGACCGGCACTGACATGGACCGAGACCGGGCATGTTTCTGTGTTGAGAGGATCAACGATACCCAACATAGGACGCAATGCACGACTTGCGATACCAGTCTTTGCAGATGTAGCCTTGTGATCAAAGATGGCAGTTCCCGTCGTTTCAGATCCTGTTCCTGCAGTTGTCGGGATAGCAATCAAGGGTCTCAATTGTTTATCGATGGGAGTTCCCTTTCCGATTGGTGCGTTGACGAATTCCAAGAGATCTGTTTCGGGGTAGCATGTGAACAAATTTGCAACTTTTGCCGTATCCATAACCGAACCACCTCCTACAGCAAGGAAATGACTGAAATCATGTTGACGTGCGAATCCGATTGCGTCTGCCCAACTTTCGTCATTTGGTTCAACACGAGTACGATCAAAGATTTCATATGGAATTCCTTGAGCTTCTAAGCCTTGAATGGATTGTTTCATCGGTGTTAAATCACGAATCGTTGAGTCGGTAAAAACACCAACCTTTCTTGCTCTTAAGTTCTTAAAATCCATTCCAATTTCCTTTGTTACGCCTTCACCGAATCGAATGTTACTTGCAGCTAACTCAAAAGCATACTCCTTTTGTAAACTTTCATCTACTGGAGTTGCATAACCACGTTTCGTTGAACCTGCTTGGACGTTGTGACCTGCAACCATGTTCAATCCCGCACGAACGGAAGACGTTGCAGCATTACGTAATGAACTACAACCATGACAAGGACAACCGGCTGAATGACTCAATTTCATCAAATTGAAGATTGATTGACGAGAAACTGGAGCACGAGCCATTTTGGATAAAAGAACAAGAGCAAAGAAGTGATGATGATGGTGATGAGAGAGGTATTTCTGTCGTACGAGCTTGAAGTGATTGTTCGATCTGCATTTTATTGCTCGGGCCGAGTGCCGGGTTAAAGCTGGAGAACAGTGTAGCTGATTAAAATGCGGGGATCAATTCACAAAGAAACACGCGTAACTCGGCAAGACCGACGATCATAATTAGAATATAAGCTTACTAATAACAGTCCATTCATTTTAAAACGCTGTAAAAGAAATGACAGAAAACAAAGAGAGAGAGTGTGTGTGTGTCTATAATTTAAAGTGGCGGAAAATCGATCCATCATCATCATCATCACCTTGGTCTGTATTTGTAAAGGTTCCATCTTCATAGACATAATTATAGCAGTTCGGTTTTGTTCGAATGTCCATCAAATCCAAAATATTGTAATCTGGTGACCATACGCCCAACATCACGCAAGAGTCATGCATTGTGGCTTGCTCTTTTGAACCATACAATCTTGGACCACCAAATTTGAACTTGTTTGCTCCATCGTTCATGTCTTGATAAAATGCCCAAAATGCATCAAGGCCAGTATGAATGGCAAAGAAGAAGTTATCCACTGTCCCAGTCGAACGACCAAGATCACCTCCTACTCCTCTGTGCAAATATTGATGACTTGAAGATTCCACTCTTCTGCGTAATTGGTCATACGTTTCCGATTGCAACAATTCCGCCAAATAAGTACTGGTCATATAATCTTGAAAAACGTTGCCTGTATCTGAATCATATTCGGTTAGTTGCCTCTTTATCGGTCTGTCGGCTTTTGCGATCTTTACTCCTCCCGGTTGTACATTAACAAAGTGAACACGAGCATCTTTTTGATTTCCATCCACTACATTACCTCTATTCGATCCATAATACGAACTTGACCAAATTTCAGATGAAGTCCATATTTCACCTCGATCTGCATACGTCCAAAAGTCCATATACAACAAATCTCCTGTATAATTGCATGATTGTTGCATCGTTTTAAACCATGCATTTACCAAAAGTCTATGACAAGGCAAAAGATGAGCATTGAAATGCAAAACACTGGTCATGATTGCATGAAACAGAACGAAATCATCTTGAATGGAAGTACTGTTAAATCCATCTCTGTTCCATTTTCCCGGTATATTTGCCAAACAAGTAGATGCTTGCAAATATGCTTGTCTATCTTCTTTGCTTGCTGCGCTCCAAGGACGTCTGGTTGCTATTGTATCGCATTCACTCGTAGGTTTTGCCGAAATTGTTCCGTTTGGACTATTTGGTGTAGCAGAAGTGAGAGTTGTTGTTGCATTTGACATTCCTGCTTCTTGAGCTGCTTGTTCTTTGGCTTCTTTATCTTGTCCGTCAGGCAATGCCGTATCGTTGAAAGCAGTAGATTTTCCTTGTGCCATCTTATTTTTGATCGCTTGTTGTTCTGGCGTAAGTGTTGTTGAAGGAGCAACTTGACGTTTGAACATTGATGATGATCGATCAAACAATTCATTTTCGCTAAAATCTCGATCAAAAGGAGGATGGGATCGTTTCAAGAGTTCTTCTACTTCTTTTTGTGATGGCAGAGCACAAAAACAAATGCTTGACAAGCAAATGATTGAAAGAAGAAGAACGTGAATGAAGGAGTGTAATTTCATCGTGATCGAATTGGATCTGTTTGGGGGTATCGTGAATGGAAAGGAGGAGGAATGAAGAGTGAGTTATATTTGCGAGAGGGGGATCAGAAAAGGTGCGCAATTGAATCGGTACAAACAATAAACCTTGCCGTCTTAGAAGGGTATCCGCCGACAGAAATTAGTGTCAAAATTGAATCGCAGCTCCGAAGAATTGATTTGAACCATTTGGTCAGCATAAGCTTTTGGTTATTTTTGATCGAAATTGAGGCGGAAATTAGCGGCGCATGACTTCCGTCTTTAATAGGCTGAAATCTGAAATTAGGAAGTTCTCCTATATTGCCATCGGAAAAAAAAATGAGTGGAAGAAAGGAAGAACGTTCTTCGGCGGAAACTTTTGAAATTCAACACAACCTCGTGGTCAGAGATATGTACATCGTTCATGTTTGTATTGCCAATCAGACACGGTCCGAAAAGGTCCTGATGAACCGATCAACTCTTAAAGCAAAACACCGTGGAGAACCGGAATGATGATGATGATGATGATGATCACATGTTACGTAACGCCGAAAAGAGAGAGAGAGTAACGCGCATATATGCGTGCACGTGCTAATAAAAAGTCACTCTTCTAAATTGTACCTCCACTGATGACCAAGACAAAAGTTAACATTCCGATCACCATCTCCATTAAAACAGAAACAATGGGCTTATTCGGATCCAGCTCAAACTCAACTACCCCTCCCGAACAAACGATTCCCACACGATCAGCCAGACAAGAATGTTGGAATTCGCGTGATGCATATTATGCTTGTTTAACATCCAATAATATAATCGTGCCTCCCGGTACAGATATGGCAGACGGAAGAGCGCCAGGCGGAGGATTAAAACAAACGAATGAAGACAAACAAAGGGAAAAGGAAAAACAACAAAAGTTACAACAAGACAGACAATCTGATCCATGCAATAAAGAAAGGGATTTGTATGAAGGACATTGTGCCAAAAGTTGGGTGAGTGAAAAAGTTGTCAAACGAAATGACAAAGAAAGGCGTTGAACAAAATAAAGGGGCTCATCTTGCTAACATGCGTTAACTCTCTTTACAGATTGACTACTTTAACAAACGGAGAGTGTTGGAAGAGAGACAAAGGTTAATGTATGCTCAAGGTAAAGCTCCTCTAGGATCTGGACCAGCACCGGGAAACCGAGCTTGAAGGACCGATTGGAGGATAGCATTGAGGGCACTTGTACCATATCATCAACTCTTTTTTAATATTCATTCACTGCTCTGGATTTAGCGAATTTTTCTCATTTCTTGACCGCGGAAGTGAGTGGTGGATAAAATTAGCTCTCAATATCCGGCTACCGCTTTAAGCGCTTTATTGCCTAAAAGACGGACCTTTTGTCTCCTTTTGTTGTCCGTAATGGTTGTGGGATACCGTCTTCATAGCGGCGGCGGAGAAGGAAAGGTGTGTTTGATTTCAAGTGTAATGGCGTGCGATCCTTTTCCTCTTCTCCCCAAAACACGGAGCCGCATTTTTGGCGTGCGCGTATTTTTGAAATATTCTGACAAGGAAAGATTCCAGGTACGAGCAAAGTTTATGCAATGCAATGCAATTCAATGTGTGTATGTTTTGTTAATTTTAAACACTGCATTTCACCCCTATCGCCTTTCTGACTGACAAAAGAGGGATGGATACCCTTTCCAATATAATCAATCACTCGCTCTACCGTCTTTGTGCACTTGTTTTCAGTGACGGCCTGTCAAATGAAATCATTCTTTCGTATGTACGTATGCTTTCAATATACAGTCCTTCCCAGGGCGTTTTTCAAGGTACATGTGGAAGATGTTTTCCGAAATGAACGTTGATGGTATATAAAAACAAGACTATAATGCATTCCTCTCTTCTCTCCTATCTCCTCAATCCCTCCCTTGTCCTGTCTTTTCTCCCAATCATCTTTCCTTTCATCACATTCCTTTCAACAACAACGACAACAACAACAACAACAACAACAACTTAACATTCAAACAAAATGCGCTTTCTAACATTTATCAGCCTGGCAATGGCTGCTGTCTTGGTTGCAGAGCCATCAATGGCAGCCGGATTGGAAAAACGTTCAATGATGCAAAAGCGTGAAATGCTTGCACGTGAATTGGCATGGAGTTCATTACCTGAACATGTTCAAGAAGATCTTGCAAAACGTGATCCAAGAGAGTATGACTTGAACTGGGAAATGTATTTGCGTGATGATGATGAAGAATCAAACGGTTTAGTAGCTCGTCAAGATGGAGGACAACCCGGTTTGGGAGCCAAACATTGCAAAGATGGTCAAGTCGCATACACTGTCGATGATGGTCCTTATCATTGGACTGGCAAAATTGCACAAACCTTTGCTGATGCAGGTCACAAGATCTCTTACTTTATCAACGTTCAAAATTGGGATTGCGCATACAGTCTCACATATGTCAAACAACTCCGTAAAGCAATCAGATTGGGTCACGACATTTGCTCGCACTCTGCTACCCATCCTCATTTGAACACATTAACCTTGGATCAAGTCAAACAACAATTCAAGATTGTGGAACAATACACATACAAAACTTTGGGTTTGATTCCCAACTGTGCTCGTCCACCATACGGTGAAACATCACCTGAAATCAATGCATGGTTACGTTCTCAAGGTTACCGTGTTATTCAATGGTCTGTTGATTCAGGTGACGCTGATGGTGACACTGCACAACAAAGCGTTGAAATAATCAAGCAACAGGTTAGCAAAAATAGCGGTAAGATTATCTTAGGACATGAAACTCATCAACCAACAGTTGATACCGTTATTCCTGGTATGATCAAGTACTTTGATTCAATTGGTGTAAAGAGTGTCGGTATGGGTCAATGTTTAAAGAGAAAGCCTTACAAGGTCAAATTGAACCAATTCCCTGCTTTGAACCCAAACTTGAACTGTGTCAATCAGAACGTACCCCTTCCTGGTAAAAATTGATCGAAGATGACTCGTACCCTCATCTCATGAACAATAGTAATCACCTCGATCTTGTCTTTCACTGTTTACACATCTAGCTTTGTTAATCCTATCATTTGTTTCCCGAACTCAGACTGCGCAATTAAATGAGTGATGCCAAAGTAGAATCTTATTTCCGCAAGGGGAACAGTGCAAAGTGTGATTGCGGGGGGAAATCAATAATATCACAGAATCATCTTCTACATTCTGATATTGATGTTCAAAGCACCGTTTGAAATGCAGATGTTCTGTTCAGACTCCATCTGCGATCGAAACTATGAGGGGACGGCGATAGCTTTGAATGCCGGCCTTCCGCTTAATACTTCCGCATCAAAGAATAATCATTTTCATCACATTTCCTTCATCACAATTCTCATTTTTTTTGAAAGAGACGCCCATCCGCATCATTTTATTTTTTTCAAGCTCAGCCCGTTCCGATACTATATGTAAACTTGTAAGCATATCCGTGCAATTTCGTTGACCGCTATGAAGATTGTTCAGAAGGGAAGAGAAAATGTGGCTGCCCTTTTTTTTACCTGCTTTTTCGCCTTAATTTGTTGCCTGAAAACGTCGAACCGCTGCAAATTGAACGATAATTTGATCCTCATCTGAGTGGTTATTCGTCATCCTAGGCAGATATGAGTTCAAAAAACCCGGCGTCTCCGCTTTTTTCCCTTCTTTTTCTTTTGAAATCGAATAAAACTGGCTAAAAAGCAATACCATTAGATTTTATTGTCCACTTTTCTCCTTCCTTCCCTCATTTCCATTTCCAATCCTCTCCCCTTCTCACAAACGACAAGATGGCGGTCGAAGACCATACTGTGTTCTATACCGTCCTTCGTATGATGGACGATGAACAACTTTTCAGCTTCTTTCATACATTATACACAATCAACGTTTTACAGCTAATCGCTTTGGCAACAGGTTCAGTTGCTTTACGTGAATATCTTGCACATCTTGGAGCAGAATATAGAACATGGAAATTACTACTTCAAGGTAGAGTAATGCCAGCTCGATTGGCAATCATTCTTGTTCGTTATGCATACCTTGGTGCTTTCCTTACCGCTGTTTATTTCATGCTTGGAGCACCTAAACCTCATGATTGCAATCCATTATATCGATCTGTGTTTGGATTGTATACAGTTTTATGGGGAGCAGCAGGCTCGGTGAGTTAATTAACTGATCGATGTTGATGCATTCATTCTGACCTCCTCCTTCCTTTCTACAGATCTTCTTGATGCGCTTGAACATCATCTTTGCACGACAAAGAGCGGTCATGACACTCTTTATAGTCCTTTGGTTCGGCTGTATTGGTCTTTGGGTATACGTCACCACACTTTTACGTGCCGAACCAATGCCAAAGATTACCCATTACCCATACGGTCCTGTTTGCATAACAGGTCGATTTCCTAAAATTGGTGCAATCGCATGGGGCGGATCAATCCTTTTCGATAGCGTTGTGTTTATAGCAACATTCATTCGTTTTCGTAATGCTAGCAAGACAAAAGGTCAAAGAACTGTTCAACTTCGTTCGAGAAAATGGATCTTTCGTTCAAATTTGTACTACTTTGGAGCTTCTTTCTTTTTCAACGCTGCCATGTTGTTCTCTTCATTGTATGTCAATGATCCAGTCTTGAGTAACGTTGGTAATTCTTTGGCTTTCGCTATTCATTGTTGCGTTGCCACTCGTTTGGTTTTTACTACAAGAGGATGGGCAACAAGTGGATCTGTGGACGATGAAGATGACGTGATCTTGAACACATTTAACAAGAACAGAAGACAAGGCGGACCTAATCTCGGCGTTGCATCACGCATCACGTACACTGTTGATGAAACAATCGTCACTTCTGCTGGTGATCATTTGGAAGATGGCAACGATCGTCGTGATGGACGTGATGATCTAGAAGCAACACATCCGCAATACTCTTACTCCCATCGTGGATCGCTTCGTGGATCGCAAGATCATGACTTACCACAACGTGATGGTACCATGATGAAGAAAGCAACCCCACCCAGTTCAAGACGACAAACGCAAGCACATTTGCACTCCGACTATACGCCCGAAATTGGCTCTCGACAAGAATCAATGCCAAAAGTGTCCACTTCGGTCAGAAAGAAGCCTGTTGCCCGATCACGAAGGTCACGTCAAAGCACTGATTCACTCGAAGAAAAGAGGAGTACCAACGATCATCAATACACTTCTTCTCGTCATCATACGATGGAAAGTGGTGATATCAGTCGACCGGCTAATGCATTTATGGGCAATTCGGTCAGCCATTCCACTCATGTTGCAACGATGCATAATCAAGCCCGTATTGAAGCGGAAATCGCTCAACCATCTGGTGATCATAATGCGGCGGTTGAGAATATGACCTATACGCCAACTTATGCAGAACAACATGCTCGTGCATCAAGTTTGTTCTATGACAATAACTCAACCCCAAATGGCTCGCCATCATCAGAAAGCTTCGATTTACGTGCACAAAATTCCATCACACCTAGCCATCTGATGACCAGATCAACATCATCAAACGCACCTCCAAGTCCAGGCACACTCAGTAATCCACCTTCATATTCTGCGTTGGATCAACATATACGTCAAACGGCTTCTTCTTCTTCTCTTCGTCCTCCGGCTTCACCTGCCACGTACGAAATTCAACAATCGGATAATCGTCCAAGACGACCAAGTCGTGGGGATCGTCGTCAGCGTTGATTGTAGTTCTTGTTTGTGTAAATGGTTTACATCATATGTCAATCTTTCTTTTGTTTAATGTCATCGCATCTTCTCATCAATTCATCATGAAGTTGGTGGCAGTGAACAAAGGCTACTTCCCCACCCTCTTATTGATCAATTCTACCCCGCGCTTAGAAGTGTTCTTCAAAAAAGTTTAGTGAATCGCGTTTATTGAAGAATCTTCTCCACTATCATCAGCATTTGCTCATTTTTGCAGGGATGGCATTGATCTTGGTTTCCGGCCTACCCTGTAGTGGAAGGAGTACAAGAAGTAAACAACTTATAGACGATTTCAGCGAACGGATAACGAAATCATCAGATCAACAAATATCTTCTTTACGAATCGTTCACTTAACCAATGCAGAAGCAAATGTGGATAGAAAGGCATTTCACACGCAACTGAAGGAGAAACCAGCAAGATCAGCATACCTTTCACTTGTGATGAGAAGTATAGCAAAAGATGCAATCGTCTTTGCTGATGGAGGAGCAGGAACGAACATCAAAGGTTTTCGATATCAATTATGGTGTGCAGCAAGAGAAGTTGGCGTTCGATGTGCCAGCGTACTTTGTGCTGCAAAACCGGACGTATGCAAAAGGAGAAATACAGATCGAATGAATGCGATTCTTGAAAGTACGGAAAGTAGACAAATGGAAGATGCATACGAAAATGATACGTTAGACGAACTTTTGATGCGATTCGAAGAACCAAATGCAATGACCAGATGGGATTCTCCGCTTTTCGTGATTGATTGTACGCCAGAAAAAGATGAAGATGATTCAACATGCGAACTTCCACCTTTTGATCAAATTTGGGATGCGATCACAAAAGGTGAAGTGAAAAAGGCACCAGACGTTGTTGCTCCCGTTCGTGGAACGACGAGTAATTATTTATCACTCTTGGAATCAACAACACAAGCAGTCTTGTCTGCTTTGCAAACCTTGCAATCTTCTGGTGTTTTACCAGAGATGGGAGGACAAGTACAGCTTTCCGTACAAATGCAACACAGTACACCTGCTGTACAGAAGATTGGACTGTTCTTACCTGCTGGAAAGCGGGCGCCAACGACTGCCACTCTGCAAAGATTGAGAAGGCAATTCGTAAAGATGCACGCAAGTAGTGCTGCTTCGCAAAATGAGATTGGATTTGCGATGGGACTAGAAGGAAGATACACAGCAACAAGCGATCATCAAAAAGGCTCTGAGAATTCTACAGGCAATTCTAGAGCAGAAAGGAAAGTACAACAACACAATGCATCAGTGGGAAATAGCGCCTCTGACAAGAAGCAACAGCGAACATCTGAGGAAGAAGTCGCACACAGATTTGTAGCATACCTAGAAGAGACTCTATAACGGCCACACAATGTATAGTAGAATAGAATATATATTGCATTGATCTGAATCATTTCGGTATCTTTGTGTCTATAAACAGTACGGAATTGTGGTATAACCAGAAGGTCATTGGTGAGTCAAGTCTACTTTGACTTGATGGATGGACCATTGCCCCAAACATCATCCTCGACTCGTTTGCGGGTATCTGCGCTGGCAATGAAACGATAATACAGTGCACGAACCAAAGTATCAACAGGCAAGAACATACCCACACGCTTTTGATAAGCTTTGTAGGCTGGGTATTTGCTGCCAGTAATTTCTTCAGTGAATGCCGTAGAAGAGACAAAGAGCAAGTTCATCAAAACAGGACTCAAGGTAGCATAACTTTTCAGGAAAGTTGACCAAGGCACAGGTCCGTTTGCAGGCGTGAAAGTGATCACGACATATGACCAAAACAACCACCAATTGATTTGTTCGCAGAAGAAGTTTGGATGACGACTGTATCTCCATAATCCTTTTGTCAAGAATCCACGTTTAACATCAGCTTCTTCTTTTAGCATCTTCAACTTTGCTGGTGGGAAATCGTTCAAAGAAGCATCCTTGCCTCTTTTGTAGTTTTGATACGTCCATTGTTGTTGATCAGACAACATCTCCAGCGAAAGGTTGAGGATAGTCAGAGCAGCAACGAGGAAGTCCCATTTGTTCAATTGATCGGCTGGATGGGCAGGCTTGTTAAGTGTGGACCATGTGGACGTAAGGATCATGTATTGAGGCAAAGCGGTCAAAGCCAAGAGGATGTTTTGTGCAATCGCGATGAAGAACAAAGCGAACAATTCCCACGCCCATTTTGGCAACTTTTCACGCAACACTGGCCAACGGTAATCTTCTTCACCTTTTTTGAAGAATCCACGACGGATGGCATGGAATGTTAAACGACCGCTCCACAAAACTTGCAAAAACAAGATCAAAGCCAAACGAGGGACGATTTGATGAGCGTCAGCTTTTGCGTTTGTAGTTGAAGAGAACAAGCCTGCAAGTTTTGGTGGATCCAAAAAGCCAGCCAAAGATTGTTGAAAGGTGAAATGGATGGTATAAATCACAGGTAAGAAAGTCCATAAACGATCAACTTGACTTGCATTTCCTGTGATTTGTTGTGTGATATACACAAACGTTGAGAAAAATGCACAGATCCAAATTGCTGTATGCAATGGATCAACTCGTGCATAGTATAATTTTGCTGCTTCAAGGGAGAGATAACCGCCATGCTTTGCAAAATGTTCTTGAAACGTTGGCCAGAATGCTTTGAGAGCGGGTAAGATGTGCTTTGAGGCTAATAAAGCCGAATGAGGTGCATCAGAGATCACCGCCATTTCGAGAATGTTGGATGGAAATGTAGAGAGATGGTGGATGTACGTGAAAAGGGGTAAAGACGGATCTGTTCATAAACAACACCTCACTTTCTCTCCACTTGAGAAGATGCTGGTGCTGCTGCAGCTTTGTTACATAATAATGCTTGCCAACGACCACAGGCGCAGAGTATCAGGCCATATGAATAACGCGGAACTCGGCTTTGTATGCGCTATGCGGAGAAGGTCAAAAAAATAAAATGGGAGTGTATGCGATCTAATCAGACCATCATCATCATCATCAACACTACAAATAATCGTGATCATGGCAACTGTATCTACCGTTCAGCTACCGCAACAGCCTAGTGTGCTGCAAAAGCGTGAGTTTGGTCGTGCTTTTAGGAGATACATCATAATTGAAATACTGATCGAATTCTTTCTTCTCATCCTTGCAGTCGGCATGGGAGCTATGATGGGAACTGGTGTAGGATTGTGTATCGGATTCATCGGTGGTGCATTCCAGATTTTAAGGTGAGCTCGATAATATCAAGTTGAAAGCAGAGTTGCCCATATCTAATCTCCATTTCTCTTCCTTCAGAGCTGGACCTGGACCGAAAGGCACAATGGGTACTTTGGGACAATTTATGGGCACTTCAGCTGCTACGTTTGGGTGAGTGTGAGGTGGATGTGCAGATTGAATGAAGGGCGAAGACTATTGACACTTTATGATATTGCCCGAATCGATTCACAATAGCTTCTTCATGTGAGTATATGGACACGCACTACTCTCCATTGGAACGTTTCTCTGACTAAACTCGATTGCATATTTGTCTACATCAGGTCAATCGGTACCGTCATTCGAACAGAGGGTAGAGATATGGAAGGGGAAGATATTATGCGAAGATTAACACAAGAACCAAACAGTCTACGCATTTTGCAAATGGAAAGAATGAAAAATCGAACAAGAGAACTTAGTTGAATGTACACAGTAGGTGATTGGAATGACATATTTGAGGAAATGACAGAGAAGACCCAAAAAGCCTTGCAATCAAAGCGCCTGCGCTTGTGCTAGGACAGAGAAAGAAGTGGGATCTAAAGACATGAGCGAAATCGAGGAGAACTTGAATATAAAAAAAAGTCATCGAGTCGAAATGATCAGCGATATGAGCCCTTTGGTGACATATTGGCCCTTTGATACCAGTACAAAGGCATTTTCATTGTTTACTACTACTACCGCCACCAAAATATTGGCGCATTTGATGTTCCAAATTTTCTTTTGTCTTCTTGGCGTAATCATCATCAGCATCTTTCACTCCTGGCCATTGTGTTCTAGCAGCATGTGCGTGAGCTCCGCGTACTTCCGGAATTTGAGAGTTAATGGCACCATGAACATGATTAGTAAATTTACCACTAGCTTCAATTGCTTTTGCCTCACTTTCACGAATGGTTTTATCAGAATGAGGAGGTTTATCAGTAGCAGATGCGAAACCCACAAAGATGGCAAAGAGGACGATCAAGTTTTTGCTGAAAAACATATTGTTAGCTTTGGAAGAGTGATTGTTTGTTCTAATTTTGGGTTCAGACTGAAAATCAACCCGTATTTTATAGACTTAGATTCATTGATCGTGTCTGCTATGTGACCTGTGACAAAATGTGCAACAAATGAAACAACAATGCCGCTCACAATCTCGATCGTTCCTACTTGTGTTTCTCAGGAAGAACAGCCACTTGTGTTTTGCACTGTATCTTGCAAGCTGAGCGGAAAGGCCCGTCGCTAAACTTTGATCACAGCCCAATTCTTGGCGGACGAAGAAGAACCGATCTTGCTCCCGGTCTATACGTATTTTTCGAGATGGCAGTTTGCAAATACACAAAATACAATGTCTTTGCAATCATCTGTTGAAATTGCGTGATCATGACCTGTGTTGCAACCACAGCTTTTTGCATACACAGCTGAACATGAGCACAGCAAAGGTCTATCCTCGTTGTTTCGAGGCAACGCAACTGTTTACAGCCTCACGATAAACAAAATCGCCGCCTGTTCTGCGCCAGCACATGCTCCCTATACGATCAAAGTTTGCAAGAAGTGTACAGCATCGTAGAATCGAGCGGGGTTTTCTGCTTTCATTCTCAATCGTATCTCAGGGCAGTGCACATGAGCTAAGCTTTTTCTGAACATAGCACCGTGAACAGCCACTTCATAGCAAAATAGCTATGCTGCTGAAGAAAAAGCATTGCAAGATGACTTACTTTACTTATCTACCATTCGAGAGATTTATACTACTCATATTGAACGATTGAATAGAAAGAGTAAGCTCGAATTCACCTGTAAGCCAGGTACTTTACACGCTTACAGTGTGTTTACGGGGTATCTCTTCCGCTGTTACCAGCTTGAAGAGGATATTCAGACAGATATCATGAAACAAGTGATAGCATTTTAGGAAAGATAAGAAACAGACAAATATAAGATAAAAAAAACTACAATGAAAACGCCTGCGTTTACGATTGCAACAGTAGAGATTGAAAAGTAGTATGAAAGAATTCATTGTTTAGCTCACGAATTCCATTTGTCTAATGGCCTTTACTACTGCGTTCTTGCCAATGCTTTGCAAATTGATCACGTACATTTTGACGTTGAGCAGCAATATTTTCGTCAGCTGCACGATATGCATGTTGAGTGTAATGATGAGCTGTACTAGCTTGTTCGGCTTGTCCGTATCCAGGAGCTGTGCTCGCAGTCTTGTCCCATGCTTCCTTTGCTTGTCGGGTAGAGGTAATTTGTTTCTTTTCGCTTTCTTGCAATTCTTTATTACGATTGCTTGCAGCTGCAACAAAGCCAACGAGCAAGGTGAACAAGAACAAAAAGATCTTCAACTTGAACATGATGAATGGGAAAAGGTTTACCTTCTTTTGGTGATGGAGAAGTGGGGAATTCGAAAATCACATTTCTGTCTCTTTGAATAGTTTCAAATTGCAAGTTGGCAAATATTGACAAAGTACAATTTGCATAGGTAGTGGAAACGCAGACCTGCAGAGCTTCAGTCTCACTCAAGACTGCAGTAATTCTTTCGTGTGAGAAAATCATTTGTGTATTAGGTCCTCGCCTCTAGCACAGCTAAGAAGACCGAAGGGAAACCGTATGAGAACTTTGCATTCTTGAGTCGTTTGTGTACGAATCAAATCGAAAAGCAAGAGAAGGCAAAATTTGTCTTTGTGTAATGTTGATACCGTGCAACTCATTGCGACAAAAACAAAGCAAAGGTTTGTGAAAAAGCTGTGCTGTGGGTACGCACAACACAAAAGTCCAACGTACGATCTCCAAGAATACTTATTCTCATCGCTCTTGCGCGAAATGGGCGCCTCTTGAATACCCTCGAATTTTGGCTTCGTATGGCACACTTTTTCGTCAATGATTGCCAAGAGAGAGAGATCTGCACCATTTGCCCCCCTTCTTTGGTGTAGGATCCGCCTCTTTGCCTCCCCCATCAAGGGCTGAATCAAAGTTAATCTTGGCGATCATATTAAATGAGTTGGGCGTAATGCGGTGTTTATTTACCGCCTATAATGAACAAAATTTCATTTCTTCTTTCAAGACATAAAAGGCGGAACAACAAATCTTTTTCATCCTTTTCTTTTCTTTTATCATACAAACAGAAAAACAACTTTTGAACAATGGTACCAGCTATCGTTTCAGCTACATTTTTAATCGTTGCTCGTGCTCCTGAAGAGTCGATATCGCGAAGAGGAGACGAACGAAAAAAGCATTTGGAAAAACCGATAGAATCAAGAACAAGTTCAAATCATCACAGCAAAAGCAAGCACAGCCACCATCAACCTGTGCAACACCGGAATAATTTTGAAAAGCATCTCAAAGATCATTTGAGGAATGATTATCCACATAGTCGTTGCCAGTATAGCCACCGGAAGAAAGATGGAGAAGAGCAGTCTCTATTAAGCAAGAAATAGAGCAGTCACAAATGACGCATTCATCCATGGCAATAGGATTAACAATAAACATGGATCCAATCGAATTATGGCTGAGAGGACCACAAGATTCAGTGATTGCAAGTGATATATGCGTTAAATACAAGCTATCAAGTTATCCTTCGATCTTTGAATGTGAAGGTTTCTCTCTTTGAAATGAAGTTAATCCGTAAAAGTTGCCGGGATCCCTCTTTGAGTGCGCGTAGATGGCATTCCATTATATTATGCATCTATTGCGCCATCGAGACTAATAAATCGAAATTTGGAACGGGTAAGCCGTTCATAGCACAACAGCAGTCTTTTACACGCTTTGACAAGGACCCTTTTCTCCACTTTGGCCGTGTCTTGCGGATATTATTACAGTAAATGTATTTTTAAACTTTTAATCTTTTCTAATTCATTACGACAGCAGTCTTTGCGAATGTTTCATATTGATGATCTTCTTCCGTTGAAACGTTCTTCCCCCTCTTTCTCTCTCTCTCTTTTAATATGCAGCATTTGATCGTGCAATACTGTACCTGAACAAATATTGATCAATGATATGCACTCTAATTCGTCCGATAGAAGATTGCATTGTTGCATTTCTTCTAAAAACAACATTTGTATACTTTACTACCATCACTTTCCCCTCATACAAAAATGACAGCCGCTGTTGAAACATCAAATAATAGTAGCGCTTCAAAGTTCCCTAAAAGTCTAAAATGGCGAACAAAGTTATTCAATAAAACCAAAGAGGTTGAAGAGAATATAGAAGAAGGTGCAAAAGGTGGAAAGCCAGCATACGGAACAGTAGCACCAGATCCAAAAGAAGTAGAAACGAATCCAATTCAAAACGTTGCTGGAACAGGAATAAATGTGAATGATGCTCAAAAAACGGCAGGAAATCAAGATGTATTGGAAGAAAAATACTTGGAAAACGGTAAAGAAGGAACACTGCAAACTACACCACCTTCCCCACGCAAGGAGGGCAAACAGAGACAAGTACAAGAAGAAGATGGAGGAGCGGAACAAGCATCATCATCTGGTATTCCTTCTGAAGTTAGACGTGGATCTTTGGCACCCGGTCATAACCTCAGCGTAGACGAAGAAAGTGATGAAGGAGAAGAAGAGGTAGACAAAATCGTTTTCTATCATCGAACACAACCTTATTTCTGGCTAAGCAATTCTTCCGATCATCCTGTTTACCTTGACGGCGTTCGCTATCCAACAGCAGAACACTGTTTTCAAGCATTAAAATTCTTACCACATAAACCCGAAATTGCAAACAAAATCCGCAAATCAAATAATCCATCTGATGCTACATTAGAAGCACGTAAACAAAGTCAAAACGTTCAACGTGGTTGGATAAGTCAAGGTGAAAATTTGATTGCAATGCGAACGGTTTTATTACTTAAATTTAGTCAAAATACAACTTTGACAAAACAACTTTTACGTACAGGTGATGCAGAATTAATCGAAGATAGTCCAACAGACGCTTTTTGGGGTATTGCTGCTGGTGGTGGTAGACAGGTTGGCGCTGGAAGGAACGAATTGGGTAAAGCTCTCATGCGAACAAGAGAAAGTATTCGAAATCAATCTGGTTTGGGTTTCGGAAGTGGAGCGAAAACGGTTTAAGATGGCTCTCATTGTATTCTCATACACTCATTATAATTGATTGGTCATGGATTCGGTACAAATACAAAGAAAGATTGACTTTTGCCATCATGATCTCACGATAGCAAAAATAGACCAACAACACTGAGTAGGAACACAGTCCAATGATGTACGGAAGGAATGGTGAACCGGGACATCGCTGCAGATTGCGCACTTCCTCGACTCGTTGCGCCACCTCTGCGTCCACGTTCACCATTACTGTCTAATACGATCTGTGGATTTTGCGTTCCGACTGGATGGAAAGCTGTTGAAGTGATTGTGGCTTCTGGTTGTGAAGCCTGATTGATGAAAGCCAAAGCTACACCAGGTGCCGGTACGCTAAGTGTACATTGTCCGTTATTGCATGGTGCTTGAAGTACTGTTTCCGTGCCTTCAAGAATTCCTTCTGACCACCATCCGAAACTTTGTCCTGCCCAAGTGATATTCTCTTTTTCAGCCAAGGTAGGCGCCACCAAGAGTTTGTATGCCACTGAAGCAGGTTGATTAGATGGTTGTGGGAATTGCACGTTGAAGTTATTCGCTCCAGATGGATCGTTGATCATATTGATAAAGACTTGTTTAGCAATCTGTCCGTTTTCGTAAACATTATAAGCCGCCAAAACATCTGATTGAATCAATTGATCAGAAATCGTAACTGACGCTTTACCGTCTGAGGGATGCAAGGCTTCTGCCACCACCAAAGTAGAATAAAAGATTGGTCCTGTCTTCCAAGCTTTGGCAGAAACGATTCGATTGCTGGAATTGTATGCCGGGGGCGTGAATGTGTTGTAAATGGTAGATTGACCACCGCTATGCAACAGAACACCGGAATGATTACGATATCCGAATTGGAGGGCCATATTCACGCTCCAAATAGCGGCAGTAAATGTATCGGAGACGTCTACTATACCGATGCAAGAAGCAGTATTTGTTTCCACCAGGACATAAGGAATGCCCGAATTCACTGCTGTTTGTACAGCATCCGCATCATACGTGCAAAATGCGTTGATGTTCGTTTGATTCATGTACCCATCTGCTGTGTAAGGCGCAGTAGATGAACATCTTGATTGAGGATATTGAATGGCAGTAATGGCTGCTAATCTATCGGAATAATTGGATAACATACCAGCGTTCAAAACTTCTTGGGTTTGCCAATTACAGCAAACACTAGGAGCGGCAAATTGTTTCGGATTATCTGCATAATCGGCAGCAGTGATACGTTCTGTCAAATCACCCCATTCACTAAGGTAGTCTGCGATCGTATAATTTGCCGGACGTCTGCCGGTATATTCGTATCGATCAGGTTCATTTCCTACCAAGTAAAACGAAAGGCTGTCGCCCAAAGCATCGCGTGCCTCTTTGACCATTGGAACTGTAAAAGGTGCGGTATAATTCACCATATTTACACCCCAAATCACTTCACTGTCAACAGCAGTTGCAACTTGATCGATCAATTCGAAAATTAAATTTCCATACTCCAAAGATGGTGTGATGGGAACGCCGTTTGAGAATCCCCCACCGGATTTCTGTAGGATGCCTGTGAAACTTTGATTAAAGATTGCTGTATCTTGGGTATTTCCACCGATTCGCAATAGAGCTCCACGTCCGGCACGCAGTCGAATACTGTTGAGGTAGTTGAGTAATTGATATGCAGGTTCACCGATCTTGTCACCAACAAAGTCATTTGCGACACTCAATTCCAACGATAGACCTAACAAATTTGCTGGAACGGGGATGCCTGCTACTACACCTTCTGGTGGAGTATTTCCGACTGTAGTAGTTTGTGTACCGATTGCAGGATTTGGGGGTGCTGGCAATGGTGCGATTGTCAAATTAGCCGGTGCTGGAGGAGGACCACCAAGGACATTAGGTGAGGTTGGTGTTGCAGGCGGAGGAAAGATTGCGAATTGTTGACCATTGACGAGAGGTGGAAGGTCGAAATAGCTGGCTATTGCAATCAATGCCACCGAAAAGGATATGAAAGCAGTCAGCCGGGTCATTGCACTCATACCGAATGCCATTGTGAAGGAGGAGGAGGAGGAGGAGGATGGTGATGATGATGATGAGGAGAGAAAGTTGTTAAATTTGCAGTATGCAAGATTGAATTCCATTAGCGCAACCCAACGGCAAGGCATTTAAGCTGAATTCGGCACGAGAGAGGTCAATTAAATTTAATGCAGTGAGAAATGCAGGGCAAGGCAAGCCCGTTTACGGTCGGAAATCCGTGGTTTTTAGCTTAAGGTGCTTGTGTTTGGTGCACGGCCTTTAACTATATATGCTCTTTCTCTCCTTCATACAATCGTGATGGAAGGCATCACTTTACTAGAAAGTAAGACGAGTAGAGTGCACTTTGCATTCGTAAAGAGGTTGGAAGGAGCAAAGACGTCAAAACAAGCAGATCAAATCATTCAACAAACCATTCAGGAAGTACGATCAACTTTGCAATCCAAAGAGCCAACCACACTTTCTGAATCGACAATTGCATCCCAATTATTGGTTTTATTGCATTGCTTCCAAGTATACCCATTTGATGATCTGACAACAGCCACTAGCTTCAATCTCTCGTTTGCTCTCGTTCCGACTTTGCATCTTCTTGCAACTGCTCAATATGCACGTAGGTTACAGATTGCCTATTCCACTCTTGCTCTCTTGATCGGACCATTTGCTTCGCCCAATGAAGAATTGCAAACATCATCCTTGCTCGTGCTCAATACGATCAGACAACATTTAGGATCACATACCCACTCAAGCACAAAAAGGAATCAATCAGAGGGAGAGTCAAGCCTTCAACGCGCTCGCCAATACTTTGCTTTACGCTCGATCGTCAAAGGAACACCAAGTGGAAGTGATTGTGTGCCAGCATTATATGGGCCGGTTTCAAATCTCATCACGCACGAAGATGATCGTATAAAAGCATTGGCGATAGAAGCATTGTTTGTATTGAACGGCTATCGAGAAGAAGAAGAGGATCAAGGCATAACGAGGGCAACTTATGAACGTGTACGTGATGTAGTGACTGGCAGTGTGAAGCGAAATGGGAAGCAGAAAGCTCGATCATCCGAAAAAATCGGATCAAAAAAGGACATTGAGGGCCTCAAACGATCTTTGGTCAAAGTATCACGAATTGCGTTGACCCAAGGTGTGATTTCGATGGACGAATTCGTCTCTACGCTAGTGTCACTGGATGACAATCAATCATCGACGGGTATGAAAACTTACATTGCAAAGAATCTGTCACAACAACTATCGAAAGAAGGATCACAGGTCACTGCAGCTGCTTGTGGGACAGTCATCGATTGGGCATCAACAGGATGCAAAGATGTCTTAGGAGACAATCCTTTGTTCCTTGAGCTTACTCGTCTCTTGGGCATCGTGAGGTCCTCCTCCGCAGAAGATGATTGGAAAGGGACGATCGCAGACGTTTGGCAAGTATTGATAGGCCATCTACAGTCTCGCAATGCCAACAGAAGAATACTCGCCCTATCCGTCCTGGACGCTCTCCTTCCATTTGGATGGCAATTGGGAGATTCGGATGTACAATTATCGGAGGAAAACATGCAATCATTGATGTCTTTGTTAAGTGATGCAGATGCTACGATACGCATTCGATGTTTGCGACTGTTTTGCAAGATAGACACAGGTATCGTTTCGGCACATTTGGATGCATTGAAGAAAGCAGCTGAAGAAGGTTCAAAATCGCAAGAGGAATTGTCTAGCCTCTCTATACGTATTTGTGAAACTTTAAAATGCCTCTGCGATGCAAAGCAAGGAGATTCGATTTCTACAATATACTCGCCAACGATGGCTTCTCTGTTAAGAGTACAGAGCAGATCAGGATTTTTGGATGATCGATTGATTGAGAGAGTAACCCAAGACTTCCAGGAAGCGTATACTGCAGATGCAGCGAAAGGAATCGCAGCAATCCTAAAAGAAGCATCAGAAGCAAAGATGGAGCTTTCTCCAACGTATAGCTTGCTTATATCTACGCTGGTTTGCACTGCGCTAGAACAGAACGTGGACGATGCCTTCCGATCCCTTCATCGGGAAATGCTGCGGGATTTGACTGAAATTTTGCCTTTGGTTGGCGACAAGAATGCTGCACTGCAAGAAGCTATGATGATTGCATGTATCAAATTGGCATCTTTGAGTGGTATTGACGAAGCGCAGGAAGCAATGTTGACACTCTCGCACATTGCAGAATCCTCAAAATCAACGATAATCAAAACAAGGGTGGGCCAATTATCAACATGCGTCTCAAGTGGCAAGCTTGAAGATCTTGCTGAGCGGATGAAGATAGCATCTTTGCTGTCCACGTTGGATCGAATAGAAGAATTTTTCTCTCAGAGTGGACAAAGCAAGAATGATGATCGCGCACCACACGAGTCAAAGCAAAGGATGGCACCTAAGCCTCTTCATTATGATGCATATGCATCGCCTCCAGAATCGGAAGGAGCGACAACCCTTTCACACTCTCAAACCTCGGTTCGAAAGGCAAATCAACCTTATACTGCTTTACCTACCCCATCACAAATGCGTAAGCAAGTTTTAGCAGATCAAGGAAAATACGCAATGATGGAGCAAACGATTCATCAAAGTATAGCACAACTAACCTTGGGAGAAGATGTGGATGAAGAAAGACATGTTCCTAGCACAGCAACTGAAGATGATGCAAAAGGCGATGTAGTCCAAAACGAGAACACAACGACAGCACCGCGTGAAGGTCTGCTCTTCTAGCAAATTTGTAGCTGAAGGTGCAACACTTTCGTCAAGATCTTTGTGTACATACACTGCTACCTCAATCATTGCTATATACCCATGTGTTAATCTTTTTTAGGCTTCTTCTCTATCAACTTCTAAGGAATATCTTTTAGCATAATGCATAATGAGAGACAAAGTCAAGAAGATGATTCTTACCTTTGCATTCTTTGTGTTGTACGGTAGCCTGGCTTTTGCTGCTCCCGCAAGTAAGGAAAGAGGATCAGGGTCAGGGAAAAGCATTCAAGAAGCAGGGGCAGAAGCAACGAGAAAGTCTCTAGAACATGCTCGAACTGCAGGCTACACAATTGGCCTTTCACAGATTGCCGGAAATGAAAATGATAAGTATGCCCTTAGACAAGCAGCAGAAACGCATGCAAGACATATGTCACATCAACTTCAAGTTGCAAAGGATGAAAAAACAGCTCGCAAAAAGGACAATGACGGTAAACCTAAATAAAATCTTTTGCTATCGAATCGACATGTGTATTGCGGCAATCGTGACTTATAACGGATATTGAATCATCGTTGTAATTTCATTTTTCAATAAATCCTGGATCTTGTTTTAATGAAGTTCTCTCTTCTTTGTAAACCACAATTCTCTTCGCGACCGAAAAAGTGACGGGATCCCCTTGAAGATATCATTGTTGTCATTACCAAAATAAAACACAAGTGCTTATTCGGTGTATCCTTGCGTGATACGACACTGCATTCGAATAGGTGCACTGCCTTTGCGTACATTGTTTCGTAAATCGTGGTCAAGAGGACGAATTCATATGTGTAAGAACATGAAAAAGTATCGGAAAATGCTTAACTTTACTCCTCTTTGACGTCTTTCTTTTAGGATGTGCGTACTCTTCAAGATGCTGTTTATTAGCTACGCCTTCTTTGCCTTGTATATCGGCTTAGTTCCTGCGGCATGTGCAAGTAAAGAGGCAGGTTCGGGATCGAAAAGTCATTCAGAAAAAGCGGCAGAAGCCGAAAGTTTATCTGATCAACACCGCAAGACCGCAGAACATACTTTTTATTGGGCGCAAGGTGAACAAAATGCAAATGACAGATATGCATATCAACAAGCGAGAAAAAGTCAATATATACATCGTGATCACCAAAAAAAGACTAAAGCTGCTCATGAAGAAGCTCATAAAGAGCAAAACATCAGCAAACAGTAGAAGTAGAATAGCTACAGCTGGCTCAAATTCTTATCAAAACAGCCGTTATGACAGCTCTGTCTGTAGCTCTAACGACTTCAGCTGGTCTGACTTCTTTTTGACCTTCATCATTCCGTAACCATTACATCGTATTTCAATAGATATTCTTCAGTTCACTTCCCGTCACCGTGAATCTACTTTGGCTTGCTCTGTAGACCATGCACTTCGTAAATCATGACGAACACGATAGATATCACGAGCATCTTGTAAGATTCGCAGATCGAGCGCCGCCAACAATAGCGTTTCATCACCACTTTCCACACGTCCAACACAACCTGCAAAAGGTGCACAAACGCACGTTCGTCCAACGCCGATCGCATCATCTTCTGAAAGCGAATTCGGGTCTTTATCGGGAGGACAAGGTGGTCCGGCAATATTTGTCATCGCCAACACACATTCGTTTTCGATTGCTCTTGTCAAGCATCTGCAAGGGGGATATCGAGATTGGGTTAAATATTTATCTAATCTTTGCCTCTCTAAGCACTCACATCGAATCAAGCAAGGCTGCTTCACTTTCAGGATTCCATCGTAGCCCTTTTTTGCCTGCATCGGTAGCATACCAACATGTAGGTGCAAACACCACATCGGGTCCTATCAAAGGCGCTTTGGACGAATGAGAAGAAGGCGGTAAATCAAACATTTCTCTAAAGGTTTCTGGGAAGGCAAGATCCCACTGCAGATAATAGAAGATTAGTGAGACGAACGAGAGAGCAGAAAGGATTTCAAACAAAACACTCACGCAAACTGCTATGCCAGCACTTAATTTCTTTCCGTTGCGAGTAGTGATTTCAAACGTCCTTGGTGCCTCGTGCCGCAATTCATGACCAGGAGATAGAACGGATCGCTCCGGATGCCAAAGTCTCTGGTAAAAGACGAATGAGAATAGCCCTGATTAGTCATGTTCAGACTTCCCCTCTAATACCCACTTACCCTCTTTGTATATCGACCGGCTATTTCTCCAGATCTGGTAATATAGTATACCGTATTGAACAACTTCTGATCATGTTCTTTGTCTGTCTCATTCTCGTCATCATCGTCATTTGGCTCTTCATTTCGATGTGGGATATGATGACTTCCCAATTCTACCACTGTTCCTGCCACGATATCGATATCATTCTTCTTTGCAATATCTCCGATCAAGCTTAAAAAGTGTTCAGGATCATCGTCAGGATCGATAGGTGATTGTGGGCTGTTGCCTGCATAAGTATCCCGTACTGCATGCCATGAATCATGTGTTGCTCCTGTTAAAAAGTATTCTGGAAATACGATTACATCCGCTTCATGTTTAGCAGCTTCTTTTGCATATTGTTCCAATTTATCCAATCCACCCTCTCCTTTAACTCCATTCTCGGATGGTAATACTTGAGCGCATGCTATACGATATTCGTACTGTTTGTCAGCTTGAATGCCTGACACAGGAGGTAAGTTAAAATTGCCCTGAACTTTGATTGCCATTGCTATGGTAGAGGAGAAACAAGATTCGGCAAAGTGGAACGGGAAATTAAGGCCGTGCGCCCGTTGGAATGAATCAGGAGACTAAAAATTAATTTAAGCTTTGGAATGCATTTATACAATTATAGTGGAGGAGAATACGTTGATGCATTCATCATGTCATCATCACCATCTCTCATTCAGGTGAATGATGCAAAAGCTTATCACATTACTGGCTATCCTTCTTCCCATCATACTGGTTGAAACTCAAGCCATACTCGACATTATGGGAACTATTACTGGCACATACGATGTTATCATCGTAGCATTCCATCTTCCACGTCAACAAATTTTGCAACTCTTGCCTGAATCCGTAAAGCAAAAGGAACAAGAAAAGACATTTTCAGATATACCCACATCAGTAACACAAGCAGTTCTCAAAGCAGATGCAGCAAACAAATTCGATTCTAAACAAGACCATCTTGTCGTACTTCAACTGGGATACCAAATGTCTACCGGACCAGGACCGGATTGGTTGCCTAAATTAAGCTTTAGTGAATGCAAATTAGAGGTACCATTCTTACAACATCCGAGTGGGAAGTCAAAAAAGCCTTTGACGTACAAACAAACAATCTTATTCTCTAATTTGCTAATCAAGATCGGCAGTACGATGAGCGGTATCACATCCAAACTCGCAGAATTTGAGCCCGGTGCTTCCCCTTCCATCTTCGCACCTGAGGCTGACATTATTCAATACGATGCAGAAGACTATCTTGCCAGCAAGTCTACCAGACAAAGCGATATTGACAAGACGAGCCCTTCATGGGAATTCTTCAAGAATCACAGTCAGGATTGGTGGTTCGCCGTAGGAACAGAAGACAAGGTTCAAAGCTTTGATTTTGAGCTGGATAATCCGTTGATAGGGCCAGAAGCTTATAAAGTGGAAGTAGCCCTCAATCTAGCAGCATTCGCTCCGGAGTCGTCTTCAGATACAAATTCACTCTCAGAGATCAAATTTGAAGGACTTGGCTGGAGATCCCGGGCTAAATTCGTCTCAAAAGCTAGTGATATCAATCAGCTCGAATAGCGTACACTAAGGGGCAATGATGACATTGTATAAATGAATACATATATACCAGATTAGCGAGTCAGAAAAGAAGAAGAGGATGATCGATTCGATTGTGTCTATGAATCGTGGTGGAAATGCACGAATTGTTCGTTTATGGGAGGCTTAATGACCCAAACCGCCAACTGCGTTGGTGACCTGGCTGACAACAGAGCTTACCGTGTTAGAACCAGAAGCAGAGTTTTGGACTTGACTGACAACAGAGCTTACTGGGCTCGAGCCTGAAGCTGCACTTTGGACTTGACTGACAACAGAGCTTACTGGGCTCGAGCCTGAAGCAGCATTTTGGACCTGGCTAACAACAGAGCTCACCGGGTTGGAGCCAGATGCAGCATTTTGGACTTGACTAACCACAGAGCTTACTGGATTGTTACCAGAAACAGCGCTTTGGACTGCGTTGACAGCAGAGCTTACTGGAGATCCGTTCGCAGCACTTTGAACTTGACTGACGATAGAGCTGACTGGATTAGAACCGGATGCAGCACTTTGTACTGCACTGGCTACAGAATTTGCAGCGCTTTGAACTTGACTGACAACAGAATTAATGGGATTTGAACCAGAAGCAGCACTTTGGACTGCACTTGTAACAGAGCTGACAACGCTTTGAACTTGGCTAACAACAGAGTTTACCGGGTTTGAACCTCCTCCGTTTGTACCTGTGGGAGTTGCTTGAGTGCCTGTAGCCGTATTAGTCACGGTTTGTGTGGCACCACTTTGTGTCACGGTAGCAGTTGAACCACCTTGTGTTTCATTAGGTGTTCCAGTAGCCGTGTTTGTGACTATTGGATGAGGATGTGGGTGGGGATGATGATGTGTTGATTTTCTTGAACGACATTTTTTGTTATGACATCTGCCACTATAACAATTTGCATTTTTATAGCATCCATGACCGTTATGTCTCTTTGGACGACAATGAGCGCGAGCGCAATTTTTACTGCGGCATTGTTTACTCTTTGAACATCTTTTACCGTCTCTTAAGTTTGTCCAACGTTTTTCAAATTGTATGCCTTCTTCTTGTAGACCAGATGAACGTTCCATCAAGTCACCTTCAAAGCTTGTTGGAGTGGCAGTAATCGAGGAAGCCAAAGCGGCAACCATCACGGTCGCAATGAGGAGAGGAGCATTGAAACGCATTGTTGCAGTATCTTAGTGGTGAAATGAGAGGCGAGGCTGTGAAAAGTGATGAGAGGAGGAGAAGTGATGTATTTGATGGGAAGAGTGGCATTACAATCTTCTCAAAACATGTCACTTTTATACCTTTCAAAGCTCCAACTGGTATTGGATATAAGCCCTGCTCTTATGACCAGAAGAACTCTTTTCTTGTTTATTGCAAGTGTGGTAAGCCATGGATAGTCAAGCCATAAAAGTCTCATAACGTACGATTTGTCCCTCTCTACTACTGATTTCAATACCATAAACCGAACGATTTTTCAGAGGCTAAGACAAGTAGGTCTGCAATGGGAGGTGATAGCTGAGCCGAGTTACCATTTCGTTGTTAGGGAAATGAAGTCTTCATTGTTTGTGATCTAATTTGATCAAAGACTGTCTCGGCACTTTCAAGTGTATGATACGATTTTGTTATGATTTGGAAAACGGAGAATTAAATTTGAATCAGGTACCACCCACAATAGTGTATGACCCCACGCTATGATGATGCGCGTGTGTGTGTGGGTGTGGGGATAAGCGCGTCTTGCTGCCCAATTGCACCCTTTACAATGTGAGATCTTCCACAAGCCACCAATTTCCACTTTCGGATGAATGATTAGGGTCAATGTATTTCTCTACCGTAGGCTCAGACAAACAAGGGTTTAGGAATCGGGATACTTTCTACATTGAGTAAAATAAATGCCTAGATTTTCGTAATTCTCCGAATACAAAGATTGTACCTTTTTTGTAATTTAAAACTCAATTCGTTCGCAATCATATGCAAAAATTCAATGAGTGTCAATAATTAAACAAACAAAAAACGTTAACAAATATATACACTAGATGGGGACTGAAAGAAATCTAGACCAAAACATGCTTACTCTTGTCGGAGAATTAATCAAGAAGAAATCATTCACGGCGGGACAATTCCCTGTTCTTGTTTGCATGTCTTTACTATCTCGCCTCCGAGTCGGTCACCGTTCCCCACAATCGGCCACACAAACACACACACGCACATTTGCTGACATGATAGACTGGGCTGAATAAAGTGAATAGAACATACTTGCAGACCGGGATAAAAGCAGATTATGAGACCCACCCCTGCACTAAAAAGGGAATATTCTACAAAGAATTTGCAACCCATTCACATAGGACCTTTAAAGCTTTTTTTCTCTCTTTTGCAAAAACGAAAGACGGGGCAACGAATGGATCATGTGATCCTTCCATCAAATGTAAAGAAATTTCTTCTTTTGTTGTGGCTTTACCTTCCGCTTCTTTACTCAAAAGTACTCGCCTATACATTTCCGTACTTTGATCAAATAAAATGTCTCCATAACATCCAATCACAAACGTTTTTGGCCAATCTTGAAAAATTGTACTTTCTTCGCTTTCCTTGATGAGCTTGCCGTTCTTGGTTACCTTTCCTAAGACGGAGCAAGGACTAAAATAAACGTCCAAAAGGGTTTTATTCGGTTGTTTGAAATGCATCGCAAATGTGTCTCGACACATGTGATAAAAATTGTCGCTCAAAACATCATAAGGTTTGTTGCGTTGAAAGGATGAGTGCCTGTAGATAGCATAAGTTAGTATTTTCAATCTTTCGTCCAGCTCTTCCTACAGTCAATACTCACGGATGCTCTACAATCGTTCCAGCTTGCTCCGTCCAAGGCTGTGGGGTTAAGAAGGATAATTTGTGTCAGTTGACAATTCAAACTCCGTCAATGCATACTCACGCATATAAAGATGGCAGCTTTTGGTGTGGGTATATCTGCATCTTGTCCGTATCTGATCAAAGAATTGACAAGATGTCCACCTGCTGAATCTCCCATAATGACAATATTATTCGGATCAAATCGTAAATCTTCCAACAAATGTTTATACAACGCCAAACAATCCATCAATGCACATGGTGTTGGAGCTTCTCCGGATTTACGATATTCTACCGTTACTGCCGATTTTGGTAAACGTTTTGAGTTACTGGTTTTGAATTCTTTCATCACATGCTGCATCAGATGAGCCAAAGGTACAGCAGGATGACAGCTTGAGATCATATATCCACCTCTGCGTAAAGTACAATGAAGTAAGCCGATTTGCAATTCTTTCATGGAACACGGTCAATACTCACCCTGTCAAATAGACCAGCAAAGTTTCATCTTTCTTCGCTTTTGATTGCTTCAATGCATTACCTCTGTCTCCCATCCACCAAATCGGTACTGTACCTTGCAAATCCTGCGCATCTGTTTCTACTGCCCAACTTCGCATAGGTTCAACCAATTCTTCCAGTGAAAATGGTTGAATTTCATCCGGCATTGCACCAAACCAAGCTCTTCTTCGCTTTCTTTGTTGTTCAGTTAGGTTTGCATGAAAGATTCCACGTAAACCGCCTTTTGTCGTACACCACCAATACCATACTGTATGTCGGACAAGATACACTGTTACGAAATTGAGTAGAGACCAATTTGGAGCTGTGGGAACAAACAGACGCAAATATACCCATCGAAGATTTGCATAAATTGGAACGATGATCAGCAAGAATGGAATGTAGAGTATCAAATAGAGTGCCGTTAATGGTTGCTTGCTAAATGGCTTTGCATCATGAGCGATTGATGGACGTGGATAATGTTGATCCAATTTGAACGTATTGCTATCAAATAAAGCTGTTTTGATTTTTCCGCTCATATTGTCAAAAGGGTTGCGTGTGTTGGATGATGGTCGGAGTGATACCTCTTACGGTCACTGGACACTCAACAAATACCGCTTCCGATCATGATCCGGAGGTTCGAGCGAAAGAAACAGCATGTATTCTTAGAGTGGAGAAGATTTTAGCGCAATCTCTACCCCGCTTTAAACAAGGCGCCGAAGAAATAGAAGCTTCAAAAAGCCGTGATTGCCGAAATTAAATCTGGTACAACAACACAACGGGAAAACACACACACAATGAAGAATAGTGCAAAGGTATTCACAGATAAAGAGATAATACATACATACAATGTCCTTCCTTCTTCTACAACGATCGATGAATTAATTTTTCACCTTGTTTTGCCAAGAATAATGCTTGTTCTTTTCTACTCTTTTTCAAATCTAAAAAGAAGATTAACATAAACGCAGAAGCGATTGTGAGTGAAAATAAAAAGTAGAATGGCGTTGAAGAATTGTTTGGCGTTCGATGAATGATTGCACTGCTTACGATTGGACCGATAAATGCTGAAACTTTACCAAAACATCCAAACAAACTGAAGAATAAGAATTCCCTTCCTCGTGGTGTGACTTCACTGATCATAGTCTGTGAATAAGCGTACCAAGGACAAACGAACAACCCATAATATGCTTGATAAGCCCAAATTTCCCACAAATGATGGAAACCGAACTTTTGCGTGAAAATACCAACGAAACCCCAACCATCGAGTAAGATGATGCCCACCATAACGGCAGTGAACATCGTCTTTGTCGAAAGTTGAAAGTGCTTTTGAATGGCCCAATAACCATAAATACCGGCCAATTGAGCTGCGATACCGACCAATAAGACGTATGTCAAAGTGAGCGTATTGTACGCCACAATCGTGTTTTGCAATGTTCCAATGACAGTCACCGTCGTGTTTAGACTGTCAGAAAGAAGGAAGTAGCCAAAGAGATACAGCAAAGATTGCTTCAATTGAACAATCTCTCTGCCTGCAGTCCAAAGTTGCAATAATCCTGCAGTGAAAACGTTTGTGTTTGGCGGTAAAGGTTGACCAGGTCTACGCTTTTCGAAAATGAACCAAGGAATAGCAACCAACACCCAAATACCACCTGCAAAAGCGATCAAGATACTCAAACCACGATTGTTTTGCTCTTGACCATCATTGACATGAACACCAAACATAATTCCAACAATGACGGCTAAAATCAAAATCTCAACTGCACTTTGCACAGTGAAGGAGATATTACTGATTCGATTTCTTTGCATCATATCTTCATGATCATACGTTTCCCGATCAATCTCACCCGAAGCGTATTTTGATGCCGTTTCACGCATCTCGGGCGTATTTCTTGCCAAACCAGGAAAAGCTGCGGTCCAAAAGCTTAAACACATTTGATAAATGATCAAACCAACGATGTACAAACCCGTTGCTGCTTCCCATTTTGATGCTTCATGAACGCCTAACCATGCCAAAGAGATACCAAAAGCGGCAACTGTCCAAAACATCAAAATGAACGGTCTCCAATTACCGAAATCTGCCAAACTTCCGATTGCCAAGAATAAGACGACATTGATAGCGCAAGAGATACCATTACACAACAAAACGATTTCTTCAATCGAACGCATTTGACCGGCAAACAATAACATTTCATCTTCACCTGCGGCAATGTATAACAAATTTTGAAAAGCAGTCGGAGCAAAGTTGAACAAGCCCAAGCCATTATTTGCAACACCGTAAGAATAATAAGCCCAAATCTCTTTTCGTTTTGCTTCATAACGTGGATTGAATTGATCAGGCGCGAATACCGGTGGTTCTGCATTTGTGATCACATCATCGGTTACACTTTTATCATCTTTTATGCTTGTTCCCATTGCTTCTTCATCTTCATGTTGAAGCGGAAGCCTTTGTACTTGATCAGGACCAGCCCGGACTACACCTGTTTCGCCTTCACCTTGAGTTGTAGTAATGGCCATATTGGATAATTATGATGAAACAACACAAAGTTAAGATTTGTGCCGTTTGTGGTGGTACAAAAGGAAAACTTAAACATTCACACAGATTAGGTCACAAGGATTTCTCAGGATTTCTCATTCGGACTTCATTCGCCCCCCGACAGCAGCCCAGCCAAGCAGTGTCAAAGATGGCGGTTAATGAGAAGTTTTGCATTGATGTATGCGTTATGTCTAGTTACCCCAAGGGAAAAAGGGGCGTAAAAGCAGTGTAGAAGAAGTTCTTGCATGAAAATCTGCTGCCTGCAATTAAACGGGATGGCGCCACTAGTGAGACTTTTGGCAAAAGAGCAGTATTCTTTTCACTTGAGCTTTATTTTTTTTTTGTTTGCCGGCAAGAATGAGAAATTTGATTTGAATTAGACAGTTATCTCGCCGTATTATTTGAAATACATACAATAGATTTTGCATGAGATTGTTCCTATCTTTTGTGGCATTTATTCACTTCGACGACGAATGGATCCCAATCGCTCTTCGCGGGTAAAGGGTGACAATGATGTATAATTAGTCAGCATGCATTCACTCTCCGCTGGTTTCACTCTTTGAATTGATAAAAGTACAAATGAAACTATGATACATACAAACAGTCTGCCATCAATTTCTTAACCAAGCATGTTTCGATGCTTTCTTCTCTTTTGCCCGCTCTTTGAAGAACTTCAATTCTTTCTTTGATGGTCTTTGTCTTTTTATTCTTCCTTGTTCGTCTGTTTCAAGTTGGGCTTTCTCATGCTCTCTCTTTCGTTGATCTTCATATTGTTCAACATCAAAAAATGCGCCCATTTGTCGATCAGCTTGATTGGCATGTGACAATCTACTTGGATCATATGTTGCACCTTGTTTGAGAGCGGATTGTGAAACAAACTTTCCTGTTCGATTATCAAAGGCTCCTTGAGATCGATAAGAAGTTGAAGTAGGATTCCCATTACCCATTCTTGCTTGATGGATTTCGTTCGCATACATGACTGGATCCAAGTAAGCCAAATCTGGATCGATTCCAACCATTTGAGCAACTTCTTCGTCTGTCATTGATGTCATGGAAATAGCCACGCTTTCATTGGCAGGTACACTGTCGGCTTGTGTGGCAGATTCTTCGTTCTTTCCCTCTTTCACCAATGGGTTCTCCCATGTTGTCTCTTGTGTGACCTGATTCCAAAAGTACCATGCTTGTCTTGTAGCATCCCATACCGCCTGCCAGTCGTGCTGTTTCGCTGTCTCTTCTCCTCCATCCTTCTCATTGTCTACTTCATTGTCCTTGTTCGGATTATCATCCTTCTGCTCTCCAGCTTCGTCATCGACCTCTTCTCTTTCATCTTGGACTTCCTTCGATTTGCCTTTTTCCTTCCCTTTCTCGTTCACTACCTCATCGCCATCTGTCTTTGTCTTTTCGTCTCCTTTATCGTTCTCTCCCTGATCGACTTTCTCTTCATCATTCTTTGCTATCCGATCATCGTCATCGGCCATTTTTTCATGAGATGGTCTTCAAAAAGGTAGATTAGTCTATATAAATCGGCGCGTTTATTTTCCATTTTTTATTTCGCCACCTATTAATGCCCCGAAAGCAAGACTTTTATCGAGAAGACAAACAGACAATGCTCAACAATCAAATTCCTAGTGTGAAGGTTATATACAGTATAATACAAGTTGCAAAAATAAGAAATAGCACCATTCAAAACATTTGCATAGAAGGTTGAGTGGGCATATCATAAGTAGGAGTATGACTGACATTGTAAGGCGGTTGTGCAACTTGAGGAGAAATCAGCGGCATACTTTGTTGATCGAGATGAGAAGGAAGTGAATTCGAATTGATCGGCATCGGAGGCAAGGTCTGTAAATCTTGTTGCCAACTAACTTGAGCAGACGAAGGTGCAATATTATCCAAAAATTGATTTAACCATGCTTCGTTAAATGGATCTGCACTTAAAGGTGCTGCCATTGATGATAACATCTTTTCAGCTGACCACATTTGTTCTTGAACATGTCTTTCAGGATTGAACTTGTCACCTTCCGTACGAGAAGTATCACTGGATATCGATCTCGGATTAGGTGATGATGCAGATGCAATGCTTGAATTTCTACCATCCCTGCTGGCTGAATTGGCGGTAGTACCATTTGTACTTGCCAGTAAACTCGAGGCCTCCTTCGTACGTTGACGGCCTCGATGCGAGATGGATTGAGATCGCTTTCTAGACAGGCTGCCTGCACTTCCAGCCAAATCATTAATCATCGATAAAAGACTGCGTCCATAAAAGCTGGAAAGGTTGTTCTTAAAATCCAAATCATTCGCATCTCCTGCCAACGTCAAAGCAACATTCAATGCCAGGAATCGTCCTTTTTCCGGCTCCATTTGAACAAGTGCCATTGCTGCCCATACCACCATCGATACAATATTGCGACACAGATAATGCGCTTTTCCTCGGAAGCTTTCGAGAAAATGCGTGCATAATTCTGAAGCCATTCGATAGCAATCCTCTCGACAATATTCGCTCATATCACGATAATAACTTCTCTTCCTTCTCCTACCACCTTCTGCCAATTTTAGAGCGGTAATATTGAGCAATAATTGAATGTGCATGGAAATCGTCTTGAGAAAGTTTCTTAAGAAATCATGTCCGATCAATTTGGGATGCTTTACCCATCTCTTTTGCCAGCAATCAAACAAGGCATTGAAACCTGCCCGTACACTTTCTAGCGTCATCATTCGGTCAGAATCGATTCGTTCAAAATCTGAACGTGCTTGATACTCGATCCGACGAGAGAAGAGATAAGCTACCAGTTGTACATCACCCGGTAATGCCATTTTGCTATCACTCCATGCTTCCAATTTGTCCCACTTCACATCCAATTTTGTCAAAGACCATTGACCCGTCGAGGTACCCAAACTCCTCTGCATTACAGCAGCGCAAATCCAAGCTCGTTCTTGATTCCTGTCCACAAAATGATCTGTATCAAAGATCGATACTCTGGACGATCGAAGGCGTGCGCCCAATCCTAGTTCTGCTGCTGCTCTGTTTGCCGCATCCACCAAAAGCCAGCATCGATCATTGGCAGCCGAGTCGGATTTCTGCACAAAAAGATAAGCCAAGATAAATACTTTGACAATATCGGCGCTTTTGGCATTGGCTAGAAGCAAACGTGTGACTACTTCTTCCATGTTTTTAATCAATGCTTCTCTTCGTTTTCTCGATCGGTCATTTTGATCGACTGCAGCTGCACACGCTATTTTTGTGATGAATAGTGCTCGTGATCTGGCTCGAACAACTTGCCATGTTTCAACATTTGGATCGCTCATGCCGTGTTGGGTATGAATAAAACGATAATAGAGATCGAACAACCGTTCACAATCATCCTCGTTGATCAGACCGGTGTGCAATGCATCAAGACTATGCAAGTTGTCTGCCTCTGGCATGATTGTTTGTTCGAAGAAATGTCGTCTTTCTGCACTGGCTTCTGCTATCCTGTCTTTTGTCCAGCCTTGTCTCTGCTGCATAATTTGCATGTCCAATACAGCTTTATCATGTCTCTGTTTTGCGCCTGATTCGATCTGTGGATGTACTGGAAGTCCCATTCCCGTCGGATTGGCATCGTGTGAAGGATGCTCTTCATTCTTATCGGGTGATATTAGTGCCACTTCACGAAGCGAGATCATCGGTGCGGGTGCAGTTGCCTCTGAAATAGGGGGTGGCGATCCAGAATGATCTCTACTAATAATAGCACTATCAATTCCAGTCGATTCGTCGGGTGATAGGGATCTGGATGAACGACGTCTAGACCAAGAAGTTGCATGTTTCAGTCTTTGCTGGGCAACACTATGTGATGTAGGATAAGGCTTATCGAATTGATCCTCATCTCCTTCCCATGGACGTTTGCGGGTTGATGGCGATGCATGATGTGATGGCCCTGATCCTGAATTTTGGCTTGGGGAAGGATACTGTCTGGGATTCATGAGTGCTATTGCATCATTGTAGGCTGCAAGGCGTCCGGGAGAAGGGACTGAGAATGATGGTTGGGAAGTGCTTGCAGTTTGTGATTCGTCGGCTGCATTCATAGCGACGGGTAATTGATGAGTCCATGTACATTTACGACCTCTCTTTTTGCATCGAGAGCAAGTCGAATCAGCTTTTTGCATACCATCGCATTTCAGCTTAGACTTTCGGCATCTGAGAAGAAAGGAATATGGTACTGTTAGGTATGTCTGAATGATCATATTTCTCGCTTGTACTTACTCTAAGCATGCCTGTATGTTGCGCGATGGCTTACCACCTTGTTGTTCCATATTGACAATTGCTTACAATATGGTTATCATTTGAGCTACTGGAGGAGGATGTGTATCACCTTGAAGGAAAGATAGTCTAGCTGCTGATGATTATAAGAAAGGATGGAAGAAAAGTGTAAAAGAAGAATAAAGGTTACTACCCCAGCTATAAAAGTGAAAGCGTGGCGTCTATTGGGCATTTAATCACTATTCCCGCCGAAAGAAAGCCGATCGTTAGTGAGTTTTACTGGAAATTAAATTCCCCACGCTTGAATATGATTTACTCGTATGTTATCTTGGCAACCTTTGGGATGGATAAAACGGATGAGATTACGAGATCAGTCCTGATTTTATCTTAGTCTCTTGCATTATCACTATATCAAGAGAAAACATTTGATGTATAACACCTTCTGGTACGATACACTTCTTACTTATTGTGATGATCTTTCACGTGCCCACTATCCTCTTTATTCTAGGCCATTCATAAAGTGAATTATCTGGCATCTGTCAACGGAAGTCAACGCTTCAGAGAAAGGCAACTGAAAAGACAAATACATGAATGAATCTCACTTTTGGTATGACAAGCATACTAGAATGAAGGTTGTCACGAGTCCTTTGAAGACAAGAATGAAAATACAAATCGTTTAAAAACGCTCTCTTCTCAGAATAAGCCATCAGAAGCTAGATAGCCAAGAAAAGTTGATCAAGTTATCCGTCACTATATTGATAGTACAAGCAAGTCTGATATTACCTGACAACGAGGATCATTGATCTTTATAAGTCATTGCATTGCTTTCAAGATTTCTCTATCATAATAGCCGGAATAGTCCGATATTATCTCTTTCTTGTCATACCTCCGCTAGCTGTTCATGACGAGAATAATGTGCTATCCAAAAGATTACGATGACTAGGTGAGCAAAGATGATTGTAGTCACGATAAAATTGTTAGTTCGGCTGAGCCGAATTTCGGATAAGAAGTGCATTTTACCTGCATGGCTTTAAGAAAGAGTTCTTTCATCTTGCATACGCGCGCATAATAAGAGCGTGTGCAGTCAACGGACATTTTTGACATCACTCCCGGCTTTAACCATGACTCCCATGCAGCATCAGCATATTCCCGGCATAAAATATACTCATTACCGGCAATATTATTGCCTACGGGCGGACCTGCATCATGCAAATCTTTTATGTTTCAAGCTTTTTTCTCCCTTAGCACGATAAACGCTTATCCCATCCCATCATCTCTTCTCTGTCAAATCGGAGTTTAATCTTGCTTGTAATTCTCCGAATGATGAATGCAGGGTGAACATTAAGCGATTGCAAGTTTTAAAATTCTTATCGCTCTTTTTTTTCGGATACAAGCATTATACATACGCCAACACACAGCCATTCCGTCAAAGGATGAGGAGTCAATAGAACTCATATCAAAATTTGAATCGGTCAGTCCGAGTTTCCTTTTCTTTGTGCGTCAAGTATATAAAGAAGCAATTTGTTCTTCACTAACAGTCGGAAAGGGACAAATCTTCTCATATACGTCTCACATCGTGACCACTTCAAAGGCTACGACATGTCAAGCAACGTAACGTTGGCTTCCAATCACAGTCGTGAAGACTTGGAAAAAGTCAAGATGGCCGAACAATCTTCAGCGGCTCAAAGTAGCCATGGCGAAGAAGAGCTTGATAGGGATCACATTCAAGATCCAAATTTGATCACAGAAGAAGATGAAGGTAATTCTGAGCCAGCGAATATCGAAGGAGAAAAGGTTGCCAAATCCGGTAAGCGAACAAGCAATTGGGAAGCATCAGGTGTTGTACTAGGTACATTCCTGGCAAACTTTATTTCTGTAGGAACGGCAAATACGTTAGGTGTCATTTTACACGGAGAAGAATACGATCCATCTTCACCTTTCTTGGATGTAAGTTTATTCAAAATGGGTTTCGTTGCTGGGACAGCAGTAGGTTTCAGCTTTTGTATCGGACCATTTTCAAATTTCTTGATTACTCGTTTTGGCGTTCGTGCACCTGTTGCACTGGGTGTTTTCTTGATGGTTTTCGCGCTTGAAATGGCAAGTTTGTCACATCAATTTTGGCAATTGTTACTCAGTCAAGGTATTTTATGGGGTATTGGATCAAGCATGTGTTTTGTTCCCGCAATCGGATTACCAAGTCAATGGTTCAGTAAAAGACGTGGAATTGCAACCGGAATCGCAAGTTCAGGCGCACCTGTTGGAGCAATGATTCTATCTCCCGTTTTCCAGACCGTGATTGATAAATTAGGCGTTCGGTGGGCATTGCGAATACTAGGATTCATCTTATTGGGTCTAGGAATAATTACCGTTCTTTTGGTTCATCCTAAAAGAAGGAAAGATGGTTCAATCTTGGTATCAAGGTATAAGGTCTTTGATACGGAAATCGTTCTCACACGCGGATATGCGATTTATATGGCTTTCGCTTTCCTTCAAACTTTTGGATATGCAACTCCAATTTTAACACTTCCCAATTATGCAAGCACGATCGGTCTAACAGCTAAACAAGGTGCAAATGTTATCGTTATTTTGAATGCTGGTAACTTTATCGGTCGAGTCAGTGCAGGTCAATTAGGCGATCGATTAGGAGCACTGAATATATTATCGGTGTACACATTCTTTGCTGGGTTCGTATGTGTCGTTGGATGGTACTTCACCCGAACATTTGCCGGATTATCTGCATTTGCCTTCTTTTGGGGATTAGGAGCTGGTGGCTATTGGGCTTTAACGGTGCCATGTACAGCACGTATCGTTGGTCTGCCCAGATTAGGATCAGCGGTTTCGATCAACTTTTTGATGAACTTTATTCCACCAATTTTTGCAAGTTCTATAGGAACTGGATTTATCAATCATACATCCAAGATGCTTGGTGTGAGCACACATGATCCAATCGCATTTCGTTATTTGATTGTTTGGTCAGGATTGGTGTATATGGTGCCTGCATTAATGTTGGTTGTTGTTCGATTCATGATGGATCCAAAGCTGATCAAAAAGGTTTAATTTCTATGCTTTTCAATAGAGTATATTTTATTGTATATTATTTTAATGATTCATTGATGACTATTTCTGATCATGTCCGGCTTAAATTCATTCTTACACCCGCATAGCATAGCATGACAGGTAAGGGAACAATACTGTATGGTACTATTTGTTACCGATGTGGGGCACAGCAATTGCAAAATAGACTGATAAAGTGCACATGTGGGGTACGCGTTCCCGCAAGAAATTTCTTATTTTCCGCACCTAGAACAGACGACAAAGACCCGCAAAATTGAATGACCGTATGAAAAATGAAAATAGACTGATGTAGTACCCCATACACCCGCTTTCCCTCCATCTTAGAAGCGAGACAAATGCATACACAGATTGACATGACACTGCCTTCTTTAGTGTTATCCATCACCACCTCCTCACCATCCATCCATCCATCCGTGTCAACTTTACCGACAAAAGGCATAGTCGAGATTATTCCTGGATTATAGTTGTTTGCTTCAGTCATCTCGCAGTGAAATCTTGACCACTCGTTCTCGCTCAAAATGACACGGACAACATACCTTTTCGCCCTGACCCTACTACTCTTGATCAGCTTGGCACGATCAGAAGGAGAAAGACGAGCATTTGTAACGCCAAAATTGGTAGAATATCCAGCCAGTCAAACAAGTGTATCATCAACCGCATTCAACCCTAACATTCACAATCCAGGAGGTACGACAAATTCTGCCGGTACATTTGACGTTCAATCATTAGCACGTTCAAGTTCTTTTACCGGAGCAGGCGCAATTCCAGTGACAACGTCTTTCGTCGTTAGTGAAGCAAGTTTTGCACCTTCTGCTTCTGTTGTCACACCTGGTTATTTTACACAAACCAGTACTTATTCTCCTGCACAACAAAATGGAGCTCAAAGTTCTGCTACAAAATCATCCGTTTCCTTACTCAGCAGTAATGCAACCGTTCAGGCAGTCTCTTCCGATCGTAACGGCGCTTTTGCTTTGCATACACTCTCCCCTTCCGTTTCGAATTCATTGGCAACGTACTTGATCACATTCTCTGCAATCGTTTTTGCTGCCGTTTTTGCACTCTAAAAAGGATGTTCTCTTAAGGGACAATTATACCGAACGCACACCATTCCCAAAAAAATGGACACAGGTACTACCGTGTGCAATCTCAACTTTTCACTTTGCAAACTCTTCGCTTTCACTACATCACATCGATTCGCTTTCTTATGTTTCATTATATTTGATTTTTTGTTATGCTAATTCATATGTTCTTTACAGTCAATGGCTTTTAATAAGGGACTTGATCTCCTTTATAATCCCAAATCAAACCGGATTGTTCTTGTTTGAGTTGAGCGATAACTTGTGACAAATTGGCAGCTGCTTCATCCGCTTCAAATTCACCACGGGCCCAACGTTGTTCGTCTGTTTCTTGTTGGGCTGATCCAGGTTTCTTCTTTCCGCCTGGTCCACCGGTGAATGCTTCCGAAAGACCAGTTCGAACGGTTCCAGGATGCAATCCTACACACAAAGCGGGAGTCTTTTTCATTAAAAATTCGTGTGCTAACGATCTTGTGATTTGATTTTGTGCAGCTTTGGATGATCGATAACTGTACCAACCACCTTTTTCATTCTCGGCAATACTTCCGACACGAGCGCTCATATTGGCAACAACGCCAAGGTTATGAGGCAAAAGACCTTGTGAAAGATCATCATCACCGTTTGCTTTAAGTTTTTTGGCAAAGAGAGGAACGAAATGTTTAGAAGTTAAAAGAGGAGCAAAAGTGTTGATTTGAAATTGTTGCAACATTTCTTCATATTCCACTTGACCTACATTCTTTTCAACGTTCAACACACCTGCAACGTTGAACAAAAATCGTAAAGAATCATCGCCAAACTTTTTACGTACATCTTCACTTGCGCTACGAATGCTATCTTCCTTTTTGATATCGATATCAATCGTTGTTAATCTTGAGCTGTCAAGGTGACTTAATTCGGAAGCGTCCATTTGTTGAGCATGTGGTTTAGCAGCATCGCCATTTCCGCCCTTTTTTTGTTTATCAAACAAGACCTTCAAAGGGGAAGATGATGAAGTATCCAAGATGTTCTTTCTTGCTTGTTCTGCATTTCTTGAAAGTGCTACTAATTGTAAGTTTGTTTGAGAAAGGTAAATTCTGGCCAATTCCAGACCGATCCCTTTGGATGCTCCTACGATCACTGCTACGTTTCCAGGAGCCATGTTTGGTGATGTGTTTGTGAAGGATGAAATTGTTGTATGTTCTTTATGTTATATCAACCCTCCATTTTCTGTTCTTCATTAGTGTTAATAGACCCTAACCATGCCAACATCTTATTCAACAGCCTTGGAGTGCCTTAAGATAAGAAATTGCTTTGTCAGATTTGATGATCGTATGCAGCGCGTATGAACTTCAGAGTGGAGGCTTAACCGCATGTGTAGATCTGACGTTATATAATCATACACACAAGCAGACAGTAATGCAATACATGATCGAAAGGGTGAGAAGTTCTTCCTTTTAAAACAAAGTCATGACATGGGAGGAATGAATGGATGAATGAATGCTGGTTGACATCTTGGTGAAGGTAGTATTGCCGCGTACATGCATTTGTGTATCTGAGCGCGCTAATGGATAAGAAGAAGAAATTAAAGTTAAAGTGTTAGTGTTGTGCGTATGTCAAAGATGCAATCTGAACATCAAACCATTCTATGGCCAAAGAATGTCCAAGACTGTTGGATCAGGGATCATAACAGACTCAACACCATTTCGATTCGAAAGATTCACAGGAACAGGATTGGCAATCGTACGTAAACATGGCAGCAATAATGATAATGAGGCGGTAGCTGGATTCACACATCTAGCATTCACTTTCCCGCTCAAACTTATTTCACCTCGATCAGCTTCTAGGGATGCGATCACAAGAATTGCAAAGAGATTAACAGACAAGCAACAGGGACCAATCAAGCCTGTCGCTGCTTTGTATGTTGTGGGATATGGAGGTGGCTTGGTCAGTGGAGATGCAGTTTTGATAGATATGGATGTAGGGGAAGGATGTACGCTGCTCTTACTGACACAAGGCAGTACAAAGGTGTACAAGATGCGAGGCAAGCAGCTCGCCAATCATGCCGCACAAGCTTTTGATTCTTCTTTAAGCACCAGTCAGACATTTCGATCAATCATTCGTGCGAATGCTACAATGGTAGTCTTGCCAGATCCGGTAACATGTTATACGAGTGCAAGATATAAGCAAATTCAACGATTTGATTTACGGGATGCACAATCATCTTCTCTCATTCTGTTGGATTGGTTCACCCCTGGCAGAGTTCATCTGATGGAAAGAAACGGTCATCTTGCCAATAGCGAACGATGGGCATTTGATTCTTATTATAGCAGAAATGAAGTTCGTATAGCGGGAGAAGTTTTGGCTCGTGATGTTTTGGAACTTCAAAATGAGCAGGATGAGAATGGATACCAAACAGGCAACAGTATCGCACAGAAATGCGAGCCATACACTTGCTTTGCTATGCTTGTGCTTTATGGAAAAGACGTACATGCGATCGTTCAATCACTTAAAGATGAATTCCATTCCATACAACAACACAATCGCTCAAGAGCAACAAATGCACAACAGCAAGAAGTGCTTTGGAGTTGCAGTCCTATTACAAAAGCCGGCGAAGATGAACAGGCCTACACTGGCGGATTGATCGTTCGAGTTGCCGGTCTTACAACAGAAGCTGTCCGATACTGGCTTCGCATTCGTTTGGATCAGGCTAAAGATGTGATCGGAGATGATCTCTACAGACAGGCTCTAGGATAGTTGTGACTCGCTCTGTATACCCAAAGATATAGTTGCGGCAATTGTATTATACTTTCAATTTGATGTAAATGCTTCTTTTGTACATTGAATGGTGTAGGTGATACACTTCTCTTCTAGCTGGCGCCTTCCCCTCTCATTGTCGCTGTTGTCGCATTTGAATGCGTGGATCACCACGATCGGCTCGTTTCTGTAGCTTTGCCTGTCGTTTACTCTGCGCTGGTTGTTGATCGGCTGGTGTTTGATTGGCTTGTGCGGATTGAGGTTGTCCTGCAGATCCTGTGACCATTGAGATAACACTGCGAATCGGATCCCTTCCTCCAAGGACAAACGGAACAATGAGCTTGTTGTAGCCGAAATAAGCAGCATACAGTGGAATGACGAGGTAAGTGTACCAGAATTTGGCGGAGATCAAAGCGGTGGTAACGTGTGTGAACCAGGTAACGTAAATGATATCAAACATGTATGCTGTCAGACCATGTTGTCCCAAATCATCACCTTGACTTGCCATACTTCGAAGTGTTAATCCCAAAGCACCAGCAATGAGCTCAGTGATTGCATACTTTATTATTGGCCAAAACAAAGATTTTGCTTTATTACGAAAAGGACCAAAGATGAAAAAGAGATGAAGTGTATTTGTGATCAAGAATCCATACGTAAGAATACGTACCATCATGGCATTTTGTGCCGCTTGTTTCTTTGATGCAGCTCTTGCCATCTTGTTTTTTACTTGATTGTAGTGATGGTGGTGTGTTTAATGTTTAAATTGCCGATCAGATCTTCTCGCACAATCGCTACAGTTTACTCCCCCCGCTCCTTCTTCCCTACGTGTGTGTGTGTGTGCGTGCGGAAAGGTTCACACGCTTTGGGCTCTTTCTCTTTTGCAATAATTGCCTCGGGACTAGTGCGTGCTTGCCTGCTTTCTGGCGGGCGTACCAATAAGCCAATCCATCTTAATCCAATGCGTCCGGCGGCGGAACAAAAATGCACGCAGCGCAGCGCACGGCAAGTCATTCGCTTTGATGCAGTAAAATGAAAAGTTAAAAAACCCTATAAATTGTGTGCAACTCCTGCATAAGTCGGATTGTATAGGCCGTGTGTTACTTTATTCATTTTGACATGAAAAACATACTTCTCATCACCATCATCACATATAAAGGCTAAAGCAATGACTTTCAGGTCTGTTGCTGTGCTACTTGCCTCCTTGGCAGGTATCGCACTTGCCCATGAACATCACCATGATGGACCGGCAGATGATTCCGTACCAATCGATACGATCTTATGGATGCACATCGGGGTTCAATTTATCGCTTGGATGTTTATGTTCCCTTTAGCAATGATGCTTGGATTAACACGACACAAATTTCATGTTCCAGTTGCAATCATGGCACTCCTAATGACATCTTCCGGTTATATCTTAGGACATTCACATGGCGGACGCTCTTTTCCAAGAACGGCACATGGATCAGTGGCTAATATTTTGATCCCTTTACTTGGATTGCAAGGCGGTTTGGGCGTTTATCTTAAAGCGCATTTGAAATGGAAAGGAGAGAATAAAGTTCGACCTGTAGTCATCTTCGTTCATAGTCTTGTGGCCAAATTATTCGTCATTCTTGGTTGGGTGCAAATGCTATTAGGGATCATCACCTTACGTTCTTGGTGTCGAGGAGGTGCAACAGGTCAATGTTTGGCGCATCACATTATGGGCTCCGCTTTTATCGCTTATGGAATCATCTTACTGATCATGTTAAAGATTGGTGTCGATTGGTTGAAACGTAGAAGTATGTCACAAGAAATGTTGGACAGCTCAGTCATCTTTTTATGGGGTTGCGTCAACGCTCTTACTGAACATCACGGTGGACCATGGACACATAAGGACTTGCAACATACATTGATGGGAGTTTTGTGGGTCTTTGGAGGTGCAGCAGGTATGTGGATCAGTAGAAAAGGCAAAAGAAGCGTTGTACCTGCAGTCGTGATCATTTTGACGGGATGGGCAATGAGCGGACATGCACAAAAGTTAATGATTTCCACCATGATCCATGCCTTGTTCGGCTATACTTTGATGGCAGCAGGAATTGCTAGAATCATTGAAGTCTGCTTCTTGCTAGAAGACCGCCCAACTGGACACACTGAGGAAGTCCAGGATGCAAGCACGACAAGAGCGCCACCTGCTCATCCAACCGAAGGACCTTGGTTCCCAATCCGAGCATTCCAATATCTGCCAATCTGGCTATTGTTCGCTTCAGGTGCTCTTTTCATGAGCGCTACAGACGAAGAACTTCGTTGGGCAGACAATCAAGGAGTTGATGCGATTACGTGGGGATTGATCGATTTCAGCATTGCTTTCTTCTTGTTCTTCTGGGCAAATGTCTTGATTGACTTTTACGTTAGTCAAGGTGGTATGTATGGTTCAAGAACAAAGGCAGCACAATCAGCTGGATCAGGTATTGCTCTGGAAGGAGGAGCAGGATCATCACATAACAGTAATAGCCTGTATGCCCGACTCAGTCTGGGTGATCATCATACAGGCAGTTCCAACTCAAACGAAGAGAGAACGGCTATCGGTAGCAGTGGCGGAAGTAGTGATTCGCTAGAAATGGAGAGAATCAAGAATTCCAAACGTATACAACAACTTCGCGAGAAGAATGACAAAGACAGTCCCAATCACGTCCTATTCGATGGTGATGAAGAAGAAGACGAGGAGGATGATCCGTTTGACGACGATCGTATCCAAGCACGCAGGGCACGTTCTTGATCATCATCATACATGTACATTTAGTGGAATATTATGATTACAAAGTATTGGTTGGTATGATTTATGGTATGCAAGTAGGTGCCTTTCGACAACCGATAGCAGTTGCATAATCAGGCAATTGCAAAGCAGCCGTGCAGAAATCTTGGTCGACCAGCATTAAAGGCGAGTCGAAAACGAGTTGTCTTTCTTGCCCTTCGGTATTTCTGAAGGTGACAAAAGCTTTCATTGAATGTGAAAATCGTGTTTCATCATCGGTACCGAATGGTGTTGAACAGTGCCATTCAGTCAAAGGATCTTTCTTTTTGGATGGACTGGCACTGTCGATGCACTGTCTTGTCTCTGGAAACCAAGCTTTGATCTCGGTCCGTTTCATGAGTTCTTCATTCGCCCCTTCATGACTGGCTGATTTGCAGGTGGAGGAACTAGACATTACGCTATGTTGATCATCAAGAATAATTTTTTCTAGACTGATTCTCTCGGATCGTATTGATGATGTATCTCCTATCAAGCATTTCTTTTCCATGTCACTCAGTTCTTTTCCCCGAAACGATGCAATTTGTCGAAGCTCGATATTTAAATCGCTTATGGTGAGCTTCTCTCCTTGGACACGGTGAAGGATTGAAAGGTCTATACATCCTCCATATCTAGAATTATTCGAATGAACGAGAAGTTTGATGTTGTCATCATTACACTGGCTATTGAGCAAGCGATGAAAATTGTTAAGGCCTTTATCTCCTGCCGTAGATGGGTGTACTTTGATAATTAGCGGAATGGACTTGGTGAACATGAATGGAAGCTTTAAGAAATTGCCTTTTGGCCTTCCTCTTAAATGAAGGATTAATTCATATTCCACTTTTGAGAGAGGATGATCATGCGTTCCGGGTAATGAACTAGGGAGTTTGCTATCAAAAGCAAAGATGTGCGTTCCTTTTGTGAGTGTTTTTATGTCCGCAAGGTTGATGTTTTGACCATTATGTATGTCTAATAATTTGACATCTTGCAAAAAGATTGTTTGAGGGAATTGTTTGGATGCATGATCATTCTCACATGCGAGTGCTTTGATTGCATCCTTTGCTATCTGTTTCCGTCCCAATATCCGAAATCGAAGGTCTATCACCTCGCAAGACTTCTTGACTACAAATTCAACATACCCTCTTAATCGACTTCCGCATTCTTGTACTGCTTCAGGATAAAGTATCACTGAGGATGTTGCCGGTCGGATCGATACTTCCATCTTAAAAGGATGCTAATACGCTATATTTGCCTTTTAGGGAACAACTCGTACACATCTGAACAGGCATCATCTTGCTCTTATATATCTTCATATTATGACTCGATCAGCTATTAAGTATGATTGACATTGAACTGCAGCAATCGTTGTAGCGAACGGAAATAAGCCAAGATAAAGACACCGAGAAGTTAGTCAAATCGGAAGTCCGAAGAAGAGCACGCGTAAAATCCGTACTTGACTCGGCCGTATTCATTGTATACTTTACATGCTGTCTTGAATGAATGAATGTTACATAGTCACAAATCAGATAAAAGTGATGGTGAAGAATAGAACTTAATTGACTTGAGAGTGTCACTATGTATCAGGAATACCCTTTTATTGAGTTAAGTTTCTTTCATTCACTTAGATAATAGCAACCACCCTTTGTGAATAGCGCGTCGGAAATCGGATAATTTTGGCAGATTTTATTTTTATTATTTTTACCAAATCTTCTCCTGAACAGAGAGAAAGAACTCCTACTCCTTCCATAATCTCAAAAAGATATGGCTTCCTCATCAAAGCAAGTCTTACGTGGCTTGCGAACGATAAATGCTCAACAATGTATTAGTACAAGAGGGTTTGCCACTACTTCTACCCGTGCACTACCACGAGCAATACCTAGGAGGACAACAACATCCTCAAATGACGCAATTGTGGAGAGATTGAATGATCCAATCAATCCTACAAGGTCAGCAAAAGGTAATGAAGCCGGAGTGAGCGATACACCATGGTATATACGTGAACAAGAATCATTCGATAATGATGTCGAGCCAGAAGAGTTCGCATCCACACAACCTGTCAATCCGGCCGATTTGGAACCTGAAGTAGAATTACCTACTGCATTGCAAGGTTTACATGAATTATTGCAAGAAGGTCCTCCTTCTCCTTTGATCGCAAGACCTGATGATGGTCCATACGAAAGTGAAACGGGAAGGCGACCGATCAAATACATTCATGCAAAACAAGATGACGTTCAAGCATGGTGTGATTGGATCGTAGTCGTTCAAGTTCGAACGAGTGCAGGTTCAACGGTTAGTAGGGTAGCAAAAGAGATTGGAGAATATCTTGCGGATCAAAGACCACCGACGGATGAAAGCACGAAAGCAGCAGCAGAAATAAAAAAGAAAAATGCAAAAGCTAATTGGCAACCTTTTAAGATCTTATCGCGTGAAGCTCAAGATGGATTACGACTCTTACATGCAAGTGATCCAGAACGATGGTCACGAAAAGAACTTGCGGAAACGTTCAAGATGAGCGTTGAAAGTGTGAGGAGAGTTTTACGTAGCAAATGGCAACCTTCTCCAGCAGTCGTTAGCAGACAAAACAGACGTGCGAATGAACGATACGAGGAAAAACAACAGCAGCAAGGATGGCAAGGAAGAGAAGTCGAAGAAGTTGAACGAATTAAGCAGAGTATGTTGGATAGCAATCGACAATCGAATATACCTCAGGATGACTTCAACTATGATAATTATCGAGTAGTAGATGAAGAAGGACGTCCTGTTGACGAACAAAAGCCATTCAAACAACAAATCACATACGAAGGACTGGTACCATCCGCCAATGACGCTCAATCAACTCGTTCTAGTTCACGAGCACGTAATGGTCTCTTGCGTGGAGACGGAGAATGGTGCTTAGTGGACGCAGGTTGGTGTGTCGTTCACGTAATGACACCCAAAGCCCGGATAACGTATGATGTGGAATCACAATACAATTCAAACTCCCTTCAAATCTCATAATGTATCAATAGTCATTCACAACTTTGCATCCATGGATAGATTATATTTCATGTAGTGTATATCTATAGACATAGAAAAACGTTTTTATGCCTTGTAGCCAGCCTCGGTGAGTGCTTCTTTGAGAGACTTGAGCAAATGTTCAATATCTCCACGTTCCTTTTCATGTGTGACAGTGACGCCCATATGACCGATACGGAAATAAGTATCCTTGACTTCCTTATGAAGACCGGCAGCAACGACGATATTACGAGCGACCATCTTTGGCAATAGATCGGTTGCTTTAATACCTTGAGGATATTTAACAGCAGTCATTCCGTGTGCACCATCTTTGATGCCATCGGCAACCAATTGTTCCAATCCGAGCTCTTTGACAAAGTTCTTGACACGATCAGAAGCGGCGATATGTTGTTTGAACCTGTCTTCGATCGAAGGTGATTTGGTGGTAATGTTTGTGAGGGATTGATGCAAAGCATACAACAAGTTAGTTGGTGGAGTACCAAAGTAAGCTCCAGTACCTGCTTCATATGCTTTCATGACGGGTATCCATTTAGCCCAACTGGCATAGTAGCTGTTTGGAGGTGTTTTGCGGCTCTCGAACGATTTGATTGCTTTTGGACTTGCTGCTAAAACCATCAAACCGGGTGGGCAACCCAAACCTTTTTGACTGGCTGTAAGTACGACATCAATTCCCCATTCGGCCATTCTGATCTCTTCGCTTGCCACTGAACAAACACCGTCCAAGACAAGAATACTTTCGGGGCTAACTCGCTTGACCAATTCTCCCAAACCTTTAGCATCGCTCAAGACACCAGTAGAGGTATCGACATGGGTGAAAGTGACAACTTTGTACTTCTTGCTTTGCAAAGCTTTTTCCACTTCTTGCAATGAAGGTTTGCTACCGATTGGAGCTTTGACCTGATCAACCTTTGCTCCGTATGTTGTCAAACATTCAGCAAAGCTATCGCCAAAGTAACCGCTGTTCAAAACGAGAGCATCTTGACCTGGTTCGATCACATTTGCGGCAACGTGATCCCAACCCAAAGTACCACTTCCCGCTGTAATGACAGGTTGTGCGTCAGGAGCAAACAAAAGTGTTTTCATCATTCTGATGCAATCTCCCAAAACAGGCACAAAGTCTGGCGAAACATGTGACATGGAAGGATGAGCGTTTGCCAAAAGGACATCATCGCTCACTTCGATTGGGCCAGGAATGACCAACAATTTATGTGGTGCTTGTTTGAATTCTTGTGAACTCATTTCGTATCGTAATGTTGAGGGTAAAGAAGTATCAAGATGTTTGGCGATTTGATCAACTCGTTTAATGGCAATCGTTGGTTTACCTGTTTGTGTTGAAGATGAAGAAGGTGTATTATCGAATGCGGTAGAAGATGTAGCGGTAGGATTTGAAGTAGTTTTAGGTCCAACAACAGGTTCACGTGGAGGCGGTTGTTGTTGTTTTGCAGATGATGATGATGAAGAAGAAGAGAAAGGCCAAGATACCATAAAAGGCCACGTTTAGATGATGAAAGATAAGGACGGTGAGTTGTTTATCAGTATCGCGTGAAAGTCTATGAATGTATGTGAAAGTACTCACCTAAGAATGAAATTTGATGAGAAGAAAGTGCAATTATTCTGGGGTAAAAGATGTCCGGATGCGCAATGTAAGTAAGGAAGGAGTCAGAAAGGGAAGAAAGGAGGCAAAATGATCAATCAAATCCTCCGATCTTCTGGCGTAAGAAAAGAGAAATATGATGGACAGGCTGCTGAATTGCCCGCTTAAGAGGCTTGAGCCCACACATTTGAATTAAGTCAAAGCGCGGCAAGCGCTAGCATAATAACACTGCTCTTTTGCCGTGTACGGTAAAGCCGGCCCTTAGTTGATAATGATTGTGGAGTTTTTGTGTAGGCTGACTGACTTCAATTGCCGCTCATTCAGTACAAGCGAGAGGTTTAATTCCGAGTTCTTCTTATCATAACTTTTATCCGAATTACAGCTCAATTGTCAGCAGATTAATCAAGCTTGCCCCCCGAACTCCTTCTTTGGGTCTGTGCAACTGTTCTCCTCCACACCCTTTCAAGAAGATCACTGAACCCTTTTGGATGACAATAGCAGATAGGATGGATATATGCTCACTTCTCAAGACGACTACCATTCAAAGTTGCACTAAAGATGGCTTCAAACACTTCTCGCTCAATACTCAATGAAGTACGTCAACTAATCCCACCACTATCGGGAGAATTACACAAAGGTCAAGCAGGTAGAGTTGCAGTTGTAGGAGGATGTTTGGATTACACAGGTGCACCTTATTTCTCAGCAATGTCTTCGATGAAATTAGGAAGTGATATGAGTCATAACATTTGTGAACCAAGTGCAGGTAATGTGATAAAAACATACAGTCCAGATTGTATCGTTCATGGAGCACTAAAGTATGGTCGTGATCCAAACGAAATTCGAAAAGAAATCAGTGGATTATGTGATCGAATTCATGCACTCGTTGTTGGACCGGGTTTAGGTCGTGATGACCATATGCAAATGTGTGGAAAAATTTCAATCGAATGTGCAAAAGAGAAATCACTTTGGTTAGTTGTGGACGCTGATGGATTATGGTTATTGCAAAATGAACCTGAATTGATCAAAGGATACCGTAAAGCGGTTCTAACGCCAAATGTGGTCGAATTTGGACGATTATGCGAAAAACTCTCCATCAAAGAAGATAAAGGCAGTGATGCAGCAGTTCAGGCTGTTGCAAAAGCACTAGATGGTCCTACCCTCCTAGTGAAAGGCAAAGCAGACAGGATCTCAAACGGAAAGGATGAAATGCTTTACGTAGAAGAACAAGGAGGCTTAAAGCGTTGTGGTGGACAAGGAGATGTATTGAGTGGAAGTTTGGCAACTTTCCTTGCGTGGACTCAAGTCACACAAGAAGACAAGAAAGGATCTATACCCGAAGCAAGAAGACCCTTACTTGCTGCTTATGGAGCTGCTTCTGTAACACGATTTTGTTCAAAAGAAGCATTCAAACGTGCCGGAAGGGCAATGTTGGCACACGACCTTTTGGAAGAAGTCGGAAAGGCATATACGCACTACTTTGGTGATCCACAAGCTGCATTGTAGAGAGAGATTTATTGTAAAAATACATGTATTCAGTTGTTAACCAATTATATGATTGCGTTGCCATCATCTGAAACTCTTTGACTATCACCGCCGTACCCGAGCCATTTGTCTAAACCATCTTTTAGCGTCACACTGCGCCATGGTCCATAGAATTGATGATGTTTGGCTTTTATATGCTGAAGAGCAGATTCAGGAACGTCTAAATCACCTTCTGCTAAGACGCCAGTAGGAGCATTCTGAGCTTGAGATTGTTTCCGTCTAATCGTTGTAGGCCAAATTGTCCATCTAAAAGAAGGAGAGAAGTTGTTATCATCATCATATTCTTCAGAAATATTTGGTTCATACTACTCACTTTCCCTTTGCTGCATTCCAACTGCCCATCGGACTACCACAATCCTTGCATCGCAGCTTCCACTTGCGATCTTTCATCGTTTCGAAAGTCTGCATGTTCGGACTAAATTCTCCTCCCTCAATCGATCCTGGCTTTCCATCCTTTCCAGGAGCTCCAGGTGGTGAGGCATTAGCGGTAGGGTACCATTTTACCGCATGATACAACCAATGATTTGACCAAATGTACGGTGCCCCATTCAGCCTTTGACAACGTGAACAATGACAATACATGCTCAATGCTAAATCGTTTGCTATATTTCGTATATCGATCGAATAGCGTAATGAACCACATGCACAATGACCATGGATGACTTCATCTTCTTTGAGGTCTTTGTGTTGGGTCACACTCATTGTAAGTAGGTGATGATTGTAAGAGAGTAACACGACATCGACCATCATCGGAAATGCATTGATGGAAAAGCGCGCTATTTAACTCCACACTGCATCTCTACTCTAAATCCGTTGGAGCCGACGGCATCTATTTCATCCTGACAGATCAATAAGAGTTGTTGTATATACACATTTGAATAATTTCTTCTGGAAATGATGTCTTACATCTTTCTCTCCCCTTGCAGTTGATGTATAATCGATAGCAAATCCTGCAAGGCTTGAGGATCCGTTTGATGGTGAATGACAACTCTATTACCGTTCAAGATGAAAGGATCAGGAAGTGCAGCACCTCGTTCGATGACATCTTTGAGTGAGATGCCCATCGGAGTAGGATCGAACCATACCTAGAGGAATGAGAAAGAAGATGTCAGTTTAAGAAGCCGAGTTATAGTTTCCGTCTGTATCAATCACTACTCACCATGTTTGTGTCTGTTGGGTAGGTAATTTTGGCACCTGACTTTTGCAATTCACTCGCTAGCCAAGATGCTAGGATATGCGTATGATCTAGCTTGTTAAACGTTTCTTCCAATGCTATCCGGGCTGCGGCGGATAATACACCAACTTGACGCATTCCTGCTCCAAACAATTTACGGAAATGTTTGGCCTTATGAATGAATTTTTTGGGTCCGAGCATCATGCTGAGATGGGAAGAAGGTCATTAGTACTCATCACCACAGATCGCCTTGATCGCCTATCCACCTACTCACCTGCCAACCGGAGCGCCCAATCCTTTACTGAAGCACACACTGACACTGTCAAACGGTCGACAAAGCTCTTCCAGTGATTTACCTGTTTTGACAGCAACATGCCAGATACGTGCACCATCCAAGTGCAGCTTGACATCAAAATATGATTGACGAAGATTTTCGGCAATATTGACGATTTCGTCTTGTGGAACAATGACACCATTAATTGTATTTTCCAAACTTACAATACGTGTTGGAGCATGATGTGTGTCGTCATCATCAGGTACGATCCTTGATTCTATGTCTTTCCACGTTAGATACAATCCGTTTGCCGGAATGATGGGTTCCACTGCTGCTCCACTATGAAATGCACAACCGCCGGCTTCATATTGATGAACGTGACCTCTTTGATCGCATACGATCGAATAAGGCGGTTGCATGAGCCAAGTACGCAGACAGAGTTGATTGGACATCGTTCCTGAAGGAACAAACAATCCTGCCTCTTTACCAAAAAGAGCAGCAACGCTTGCTTCAAATCCGTTCGTGGTTAAATCATCATTGTATACATTATCACCTCCTGCCGCATGTGCCATTGCCAAACCCATACTTTGTGTTGGTGCAGTGATTGTATCACTTCGGAAATCTCTACTAGCCGTCGTTAATGCGATTTGTGCTGCATTTTTTGCTAGAGGAGGAACGACTTCTGGTAATTGCAGTAGTGGTGTGGTCGAAGGACGAGGCGGTGGTGCAGAAACGGTGGAGATTGTCATCTTTTGAAGGGTTGGAAGGATGTGTGGATTGGTGATAGAAAGTGTTTTTGAAGTATTGGTTGTCCTTAGCAAGTTGCGAGATAACCGTACACCACAAGACATTTGTATGTATGTGTGTATGAGTCACGAAGTTGTTGCTGGTATATGCTAATTTGCAATGCAAGAAGAAGCTCAGTCCCCCCCCACTGTTAACAAAAGTGTACCTTACTTATTTAGGCGGTGCCGTACTTTTGCTGGGCGTGTAAATGCGAGTTGGGCGGAGGAACGGATGATGATACGCGGGGAAAAATCCGTAGTCAAATGGGCAACTAAAAAGATTGATGTTACTTCACCATCATACCACCAACATCCTCTTGAGCAATGATGATCATGACAATGCATCACGTAATCGGCTTGCCTAAATACGGATCAGGTGACAGCATTGAAGTAAAATGAATCTTTCGGTCCTCCATCAGCCAATCGAAGAACAAAGGGAAATTATGGTAATAAGACCTCCCTTTGTTCTCTTCGTGATATCTTGCGCGCTGACAGAAATCCCCCTTGTCCTTTCAAAGGTGCCCCGCAACAATTAACTTACCACTCCGAAAATAATACGCCGCCTTTTCTTTCCTTTTGTTTCCTGATTGCAAATTTGACAAAGGATCATGTTTGACTTGCATCCCTTTCTCTTTTTTACGACCACCTTTCACAGCCTTTGTGAAGCTGAAATGTAGACGGAAGGATGCTTGTACCTCAAAATGAGGACAAAAGCAAAGCCGCAAATCCAAAAAGCCTTCATGCATTCTTGCATCGGCCACTTTGTCAAATTTATTGCAAGGATGTATGCAGAAAGGATGAAGGGACATTTAAATACAATTCACACTTTAACTTCTGCTTCCAACAGCAGACTCCTTCACCACGTATGGTAGTATTCTTGATTGGAGTAGCTTTTTTTATATCAATCAAGCTCAACGAAAGTCAGAATAACAACGAATCATCCTCTTCTACCATTCGATCGTTATTGGGACTTTTTGCAACAATCATCTTTTCCAAACGTCTTTTTGATCGCTTCCAATATACCACAGATTTCGAGATGAACGGACGTCAATTGTTGATGGCAAGTCAATCAGACAATAAGTCAGCATTTAATACCCGTGAACCGTTCAAACTTCAACCGCCTCCGTTTAGAAAGCGAGAAAAGCGTAAAGGTAGATTGTTTGGAAGACAAGGCTCTCTCTCAAGCGAGTCCTCCAGTCCGAAACAAGATGATGGAATTGGCGAAAGATCAGATGTGGTAGGGTTTATGAAACCTCAAAGTGGCTTCACGTTCATGCCTTCTGGGTTCAACAAACATGAGGGTGATACAGTGCTTTCGCCTAAGCAAATCCTAGCAAATGACGACCGTTTATTTTATCCTCCTCCCTCTGCTTTTTCGGATGATGAAGAGGAAAGTGAGCTAAGAGCAAGTCAACAAGCAACACCGAAAGCAACTCATTTTAACTTCTCAAGTCTACGTAAACGATCTTCTTCTAGTGCAACGGAAAGTAAACAAAGTGAAAAAGCCAAAACAACTTCATCAAAGACGAGTAGTGTGACGAATGGTACATTTGGGGTATTGAGAAGGAGAAGCAGCGTGCAGGCGACGCAAAATAGTCAACAATCCTGCAATACGCAAGATGATCGTTCTAGTGCAACAACATCTTCTCTGAGTGACGATATCTTGGGCCACCAAATCAAAACAGTCATTCCACAACGTAGGAGCTCAAAAGAAGTACACACCGTGATCAGTGTGCCACCGCAAACGCCTGTATCACCAAAGAAGTTGGAAGATCTACATTCTCCCGTATCAATCGCTGGTTTTGAGCGATATCCTCCAGCAAAGGAAGAAGATCTGCTTGTTGTCAAGCAATCAAACTATCCATCATCTTGGTGCTCCTTTAAAAGTGAGCATGAGCCACTCAGTGCAACACTGAGAAGAATTGGAGCAGCACGAACGACAGGCTGTTTTGCCATTGTGGACGAGGACGATCAAGAAGAAGAGGATGCAATGCTCGACGTCACAACATCTGCACCTAAGCGATGGATTCAACAAATGGACAGCAAATTCGAAGATTGCGAAGAAGCCAAAGCGTTACTGGCGCAAAATCGAGCAGCAACAGCAGACGCAGAAGAAGTTTTATGTCATCCTCGCTTGTTCGTCACGACCGATAGCAGTGCTACAATGAAGCCTATTCGTTTATCAGATGAGATTTTGCACGTCGACGCAGAATCTGGATACAACAGCGATTCTACATTACAAGCCAGTCCGTACCTCAAGCCAACGGCTTTCTCATCCTGTGACGATTTCAAGCGCAAGCCAAATTCTTACATTCAAAGTACACCTCGTGGCGCTCCCCACAGATCACCTTCACCTTGTATCCCAACAGAAGAGAATGCATCGTTGTGGAAGTCGATGAGAAGGATGTCTCAAACCTTGAGCGCATACATCTTTGGTAACCATTTACGAGCAAGGTCAACAGAAACGGACCTGTTCTTTCCTGTGCCAAGTGAACAGACTCCTCGACCTGGAGTTGCTTTAGCATTAGCAGGTCACTCTCACGGCGATGGTTGGGGAGGCATGCGCCCAAGAACAAGTTGGTTTCCTGATCTGCGATTAGGACCTTTGCTTAGCCCTTCTGCAATTGAACAACATCGTCCAATGAAACTTAGAAGTTTTCACCTCAAGGCTCAACCCAGCAAAGTGAATGCATTGAACGATGAATCAGAATGGATCGATGAAGAAGAGAATGAAGAGGAGAACAAAGAAGAAGCATGTACGAGTTCCTCCGCTGATCCCGTCTTGCGAAAATTGCGAGTTCGTTTCCCAAGTCAATTGCCTGCGCCTCATAAACAACGCAGAGAGCAGGAAGAAGAGCAACATCGAAACATGCAAAGTCAAAGCACGATGTTGACGTATACGAGCAATAGCGTCGAAGCTAGACCTGTTCAACCTTTCGCTACCAGAATCCGTGATCAAATCAAGACACAACAAGCACGCAGATGGGCAGCTGTTCTTATATTTTTGGTTGTGGCAGGAGCGATCGCCTGTGTGATTGTTATACTGACTGATAATAATCACCATACTGACAAGCATGTGCTTCAAACATCTACTGGCACCAATGATACCAATGCATTCTCTCAACCTTCGCATAGACGATCTTTGATCATGAACGCAGTACTTCAAAGTATCGAGTGAGAGCATGTACTCCACACCAACACTCTTCACTCTGCAACGGCCTGTGCGTAGCGCGGAGGCTCACTCTAATTTCATAACCTTCCTTTCTCTTTTTGTACTTACAAATGTCACCGTCCTATCTCATCTCCTACTCTCATTCTCAATATCATGGTATTTCCAATATGCAGCCCGCACGAATCACACTCGCTTCAGTGATTCTATTTGTGTGCACACTCTTACTACACAGTACGACAGCTTCATGCTATCATACCCCGCAAGCTATTTTCGCCATGTCACAATTCGAAACGACTCAAATTCAACAGGACGATTTCATTCGAGTAAGTGAACTTGGCTTCAAGGATAGTCATGATAAGCCATTCTTCATTCAAGGCATCAATTATTGGTCATGCATGAACTTAGCAGCAGAAGCAGAGATGGGAGGAAACTTGACAAGATTGCAGGTGGAACTTGACAGGTTGAAAGAGGTTGGTGTGAATGTGATCCGAATCATGGCTGCCACTGAAGGTGCATCAGCAAAACAACCTTTTCGTGTTTATCCAGTCATGCAACCATCACCCGGTCAATGGGACGAAAGAATGTTTGTCGCTTTGGACAGATGTATTGCAGAAGCAGGAAAACGAAATATTCGTGTGCTGATGGTGATGGGTAATACATGGCAATGGACAGGTGGAATTGCACAATATGTCAGCTGGGCAAATGATGATTTACAGATCCCTTACCCGAGATCGTGGGATATGAAGGCAGCTCCACAAAGAGATGATGGTTATGCAGGATGGGGAAATTGGACAGACGCAGAAGCGCCTTCACAAGGTGGAGACGATTTCATGAGCTTCCAAGCAAGGTTTTATGAAGATACAAAGGCACAAGAGCTATATGAGAATCACCTCCTGAAAGTGTTGAACAGGACAAACTCCATCACTGGTAGAGCATACGTTCACGATCCAACAATTTTGGCATGGGAACCACTCAATGAGCCACAGACAGCAGATGCAGCTGGCAAAAAGATAGCAGGCACGAGTGAAGATGACCCGATGATCGCATGGCATCACAAGGTATCCTCTCTGATCAAATCGAAAGCCCCTCATCAGCTGAGCACCACTGGCTCTGAGGCCAAGCAGAGTGAAGCACTTTTCAAATCTCTTCATGCTCATCATTCGATCGATTTCTGCTGTGCGCATATCTGGGCTGAAATATGGGGATATTACGATATGCTCGATGGTTCGAGCAATTCTTTGCAAAAAGCCAAGCACTTTGCTTCGAAATATCTTGACAAAGTCAGATCATGGTCGAATGATATCAGCAAACCGATCATCCTGGAAGAATTCGGAATGGCTCGTGACAATTGGAAGAACAAAGACAGCGCATACACATACTCGACAAAAGCTTCAACGACGCATAGGGATGCTTACTTTTCGCATTTGTTCGAGATAGTGTTCAGCAGTTTTCAGCAACGAACAGGATTTGCAGGCTTGATGCCGTGGTCCTATGGAGGATTGTTCGATACTGAAACGCAGCAGTACAATTCGTTTGATATGGTTTTGGCTGGTGATCCTCCTCAAGAACCTCCAGGATGGTTTAGTGTTCTGTATAATGATTCAACGATGGGTTTGATGTCAAAATGGCATGAACAGGTAGTGTCACTCTTTGTATGTTAAATCCCTCAATGATGTACAATATAATCACAAGATAAGGAAGTGCGGGGAAGTTTGGTGCAAGGTTGTTTGACAATTAGACTACGCGTGCATGACATTGTTCACATACTGACTTTCCGCCTGTGCCTTATCCGTGCTGAGCAGAGCATGAGCATAGCTTCTACCCGAGAAGCTGAGCAGCAATTTCCTTCCGATGCGAGGCTATCAGTGATACATCTTCTTTCTTCCCTTCCAATATCGATCCTCTTGAAGGTAATTCGAGGGTCCATAGGTGGAACGGGGAAGCCTTCTGTCTCGCTATATTCTACTGCTGCGACGATCAGTATTAACTCACATCATACAACGTCGGCCAGTTCAATTTGCTCGCTGAGACACTCTCCCCCACACGACATGAATGGTATAAATTAAGCCAATTCAAGATGAATATCGGATTACATCCTGATATTCCAAGCGGAGTTCCCCTAATCCTCAAAGCCAATTGCGAAGAGCGCATGAAAAGGATTCGATTTGGACCTGATGTTAGCAATTTGTGTTTTGATGAATTTCAAAGGAAAGTTGGACATGCATTGCAATTCGACGACGTGGATTTCTCGGTAACATGGCAAGATGATGATGGAGAGTATTGCCATATCACGAATACGGATGATTTAAAGGAAGCTTTGCTCTACTTTGCTCCTTCTACAATCACTTCTTCGGCAGCGTCTTCCGGAAGTAGCAGCAATGGAACCACAGAACTACCCCCAATCACAATGCGTGTCAATGTGCAAGTTGAAACGGCCGTCTCGCTGAGTGACTTTGGCAGCTCTGTTTGGGGCGGAAGCGATGAAGAGGATGAAAGTTGGTACGGCGATGAAGGTGGCAGCAGCCCAGGCAAGAAGTCAATGAGTAATGCATCTTTGGGCAGCAGCCGATATCGATTGAGCACTGCTAGCGGTTCTAATGCACGCAGTCGAAAGACGCACGGTTCATCGAGAATAAGCTCACAGGCATCATCGACAAGCTCCAGCAGCTCTTGGCAATACCCACAAAGTCAGATGGCTTACAGTCCAAATCGTTCAGAGATGAGCAGACATGGACCTTCACCGCTTGGTAAATGGCGAAATGGGGTCAGACAAGGTTCTGTGGCCAGTGAAGATCCAAGTGAGCTCAATTCGCTTAGTAGCCTATCAATCCATCCTTCTTCTCGCTCACGACGCCAAGAACGACATACACACCATTCAGATTCGGATTCGGACGGCAGTTGTGACACACATGCTCCTCGGATCAAGCATGCTGGTGGAAGAAATACAATTCGACAGGAAGAACCAAACGGATGGAATGTTCATGTTGGTATTCAATGCAAGACTTGCCATATTGAACCAATCATTGGGGTACGTTATCATTGTGCATCTTGCGTCAAAGGTGCAGACTTTTGCTCCGATTGCGAGAGGACAGGAAATGCGGTCCGATTGTCTACCCATCATGAAGAATCGCACATTATGATCAAATTTGGTACTCCGCTCAATGGAGTGGATGTAGCAGATGTTCTGGGACGTGCTTTGCATGTCACAAGTCAAAGGCTGGTGGAACAAGCGAGTGATTCATCCTCTTCCACTTCGGGTCCATCAACTTCACCGACGAAAATTAGAACCAAGACATATGCTGTTCGAGGACAGATGCCCAAGAACGTGTTGCGATGCTCATTCTGTGCTGGATCTGTGATTGGTACACGATACATTTGTGCAAATTGTCCAATCGTAACGATTGATTCCCGTGACGGATACAACCTTTGTTCCTCGTGTGAACTGCAATCACTTAGATGTCACGACCCAACACATTTTTTCATCAAGATCAGGATGGATCCCACTACTGCGCATATTGATAGGATAGCCCTCGGTGATCGATGGGAAATACAAGAATTGACAGGCGGTGGATCATTATTGCCTTGCTTGTATTCGGACTTGCCAGTTCCCGATCCGTTTTTACCGCCAAACGAACGAAACGGTCAACGAAATTCAACGATTCGATTGGGTGATGGATTACAGATCCAGGGTGCAGATGGCAGTCAGATCTCGATTGGATCACCCAACGAAGCGAATGGAGGCTTGATGATGCGAGGCACTAGTGGTTCCGAAATATCGATCGATGGTTCGAATATGGGAGGAGGCGGTGCGTTGGGTCTTCGCGGTTGGTGTCCTCCATGGTTAGGAGGGCAATCACAAAGGGATATTGAATTGCAAAGGATGCGTGAAGCGAATGCTCGGGTCGTCGTTCCATTGGAAATGTTGGTTCATCCTTCGATTTTATGCGATAATTGTTTTCAGTTGGTTCATGGTGCTTGGTATAGGTGTTGCCATTGTACAACTTCTTATGATTTATGTGGAACGTGTATGTCAAGAATTGCTCATGATCAAACTCATGCTTTTGCCGTTTTCAAACAACCTGTAGATTTGGATTTGTTCAAATCTTGCGTGGATCATCAAGATGCTGGTGATACACCAGGTGCTTCAAGACCTATGCTTAACTTTTCACTCTCGTAAATGGGATGCGTCGGGAAATGGTTTGTCTATTATAGTGTACAATATGATACAATGTTTCTAATATTCTATTAACGACCCTGGAATTGAGGTTTGCGTTTCTCAGCAAAAGCAGTTAAAGCTTCACGTCTATCTTGAGTTGGCAAAAGGGCATGATAACAAGCAGCTTCCCAATCCAAACCGGGTTGTAAGTCCATTTCTTCTCCTACATCAATCGCAGCCTTGGCAGCTGAAAGAGCCAAAGGAGCAGATTTCTGCATCTTTTGTGCCAATTCTATTGCACGTTCGACTGCACTTTGTGAGGGTGAATCGCAAACGTACTCTACTAAACCCCAAGAATGTGCTTCTTCAGCATCGAGAAGCTTTCCGGTAAAGACGAGTGATTTTGCACGACTTACACCGAGCAACCTTGCTGCTCTTTGTGTTCCACCTGCTCCAGGAATGATACCTAATTGACATTCTGGAAATCCCAAAAGTGGTCTGAGAGGTGCACTTTCTGAATTTTCTCCTTCGGCGGCAGGTTGACGAGCAAGAGCAGCGATACGAAAATCACAACAAAGTGCCAATTCCAATCCACCTCCTAGAGCAGGACCATCAATTGCAGCAATCGTTGGAACGGGCATATTTTGTAATTTGTCCATCACAATACGTAATTTTGATAAATATTCAATAATTTCTTCCGGTGACATTGTCCTTCTTTCGGCTAGATCTGCTCCCGCACAAAATGCTTTATCGCTACTGCTACACAAGATTAAACATCTTGCAGGGTGTGTTTGTGGTGGCGGCGCTAGAGAGGAAATGGAAGAAGAGATTGGAGATGATTCGATTGGATCGGTTGAAGGCGAAGAAGATCGTGTGGATGAAGAAGTTGATTGCATAGAAAGATTGTTTATCGCTCCTTCGATCGTACTTCCTCTTCTACTCATCGGTGGTGATGGCCAATCCAAAGGAGCGATTCCTTGACTGAGATGGCTTAATCGATTACCTTCATGTTTCAACACATCCGTTTGACGATTTTGCGAGCGATTTCTCTGTTGTTCTTGTCGTCTCTGTGTTTGTTTCCATGCTAGAGCCTCCAATGCTGGACTTGGAGCAGCACATGCATCCTCAACCCTATCTAAACAACTGTCTAATTCTTGCAATACTTTACGAGATATTGCATTACGTGCTTTTGGTCTATCGAGTATGATACGATGGATGCCAGTCTTTTCATCGTGTTCATGGCGTACTAAAGGTGTGTTATTGTCTTGGGTTTGTTGATTTGACATTGTTGTAGATGGAAAAGAGGATGAATTTAGGGGAAAGGAGTATTCTTCCATGTTGGCTTTTATTGTTTGTTAGGAGCGCCAAGAGATGGTTGTAAGTTGCATCAGTGCATGATCAGGAACGATTATAATTTGATCAGATTTGGTCATCTTTATTTTGCTCATTATATCAATCTCGTAAGATTTGCAATTGAATGTATGCATCACGCTAACAAAGAAAACATCTCTTCGAATCATGACGATAAATTTCGCTCCCTTTCGGCCTTCGATTTGAAATACGTACGATTCAGCAGTAGAATACGGGGAATTGTATTTTATTTTGCCGTGCTTCTATTTCAAAATTGACATCTCGGATCCTTTTTTGATCGAAGTGGAGAGAAGGCACTTTACCTGAGCCTGATTAGACGATGTACGGATTGGTATCAGATGATCTTATGCAAGCTAATTTAGACTCGCGCTAAAAATAAAAAAGAGACAAACAACCCTTTGTTGAAATTCAAACTTAACTTCATTCATCATACCACCACTACCTTTCATGATCATTGCAATGGGATGACACACGTGATCTTCTCACTTGTCAAGATCATCATAAACAGAGTCAGAGATAAGATATTTCGAGGCTGTTCACAACCAGCATAGCATTTCAGCATAAGGCAATGTAGGCAATTACCACTTTTCGGCTTCTTGAAAGATGATTACACACTGCATTCTCTCAGAGATGATGGCCTTTCAGATTGGACCGTCTGACGAATATGCAGTGGAGCATTTCGGGGATTCCAATACGATACTGTTGCCGACTATCATCGCCCCATCGTCGTTACGCGTACACCGCCATCATTTCTGGTTCAGCCAATTGAGCGCATTTAATACTCTAGAATATCCATTCGTGAGAGGCGTTCATGATGTGGGGCTCTGCGGGATAGACCTGATTTGAGTGGGGTCAGAGCAGGGCGTAGGGTGGAAGATGGTGTTGGAATTGATGAATTTCGAAAGATAAGAAAAATATATAATGAAGAAGAGACATTCGAAAATCTTTCCCTTTTCGTTCATCTCATAATATTATTGAGAGCAAGAAGTCGAACAATAGCTGATTATGACTGCTCAGGAACTTGAACGACATACAGGAGACAAAGGTGAAGAGAAGCTTTCAAGCGCTGTCAAGGAAACTATCGAGCACAAGACTGCCGATCCAGATTTTCCAGAAAAGCTTCCATCAGACGTATCGATTGATTTTGAGGATGATCACGAGACTATTAAGAATGAAACGGAAAAGGGAGACGTACATCCCCACGCTATGAGAACAGAACCAAGTCTGCTTACCTTGGCGCCGGAAGAAATGCTCGACTCTTCTCCTGAACGAAGAGATGGTGCTGCAATATTCAACAAGATGAGTTGGCAAAGGCTGGCAGTCTGTTTGATCTGTGAAGCAATCGCGTTGGGCGTATTGAGTCTTCCAAAAGCATTTGCTACGTTAGGTATGGTACTTGGTGTATTTTCAACAGTGATCATGGGAGTGATGGCAACCTATACGGCTTTGATTGTCGGAGAGATGAAATGTCGTTATCCACAAATAACAAGTTATCCCGACTTAGCCAAGATGATGTTTGGAAAGGTAGGTTATGTGATCGTTGCAATCATGATGACAGGCTTATTGGTTCTTTCTACCGGAAGTCACGTTTTGACTGGGATTATGGCTTTTCAAGCATTATCTTCGCATTCAGTCTGTTCGGTTTATTTTGGCCTTCTTTCGGCATTTCTGCTTTTTCTTCTTGGTCTGCCCAAAACGTTTCATCGGATGGCAATCTTGGCTTATATCGATTTCGCAAGTATCACTGCTGCTGTTGTAGTTGCAGTCGTAGCAGCTTCCGTAGAAAGTGCAAAGAAGCCAGGCGGCTTGGCTGCAACAGAATGGTATGCTTTCCCACCTGGCAATGCGAATTCAAATTTCGTTGAATGTACGATCGCATTGACAAATATCGCTTTGGCATATGCTTATGTGCATTGTTTGCCTTCGTTCATGTCGGAATTACACCGTCCTGTCGATTATCGTAAATCAGTCATGGCTTTAGGAACATTTCAAATCGTAATGTATACTTTGATCGGATCAACGCTATACTACTTCAAAGGGGTGGATGTCAAAGATATGTCTTTACAAAGCCTAAATCCAACGATGCAAAAAGTTGTTTTTGGTTTGGCATTACCTGTGATCTTTATTTCTGGAAGTATAAACAGTCATACAGCCGCAAGATTCGTTTACAATCACATCTTTGCAGTCAATTCGGTACATCGGTATATTAATACTCGAATGGGTTATTTGATGTGGCTAACGTTAAATGGAGGAGTAACACTGATTGCATTCATTTCAGCAGAGGTGATCCCTTCTTTCCCAACATTTTTGGGACTAAAAGCAGCATTATTTTCTGCTTGCTTCTCGTTCACCTTTCCAACGATTATGTTTTTCAAATTTATTCGTTATGAATCAAAGCGGTGTATCAATATCAAAGCCAAATACTCCGAATCAGTCGCAAATGTATTGATTTTCGGCTTTGGCGCTTTCATGTTCTTTGTCGGAAGTTCATGTGTGGGATATTCTTTGGTTCATCAGTACAAGCATGGTATTGCTGTTCCATTTGGATGTTGAGAAGCTGTTGGGTGTCAGTCGCTTTGGTTTATTTTTGTATCATATTTGAACGAGCAATAGAAAGTCTTTCTTTTCACGGAGAATTGTGACAATCGCGTAATGATAGTAAGGCACGCGTTTTGGCGTTAATTTACGCGTAGGCCTTCAGTTGGCGAAGTTGTGTAAGCAAGATTGTCAAAGGTGTGAAAAGTTCAACACTTGCTTTATTCCTTTCTCCATATCCTAGCAAACATGGACGATGATGATGAATACGAGAAAGAACGTCTTGAGAACATCAAGCGAAATCAAGAATTACTAAAAGGTTTGGATTTAGTTGGTCATTCTGCCGCACCAAGAAGATCAACTGGCAGCAATAATGGTAAATCAACATCACGCTCAAAGCCAAACAAAAAGCCAACACCAAAGAAACGTGAACAACCGGAACGAATTCAACCAAGGCGAGTGAGCAATCGATTGGCTGGAATCGAAGCAGATTCTGAAACATATAAACGAAAAGCAGAAGAAGAAGCAGAAAGTGCACGTAAACAATATGAAGCGGAAAAACGGGCAAGACATGAAGCTCATGATCTGGGATTCTTATTGGGCCTTGATGAAAAAGCCGAATCTGACGAAAGAAAACAAATGGCAGATTTAGAGTTAGCCCTACGTGGTATATCTTCTGTTCGACCTACTCTGGGAGCAGACATGATGGAAGATTTGAAAGAACTCAAAAGAAGAAAAGCCAATGGTAACAACGCTGAGAAACACAAGGAACTCAAAGAAGTTATGGATCGTATGGAGTTGCTCAGTGTCGATAAAGTGGTAATGAGGAGGGTGTACAGCATGATCGTTCATCCTAATGCAGACAAGGACCTAGTCTTTGTTGCTGATAAGGAAGGATCGATTGGTGTTTGGGATCCTTTGGCCAAGAATGAAAGCAATGCAGGAGAGGACGAGGAAGAAGACATGAATTCAGGTCGAAGTTGGAGCTTGCAAGTTCATGGCAAATCACCCATCACATGTTTACGATTCGATCCCATTTCAGCCGATTCCTTGTTCTCATCTTCGTACGATTCCACGATTCGAATGCAATCTCTTCAAAATGGCGTTTCCACAGAGGTTTGGGGTGGTCAAGATGATGTCTTGATTTCCATCTTTGATATCCTGGCACCTCAATCTCATCCTTCTGCATTTTTGCGTACGCCTGATGCAGGTTTGGACGAGCGAAGTTTATGGATAGCAGATCATCGTGGTGGATTGTGTCATTTCGATTTACGACAAAGTGGAAGACGCAAAGCTGAAACATCTAGATGGCAAGTATGCGAAAAGAAGATTGGTGGAATGTCAATCAATCCAACCGTTTCATCTTGCATTTCAGTAGCTTCACTTGATCAACATGTTCGATTGTTTGACGTTCGTAATTTACAAACTCTTCCAACGACAAATGAAGCCCCATATAGTGCAAGAAATGTTGACGATGAAGTTTTGAGAGCGGCAGAGGAAAATGCACAAATTGCTTATCATAAAGCTAAGCTTGCATGTACAAGCGTTGACTGGGATCCTACTGGTACGAAATTGGTCGGGGTCAGTTATGATGATATGGTGAAGATTTGGGATATGAAACCATCTTGGTTACATACCGCTTCAGGACCGCCAACACTCAACGCAACGCCGGCAAAGAAGAGCAAAGTGAAACAAGAACAGGCTGATACGTTCACTTCTGCTCCTGATCGACCTGATGACATTTTGGCAAAGATGCATAGCATTCGACATAACAATCAAACTGGAAAATGGCTCACCTTATTCCGTGCAAGATTCAATGCAAATCCTACAGTTGAAAGTCATTTTTCAATCGGTTCAATGGATCGTAGAGCAGAGATCTGGGCAGCAGACGGTACCCTTTTGCGATCATTTTATGATGAAGATCATGTTACAGCCGTACCTGCCGTTACTGCCACTCATCCTCGTCGGGTAGGAAGGTTGGCAACAGGAAATGCATCGGGTAAATGTACCTTTTGGGGCGAAAGACAGTGATGTGTTTAAATTCAATGTATTTATAGCAAAGCAAATATCTATCAGCAATTGAATCCGAGGAATTGATAGGGTATATGTTGAAAAGCAAGAAGAGCATTAAATGTTTCCTACTGGCACTTTGAACATCTTTGATGCCAAATCACGAAGCTCTTTGGCCGCTGGTGTATCTCCTTGGAAGTTCTTTAATGCTTCTACGATCTCGTTGTATGCTTCATCGGTGAGTGTGCCTCTGACGTACAAGTCAATTCCTGCTTCAGTGAACATGGTAGCAGTGAAATACGTCACAAGCCAGATTGGTTCGGAATCCGTGCCATTTGATTGAGCAGGGGTACCATCTTGGTCGTCATTCTCGTTGATAGTAGATGCCTGGCTTACTGATTGAGTGAAACGGTCATTATGAGCAACGATTTGCCAATGAGACGTGAATGGCTTCAAGAAGTTATATCCACGCCAGAGGTATGTTGCGCCGTTGACACCCTTTGGATCGATCTTGTTACGACCACGAACGATACTTCTTTTTTCTCTGGGAGCACCTTTTCCGGGAAGATGTTTTTCGGTCTTTTTATCCAATTGTTCCCACCAAATTTCATCGGAAAATGAAACATTTGCGGCAACTGAACGTTGAGCTGCTTGTTTTGCTTTTTGTTCAACTTGACCTTCTCCTCCTGAAGCTGAACGAAAACGAGCTTGAGTGTTTGAAGAAGGTATATCATGAGGCGTATAACGACATAAAACATCACTCCTTGCTTTCCATAATGGTAATGAAGATCCAACGATCATCCAATCTCCCATTAATGTTTCATATGGGAAATTTTCTACTGATAATTCTGCCGGAACAGGTTTAGCATCACGAGCATGTATTTTGTAGCTACCGATTGTCATCTTTGTAGTAGGTGTTGGTGGTGGGAGGAGTATAATCTACTTTAAACTTTATTCCACGGATGTCCATTTCGGCATGTTCTAGAACAGAGTCCAACACTAGACGCGTCTCGAGAGAAACGCAATTATGGCCTGATCCTTATTTATTACATTGCTTAGTCATGATTAAACAGTCAGCAAGGAAACAAGGTCAGGAACAAGTAGCTGCAATATCGGAACAGGGTGACCTAGCCCCTTCTACAGACCCAGAAGGTCCATCAGCGAAAGACATCGCACAATATTCTTAATTTGTAATCTAGCTTATATAGATGGTGTTAGATATCCATTAAAGTCGTGTGATACAAACTAGGTTCTGCTCAATAATTAGGGTGCATGTTCTTCTCTCACAAATCAAATTCTGCCACCAAAGATACCGGTCCTTGAACTTCCTTCGAGTGAGGGCCAATGTACTTGCGAAGTTGAACATCTCCAATCAAATCACTGACGCCAACCACTGTACCTGAAACGCCTTTTGCCGGGCGAATGTTAGGCAATTTGAAAATCTCTTTCAACATCGTCACAATGGCAGACAAAAGAACTGGTGATTGACTTGTAACGCCTTGCAAATCATCTTCCGTACGGTCCACAAAGGGTCCCAAACGAGTAGGATTAGGGAACGCATCAGGGTCCATATTCGCCAAAGAAGTCGCCAACAAGACTTTTTCACCCTTTTTGATCTTCACTGCATTCTCGCCATCACGAACGGTAGTATTCTCCGTCACTTTACGCACCACGCCCGCAGTAGCAGGACGCAAACGGATTCCTTCATTGATCAAGAAAATAAATTCCTTGCATGCAGCCTTATCTTCACGGTTTGCCAGCTCAATCAAGCGTTCCAACGTTTCTGCATAGTCGGGATTCATGAATAGGTCCAATAATAAGCCCGTTTGCGTTGTCAATTCCACAGTGGACGGAAGAATAATTGCAAGCAACCCCGCAACAGCCTGATGCATCGAGATGCAGTCAGAATGCAGACTTGCATAAACACGCTTGGCACTTGTGCTTAATTCGTACTGTGAACCTCGTGTAATCATATATGCGACAAAAGCACGAGCTCCACTGGTCGTCAAAAAGCGATGTTCCAAAATCTTGCGAACATGAACAGATTGCTTCACAGCTGCTTCACGTAAGCCAAAAGCATCTTCCGGTGTGTATACACCAGAAACAAATGCTGCCAAAGTCAACAAAGTGTTGTGCAAGTCATACACGGTCACAAGACCTTGAGGTGTTTCGTTTGTCTTGAGTGGAATGCCAACCTTACCAGCGATCCAATAGATTGGTACAACATTAATGATATCCTTGATCACGTCCAGTTGTTTCGTGGAAGAAGTTGCATCGACACCCAGCGAATACTCTTGAATCTTTTCGCGAGTAGTTTGGCTAAAGTACTGGATGACGTTAGCATCGAAGCCAGGCTCAAAGAATGCTTTTTGCGCAGCTGGCTCATGGAGCAACAAGCTGTTTCTGTGACCAATTTTGCCATCTTTGCCAGTCACAATGTCCAAATTCGTAGTGTCCACTGCAAAAGTGAGAGGATCGGCCAATGCCTTCTCGACTGCGAGGCGTGTTTTCAGCACATGCAAGTCATTAGAAGGCAATGGACGGCTAACGTCGTATCGTGACAAGGTGCCATTATCATGCAAGATCTTTTGAACTGCAACTGGGGTGTAGAACGGCAACAAAGAATATGTCGAATTGCCTGAGCCCCAAGCATTTGGAAGCCCACGGTAAAGAACATGGGCTAGATGACCACCATATGCACCTGGAGCGGCTTCTACCTGAGCCAAGCCCCAATTCGTCAACGTTGATGCATTGAGATCATACGTCAAGAAGCGATCACCACGAACGAGAGAGATTGCATCGGCTAAAATACCGCGTCCAATAGTATGTCCAGGCTGCAAGCCACTTCCCGGGACATGCGGTTTGGATTCTTCTGCCATTAAACCAGGGTACAGTTCGAGATTGTCAATGTGTCCGTAAAGTTTCTCGGCAGCCAGAGCAATTTTTGGATCTGGATTCCATTCAAGGAAAGAGTTGAATCTTTTCAAATACAGATATTCACGGAACTCGTTCATCGTACCGACTTGAAACAAGTTTCGAGCTTGCAAAATACCTGCAACTTCGATGGCTTTGAAAGAAGCAGGCGTTGAACGGGCGCCAAAGCTATGAGCAGTCTCGTCGATGCAGTCTTTGATCAATTCGCCCAATTGAGTATCATCAAAAGCTCCGTCATCACCACGCTTCAAATTGCTAAACGTACGAGCATTTGGGGATATGCTCTCGACTTCTTTTGTCAATGTGCCTGCCATTGTGTAGAACTGCTCCTGTGTGACTTGCTCAGGAGGCACACCAGGGCAGAATCGCTCAAATTGCTCGTTCATCCACTTTTCATCGCTTAATGGCAACACAGCATGCCAATGGTACAAGACGTTGAATTCGCACGAAACGCTATTGCCAACACCTCTTTCGATGCGTGATTTTTGAACATCGCGAATTTCCTTGCCAAGCTCAAGGTGCCAATCCGAGTTTGCACGAACGGTATCGAGAATTCCGCTTACGTAGTCCGTGAGAACAGATTTTGCAAAAAAGGCCACATTGATGTTGCGTGCCAACTGAAAGATGTCATTGTCTTGCCATTCACGTTCTTTGTCTGACGTCAAAGAGTCCCAAGGTTTGTATTTGCCGGTCTCATTGACTTCAAATAAACGTTGTGCCAAATAATTGTGATGACGAGAGAACATGATTGCCACTGCAATGATACCTGGCGACATCATCATGACACGGGCAGATGAGAATGTGTCTGGCCAAATTCGACCTTGCTCGTGAGTGCGGACTTTATCTTGCTCGTCTTGACTATCACCGTAAAGGACAGAAAGCTCCACATAACTTGATGTAGCGTTGACGTACTTGTTATTAGGATCAGATCGAAAGATTTCATGGATGACCATATTCGCAAAGCTGAAGAAGAAGCGATTGAGTCCAGAACTGTGAGGAGTGAATTCACGTCTGCGCAACAATTGTTCAAATACCAACTCAGGTGCAGGCATATAAGGACTTTTTGTATGCATAGGTGAGGTGGTGCGTGAATAAGGCTCACCAGCAGCACCCAATCTGGGTTGGAGAGGATTATTCTTGCTACCGTCAGCTGAATGGTAACGGTATTCAGGACCCAAGAATGCAACTGGAGGATGCGGTAAGTCTTTCCACAACAAGGTGATAAATTTATCGGCAACTTTTTGTTCTACCTCGCTATCTGCAGGTGCATGTTGCATGTAAGAGACCATATTTTCCAATAACAAGTTGCGATCGTTGAGCGGTTTGCCAGATGCCAAAGTCAAAAGCAATTTGACAAAAGATGAAATATCATCGATTCTCTTTGGAGTCAGAAAGAGATCGCGAAGGAGACTCAAAGTGCCAGAATCAATTTCTGGCTTGTCAAGACCATCACCATCATTAGCCGGAGGCTTGACTGCGATGGTAGTGATCAAGTCACGAATTGGCTAGAAAGATGGGAAGGAGAATTGGTCATCATGGCTAGCAATTTGATATAAAGGACCCACTCACTTTGCTTAATTGAGACATGATTTTGAAATGGGAGATGAGCGCAAAAAGAAGAATGTATGCGCATCTTTGAGAAGAGAAGAAGGTGTTGGCCAATCGATCGCTGCTGATTTCCAAGACTGTCCACGTGGCGAGCATAACGCCGAAGCATGACAACAGCATCACTGCGGAAGGTATACTACTGGAGACATTGATGAATGATATACCACTTTCAGAGTGGCTTTTGGATTGAGCACGTCATCTTGGCCGGAAAACGCTTTCCACCTGAGATAGCCAGCAGGGAGAGACGAGATGATATGTTACATTTCGCAACACATGTCTCCCGATCATGGATGAAGGGAGGCCGTGCCGCTGGGATCTCTTTGAGAGCGACTCCCGCACCCCTCCATGCTTATGTAAGTGGCCTTCTTTCCTCTGACAGCCGTCGTCGATGAAGAAAGATCTTTCTTGTGTGTTGGATCGAGCTTACTGGTAAAGTTTGACCGATACAGGTACAATGACGGAATTAAGTAAAGCCGCCAGCGCCAATGCCCGAGCGCGTGAGGTTGTGATGCATATTTTAGTGCGTCCAAAGATAAGAAGAAAGTTTTATATTCTGCACTGTTATCATGATTGAAGCCTGGATAGTGGAATTGTGCCTTGAGAAGAACGCGTAATGCAAAAAAAGATCTTCCTGCATTTCTTATCATATCAAACAAACACATACATACTCTGACTCGTTTCCCGATAAAATTTCAGATCGGCATAAGTCGGTTAAAGAATCAAGACTATCTGATGACAAATTTTATACATGCAAAATATTTTCATTACCATCCCGCACATCTTCCCTCCACCATCTCCTCTCGTCAGACACGATGTCCAACTTACCTAGTGAACCTGAATTCGAACAAGCTCTTCATGAAGTTGAGCAAACATTAGCTCCTTTCTTGGAAAAGAATCCAGAATACAAGAAAGCATTGGAAATCGTTCAAATTCCTGAACGTGTGATTCAATTCCGTGTTGTATGGGAAGATGATAACCATCAAGCACAAGTGAATCGTGCTTATCGTGTTCAATTCAACTCTGCTTTGGGTCCATACAAGGGAGGATTGCGTTTACACCCTACAGTCAATTTGAGCATTCTCAAATTTTTGGGTTTCGAACAAATCTTCAAAAATGCTTTGACCGGCTTGAACATGGGAGGCGGTAAAGGTGGTTCAGACTTTGACCCAAAAGGTAAATCACCCTCAGAAGTACGCAGATTCGTCAAAGCATTCGCAACCGAACTTTCTCGTCATATCGGCCCTGATACAGATGTTCCAGCAGGTGACGTTGGTTTCTCAACACGTGAAGGTGGTTTCTTGTTTGGCACATACAAACAAATCAAAAATGAATGGACCGGTATCATCACCGGAAAAGCTCTCGATTGGGGAGGCTCTCACGTTCGTCCAGAAGCGACCGGATACGGTTTGGTGTACTATGTTGAACATATGATCAAATATGCTGAGGGTGAATCATCCAAAGGATTTGAAGGAAAACGTGTCGTGATCAGTGGATCAGGTCAAGTTGCACAATTTGCCGCATTGAAAGTGATGGAATTGGGTGCTACCGTTTTGAGCTTGTCAGACAGTAAAGGTAGTTTGGTCGTCAAAGACGCATCAAAACCATACACCAAAGAAATGATCGAACAAGTATACAAGATCAAATACGATCGTAAAGAATTGAGCACTTTGGGTGATCAAAATGGTGCACTGGAATTCCATCCAAATGGCGCTCGTCCTTGGCAATTGGTTGACAAGTACGATGTAGCCCTTCCATGTGCAACACAAAACGAATTAGACGCAAAAGATGCCGAAGAAGCAGTAAAGAGAGGATGCAAATTTGTTGCTGAAGGCAGTAATATGGGCGTTGATGCTGGTGGAATTGACGTTTTCGAAAAATCAAGAATGGAAAAAGGTAAATCAGGCGGTTGTTGGTACGGCCCAGGAAAAGCAGCAAACGCAGGAGGTGTTGCAACTTCCGGCTTGGAAATGGCACAAAACAGTCAAAGATTACAATGGAAACCGGAAGAAGTTGATGCAAAATTACGCGAGATCATGAAAGATGCTTATGATCTTTGCTTTAACACAGGCAAAGAATTTCCTCCAAAAGGTGATCAAAAAGCACAAGAGCTCCCTTCTCTCGTTCAAGGTGCAAACATTTCCGGCTTCAAACGTGTTGCTGATGCAATGAAAGAACATGGTGATTGGTTCTGATTCGTTTTCGCTCTACTGGATAGTATACATGCATGTCTTTTTATAGATTTCATTCTGCAATTGCAATAGATATTGATTGATTAATAAAACAAAAACACAGCGACTCTACTGCCTTCTTCCATACTGCGATGGAGGTGGTGGTGGCATTCTAGACGGTTGATGAGAATGAGCAGGTGATTGTGAAGGTGGTGGTGGAGGTGGCAGACCAGCATGTCTTTGCATTGGAGGCGGCGGCGGACCATGTTCTCCACTTGAAAAAGGACGAGCGGATGCCATACTCTCAACAGGCGAACGGATTGGCGGCGTATTCCTTCCTCCTCCAGGACCGTTTTGAGATGATGGATGGAGATGGTGCTGTGGTTGAGGAGGTGGCGGATAACGTTGTTGAGGGAAATGTGTATAGTACGGAGAAGAGCTTGACTGTGGTGGTGGAGGTGGCAAGTTACGTTCTTGTTCTGCAGCACCATATCCTCCACCAGGAGGTAATCTCGGCGGAAGTCCGGCTGCCATCGATCTTGCCTGTTGTGGAGATGCATCTGGCGAAAGAGCAACATGCAAAGGTGGCAATCGATGTCTTGCATCAGTGCTGTATCCAGCAGATCCACTACTGCGTACATCACGACCTTCATAACGATGTGCATATCCATCCGATCCGCCACGTTCGCTGTGCTGAGCAGGTGGATACCCTGCTCCATACTCTGGCCTTCTAGGTGATGGAGGTTGTCCATGATGACCAGGCGGGGGAGGTGCATTTTGAGCTGCTGCCGCTCTTCGATGATGATAATTTTCTTGTTCGCGATAGTATGCCGCCTCTCTTTCACGTTCGTACATCTCTTGTTCACTTCTTGCCGGTGGTCCTGTCGCATATCGTCTTTCTGCAACGTCTCTAGGATCTGGATATCCTGCTTGTGCGCCATATGGCACTCTGTCATCAATCGGAGGAGGACCACCAGGTCTGCCTCCCGCATAATACCTCTCATCAGGCACATCCGAATGACGTGGACGAACAAGCGTTCTTCTGCCATACTGATCTTCTTCTACATATCCTTCTGCGCCATACGGTTGTTGGATCGGTGAAACGCGAGGATCATACGGCATCCTTGGCCCTCCTTCAGGTGGTGGATGTCCTGCAGAAGGACGACGTGGCATATAAGGTCTAAACCCTTCAGCATCCCGTCTTTCCATCTCAATATCCCTTGGTGGTGCTCCATGCATCATACCTGGTGGTGGTGGTGGACCTGCTTCATTCGCATACGTATAACCAGGATGAGCAGGCGGCGGTCTACGACCATCATTTACCGGATAGGGAGCCTGATGTCGAAGCTGTTCAGGAGGCGGTAAAGCACCAGAACCTCCATCACTTTTGATCCTCTTTGACATTCCTCTTTCACGATCTTCTGTAGCATTTCCATCCATTCCTACCGTACTTGGTCTTCGATTTGGGTACACATCCCCATCCGAATCTTCATCACTTCCACCCAATTCCTTCCGCTTTCCGCTGGCACGAGATCTACGTGCTCTCGGATTCTTTCGTACGCGAACCTTCAAACCTTGATCAGCAAAGGATCTGGATAGTTGTGTAGACTCTTCCATACCAGGGAATCTCTTTGCGGTGTACACATTGAACGGCTTTGAGTAAATCGACTTGCAATGGTGTACTTCATGACCGATTGTTTCAAACAAACACAACTTCAAACGATAACGACCTTCAACCCGAATACTCAAATCGGGAAAAACAAAGAATCCTTGCTCGCTTTGATCGATATCCTTCAAATGATACAAGCATGAAACGCAACTTCCGGTCGTATAACGTGTTTTTCCGTCGCTCAACAAATGCAACTCATCATCCGTTTCCGCATCAGCAAGCATGGCATACATGAAGTAATACGGATTCTCCAGATACCATGCTTTATCTTCCCATCCTTCTCCCCATTCCGTCTTGACGGCAACGCCTCTTCGTATGATGTTTTGCTTTGGAGGGAGATTAGATGGTTGTGCATTGACGATGTTGTTCTTTGCATCACGTAAAGGTTCAGTATTGGAACTTTCAGATGTCTTTCCATCCTCTTTGGTTGCACCTCCTTTTGGAAATTCATGCGTAATGACACGTAATTGAATGATGGGAGCCGGATCAATCGGTCTTCTATCAGCTTTTTCGCCTACACCACACATTCTTGAATGTTTTGGTTGTTCACGAATGTGTAAGATATATTCAATATTTTCACGATTTTCCGTTATTTGTTGAACGGCAGCATAGTGATATGCAGTAACACCTTCGCCTGGTTGTGTATCCGATGTTCCACTTGGCGTTACCGGCCTGCGTGAATGACCATCGTTTAAAACAGTTGAGGATGTTGACCTTTGACGTGCGTAAAATGGTCTACCCATCGGTTTATCTTGATCCACTGCAGAGGATGATGCTTCTTCGTTGGGCATACTATGATGATGCTGAACGTGAGAAGAAGGTTGGGACGCGTGTAGGCTTCCTTGACTTGCTGCTTTTGTGGTGGGTGATGGTATGCGAGATGAAGTATGCGGACTTACTGTCGTACTCTTTTTGTCTTTTTGTTACCCGTTCTCAATCGCGGATCCTATATGAGAAGGAGGAGTAATTATCGGCGGTTGAAGCGAGTTTTGCGTGGCTTGAGTGGGGGGAAGTGAATGTTTCCAAGACAGAAAAAGACTTGAGCCCTCTTTTTGACGGACCTCGAATGTGAATTGAAATTCAGCAAAAGAAAGTACGCTATCCTCAGCAGCAGGAACAGGTTAGTGCTATTGTGGTGTTTTCTTGCGTACACACTACTGATAAGATTTCTTCCACTTTCGAAGCGGTTATTTCGGAGAGAGGGCTGAGAACCGCTACGCCTTTGGTTTGAAGCCTGTCGTGTGTGTGTATATGTATATGCGGTACTAAATGAAAGGATGTCCGCAAAATAATTCAAACTCAAAGTCTTGGCGAATGGGCGAAAAGTGATGACTGGTAGGGTGAAAGACGGATAAAATAGAATATTGATCGTATCCGCAATTCAAACGCCAAGAAAACAATGATGGTGGATGTGATGGAAGGGAAATGGATGGATAACCTGGTTGGAAACGTTAAATGCGTACACAATACGCAATATTGTTCATTTGTAGTTTATAGTGGAAAGCTGTGCCGCTCTTTGGGAAAAGTGCTTCTCATGTACCGGACTTTTGTTACTTGCTTCTCTCTTTTATTCCGTAAAGATAGGAACACACACTCAATGTATGGTAGTATTAATGTACTTTACTCAAGAGGTCTGAGTCTCTGAGTGTACCCCTCGGCCAAAAGGGACTAAGAAGTGCCAACTGTTGTATATCCGATTTCTTTAATCAATTTAACTCATTATATGCTCACACGCACATACCCTCCGTGTGCGCGAAAGAGAGAGAAAATCTTCTAGTGTGTATGCACAGTAGTTCAATTCCAGTTTCACATCATATTTACCCACTTTATGCAAAGCACACAGCACAGCTCTCGTGCATTTCCCACTAACTCATTCTATGAATATGTGTGTAATAATTGCATATGCATTTCTTCGGTTGCGTTAAATCGGACATTGAATTTGAATTTAAAAAAAAGGGCAGACAAAGTTCGTTGCCGACGTATGGAAAACAGTTTAATGCAAGTAGTGTCTGACTGCTGCTTTCGGTCATTTTAAAAAACAATGTGGTTACAGAGTGCGGTGCTCATCATACATTGTGAAACATACATATATCATCATCATCATCCTGGATAAACTTGACAACAATCAAATCAGGACAAAGCCAATTAAGATCCCGCTCATTTCGGTGCCGTTTTTATGTGGGCTTATTACTTGGTACAACGCGGGCCGAACAATAAGCAAAATGTGCTAGACTTTCTTATCTTTTGCCTTATGAATAAAAACTAAGATCCCGATCAAATTAAGTTAATATTTTTATTTAGCATGAGTTTTCTGATGCACACAGGCACAAAGCGCATATAATGAATACCACTCCGCCTCCCCTTCTCCGATCAACGGATTTCAGACCCAGGATATTCGGGGTAGCAATTTGCATTCAAGGCCAGACCAATTTATGATCAATCCGATGATGACAACACTAGGGTATATTTTGATACGCAAACTTGAGCTCCTCTTTAATTCTGTCAACGGATTGTTTATTGCGTTCATATGCAATCACATCCATTAAGCAAAAAGCAGTCATCCTTGCATGAATTCATACAATTCTTGCCTGCGCAGACATAATGCAGCCACATCCCCCACGTCTTCTTTCACTTATGCGTACATACGTTGTGTGTGTGTGTGTGTGCATGCATTCCAAAATAGTGGGATGACAGCTCATTCAGCCTGAAAAATCGGATGCGAGAAAATTCACTCATTGCTGCTTTGCTTGCTTGCTTGCCTTCCCGACCTTGCACTTGCGCTGTGCAGTGCATGAAATGGTGGTAATCTGCATATTACCGCGCGCGTATAACAGTGGTTCCTCATGCCTATAAAGATACAATCAATAAATCAAAATTAAGGAATTAAAAAGGGAAAATAACATGAAAAACACAGGGTCCCTAATGACATGATGACGTACAGTATTGCAAGAAGAACCCTACACTTATATTTAATACGAATGATGTCCGCCTCCCGCATTATCAGAAGAATGATATCCATCTCCTCCTCCCCCGCTTGTCGTCCTTGCTGCGAGTTCAGAAAAGGGTGGTAAACTCGTCATACCATTATGCACGCTAGCTTGCTGTTGACCTTGTCGATTCGGATCCAATAACATGGCCATATTGGCAGGTTGACTTTGTCCTGCTGCTGCTGCTGCTGCTGCCGTTGGACTATACGGATAATTTGCATGATGAGCAGCTGTGAGCGGAAAAGATTTTTGATTGTATTGATTCACAGTAAACATCGGATTCACTTGAGAACTTCCACCATTTGCTCCATTTCCGGTCGAACTTCCATTCGTACCTCCTAAATTGACAAGCGTCGCATTGCTCGACGGGGTCGCATGTCGAAGTGAAGATCCATCTCGACTTGCTGCACTACCTCTACTCAACCCTCTTTGCGATTGTGACATTCGCCTTGTTGATCTTGGTCGCGGTCCAATAGTGGATGCAATATCCGTTTGCAAATTCTCCATCACATCCGATCCTGAATCATTTGCAATCGAAGCCAAAGAAGGTAAAGGATATCCATGCTGAGAAGAATGTGCAGAAGATGGTAAAGGCATGTTCGGATTCGAATGCGATGCTGTTCCAACCACGCCCGAAGAGTAAGGATGGAATCTTGGTGCTGCAGTATGATGCAAAGGTGATGCACTTCCTGCTCGATGGGCTGATCCGGTTCTGCTTCCATGACTTTGTCGGCTGAATGACGGTCGATTGCCCACTAAATGAATCGGTCCTGGACTCATACTTCCTTGTTTGTATCTGGTATTTGTGGCAGTAGATGTACTCGTCTCAGCTGCAGTCATATTTTCCATATTCAAAATCAATTGATTATCCAACGAACTGGCAACCGATCTCGTATCAACTGAACTTCGATCACCTCCGTTTGCCCCTCCTCCATATCTGGTCCTGCCAGAAGCTGCATCAATGATACTAGGAGCAGAATTTAGACTGGATGTTGTTTCAGGTCGATGATTCGAATGTGGATAAGCATTGATTGCATTTCGCATCGGTCCAGGATCACTGTCACGCGTATGATAAGATTGCATCGATTGCCTTCTTGGATCGTTCTCTGCCAAAATATCATCTTCCGCATCACGTGGTCGTACTCTTCCTCTTCCGGCATTATTCATACCGACAGGTGATGGACTGTACGAACCTGCACCCAATCTTCCTGACAAATTCGAATGATCAGAATTAGAAGTATGCGTATGACGTGGTTGTTTACCCCATGCCTTCTCGCTCAATGGTGTCTCGTACAAATGCACGGCCGGGTTGATGGGACCAGGGTATTGTGATAGTTGACCCACCAAATTAGTATTTTGATTAATGATCTGCGGATGTGTGCCATACTGCTGTTCGTACTGAAGTTGTTGCGATTGTAACGAAGGTCGACCAGGCCCAAGAGAATGCAAATACTGTTGCTGAGCCTGCTGTTGTTGCGCTTGTTGCTGCATATGCTGCGCTGCTTGTTGTGCTTGCAACGCTTTCGTCATATCATTATCTGCCAATTGCAACCATTCCACTTGATCACGCGCATTGGACGAAGCCAAGATTTGATTTCTCTTTTGCATAACCGCTCTTGCACGTTCTCTTGCCGCTTGTTCTTGTGCTGCTCGTTTTGCTTTTTCCGCTTCTCTTGCTGCTTTTTCTGCTTCTTTCTTTGCTTTCTTTGGATCGATTGGCTTTGTAGGTTGTTGTGCTTGTGCATGATCGGCAATGATCTGTTGTGCAGGCGTGATGGATGATGCACTTATGCTCGTAGGAATACTACTCGTCGTCTGATTACCTTGCCAAGATTGTTGATTCGTTGGCTGACCGGACGAATTTGTACTGCTTGAGAATGCGCTCTTGCCTGCTCCCCTCTCACCACCAGCACCACCTCCCAAAACGGAAGAAATGTGCAGACCCCAACCTTTTCCACCTTTCTTTTTGGTAGCATCTTTGGCTGAAGATAGAGTCTCATTGGATGTTTCCGATTGATCTCTTTGACCGACATATTCACCGCTACTGTGTGTTGATCCAGGATGAGGAGATACAAGACCATGCATCCTGTTGTGCTGTTGTGCTGCCGCTAAGGTAGGCGATTGACCATAAGACTCATACGATTGTGCCACTGCACCGTCATTCTGCCTTTCATGAGAAGAGAACGAATTAGACCCTTGTCGATCAACTCGTGTCACACTACTCAAGTTACTATTGCCCGGGTAGTGAGCAGGAGACATCATCGCAACATCCCCGTTATTGTTCTGAGTCGACCCAATAGCTGACAAACGACTATACGTTGAAGCAGATTCAGGAAAGGCCGGGTATTGGGAAACACTTGAATTTCTCTGATTCACCATCAAAGCTGCAATCTCATCTCCACGATCAGAAGATCCATGAATCAACGGAGATGCAGAGTCCATCGCGATATCACCATCAGATTGTTGTTGTTGTGGTGCACGTATAGGCTGCAACTTTTGTTGATGATTAGCCGCAACAGGTTGCGGTCCTGCACCAAAGGGAATCTTTTGCATTTGAGAAACGGTAGAATGAGATGGTGGGATCGCCCGACGTATACTGGCTGCATCCACATTTGCCAAAGACGAAATGCTAGCGAGCGATTGAAGATTTGCTTTGGGCATTTGTCGCATCATAGAAGCTTGTTGTTCTGGCGTAGTGGCAGCCACCATTGCCTTTGCTTGAGGTGGTTGCAAACGAGGTGCCAGAGTGGTAAAGTAATAATGATTCAACAGATCATCCGTTGTCATCCGAGCTCGAGGATCATACCTCAACAAATCCTGTATGCAATCAATCAAGGAAGGTGGAACCTTGGAACTAAACAATGTCGTAAATGTAACAGGCTTCACTATCGGAAACTCAAATCCTACTGCCCTTGCCATCTTGATCCCTCTTTGCCATTCACCGCCTCCTTTCTTCCGTCCTCGATCGTCATTACCATAATCGTGCAAAGGATCACCAATCACATCACATATCTGCAATACTTGGTCCACCTCGCTCTGTCCAGGAAACAGCGGTTTGAGGTTGACAATTTCTGCCAAAATTGTACCCAAAGCCCACAAATCGACTGGATTGGAATAATCTCTTGATCTCAACAAGACTTCTGGCGCCCGATACCATCTCGTGGACACATATTCCGTATAAGGCGGCTTGCTCAACGTTTCACGAGCCAAACCGAAATCGGCCAACTTGACAATCACCAAGACATCCTTTTCAGGAGGCGTTCCAGGCATAGCCAAAGGCGAAGCGGTAGGATAATCCGCCAAACCTGTCGTTGTAATAAGAAGATTTTCTGGCTTCATATCTCTATGGAAATAACCATGCTGATGAATGTGATGCAGACCTTTGACAATCTGTTGGAATATCGAAGCTACCAAACCGCCTGCCAGTGGCCTTCCTTTGCGAGATTTTGTCAATTGATACAGATTTCCTTCCATACACTCAAAGACAAAGTGCAGCTCCTTTGAGCCAGGCATCAAAAAGGCATCATAAAGTGGAATGATGTTCGGATGATGCGGTATTGCCAGTAGCGATTTGAGTTCTTTCAATTTCATACATTCGTTCCAATTCGGAAATGGCTTTTTCATCTTTTTAATCGCAACCAATCGTTTTCCAACATATTCCGGTCGTGTTGTTGGATGTTGCATTGGACTTAACATCGTTCCACTTGGCAAAGGACTTTTCCAATCTGCCAAACAAACCGTTCCAAAAGATCCGTCACCCACATCGCGTATCACAGTGAAATCTCTTGGTCCTTCTCTCATCAGAGAGGCAGCCGTTGTTGGCATTTCCGTTTGTGAAGGTGATAGAGTGGATCCATTGTTTTGTATTGTTGGAGAATTGGCTTTTGGTGGTTGCTTATGATAATCGGATGGAAGACGTGATGAGCTGGCATGTTGTTGGTTGTCATACCCCGAAAGGCCACCGATCCCATTCTCTACAGGAATCGATCCTCTTCCAGCAATCGTACTTGTATATTGATTTCGATGGTTTGATGGACCTGCATCGCCGTTTGCTATCGCAGCATTCATTGCAGATCCTTTTACAGCTCTTGCTGCTGCGGCTGCCGCTACTGCAACTGCTGCAGATGATGCTGTAGAAGCGTTTGCGTTTGTGTGAGAAGATGGTAATAGATCTGAAGGGATTGATCTTGCTTCTAGAACTTGCATGCTAAAAGCTCAAACGAGGAGCTGAAGAAGAAGAAGAAGATCGAATCCCTTGCGATCCACGGGATAAAGAGGATGTGTTGTTTAGGAAAGCCTCTCTGTTTTTTGTTAATCGATATATTGATTCGTGAATGTCGTGAAAAGCATTATCGTTTGGTTTTACGTTCGATGTAGAGCGAGTTGTTGTTGGATGATTTGTGTTGTGTGTTTGAATGTACAAATGGATGATTCCTAATGTTATGCTGACCTCAACGTGTCAATTATCACCAATCGACGATTAGATTGCAATGATGATCAGGATTGCAAACGTGAATGCGGCGGACAATGACACTGCAATGTGTGTGTGTGTATATGTGTATTGCGAGATCAGGCAATGCTAGCGTGTCTCTATGTGTGTGTGTGTGCACGGAAAAGTGTGTGCGTACAAGAGAGAGCAATGCAGTGTAGTCGCGCGTAACAATAATTTTTTATCAGAGGAATAAAAATAAAAAAAAGTACGAGTAGTGATGGATTCTTACAAAAAAAGGGTGCCAACTGTATCTCTAGTAAAAGACAGATAAAGTGTGTGTGTGTTGTAAGAACAAAGTTGAGCGTGTCTATTTTAGCGTAAAATACACCCGTACATAATACATACACTTATTAAACAGTTCAAGGAAGTCCGGCATGCAAGCCGCCTTTTTTGTGGGTGACCGAACTGAGCCTCTTTAGGTCGCGCTTAAATAAGGAGCCGATTATGTGTTTGCATTTTTTATTTTTAATACGTGCCCCCTTCTTCGGAACAAAAAAAAAAAAACACTGCTCTCGCACCCAAAAGAGCTTTAAATTCAGCCACTTTTTCTACGCTTTAGCGAAAATGCTATATGCCGGGACTTATGACGACGCGTCTGTTATCGGGAGATCATTCTCAAGGAAATAAGGAGGTTTAATGACATTAAAATCACCCTAGGGTCATCTAAAGAAACTTCTTAATGATGATCACGGTATATTTATAACCCTTGAGAATTCATTTCAACGATCGTGTGAAAAGAGCGATGTGAAAAGCATCTATTTTCCTTAAAATGATCTCCGAATTCTTTCCGCCACGGAAAGATTTAGTGCGGCTTGGCAAATGTACCATAGGTGCTTCAAATATGATTTCATAAAGGGAAAGACTGATTTTAACAAAAGTCCTACTTTAACACTTGCGAACACTAGATTCCACATGAACAAATCTGTCTCTATAAATTCGATCATTTGCCCCCTTTCTTAGGTGAACTTGAGCCGGCGCCTATCATCTTACTGGGATCAAAATAAACTGCATCACTCTTTTTTGGATTTTGCATATGTTCTGGCATTTTATAGCCATCTGGTAATTTTGTTCCTTGTCTCAACGGTGGTGGCTCATGTGCAGATGCAGGATCGAAATGACCAGGTTTGGGAACATGGGCCGGCGGAGTTTTTGTACCGCCTCCAAAAAGTTTCTTTATTTTGTTTATGACACGTTTGACCAGTACGACATCCGATTCAGAAGATTCCCTTTTGATGAGATCGGAATGCTCGATTGAAGTAGGAAAAGATTGAGCTTGATCTTGCAAAAGCAGCAAAAATACTACTACAAAACTTAAACAAAGGAAATACGACCAGCGCATCTTGATGTTGAAGAAAAGAGAAAAAAAAAAGATGCTCACATAAATGTCCCTCTTACATACGCAACCTTCAATCTGCTATTGTCATGAATTGCTGCTTGGCGCTGGCGTACGCAAAGTCGCCCCCTCTTCTCAGCCACAAATAAGATACACGATCGCCAAGACACGCAAGCCCCTTCAAGTCGCCTCACGGCTGTAGACCTTTCCATCACGACCAAGACATATTTCTGACATAATCATACAATTCGAATAAATATACACTTCATAGATACAATAAAGAGACTAATCCTCCTCAACGGCGATGTATTTCGATAAATTATGACTGGCTTGATCAATTGCTTGAGAAAAAGCATGATCAATTGTTTCTTTTGTCGTTGGAAGATCATCCAACGCAGACCTTTCCTTTTTGCCATGTCTGTGCGATCTTTGATCACTGTGCGCAGTCTGAGGTTGCTCCTTGCGTTTCTTCGAAGCTTCATCTGCCTTTCTACGTCTCTCTCGATGATGATCAGCCTGTGCACCCGTACCAGCTCTTTCATTCGCAAGATGATACAAATAATCCAAAGAACCCACTTGAAAACGTTGACCTTGATTCCATTTCTTTTGAAGATTTGCTTCACTCATCGATCCAAAAGCTGGTGGAGCAGGATACCAAACCACATTACCCGTTTCGGGATCTTGATGAAACAATTGTTGAGTTTGTTCAGGTAACGTTTTGAAATATGCACTTGCATCCATTTGTTGCATTGCCATATTCAGACTTCGATCGATCGAAGGCGCAATCACTGGCACTTTAGAATTTGCACTCGTAGCAGCAACAGCCGGAGAAGCGGTAGCATTGGGCAATGCAGCCGTACGAGCAAACGGTGAAGCAGAATTCTTTGCAGCTCCCATTCCACTCAAACCAATAGCTTCCGGTTGAGGTGTTTCACCTTCAACAGTTGCTGCTGATGTCGGTGCCAATGTGCCATTTGTATTCTTTTCTCGTTCCAAAGCAGCTGCTTTTTCTTGTTGTTTAGCTTTCAAGAAATTTCTTCTTTGCGTTTGCACTTCATCCCGCCATTCTTTGAACAATTGTGGTATCTCCAACTCGCCTTCCGACAAGTCCATTCTCCTTGCCGGTCTTCGCGCCATTCGAGGACCAGAAAGGCTTGCCAACGTTGCTCCAATGTTCCTGCTGCTTGATGTATTGACCATACTGATGGAAGGTCGAACATCGCTCACAATTCCACCCGGTCCATCAATTCCGCGTAAGAACGGAGATGGCAATTTGTCCGGCAGTGGGTTGGGTCGGTCAAATTCGATCAATCCAAATGTTTTATGACGTACCTCTTCCGGCATACAGCTTGCCCAATTCTTGATCTTAAAGTAAGCGTCCCGATCAGGCTGGTAACGCATTTCACAGACGTAGAGCGGATCTCCCGTATGCCAACCTCCTTCACCTTCTGCTGGAACGCCACGATTGGCTTTGGTGTAGAAAATAACACAAATCACTTCCAAAATATCCTCAACGTGATGCTCAACATATTGTCCTGTTTTAATCACCTCATTAGACCAAAATGTCATTGAACGTGGATGCTTGCTTTGCTCAGGCCTCAAGAACCAATTTGCCGTAACCCAACCTTGATCATGATCACCTAGATCTTCGTTTCTTGTTTTGAAGACTTGTGCGATGATCGGACGGGAAGGATCGGTAGGGTTCATCAAATGAACCCAATTACCAACGGCAATCTTCATACCCTTGTAATGATGACGTGCAACATTGGTCTGGTATCCGACTGTTGGCGATTCTCCTGCATCTCTGTTTTCACCTTCTTGTCCTGGTCCATACTTGTTGGAAGTATAGTTGCGTGAAATGATCTCATCCTCAATTCCTTCAGTGACTGAATCAACTGATTGTGTTAGGTGTTGATACATCCTTTGTAAGATTAACAGATTTCCGTACGTCTCCGTCGCTGGCTCAAAGTACCTTCTTCCATTCTTGAACAATAGCATCATTGCTTTCTCGAAATCGATCGAAGATGCAAACCCACCGCCCGGTGTTTGGACTCGCGTTTCAATCTGTTGTAAAGACGTCGGAATATGCACATAATCCAAATACCTTCTATCTTTGTTCTTTGGCTCTGTCTCCATGAATTCGGTAAGGCGTCTATCACCCCTTTCGGCAAGCCAAGCACGAATCTTGTCGATGATTGTCATATAGATTGTTCTTGCTTGGCGTGAATCTTCAATTTCTTCTATCCATCCTGAATCCGGTCTGTCTGCTTGTCGTTCTGTACGCGTTGCGCTCTCATCATCTGTTTTCATGGTGCCTTTGAGTGATCGTATCTGTGCGTTTGAGGAACTCTTTTGATTGCTTACAGGCTCTACATCTGCCATCTCCTCATCATGATCATCTTCTTCGGCTTTTACTGCCTTTCGATTTGTGCGAGATGGTGGAGGAGTGGATTCTGCCATGTTTGAAGTTGTACGTTGTCTGGATGAGCTCTTTACTTGTTTTGATTTGGATGTGCTACGATATGATCTTTCAAAGTCATCATCGTCATCTTCTTCGTTTGCGTAAGTGTCAGCCTCTTCTTGCTCTTCATCATCTTGTCCTTCTTCATCTTCATCTTCGTCATTCATCCTTCTTGAATTACGTCTAGCATTGGATGCCCTACTTCCTCTGATCGGTCTATTTGAGCGTGAAGGTGATGCTATTGATTGATCAAATTGAGGTGCAGCAGCCCTTCGTCTTGGTCTTATTCCATCACCATCAGCATCCATTTTGCATACCTTAATAAATAAAAGATGATGGATGGATGATTGCTTCTTAAAAACAAGCGCGTTTTACTAGAAGACGTGTTGACCTCTTACTTTAACACGCTAGACAACACATTTAAAAGGGATTGATTGCATGCGTGGTACCTGAGGTAGCGAGCACACGCTAACCAACAACTCTGAGAGAGAGGGATCTCTTACATGGTAACCCTTCCTCTTTGATGAAACTGGCATACTTTTGATGCAATTTGCTGCGCCAACGCTAAAGCCTACAGACTGACACACTATCGGAACTTCCCCTCTAAGGCAAGGCGCCCGTTGAATGAAGACAGTAACTCTTCTTGTTTTACGCTAGAATGAATAATAAAAATAACGTTTTACATTGTGGGAGACTGATGAAGTGCTTTTGCATTATTACACTTCATTTCACTTTCAACTTCATTCTCTTGACTCTCTTCATTGTTCCTCGTCTATATGGCTTCAAAGGTTGTTCAACAAGGCAAAGGTTCAATCACGACTTGAATCATTGGTACTTTGTTCGCCATCCCAACGTCTGAGCATCCAAGATGTCTGTCGCCAATGGAACATCAGTCAATGGCAAATCGCCAACCTTAAATGGGGAAACGAGTAACGGTGAAACTTCCAATGCAAATGCCACAACACCTTCTCCAACAATTACCGCTCAACCATACAGAAGATGGGAACCACTTCCTCAAATTCAATATGGTTTCGCAATATCACCTTTCGTACCCGAACCAGATTCAATCTCACTCGAATTGAATGCAGAGATGGATCCTGGTTCGGCATTCACCACAATTCAGCCACATCTTATCGGCCTTGAGGTGGGAGACGAAGTCTACGTGTTCGAACAACTCGGTCATACAGATGTCAGCTGGTGTCGTGGTTATGTTGTTTCCACAAATCGAGTTCCGACTTCAGCAACAACTACGAGCAGTCTTTCAGATTATTCCACTTTTCCAAGTACGAGTGCAGCAGGTGCAAGCTTGGTAGAAGAACCTCAGGTGTACGTTGGACTGTTCCCAAAAGCAAATATCCATATTCGGGAACACTTGGATGATGCGGAAATGCGTTTAACAGATGTATATGCAAAAGCATTGGAATCAGGCGTTGTAGGAGCAACTGCACCTCCTCCTCCAAAACCTTTGGTAAACACAAGTCATATGGAAACATTACCGGAAGAAGATGAAAATATCCCAAGTCAACCTACCAGTCCCGCAGCGCCGGAATTTAAACAAAACGATGTATCAATTGCAGGCGCTTTTTCTGCTCTTGGTTCGGGTGTTCCAGGTCAAAGCAAAGTCACTTTGGATCATTCTCGTCAATCCTTCATCCTTCAAGATTCAGCACAACAAACGGATGAAGAACGTCCACCTCCGCCTTTGCCAAGTCTTAAATGCGGTGATGAAACACGAACAGGGGTAGAAGAACCTTTGGTGGACGAAATTGCATGTGCATTACGAGAATGGAGTACACTGATGTACATCTATTTGAGCAAGAGAGATTACGCTTTATTTTACGCTGTTCGTGAGCATATCGATGTCTTACATGCTGCTAGAAGGCAATTGCTTGCACAAACGTTGAGTGAAGAAGAATCGAGCAAATTGCGAAGGGAATGCGTTGCCCGATTAGTCAAAGGGAATGTCCAGCAAGGATTGGATGTGATCGTCAGACATCCTGGTAGAGGTGGTTTAGTGGATGTTGACTTTACCGGCAAAGAATCTGATGCAGAGAGTTGGATAAGTGGTATCCAACTTTACGCACTTCAAGCAGCTTTAGCATATGTGGATCAAGAATCAACAACAAGCGATTCCACCGGAGCTGTAGCCACAAATGCGTTTGGAATCACAACGCTCAATACACTTTCTCCAGCTGGTATCCTCAACACACCTTTGAACTCGACACACAAGCGAGGCACACTTATCAAACAGCAACCTCAAAGGCCCAGAGCTGGAACGCTAACGGGTGGTCACACTTCAAAGACTGAGTCTAATTCGGATATCAAGTATTTCCATGTGTACTTGGATCTTCGCGCATTCGTTGCAAGTCCTTGTCAACCAGGTGAAACAGCTGAATTATACTTTTCACTGTACAACAAAGCTGAATCACGTTTCTTGACGGAAGAATTCTGTGTAATTCTCAACCATCAAGGAGTGGCAGCAAGAAAGGACAAGCTCGGAAAGATGCATGCTTTGTTCACTGATCTCAGTGCTAATGATATGCATGATCTCAACGTTGTTTGTCGAATCGTTAGAAATGGATATATGAGAATATCGAATGTGGATACCCAAAAGCCAATCTCAAATGATAAATTAGATGCAACAGACGTCAGACCTGTTGATCAGCTCAATGGTGTGTACAATGCACCAGAAGGTGGAATACCCGGATTCCGTTCATCAAGAATGACGGGTGATCGTACATTCAGAAGACCGTTTGGATGCGCTGTTGTAGAATTGGGTCAAGATCATCAGATTGACGTTCAAACGACATCTGCAAGTCCTTTATGCGAACACATCATGCCGATCTTCACTCCGGTCAATGAAGCTGCATTCAGTACATTGCATCAAGATATCATTGCCTCACGAGTACGCGAATTCGAAAAGTCCCCAAGAGCAGATCTATTGGCAGTCAATGTAAAGGTATTCTATGGCGAAAAGAATCAACTTGTGCGTGAGAATACGGCTCTTTTGCAAGACACCGCTCTGACTGCAAGATTGGGCTTCCCTGATGTCGTCTTCCCAGGCGATACACGTAATGAGGCCTATATCAAGCTGTGGAGTGGTGAATTCTTCCCTACAAGCAGTAAGATGCCCGGTGGAAATACAGCGAGGAATATTCAAATCTCTGCTGAGATTCGCCTGCGAGATGGAAGTGTGCTTGAAAAAGCCATTTCTCGAGGTTCAGGTGAAGATTTAGTCACACAGTTCGACAGCACGGTCTTTTATCATCAAAATGCACCGACATGGGGTGAATTGCTCAAATTACAGCTGCCGACAGAAGTGATGGAACACTGTCACGTCTTTTTCACATTCCGACATCGTAGTACAAAGGAAGAAAAAGCACCACAACAATCCAATGGTCAACAAAGTGGAAATAGCCATGCCTCCTTGGCACACATCAGTCCACCGTTTGCACATGGATATCTGCCATTGTTCGAAACGAATACAGCCTTCATTCCAGATGGCAGTCATACCTTGTTGCTATGGCGTAGTTCAAGATCTGCACAACATCTCAGTCCGGAGCTCTACTTCTCTTTGCCACCTACTGTCCCTGCCGGAAAACCTTTGGGCGATATCATTCCACCAAGTTTGGCAAGCATTATTCAACCTTTACGTGATACGATGACTTTGCGTACTTTTCTCGTTTCTGCAAGGTATACGCAAAATGAAGTTTTACTTAAACTTTTACACTGGGAAAATGTTTTGACTGAAAGTATTGAAGAACTCAAGTCTGTTTTGGTCAAATTTGCTTTTGTCAGTGAAGTGGAAATTGTCAAATTTTTGAGAAATATCTTTGATGCTCTTTTTGGTATCGTTGTCAGTCCCAAGAATGGCTCAGGAGAACTTGATGATTTGGTTTTTAACTCGATTGTGACAGTGCTGGGTATCGTTCAAGATCGTCGGTTCAACAACTTCCGTGCAACTTTGGATGTTTATATTGAGGAGCATTACCACTCTCAAACTGCGTATGCACGATTGATGGCATCCATGTCCAAATTGCTATCGGATCCTGCACGGCCTGAAACATCGAAAGACTTGAGAGCAGCTATCAAGGTTTGGCCGTACATCTTCAAATTTATCGTGAGAAGTCGTGAAAACCAACGAGGAGTGAAGGATCCTCTAGGTGCTTTGGGAGGAGCAGTAAGTGATCACTTCGAAACAAGCTTCAAGAGAGACTTGGATGCTCTCTTGCGCAGTATCAACAGGTTAATGTCTACTACCAAGCCAAGCTCGATCATTGGTACGCAAACGCTGGCTTTGCAAAACTTTGCTGGCACGCTTCCAGAACTGGCAAGGGTTTATCCAATGGATGAACTAGCACGAATCGAAACTGCATTCGCTGATAGTGTCTACGTCACCAAAGGTAGAATGACAGTGTGGAAGTTGTTGCATATCCTACATGTCACACACGATGCTTTGTTCGAAGATCATACTTCTCGCTCGCAAATGCTTCCCAGTATCGTTCGTTGGATCCGACCTCACCTTGGACACTATGACGAAAGTATTCATGCAAGCGGAGGCGAACATGAAGGTGCAATGGATTCAGCACGAATTGCATGGGTGGAATCAGCCAGATTGGCAGTTGCCATTATTGCTGTGGTTCTAGATCGGTTGCAAGTGAGTTTGGTGAATGGACGATTGGGTCGGATAAGTGCCGTTGAAGTTCGTCAAGAACAAGATAATGTGGATTACGTATTGTCAATGATGCCTAAATTGTTACAGACGTACAAGGAATTCCATAGCCCTGCAACTCGCGCCGCATTTGAACGTCATCGATCTCCGTCAACGGTTTCATCAGTCGTGCCTGTTGTTTTCCCATCTAGCTACCCCTTCCCACTCGTTGCCAGAAAACCGATCGGAAACGTCAGTCCAGCACCCGTTCGTTCATTGCGAAGGCAGCAAAGGAAGGAAGATTATCCGTACCTCAACCTCGGTCTTGGAGAGATTGCAGCCGTGCTTACTGTTCTGGTGATGTTGAGTCCAAGGCGACATCTGATTGGCTTCATGGATGAGCAATTGGACGTCGACGGTCGGGATAAATTAAGTGAATTCTTACACAACTTCTTTGAGGTATCCACCAGCATTTTGCTCAATGAAGCATATCCAAGTACGTGGCTCAACATCAACATCTTGGCACATCAAATGGTACTCAAGATGGCTGATCCTTTGGCAACCTTGTTGGTTCGCGATTTCATTCCGCCTGCCGATCAATTGGATACCTTCAAGACGGATCTATGGAAAGCAGGATTGAGTATGCTGCTCACCCTGCTATCATCGGACCAATTGGTCATCGAACGGTTCAAGCCGCAAAGACGAAGAGCAGTTTGGCGTTTGGCAGGTGATGTTCGTGGTGAAGGTGCGCAAATCTTTGCAAAATTATGGAATTCAATCGGATGGCCTGACGGACAACAAGACAAGGTTGCTTCCAAGGAAGTGCAAGAATCTGATGTTGTTGATTTGAACAAACTCAATACTGGTGGCTTCCAGGTGCAATTTGTACCTTCGCTTGTAGAACCGGTACTTGAGCTATGTCTCAGTCATCACGACGAACTGCGAACGTGCGCCGTTCGTGTCTTGGCAACGATGATTACTTCGGAATGGCACTTGAACGGCAGCTTTGGCGTGATTGAGGCCGAAATTATCGACAAATTGGATGTGTTGTTCATTGCGGACACTCAAGGAGATGAAGTCTCTCGTGCTTTCTTCATTGGTCAATTGCGATCCTTATTTGAGACACCACAAGTCGATCCGCAATTACAGGAACAAGTGCATTCTTGTTTGGTCAGCGTGAATCGTTTCTTGGATCTCTTGTTGAACGTTCGCAATCTCCCCCTCGAGGAAGGGTTTGAGGATGATCGAGTGTCAGGAACACTGAAGTTGCTTGGATTCTTACGTCAGGCGAATCGAGTGACTGCATTCTCAACGCACGTTCTACGACTTGTCAATCTTCATTTGGAAAATCAAAATTACGTTGAAGCTGCTTTGACGCTCAAATTGCATGCTGATTTGCATACTTGGGACTTGGATAGTTTTGTTGAACCTATTGCAGATTTGGACTTGCCTCGTCAATCGCACTTTGCCAGAAGAGAAACGTTGTATATGCTAATCTTGGATTACCTGAACAAAGGACAAGCTTGGGAAATTTCGATCGATATCTGTAGGGAGCTTGCAAGGGAGTATGAATTCCGAGCGGTTGACTATGGTAGATTAGCAGATGTCCTCAATCTACAGGCGTCGTTGTTCAACAAGATTGGAACGGAAGAACGTACATTCCCCAACTACTTCAGAGTTGCCTATTACGGATCTCAATGGCCTACCAGCTTGCAAAGTAAGAATTTCATTTATCGCGGAAACAATTGGGAGAAGTTTAGCAATTTCTGTGAAAGGATGCATCAACGTCACCCACGCGCAACTTTGATCAAGAGTAACATGGAGCCTAATGATGAAATTCGATTCTCTACAAATATGTTCTTGCAAATCACAGCAGTTGTACCTGAACCTGATCGTACACAAGATGTTTTCGTTAATCCTGAAACGCCTCCTATCGTGCGAGCGTATTATGAGCATAATACTACCAACTTGTTCAGTTTCACAAGACCGCTTGCACGCAATGAAGATGCTCAGTCTCGCACCGATACACTGGCAAACAACGTGGAAACGAACAACATCACCAGCTTGTGGGTTGAAAAGACCTTTTTACGGGTTGAAGATTCGTTCCCTACGGTTTTGCGTAGAAGTGAAATCGCAGAGATTGAGGTTGTACGGATTTCACCGATCGAGAACGCACTGTCTGATGTGGAAAAGAAGGTGAAAGAATTGGAAACACTTGAGGTCAAGTTTGTCAGTCTAAGCAAAGTCGTTGGACAAAAAGTCAGCTTGAACACGAACAGGCTCAGTATGGCCTTGAACGGAGCAGTTGATGCACCGATCAATGGAGGTATTCCGATGTACAAGAAAGCATTCTTATCGCCAGCTTACGTGGGGGAACATCCTGAAGAAGAGCCTTTGATGCACAAACTACGACAAGCGATCGATCAACAAGCAAGCGTAATCTTTAGGTGTATCAATCTACACAATCGATTATGCCCACCGGAAATGCGACCATTCCATGATACATTGGAACGATTCTTTAAGCAAAACTTTGCCGATGAGATCAGCAGATTGAATTTAGACTTTGAAAGCTCATCATCTTCCGGTCTTGAAGGCTCGACCAGCATGGATGGTGGTCAAACGATCACAAGGTCAGCAACCAATGACAGCCTGACAGCACGTTATGATTCTCTAACCAAAATGAATGGGTTAGGCGATCATGATTACAGCTCAACCTTGCTATCTGCAACTGCAGCAAATGCACCAATTGCTATCAGCCCACTTCAAAGACATGTTGCCTACCTTTCCAAACAGGCTCAACCTATCAAATCATCTCCCACAGCTCAGGATAGCTCTGTTGCCGCAAACAAAGCGATGTCTAACCCGATCCATCGGTCAACGGATGCTCCTCCCGGCGCAACAAATACGTTGACAGCCAATGTTATGAGCACATCTGGAACGAATCCTTTGGGTCTCTCTAGTAATTCAACAGCTCTCAACGCTGTTGAAATTGTCAATTCTGACGCTGCTTCAAGAGCAGGCGGACCTGCAACATCTCCCAAAACTCTCACGCGTGGCATTGCGTCTCAGCAACAAATCGGTGCACCTTCTATGTACAGTGAACTTTCTTCTGCCACAAACAAAGGTCAAGGAAGCATATTCTCAAAAGTGACCGAAAGCGGTCGTGAACGTGCAAGCAAATTGTTTGGCAGCGTTCGTCGTCGTTAAAAAACAGTTTATACCTTTTTCTTTTGCTCTTGCTCCATTATAGGCGTTTCTTTTGATAGTCGGATGAAATGAATCAGTAAACAGAAATCAACATGACGCATTTTTCGGGAGTGTGTAAAAATACAATTGGATGCCAGCCACCCCCCTCTTTCATCCCAAACAGATTCGGTAAGAGCAGTATCGACCAGAAGTTTCAGACGGTCTTGTGATCTTGCAAACTTGACCTCGCTTCATTCCATAGTAGCGTGCGACTGGATCACTGACTTGAATACGTGGCAATTGTGTTTCTTTTAGACGATAACGTTCCAATAGAGCTTTCTTCTCTTCATCCGTCAAGACATCATGTCTGGGTACGAGATGATGATGAGTGATGTTGACCAAAAGAGCGGTTTCATGAAAGTCTTCCAGGTCAAATTGCGTTCTCATTGCGTCGATGACTTTATGTGCACTTGCAGTCATTTTATCTTGATAAATAATAATCCCTTTTTGAATTTCTTTATCTTCCAATTGTTGTAGAAATTTTCTCATCGTCATTACACCAACATTTCTTTCATCACTAAAATAAACGAAAATTTTCTGAGAATCATCATTTGTTAAACGAGTGAAAAAGTGTAATCTGTTTCTATCAATCGCTCCTGATCCACCCGTTACTTGTTCACGAAATTCATCAAGCGATGTTTCCAATTCTGAATCGGCAACGATGTATCCACGATCACGTACTAATTCGTGTATTGTACGATTAACTCGCCATAGTCGTGCAACATCGCGGTCTAGAGAGTCCATCTTTGCTGTTGTCGAATGGATGTCGAAGTGCAGATGATGGTCAAGAAGGCGTATGCGATGGAAAAAAGCGAAAAAAAGTTAAAAATTCCACGCTACGCAAAAGGGGTCCTCTGAGTTCTTTTTCAGCTTAGCGCGAAAGAGTATGCCTGACGCACCTCTTCTTACTTGTGCCCGTTTTGCATTTCGGTTTAAAGTCTACTGTTTATCCGACGGCGTAAGCCTTCCGATGTTCCGCCTGAACGCAAGTTTGCGTGCGCGGAGTATTTAAACGCATGTGGGAAGTTACTCATGCACTATTCCTGCCTCCACTACTCACACAAATCAAAGATGACGTCCTTAACAACAAAGACACTGTCCGGGTACATTGTCCGAAAGTTTAAGAAGAAAGGGTAGCGGACTGATAAGAGGAAGAACTTAAATAGAACATCCTCCTTACTTTCTTTCACCATCCTATTAACATCCTTGCTCATCATGTCTTCTGAAGCAATCAAAGGAAGATTGCAAGACGCTGAGAAATCAGCTGAAAAGACGGCAAGTGACCTAAAATCGAAAGCATTAGATGCTTCAAATGACTTGAAAGCAAGAACACAAGATGCAACAAATGATTTAGGATCAAAAGCACAAGATGCAATCTCTTCCATCAAAGGAAAGACAACAACAGATCCTTTAGGATTCGTTCCAAATTTCTCATTTACCGATTATGTTCGTTTCTTTTCTGCTGGTGCACTTTGTGCAACAATCACACATGGTGCAATGACACCTGTTGATGTTGTAAAAACAAGACTTCAATTAGAGCCAAAAGGCAGTAAGCTAGGAATGGCCTCGATGGCACGTTCAATCGTTGCATCCGAAGGTGCTGCTGGTTTGATGACAGGTTTCGGTCCAACAGCTGTTGGTTATCTTATTCAAGGTGGTTCGAAATTTTGCGGTTTTGAAGCATTTAAACGTGCAGGTGTTTTGATGGCAGGTTCAGAAGCAGAAGCACAAAAGCATCGTACTTTAATTTATATCGGAGGTGCTTCAGCTGCAGAATTGATTGCATCTACCCTTCTTACCCCTTTGGAAGCTGCAAGAATTCGTTTAGTCTCTCAACGTGGTTATGCTAGCGGTTTGGCAGGCGCAATGACAAGAATGGCATCCGAAGGTGGTTTCCGTGAATTCTATGCAGGTTATATTCCAATCTTACTCAAACAGATTCCATTTACCGTTGCACAATTCACTGTCAACGAATACTCTCATGAATTCGTCAATAATAACATTTCTGAAGAATCAATCAAAGCATACGGTAAAACAGGAGAAGTTGGTGTTTCATTGGGTTGTGGTTTGGCTGCCGGTATTGCTGCTGCAATCGCATCTCATCCTGCCGATACACTTTTATCAAAGATTAACAAAGGAGGAGGTGGTTCAGGTGGTACACTTTCTAGACTTGCTCAATTGACAAAAGAGACTGGATTTATGGGATTATGGGCCGGTCTCGGTACACGTATCATCATGCAAGGTGCTTTGATTTGTGCCCAAATGGCTATCTATGACCAAATCAAGAAAGGCCTAGGAGCGCCAGCAGGTATTTCCATTGCCAAAGAAACGAATGTTGATTAGAAGTGATGATCCTTTGTCTTGCATACCTTTTCTTGTTTTGTATAGTTTATAAAAAATGAATATGTTCCATTGTATCAGTCAGTGCACTACTGTGATCCCGCCTAATCGGCTTTTGAATTTAGCGCCAATCTTAAAAACGGAAATAGCTTTGGGATATTCTTCCATTTCAACCATCATCTTATCTTTGAACATCATGTTGGTCATTCATCATCTAGGAATCTCAGTTTCGGAAAGGGTTGTATGGTTATGCGAAGAATTAGGGATCCCATACGAATTAAAGATTTATCAAAGAGATCCAAAGACAAACTTAGCGCCGGCCGAATATAAAGCTTTACACCCGTTTCAAACATCTCCCGTGATCGATGATGGTGATGTACGATTGTCAGAATCAGGAGCGGTAATAGAATATATTTTAAACAAACATGCAAGCGAACAACAAAGACAGTCAATCACAGTCTCAAAAGATGACAAGGATTATGCAGATTACCTCTATTGGGAACATTTCACAGACGCATCTTTGCATGGATCAATGATGCTCAACAGTACAGTGATGCGCTTGACAGGCGGTCAAATCGAACATGAAACGTTGAAAAATTTGGCAAACCGACTCTATTTAGGTTATGAAATGTTGGAAAAACGTTTGAAAAATAGAAAGTTTGTTGCAGGAGAAAAGTTTACAATTGCAGATCTTTTACTCTTTTTCCCAATTTCAACAATGCGAAACTTTATTCCAATTCCTAAATCTTTGGATAATTATCCAAACGTTAAAGATTATATTCAACGTTTAGGAGATCGAGATGCATACAAGCGTACCGTACAAAAAGCAGATCCTCAACGAGGTTTCGTCAGCAAGCTCTGAGCGAGAATGGGGCTCCTAGACCCTTTTTGATCTGGTCGTAGATGGCCGTTTGGGCACAAATCAAGGCACCTTGCACGAGAATAAGTGTAGAAGACCAGCCTATAATCCCATAAATCCAGTCTCATGCTGTCTGCAGATGAAATCGAGTACCAAAACCGGCTTCCCTTGTCAAAAAAAACCTTGATACTCTGTTGAGGTACATCCACATCTGAATTTCAAAAGATACATACATTGTCCTGCCAATTCCATGCTTATGCACCATCCTCGCCTGTCTTCCTCCTTAGAACGCAAATACCTTCGACATGATATGTTTGCGGGAACAAGTCTGCGCCTCGAATGCTCAAGATTTCATAATTTCTTTTTGGCGCTCCAGGAAGACCATTGATCATTTGTCCAACATCGCGTGCTTGAGTGTGTACATTACACGAAACATAAACGATCAGTTGAGGTGCAAGTGTGAGCAATTGTTTGATAAAAGGTTCATCACAACCTCTTCTCGGTGGATCAAGGATCATCGTAGTTCGATCAGAAGGATAGGTAATGTGTTTAAAGATATCTTGAGCATCTCCAGCGAGAAAATCAACGTTTTCAATCCCGTTGATCGTTGCGTTTTGCTTGGCGAATTTGATCGAATCAGCACTGATTTCTACACCTGCAACACGTTTGAAAAGCGTTGCCAGACAGAGTGAGAATAAGCCTGATCCACAATATGCATCAACGAGGTATCGATCTCCTTCTTGGGCGGTAGAGTACGTTTGTATCTGCTCTTGAACGTACGAGATCAAAGATGGTAGAATGGAACGATTGTTTTGGAAGAAAGTTCCAGCGGGGGACAAGAATTTGGTCACACCTACGCGCTCCTTCACTGTTGCCTTGTGATCAGTAATCACCTCTGTTGAAGCATCGTCCTTATCCTCAAATTGCTTGAGTGAGTCTCGCAAGAGTATTGTGGCTCCATTTTTGTACGTATAGATGTTATCCTTCACCCTCTGTCTTTCTGCTGGCAATGCACGATTGATAGAAGCGGTAGCGATCGGACATTCCTCTATATCCAGCACTTGCTTTGTGCCCACTTTGTCAAACCCTATAGCAACATAGGGAACTTCTTTGGGCTTCTCAATCGTCTCATCTCTCCCTCTTGCTCCTCGTCTCCTCTTTAGCTCGCGCGGTAGCTCAAAATGAGGCGTGAGCTTTGTACGATAGTTGAACTGCAATGGAGATGGTAAAGTAGATTTTGCTGGCGGCAAGAGGTCTTCAGGAAGATGCGAGAAATTCTTGAAAGCCCGTTGTACGACATTGCGCTTCATGTCTAGCTGTGTTGCATATTCTATATGTTGATATTGACATCCAGAGCAAGTACCGAAATACTTGCAATTGACTAATTTGTCATCCCTTTCGATCGCATGTGAACTCTCTGCAGCTCTTTCCTTGACGGTAACAAGCTCACTACGTGAATACATGCGTTCATTCGCAGTGATTCGCGCAACCACCAATTCTCCTGGTACACAATGAGGCACAGCAATCACCCAATCGCGAGAAGGAGCTATTGCCAATCCTTCACCATGAGCACTCAATCGTTCGATTCTGCATTCAATCTCTTCTCCCCGTCTAAATTTATTGATGAATTCCTTGCTAGGTCCTTCTTTGATGATCGTTTGAACAACTTCATCACCTAGAAGATCTGCGATATCGAAATAGATTGGCTCTTCTCCCATCTTTTCTAGAACCTTTTGACGATCTCGTACTTTTGATTTTATCCGTTTTGCTTCCTCTTTTGGTGTCAGTATGCGGTTGAATCCATTCCCTTGAGGAGCTCCTGCAGGTGCAGTTGTGTTTCCATTCTCCAATTGTATCGTTTGCGTGGGTGAGTCATTTCTTTGCTTCTTCGTTGGCGGAGAAGATGATCCGGCGGTAGCAGACATGATGAAAGGTTGTCTAAAGAGAGTTTGATCAATGATCGATACTTTTCTGCTTGACAATCGAAATTGTTGACGTGCCAAAGCGATCATGCCAATTCGTTATGAATGGTAATCGAAAGCATTTGGTTGGCTCTCCCATTCGTAAGAAGAAAAAGAAAAAAAGTTCTTGAGAAAGAGAAAGAGTGTCCGTATCCCGAGCCGGTCCTTAGCGTAAAAACGCGATTATGCAGGGCGTAACGCGTTCAGCCCATGATGATAAAATTTAATCAGCCTCTCTTTGTTGTGTGTGTTACTCTTTTCTCCACCATTGGAATTTGATCAAAAATGGCCAAAAGAGAGGCACATTTGATGCCAGATGCCGAAACAGGCAAGCAACAACAACAATCACAAGAAAAACAAGATGTAATTCATTCAATCGAAGAAGCTGTTGGAGTGTTTGGCAGATTGCAAGTGATCATGTCGGTCTTATTACGTTTAGGTGCCTTTCTTTATTTGAGATGGGTTCCAAACACTCTTTTGATGAAATTGATGCATTTCTTTTACGCCTTTTATTTCTTGGCTTGGTCAATCAGACAATTGAGTATCTCAAAACAAGTCGTTAGCCTTATCGATCAAGCGGACATTCTACCGGCAAAAGCTGATCTCAAACTTTTAGCCGATCGAGTCGAAGTGGACAACCAATCCAACGGATTGATCAAGACTAACGGCAACAAAGATGCAGTCGAACACAAATCTGAACAAAATGGTACTACAGTAGAAAGCGAGAAAGAGGCTCTGATTCGATCCCTATCCGTTTGGGAGTTGACCAGAGTGGTACTTTTTGGACGATCGACACGTTCATCAACAATCAACCTGCTCAGCTTTGGTTTCCATACGCTTCTCTTCTTGTTCTTCCTCGATGCGGCTTGGAGTCCGTATATTTTCCCATCTCACCACGAGCACAATTTGCACTTTGCACACGTTGGAGCATTGGGCCCAAAGACAGCCACGATTCATGTTCGCTATCCTTTCCCACTTGGTCAACGAGATGATTACTTGAACGGAGGATTGATCGAGCAAGACATTGGTTCCTTCGATGGAGCACTGCGAGATGCACAAAGCTTGTTTGACAACCCAGAACCTCTACGGGTGGTATATCGCGAAGTACGCAATATCGTCTTAGAAAGCAACTCAGCCGCCAACAGCATCGATGGCAGAATTCGCACGCAAGCAAAACGCTGGGAACGTGGTCCTCTACTCAAATTGGACGCTGAGAGCGATTGGACAGGAAGTGCAAAGATTGAAGGATTATGGCCCGCAACCGAGTATGAATGGCGCTTAGCATTTGCCCATAATTCAACCTTTACATCCGTCCCTAGTCACGCTCGCAAATTCATTACATGGCCAGATCCAAGATTGAGCGATGATAAAGATGCTTTGGGTGCATTGCGTACGACGAGAAACGAGGATGGTTCAGCACCATTCGATGATCCCAACCATTTCACCTTTGGCTCTTCCTCTTGCATCAAACCTGATTTCCCCTGGACTCCAACACAATTCTGGGCATGGTCGTGGCTCTTAAGATTATTCAATATCGGAAATGAACCTGGTGGTTTTGCCCTGCGCAATCGTATTCAAGGATTTGATAAATTAGCCGAAAGAGTATTGGACGGTCGTGATAGACCATCGATGCGATTCTTTGTGCAATTGGGCGATGTTATCTATGGTGATGTGCCGTATTGGGGCGGTCCATTTATATTGACATACCGTAAGCTGTATCGGAACTTATTCGCTTCAGATTCATTCCGTCGTGTTTATGAACGTCTTCCGATGATGAGCATTTACGATGATCATGAGGTAGTGAACAATTGGGGTGGAAATAAATTGGTCGGTTCAGCCGTTGATGAAGATTCGCATCAAATCACAAAAGTTACAACACCAGAAGCCGTTCCTCCAGCTACGAAAGCATGGTATGAATATATCGGCAGCAGCAATCCTGATCCGTTGGAACCTGGTCAGCATTATTACACTTTCCGATATGGTGATACAGCCTTTTTCGTAATGGACTGCAGACGTCATAGATCACCTTGGCAAATCGAAGATGATGAAGACAAGACTATGCTTGGACAACAACAAAAGGATGCATTCATTCGATGGTTAGGTGCAGTAAATTCAACAGCCACTTTCAAATTTGTTGTCAGTTCTGTACCTTTCACGACATTATGGGGTGGACCTTTAGATTACGATAGCAAGACGGATTCATGGGCAGCATATACACATGAAAGGGATTATTTGATGACGATCATGCAATATATTCCCAATATCATCGTTTTGAGCGGTGACAGGCACGAGTTCGCCTCTGTGGGTATTGCTCCCGTTGGTACAAGATCAGACTATCATCCTGTCACAGAATTTTCCACTTCACCTCTCAATATGTTCTATCTTCCCGTTCGCACATTATCACAAGCACACAATCTAGGCGCTACGGGAGCAGAAAGATTATACAAATATTTGCCAGATGGTAATATCAAATGGTCCGAATTCGAAGTAGACACTCGAGATGTTTCAAAGCCAGTAGTGCACGTTAAAGTCATCATCGATGGTGATGTTGCATGGAAGGTCAGCGTACATGGAACGCCGATCCATAGAACACGCAATGCGATCGGCGGTTTAGCACAAACATTCTTAGAACTATTAAATTGGCGACCTCGTAGATGGTTCTGATTGCATCCCATTTGCTTTGATGGTGCCCCTTTTCTCTATATACCAGCTCTCATTTTTATTCCCCTCAATGGCTTGTATACGAATGCTTCTGTACTACTATTCGGACGCGATCAAATACATACTCATGTACGATTTAAAAAAATTCACACATCAATGATTGCATTTACGACCTTTGAGTTGTTGTTTTGACATGAAATGTACATTGTGGCACTTGACTACTTTCTGCCACTACTGTGCTAGCAACGCCCAAACGGGCCAAAGCACCACGAATCATACCCGTAGGCATTGCCAGCTGAACCCGGGAAGCAAGTGCCAATTCACTTGATGGATTTACACCTTGAGCAGGAACGGAAAGACGCAAAAGAGGTTTGAAAACGTTATCCTGCAAAACATAAACTCCACGATGATTCGTCCTGAGATTATCGACTTGTTTATCCCAAATTGCAGTCCAAAGCTCCTTACAGATGAATTTCAAAACGTCCAAAGTTGTAGAAAACGGAGGCCGTTCACGTGAAAGACGTTCGACAAACGTTGAACCAATATGTGATCCGATTGCTTCTAATCGTTTTATCACTTCTTCATCTTCATTTTGTGGTCCGGCTGAAACTGTTAATCCTTCAACACTTAAGCCTGCTTCTTGCATTTCTTCGATCACCCTTTTACGCTTTTTCAAATTCCTTCTTGCACTATTGCGTAGTACATTTGGCATTTCGATCATTAGGTAGTGAAGTGATTGTACGTCAACATGTGAGATTGGAACTGAATGATCGGAATGCGGTAGGGAAAGTGCTAAAGATGTTGGATTGACGAGAGAAGAGGAAGAAGCGGTAGCATTGGCATTATTTGCTGAAGAAGATGAGCTATGGGTGCTACTCGTTGGCACAAAATGTGATGCGATTGGAACTGGCTGTCCAAGTGATAGTCTGGTGGGCGGTTCAGGAGATGTTGCGTTTGCCATTTTTGAAGGGTATCGTGTCGAGAAGTTATGCTTTGAGAAGATGGGAGTAGTCAGTACTTGTCGCGCTTCAAGAGGCCGTGCGTCAGGGCGTCGCGCATGAGAAAAACACAAGACACACTTTCTCAACTTTGGTTCTTCTTTTTAACGGATCACAACGAAGTCCGGATCGGAGTTTTGTGGAGCAAAAGCGACAATCATGGCAGATACAGTGTTGGACTATGGCAACCCTGATGGAGGAGAAGAGATGGATGCATCGTATGAAAACAATCCAATCATCGATCCACGTGAAGCACAATTACAAGATGCTTCAATGGATGCAGAAATGCAACAATGGGAAGAAGGATTTCAAGGAACAGAAGAAGAATTTGAAAATGAAAGAAAGAAAAAAGTAGAAGAATTATTGGCTGCCAGACCAAATTCAACAGCGAGATTCTACGCTTTACCACCAGATCAAGCAATCGAAGCAGGTGCAAAGAGAGGTATTTCCGCTCTTCCTGCTTTGGCCGAAGAAGAATTGATGGGTATCGAGGGTAAGTGAGTTGCCACTTTGATTGAGACAATTCACTAACGCATCTTTCCATAAACAGAAAATGTCCCAGGTCCTGAAATACCCGGCACGATCGGAAAAGGTCTCGATATCCGATACAATGCCTTACATATCACAGGTCAGCCGATCACACAATGCTCTACATCACGGCTATTTGCCTATATTACTCATTATGGCGCTCAACCACTAGGTCTTGAATGGATCAACGATCATAGCTGCAATGTGGTCTTCAGTGATGCAGCAGCCGCACGATTGGCTATCGAATACCTTTGTCCAGCAGTCAGTACGAGCACAGCTCCGCTAATTCCACTTCCTTCAATAGAAGAAATGGAGAATGCATCATCCATCAAAAAGGTACATGATACAGGAGAGAATGTCCAAGCAGCACGAGAGCATGAATGGAGCGAGGAGTTCATGCAATCGATCTTATTTCCCAGAAAAGCACAACGGATACCCGGAAAGCTGTACAATGCTCCAGAAAAAGATGCCGCAAAAGCCCTGCAAGAGTACAACGTCAATGTGTCCAGCAAAAATGGTACAAATGGAGAAAATACAGAAGGTACAATACCGGAGATTTATCGAGAAATGGAAGAAGAAGATCGTCAAAGATTTTTACAACAACCTGAACAAAAATCATTGCAAAATTTACGTGGAAATTTATGGATTCGTTGGACGGTTGAAAGTTTGGATGTAAAGGGTAATCGATCAGCTCAACAGAGTAAATGGTATCGTGATCACGGTCGTGATGCAGGAAAAGAAGTTGTATCAAAAGTGTTGCAAGTTGGAGGAGCGGATGAACGTAGAGAGCTTCTACCAGGTCAAGGCCGAAGACGCGGAAGAGGTCGTGGTTCAGCAATGATGGATGAATTGGATCGAGAGATGGACGCTTATCGTGATCGAACAGATGATGCGGTTGTAGGTGGAGATCCAGAAGCACGTAGAAGGAGAAGACGTGGAAGTAGATCTGCCACCACAATGGCAGCGCTTGATGAAGAAATGGAAACGATTAGAGGGGATAGACGTGATAGATCGGCTTCACCTGTACGCAGATCAAATGGCGGCGATAGTAGAAATGGCTATGCAGATACTGCAGACAATGGCAATAATACCACAATCAGAGTTCGTGGTCGCGGAAGGATGCGCGCACCTAGCGCATGGGATGACGATCGAGGTTTGTTTGATGATCGAAGGAGCGGTTTATTGGCAGATCGGCTTCGAATTCCAGCAGGACGTTCGAGTTTCACTTCCAATCAGGGCGATCGCCTAGAGGATCGATTACGATTACCAGGTGGCCACTTTGATGAATCGAGAAGATCGTTAGACAAGCGTCTATCGCCATCCAATCCCAGTGGGAGCTTACAAGATCGCCTCCGGTAAGGGCAACACACACAATCTAGAAAAGTCTCTAATGTATAGATTAATGGCCAATGCGTAGGATTGTTTTGAGTGTACAAGTGTGGATGTGTAGGGAGCGAGAAAGAATGATGAATGTGTACAAAAAAACCCGAAGTGAGTAATACAGTCGATCGTCTTTGGTAAATTTGAAGTGCGTCGTCTCAATAGAATCAGGCAAATCCGAATCCTTCTCCTCCTTCGTTCATTGCCAAGAGCAATTGCGACCTCAGCTTCTCATAAGAATCATATTGGGGTAAGTCCAATTGATTGAAACATGTGTGTGCGGCCGGCAAACGATCAGCACCATATGCTTTATGAATGTTGAACCTTTGCGTTCCTTGCACTCCTTGTAAATGCGCGAAACCTTCCAAAGGCACCTTACTTGTACCGGTAATGAATTGCAACAACTTGGCCTTGTCTGTTTGGTCGAACGAACGAACAGCTCTCCAGAACCATTGAACAACAGGATCACTTGTGCTATATCCATGTAATTCGGTATTGTTCTTCCAAGCAACCACATCGATATCCGGCAAACCAGAAATGAGCAATTCCAATTCTTGTTCACTAAAGATTCGAACAAGGTCCTTAGGGATGACGTCATGAAATCCGTTCAAAAAGGCTTCGATTTGCTTTTGAATGGAAAGCGTTAGCCTTTGCTCAGTGACCAAACGAACATATTCTTGTTTATTCTTGTCTGTCACTGGAATGTTTGTACCATCAGGCTTCAATTCTACCACTGTAGTTTCTCCAAACTCTTCATTATCAACAGTGAATGTCAGATCCAAGACATCCTCGATGTCGTTCTCCAACATCCATTGCAGACTCTTAAAGTATTCAGGATCAATCGCTTCCAAATCCCGATAATCTACTGCCTTTCCCAAGATATGCTTATAGAAGGATCTTGTGAAATAGGCATCTAGTAGTCGTCCATCGTAGATTGCTTTTCCAATCACCCTTCCAACGAATTTGAAGAAAGCAAGATGATCAGGATTAATTGCACTTGATCGATTTGGCTGATATGTTGTCCGATCAGCAGCACACGGAGCGAACAAAGCGTAATCGGGATTGAACATTGCTCTTGCTAAGATCGAGTACCATTCTCGCGTTACACCTCCCGCATCTATTCCCTCTTCGTTATAGAATCGAACGTTCAATTTACCATGCTTGATCTCTGGACCGGTATGCCCTTGCAAACACCTGAAACTGTCCGAGAAAACGTGCTGGCGGCGAACGGAAATCTGTAATGGCGTATAATGCTCTTTCCTTCCTTTGTGTAGCTGCTGAGTGAAGTAGTTGCGTTTATTATCAAAGTCGAGCACTTTAGGATTATGCACTAAAAGACTGAAGCTTCCTGACATCAAAGAAGGATTTTGACGAACCATCAGATTGAGAATCTTTCGATGTCTCTCTGTGAATGTGAAAAATTGGTCGTGCATTAATTCCCGCTTTGTCTTAAATGCCGTCGGCCTCTCAATAACGGGCGATACCGAACCTCGATTGGAAGAAGAGCCTTGAAATGCTAGATCCTCGGCCGTTGCAGCATGTTTTGAGAGAACCATTAGACTCTGTAGGGTGAAGATATGGGTCATCAGCAACGAGGTCTTTTATTTGGAACCGGAATACTTACTTCAATCAACGGCAAAAGTACTTGAGCGGCATTAGGATCACCCTCTAGCCTAGTCAATACCTGACTCAATCGATCCCAAATAGGCTCGAATTCAAAGCTTTCATATATCTGTGCTAATCTTGCTTCGTCTTCGGCATTCTTCTCTTTACCGTTTTTCGAGTCCTTTCCGTTGACTTCTCTGCTTGCTGGTTCATTCTCAGCACGTTGAATAACTCTGTGTAGTTGCCCTGCAGCATCATCTGATTCCATTGCAGCGGAACCTGAAGATAGCATGGGTAAACCTCCTTCAAAATCCATTGCAGCTGTATGCGGTAAACCGGGTCCAACACCTGGACCCGTTGAAATGGCAACGATCGGGACATGTGAATGAGATGAGCTAGCCATTCTGACGCCACTAGGACCTGCCATTGAAGTTCCTAGAGCGGCGCCAATGATTTGTGTGATATCGAAAAGACCGTTTGGCTGGCCATTGTCTCCGGATCTTCGGCCTTCACCTGGCGAACCTGGATCTTCATTCGATGACATTGGCTATGATTTCATGAAGTTGTATCTGGATAAGATGTGCCAGTGCCTATATAATGATAGAATGAGTTGGTAGGCAACCGAGTGATTGAATGTCCTTCTTGATTGCGCTGAAGACAGTTGTATGATTGGATAGCGGTGGAGGAAAAAAAGGCAATCCTCAAGCCATACGCCAAACGCTTTTAAGATTAGCCAAAGCACGCGCCTCAGAACGGAAAATTATACTGCACACACACACACACACAAAGGAAGAAATATATGATATATTCTTAAAATTGACGCGTGCTGGCTTTAGCAGCATGTTGAGAAGATTATACTCAGAAGAAGAAAAAAGGTATCCTACATCTTCAACTTCCAACACATCCCCAAAAGCTTGATCATACAAAGATGGATACAGCCATGGAGGGTGGCTTTGGAGGCCCATCTACATCAATGGGTGGCGAAAAGACACTATCTTTGACAGAGCTACTACAACAATCACGTCAATTAAATGCACAACTTGGCTCGCGTGCCGATCTTCCAAACATTCATTTAGGATTAGATCAAATCGAAGCTCAATCTCGCAAAATCGCTCAAACTCGAGCTACTCCTTTTGGTGGTGTATCAGGAGCAAATGCTGGGAATGCAGCATTGGGTGCTAACAATGATTCAAAGGCACACTACTTCTTGGCCAATGGAGGTATTGATGCCAGTGGGCTAGCAGATACAATCAATCAAACCAACATTGCCAATGCTTTCGAACCCTTACAGCCAATGTCCGATACCGATGTAGACTCTTATTTACGTCATTCTCGCGAACAAATCATTTTATCCGCCATCGAAGAAAGTCGACGAGAGACAATGGCAGACTTTCATAGAAACCTGGCAAAAGCACAAACACGGGACTGGGAAGCACAAAAGGTTCGCATCTTGGAGGAACTTGGACAACATACACACTACGGAGGTGGACAACAAAGCTCTTCTCGTCTCGGAATGAGCACTTCCAGGAACTTTTCACAATCGTATGGCTCACGCAGTTTCACTCCGACACGATCGGAAATGTCTACTGTCAGTTCTGGTATCACCGTTGGCGGTGCACGATCAGGCAAATATTTGGCAGTGGTGGAACGATTGAATGCTCATCGAATCGATTCTGTTCCTTTTGCTATCGCCTCAGCGCTAGGAGAGGCAGCCAGATCTTCGCTTACTGCTCCAGCCTCTGGAGTCGATTCAACTTTCTCGCAAGACTTGTACGAAAGCTGGCTTGCTCTAGCAAGTTTGGTTGGAGAAGAAAATGTGGTGGATGGAGAATTTTTACGGGATGCTATTCGTGAACGACAATATGCTGCCGCCTATTTGGGTAATGCTTCCTCTACTGCCGCTGCTTGGCTAGGTCGGGAAGGAAGAGATCTACGCACATGTTTGACGAGTGGTGCACTGAAATACCTGCAAAAGTACTTTAACAACCTCATCGATGCACGTATCGCAAGCAATCCCATCAAAGCACAATTGGGTGGCAAGCCAACTACATTGGGTAAAATCGTTGCATTCGAGCGTGTTGCATTTGCCGATCGCGATGGAAGATGGCCCAGTGAGCTTGAAGTTATTCAGACTGAACACGGATCTACCCCTGTTTGGGCTACAATCTTCTATCTCTTAAGCACTGGCAACGAAAAGGAAGCGTTGGAATTCGTGATCAAGAATGAAGATGCTATCCGGTCTTTGGATAGTACAACAGGCGGTGCAGGTGGCTTTTCCTCATACTTCCAAGCATGGCTAGGAAATGCAGATCACATTCTTTCCAAGCCTATTCGTGATCGATTTGTGACAGAGTACAATAGTCGTTTCCGAGGCACGTTTGGCGGAGATACGATTGATGGCTTCAAATTGACATTGTTCAAATTGATTGGTCGAATTGATATCAATAAGAACTTCCCTTCTGTCGTATCAAAGGATACCGAGACATGGCTTTGGGTGCAATTGAACCTCGTACGTGAAACAACAGTGGAAGAGGCCAGTTCGGAATTCGGTGATGCTTTACGTGATCGTTTAACATTGGAGGACCTTGGATCGCGAGTGGTCAAGCTTGGTGAGCGTCACTTTGACCCCAAGAACAATCGACCGATTCACTACTTCACAATTTTGCTTCTCTCGGGTCAATTTGAACGTGCTATTGCACACTTATATTCACGTTCTCAATACCAAGTCGATGCAGTCAATTTTGCATCTGCGTTGACATATTATGGATTATTGAGGGTGCCAAGTCTTGAAAAAGCTTCGCATGCAATGATCCTTACTTCAACGGTCGATGCTACAACGGGACAAGAGATCATGATGTTGGATTTTGCCAAGTTGATCCAAAAGTACGTTCGACTCTTCTCTAGAACGGATGTGAAGGGAGCACTACAGTATATTTATTTGATCTGCTTGAATGCAGATTGTGCATCTCCGATCAAGGAAGAGCAAATTGCCAAATGTCACGAATTGATTCGTGCTTTGGTGATTGAGACCAGACAATATTTCGAATTGTTGGGCGATGTACGAAATGATGGGGTAAAGACACCGGGTGTGATTGAAAACAGTCTATCGTTGATCAAATTGGCAGACTCGAAAGAGTTCTTGACAAATATTGTTGGAGCGGCAGCTGCACAAAGTGAAGCGGAGAATCGTACAAAAGACGCAATTTTGCTCTACAATATCGCCGAGGAGTATGATCGTGTTTTGGACGTGGTTAATCGTCAATTAGGCGTGTCTTTGATTGAACCACCTACCCGTGCGAGCCAAGAAACCATTTCACCTGATTCATCACTTACAAAGGTTGACGATATTGCACAATTGGCAAAGGCGATCTTACAAAGTTATGAAAGACAAAATCAAATCTTACGCTTAGTCTCACGCAAGAAACGTGAAACATGTCAAACGCTATTGACTCTGAAAGAATGCTTTGATTTGTTCTCTCGTAATGAGCTAGAGAAATCGTTGAGCACGATTGAATCGTTGGATTTGATTCCCTTGCATGGCGATATGGTTACCATTACGCGAAAAGCTGAATCGTTCAAGGATGTGGATGAAGGAATAGCCAAGAATTTATCCGAGATTTTACTGTTGGTGATGAATTGCATTTCCAAATTATATCAAACACTTAAATCATCACCATTTGGTGATTCGAACAGACATCAAAGGTTGGCAGATTATCGAAGTATGGCACGGGGGTTGATGTTATTCGCTGGAATGTTACGATTACGCATTGAGCCTAGCACATTTGCGCAGTTGACCAGACTTGATGTATATTTACACTGATGGCAATGAAATGCAATCTTCTTTCACAAAAACCGGAGCCGAAAATGAATGATAGACTGCACTGCATACATGCATTTTAGCTTGCTTTCTTTTCGAGACTGTGCTGGCGCAGCGCAAGGCAGGAAAGCCTTACAACGGATTTTATAGATCGGTCTTTTAAGCTCATCCATCTGTGAGATGTCTGCATCCTTCCAAAAAGAGCGCAAGTAGCATAAGCTCTCTGTCGATCACGTAATCAGCTTTTTTAGAGATTATCCGCACTTTTTCATCGGTAATTTAATTAAAAATGAAATAATCTCCTCCGATCATTATCCGCGTAAAGGGGAGGAGATGTATGATGATGTATGCAAGAGATGCCTTTTTGATCTTTGCTATGCAAAGGGACCACCCTTTCTTGTGAACTACAGCAGAACGGCATTTGGGAAGCCGAATGAAATAAAATAGCGTAAAAACAAAAGGCGCGCGACACAAAGAAGCAAAGCAGGGCAATGCTCCTTTGCTCCACTTCTTCTTCTTCTCATTCGATCAAAAAAGGCCGAAGAGTGTGATCTTGTTCCTCAAACACACACAGAGATCCTTTTGACAGATTCACACCACTCCCCCGAGGGTTTAGAGAGCGAGGACCCTTGCGTACCGCATTGCCTGCTTGATCATGAGAGTAACAATTTCACTTCTTCGGACTTTAAAAACAATGTGTAGGCAGGATGTTTGATTGTTAAATATAGAATGTTGTGCTCTTATGCTACATACTCTTCTTGTTTTAGCCGAAATCTTATTATTACACACTCATGCAAGAATATTAGGCATCCGTTGTAATACGCCGCCGCAATCAATCAAGCTTGCCTTTTGCCGGTTTACACTCTTGCACAAATTAAGGATCTTTGCCTTACTAAGAAGGAAGTCGAGAGGTTGAGAGAAATGCAAGATTGATTAACAACTCATTCCCTATCCACATCTTCACACCGTTTTGCATTCATTGCTCCGAATAACGGCAATCCTTACAACACAACCCTTTTTCATATTTCAAACGCACGGCCCTCAACAGGTGGATTTCTAACTCGATTGGCGTCTTAACAACAACACCACTTTTTTTGTTCCGTTGTTGCTTCTTCTTCCTTTCTTATGTTACATCATCAGTGATTCGACTTGTTTTCCGTTTCAATTCCTTCTTTCTCATCTTTTTTCCGACTTCTTTTGTGCAATCTTCGAGAAGGAGTACAGTTCATCAACTCCCAGGGAAGAAAGGGGATATTCAGAGATCATCATTTTCGATTTTGCCATCAAGCTATTCAGTACAATATCGCTTTTCTCAAAGAGTGCTTTTTTCTTGCTTTGTCAAATCCTAGTCAGCAGTCATTACAACTGTTTGATTTTTTTTTGATCAAACAGCTCTTGCGTCATTCTTTCTACTTTCGGTGGCGCTTCGATCAAGTTGCTCTTTTGTTCATTTCTTCATTGCTCTGCGGCAAGGTTTACAACAACGCCCGTTCTCATTTTTTGTGCTCGATCTGAAAATACCCCGGTCTGGTAATAACCTGTTTTTGTTCTTTTTAGGTGGCGCAATCAAATCACATTAATTAGCATTCAATATCACAAGCAAGCCGTAATACCAACAACAACAATGCATCAGCCCCAACAGTCAGACATCTCTTCCCCTCTTGCAGGCGGAATGTCAACGCCGAATACGATCATGAGCGGAACAGCGAACGGAGCCGCACAAAGTAACGTACGCTCCAGCGCAACAGGAGGAGGAGGAGGAAGTTCATCTTCTGCTGCTGCAAATCCTGCTGGCACAGGTAATTTGGGTATTACGCCACCTCCAATCATTCCAACAACAACAAACGGTTTACATCATCAAAATGGAGGGTCAGAACAACAAAACAACAACAACGGCGGCGGCGGCAACGGCGGGCAATTACCGCAGCGAAAACCTTATTTATACGTTGGCGCATTAAGTTCGCAAGTGAATGATGTTGCTTTGAAGGAAATCTTTAGTAGCGTAGGACCTGTCCTTTCTACCAAAGTGGTTGTCGATCGCAATATGCAACATCCTGGTTCACTCAATTATGGCTTTGTGGAATATGCAGATTTACGTTCAGCTGAAAGTGCTTTGCAAAATTTGAACGGGAGAAAGATTGCTGATTCGGATATCAAAGTGGATTGGGCAGCAAGTAGTCTAAATCATGGCGATGCAGCTGGCTTGCACGGGATGAGTGGAAACGCTGGATTCTCGGGTGGAATTGGAATCATGGGAAAAGAAAACACTTCTCATCACTTTCACGTCTTTGTCGGTGATCTGTCACCTGAAGTGAGTGATATTATGCTCAGGCAAGCTTTCCAGTCGTTCAACAGTTTAAGTGAAGCAAGGGTAATGTGGGATATCAGCAGTGGCAAATCAAGAGGATACGGTTTCGTTGCTTTTCGTGAAAGATCTGATGCAGAACAAGCAATCGCAACCATGAACGGCGAATGGTTAGGATCACGAGCAATCCGAGTAAACTGGGCAAATCAAAAAGGAACAGGAAATAACGGTCAACATGGAGGACATCAAGGAGGAATGATGATGGGAAATTCATCTGGACCAAATCGATCAGCAGCTGTTGCTGCAACGTTGGGTGGAATGGGTGCTTTAGGATTGGGCGTGACCAGTATGCCTCCAACAGGAGGAGCTAATACAGGTCCAACGATCACATACGAACAAGCATTGGCAGGTTCTCCGCACACCAATACTACCGTCTATGTTGGAAACATTCCACCTTTTGCAACACAGAATGACCTTATACCACTTTTCCAACAATATGGATACATTATGGAAATTCGAATGCAATCAGATCGTGGATTTGCGTTTGTCAAGTTGGATACACATGAGAATGCGGCCAATGCGATCGTACAATTAGCCGGTACGTTCGCATGTGGAAGACCGATCAAATGTGGTTGGGGAAAAGATCGAAATGAAAGTGCAATGTTGAATGCTCTCAGACAAGGAATGCAATTGAGCGGTTATAGTAACTTAGCACCACCAGCGGGAATGTCTTATGGAATGCCGCAATTTGGCTTCCCAGGCGGATTCGCTTATGGATCACCAGGTAATTCTGCTCAAGGTGCACCACCAATGGACGCAGCTTCCATTCAACAATTACAAGCTGCTCAAGCTCAAGCCGTTCAAGCAGCACACGTTCAAGCAATGCAACAACAACAACAGCAGCAGCATCAATCTCAATCGCAACAGCAACAACAATCTCAAATGCATCCTTCTCAGCATCATCAAGCAATTGGACATCCTCAGGCTATGCAGCAAATGCCAATGCATCAAAGTTTACAAGGTTTCCCATCTCAACCTTGATAAGATAAGATAAAAATATTAAAAGATTTTCTCTTTCATACATTCTCAAAGCAAAACAAATGTCAATAGTATCATCAATCTGTAGCAAATCATAATTTGTTGAGTAACTTGTTCATTTTCATTGTTTGTTTGTGTGGGTACAAAAAAGAGCCATCAAAACCACATCGAGACTGAAAAGCTCTTTGTTAATGCTTTGAAAGCATGAAACCATCCCGGTGGCATGATCAGTACATCACCTGGTTGTAAGATTGCAAACATGGCCCAGGGACGAACGTTCCTCTCAAATGCTAGCGATTGTTGGGATTTTGTGAAAACTTCAACAGACGAAGTTATGCTTTCTCCTATGTTCATTGCTTCCACAACCTCTGGCTCTGGCGGTGCAATCCAAACAATCTTACTACCAACGATTTGGGCTGTAAATGGGGTCAGTCAATGGAACATCAAGGGTGAATTACCAAGCTATAACTCACTATAGAAATTGTAGTACGGGTCCCTGTGAGGCGGGCTTACCGTCAAAGCTCGACCGAGCCATGCATTGATAAGAACTGATTCCGATCCATCTTCTGCATCGATTGGCGGTTCGTAAGATGGGTAGTAAGACGGAGCTGAGGGTGCAGAATATACCAAATCAATAGCGTATCGATCGCCTTCCACAAGACTCTAGACAATCCATCACTGCACGATTCATGTTCATCTGTACCGAATAATAGCCATTCTCGTCAATTACTTGTTGATCTTCTTCAACATGCTCCTAAGCACTTACCTATAAGATCGCCTTGCGCTCTAATTGCTTCAAATAAGGCTTCTGTTGCCCCGTTGCCACCATCATCCTGCTGATGTTGAAATGGAAGAAACGGCGTCGGCTCGTGGATATACTGTCCAATATGCCCGCCGCACCCTTTCCTCCTTGGACTATGGGTGTCATTCACGCTCTACTCACGCGCGACGCGTCAAGAAACCGCGACAGGTAAAGGGAAAGGGCGTAAATTATTCAACCAACACTTTTGGCGGGCGAATGCAATCAGAACACTTTTGAGCATTTACCACCTCCTCCCATCTTCCTCTCCTCCTCATACCCAAGTCAAAATGTTCAGAGCTGCACCGCAAGCAGAACGAAAAGCTGCTCCGATAGAAAGAGCATCAGGAGCAGGCTATCCATCTGTGGACCGATATGCAACAAAAGGTCCAAGAAGGTATCCGTTCCGATTAAACTTTTATCGTGAACCACCTGTTAGTGAAGTAACTATTGAACAATTTGAAACATGGGCGATCGATAGATTACGAGTCTTGGCAGAGATTGAATCTTCACAAGCAAGGAATCGATCATACACAGAAATGAAGGAAATCGTTACTACGCAATGCAAGAAATATCTACCCTTGAGCGCCACCACTGCTTCGGGAATGAGCGGCGGTCCGGATGTAGAAGCTGAACGAATGAAGGATCACATCAGTCATTTCGTCTTACGTTTGGCTTTCTGTCGGACGGAAGATCTGAGGAGAAGGTTCGTCAAAGCAGAAACGGCTCTCTTTCGTCTACGATTCGAGAATGACGACGCATCAGAGAAGGAGAGGTTCCTCAAAACACTCAACTTTGACTGGGAATTCGTGACGAAAGAAGAAAGACAGGCAAATCGCGAAGCATTGATCGCAGCAAACCCTAGATTGGCAAACTTTGTCGATTCGGAAACATTTTACAAGGTACCTTGGACGCGTGTTCTTGATCTGGTAGAGAAGCGAAAAGTTCTCCTTCGAGCAGGAACGGCATGGGTTCCGATGCGTGAACAAGCAAGTTTGGTTGTAGCAGAATTCTCACAAAGGCTAATGAAAGAGTTAGAGCTAACATCTCGTGCTTTACCACGCTTGGACGAGGATGATCGAATCTTACCTCTTCTTTCTCATCTATCGATGGGCTTCATTGCAGGTATTTCACGTGAAATTTCATCGAATGCCATCCAAGGTCTCGAGGGTGGAAATGTGACTGCTGAAATGGTGGATGCTCTCATCAAAGAACATGCTCCACTTTGTATGCGTAACTTGCATGAATCTCTACAAGACAAAGGTCATCTTCGCCATTATGGTCGTTTGCAATACAGTCTCTTCCTCAAGGATGTTGGTTTGCCCGTTGAAGAAGCTTTGTTGTTCTGGAGACGCTCTTTCCGTGCAATGTCTGACGATAAATTCAACAAGGATTACAAGTACAACATTCGATGGGCTTATGGTCTAGAGGGCAGACGTGTAAATGCACCAGCAAAGAACTGTATAAGCATCATCACACAAGATCAACCCGGTCCTCAAGACAATCATGGTTGTCCTTTCCGTCACTTTTCTCCGCAGAACTTATCTTCCGCTCTCATTACCCATTACGGACTCAACTTTGCCGAACAAGCAGAAATCTTGCAAGCTGTCAAAGCAGGTCACTATCATGTTGGCTGTACACGTCTGTTCGAGATGACACACAAGAAGCAAGGAATCAAGAAAGGAGATGGGCTAGGAGAAGGAGAAAGCGTCAGTCATCCAAACCGATACTTCGAACGAAGCTATAGTATCGTTCAGAATGGCGGAGTACCAGCCAAATCAGAAACCAAAGCAGAAGAGCTTCCGTCTTTAGAAAGCAAGAAGGATGATACCGAGATGAATTTGGATGATGCTGCTGGTGAGCATCTCGAGAAAGAGGCAGAAACAGCAAAATCTTCCAATGAAGGGTACGAGCCAGATGAAGATGAAGAGATGGAGCTTCTGGCCATGCAAGGTGCATGAGCTGTGAACGCCTTCTCAATTCGCTCTTTCGGATGTTTTTATAGTTTCCTTTCTTCATGTTTTCTATCTCTGCAATATAGTGTACAATTGGCATTTCTTCAATTTATTCCAACATTTGATCTTCATCATCGCCAATAGATGTGAAATTGAGAACTTCTACCCTTCCTCTTCCCTTTGTCTCAGCTTCTAGTAGCTCGTTGATTTTACGTAATGATCCAGGATCGATGGATGCTACTAATTCCCATTCATCAGTCCAATCTTCATCTTCGGTGCTGTCGATGAAAGGTATAATCTTTTCCTTCAATCGCTTACCGTCCTTGTTGGCCATCGTTAGTCTGATACGCATTCGTGCTCGTTCAATAGAGATTGTATTGCTAGCCTGCAATTGCCTTATAACGTCTAAAGCTTGACTCTTTGCACTCTTGCCGGTTTTGATGCTATAGTGAATATCACTCATTGCCTTATCTATCATACCGTAAGGATACGGTCTTTGGCTTGTTGGATCGACACATTTTTCACAAACGAGTGTCACGATTTCTCTCCAACTTGCGTCTAGCTCTTGATTACGTTCTTTTTCGCCTACTTGTAGTTCACCTTTTTTGAGAATTTCCTTGACAATAACTTCAATTTCTGTTGTTCCGAATGCTTTTTTCAAATCTTCTTGTGGTGCTGCTGCTCCTTTGCTTACGTTCAAGAATACATTTTCGATCTGAACGACTTCATCTAGGTTTTTCTCCGTTCCATTTCTCCAATCTAACACTTTGTTCTTGTAACATGCCACCTCGAAACGCTTACCACCTTTTCGTAATCGAACGATGGATACGTTTGTTAGCTTGATCTGATTCGCTGGCTGATTGATCGGCATTGTGACATTCAGTTGAAGATGAGCGAGAGAAGGAAGAGTGATGTTCTCCACTTGGAATGTATGCAACAGAAAAATTTAAGCTGCTAAGGTCAGGCACAGCGCACGTGTTGAGGAAGGTCGAAGACATTCGGCCCAAAAAATTTTTTAGGCACTTTATCTTTAAAATCCATTTTTTTGCGCTCATGCACGTCAAAATCGATTTTGTATTAATTATTTTTTTGTAAATTTTCGGAAAAAATCGCTCGCTTCCGCTTTTTTTCACAGACGGCAATAATAATCTCATCTAGTTTCAATCGGATTCGTATAGGTTCGGGTTAGGGTTAGGGTTAGAGTTCTGGGGATTTTTTTTTTGCTTGTTTTGACTGGATTTGTGAACTTAACGAATTTGTATTGATTTTCTTATTTTTCGACGCGTGTTGACTGAGAAAAAGTGCCGTTTATATAGAAAATTAGCTCACTAGCGTAAAACGTGCATATTGTATTCAATCAAGAAATTGCAAAAACACTGCTCAAGTGCCATTTTGGGCCGAACGAGCATGACCAGGAAGGAATGTTGTTTAGCCTTTCCTGAATGCAGTTCAAGTTGTACTCACTGCTATCATCCCAAAAATGGATATATCACTATCATCAGAACCTCTGGATGTTGCTTTCCACCCATCCACATCAGCAAACCTGTTGGCGACAGGATTAATCTCCGGAAAAGTTCAACTGTATGATTTCAAACGGGCAGGTAACACGACATCATCTGCGAGGGCACCAGAGGAAGATGACTCGGAAAGCGACGAGGGATCTCCATCTAGCACTTTAAAGGGGAAAGACAAAGCTTATGATAGGTCATGGTCCGTCAGACCTAGCAATAAAAGTTGCAGAGGTGTAGCCTTTAGTACGGAGGGGGATAGTTTGTACACTTTGGCCAAAGATGGATCGATATTTCGATTAGACACAGAAACCGGATCGGTAGTATCGAAATGGGACAAAGCACATTCTTCAGCTCCCTCCCGTCTTTTGCCAATCGAACAAAACCTGTTTGCAAGTGGTGACGACGATGGTGTGATTTCGCTTTGGGATCCACGTAGACCGACGGACTCCAATTCAGCTGTGCGTACTTATACACATCATTTTGATTGGATCACATCGATGCTATGGTGTACACATCTTGCCCCGCCAAAAACACCGAAATTGACCAAAGAGGAGCAAGAGAAGAAACGTTTGCGGGAGGAGAAGAAGAGGAAGCGTAAACAGGCAAGGTCAAACATGTTTGATGGAGAGGAGGAAGAGGAAGAAACAAAAGCAGCACAGACACAGCGGGAGCGACTCGTTGTGACAAGCGGAGATGGGACTCTATCGGTGATTGACGTAAGGGCGGGAAAAAGCGGTGTAGAAGTGAGCGAAGATCAAGAGGATGAATTGCTATCGATCGCCTCTGTGAAGCAGAATTCAAAGTTGGTTGTCGGGACTCAATTGGGTATTCTTTCACTTTGGGCTCCTACAAAAGGTCTTTTGGATCATGTAGATCGTATACCCGGTCATCCTGCTAGTGTGGATACGATGTGCACTTTGGATGATGATACAATCTTGACCGGATCTTCCGATGGATTGGTACGTGTTGTACAAATATTACCACACAAACTTTTGGGTATCGTTGCTGATCATGGAGGAATGCCGGTTGAGCGGATCGCCAGATGTGGAAATTGGATGGCTAGCATTGGGCATGGGGCTGAGATCAAACTTACTGACTTGGCACCTCTTCTCGAGGAAGACGGGGACGAAGATGATGAAGATGGAGAAACGCAAGCTCTAGGCGTGACTACTTTGTCATCGGTAAATGCTGATGATTCTTCGGATGAAGAGGATGCTGATCCCGAAGACAAGGCTGGGGAAGAGGAGCGGGAATTGGAAGCATACAGTCAGGAAGAAGGAGAGGGAAGCGATAGCAGTGAAGAAGAGATGGAGCAGCGATCCAGCAAGAAAGCAAAAAGTATCGCCAGCATACTCCGACCTCCTCCCTGTGGAGCAGCTGCAGTGGACTTCTTTGCTGACCTTTAAGGCCGGTCTGACAGTCAAGAGTCAAATGTACACTAAAGAGACTGATAAATGTCTATGAATGCATGTATTCTAGCTCAAAGCTTATTCTGTGCTCACCTTTTTGTGCCAAGAACTTTCTCACTGATTCATGTCCCCTCTGGGCGTTATAGAGATGTATTAGAGACTGCAAAGATGGCTACAGCTTGGAGAAAAGTTTAAGAGCTTGACGGGTACCCAGATCAAGCATAACATCTTCCGAACCACCAGGAATTTGTAATCCTTTGAATTCGCGGAAGATCATTTCTACTCGTTCACCTGCACCACTCTTGGTAAGACCCATACCACCGAACAGCTTTACTGCTTCGTTTGCAACATATTCAATCGTTGCAGTGGCCTGTGCTTTGAGCAATGCAGTTTGACCTCCAAGTTTAACATTGGCTTCCTGTATGGATAGCTTGCTCATTTGGTAAACGGTTGCTTCCATCCATGCAGTTAAAGCTTCGGTCTTGCGGGCCATTTGTGCAATTTTGTGACGAACGACTGCTTGTTCCATCAATGGCTTGCCGAATGCCTTACGACGTTTGCAGTGTTCTACAACGTCTTCCAGACAAACACGGCAAAGACGGTTGGCAATATACACAATCGTCATACGTTCGTGCATGAAGTTATACATGATGTACTTGAACGCTTCGCCTTCTTTACCAATTACGTTCTCCACAGGCACCTTTACATCCTCAAAAGTGACGTATGTCGTGCCTGATGCACTACCGCCCATGATTTCCATCTTTTTGGTTTTGAGTCCTTCGCTTTTGGGGATGACCAAGAAAGTGATACCCGAATAATCTCCTGGTTTTCCACTCGTACGAACGGCAGTTGTGAAATAATCCGAATAGATTCCGTTTGTGATCCATTTCTTTTCTCCGTTTACGATGAAATGCTTTCCGTCTGGCGTACGTTCTGCCGTTGTTCCTAAACCTGCAACATCTGATCCTGCTCTTGGTTCGGTGATTGCTAAACAGATTCGTTTACGACCTGTAAGGAGATCAGGTAAATATCTCTTTTGCATTTCGTCTGAAGCAAAATGTACGATCGGTCCTGCGCCGTAAGCCAAACCACCGTAGTTTGCCATCATTGGAGCATTTGAGCCTGTTCTGCATAATTCATCAACGAGGATCAAATCATGGAAATGATCCCATTCCTCAGCTTTTACACCTCCGGGTAAACGTAAATTTCCGCTTAAATCATGAAATTTCTTTGGAATGGTAACACCCAAAGCAAAAGGGATCAAAAAACCATCTTTTGCGAATTGTTGATAAAGTTGATCAGTTGCAATACCTTTTTTATCAAAATCGATGGCTAATTCGGAAGGGATATGTTTCTCGGTCCATTCACGAACATATTCACGTAGAGCGATATGGGATTGTTTTGTGTAATAAGGACTTGGAGCTCCGCTTACCCAAGGTGATTCTGCCCAAGGAGTTTTTGGTCGTGTTAAAGACATGTTTGTTTATGGGATGAGGTGATGGTATTTCGCTGAGAAGCAGTCTGTGCTGCTGCTGTTGTTGAGTGTTACATTCTCGGTTTCTCATTTACCGACCAACAAGCCCGGGCACCCGAAGTGACTTTTTAGGGAGAAAATATGCGGGGAAAAGAAGACTGTTGAAACGCGTTTACCGGCTCTACATTCCAGCCGGGTTACAAATAAATGCACCTTTTTACCATCATATAAGACAAAGAACTCATCGAATTACTGAACTACTATCAGAGCTTAGAATAAAGCTTCAAAGCTTGACGAACACCTAGATCCAGCATAACATCTCCAGAACCTGTTCGGTGGTATGGGTCTTACCAAGAGTGGTGCAGGTGAACGAGTAGAAATGATCTTCCGCGAATTCAAAGGATTACAAATTCCTGGTGGTTCGGAAGATGTTATGCTTGATCTGGGTACCCGTCAAGCTCTTAAACTTTTCTCCAAGCTGTAGCCATCTTTGCAGTCTCTAATACATCTCTATAACGCCCAGAGGGGACATGAATCAGTGAGAAAGTTCTTGGCACAAAAAGGTGAGCACAGAATAAGCTTTGAGCTAGAATACATGCATTCATAGACATTTATCAGTCTCTTTAGTGTACATTTGACTCTTGACTGTCAGACCGGCCTTAAAGGTCAGCAAAGAAGTCCACTGCAGCTGCTCCACAGGGAGGAGGTCGGAGTATGCTGGCGATACTTTTTGCTTTCTTGCTGGATCGCTGCTCCATCTCTTCTTCACTGCTATCGCTTCCCTCTCCTTCTTCCTGACTGTATGCTTCCAATTCCCGCTCCTCTTCCCCAGCCTTGTCTTCGGGATCAGCATCCTCTTCATCCGAAGAATCATCAGCATTTACCGATGACAAAGTAGTCACGCCTAGAGCTTGCGTTTCTCCATCTTCATCATCTTCGTCCCCGTCTTCCTCGAGAAGAGGTGCCAAGTCAGTAAGTTTGATCTCAGCCCCATGCCCAATGCTAGCCATCCAATTTCCACATCTGGCGATCCGCTCAACCGGCATTCCTCCATGATCAGCAACGATACCCAAAAGTTTGTGTGGTAATATTTGTACAACACGTACCAATCCATCGGAAGATCCGGTCAAGATTGTATCATCATCCAAAGTGCACATCGTATCCACACTAGCAGGATGACCGGGTATACGATCTACATGATCCAAAAGACCTTTTGTAGGAGCCCAAAGTGAAAGAATACCCAATTGAGTCCCGACAACCAACTTTGAATTCTGCTTCACAGAGGCGATCGATAGCAATTCATCCTCTTGATCTTCGCTCACTTCTACACCGCTTTTTCCCGCCCTTACGTCAATCACCGATAGAGTCCCATCTCCGCTTGTCACAACGAGTCGCTCCCGCTGTGTCTGTGCTGCTTTTGTTTCTTCCTCTTCCTCCTCTCCATCAAACATGTTTGACCTTGCCTGTTTACGCTTCCTCTTCTTCTCCTCCCGCAAACGTTTCTTCTCTTGCTCCTCTTTGGTCAATTTCGGTGTTTTTGGCGGGGCAAGATGTGTACACCATAGCATCGATGTGATCCAATCAAAATGATGTGTATAAGTACGCACAGCTGAATTGGAGTCCGTCGGTCTACGTGGATCCCAAAGCGAAATCACACCATCGTCGTCACCACTTGCAAACAGGTTTTGTTCGATTGGCAAAAGACGGGAGGGAGCTGAAGAATGTGCTTTGTCCCATTTCGATACTACCGATCCGGTTTCTGTGTCTAATCGAAATATCGATCCATCTTTGGCCAAAGTGTACAAACTATCCCCCTCCGTACTAAAGGCTACACCTCTGCAACTTTTATTGCTAGGTCTGACGGACCATGACCTATCATAAGCTTTGTCTTTCCCCTTTAAAGTGACTTTTGAGGCCGAAATTATCGACAAATTGGATGTGTTGATCATTGCGGACACTCAAGGAGATGAAGTCTCTCGTGCTTTCTTCATTGGTCAATTGCGATCCTTATTCGAGACTCCACAAGTCGATCCGCAATTACAGGAACAAGTGCATTCTTGTTTGGTCAGCGTGAATCGTTTCTTGGATCTCTTGTTGAACGTTCGCAATCTTCCCCTCGAGGAAGGGTTTGAGGATGATCGAGTGTCAGGAACACTTAAGTTGCTTGGATTCTTACGTCAGGCAAATTGAGTGACTGCATTCTCAACGCACGTTCTACGGCTTGTCAATCTTCATTTGGAAAATCAAAATTACGTTGAAGCTGCTTTGACGCTCAAATTGCATGCTGATTTGCATACTTGGGATTTGGATGGTTTTGTTGAACCTATTGCAGATTTGGACTTGCCTCGTCAATCGCACTTTGCCAGAAGAGAAACGTTGTATATGCTTATCTTGGATTACCTGAACAAAGGACAAGCTTGGGAAATTTCGATCGATATCTGTAGGGAGCTTGCAAGGGAGTATGAATTCCGAGCGGTTGACTATGGTCGATTAGCAGATGTCCTTAATCTATAGGCTTCGTTGTTTAACAAGACTGGAACGGAGGAACGTACATTCCCCAACTACTTCAGAGTTGCCTATTACGGATCTCAATGGCCTACAAGCTTGCAAAAAAAATTGGAAAAAAAGGCAAAAAAGATGTCCACACCAGGGCTCGAACCTGGGACTTCGAAGTGCACTCGAAGAGGGCGATTAATACCTAGATAGGTTTTATATATTAGCTTCGCACGATAACCAACTTCGTCATGCGGACCTTGTTGAAGGTATAAGAAAATTTATCAAATATAACGTACTCCATATGAACTGAGCGGACTCCCTGGAGGCGTTTTCCATTGCACTATAGGTAAACGTGAGTGGTGGATTGTACTAAAGTTATATTTCATAAACCCACCCGCGCTAACCGATCACGCAATTTAACCTATTCTGACGTGATGATGCATGGTAATTCTTCTTGCCCAGGCACGCAATGATCATGTACAACGGCACGTTCCCCACGCTGACTTCGAAATGGAGGAGAGTGTATTTATCAGATGCCGAAGAAGAACTATTTTAGCAAGGTAAGCCAAACGAATCGGTTTTCCACTTCTCACATCCATCAACATCATGTCTCCTGCTACCTCTGTTCAAGAAATCCCACCGTGGGTACCCCCAAAGCCCACAAAACAAGATGATATCGAATGGGCACCATTAAATACTCTTGATCTCTCCAGGGTGACAGGAGATAATTTCACAGAAGTACCTGATGATCTGGTCAAAACGGTCGGTGAAGCATTCCGTACGAGTGGATTCATGTATGCTGAAAATCATGGTTGGACATACGATCAAGTTTTGCGTCAATTCGCCGTTGGACAATACGCCTTCGATGGTGTTGCACCAGAAGACAAGGATAAATACAAGGCTGATATCATTAAATCGGGCAGCTTTGTCGGATACAAAGCTCAAGGTCATTGGAGATTGGATGGCGTACAAGACAGAATTGAACAATTGAACTTTGGCTCTACCTCATTCTCGCCTGAGAATAGCAAACGTCTTTACCCCGAATCCCTTCAACCTTTCATTCCTGAAATTCGTGAATTTGCCCGTTTCAACCACGGTGTCATTCTGCGAAAGATCCTTTCCGTTCTCTCTCGTGTTCTCAAATTGCCTGCCGATACATTGTGGAAATTGAGCGAAAACCCAGAAGAGAAGGGAATTGATCTTTTACGTTATGCCATGTACCACACTCCCACAAAGGATGACGATAAGGCCTTGGGTGGTGTGCGTTTGCAGGGTCACACAGATTTCAACAGCGTTTCCATCCTTTGGTCTCAACCGATTACATCTTTGGAAGTTCTGATGCCTGATGACAGATGGAGATTGGTTAAACATCGTGATAACGCATTGGTGTTGAACTTGGGAGATGCAATGCATTTCCTAAGCGGTGGCTATTTCAAAGCTACAATTCACAGAGTTGTTGCACCACCAGAAGATCAAGCAAACTACGTTCGATTGGGTATGTTCTACTTTGCCTTGTTCAATAAAGACGTTCAATTGCGTCCTTTGATCGAATCGCCCGTTGTCGCTGAAGCATACAAGGATAAGAACTTCTGGGCTGAAGCTGAATCAAAAGGATTGCCCATCCCCACTGCAGGCGAATGGGAAGCCGAACGTGTTCGCCGATTCGGACAACAACAAGCCAGGAAGCGTGACGATGGACACGATGAAGAGGAAATCCTTGGAGGAGCTGCAAAGATCACTCTCTATAACACCAACGAAAAGAACCAGCGCACACCTTTACAAATTCAGAAAGACAAAGAACGTGAAGCGGCCGCAAGACATGTCGCAATTTCCGCTTAATCTTTGCTTGCTTTCCGTCTGATTCCATAGCATTGCGCTCGTATCCCATTTGTATTCTTTATTCAACATCTTCTTTATCTTTATGACATGATGACAATACAGTTCAAAGCGGCTCAACCTGCAGTGAACATTGTACATATTGAAACTATCATTTGCGTGTGTGTGTGTGATTATAGTACAATTGCAATCCACGATTGCTTTAAAAGTTTGCCCGAAGTGCCACGTTTCAAAGATGCTCTTGGCAAGAAGAAATCATTGTTTCCCGCTTGAAGTTTCTGTTGAAGTTCCGAAGAGTAGTGGACCGCGATGATTTAGAGTAACGAAGCTCGGTCTTGCATCAATTTGATCGATCGTTCTGTCATGGGAAAAAGGAAAGATCGAGCTGAGTGTTAAATAAATATGTGGGACATATCTGATAGCAAGAACACACTTACCTTTTTCGGTATTCTGAAGCCCAAGTTATTTCGCGTAATGGACTTGCGGTGAAGAGTGTTCCCAACAATACAACAAAGAGACCGAAAACGGATTCTGCTTTGATCTATGTGCAGATCGTAATGAAGCGGAGTTGGAAGCAGATAAGATTCGGAGTCAGAATGGGATCATAATCGATAAAGTTTAATTTGATTCATCTGCAATTTGAGGGGGGGCGAAGTGCATATACTCACATCGAATGGGATCACAACGGCCGCTATTCCTAAAGCTTTTTGAACGGAGACAGACTCGTATGTAGAATAAGCGGCATGCAAGAAGATGATCGATCCCAACAAGAGCGTTAGACGAGCGCCAAAAGAGGGTTTTGATGAAAGACGTTCGATTTCGGACATTTTCTCTGTGCGTGTGTGTGAATCAAAAGGATGAAGGTTAAAAATGTGAATCGTAGTGAACACGCCTTGCTGGTTTTCTTCTCAAAAGGTCAATGCGCACAAAAGAGGCGCGGGCGTATGTGCAGCGCCTTTAAAGGATTACCCGACGGTGAAATCAGGCAATAACAAATACATTAGAAGCTTCTTGTTTAATCTTAAGTGGGCATGATGAGACAAATTGAATGCTAATTGCAATAAGACATTATTGTGAGTCAATCGAGTGCACTTCGTATTTTGGAATTGGTTCGGGAAATATCTCTGACAGCCATCCTCCGTTCCTGAAAAGAATATTGCATTTTCCCATCCACTGTTTCGGATCGAAGGGCAGATGTGGGTTTGCTGATCAACGTAAAGTTGGCCTAATTATTATTGTGGCTTTTTTCTCCTAAAGAGTGAGTGAGAGTGGAAATGCACTTTAGCACAGCGCGTGTGTTACTCTTTACGCGTATAAGTATTCCTAATTAACATCAGCTTTCCTTTTCCGGACATCATCATGAACCAATATGTTTCAACGCCTCAATCTCATCCCCACTTGAATTAGCATGACATTCTATCGTTTAATGAATCAATCAAAGGGTCTTGTGCCACTTATCACCAGTAAACAAAATAAAGGTCACATTTATTTGTTCTTAGCTTGACAATAGAAGCCATTCGACAGGGTCTTCTTTATTGTTCCTAGAAGGAGCTCGTGTGCATTCGATGCAGCCTGCATGTACTAATAAAATCGTATGAGCTGAAAGGTTTAAACCTGAGACTTTTACCTCCTATACGTCTCAGGTATTGCATTTCTATCAGAGCATTTATTCGTTAATGCTACGGGGAAAATCTGATTGGTATTAGGGCTCCGTCCTTAATCGCTCTTTGAAATTTTTATATCCTACGCAGAATCGAGCAGCTAAATGCAACAAAGAGGCCGATAGATTATAATAGGCACGATTGCAGTCTATAAAAGATTGCGCAATCTGCTCTACCCCACTTGAAAATCTCTTTCTTCCCACCGAAATCGTACGAAAATGATTGTCCCACTTACCCGTACATGGGCAGTTCCGCAATATTTCCTTTTGCGAATTGATGATTTTACAAGATTAAGAACGCATTTGTTTACGATCGCTAAATCACCATGAACGAAGAAGTTAATTTGTTTCGCTTTATTGCGCCTAAAATTGACATGATGATCGATATAGAGAAGATAGGGCTCTTTTGTAGGAATGGACATTCTGCTTGTATCCGAAATGTGGGTATCGTATGATTGAATCCGTGAAAAGTTCTTCCAGTATATGATCAAGAATATGAGAAGGATCGGATCGACATCAAAACTTATAAAAGGGGGCTTTCCATGACCTTGAACTAATTTTAAATCGTCAAGAGATTCACAATCACTCTCTCCAACGGACGACCCTAACTAACTCTCCACCACTTCAACCCCCTTTATTCCCTAACCTGAACTTCACAACCCCTTCCAATATGGAGCTAAAGACAAAAAGTTTCCTCTGCTTCGTTAGTATTGCTTTGCTTATCGGTGAAGCTTCTGCATTAACTATCCCAAGCAAGAGTACAAACCAGCTCACGCTTGTAAAAAGAGCTGATGTTCCAACCGTGACAGTTTTCCAATGTGCAAGTGATGCATTCGAAGCCGGCAAGGATCAAGTTCAACAAAACGTAACAAACGCTTTGGCAAACGGTCAATCTCAATTGACAGAAGGTGCAGCTAAAGCACAAGATGCTGCTTCTCAAGGTGCAGCTGCCGTTCAAAACCAAGTAGCAAGTGGTGCACAGAGATTAAGTCAAACAGCTCAAGACGGTCAAGCACAATTGCAAGCAGGTGCTGATCAGGCAAGAAGTGCTGCCGCTGCTGGTCTCGCTTCCGGTCA